CTTCGAAGGAACCTTAGTGGAAATACTACCTCTTCTTTGATTGAGTTGCCCAGACACGTGCAGAAGAATCAACCCTCTCATGGCGATATCTACACAGCTTGCCGATACATATACCGGATTCTTTTGTGCCCGAAAGTCTATGTGCGGAAAGACGAGATTGATTTGGAAGCCAAATACCCACAAGATGCCGTGATGGGCGATCCAGCAAGTATGTCAGACGATTCTGGTCATGCACCGGTCAGAGCATAAGCTTAGGCAATTTAAATTCCTCGTGTGATGACTCTTATATGTCTGCACAAGTGTTGCAGTCCCAAAGTTTCCCTCGTGAGCGTTGTGAAGGGGTTTGATAAGTCTTTATTCATGACAAAATCTTGTCGGCCCGCCATATGATCTCAGTGGTAAAATTTTCGAGCTTTTTGAAGCTGATTATCCCAGGGCCCAAGCAAGGAGATCTTCTGCAGGACAACGATGGCATTTCATTCCGGAGGGCGCGAGGAACTGACCGCCAGTAGTGTGCAGACTAATGCATAGTCTCCTATCACTTCACTGTTGACAGCTGCGAGGACTGCACTTGCTGATGCGGTCATAGCCGAGAAGGTATCATTGCAAGCTGTTGATCTTACAAAGTCAATGCAACTACGAAAATAAAGAGAATTACTATGGAATCTGGCGTCTGGAACACGCAGCGGCAGACACCACATCGATCACGTCGCCCTCTATATTGAGAGAGAGAGGAATTTCAAGGGGACAATGACTGGCTCGTTGTCGCAGAGTCAAAACACAACATATGACGAGACACAAATAGATGGATGAAAGCAGATGCGAAAAGATGCTCTTACTTAGCTTGCCACAAAGGGACTCAGATATGATCTGCAAAGCCCATTCAAGAAAGTGAAGGCAGCACATAGTGCATCAGGTCGAATAAAACACAATTGGTCTCCGTTGAGAGAACGCCTGTGACGAAGCAGGACTCGAACAAGCAGTCATTCGGCATTGATACCATTCCTCATAGCACAATCTATGCCGACCTTGAGAATAAAGTGTTGCAGACTTCCCCGAATTCCACTCTTCTTGTCCGATAAAGCTCATGACCTGGACAGTGGAGCATTCTTACCGGCGAATCCATTCCAAAAGTTCGTCCTGTCAATCATACTGACGCCAAGCTGAACGAACTTTCCGCCGTTTAGGGCAGGCCATAATGGCAGATTTGGCCATTTGTATTTGACACGGAGTAATGGAAATGGGGTCAATTTTACTACACCACCAGCTAACCTTCCTTTTCCTTACGCGTCAGAACTACTTTACTTCCTCATCTTCCCATAAAAATCCTCGCGTGTACATGCAACCAACAATTATGCCTGCCTCCGAGAAAACGAACTCAAACAAATCGCAAATCCACAAGTCTCTTTTCAATAACAAAGAAAAAAAGCTCGGATTCATAGGCAATACAGTATGTTGTTTCCACTTTGTATACAAAACGTCTACTGAGTTGTCGATGTACAATAGCTTGAAAAAATCTCCAGCCATCCCGATCATTCCAGGCTTGCGAAAGAAAATGAAGGCTATGATGTCGCATTGCTTCTTGCGAGCGAAAGACCGACAAATTCCTCTGCGACCGAGGAGGAGGTGGCCTCGTCCTCTCTGCCAAGATTTGAAGCTCGAAAAACAACCGGCCGGAGAGTGGTAATCGAGAAAATCAAGATGTTTCTAGATTTACGCGTTTCTAATAGTACTCTGTCGATTTTTACGAGGCTTATGAGAAATATTCAGCGAAATCCGAGCCGCTTAGAAGTCTGTTACCGCAATGGTAGAAGTTGTACTAAGCAGACGTCTCCAGAGCGAGTACAGCTGCAATGTTGGCATTGTCAAATGTCACTCCATCACATTTGAAGTGCCAAAATGCATATTCCGAGCAACCACCAGGCTTACTCGCGTTCGCGCATGACATCCTGCTCCACATCGATGAGATGAACGATAGCACGAACTTGTTCGCAGCTGATGATTCCAGCCTAGAGGCGGAGGCTCCGCCTTGCCTCCCTACAATTGATGATATTCCCACTCTTGAGGATGTAAAAGAGCTTTTGACTTCCTTTTTTCACGCAATTGGATCTTAAGGACTTCATTAAAAGGTCTCAGCGGCCTCATCTCAGCTTTTCGGCCATCATGCCAGAAAAGGGAGCAATGCTGGTGCTCTTAAGAGTCTCGCATTTCGAACGTTGTAGTCTCTACGATTATGGGCGATTAATCTGGTTACAGATGCAAAATCACACAGGTTCACAGAATCGATAGTACGAAAAGCAATCCAAAATTCAATCTCCTGAACTACAAGAGAAATTCGGAACAAATACACGTGCCAGTATCCGCCGGCCCGTCATGATCTACCATTGACAACCCAACAACAAAGGCCTGGTCGAATTGCTCTAAGTCTGTTCTAGAAAACCGAATCAGCAGCATCAGCAGCAGCAGAGCTTCGATGCATGGGACGAGGACTACGACCAACGCCAACTCCACAACTCCATCACGCAGGTCGCCCGGGGGACGCCCAAGCTGCCCAAAGGGACTCTTTTTATGCCATATATTTCAAGCATATTAAGAGTGATACCAAACGAAGGCACGGAGGAACGCCATCTGTGCGGCTCAAGAATCAATGTAGATGCCACGTTCTACCAGTCCCCCATCAACTCCTGTCGTGAAAGCAGTGTAAGCAACGATTGAGAAGAGAAATTAGTACTACCTATGCTTCCAATGTTACTAATACTATGGGGGTGAAGCTGTACAGAACGAGAAGCGGATAAAGGCAACTTCCTTCAAGGAGACGAGTTCATGGTCAATCAAGACTCATATTCGGCGCTCTCGTGCGTTGTAACGCATGGCACAGCACATCTTCTAAGGATGCTGGCTAAGTCAGCCAGATCTCCGCGGGAAGGCCGATCTTTTGGAGTTCGAAGCAGCATTCTAAGACAGCCTTGCAGATGACCGAATCAATCATCTCCAATGTGATAACAACGTCGTGCTTGGGTGTCTTTGAGCAATAGAGAACAGTCGTCATAAGTTTGGTCTGTAGATACTGCAGCTTGATTTAGTCAATCATACTTGGGGGTAGAATTGAGAAGGTAGCTCGATGCCGGGTCTTGTCCGCTTTACCAGTTGATGGAATGGTTGCGAAGAGTAAATGTAGCTTTTGCTTTGAGTCTAGTACATGATTCTCCAGCACAATCCCCGTAGTAAGCGTAAAGACAGACTCTCTCAACTCGGTCGAGGCATCATGGAGACGATGTAACAAGGTTTTTAATTGCAAATATCAAATGTTGCAGGCGTGACTCGTATGCACCATCTTTCACAGCCATCTCCTCAAAGCACATAAGCCTCCCCTGCTTTGTCAATAAACAAACCCCATCCATCATTGCAGACACTTCCTCAGGGCACGTATGCTCCCTCTCAACTCCTGCTAAAATCGATTCCATCAGCTCAGACCCTTCATCGCAGCACGTATGCTTGGTCTGCCTTCCCCCCCCCCCCCCCCCTCCCCCCTCTCTCAAGTAGCTACATCATTGCAAACACCCCCACCCCTTCCCAACACAAGCACGCCTCCTTTACCTTCTCAGAAGGTATGGCTCATCCACCGCAGACACGCAACAACCCATCCGTCATAGCATGCTAAATCCATCAAACAGCACGAATCAATCCTTTCATCTCCCACGCTATCCCAGCGCAGTCATGCCTGCCTTTTCGATAGCAGACTTTCGTTATCGCAGACATTTTTCGACCAAGCAAACATGATATACCAAATCCAGTAAACACAAAAAAAACCACAGCTGTCCCTGCCATCTGCAGTCCAGCTCTTTCAGCAGCAAAGTTTTCGTTATCGCAGACACGTTCCAATCAAACCAGGCATGTTGAATCCACCAGAAATAAAGCATCATAAATCCGCCTTTGTTGCTGACTGCTTTCCAGCTCGAGGCGCTGCTGCTTTCTGAGCAGCATGGTTTCGATATCGCAGACGTGTTGTGATCAGAGCAGGCGTGGTGAAGACATAGGAAGTCGACAGTCTAATAGACACTGCAGCCATCGCGGTCCGTTCTTCATACGGGCCACTTCCCTCTCTCGTCGGTCTTGCTCGAAATGCCAGCCACAGGACACCAGCATGCTGAGCTTTCCTCAATCACTCTCACCGAATACCTTCCGAACGTAACCACGCAGTCGATCATCTCATTCTGATTCATACCATCCCCTAAAGCCTAACACCACTTTCGAGCCCTTCGCGTTCATTTCTGCTGTTTCACATTGCTTCGCACCCTTCCCACATCTTGTCATTCCATCCTTTCACTATCTCATTCCAGTCCAGCCCATCCCCATCCCCATTCCCAGTCCCCAACCAACGCACACACCTCACCTCAACCCCCCTCCTCCTTCCATCCCCAAACCGACAAGCGGCCGACATCGCGCAGTGCACCAGCAGAGGCTGGGCCAGAGGCCCGCTCCTGAACCGATGCGACCGCACGGAAACGGTCTGCGTTGTCAGTTTTAGGGAGATGAGGGAGGGGAGGGGAGGGGAGGTGGTGGTGGTTGGTGGGTTTCGGGTAAGGTGACGCTGAGAGTTGATGTGAGCGGATAGATGTCATTGACGGGTCGTGTAGGGAGGATGTTTGGCGGTGACGGTGGTGATGATGGTAGCGATGTTTTGACGCGGAGACATTTACAGTTTGCAACGAGTCGATTTAGAGCGCTGACCGGGAGTGGTGGTGATGTTGTAATTCGGAGACTTCAGTCTGCAACGAGTCGTAGTAGGGGCGGTGGTGAAGTCGTGACTCGGAGACATTTACTGTCTGCAACGAGCTGATGTGATACTTGACCATGATCGGCGTGAGACCTGGAGCTTTCGATTGTCGTCGACGAGGCTTATCTGGTGCTTACTGATGGTGTTGTGACGCGGAGGCATTACTGCCTGCAACGAGTCGTACCTAGCAGCACGTTGGGTGTGGTAGATGTGGCGGAGAGCATCACAGCTCCTCCTCCTCCTGGTCTTTCTTCTTTTGCTGCTTTTGCAGCTTCTCTTGCTCCAGTACCTGCTGCGGCTGCTGCTGCTGCTGCTCTTTTGGCTTCACCTGCTGCGGCACCTCCGGCTGCAGCGTCTTGGGCTGCTGCCAACGCGGGACTTTTTCGTCCTCGTCGTCGCTATCGTCGTCGCTATCCACCGCACGGCCACCACCTTGTGCCATCCCGTCCTCCTCGTCATCCACTCCCACAAACTCTCCTTCCTCCGCCCCTTGTTCCTCGGAACCACCTTCGCTCGCCTCCTCCTCCCGTTCCTCCTCCCCCTCCTCCTCTCGTTCCTCCTCCTGTTCCTGCTCCTCCTGCTCCTGCTCTCCCTCCTGCTCTCCCTCCTGCTCCCCCTCCTTCCCCTCCCCCTCCTCCAGACGCCACCCCATCGTCTCGCATATCCAGGTTCTATGTTCAACTGGCACGGTCTCCAGGGCAATTTGATTCATCTGGTATTGAAGTTCGGCTCTTCTCTTCTTCGTCGCTGGTGTCACATCCTCCTCCTCCTCCTCTTCCTCCTCCCTCGCCCGCTTCCTCCCAGCCGCTTGTTCAACAGCTTTCCCTTTCTGCTCCGCCACGTTCCCCTTTTCCACAGTTTCGTGATCGAGCTGCGTGGGAGGAGTCTGGGTAGTCGCATCCACCGTTTGTGGAGCCACTGGGCTTCGAAAATGGGCCATCTCCACCAAAAGCAAAACCTCAAGTGTCTTTTGTAACTTTCGGCCTTTCTCTACGAAAGCATTGACCTCCTCCTCGGAATGCTCCAGGAGTTTCTCCTGCTCCCGACATTGAGACTCAAGGGCCTTCACTTTGCTCTCTACCACCTTTTGGCGGTCGATCTCTGCATTCAACATCCCGATCTCCACGTCTTTCTGATCAAGCACCTCTTGTGCCTTCTTGATCTCTTCATCCTTGCCCTTTAACAAATTCAGCATTTCTGTCTCGTCTAATGCTCGCTGCTCGGCGGCACCTCGTTCGAAAGCTTCTTGTAGTCGTTTCTCTATGTCTAGGACATTTTCAGTACCTCCTATTCTAGTGTTCATCCCACTAGTCTGAGCCTCCTCGACAACCTCAACCATAACGCCCGCGGGCACAATTACTTTGACTATGGACATGTTAAGTCGTTAGAAGTGAATGAACAGTCGTCTGGAACCGATGATGAAGATTTAGTGATCCGCACAAGGCTGTGAGTGGAGGGGTAGTCAAAGCGTTACTGCTTGATGCACGAAAAAAAGCTGTGAATTACGGCAGAAGTGCGCTCAGTGTTAGTCAGTTGACCGGATGATGGTATGTTCGTCACTTTGTACGTTCTAAGAAGTGAATCGATATGACAAGCTGTGTCTGAAAATTGCCTATGCAAGAGGAACTGTGGTATGTCTGTGATGTGCGTAGAGTATGTGGTGTCGGGATAAACGTCTATCAGATTGCCAATTGGCTGTTGTCAGTACTCTCTGATGGTCTCTCCGTCTTCAATCTCGATGGTCTTCACTTTTAGTAAGTCGACAAATTCAAATGATCCTTTGCAAATGACCTAGTCGTCACAGATGCGAGATGAGTCGTGGCTACTGCGCTGATGCAATGTGATGTGAGAATCCGAATCGTGCTGTCGTCAATTGATGCGTGCGACACAAAAAGCTGTGCTAGCTAAGCCGTGGATACGTACTGTCCCAGTTGCTGATGATGGTCTGTCGTGAACAATCGGAATTATGCTGTGGGAAAATGATAGTCTCTGCGGATAAGCTGTCTTCGAACCGTGCGGTCGTCAACCAATGCGTGTCCAACAAAAATCTATGCTTGCTGTGATATTCGAGATGCGTACTGTCCCAATCACTAATGATAATCTGTCGTGATCAATTTAAATGATGTGGTCCGCAAGTAATGCTATGGTTTGCAAGTAATGCCAGGTGCAAGTATCACTGATAACACACGTAATCCGATATTGTTCTCTACGTTTCGTTGAAGAAGAAGAGAGGAAGAGACGCGACAAACAAAACAAAAACAACGACAAAAAAGTGGGAAATTGCGGGCAGGAAATGATTAACACTCACAACACCGTCATCGCCACCGGCGGTGGGGTTTTTCGCCACTTCGGCGCCCAATTACCGGCCGGGCGAGCGGTTGGATTTGTATGCAAGTTGATAATGCTCAGTCACACCAGATGACGCCTTCATACCAACCTACCTCATACAATCGTGAACATCCCACTCGTTCCTTCATACCCCTCATACACTGCGTTAACCTCGTACGCCGCCAAATGATCGTGCAGTGTCAGACCAAATATCGACCTTCCACCCAATCCACGCCCCCTCACACAATCTCAAAGGTCCCACTGACGCCCTCAAAGCCCTCCAGCCCCCCTAAGACCCCCGTGCTCGCCCCAAAATACCTAATCCTATACCTCCCCCTCTCCACCATCTCATCCACCGTCCACGTAATAGTCACCTCACTAGTCCCCAAAATCGTACTGACCCTCTTCCACTCGAACACGAGCCCCCAATCTTTATCATCCCTTACCCTTTTCCACTTTCCGCCGTCCTTCATCTCAACCGCAGCGTACGTATCCTCCAAGCGGAGATCATTCCTTGGATTCGCAGCCACGAACCTCGCGATCACGTTTTGACCGACGACGTAGGTAGGTTTGACATCCTGGAGAATGTCGCCGTATGATTTGAACAGAGGGGCGTTGTCGAAGATGACGGGGGTGATGAAGCTCATGGAAGCATTGACGTTGTTAGGCGGGTACACTGGGGATGTCGGAAACGACGAGTTCTCCGCGGAAAGGTAGGGAAGGTGGAGGGTGCTGAGGTGGATGAAAGCGTCGAGGGTGCTGGGGCCATAGAGCGTGGATGCACCTTCGTACCGCTGGACAGAATACTCCTCGGGCGTGGCGATGTAGTGGGTGTAGCTGTTGGCAGGCCCACCCAGCAAGACGATCGGGTCAGGATCTCCATTTTCGGCGAGAGAGATTGCTTTGACCTCACCGTAGATGGCGTCCTTCCACCGCCGGCCAGACATTGTGGTGGCTTCGCCGGGGCTGACGATAATGAAAAGCTGCCCGACGCGAAGGAGTTGGATGTCGACGATATTTGGCGTCCACTGATACGGCTTATGGATCTCGCCGACGTCGAGCAATATAGGTTTTGGCGCATGACATGCTTTCTGCTCCTTACTTGGCTCCTTAAGTGCACCGCTCACGACAGCCCAGAGAGGGTTAGCGTTAGGCTTGCCAGGGTCATTTTGTTTGAAGTCAAAGGCGCCAGGGCCGTCGGTGGTGCCTGCTGCAAAGGAGTATCCGAGGGCGGCGGGGCAGGTGTGGAGGGTGGTTCCATTGGGGTGAGGAAAGGTGTAGTTGGAGAGGTCGTGGAAGGAGTGGACGGCTTTTACGCTGGGGCCGGAAACAGGGGTGCCAATTTCGTCCATGAGATCGTAGGCGCTTTTAGCGGCGACGAACTGACGGCGACCTATTTCGTAGCAGCTGGCTGCGCCGTTATCCTTTGCAGTGAAGCGAGGGCCGCGGCCATGGCAGGCTTGTGTCTTGCCGTTGCACAGGCTTTCTTTAAATGAACATTGCTGACCTGACCCATCTTCGCAGTAGGCTCCAAGCACATTCGGACTCGTGTCGCCAACATTCGACTGCGAAAAGCCCGCTACAAACCCTTCGTCTTCGCTTTCTTGTCCCTTCACAGCCTCTTCGAACAACCAAGCAGCAACCCCCTTGTTATCACCACTAACCAACGTATTATTCCCATACAAACTCGTTCCATGGACGGGAAACCACGTTAGCACACCCCTCCCCTTCCCACTCTCCTGATCCCAGAATTTTAGCACCGTGATCTCCTCATCCACATCACCTTTATACCTCGCCCTCTCCTCCTCCGGATTCTGCAAATAAGCATACGGGCTCCTATTAACATTCCCACCCTCCACATTCGCATGTCCCACACTCAGATATCCAGGCTTCAAACTCTCATGCGCCCTCTTAATCGACAACACAGCCCCATCCACAATCGCCTGGTAGCTCTGCTTGTCAAACCCTTTACTCGTGATCTGCGGCAAAAGATAATTCAACCACGCGCCAGGGCCAGAGTGCGAGTGCGTGCCTATGACAGCTACGTTCTGCTGCCCATACACCGCGTACTCGCCGCCTAATTTTGCCAGCTCGTCCAATATACCGTATCTTACAGCCGTATCTCCACTCTGCGTATCGAGCACCATGTACACAAATCTTTCAGTAAGGTTCTCCGTGCTGCCGATGATGAAGGTGCGAGAGTATAGCCGCTGGCGAAGACCGGTGCCGACTTGGTCTGGATCTGCGTATCCCATCAAATTGATCTCGACGACGGGGCCGGTGATGTCAGCTTTGCCGACGCCGAGGAGGTAGGGTGTGCCTTGATCTGTTGCACCAGCCGTGTGTGGCTGGCCATTCGACGATATGAAGGTAGTAGGATGGCAGACATGGCGGAGGAAGGTTTGTAGATTTGGGATGGTAGGGAAGAAAGGCGCTGTTAGGTGGGAGGTGAGGAGGAGAAGGAGGACGAGGGCCGTAACCAAGGCGGCGGCGAAGGGGAGGCGTGCCATTTTTCTATGGCTTGTGAGGGTACTTGTGGCATCTGAATTGAGATTCCTCGAAAGATGGGATGGAGGCCTTGGAGTAGAGCGATGGAATTGCTCGGCATTACCAGACCTCCAGCTTGCGGATGTCATTGGCTTGGCACGTCCGGGTCAACCCGGGCTCCCGAGATCTTCCCGCTGTCAACTAAGAGTTTAGCGTCAGGCTGCCTAGAAGTGGCCCCGGGGCAGGCTCTTCCTTAGACAAAGACTTCCTTTCCTCATATCAATCTACTCGTTCAAAATAAAATTTCGTTGGGCAGCTTCAAATTCCAAATCCAATGAATATTGAATCGTCCATATCTAAGGAACATCAAGGGTTCCATGTTCACATACTAAGTTGAAATCAGCGTGCATACATCTGACTCGAGTTCACACGACAAATGTAAGAAAACTAGACACAATGACCCCAGTCCTATCACTCAAGCCTAAGCATCTCAACAATCAACTTCAACATCGGATTCTCCACGCCCGTCTTTTCCTCCAACCCCTCAATAACCCCATCAATTTCTCCCTCCATCTCCCTCAACCTCACTCTCGTAGCATCCAAAGCCCCAGACTCCCTCATCAAACCCAACAAATACTCCTTCGTCTGCCTGGTCATCGCAGCTCCCCTCTCACCAAAGTCTGCTGCCTAAACATCCCCAGGATCCTGCCCCCCGCTCTCGATCTCGCTGCGCACAAAGCACAACACAATACGAGATCTTGCCCTCATCGAGATCCTCGCAAAAGCCCTTCTGCTCATCATACGCCTGCGACGTGAGATTCATATAATCGTCACGAATCTGAAAGTACTGTCCCAGCGTCGCGATCAAGAGGCCTAGGTCGAGTCCGGCGGCAGTGGCGTCGCTGCATTCCGACTGCATCAAGCGCACAATTAGCCGGAAGAGGCCTCCAGCCTTCTTATCCACCATCTCGAGGTACTCCTCTTCGGTAGGGCAGATACAGTTGATGCGCCAATGTAGATCCCAGCTCTGTCCCACGAATAATTGCTCCAGTTCCTCCAATAAGATACTCGTGCATTTCTCTCGGTTGTTGAGATCCTGCACCACCTGCAAAGCTCGCACGAACATGAAGTTCGCAGAATTGGTGCTCTGTGCTTGGCCGAAGATCGAGTGTGCGGCTGGGCTACCGCGGCGGAGTGGGGAGCCGTCTTCGATGTCGTCGAGGATGAGGGATGCGTTGTGTAAGAGGTCGATTATAGTCGTTATGAGTTGTTTCGATCGCAGGGAAACGGGGAGCCATTCGTTCAGGGAGTCTATGAGGGATGAGCGGACGTTTTTGGAGGGGAGGGAGGAGATGTAATTGGCCGGGCCTTCGAGCGGTGAATTGTCGAGCTTTGGAGAATGTGGTTTGGAAGTTGTGGGGCTTGACAGGAGTGTGATATGGATGTCACTTGGAGACGTGCTTAGTGTCTCGTTTGTGGCTTGATTATGTGGTGCGATGGAGTCTCCTTGTTCGACGCTCTTGCTCGCAGTGTTTACCTTGTGATCTTGCGGCGGCGTGTCATCTGTGAAGATCGGAACTTGGTCCATAAGTTGACTGGACCCCTGTCCATCGCTCTGCTGTCCTGGCGTATTCTCGTCCCTTGGTTCTAGTTGGGAGTACGTGTCTTGCCAGCGGTGATATCTGTCGGCGATTGACGACCAGTAATGATTTCCCCCAATTCCGACTTCGCACACTTCGATGTAACGTCTGAGCTGGTACGACATATCAGGATATCGCTGATATAAGTCACGCTTCGCTGCAAAATATTGGCGCTCTCTCTCTAGAACGAGGTCGTGGACTTTCAACTTGCTGTCTTGCAGAGAGAGCTGTTCGTTCTCCGTAAAATAGTGAACCGTGTTCATGATTTTCGCTCCTCGCGTTCGGTGCAAGAAAACCTCTCGATCATACGAGAAGTAATCATTTGTGAAGGCAGCTGCTAGACCTAATAGAGATAGCGTTGGTAGGGCAATTTGTCTCTCGTGGTCCGAGATTTGTACACCTGCGGAAAACGCTACAAAAGCCCACATAGTCCTGGTCAAGTTTAGTCTAATTTTTGGCATCTATCAACATTGGAGGAATTACTCTGCACCAGAACTAGCAGCGTCCATTAAACGTTTCTTCTCGAAATCCTCGAAGTCAGTATAAGAATGGATGTTTATGTCTTGGCTATGGCGTAGCCAGCGCCGATATGCCTCTAGTGTATGCCTGCCTGCTTTGCGATCTAGACGCATGAAGTCTAGCAGGGCTTTTGATAACAGCTTTTTGAAACTTGATGCGTGTGGACCACCTTTCTCAGTACACTCCAAGGATACATCAAGCGTGGCTGAGAGATCCTGCGTCTGTGACTCTTGATCATCTACATCAAGCTCGTCGAGAACGGCTGACGAACGTCAATGTTCCATCATGCCATCAGAGTATTTGACCAACCATCGTGTAGGAAAGCCAAGTCGTTCAATCTGACTAACGCTGGCATTCTTTCTGATGGCGTTTCAGCGTAGGCAAAAATGGTGAAGTCGCCATTGGGTGAAGATCCTCCATGACAAGTGTCGAGAATACCCAAACCGAAGATTCGTTCATAGTCGTGGAATAAAATCTGGCTACTTGATCGTGCAATGTCCCGATACTTGTTGACACGAATAGGTAAGGTCGTAAATGAACCTGTCCGATGTGCTTCGACAGGATCCACTGGCGTGGAGTAGGACCATTCAATATCCATCGTCGGCGATTATCAGTACCAACACTCTTGATATGGTATTGTTCAGTCTAGTATGAAAAAATTTGAAAGTCGATGAATATGATACAACTTGAAAACGTGGTACAATTTCATAGACCAGTACAATTTCTAAGGCTCGAAGGACGAATCAATCCAAGCTTTGAGAAAGTCAGTGATTCCCTCCAAACGGCTGCTCTTATCACCTTCAATCCCACACATGGCTTTTGGTTGATTCAACCACCAATAATCCATATCAGCGATCTTCATGCAGAGCCAGGTACGCCAACCACATGAATGTATTGATTATGCCTGTATGCAAGTTCAAATTTTCAACCGAGGATTGCCGTGATCGACAGCCTCGGCTGGCTTCGATTGATTGGTCCTAAAGCTATTGCGGTGTCTAAAAGGGATCATCGGCTTCGCTGTCAATGCATACGTCAACGGCTAGTGTGCCGAGGTCTGCATCTGCGCTCAAATAGGTGTCTTTAAAGTTGTGCAAATATAGATGACGTGCAAGTCTCCTGTTCCCTAAAGCAAGTATCGAAGTCGATGTTGAGATGATATGGCTGTGCCAAATCTTCGCCGGAGGCTTCAAGCTTGGCAAAGACACCCTGAGTTCAAAAGGGGCCATCTTCTCGTCAGCCTGCCATGGGACTTCAAGAGCTCAAAGCTTATCTTTTGCAAGAACGTTGCGTTCGCACTTCCAGACCTCAATCGCCACCGCTAGTACATCTCTTCTAAAGTAGTCTCCTATGGGCTTGCCAAGTATCGCTAAATGCTCAATGGGGTTGCCCAGTTTTTATGACGAATGGAGCTACAGAAGACATTTGTGAATACTGGGGCATTAAGTCTGAACCCTATTGTTGCTCGAATACTTGACAATCTCCAGCCGATAGAACCGCCGATGGTGGCAGGTGCGTGTCAAAAAAGCTTGTTCACAAGTGTGACATCGCTAGTTGGCGATCATTTCCTTTCAGTCGTTCGAGACGTAAAACCTTCACTCAGGCGAGCTCCGGTCGAGCCGAGTCATTCGACAGATACTATTACCTTGCAGTAGTTAGCTTCATGCACAGCGTAGCTAACGGCCTTAAAATTGACTTGCCTGAATCCTGCCGAGCCAAATGCGATGTGATAGGTCTTGAAGCTTTTTGAGGAGGATCTAGATGCGAACATCTCATGCAGGAAGCCCACTCCTCAACCGAATCTTCCTTTCATTGGCGCCAAATTCGCCTCCAAGTCTCCGACATCGTCGTAACGGTCCCAATGCCAAAAGCAGAGTCCGATCCTCCGCCAGACATGCTTCTTCCACCTGAGAAATTTTCCCGTGGTCTGCTTCTCTCTCACGACGATGAGACCAAGCTCCATGGTCTCGATGTACTTCGTTCGTCCTAGATACAGAACCCTCACCTTGTCCTCGCCAAAAACTCCGATTAGTCTAGCTCCGATTCCCTGAAGTTTCAAAGCCGCAGTGTGAAGTTCAGGCGTCCTGCACTCAATGAGAGGTTCATTTCGATCGTTGTATGCAGTTGTATCTAGGGGCCATTCGATTGAGATGCTCTCACAATCGTATTGATCGCTTGCATCAGCTATGATGCCTTGTTTCGCAACCTTGAGAATGCGGCTGCGGTCAAAGAAAGCAGCACGGCCTTTGAGATCTAATGGTACATCAACACGCTCTTCGAGTTGAGCGATGAATCCTTGGGCACGTTGATGAAGGAAACCGAGAACGAATTTAAAAGACCAGGATTTTGCGATGAAATAGGCTTCAGCTCGCTGAACAATGTTGACGACGTAGGAGCCTGAAGATACAAATTGCTCTTGCGCAATTATTGTATGCAGACGTTGGGGTACTCGAATGGCGTTAGTAAAAGCCCAGCTTTGCCCTTGCTGGGGAACGTGAAGATGCTGAAAGGCTTGGCTAATGAGACAAGATTGAGCGTTTAAGGCTTGTAGGAACTGTAACTCAAGGTCTACAAGAGCGAAACCTTCGGAACTTTGCGCACTTGAAGGGGCTGATTCGCCTAGTTGATAGCCATAGACCTGCATGATGGCATAGATACGATCCTCGGCACGGGTCGTCTGTCGAAATCTAGCCGCTGCGTACGCAATGTTGGGGTTGGGACAAAGCTCGAAGTCAATGCCTGAGTGATCAATAGCAGTGCGTAACTGTTGTAGCTTATGCAAATAGTCATTCGAATCCGACGGGCCATCAGACCCATGAAACGTCACAATCGCACGATCTAAAAAGTCCCGCACCATCTTGCAAGCTCCAGAGAGATCCAAGACCTGTGTCCACAACGATTCTCCAGTCCATGGACCATGAGTCTCGACAGGTCCGCCTCTCTTGTTCAGGAACAAGGAGTGACGTTGTAATATAGACTCTTGTAGAGTCCACAGCGATGAAAACCACCGATCTTGCAGGATCACTGACAGTGCGCCGCTCATCTCTTCGGCTACCTGAGCAGCGTCTTTGTCTTCATCATTGGACGCGTCCCAACCACATTGTAGGAGTTTCTGCATGCTCTCAGCCAGAACGTCAACTTGATGACTGTTCAGCCATACATAAGCTTGGCTGGCGCACTTGAATATGCTAGCTTGCCTTCCGATCTCCTTCATTTTCAATGCATGTCGTTTCTGATCGATGCAGGCAATGTCGATCCAGATGTAATCGTAATTCTGACCGATTCGATTCAACAAGTGAGTGAGGTCACCTACGGTGAAATGCTTCGGGTCTATCGCTGGTATTGGCCAATCGATTCCAAATATCTGGATGCGAGGCCCATCAGGAAGCTCGTACCGGCCCCATGTGTACGAAATAATGGCATATCGCGGCTGATGGTCTTCTCTATACATGTCACCATCTCGTCGTTCTATGGATGTCATCGACGGTATATGTAGAAGGCGGAGAGGCCATTCATCCGGCACTCCGAGGGTGAATATGTCATAGGCCATTATGTTGAAAGGGATTCATGATTAGAGGAATGCGTTGGTGACCATCACGCATGGTTTACTGATACAGAACACTGCTCTTGCTTCGCATTCTGCTGAAGTTGACATGATTACGGTTGGTACCGCTGTCGAGGCTGGTGTTTACATTTCGGGGCATTGCTAAAGATGATTTCATAGCCTCAGCTGAGATGATGAACAACAACCTGTAGACCAAAAAACCACAAGTCCGTCTATTGTCAAGAATTTCTAGCAAGGCTGCGAGTTACAAGTAGATGACCTGGTCCGTACAGTGACCAAAAATTCGCTACTGGAATCTCGCCATCACTTTGTATGAACACCATTTACTTGAGTCTCCGACAAAGTCGCAGTATCGCTAGAAAGAGACTCGATGCGTAATTAAATGACAAGACATCAATTTGAAGCGGTGAAATTCTCGGCGACGATGAGCGCCAAGACACGGAGAAAGTTTGATCCGATCCGAAAATGCCAGCCGTTGTGCATTGCATAATTCTTCCACCACGTCAACTCAGCGATGTCCCTAGAGACAAACAAAACGAATTGAAAATATAACAAACCTCAAGTACAATATACTGTTCTTTGACTATGAGAAGCTCTACCGGCGATGGTCACCCTTTGGGAAATGATTCCGCCAGCCATGCATTGCACAATAGAAATGAGAGACAGTCACTTCCAAATGACGCCCTCAATCATCAGCGTTCAGTAAGTCTTACGAGCTAGTTCACTCAGTAGATCAGTTCTCGTCATCATTTCACCGATGTACAAATCCACATCGACTTGAGAAATCCAGCCATGGCTTCTCCCGAGGAAACCCAGTCCATGACCGACGACGACCACCCCGACTTCGACAACAACTCGCAATGGCCCCGCCGCCTCCTGCACGTCCCAACCATGACCTCCCACAAATGGTCTCCAGGCAACAAATACGGCAGCGCCACCTCCCCACCCTACATCGCCATATCCTACACCTGGGGCCGATACATGCTCTCCCCCAACGAAATGCCGGAGGTCAAACCCCTCCCAATCCGGGGCGTCTCCTGGCCAATCCCCCGCGTAAACCCCTCCACGCACTTCACCGTCTCGGAATTCCAGCACATCCTGAAGCAAATGACGCTCGAGCCACACCGGTGGTACGCATTCACCGAATGGCGATGGAAGCAGCGCACCTGGAGACGACGCGTTGTTAATGCGGTGTATAGGTTTTTGGAGCAGCATGCAAGGGTGTACGAGTTCGTGTGGCTGGATGTTGCGTGTATTGATCAGCGCTGGACGCGCAGCACGATGCTGGAGATTGGGCGACAGGCGCGGATATTCAGCCATGCGAAGCATTCGTATGTGTGGTTGAGTCGGCTGACGGAGGCGAATTTGAGGCCGCTGTTGTTGGATTTGAGGGGGGCGCTGTATGGGTTGCAGAATGAGCCGTGGGTCAGGGAGAAAGCGGTGGGGTTTCAGAGTCGGCCGTGGTTGCGGATGGCGGTCGGGTGTTTGAGTGGGTTGTTGAGTGATCCGTGGTTTTCGTCGCTGTGGACTTTGCAGGAGGCTTTTCTGTGTACGCAGGCGGTCATTTTGTCGAGGGATGGGAAGGCGGTGCTTGATGTTGCGCAATTTGATTTGAAGCCGTGGACTTTGCAGCGGTTGTTTGGGTTTGTGAACGATTTTGTGTTGTGGGCGGAACGAAGTACGGCGCCGAGGGCAGAGCCTGAGTATAGTGAGTTGATGGATTTGGTGCAACAATCAGGAATGGCGGCTCTGTGGCTCAACACCCCTATGGGTCTGCTAGGAGTGTCATACACCCGTAAGACGACAAGGAGTCTTGACCGTGTCTATGGTGTTATGCAAACACTTGGTAGTGATTTTCAAGTCGGCCTTGCTCGAGCGGATGCGGATCCCAGCAAGGAGTACACGCTTTCTGAGTTGGAGGATGAATTTGGCGCGACTGTCATCGAACGCTATCCTATCCTTAGTCAAATGCACGTTTATCTCGAGCCTCCCGAGCCGGGCAAAGGATGGTGCGTCCGAGGAAGTTCAGCTGTACCGATGATTGCTGAACGCGGCGATCTCTTTGGCTGGTCTAGTGGCAATCGTTTAGACATCGGCATGGAAGTAGGCTATAAAACTCTGTGTGATATATCGACGGTGAAGGTCCAAGACAATCTTTGGGCGAGGCTATCAGGACGAGCCTGCTCTTTCATAAAGCTGCAGCAAGCCTGGAAAGAAGCTGATCAATCGTCATTTGCAACAAGATTGCTACACTCAAATTGGAGAATGCATCGATCTTCCACTCCATCCATTCATATGATTGCGCTTGATCGTGGTACGCCATTCGAGCCTGAGATGCCTGAACTTCGTATCTTGAACGTCGTAGGTCTAGGGTCCGATGATCACCAGCATAATCTAGCTGCCTGGATGACTGAACAGCCCAATGCTGAAGACGTACGGGTGTTCCTTCTCGGCTGGTCTCATATGCAAGATGAGGTCTTCCATACAGGTTTGATCTTGATCAAGCGTGAATCGACAGATATTACGTATTGGCATCGTATTGGTATTTGTATGTGGATGACTTCCCATCTGTCAGATCTAGGTAAGGGAGATGGTGAGTACTGTGATCGGGCTTTTCTGACAGGCGAGGATGACGACTGGCATTCGCTTGAGGGTCTTTTCGGCTGACAAACAGTGAAAATGGTGTCCCCGGCATAATAGTCATATAGTATAGTCGACTCTGATAAAAGACATATGCACTCTGCCAGCCTGATCTATCGAGGGACTGCGTTCGCCTAAGACTCTCTTCGGCTGAAGATAATCGAATGATGGCAACTCCCGCATCAATTCAATCCCTTTTCGACCGAGTGGGAGGGCCTCAGGAAGCCAGTGTACTGGCACTTGAAGACATATATGGAATCTGCTCACGTCAATAACTAACGGTTGTCTTCGCTTCGTAGGCACGTGTTAGATCTCGCAACGTTCCGAGCGACAGCTATGACTCGCTATAACCCTTTTTTGTGGGACTTACAGCTATCAGATACAATTATTCGTACTAATTGTAGCTGCACTGTACTGGCTTTCATGACTTATATGTACATGCGGTGAACTAATCTAGGACAATAAAGGGAAGATGATGGCATAGAAACGGCCTAGCTATTGCCTGGGATCATGTCTCCAGGCAAAGACCTCTCTAGTCAAAGGAAATCCAGCAAGGAGATTCAATGAGAGTTCTGCGGATAAAATCATTCTTGAGTTGAGGTGATGCTTTGGTAATACACACGTGTCAATCTGAGGACATCTTTAGACCTTATGAAAAAGGCCTTTTGTGGCATGTTAGCTGCTTCATTAGGAAATGAACTCGCACATCGCCCTCGTAGTGGAATCAAGAAGGAAAATTGCCTTATGCAACGTGTATATAGCAAAGGATATCCAGTTTCAATTCATATATGCTCTAAAAATGGCTCTCAAGACTACCTGCGCTTAAAGCTCCGTCTCATCTACAACTACTCCCACTGCCAAGAGGCAGTCCTCCAGCACTTCCCAGATCGAAGCAGTACCATCAGCAGACCACTTCGCTGCCGTTTCCTTCTTGTCCCGGGGTCCGTCTCTCACTTTGACCGTAAACTTCAGATTTTCTGGGATCCGTGCCGCATTTACCGCCGCGAACATATCTAGAAAGGCAGGATTAGCATTCCATATCGGATGAAGAAATCAGAGCAGACCTACGCTCATCGGTGGTATCGTCGCCTGCACAAAACACAAACCCTTGTTCTCGCCGCAGTGGACTCCTGTGCTTCTCTTGCCGGACTATCAAAGCTTCAACCGCGCTGCCCTTTCCGATGTCTACTGCCATCATCTCAAGCGCATCCTTCCCTTTCATAATCCTATACGTCCCACCCACGCCTTTTCTGCAGCTAGCTCGCGCTAATACATCTATTACGCTGTCCACCATCCTCTCGCCATCGGCTTGATTATCTCTGTAATGCCAAACGCATGCCACCTTCTTCTTTTCCGTCCAGCTGCCTTGAACTAAATTTTGGAGTCCGGTGAAGGCGTTTCCAACCCAGATAAGCCAAGCTAGCTGATCCGCTGAAAGGATACCATAAGTTGGTTGCCAAAATTGGCATCCCACCAGATGCCAAAGAGCTCCGTGTTCCGCAACGAGGCCGACCGAGGGACAAGAGCCACCAAATTGGTTTGTGAGGAAACCTGAAGGGCGCCCCGAAACAATGTAGACGGTTGTGTTAACAACCGTGGAGAGCGCTGCAAGGACTTTTAGCTGGCGGGGGTGGAGAGTCACATTGTCTGGAGACGACGCGAGTGGGGCGAGCGTGCCGTCGTAGTCAAGTAGAATGAGGCGATACGGAGCGTGCTTGAAAGCTGCGGCTATTTGTGCTCTTTCGGCTGCCTGGATCGCCCTTGTTGGGGGGACCGGCGAGGGCGAGTCGGGTCTTGGACGCTGGAAAGGGGGTAGTAGCGCGGAGGAGGATCCTGAAGACGGGGTTCCGTTTGACGCCGTAGCGCGTATTGAAGAGGTAGGGCTTAGAGGGGGTGCTTGATATTCTGGCGACGATGTGGAATCGGGAGTTTTAGGATGGTTGCTTTCTATGGCAGAATCGTCGTGCGATGAAGTGTTGGTAGTGTGGAGTTCACTGTCAGGGCCAGCATCCGGAGTGGATATGGTACTGTTGGAGGCTGTTGCCGGTCGCGGAACTGTTGATGATGCCTGCAAGGTTCCGACGTGAGTTCCTGAGCTATCTTCTGAGGTGGCAGTTGGCTTGGTCATTTTAAGATTAGTAGCTTGATGACGAGATGTGATCTTTGTAGGGTTGAGTAATGAACAGAGAATAAATCAAGGCAATCATGGATGGTGGGAGTTATGCTTGCTACTAAGATGATGGGATGATGGTTTTGATGCTGACAATGTTCTTGTTATTGAAGAGAAGGAAAGCAGAAGAGAAGTAAGAGTATAGGGGAAGGTGAACTCTACTTGGCTAACAGGAGAGCCAATTTATGCATTCCCAATTCACTTTCATGTTTGGAAGGAGCGTCCCGCATGGCGGTGAAGGGATGCAGTACGACCTCAAATGAATTTTGATGTTTGTGCACACGTCTAAAGATGTGACAATAGCCCTTCCAATCTAGACTGTCCATATATCTGATCATGTCATCATAGCCCTCGCAACATGAACACGAGGATAATTCGTTGGGTTGAGGTTCGGTCAGTCGGAACCTGGCTCCCAGTCGCTCGAAAATGAAATAGGAGGCTGATACATATCCTAGACGCTGTGTGAGGCACGCCGCGCAGATCATGTCCCCTATCTCTGACTTGTGGAAGTCGTTGACGCAACTCAATCGACCCTTGGCATGATAGGGCTGAGGACTGCTGAGTCATCGGTCTCTGGCTCCAAAGCCGGCGCTTGACCGTTTGCGGTTCGCTCGACGCCAAGACATAGCTTCGTTGGCTTGGATTATGGAATTCTTCCTGTAATCGTCATTCGAGACCTGTTCTTTGAATGATGCTATCGTTGCGGCAGCAATCTCGAAGCTTCTCTAACGTTGCAAGTCTCTATGCAGCATGTGACAAAGCAGGTGAACCGTAATTCAGCCAATTGGACCAATCTTTTCCAATCATGGCACCCCAGGATCCGGCGCTCAACAAGACCACGATATCATGCAACCGCTTCCTCAATCTTCAGAAAGATCAAGTTGGTAGATCCGACCCCCCGCAAGCCTCCAGGCAAGGGCTACGCGCTAGAAACTCAAAGACTGGTGCCTGAGGATATCATTGAGGATGACCTCTTCGCGACTCTTAGGGCTCATCGTGCCCGCAATGCCTCTCGCCAGGCTGCTGAAAATGACGCGAAGAGCGAGCAATCGGTAACACACGCTGAGGTTGACACATCTATGGAGACACTGCCCCAGCAAGAGGAAGGTGAAAAGCAAAGACAGGAAAGCAAGGTTGAAAAGAGTCTCGAATCTGAGAATGAGTCACTGCAGGAATACGAAGGAAGGGTGCAACCATTACATAATCAATGGATTCATAAGTCCGAAACGGACATCCCGTTGAGAATGCCATGGTTGTCATATATCGACTCCTTCGGCGAGACTGCACTTGATAAATTATCTGCTGAAATTTTAGCCTTCGAGCGATACATGACTTGTTCCCCGACCGAAACGGCAGCATTCAGGGAGGTTATCACTGCGACTAAGAACGTTCTACGCAAACAATTGAAAATTCGTCTTGTGGGATCACGCTGGAGCGGTCTCGCGGACCCTGTCTCTGACTTGGACTTTGTACTTTCAAATCCTAGATCGAAAGAATGGCTCGGACCATCAGCTGCAAGCTCGCTTGCACACAATTACAAGAGATTGCCCTCTGCGGGTGGGGCATCTGCGAACGGGGCAAGTGACGGACGTGGAGAAAAAGACGCGGAGCATGGGAGACAATCCTTAAAGGCAGTACAGGAAGCCTACGCCATATTGCAGCAACGATCGGATGTATTCGATGAAGTACGCTGCATTGAAAATAGCACTCTTGTTCATGCTCGACATATGGCTTCGGGTCTTGGTGTGAATCTGAAGGGTCCTAGCAAGACAAATTATCTGTTTCAACATGAAATCGTAAAGGGCTATCTTGAAGAGTACAGCCAATTGAAACCTCTTTACATCACGCTGCGAAGCTGCCTGCAGCATCGAAACCTCATGAGTGCTCGGGGTGGCCTTGGTTCCTACCCCCTTTTGATCATGATCCTTACCGCCTTTAAGCATGCTGGAGATGGACTTGCTGATAATGGAGTCGGTGACCGATTACTGCACGTGCTTAAGTTCTGGGCGGAAGCTGACACTGACCAATGGGGATATGCAGCAGAGCCAACGTTCAGATTTCAAAAGGAGGATCCCCATGATCTCCAATTTCCACCAACCGTGGTAAGTACATCTGAAATCGAACCAAGCCAACTTGGTGTAGAACATATCAAGGTTCTTGATCCTCACAGACCTTATCTTTTGTGCCTCCAGGATCCAGCCGACTATTTCAATGACTTGGGCAAGAAAGTGCATCTATTCAAACACATCAAAGCGACATTTCAACATCTCTATGACTCACTCTGCAGTAGACTCAACGACCCCGCGGAATTTTCAACCGCGACTTGCTTCCTTGCGCCAATTCTGGAGGCCAGTTACGTCCATTTTGAACAACAACGGAACCGTATTCTGCGATTTGAGGAGCAGGATCAGCCTCGTTGGACCAAAAGAGCCATTATGCTGCGTTTAAGTCCCATCTTGAGTATGACTAATTTGCTGCGAGCACAAGAGGTGCGGTCCCAAGCATTCGCAGCTCTGTCCAGTGAGAGAGGCAAGGAGGATGACTTTGGCCAATCTAAAGAAGCAAGAAAAGAACGCTTGATGGAGCGATATCAAGGGTCACTGCGTCGCAATCCACGAATACTCGAAAACCGACTAGGTATCGAGTCGAGTAAAGCTGAAGCACTTAGGCAGCATACAAAATGAATGAATGCTCGTCGACCAAAGCTCTTGTAGCCAGCGTCTTTGTTGTAGACCCTCAAGTCTGCGCCCTTTTTCTCGGGTGTATGAAGATCTTTCGAAGAACCACGGCGTTTTGTTTCCCCTAGCTGGCAGTGCTGCATTAGTGGCAACCACTTACCTATAAGACTGAGGAGAGTCGTAGGCGCTAGGACTAACCTAGAGGTGGCTTGGACTTGCAGCCTCACGCATTTCAACAGCCGCTCTTCAGCACCATTTGACCTCCTTCGGAATCACTAGATGCATTTGGCTTGAGCACTACGAGGACTCAGCTACTCATGTGATCAACTCTTACTGAAACACCACCTACTCAGGTTATAGTAAGATGCGGCTCATTCACACCACCCAGTTGAAACTCTTCGAATTCACAGAACGCGACATTCCACACTACGCGATCCTGTCTCATACCTGGGAGTCCGGTGAAACCTCGTATCAAGATTTTGAGCGTCACGGCGCTGATAATGATATTGTCATATCTTCCAAAATACTCCGATGCTGCAGCCTGGCTGCCTCTGAAGGGTGGCAGTACGTATGGGTCGACACTTGCTGCATTGACAAATCCAGCAGCGCAGAGCTGACCGAAGCCATCAATTCAATGTTCAAATGGTACCAAAAGGCGGAAGTGTGTTATGCTCATCTTGCAGATATCGATCTCAAAACCGCCTGTCGTGAGACAAAACCCAAGAAATTTGATGAAAGTAGATGGTTTACCCGTGGATGGACATTACAGGAGCTACTGGCGCCGGCGAGGGTCGTGTTCTACGATTGTGACTGGATTGAGATTGGATGTAAAGGGAGCCTCAGCCCTCAGATCTCAAAGGCCTGCAATATCGCGGCGGCCTACCTTTTCCAACCCATGAATGCAAGTGTTGCCGCCAAAATGTCGTGGGCTGCCCTTCGCGAGACAACAAGGACTGAAGACATGGCTTACTGCCTCCTCGGTCTTTTCAATGTCAATATGCCCCTGATCTACGGCGAGGGTGACAAGGCATTCAGGAGATTACAGTTCGAAATCATCCAAACATCTTCTGACCAGTCAATACTCGCTTGGAATTTCCCTGATGTCTCTCCTTCGATGACCCGGGGACGGACAAGAAGGCATGCGGCGTATGAGTACAATTCCCTATTAGCTCCTACACCTTTGTGTTTCATTGAGTCCAGTAACATAGTGCCCATTGGCCACCAAATCTTGAGCAAAATTCGCTACTCTATCACCAATGGTAGCATTTCTGCCGAATTCTATGTACGAGAAACTGAGGCCAACGATAACAATCCATTCAAACACTATGTCGCGCTTTTGGCTTGCGTTTGGGCGTCCGATGCGCGAAGACCTATTGCGATACGTTTCCGTAAACCCATCGGATCGAATCGTTCGTACAGAATTTCTCAAGGAAGAATTGAAGCTATCATGGAAGTCAACGACATTTTTGAACGTGATTTTGCTATAGAGAGGTGGCAATTTCAATTAAAAACACACATTTTCCCGATACACAACGAATCCATTTTCCGCTCGCCTTTCCCCACGACACAATACTCTGACCTCCGAGTTCGGCTTTTACCTACCGCAGTCGACGAATTTTCTTACTTCGACGCTAGAAAGAACTTGCATGGTCCCACCACTGTCAACAAGGTTCAGGACGCAACCCTCTCTATGCCCTGTCATGTGCACTTCAGTAATTCCGACGGCCGAGCATTTTACTTGTGGGCAGGATCAGATGCACTGAAAGTCGATATTTACAGTAATGTGATCGAAGGTGGGACACGAGTTATGTCGAGCATAGATGCTGACACTTACAGAGGAACACTAATATACAGAAAGAATGGCAAAATCTCAATACAATCTTACATGGAGGCTCTTGGGCCAGGAAAGTTTTTGTGGATCAAACTTCGCTACAAGACTTTGGCCAATGAACGGGATACGGCCCAGTCTTTTATTCTCGATATCGATGTCACAGACATAGACCGATCTCGGATCCTTGGATAAAAAGCATTCATTAGCCATAGTGGGTATGCCAATATCTTGTATCGCCCAGTCATATGATGCGTCATGTCAACAGGCTGCTTTTCAGCAGAACAATCTACAGCACCAGGACGATCCAGACTAGAGGAAGGTATTGGTCTTTGGATGCGGCGAGAGACGACGGGCTGACTCTTTGATTTGCTACGCGCCTATAACGCTTGAGCGATGAAGCCGAAGACGCAATCTGCAAATTCATTTGATGCCGAGACTGTTGACATGAGCAGCTATCTTTTGGACTCGTCCGTGACGATAACGGTTTTGAAAGCCACAGGATGAAACAGATTGCGAATATGCTCAGTACGAGATGCAACCGGTATCATGTAGATAGTCTTTCTTCAATCTCGAACGAAGGTCACTTGAGCGCTACTGCTAGTCTACTCAGACCTTTCGATGCATAGACAATAGATGGATTTGCCGCAGTCTGCACCACTGACGTCGTCGCTAGTCAAGGAACTGTCTTGAAAACAAAGATGGTCAGCTAATCGCAAATTCATGGTGATATTACGCAAAGTTTACGTTAAGAGCGTGGAGAAAGGTCCCTTAAGTGTAACGCTTTGAGCTATAACTCATATGTACAATTTTCACACCAACCCTGCAAGCAAAGAGAGTCATTTTGCTAAGTCTGAAGATCAATGTACCCGCTCCTGAATTCTAGCATTCGCATTATGTCTCAATACTTTGGGTTCCTCTTCGTCCCCTATGGATGTACTAAACCTGTAACATACTACGCCGTGCTCTACAAAACCCCATAACAGCAAGCTTGGGCTATGCATCAACAAGGAGAATTCGATGTAGGAATTTAACGGAGAACAATCTGCGAGCAAGCGTACGTGTGAAGCAGGAATGGCATTAAAGATGGTAAATGAAGATGATAAGAATTCATACTATGTGATGCGATCAGGTAGTGTACTTACAATGCGAGAATGATAGTCCAGATATCATTCAAATGAACATCTTCCGCTACTCAGTGATGGTCTTCGGAGAAACGACGGGCCGAGGAGAGGGGGCTGGGATTGTGTGGGGGCTGTTGAGCTGCCACCATGCGATGAAATTGCGAGCTTCTCCCCTGCAATTATTCCGCGCCAGTGCCCATTGTTGCCTTGAAATCAGAAGGCCGAACTGGAGACATTCCATAGCTCCTCCAGCTGCTTTCTCATTTCCCGTGACCGCCAACATTGATTCTTCAAGCGCAGACACGACCCCGCAAACAAAGCGTCCAAGACAGTCCGCAACCCCTTCTTCCAAGCACTCGACCCCGCGGTCTGTGAGTCGTGCGGAAGAGATATCAGGCCAGCTCTTTCAGTTCGCCCTAGGCTATCCTCAGACACCTCCAGAGAGCAGCTCGGATTCGGGCGAAGAACTCAGACCTTCTCCACTTGGAAGGACCGAAATGGGAAGTTTTGTGTTTAGATGGTACGTTGCATATGGCCACAGAGACACAAGGAGAAGGCCTTTCACCTCTGACGTGACACACGGCTGAGGCAGAAGAGATGAGCAGGGCACATTGGGGAGCATGAGCCTTCGGATATAGAACGTCGAGCTGATTGATCTTCCTGCCTAGGTCACACCCAGCATCTGACGTACACGTTACAGGCACCTTCGACGACTGGTCAAAGAGCGTGGAACTCGAGAAGAAAGACGGGATATTCGAGAAGAAAGTCGATTTGCCCTCAGCGGATCAAAAAATCTACTACAAGGTACGACTTACATCTATGGGTATTTTACCTGCAACCCGGGCAACTTCGTCCACACACTGCTTTCAAAATCTCCATGCAAAGAAATGGCATGCGAAATAATGCTGCATTTCTTGATATTTCCTTCAAGCTGAGTGGCAAGCTCGGCTCAAGCCGGTCTTGTAGTCGCAGGCCAGGCAGGCTAGGCTGACGTTTGATTAACCTTTTCGCCCATCTCTTCTCTAATTCTCCCCCACCACACCTGCCCCTCGCTCTCATCAACCCCATTTCGAAGCTAATACGAGTCTTCCTAGTTTGTCGTTGACGGCAACTGGACCACAGATCATACTGCGCCTCAAGAAACAGACGAGTCGAGCAACATCAACAACGTCCTCTTACCTGAACATATCTCGAAAGCCGGTGCGATGTCAGGCGTCGAGGGAGCGACCATCTCTGGCGTTGGTCCTGACTCCACAACAGCGCAATTAGCAGGGAAAGTACCGAAAGAGCCAGGACATGAGAAGACAACATCGACAGCATCAGATGTCCCCGGAGGCTTCCCCGAAACTCCATTTCATGATGCGCAAGAGTTCTCCGTCAATCCGATTCCCGCCTCATCTGGTACTGGCAATCCAGTAAACCTGAAGCCAGGCGAAAAGGTGCCAGATTCAGCCAGGTTTACAACTCAAGATGCTACGAAGGCAGATACACTAGATAAAGAGTCGTACGAGAAAGCGGGATCTGGCATCACATCAGAGGGAACAGGAGGGACAATGGGTGGAGTATTCGGTGTCCCACCAGTCGGAGGCAACATGATCCCAGAGTCAAGCCTACCCATGGGGGCAGGCGCTCCATCAGACACAAGTGCAGGTCCTACAATACAATCAGCTGGTGCAGGCACATCGACCGCGGCCCTTGCAGCAGACGTACCGAGAGAGCCCCGAGGTGTCGCCCAGGTTGTCGACGACAATGCAGGTACTCCAATCGCCCCAGCGGTACCAGATGTAGTTCAAGAATCGATTGCAGATTCCAAGACTGCGCCAGAGGCCGCTGGCAATACAGAAGCCGTTAAGGAAAAGGCTGCTGTCGAGAGCGAGCTACTGAAGGATGTCAAGCCAAGCGAAGCGACAGGTGAACCAGCACCAGCTACGTCTGCTGCTGTCGCAGACACTGCCCCCGCAGCCACCGGCACAGATTCGCAAGTCACGACGAAAGATGCTCCAGCAGAGACGCCAGCTGTACAGAATGCTACGACACAAGCTGTGAAGGAAAACGAGCCCGATTCAAGAGACGTTTCACCCCTGAGTCCGCGCACGACGGAGAAGCCTACAGTCACCACAGGAGTCGCCTCAAGCAAGGCGCCGGAGACCTCTACTCCGAAACCCTCCGCACCTGAGAGCCCGGTCAGCAAATCCAGCGCTGGTGGCGGTACACCAACAGACAAGAAGGGGAGACGAGGCAGCGGGTTCTTTGGGAAATTGAAAGACAAGCTCAAGCATAAAGATAAATAGAGTGTGGACATTGGAGAAAGATGGTTTCGATATTTCATGAGACGGCCGTTGCATGAGTCCTTGCTGTACGAATTGCCTTCGTTCACGCATTTAGGGGGATAAGCATGTCGCGATTAATACCTTTACTGTATTGATTCCAAGTTGTAGAATGGATATATGCCTACCATAGCTTAATTCTCGTAGTAATAGATTGGTCATGCAACTTTTAGTCTATGACTTCATCCTCATCTCCCAAACTCGCGTCTCTCAATTTTCACGTCTCTAAATTAATTCCTCCAACCTTGCATTAAGAATTTCAACCAACACATGCTCCTCCTTCAACATACCCACAACCGCACTCCAACAATGCCACTAATAACCCCCTCAACAGACTCCCTCCCCTACATTGACGCCCCCCCCTCCCCCACCTCCCTCGACCGCGCCAGCACTTTAATCTCCTCCGCCCTCGCCCCCCCTCAACACTGCAAAAACCCCACCCACTCCTCCCTCCCCCGCCTCAATCACATCTCACACCGCTCTTCGAAGCCGAGCTCGCCCACCTCGCCACCCTCGCGCCTTCACTGGACCCATCAAAACCCACCAAACGCTCACTATTCACCTCCTCGCCCGAACGTACGGGGATCGACTCATCCCGGTACGAAACCCTCCCCCACCCTCCCCTCCTCTTCCACAGACCGCACAGCCGCGCTCCACCTCGCCCAAACAATCTCCACATACACATCGCAGCGCATACAGGCGCTCTCACTCCTCGAAGCGTACGGCAAGAATGCTCATCTTATTGCGAATGATCAGCTGGAGGATATGCTGCGGCGGATGGAGAAAGAGCTTGCGGAGACGAGGGGGTTGGTGGAGGGGGTTAATAGGGAACGAAAAGGGCAGCAGGAGAGGGAGGGGGTGGTTATACAGGGGTTGGAGGAAGCGTGGAGGGAGGCTGTTGGGGGCGTTGTTGATGTGGGTGTTGCTTTGGAGGGGTTGGAGGGGAAGGGGGGAGGTGAAGAGAGGGTAAAGAGGACAGGAGTCAAGACTCGGGCTAGAAGATAGATGGAGGAATGAGGGCATAGAAAACGGCGGGGTGTTGGGGACAGAACAGCGCTCTGACTCGCGTGTGGGTCGCCCTGGCATGTATGATATATGGTTGAATAGGTGGTGGATGGGGAAAGGCACGAAGGCTCGGGAGACAAGTATTGATTTGAGATACCTTCTTCAGCTCGATTACTTCACGTCCGCTCAACCGCGAGAGGGAATGAAGAACTGAATGGGTGGGGAGGAGCGATCATTACTCTGCTGCTCGCTCAGGGCATGTCAAGGAAGTTTTGAAGAGCATCAGGCAGGCGAGATATGACAGACACGAGCTCGTCCAAAACGTGTTCAATCGAGGCCTTCCGTCTTCGCCCACCAGAACGGTGCTTCATACATTCATCATAATCTAAGCCGACCATCCTAGGAATTGTTTCCCCCCCCGAGAATCGTGCACACCGCTTTATATCATCTGCTGGCATAGCATGGCATGGTATTTCGAGCCTGCCTCACCCCAACAATGATTTCCTCTTCCTATTACCCGCATTTTTCCCCCCAAAATACCACAGCACTCCATTCTGATTCCTATCTACTACAGTAGCAAAGTGATGGGGGTTTGTAGAAGGTATCTTAGTAACGTACGCTATGTACAATGCTTTTACCCTGCATTTACTATTCCTGTGCTGCACTGAATATCATCCGTCATATCCACAAGACTAAACTAGACTTTTAGAAAAGAAAGGAGTCTGTCGCTTGTCCTCCAACTTGTTTCATTGCCTAAGGGGTGAAACAAAGCAGGCCAGCCACAAGGGAAGCAGAAGAGGGTTAGTACGAAGTAATACACCCCGAAGACAGAATGGGAGGCAGAAGCCAGGACAGGACGGAGATCGTGGGGGTAGAGGAGGTGAAAGAGAGACAGGAGTAAAGCAAGTTAGGCGGCAAACAAGAGGGAAGAAGCTGAGAGGTAGATACGGACGTGTTACCTTGCCTAGATGTTTGACCCTTTCCCCACCGGGAAGTTTCTCCAAAACAAGATTGGGAAGGGTGAAGGGATGCACTGAAAAAAGAAGATAAAAGAGGGACAGGTAGAGAAAGAAACAAGTGGAGAGAAAGGGGATGGAGGAAAAGGAGGGGGTGTGGATGTGGATATAATATCAAAGAGCCTAAAACCCACACCACACCACACCACACCATTCCGAGAAGCTTCTTTTACAGGAGAAGAAAGAGGCAACAGGTCTATCTCTCGGAGAAAGAAGGAGACGAAGGAGAAAAAGGAATGGAGAGGAAAAGAAAAGGGTAAAATAGATAAAGGCGAGGGGAAGGATAGTAGCTCATTGTAAGAAGGCAATGATATACCAGTAGCAAGAAGGGAATAGGAGGGGAAAAGGAAGCAAAAGAAACAGGAGGAAACCATGTCACCGGGACACGTCAACCCCACACCATTAGAAAAAAGAAAGAAGGTTATTCAAAAGGAAAAAGGCAAAGGAGGGTAGCTCACAACACCAACAGGAAGGTAGGTACCCACCTTTTAAAAGGAAGGGATAGAGGAACAAAAAACACAAAACAGCCCCAAGAAAAGGGTAGGTTAGTAGGTTGGTAGGTAGAAGGGACCAAGAGCAAGGAAGGAGTAAAAGAAAGTATCTCACAGTATACCAGTCAGAAAAAAAGAAAGAAGGGGGGGAAAGGAATTCTAACACCTCCATGCAAATCATACATACACACGTAAACTACCAAGTAGGTGTAGCAATAAGACTCCAACCCCCCCCTTCCCTTCCCCATTCCCATCTGGGAAGGTCTTTCAGCTGCATACTCATACCTCTCTTCTAACTCATAAGTAAGCCACAGCTGTAGTCAGTCAATTCATCTCATCTCTCTCCTCTCCCCTCTCCTCTAATCATCCACTGCATCATATCTCTCTGTTTTTGCTTTGAGCAACGCACGAAAAATCTATACCGTACCTTCCAATGAACCATACAATAGTAAGCCACAACTCCTTCCCCCCCCTTCCCTGCCGTCCATTTCTTTTCTCATCTTCTTCCATCCCCTCCTCGTCCACTCACTCACTGACTCCCCGGCCCAGTACTATAATCATTCCTCCTCATAATCGCCTCCACCGGCCCCAGCAACCGTTGAAAGCCCTGTTTGCCCAGATACGCGACCTTCACTACCTCCCCATCCCCTCCCCCTGGCCCCTCAGCCTGTCCCTCTTTCCCTTCCCCAACCCCTCCATCTCCAGCAACAACACTAGCAGCCCTGGGCTTATCATCCAACAACGCCAGCTCCCCAAAGTAATCCCCCTTCTTATACCTCTTCACAACCTCCTTGCCCGCACCAACATCACTCTTGAAAGCCACCGCCCCACCACTCTCCAAGAAGAAGAAGCTCTCCCCCGGCTCGCCTTCCTTAATAATCACCTCTCCAGTCTTAAACCGTTTCGTATCCAGCGCATCAGCGATCTTGCTACGCTCATACAGCGTCAACTCCCTCAACAGCGGCACCTCCTCGAGGAATTTCTCATACATCCTCCTCCTCCCATACGCACTATCCATGAGAATACGACGGAAGGTGATACGATCGAGTGCCCACAACGTCGAGTTAGCTTCCGTGCTGACGACCGTAGCGGCGCGCGGGGCGTTATACATGAGCGCCAATTCGCCAAAGCTACCCCCAGGACCGATAGAGTTGACTTTATTGCCCATACCGCCCGCACCAGGCTGCACGGCGCCCGCAGCATTGACGTACACATCAAAAGTCCCCCGTTCGACCACGTAGAAGTAATCGCCCGCGTCGCCCTGCGAGATCACTTTGATATCCTTTGCCGGAATGGGCTTCTCGACAAGCGCACCCAGGACGAGCGACGCGCTATCGTCATCGAGATCTTTGAAGAGGAAATTGTTCGACACGGAGACGCGCAGGCGGGACAGCTGGTCTGGCGTTTTCTGGTGCAGCGGGGGTTTCCAGTTCGAGTCTTCGTGGTGCGAGGGGGTCAGGGACTCGGCGGACACGGAGGTTCGGCGGGACATGTTGAAGTCGGTGGGCATGTGGTGGTCTGCTGCTGAGGGGGGGCAGAGGTGGGAGGGTTTGTAGAGGTGGTGGTAGTGTCGGTTTGGGTGTCTTCGGAGACGCCTTGGAGGGACCCTTGGCGGCCGCCGGTGGGGTTGAAGGAACCTCCGCCGCCGAAAGGGTTGGAGTTTGAGAAGGGGGAGGTCATATTTGTGGTGGTTGTGCGTGTGGTGTTTGGTCTTTCTTCGTGGGGTTAAAGGGTTGGAGGGGGGTGTAGGAGGGAGAAGGTCGGTGAGGGTAGATAGTGCTGGAGCGATGTCGCAGTGGGGTAGTCTTTGTCGTGGGCTATCTTGAGTGGCTTTGCAGAACTCAATGGTCTTTCTGGTTGACAATCTAGTTCAGGATGAGGTCTGGGTATGAAAGGAGTGTCATTCGAAAGGAGTGATGGGTGAAGAAGGAAGGGACGTTCACTCTGAGGTGGAGGAGGGGCACTACCAGTATCTCGGTATTTTATTTTTCGCGGAAGGTACGATAGAGAATGGCGGTCATTGGTGGGAAGGGCAGATCAGTGCAACATTCAAGACGAGAGATTAGACGTCATTCGATCAATTGGTGAGCTGCAGATCGGCAGGACTAGGTGCTAAGTAGAAGATGCACGACATTGGTTGTGTATCTGTAGCCTATTGTAAAGGTACCTTAGAACTACTACCGGTACTCTAGTTCCCTCTTGGAAAATTACATCATAGGAAGCAGGCAACAGAGCGTCCTTCACCTCTTCCTAGACATCAATCAGGAAGATAGATCCAGCAGCATGTCCATCCACATCGAATGGTACGAGATATCATTGTACCTATAGTCATTCCAAGACCATGGAACATTTATGTATTTACCTTATGTATTTATGTATTTATGGATTTATGTAAGGGGGCGTTCTTGGGGGCTGGCCGCCTGCACGGACGATGTGGGGAAGAATAAATGGAAGCGTCCAGAGTTCTTCCAGAACCTTCTTGGCGTCTTCTCGAAGCACTACCGAACTCTTTATTCCCCGGCCCTACCAAACCCTATCTCCCATCCCATTCCCCATTCTTCCACATCGGTATGCCGTCGGAAGGAGCCTTCAATAAAGGCGTGTACGTTTGGTTGACAGGTGTCATTCCCATCCGTATAATCAGGGATGTGGATATGGCACATCTGCCATTCTCATCCACAACATCGGCATGTCAATCACCCCAGACATCAGAGTAGCAAGCGATGCCGCAATGATTAGGTCACAAATCCACATCTCTCTTCCTTGGAATACTCGCATGAAATGGTATCGCTCGAAATGCAGTCCCTTCAAGTTGTCCCAGTCCACAAACTCGTTATCCCCGCCATCGCCCCTTCCACCGCTCCTCCCCCACCTCCATCATCCTTCCTCCTCTGCCCTGCCAATTCCATCTGTATATGCCGATGCACATTGACCAACCAATCCACGTAACTTTGCGCCTCGTTATTCCGATCCTCCACCAGACATCTCGCGAACTCGAACTCCGCCCCATCAAACCCTTGTCTAGCAACCTGAAACGGAACCGTAGCTCCAGATCTGCTGCCGCGGAAAGAACCCCAGTATGCAAGGATATTGCGGACTTGAGCGTTGAGGTGAGTGTCGAGGACGGGAAGTGTAGAAGTGCCTGGGTCAAGAGTGGAGAGGGCAGTGACGTTGGGGCCGAAGAGGTCTTCGAGGAGGTTGGGTGAGACTTGGACGTGCAGCCAAAGGAGACAGATTTGGCCGTCGTCGACGAGGTAGGCGCCGCCTTCGTCTATACGACTGAACGAGGCGCGAATGCTGGGGGGAACGATGAGGTGGCCGGTCTCGGGATCGGCGAAGCAAGACTCGGGGGGAGAGAGTGGAGGGGAAGGAGGCGTGGATAGAGGAAGAGGGGTAGGGTGGTGAGGGACATGGATTTTAGTAATCGCATTGTTTGGGTGCGTCGATCGGAAGGTTCGTGACCGGCCTTGAAGGCGCGAGATTTGATGAGGCCAAGGATGTACATACTGAATTCTTTGAGATTCTCCGGGAGGACGAGTTGGCCTGGAGGGTGGGAGGAAGAGAAGGATTTGCGGTAGCCGGAGAGGATGTCGATGGTCTTTTCGGTGAGGGCGTTGCGGATGTCTTTGAGGGGTTTCTCTAACATTCGAGTTGCGGCTGGTGGTGGTCAGCGTTGTCGTCACAACGGCATGAGCGGAACGCATACCTTCTTTTGCAATGATGTTGACCACAGCGTCTTGATCTATGAAGCGCATACATTCTGCTGCGCCTTCGTTCACACTTGCAACTGTGTTGGTACACCGGACCCGTCGCTCGCCAGTCGCCGTGGTATACAGCAAGGCGCACTGGAAATGTGCGTCGAGCTTTGGATCTAGCTTGCCGTCATAGCTAAACATAACGCCAACAGCCTTGTCGGCATCGATCACGCCAAACTCGAGATCTGCGCCAAAAGTGTGCTGCGTGAAATTGCCGTGGTACGAGGAGACTTGAAGACCGTTAGAGCATCTGACTTTCATCAATGCTTGGTAGCCTGTTTCTCGAGTGACTGTGTGTCGTATATCTTGAGCTAGTTGAAGGGAATCTCGCGGAGAGACAAAGTTTGGATAGAAGTATGTTTCACCTCCAGACACCGCGGATGCATGACCTTGAGGCTGTCAGACATGAAATGACAAAAGCAGAGGGATAAAGATTACCTATCGTAGCCACGTCCATGTATTTGCCGCCTGCCGCACCAACGAAAAAATCAATGCCAACGCCAGTCTCAACCATCTTCGCCGCGATCTTCCGCCATGCCGGATGCTCTGTTTGGAAAAGCTTCTTCTCGGTCTCAATACCATGCAAGTCACCCTTGTCTCGAAGAAAGAGTTTCCCGGGACCAATAGTAGGCAGGCTTGCCAACGAGCATACGATCTTACCGCCAGTTGCTGCCAAAGAAGATATCGCAGATTCGAGCGTAGGCAGTAGTGTCGGCTCAGGAGCCTTACGCGTAGTAAATAGCTTTGGCAATAAGCGTAACAAGCCCACGATGATTGGCCTACAAATCAGCTGGAATGGATTATGAATTGGATATAATGACTTACTTCGATTTGTATGGGTCCACGAAGAGGCCATCGCTCCCTAGAGGTACAAAAGCTTCTTCAATGTCCGGCATGACCAACATTTGAGCTTTCTCTAGATTTTCCTGTATTTTGTCAGAGACTTGGTTTGGAGTCTGGTTGCGCTCTGGCTTACATGACAGTTGTAGAAATGCACGACTTTATCATAAGTTATAAATCCAACTTTTCCGCTGGCAGGTATCGACCTATCAGTATTACCAGAATCTTCATCTGATTTTTCATCATCCGAATCCAAATCATCACCGTAGAGAGCTTCTAAAATGCCCCTACAAAATGCCCGTACGAAACCTTTCTCATTCGCATCCAGGCTCACATCGATTAAGAAGAGCCATCGAAGACCGACAGGTTCTTTCGCCCAGTACTCCTTGGGTACCAAGTACTCGACAGTCCCTGTAGTCAATTCAGGTCTTTGTGGTCTATCTACCCTCACGCCAGTCGGGTCTGTGGGCGCAAAGTATTCAGGACCAACATCATTAGGAAATGTGCACATATTACAGACCAGCTTGTTGCCGCCAGATCGAAAGACCATGAACGGATTTACGTATGCCCGGCATCTCCTACATCGCGGTGGACCCACGTCGCCGAAGTCAAGGACAGGTATAGCTTGCTCGCCCGCCTGCAATGATGCTAAAGGCTGCAAGACTAGGCCTAGTGGAAGACCAGTAGCTGACAAAGCATCCGCGGATGCTGGTATGTTGTTCAATGTGAGACGTGCAAATTTGGGTGAGGAATTTCCTTGATCTTGTGCCACGTACGGTATGCCACCTGGTGGTGGAATATGTTGCTCCATCGTCGGGTATACATGCTGAAGATAGTAATTTGCGGCACCGTCTCTTGCTCTGGGCACACTGGGTATCTGCTCCGGGTCGACGTTCCCCTGAGCGGAGACACCTTGATCGTTCGGCGGAGGTCTAGGTTGTGGCACACCCTTCATCCCTGGACTCCCCGCTTGCTGTATACCTGGAGAGAACGACGCTGGGCCACCTTGGTAAGGAGCCGCGGCATTTTGAGGGCTGAATGGTTGCCCGCCGTACGGCTGCCCAGTATGAGGTGCTTGAGCATCATCCTGATTTACATATTGCGGCGCGTTGCCCATGCTCTGGTTGAAGGCCTGTGATGAGACCGTCTGCTGATCAAGATTGTGGTATGCATGTCTGTTCTTCTTTTTCTGTGGCCGAGCAGCAGCAGGATCCTGTCCTAGACCTATCCCTCCCATTTGCGAAGTCAGTCCGCCCATTGAACCTGACTCCCCCACTCCAGGGTTCTGCCCTTGAGATGGAAAGTAGCTTTGGGACTGGGGCTGTGGAGGTTGTCCATATTCTTGCTGGGGACCGCCATATGGTGTTTGCTGGAGATTTGGTGCGTCTTGCCCGTACGGCGTTCCCTGCTGGTAGCCAGTAGGGCCAGGGGCTACCGGCGGGCGAGGTTGTGCTTGGTTCGGTGGCAGAGGGGCTCCATTCGGTTGGTGACCAATGTCGGCATAGGGATTGTAGCCGGACATCGCGACCTCAAGACCCCGCTTGGAGTAATGCAAGATGGGCTATCCCATCTACCCACAAAGTGTACAAGTGTTACCGTTGGTGCAATTGCTTTGTTGATGCAACGCGACACATGGTGAGGTGGAAGAGCGTCAACTGCCAACTTTTGATCCTCTGATCTTGGATAGGGTCGAGACAGGATGCCGACTGGCTTCGAAAAGGAATGCTTTGTCCTCAAAAACAACGAATTATAGCCAGAATTGTTGCCAAGACCTTGAATGATCTTGCTGACTAAGATGCTTCAGCAGCCAATCACATCACGATCTGACGATGGCACTCACCTCGCTTTCTCCGCTGATCTACTGGAGCTCCTCCAAGTCTAACCAACATTGCACAGCAACCTTGCCATCAGGCTGCATGAACCCCAAATGACGCTCTCAACTAATCGCCTGCTTCAAGGTCATAGCCGTGCAGATGAAACACTGCATTTGTGAATGTTGGGGAACAATTCGTTGGTGCATAAAGAAGATGCAGTCTGCTCGGTATTCTGAAGGATCTGATCGAGACAGTCCGCACAACATGTTCTGAGGTATCAGGCTATTGAGCTCATATCTTCTGCGCGTACCTTACGAGGAATCGTGGGAAAATTTCATGAAGGATGAAAGCCTTCAGCCCCGCTTGTGTCTACGAAGTCTCTCGTGAAGTACAAGAATCTCATGCATCATTGTGGCAATTATTGGCCTATATTGCTTTCATGTGCATGTACGGCAGCACGCAAGTTCCGCATGTTTACCTGCAGGATGTCAATTTGCGCGCAAATCTTCTGTCTCGGCTGACCTGTCCAGCCTGCATTTCGATGGCACAGGTTAGACAAGTCTTCTGGTAGTCATTCAAGGAGCATCAGCCTAAGCTGCCCTCTTTCCCCGGCCTTCGTGTCCGCCCGATTGCGAGAGACTGATCTCTATCGTTAATGGACTGGCCCGCTTCTCCTTTATTTCTAGAGCGTTTACATGCATGTCTTTGCCATTCAAGAGCGCCGGAAAGGTCGCCCTCATATTCACAAAAGATCATTCGAACTGCGATCATATCTGGTTCTTAATTGAATAAGCTAGGAATGACATCCTTTGTTCAGAGGCCAGCGGAATATCTACGCTCTGTGGCGCCAGACGAGGTATCTCATCGTTAGGTTATTTCATCGTGTCAGCCGTACTAACAGCGAGAAGGCTTCAAGATGGGGACAAACAGGACTTACATTCGCCCTCGTACTCTGCCGTCTCTTCATCCAAGCGAAGATTATTCGGAGATTGTTTTGGGATGATGCCCTCGTTGTAGCTAGCTGGAGTTTCATTACCATCAGCGCTATAATCGCCCAGTGGCAGCAGCGTGATCTCTTGAAATTCGCGGCCGCTCAAAAGGAAGACATACAGCCAATCCCAGGCAACGTGGCAGAGCTCATACTGCGTATTATGCACGTCGAATTGGTGCATGTTCAACTGTACTATCTCAGCCTTTGGTCAATCAAGTTCTCTCTCCTGGCGTTTTTCCGCAGGCTAGGTCGGAATGTTGAGAGTCAAAGGTTGCTTTGGCCTTCCAGTATGGCCTTTACTATTTTATCGCTACTTGTTGCCATAGGCACGGCCGGCTGGCAATGTTTCCTGAAAGATTCATTAGAGACTATGCAAGGTAAATTCTTTGCTTCTTTAATGCTTTGGTGGAAAGACTGAATCTCTTCAGGTCGTTGCAATGGCCCTGAGTTCATCTTGTTCTCAGACATCACGATTATTGTAATTGCAGTCCTGGATATTCTTACAGATATCTCTAGTGAGTCAACCACGCAGAGGACACAAATTGTCGCCAATGCTTCAAAATGATATGCCCAGCTGACGAAACGCCTAGTTATGTCTTTGCCCATAGTGCTACTCTGGAATCTGCAGTTGAACGCTCGGAAAAAGCTGGGGCTTGGTGCATTATTCTGCCTGACAATATTCACAATGGTGGTGTCTATTGTCCGAGCTATTTTGATCGTCTCAACAAAGGCAACCGCTTCTTCCGATCTGATTGGTTTCTGGAGCCGCCTTGAAGTCTCAGTCGCCATCACCATTGCCTGCCTCATATCCTTCAGGGTATGGTTTAAACAGAAGAGCACACGAAAAGCCGATGCTCATCATATCAATGAGAGGAAATCTCAAGACTGCCAAGAGAAGAAATTCCGACTGTCAATACCTCTGACGGGCCCTGCAATATCTTGGCCTAGCTCTCAATCCAGAGAAGCTACCGTTGAAGCTCAGCCTGAACCTCACACGGTTGTTTGATATGCGAGAAGCCTATCTCTTCTTTGCGAACATTTCAGGCTATTTACAAGTGAGACATACTCGAGAGATGGCGTTCAGCATCAAGGCTTATTCAAGTAGCATCGCCGGCGTAAACATGGTCACGAGATCTTTGTGACAATAGCCTCAGGTTCAGAGACAGCGATCTAGGTATAAAGTGAACAGCCCGGGATCTCAATCAATTTAGGAGTGAAGCTGTGTGATCAAAAAGACTTTTGCATTCCATGTCCATATCATTGCAGACACAGCAAACCCTGCAAGATCACGCAAAAGCCACTATAAAACCCACAACCCTATCATGGTGGGCGTTCGCAGACCGAGCAAGATCACTTTAAAACCACCGTAAAAACTTCAATCCACTAGACCATATCACTTTCACCATGACTACCCACACTCTTCTACCCTATCTACCCCGTCTTCCCTTCCCCCCTGCCCTTAAGATCCCCTCAAATTCCTTTCACCCTTCAGTATTTTCCCTACCCCACTCCTCCATCCAATTCTCCCATCCCCCCCTCCCCACACACCTCCCCACAGCCCAACCACCCCAGCACCGACCATACCCTCTGTCTCCACCTCTTCCCCCACCACCACAGGAGACCGACATCGCGCGGCACGTCAGCAGAAGCAGGGCCAATGAAGGCCCGCTCCTGAACTAACAGCCTGCACGGAAACGGTCTACAACTGCTTCGGTAGGTCCAAGAGGGAGTTGAGGGTTGATGGTGAGAGTTGCCGCTGAGATGGGGTCGCTGGGGTCGGTGTTGGTGGAATGGGTGTTGGCGCGGAGGCACATTGATATGCTATCGACGCGGCGTTGGTGGTGATTTGCGAGGTTCGTGAGATTTGGTGAGGTTTGGTGAGGATGGTGAGGGTGGTGGTGACGCGGAGGCGCATGGACGCCATCGACACGGCACTTTTGGCTGTTGGGCGGTTTGTGAAAGTAGTGTGAAGAATCAGAGACGATTACTGCCATCGACGACTCGCTGTAGTGTGGTCAAGAGGAGGATAACGAATCGGAGACATTGGCAGTCTCGACGGTTCAATGTGATGTGTGCGGGAGTCGCGGTGTGAAGAGAAGACTTGTCGAAAAGGGTTGATAGGTGTGGAAGTAGGGGTGATGGTCGTGGTCGTGGTCGTTGTGCCTATGCCTGTGGCAGGCTGAAATGTCGCCGGTCGTCATGAAATTCATCGTCTCACTCTTCATCTCGCAGGCAATGGTCATCTCATCTGAGACCATCATCCAATCGGCTTTGCTCGCCCCCTACCGCGAAGCTGGGTCTATCAATGCTGCCTTGGTGGTCATGTCTTCATACCAGACATTTGCTCTATCATATCATCTGTCTTTATCTGGCTGACCAACTGTTTGACATATGCTTCAGTCTGTGTCCTAAGATGCTCGATTTCTTCCTTTGCCTCTCGAAGCTCTTGACATAATTGTAGATTGTTCCCTTGTAGCCGTTTATTCTCGAATTCAACATTTTGCAAGGCATCCAGCTCTTCTTTGACGTGCTGATTCATTGTTTTACGGTTCTCCTTGATTCGCCCGGCGCTCTTCGACAGTTCGTTGATTTCTGCATGCAGCCTTGAGATCTCCGCCTGTAGGCGTTGCTCTTCCTGAGCTTGGTCGTTCCTGGTGCACTGTTCTGCGGCGAGCTGGTTGGAAAGGTTGTCACAGCACTTGATGCATGCATCATGATCACAATTGTGATTGTTGATCTGGTTGTTCAAGGAGAGCACTTCCTGCCGGCAGGGCTCGTGATCACAAGTGTGATTGTTGATCTGCGCAGTCAAGGAGGACACTTTCTGCTCACAGGATTGATGATCACACGTGTGATTGCTAATTTGGTCGATCAAGGAGAGCACTTTCCGCTCGCAGGGCTCATGGTCACAAATGTGACTGTCGATCTGCTCATTGAGGGCGGCCACTTTCTGCTGCCAGAACTCATTGTACTGCTTGAATGCACGGATGGTGCATTCTCTTTCTCTCTCCTGCCTCTTTCGTATCTCTCTATTGAATGTCTGGTTGTTCTGTGCAACTTTGTAGGATAGGGCAAGGTGTTCAGTTTCATTCTGTTCCTGATTTTTGACACGCTCGAGGATCAGTTCCTTTTCAACGCGCTCCTGGTTGACGAAATTACGAAGATTCCCATTTTGGGTCTGCAGACAGGTGATCTCACTTTTCTGTGAGTCTATAGTGCTCTCGTTTGCCTTCACTTGATCTCGCAGAGTCTGTATCTTATCATCGTACTCTTTGAAGTTTTCGTTCATCAAAGCTAAGTCCTTATCATGTTGCTCTTTGGCGCCTTTCTCATAAGCCTCGTCAATGAGTCTCGGAACTTGCTCCTCGTCCATCTTCCTCTGAGTCTTTGCCCCACCTGTCCACGCCTCATCCCACAAGGCGCTCTTATCGACTTTTCCACTACAAACAACCATCATCGCTTCAACAATAGTGTCCTGGCTCGGCATGACATATTGTCCATCGCCTCTTAGGCCTTTTATCACGTGCTCGAACTTGGAGCACTGTCAGAACTGCACAGAAACAAAGAGCAGTTTGCCTTACGACAAGGTACGCTTGTGAGAGCCGAGTCTCATTTGCGACGTGATTCATTGTTGTCGAACTAATAAAATCCATGTTATTGGACGAGGATGTGGATGAAGATAGATGATAATATGGACAGGAATGCAGATGAAGATATTAACGTAGATGAAGACGAAGACGAAGATGAAGACGAAGATGAAGATGAAGACGAAGATGAAGATGATGAAGATGGATGAAGTTGGAAGGAAGTGGATATGAAGAAGGCAGGGAAATGAGGAGCAGAAGAGTGTTATTATTTGAGTGAGGACGCGTTTGCCCTTACACTTCACTCTGTCAAATGCTGCCCCGACGAGGTAACCTAACACTTGATACGCGTTTGCCACCAGCAAAAAATTGTCCCATCTGGGAGTCAAAAGCATTGTCTTCTACTCCCGACGTTGAATATCATATTTGTATTAGCAAGGCCGATGTTCTAGAGTGGCTGTACAACCGAGAGTATGTTCGTACGGATTGCTGGCATATCGGTGTGAAGTTGACGACGCGTCTTGATAGGCCCGTTGTTATCCGCCTGAATTTCAGGCACGTGTGATGTACTACGTGAATGGCATAGGCTTTTACTCTTTCTGCTCGCATGCATGCATTTGCCTATTGGGTAATAGATCCCGTGTGCTAATCTTTGTAAGCGGTGATGCGTGAATGACAGTTTGTTTTGTGATTTCGAGGCCTTGTGCTGTTCTTCACTGCTCGCTCTAGAACAACCCACACTTTATGCCGGACCTTCGGAAGTAAGGCACTGGTCGAATCATGTACGTCCTCGTCAGAACAAGCTTTCGTATTTTCGAATGGAATGGGGAGAATGCCAAAGCGCAAATCAACAAGCCTTACCTTCTCACAGCGCAAAGGTATCAAGCGAATGAAACGAGACTTCTTACAAAGATTCTCCAAGAACGCAGAGACTTTAAGAAAGATGCAGGGGATCATGGTTCCTAGCATGGTTAAGCACCAGTTGGGTAAAAGTCTAGCCAAAAATCATCCAACTGTCTTATTGTGGGCCCACGATGGTCTACCATTCTTGCCAAAAGAGATGAATTGTTTTCTTTTCGTTTCTCTGATAGAATAGAGGGCTTCACTCCCGTTGCTACTTCATTAATCTTTCTCGATACAGAAGAAGGAGATTGAAAATGCGAATAGCGACGTGGTCTTTCATCAGGCTCATCAGACGAAGCGATTTTGGCTGCATGCTGCCGAAAAACATATTTACGTCAAAACGTTCTCCAATTCTTCAGAGAGTCTCTCACAATGAGCTATACTTGATGCAGGTAGACTGACCAGTGGGCACCAAGCCGCGTGCGAGGTAGGTATCAAGGTCAGGCATTCAGTCATAAGCGCACGCAACTGTTGACCAATAAACGAGTGGAGAAGCGAACACCTCTATGATTTATAGAGGAAATAGGTGGACCAAGTCATCCCCTTGCCATCGATGATGAGAATCCGTCCAAGCCAAAGCCAGCAGCTTGAGAAAGAACACTTGAGTGCTCGAGCATCATTGGCGAGTATCAGTATGGAAGAGAGCTGCCCAAGGGTCTGGCGTCATCAATGTCCATAATAGATTTGTTGCATCCATATCATCAGCAAAGCTCATTGGGAGCCGATCGATGACTGCTGGTCATCAAAAGTAAACCATGGAATAAGACGAAGGGTGGTAAGCAGATAGTCTCCTCCACAAACCTGAATCATCATCATCCTTGAAGCTCATGGCGAATTTTCATCCCGTACCCATCAATGCTTCCATCCATCCTTTTGACGAATCTTCTCCATGAATGAACAACAAGGCTGTACCAGCGGATGCAACCTATCTACATTGGGAACAAAATTCATACGGCCAGGACACCAATCTACGGATCAGGATGAGGCCGAGGTGACGATTGGATTGGCGTCCTTTCCGTACTAAGTATCATCCCCATCAGAGTACAATATAGACGACGATCCATTGATCTCACAGAAGCCACGCATAACGCCAGATCTCCTTGACCTCGTACTTTACAGCACGCAATCTAGAGCTACACGACCTTCTCCTTCTCCCCGTCTCTCGTTCCTCCACGCCCAGCCCCACGGCAGCACCACCATCACCACGCCCGGCCTATCTCCAACACATCCATTGCCCCAGCACCTCGACTCACCTCGACCACTCCCTCACCCTACCCCCAAACCAAACCACAATGCCAGCCACCGACTCCCCCTCCTCTCCTCCCCCCCCCTCCACGAATATTCAACTACATCCTCGCCGTCCTCCTCGTATCCCTAGCCTGGGGCTTCACCACACCCTTCATCCGACGGGGCGCCGTCAACTTCAAACCCTCGCCCCACGCCTCTCTCTCCTCCCTTGAAATGCGTGCTCAGACCAGCAAGCTCGATTGGGTCAGGTATAGGGTGGTGAAGGCGGCTTGGACAGTCGTTGATTTGTTGAGGAGTCCGGGGTACGCTGTGCCATTGGTTATCAATTTGACAGGGAGTGTGTGGTTTTTCTTGTTGGTGGGGGGTAGTGGTAAGTTCCCACCTCCCCTTCCAATCCACTCTTGTTTCACTCTGGATACGATTTCAAGGAAAGTTCGTAGGCTGACTGGGGGCGAATAGAGCTCTCCCTTACAGTCCCAATAGTAAATTCGCTCGCCTTCCTGTTTACTGTGCTGGGCGAATGGTATGCGGACGGCAAGATCATCGAGAGGGATACGTGGGTGGGAATGGCGTGCGTGCTGGGGGGGATCACGCTTTGTGTATGGAGTAAGAGTGGCTGAGGGTAGGTTATATCATTGAGATTTGGTGGGGGGTATTAATCTGGTGACATGGGAGTTGTCTGAGAGTGTTGAGAGCGAGGAAGGAAAAACGGCGGGGGAGAGGAGTGGAAAGCACAAGCGAAGCATGAAGGAAAAGAAAGTGGCCACAAAAGCCAGTCCGGAGCATTGACGATAGAGACTGGCGTTAGGATTGGAATTCGCCGCTGCTGTGACAGATACCGGAAGCAGCAGTCCTTCTCAGCCCCTACAGTGGGGTTGAGATGAGCATAGCAGCGCCTTCTTTCCTCAACAGTCCCACCGGTCCTCACATATCCGCCAAACGCCCCTTCTCTTGTCAACCCACAGACACCACCACACCCCACCCCATCCTCCCAACCAGCCAGCCACACCAACACGGTGCCACCTGACACGCAGCAGCAAGCCAATTACCTCCTCACCAGCCCATCTCAGCCACGAGGCGATGATTTCTGACGCGACGCGAGCGGGCATCCACAGACTTCCTCCGACACGTGTGAGGAATTTTGGTCGGGAAGGCGGATCGCGAAAAATTGGAATAGAATATGCGATGGACGATTATATGTACGAATACAATAATTTGTAAGTAAAAATCGTCACATACCACCCATCCCTAGTCCACCTTACCTCGCATTGCCATAGAGTAGCAAATTCAAGAGACAGAGATATGGCAGTGGTGTTTTGTTTGCTGATGATATGGATGAAATGGTGTGGATAAGGATTCTCATGTCTTCATACAGTGTAGAATAGATAGATAGATTACAGCTATACCTCCCAACCGATACCCCTGCCCTGCCCTAGCCAACTAGTCAGGACATGCATGCATGTATGCGAGTTCTATGTGCGTGCATATAAATCACTTGTTGCCATCCCATCCCATCTCATCCCACCCTATTACACAACCACGAAGCGTATATGTCAATCGACCTTGCTATGCCCCCTTCCCCCTTCGCCCGGATCCACAAAGTCCATTAAAACCCGAATCTCCTGACCCTAGCCTTGTGCCCACTCCCACCCCCAGCCTGCGCTCCACCACTACCAACATGAGAGTGCGGAGAAACACCAATATCAATCCCCCTCAACTCCTCGCTCAACGCCCTATCAGCCGGATTCCCCCAATCCTCCTGTCCACTGCCAATTGGCACCTTCATCGGCACAGGGGGTGCCCTTCCCCCTCCACTACCACCAGGCGACCTCCCATCACCACCGTACGTTGGACTGCCACCCATAAAGCCATAGTTCTCTCGCTCACGTATTGGGTAGTCCGACGCTGAATGCCTCGGCATGGTGGGGAATTGCCTAGGCGCAGCGGCAGCAGTTTCGAGAGTAGGGACAACAGGGCTAGAATTCGGGGCCCCCATACCCATACCGACGCGTGATTTCTTCTGCAGCCTCGCCCGCGCGGAAGATGAGACGGGCGAATTATCCGCACTATAAGATTGCGTCTGTTGTGGCATGGTAGGGTGCTGCATGGGCAGGGCATTTGGTCGAGCTTCCGCGAGCGGGGCTCTTCTCGCGGCGGCGGGTTGGGGCATAGGACGCGCAGATGATTGAGGGCTATGTTTGAACCTGAGCGTGACTTCGGGCCCGCGCTTCGGGGCTTTCTGTTCGGGTTCAGGCGCCCATGTGTCAGCGGGGAGGTGGTCGGAGGGGTCGATGACGCGGCCGTCGTTGCCGATTATGGGGCCGTCGCCGCGCTGGAGGTCGCGGTCGTGCTGAACTGCCGCTTCTCGCGCTTGATCGGGGGTGGTGTAGGCGGGACCGGCTTGGTTGATGGTATTTGCGGAGTCTATCTGTGGATTGAAGGTGTTGAAGGAGTCTGGGGAAAATGGAAGGTCGGACTGTGGGCGTTCGTGAGGAGCTGAGCCAGGTTGTTGAATACTGACGGACTTTCGCTTAGGCGTGCGAAGGTCTGGATTAGATATGCCCGGTCTCATACCTGGTACAGGGACTGAATTCCGATGTCCTCGTGGATCAAGCCCAGGACGTATTGCATTGAGAGGGACTTGCCTCTGCGCAAGAACTTGTCTCTGGGTTGGCAAGACAGGCTCAGACATCTGTTGCTCACGAGGTATCTGTTGCAAGAAGTGAGGATGTGGTTCGATGTGACGAGGATCGGATGACACGCTCTCCTCATCTGGGGTAGCTCTAGCTTCGTAGCCGGCAACCAGGCTTGATGGCATCGATTCTCTGACTGGCGGGTGCGTTTGCCGCTGGCGGTTTTGGGGCAGGGAATGTCGAGATGATGCAGAGTTGGAATGGTGAGAGTGCTCATAAGGACTTGGTGAAGTTGAGAGCATGCCCGCTGGGTTGGCTTGGACCGTATGTACCTGTGATAGTGGGCTGTGGGAGATGCTCGTTCTCTGATTGCGAGCTTGTAAGGGAGACGGAGCGGGAGCACTTGCGTATCCTCGTAGATCGCTATTTTGGGGCGTTTGAGGCAAAGAACGGGAGCTGCTTTCTCGATGGGTCGGAGGAGGAGGTGGGCCATCGTCATCATCAAGACCATTGCCTTGATCAGACCAAGTCTCAGGAGACTCGTGACGTAGTGAGCTAGGTGGCGAGCTCACGTAGGTGCCATATGAATCTACTGAATTCGTAGGCCTCTGCTGTTGCGAAGAGACTGTGCCATGAGGTGTAATGGGTAGCTGTTTCTGAACTTGGTGATATCTCTGTGGCTGTGGCCTTGGAAGCCCCTGTTGAGGCAGAGTGGTGCGATCTTCAATATATGAGTGAGTGGCGCTGTCATCCTCCTCCTCAGCATATGGTTGACGGTGATGGTGATGCTGTGGCATTTGCGGAGGGTACACGTTATCTTCCAGTTCGTCATGATAGAGGTTTTGAGGTGGTTGCGGATTGACTTGATGGAGAGGTGACGAGCGTACAGGCAATGGTGGTAGAGAATATTGCTGAGGACTGTAGCCCTGATGTGCAGAGTATCCATCATCAATGTCCGGCAGGTCGTTTCGAGACTGCTCTTGATATTGATGGTGTTGAGGTTGTTGGGGAGGCGTGTAGAATTGGTAATCATCTGGAGACTCTACGTGACGCTGCTGCGGTATAGGGGGTTGCTCGTGATGCATGCTTTGAGGGGTTTGAGGATGAGAAGATGGCGGCGTTGCTTCTGTTGGATTCCTAGGCAAGGGCCGTCGCTTCATCGGACGAGGTTGACGAGGTCCGCTGAGTCCTTCTCTAGGAGCCTCTGGCGTATCTTCAGTTGGAGTAGACTGTCTGCGATCCTCCACCTTATTGTCTTTGGGCCGGGTATCGTAATAAGTAAGCTCAATCCTAATGTCACCTGCATAGCGTCCTTTGCAACTGAGAGTATGCCATAGATCGTTTTGTCCGCCTCCTCGCACAACAATATCTTCTAACCCAAGCCAAACCTCTCCGATCAATTCGGTCTTCTTATCGTCATTGAATACGGAGACTTTGAGCTTGTAATAATCGGGGGAGTCGTGGACAGTGAACCGAAGCTCCTGGTCCCTGTGAATGTCAGCGGAGATCATTGATTCAAGTGCGGTCCTCCTTACCATCGAGGTGTTTGTCCTCCTCTCTTGTCCGTCTCCGTCTTCTTGGCTTCTTTCCCGAGTCTTGCTGCACAATATGGGTCTTGCTTTCCCATGGTCTTCCGATTGGGAAGATTCTTGGCTCGATCAATGATCACGACGAGGGTGCCGATCTCAGGTCCATCCACAGTCATATCAGCGTATATACCAGCCGTGTGACTGCCTTTGAGGGCGGTCATGGTTTTGGTCGCCATCATGCCCCTACTTTGCCCGTTCAACTAGGGAATTGAGATTTGGAGAGGCGAGGTAGAGATGAAAGTCTCCGGGACCTCGTGGGTAGTAAACGAGATTGCTTGGTGGTGTTCACCTCAATTAGGTCGAATAGAAGGATGGATGAGGCTGAAAGAGGGATGGAGGAGAGAGCTGGTTGAAGAAGCTTGAGGTAAGCTCCTTGCTCGGCATTGGCGAAGCCTGATTCTGAGGGGGCTGGAGGACGAGGTGGCAGGGGAATTTGCAGATCGACGCATGACATCAAATAGCCATTCCGAAATGGACGGTCAGTCCGCGACCGTCGAGGAGATCAGTGTCTTCTTTTCTTGCTGAGTATCGCACAGCTACACAGCTTCCGATGCTGTTTCTATGGCCTCGTCATTGCTGCTGATCGATTTTGCGCTAAAAATAGGACGTAAACAACCGCTACCCCCTAGTGAGAGCCCTAAGCCCCGGCGGCGCAACCGATCCATGGCGCTAGATCCTCCCCGGGAGAGCCCCCGGAAGCTAACCCGCAACTTCAAGGCTCGAACGGGAAATCCTTGATTTGATTTCAGGCTTCCACAATATCAACTTCATTAGACAGTCGTCTGATGTGGATATTGAATTGATGAATTTCTTGTTAAAGTCAGTTATACAAAGCAAATAGCGCACGCTTGCTAAATGCACATCAAAGCCTGCATCCACCTCCAATCAATCCCATATCATGCAATCAAGCAGTAAAGCCACCAATCTTCCCTTCTTCAGCCGGCTAGTCACTCCGTCTATCCACCCAGCAGAAGCGCCTTGAAATCTGCATTGCTCTTCGGCTTTACCTGCTCTTTACGTCTATCTCCCTGTCCATCCCCACCTTCTTCCTCATCATTACCACGTTCCTCCTCCACTTTCTGGCCATTGCTTTTTGCCCGATCCCCATCCAAGCCGACACCACTCTTCTTCAACCCTAGCCCACCCTTGCCGCCACGTCTGCCTGCTCCAATACCAGGTCGTCGTACTTGGCTCGATATAGGCAATGTAACATTTTTTTTCGGACCTGTCGGAATCTTGTCATACTTCTTCTCGGCTTTTTGTTCCTTCAAATCGCCCAAAGTTCCCACTTTCAACTTTCTCCCCGGATGAATTTCCCATCCTTCTAGCGCTAAAGAAGCTTTTCCCACACTCGCTTGTTCTGCGTACTCGATGATGGCGCCCTGATGATCTGGACGCAGGATCAGGCGGATGAGCTTCCCATGCGGTTCCGTTAGCTTCCGCATGCGTGCTTCGTTGACTGTATCGGGGATGTTGAGAAGTGCGAAAGTGCGGGATTGGATCTCCCTTTTCTTGCTTGGGTCTGCTGCTGGACCTGGAGAGGTGGCGCGGTTCGCATCCTCGTCGAGGGCTGAGATGTCAGCAGATGGTGACGCTGTGGTCTGTTGAGACCTTGATGCTACTATTTCATTCTGGCGTTGGCTTGTGTCACTGGTTGAGGGTGTTACGCTGATGGTTCGTCCCTGCCATTCGCTACCGTCTAAAGCTAAGCATTTCTCTGCGCCTTCTTTGTCTCTGTAGACCACAAAGCCGAAACCCTTGGAAACCCCATTGAACTTTTTCGGTATTCTTGCGCTGTCCACATATCCATGTTGAGAAAAGAATTGTTTCAGGTCCCTCCAGTTGGCACTGCTGGGTATATTCATAACAAAAACTTCTCGGCCTTCGTACATTGCCCCCTGCCGCTTTTGTCTGAGAGCGGGGTTCGATATCTTGGCAACAAGCTTTAGATCCCCGTCAAGAGTCTGGCCATCAAGGACTGCCGCAGATTGAGCCTGACTCGACAGCTTGAATTGCACGTAGGCGAATCGACGGTGCGTATTGTATTTGAGGGAAGGAAAGCGAATATCAACGATCTCACCATGCTGGCCGAGAATTAGCAAATGTATCTCGCTCAATTAAATCACAAGACTCACTTCGTCGAATTTGTCCCTTATCCAGGCTTCGTCCGCCGCCGGAGGGAAATTACAGACATACAAAGTTGTGTCAGAGCCAACCTGCACCTCTATGTCGTTGCCGTCGAATGTTTTCATGTCTTTCGTCTGAGCTGTTAATACATCTTCTTTCGACTCGAATTCAATGAACGCTGTCATTGATTTCCTTTCGTCTTCAGGAAGGAGCTTTAGGCTATTGATTTTCCCGCACTAGACCAATGTTAGAGAGGATACGTGATGGATTTAGCTGATGATGCACTTACATCTCGAAAGTATTGGCGGACTCTGGTCTCCGTTGTGTCAACGGGTAGATTCTTGACAATTACCGTTGCATGTTCTCGATCACGCTTAAGAAGTGATGGCTCGGGAAGGCTCTGTTCCTGAATTTGAGGCTCTATTGAGGGTATCTCATCAGGTCGAGTCTTCTTACTGGGTGCCTCCTCTACATCGTCTACTCGTTTCCTTTTCCCAAGAACATCCGTTTCATCACCATCGACAAGCGACTTGCTAGCTTCGAATGATTGCGATTGTTGTTGTTGCTGTACGAGCTGATTTTGGTATTGTTCGTACGCTTCCTTCTGCCCTCCTTTCCTGGATCACTTGATTCTGCTTCCAAACATCGACGTGTGCGGACTGCAGCTGCGGAGCGTCCTCATGGTCCTCACAATGATGCAGATACGTTTGCACAATCTTCTCGGGCCAATCGAGGTCATTTCTCCTCATGGCTTGCTGAAGAGCCTTGGTAGCTTCTGCGGGCCTGGTGAATCTTCCTGTGTCAGCATTGCTATCGTAAGATAGCTTTGACCATGTAATCATCTCCCAGACGTAGAAACGTAGCCAGAAATCATAGTCATGGCCTTTCCTTGGTATCAACTTTCGAAACGTCTCTCGCGCAGTATGCCAATTACGCGCCTGACTCAGATATTTGATGTAGATCTTCTCTAAACGATACTCGGAATCTCCCGGATAGTCTCTGCCATATTTCTTCCGGCCGACATTTTCTACGTCCTCGATAGCTGAGCGAATACCCACCTCAGCAACGTCTATCTCCTCGTCCGTAGAGCCTGGCTTGAAAGCGCGTCGCCTAAGGTAATTGCACCATGCAGTAGTAACCTTGAGCAACTCGTCTATCTCATTTAGCTCTGAGATGCCTGAGCTGGTTGCTTTGTGCTTGATATCACTGATGTCCGTAAAGGGAACGTCGGCAATCTCCGCTGCCAGCATATAGTGCGCCCATAGTGTTCCAGACCAGGGGCAATGACGAGTGGCTTTGTACAGAACCGAAAGCATTGGCAGGTCTTGTTGAGCGTGATGAGCTATTTCTTCATTCAAAAACATGATGTATGACTCCCACAACTGGGTACGAGCAGGGAATCTGAGTAGCGCGCGCTGATAGAGTGCTTTCGTGAGTTCGACACTGAACGAATTCTTTTTGCGGCTTAGACTCATCTCATAATCGATGTATTCGCTGAAGGCCTGCACTTCTGCTTCTGAGTCGCCCTTTTGACTTGCGCGGAGAACATTGATTTCTTTGAAATCACGCATTTCATACTTGTGCTTCGCTTCCGCACCTATGCGGTTTGCGGTCACCATCGTCGGTTCCCAATTAGCATTGTCATGCGTGGACATGAAGGTAGAGAGTTTCTGCGACGTTTGATCCCATGTAGCATGCGGAATCTGGAGACGGTTCATGAACCAGTGCTGCATTCTTGCAATTGCTTCAGGTTGAGGTCTTTGTGGCATGGCTTGTAAATCCTGCAAGAGGAGGTCGGTGTATTGATCCCAGAGCTGATGGCTGTCATTAATACGCCACATTGTCCCTTGCGTGGCTCGTTGCCATGTACTGAGGACCTGCTGCCAACCGAAGAGTTCCGCAGCCATCACCCTCTCCTCGTCCGGTGTAAGGTGACCATTTCTTGCGGTACCAGCCCTCTCCTCTCGGGATGACAATCGATGGCACTCTGACAACATCCACTGTCCATAAATAAGCCAAATCTTGGAGCTTGTATCTTCTTCATTCACGGCCTTTTCACACAACTCCTTAATGGAAAGCTTGTCTTCAAACGATGTAGCCAGTAATATCCGATCTTGTATCCAGTCCGCCCAAAGATCTTCACCAATAGCGAAGCGTGCGCTCATGGCTTCTCTTGCGCTCTGCAAATCCCGTAATAGCTCGTACGAATGAGGGTCGCCCGAAGTTTTCGAGGATGACTGGAGGCGTATATGACTCAACAGACCTTTGTGAAGGAGATTGATGAGTTGAGTGTAGGAATCGGACGAGAAGGGATTTTGGAGGATGTGGTTTCCTGCTTCGGTGATGGTTTGAAGGTCGGATTCGGACAGAGCTTTGGAGAAGTAGATGCGAGGCGTTGGTGTCAGCTGTGGAGAATCAGTCATTGTGACGTCAAATGAACCTGCGCGGAGCCTCGAGGTAGCCTCCGATCTTGTCATATTTTGTAGGCTTGGAAGAGCAGTGGCAACAAGTGTTTCTGCGCTGCGCATCCCCGTAGCATTTGCTCTTGCTGTCTGTTGGTGATGCTGCATTGATGCAAGGTCTGCCAGTGTATCCATACCAGCAGTAGATGGCTGTCTGTAGGCCCTTCCGCCGTCGGCTGAAGGTGTCGAGCTCACACTTAGACGATGACCAGGAACTGGACTTCCATTCGGAGGGGATGAGGCGAGTGCCTGACTTTGTAATGGGGCATTCTGTGGAAGATTGTGGGGTGTACTGGTGTTCGCGGAGTGGTTGAGATTTGATGATCGGGAGCCACGCGGCTTCAACGTCTTCTTGGCATGACTTTTGGCTGCTGGCGGTGGGGTCGCGGTAGGGGACTCTTGCGGAGAGAGAAGGGAGCTGATGTCCATTTTCACTCTTGCAGTCGTCGTCGTTGCTGTGGGGAGAGTCCAAAGCGAGAGGGTAGCGGCAATTGCGAAATTTGTGGACACGTGAGGGCCAGCTTTTATTCCCAAGCCTGTTCAACAATTCCTGCTGCAGATGACACGATTCGTGCATAAAGCTGCCAAGGATGCTCAACTAGCTCGAGGAGGTGCCTGCATGGCCACTTTGGGACGCTCGCTGTTCCAATATTGGTGCGAGGAAGGAAAGGAAGGTCAAGGAGTGGTTGACTCGAGGAAGCGGCGATCGCCCAACGTAATTCCCATCGTAGGTTGTTCTTTCTCCCGGCAGGCCGACCCTAACCGTTCAACAATAATGGTATTCGTGTCTTGAGGGATGGATAATGGTGATGAAGGTGAGAGGAAAGATGAGGATGACGCAGCAAGACAGACAGCGTAGCAACGAGAGCCTACGGGAATGTAGCCTAGGCAGCCTATGGAACCTATGCACCTCCCCGGCGCGATGTTGCAACGTAAAAGCCTTAAATGAGAAATCGACCGCGGTCTAGGCCCTGGAAAACCCCCCTAAGACCTCTAACCGACCTCCCTTTGCATTAAAGTTGCGTCCCGTTACGGTACAATACGAGCTAGATGTTCCTTGGCGCCGCGCCCTGACGTAATGCCCCTAAACGGTGGACTGCGTTGAACATCAGAGCACGTACATGAAGATGCGCGTGCATAAGAATTGTACTCCTTCAAGATGTGTATACTAGAAGAATGCCTGAATCGAGGGAGGAAGAGGTCCAATAGGTGGCACGATGGTCTGATTGATATCACATCACGCAGGCGTACATATCATCATAAAGAAATCCGCTCCACGTCCACGTCATCGCTGCAGCAAGCATGTTATCCCGTACAGGATCTTGCATTTAGAAGATCCTTTTCGGATTCCTGTAAATCACTCAATCAATCCTACGATCCTACCCGCTCCGTTACCTTCCAAGCCAGCGTTGAGCTTGACTTTATCGGCAACAATGGATTGCTTCCCATTCCCCGTCATCTGCTTCCAGTGTGGTACAGACCAGAATCCCTGCCGTAAGTGCTCGTCTGATAATCGGGTCCTGTCTCTCCACGCCTTCTCTCTCGTCATTGGAGTAAGAGATACTAACCTATAGATTATAAGATTGTAAGGTGGTCGGTCCTACCATTGGCTTCTTCACGGCCGTAGCAGCAGCTGTGAGCCTTCCACGCCATTAATGTGCACATGACCGTCCAATGACAAGTTTCAGATTGTTTGCTGGCCTGCTTCGATTTTTTGTGGTTGCTGTGCGACGGACACGGGCAAGAAGTCAGTGTTAAGCTTCCTTTGCCCGCGAGTCCTCCCTTCCTACTTACACTAACTAATACTTCCTTCACCGCAGAATGCTAGGTGCACCTGCAGACGTCAGTGGGCAAATTGGTAATGCAATACCTATATGATCTGGACGTGTCTTGTTCCATTTCAACGGCCAGTGCATAATTAGTTGCGAAAACACAAATGGGAGGTATGGCAAAGGCATGGAGGTAATGAAACAACACACGGACGAATACAAATGACAATCATCGTTTTCTCAGCAGTCAGATGATGTGCGTTAATTATGAAGTATAGAGTATTGGACAGGAGGCATCGCAATTCACCATCTTCAAATATAGTTGCCGTCATCTGTGCATGATGGCGACCTCAGTACTTCACGTTTAACCCCACTAGGTCGTGCAACAACTTCTCTTAGTCTTGTTGGCTTTCGTCTGCGTATTCGTTTCTTGATTCCATGATGTGTCATTCACGCGAAGAAGGATTGTGAGTGGAAAACACCCTCCATTTGACACGTATTGCCACTTGCCCCGCGACGCAAAACACTACACCTCTTGTCAACAAGCACGCGACTTCATATCATGCAAACTTCCTCTGGTTCACCTCCCCCGAATCCGAGTGAGAACTCTTCAAATTGCACCTACTGGAAACTCGACTCGTGAGGAGTGAATCACAATCCTGCTGAGACTCGTTCGAATAGCTATTCATCTCCTGTCGGAATGGCTGATTCGAATCCACGCGCCACACCAGCACCCGTTGATCCAAGAACAGTACAGCTTCGCAAGGCGACCCAGCATCTGCGCTCGCCCAAGATGTCTTCCGCAGAGCCTGCGCCCGATCAGCCCACGGGGGGAACAGAGATGGAACACGGGTCTGCGCCCCTTTCTTTGCTGGAGAACAACAGAAGAAGGACTGATACTCTTATGCTCTACAGGCTTCAAGGCAAGGGGCAGAATCACAAAGAGCCCATCTCACCTACTGAAGTTCAGCGCATAATGCTGCAATACTCTACACTCGGCAATCAGAGCAAAATGTCGCGCTTCCTTGACAGTCTACGAGTTCCTGGGGTTCTCTCTTTTCAGCGTTACATGTACGACTTCTACAAAGAGAGAGGGTTGACTTGCTATTCAGTCATGGATAGCAAAGGTCATATGATTGCTCTGGATTACCAGACCCTCCAGCAGGCAACACCGTTATCTCTTGCGGCCACATACGGATCACCATTGCCGCTGAATGTAGGAGTCGTGCAGCAAGCATTTGAGAACGCAGTGAACAGGTCCGTTGACAAGAAAGGAGACACTGAATGGCACAACTACATAAAGGCTTTGCCCTCAAATGAGCCAACATTTGCAGCAGACGTGACGCCTCCTGAAAAATATTATCATCCAGAAACCGGCTTGAGCTGGGATGATAGCGATACTTTCACTCGCCTTCCCAAATGTTAGTCACATGTGATGGTCTATTCGTTGTATTTCACTAACATATCGCAGTTGTCCCCACTCCGCAATTCAGTCAAGGAAAAGTTGCCTTACCACTCACTGATGTTCGTCAGGATTCAAACGGAGACTCGATTTCAGCATTGACATCTCAAAAACCACCAACGCCGATCAAGGTCTATCAAGAAAGGCGATGTGTTCCAGATGGAACACTTGATGCTGCAGTGGATCAGATTCCTGCCTCTGGTGAAGCGACTTTGTCAACCCCTCCAGTGACCTCAAGACTAGCCAAAACATTTCTGGATCAGAATTGCGAGCCTCTGAGTCCCGTAGTTAATGATGGAGGAATACAAGCAAACAGACCATCAGATTACGCAAGCCTTGTATCTAACGAAGAGCATCATACAGTGATCGAGAAAGGACTACCATCAACGAATTTGAGCTGCGAACAGACTGATGCACCGATTGAGGATCCTACTCCGGTTGAAAGAGTCCCCGAGCGTATTTTTCGGGGAGAAGGGCCTGATCACAAAGGTCCCTGTGGAGATGGTAGCAGTGCTTCAGAATCCATGAGCGAATCGGAGATATCGCAACATACGAACCCTTTAGATGATGAAAGAGAGGCTTTCGAGGCCTCGTTAGACCCAGATCATACTACGACGGACGATGATAGCCAGCATACTGCCAGCAGCTCAAAGAGTCAAGCGAGTTCTTTACACCCCAGCGGCGAAGGGAAAAGGATCTCGTGGCTAGGGAAGATCCTTGATCCTGCACCAGAACATGACGCAAGGAGACGCAAGAGTACGTCGAGCAATCATAACGAAATCGCTCCAGAAGATGAAGTCAGCTTAGTAGATCCAACTCCACCAAATCTTCAAAGAACTTCATCTATTACGGCCAGGCTTCAAACACCCGCAGTTTTCAATCCAATCACCCCACAGGGTCCACGCTCACCGAGTGCAAACCGTACATATGCTACGGACGTCACCCCCTCGCCACTGCCTATGAAAGCCAAACCTAAATTTCGTGATGTTGATGACTCGGGTACGCTTTCGAAGTCATTGTCGGAGCGCGAAAAGAAGAAGGGGACTAAGGGCGTATTTTCAAGTCCGAAGCTTGTCCCTCCACCTTCAGAGATCATTACGAAAAGAATTGAGACAACTGACCCTCGTCGTAACATTCAAGAGACTGCTCCATTCGACACGACTTCCGCCTCCACGGCTGTTCCGCACCAGCAGTCCAATGGCCGTGGCAGGAAAAATGCAAAAAGAGCTTTGCCCCATAGCGACAGCACAATATCAGAGCCGGACAAAATAGCTACCGAATACCATAACGGAGCATCTGGCTCATCAGAGTATATGCCTAGCGAGTCGGATACCTCTCAAAGTAGCGAGGATGGGCCAGAGGAAGTGCTTGAATCCAATCGCAGCCCACAGCGAGCAGCCGATTCTCATACCAGTGAGCGTCGAATGAGACGCGATAGGAGACTCACAATCTCAAAGTTGTTGACCGACGAATACCAGACCCATGACAACACCAATTCCCCAGCAGCTCTTGAAAACATCGCGCCCAGAATCCGCCGAGCATCTGCAGCTCCACAAACCAATACGCATATCATTTCCGCAGGGAGTGATAGCCTCGCATGCAGCGCAGACGAGCACACTCAATTGAGAGAAGGTTTGCAGCCTTCGCGGACAAATCTAGTCCTACCTCAACCTCCCCCTTTCGTGAATCCCAACGGCGCAGGTCTGGCTCTCACTCAGCCTCACGTCTCTTACACCCGATCAAAGCTCCCCCTTCAGACCGAACAAGCGGTAGTCGCCAATAGTATAATCAAACGCACATTCTTGGCATCATCGCAGTCATCCCAACCAACACCGTCACCGAAGAGTCCTGCTTCAAATATCAGCGAGAAAATCTCTCAAAAGCCCAAGGAAGATACCCCTGCCCAAGCAGTCCGCGTCACCGTCGACATTTTGACTCAAAAAGCACCACAGATACCTCCACCTTCGAAAGCCCCCATTGCAGACAAATCACCACTCAAACTCCGCTCCGGCAAACGAGCTCGATCGAGCAGTGGCACAGTCACAGAGACGAAGCAGTCGGCGAAGAAGAAATCTAAACCTAGCGATGGGGGATTCAGAAGCGGCAGAAAGCAAGAGTCAGTGAAGCCTGCTCAGAAAAGGAGGAGTGCGAGGGTCAGCAAGGCTGCCGAGAGTGGAACGCAGAATTAAGAAGAACAACGATGAGCTTGTGCGAGGATGAAGAGCAGCATGCGCAGCAAGTCTTTCTCTGCAGTGCTTTGATATTGTAGGATTGAGAAGGGTGCCACAGGGCCGCTGGATAGCACGCCAGAGAATGAGGATGGCTGTGTGGTTGGACTTGGGAAAGGTCCCACAGCCGACGATAGGGAGGTCGCAGTACCAGTAGAGGCATCGTATCATCCCGTATACCCAAGCGAGCAGAATACAAACTTCGGCTCTATTGCACATCAATTTTCCATGATATTAGCTTGCCTCACACAAAATCCCCGTCATTTTCTGCCCCCCACCCCCAAGTCTCTAACCCACACCATCCATACAATCACATCTCCTTCCCCACCACCCCTCCCCCAAACGTCGTCGGCACCGTATCCCCCTGCGGCTTCTTACTCTGCCTCACATTCGCCTCGACATCATCATTGCCTCCCTCCCCATCCTCATATTCTTTCTGCTTATCCTCCGGCCCTCCCCCCTTTCCCCTACTCCACCACCCTCAAAATCACTATCCCTCGTAAACCCACCCCCTTCTTAAACTCCCCCCTCATCAGGCGCGATTTCACGCCCACTGGATAAGGCGCCCGTACGCACGGTCGCGCCGGGGTATTTGCTTGTCGCGGCTGTGTTGATGCCGGATTCGTTGACTGCGCGGCGGAGGGTTAGACTGGCGTGAGAAGGGGGGTAAGGGGGGAGGGGAAGGGGTAGGGAAAGGAAGGGGAAGGGAAGGGAAGGGAGGGGAAGGGAAGAGGAAATACCGGAATCGCCGGCTTTGGAATCAGTAAGGCCTTGTTTTGTCGCGTAGCTGTTGAGGTCACGCTCCGCTTGGTGGGCGAGGACTAGGGGGTCTTGGTTTTCGTATTCTTTGGACATTGTGTGCGGGGCGTGGGGTCAGTTGATGATGTTCGTGTCTACGAAGGGGCTTGTTGAAGGTGGTTAGGAAGGAAGGTGTCGGTATATGGATTGGAAGAGTGGGGCAATGTGCATGTTGAAAGGCGAGGGTAGGTGATGTCATTTGGAAAATTATACGGTGGGGCAAGAGAGGATGTGTGCGAAAATTGTGACTTCTTCGGAGGAGAGAGTGAGTTGGGGTAGGATAGGATACAATAGGGCAGAGAAGATAGGGTGTGACTAGATTAGTGAGTATACTCAACTAAATCCAGTCGAAACCCTCATTTCTTCCCCTTCTTCATCAAAGCCTCCTCCTCCTCAACCATCGCCTCCAACTCCCTCTCTTGTCCCCACTCCCTCACCTTTTCCATTACCCCCTCCAACTCCCCCTCCCCTGCAGCACATCCGCCAGCCGTCCACTACTATACCCACACCTATGATCCGTAACCCTGCTCTGCGCCCAATTATACGTTCTGACCTTGTCCCCCCTGCCCAGCCCCTTCTTCCCCGCCCCACTCGCCAACCGTACCTTGTTAATCTCTTCCTCCCTCTCCTCCCGTTTCTTCTGCGCGATCCGCGCCCGCAATAACCGCCACGCGCGCTCGCGGTTCTGATGCTGCGAGCGGGACGTTTGCATAGCGACGACGGTGCCGGTGGGCGTGTGCGTGAGGCGCACGGCCGAGTCGGTCATATTGACGTGTTGGCCGCCTGCTCCCGAAGACCTGTACGTATCTACTCTCACATCTTTAGTATTCACATACCCATCGCTCTCAGGGTCTTCGAAATCGTCGACCCCTTCACTATTGGTGCCAGGGGTAGGCGGTGCTATATTCGGTAGCACCATAACCCCAACGGCACTTGTATGCGTTCTTCCCTTCGTCTCCGTAATCGGTACGCGCTGGACCCTATGCACGCCTGCCTCACACCGCATCCTCCCGTACGACCCGGCGTCGGAGAATTCCATCACGGCTTCGAGGATGCGGTCGCTGCCTCCCTGTACCGAGGCGCTGGAGAGAGAGAGGATGCTGTGGGAGAGGTTGTGGTTCTTACAGTAGGATGTGTACATGTTCAGGAGATCGCCAGTGAAAAGGGAGGCTTCGTCGCCGCCTGCGCCGGGGCGGAGCTCGAGGAGGCAGGGGAGGTGGGCGAATGGGTGAGGGGGCGTGAGGGAAGTTTTGAGGGAGGTGATGAGGGTTGTGAGGAGGTCATGGGTTTCATGAAGCTCGGTCTGCGCGAGGGATAGGAGGGTGGGATCTGTGGAGGAGGAGGTGAGGAGGGCGTGGAGCTCAGGGAGTGACTATAGGTGGTCAGGAAGGGTGTGAGTTTGTGAGGGAAAGGGGAAACGGGAAAGAGGGTTTACGTTTGTTGTTGCTTCATATTTTTGCAGGATCGAGGCGACAGTAGAGAGGGAGCCGGCTTTTTTGGCTGTTTCGGAGTCGTATGCGGTGCCTAGTCGGGCCGTGAGTTGGTCATGTTCAGCTGCCAGGGAGCGAGCTCGTGAGAGAACGGCTGGAGAGAGGGTGGGTGCGGTTGCTGGAGAGGTCGTGCTTTGATAGCGCTTCAAGGAGTTGAGAGGGCGCCATAGTGGGCGAGAAACGCGTGCTGAAGCTGCGCATCTCGCCTTCCACATGCTACATTGTTAGATTGCGTTGTGATACCCTGGGAGATCTTTTTGAGAAAGCTTTTTGATAGCACGAGGACGCCAATCGGGACACTAGAATGGGGTCTAGCTTGCGAAATGATTGGCGTCCTCACCGTATCAAAAATCATCCCATCTTGACTACATTCGTTGGCACGGCTTCATGCAGGAAGAGACTCTAGGGAATACGAGCAATGATAAGGACAGAATATAGCCAAGGTGGCTCATACTATGACTGAATTTTCATAATATTGCAATTCTACGCTAAATTGCTAGCCAACAGCTTTCACTCACCTTCCATTCTATAGATATAGACGCCGCAGTGTAATCACCGAGTGACATGGAGTCTGCCGGTTGAGGACGATCTGGGGTGGAAGCCTGCCGGTGGCTGCTAACCTTGTGTACACCTTCTCCTATTCCCTTTTGCTCCGGTCTTTCTCCTGTAAATCGGTGTCTCGTCGATGCTAGGATGAGTATACCATGGTTCACATATAGCTCAATCACAGTCCCGACTAATCTTCTGCTCCCCAATTCCTGATTTCAAGGTGACGCTTCGATTGATGGCCATCCATGGAATGCTCTGTTCAATTAGATGCTGAATTGGCAGGCTGGGCTCTATACCACAAGTCAACCACCCTTTTTCCCCTGAGCCAACAGACCTCTTGTATAGCTTTTTTATTTATGTTCTTCAGAATGTGACGTCGGAATTGATCTTTAGGTGTTCGTCGTACTGGTGTTGACTTAGGTGGGCACTGCTCACGAAGGCTCGTTTCCTGGTCTCTTAGCCTAGTTACTAGTGAAAGAATCAGTCTAGCCACCGACTGCGAGAATTGTGTCTGTCATTTTCATTACTGACAATCGAAGACTTGTCAAATGACCCTCTCAGGCTTCTCCAGTACCTGGTCGTCTCGTACCTGGTTGATCGAGGGATCGGCTTGACTTGAAGCATTCAAGCACTTCAGTGTTGCGTCCTTTCACTCGGCGAGGGAAATTCGGTCATGGCAAGTCTAGCCTGATGCTTCTGGATCAATCAATCATATCGAGCCGTCGGGTGACCTGTTATTCTACCTCGTGGGGAGGCAACAGTATCGTCTTTTCTGGCCTGATCTTTCCAGCCCAGTGAAGCACAGCAATTCGGCGGGGGCTTTGTCATTTTGAATCCACGAGGAGAGAACGGTTTTTCCCTTTCCAGTCTAATCTTTTGGCCAGACCAAACACAGCGAGTCGCCGGGTATTCACTTATGTGGCTTGGTGAGGTGGAAACAGTTTTGCTCTTCTTACCCTGATCTCTTGGTCTTGAATGGACGTCGTTGGGGAATGTCTGCTTCATTAACGAGGCGTGGGCTAAATCCTTGTTGCAGAAATTTTGATTGTTGTCGATACTCCAAGAGTAGGTCCTTCACCGTTGTCTGGACTAGGATATGTCTTCATTCTCCTGCCTGTCACAGTCTCGGTGCTCTTCTTCGTTGAAATTGGTTCGAGTAGGTAAAGGGGCACGGAGGTAGTCGATGTTTGGTGAGTCGATGTTTGGTGAGTCGATGTTTGGTGAGTCGATGTTTGGTGAGTCGATGTATGGTGAGTCGATGTTTGGTGAATTGGTGTTTGTTGAGAGGATCGTTGGTGAGCAGAAGTTTGTGAGACGGTGTTTGGTGAAGCTATTTTCGGTATGACTTCGTACAGATTTGGATAGTGGGATTGCTTCCCTAGTACTGGTTTGCCCTTTTGATCTCCACTGTCTTCCAGTATTATGTCTTCCTCTTTTCAAATCCAACTCCTTGCTTCGCACGAGACCATGACTTCGATTTCGACATGTAAGGGTCGCGGCTTTCAATGAACAGGAGACTGGTTTTCTGGAGAGACGCGTTCTGGCTGAAAGCAAAGGAAGTCGATCAATTGTATGAGACGGCTAGCAGCATGCGCGGTCAGCGCTACTTGCTCTTTTTTGCTCTCCTCCTTTGGTATAACCTCAGCTCTCCCTCTGCGGAAGCAGCTCTGGTAGTACCCGACCGACATCACAATCTCTGGTACTTCATACGGTCGTGAGTTTCAATCTGTTACTGCAACCAGCCGGTTGTTTTTGTCCTTCTCTTGGTCGCTCATGCAGAGCTCTTCATTGGTGATCGAACATTGTTTGGTAAGGATTTGTCGTCGGGGCTTAGTCCTGAGGGATAGAACGTGGTTGCTCGACCTTGATTCATACTGGAAATGTAGCTCTTCATGATAACTCATACCTGACCTCAGAATCAGCTGCGTACTACTATAAACTTGACGATGCTCAACGTACCCGCTTGGTCGATTGGTACTGCCTATCGTTGCACTGTCGGCTCGCCTGTTCCTCGCCGTCGCTACGGCTTTGGTTCACCAGTCAATCTGTCAGTCAAATCCTCAGTTACTCAACAATTCACAGACCGTCGCCAACACTAACGTTGACACCACGGACGCCAGTAGTAAAGCTCCAGACAGGTACGGTCAGGACGTGTCTGACTGGCTAGGACATGTAGATCATATTTCAGCCTGCAGGTATATGAGGCGTTCGAGGTTCAACACCATGGCGGAAATAAGATTGGCGAATCGTCTGTTCCGGACTGTCGGTCAACGCATGCCACGTTGCCTCACGATTTTGAGAGCTGCATGAGGCCAATGGTCAGCGTGTACGAAGAAGAGCGAATGAAAGCAGCCGAACTCACTAGTGAATCTGTGCGACTCTGATCTTGCCGTGACTCCCGGATCTCGACCACGTCAGAGGGCAGACCACTCGTGATTTGGGATGGACGCTCCATTCTGGTACGTGCTTGCTGTAGTGCTGGTTTCATGTAGCAAGGGGGTCAGGCCCTTCTAGACGAGCTTACTGCTTCATCGTACTGACGCCCCGCCTAGCGAATGCGGCGATCGATTGCGTGAATACCTTCTTGTAGGATTCCGTTGACGCAACCCTGGACCCGTACTAAGGTCACTGGGCAATGGAAGGCTTCCGATCATCCAACGTGACGCAGAGGCTCTGGAAAAGCGCAGTCATCCGATGTTCTGTTCCGACGCGTGGTCTGGAACGACGCTTCGGTGAATTTACCCCTGAATGCGCAACCGAGATGGTTTTCCGACCAACTGACTGTCAATACCATACGAGCTCATGGTACCTACGTAGAAATAGTCTTTACCTTAGTCTGGTGATGACTGGAACGTGCTGTTCACTTTTTGTGGCGACTGCGGTCGGAAGTACGCTCTCCGGAACCGGCACGGAGACAACAATGGGCTAAGATATTCAAGAATATCTCGAAATCACGTCCTATCTAGCACCATCCAGCACTGGTTCATGATTATCTAGTAGTTTAAGGACAATCCGTGCTCCAGAGACGTTGGGATGATTCCAAAATCTTGTCTAGCTGCATGATGCCCACTTATGTGGTACGAATGAACATCGCTGCAGTTCATCTGACGACGCAACGATGAAGATAAATTCACATCTCGAGCTATGCTTGTACATGGGGCAACTGTACCCGGCCTGCTAGCACTGTTTACGTCTGCAGCTAGCTATTCACGTCGTGGCCATGCAGGCTGAACCGAGGGAAATTACGGGCACTGATGATTCAACTTAGTCCACGGGAAGGGATCGAGCCTTTCGACCGATAGAAGTAGCTCACGTAGGCCTTTCTTCTTCCTTTCAGCAACCACAAGGCTCCTCGTATCATTCTACGCTGTATTCGTACACTGTCCGCCTGATTACAATATCATACTTCAGTCAAACTCTTTGTAGTACGTCTGTCTGACACGTGAACTCACTCCACGGCCTTTGAAAGATCAACAAGACCACCTAAATCACAGCTCTTCTTTCTTTCAGCAACCATAAGGCTCTTCGTGACAGTAGTATCATTGTACCTTACATTCGTACACTTTCCGCATCACTACGATATCATACTTCAGTCAAACTCGTTGTAGTACGTCTGTCAGACGCGTAATTTCACTCCACGGCTTTCGAAACATCAACAAGACCACCTTGATCACGGCTTTTCTTAGCCTCTACCTCTTGCAAAGTCAACACGAGCAACAATATCACAATCATTTAGCTTCCACCACGTCCATACGCATCTTACGCCTACTTGAAGGATCAAATTCTCAAAGATCGCACGTCTGAATCGTTGAATTGAAGCTCTGACACCTTACACGACTCTCATCCTGTCGACAAAGCCATTGTGATTCTCTCATATCCCACCATACTCGATATCTCCACAGACCGTACGGACACTTCAGCCGTTTGAGCTTCCCCTGAAACCTTTCCTGCAGAACTTACGACAGCGTCAGCGACATCTCCATCACTGAATCACATCAGAAATGTCTGCGAACAATACAAGCTCTCGTAGCACCGGCGAATCTACTAGGACCACCTTTCTCGGCATGGTTTTGAACGACGACCAGTCCGTCGCGCCGACCTTCCCAACAGGTCAAACCATGAGCTCCGCAGTCGATAGAGCCATTCGACGACTCCCCACGCCCCCGCCCCGCCAAACCACGCCGGTGCCATCGGATCCGGCACGTTACCATACTCCAAATCCAGCCTTCTCCATCAGCTCCGCTCTGTTGGAAGTGGTTAATGCCGAGCTCACCACCCTCAATCCCGCCGTCTCCGCCCAACAAAGCTCCTTTGGGACGGCTTCTCTTGCCCCCCGCTCCGCTGCCCCCGCCTCCTCCGCCGGTGGAAACCCGGCATACCTGGATGCCATCCAGGCGCAATACCAGACCGCCCCCGCCCTCGCCGCCCCCCACCCCCACGGAGAAGGCACGATCGACAGCTCCGCCTCGGCGGACACGGCAAACAACGCTGCTCCCCCGGCCCAACAGGGCGCAAGTGCCCAAGGGCACGTTTTCATCGGGTCCTGGCCGTGCGTTGCGGTGACGAACTGCGTCACCGGCAACGACGACATGCGGAAGGTCGTGTCACATGTATTCGGCCGCAACAAGAGAAGTACCTCGCTCCTCCCCGCCGACGCCTGGCTGCGGTGGTGCCGCAACCACTACCAGCGGAAATGCTACCGCGGCAAAGTCGAGGGCAATTGGCACCTCCAGCAGCTGGGCGTCGTTCGGGAGCAATTAGCTCGTTTTGAGGAGACTCGTCTGGTCGCGTCGTTCGATATTTATTTGACCAGGGCGGCGGAGGCGGCGGCACGCGATGCCGACAATTGGGAGAGTCTTTTGCTGGGGTTGGTGGGGAATGGGCGGTCTTTTGCGGAGGTGAGGGATGTGCTTGATGACCTCGAGACGTGTTTTGAGGATGCGAGATTCGCCTCGCGGAGGGGGGATGAGAAGGCGTTTCCGGGGCTAGAAATAGTCCCTAATATTGTGAGTGGTTGTGCTTCTTATTGGTTGATAACAGACTGACGATTTCGCCTTAGCCTGAGTAGTTTGGTGGCTCTTTTCCCGGTGTGCTGGTTGTTTTGTGGCTGTTCTGTTGTTGTGGGGTGTGTTTTGTGGCTGTTCTGCCTGTGTGCTGGTTGTCCTGTGGTTTCTGTTCTGTCTGGCGTTGTGGTTTGTGGCCTTTGTGCCACAGGTAAGAGCCTCTATGAGGCTGCAAGAGAGGAGGAGGAGGTCGCGCCTGGAGCGTGCCTCGTTGTTACTAGTCTGCCAATCAATTCAAAAGTGATTCAAAGCCAATTCTCCATTCCCTATCTCTTTTCTTAACGCTGCGAAAGGTAAGATTGCTTCTGGATGCAGTTGACCGTAGTTTCTTTCATAGAATAAAAGTTTCTGCTAGCCACATTGAGGTAGGCATCCCATTATGCTTACCTTGAAAGAGCTTTGCACATTCTATTTATGGCTGCTATGCCTAAATTATTACTAGATTCTACCCCTGTTACATTGCGAAATCAGATATTTGACCTCTATATTCTTCCTCTTTCTTAGATGCCTAGCTACTTTGGGATATCTTATGCTAGATTCCACCACTGCAGCAAGGAAGAAGCAGATTCTATACCTCTAGATCTCAGCGAATCGTTAGATAAGTGGATGCTTTAGGACACCGCATACTTGAATCTTCTACCTTGTTCCAAAGCTGCTACTTAGATAAGTGGCTGCTAACAGAAATTAAATACCAGATTCAACTATATTTACAACCGCCTATTAGATAATTTACCTCTAGATTCAAGCTGCTCATCAAAAAACCGGCTTCTCTAACCAAACGCTATGTCAGATTCATCCACTTCTACACTAGTGAAATCGGCACGAAAAGCAAAGAAGAATGAGAGAAAAAACGGAGTAATAATATGGGAATTATTTTCAGTTGCTACTACACCAGAAAAATAGATACATCATACTACCCGCCCACCCGCTACCACAACATAAACTGCCTCTGCGCCGTGACCGGCCTATCAGGCAATTGCACCCAAACCTTCTTGTTCGCTCGCTTCTCCTCTCGATCTTTCGCCTCGCGGAGGCGCGTGCGCTCTTCTTTCAGCAGTACTGTTATGCCTGTGTGTCGAGTCAGGACTGTAGCAGATAGAGAAATATGCGCTCAGTGGAGAAAGGAGAGGGTGGGGGGGTAGAAGGAGGGAATGAAGCGCTGGGGTGTGCTTACTTGTGCTTGGATTATCCATGATATTCCTCTTCTTCATCGCCCGGTAATCAACAGAGTGCCCATACTTTCCCCGGCCAACCCAGGCTTGGTCGACATATATATTACTTAAGTCCTCGATGGTGCGTCTTTTGCCATCCTTATCTCGTACAACAACAGCTTTCTTCGCTTCTCCCTGCCCATCCAGCACCTCCCCCCAGGCACCTTTTCCCCCACCCCCACCCCCTTCTCCTCCACCCTCTCCCTCTCCTTCGCTCCCAGCTTCTCCTCTCCCTTCTTCCCCTTCCCCAACCCCATTCCCCTCTTCACAATAGCCGTACTCCTCGCCAGCACTAAATGCTTGAGCACATCCCTCGCGGCCTTCTTCTTCGAGAACCGCATCTGCACCATCGCCTCCCCGAGCGGCTTTCCTGCAATCTGCCTCGCCAATGGCCCCAGCTTCTTCACGGACGTCTTGAACATCGGAGATTTACTCGTACATTCGCGTTCTTTCTTGCGGATGCTGACCACCGGGGATATGCGGGAGCGGCGGTGCGCTTGGCCGATGATGTGACGGCGGGCGCGGAGGTGGGCGGTGCGTGGGTTGCGGGGTTCGCGTTTTGGAGAAGGGGGAGAAGGGGTTTCGCGCTTGGGGTAGAGCTCGGAGTCGAAGATTGAGCCTGGGGCAAGACTGCCGCGGTCCATTGCGGCGCCGGCTTCATCTTGGGTGGGAGTAGGGGACTGGTCCTGGGACTTGGGTTTTGGATAGAATCTGCGGGTTTTGCCATTGGTTGTGTAGGTCTTTGCGTGGAGGCATTGTGGGATAGGCAGGATGATGGATTGGTGTGGTTGATGGTAGGAGTTGGAGATTGTATGGGGGCGAAAAGTTGGCGCTGTGGATTGATTAGCATTGCTTGCAGAAGAAACTGTGCATGCGATACCTGAAGAGCGCAAACACCTGGAGTATGTCGCCATTGAAAGGTGGGTGCACGGTGCAGAAAATTAATTATATTCAGATGATGGGATGACATCTGAATTCCGCGAAGATCATTGACAGCGGAAAAATATAAAGCCGAGTCCGGGCATCTGCCAAGCCGGATGCCTATCGGGCCTCGATCGGCTTGATCCGTCAATAAGAAAGATGCGCAACAATGACGATGGGATTCTATTTCACTCAACCAGAGACTTTCAAGTGACGCAGACAGACGCAGCAAGTGAGGCTTGAGTAACAGAGCTTACACGCCTAAAGACGCTATCATATTTCAATCAATTCTGCCAATACGCTGTCAATAGCTGTTCTTTTGAGCTATGGAACCCCAACGACTGAGAACCAAGGCACAGAGACTTCGAGACAATCTTGCCCAATCCTTTGACCAGACCAGACAGAACTTCTGGAAAGTCCAGCAGCACAATATCCGGACATTTCGCCGCCAGCCCCTCGCTGAAATATCTGGATCCTTCGGAGACCTAGGCACGCTCCTGCCTTTGATGATCCTACTGACAGAGCAGCATGCAATTTATCTGTCCAGTACTCTTGTATTCAGTGGACTCGCCAACATTGCGACAGGCGTCCTCTTCGGCATCCCGCTGCCCGTGCAGCCCATGAAGGCCATAGCGGCCGTAGCGATCGCACAGCGCTTCTCACCCCAGGAAAACGCCTCTGCTGGTCTCTTCGTCGCGGCCGTGATTGGCCTGCTCAGCATCACTGGCTTGATTCACTGGCTCACCAGACGGGTGCCAGTTCCAGTTGTCAAAGGCATTCAGGTCGGCACCGGCCTGTCTCTTATTAGCTCAGCAGGGAAGCTGTACGACAGCAATGATGCAACTCCTTACATTCTTGTTATTGTCTTCCTTGGCCTCTTGGCTTCTGCTTCCTTGAAAAGAATTCCATACGCCTTGATTCTTCTAGTCGCAGGCGTCATTGCTGTAGTTGTAGGAGAAGCAGCAGTCCGCTATCCGACAGCCTGGCCGACATTCAGCATCTGGAAGCCACGTACCTTCGTTCCTTCAAGCGAAGCTTTTGCCAAAGGTACATTGGATGCAGGCATTGGTCAAGTTCCGCTGACTGCCCTCAACTCCGTAATTGCGGTTACCTTTTTAGCAGCGGATTTACTCCCTGAGGTGCCAACACCCACAGCAACTAGTATCGGACTCAGTGTAACATGCATCAATCTTATCGGTGCTTGGTTTGGTGCTATGCCAGTGTGTCATGGAAGTGGTGGTCTTGCAGCCCAGTACCGCTTTGGCGCACGGTCAGGATCGAGCATCATCTTTCTCGGGCTCGTCAAATTCTTGCTCGGGTTGTTTGCGGAGAGGATTGCAGAGTGGCTATTTGTGTGGTTTCCGAAGGTGTTACTGCTTATTCTAGTCGTTGCTGCTGGTCTCGAGCTCGTGAAAGTTGGTGAGAGCCTGAACACGGACGAGTCGCTGGACCTGCTTCCGCAAGATCAAGAACGCAGTAAGCGAAGTGATCTTGGGATCGGAGGCGACAAGTCTGCGTCAGAGTTGACAATTGACGAGCGCAAGCAAAGGTGGACAGTGATGGCTGTGACAGTTGCCGGCATTCTAGCTTTTCACAACGATGCGATAGGATTTGTTGCTGGCATGCTTTGTCACTGGTCATTTCAGCTACATGATCGATACGAAGCCCATTTGCAGTCTCGACGTGGGCCTATCCAGTTGGGTGACGACTGATCTATCCCTCTGCGTCTTCTTGGTGGATTTGATAATGGTTCGGCAAAACCGTGGATTATTAGCTAAGACACTAACGATTCTTAGTGCATACATTTACCACTCCAAGCATGGACTTCGACACTTCGTTCACCTTGTAGCTGCTGCATTTAGCACTTTGAAACTTCGGACTTTGTTAACCTCTTTGAATCTGACCCACGATATCATTCCTGTGATCTGAATCGTCGGTCTTACTATCGATATTCGGTAAAAGTAGATCATCAACATCATCCAGACTATCGTGATTGTGCTAGGTGTGAGGCCAGCTACAAAGCCAAATCCTAATCAGGGCAACGAACTTCGCTTACTCTTCTCCAACAACACCACGTGTAAACGACGTCAGCTCGACCCAGAACAGCTGCATTTGACCTGAAATCAACCCAATCGAAAGCATCACGAGCTCAATTTGACAGTACACGGACAGATTGTGAAGCTGATACCTGCAGATCATTGACCATTGACCTTGTATGACCCCAGCTCGTAACACCCATCTTTCTCTGACCCTCCTGACTCGCTCATTTACTAGATATCACACACTTAGCCACATCAGATCTTTTGTCACCACCTGTCGCAGCACAGAATCCTCCAAGAATAGCCACGAAAGTACAGTCCACCGTGACATTCATACCGCTAGCTCGTAATCGCACAATCAATCAAGACTCTCGCCAGTTCAAGATGTAAGTGACCATCCCGCCATGCTATCTTCATTATGTACTCTCAACCCGATTCTAACCACCGCTTCCCTTCTTTCTGCCTTCTCTCCGCTCTCTTTCCTACCCTTTCTGCCTCTATTTACACGTCAATCCCGTCCAATCAGGCTGCAATAACTGACTGACTTGGCGAACTAGGTGTGTCGCTCACAAACTCTACTATCGCTGCCTGAAATGTAAGATCCAGATCACGCATGAGGCAGCCTACACGTTCAAATGCGATGGCAAGGTCATCGGGGACGGGTCGGGGTGCAAGGGGGTGACCGGGCAGGACGAATACTATATGTCGGACAGGAACTGCAACGACTGCCAAGACGACATCAATGCCCAGAAGACCACCATCGCCCTCGCGCGCGCGGCGGGTGGGACGTGTCCTTTGACGAGATCCGCCAGAAGAAGAACGGGGAGTAGGGGGGAAGACGGGGTGGAAGTGAAGCAGAAGAGTCGGGGCGGTTGCTTTGTGGCTAGACCAGAGGGCCGCAAGGCCATATTTGCTTGTTTGCTAGATATTTGAGGCAATGGAACCATTGCTCTTCACTTTTATTCTCCTCTGCATCATAAACGCTTTTTTAAATAAGACTGCTTGCACTAAGGCTGAACTAGAACTTCAGCCTTGCAATAGCCTGAACGCTGTGTGCCATTACCGTAGCCAGCCTTGCTATTCACTCCTATCTACTGTTAGAAGTGAAGACAAGGCTGATCTATGCCACTTTCCTCGCTGTCGCCGAGGCGGATCAGGGGCTAGCGAGGTCGACAACCTGATTAGAATCTAGACTCGCCAGCGAGGTAGGTTAGGCGAGACGACAGCGAGGTCAACAACGAGATTGGTAGCCTCATTTACGAGTGAGCAAATGATTTTCAGGCGGCAGCGAGGTCGATATCCTGATCAGAAGCCCGTTTTACCAGCGTAGGGATAGGAAACAGGTAGCAACGAGGTCGACGACGAGATGAGCAGCCTCATTCCCGAAAGAGGAGGTGATTTTCAGGCGACAACGAGGTCGACAACAAGACTAGAAGCCTCGTTCGCTAGCAACAGAAGGAGAAGGAGGCGATAGCTTCATTTTCATCCCGATTAGGAAACCTGGCGTCGCAGGAACGCACTAGAAACGAGCCGATAGCGTCGTTATTACCTTGATTAGAAACCTGAACCGCCGAAAATACAAGGAAAGACAGCCTCTAGCACCATGACCACCTAATTAGGAAGCCTGCGATCACCGGGGTGACTGGAGAGACACGCAACAATGCTATCATCAGACAGGAAAGAGAAGACAGGCGATGAGATTGAAAAAGAAGAGGAGATCTGATAAGGGGCAACGACAGCTTGTATGTCATCTGTGTATATTGCTGCTAGTCTACCTCACTAGACGTAAACAATTCCACCCCAATTGCGGTCTTCTTTTATTGCTCATCTTCTCAAGCCTGCGACAATAGCGTGATCCTTTTCCTTCCCCATCGATGACGGCGGAGAGTTCAAGCCTGAGGACGTAAAGGAGAGGGTAGTTGAGCCTAGGTTGGTTAGCTGCGCCTGATAGCGACGGCGACCTCGTTTTTTGAAGTTCAATATGTTCCCTGCAAGGATGTAGCCATGCGTTGGTTGTTACCGCAATCCGGACGCAGACTTCCGGAAAACGAGGAGAATATGCAGAATCCCGGCCTTAGCAAAGCCCCGAGGAGCACACAGAGCACCTCCAAATCTGGCAGCGTTGGAAAAAATGTTTGTATTTGATTTTGTCTTTCATTTCCAACGGCCAAGGTCCTTGCTATGCTGTCTGAATTCGAAGGCAATCTGAGTGGTGAAAGATTGATGAGGAAGGTGCGGTGCAGGTACCCGTCGCTCAAACACCAACGCTCTGAATTTTCACTTTACTGCTTCAGATATGAGCCAACATCTTCTTTTATAGCCCACCTCTTGTTCCTTGACTCTAGTCGGATATTGTAAGGTGAGCGAGGACCTAGTGAACGAGGATCATCAGCTTCATCAATATGGCGATACGTTGAAGTTCTCAGAATGAGTACCTTTGCTTGTTATTTAATGCAAATCTCCGTCCGTCACGCCCGGCATGCTTGACAGACTCTTGATTGTAGGTGGTGCAAGGCAGCTAGCCGTGGCTCAAACATTTGCGCTGCAGAGTCAATGGTGGGGCCTAATGGCGTGTTGATGTGGTCTTTGTAGTCCATCTCTTGCTGATTGATCAGTCCGTCCGATACGAAAGATTGCGGAAGCTTCCAACTGTGGCTGACTTGCACTTTATTTCTCAATTCCTGCCGGCTAGACAGATTGTTGATTGTGAGTGGTCTATGTAGCAGACAGTCGCTCAACATATTTCCTGCACAGGTAGGGGCATTCCCCTTCAACGTAGCTGAGGCAATCTGTTGTAGTCTAATTCTTGTTGATTGCTGATTGATGGTAGGCATGCATTTGACAAGCTTGGGTCACTGAGATACCTTTGTACATTTGCGAGCGGAGTCAACGGTCTTTCGCTGACGGCTGAACACAGAGTACTGTAGTTCGACATGGAAACTGTAGGCTCAAAGCGAAGTGCCTCAGTTGTAAGTCATCTTGATTTTTTGTGTTCCTATTTTTTCGATTGCTTTGAAATAGACTTCACACGGCGAGCATGCGTTTGACGACTCTGAGTTCCTAAGCGGCTGTTGCGATTGAAGTTTCCATACTCTTGACGATACACTGAAGAGCGGCGGCTCACTCTCCTGGATGGCTATCAAACTGCTTGGCAGGCGCAAATGCTCTTGTCTGAGGCGTCACAATCGATGATCGTATTTGAAGCACGGGAAGGCCCACAAGGGTCCATGTGAGTTTGTTCGGTTGTGGGTATCGGTCTTCATTTTCAGCAGCCCCTCTCACTTCGTAGTTTTGCGGACGGCTTTAGGATAGTGCTAGCCGTAGAGAAATCGATTGAGGTGAGTCGTCTAGTGGTACTGAACATCTGGTTAGCTAGCAGTTTCTGAATATCTTCTGGCCCTGGATCTTTTTTCTGTGGATCGGAGAATGCGGGTCCTGGAGCGGGACTATTTGCTGCTTGAGAGGAGGAATGCTCGAGCGGTGTCGAGCTCACCAGATCCGTGGGATACTTAGTCGGGTACTCCCTAACTCAAGATTTTTCGTAGGTGTCTTTGCATACATAACTTTCTCTCGTGATTGTTGTTTGTTTCTTCTGACAAGCTAGTTGATCCGGATAGTATTCGGGACTGGTAGCAGCCCAATGTGGACGGGAGTAGGGAGTTGGGGCGATGGCATGTAGGTGTGGTGACTCTGGGTCGAGTTTGGTCCTGACACTTTCGTATAACTTCGTGTACCGTATGTGAGCGTAGGTGGAAGTCTTTGTCTCGTGAAGGCTTCAGGCAGGTACCTTTTTCGTGTTTGTTCCCAATTGTGAGTCTATCCCGAATGACGACCCTCAAGGCAAGCGAGATTCTGTAGGTATCCTGAGTGACAAACATGCTCAGTCCAACGTCCTGACGAGGTTCTTGATCTTGTTACATACCCTGGCTTGAGCACAGCCGAAGCAAATTCTGTGGAGACGCGTCAGGCTTTCTCAGAAAGCGCAGAAGTTGGGATAAGCACCGCCAGTGTGAAGAGTGATCGAGGTTTCTACTTGCAGATATGCTAATGAGCTCAAACATAAGACGACATCTCAAACAGATCTCTCATGCTGTTTGATTTGGCTTGCTACTCCGTGCCAAAAAACATTGGCACATGTATTTCTCCCAATTTCCCCCGAACTTGAGGCCGCAAAATGCTTTGCCGTGAGGAACCGAGTCTTCAGATGAGTCTGTGATGCTGTCGAGTATCGAAATGACCTGTAGGTTCTACAATGTGACCAAATTTGCAGGAAATCCTTGGCTCTACGGAGATATTGATAACGGGACTAAGGTCACCGGGCCGCTGCCCAATGATATTTGGCTGTCAATGCTCCTAGAATCAGCAGCGTCTTCTTTTTCCTCAGTGAATCGTCGTGATCTTGCTCATGGACACAGAAATGGTGAGCTTTAGTCATCTGTCTTGTATCGGATTCGAACGTTCAGACCAAAACCGGTTGGTGGCCTCATTGACGAGATGGTCATTGGCTCAGCAGCCTTCATCTAACCCTCCAAAGCCCATTCTGGATCAGATCACGGCTCATTTGGCGACCAAGCGGCGAGCCCATGAATCGATTGCCTTAATTCACAATCTTCAAAACATGCAGATACACAGCGTCCCGAATGTCACAATGGATTACCCCATAAGCCGTTGACCAGCAGAATCCTCACCTCGCCTAGCCTCTTCACATTTGTGAGCTTTCGACACCTGTGATAACGCACCACCAAAGGATTCGTCAAGCGCTCACTGCTGGCTCCTACCTTCAGGGCAGACTCGCACTCGTCAAATTTTGAGATTGAGGGAATCCTATTTATCCTGACATGCTGTGAGTCAATAGATCTGGGCTTCTTCTCGCGAGATGTGACCCTCAAGTCCAGGAACTGACATGGAAACAACGTCATCTCCTTGCTAGGTATAGGAAGTCTGATCAAATACCTCTCCTCTGCCTCTTGTCGATGACGAGATCGCTATGTCTTGAACGGATCACAACGTCAATAATTTGGTGGGAAATCCTTCGCAGAGCTTCAAGCACTACTCGATGATCAATGTGCGTGTGCATCATGTACAAGCAGTCAAAGGGTTCCTTTCTCCTCGCCGGAAAGGATTTGCATCTACTAGAGACAATTTCACGTTCTCCGAGGTAAGAACAGCGACATCATAGGCCTTGGACGAGTTTTTCTCATTCATTATGTTCTAATATTGAAAATAGTTTAAGAGAGATGATCAAAAGAACTTGAACCGGATTTGAAGACACATTTGAGGAGCTTGTCTTTGGGAAAATGAAGGAGTCTGTGTGAGACTCCAGTTCCTGCAGTCAGAGACACTGTCAGTCTTGGGGGAGACACGCAAAAGGGGCGAGCTCGACTACTGTCTGAAAGGATGATCACCTTATACTGAAACGACTTCTGCACACACGGAAGAGCCAAGGCTCATGACAACTCTGAATAGTCGACAAACAAGAGCCTTAAGATAATCTAAGTCAACTTCTATAGCTACAACAGAAGTCCTCTAGTCTGCAACAACGGGACCCGTTCGAAGACTGAGTTAATCGTTACCGCTTTTGCATGGGAAACTACGCAACAGAACACATGCAACAGGCCACTGTCGGTATATCTCTTCACTAGTTCGTGTTCCTCTTACAAGTCTTATACGACGTCTCGCTGATAACTCATTGTTAGGAAAATTACCTACCGCATTCTCGCTATCTACGAGATTTCCAATGCATGCAATGCAAGCAATGCAAGCAACGAGCTGCCAGTTCCAAAAAAAAGGCCGAGAAACTACGAAATGAATGCACATCCACTTCACATACACTACGACTGTGAACGAAGGTGGCTTTCAGATCTGCAAAGACACGAGACGAATCAAACATTTGGACAGAATGATGCAGGAACTTGAGATACTCAGAGTGAGAATGCTTTCAAAGATTCCGCAATTGATTGATGTTTATGGGTAACTCAAGATTTCAGTGAAACTAGAAAGGCTTCGAAATATATGGTCAAGCATAGGCTGTTGTCTACTTCAATGCCTTATCACCCAGCTTCATACACGCTCTCCAGCATTTCAAAACTTGGCAAATTCTCAAGAGGACCCACAAGATAAGACGAGATGATCACAGCTCTGAAATTTACAACGCAAGGATATATTCTACACCTGCAGGTCTTACCGCCGCAATTCCAAACCATCACGCCTTCCAAAATGTTGAACGAAATACACCTATGGTAATCTCAGAGCTGACTTTTGGAACAAGAGCTAAAGCCAAGCTCATCCAGGCAGGAAAGATGAGGAGTACCTAGCCAAGGAGACAATGGGAGCGAGGTATTTAGCTTGGGACAATGTGTTCCATTAATGCCTTAGTCCGCAGCTAAGCTCTACAGTGCACAAGACACAACATACTCCCGTCCATCGTGATACTAGTGAAATCAGAGATTTGCTTTCAAGGACAGCTACACCGTCATGTTATCCCATTGAAGGATTTCCGAGAGCGATGCATCGCAGCTCCAGTAAGTTGGACGCTAAGTATATCCAATGCAGCTTCACGAGAGTGGCACAATTGTGGTCGCTGAGCCGATGAAGAGGCTTTCAGCTTTCAACATTACGTGGACATCCCATCCACCCGACCACGTTCATAATGGCAGCTTGCGCAGCTTGCAGGACGAGGATGCTAGGTGTTCCTCAACAATACAGCTGCACTAGAATATCATCCATGTCACTCATGCCCACTGCCACACCCTATCATATTTCTCAGTCCCGTTCATATCTTCCTCCTCCTTACCCCACTTTACATATACTAATAACAACTCACAGACGAATCAGACCCAGCCTCTTCCTCCGATAAAGCCTCTCCGACCGCGAAGTCGACTTCAAATCCCTTTTCAACTATTAATACACTTTTCTCTCTTATCTTGAATCGACTGGCGTACAAGCCTACCCTAGCTTGACGGCTGAAAGAGTGGAGGACTATGGCAGAGACCTGGCAACTTCAAAGTGTACGATCCCGGACACGAGAAGATCGAACCAAAGAAAGAAAATACAGACCGACCGTTATCTAACATTCATATTCACGAAACGTATTGAAGGGCCTATCTCTGTCACTCCCGGCTTGCCGTACGAGATTAACGAGCTAGGGATGATTCTCCAGTGCGTTCTATTAGTGATAGGGATGCAGCAACAACGGAAATTATGCTGCATCATTCACGGAAAGCTTTGTTACGCAGGGACAGCCTTCTCAGAAGTACCTAGCACGATCAACGAACATCGTGTTCCGAAGCTGAATTGCTTCGACTTATAAGACCCCGGTGCTTATCTCGCGGACCCTGCCAAAAGCCTCTCTTGTCTACTACGGTCGTCTTTCAGCCACAACAATATATCCGTACCTTTCAAGAGCAAGGGCTTTAAAAAATCGAGGAGATCCATTTCCAGCCCGGCGGAATAGAACATAGATGATTCGTGAATAGGCTTGGTACGGCTACCCGACTGGAGCGTGCGGCCGGCAGAGGATTTGGACAGTCAACCTTACTCATAAGCACGCCACTCCCATCACTTACGCGTGAGGAGGAGACTGATTGCCTGGAGGATCATTCAAGATTTTTACAGCTTCTTAATGCCCAACCTAAAGCGTACCCAGAGAAAGATTTGGCGAGGTGACGGCAAAAGTTGCACTGACTCTCGCCGAGTTGATCCCTAAGGTAGCCGTGCATCATTAGCGCGACAATCAGTACGGAGTCTCGGAAAGTCGATAGAGTAATAGAGCCTTGACGTAAGTATACCCCGGAACAGAATCAAATCTACCTTGGTTGAATAGGGATCTTGCCATGTTAAGTATTTGTGGCTACTACGACCTTACGAGACATACTCATAACTCTGGCTTAGACCAGTAGCTCCTGTTGACTGCCAGAGAGTGAACAGCAATTTGGCAACCTCATCGTCGAACTTAGGCTTCAACCCTCGTGCGCTGGCGATGCAGAAAAGCCCAAGAGTCCAACTTTTTGCTGCCGCCGACTCTTCTGATCTTGCTTACGGGTGGGTCAGGCCGATCACCCAAAGGCTCAGCGCGGCGATTGATCCAGGATTCAGCCCCCAGTTTACAGCATCAGGTCGCCGTTTCGCATGTGAGATCGAAATCAAGGCTATCCCCAATATGCAAAGATTACGGGCAGTGAACGTTCGTCACATTTGATAATGATGCAAAGATGGTACTTCATGGACGTTGTCTCTGCATAACATCCAACGAATGACCTACATGACAGCCCTTGATTAGATAGCCTTTAGTAACCACCCTGCCCCTTTGAAGGCACTATTCTTGACGGATCTAGTTATGACGCGAGCAGTCCTTGTGACAGCTTCTCACATTAGGCTCAACGCAGCCTGCCTGTTGACGAATGCCACCCAAGACCCAAATCAGTGATCAGTTGTCATACCCATCATCGCTATATTCATTGTCACCTGCAACGGAGAGCAGCTATAGTACAGAGGTACTATATCGCAGTCAACGCAATCACGATGGTGAGAGTGCTGTGATTTCCCCGGAAAGCACAAGGGAACTAATGATCGTTCCCCTTGAAAGCAGAAGGAATCCAATGATTAGCTGGCGTCTGCTAAGGAGGAACGGTTCCTGCAGCTGGATGTGCAGGGTCTCGTGGGAGGGGGGGCATCTCACAGGGATCCTGCCCATGTAGATTGGCCAATCTTGCCGCAAGGATCTCACCGCGCCCTACTTTCCCGCCCTACTGCTCTTGATGACTCAGCGAACCCCAGAATCACAGTGGTCAATCTTGTCACCGCTGATCCTTATTTCGGTATTAGATTCGAAGAGCAGGATAAGCACCGATTGGCCGTACCAACCGTAATAGACGCTACAGTCAGGCAGCTCTCGTCAAAAGGCTGGCCGTCAAAGATGTTTGACGCCGCGCTTCACCTGGCTGCCGAGCGGCGCCTTGCTCTATGATCGATTTAGTGTGAGGAAAGACAGCACACATGTTACAACAATGCCTTCGGCATCGCAATTACTTAAGGATCACCCGGTTGCTGGTCGCTCCTACTTTCAACTACAGAATTTCTTACGTCCACTTCCGCAAAGCACCGGTCTGGTATTTCTTATTCATCACTCTCTAGAATTCCATCAGTTCTGACGTCAGCCAAGTTACTATCCTCGAGTTTTGGAAAGTCCCATTTCGCCAGTCGCGTGCTTCCTGTCTCCGTAAGGTCAGACTGTAATCGCATCAAACGAAATCCTCCCACGACGACATCAATACACCTGGAGGGATTCAGAACGTCAATGTATCCGAAGACCGCTCATGGACATGATGCGTCTCGAGCGAAGAAGGATACTCACACCTTAGAGATTGATAGTTCTTATCGGTCGCGCGTACAGAACACCTCAATTCCAGGAGTGCCAAGTAATTCCAATAATGCCGACCCAGTGAGTGCAGCAGTTCTGTCACATAAGAGATGAGACTGAAGACGTGAAAATTCAAATAATAACGAACTCTATCAGGTATATCATCAGCATTCAAGAACAGCATTGACCCCAAATAATCGTCAAGGATTGCGCAATCCTGTGGATATGTGCCCGTCTCCATACATCCAATCCAGTTCAGAAATGATCCCGAGCTCTGGCACACACCCGATCTCAAATGCTGCTGCTTACATCGAAGGATCGAGTCACTCAAAGCTTGGCCCAAATTTTTATCAAGAAAAGTGTGTCCACAAGCCCGCCCTATCCGCAGATCCTGCGTCCTTTGAACGTCTCTACAAAAATCAAAATACAAGGGAGTTCGCCCCCGCAACACTGTACGCTGATGAAAGACAGTCTCACAATGATGACCAGCACGCTCTTAGGTTTGCAGAGCCAATGCTTGATACGTGGGGTAAGTGTATCGAGCCCACTATCTCTGGATATACTTCAAGTGCTGGAAGGACAGAACATTCCTCACTGGATCCCTTGATGCAAACAGGAGCCAGGAATCCATATCAAGAAGTCCAAGCCAATCCTGAAAATGTCGGAGTGATGTGGAATCCTCAGTACAGTGACTATAGTCATTCGAGTCCAAGGTTTCTGGAAGACCCTAGTCACGCGATGTCTGAGCATGTGGTAATGTTGCCAGACGAGCAGATTGGATCTCTGCAAAACATGGGCAGTCCCTCTCATTTTGGTGGAATTACCCCACAGGGTAATCAAGGTCATGCTCTTCCACAGCAGAGGACGGATACTAATTCCCACTTTCCTGGGAAGTATCTCATAAATGACGAGGATGTTATTTGCGACCGACAGGGCTATGATCCCAGTGAGGAGCCTGCCGAATTGAATGCCTATCCAAAACCCACCCGCCAGAGATACGACGCGGCAGATCCCGTTGGAAACCCTCATCATTGGTCGCAGAAATCCAAAGTCGCACCAATACCTTGTTCTCTTTCTTCAATTGGTAAAGGCAAGCCCTCGAATTCTTCCAATGGCAGTTCATTAGAGGAAAATTTCCTTCCCAAGCCACAGGCCGCCCTGTCAAAGGACTGGCAGCAGGACGAACTTTCGGCTTCTCAAGAGGGTCTCAAAAGACAAAAGTCGAAGACAAGCCAGCCTCCAGTGAGACGCCAATTGACTCCAAATGGAAAGAAGGAGGCTTCCATGAAGCGTCAGCTGGGAACTGTGTGTGATCATCACCGCAAGACTAAGACGAAATGTATTTGCTACTCGCGAGAGACGTTGCAAGAGCAGTGTAAAAGACTCCACGACAATGTGAGCCAATCTTTATTCTTAGTGCATCCGAGAGCAATCTGAAAGTCTAACAACCGACTCAGAAGAACATCTGAGCGGACAATACTCACGTTATCGTTCTCGATATAGAAAATCTCAGATCTTCAACCCTCGGCTGAGGCTGAAAGCATCCAAGAAAGACGACAGCTTCCTCCTCGCCCTTCGCCTCACTGATCAAGCATCAAAATTAGAAATCTCTCAAAAAAAAACTTGTAACATTTTCACCTGCATCTAACGACTTCGCTGTATATTTACGCACCATCTCATAACGACTCATCGCACTCAGAGAACAATGACCGCAAGGGACTTTTTCATCTCGTCACTTTAGACCGTCCTTCTATTGCATAGATCGGAAAGCTGTTGGAATGGAGCTGAATGAGGAGGATGTATTAGGATGTAAGCAGGTGATGATTCACAGTCCAGCTCTTCCACACCAAGCGGGATCCCATTCATGTACAAATCGGTACAAACTTCATCATGTATGATTCCACTACTCAATTTATTCAAGATTTTAGTTCATGCGATTGTTCATGTAGCAATGCAAGACATTAGTCGAGCAGCTACAAATGAACAAGAATTGTGGGTTAAGCATGTATACTTTTCGGGACTGTGACAAGAAAAGACTCTTCTCTCGCCCCATTAATATCGGCTGAGCGACTAGGAATTCGCTCAAAGTATCTTCGAAGATTCCTATTCATGGCTCTTCTGGCTCAGGGTCATGGAACCTTATCAGCTTCTCTGCACTTTCTGCCCGGAAGGCTGTGCCAACCCAAGTAATTCGCAGGATTGAGAGAGCTACCCACCATTGGCTAAGTCGGACGAAGAATGTGACGTACGAAAATACCACGGAGATGCAGGAAATGGTTGTCCAGATACGGCGTTGAGGATGCCGCGAAGCGCTGAAGTCACGCGGACATGCAGTCACCAAAGCGAGTTGACTTGGCCCTGAGAAGGGGCGCCGAATGGTATGGCGAGCATCAATAAACGTCCGAGCGGCGTCTTTGAAGATAGGAGATAGAACTTCGACCTCAGCAACGATCTCCTGCTTTATCAACGCCAATGGACCCATGGTGGAGAGTACGATTCCCAAATAGCCAATACAACCCATTAGGAGAGTTTGAAGGTCAAAGATATATGAAGTCGATAGTGTGCCAGCTATCTGTACACCCATAACATTAACGAACAGCATAAAAGCGGCGGTGAGTTGAAACTTCTCCTTGTTGTCATCCCTTCTTGTCAAACTGCTGTTTGAGATGGACTAATTGCAGCTGTTCTGAGACTTAACAATGCGCTCTCTGAACGGCGGAGTGTGTTTAAGAAGAGCCTCACCTCGCCTGTCCAATTCCCGACCAATGACTCATTGCAGGAGTGGAGGCCCGCTTAGACGGATTGCTGATACCATAATAGAAAGTATGCCGAGCGGAGCAGCGACCATAGGCCACATTGAACGTCCTGGAAGAGAAAACCCAATAACGTCATGCAATTGCAAACAGCACTTGAACCCATGATACATGTCAGGCAAAATGGAACGTCTTTATTGATTGAACTTTATCTGGTTTATGTATGAATTTGCATGTTGAATCGGAAAGGCGAAACAGGCTTCTAGCCGCTTTGAAAGCTCATCAACATCGTCATGACCAAATGGAGACTTGATCGGTAAAGCTCCGGTCCAGACTAGTGCGGCAGCCCTATGATACTTGCGCCTTGGTACAGTGGACGAAAATCACCAAGCTAACGCCAATAGTGATAGCGGAGAGTCATACTCGTATGACATGGATCTCCCTGATCCCGCTGCCCCAAATACAGGGGTTGAGCTGACTGGTAGGGCGCCATTAGGTACTGCGGACATTCCTAGGATGCGCTAACCCCAACTCACCGCGGTTGGTAGGGTAAGGAGGACCCCCTCTTGGCACTACCCCCTCTACAATGCACACACGCTATTACTAGTGGTTCGGGTGAGGCTCAACGCAATTGCCCCTGGAGGGCCGCCAAAAGGCATTGGTTAGTTAGGTGCTAGGTTTACAGAGAGGGTTAGCAATGGATAATTTTCAATGCATTATTAAAAGCGTTCTTGAGTTGTATCAGTTGTTAAAGGGTAGTGTGTCTGCAGTTTGAGGGGTTATGCCAAGAGGGGGGTCCTCCTTATACCAATCGCCCCAACTCACCCAATTTCAGGGCCGAAGTGAGCCGAAGTCAGCCGGCTAGATCCGCAATGGGCGAGCCCAATTGCTAGATAAGATCATGCCTCCTAGCGTCTTCCATGGAGTTCTTTGAAAATTTAGAGGAACTTTTCTTTTAGTAAAAATTCGCTGCGATGGTGCACTTCAATTGGGCTCGATTCCCCCATGTCTAGAATACTAAAGCAGTATTCGAAGGTTGAAGTGCTTCATTCCAGTGGGGCTAGGGAGCGGAAGGAACGCAGGAGGACACGGAGCGCTAATCCATGTTCACCGGGTTTGCGCTGATTTTGGATGGTAACAAGGCGGTGGCTGCGAAGGATGCTTCACCGTGTTACTCCCGGCGAATGGGAACTCCTGAATACCCACCGTATAGAGTTAGGTAGCTTCCACGGACTCCCTGGCTGCATGAACTTACACTTGCAGAAAGACAAGCTTCATTTAAAACGGTTCTGCTAAACTACTTTGAGTATTTACTCCACATCGAAGGAGCTCCCCTATCGCCATTCGGATTTGGTCGGTTCTTTTTTGGGTTAGTCTGTGTGCGACCCTCGCTCATAGCAATGAATGTAATGCTCAATGACGGCACTGCCTTCTTTGACAGCGCACCCATTCTCAGAACGAGGAACGCAAGCCACCCTCGTGTGCACTGCCCGTTCTCACTCCTGCATCAACTCGGTGCAAGTGATTTTAAGGTCCCGTCCCTAACAGAAGCCACAGCACTAGGAGAAAAAGCCTCGTGGGCCATGCACACTAACGTGTTCTGCCTTGGTCTGTGCTCCGGCAAAGTCCACCCACCGTTAAGATCGTGGAACTCAATTCTTCCCGGCATACACACCCCTTGGCCAGGCCATCTGCAGTGAGATTTGAATGATTGCTTGACCATGCGTCAACCTTTGGGTCGGTCTCTAGCGAATACATACCCTCATCATAAAGGATTAGGTCTCCAGGCTGGAAGTACCCATTATACTTGATACGTCCTATGTAGGTGGATGCACTGGAATCTCTAAGGAACGGCCCGAATCGCGAGACTGTATCTTGCGGCTGTAAAGGTGGAGTAGCGTGCGTGGCAGGTGGAGCCTACCACGTCAAGGATCATCGGTGAAGCTCCCTTCATGCAATGCTTCTCATGCATTTAGTTCTCGCGATACCTCTAGTGCTCTTGACTCTGACGCTACGATGCGCCAAAAGCAAGGGTAGTCTATCGTTTACAGACATCCGCATACAATGCTTCTATGCTACCCAACCGGCACCTGACCGGGAGGCAGTCGCCGTCGCCGTCGCCCAAAGCACGGCCCTGCACGCCTTGTTATTGTCCTCGCTCCTGCCACTCGACGAGAAGCATCCAGGTCTATTGGCTGCTTCATGAATCACCTCCTAGCAGTCACATGTCTGACAAGCAATATAACCTTCGTATCCGTCATTGCAATCACGTAACATCATCGACGGAGGGTGAGAAGTCTTGTCGAATCGTTCTTGCCGTCTCGGTGAGCCTCTGGCTCCACCAGATTGAGTATATGAGGATCCAATCTCCCCGATCCTGTCAATTTGAACGTTATGCGCCCATCTTGCAATATTGCTTGTTGCACGTCTCGAGCAGCACTTGCAGGCAGATAAATGCGATCATAGAAGGAAATAACACCTCTTTGTTACTGTGCTATTCGACCTAGAGACTTCGCCTTCGGAGGAATCTTCATAGTGTTCCGACTAGGGCATCGACACCGCGACATGAACCATGAGTCATCACCTTCGAGCTTTGAGCATCCAGACGACTCGCTGTCGCGGGAGGAATGGACTTGGCCCCCTGAATTTGAGGGTAAGCACCCGCTCCCGTTGAGCTTGTCACTTTAAGGTTGGATTCCCAACGTAACGTGCATCCGCTCTCATGTTCGGCGCTGGAATACTCCGCCGGGCGACTCGACGAAGAAAATCCGTCCAATCGCAAATCATGAGAAGGCCATGACCCCATCTACTTTACTTCTACCTCACCTGAAGACACAGGGCCAATATGATTTCGAGCTGTATGTAGGAACGTGACTGATTGGTTTATGATGATCTAAGAAGAGAGACATCGTTTGTGTTTAGGTGGCTGAGATTACTGAGAAGCCGAGAAAGGCTACAAGCTCTACGCGGCAATTCTGCTTTCCATCACACCAAGTTATGAATCTTTACGCAGACCTTGAAAGCTGACACAACTCACAGCTTCAGGAATGATGAGCCCACCTTCGAACGCAGCCAATTCAAAGGCCCTTTCGAACTCCCAAATGTACGGCACCCCGAATGCTGTCAATTTCCCAAGCAGCGAAATCTATCTGACGAACGACCCTGCCTTCTACCAAGAACCTGGTTTCATACAGCAGCCGTTCAACGGTATGGGCGATAGTTTCATCAGCAGTGTAGATAGAATACCATTTCCAACGTACACTGATGATGCAATATTGGAAAGGGGCCAGGGAGGACTATATGAGAGTGATCGAGCCCATGAGTCTTCCGGAACAAATGCCCACATGTATTCCAATGCCCCTGGAATATACGACACATTCCAAGAGCCTCGCGCGCAAGCGTCTTCATTTTCAAACGAGTTGATGCAAACCCGTGCCAATGGTACGGCAGGTTACCAATTGAGAGAAATTGACATCGACTCGGCGAACCCGACAATCTTCGATTCCCAGTCTTTTACAGTGCCTGAAAATCTGTCGGCATCATCAATCCGTCAAATACGTCCGTATTTCATCCCGAATTGTCCACTCGGTCAATCGGCAACCTTAGACACGGATTTCCAGACAGATAACCAAACTCAACAGTCTATCTATACCACTTCACCTTACCCGGAAGGCGGCGATTTCAATGATGCGGACCCCCTTTCAAGCGTGGTTATGACCACTACTGGTTGGTATAACGGTCAGGCACCTTTGAATTTCGAGTCTCGGTCTCAAAGTCGCAACCTAGACGGGGACTTCACGCCAAATCAGCCACCGTATCCGAGGCCTGTAACATCCAATTGTGAAACCTCATATGATAGAGAGAAATCTCTGAACGCCCTGCACAACTTGCAATCGGTCAGCGCGACTAAGAAGCTGCAGAATGAGGAGTCAACTGGGTCTCGGGATGACTCATCTTCTTGGCACCAGGGTCCAAGAAAGCCAAGGCGGAGGCCCACCCAGCCTTCGGTGAGGCGTCAATACCCGCCAGCAGAGAAGGAAGAAGTTGCTATGAAACGCATAGTAGGAGTCTGTGAGAAACACCGCATCGCAAAGGCCAAATGTGATTGTCTCTCACTGGAGACGTTGCAGGAGCGCTTCCGAGAACTCCAAGGCAACGTAAGTTCAGAGCCCTATTGACATGTACAGCTGAAGGGTTTGATCATCTAACAACCAATCCAGAAGAGCAAATGAAGAATACAGCACTCGCATAAGTGTGCCAACATGGGCACCCTGCTGCCTTCGACACCCAGTTACAGGCTGCAAGAAACAGAGGCCGATGCCAACACCTTCCTCGCCGACCTCCTCTTCGCCAACTCCCCTTTCGCTAAATCCTTCCTCACCAACTCCTCCCCCTCAACACCTCACTTACCAATCATCATCAAACACCAAAACACAACAAAGCCCCCTTCCCCCCCCCTCCCCCAAGTATGAATCGTCCCACCCGTCTTTGTACATTTACACATACAAGAACTCCATTACGACAAACCCCATTTCAAGACACCAACCGCAAGGGACCTCATTCATACTGTCGACTTCGGATCAAAGTTTCCTGTATTTAGATTATAGTAGCATTGTTTTGAACTTGAGAATTGAGCTGGAAGTTGAAGCGCTCGCGAGAGAGCGAGGAGGAAGTGCGGGAAAGGGGTTGCAAAGCCATTCCTTTGGGTGGCATTTGGGTAAGTGCTTAAGGTGTGTGGAGGATGCGGCTATCAGGGACTTGAGGACACGGGTTGGAGTGGCAGTGAACTTGGAGGGAATGTGGGATGTGTTTGTATTAGTTGCGTTCATTATGATTTGAATGGAGGGTTTGGATGAATGTATTTGAGATGGTGGATTGTGAGCTGCAGGGCAGTGCTCGATCTATACTCGATGATGAGACGAAGGCAAAGACTATGAGTTTTGAGTTCGTACTGGGCAAGCAGAGATTGAGCGGGATTTCTCAGTCGATATCTTGGTTATTTGTACAGTACTATGCACAAAGGAGTTCATTCGGTAGAGACTGTTGTGTACAAGCCAGCAGATTAACAGTATCAATCTTCAGCAAAATTTACAAGCCAAGCTCATCGCGTATCCAAGAAATGTCCAACTCATCCAATGTAGCCAGGCTCTTGGCAAAACCCCTCCAGTCCCGTCCGCTCTACAAAGCCCCGCTCTAGGACTCGCAAAGCGTAATCCCAATACTAGACCCCGCCCCACAATAAAGCACCTTCCCATTCGTCGGATCATGGAAAACAAACGGGCAAACCGCATGAGTTCCAGGAGGCTTGCAATTCGGCTGCGGGCACTTCCCATTACTGGAAGTGACATCGTACCCGAAGGGGCCAAAGGGGTTGCCATTGACGCTGCTGACGTCGTACGCGACGCGCCCGTCGCTCGTGTGTGTATATTCCCATTGGAGGAGGGGTTTGGCGACTTTGCCGGGGGTGCGGCCGATCTTGATGGAGCGCCCGTTGTTGACGGTGGAGTATTTTTCGGAGAAGGTGCCTGTGTGGGCGGCGAGGGTACGTTCGGCGGTGCAGGTGGCGGGGTTTTGGCCGCAGACGTAGAGGTAGACTGGGAAGTTGCCTGAGTGGTGTTAGTGTTAGTTGTGGGGGGTATCGATGGAAAAGTCTTTTGATGGCACGGAAGAACTTACAGTGGTTGCGGACGTTAGCTGCACCAAGAGCCGCAGTGGACTTTTCGAGACTGTCGTCTGGGACGGGTGCGTTCTCTTCGATGCTGACTTTGGGTGCGGAGGTCGCTGCCGCAGTGTCGGTGATGGATGCTAAGGTTGCGGTGTCATCGACTGGTGCTGCGAGAGCAATGCTGCTCAGGGCGCCAAAGGAGGCGAGGACTGTCATAGGATACATGGCGGGTTAGTTCTGTAGGTTTAGAAGTCCTGGGTCAAGCTCTGTGTTGATAGGGTAGTGATATTTGCGATTTTGGAATGATGCTGGCATATTGTGAGCGACTTTACCCTCTTATATATGTTTTCAAAGGTCCAAATATGATGTTGTCAATCTCAGTTTACGCGCAGCTTCGGCGGTCATACGTAAACCTGAGCGAGGCGCCATCGAACCATGTTTAGAACATGAATCGAGCCCGAGCAGGCGCAGCATAGACTTGGAGTTGATCGGCGTGAAAGGCTTGATAGCCTCGCCCACGAAGCAGAGTTACAGTGCAATATGCAGGTCTCTCGCGAATGCATGTTCAGATCCTCATCCATCGGGTTGACACAAGTAAGCCAGCCCACGTATACAGCTTGTTCCGAGTCTTCTTCACGGCAGAGTTGCATTCTGAAGAACATCTCAGCTCTGAGTACCATCCATGTAGGAAGAAATGAAACATTGACAGTATGACGCAACTACAACTTCGTGTGAAGGCTGTGCTCCGCCAATGTCTCTCGATACGAATACCTACGCCGTGAAAGTGTAGCCACAGCACAGAGTAGCCACTTCCAGGATGTGAAGGTATCGTATCAGTGAATATGAGTACTCCAAGGCATGTTGGTAGCATACGCAATCCGAACAAGGTGTTTCCGTGCCAATGCAGGATTATATGAGTGGGAGAGTGTATTCAGCAGCGTAGTGTAGATTGTCTTGACAAGCGAGGCCGCAGCGCGCGGCCCGTCCTAATTGGGACAATAACCGAAGGCGACGTAAGCCATAGGATCAAAAAGCTCCGATGAAATAGAGCTTTCATTCGGTAATTTGCGGCTAGGTACTCGTGTAATAGCATCAGCCATCAGCCAAAGTGAAACATCGCCAAGACAGTGGAGAAGTCAGACATTGCTAAGCCGATCTGATTCGCGTTGAAGGAAGGTGTATCAGGATTCGGGATTCTGTTCCGCAAAGTTGGCCTGCAAATTATTCGGCTTGGCGACCTCAGCGTCTGACTCTAGAACCATTCTAGACTGCCAACGCCATCCATCTTCAGGGATAGTCGTCCGCACTTAAAAGATCTAGCCTTCTCGGAGTAGCCATGCAGCACCTGTAGGGGCTGTGTACACTGGCTGACATGTCCGCTCGATCCATGACTTGAGAGCCTTTTCTAGACAGGCTTTCTTGCATAGTCTAGCCGTAAGCGTGAAGTCCAAGGGAGTTGTCGGAAATGAGAAGAAGGTTGAGCCTGGCTAGATCAACCTTGATCTGTAGCGTGCCTGCTTTCAGCGAATCACATCCCTGTGCTAAGTCGTGAACAAAGATGCTCGTGAAGACACGCTGCAAGGTACCAGTGCTCTGCCAATTGGCGGAAGATATCAACCGGGGTTGCATCTCTGTCAAGCAATCTTTCAATGCCAAAGTGTTAGATCAGCGTTATCCCTTTACTCGAGATTTACGCTGGAAAAGTACACTGATGTAGACATTCCTGGTGTCGGCGACTCCGTGGAACGTTCTGCGAATCCAGCATGACACTCGCCCAATGTTATTTCCACGAATCCCAGGAGCCTCTGAATCCCCGATGCTGCAATACAATGTCCTCGAGATTGTGATTTACCCGTCCACTATTTGCAGCCATTTTTCGCGTGCTTTGAATAATGTGCATGATAGCTGTTTGCGGGCCTGCCTTTGGTTCCCATCATTGAAAGGCTCCAAAATTCCACCATTGGATTCAGCAACATTCTTCTTTGCCTCCAAGATGGATCACAAGAAATGTCTCAGACCAGAACTATGCGGCTATTCTTGATTCCGTATGATCTCCAGTCATGTAAAAATAAGTGAGACATCTCAGCGGTCTCAGTCTTTGCCGTTCCAGAAGGGGAAGATATATCGTCAACAACGTTCTCTTCTGATGATAACACACGCCTGCATTTCTCAAGTGGCGAGAAACTCCAAGCGCCGACGTCCGGCACTGATACCAATCATTATAACAGGTGAATATGAACAGTCTTTGAGAGATAGTCACCCCATTGTTTCCCGTTGTCACGCTTATGCGATGCGCTTGTATTCGAAGCTTACACAGAGACTCAAACTCAGCTTGAATGCTTATGTGCCAATGCCTCGCTTTTCTGCTTCAAATCTCGCCTCGCACCACAATTCATCGTCCATGATGTTAATTTGGCGACTTATTTCCCCCTGCTGTCGTGACACATGCACATTGAGCGAAGTCTTACTCTCCTTTCTGGCTGCCTCTCAAATCTATATCGGACAGAGTGAAGTTGGATGACTCCTTTGATGACTTAATATCGGTAGACGAACCATCTGATATGGGCTATTTAACGAAGTTATTTTTCTTGACGTTCGGCCTGACCTTCGATGTCCATACATTCAACGTCCCACTGGTCGAGTCCAAGCCAAATACCAGCACAATGTAAGTTGAACCTGTATTACCAGAGTGAGATTTCTGATTGCAAGATTTGAAATAGAAAGGGTGTCTCTTTAGGTCTGCCTCTGGATCCTCGCCATCCTCCCAATATCTTTGTGGACCCTTCTCGTCAAGGTCAAAGTTCCATACCTGCCGGGATGCTCATCTTCACCTGGCTCTGGGAAGTCTCGAGACAATGGGCTGTTCTTCACCCGGATGTCATCTACTACTCAACCCACATCACAAATCAAATCTTTCCAGTAATCGATATTTTTATTGTTCCTGAAACGAGCAAAAAGGGTCAACTGAGCACTCAAATCTTTGTCTGGGCGCTCCTCACAGCTATTCATGCTGTTGATCTTTCTTCGCCTGATGACGATCCTGAGTCCACCAAGAAGGATCCGTACTTAGTACCAAGTTTCACTATCATCTATCAGGACAATGTTCTTGGCACATTCAGAACTACCATGGTGTCTTCCACCACCAACGACAGCGCAATTGACATCGATCCTAGTCTAGAACAAGACGCCTCTCTAGGCATTTCACTCGATTCGGAGTTCACCGGACAAGCCATGTCTATGAAAGGTATTCTTCTAATTGTGTGGCGTCTTCTCAGGGAATTGTGGGCCTTCCAGGCGCAAGCTACGGTCGGATCACGATATGGAGCAGGTAGCCGACTAGAAATGACCTTTCCGGAAATGAAGAACTACGTGATTATGTTGGCATTGTATGATGTAGGACCTCCAACAAATCCGGTACTCTGGAAAGACCTTGTGAGCGCTGTGACATTCGCACTTCTGGAGCCGATAAAACGTAACAAATGGCAAAGTTGCGTGTCCACACTTAGCAAACCAGGCGTGCAGGACTTCGCGAAACTTGCTTGGTGCGTGCCGGCTCGGCCTGGTGGAGGATGCCCTGGGATTGATGCTTCAGATGCTGCTATCACGAATACCACCCAAATCAAAACTAGCTGGGCTGATCAGTCGGATAGTACGCAATAGAAGCCTACGATAGAACGTAGCGTCAGACATTAAACTTTGCTATGAGTGACGCTTTGCCTTTCTGATTTCGCTTCTTCCGCAAAGATGGCGTATCACCGTGAATCATAATTCTGCTTCGATTCAAGAGATATAAATACAATGACGGTGTCGAAATGACGAGGGAAAGCTGAGAAGCTTTTTGCATCGGGGATTCGACATATTTGAGCATAAATGTACTCCTCGCCCACCGTAACTCTAATGCTTGGCATTCAACCTCTTCCTCCCGAAATCTCCGACCCAAAACTCCATACATCTATCCCCAGCATAGACTCCTTCTCAATTTTAACGCTCTCTAATCACACCGACACCCACCATGACCCTCGCCAAATAATCCCCTACCCTCCTCCTCACCCCCACCTTTCCCCTCCACCTCCATACCATCTCCCAGCGAACAATGTCCGCCCCCTCCCCACCCTCACCTACCTCCCCCACGCCATCTGAAGACGCCGCCTCTCTCCCCTCCTCTCCAACACAGTCGCTACCCTCAGATTCCTCAGACACCTCAGATGACGACTGGGTCCAGCGCGAGAGTGACGCCGAGAGGGAGTGGAAAGAGAGTTTACAGCAATTGGAGCTACTGTTGACGATGGTCCTGGTGCCGTATGTGGGGAAGTATTTTGGGAGGAAGGCTGCTTATTGGGGTGAGTCTCGTGATACCACCTTTTCTTGTTTTGCGTGGGAATGGGAAAAGGGGGTGGTAGGGGTGTTCGGGGCGGAATTTGAGATGTGATGGTGGTGATGAGGGAAAAGGGCCGCGAGCTTCAGGAGAATCATTGCGAGAGCGTATGCTGACAAACGTGATTCATAGGCTGGGCCCGGTTCATGCAGTGGAAATATCCCGTTGAGGTCGTGGTGACAAGTCCGGCCACTTTCAAGGGTGTTGGTGCTGTTGAGGCCGCTGCTCCGGGTCTTTGAAGACAAAGGGAATCCCGAGGCATGCAAGAGTACAAGAGCACAGGAATTATTTGGCGCGGAGCATATGCATGATGGTTGCGCAAGATAGGTCTTGCCGATGGGCGGTCAGACAGGAGGCCAGAGGTCCAGGACTTCAGGGGTTGTTGGGCTCGTCCTTTGATGCGCAGAGTAAGAAAAGGGTCTATGTCGGACTGATCCCTTCCAATTGCTCTCGGCGTCTACAACGGTGCTATTACTTGCTCGATGGCGAGTTCGACCAAAATCTTGAGAGTCACATAGAATCTACCAGCAAGAAGAGGTGCCTATGACTGGAGGTGTCATCAGATGAGCGATGTATCAGTATTGAATGATACAGTGTGGGGTGAAAAGTCAAGGTGCAATTACTGCTCGGGCCGACAATCAAATGATCAACACTCTACATGGGAGCTGGGCCTGTGCCAAGAGGCACCCGGAACATTCTTTCAAGCAAGCATTTGGAACCTACTTGAAGATTTGGGATGATGACCATGTATTGAGCTGTTTCGTATGCTTGTCTCAATCTACATCAACCAGAATGGAAAGACCCTGCTCTCAAAATTCCGCGTACATATCATTAGGCTTCAAGAGGAAAGGAAATCTGGATCCCATGGGCACCACATTTCAATTTCAAGGACAGACCAAAATTGCGGTGCCACAGCCGAATGCGGGTTGTCAGTCCCAATATAGCCCTAATATGGACTGCCGCTGCTCAAGAGCTTCATATCGTTCAATGTTTCTAGTGTGAAACATGTACATTTTGTCTTCTTCTGGCGATGTTGCATACAGACCGACTTCAACTCGCGTTTGATGGCTACCTCGACCTTTTCCTCGGGCTTCAGAGCACGCCTTTTAGGCGGAAGATGCGATTTTCTCCGCGTTGTCCTCTCGTGATTGAAGATCTGGGGGACATCGAATACTTCGGAAGCAAGGTCGGCCAGCTCTTGCGCGTGATCGCCCATGCACGGAGCCATATCCTGGTTGTGAGTGTCTGCGGGTCCTTCGGCGATCATGGCCGTAGATGCAGAGTGAACATCTACATCACATCTCGAATTTGAGCTGTACCCCAAGCTGCTTTGGGTACCTTGCATCGCTGCGTACAAGTCAACCGCCGGCTGTGCCAGTAGAGGAAGGTCTTCAGTATCAACGTGAGGAAGATACGGGTAAGAGGCGTCCTCATGTCTAAATGTCGATTGAGTATGTCCAATGTTCGATTGCTGCCAATTGGGGGACCATTGACCCGGAGGTCCATTCGACGTGGGCCATGTGCATACACACTCCAATCCTGATCCTGATATTTCAAGGCTATCTCGGATTTGATGTCCTTTGGTGTTATCGATATATGATATACTCTCATCGAGCTTAGGAAAGTCACATTTCAAAGCAAAAGCGTTCATCGAGGGTGCTGAACCAAAAAACTGAAAATCGGCGTATGCTTGCTCGGCCAATCCGTGTGGACAAGAGCTGAGAGAAGGATCCAACGAGTGATGCTCCTGCGCTGTGTTGGTCTCAGGACCACTTTGGGTCAGAAACTGAGGAACTTCTTGGTAACCTGGACTGTGCAAAGGACGTTCGTGGAGGCCGTTGCTCGTGCCAAGAACGCAAAGTCGAGGGTATGATCTCGTTGGACCTGGACGAGGACGCTGAGCTTGATCCGCTGAATTGACATATTCAGGGGCTCCACCAGCGACAAGAGTGGAACCTGGTCTCTCGACTGGTTTCACAACCTCAGAGAGCTCTTTGTCTGACTGTTTCAGCATGGCCTTGCAATGGTTAATGGAAGGCAATGTTATAATCTTCAATGCAGTAAGGCAATTCAGACAAACTTGACAAGCACACGATCAATGTGATTGGAAGACTCAGGAGCAAATTAAGAGACGAGTGAACGACTGATTTTCTCAGTGAACTGTGAGGAGTGAATAGAGATTGCCCTCCCCAATGAAAGCAACGAGAAAACGGGAGTTGGGCTCCTAAATGCTGGGGCATGATGATACCGAAAGCACACCGAAATGACGCCTCCGGTTCCATTTGACTACTTGCTTGAATTCTTCTACTGTATGTATTTCATGTGCAGGCAATTTATGAAAGGATTTGCATGATCGCCGACGTGTTGCCCTCTACGGAATAGGGTGCGATAGCCGCAGGGATTCTAATGGGGACTACTCAGGGCTGTTTTTAAAAAGGAATATTCTAACCCGTTCGGGGAAAGCTCGTCATAGAGACTTGGGTATTTGAACTACTTGATGAGTCCTGATTAATTTGAAAACTTATATGCCTTGTATTAAGCACACAAAGAGTCAGTTATAAGTTTTTGAAGTCAAATAAGCGTCTTTTAACTGTTGAATTCCCAAGCTACTATGACGAGCTTTACCCGAACAGGTTAGAATACTTCTTAAAAAAAGCCCTGAGCAGGTCGACTTTCCTGTGCTCACGTACCAATGCAACCGATGCGTTCCCTAGTGGAGCTCTGCTAGCGACTGCCGTCACGCAGTGGTGGTGGTTCTCCTCAGTAGGTGGTAGTCCTCCTCAGTAAGCCCTAGTTCTACTCCTCCGCCTCGAAATGTATAGTAGGCCTCCACAATAAGGCTTACTCCTCTACCTCGAAATGTGTGGTGGTGTTTCTCCTCAGTAAACCCTACTCTTCCACCCCGAATTTCTTGGCGTCGTCGGTTGTCTGTACCTTAGGAACCGTGCTCCCCTCTATACATCACCATGAGTCAGAGCAATTCGCACATAGGCGTTGTGTATTCGCCTCCTGCTACCGAATAATGCATTACAATCGGCTACGATGACTGGAAAAGTGCTCGCACAATCAACGAATACCTCACGAACAACAAGATAGTCTTGAGCCTTGCGCATCAATTTCTCGTGATGTACGACCCGACGGCTATGAGAGTCTCCAGTCAAATGGCCCAATAGCAAGAAGCGAAGTAGATCACCCAAGACAAATTCTTCGCGGAGGTACAGGGCGTCTATGCAGGCCTTGTCATGTTCAAAGCCAATTGTGCTGTCTCGGATACGGAGTCGCAATCACCCATGATCAACTCGTATCAGCCACCGAGAGTACTCGATACGCCCGATATCGATTTCCACGATTCGGTCGTAGGACGAGAGGATGGCCAAGAAGGCGCCTTGATCATATGCTAGCGCCATGGAGATTTTGCTGGATGTCCCGCGCCAGACGTTATTGACAATGCTTCCAATCATCTAATTAGTCAGCATTCTTACGCCCAGTGCGGTTAGCGCAAGAGAAGAAGCAAGCGCAACGTGCCTCGCAATCGCTGTTGGCATCGTGTCTTCAGCCCTATGCCTATCTGTCTCCCAGGATCGCAAATGACAGCTACTTTTTGCTTTGAGTCAGTCAACTGCCACGGGGTCTGCATCCCTCATCTCGCAGTCTAAGCACCACGCTCGGCATGTACAGTGATCAAAAGATTTTGGCCTACGGAGGTGGCTCCAACCTTTTCAAATACTATTTCTCGACACTGAGGCTTCTAGAATGAAAAATGATCTGCATCATGGCAGCAGAAGTATATTAGATGAATCGACAAATCGGAAAGCTTGTATCCCTGGCAGATACCCATCGCCTGGCGCTCTGGCCCCAAATCCTTTTCCCCAACACCTCCTCATCAATCGACTCTCCTATGGTATAACAAGCGGACAAAGGCATTTGACCTTCTTACTACGATGGAGCTTACATGCGAAGCCCCGCCTGCGTGCCACCTCGATCTTCTCGTCAGGTTGGTAGTGCCGTCTCTTACACGGATGCTGAGGTTTCTTGCGCGTCGCCCTTGACCGAGAGCTTTGCATGGTTGCCCTTGGATCCTCAAGGTCTTGGAGAAGCCCAGAAAACGTCTTGCTTGGTGGATGTCCAACATCTTGAGCCAAGTTGTCACTCGGAGTCGTCAACGTTGGCTCGCGGAGTTCAACATCGTTAGCTGAGCGAGCTGTTCCCCTGCTATATGCGGGTATGGAACTCAATCTATCAATTTGATTGAGATGAAGATTTGGCATCCGCTCGCTTTGCTCGAGAGTTGCTTGTGGCTGCACTAAAAGGTCGTCCGCGTCATCATGAAAAGGATTCGGGAATAATGAGTCCTCAAAATTCAATGGTATTTGATTACGTTTGGTGTCTGAGTATGCGCACTCGACAACATTCTGGGAAATGCTATTGGTGTATCCTAGCCATTCATAATCAGGGCCTCCCGGAATTTCTGAACCCTGAGGCGTCTGTGGGGATTCGCGTTCGTCAGGATTGATGAATCTTGGAAAAGTTTCCTCCAGTGAATCTGGTTCATCGCTGGCTAAGGGTATGTCTTCCATGACTGCCCGACAGGACGCCGTCCAATCATCAACGCATGGTGGCCAAGCCGCTTGGTGTTGGTGAGGCAAGGCACAGGCATCTGTGGGCAAGTTCTGCTGCCATTGACTTCCTCCGAAGTCTGTCTGTGGCAATGACTGACAGCCGCAGCGACAACTGGGATAGTGAGCGGGATTGTCATACGATTTAATGCTCGCACAAGAAGACTGGTCTTGGCTATTCAGCTCGGAGGAATTCGGTGGAAGAGTGATGGGGCTTATGTCATCGTACTGAGCGGCGGAGTGCACCTCGATGGTCGCTGCTATGTGCCTCGAAGCATCTGCGTCTGGTTAGGTCGCCAGTCTCTAGTTCAAGGGGCAGTCTCAATACCACCACAGTCATCTCCGACGGACATTGTATCGGATTGAGTGGGTGTACTGATGAGCCAACTTAGGCCTGAAAGATTTTTTTAGAAGCGAAAGCAGCGCAAGGCCTCTGGAGACTGCACGCTAAGGATGTCCAACCAATCAGAACTCAGGAGTGCTTCAAGAAGAGATTTAAGAAAGAATGCAAACGAGGAACAGAGACAGCTTTTTATGGACTTACCATTTCTACACCGAAAGCACACCGAATGCCATCTCTCTTCTGAAGCACGAACACGACAGCCATTCACTCGCCGACAGAGACGACTTTGCCATGTACATGGGGCTACACCGTACCAAGTAAGCTCAATGCGCCATGTAGGCAAACATTGAAACCATGCCTGTCGAAACATGTATTAATTACCCACTTATATAATACCTACTCAGTATTATGATGTGAGAATCGTACATTAATCGGTAATTGTTTACTGGCTCACCCTGCAGATCAATATCGCCTAAATTCGTGGTGTATGCTACAATAAAATACTCTATACCATTATTGGATCTTTTTCTTCCCACCAAACATCACAGGTCTTGTCTTGAATAAGATTCAGCGGAGCTTTAATCTCGGGGCATTCGGTTACCCAACGTAGATTCCCAGAGGACGCTAGCGGCCCTTTTAGCGAAAAGTCTAAATTTTAGCGAAAAGTCTAAATCAAAGCGTAAGGGCCAGGAACTCACAGAGACGGATGTTGACCGTTCTATTCAACTATTCTTTGGAATGGTCATAGAATGGCTATTGCTATGTAATTCGCGTTAAATTGATATCGATATTGTACGACCCCTTCAAAGACGATCCTGCATATTCTGTAGGTACGCTATTCGACGGACTACGGGTGAAAGTGCGCAGCTGCACCTGCCCTGTCGCACCCGCCACTCCCTCGGGTCCGGACGCAAGGTCGACGCACCAGGCGTTCTCATGCGTTTGGTCAAAGATCGGTAGATGGAGCATCATGGAACAGCGCGACACGGCTAACTTGCGGCTCCGTGGACAGCAATGAGGGGCACCTTCTCATCCACTAGACGCTTCTGTCCACAGCTCCCTTGTATCCGCGCAGTGCGCCCCTGAACTTCCCCTTACAGGCATTGGAACAATGACTGGACAGTAAGACCGACCGCACAGCCTGGAACATACACGCTGGGAAAGAGGTCCTAGAAAAAGAGAATGCGCCTCTTTCATCAATCGGTCGGAATCATGAACTCGACCTACAGTATTGATCAAGAAGCTAGCTGATTGCGCTCATTGATCAATGAGCATCTTCTTAATGAACCAGCATCTTATTGATCAATCAGCTGATGAGAAGGCCTTGCCGCTTTATATCGGTACAATCTTTAATTAGTTAAAAAAAAAGACTTAAAGGCGGCGGTGGCTTAGAGGTGGCACCTTTGAAAGAAGAAATAGGGATGCTTTAGGAGTAGTGACAGCTCCCTTCTTTCATAATGGGTGGTTAATATTGCCAAATTAGGAAAAGCTGCCTGCTCAGCTAAGAGCAGCAATGCCTTAGATTAACGAGTAAGATAGCTAATTGATCAACTAGCTAGCTTGCCTACCAGCTTCCGGCTCCGCAGATCAGCAAACCTCAGGCGTCATGCCCTACTACGGGAATTTGCTTGGCATTGCTCTTCTTGTGTGGTCAGTCGTGGTCCCCAGGATGTTTATCGGTATACCCGCAGCCGACCCGCGAAAGTCTGATAGCTTCGCAGGTCCGCTCATATCTATGCATATATCTCGCCCCTACATTTGCTCTTCCTCATTCCTTCAATCGTCATCTGGTAGCGGGCAAGATCACCGAGGCACTCCATCCCTGTATCCTCGAAGAACGGAGAGTAAAGCTACCATGAACCATCCGACCTTTTCAGAACAGGACTCGACTTTCCGAATAGAAGAAGAGGACGTAAGGAGGAAGGCACCATGTACGTCGTGATTATCATTGATTGGCCAATTCTAGCGCTACGTCAACCCTGCGTCCAAGGCGTCCCACATTAATCCATTTCGCTTAAATCATAGTACCACGCTCGACACGTACGGTGATGATGAATCAGGAACAACTTCACCCATTCTCGAAATATGGATGATATTGAAGCTATCGAAAAGAATGACACTGAATCGTCGTGACAACAAGGAAATACTAAATACACGAACAAATCAGAAGCTGCCTTTCATCGCCAGCCAACATTTTCTTCCACCAAATAGCGCCCTCGTCTAAATCTAGACTCCTGGAGATCTTCTCATCGATCATCCCTCCAATGGTGTTACAAGGGACAGAGACATTTCACCTTCCTGCTACGATGAGTCTCGCATACAAGTCCGCGTTTGCGTGCCACCTCGATTCTCTCCTCGGGGTTCAGGACTCGTCTCTTGCGCGGATGCTCGGATTTCCTGCGCGCAGTCCGTGGCGCTTGGCGATGCATGTATTCCTCCGGTGGCAATGCAGCGCTCTTACTCAAGCCAGTATTGATATCTGGTACCACATCCTCAATCTTTGTCTTTGGCAGTTGCTTGTCGATTGCAGCGTCTTGACTTGGGTAACCTATGGTATTAGGTGTCGCGGCTATCAAGTCTGAGGTCTTAAGCGCGCTGCTGACCGTCAATACGGTTGGCATTCCAAACATCCCACCATTGGTAGCAACAACATTTCTTGTATGATTGTCGGGAGGCATGTGCGTCATCTCCTGAAAGCCCGAGGACGATTCCCAGAGTCCAGTATTCGAATAGCCGTGACCATTCAAAGTTTGGAATAGGCAATCACTGTACTCAAGCCATGGGTAGGTGTCGTCCACCACGAAGCCAGAAGCACTGTACACATCTTGGGCTCCATGTGCGCTATCGATGATATATGAAGGACCTCCGTCGAAGCCATCTGGTCCACCATGGCTTGAGTGTATGTTACCCTCCGGAGAAGGTCGAGGGGTGATAGTCTGAGTGTCAACATACACAGGCTTATTTGTCGCATGCTGGGTCACGAACGAAGAAGCTTCTGAGAGGAGGTTCTGCGTCAGCGCAGTCTCTTGCAAGGTTCTTTGTAGCAACAGCCAACCTTCTGAGCGATGATAGAGACTACCTGTCGGATCGTCCTGATTACCAATAGAAGAAGATACAGCTTGGCTAATTGGGCCAGGACATAGCGATTGGGAGGCCTGAGGAGACATTTGATCAGCCATGGGTGTCGAGTCCTTCTTTGCAAACATTGCCAAGGAAGATGCCTGCATCTGGTCAGCCTCCAATTTTGGGTTCTTTTTGAAAGGCTACCTACCGGCACGTAGCCAATCTTAAACTAAAAGGAGGTAGCAGTGAGTGAGACGACTGAAAGGGCGCAAAGGCTGCGGACTCGAGAAAGCTCCAAGGACCGGCAAACAATTGACTCTGGAAGTTACGTTGAGGCGGATCTTTAGCAGAAAGAGTGAAATAAGAGTAGGAACAGCTGTTTAAAAGATTGACCATGACTACACCGAGAGCACACCGAAATGAAAGTCGTTAAGAAGCGACCAGCACAAGGTGAATGTGCGATAGAGGAGGAGGGGCACCATGGGATGGATCTTGTTTGGCTGTGGGACTCATCTAAAGTGAACCTTGACTAAATGTTCATCACCAGCAGAAGAGTACACGCGTCCAATCGCCAGCCAACGAGCCACTGAGTCATCATTAAGCTCTTCTGCAACTTAAGTATCCCTTGCTACGGACCATTTGCATATGCCCAATTGCGCTTTACCGTAATTAGTCAAGTTGGTTGGGGTAGGCTCGGGTAGCAGAGTCACTTGTTGCCCCCGCCACTGATACACACAACTAACTCTCATTGAAGCACGCAAATGATCACAGCCTGCTGATGTAGACCATGTTCCATCCGCTGGACTATACCCAATCAACAAACAGCGTCATCTCCTTCTCCCAGCCAGCCTGCAAGTCAGCGCTCGCGCCATGACCATTCGGTGATAGTATTTGCTACGATTAGATGGACACGACAACAGAGGCCGAGGCGGATTGACCCAATTCAAGAAAGGCTACGACCGATTCCGACTGTGACATCACATTCGCTGGAGCCCCTTTGCCTACCCCTGCACTAGGATTGCGCTTGGCACCGATATGGCTGTATTAACTCCAATTCATTATTGGCGGCGGCTTGAAAAGGCGCCTAGAACGCCGCCGATCAAGCCGCCTTTGACAGAGCTCTACCGCCACAAAAAAAGAAAAAGGTAATCATTATTATTGGGATTCGTATCCCTGCTGCTACTGAATTGTTAAACCCCCACATCGAACACCCTCCGCTCCCGCATTTCCCTCTGCTTCCTTATTTCTTACCCTTGTTCACATCACAAACCAAACCTCCTCTTGAAGACTCCTATCTTCTTAGACGCTGATTCAGTACTTTGGCCGCTAAACAGCTTGTGCGCTAAAGCGCAAGCTGTCTACTGTGCCTTCGCTATACCTGTGGTTTAAATAGCAGAGGCGGAGGAGCAGGTGGAGCCACAGAGTGCGGCGCGCGCAAAACATATGGCGAACCATTAGACCCAAAGCACGATTTTAAGAGCAAAGGGCTTCTAGGGCCTGCCGTAAAGTCACGCTTGCTATGTTGGGACTAGTGCCTTTCCCTTAGCTTCAGGCATAGAGAACTCGTAAGATCCATTCCCAAAATCTGCATTCTTCTGATGGACATGAGCATTCTAGTTGAGTGTGATCCAATCTTGATCTAAATTGTCGTCCGATCATTGTCTTCTCTCAGGCGGTCTCTATCCAAGGACTATACCCCCTTGTTCGCATGTTGCTTATGCTGGTAGGTTGACTGATTATTGATGGAGGTTACATACGAGTCGGCGCGGAGCAACACATGATACCGAGACTACGTTGCAATGATATCCATCAAGGCTCCCATTGGACACCACGTCGTTTGGTATTACAGATTCGTCCTTTCCGAAAGGCCGACGACTCGGCCGACATGTACTATCTCCATCTTAAGTCCGTTGGCGTTCCAGCTCGCATCTCATACATCATTAACTCCTTTTGCTGACCAACATAAATGGCACTATATCCCAACTTCTAACGACCATTGCAATTGACTTTCATTCTCTATCCCTTAGCCAAATTGATCTTTGAAGCGTAAGGTGCTGTATACGTGAACTCATTCCCAATCCCCATAATCCTGCATTATCCTTAAAGTCTTTCCCATCATTTTCAACATGGCCCAACAATATGCCAGCAAGCAGCCCCAAGGCTACAGTAACTACCTCAAGACTGTCGCCATCGTTGGCGTAAGTCTCTAATCCGATTGTTTTTATCCTCCATACACCTGTACTAACCCCACCAAGGTTGGCGGCCAAGTAGGCAAACACATCGTCGAAAACATCCTCAAAAACGGCAAGCAAAACGTCATCGCCCTTACGCGCGCCGACAGCAAATCTGCGGCGCCAGCCGGCGTCGAGGTCCGCAAAATCGACTATGACAACCAACAAACCATCGTTGACGCACTCCAAGGCGTCGAAGCCCTAATAATCACCATGGCCGTCACCGCCCCGCCCGAACAACAAACCAAACTCATCGACGCCGCCGCCGCCGCCTCCGTCCCCTGGGTCCTCCCCAACGAGTACGGCGCCGCGAGCAACAACGAGCAGCTCGGAAAGGACACCATGCTGGGCCCAAAGGCGCAGGGGTACCGCACGCACATCGAGGAGTTGGGGGAAAGCTCCTGGATTGGTGTGGCCTGTAGTTTCTGGTACGAGTACAGCCTGGCTGTGAGCCCCGAGGCATACGGGTTTGATTTCGCGAAGAAGGAGGTCACGTTCTTCGGGGAGGGGACGGCGAAGATTAATACGAGCACGTGGCCGCAGACGGGGCGCGCGGTGGCGAATTTGCTGGCGTTGAAAGTGCTGCCGGAGGATGAGCATGATAAGGCTCCGACGCTTACGGGGTTTAAGAATCGGTTTATTCATGTGAGTTCGTTTTTGGTGAGTCAGCGGGATATGCTGGATAGTGTCCTGCGAGTGACGGGGGGGAAGGAGGGGGATTGGAAGATTACGCATGAGGATTGTGAGGAGAGGTATAAGTCTGGGGTGGAGATGTTGCAGTCGGGGAACCGGATGGGGTTTGTAAGATTGCTCTATACGAGGGTCTTTTATCCGAATGGGGATGGGAATTATGAGGATAAGATTGGGTTGGATAATGAGGTGTTGGGATTGCCGAAGGAGGATCTGGACGAGTGGACGAAGGTTGCGACTGACATGGCGGCGGATAGGTCGTGGAGTCAGTTGGGATGAGTAGCTGAGCTGCTTTAAGGAGAGTTCAAAACGGCTGAGGGGTCTGGCCCTGTTGTGTCTTGGTGAAAAGAATCTCCGCTCTTTTTTCGGATTCAATGACTTCAATGATTGCTGAGAGTAGACAAATCTAACACAAGTGCTATACTTCAGATAAACTCTTTACATTGACGTCCCCATTCTCACTGAACGTGATATTCTCCTTCCTACCGAGTCCAGTCTACCAAGCAAGGCAAGAAGCAGAAATCTCCAGAACCGCTCCCGACTTCAATCAAAAGTAACAACGCTAGCAAAACCTGCACTTCCTCCACCGACCAATATCAAAATTCGCGAAAGCCAAAGACTTCACCTTTCGAAGCTGCACAAAACCTCCAATCATTCAACGCCTCTTTCACCCCAAGCCACGGGCAATATAAACACCCCTTCCCCATTTCCACAGCACGAGCAAGCTCTCTCGCCATCTCACTCCAGGCGCCACCGTTACGCTATCTTCTCCAATTCTCCCACCCACGACTAGGAGATAAAGGAACCCTCAATTCCGACCGCCGTTTACCTGTCCTCCTCTCCGTTCGCCAATGCCTCCCCAGTCAGCTCTCCTTATTTTTTTCTCTTTAATTGCCTCTCCTAACGGCGTCTCTATAATTACCTCTTTCTAGTCATGTTTTCTTTAATCGCCTTTGTTGATCGCTTTAACCTAACTGCGCCCCTCTAGTCGCATCTCCCTACTCTTGCAAGTCGCCCCATCCCCCTCTCATCCACCTATCCGCCTTTCCCCCTCCCATCCCCTCCCCCTCCCCATCCCTTCCCACCTCCTAACACTTTCCCCTTCGCAAGCAACATTCCGCTCCCCAGCAAACCTGCGCGCTAGACTCCACGACAGCTCACTTCCTCAATCACTCCCCACCCACCCCGCACCCCTCTCTTGCCGCAAATCCGACCGAGAACATTCGCATTTCCTTCGTGCGGGGGCGATTTGGGGAAGAAAGCGAGAGAAGAAAAGGGGGTATGGCTTCATTTAGTATGAGATGAGATGATTTGGTATAATGTAGAAAGCAGGTCAGGAGGGAGGAAAGGGGAATGACGAAAAGGTTCGGGGGAGAGGGTCGCGTGTAGTGGATTTAGTATCCTAAGGAAACAAAGACGGGATGGGGATGAGCGCGTGCTGATGGGCAACAGAGGGAATAGTGGTTGGTAAATCGCGGTTTCTATGCTTATAACGTTGATCAGATAGATGGGGTACAGACTGCGGTGTATAATCTGAGCTTTACGAGGGCGAAGGGCGTGATAGTCAGATCATTCATGATTTACCCTCGAAGCGGGGGCAGGATGTGCGGCTCAGTCAATGTTATTGATGGAGGGGATTTCTTTTCATGGAGAGTGGTTTAGGATCATGACACGTATCCCAGAAAAAGATTGAGAGGGGAGGTCGATGGATTGACAACCTGTGACTGCGAGATTGTGTACGAGCAGGGCTTAGTGTTGTAAAGGGCCAGCATGCTGCCTCGCATAACAAACCAACACAGGTAGACTTGGTCAAAAAGAAAGCCTCAAACACACCAAACCGTCTGCGATTCGAGATAAAAAGAACGGAAGAGTTGAGGACAGGGATGGCATAATGTGTGATAAAAGCATGGGTATCCTATTTCACCCCCGACTATGGACCCGAACGGAAATCTCACGTATTCATGAATTGCCAGATCCAGACTTACCTCACAGAAGTATGGTCTAGGGACTGGCTAGCTGACGGACAAGCTGGCTGGCTGAAGAACAGCAAAAGTTCAAAAATGCACAATCATCAATCCATACATCTCCGTTCCCCCATCTGCCACCCCACCTTTTCGTTGCCCTCCTAGGCTGACCTATCCTCTCACACTCCTCTAAACATCCTCACAACCAAGAACCACACAGCTCCAATAAACCTAAAAAGACTCAGCGCCGCCACACTCCAGAGTACCACGCCCATGTAAATCGTGGCGCGCTCCTGCTTCACACCAGCATCATCTCTCCTGAACAGCCTCCCCGCCGCCTTTCCTCCATCGGCATTCTTATTATCCGCCGTGTTGGTGGTAGTCTTCGCTACACTAACCCTCTCCAGCCCGCCGGCAGCAAGCACGACGGCACCCAACGTGAAATTGCAAAACAGCCAGAAAATGACAACAGCGCTTCGAAAACCCTTGTAGTAATCCTCCTGCTTCTCACTCTCGGACACTACCTTGACTTCCTTTTCGGGCTTGGTAGCGAAGATCTTGCACTCGGCGTCGTACTGGGCGTTCAGGTCGGTGTCGTCTTGCGGGATGTTGACATCGACTTTGCCGCCAGGCTTGAGGTTGACGGATTCAAGCTTTGCGGCTTTGTCGTCGCCTTTGGTGCCCCAGGTTATGTCGTGCGTGTTGCAGAAGGCGTAGACGTTGAGGATGTTAATGTAGGTTGGGGTGAGGAGGAGGTATTGGATAAACTGGGGGTGCTGTTAGGGGTAGGGGAGTAGGGGGGGACTGGAAGGAAGGAAGAGAGCGTGAAGGGAAAAGGGGATTAGAGGAAAGCTTACCGAGGTGAGGAGGTGCCATGGATCAAGGAACAGGATAGAGACAATGACCCATAAGAGGTAGGTAGACAGAAGTGAGACGATCAGTGTGAAGAAGATTTTGTTTTTGAAAACATCGCTGAATTGGAAGCCGTCCTTGTCGCGGGTTTCAGCTTGAATGGATTTCACGGTGATAAAGATCGAGGCGAAGATAAGGTATATCATGATGCCGACCCAAAAGTAGACCATTGTCATATAGAACTTATTGGAGCCTTGAGGCCGATTTCCAAGGGCAAGGACGAAGCAGGTGAGCAGTGTTGCGAGATAGAGCCACTCAAAGACAATACCGAGGATGTTGCCCGCTGTACCTAGCAGTGCTTTGTCACCGAGGGAATTAGTCAAGATGTGGAATACGAGGAAGAAGTTGCCGATAGCGAACCAGGCAAATATCATGTTGAAGGTTTGATAGATGAATTCGATGAAGATCATGAATTTTCGCAGGAAGCTGTGGTCGCTCCGCCTCATTTGGTAGAAATGCGTGATGGCATAAACAGCTGCGAAGAAACTGCCGTTGAGCCATCGCCGCCTCTGGAGGATGAACTCGGCCATTTGGTCAGGAACATCAGTTTCACCTGTCGCAGACTTGACGTACTGGAGGATCCATCGACAGTTTCGTTTGGTGACCAGTTCAAAGCAGAGGATACGATCCTCAGCAAGGTACATATTGGCAGTGAATATACCAGCGTTAGCTCCATGCATCTTCTCGCCAGCGAAGTATTTCTCCAGCGGACCTTGGCCAGTTTTGTCGTTCTGAAGTGCAATGAACCGATAGGCTGAAAAGGCACCAGGCAGCACAGAGATGAAGCCAAATGCTGATTCAAGTGGCTTGTCAAGAATATTGCTCATCTTGTACTCAAAATTCTGCGTAGCAACGAGAGGATTGATGAGCTTTTTGCCCGAGCTCAACATGACTTTGATCTCTCCGCAAGCGCCTCCGCACATCGGCTCTAGATCAAATGCTTTCCACAGGTTGTAAATTGAATCCTTTCCAGGCTTGGTGCCAGCATCAAGTAGAACACAGATGTGGGGATCCAGAACACGACCAAAAGCCTGAAAGAACCAACGATGAGAGTTGATCTTCTTCTGATTCTTCTCCTTCAGACAAAATACCAGCTGCACAGGCGTTGCTCCTCGGGGCTTAAGCTGCACCGTCTTTCCCTTCAACTCCATGCCGACCTGAGTAGTATATTCATAAACATGTGCGGTGACATCCTTGCCATTGACTTGTTGCTTCGCGATTCCATCTTGGTAGACACCCAACCCAGCCAAGACAGCTTTCGTCCTTGGATTTATCTTGGCTCGCCCATCGCTGACAACGCATACGACAATCTTCTTCCAAGCCTCCCTGCCCCAAGTCTTGCTGTTTGTCCTTGAGCACATATGCTCTATATTCTTAAATACACCGATCATGGTTCTTGCAAATAAGAAATCGTCTTCATTGTACATGGTCACAACGATGAAGAGCTCTGTATGTCGAGGCTTCGCAAACAAGCGTTGCCGCAAGGTGAACCGTGCATCATAGAATTCGGAGGGGTCACAGGTAGCTGCAGAGTACCTCATGTGTGTGAACTCATCTCTTTCTGGCGGCTCTGCGTGAGGCACTTGATTCAACAGCTTTGGGGGTATCGGGCAATCAAGCACCAAGTTGCCATTGAAAAGCTGTACTTCTTTTACAGTCTTCCACCTACGAATGGGTGCCGGACCCGGACTGGGAGAGTGGGCAGGTGGTGGGCCTCCATACTCTGGCTCTAAAGTATGTGGATCAGGCCCATATGAAGTGCTTGTTTGGAGTATTGGCCTTTGATCATTCTCATCGTGGTACTGCTGGTGGGTCTCGTTTGTAGGGTAATGTGACAGGTCGTCGTCATATGGATGCGGAGAGTATGGCTGGGTATAGTACTGATCATGATGTGACTCTGGAGATACAATGTAGTCGCCACTCGCATGTCCTTGATATTGGCCAGTTGGTGGGTATTGGGCCTCATAAGCCTCATTGTGATGGAAGGAGCTATTTACATTTTCAACGGAATAGGTCGGCTGTGGCGCAAGCCTGTCAACGTGCCCGGCTGGTATCTGTAGCTGACTTGGCTGCGGTCGATATGGACCGTCGTTCAATTCGTAGCCATGGAGCGGCTGTCCTGGTGAGGGAGTTCGGTGGGGAGACATTTGAGGATGGCGCGGAGGATAATCATCGTCGTCGGGAGGTTGTCCCGGAAAATCTGAGGTGGGTCAGCGATACAGTGTACGTCATTTGCAGGCGAGTTCTTTGTCTAGTGGTGACAAGCTTTCATTGTTTCTTTGTTCCTGCACCAGGGGAGTTCTCCCTACCTAAGCGATTGTATGACATCTTGGGGGGCGTTTAGGGGGTAGACGCGGGGAGACGTGAGGAATGTGAAGGAGGCACGTGGAGTGCGAGAGCCTATCAAAGCTACACTGAGATGCTCTGGGTCATGCACTTGCTGCGTGCTCGTTTCATCCCAAGCACGAAAATGATTGAAACGTCGGTTCAATTGCTTTGTTTCTTCAATATGAACAATCAGGGGATACGGAGGCGGGGATTCGCGAAATCTGCCCCAGTGTAGAGTGCGAGGCAGACAAGATGAAGTTGACAGCTCTCAATAGTGACAGTGCCCTCAGGTGATATATCTGACGGCGCTGTGGCCTTGCCGTCGAATAATCTCCTTCCTTCCTGACTAGAGAAACTGAGCCTGTTCCGTAAATAGCAAAGCTCATCAGCCCCCCGGAATCCTTGGCACCCTCCCCCCATCTAGACCGCGCCACGCGTCGCACCTCCCCAGCCCGAAGTGGCTCCCTCGGGCCTGTGAATGGCCGGAATCTCACTGGGCTTGAAACGACCCAGAGCGCAGATGGTACGGTCGTGACGCTACATTCACTTGGAGACTCTAGTCTTTGCAACAGTCCTACAGCAGTCAGGATGCCGCAGACCAAATCGAGTGCAAAAGCCAGTGATGCTTCTGCGACTGCGCAAGGAACGTCGACCTCTTCACGTCCAATTTCCGTTCTCTTCGTCTGTCTGGGCAACATCTGCAGGTCCCCAATGGCCGAAGCCGTCTTTGCATCATTGACTGCCTCGAACCCTGGCGTAGCGAGGATTGATTCTGCTGGTACTGGAGCGTATCATGCTGGGGACTCGCCAGATTCTAGGACAATGGATACTCTAGCAGAGAATAATATCAACGACTACGATCACGCTGCCCGCAAAATGGTAGCTACCGACTTTACGGATTTTGATTACATCTTGGCCATGGATGAGGACAATCTAGACGATCTGGAGAGTATGAGGAGACGGCTGATGAAGAAGGATTCCAGCGCCGCAAGCCATAGGGGTCAATTAATGCTCTTTGGGGATTTTGGGGGCAAGAAGGGCGAGCAAGTTGTTGATCCGTACTATGGCGCTCGTAATGGGTTCTCTGTTGCCTACGAGCAGATGGTCCGTTTTACAACTGGTTTCGTCGAACAGGTCCTCACGAAAGTCGAAAATCCTAAGAATGCATAGTATCACGTTATGAACTTTATGTGATACTCCGATTACAGATAAGCATGGAATTCTATTCGACCTATCTGCAAACATTTTCCTCTAAAGTCGACCTGCATAGCATGTAAGACGCTCTGAATAAGCATCCAGGGGAAACTATCACCCCAGACAAATAAGCTCGGGCCTGATTATGATTCTGGCCGGTAGAATGACGGACTTGCCCATCGGGCCGACATTGAGAAGCTTCACCCTGTATTTCCGGGTCCTCCATGACTTCTAGCCTGTTTCTTAGGTCACGGGATCATTCATCGTGTCCTCTCGAATTGCGTGCTCATGGATCACCTTCTAAAGCGTCCTCGAAAGCCCACCAAGGCTTCTAAAGGATATGTCAGCACATCATGCCACATTTCCTCGCATTCAATCGTGTTGAACTGGTCACTTACCAATCACTTCCTCATAAAGCCTCACTGCGAAAGGTCTACTAAGCTCGTACGCCCTGCGAGCGGCTGCCCTCTCTTGCGCCAGCTTCCGCTCCGAAATATGTCGTAAGCGATTCTCCTTTAGGATAGTCTTCATGAAATATTCGAATTCTCGATCCGATGATTCTTTATGAGCTGAGATCAGTCGCTTTATCGCTTCGATCCAATGTTTCGCGGAAACAGTAAAGACCCAGGCGAATATGTAAAAGAGGAAGATGGATGTCCAGATCGAGCGCTGATGACGCTGATAGCCGGCTTTCACCTGCTGAGCCCAGGAGTTCATCTCGACTTTCAATGCGTCATACGTCTCTTGAAGGTTCTTCCTGGTAGCCTGCGGTGCATAAATGAAATTCACGCTAAGGTAGGCGGTGCCCCAAGCGATTGCTTGCACCAAGAGCGAGGCCACAATCTCGGAATAGTATAAATCAGCACCGCAACAGTATCCGATGAAGAGGATGAACAGCACGCCGAAGATAAGGTGGACGCTGTCTTCAGCTACGGTCAAGTTCGTTGGAGTCTGCTGGGAGGCCTTCTTTGTACCACTGGAAGAACGTTTCGCCTTGCGAGTTGGTGCGCGTCGATCTTTTTCGCGTACAAGTTTGACCCACTCATCTGAAATCTCGCTACTACTGCTCTTATCGGTGGTCATCTTCGTGTCGTCAAGCGTTGGGGAAACGACTGGTGGGGTCGTGGCGGTCGCTTTGGTAGAGTCAAGAAGACCCTCTCCAGATACTCCAGCACTCATTGTGAGAACTGGGGCAGAGATAAGTCGATGATTTATCGATGAAAGTGTGTTGTGGAAATGCTGAGATTCTCGAGATGGGAGTTGTGAAAGAAAGAAAAGTCCAGAGGAAGATGCAGAATTTATGCACCCTGTTGCCAAGGGAAGAATCAAGTGTTACTTTCGAGTGGGACAAATCAGTTGTGTACCGCCACTGTGACCGCCACTGTGGGGCGTTCTGAGTTCAAAGTGTCCATTGTTCATACTCTTACACTCTACACGTGACCCTCCATCAACAACAATTGGAAGCCGCTGTGTTCCACATACGTTTGAACCACTAGCTTTCAGAACCATCGTCGCTGCAAGATGTGTCACTCGACCTCTATCATCGTCGCCTTCGCGACATACATACAAAAGTTTTGCCTCATAAGACTGGTTTCCCGTTGGCCTGAAAGATCGCTCATTGACTAGGCGCAACCACCTTCATGGAGATGACACTCAAAACAGAACCCGCCCTCCATCGGCTATGCAACGCTTGAATCTTTCCGAAAGCGAGTCGCTTTACCAACTCCGAAAACACTCAGACCGCGTATATAGGTGACCATATCGGGCTTCTCTACGACGAAAGCGCCAAACGTTCCACTCCTCAATAGGTCGACGCACCCACTTCCTGCATCTGCCCATCAATCCCGGCTTTTTCAGCTCGAAATCAATAAGGTCTGTTTCAAGACTTGAAGGACTCCCTATGCCCAGGTATCAGCCTTGTCTCCCCATACTTACACGGTTCAGCGACAACGTATGTACCTGACACACTTGATACTCCTTCAATGATAGCATTCTCAAAGATCGCTGGGTTTCTGACGCGGAAGGTATTGGTTCTGGTACTATTCATAACGACCGTTTTGTCGAGTGGTACTTCAGACGCAAGGTCAGGAGGCGTGGTCCTCTCGGCCAATCTGCCTGGGATGGTGGATGAAGCAGGGTTGAGCTGGGCCTCCCAGGGGTACGGTAGAGGGCGCTGATGTGGTAAGGGAATGCATTGGCGCTCTAGGGGAGCTCCCTCGGACGATGGGCTGGGGTCGTTTGTGTCCATCATCTCTAGAGTACCGACTTCCTGTGAAGCTGCCATATCAATGCGTTCAAAGGTGAAATTGCCAATATGCTCTTCGAAAGAGGATGATTTCTACCACGTTCGTCTTCTTGATGGGACTAGACTGAGGGCTATGATCGACAGAATCCTACTTCGTCATGGTTTTGAATCGACAAAAGTGCTAAGACAATAAATATCATGACATTCAAAAGTATCACCGAAACGAAAATTTGACAAAAATTCTGGGGGAGAAGACACTGAACCGCCTACATCCTTGGGAATTCATCAAACAGCGCGTTGACATTGAATGAAATGAAGAGGAAATAAAATCGGCGAGGGGATTGCTTTTGTATCTGGTAGGTGGGATCCCAAGACTCCAGGACCCACAAGGAGGTCAAGCCAGAGCGCCTCAAACTTTACATTTTCTTCAGATGATTTGAGATCCGTCGACGTCGCTATACTTGAACAAAGCTGCGCAGAGCCCTGTAGAGCCTACCCATCACAGCATTAACTTGAATTCTAGTTTCTTCCGTCACGAAACAAGTCACACATGCTTGTCTCTGCACAATCTCACATCTGGCACGCATGACCTCTCCATACGCCGACAAAGCCCCGTATATTCACCTGACAGCCACTTCCGCCACAATGGTACACACGTTTTCTCACATACGTCATGCCAATACATCAACACCAATGGAAACGCCTGCAAAGCCATCACCACTACCATCTTCATATCATCTCGTCGCTAGTTCAACGCTCTTCTGAGCGAGTCCCGCATTATCTCTTCCCGCGCGACGCTCAGTCTAATGCACGTCATTCACATCACTCCCTAGCCTTGATTGATGTCCGAGTCTACGACTCGCTCGCAATCTGCCTTAATCTCTCCCTCCGATGTCTAAGCAGCCTGCTCGTGCTGTCATGCACCTCGTTGATGACACGCTGAGGGCTGCCTGTTACAGACGATGGCCCAGGGAGGTCGAGGTCCAGATAGATGAAGTTTGGCCGTCTTTCCAGCCGCGATAAGTGAGCAGTGACGCCATTCTCCCCGTCCGACGTTGTATCAACCTCTGTCGTCGGTTGAGAGGTTGTGGTGGAGGCCGAGGTGGAGGCGGCGGCAGGTGGAGTAGAAACCCGCAGGAACGACGCCATAAACTCCTCCCGCTCCATCATCATCCGAGGAGTCGTGGACAACGGTTCCTCCTCTACCGGCTGCTCTGGTCCCAGATTATCCATGAACTCCTCCACCTCTTGCGATGTCATTTCAGGTGGAGGAGTGGAGGCCAGCGTTTCCTCCTCTGCTGTCTCTTCCTGGCTGTCCAGATGGTCAACTGTCATCATGACTTGAGGACCTGTGGCCTGTGGGAACTCCTGCCCTTCCTCCTCAGCTCCCCCTTCTTGAACCAAACGAGTCGGGTCCTCGTCCACCAATACCGCCGTCTGAGGAAGCCTGGACAAACGGATGATCTCCTCTCCCGCCTCAGAAATACCGCCATCTTCATACGGAATCAGCGGTGGGAGATCGGATACACTCAACTCGACTCCCCACACTTGGAGTAGCGCGGATGCATGCGTCTGCGTTTGCCTCGCAGCCCTTAACCGTTGTTCAGACATTGCCAACTCCATCAAGGCTGGAAATCTCTCCGTCAGTCTTCGAGAGGGAAGGATCTCGTCGCGGAGAATCTCAACGAGGGTCTCCAGCATCCTCACACGCTGCTGATATGCACGCATCTGCTCTATGAACCTCGGATGCTCCTCCAACGGCGTGAAGGTCTCTGCTGGCTCTCGTGCCGGCATCTCGTCGTCATCATCGCTATCCTCTTGCACGGAAGGAGTATGAAGCCAGGGAAAAAGGGCGAATCTGCGGTATGCAGGGCAGTAAATATGCCCATATGTCCTTCGGGTGTCGTCCCACCTCTCTCGCTGCTCAGGGCTGACTTCGTCCCTGAGGTCAGAATACTCAAGATCACGAGGATGCAGTGGGGGGCGACGCAGACCGATAGATTGGGCGAGGCGATCAAAGTCGCCCTTTGAGAGGACGTTGGCCCTCATTTTGGAGGTAGATGTTGAGATGGGGTAAGTGACTGATGTTTGCTTCTAGAAAAGGCAAATAAGGATTATGATCAACAAAAGTGGTTTGTTTGAGAAGTACGAGCTTGCAATCGCGTCTGCTTTTTGATTGTTCCTACTCAAATGTATCTTCACAAAAGAATTTGACATGACTTAAATACTAGAAGAGTGAATCACACGAAGCTTCTGGCATGGCAGTGGGCTGGCACCTTGAGAAGGAAGCCTCCACCCAAAACGGTCGGTAAGAAGTATGGGCAAGCATTCGTCCAATGAACTACTCGAACCGCTTGAGATTTGCGTTTGTGGACCGTTGACAACATGCTTGTTTCATCAGACCTTGCTCTGCCCAAGAGTTCTTCTTTGAACTAGCTCCTTTGTCATATTGTTAGCAAGAATAAAATTGGTGCAATATTCCCTGAGTCTAACTATTCCCTGCCATCTACACAGCATGTCTCAAACAAGGCGACGCAGACCTCGGATGCCCTCCCTATCTCAACCAGTCACCCAAGAAGTCACTTATTATACAAGGTTCCACACGAAATGGAGCCACAGGCCCTACCAGTTGTGAATCTTCCACCTGTCAAACAAGGTTCCAAACCTAGCAGGTGCCACGAACTCTACAGTTCTTGTCCTGACTCCACTCCCCCATATATAAAGACTCTTCTTTCCCTTCTACTTTTTCTTCTTCTTCTTCATGTCTTCCACCACGAACAACCCTATCTCTCAGCTCACCAACCACCAACCACCAATCCACACCATCCACAACAAAAGAAACCACCTCCACCACACCACCAAAATGCAGTAACCAACAAACACCAATCCCACCTCACCACCTCCAATCTCACTACCACCTACTCCGAAGAGCCCCTAACAATGGCACCAAATATTCACCGTCCGGGATCGAATGGAGGCTAAGCATGTCCCTCCGCCTTCATCCTCCGTCCCCTAAGGCATCTCCCCCTCCCCTCCCCTATCCTCACTTCCCCTATGCTGATTCCCCTCCCGCCCTTCCGCCACCTGCTGTTCACCCTGGGGAGGGGTGGGAGAGGGGAAGGGAAACAGGGAAGGGGAAGGGAAAAGGGGATGGGGATGGGGAGGGACAAGAGGATAGGGATGTCTATCCCTTTTCCCTATCCTCCCCTCTCCCCCCCTCCCCCCTACTCCCCCTCTCTTACGTCACTCCCCTCCCTTCCCCTATGCTAATCCCTCTCTCACCCCTCCACTATCTACTTTCAGCCTGCGGAGGGGTGGGAGAGGGGAAGGGGGAGGGTGGAAAAGAGGGAGGGGGAAAGGGGGAAGGGAGGGAAGAAGAACAGGGAGGGGAAAGAGGAGAGAGACGGGGATAGGGATATGTTACCCCCTTTCCCTATCCTCTCTCTCTCCTTCTTCCACTCTCACGTCACCCCCCCTCCCTCCCCTATGCTGATCCCCCTCCCGCCCCTCCGCCACCTGCTTTTCATCCTGCGGAGGGGTGGGAGAGGGGAAGGCAACAAGGAGGGGGAGGGGGAAGGGTACAGGGAAGGGGGATAGAGGAAGGGAAAGGGACAAAAGTGGAGGAAAGGGAAAAGAAAAGGGAGGGGAAGTGGGGAGAGAAGGGGATAGGGATAAATATCCCCTTTCCCTATCCTCTTCTCTCCCCTTTCCCTCTCCCACGTTGCTCCCTTCCCCTACGCTTACTCCCCTCTCCTATGCTGATCCCCCTCCCACCCCTCCGCTACCTGCTTTTCACCTTGCAGAGGGGTGGGAGCGGGGAAGGGGAGAGGAACAAGGGCAAGAGGGAAGGGGGAAAAGGAAAGGGGAGGGCAAGGGGAGGGCAAGGGATAGAAGGGGAGAGAAAAGAGAAAGGGAGGTCTTCCCTTCCCTATCCTCTCCTCTCTCCTCCCTCCCCCCTACCCCTCCAGCCCCTCCGTCGCCTCCATTTACGCCTCCACTGACGCTTCTGGCGTGTCTTACACTGCGGAGGGGTGGGGATAGGGCTGGAAGTGGGAGTGGAGAGTGAGGGGGGTGAATGTGATGCCGCGTGGAGATATGTGTTGGCCTGAAAGGCTTCAGTTGTGAAAACCCTTTGAGCTCAGCGCCTTGTCGGGAGACTGCCATGTTTGAGCTGCATGCTTCGGTTGTCTCTTACTTATATGCCTCAAGTTCGAAGAGCTTCTATAGACTGCCCACCTCTGAGATCTGGCTCATTGTTGCCTTATCGTTTCGACCGTTACGTACATTTGTCAGCTCGTCGACTCGTCCCGTGCCTATTAACATTCCGCCTTTAATTATTCCCGTGAGGTTTTTCTCGTCTCTTCTATGATTTCGTAAAATTCCGACGTTGCCAACGAGATATCAAAGAGCTATTGCCAGCTTCCTGGCATTTTTGGCCGACGAGGCTCCTTTGCAACAAAACTTTCTTCAATCCTCACGCTGTCTGCATTGAATCCGTCTTCAAATTTGAGGTTTATTGAGAGCTTGCCACCATTAGTTTTGAAGGTTATGCCCTCAGGTTGCAGTGCAAGCTCGGTTCTGATGTACTTTGTCAGGTCTTTCCCAGAGTTTGCGATCGTGTTTAACCACCAGCGGATTATATCTGTTTTCCTACGGGTGACTTGAGTGGCGGTTGGTTCCTGAGAGAAACGTGTTCTGCGTATTGAGCTCCACCCCCTTGGCTGACGATGTGCCAAGCGCAACATATACCACATAGGGCTTTGCCCATTCTTGTCTCGAGCATGAAGATCGATGTGACACTCTATTAATCTGGAAGCTATCTGTCCAATCTGAAGTAATGGGTCTAAGTAGATGGAATCTACTAATTTCCATACACCATAATACGCTATCCTTCCAGGACAGCAGTGAAGAACGTTTCTGTCATATTTGTCTTTCACCGTGGTGAAAAGAGGGCCGTCTTCTTTTGACCATAGAGTCTTGAGCCATTCTTTCCTGTCGTAATGGATAGATAGAGATTTCAAATAGAATATTATATGCATCAGGTGGCGATGGTAGATTGATGTCCCAGGGTCAAGTCCAAGCCATCCAGATTTGTCGTAATTGAAATTCTCATGAGATCTCAAATACCTGAATGATTCAACATCACCTTGCCAGGCGGAAAAAACATTCGAGTCCCGCGATGATCCGAGCAGTGGATCGCACCTACCTTGTTCTACGAGAACTCTGACAGTGTCCTGGATGCTTGGATGTTTTTTGAACTTCATCAAAGGTGCACTTTCTGCCAGAGCCATCAAGGGAGTCCTTATCTTGTGAGCCACATATCAGACAAATGGGTGTGTGCGATAGACTTACCCTATATCCCGAGAGTATATCTCATTCGCATCGGATCCCCTCTCAATCAGTAACTGACAGATGTCTGGGCAGGCCAGGTGCGCAGCAATCTATTACCTAGTCAGTAATAATGCACGACTGACTTTACATTCTGCGTACATGTAGAGCGCTGTGTCCTGTGGTTGTGAAATCGAAAGGAGTAGCTTGTCTGGTATCTAACAACTCACGCACATGCAAGATGTCTCCCTTTCGGCAAGCCTCGAAGATAGGGGAATCAGGTTTCGTCATGTTACAAGGCTTGAGAACGTATTGCCAGTTACTGGAGTTCGTGTCTGGGTGAAAAGAGACTCCACGGCCTCCCAGCCAGTGAGCAAGATGCAAGCGAAGTCTCCACGCTGTCTCTTGATTAGGCTGATCACTGTCGCCCCTGGAAAGAGTACGATTTGTAGAATCAGTGGTACTCTGGTAGTGGATGGTCCCAAGGAAAAGCCAAAATGATCTCAACTGTGTCCACCTACTTGGCGGCGCAAGATGTTGATCTGGAGATAAGGCGAGGTTTCCAGTAGGTGCGATTGCCTTGTCGAAATTAGCTTTGTCACATGTCGGAGCATTTGCATCAGGAGTGCGGGTTCGTCTGATCATCAAGTCAAGCTTCGACCTATTTCTACTTAGCAGTGTCTTTCGGATTGATCAAATTAAAGCATACTGGAGCATAAGCTGGTTGACAACAAGCAATGACATAAGCGTACGCTGTATTTGAGGCATGAGATGGCTGATGCGATCCCTTTTTCTAGCCAACTTGAATGACGCCATATTCAAAGTGCGCCTGGAGCATAATGCCCTTTGGTAATCACCCCCATCCGTTGCTTCGTCAAGAATACTCTGCAATGTATTGCAAACATCTTGGCACATCTTCAAAGCTCTTGAGGCCAGCCCATTCGACAATGACTGTTCACCTTGACAATTCTGTAGCTTCTCAAACTCCTGTAATGTCTCCGACAAGAATGTAGCCTCAGTCAACAATGTTTCGAACTCTTTCGGCGCACCTTTGACGGACTTAAGAAATGACGAGAGCTTGTCCACCTTTTCGATGAGCTGAACAGCCAGAGGCGCGACCCCGATTATTCCCAGGACCTCGGTCATAGCTGCAGATTCGTTTGGTGTGACCTGAGGCTCGTGCTGATTGCAAAGAGTGAAGATGAAAAAGCGAAAGGCTGGAAGTGTTCTCGATCATGGCACAAAAGCTAAGCCACATTTTGCGACACGAGTCATTGGTGAGCTGCACGATTAGCTAAGTAAGGCTGGATGCTAGGCAGAATGCCCAAATGAACCTTATGCATCCATGATAGCCTATCAAGTTCGCCATCGAGCCACCCAGGTGTTCATAATGAAAGCATTTAAGTCGAAATAGGATAATCTGCCATGCAAGTTAGTAGGCAGATCACGTAAAGCGTGTCCTTGACTGAGGTCCTGTTTGCAACGTCATGATATATATGTTTACCAAGTCTGTTCAATCCAACAAGCATGAACCGATTGCACCAATAACGAAACAATGGCATGGACCTGCCGTGAATCTGCCATGAAGCAAAGAAATCGTATACTGCCAAACATCGATGATCTTATCAAAGAAGCTGCGACAAGGCAATGAAGCACACGTAGTGTATCTTACTCGTCGCAAGACTCCATTCCAGCCCTAACCCTACCGAATCCCACATTTGGACCTTTGCAATCAACAATCTGCCGAAATGAACATAAAAATCCACAAGCAAAGACATTGTGAGAAAGTAAATTGGACTTTGGACTATTTTTGTGTTAGGATTCATCCTGCATTGGTATATGCAACGGCACTGGTTGAGGTTCGAGACAAGCAGATGACAGCAGCCTTGTCCAGTAAACATTGATGTCTAGTCTTTCACTACTTCTATTAGAATCGCTCGCGGGTATAAATATAAAGCTTCAAAGCCTGCGTTTCGAAGGCCTTTCGATACTCCAATCCTCCTCATAAGCGCTGCTTGAAGATAAAGCAAAGTATGTCATCAACTCTGCAGTCATGGACTGCCGACTGCTGTAAATAAGACAGCTATCCGTGTTAGATAACTCATCCGAAATGGTTCCGAAGCCTTAGTTTTCCATTTTCTCCTCCTCGGAAATTTCGCCTTTTCTCGATGGCAGAAGTCTGCCACTACCGAAGACAGGGCCAGGGTGGGCGGGGATCAAAGCGTATGCAGCGATGATGACCATTCTTGAGACTCAAACGTTAGTCTGAGATTTTACCAGCGCTGGAAAATGCATGACGTATGACTTACGAGGCTTCGAGGGCATTGAAAAGCTTCTCATCTCTAAGTGCAGTGCTGTTCCGGTCGTATCCCTGATGTAGTTCGTAAATTCGATAGCAGCACCGGATGAAGATCAAGATAGTTGCCAGGGTTAGGAAGGGGACCATGATCTTGAAACTGGTAGATAGTGTTTGAGCAGTCCAAAGGGATCGAGACCTGATGGCATAGTCGATACACAGAACGGTGAAGACAAAGAGCGTGATGACTTGAATGGACAGTCCGGCAAGGGCGATGTTGACACCGGATGAGTCTCCACCATTAGATGTAGATGAGATGGCTCCACCGGCGGCTTGGAGGATGAGGCTGATAATGTCGAAGGGAATGAAGAAGTAATAAAACCACTTCGGGTCGAAACGACTGACTGAGACTGAGATGTATGTCACACTGCGTCTGGAGTCAATTTTGGCAACAAAGTTGAAGCCGTAGAACTTACATCTTGGCAATCATGACATAGATTGCAGCCGAGAAGAAGACAGGTCCAATTGTAATGAGCACTAAGGACAGAGGGTTAGTTTTGTGGTTTTTCAGTCCTGGGGTTTCAACACACCAATTTGCATAATGAAACCTGTCTGTCCCCAAGGATTGTGGTAATATAGAATTCTGCCGACATAACCCAGAATTTCGTCTAAGCAGCCGAGAACCATGGCTGACATGTAGGTCCATGCTCGGTATCGCACGCCCAACCCTATCTGAATCATCATGCACAAGGCATAGAGGACGATCAAGGTAATGCTGCCAGGTAGAGTAGGACGATAGCCGTAAACGGTCAGTTCGACAGGACAGACAGATAAGGTGCAATTGACATCGTCGCCCCCTCCTGCGTAGATGAGACCATTGGTGGGGTTACGGTAGTAGGGAACGTTGCTGTCGTCTGCTCGAGGGACCAGGGCCATGATAGGATGATAGGCAAGAGTAGCAGATTGGTGGTTGCTGCAAGATCGAGGACTGTTGTCTTGAGTGACGTCCTAGGGGAGTCGTCGAATTGATCGAAGGGCAAATGCAATGGTATGTTGTGTCAATGGATGTGGACAAGCACCGGGGATTCAATTTTTATATGAGAACCCAAGTATTCGTGACGGCATTAAAAGAACCATGGCCCTACCACACGCCAAGAGTAATACGCAATGTTTCAGCATGGCTGAGATTGCATCTGAACTTCTGAAGGTGGTAACTCTGCATGAGTGCAGATTAAGCGATTACGCTGACACCCCTTCGCACCTTGAATTCGACTTGGGAGCCAGCCAACTCATTTTTAGATTTGAAATCGCAAGCATTGGCGAGTTAGGTAGGGATCTGAAGGATTTAGTGATGCCATCCACAAGGATACTTGGGATGAACCCAATCTATGAGGTATCTGCACGTGGCGCCAACAGTCACTAAAATCGCCGGGCTAACCGAGAAAGGGGTCCATCTTTCGAGCACACCAAGCATGGTGGCCGATCCCTCTTCGGATCACGGTACGCTAATGTCGGCTGAGAAGACCGTCGACCCGAGCCACTTGAACAGCCTGTCCAACGCGATACCATTGAACGAGGATCCATTTCCATCATTCCTTGGTGAAGTGAGCCGCGGGGTACAGCTGCAGAACGTCGAAGTACCGCCTGACGTCAGACGAGCGGAGAGATACTCTGCTTAACCGAAGAGATACAAGATAAGCTAAAGAATTTAGGTTGAGACATATCTGGGTTCGCTCTTTTATTCCGGCAGTGCCACAGCCACGTCGATACCGGGTAGGCTTTTAATAGTATGATGCCCATGGTATGGGATAGCACGAGGCTGAGTGCCTTATCCCAAACCGTTGCTGAGCCTTAATCAAAATAAGGTGGCAGGAGAGAGTCCCGCTACTTACTGACATCTTCGGGTTAGACCACTGTACTGTGACTTCATAAGAATGCGATTACGAAAGCGGCAGTGATCTTGGCGGCCGTAGCCTGATATTCGGTTGAATGTTGAATATACGCCGACTCTTCTTGCGTACGTATAGACGATGATTGTTTTTTCATCCTACCATTACGAATAGAGCAATAGCTTTCAGACTTCGTCGGAGCTGCTCATCTGCTTCGTTCCATCTCTAAATCCTTCGTTCATATGATGCGTATTCGTCAGGTCAGATCATCAGAGGGGCCCTTGCTGAACGACCGAAGGCCGATGAGTTTAGAATGCGACGTGGCTATCTATTGTAGCTGTGCGTCGATTCAAGGCTGCTCCAGGTCCAGCGGTTTCGCGTCTTAGCACAATGTTCTCATATCTGAAGCTGACCAGGATGGGGCAATGTAGCACTGCAGCCACAGCCACAGCCTGAAGAGAATTGCCATGTTTGTATTGATGACCGATCCAACAACTCAACGTTTGCGTGCAACAACCCGAGCATTCCTATGGACTCGTTTCATATTCGTTTGTGAGGAAATTAAGTCGTGACTTTGCATAAATGCACAGACGTTGAAGGTGCCAGATCCCAGTCCTCATGCTGCGAGTTGACTAGTCAATTGGCAGCATGAGATGCAAGGCCATCCTTGAAAAAGGTTGATACCGCCCAGCATTACAAGAAGTGACCTGTAAAACAAGTGCACATGTTCAGCTAGACAAATCTGACAGATCAATTTCGTTGTCCTAAATTGATCAATTTGCCCTGTCGCGTCCAGATCAAAATTCAGTTCTTGGCATCGCCAGCCCAAAGCCGTTAGCTCCATTCAGCTCTCAGTCAATCATCAACACCGATCACAAGCTCGATCAAGCCCACCGACGCTTACGATAGCAATTGTGAAACCACCAACCACCCACACCCTCTGTCCTTCCCCCCAGTACCTTCCTCTCAGCCACTGTCACCCCAATCATGCCTCTCAAACCCATCAAAGGCGTACGCTACCCTCCCCGACCCTCCCATCATTGGGAATTGCAGAATATCTCGAGCTGACGTCTCCCAGATACTTAAGCGAAGAGCCGTCGTCGATATAAGTACAGCACTAGGTACACCTCCTCCAATGCCTCCACCTCCCCCACCTCTATCGCCCTCATCCTTCTCTATCCCGCTCCGCATTCCCATCCTCATCCAACCCTCATACACATCCAAATCCTCCTTCACCCTCACACCCCAACCCATCCCCAATCCTGCTCTTTCCCCTCCTAGATTCTCCTCACCCATCCTGTTCCCCCCTCTTCCCCCCTCTCGCCTTTTCCGCGCATCCAGCAATCAACGCTCACTAATTCCACGGCAACCAGGTCTCGGCACAGCAGCCGGCTACTTCTTCTGGTACGGCTACCACGTCCCGGCCACGCGACGGCGCGATATATTCTATGCGAAGGTAGAAGAGGAACGGGATGCGAACACGGGGACTGTATAACGCCAAATATAATAATGGTGGTGGAAAGATGAAGGGAATGGGAGGAGGGATAAGGTGGGGGTGTCGTGGATGGAATGGGAGGCGGTTGGGAAAAATAAAGTTCAGTCCTCAAAGAACCGACGAGAGCAAAAGATCGAAATGAGTCTAGATGAGGCTAAATAGCAGGCCAGGGCAGGAAGAGAATTGCGTTGCGGCATACATTTTATGCCATGCAAGCGGTTATACCAGCTCTGGAGATACGTGTGAAAGCAGAAAAAAGAAGCATCATTGAAACCTAGCCTAGTGCTCGATCCCCCTCCACTCCGCCGCCCTTGATTTTGAATCCACTTGCTTGCTTTCATCTACTCTGCTAACCATTTGCTTTCGTCGTGCAATACTACAAGAATAAGACCGATGTCGATGTCGATAGGGATGAGGCTGTAGATTCGCTGCATGACGAGCTTACTTACGGGTTGATAGATACCTAAACCATTCTTTGCAGCAGCAGCCTCTCGACATCTAGCTCGGATTTACATCTCCCCTACTGGCTTTTCAAAATAAATCTCCGGGCAAGAACACCTCAAAAAGGCGTAAGAAAGACCCACGGATTCAATACACAATCATCTTTCATAATCAGCAAAATCCTATCTACGTCCCCTCATTCAAAAAAAAAAAAAGCAGGATATCTCATCTTTTCCGTGTCCATTTCCATCTCCGTCCTTCACATAACGCCCCTTCGACCGTGTATCTGTCACACACGTTCGTACGTTGGTAGGTATATTTATCCTCCCGGTGCGCCATCGCTAAATCTCGCTTTCGTTCATCAGGCTTTTCTATCATATCCTATCCTAGCCCGCCTGTACTGTGCTGTGCTGTGCATATTTCATTCAAAGAGTTACCCTAGCCTGGGGTATCCATCAATTGGCATCCACCTCCCATTCAATCAATCAATCCTTTAGTGCCTCCTCCCAACCAAATCAGCGTGTTCAATCAACTTCCGCCCCTAGCAAGATGAATCACGAGCCGGTTGGCTAGATCCAAAAACGGCTGCGGACTCGTGACGTCCTTCTCTGCCTTTCGCTCTCCGCTACCATAATAGACGGTCTTGATCTCTCCATCTTTTCCCTCGACTTTCCGCTCCCCGACGATGGGTTCGTAGCCAGCGTTCTTGAAATCTACCAGATACACATCTTGCTCGAGGACGTAGAGTTGCAAGTCAAGGTAGACAAAGCAAGCAGTATCAGCATTGACGATGCTGCCTCCATGACTACCACCACTAACAGCGCCGCCATTGGCACTGCCGGGAGGAATTGCCATGCTGGCTGTTGAGCCTGCAGCCGAGGCGATGCTATTTACAATACTGCTGCGGCGAGTGTCATTAGGATCTGTAAGGTCGACTGCACTGCTTTGAGCCGAGGCCGAAGACCCTAGAATGCCCGGAGGCAACATGCCCTTCTTCGTCCATCGAACGTTGATACACCAGGGATCTTTGGGGACATAACCGTCTGGAATGACGCTAGGGTCGATATCTTCATCGTCGTTGCTCTCATCGTCCTGTGAATCATGGGATTCTGAAGAGCTTCGACTCAATCGACGGCTATTGGAACGGCTGTGATGCTGCTCGGTTTGTCTTTGGGGCACTTCGTGGGACTGCCGTCGGCTCATCTCAGGGCTATCAGATGTGTTGTGGTATGATGTTGCAAGATTCTGCGCGCCTAGAACGTTGACAGGGTATGGGCCTGCGTGTTGACTACGTTCTTGTTCTTCTTTCGGAGGATTGATGCGCCATTCGCAGTCGCTCATCGACAGCAACGCTCTATACAAGCATTTTACCGCATCAACAGGTTCGTTCCTGCTTCTGATACCGAATTGCCATCTTGTTGGTTTATGCCTACTTTTTGGTTTGTTATCGACTGTCACGCCCTCGCCCTTTTGCATCGGCTCCTTAGTGAGGCTTTGGAGCTGCACCGTAGACCGAGAGTGGGGTTTGAGTCTTGTCAACATATTGGTCTTGTCTTCTGGGCTACGATGCGTGAGATCATGAGCAAGAGGGGAGAGCATGTCTTCCTCTTGTGATGATAATGGCTCTCCAGGATTTTCGAACTTCGAGCGCTCAGCGTCGTCCTTTTTTGCTTTCATGAATGCATTATGGTAGTAAGGTAAACTACTTGTCAGTATACCGATCTTACTCTGCTTCTCGTGCTTGTCAGACTGCAACCCAGGGTTAATGGTATCCACTGTAGTCGAGGTGGGTGCTTCTCGTAATGTAGGTATAGAATCAGTAGCTGGAGCATGGTTCTCGTTCTGAGTTTTTCCGGCAATACTTAATTCATCTATGTGGGAATATGCTGCATTTGCCAATGCTGAGGCAATTCCTTGCGGCGTGTTCGCCATGTGGTCTGGTCCGCTAGGGGGTGACGTAGCTAGAAAGGGATTGTAGTTGTTATTGTCGGTGAGCTTGGCTGGATTATATGTCAGCGACGTCTTCCCGACGATAATCAACTGTGCCCAAAGAGAAACATGGGCAGACCTACGATTCGTTTGCATGATCTGGTTTTCCCTAACAATCAAATACGCATCTTTTATCGCGTTCGGCTCGTCCTTTTTCAAGGCATCCTGCACATCGTCCTTTGCATAACCCATAGTCTTGCCTAATTTCCCAATCACCGACTCGTGGATTTGCTCTTGTACTGCTAGTGGCTTGCCTGGCGCCAACTTCCGGGGGTCTATGGCTTTGTTCGGGTCCACACCCGTGTCAATGAATTCTTCAACCGGCTGCTTCAAGTAATCTTCAAGATCTACATTGAACCAAGGGTCCTGCCGTATGTCTTGTACCGTAATCCTTTGGACTGGGCTGACTTTCAGCATTTTGTTCAACAGGCTCCGCGCGCCGTGGGATATCCAATTTGGCGTGCTGTAATTACCCGAGGAGATTTTCTTGAACAAGTTGGGTATGTAGTCGTCGTCGAAAGGTAGCCGTCCAACCAATAGAACGTACAAAATGACTCCGCAACTCCACACGTCTACTTCCGGTCCAGCATAGAGCTTGCCCGAAATAACCTCCGGAGCCGCATAATTCGGGCTGCCGCAGCTCGTCTTGAGAAAGTTGCCGTCCGTCATAATGTTACTCAAACCAAAGTCTGCAATCTTGACGTTCATGTCTGGATCTAGTAGTAAATTCTCCGGCTTTAAATCTCTATGTACGATTTTGTGTCGATGGCAGTCTGTGTTGATCAGGACATCAGTATTGCATACGCGGGATGGGTCTCGGAGCGTTTACTCACATTCAACTGCACACACTATCTGCTGGAAGAATTTGCGAGCTTTCTCTTCGACCACCTTGCCATTATCCACGAGGTACTGGAAGAGTTCCCCGCCTGCGTATTCCATGACCATGATAATCTCGTTGGGCGTCGTGATAACGGTGTACAGCTTGATGATATGTGGATGCCTCAAGAGCTGTAGATATTGTATTTCCCTTTCTACCTGTTGATTTCAACGTCAGCTTGCCCTAGAGAGCTGGGTGGAATCATGCTTACCCGACCTGCCATATCTCTCGAAATGAGCTTCTTCCTGGATATGATTTTGAGAGCAACTTCTTGCTTAGTGACCTGATGCGTCGCTAGCTTGACCTTGCCAAAAGAGCCTTCTCCCAAAGTACGTTTCACGTCGTACAGACCAATCCGCTGTGCAGTGCGGCGATCTGTGGGTGTCTTGTTGAGGACTCGTTCTCCATTCGGGTTTGGCCGCTTTGGTGCTGGGCGATGAGGGCGACGATCGATGTGAGTATTGCCAAGTGACATCGAAAGCTCCTCATCGTCAAACCCAGACGCCATGGCGAAAGGGGGCCGCTGCAGGCGGCACCTGTCAAGTGTTGAGGTCAGGCGCGGGATAGGAGGAGGGTGAGCGGTCTTCTAGACGTGGTGAGGTACTGTTACTGGATGTCAGAGTCTATGGGCTTGAGCGTGATTCGTCAATGCGAGCTGTCATGAGGTCGGAGGGTCGCCGATGTGCAGACGGTAGATCCACTGTGGGTGGAGGGGCTGGCCTTGGCGCAGATGAGGTCACAGCACTCGTGTTGACCTGCGAGCACATGCGAAGTGCTCATTAGCGATTGCGACGACACTGAAGAATCGAGGACCAAGTCAGTGTAAAAGTATGACTTCTATAGCGTGGTTGAGAACTGATATAAGAATGATGTTGAGAAAGGAAAACCCATTTTGAACGGCGGAATCAAGTGGAAAGCCAATTTCAGACCCTGAACATCGCCTCTAGTGCTTCTACGATGTCAACACCAAATAGTCTATTGCTTTGAAATCTAGAAACGTTCAGATCGCATATGCCCTGGGTACGACTTTGATTTTCTGTAAACTCCCCCCAAAGTTTGGCCATGAATATTGGCGTGCCTAAGACTAGTATTCTTCATCGTCTTTTGGTCCACCAAAGCCTCCCAAAACCCCTTTGCTGCAACTCTCTCCTAGCTGCCCCGTCCATGATAGGGCCCCTCGCTTCATCGATCGAGCTCCCGCTACTCGACCCCTTACCACGTGTCCCCTTTCCAAAAACCTTCAACAAGATCGTGTTCGCGATGGAGCTGACTATTGACAAGCACAAAATTCCCACCATCACGAGTGTACTCCTTCTGTATGCGTGTGGGGGCTTTGCGTCTTCCGGCCATCCTGTAAATAATGCATAAGTCGTAAGGATCGAGCCACAATTTCCCCACCCTGAGACCAAAGCTGATGCAGCGGCTACTCCTACCTCTCCATGACGAGGCTGGAAGATTTCATTTGTCCACGTCATTGTAATTGGGACTGTTGGCCCTAGGCCAAATCCAATCATCAATAGACCACCGTAGCGCGGCCAAGGATGCTCCGCATATGTGGTTAGTAGAAGACCGGCAATCTGTATGCAGACGGGGACGCTGAAGAACAGCGCTCGATGGTGGTGGAAACGATCACTTATGGGGGTGACTAAAAGGATAGCGATGAGGTCACAGATCCAGATCGGAGCCGAAAGTAGTGAGAGTTGAACGCCTGTCAATTCCTTGTTTATGCCTCTGAGGATGACTGTCGAATAATTCTGTACTCCGATTCCAACACCGACTACACCGAAATACATCAGTAACAATGGCCAGAGTCGCCAATCGGCGAAAACTCTTCCAAGGTCTTTGAGGGTCCAGCGTGGGCTGTGGTAAGCGCGGGTCAAGTCTTCGTAGTGAATCCGTGCATCCTCGCCCGTCAAAGCTGGAGGGCTCGGCGGTAGCCATTTCGTCAGGAAGCTCGCCTTCTGGATTTGCCCTGGTGGTAGTGGTCTTTCTGGCAACCACCAAAGAAGCGCAAACCCAACAATGATGCCAACAAGGCCGTAGAGCAAGAACATCCATCGGAATCCAACAAGGCCGCCGAGGCCGTCCATTTCTTGGAAACCAGCCGAGACGAGACCAACGACAGCAGCAGAAACTTGCGCTGCAGTGAAGTACCAGCCTATGCGCTTGCCGGTGCGAGATGGTGGATAGAAGAGAGTGAGATAGTATGCCATACCTGGCCACATGCCTGCTATCACGATACCAAGAAGCAACCGAAGCAAGCTATCGATTCTCAGTCAAAGTGACCAAAACTCATGAGGAGAGGTCTTACTAAAAGCTCCATTCCGCTTTCACAGCAGCCATGCACGCCCCAATGATGCCAACCCCAATTACAATCCTGCTCATCCATACTCGCGGACTCAGCCTTGACATAATCAAGTTCGACGGTAGATCAAAAACTACGTAGCAGACGTAGAACAGCGCGAGGCCCGTGGAAACTTGGTGGGGAGTCAAGTGCAATACTTGGGCAAGGGAATGGTGCTGTTCAATATTCATCGTTTGCGCGAGGCCGACATTGGAACGAATTGCAGAGCAGAGAAAGTATAGCACCCAAAATGCTAGAGACCGTAAGCGTTTTGCTTGACGTCGTATTGTAAGGGACTGTACCTGGAATAATTCGAAGGTCCAATTTCATGTACACCCTTTCGATTTTTGCGATGTCGACATCTTCGCCCAACTCGGTGTCTCTGCTCTCCAACACCTCCGGCTCTCGTATCTCCTTGTCGACAATCATCGTTGCTGATCGAACGAGCGATGTCGGCCGAAACTGCTTGATACAATTCGCGGGGAAATAATCAGGCGCTGGCCTCTACATAGTCTTTTTCAATGGACACAATGCATCAGCTGGTCAAATCAATGCACGAACAAGATCAAAAGACGCAATCGACAACAAGCGCAATGTAACAAAGATTCTTCTCGAAGCTGGCTGGAAGTGCATGTTGAGTGGGGTGGTGGGGAAGCTGCATGGATAGTCTTTCGCACTGACAGCAGCTAACAACATGGAGGCCGATTGGCGCTCAACTCAGAAGACTGTGACCACTTGAACGACGTGCATAAGCGACACGTGCGGGCAAGCTCGACAGGATACTCTCTACCGTAGCTGCAGCTTTGACCGGACTGTTCCTAGGCGGCCTGACGGTGGAGCAACGGTGTGAAGGATGTGAAAACGCGGGATGCTCAGCGGAGATACCTGGACGTACTGCGGAAGCAATTCGGGAAGGTTTAGCCGAGCTTCTGGAGCTCAACCTCGACGTCATTAGCCGAATATCAAAATTGTTCGCGTTGCATCACTCAATTGCTCATCCAAATATTGTTGCCATGCTCTCACGCGCCACGACAAGAACAACATCTCTTCTCCCCTCTCCCTCCTCCGTCGCCTCCACAATCCGACCCTTCCTCCGCTCTCTCTCCACCCTCCCCCAAAACCCTCACATCGTACGTCCCTCTCCCTCTCCCCCCTGCGAGCCTCTCCTTCCCAATCCTCACCATTGACACAATCTAGTACATATTCCCTCACCCCACATCCCCCTCCTCAACCCTCCTAACCCTCCTCCCCACACACCCCCCAACGCTCTCCCTCGCCCTCGGCACCTCCCCAAACCCCGACCCCACCGCATCCCCCTCCACATTCACCGAAAACCCCAAATTCCTCACCCATCTCCACACCACCATCTCCGCCCACGCCTCAGCCGACCCCTCCCTCCAAGCCCAAGCAGCCGCCATGGCATCCTCAGGCGGCTCCCCCTTCTCATCCTCCCCCAACCAACCAAAACAGCGCAATTCACGACGAGATCAGCCGACACGGTCAGGCACCAGCAGCGGCGCGGGCCCCACATCCTCTCAAGGCGGCGCCGGCAGTGGTGGGCGCGGCGGATTCATCCACGTATACGACGAGCGGGCGCCGCCGGATTTTGGGCGGATACCGGAGCCGGAGGACATTTTTGGGAGTTTGGAAGTTGATGGTAGGGGAGTGTTTGTTGATGGGACCGAGGACGGGGACGGGGTTGGAAGGGGAAGGGGAAGGTATCAGGCGAGCGGGACGTATCGGATTGTGACGCCGAATGGGATTTTGGGGTTGAGTGGGTTTTTGAGGGGAAAGCTTGTGGAGAGATTGAGAGAGGTTGAGAGGGGAGGAGAGGGAGGGGGATGAGTAATGAGGTGGAGAGAAAGGTCTGGTGTTGATGGGATGTAAAGTATGGTTGTTGGATAGATCGACTAGGAGGAGAGCCTGAGGGAGCGTGAGATGCGACGACGCTGCTAAGAAGACATGAAAAACGGCACTGGCGAGGTTCATTAAATAGCTTCTTTCTATCTAGCAAGTGTGACAGAAAAGGTCTGCAAGAGTGAAGAGACGCCCATGCACCTAAGCTAGATATACCGAGAGACCTACATACTCCGCATCGATACTATTGCTAAGCGGATGGCATGGCCATGCTTATTCGACTGTAGTACTGCCCTAAGATTACCGAGCCCTGCATAATTCGATGCATATACCTCTTGTAAGCCCTTGATACACCGATACAACTCCACGTCTTCACTTCGTTAATCTTCACGTAATTTGTTATGCCGTCGCCTTTCAGATTCTGAACTCTTCGACTTAGTTCGTTCTAGCGGAACTACATCATCATCTCCCGCATAGCCTCCTCCTGAATGCTGCTAGGAGCGGTGGCAACAATAGCTGCGAGGACGCCAATAGCACCGACAGCGGCAGCAGTCATGTACTTAGCAATACCACCGATTGTCGAGGAAGATGTTCGGCTGCGCTTCCGTGGTGGTGGCTGGTTTTCAGTTGCAACTTCATGACGCTCAGGCTGGATAGAGTTGATGCTTTCCATGGTCGATTCGAGTAGAAGGTTTATATTCTCATTGGCTTGATCCAAGTTCATATTATGATCTTGGGCTTCCGGAAGAATCGTCTCCGGGATTACAGTCTCCGGGACTTGATCCTGTTCTGAAACCGCGATTGAGGATGGATCAGGTGAAGGCTCTTTCTCAACTGGATCCTGCGTAATCATGGCTGCCTTTCGTTTCAGAGGGCGCTCTGGGGTACCGTTCACACTATGAGATTCATTGATGATATCAGAGATGTGGAGACGTGGAAATTGGGATTGAGAGCTCTCTTTTCGCAAAGCTTCACCATGATTTGCTGCTGAAGCGTTCACTTCATGGGCCTTGTTCGACTCATCTGTTTTGGGGGTAGCCTCTTTTCGACGCTGAAATGGGCCAGATCGGTACGGATCTTCCCAGCTACAGGTGTCGAAGCTCAGACCCTGTGAAGGATGAGTCACAGGCCCGGAGATCAGAGGAGTCAGGGAAGTCATCTCGCTAGGATAAGCATATTGCTGGACTTGTGAGAGATGGCCTGGAAATGGCGCATATGGTTGACCGAAAGTGTTCCAGCTATCCGGGTACTGGATGCAGCTTTCATTTTTATTGACATAGCTGGAATTAAAAGGACCTAAGCCAAATCCTTGTTGCTGCCAGCTGAAAGGTGTATTGTTCTTCACAGACGGACCAAAGTTTCGCTGAGGTATTGCTGCATCCGAGGGGCTAGGGGAGCGCCGGTAGAAAGAATCTCCATATAGAGGGTTGTGCGGCTTTTTCTCGGGAGCTTGCGGGCTCTTGAAGGGTTCTTGTGGGTGGAGGTACGTAGCGTTTGCTTTCCCTTTCGGTGAGCAGGGAATGTCGACGCTTTCGTGCTCAGAACTGCCGTAATCAGACTCAGAACACTCAATATCGAAATCTGTATCTTCCTCTTCTTCAGTCATAACATCTTGTGGCTGTGTTTCAGGAACAGTGCGAGGTTCAGGGGCGATGTTCTCCTTGAAACTATCTGACTTCTCGTTCAAGACGGCGGATAGAGGGTTTTGAGGACGAATGGTAGGGGAAGGACGACTCGTGCTGGTTGCAACGGGGTCTTCTTCTTGGGGCAGGTCATTGTTGTCCCCGTCTTCACTAGTGATATCATGCACCTCAGGCTGACAGCTTTGTGTTGCTTCTGTTTGTTCATCACTCCGTGGGGGCGTGGCCATTCTATCTGAATTGTAGATCAGATCCGCAATATGATCGTTGTTTGATTTGTGTTGCTCCTCTGAACGAGGCTGCTTCGAGTCTGGAGTCGTCACAGCAGACACTTGCTCAGTGACTTTGTCAAAGACCTCTCTGTCTTCTTCAGAGTCGCTGTATCCATAATCTGAGTCAGAATCCTCGTCGGAAGAACACAAAGAATATTGGTGAGTGGTCTTCTCCAGAATCTGGATGGAAGCCTCGCGTGAGTCATCTGAGCCAGAGGCAGACTCATACTCCGGTGCACGGAAGCCACGAGGAAGACTGGGAGGAATCTGGTTGTTCATCTTGGCGCTATAGAATACTCGAAAGGTCTTTGCCGAGTGAACCTCTGTAGTGATGTCAGTCGGAGGGAGAAAAGCAATCCCAAGAGTCTTTTATACATACGTGGTCCATTGGTTACTTCAACGCCGAAACTTATATCTTCTCCACTTCCAAGCGTATAAGGTTTGTGGGCCTCGAGTCTTTCTTTACGAAGGAACGTTCCATGTGTGGAACCTAGATCCTTCACCACAATACTCTATCCAAAGGTCAATACAAATGATTTCAACAACTGTTACACAACTACAGACCATCGGAGTCTCAACCATTTCAAAGCGAGCGTGATCTCTTGACATTATAGGGCAATCGAAAATGGCATTCTTACGGCAAGGCTCAAGGCCTTTGACCGGGTTCTTTGATGATCGCCCGACAGCGACATAAGGTACATTTTTATTCAGAGTGATGAAACGGTCCCCTATCTCTTCTCGAGTTGAGCCCACAGCGATGAGGTTGAGGTTGACTGATGCCATGGTATCAGTTTTGGCCTCGAAGATTGATTGAACAGGAGGGTGTGGATGCCGTGAGGTATGTGGAGGAAAGGAGGGGAAATGCGAGGACGTACTATCCATCATTTTCTCGGGATTTCCTTTCACTACCTCCTTCTCCTGTGTTGATTGTGGGTGTCGACTCAGGATATTGATCTTAGGAAACATGTTGGATGATAGCCTTATAGGGTGTCACGAGGTGGGGTTACGGTCGGGTGTGTTGGCTTACTGGATCAAGGAATGACACCGGCTGATTTGAGACACGACAAGAGAAAGGGAGGCATGAACGAGGAAGAGAAAGTTTGCTTTGATTCGTCTATGGAATGCTCGATCGATGTCGTCGACGACGAACGTGAAGGAAGGAGGATGGGAATCATACGACGAAGGCAGCCAAATGAGTTGCTGCCCTTAGCGGCTTCAGCGGGGCAGCTTCACGCCAAGACCTGCCTATCGATAAGCGAAAGGGAAGGTTTGACCGGTGTAAGCCGGGTTTGCGCCCAAATGTGAGGCCGAGGCAGACGATGTACCACCATATTTTGACGAGATTTCTATGCTCTGGGCTGTCTCACCGAACACTTGTGAAGTCAGTGCTCAGTTCACATGATGACGCTTCAACATCGCCTTCGCGTATCTGGCAAGCCCAGGCGCTCAAACCAATGAACAATTGAAACCTGCTTGCTGCCCTGCAGACTCGAGACCTTGCCGCTATATGGTGAATAGTGGAGCTCAATTGCGCTCAATTCACGTCAACGACAAGATCATCTATGATACGAGTCATCTGATCTACCATTGAGAGAGCACTCAAGCCTTACCTAGAACCATTCACCACCTCAAACCACCTATTCTCAACGACCGCTAACCTACCACTTTCCACCACGCATATACAATCATGGCACCCTCCCCATCTCCTTCCTACGCCCAATTCAAGCACTTCATCACCACCTTCCCCATCCCAGGCGTAGCCCTCCTCGCCATCAACCGCCCCCAAAAACTCAACGCCTTCACCCCCCAAACATGGTCCGAACTACCTCCCTCTCTTCTCCCTCCTCTCCAGCGACCCCTCCGTGCTAGCCATAATCCTCACCGGCAGCGGCTCGCGCGCATTCACAAGCGGACTCGACGTGAACGAAGCCTTCGCCAATTCGCCTCTCGCCTACATGCTCTCCCCTCCCCGTCCCCCTTCCCCACCACAAAACAGCAATAACTCTGAATCGACAGAGAACACAGCGCCCACAGACCCGGCGCGCGTGGCACACGAACTCCGTAAATTCATCCTCCACGCCCAAGAATGCCTCACAAGCGTCGCGACGTGTCCAAAGCCCGTAATAATAGCGATCCACGGTCTCTGTTTCGGGCTCGGCATCGACCTCGCCTGTTGCGGGGACATACGGCTCTGTTCGCCAAGCGCGGTGTTCGCAGTCAAAGAGGTAGACATAGGATTAGCAGCGGATCTAGGCACCTTGACACGGCTGCCGAAGGTCGTGGGGTGTGCGAGTTGGGTGAAAGATGTGTGTCTGACGGGGAGGACGTGGGGGGTAAGGAGGCGGAGGGGAGGGGGGTTCGTGAGCGAGGTTTCGCCTGATGTGGTGGATGAAGTGATGGGGGGAAGGGGGAGAGGAGGGGAGAGGGAGAAAGAGGCGCTGGTGAGGCGGGCGGTGGAGATTGCGGGGTTGATTGCGGAGAAATCCCCTGTGGCTGTGCAGGGGACGAAGGAGTTGCTGGATTGGAGCGTGGGGAGGAGTGTGGAGGAGGGGCTGAGGTATACGGCGGCTTGGAATGCAGGGATGGTGCAGACGAAAGATGTGGTGGAAGCTGTGATGGCGGGGAGGGAGAAGAGAAAGGGAAGGTTCAGTAAATTGTGATGAGTGAGGAGAGGAATAGGCAATTGATTCTTCAGTGCCAAGGTGGTATTGAGCTGGATGCCAGGAAGTCACAAAAAAAGTAGTGCTCTACTGGGTATGACATTACGGACTCGAATTGAACAGAAGCACGTATAACTATCTGGCAAGGAGTATGCAATGGTCATACCTAGGAACATGATTCATGCATCTACCAACATGTCATATCATGAACGATGGCCTCAAAATGAAGTCAAGCAATGTATGAGACGTGTAATATAAACTTATAAACATTTCTAAATACCTATGTGCTGATTTTTGTACGAATACTGAATTTTGCCACCGTTGCTGAAGAGGAATCCGTGCAGGCCTTTAGGTGTGGTGGTACACGCGAAGCAGTGAGCGGACTGTCTTGAAAGATTTTCTTTTTGCTGGAACGCTAGACTGTGGGTATCGATGTGATTGATGTGCTTTTTGTTCGGTCGTATTCGCATAGCGTCGTGCTGAAGTCTTGTTCGAAGCGAAGTCAAAATATAGCTGTAGGATGTTGGTGTGCTCTGTAAAGAAGAATCGAAGGTGTTTTCCGTGTACGTACAATGTCAAGAGTCTTCAACGGCTTTAATTAGACATGTTTTTTGACACTCTCTCGCGTCAAAGCCCGCCGATGATAGTCCAAAAGTTTTGGATAGACTTTTGAGTCCAATGTCTCGCCAATAACGATACTGTTGAATACGGGCCAGAAAGCGCAATCCATGATGCTCCAAAAATCTCCTGCAATAAATGGGTACTTGACTTCTGCAAGGTAGTCTTCCCAGCCTTTCAATGTCTGATAAAGCTCCTTCCGCAGCCCAACCTCAGGCGAAGGTGGACGATTATTCTCAATGTTAAAGCGATACGTTGGCGAGGAAGTTCGGCTGCGTTCCATGCTTGCGCGGAGCTCATACCAAAGATAGAGTAGCTCGTTCGCTTGTGCAATGCAGCTGAAGAGCTGAGCTTGCGTAAAGTCATGGCCATCTGTTTCTGATTGGCGGTATTTCCTCTCGAGGTTGATTAGTATTGCTAAGTCACCATCGACAGGCCCTACACCAAGTATAAGACCACTCAGTACAGGACTGGATGTGTTCGCCAATCCATGAATCCAAGGCTTCTCGTGCAATGGCTCAGGAGAGAGATGCCGATCAACAGTGTCGTATGGTATTGAATGCTCCTCAAGAGACAGCTGCACCCGAAGGTTGATTACCTCGTCTGAGCTCAGCACCAATTTGGCAGGCAGCTTTTTCGTGACCAGGTTCACCACGTCAAACCCTGTCCCATATTCAGCGTCCCAATCAAAATCGCTCTTATGGTTCTCCTTCCCGAAAGCAATCACCATTGCCTCCATCTGTACCGAGTCGTCATTCGACACGTGGCCGGCCTTGGACTTAGATTTTCCCCTAGCCCCAGATCCCCAGATTCGTTGCTCCTTTTCGTTCAAGTATGTACCGATGTGTCGGAACGTCAGAGAGATGCGTTCGCCACCGTACGCTTTCTCGTCATCGGTCTTTTCCTGAACTGGTCGCTTGTCTGCACGAACACCATGAAGCCACTCCCGATTACTTTTGGAGCCAAGGACGAAAACAGAATTATGCGGCAACGGAACTTTCTGAACGTTCCTGGCACTTGCACTGTCAAGGCCGGAGGTTCGCATCCTCTTCGTGCGTAAAGTCATCGCCCTTTGTGCGCCGAAACTGACATTGACGATATCCGAATGGCGAACGATATCAAGCGTTTTATCGGAGTGCTCCGATATGTTATCCTCTCCATTTCTGTAAAGTTGAATTAGTACATGGTTGAATGGCTGCTCTAAGAGGTCCGCTAATTTTTGCCTGATCCTCGTCACCGTAGGAGAGAATTCCAGTAACGGAGGCGATTCATCCGCCGGATGACGATAGATAGGAACGGACCCATCTTTGCTCACTATGCCTTGAACAGCAACGAGACGAGGGACTTGACCACCGCGATGATCCATTGTTTGCCATTCAACTTCTTTCTTAAGTTGGTGGAAGACTTTGTCAGCTAAGCTACTATCTAGCCAGTCGTGTATGACCTTGGAGTCTCCACTACCAATTGCATCTCCTGGGCCCATCATTAGTGCAAACCGTTGCCGTGCTCTCTGGGGTCGTAATTGTTGATTAATCGTAGCTGAACTGGGAGTAGTGGGAGAGTCTGGAGGCTCAATACTAGGTCCACGCTCGCTCTGCGTCTTTGGGCGTGCACTAGAATCTTTGAGAAGTGCTTCTTGAGCCTTCCTCGCATCGTCGTCAAGATTGAGTTCCTTGACAGTGATTCCCGGGGTGTCTGAGTCAGGAATGGGACGACCTCCAGATTCTTCGATCGCCTCGTCACTTGTAATTTGAGTGACTCCCATAATGTCTGACATCTGGTGGAGCGCTTCCTCGTGCTTGTCACGACTTCTCCAGCCCAAACAATCCTCAATAACGGCTACTTCAAGGCCATGTTGGACGGCGTCGGCTGCCGTTGAATAAACACTTGCATTTGTCAGAGCACCGCAAAGGTAAACTTCGGTAATGAGTTCAGCCCTTAACGTAGTGAGCAGCTCAGTCTGATCAAATGCCGAGTAGAAATGCTTAGTGACCACCAGATCATCTTCGTCGACGAGGTCTTTTAGTTCGTCACAAATCTCTGCTCCTCGCGTACCTCCTACAAAAAATCTACTTTGCTGGCCTTTCCTCGGTTTGACCAGTCGATCTTGGAGCGTGCCATCCTCATCGTCAAGTGTCTGCAGATTGGAGGATCTTACTTCTGTCCTGACATCAGGAGACGCGTGGGTCATGACGCGCTTAATGCGGCTGGATGGGTCATATACTGGCACAGGTCCCGAACCAGATGGGTCAACCTGTTGAATAGATGCTCGCCGAACTCTTTGGCTGTTGGTGTCATCATGAATTTGGGCTTCTTGGTGGTTCTGTGTCTTTCGATTCTCTTCAACTAGCTCGCTAGACTCTTTTTCGATTTTCTCTGCGTCAGGTGAAGGAGTAGATGGCACTACCCCCATCTCAGTCCGGACCCAGATGACATCCCCCAAGCGGCGAAACAATGGGATCAACTCGCGCAGAGGTTTCAGAAACTCAAGATTCTCCGTGATATGAAAATCATCCAACCGGTAGAAGGCATCATTTTGACAATTGATGACGAGTAAGGCCTTCTTCGTCTCAAAGTCTACTGACTGTCCGGCGATTTGGCTTAGTGCAGCGAACATTTTGTACGTTGTGACTGTTGCAAAATGTGTAAGATCAGAGTAAATATGTTGAGCCTCTCACGCAGTTCATCGCGCCTTCTGACAGCAAAACAATTACCATTCGCTTCTATTGAGTATCTCTACCTTTTCCCTAGAGAAAGATAATGTGTATTGAGGCAGGGACACAGTTCACCGCCTGTATTGCGGCAATTGCTGCATGGAGAGGCCATAACACTGCTCTAATGAACCCATCGTCGCGGACAACGGATTCACATATGCAGCCGAAAATGAAGGAACGACCTGCGGTGTAATATTTGAAATCCCCAAAATCATTCGGCCGAATTTTTCAAGGCCAACGGGTTTGATTTCCTACATTTGGATGGATGGAGCATTCGAGACCCAGACCTTTTTGCCGTCCCAAGGTCGATGGCTTGGTGGTGCGGAAGGTATGAGTAGTAAGAACGGCAAGAGGCAAGGGAAGTCAGATTCTAAGGAACTTTCCACCAATACTTTCGATCCGCTGTATCTAGCTCTACGTTTGTAAGAGCAACCAGGGCCACCAAGGGCTAGCTAGACTGCCTAACAGCGTCTAACAGAAGGCCTACAGAGTTACGGCTAGCCTTCATGCACAACAGCAGTACGGAATATCGCTCATGCACTATGCAAGTTTGTGAAAGCGCCGTCATTTGTGCGCAGGCAGTAGTGGAGCTTGGGCCATTTAGAGCCCGTCGTTGGCGTACAGTCGCAGGGCTGCCCGCATAAACATCGGTGTCATGTGCTTCTACAAAGTAAAACGAAATCCATCTCGAGGAAAGTCAACTGAAGTCTCTGGCTGGTGTCGCTTCCTCCGCTTCTCCGCATCAATCGCCGGCGCTTAGCATTGACGAATGTCAAAGCTTTGCGAGCAAGGCATGAAAGTCAAGTGCTCTGTCCTCTCAGCCGATGTCTGCTACGTAGGATCCAGGATTGCACTTGCCAGCACATCTGACCCTATGCCTGGCACTTCACGTTCCCGTTGATCGTCTGCGTTCTTTCCTCTAAGACATCAGAACATCCCGTGTCCAAAGTCGTCGTTTCAAGATAGACGAAGGTAGGTTGCAAGATAGCGGCCAGCGGCCAGTGCGGGTAATGCTGTCGTGTTGACGCATAAGGCTGCTTCACGTTAACACTTGCATCCTCGACTAGTCACTCGCAAGATGAACCTAACGAGATCGTCAAAGGGTTGGCAACGAGGATCAGTGCATCACTCCTGGCCCGGGATTCGCCAGTCGCCGCCGCCCTGCCGCCGCCACTTCTCCTAGACGTGCATAGTGCAGAAGCGCGTCGCTGAGGTTGCTTCCGGATCGCCGACCTCACTCATTTTTTGAGGAAATTCGTGATCTTCTGGCTGCCATCTGCCTTGGTAGGGCTGGCTTTCGCAGTCAGATTACTGGTTGCGCTTCTCGTCTTCTTGCTAGGCGACGTTGGCGGAGATTTCATCCGAGTGGCCGCGTCTTGTTTTTTAATTGCCTTCGTCTTGGGGCCTTCTTTGTCGTCTTCGCTGTGTTCTCTCTTGATGCCTATCGATGGCATTGATGCAGGGACTGGCAGCGGTGCGTTATCTTCGGTCGAACTATGGTCGATCGTTTGCCGCGTCTCATCGGCTTCTTGTTTTATAGAATTGCCGAAATGTTTTGCTTCCTCCTTTTCGACCTTCAAGTCTATCCTCTCCACACCGCCTTTAATGTCCTTCTTTGCTCCACCAAAGAAATTCGCTATGTTATTTTTATTCTCGGAGCTGGTCACAGGGACGATGAATTGTGGGGAATTGTTTCCAGCCTTACCCACTTCACTACTCACAGGGTAGCACTCGAGCTCTCCTTTGAACGGTTTGAGAAGTGACTGCAACTCTTTCGACCACTCGACCCGCTTTGGATCTAGCCACGTCCTGATTTGGTCAGATCCATTCTCAAGAATGACTGGCATTCGATCATGCAGGAATGAGAGCTGCTCATTGGAATCCGTTGTGATTATGGTATATGTATAATTCTTCTCACTGGTATCCTCGTATTTGACGCAATCCCAAAGACCCGCAAAGAGCATGAGCTGGCCGTCTTTGCGTTTGGTGAAATGTGGGATCTTTTGCTTGCCGTTGTCCTTTTTCAGCCATTCGTAGAAACCTTGAGCGACGACTATGCAACGCTTTTTCTGCTTCATCGTCTGCCACATACCACCTTTGGCCGCCAGAGAGTCGTCTCGAGCATTGATCGATCTCATGAGGCTCTTGTAATCGGGATTACGCTTAGTCCAGAATGGTACCAGGCCCCACTTCATCTTCTGTAGTTTGTACCTTGTCTCTCCTGGAGCATCTTGTTGTGCCACTGTCGCAGACAAGGTGGTGCTTCCCTCTCCAGCATCGTCACGCTGCTCAGCGTGTGCTCCATTTTGTTCGGCATCCTGGGGAGCACCACCAGCGCCCCAGTCAGGTACATCGGCTCTGTAGACTAGCCCATGATAGCCAGGCGCGAAATTGTAGGTCTCACGCACTTCGTCGTCTTCTGGTGCTTCTTCTACGGGCATGTCATGTGTTTGTAGCTGATGGCGAACGAAGGCCGCTCGCTATAAAAGAGTCAGCTTGGGCATTTAAATAGTCATAGACTAAGGGACTCACAATGCCCAAAGCATATCTGCCACACATATCGACCAGCCAGCAGGAGTCGCTGTCTAGCTGGTGGTGGTTGCAATGATGTCAACATGATTCGGGTAGAAGATGTCTAAAGTTTGTAGTTTCCAATGGTCAACTTCCATCTTCTACCAACCACAACATTCGGGTCGGAGACACTTGAATCATAACATGAGCAATCTTTGTCCAACTCTGCTTCGATTGCAAGCTCTACGCACAATTCCAAAAACTCAAAGACGCTCCCTGACCTCCGCAATCCAGTCCCAGCACAGATTGCTGCCCTCGAGACCACGCGCACCCCCCCAAACCTATACCCCCATCAATCACGTCAACGTGCCTCAACTCTACAAGCAGCAAAGCAGCTCTTTCACTCAAACCCCTTCTCGGTCTCCCTTGCCTCAACATGGTACGCCCCTGAATACTTCCCCGTAACCCCACTCATTGAATCCAACTAATGCCTCCCAGCATCCTCGCCGGCATGCTCGGCCTCGTCTACGTCAACTACTTCTACAAAGTATACATCCTAGACCAGTTCGCCGCCTTCCCTGAACCAGTAGCACAACAGCTTCGCAAAGCAATTTACTTCACGAATATGGACCTGCAGCCCCCGCGAGCGCTGAAATACTACCAGCAAGCCCTTCAATTAGCTGCGCAGATGGGAATGGATCCGTTCTCTGACGCGATCTTGGGGGTCAGGATCGAGATTGCGTTTTTGTTCGAGAAGGCGAATGCGCGGCCGGCGGCGATTAGAGTTTTGGAGGACATGAGGGAGAAAATGTCGGATTGGCTTGAGAAGAGGGATGAGGAGGGAAACGTTATTGGGGAACCAGTGGAAGCAAAGCCGGGAGAGGAAGGTGGCGAAGAAGATGCGGAGAAAGTGCTGGAAAACGTGAGGTATAGAAGGTTGAGGAGAACGGAAGTGCTGAAAAAGACTGTGAGGATAGCGGGGAGATTGGGGGATTTTTACTCCGAGGGAGTGGCGCTGGATCCGGAATTGGCGGAGGAGAGGATGGTGTGGGCTGTCACGGCGCTGCTGAGAGAGCAGAAGAGGAGGGACGATGTAGGCGTGAAGGATGGGGAGGGAGAGTGGTTCGGACATGAAGAGGTCCGCGCAGCACTCGAGTGTACGTTCCCGGCTTCCCCAAACTTGCAGGATGACTTAATGCTGACTTCTTCTCCGACCACTTAGCGCTGGGGACACACTACGCTTCTCAAAGGAAAAATTATCTTGCCGCCCCTCTCTTCCTTCAAGCCCTTGGTGTTGGCGGAAACAAAGACTGCCACGCTGTCGTCACCATGAATAATCTTGCCGCAGCTTTAGCGTTACAAAACCCGGGGATGATCTCAGGCCAGCCTGCGGCATCTGCTACTCAACAACTTGACGATGCTAGTACGTGGGCTAAAAAGGCGCTGCAGCTCGCACAAGAGATACGACCACCGCAACGGACGGAGGAATGCGATGAGGGCTGTGCAGTTGCTACAGTCAATCTAGGTGATTTTGCTGCACTCGGAGGCAACACTCTACAGGCGAGGGCGTACTACATAGAGGGCAAAAGCTTGAGCAAAGGGATAGGGTTTCAAGAAGGTGTCGCGAGGGCAGATAAGGCTTTGATGGATATGAGCAAACAGAGGTGACGCTGCTTGTAGAAGAGCACACTTCACACTCAATGGAGCTTCACAAAAGCTTGCTTACAAAGTTTCATTTTGCTGGCATGTTCGACTACTGCTCGGAGTATGTGAAGCCTTACTCTACAGCCTTCATTCACGGACCACTGCCCAGTACCAACCCCGTCACCACCACGCCATCTATCCTCGGCTCATCACACCCCACGCCCTAATGATGTTGTCCGTATACCCCGCAAACAAAGTCTGCCCGTCCGCGCTCCACGCCAAGCTCACACACTCCGGATCCCTAGCCTTCTTCCCAATCGTCGCCGTATAGTCTGGCTTCAACTCATCAACCTTGCTCTTCTTCTCTAGATCGAAAATGATGATATTGGAGCTCGTGGCCGCACACAGCCAGTACCGATTTGGCGAGAAGACGAGCGCGTGGATCTCGTCACCGGCTGTTAGGCTGTATAGATGCTTCGACTCGTTGAGGTCCCATAACATGGTTGTGCCGTCTTTGCCGCCTGAAGCGCAGAGGGAGCCGTCGGGGGATATTGTGACAGTGTTGATGTAGCCGGTGTGGCCGATATGATCGGTTTGGATGCGGCAGGAGGCTAGTTCCCAGACCTGGAGACACAGCATGTCAGCCTGCATGTCAGGAGTGGACTCAATGATAACAAGAGGAATTTAAAAGTGTCATCAGTGCGCCGGTGTTGTTCGTCTCATCGCCCCGGGAGGCTCTGAAGTAGCAAATACTTTAGGTTGACTGCAAATCATCTTCTGACAAAGATCTGTTTTTCCTTCTGACAAGCTTGAAGGAGGGTCTTGTTACGTACCTTGACTAATTTGTCCCAGCCAGCGCTGACGATCACGGGGCTCTGAGGATTTGGACTGAACCGTACGCATGACACCCATTCCGTGTGTCCCTTGTCTGTAATTGTGAACTTGCAATCCCCCAGCGTGTTCCATAACTTGATTGTGCGATCGCGGGACCCAGAGACGATTTGTCGGTTATCTGCAGAGAAGGATACTGAGAGGACGTCGTTCGTATGACCGACGAAGCGACGTGTGGTTGCACCTGTTGCCAATTCCCAAAGGCGAAGAGTCTTGTCCCACGAAGCGGAGAGGGCGTAAGCGCCGTCAGAGGAGATGACCTATGATCCATTAGTAAACCTCTTACAATTGGCTTTTTCGAGGTATGAGTACGCAGTCTGAAACGATGTGGGAGTGGCCGTGTAAACTCCGTTTTGGGTAGCCGTACTGTTGGTCATCGCGAGTCAGATTCCAGATGATGAGAGTCTTATCTCGACTGGAGGATAGAAGCATGTTTGGGTTCTCTAAGCTAGTAGCCAGAGATGTGACCCAGCCTGTGTGCCCCTCGAGCTGGCCGCGCATCACTAGCTGTTCCGCCATGCTGGGCAGGTGTGACAGAAGTAATAGTGATCACGTCTTGAACTTTGCGAGCCTCTCGCTTTCCAGGAATGCTCACGGCGAACTTGAGTCTGAAGCTAGAGAGGCTGCGTAAGGAATCTTTTCGAAGACGCGTTGACCTCCGCGCTGTGATGAGGGCTACTTGTGGGGTGGACTAAGCGAATTTTGATACCGCCAAGACTTTCGCGGAAGGTTCCCGCCTGAAATTCAATCAATGAAGGGTCTTGGTCTTGATGGTCCAATGTCTTCTATTGGTCGGTGGACTTATGAAATGCAATGGTCGTTCGAGACAATTGTTTTTCAAATGATGGAAAGGACTACTGAGGAAAGTCTCGAAACCTTTCAGCTACTCAAAGGACTCACCACATCCTTCTCCCCTGCCAGGATTATAGACCTTAGGACCACCTCCTTGTCCCGTTGTTTTCCCTCGTACTCTCCCCAACCGCTCCGAATGCCATCATTTCGATCACTAGCGGTCATCTTGATGCTTCTTCCTTCCTTGTTCAATACGCTTTCACTGGCTTTCAGACGCACAACCTCTCCGACCCCACTGACTTCCGTTGCACATGATAAGCCGCGCTCGAGCGAACCAGCACCTTTCCCTTCTGTTGTTGGTGTTGTTGTAGTGCCTGCCCAGCTGTTGCCTCTTCTTTCGCTCTTTCCTACCCCTTTTGCTTCACTCATAGCAGCAAGTCCTTCACGGTGTTCGTGTCGCGACGGCGATGCCGATGGCGATCGTGGTGACGGTGGTGGTAGTGGAGGCAGTGGCGATTCTGTCCCTCGCTTTCCGCAGCATGCGCATGTATTCATCACACTTGCTTGACTCTTTGGTGACCAAGCATCAGTGCTTGTAGAAGGTGACTGAACAATCGTACTGCCTCCAATAGTAGGAGGATAGCAGGCGCTTGTAGGGGTTCTCGCAGCTGTGGTCATCTCATGCACCGCAGCTCCGTCCCCTACGAGTTCCTGTGTGCCATGTATCTCTCCGAGGGTATCGATCTCCACCACCTTCGAAGTCTCGTGCTTTGGCGGGCCTTCAAAAGGCAAAGGAAAAGGCAAAGGCGAAGCCTTGCGGATACTGTTGGCTGATTTAGCATCAGCGAAGTCAGAAGAGAGATAAGCGTCAGGCGCGCGGTTTTTGATTGTACTGAGCTCTGCTGCTGCTTTGAGGTCTTCGTCTGCCTCAGAAGCGGAGTGATCGGTTTTGACATGCGAAGTGAATTCAAAAGTGTGATGATCGGTAGCATGGTCGGGGTAAGACTGGAGAAGGCGTTGTTTCTGACGGCGATGGTGGTGGTAAATCATACTTGCATATGAGAGGAGTGCAAGTAGGAGAGCCCTTCACTTGATTAGCTTCTAAAGTTGAATGTTTGTAGGTTGCTGAAGAGCATACAGTATAGCACTATTCACAATCATAAGCAGTGCCCCGCCCGTGAAATGCGGCCGCGATGTCTGTCCACCGACACCGGCGACATACGAAAAATTATAGATGTCATGGCTACTCTGTGCCACAGAAGCGATACTCACGAAGAAGACGATCAGCCAGAGAGTAGTCGTGATGACATTTAGAATGAGGTTATTAAGTGGCTTGAGGCTTCGACGGGCGAACAGGCTAATCTCAGCCAGAACAAGGGAAATGACAGCTAAGCTGAGGAGGAGGAGAAGTACAACGCCACTGTGAAGAGCAAGCGTGGGTCAGTCTTTCCCGTAGAAACTACCAGGAAGATGAAAGGGTATTTGATGTAGCATAGACTTAGAAGAAGAGGGGCATACACAGTCAAGTAAACGACAATTGCATTTCGAATCGTTACCCCAAAGACAAGGATTTGAAGAACCAAGATTAAGGTCCAAAAAGGAATGAGCAAAGCTTTTCTCCAAGGTTGAATCATTTGCGTGTGTCCTCTGAATTCTCGAGCATCCTCAAGCTGTCTTTTGTCGTCCATCTAGCCCCACGACCGGAGAAACACTCAGCCAGCTACTTTAAAGTTGTCTGATATGAGTATGATCTTTCTCTTGGGACATGAAAACCAGACTGAAGGTACAAAAACTGGAAAAATTGATGCCGTCAATCACGCCCAACCCGTTCAACTTTCATGCCCGCAAGCCTTTCAAAAAGCAATCTTGCTGCGATGGCTAGAAAGAGTCTTGATATAATTCAAAGAGAATGGTTCCTCAACATTGTGTCCAATGCCTGCTATACACCAGAAGCACAACGAATAAATTGCTTGTAGAAAGAATCAAGGCCGCGAGAGCAGGAAGGGAGCCAGTCCCGTTTTCGCTCTTCCTCTCGCCTCAAACACCCCCAGAAATATCGATGAAGCCAGTCAAAGTGTAACGATTGATCACCTATACTGAGGTTTCAGGTATCTAATCTAGTGACCTGGTACGCGCGCAAATAAAGGGAGTGAGACAGGGAGGGAAGCGGGCCGGCAACAATGCTATTTTGAGACAGAGCTGCAGAAGTAGAATGCATGCATCTTGGCAGCTGTTGAAAAGCTATGAAGAATGAAGACGGTAATACTTTAGACTTACATTAGATCATTGGTATCCTAAGTACTTCATGCCGCGTTTTCTGACGATGTCGAGAGCAGCTTTTATCCAGGCAACTTCACGATCTCGATCAGGATGCGATTTCACTTGTTCGAGAACGATACTAAGCGGCGCCGCCATCGATGCAGGACCCAGGCCGAGCATACAATCCTGCGTGCTATACTCAAATGACTGACATACATTCCAAGCAAGTGTAAGATAGTCTCTCCTTTGCTCTCCAAGTTGCCGAAGATTAATGAGGCGAGCTTTGATCGAGCAGGAGCCCGCCTTTTGGCCACATGACAGACACGGGCAAGGCGAATCGGGTGTCATTCCAGCCATCACCTCACCCACCTCTCGGTAGAGCGCAAAAAGTCCAGACCAAAGCAACAGAGAAGTTATCCAGTACCACATAGTTACGCCTGAAATTTGTAGATTGGAAAATTGGAATGCCACTGGGAACAATTTGGGTAAGTCTTTGTCGTCTACCGCAACCAAGCCTTTCGCTAGGGTCGGCGTGTAAAGTGGACCAGGAATTTTAGCCGCAAAATCCTCGAAAAACTGCTGTAGATGGTCATCAAGATCCCAACATCGATCAATGAGGTCTAGGGACGCTTCTAGTACTGTAGGGAAACCGAGGATTTTGAGCTGGTCAGCTGCTAGATATAGACCAGGAGCCTCTGCGAAGAAGTCTACAAGCTGATCGATGGGACTTTTAGCGTTAATGCTCCAGGGTGATTGAATCCACTCAGAAGACGATAGATAGGTAGTTCTATGTTCCCGAAGCGCGGACAAAATCTTTCGTCTATTGTATCAGCAAGCGTATCCCGAAATTGTATGGTCTGAGCGAGCACTCACAGCTTGGACGCGAAAGAGAGAGAAAACATCATGAGCAAGCCCACTCATGAATGCACCAGGGCCGCGAAGCTGGACCAAGGTCGCGAGGCCGCTATGGTGATTGAGGTAACCATATCTACTTTTTCCGGGGCACTCTGTGAGCTCGTAGAAAGCTAGATTCATGCAAGCCGCAAGTGTTTCATCCCTGTACATCTGGGATTCATCCCACAGGGCATGCTGGAGCTCTTTCAACCCCGAACCGTACAGTATCCTGCTCTCGGCTGCCAACGAATCATTGCCACTGATAAAAGCAAGCCTTGCAGTACACAGCGCAGCAGTTGACACTTCTAAAGCTTTGGTAGGTGAAGAAACTTCTGGCAAGCTCATGAGCCAAGGTTTGCCGTTGGAGGTTCCTAAAACGAACTCTGGGATGTAGGAAGATATGTAGGCACTGAGTAGTTGCTTGCGAAATTGGGCTTGACAGAATGTATCATTGTCCATGGGTATGCCGTTACTTGCGTGACCGCTGTTGGTGGATATAGAAGTATCGTTGCAAAGAGTAGGCAATTGCTTTGGTGCCTTACATCGACTAGTACTGAGAGCTTTGATCGTTTCCGGACGAAAGACTGTACTGGCTGGGGAGGGTTTCTTGGGTGTAGATCGAGTCCCAACGACGACCGCTTCAACAAAGATCATCTCGCGCTGGTAGCCAGCACATACTCTTTTGGACTTGATACATTGGCTACACTGTGGCCTCTTTGCATCGCACTAGATAGGGGTCGCCTGGGTTAGCGTATTTCTTGAAGAATCATACTCGTCTGATTGTTGCGACTGACAGCCATCCGTCTTTGCTTGCACGTATGACATGCTTTCGACCTTCCAGCCACCCCAACCATATCGGTAAGTTGCTTCGATGGAAGCGAGTAGACCAAGAGATCGAAAAATTCGGAGGAAAGGAGCAGAGTGTTGGCTGTCGCGACGGTTCGTCTAACATTATATCCTATGGCGATGTTCTTGAAGGCCTCAGCCCGTCAGCTATCGCATCTCTGAGGCTTTAGTCCGGCCCAGCAAGCGAACCATGAGACTATACAATTGGTGGATCAGTAGTCATGATTGCGATCTTGAGGCGCCAGGAGGAGCCGTCAATGACAATTGGCCTGTGCCTTGAGTTGTCAACTCACCGACCTCACTTCGTTCTTGGCGAACGACGAAGGGCTATACTGCTTTTGGAGTCATTTCGCGGACTGTGGCTTGGTCGACTTCGCCGGGCAAGCAGTGGGCAATACTGGGCACCTGGTGGTGTGGCCGAAGCTTACCATATCAATAACATAAGCAAACCACAGGCAACTAGCTCATTTCAAAAACACATCTCTTTCCATTACTGAACACTGAAGCGCAATGATGGCTTTGCTGGATGTATGTGCAGAGGAATGTTCACTAAACAAGGCATACGTCAGCAGCTCAGGCATAAAGCCAACGTCATCGCCATTTCAGCTTCCGGCCCATCCGACGGACCTTTATACACAACAGTCTTTAGACTTACACAAGACATAAATTCGCAGCCATGGGTTCGTCAGGCATTGACATTAAGGTATTCCGTGGTTCGAAAGATAGCGGTATCGTTGAGACAAGCATTCCTCAGCCTGATCTCAAAGGCGACGAAGCCCTTGTGAAAATTACCCACAGCGGCCTCTGCGGTACAGATCTGCACTATCTCGAAGCTGACCTTGTCCTTGGACACGAGGGTGTGGGTATTGTCCAAGAAATTGGTCCTGGTGTCCGTCATTTGAAAAAGTAACCATAAGTTGCTACCACATCTTACATGCTCTCTGACTAATCAATCCAATAGAGGCGACAGAGTCGGTTTTGGCTATGTTCATAGCACATGCGGCCACTGCCTGGAATGTTTCTCCGGTAAAGAGACCTATTGCCCGGAGCGGGTCATGTATGGACTCGGCGACTTTGAAAATGGCTCTTTCTCCTCCCACGCAGTGTGGAGCGAGTCTTTTCTCTTTCTGATTCCTCCTGCGCTCCAGTCGGGCCACGCGGCGCCATTGCAATGCGGCGGTGCTACCGTCTTCAACGCGCTCGAAGGCTATGACACCCGCCCAACAGAACGTGTCGGAATCATAGGCATCGGCGGTCTTGGTCATCTAGCTATCGAATTCGCGGCCAAGATGGGCTGCGAAGTAGTCGTCTTCAGCAGCACAGACAGTAAGAAGGAAGAAGCGATGAGACTAGGGGCGACTGAATTCGTCGCCACCAAAGACGCGAAAAAGCTAGATGTGAAGCCACTCTCGCGTCTTGTAGTCACAACGAGCCAGATGCCCGACTGGGAGCCTTACATTCCCATATTGGCCCCAGGGGCGAAGATATTCCCACTCACAGTCTCGATGGGAAACTTTGAGTTCCCGCAAATGCCGATGATAACGCAGGGTATCACTGTGCAAGGGACCGTGGTTGCTCCTCGAAGTGTGCATATGAAGATGCTAGATTTCTGCGCGATGCACGGAATTAAGCCTGTGACTCAGGAGTTTCCACTTACAAAGCCAGGGATCGAAGATGCGCTTGAGCATTTGACCAGTGGTAAGATGAGATATAGGGGTGTTCTGGTCGCACAAGGCTGAAAACGTTTGGTGACCTAAATTCCATGTAGCTTAGACCTAAGTTTAGGCATGAACGTGGATGAAATATCGAGGAAACACCTTCCTTTTCATCATATCTCAACACGCGACGAGGCTTCTTGTCTCTTCTCTTACCTTCGGATTTGCCGAGGGTTTTGAAGCAAACCTCTAGTGTCTCGCTAGGGTGATTGACTTCATTTCTGAGACCACTGAAGTTGGGTTACTTCTCTTCAAGCATACCTTTCAAGGGCCACATTTTCTTTCTCGGTTGGCATCAAGAAGGCTAATGATGCAGGAGGCCGAGTGACAACAATCGGTCGCTAATCCCTGGATTCAATCTTCAAACACTCATTGAGAGTCTAGTGATTAAGAACGGATATGAGACAAAGACCTTAGATATATAAGCAACAGACAAGAGGCGTTTCCATCGTCTCAATTTCACAGCTCATCTCTAGCTCGAAGAGAAATGCGATTTATAATGACCTTATGGTGCTAAATCCCTCTAACGAATTAAAACGCTCTTTGCACGCTCTTTGCAAGTCAAGCAAATGATGCACCAACGCCCTTGACTTAAGCCAATAGTCCGGATTCGATGAGTCTTGAGAGCTGCACAAGAAGGAGTCTCTGATTAGCGTATTGCAATCACAGGTAAGCAATGTCTCAAATTGGGGTCATTTCTATCTGCCCGACAAAAGAAACTAAAGGCTGAAAGCCACAACTACATCATGTTGCCATGATTAGTCAATTTATGGTACAAGTGAATGTTAGGCTAGGTCTTTGACAGAGATAGGAAAATTTGGAAACCAAAACGAAAACCCAACAAGTCCTATACAGTACAGCGCTTCATCATTAATATCATTAACGAGCAGTCCATCAGCCCATGAATCGACAGCAATGGTTCATTGGGACCGAAAAATTTCAGGTGGCGAGGATGAGACCAAGCCCCACAACAACGATTGGCAACACTTTGGATACCTGATTCACCCCTGTCGTAGCGTCATTACTCTTCGCCGCCGAAGCGGTAGCGGACGGACTATGCGAGGTCAGTAAAGCTTGAAAGACGACAAAGATAGAAACACATACGCGCTAGCAGTGGTGGCAGCACTCGTCGCCATTCCCGCAGGAGCGCTTCCCTTCTGATTACTCTTCGTAAAGCAAGGCAGCGGGTTCAGCGGCTGTCCCTGCCAGCACAAGACAGCCTGGTCCTCGCCAAACTGGGTGTCGGCGGTGCAAGTAGTCTGCCAGGCCAAAAGAACAGAGGTGTCGAGGTCTTCATTGAGTTCGGTATCAGTGGCGGATATGGCGCAAGCGTAGCATCCGTTCATATCCTGGCCGTTGGTCTTGTCTGAACACATGCAGTGGACAGTGGTCTTGTCCGATGCGGTACCGACGGCAGTGACGTTGGAGCTGGTAGTCTGGCAGGCTTTGAGACCGTTCATGTAGGAGTCGCAGGGGGCGCAGGAGGCGGAAATTAGGGCGGGGAGGAGGAGGGAGAGGGCAGTCACATGGTAGAAAGAATGCATGTTGAATTGGATTGGTGAACGAGTGGCACTGTGACTGACTGTAAAGCGGTATGTGGTGGCAAGATGGCAAGGCTGAACTAATCTGATTTTCACAAGGAGAGAGCTGCAATTTCTAGTGACAGCCACCGGTCTTTATAATCGAAGAGCAAGACGGCACGAATCTTCTCGGGATGCAGACGGTACCTGCATAACGCAGGTACAGCCTTGAGCCGTATTTCCCGTGTGACCGACAACGTTGACATTGCGTAAAAAGACTAAGTAAAGGTCGTCGATTGAGGCCGAAGTTCCCCTCTCGCCACGCAGGTGGGAGCAGGCTCGAACGTAAATAGAGCGGGTGTACCTGCAGCAGCCAAGAATGCACACCTACGCGCTGAGGCGGCTTACCTGCAGACAACAGCATCTGGCCCCCATGGTCAAGCGAATTCTTCAGCCTTGCCCCTATTCGAGGTTGGTATGAAGGCAATATGGTGGACGCTCCAGACTTTCAGGCTACTCAACATCTATTTCAACAGGAAGAACGAGAGGCCCGAAGCATATCCATGCGAGTGCGGTGGTGGACGATAACACCTTGTGCCACTTTGATGTCTGTCTCGGTGTCTCCAGCTTGCACGTGGATTCAGGGCAACAATCGGGAGGTCCGGCCCGTAGAAATGTCCCTATTCGGACAGTGCTAAGCTCCCTTGGGTCATCGGTAGGCAGCCAAGGCGCCAATGTCGACCTGAAACCTATTCTTATTTACCGACCCCAAGCATATTTCCTCCTAAGAATATTGGACATTCTCATAGGTCGATGAACGCTTCCAATGGCAAGCTTGGCCAGAAATATGTAAGCGCTGTCAACTCGTTGAAAGGTGCAAGAGAGGGGTGGTGGGGCAACAGGCAACATCTGAAAATCGATCTTGATTTACGGCTCAAGCTCAAGATAGAAATCGACCATCTTCATCTTCACTGGAAGAGCGACGGCTCACTCCAAAGAAATCATCCATCCAGAGTCAAGTGAGGCATGCTTAGTGGTCTTGTCATGCAACAGGACTACCATATCCTGCCGGATTGTCCTTTGGCATTGGGAAATGACGCTTCCACGGCAGATTTGAAAACATGACCACCCGAATGCCAATATGACCATCACTCCCAGACAAATACACTGCCAGCAGCACTCGACGCAGCCGAAAAGGTATCTCATGGAACGACGAGTCCATCATCCCGCCACATCTAAGGGTGGCCGGTGCAAGACCGCTTTGGTGGCACAGCACGATAGTAGGCTACGCCGCGACCCGCTGCAAGCAACCGCGCACCAAGAGTGGCACAACGTCTGAGCTTCCACCCAAAGACCAGCAAAGGGTCCAATCGACTGCTCTTCACGTTTGAGACTTGACCCTACGGCCTCAATAGTTGTGCTCTAAGGCTTGTTTGACTGGACTGTGCGTGACTTAACCACACTTGGCAGCCTTAGACGAAGAACGAGGATGCTTAAGACTCGAATTCTCAGTCATTGATTGGCCAATTGAGGCATCGTTCATTATGACGACGTCACAGACGCTTCAAAAGCTTCAGAAGCTTCATGAGAAGCTTGAAGTCAATAGCTCCTTGAGCTCCCTGACAGTCTGCTCAAGAACGTATATATCATATCTGTTCCCTTGCCTGAAACCCAAAACTTGTTGGACTTTTGACGCTCCATCTTAATCATTTCGCTCGCTTAGACGAATTCTGCTGGTATAAAGAACAGAAACCCCAAAGCTGGAGCTTGTGTGTGATTCTGCTGTCCACCTGTCGCCCTTGCCTCTTCACCTCAGCAGCAATGGCCCCACAGTGGGCTTCAGGAGGGGGCAAACCGCACTTCCCACCAGGGCATTTCCAAATGAGCGACTATTCGAACTTGCAAGTTGACCTCTTGGTCGTCTTGAACATCTGTCTTGCACTGCAGCTGCTGTTCATGGGCCTCCGCATCTGGTCTCGACAAATCAAAGGCGTTCGTCTGGTGCTCAATGACTACTTTGTCCTCGCTGCATGTGTACGTCTCTCTTGTTTTTCTCTGCAGTACATTCAGCAAAACAGGAAAAGGCTGATCGATAAAACACAAAGTTCTTCAACATTGCATTCTACACCGTCGACCTCCTAGGCATCTTCGCCGGGGCCGCTCGTCAAACCGAGACCCTGCGCAACCCCCCCGAGCAGATTCAGTGGTCCGTAAAGGTATGTGAGATTCCTCGAAACTCGTGCCTAAGCTCACCGACCATCGCAGTACATCTACCCCACGCAAGCAGTCCTATGGGCCACCGTCAACACCCTCGTCAAATTCAGCATGGCCGACCTGTACACCCGCGTCTTCCCCACCCGAACAATGCGCATTTCCGCTCTCATCTTCTCCGCCATCTGCCTCATAAACTTCATCGTCCAGCTCGTCGTCTCCATCGTTCCCGGCGAGGCATCCCACAGCAACACCCCAAAAGCAAACTCCTACATCGCCACCGCAGTAATAAACCTCGTCCTCGACGTCATCGTCATCGTAATGCCCATGCCCGCGCTCTCCACCCTGCAACTCCGCCCCCACAAGAAATGGTCCCTCATCTTCGTCTTCGCGCTCGGCTTCGTCATCACCGCCATCTCGATCGCGCGCGTCGTCTCCTTCAACGCCGGGCTGAAGAGCCAACCAAAGGGAGGCCCGAAATCCGCACACAAAACGTTCTCCCTACCTTTGACGAGCTATCTCGAGACTAGCCTGAGCGTCATGAACGCTTGCCTACCCGTCATATTCCCCGCGATCATCAGCATTGGCCGTAGATTCTCAAGCCGCTTTTCGCACTTGGTCACCGCTTATCACAAGAAGGAAGGGTATGGGCACATGGATGAATCGTATGTTGGCACGAGGCAGACTTCTTCTCCGCGGGCAGCGCAGCCGGATCCTGGTGCGGCGGGTCCGAGAGCCGCGTTTGCGAGGTGGAAAAAGAGGGGGTTGGATAAGACGCTGCCGTCGCTACCGACACTTGCTACGCAGGGCAAGGGCACTCGGGCTGATAGTAGTGATGAGACTATCGATCTGAAAGGGATGTCGACGAAGGCGTCGAGGGGGTTGATGATGTTCCGAGGCAGAGGGCTGATGGGAAGGGTATTGTGGTTGATAGGGAGTGGGCGGTGGAGTATGGGAAGCCTATTATCTGATATTGTGTGTGGATAGGATGCTGGTGAGAGATACCTGCATGTGGCGTATATATGTTGATATGGGCTGTTGAGATGAGGATGAGTAATGTACCTAATATGATTAATGAGGAATTTCCCACAGGCAAATTGTTACTCGGAGTACTCGCAACATCCACCTTTTTGTTTTGTGTTGGGTGTACTCTTGACGGACCAGGTGTCCTGGGATGCAACAATCCGATTTCAAGGTTAGCGACAGCGGCATTGAGTGTGAATGATAAGTCATGCGCTTGAAACCTTGGGAGCAGATCCCAACCTCGTGAGTTGACTTGCGAGTCCGCTTATCAATGTCAACCCACACGAAGAGGGTTGTTTTCATGAAGGTGAGATGAAAAGATCGGACATTTCATCGTCCTCATGGTCCGCGATATCGATCAGAGCAACTTCCACCTAACCATCTACATCCCTCCGCTTCCTATGCTGAAACCTCTGTCCGCCCTTCTGATTCGGCTGCCGGCCATACTCTCGCCTCCACTTCGTCCGATCCTTCATACTACTACCGAGCTGAATATCCACCCTTGGGGGTTGCGAGAACCCAAAACTCTTCGCCACAAGTTTCAAATCCAACTTACCAACATCAAAGACACTGTGTAAGCTATGACTCGCATACGCCTGCAAGTAGCTCCTATAACCATCCTTCGCGCCTTGGTTGAGGTAGTAATTCTGGCCGATGAGCTTCTCGAGCTGCGGCTGGATATTCTGGACTTTCTTCACAGGGAACTCGAATTCTACGAGCGGGACCTTGGCTTGCTTGAGATGGCTGAGGAAGCCGACTTCGGAGGGTTGGAGGAAGAGGAGGCTGCGGCCACGGCCGCCGGCGCGGGCGGTACGACCGACGCGGTGGATGTAGTCGCGAGGTTCGTCTGGGGGGTCGAATTGGACGATCCAGTCGACTGCGGGTATGTCGAGGCCTCGAGCGGCGACGTCAGTACATAGGAGGGTGCCGTGTGTGGCGTTGCAGAATTCGAAGAAGGTGTTTGTTCGTTTCTGCTGCTTCTGCTTGCCGTGTAAGTCCAAGCAGGGCAGGTCGATGTAGTTGAGAAGCTCTGCGTGATATTTGACACATGCGCACGAGGAGAAGAAGACAATGGTTTTCTTCTTTGCTGCATGTTGGCGTTTTAGGAATGAGAAGAGTAGTAAGAAGCGTTTGTCACCACCGCACAGAACAAAACCTTGCTCAAGACCGCTGACTGTGCTGTGGACGTCGCTGCTGCTAACATTAATGTAGAGGGGACCAGGACGAAGTGAGATGCGCGCTAGATCTTCCACTTTTGTGGTTTGCGTAGCTGAGAACAGCATGGTCTGCCGATCTTCGTTAGGCAAAATCTTGACGATTTGCCGCATCTCATCTTCGAACCCAACTTCCAGTATCCGATCTGCTTCGTCTATAATCAGTGCTCTCAAATTCTTGAAGATAAAACCTTTCGTATTCTGTAGATGATCGAGCAGTCGACCAGGCGTTGCGATTACCAGATTGACGCCTTTCGACAATTTTTCAGCTTCTGCACGCCTGTTCGCTCCGCCCATGACTATGCCGTAGGTTTGTGAGTGATGAGCCATCAGTTCTCGCGCAACGCCGAAGATCTGCAGGGCTAGCTCTCGAGTGGGCGACACGATGATGACACCAGTACCTAGAAGTAACGTTCAGTCTTAGACTAGAGCAAGACGTTCATTTGATTTACCGTTCCGAGGTTCTGTTGAGGATTAGCATTTGAAAACGGAAGCAGAAGACTTAAACGTACTGAATCGCAGCGCACTCAACATCTCTACCGCAGGTATCAAGAAAGCTAATGTTTTGCCTGAGCCTGTCTTTGCTGCTCCTAGCACATCTTTGCCCGCTAGGAGCGGTGGTATTCCCCTTTGCTGGATTTCCGTCATTGCTGTGAACTTCATTTCTTCAATTGCTTGCATGGTTTTGCTCGAGAGATCTAAATCGGAGAAGAGCTTGGGATCGGTGGCTGTAGGTAGAGATAGAGTTGTATTCGCTGGAATTGGCTCATCTACTGTTGTAGTATCCCCATCCTTAAACGGTTCGCCGGCTTCCTCTCCCTCCTCCTCTTCCTCTCCTTCTTCGTTATCATCAATTTTTTGTCTGCCATTTTGAGAAACTGGCTCCTCCGTCACCACTTTGGGCTGATGAGCTGTGTTCCCATTCTCTTCATTGTGATTATAGTCTCCATTGCTTTCCTGCTCTTTAGCGGTGTTGCCCTCACGTTTTCTTTTCTTCTTCTTGTGCAGGCTGGTCGTACTCGCAAGGTCGGTGACTAATGGTTCAAGGTCTTGGGGAATGTCGTCGTCTCTTGCATTAGCATGACCGTGTTTCCGTTTTCTTTTTTTGCTCTTCAATTCCGTATTTTCCATGGTGGCGTATGTTGAGTGCTTGACTTTTTTTCTCTCAAGTTCCGTCAGAGCTGCTCATAAGGCTGGCCTTGGCAAAACACAAATAAGCGAAGAGCTAGCGCCCTAGCGTCTTGCCCCCCGGGAGTACCAATTTTGGGGGGCGGATTCAGCCGCTTCAGGGGCACCAGGGGGTTCGTGATCAATCTCCTCCGACTGCTGCAATAGTCAACATTCAAACTGCAATGAATGTTTATGAAAGTCCACTATGTACATGTGACGTCAAGAATCAAGACTTCTCTGCACATATAGGTCATTATCGGCTTATGGATCGCGGGTGCTAAGCCCGAACGAGTGGCCATGCGAGATCTTATCAAGAGATCATGAAAAACTTTTGCACTTGAATGTTCATGTTGAATAGTTATGAATGTGATTTTTCCTATCCATCACATTCGCATCTCAAGAGTGCACACGGAGCTGTCTTTGTGGTACCTCTGGAGATCTGCAACTTTTGACCCGGCGCGTACCTGTCGGAAGCAAGAATTGGCCACCAACCAAGCCGATTTCAAGGCACTGTAATATCAGGGTGAGAATCCTGTACGTAAGCAGCATGAGGCTTTGGCGATGATTCGTTTTTTGACAAATTTATCTCTTGGATTTCATGATCGATAAGATGATGACTGGCACGGCGTAGAAATGGGTGGTTGGGCATATTGATTATCCATAGCGAAGGATCTCACCACAGTGAAGCCGTATAAACCTGAAGACTTTATTCCTATGAGAAACGAGATCTCTGAAACATGGGAGTAGATTTAGATTTTGGATGCAAGAAATGAGACAAGTGGTCGAAACTTACTGGTGAGATAAATGGTCAAAATCGTCAGAGATCATTGGCAATGTATATGAGCTTGAATGCTCAAGGATCAAGCAAAGTGGCCTCGTCCGTCAGGACAGGATAGAAAAGAAGGCCTCGGGCTTACTTGCTGTTATCTTTTCGCGCTGAATTTCTTAGGTGAAATTCTGCTCAGCATGTCCAAGATCGCAGAATGAACAATGCCACGACTTTCTGCCTCGACCGTGACGTCGCTCGAGTCGAGTGTTTCTTGTTGAACGTCTGAGAATTTGCGTCGTGAGCCAGCAGGCCTATGATTGGCGATGAGAGGGGGCCAAACAATTGCACAGTTGTGTGTCTCGCAGAATGAACTTATATGCAAATCGTAGGCTTCACTGAGGTCCAGACTGAAACCAAGCAACATTCTTGCGCTTTCCAATGTTACTGCATATCCCCAAGTGCAAGCTAAGCCTCCGTCTGCGTACCAGAGTGCATGCCGCCGACCATCAAGGTCATCGTACCACAGAGTACCATTTGGAGCAGGCGGATTCGCACATGTACCAAGCCACAGCATATCCCAGGCCGGACCATATGGACTTTGAACTGATGACGAGGACGACAGCTGTGTTAAAGAATCGACAGGAGCTGTGAGATTCTGTAGGTGACGCGCGTAGTCCACAAGTTGACTTTTGAAAGACACATCCCAATCCACGTCATCCTCTATAATCAGAGCGGTGCTGTAGCCTGTCTCTACGACATGTCGTAAGGCGTTGACGTGCGATCGCCACAAGCCTAGTTCTCCAGAAGTGCTTTGCGTGCCACTGGTGTTCCAATGCGATGGCCACGCTTTCTCGTCCATTTCGGTGCCTCGGACAGCGTTCTGCCAATTGAGGTGGACACCCTGGTATGAGCTCATCAAGGTCAGAAGATCTCGACGATCTGTCCGTGCTGCGAGATTAATGGCAATAATACTTTCAAATCCAAGTGTTGTATTCGTGACTTGGTTTTCGATAGCAACGGATTCGCTCAGAGAGTCGTTCGAGAATCGAGCGGCCTGCTGATGAAATGAAGAGTTTCTATTATCCCATACGTAGTTGATCAGTATGAGTGAGACACTGAGGCTAAGAGCTAGGATTCCGATCCGATGAAGTCGTTGAATCCGAAATTTCATCGATTGCCGATAATACATCATATGTGGAAGTTCTCCGCAGGGGACTTGTGAACAGCAAAATGGAGCTCCAAAAGGTTCATGTAGCTATCTTTCCCTCCCAATACGGCACGTATGATTCTTCGCGACACAGACTATCAACAGGCTCTAACAAGCTGGAGAGACGCATTGCTGTGAATGGCTTGCACAGCGACATAGTTGTGCGGCTACTCTCCCTGCTGCTTCACTATGAGTTCCAAGATGTTTGGCGCTGAGAAAAGTGCCTTGCAAGGCTGTATAGTTGCAATCATGCTGAATCCCAGCATCAAATTTTGCGAACATCCAAATGTTTTGGCAGCCAAGCCAGGCCTTTGGAATATATATTCGCACAGCTGCTACAGAGCATGATTGCATTTCGAGTTCTTGGGTGCTGCCCTTCTGCTCTCTGAGTGTTACGAGGCCCCGGAGGCTGAGCATCCTGAGGGGCGGACTTGGCGGAGAGGGAGATTTGAATGATGACCAATCATCTGCCGAAGATCGTTATTTCACCCTGCCGTTGCCCCATCCGTCCTAGTGCCGTTGCGCTCTCTCCCCTACATTCCGTCTTCCGTTCCTTTCAGGGAAAACATCCACCTCCACCTACTTCCATCATCACCCACCGTCCTTGACCGACCCTCACTTCACCATCTTTTCCACATCGCACCGATGGTTGGACTGAGTTGAGCCTATTTTCATAATCTATAGCAACTTCCTGCTTGGTCAGCTGTCGTGTTTCAGCTTGCCACCCATTCGTTTCTCCTACTCGGCCAACTCGTTCGATTCCTCGTACTTCGAAACACAATACTCAACACCTGTACTGTCGTTCTCACTGTCGGATCACTCTCACGACCGTATATAGGAGTCATAATATATCATAATCAAAGAGGAGGACCTGGTCGCATTCCATCCTGCATCCAGCTTGCGAGGCAAATAGAGGAGTCGGCGGCTTTAATCGCCCTTGTCAGACTGTGACTTAGCAACAACCACAACATGCGATTATCGCTATTTTCGCGGCCAACATGGCTATCTATCGCTCTTTTGTCATCACTCTTCCACCTTACGTTCGCCGAGAAATTAATTGAATCGAAATCCTTGAATCCATGTCAGGACAATTCCGACTTTACCGCTACCTTATTCAATGTCGCCTTCACTCCGGATAACAACAGTCTGGCTTTTGATGTGGTGGGAGCCTCGACCATATCTGGCTTTGTCGTTGCAGAATTAGATGTCATCGCATATGGATTCCAGGCACTCAAAGAGACCATCGACCCATGTAATTCACAACTTCAAGGCATGTGTCCCATGAACCCCGGTCAGATCAATATCGAGTCAAATATCAATATTCCCGATGACGTTCTCTCCAGAGTGCCTAGTATCGCATATGGTGTCCCTGATTTGGACGGTGTGGTCAGGATCTATATCAAGGCTCGAGACACAGGCGAGAACTTGGCTTGTGTGGAAGCGGAATTGTCAAATGGAAAAACTGTCGATCAGAAAGCAGTGGGTTGGACAACAGCCATTATTGCTGGTCTGGCCTTGCTGGCGTCCGCCGTTACTTCTGGTTTAGGCCATTCGAATACCGCTGCTCACGTTGCAGCCAACGCGTTGTCTTTGTTTGGCTACTTTCAAGCGCAAGCAATTATTGGTTTGACAGCCGTCGACCTTCCGCCGGTCGTTGCATCTTGGACCCAGAATTTCCAATGGACGATGGGCATTGTAAGAGTCGGATTCTTACAGAAGCTGTGCACTTGGTATCAACGATCTACTGGAGGAACACCTTCCTCTATCCTATCCAATTTGCAAAAGGCATCCGTCGAAGTACAAAAAAGGTCCCTTGGAAAGCGCTCGATTGACACCACTCATCGATTGTTCATGCGGGCATACAACGAAATAGTAAAACGCGCGGGGTCAGACACAGGTTCGTCTGCGAAAGCCAAAACAGTTGTCGTAACGGGCATCGAGCGAGTTGGCTTTAGGGCGAAGATTGAGTCAACCAACATTTTCCTGACGGGATTGATTTTCTTCATCGTCTTCGTGGCCTTAACAGCTATTTGTGTTGCTCTCTTCAAAGCTTTTTGCGAAGGCGCGGTCAAAGCTGGTTGGTTCAAGGGCGACAAGTTCGAGGATTTCAGAACTGGCTGGAAGGTTGTCTTGAAGGGTATTCTCTTCCGCCTTGTGCTCATTGGCTATCCTCAAATCACCATTCTGTGCTTATGGGAGCTTACGCAGAGGGACTCTGCCGCCGAAGTCATTCTGGCCTTGTTCTTCTTCATCTCCATGACTCTAGCACTTGGGTGGGCGTCGCTCAAGGTGTGGCGGATTGCCAAACGATCGGTACAAATGCACAAGAACCCGGCCTACATTCTTTATTCAGACCCCTCTGCCCTCAACAAGTGGGGCTTCTTATATGTGCAATTTCGCGCAACCGCCTACTATTTCATCGTTCCGGTGCTTTGTTACATTCTGATCAAGGCAATCTTCATCGCTTTCGCCCAAGGGAGTGGCATTGCCCAGGCTATTGGCCTTCTCATCATAGAGGCCGGCTTTCTCATCGGTGTCAGCATTCTACGGCCATGGATGGACAAGAAGACGAACGCTTTCAACATTGCCATCGCGGCGATCAATCTGCTCAATGTCGTCTTCTTACTCATCTTCACCGAAGTTTTCAATCAACCTGTAAGTGCCCTAGCCAAGCCCAAGCTGAATTTGTACTTACTTCCCAGGGTATCGTCACCGGTGTCGTGGGCGTCATTTTCTTCGTCGCCAATGCTGCCTTCGCTCTAATTCTTCTACTTCTCGTCTTGATCGCTACTATCTACGCCTTTGTTTCGAAAAATCCCGACACTCGTTATCAGCCAATGCGTGATGATCGCGGTTCATTCATCAAATCCCAATCTCAATTGAATACAGAGCTTGATGCGCTTGGAGCCACCGCTCGTGGTGACAAAGCAGGCTTCTACGCACGTGATATTGACGGAGACTCGGGATCATTCTCCTCGGATGGTAAACACACCGGTGATGCCGCTGGGGTGCCACTCCCACCTTCAACTTCCCATTCAACACGAGAGCCCCCTCGCTCGCCAATTGACCCAAGCCACCAGTATCTCCCTAGCGACGGCGGCAATCGTCACATGTACAACAATGAAAACGTCAGCTCACGACCAGGGGCTGACATGCCGTTCCTCGGTAGCGATCGAAGGCCAGAATCATCGCCATACCGACGAGCGCCGTCGTCGCATTCGAGTAAAGGAGGTCACGCAGCCTACAGGCAACAGAACAATTCAAGTCCCTGGCAACGAGGAGCAGGCTACGACCATTGAAGAAATGTCTACGATTTGTGATGATAAAAATTGAACATCTACATATAATACATAGTTCGTATGCATGGCTGGCTCACAGCTGAGCAAGCAACGGCCTGTGGACCAGATCAACGCATTGCATTGGGAAGGGTCTTTTGGGAGGTCGTCGACTACAACGGTGAGTCGACATTGGAGAATGGGACGGTACTGTGGAACCGACCCTGGCGTTTCGATGCCGTCGACCGCTTTGTCGGGGCATAGGAACATCTTTGACGCTTAAGATAGATAATGTATATAGCTAAATGAGAACTTCAGTCGACGAATTTGCGATTTCACTCACTAGACTACGGCTTCATAGAGCCCTTTGCAGATTCGGAATTCATTATAGGTAGTAGCCTGAGGACGTACTCGAGCGTGACCAGCACACCGTTCGTCCATGTGACGTCCCAGCCAATCATAAATTGCCAGCTGTAACTTCTGAAATCCACCGTAAGGCTCACAATGCGGAACCCAAGGGCCATGTTGTTGTGCTGCAGTACCAGCGGTGGCGTTCAGCCACAAAGGAGACGGTAGGAGCAGAATCAAGATTTTCCCTAGGCAACAAGCATGAAGCTGTTCACGGCCAAGGCGCTTGCTACCATCAAGCATCGCTGGCTCACATCCGAGGGAATCCTGAGGGACCGTTGCAGCGTTAAGGCGTCCTGGAAAGGTAATTGGGCTGGGAAAGCGCCGGTGAGAGCACTGAACGATGCCATTTTAGGCGGGCCATTGGGTCCGAAGTCTAGAACACTGCCTGCTCAGCCTCTCCGATGCGAAATGGGATGAGGAAACAAATCGTGAATATATTTATGCTCCTGCCTCTGCTGTACGACTTCCCACACTGCCCATATAATTGTCGTACTATTCCAAGTATTATTTCTTCTTTTCTGAGAACTTGCTGACCACTTCCCCCAATTCTGATCGCGATCCTTGGCTCGTGAAACAACATGGCACCAGCCACACCTCTCTTCCTGAGCTTCCTAACCGCTTGTACATTCCTTGACTCCGCTACCGCCCTCTTTCAACAGCGAGCACCGAAGGTCCTTGGTGCTGGGTTCGAAAAATCAAGAGTTCAGAAGGATGACACATCATTACGACTACTACGGCGTCAAAACCCTGTCGCCGTCGATGTCGACAATTATGACATTGCGTAGGCTTCACGCTTCCTTTTCATTTTACCCACACTTACAAGTCCTCAGGTATATCATCAATATCACAATCGGAACACCACCACAAAAGTTCTCAGTCCAAATTGATACCGGCAGCTCAGACCTCTGGGTCCCATCGGTAGATTCAGTCACCTGCCAAACGAACCAAGAGGGATGCCAGACTTTCGGCGCCTTCGACTACTCCTCCTCCTCTTCTGCAAAAACAGTGGCCAAAGATGCCTTTCAAATATCTTACCAAGACAATAGCGCCGTCACAGGTGACTATATCAACGAAACTGTCACAGTGGGCCAGGCAGAGGTTAAGCAATTGACCATGGGTCTGGCAACCGACGCCGACCGCGCTCTTGGCATCCTTGGAATAGGCTACGGCGCCGGCGAGACCGCAGCAGCCAACGTCGACTCCAGCCTCGTTTACCCAAACATCGTCCAACAGCTGTCCGACCAAGGCATAATCGGCTCCACAGCCTACAGCCTCTGGCTCAACGACCTCGAATCCCTCAGCGGCAATATACTCTTCGGCGGCGTCGACACCGCCAAATACACCGAGCCCCTCACGGCACTCCCCGTGCAAAAAGGCCCCAACAACACATTCATCGACTTCACCATCGCCCTTACCTCCGTCTCCCTTACCGACGCCGCCAACAAACAAGCCTACAGCGCCCCCAACCTCGCCCTCCCCGTAATACTCGACTCCGGTACCACCAACACCTACCTCCCCAACGACATCGCCAACGCCATCATCGACGGCGTAGGCGCCATCAACGACCCAACCCTCGGCCTGATTGTCCCCTGCGCTCTCTCCGCCTCCCCAGCAAAATTCACCTTCACATTCGGCGGCACTGACGGCCCCTCCATCTCCGTCGAGTTCTCCCAATTCGTCACCCCAATATCCCTCCCAGACGGAAGCACACCCGAATTCTCCGACAACTCCGGCGACGTGTGCGGGTTCGGCCTTCTCCCCTCCGGCGCCGCGGACGCCCCAATCCTACTAGGCGACACATTCCTGCGCTCCGCCTACGTAGTCTACGACCTAGCAAATAACGAGATCGCGATCGCACAGACGAAATTCAACGCCACGGATTCGAACATCGTAGCGATTGACGGGAATAAGGACGTACCGGGTGTGACGGCCACGGCGACGCAGGTGGCGGTCACGCAGAGCTTCACGGGCCATCCGCTCGAGACGGATGTGAGGACTAAGACTGCGGGGAACGCGAAGCCGACGAAGGGGGGAAGAAGGGGAGCTTTGATTTGGGGGTCAAGGGCGTGGGAGGAGGGGCGGCAGCGAATGTGGGGCGTCCGAGTCTTTGGGCGACGGGCGTGGTGTGTGCGTTGTCGTTGGTGGTGGGGAGTGGGTTGGTTTTTGTGCGTTAGAATGGGGTCGCGTGGTGGGCACGATTTTGGGGATGGGGATGGCAATGTTGCAGTCACGAGTACATGAAGACTTCATTTTCGAGCGAGCATGGCGCTACAGCGGATATCATCTATCCTATTGCAGCGAAAAGAACGACAGTACCATATTTTTTACATGCCCTGTTGTAAATATCCTTACCTAACGACCTCAAAATCTTACTACGTTACCATTACCTTACTACCCAAAAGTCTCAACAGCGAGGGACCAAACTCTCGGAGACGAAAAGTGGTACAGGGTAGTAAATGCAAGCAAGGCACGCTTTATAACACGAAGGGAGAGAGGGGTGGATTCAGCCAAGCCAGATTATGGTATAAATACTTTCCACCATTCATGGTGACGGGGTCCATCCTTATCAAATCGAAATAAATTACCTGGCTGATCAGAAGGCTGTTTTGCCATGCCATCGCTCTCATATCCCATCCTCAATCTCATCACATATCACATGATATTTTCCATTCCCTTCCCTTCCTTCCTTTCTTTCCGTATAGCTCCTAACCACATGTCTTTTTGTTTTTCAAATTACATTCCCCCTTTCAAACAAATCTCATATGTATTTGGCAGAATACACCACAATATGCACGCACGCCTGCTTCTCTCATGGGAAAATGAATTGTTACACAATCAATCAATGATAATGATGCACCAAACCATCTCCCCCGCCCATTCCCCGGCCCCATCGATTGCTCGATCTCAATCTTAGTCTTGCAAAGACATGTCGTTGCGCTCATCACAACATCATATTCAAGGAGAAAAAAAGATATGCATATGCTCAAAAAGCCTCAGTGGCTTCTGCTTCTGGGTTCGGGCTGCCTCGATAACGGTTCCGTCTCAATCCATCTTTGTCTGGGCTGTAGCTCCCGGACGTAGAGATCGGTCGGGGCCCAGTAGGTTTACGCTGGGGTGGAGCCGTGCCTTTTGAAGATGCTGGGGATCTTTTGGCCTGTACAGAGTATGTCAGCCCTTCCATGCTCGGATGTTATAAATTAGAGGGATCAAATTACCTCGTCAGCAGCGCTCCCACCGCTCCACCGCTGCTCAGGTCCCAGATGTTCTTGACTCTCCCGCAATGGACTCGCAAAGTGCGGTCTGTTATCCTTAACGCCGAGTTTCGGCGGCCTCGCTGGCCCAGCGCTCGTGTTAGGTGAAGATGGCACAAGCGGCCCGTCGTCTTTGACCTTAGGAGGGCGCGGAGGCGCAGGAGCAGAGACTTGTTCCGACGCAGAACGAATGGAGTCTCCGGAGGAGGAGATTGGGGATAAATGACCACCACCACCCATGCTGTACCTATTGTTGGTACCAGGCATGAAGCGGGAGAGAGCTGGGTCAGAGCCAAAAGTGTCAGATGTTGGCGAGATAGGAGAGCGTGAATGTGCATGAGAGCCGTAATTCTGGGCTTCAGATTCGAGGTGGTTTTGGTAACGGCGCGTGGGTCCCGGACGAGGTTGAGGGTGCTGCAGATTCATGGAGTCCCGATGAGCTTGGTACTTGGGGTCTTCTGAGACTTGAGATGGGACAAGTGGCGACGGCGGTCGACTGTCTTGCTCATCTTCTTCGTCAAGTTGGTCGTGTTCATCATGCTGGTCTTCTCCGACCGAATCATCACGATCCATACGATCTTCACCTCGAGGGTCATAGTGGTCATTGCTGTCATAGACTGGGAGGTCGCCGGAGCGAGATGCTTCACTAAGTGGACGCTCTTTTCCATTGCTTTTGCGGAAATTGTCGCCGAATGAGGATGCTGTAGTCCTGGACCATCGCGAGACTTTGGGAAAAATGGAGGAGCTGATGGACTTATGTTTATTGCTTTTGTCTGTGCTTGACTTTGGAGTATTCTCTACCGACTTTGTAGTTGCTGCCGCTGCTTGTAGTTGATGCTGAGGCGGAGTAGCCAGAGGGTCTGAACCAGGGTGGGGTCGTTCTCTTGTCGGAGTGAGTAATTGCTCGTTGTTCTCAAACTGGTGGTCTAGGACATTTTGTTCGTGATCTTCTAGCTCCTCATCTGCCTCAAGAACGGTACTGACACGATTATTTGACGCTTGACGATCCCGCATCTCTTGTACGGCGCTTGGGCCTCGTGATGGCGAGCCAGAGAAATATCCAGAGAATTGGCCAGAGGTTAAGCCCGCGGTAGCTTGCACAGGTATAGACTCTGGGTCAGCTGCCCTGAGCTTATCGTACGAGCCCAAGGTATCTGTCCTTGACGGTCCTCTGGATGGACCTGTTGAGGGCTCCAATGACGGCTGGAAATTTTGAGTGGTTTTCAAGGTAGCAACTTCCTCAAGCAAATGATTCAGCATATGCTGAACCTTTTCCATGTCATTCTGGCTTCGACCTCCAAGGCCTCTTATTGCCCGTCTAAGGACATTCTGCTTCTTTGTGGCCGTTTCCTCTTCATCAGCAGAGTTCCTTCTCGTAAAATTCGGAGGCGGTGGTCGCGGGCCCCCAATGATCAGCTTCTGAATGGTTCGATCATGCTGCTTGTTGTTTGCATCATTAAGTATGTCGCCTTGCTCAGAAACGAACTTCTTCATCTCCTCGAACGAATTGCGCATTTCTGCAGCACTTCGAACAAGTGTGACGAGTATCTCCGTATCTCTAGCGTTCCGCTGGGCGTCCCTAACAGTAAGCTATAGAAGTCAGCTATATACAACGTTTAGGCATCATCGAGGCTTACGTGGTCCATCAGGGCTACGATGTCTTTCGATTGGATCCGATCTAGCCCATTTCCTGTAGCGCTGTCGTAAAGTGGGGACCCTCCTCCATTCACAAGGCCTGAATTGGTGCTCAAATGTCCTGAGTGTCCTGTGAAAGGATCGTCAATATCTAGTCCACCGTCATCAAATGAACGAGCATCTTTGAACGCGACTTCCGGGCTTTGGACGCCTTTCCGCGCATCGGTGAAGTATCCCTCGTCTTTAGGAGCACTACCTCGCCCATCCATGAACGAATCTCCATCTTCAACTTGCGGCTGATAACTATCTTTCACAGACCAGTCTCGAGATCTTGGCTTATTGTTCAAAGCAGCGTTTCCCGCCGCGATATCTGCGACATTCAAGAACCTTGTTGCTGCATCTTCTAGACTTTGATGAGCGCTAGATTTGTGTGAGCCACCGTAACCCTGCTGAAGCTGAGGTGGCGTCTCTTTGTATGGCCAATGGTCTCTATTGCCTGACGGGGACCCTGCCATAGGGCCTTGAATGATTGACGGATTTGTGGTCACATCAGAATCAGAGTTCATTCCAGGTACAAATTCGGGCAAGGGGTCATCAGCAATAGGCAAGCCACTAGCACCCATTTCAATCTTCTCGGAGCCTTCGGATCGAGCGAGACTCTGGCGAGGAGAAGGCTGAGCCGACTCGTCGCGTAGGAACGATTTCCTTTCATGATCGTCTTGCCGAAGGTTGTCCATTGACGTAACTTCTCGTGAGGCACTATATGTCGAATCTCTTGGACCTTCCTTGTTCGGCGATTCAATGAACGACCTGTCACCCTGTTTAGACTTTGCTGAGACAGTTGAGGTATCAAGCAATGACGCTACCGCAGACTCAACCGCAACCGGTGTCCCTCTGTAGTCTGCTGTTTTGCGAGCTACAACATCGTGGTGCTTTTGGCCTTCAGTCAACTTATCGAAAGCGATGTCGTTGCTATCGTCAGTATAGTTGGTCATGTGTCTATAGTCCACTGTGGGATCTCCATAGCTTTCCCCTCCGATAGACGAGCGAATCTGGTCATTCTTCTCATGTTCCTGCTGCAGCCATTCGTCAATCGAAGGATCCTTTCCGCTGTAATCTCCTCCAACATAATCAGAGTCGCGGAGTCCATGCTGGTCAAGGACGGCACGAGGAGACTCGAGGTGTATACCTTTGGGCCTGTTCGTCCGATCAAACGCAGCACTGGCCACAGACGTTTCTGACTGAAGAGAAGTAGCACTCTTCCTCCGTTGGGGCTCGACAAGGCTCTCTTGACGGCTTGACACACTCTGGATTGGACTCAGCGGATGACTTTCGTGCACATAGCTTTCCTCTTCATCGTATTGTGGGAAGTGTTGAGTAGGAGGGGTGGGCGAGCTAGTCATATGAGGACCTCCGAATATGCTAGCCTTTTCCCGCTTTGGGGAGACCCCTTCCTGGTGGACGTCTCGACCGCTCAGCGGACTCTCTTGCCGAAGATCTTCTCGGTGAAGATTACTATGGTGAGTGCTAGTGCCTTTCTGCAGGTTTGTCTGCCCCCTGGTTGGGGTCCTTGACCGAGGTGAGGATATTTCGCGCGGAGAGGCTCTTGCCATTTGTCGAACAGTGGCTTTCTGTACCTCAACGGCGGGCGACCTAGTCCCAGACGTCTCGTCTGATAAAATGGAATCTCTGGTTATCTCTGAGCTGTGCATGTCGCTCTGCATTGGCATAGGCGAAACACCGTGCTTTTTGAAAACGTCCTCACTCCCTGCAGCGCTTGTGCTACGGCTATGACTCTTGCTTTTGCGTCGTCGTCTACGTCCCTGGCTATCAAGAGTGGATTTTGAATCGCTGTGTTTCAGATCATGGTGATTGAGAGCGGCTGCCGTGAGGACACCACCTGCCATTCCAGCAGCGGCTGCCTCTCTCATACTGTGACCCTCTTTGCTCTTTCTTCGAGACGCGCTGCCTCCGTCATGAATCACAGTCTCTTCAGACACCTCTCGCTCGGATCTGCGCTCAAGGGGCGAACCCGATTTTCGTGATCGACGGCGTTCCTTGCTGCCCTTGACAGAATCTCCGGATAAAATCGTCCCTGGATCGTCACCGTCTTTGTGCAGCACAACTTTAGGTTTGTCGGCAACATCAGGGGCGCTTCTGTGAGACGAGAGCTTGCGTGACGTCTTTTCGCTGCTCCCAGATGTTACGCTGTCCTGCTCAAACTTTTGTCTAGTACTCTGGACTTTCTGCTCTCGCTTGATACTTTCTAATTCTGGCATAATGTAACGCTTGATGGCCTTTTCAACATGCTCCAAGAGTGCGGGATTAGTACTGACGGAAGATCTAGAAGCTCCAGATCTGAACGAGTACTGATCACCGGAGCGTCTTTGAGGGGAGAGCTGAGAATCGACCAGAACATTTGAATCATTGCCGCTTCGTGATCCTTCTTCATACTGGTGCGTTTTGCTCGGCCTTCGTCTTGAAGGCTGTATGGTGTTGGATTGCTCGCTGCTAGCGCTTCGGCTTCGTGAGCTCCTGCTGTGACGTCTATGCCTGCCACTACTGCCAGTTTGCGCAGCAATTTTCTCCATAGCCTTGTGTGCAATCCTCTCTCTGCTTCTTCCGCTTCTAGTCCGTGAAGGTGTCACAAGAGTATCTTTCGTGTTGACCATTGCCTCCCTACTTGTGCTTCGGCTTCTGTGCTTCGGTGTTGAAGTGGTATTTATCCTCACGGTGCCATGCTTCTCTTCAAGCATGCTGTCTGCGGGCATGGAAGAGATCTCGGACTGATTCTGCTGAATGAGTCGGTCTCTGTCGTCCGATAGCCCAGAAATGTCGCTGTCCACATCTTGACGCATGACTTCGATTTCAACTGGGGCCTGTCTTGGTGCTAGACTAGACTCTTCTGCTGCAGATGCGTAAGAGCTATTATCATCAGCGCTCTCGATGATCTGACCCTCGGGTGTCGCTTGAGGCCCCAAGGAGATATGACGAGTGTAGGAGGGTTTGCGACTACCTCTTGATTCCGAGACCGTAATGTGTTCGTTGGTATTTTTTATCTTGCGTGCAGCTGATGGTGTAACCTTGACCCTTACACTGGGTCTGGACTCTATCTTTGCCCCTTTTCCGCCCCCGTAGTATTCGATCAAGAGCGAGGTTTGTGACTGGTTGGAACTCTGCGTCAGCCTACTTTCTGTATCCCGCTTATTTTTCCTTCTCTTTGCAGGAATTGTGATCTCCCTGCCGTCCTCTGGAATGGTCCAGGAAGTTTTGTCGGTCCGGCGCGACACGTCTGTTGCAAGATCGACTTCGGTACTACTTTCGACGGGAGTTTGTTCCGTAGGCGAATCTGTCGGAGCTGGTAAATATGCTTTCCGAGTCCCAACTCCCATTGCGGTATCGAGGCTCAATTATGGAAGATAGAGTGCAAGCTCAAGGCTTTGATTATGATCATTGGTTGTATTAGCGGGCATGGGCGTAAGAGTGTCATCGATTTTTTGGAGGTGAAAGATTTAAGTGGTGGCAGGGGGAACTGGCGCTTTCGGTGAAGTGGCTGTAATGGTGTGCAAAGCAGTGAGGGTTGTAGCTTTACTGCGATTGCTAGCAAACCCAGGGTATGAGGCGGCGGACACTTTCCTGAGGGAAGTTCGGATCGGAGAAAAAGTGGCGTAGGGTGCGCAGACGAATATGGTGTTGATTATGCACTGCTGCTGCAATGCTCCACCGAGCAAATACGATCACTTTGCCTACGAACCAATCGGGATGGGTATGAACATGCAACGGCGACGAAGGGTCCACCGCAGCAGTCTTTCCAGTACCAAACAAACAAAAGAAATAGAACGGGTGAGGATTGTGAGAAATAGGGAAAGGGACAGACACTTTTCTTGGAGGCTGGAAGGCTGAATCTGGGGACAACAAAATAGAAGCGCGCTAAGAAGTGGGAGTGCTGTACGCCAGAACTGAGGAGGGTCATAGGTCGGCTTGTACTTCCCCAGAAAGCTGAGATCTTTATCGCTTGCAGGATACTGTACATGCATTGACCTCTAGAATCTGGCCTTTGGTTTTGTCCCTGCTATCTACTGGTACTTTCGTACATCCCTAATTTTGGTATCTGCCCCCCTGAAGTCTGCAGCTTTTCTGCGCCCCACCACCCCCTTGCGGCGGCATAATCGGAAAAACCAAGACTCATCAGTTTTCAGGGTCTCCTTGCCCACTTCGGCTCGCAATGACCATGTGCTATCCGTGAAGGTTGATGTGATTTGCTATGACATCCTCATGGCGGCAGTCTCCCCGCCGACGGGTAGCCTGATTGGCCCAATACTCCACTATTGCCAACGCATCACATCCTCGCGGCTGCCCATACAAACCGTCGAGTGTATCGAAGATTCTGATGCGTCGGTGGTTTGACGACATATTGATGCCTGACTGTAGCATTTGAAGGGGATAAATGTTGCTGTGTGGTAACTTTCTTCAACATTATCTTTGGACGTATACCAGTCATTACACTTATACGCTATGAATGGATCGTTTGCTCAAAAAATCCATGGGTATCATACGCTCGTAAACCGTGTGCCACCCGCACAAGACGCCTGATTTCCATCGCAAATCCTGCGTATCCAATTCGCAGAGTCGGGACACCCGATCAACACGGCAGGATCTGCTGGTGTGGAGTCCGCTCTCAGGAGAAACCGAGATCGTAAGTACTCGCTCATCCCGCCATTTAATCGCTGGTATCATCTACTCAATCCTCAAACCGATGACCGGATTGCCTGTGAGATTTGTGCGTTACGCTCGTTGCATTCGCAGTGTTGGCCACCTTTCCATGCCGGAGGTACTCTGCAATCTGTTCTGCAAGAGCATCCTGGACGGAAGGCGTTGGATGCAATGCATCCCACCAGAAGTAGTCCTTCAGCGCTATACCGCAATCCTCATCAAATGCGTCAATCTCTACCGCTCTTTTCCATTCCTCGTCATAAGCTGCACAGCGGTCATCTGTGATCTTGATATGACTCGTTTGTTGGTACACCGTGGGGTCGTCAAGACCTCGGTTGAAGAAATCGAAGGCGTCGAATTCCAATATCTTCGCTCCTCGAAGCATTCGTGTCGTTGTGATAGCCATTTCAGAAAGAGCTTGGTTCCATGTCGCAATGAACCTTGATATCTTATTCGTGCCACTAGGCGAACGGCCCATAGGGGGCACATTGACGATCATAATATTGCGGGCGCCATTGTCATAGAGCTTACAAGGTTAGCATCTGCGGAAGTCATACGCAGAGTCAATACATACTGTTTGCAGCATATCACTATACCTCTCTAGCATGCGCCGTTGTGTTTCTGACGTACGGCTTCCAGGCATCATTTCCAACAAGCGATTGTCATTGATCCCGAAGAACACTACGAAAAGGGAGGTCTCCGGTTTCCAGCTCGACTCTTCGGAATTGTCCTTGACGAAGGAAGGTATGAATATGCGCTCAACCTGTTCGACAAAGTCTGGGGGTACGACATTATTGTCGATTGTCTTATCGACAGAAGCTCCAGAAGTAGCGAAGCAGTAAGTCTTAATAGCACTATCGTTGTATGTCTCCGTTAAAAGCATTGGCCACCTGGGCCCGGTATGTTCCCAATAGAAAGGGGAATTGCCCATTGGCTTCTCTTCGGATGGTTGTTCTCCGACGACGTCAAAGCCGGTGTCTGAGTAAGAGTCGCCGCTGTGCTTGTTAGATGAATCAAAGCTACCAGACGCAAGGCTCTCACAATATGAACATGTTTTCCACGGTCTGCCATCCCGCCCAGCTATGGCCTGCCTGCCCTAACCCTTCCGGTTTATCGTGTGTTGCCTCGCAACAATCTACGATGCTGTTCACCTGCGCAAACGTCTGGTGTCGCGGCCTGATTCTGAAGAGGTAGAAAAGTGCAATGATAGCGCAGAATGCCAGTAAGATATGTTTCGGTGGGCGTCTTGATTTTGTGTCCATTGTGGACCATTTGGGTAATGCTCCAGTATGGTGATATGGTACGGAAATCATGGTGAGCTTTGAAGCACAAGGTACTCGTTCCTCTGTCAACTGCAAGGGGTTGGGCAAAGTAGACCCTTGGGGCAATAGCGCCCACTCCACGTCTGGGTTACGCAGAAATATTTGAAATTCACGCTACAGGCAACGGTTTTCCATAAACGCATCATTGGAAGGTTCCTACGGACTTTTATATCCATGGCAGGTAATTTAGCACTGTTTCCAACGTCAGATCCTAGTTCAAACGATGGCGTGGTCTCATGGCAAGCCTCCTTGTGCCTATTCCTTGTTGGTAAGACCATAATCCGGGAGTTTGAGACGGCACCGCCTTGTGGGCGAAGTGCGGGTTGTGTGGCACCTAAATTGTCAGGCAAGAATTATACCGACATTGACCTGGACAGATCCTCGTACGAAGAAACAACAAATAAAGGCAGCCTTTCTTACCATCAATTATCGTAAGGCGCATGGGAAAGCGTCGGATTTGCTCACGTGCTTGCACGAAAATGTTCGTGCGAATTTGCACGAGGGCTCATTTGGGACCTGGAAGCTGTCACGCCATCTAAACACGGGCTGCTTACTTCACTATTAGATCCCAATCCTGTGTTGGGCTGACGAGGCCCAGCACGAGGATTTCGGTTGTAGCTTAATTTGCTTAATTTTAAAAAAGAAGGTACAGGGGGAAGTAAGTAAAGCTTGACCAACTTGTTCCCTGTCCATGATGAGCCTGGCCCTAGGAGGTTCTAGGCTTCGGCAGAGTCGCCGAATGGCCCCCAAACATGTCGATCAACAAATTGGATATCCGATCTTATGCAGCCCGAATAAACAATCACGCATCCTTTGATCCTTTCAAACTCAAGTCAACGTTGGTGTAGGGAAAAAAGGCACAAAATCGAATAAAAGTCGCGAGGAAAGACAACAGCTTTTGCTAGTGCTTACCGCCTAGCCACCCCCACGAAGTTCGCTCATTCCTTCATCAAGTAACTGTCGCGGCTCAAACTCAGGCTCGACCGTTGTGGTTTCCGTGTGTGAGAAAGTCAAACTCATGACGGTCTCAAATCTGCCTTCTGATGTCTTGAGATCGCCGACAAGCTGATGGAGACATTTAGCCCTCTCAGCATCATCATTGGTAGAATGAGTCAAAAGCTACAACTCAAATTGTCATGATTCTTTCACTTCAACTCGCGAGTAGCTCAATTTTAAGTCCCAAGATTGGTCAGTCAAGGGGCAGATAGAGCACCTGAGAAAAAGCACGACAGTAAAGAGCATATATATATGACGATTTTCAAGGTTCGTCTCCTTGAATGTTCATGATCATGACCCTGCATGTATGCAATGCAATTGAGGTTCTCGTTCGCGCCATTATCATCCCCACATACAGAACTGGAACGTGGGTTTCATTCGCTTCATTTGATCGTGGATCACCGTTTCTTACCTCCGAAGTTCAAGCCCGTACCGTTGCAAGCCCAAAGCAGCTATATGTCGAGTTGTCAGCCGTGCATTCTTCCTAAGAGGCCTATGAAACATGAACACATCTGCAAGACGCACCTAGAGCCACCATAACATATCTGAACAACGTGCCAGAAGCTGTTCCCGCACCAAGCATTAGGACATACCTCAATAATCCAACCTTGACCTTTCCATCGCGATCAAAATTCGGTTTCAGCGAGCCCAATCTCTTGAACTGCTCAAGCTTGCCGGCATACGGAGGGTACCTCATAGCAATCAACTTCTCTGCCCACCAAGGCGTTGTAGTAATGCTACGGCGATGCGAGAAGCAGTCGAAGCTAGCCTTGCCCCGGTACGCACCCTGTCCGCTGTCGCCAACACCTCCAAAAGCGAGTGTCGGAATACTGCCATGAATCCAGGCATCGTTGACGCTAGCACCACCAGAGCGGATTTCATTGAGGATTTTCTCATTCTCAACTTTGGAACCAAATGGGTAGAGACCGAGTGGAGTCGATTCCATAGAATTGGCTGTCGCAATCGCTGAATTAAGATCATCAAAAGGGATGACGGGCATAAGGGGGGCAAAGGATTCCTCTTGTAGCATTGGGTCATCTGTTGAATCGAGGAGGATGATAGTGGGCTCGAAATAACAGTCTGATTCGTCTATGGTCCCGCCAACGATTATTTTGCCTTTCGTGCTGTCAAGTATGCTCTTTGCACGCTGAAGCTGTTTGCTATTTACCAAGCGTCCGTAATCATCGGTGTTGCGAGTACCGGATGGAAAGAACTCTGCTAATGCGCCCTTCATCTCTGCGACGAAAGCGTCCAACACAGGACGCTCGACTAAGGTGTAATTCTGCGAGATGCAGACCTGACCTGCATTCTGAATCTTTCCCCACAACAGTCGGTGTGCTGCTTTGCGTATGTTTGCATTTTTGGTCACTATTGCTGGATTTTTACCCCCTAGCTCAAGTGTGTAGGGCGTGAGGGTTTCCGCGGCTTTTTTGGCAACTATAGTCCCCACGGTGGCACCACCAGTGTAAAATATCTTATCCCATTTTTGGTCGAGTAGCGTTGTCGTCTCGGGAATGGCACCTTGTATCACGCGGAAGCAAGATGGGTCTAGGGTGGAAGTGATCACGCGCTCAGCAACAGCAGCAACGTTAGGAGCATTTTCGCTCGGCTTTATGATCACAGTATTGCCAGCTGCAATGGCGCCGATGAGAGGTGGGAAGAGGAGAATGAGCGGGAAGTTGTAGGTTCTGCGGTCATAAGTTAGCTGTCGATTGATCAGTAGGAGAGCACATACCCAATGATCAGAATCATTCCCAAGGGCTCATTTCGAATTTTAGGTCGAAGCATAGCATTCATAAGAGGGATCTCAGGAGCCTTTTCATCCTTTGCCCATTCATTGAGCTTGTTGGCGACGTATATGCAGTCATTCATGCACCACTCCAGTTCAAATCCAGCTTCGAAAGTACCCTTACCAATGTCCTTTTTGCATGCTGCTAACAATGCATCGTAATTGTCCTTAATGCTATTTGACTCCATTAGATAATAGGTCCATCACTCGAACTTGAATGAAAAGCTCCTGCGAAAGCTCACCTCCAATACAGTCTCCTAAGCTGCTGTTTTCGAAATTCTAGGGGCTTCGTTTTTTGAGAGTGGAAGGCATTGCGCACGTCATTCACACTATTAGGAATCGTATCATTGGACGTCAACTGGAACTTGGGTAATGAATCCATTGGTTTTTTGGTCTTCTGCTGCAGTGAAGCTTGACCATGCTGTCTGGACTCCTCGCTCGGGAAAGCCGAATTTCGCACAGCCTCGGCTTCAACTTCAAGCCCTAGCGCTAGGCATTCTGCATTTATTCGCACCATTCTTATACCTCAACTAGATTATCTTTCATCTCTGCTTCATTTCCCGAGTATGCAGAATGAATTTGGGTTCCTGCATGGGTGGGAGGTCTGAACAGAAAGGGTTGTCAGAATTATTCCTGGGCAAACGGAAGGAAGCTCACTTTGAATTGGCCCGTCCTGAACATCCTTAATCAATGATAAGGGTACTTAGATCAGAACTGTCACTGTCCCTGGATCTCTTCGTGTTCGGATAAATATCGTATTCACGATCTCGCAATTTGAGCATCCTGCTCTTCTTCCTCCTTCATCAATCGGCAGCCATCAACATTCCTAGCATGCCTTGGGTTTGCCACGCTTGTTGAGAATGTTCGACCTCCAAACGCACGACCTTGTGTAATCGGGATGTCAGTTGGTCAATTTCCTGAGATTCACCAATGTGCTGCGAGTAGAGTTCGAGTATCAGTATTCCGATGTCGACACACATGTTGACGAGCTGCGGATCCGTTATATGCTTGCAAATCCACTTATAAATGGGCTGCAGGGACGCCTCGTCGCGACCCGACAAAGCTGTTCTCGTGGCAGACCGATGACGCAGCGTTGTTAATAGCGTGACAGTAGCCGCTAAATTACCCTCCAGCAGAACCTGATCCAAAGCAGGACTGTACTGTCCTTTTCGGAGGAGATATTCCCATCGCTTTGGCTTGTAATTGCCCTTAGATCTCCCCTCGATGATAATGTCGGCACCTTCTCCTGAAAAGTCAAGCCCTCTATCGCGCTTCTTCTGTCCTTGTGTTTGCCTTTTCGAATCAATCTTGGCAAGTTCGGAGGTTTTGCCATCTATCATGGCCTGCATCTGTTTCTGACGAGCGCGCTCTTTAATCTTCTGTTGTCCTGAAAGACGCGTTTTGATTGACAAAAGACCCGACTGCATTCCCACTACGACATGCCTATCTTCATTTCCTGCACCGCCTTTGACGATGCAAAGCGAAAGGACAGGGGAAGGGAATTTCGAGCCAGAGATTATGTTCCATCCGCTGGTTTCTGAAATCTTCACATGCCCATCTAGACCACCGCTGATAAGGCGTGTGCCATCTGAAGCAAGAGACAGGGAAGTGACAGTCTTTTGGTGGTTCCTAAGCAATTGTAAGGGTTTTGCAGCTACCAGGTCGAGTATCGAAATTTGATTGTCAGCTGCACCAACTATGGTAGTACCCGATGGCATCGGTAAGACATCCTCTATGGGGGCAGCATGTTTGAAAGTCATGACTGAATTGGACGGGGCCCGCGAGTCCCATACTCTGATCGTTTGATCGTAGCTACCGGAGACGAGCAAATTCGTTGCTTGTCCGGGCATGAAATGGCCACATCTCACGTAGTCTTGGTGTCCATGAAATGATGATACACTGTTTTGTGATGGCAGATCCCACAGTCTGACCGTCCGATCATCACTCGCACTCATAAGTTTTGTGGGTTCCGTCGGAGAAAATTTCGTTGTCCATACTGGCTGTTGGTGCTCTTTCCACGCTTTCAGAATAGACCTTGAATTGATATCAAAGACCTGTATAGCCCCAGTCTCGTCTCCAGCAACAATAATCCGGCCATCTCTCCTTATTTCAGCGCTGTGAGCTATATCACCAAAGCGAGAGATAGTCTTCACTAATTTGCGGGTCCGAACGGAATAGAGCTGTAGTCGAGGGCCAGTAGTCACAGCGAAGTGATCAGAAGGCTCTGATGTCGCATTGAGAGGCAATAATGGGCTGGAGATGTGCGTTATTGGACTATTGTTAGGCGAATGTAGTTTCAATTGGGTCTTGAAGCTGCGCCAATATGCCTGTTCCGGTGTCAAAGGTGCAGGTCCGGCAGGGAATTTCACTGGCTGCAGAGGCAGCACCGAAGCTGCCATCTGTTCGTAAGTTTCTTACTGCATCAACTGCAAAAATCCCATGTCTGGTCAATGGTGAAAGCAGTATTTGACGGCACCTTCGGCAGAATAAATTTACGAAATTAGAAAGTCTGCCGAGCGCCGGGTATCGACAGCTGAAAGATAATATCATGACAGGTCTAAAATGGGAATTATTTTAAGACAATTTGGCTGTTATTCCGGTTCATTGACTGGTGACCTGCCTCGGTCTCCCTTCCCTCCCGTTTCCTTAATCATACGCCACTGGACCGCAACCCTCCATCTCCGTTCTCCAAATTCAACTTCCCAACTCGGCTCTTTGACTCCTATCAAAGACTCGACCTCCACTTTCATGCCTGGCCTACTCCCTTCAATGAACATCCATCTGCCACCCTCTGTATCATTTGCGAGCACGACATTGTTCCCTGCTTGGTCATCTGGAACATTCTCCAACTTTTTCTTGCCCCTCGAGTTTATGATCTCAATGATCTTCACTTTCCATTTCCATTCCTCTCTCCTGCCCACTTGCGCATGTTGCGTCGCTTCCACAATCCAGCCTCGCACCCTCTCCGCCATGCCACCTTGAACGTAGCGCTGCCCTCGACGCGAGGGCGAAAAGAAGGCTGACTGGTCCATTGGGGGAGGCGAAGGTGAGCGCGGAGGTAAGAGAAGTGGGGGACGAGACGGAATAGTGTGGGCATCGGCTTGGTAGGTTGAGGTCAGCTGAGGAATACGAAATTTGGGGGCGCGCGGCGGTTGGTGTGAGCCAACCAAGGGAGGCTTGTTGACGCTAGTGAACGCTTGAGTGGTAAGATCCTGCTTGGGATGTGTGGTAGATTCCTGAGGCGGTGGGGTGCTTGGTGGTGTTCTGCCGGACGAGGAGGAGGTGGCGGAAGGGGAGGAAGAGATCAGTATGGCGTCAGCAGCCGGAGATGGATTGGGTCGACGTCGCTTAGAGCTCGGTGAACGGATCGGAAGCGAGGTCTCTGGATGATTGATATCCGGCTCCTGAGAGGATGTTGCATCTTCAATTTCCTCACGCGGACATGTATGTAAGATCGAGCGACAGAGAAGCGGAGACGAGAAATTTCTAGCCGGCGTGAGAATTTCATTTCTCGTTACAGACGTTGAACCAAAGGCGAAGCGAGGAGTAATCGCAAATTGCTGCGTCGACGGCGTCTGATTGCCATGGCTTTGGATGGACGGGGTCTGTTTGACGTTGGTCTTCGGTTTTGGGGTGATGAACCGATGAGGGGTCTAACTCATGTCAATTGGTGTTAGAAAATCTACGAGTAAATGGCTCACAGATTGAGGAGGCGCCATAGCCTGGCGCTCACAGAGAATTACATTTTACCCACGACTCCAATACTTGAAAGACGTTGTGGACGATGATGCACGAGGGGCAAGATGTTTCGAAGTGCCTATCTTATCTTAGCGCCATGTTCATCTGCCTAATTTTATAGGAGCACTCAATGGTCAATGTTGATGTACATTCTCTCTGCTGTGTATTTAGGCGGTGACCTTCAAGGCGATCTGATTGTGCTTTTGCGTGCTAAATCTATTCATTATGACCCTTGATTTTTGATCTATGTACCATAATATTTTCACAATCGCCATTTCTTCACTGAATCTCCTGCGCGCAACTTGCCCCTAATGCCAAAAGCAGGCGTCGAATCGCACGGCCTGCTGCAGCCAGAAGAGTTTGATATCGATGAGCTGGACTATCTTGAGCCGCAGAATCACGTCTCGGACTCTTCGCGAAATCGCAAGAGTAGAAGAAACCGATGTCTTCGGCCTCGATGTCTTTGTTTTTCCATCGCCCTCATCATCGCCCTATTACTCGCGGGCGTTGCTCTAAATCGGGGAGGGCACGTGAGAATACCCAAATTTGGCTCGACGCCGTCTGGACCAAGCGTACCCTCGTATCCAAAGGTGCCCTCGGAGCCGGACGAGGCCCAGCCGCCCACATTTCCAGACAGCCCTGAAGATTCGATATTGTCATCAAAACCAGACGCATCCCCCATTGAAATATCTAGGGTCGAGACTACCTTTACAGCAGCAATTACTACACCGACTACGGCCCTTGCTGAAGATCACGTTGACGACGAATCAACGAGCACGGATTCTGCAGCAACGCCAGGGGCGACTGAAAGTTCGAACGGCAGCAGCTCGAATAAGTCTGAGACCTCCCCAACCCCCACTGGGTCGCTCCATGGTGACAATCATACTGCTTTTGAAGAATGGAAAAAGCCTACTGAATTCAAGATCATTGGATTGATATTCTTTGGCAGGCCTGCGACTGTCAGTATCTTAGACTGCTATCTGAAAAAGAATCTTGCGGTCAACGGAGGCTGGCTGGACGAGGTTCATTTCATTGTGAATACGGACAAGAAACCCGATCTCAAGTGGCTAGCCGAATTGGTAAAAGGCACTGAACAATACAAAAGCGTCGACCTTCCCAAAGAGATTGAGCCTGGTAGAGATGGCTACAATGCTGGATGGGCAACGTGTGAGAAAGGAAGTTTGTATATCAAGATAGACGACGACATTGTCTTCTTTGATGATCACGCTGTTTCAAACATTGTCTACAGCCTGATGAAACACCCAGAGGCTCTCAATGTTGAGGCAAACCTCATCAACAGTCCTGAGACTGGCTGGCTTCATTATCGGTTCGGCGCCATCCATGCCTATCTTCCGGAGCTGAGCAGGAAAAAGGACAGACTTAATGATTTTGAATCATACGGTCCAACGGCTTGGAGAGCGTCAGCACTTCCTGATTGGGAAGGGGAGGAGATGTCTTTCCACGTGGCAGGGGTCTTTAACGGCAAGGACGACGATGGCAAAAAGCTCCCACCCGACGCTCCCGGTGCGCCTCCATTCAAAGGTCATCGATGGCTTCCACTCCCTGATGGTGACAAGAATATTTGGCGCACACCCATGGCTGTATCCGAGTATAACGCTAATGGGAATGACTGGCAAAGCTGGTCTTTGGGCGCCCAAGCGCATTACTCCTTTTTACAAAACCTCGAAAATGATGACTTGCATCTGTATCACTATGGGAACGGGCTGGACCCGAAGCATGAAGGCCTTTGGAACATGGAATACGAGAGGATGAACATTAATTTCATGGCTATCTGGGGAAAGGATGTGTTGGATAATTTACCTTTCCGAAGCTTCGACGATGAATTGGCGTTAAGCGTAGAGGTACCTCATGAACTCAAAAGACGTAAGTGCCCAGCGCGAGTGGCGTTTTTAGATTGTACTGACTCTTTTCAGCGCTACTGGTGAATACTCATGCTATTGCCGCTCACTTCGGATTCAGAAGTCAGGCAGAGATGTATGACACAGACCTACTTGATAGATATCGAGCCTATGCCAACGAAAATATCTGCACCAAGGATAATCAACTCAAACCGATACCTTGAGTCATTCATCGCACTGAGGTATTCGGTATCTGCCATTCGGATGTCTGCTTACAACCGCTCGAATGCGGAAACCGAAGCCACGGCATGGTCGTCTCAAATCCCATGCAAGCCAGCTTCCCAACCCTCTACATAGACGTCCACACGACGAAGCCTGGCGGACTCACGGAGTAGATGGCTTCGATTTTAAATGAGTTGGCATTCTAAGCCAACCCAGCGGTAAACCCAACATGCCGAAGCAGTCGACCTGGCGTGATGAGGAGACAGGTTTTTAAAAGAGATCCTTGTGAGGTTGCATGACAGGCAGGCAAGAAGCATATTAGACATAGAGCGAGGCGACGAGATACCCATTTGATACCACTTTAATCCCAATGTAGCATGGCGTTTATACTCCACGAACCTCAATTGGGAATTGAACGCCGTTGTACTTCTGTAGGCGAGAGGGCCGATACCGGCTCCGCTGTCAGCCCTATTTTGGTAAAAGCAGTGCGCTTAAGAAGTGATTCTTTTCACCTCGATTCTTTCTTCCACCACATTAGTTGAGATTGATATCGGCTATTCGGAGATATTTTGAGTCTCATCATGGCTTCTCACAGCTTCAATCGAGCTTTGCGTAGCTCTATCACGCGTCAATTGGCTCCCAAACCAGCGCACCGAACTTTTCTTTCCCTCTCAGCTGCTAGGCCTAGTGTCGTTCCAGCTTCAAGGTCACTTGTCGGCGCCTCCGTACAGCAAAAACGTGGTTTGAAGCAGATTGATTTTGCAGGAACAAAAGAAACAGTCTACGGTCAGTATTCTGGTTCAATGCAGACTCGACACACTAAGCTGATCGAATCGTAGAACGAGAGGACTGGCCCAGGGAAAAGCTTCTGGTAAATCTGTCAAGTATATGGATCAAGCTGTAGGCTAAGCATATTTATAGGAGTACTTCAAGAATGATACATTAGCTCTCATCGGTTACGGTTCTCAAGGGCATGGGCAAGGTCTCAACCTGCGCGACAACGGCATAAATGTTATAATTGGTGTCCGTAAGAATGGAGCATCATGGAAAGAAGCTCAACAAGATGGTTGGATACCTGGGACCAATCTGTTCGACGTCGATGAAGCAATCTCCAAAGGCACGATCGTCATGAACCTTCTTAGTGACGCCGCTCAAAGTGAGACGTGGCCAGCGATCAAGCCACAACTAATTAAAGGCAAAGTATGTAGAGATTTCTGGCCCCCAGAGTTGACGATCCTGACGCCGCGCAGACTCTCTACTTCTCTCATGGGTTTTCCCCTGTTTTCAAAGACCAGACCAAAGTCGATCTTCCTACAGACATCGATGTCATTCTTGTCGCGCCTAAAGGATCAGGTCGGACAGTTCGCTCTCTCTTCCGTGAAGGACGTGGAATCAATTCATCATTTGCTGTCTACCAAGATGTCACTGGCAAAGCGGAGGAAAAAGCTGTGGCACTTGGAGTGGCTGTCGGCAGCGGCTACCTATACAAAACGACATTTGAGAAGGAAGTCTACTCAGATCTCTATGGCGAACGTGGTTGCTTGATGGGTGGTATTCATGGCATGTTCCTTGCCCAATACGAAGTTCTCCGCGAACGCGGTCATAGCCCCAGCGAAGCGTTCAATGAGACCGTGGAAGAAGCTACACAGAGTCTGTACCCACTGATTGGTGCAAACGGCATGGACTGGATGTACGCTGCATGCTCTACAACCGCGAGGAGAGGTGCCCTCGATTGGAGTCCTAAATTCAAGAAGACTCTTAAGCCTCTTTTCAACGAGCTCTATGACAGTGTCAAGGATGGGAGTGAGACTCAGCGATCTTTGGACTTCAACGGTGCACCGGACTACAGAGAGAAGTTGGAGGCTGAGTTGAAGAGCATAAGGGATTTGGAAATCTGGAGGGCAGGAAAGGCTGTCAGGTGAGTATCAGCAAGTCTTTCAATGCGAGCATGCTGACAAGCCAACAGGACACTCCGTCCAGAAAACCAGGTTTGAGCACATGCTCGAAAATCTCTCAAATATTCGAAGAACATGTTTTTCTGCGATGTAAGGAGCATTCGTGGAGCGAGCAGGCTACAAAAGTTTTCTACTGTATCATACCCAAATACGGCGCACCGGCCGATGATCGGCGCTCTATCAAACCCAAAATATTCCATCATTGCTTTTCTCGCATCAGTCAATCCCATGTGTTGATGCGACTAACCGATTGACTGTCAGCTTCAATTCTGACAGATTTCTCTACAACTGTGCAAAATGACGACTGCCTCTGCGCCGTTACCTCTGACTCGCTCCTCTGTCATCGCCGCTCGCCAGAGGATCGAGTCCCACATCCACAAGACACCAGTACTCACCTCCTCCGCTCTTAATGCTATCGTCTCGACTCCTCAAAGCCCCGAAAATTTAGTGGACACACCATGGGAGGGTCAAACATCATGTTCGCCGAAAATAAACCTCTTCTTTAAGTGCGAGAACTTTCAGAAGATTGGGGCTTTCAAGATCCGTGGTGCAACGCACGCCTTGTCACGGTTGAGCAATGAAGAGCTAGCGAGAGGAGTCGTAACACATAGTTCCGGTCTGTCCCTATCTCCTGGCTGCATTTCCTCCGCCATGCCACTTGCGAACTTTGGCTCCATTCTAATAACAATACCTGCTCCGGAGCCAAGGAAGCTAAACTATCACGTATAGGCAATCACGCCCAAGCTCTTGCCCTCGCCGCCCAGTACTTCGGAACTACCGCCCACATAGTCATGCCCACAATATCTAAACCTTCCAAGATCGCTGCAACCGAAGGCTACGGAGCACACGTCTACTTCTCCGGCTCGACCTCTCAGGAGCGAGAAGCCGTAACAAGAGAAGTCCTGCAAAAGACTGGAGGAGTGATGGTCCCGCCCTATGACCATCCAGACATCATTCTCGGTCAAGGCACCATGGGCTTAGAGATCCAAGAACAAGTCAACGAGCTCATCACCAAAGACCCCAGTCTAAGCGTGCACGACCATACCTCAGACAAAATAGACCCGACGATCACCAACGGAACTTCCAACCACAATGACCCATTAGAATCGAGCACTCCGACCAAAGAAATACAACCTCAACCTGAAACATATAATCTCGACGCCCTCATCGCCCCCCTCGGAGGCGGCGGTCTCCTCTCCGGCCTCGCCCTCGCCTTCTCCCCTCCTTATTCCCCCAGCCCTTCCCCCCACCCCTCCCCTTCTCCGCCTCACACACTCATCTTCGGCGCCGAGCCCTCCTTCCAGTCCGCCAACGACGCGCAAATCGGCCTCTCCTCCACCCCACCAACCCGCATCCCCACAGTCTCCACACTCACCATAGCCGACGGGCTGCGCACGCCCGTCGGCGTCACGAATTGGGAGATCATCTCGAACCAGGAATATGTGAAAGGGGTGTTTAGTGTGACCGAGGAGCAGATCCTAGCGGCTATGAGGCTGGTGATGGAACGGTTGAAGGTCGTGGTCGAGCCGAGTGCGTGTGTAGGGTTGGCTGCTGTGATGTTTTGTGAGGAGTTTAGGAGGTTGGTGCCTAGTGGGGAGGGCAAAAATGGGTGGGATGTAGGGATCGTGTTGAGTGGGGGGAATGTTAGTGTTGAGGGGATTTGTGGGTTGTTTGGGGAGGAAAATAAAGGGGAGATGGAGAGGGAGAAGGGGAAGGTGGGTTTGAATGGGGAGCGGAGAGCTGAGAACGTGCCTGGGTAAGATAAATGAGATTGGTAAGTTCTGGGTCTTTTGTATTACGGATATGTAGTATCAGTGATATCAGATTCTGAACTTTCTAACCGTGAATTGTTGATGAAGTCTCTCTGAAGCGTACTTTGCTACATCTCAACTTCCTGGAAACTGTTATTGTCTCTTTACTTACAGATCTGATCATCCGCTTGATCAGTATGAAGCTGGTTTGATTGATATAGGAATATAGCCATTTACTAAATGGTTCATCTAAGTCAGCAAAATAATCTGGTCCTCTACCACTACGACTTCCCTAACATCGCAAGTAACATAGTTCCCAGTGCACTTCACAAAATCGACGAAGAAGTTGCAGTCTGAAAAGTTTCTCCACTTTGTTAGATCACATTGAATATCTTATTTTCAGGTCGTGTCTCGAAAATGGTCATATACATAAGTCCATGATAGATACAATAGAAAGTACATCTCAGTCTGATGATAATACAATGTGTTTCTCCTCCCATCCCCCAAGCCAAACTCCATACTCAAACATCATTATCATCACTAGCGGCCGTGAAGCACACAATTTCTATCCCCTCGCCCTGCCTCCTGTCAATATTTACCAATCGCAAGTTCTCCGACTTCATTTCCCCTTCAACTCCTCGGGCTCTTGATCCCTCATGTGAAAATCATCTTCAACCCCTTCGCAAACCCCGACTTGCCCTTCTCCTGCCTCTTTTCCCGATGATAAACTCTCTCTCTATCCCGCTTCCTCTCTCTCGCTTTCTGCTTCTCCCTTTCCGCCTCCTCTAGTTCCCGACGCTTTCTTCGAAGCTCTTTGTCAGCTGCTCTGTCGGCTTCTTCTGCCTCCCTTCGCCGTTGTCGATGTCGTTCCCGCCTTGCTTCTTCCTCTTCAGGGGAAGGTCTGGATGGTCGGTCTGATCGAGAGCGATGGTGTGAAGGTCGTGACTCGCCGTGCGATCTCGAGCTGGTATGGTGTCTCGAATCAGTCTTCTCGCTATTGGTCTTAAGGCTAACGGCGGTATCTGATTGGGCTTGGAACATATCCATGATTTTAGGACGAAATAGTGATTTTTTCTCTTCCTTCTTTTCAGTGGAGCGTCGTTCCAATTTAGGCTGGCTTTTGGTTGATCCGTTGCTGCTGCCTTCGCCTCTCGAGCTCTTGTGGTGCGATGAGCGATGTTTACGGACTACTTGTTTTTCTTTGGCTGCCTGGAGTAGCTCGTCAACATCTGCAGATTTGCTGGTCGAGGCACTGCCCCGCCGTTTGGACGACGATGATGGTGCATCTACGCTACCCTTTGATCCGGACTTTCTGTGTCGATGCTCACGTTCCCAGCCACTACGGCGATGGCGATGTTTCGATGTAGTTGGAGATGGAGGGGCCTCGACTGGAACTGCTTCGACAACTGCAGCCTCCTCAGGAATAGTCTCGGGCGTTACCTCAGCTGGTACCGCCTCTACAATTGCAGGTTCCGCTGTAACAGTCTCTGGAGGCGCATCAGCCGGCGCCGCTTCGACGACTACAGGTTCCTCGAGAGCTGCTTCTCCAACTGCTTCCTCCTTCGGAACTTCAGGGGACTCTGTACTTTCAACCGGCGCTTCAGAAGTTTCAGCTGGCGGTTCTGAGGCTGCAGGAGCCTCTTCGACGATTTCTACAGGCTGCTCGCCTGCGTCTGCTGCTGTCTCCTCGGGCTGCGCAGGAGATTCTGTTTGCTCTGGGGCCTTCACGTTTTCGGCTGGTGGCTCATCATCTGCTGCTGGTGGAGGATCATTAGTTTCAGCCGCAGGTTCGGCGGGCGCAGCTTCACTGCTTTCTGGTGGTGGAGCTGCTTCGTCTGATACGAGTTCCGTATTTTCTGCTGGCGGTTCCGGCTCTGCAGCTGCCGGTCCATCGGCCTCAGGCGGCGATTCTGTCGCCTCGGCCGCTTGGTCCGTTGACTCGGCTGATTGGTTTGTACTCTCCTGTGGCGTCTCAGTATCTTTCGCAACCTCCTCACCAACGTCGACAGATGGCTCCGCGCTCTCAGAGACTGCCCCACCAGTCTCTGCTGGCGGATTGTTGGGATCGCTGGTTGCTTCTTCGGTGCCCTCTGCGGATTGACTCGCGTTTTCTGCAGGTGCTTCGGCCTCAGCTGTTGCATCCTCCTTCTCGGGAGACGGCTCGGCGGGAGCTTCTGCAGGAGGCTCGGTTGGAGCACTCTCCTCGGGTTGCTGTTCTGCGGGTGCTTCACTGCTGGCTTCCTCAGCAACAGGCTCGGGCTCAGGCGCTGGCTGTTCAGCTTTAGCTTCCTCTGATGGTGGATCTGGCTCCTTGTTCTCCTCGCTGGCCAGTTTCTCAGCCTCGGCCTCCGCGGGAGGTGGGTCAGTCGCGACAGTGTCTTCAGTAGAGGCGGCCTCTGCACTATCCTCAGTAGTATTGCTTTCATCTGCTACTGGTGTGTCATTGCTCTCGGATGATGCTGCGGGCCCTTCAGATGGTCCCCCGCCTTCATTAGCTTTCACCTCCGGCTCAACCGCTGGCGTGGTCTCAGCATCCGGTTTGATTTCTTCAGCTGAAGGTGCAGGTTCTCCTTCATCCGTCTTGGGCTCCTCACTAGTTTCTGCTGGCGCTGGGTCATTCTCAGCTGCTGTTCCTGACGATGCTTCTCCTGCCGGTGGATCGGTCGATGTTGCTTCAGCCGGAGGTGCTTCCTCAGACTTTTCTGCCTCGTCTTCCACAGTTGGAGAGGGTGGTGTATCGCTTGCCGGGGATTCTTCAGCAGGCGTAGGGTCAGGTGCAGGCTCAGCTGGAGCTTCGTCAGCTGGCTCGTCCGTCTTCTCCGGCTCAGCAGGGGCTGGCTCAGATGATTCTGGTGGAGCAGCTTCTACAGGTAGATCTTCCTGAGGAGGCTCTTCGGAAGCGGCTGGAGCAGGCTTTGGCGAATTATCCTTTTTCCTTGACTTCTTACTCTTCTCGCTTTTCTTTTCGCTCTTTTCACTTTTCTCGCTCTTTTTCTTCTCGGTAGAGCGTTTTGATGATTTGGACTTTTTGGACTTCTTTGGTTTGTCCTCTACTGGCGCCTGGTCTGCTTCGGGCTCCGCGACGGGCTCTGCTGGCGGCGGTGCCTCAGCTGCTGCTTCTCCGCTGCCCTCATCCGGCTTTGGCTCTTCAGCCTGCTCAGGCTCGGGGTCTGCGCTGTCTCCGCCAGCGGCTTCAGGTGCTTCTGCACCTTCGTCAGCTGCCGGCGCTTCCTCAGCGCTTTCGGCAGGCTCAGCAGAACCTGCGTCAGGCCCCTCGGCCGGGGACGAATCTTCCTCGGCGGGCGCGGCATCTACTCCTTCGTCTTCGCCAAATTCTGGGGGATGATCTTCATTGACATCTTCAACCCCGCCTATAGTAGAACCCTGTCAACGGAAATTGCTATATCAATTTGATGGAGTTACTAACCAGCTTCTTCCGGAGGTGCCTCGCCTTCCTCGGTCACCTCCGCATCAGCGGGCTCATCACCTGCTGCATCTCCCTCGACCTCTTCCTCCGGGTTCGCTTCCTCTGCTTCTTCTTCTTCCTCTGGAAAGAAAGGGTTGCTAGTTGGGGGTTTGAATACTGGTGGGGTTGGAGGACGTTGAAAGGAGGGAGCCTTGGTAAATTTGTATGCACTAGGATCTATCTTATGATAGGTGTAGCCACCTGGGTATGCATACGAGAAACCACCAGACATCTCTTGCAGCGTATACTGAGAAGTCTTACAAGGAGAGCAGATGGATGTTCTTATTTCTTACTCGGAGAGTATGGGGGAAAACACTCATTGGTCAGATTCGAGGGTGAGGGGTCATGACAAACGAAGCAACGAAGCATAGAACGCAGTAATCACAAGTTTGCGTGAATTGGGGGAAATGACCCTTCGTCAACCACTCAACGAATAGCAAACATGCCGGAGAAGCAGGGCGAGAGCGAAATCCCACTTCTGACGAGCCCGCATCGGCAAAGCACCGAACCAAGGGTAACATTGACGCCGGGCCTAACATGATCTGGGGACAGTCCCTTCGTGGCGGTCGAGCACCGGCAATCGTCATCTTCTTGGTGATAAGCGCATGAAAGTGGAGTGGAGCCACGTCGAGGTGCAGGAACAAATAGAAGATGCATCTGATGTCTTGTCCGGATTGGTCTGACGCATCAATCGAAGGCTTTTGTATGGCGGCCTCAACATGCTACATCTGTAGCTGCGGGCCCAAGGCATTGCTGCCCAAAGCCAATTTGGTCTCGACGTTGAATAGTCTCAACTTTGTAGACGATACCAACGGTTTTGCGGAGATGCGGAGGTGACACGAACGCATGGCTTGACTTGAGCTGGCCACGACATTCATCGCGCTGGATCCAATTGTGGTGGGGAGGATAGTTGTATATCATGTATAAAGGGGTTGAGAAAGATTGGCTTGCAGAAGCCCGGCCCGTTCGGGCTGATCCGAATCTGTCAGCAGTGACGTGACCGCCCAAGCCGCCCATGGCACCGATGTAGGAGTGAAATACTCAGTCAATTCCAACAACCGAGTGCTGAGAATACCTAAGCCGTCGCAAGCCTCAATCCCGCAGCGTGATCGTCTTTGAAGTGGTGTCAAACCCAAGAAAAGTCACCGCCAGAAGCCAAGAGCCAAGAGCCAAGAGCCCTTGTTCACCTGAACTTCCAGGATGACTCAAGCTATTGACACCCTGACTGAGAAGCTCGAGGAGCTCTTGATGGCACGTTATCCGAAGACAATATGCCCCTCGGAGGTGCCGCGTTCCTTTGAAGCCGACGAGCTCAATGCCATGGGGGTCCTATCTTGGAGAGAGCTCATGCCAACCATACGTGAGATCGTCTGGGACAAACGCGAGAAGAAAGAAGTCGAAGTTTTGCAAAAGGGCCAGATAATTGAAGGCTATGTCCAACTCAGAGACGTCACAGGTCCGATACGTGTGAGAAATAGGAGACCGATATGAAGAGCAACTTGTGCTCTTTAATGGCGCCGCGACGAGCACTTTTGAGGCGAGAGAAGATCGCATGTGAAGCGACAGCAGACCTCCGAGAGCCTCATCATGCTCGATTACGAAACACGTTTTGCCTCAATTTTCCTGCACGGGTCTGCAGGCTTAGGCAGCAACAAGGCTGTGACTTTTGATCCTTCGCATGTAAATTGGGCGTCCTCAGCCTTGCCTTACCTTAAGTATAAGCCGAGGATGGCTTTGTTTTCCTTCTAAATACAGACTTTCGCATACTTGTTCTGCCGTCAATTGATAGCGATGGACTCTTTGACCCTCCCTTACACTTTACCAGACGACTTTCTATCAGAGCCCGCGCAATGCATTCAGAAGAAGATCATCAACTTCAAAGAAGAAGCCGACCTTCCCGAATACGATGGCCTGTATGCTTGCGTGCTTGATGATGTTTTCACTGCTGAAGAATGTACTCAATTGACCCGAGCTGCCGAATCCACAACAGATGGAGTGTGGGAACAAGGTACGATTAACGTTGGAGGAGGGAGACAGCAGAAGGTGACAGATGTAAGAAATTGTGGAAGAATCTTGTGGGACGATCGAAATTTGGTTGCGAAGATCTGGTCTCGTTGTCAAGATCACCTACCCGAACTTAAGGAGTTGAAAGACCAACCCAGGATAGCGGCTGGGCCAGCAAGAAGGAAGGAGACTTGGGAGATGACCAGGCTCAACGAGAGGATGCGGTTCTTGAGCTATGTCGAAGGGAACTACTTCAGACGTTTGTCACCGCCAGTCTTCCATCCCGAATCATACTGACCTCACGGTAGCCCACATGGATGGCTCCTTCGCCACTGAGGGCAATGAGGAAATATCTTACTACACGCTCCATCTCTACCTCAACGAGCCCTCTCAAGACTCCCAACTCGAAGGGGGAGCCACAACATTCCACTCCATGAACATGAGGAAGGATTTCAATGTCATGCCCAAAGCGGGTCGTGTCCTCATATTCCAGCAACGCAGTCTCATCCACTCTGGCGCAGATGTCATCAGTGGAGTGAAGTTCACCATGCGTACGGATCTAATGTACAAGAAAAAGGCTGAGTAGATTCTTGAGCCTCCCTAAGAAACACCGTCTAAATGCCGTACCCTCAAAACTCCCACGCTCAATGCTTGCATTGTCATACAGATCCCTTCCATGCACCACCATCTCTCAAATCTCACTCTACCCCAAACAACATCCATCCCTCAACCTATCCACAACTCCCATCCTGCGGCCCCTCCCCCCACCTTTCCCTCCACCTCCCACAATCAAACACCCTCTTCCCCAACTTCCTATTGACCTCATTGTGCGCCTCACACATCCACCTACTCAGCCCGTCCTGCCCCTCCACGCCCCTCCTCACCTCATTCCCCGGCGTTTTCATCCACGACCGAAAATCCTCCGCGCAATGCCAGCACGGATACAATTTCCCGAAAAGCGTCAGGAACTGCGCCATTTCAGTTTTCTCGGTTGTAGTGGGGGCAGGAGGGTACGAGGCGGCGAGCGTGTGTAGGAACGTCCAAGTTGAGCGGCCTAGGGTTTCGACGTCGGGGGGACAGTTGGAAGGGAGAGTTGCGGAGGACGCGGTTTTTGCGGCGGCGGGAGAAGAAGAGGATTTGGGGGGTGAGGATGAGGTTTGGTTGGCCATTTGCATCCAGGCGCTCACGGAGGTGCAGGATCGGCAGCTTAAGACTCATCAGCAATGCACACAAGTTAAATATACAAGGAGAATATACGGTTTACCATCCTTTCCCAGCACCACGCCCTTGGGCAATCGTTTCTTCTCCGCCGTCGCCCGCGCATCGTCTGATGGCTGCGGTGTCTCGTCCGCTAAATCTGAGGATTTTGACGCGGGAGTATTCTTCTGGAGATCAGAGAAGAACTTATCCATGTCTACCGCTCCGAGAAAGCCGCCCTGCAGCCCATGAATAATCAATCTCACGAACTCCAAAAAAGCAAGACATCTCGGCAAAACCTCGGCATGACCTCACCCTCCGCATTTCAATATTCCCAAGCATCTTCACGAAATAACAAACAACGAGAAGAGCATTATACAGAACATAGACATGCCCAATAATCCACCTCTCCTCCTCCTCAAAACCCCCTCCCCAACCCCCGCCAGCGACCCTTACACCACAGCCCTCTCACCGCACTTCACGCCCCACTACGTCCCAGTCCTCACGCACACCCTGCACCCCGATCCGCTAATAAAGCTCCTCTTAAAGCACCTTGATCCACTCTCTCCCTCTTCTACCGCCTCTCCCTCCCCCTCCCCCTCCTCTACACCTACCTTCCCCTACGGCGCCATCCTCCTAACATCCCAACGCTCCGTAGCCGCCCTCTCCACCGCTCTCTCCTCTCCCGTCCTGCAACAAAAACTTCCCGCCTCCACGCTATCGAGATTGAAGTGGGTGATCTACGTCGTCGGCCCAGCTACAGCGAGAGCGGCTTGGGAGGTAGTGAGGGAGAAGTTACCTGCGTGTGTGGTTCGAGGGGAAGGGGCGGGGAATGGGGAGGCGTTGGCTGGTGTGATTTTGGGGGAGAGTGGTGGGGAGGGGGAGGGGTATGAAGTGTGGGAGGACGAGGGTGCAGAGCAAGTTGGGGGAGGGAACGAGGAAGAAGAAGATGGGGATGAAGGAAGGCAAGAGAATAGGGCAATTGCGGCGAATGGCACAAAGGACAGCAAGCCAGAAGCTCGAAGGAAAAAACCCATTCTCTTCCTCACCGGCGAAAAAAGAAGGGATGTTCTCCCCCGCACACTCCAATCCCCCTCTCTCCCCGCCTCCAAAAGGATAAAGGTGGATGAAATGGTCGTCTACAATTCCGCCGAGCTGCAGGAATTTGAGTTCCATTTCCAACAAGCTCTAAGAGGTACAGTGCCAGGGGAGGGACAAATGCGGTGGACGGTGGTGTTTTCGCCGCAGGGGGGAAGGGGGATGCTAAGGGGCTTGGGGCTTTTGGGAGAGGGGGAGAATAGGATAACTAGAGAGAAGATGGAAGAGGGAAGGGAGGAAAGGAGGAACTTCGTATGCTGCATCGGACCGAGCACGAGGGCGTATTTGAGGGATGAGTTTGGGTTTGAGGCGGATGTTGTTGCTGAACGGCCGAGTCCGGAGGGGGTGAGGGAGGGGATTGGGGTGTTCATGGAGAGGTCAGTAGGAGGGGAGGAATTGACAGTACAAGGGGATACAGGAGGGAGGTGAGTTTGAGAAGCTGAATATAATTGCTATTGATGCATGCTTGTAAGTTCAAAGAGATATCCATCCCATGCAGTCCTTGCTCTACGCTGAGTTGATTGGAGGCTCCAGGCCTCGTTGTTGCATGAGATTACCTGTCTTTCCGCGAGATCTTGCCCTTGTGGTAGGTCTTGTAGAAGATACCTGTAGTAATTACTTTCACGGTCTGGGGAAGTGGAGGTCTATCGCATGATTTCTTGGAAGATCAACTCTGAATGTGTTGTCAGCCTGAGTTATAATCCATACCCTCGTTACGCTGCGACTTACCTTTCAGCTGCTCTTTCGTCAAACTATCTTTGTTCTTGTCGAAATCAAAGAACTCCTCTGGAATTGGATCCGCTGTTGGTTCGTCTTCGGGATCATGGTAGGGTTCGAGATATGGATGCCTTAAAGCATCCTCGACAGTAATTCTCTTTACAGGGTTGAAGGCTAACAGCTTTTCCAGCAAGTCAAGAGCTAGGTCAGATGTCTTGGGGAACATAGCCTTCAAAGGGATCTTCTTCTTGAAGGGCAGAGAGCGAATGTACTCTCGCGCGCGTCGCGATTTGATGCCGTAGTAGTCCTCCATTGTGGGCGTGCCCAGAACATCGAGAATCAATGTCAATTGATGATGATCTATAAGATGCGATCAGCGATGTCTCAGCTTTTGGACGAGAAAATCGGAGCTCACAATCTTTTCCTGGAAACAGTGGCTTGCCGTTGAGCATCTCTGCCAATATGCACCCTACGCTCCAGACATCAATGGCCTTTGTGTATTCCTTGAAAGTGAGCATAATTTCGGGAGCTCGATACCACCTCGTGGCAACGTATTCCGTCATGAATCCTGAATTGTCTTCCACGTTGGCTGCCGATCTTGCCAAACCAAAGTCGCATACTTTTAAGTCACAATTGGCATTGAGTAAGAGATTCGAAGGCTTCAGGTCTCGATGCAAAACATTCGCCGAATGCATAGCCTTCAAGGCACGTAGAGTCTGGTAGATGAAGTATTGGCAATGATCATCAGATAGATCTTGTGTTCGTATCACGCGGTGCATGTCAGTCTCCATCAATTCCTATCCATGTTAGGGCGTTTGTAAGGATCGGGTATGAGGTATATACTTGGATCAAGTAGACCTCTGTAAAGGTCTCGTAGTTTCGCGGTTTTTGTATGTCAAGTATGGATATGATGTTTTCATGATTGAAGTACCGTAGCAGCTTCATCTCTCGTAATGTCCGCAGACAGAACATGGAGTGGTCAAATGGGGTGATCTTCTTGATCGCTACTTTCTGTGATGATGGCATGTGAAGTGCAGAGCTGCGGTTGATATTAGTGGTACAACCTCATGCATGATACAAAGCTGATCCATACCAGACAACGCCATACGCTCCTTCTCCGACGACATCTTGGATATCGTATTGGTCCGAGACGTTGAATGATATTTTTCTTGACCCGCCCTGAGGTTGAGGCGGTTGACGAGACATGGCAGGGGACGATATTGGTCCCCAGTGAGATTGCTCTTAAAAATGTGCCAATATGGGCCACAGATCAGGATGCCTAGACCAGCGACTGTAATACAGCTTCCCCTCCGCTTTCATATAGCTTTTTGATATCGGAATGGCGACTACGTAATAGGTAGAGTTGCTGTCACAAAAGCCACATTAGCAAGAGACATTCGAGACTTTGGCGCGAGGAGTTTCTTTGGGTTTGAAGTGGAATCTGTGACAGCCTCCAGGGACTTTGAGGGCTGCTTCAACCTTGTTCATCCTGCGGGGCCGGACGTTGCCACAATCGATAAAAGCGGCTGATGAAACAGCTGTGCTATTTTTGCTATTTGGGCTGGAGGGCAAGACATCGAAACTTGTGAGGCCATCGTATGCATGGGAACGTACCTCTGCTATTGTTGGACTTGCCGCTGTTCAGTTCAAAGGTGTCAGAGATATATGTCTCCCAAGCATCAAGCAATCGAGAAGCTTCTGACTGTGAGTGGAGATACGGCGTTTGCGGTACGGGTGGTGATGTGGTACTACACGTGCCAGAAACGTGCACTGCCTCTTTCTTCGAAGTGAATTCACGGTATTTCAAAGCTCTGTACGCCGAGAAGCGGCAGAGGATCCCACGCGATGGTGCTTATGTTGGCAAAAGCCGTGACGCGGCGAGGAGAGGTGGAGAGCAATCAGCGACTGAGGTCTAGAAAGCCAGCGACAAGCGAATAAGCAGACAGTTTCCATTTGCGGCTGTCACTCAAATAACGCACCTTTGTCTTCTGCTGTTGCCTCATGCGTCCAGAGTCGACTCTTCATTCACGTTGAGCACAAGTGCTATACTATTGTTGTAGGGCGTTTGCCGAAACGGGTGTAGGAGTCGATGCCCAAAGGATTGGATACGGCAAGGGTCAGGTTCTGGTTGTGAAGCTGAAAGCATCCTATGGCCCTACAATGCATTCGAGCTAGTAGTGGGGAAATCATGCAGGGGCGAATCTAGCCGCCGACGCCCGAATTCTCACTCAATTTTATGCATCGTGCACAAGGCCAAGCACAAGGCCAAGTGTGATTGCTTGCATAAGAGCGTGCAATTCTACCTACTGACTCGGACGATACGAGATAGCACTGTAGAAGTAGTGGACATATTCAACGCTTCTTAAATGTTACGAGTCTTGAACGGCAGAGGCAGTCGGTAGCGAACGTCAAAAACTGCACGTGGTCACACTTTCACTTGCCCCTGAATTTCTATGTCTTATTACATTTGACAACTCATATGATTCTATTGGAATGAGCTCAAGAAGCCTTCTGAGTCATTCATCTGCGCTTTCGCATTAGTGGACTTCAATTGAGAGCATTCGAACGGAGACATACCTTCTCTCTCTGATCGTCCCAAGCCATTGCTGTAGACTCACTCCTTGGTCCGCCCTGTCCTCAACAAACATAGACTGTGCCCACAGCCTCATTCCAGGCTCGCCGTCCTCTCTCACCAAGTACAGGTGAGGCACGATAATGCTGCCTACCCCGCGTGATCTATGATCACGGCTCTTCTCCACGATCGCGCGTACTCTCTCATTGATGTCTGTATCGATTACTGGTAACGTCGTCTTGCCTACTTTGAGGTGTTGCCGATCAGGAACCTCAAATACATCGTGAACGAGAGCATCGACTGCCTCTCGGCCAACCCACAAAAACTGTGTCTGGCCGTCGTCGATGAGATACAGTCCGTAGGGAAGAAGACTCTGGGATGAGGGGTTGAGTGGTCGGGGCATCACGGTCTCTCCGGTGTTGTCATCGACTAAACCGATGTTCGTTGGTGCGTGCTCGTCGTCCTCGGAAGGTATGACATCGTGGAGTGAGTAAACTTTAGGGTAAACATATTGGATAAGAAGGGGCAGTGGCAACGTAGAAAGCAGGCAAAGAGCTGCAGAACGCATGTCACTTGGAATCTGGGCGGATTGTCGAAGGCCGATCTATTTCAATTAGCAAGTGAATAGAGCGCCCCCGACCTTCGCAACTTACGTTCTTCCGGAGACCAAGAAACAAAGCAGGTAAGCACCGCAGGTTCGCTGGAAATTGGAGGCCAGCGCCACCCATGTTGCCCCCTGCAAGTTCTTTCCGATACGTCTGTAGAAGTTCTACAATCTTAGCTTGCAGCGCGTCCCTTGCTGCTTCCAGACCACTGCCTAAAGCCCGTTCCACAGCTTTGTGGCTGAAAGTCGTGGCTATTGCTGCTTGGTCCGCAGACGCATATACATCTGCTAGATTCTGTGTTGTTGGTAGTGCTAGAGTCATCACTCGGATGCGCCGCTCGCCATTGCAAGTCGTGTGAAGTACGGCGCTTTGCAAGCATACAACGTTCTTAGTCAAGGTTTCGTCAATGGCAACTTCGACAACATAACCTTGGTCTCGAGGGAATGCTGGGAATGCACAAAGATCGGAGCTTCTGTTGAAGAAATTGCCATAGAATGTACTCATCCGCAAACCTGTGGTTGCCCGCACCCTTAGGACAGCTTCCAGCCCAATTTCGGCGGACAAGTAGTCAGAAAATTCCCGAGCGAATTTGATGGCGTCTTCTCCTTTGGCAGCATTCCATCCAGGATAAAAGTATGTCTGGCCACCAGTGTACCGCGGCAGATTGCTGAGCGATGCAACGTCTTGGTACGAGGATGAAAAGAGGAACATATCGATCGATACCTGATTCTTGGAACACTCTACAGCGAAGCTTTTGTAGAAGCTGTTTTGCGTCTGCAGCAACCCATTTTCCTTGGTCGTACCGAGGAGCTTCTTGTCTTCCCGCATTTCAAGCTTGCCCACTCCGATATTTGGCAAGGTCGAAGATAGTACGGTAAGCTTCCCACCAACCGATGAAATCATTTTGTGCCCAGCTCTCAGAGCCGGGCCCATGCATGAGCCTGCATTCTGCGTTGATGCGAACATATCTTGCAGCTTGCTAAGGAAGGACTCGATATTTTGACGACACTCTGCCAGGGTGACAAGCAAATCTTGCGGCGTGGGCAAGAAAGGTTCGTCTAGATCGCTGACAACCATCATACTCGCGTCGGAGTTTTCGCTACCATCCTGAGGTATTGAGAAATAATGCAAACCAGAATCAACCGCCAGGAAACCCAGTCTCGTCCTTCTATCGGCATTGGGTATTCGATCTAAACTCTCCAAGATACAGCGCGCCGCTGTTGCAAGCAGACCATTGGTGACCGCTGCGTAACTTACATCCAGAAGGAAAAGATAAACTAGTGGCTGTGGCGGCCGGACCATATACTCTTGAGGAGCGACAAATTCCACCACGGAGTGATTGAGCTCTGGTCGCGCCCATCTATCTAGCTGTTTTTGCGAGGCTGCGTCCCAATCAAAGGCTTGAGGTACTTCATTAGTAAGATTACACATATTGCACCTCCACCGATGGCCTTGATCTAAGAAGGTTGCAAAAGGGTTTATATATGACCGACACCTTCGACATCGTGCAATGACTTGGTCGGGTACGATAGGTACTGGGTCTTCGTGATCGTGTAAAGCACCATAAGGCTGGATGACAAGGGCGAAAGGAAGCCGAGACTTTTTCAAAAGATTGTATGTGGTAGGCACTGCATTAAGCGTCGATCGAACGTACTTCGGGGGCAGTTTGCGTCTGGTGATGGTGTTACACTCGACTGTGATTGTCAGCATTTCGTCTGCACTAAAATTACCGAATTCATTCTCACATTTGGAGGTAGAATGATCGGCGGTGGTGGTAGGTCCAGCTCAGATACGTTGAGAGGCGCATTCATAATGTCTGTGGGATAGAGCTGGTTCATTGGTAGCCGCCCCTGCGCCTGGGGGTTCTGGGTCATTGACATTGCTCCCATCCCTTGTGTAACGGCGCCAATGTTGGGATGCTGAGGAGCTCCACCTTGGGCCGGATAACCGGGCTCTGGAGGTTGATAGCCGCCAACATTGGGAGCTGGCTGGCCAAAGCCTGGGGTACCAGGAGCTGGAGAAGCTGGATGAGAGCCGTAAGATGGAGCTTGGTATCCCCCTTGGGCTTGCGCAGGCTGGCCGTAGCCTCCGTAACCTTGGTCTTGTTGAGGAGGAGGATACTGGCCTCCCCCTACTTGTTGGCCACCCAATGCCGCATTTGCTCCCCCCCAAATTCATATGCTTGGCCTGCGTAGTGCCTTTTCTTCTTGCCTTGATTCGGAAGTGCTGGTGTAGCTCCTGGTGGACCTGGTGAGGCAACACCTCCACCGTCGTGTTGACTCGCATCGTACTCTTCTTGCTGTGGCTGCCCATGTTGAGGGTAACCTTGCTGTGGCGTTGCCATTGACACCCTTTTCCCTCCTCCTCTTCAACAAACCAAATTGGAAAGCGACGGGGTGATTGCGAGGCGCGATCAGGATATATGTGGTTACTTTGTGAGGATGTTATGTGTCCTTTAAGTGTCTCCTGAGTTCGCTGGGCGTCCGAGTAAAGGGTTTATCGGAGCACGTTGGTGACTTCGCGTTCATGACTCATTGGGATGAAGAAGCATCTCTTCAATGCAACTGGGCTACGCTGGAATATGGACAGGCATCAAAATACTTTAAACATTGAGCCTGTATCATCGCATGAACTAGGCAGAATAAATTACATATCCAAGGGCTCTTGGCGCGTTCCAGGCGTTGATTCAGGGGAGACGGAGGCTCTTAAATTACACGCTTGGGGTACTGTAAACTTGGTCTGTTGTCCTTGGCATTGAGACATCTCAAATGATATCACAGCGGTGCTCAATGCAAATCTCATCGGATAGCGAGTGTGTCTTTGCATCCAATTACAAGGAAAAATGGCACACGATTCTAAGAATTACGTGCTTGATCATCAGGAGGAGAGTGTATCTTCTCATAGGAGGCGAACTGCCGCTAACTCGCTTGGCTATTTACTGAGTTCGATCAAGCCAGACATGCAAATACTTGATGTAGGCTGTGGTCCAGGATCCCTTACGGTTGATCTAGCAGCCTTGGTACCAAAGGGTAAGGCAACTGGCATCGAGATTAGCGATGATATCATCAAACAAGCCAATGCTTTGGCTCAAGAGCGAAAGTTGGACAACGTCGTCTTCGAGAAAGGAGATATCAAATCTCTGAAGTACTCTGATAACACTTTCGACGTAGTGCATGGACACCAAGTGCTCCAGCACCTCGCTGATCCCGTATCTGCCCTACGAGAAATGCGTAGAGTCACCAAGCCTGGAGGCATGGTCGCTCTTCGGGAGGGTGAGATAAGTGGACAGATATTTTTTCCGGCCATCGCTGGAATCGCCGAGACTTCGGATCTGACCTTCAAAGTAATGCAAAGCCAAGGTGCCAATCCTGGTGGGGGCCGACAATTGCTAAGTTATGCTCTGAAAGCAGGCTTTGATATGTCTGCTGTTGCTGTCTCATCGAGCACCTACTGCTTTGCCACGCCTGAAGATCGGAATTGGTGGGCAGACATGTGGGCATATCGCTTACTTCGCTCTTCACTTGGAACATCCGCTTTAGAGAAGGGGTTTGCAAGTCAATCGGAGCTAGAGGAGTATGCTGAAGGTTGGCGGAAATGGGCGTCTGAGGACGAAGGTATGTGGTCGAATATCAATGTCGAGATCATTTGCCAAGTAGCTTGAGGTAAGGTTATCTCAACACTTCCTAGAACTCCAATCAGTCTCCTTCCAGCAGCAATAAAAAGCAAAGGTATGCGAGAAATGACTTCCTTGAGAGCAACTTGATTTTCCGAGTGATCGATTTGTCTTTTGAAATCCATGACAGATTGCATTTGCAGCTGCAAATTCCATACTCATAAAGTGATATCTCGGTCGCTGCAACAGTCATCTCGCGTAAACCAAAACATGATAATTTACCTTCCGTAGGTTTCCACCTCTAAAGAAGATGGCTTCAAGGGTGATTTATTTCCTCTAGAGTAATAAAGAAGCAGTGACTGCTGAACCTATTTGGGCCAATGTATCGAGTGAATGATTCCCATAATTAGCTAGTGTCTCTACGCTCGAGTTAAAAACCGGTTCTAGCATTCACACTTTATATTTCCACCGCCACTTTTCAGTGAAGCCTGCCTTATCTGTGTTGTTCCTTGCGACCGGATTCTCTCCACGCGTCTGATTCCAAATCCTGACAGCGTTACAAGAGGCGCTTTACTCGCAATTATCTGCTCATTACGGCAAGCACAAGTCATGTATCCCGAAAACGAGGACCTCAGAGAGGGGTTGACTCAGTAAGGATGCCTTCTGCATAACGACTCAAGACTGACTACCGCCTAGATTGCTCGAAAGCGGAGAATCTACTGACCTGATAGTTCGGACTGCTTTGAGGCACATACCTGTACATAAGCTTATTGTCTGCGCTCAATCACCAGTCTTGAAAGCAATATGTACAAGCGGGTTCAAAGTGAGCGAATTGTTGAAGATTTCGTCTCTCATAACTCACTTATGGGCAGGAAACATCTAGCAACATCATTGATCTCACGGATGACAAGTCAGAATCGATTGAGCGCCTCGTACATTTCTTCTATGATGGTCATTACTACGTTACCGAGGAGGGTCCAGGAACAGTCGGGGAGGTCGAGTTGAACCTATCGGAGCACATCGAAATGTATGCACTAGCCGACAAATACGACATAGATGGGCTGAAAAAAGCTGCGATACAGGGTTATAAGATGACGCTTGACCTTGCAACAGGCAGAGAGACAATAAGACAGAATATAAGAAAAGCCCTTCTCACTACGCTGGCGAAAGTATTCGAGTCAACTCCAGATAGCAGCAGAGGACTTAGGGACGCGGCGATTATGCACATCATCTCCTTCGCAGACGACGTTGTCTCTGACCAGAAGCTCAAGACGCTCCTGTATGAGAGGTGTCAAGAAATACCACACCTCAGTTGGGCCATCATGTGCGGAAAGGCTGGCAACTTTTGTCTGAGCTGTAAAAATACCGGGCAGACTAAATGCCCTGAGTGTGAGCAGCATGAAAAGGTGCAGAAGGCACGAAGGCACGAAGCAGAGTGGCACGAAGGAGGGTTGCACGGAGGATGGGGAGAATGACGATAGGTAAAGAGCGCTCTCGCCGTTGAAGGGACATTCAGTGGGACCGTCTTTCACGCAGCGTGGCATGGAGGATAGGATGACATCTGAATCGCAGCAGATAAACAGCGGCCCCGTCATCAGAGGCACAGTTGATGAAATTGTCTTTCATCCAGCTTAGATACCCTCAATTCATTTTCAACCACAGAACCCCCGCCTTTACGTACATACAAGCTCTGCAAAATCGCTCAAGAAAAGTAGATATAGCCACCCGAATATCCATCCATCGAACATGAAATCGTCATATCAATCTCTCTCTTCAACTGAAAAGTGGCGGTCAAGAGACCACCCCTCGTAAATAAATCCCCAAACACCTCGTCCCCATATCCTTTGCAAGATTTTGAAAAAAAGAAAGAGGAAACACATTTCCCATCTATAACTCGCCAAATCTACGGCTCCTCTCAACTAGCATACTATCTATCTAAGTAACTCATCACCTTACTTCTTCCTCCTCCCCCAATTCCTCCAACCCCCTCCTGACTCGGCCTCGCCACCGGACTAATCGGCCTCGCAACCGCAACCGGCCCACTCGGCGCCGGCGGTTCCGTCTCTCTCAAGAAATCAGCCAAATCAGCCATCCCACTGGCTTTATCCGCACCACCCTCAGCCGCTCTAGCCACCATCAACGGCTTCGGCTTGCGATTGCCCGGGTCCATGTGTTTTGCGTACGTAGGCTGCGAGGGCCTATAGGTGTCGAACTTGGTACCGTTTTGGGTGAGATGTGGGGAGCTGGGCCTGGCGTGGTGGTTCGTGGTGTTGGTGCTGCTGGACATGGATTTCAAGGGGGGAAGTTGGGGGACTGTGGGTTGGGCAGCGGTAGCGGTGGGGGTGCTTGCTGCACGATTCTTTGGGGGAGTGGACGTGCTTGGTGGTTGTGGTTGTGGTTTGGGTTTTTCGTTTGACTGGGGTGGAGAGCGGGAGGGGGGTTTCTTGGAAGCCTTTGGCGGAAGAGGACGGTAGTCTGGTATCACGGCGATGTTACGGGCAATACGCTCGCGCATGCTGGTGCCAGAAACTTTTCGCTGTTTATTATTAGAGTCTTGAGCCGGAAGGGCGGTGGAAGCGTTAGCGGTGGCGTTGCGTTGGTCGGTGCCTGAGGTGGAGGGTGGAGAATAGTTTCTCAAAAAGTCGCTCAAGGACTCCTGAGGAGTGTCATCAATGACTATGATTTCTTCTTCTTCCTCGTCGTCGGTGTCAATGGCATAGGGATCCTTGACGCGACGTTGCTTGCGGACTGGCCCCATATCATCATTGAGTGGACGTTGATTGCTGGGTTTGCCAGCAGCCTTGTTCGTGCTATCTAGGAGGCCAGTCCGAGAATTGGTGGATGATTGAGTGATCTTAGATTGCGCAATGCTGTCAAGTGTACTTGCTGATCCCGGGTTATCTCGCATTCTATTGTTCGTGTTGGGCGAGGGGACAGAACGCTGCGCGACTTGTGCACCGGGAGGTCCAGATCGAAAGAAATCAGCAAGCTCAGCAGTAGTGTTAGTTGGAGAAGCAATAGGATCTCGCGCCCGAAGTTTCGAAGACTTTCGAACTGGGCCGACTTCTGGTTTCTTCGGTACTTGACCAGGTTGCTGTTTTGTAATCTTCCTTGAAAGAGGTCTGCCGCTCTGCTGCGAGCTGTTGCTTGCGCCCCGAGAGTGTAAATCTGGCCTTCCTGCTGGAGACTTCGTTGGTACTTTGTTCTCATTTTCTGGACCCGTGGACCTCATGAAATCAGCTAAGTCTTTGGACGAGTCACCACGCGTTACAGGATCCCGGGCAACTATAGGCTTCGTACCCGGTCCAGCCGCTTTTGCCTGTCGTTGCGGATTTGACTTCGTGCTGACAGGTGATACATCTGGCGGTGAGGCAAACTCCATCACATCGGAGCCGGCGGTGGGATTGGATCTTAGCCCATTAAGCCCTCGGAGAGACTTGCTAGAACGGGCTTCAGTAGACGTAACACTTTGGGTAGCTTCAGGTGAAATAGTGCCCACACGCGGGGTCTTAGTGCTCCATCGAGGCGAATCAGGTTGCTTTATATGCTTAGCGAAGTACACGGATGATGCCAAGGATCACTTACCTCCATTTCACGCATATTTTGTGGCGTCAGCGTGTATTGGATGGTTTCATCACTTTGAATTAATTGCTCGAAATCTTGTTCTTTGTCATTCGATTTGGCACTGCGGGATGAGCTGCTAGTAATCTCTCTGGTAGCTTCAGAAGAAGTGGTCCTTGGTACAGCGTGTCTGACAGCATCCCCAGATTCTCGCCCAATGATACCTTTGATCTTAGACGACGTGCTCGAAGCAGTTATAGGCCTAACCTCACGATTGCTGCTCGAGGAAATGCGTCCACCAGTAGTTGGAGAGTTCGATGCAGAGCCCGAAGAAGGCAGGACTCTTTGCACAGCAGCTCTCTCTGTTCCTGCTGGAGCAGACGTGGGTGGCCTTCGGGTGTCAAGATTCTTAGCAGCAGCAGCGACACTCGCAGCCGCTTGCTGGTGCTGGATGGCTTCGAATGCTTGCGGATCCCCATATTGTGCAAAACTAGCTTCTGCGATGTCTCTTCTATTCGTAATGGTGGGAGATGTTGTTTCTTCATCCACAGGCATCGACTTCGCGGTCTCGAGGTTGTGAAAATCTTCATTCGACGGAGCTTCGTAACGCACTGGGATGTCGCGTTTCACAGCCTTACCACCGTCATCATATGTCTTGAGCTGCTCACCTTGGAGGGCTGTAAGCTTCTCAAAGTCATTGTGTTCTGTACGTGGTTGGTCCAGCGAAGCCCCACGTAGCGGGAAAATGCCACTTTCTGAATCGCCGTCTACGCTCTTGCCATTTGTGCCATCCGTAGCAGTAAGTGGGCTCTGTACGCCATGGTGAAAGCTATAGCCGCTTGACATTGTGCTTGCACGGGATTTCTGCTCGCTGGAAATATCCAAAATTGAATTCGGCTGCGCTCTTTTGAAACTGAGGGCCTGTGGTGTCATCTCCGCATCATGTCCAATAGAAGATGATTCAGAATACTCTGACACACTGACTCGGCTCGCGAGAGTGGGGTCAATGGGTATAGGCTTCTCGTTACGTTTCAACAGTCCGTCGTACATCGTTGACACACCTTGATTGCCACGGACAGAGTCTGAGACTTTCTGGGAATCGTCGGTTAGCTTTGGCAATTCTCTCTCCGTCTTTGCAAGCTCCTGAGAGTCGCTGGTCATTGGATCAGGCCTCTCGGTCGGTGTAGTGAAGGCCTCGTCTACTGGCGACGAATAAGGTGTCGTTCTCGCCGTAGGGAGAGAGACTGCACGTTGGTGGCCCCTAGCTGGTTTCGCTGAGGACGGAGTTACTTCATCCGTACGTTTCTGATTGGCAGCTGCCTTGTCTTCTTCGCCATTCTGAGAAGGATACTCAATCATGCTGTAAGGACGACCTCTGGTGGATTCGTTTACTGGTGGCTTGTCATCATCAGTAGTAAAGTCAGGCTCGGCAGGCAGATCCGTCGCCTTTGGAGGAGCTTTCGATCCTGCAATTGTATCTCCCTCGGATGATTCTACGATTGAGCTTCGGTTTGGTCCAAAATAGTTGGCTTCGCTGTGTTCACTAATGCTTGTAGTTCTACTTGTCGCCGAGCTCGTGGTCCTTCTAGAAACACGCTGATCATAAGAAGACGTCCGCGGGCTGATTATGCTGAGTCGGCCTGCTTTCTTCCACGCTCTCCACAATCGACCTATGGCTTTGTTAAAGGCTATCTTTTCAACGTCACGGTCTTCCACGAGGATACGCTCCCCCGTGTTTGATTTTTTAGAATTGAAGCGGCTGAGCGCGTTGTCACCAGCAATCGCTAGTGCTTGTTCCCCCACGAATTCGATAATCGATGTAAGAAAGATTGCTGCAGCTGGCGAGACGTTCCCCAGATCTCGGGAAAGTCGATTCTGACCGTCATCGGAAGGGCTTTCGTTTTCTAGATGCGCTTCCTCGTCCTCTTCTTCCATGTCGCCCAGACGAGTGTATACCATGCATCGAAGACGTGTTCTCTTGAAGACATGGAGAAGATTGCTCGCCCCCTTGAGTTCTTGCCCATTGTGAAAGTCTAGCAGTTCTTCATCATCACCTCCCGCTAGATAGCCCTTGAGCTCTTCATCTGCACCGTCGATAGCTTCCTTGGCAAGTCTAGGCTTGAGAATCTCAGAAATGGCAGGCCTAAGGGACAAGATGGAGGTTGATCGCGACGTTGCGAGGAAACTGAAGAGCAATTGATCGAGGAAAGAATTGATGAGCGCGAGCGCTGAAGCCGTAACAGTGGCGGCGGTCTCCTCGTTGAAGTCTTCTTCATCGCCGATGCTTTGCCCTCGATTGGCAAGCCCGCTACTCACAACATGCGCAGCTGCTGAGGGTGCAATATATGCGGGATCGGGAGACAAACTTGGTGGCGCAGGAAGCGTATGAAGGGACGCCGAAGGTGTGCGACCTCCATCGCTCGATCTACTTTGTGTTCTTATTAATTGCGGTGAGCCAGACGGGAGGTTGATTCTGTCCGGTCTCGTATCGCGCTGCATCATCGGAACTTGATGGGCCTGATCTTGCCGGCGTGAATGTTTTGAATGTAGGACTTGTCTTTATCTTATGTTCGCAGACATTGCAATTTCACTGCTAAATGAGTTCGGTCCGGCGATCCAGCACTGAGCGAGGGCTTCACGAGTGATAGCTAAGAAGGTACCCAGAAAAGGTGAGTGAGCTTTTCGCAGATATGTCAGCAGGAGATTTGATTATTTGTCCCTGAAACGTACGATTATCGAGGTCCTGTCATGTACATGTACTCCGTGGCCAATGGAGGCCAATTGTCCGGCGATGGTCAGCTGCTGCGACTCAAGCCACGTTTTAAATGAAGTTGGGTATATGTCAATTAGCAATGCAATGAATCAACGCAAGCAAATCAAATTCACACGCAAGAAAAGCTACTGCGACTCGCCGTGGATACTGGACCAGTGCGTGAAGTAGGGAGTATCATCAAATGGCACAGCAGTTAGATTTAAACTTCCCGTCCCCACATCCCTGCCGAAGCGGCTCTTATGCTCCTTTAAATCCTCCGAATATCTAATTTACTGGCGACGTAGTCCTCTGGACTAGGTCTGCTGCCTCTACAATGGCTTTAAGCGACATCGTTTTTTCTCGGAATTTAGACATAGAAGTACCCATGTGTATTGATTATTTCAATATGTTGATATATAACATGAGCTACCTCGGCAAGTGGCCCTCTGTGCATAACAATGTTTTCGAGACATTCCTCTGGCAAATTCTTGGAAGTAACGCCTGGTCTTCAACATAAACATACAAACTTTAGAATAGGCGATCGTCCAATACGTTAGCTGAAGCCTGAATGGTGATAACGTTGGAAAGTTGCCAATTGTATCGGAGCATCTACCTATGCGCTGTCTTTGTATTAACATCCACCTCTTGCGCTACCGAATCATGTTCGTAGCACTCTGAGCATGTAGCTATTCGTCGTTTTCTCAATGGTTCATGTAGTCAATAGGAGAGATCTGAAAGGGGATTGCCTGGATCAATGGAGAAATTGACTTACATTCAGGAGTTCCACAACGACAAGAAAAAGTGTGAAGAACAGAGCAACAAATGGTCTTGAAAATTGCGAAGTCTTTGCAGATGAATGGAAATATTGCGGCAGAAACATACTTTTGTTCGACGTAAACGGTTTGCCAACGAACTCGACGGGAAATACAGTACCTATCAATGACTTCAAGGAAACGGTATTGATGGATGAATTTATGGATCAGATCGTACAGTGTGTTGCACTTCAGGCTCATTCCTTGGTTGGTTGATCAAGATATACACAACGTCATTCGCATCATGACTTCACCGAAGCCTCCTCTTCCTGGATAAGTATATTATGCGCTTGGTACCAGCTGTCCATGGATAGTCAACCAGCTATGGCGAATTTGAGAGCGTGCTTTAGAGCGAGTCGCGACATGCGGCGGTCATGGTCAAGATCCTTCAAGCGACACAATAGTCGGCAGAATGGCGTTGCTAAGCTCGATGGCGACAGGCTGGTTTGAAGGATCCACAGAGAGGTCACACTATGGTTAAGAACCAAAACTACCATTTGACTTCTCCAGTGCTTTCAACAGCATGAAAGACATTGAGAACGCATGTCACGCCGTCGCAATATGGCGTAAAACTACAGGCCCGACGTGTCTGAGCTTTTTATCCCTCGTGCGTGGCCGACGCTTCTCCGCCCACGTCTCGCCTGCAGTGACCCGATAATATCGACGGGGGCAAGAGGCAAATAGCACTGGCGTTCCCGGTCATGACACATGCTATTGTTGTGGTCACGGCGGCAGCGGCTGCCAGCACACTGGAGCAGCAAATACTGCGATATTATCATTTATCACAAGATGAAGGATCGTACGATTCGATATTTGTGGGAGAAACGCATGGCTTGGCGTGGCATTGACTAATATTAAAGTAATGCTAATGACGGCACACGACGGCGGCATCCAATCAACGATGGCCGATAAAGCCTGACCACTGGGACGGCACAGGGTGAAAAGCTCCTTTGGAACGAATGTCGATCTTTGCATAGGTGGGAGACGTCAGGAATGCATAGGCGCAGAGGGATTGCGGAGAAAAAGAAGATCGTGGGTTGCAGACCGGAGAAAGAGGCTGGATCTCCACGAAGAGCTGGCGGACGTCGAGCTTGAAGTTGTTGAAAGCGCACCAGAAGCATCAAGCATGGCCCAATCTGCGCGCTAATTAGGAAGTGTGGGGTCCAGGTACGAAATCTCGACCAGCTCTAGCGATAAGGAACGACGGGGAGACACTTTGCCTCATCGGGCCTTTCTAGAGGAGAATTCTAGCACCGAGGCGTCATAAAAGCTTGCTTTCTATTCGTTCTAACTGCATAAATTTTGCACAGATATGACATCCGTTCACGCGGTAAGGATCCTTTTCTCTATGTGAGCGATCTGATTGATCGTTGTGAGATCGGTCATTATTGCGTTGTTAGCGGATAGGGTCCCGATTACAGGCCCCTCCGAATTCTCCCTTTGTATTGGGATTGGCAGTCCGAAAGCAGAGGGCACAAGCGAAGAAGCTTCACTTCAGCAACACCGGAAAGTCGAAATGAATTGAATTAGTACATTGAGACATATTTGGGGCAGTACAGCCAGCTGCGGTCCCAGGGGCACTCGTAACTTTGGTGTATATTTGGAAGATAGGTCCTAAAGGTTCCGGGGTGCAGTAGCCTCGTGGCGATCCGTAGCGTGGGCAGACCGCAGACAAGCTGCAGGCCCTAGCGACCTCAACCAAAGGCCCCACGCCAGAGCTTTCTTGCTAGTTGCTATATATTTATCTCCCCAACACCCCCAACAGCTCTCATATCTTCTCTCCTCTCAACCTGCATCGAACCTACACCCACGACCCATCTTCCATCCCATACTCAAGCTCTTCCTACAAGTTTTTCCCAGCTCATAGAGTTCGACCGCAATCATGGTAAGTCGCGTGCTGACAGTAGCTCCCGCGGGGTTCGCAAGCACTAACCAAGCTCGCAGGCTGAATCAACGACCATCTCCAATACCGCAAATGTAAATCGAATCAGGAAACATGTGTAATTGCAATTGACTGCGTTATACTGACCTACGCTTCCAGTTGATGAAATACATGAAACTCGATCAGAAAGGGTACGTTTACTTCTCGGGGTTTAATGAGCCTAGTGGGAGCGAGCACGACGTCTTATCTAGAAGCACATTCTCTGAAGCGATACCTTTTACGACATGATCCAAGGCTTTCATTCCCTCCAAGAAACAGAGTACTAACTTCGAACATTTTAGATCAGTACTCGCAGAATATGTCTGGATTGATGGCTCTAATGGCGTCCGATCAAAAACCAAGGTATGATGAGCTTTTGTGGCATGCTGTGCAAATTCGAACGCGTCATGCGCCTGAAAGGCTATCAGTACCCACCGGTTGGAAACAAAAGCTGACGGATCTTTTAGACTCTTAGCGGACCTGTGAAGTCCTACAAGGAACTTTCGGAGTGGAATTTCGATGGCTCATCTTGCGGCCAAGCGCCTGGGGACAACTCTGACGTCTACCTACGTCCCGTCGCAATCTACCCAGATCCATTCCGTGGCGGTGACAACATTCTTGTCATGTGTGAGTGCTGGGACCATGACGGCACCCCAAACAAATTCAACTATCGCCATGACTGCGCCCGTCAAATGGAAGCTCATGCCGATCAAGAGCCATGGTTCGGTCTCGAGCAGGAGTATACTCTGCTAGGGCCCGATGGATGGCCATATGGATGGCCAAAGGGTGGCTTTCCCGCACCACAAGGTCCGTACTATTGTGGCGTTGGCACAACTAAGGTCTACTGCCGTGACATCGTCGAATCTCATTACAAGGCCTGCCTGTTCGCCGGAATCCAGATCTCCGGAATCAACGCCGAGGTTATGCCCGCGCAATGGGAGTACCAAGTCGGTCCTTGCAAAGGCATCGAGCGTATGTCAAAATCTGCCCTGCCTTACAGCTTCAACACTAACATACGACAGTGGGTGATCAACTCTGGATGTCTCGCTATCTCCTTCGCCGTGTTTCGGAAGAATATGGCGTTCAAATCACGCTCGCGCCGAAACCTATCCCTGGAGATTGGAACGGTGCTGGCCTGCACACAAATGTATCAACAGCCGATATGAGGAAAGACGGTGGCATGAAGGCGATTGAAGCTGCAATGAAAAACCTTGAGAAGCGCCATGTCGAGCACATCGCCGTCTACGGTGAGGGCAATGCGGAACGTATGACTGGCGAGCATGAGACAGCTAGTATGGACAAGTTCAGCTGGGCAGTCGCGGACCGTGGAGCTTCCATCCGTATCCCTCGTCAAGTTGCAGCCGATGGTAAGGGCTATTTCGAAGACAGGAGACCCGCTTCCAATGCCTGCCCATACCAGATCACTGGCATCACTATGGAGACCGTAAGTATCGATCTGTAATCCAATGCAAAACAAGACTGACAGCTGTAGATGTTTGGAGGACTCCCAGAAGAAAAGAAATGAAACAAGAATTAAGGTGAGAAGACTGTGACGATATGAGGACATGGCTTAGCACTTTTGCGAACGATGCTATGAGAAGGGAATGAGAATGAGGATTACGCTTTGTAAGAGGCAATTCAGGCGGTGATAGTTGTTTGAACAACCCTTTAGACTAGTCAGCAACCATCCATACAATTATTGTATTCTAGCCAATCAGCGTGCAGAGCCCTCTAGGAATGCGGAAGAGCTCTTCAATTCTACAATTTATCACAATCTTCCAATGCGGAAATAAGTCGACTATAAAGACCCCCGGCAACCATGATACACCCCCATCATCAATCGCGTCCGCACCTTCCATGACATCCACCTCACGCCTTCGCCTTCCCTACCTTCCCACCCAACCCCCCCAACCTAACTCCCTCGGAACCTTCCCTCCACAACAACAACAATGGCAACACCGACCTCGCACCCCAACCCCAATCCAAACCCTCACCGCCCCTCCCCCTCAAAATCCCACCCCCAACCCACAGCTTCAAACCACCTAACCCCTCCGACCAACCCAGGCGCCTCCCCTCTCCCCTTCAACTCCGCGCACTCCACGCGCACGCACCCTTCCCCCCTCACCTCAACAACAACGCCCGTGAAACGACCTTTCGCTTTCACCGGCTCCGGGGTTGGGGCTGGGGGTGGGGTGGGGGGTGCGAATGGTGGGCATGCCCGCGGCCCTTCCTCCGGTGGGCATCCCATGTCTAGGCAGGGCACGAACCAGAGCGCTACCCCTGGGAGTGGGGCTGGGGCTGGGATGGGGGGGCAAGCTATGGCAAGGAGCGGGACCAATCAATCTGCAATTTCGGCTAACACGCCGACGCCCTCGGGGTCAGGGATCGGGACGGGGATGGTGAGGAGCGCGACGGGTATGACCACGGGGGGAATGAGCGGGATCAGCGCTGCGGGGGATAGTCCGGCTGTTAGTGCTGCGGTGGGGATGTTGATGGAGAGTTTAAATTCGGGGCAGGGAGCTGGGAAGGGCACAGGCGTGGGTTTGGGGGTTGCGGGGATGGGGTTGACGCCGAGTCCTGGGATGGGAATGGGTATGGGTATGGGGAAGACGGGGTTGACGCCCGCGAGTATATCTGGGGGCCAGGGTATGGGTGTGGGTGTGGGTGGGGGATTGGTAGGACTGAGTGCGTTGCAACAGGAGGAGGAGAGAAAGAGGAGGATCGGGGTTGTGGCTGAGATGGTGGGGAAACGGTGGGGGTTTGTGAGTCAGAGCGGGGTGGAGAGTGCGGCGAAGAGGTTGGGTTTGGAGTGTCTTTGGGAGGAAGGCATGGGGGATGGAAAGAGGGGTTTGAGTATTGCTGGTGAAGGGCTTTTGGTGGAGATTGCGTTCGAGGGGGAGGAGGTGAAGGGATTGCACTTTGATTTGCCCGGGGCAAAGTGGGCCGGGGGCGATGCGGAGGGCAAGAGGAAGGGAGGGGAAGTGCTGATGAGGTGTTTGGGATCAGAGGATGAAGAGGCGCCGTTCGTACGGATGGAGAAGTTCGTGGGCAACCTGGAAAGGCTGGCGAGGATGGATAAGCTGGGCGGAGAAGGCGGGGTTAAGTTCAATTGCTTTGATGCGGTTGAGGGTGTGCATAGAAGCTTGAGGCTGGTGTACGAGAAAGAGATGGAGGGCGAACGGCAGAAGCAGAAGGCTCGCTTCCAACAGGCTGTGATGTGTTCAAGGAACGGAAGGCCAGTCGTACATGAAGGTCAACGCGTTGGTCTGGCGTTGCAATTTTGGAGGAATCGACGACTCCTCAGCGAACTTGAGTCAAATGACGATGCTATGGACGTGGACGGCCAAGAACAGCCTGAGCTTGGAAATGAGGAGGAACAGATTTGGTCTGCTGTCATCGAATGTGAAGCCTGCCCTGCAGATGTGTATACACCGGCAAGGGTGTCTGAGAAATGGGTTCAAGAGAACACAGATTCCATGACAGACGGTAATGCTCTTCACATTGCTGACACAGATCTGAGCTGGCTTGAACCACCTGGAGATCTTCAAATCCCAACTGACGGGACAACCGGCGACCACAAATCTCCCAATTTACGCTTCATTGCAAAATTCGAACCTCCTATCGTGCTTCCACTTCCAGTAGCCCTCCAGCTTCACGAATCTTTTGGATCACCAATAGCACAGAATAGCATCTTACCCACGACCTACGACGCTCTTCTATTTTTCGATCTTCGACCGCTAGATCCATTGGACACAGCAGCTCCTCGCACTTTCGAAACTACCATTCGATCATATAATGCAGCTACGAAAGACTTCTCGACTTATCGGCACAGATCCAATCTATATACTGCACCCCAAGACTTTGGCCGAATCCTCACGGACCTCCCGTTCAGACATCCAATGCAACTTAGTACTCTTTTGCCCACGCTACGCCAATGGGCTGTGGTTGGCAGCATCCTCAAGCGTAGCTTCGCTTCTACTCCTGAAGATGAGCCTCGCTCCCCCAATGTGCTGACAACTGATGGAGACATCAATGCGTCAAATGGACACGTTCCATCGCCTCCAGCCTTCCAAAGCCTTGAAGACGAACTAGCAGACTTCCTCTCCTCACCCTTACCAGGCTCTAGTATAGCAAAACTTGGCGAAGAAGACGTCAGGAATGTGGATATAATTTTCAGCGCCTCTCCGCTTCCCCAATTTCAGATTCAATTCGCCAATCCTGCTTACAGTGGCAAAGTCACTGGCGTACAATTCTCTGTTGGACCGGAAGGGGTCATTGAAGTCGTTGACATGGCCGATGGTAAGGGGGCTATAGTAGAGGCTCGAGCTGAGGGTGATGTGGACGCACAGGAGGCTGTAAGAGATAAGATGAGGTTGAAAGAGAAGGTCAAGAAGGTGCTTGAGGTTAGTGAGGATCTTGGTGTCTTAATCGAGTGGCTCGCGAGACAGTGAGGGACCGAAAGGCGTTTTTGCATAGCGTGGTCGTGGCATTTGTGGTTTGTGATACCCATTACATGTTTCTATTCATCTATCTAGAGAAACCCCAAAAATACTTAATCCTCATCAGAATCATCCACAATAGTCCTGATCGGAATCATCTACAATAGTCCTACCAGTTGACCTCCAGTATTCCCGCGACTCACCACGATCGTGCGACCCGAGTGTAGCAAGCCCTTGCCTTGCAAACATCCGACTGAACTCGCCAATCCCCTCCGCAATACCATCGAATTTCTCGCTCGCAATCTTCGAGCCCAGAATATCATTCGCATGCTGCCTCAGATACTTGACCACCAGACTCCTCATCTCGCTACCCTCTTCCGTGTCGTGACTGCACTCGTAGATTGGCTGTATAGTATCGAGGAACTTCCCGTTATCCCACCGCTCTATTTTCAGTATTCTGCTGTACTTCTTCGCTGCCTTGTGGCAGAGAGCTGGGATGGCGTATTTGTCGCCTAGGCGCCACATGTCAATGTGGATGAGGAGGTTCTTGCGCGGGCGGGGAACTGGGGGACAATAGTCTGATCTATCATCGTCCTCGGGCGCCACGTCTGTTGCTGGGTCGGTATCCTTTGTCTCTGTTGGGTCGGGGTCGGGGTCGGGGTCTTCTATGTCAGCGTAGTCACCTGAGTAGAGGAATTGGATTAGTAGGCTGGCTTGGATTGTGCCGTTTGGTGTTAGATTTAGGCGAGCTGTGCGACCTTCCTGGAAAGGGGGTGGGTCAATATCATCGTTGTTTTTGTAGTCGGGGAGGTGGGGGGAGACGCACTTTGAAGGATCCATCTAGGGCGGCGGCGAGCACGGCGGACTGGCTGCAAAGCACCGCTTTGTGCGCCTGGAGAGAGCGGTCGCCGATGATTACTTGGACATCGGAGTATTTGCCTGATTTGTAGATACTGCGTTTGATCATTAGGTGGTGGGAGACTTTGGGGCATAGGATACAGGTATTACCGTTTTATGCCATCGATTAGACCGGGATGAGAGTCTGAGGTTCCAAAGAGTTTAAGGTGGTCTTCTTCGGGACTGAAATCATCAGGCGGCGTGTAATATTGGAATTCGTGTTCATCAGTCTGACTGACTAGCTGCTTGCTTTGTGGCTTTTGAATCGGTTCGCTCGATTGAGAAGGAGATGCGGACTGAGTCTGAGGCATCTTGATGGAGTCCTTGGAGGAAAATGAGAAGGAGGGCGATAGTGAAGGTGCCAGGACTTATCTATATACATGAGGATGCGTCGTACAAGCAATTGTAAGACAGGGCAGAGGCTTGAGGAGTGCTAAGGCCGATGACGGCATGACAGAAGAACAGCTGTAAGACATGAATGCTTGAGTATCATTCACCTTTGCCATAACCCGACACTCAGATTCAGGTGGGCCGACGTGTCAATGAGGTAAGCTTTCAGCTCCTCCCGTGCCAATATTGACTCCTCCTGCCGTAATGTGAAAACGAAATGTACCTCCTTGATCGAGATATCCTACTGCCTGTCTGACATCTTCCCTCCAATCTTCAGCACCCCACCAATTAACCCACACCATGTAGCCGGATTTCTGTAGAGACTCCAATCTCCGCTGTCTTTCAGTAGCGGCTGCCCGAATGCTAATCTTCGGTCTGACCCTTTGCACACCACACCTCTCCGACACTAACCTAACAGTGCAAAAACTGTTCCACACAGCTGGAAGATGAGGACGTAAAGCCTCCCGGCTCATGACAGTGCTTGTTGCTGATAGAGAAATATTGGTAGCTATGACCACGCAGGAAAAGGTATGACATATGTCTCGAAGACGTTGGACTAAGCTTCGATGGCGTTCCACGAGGAGGCCATCGGATGTCACTTTGATATGAGAATCATCACCTTGAAGAGCCGCTTCAGCAGCCTCTTGACGATCTTGATAGAAGAAAGTGCTCAGATCCATGATAGCGAGCATGCCAAGCGAGCGATTGGAAGAAAAGTGTTGAAATGGCTGAGACAGAAAATAGTTCGGAAGATCAGATAGACAAGAAAGGAGAGATTCTGTCGAAGACACTGTGAAGGCGTGTAGATGAATTAGTGAGCGTGAGACTACTTTCGCCACATCTGTGTCTTCTAATTCGACGCTTTCTTTCTTGACTTGGGTCACAATATAGTCATGCATGATATCACGAAGCCGAAGAATCGATAGATTGCCCCCGAGGTCGAAGAGGACGACTGCCTGTTCTTTACCCTGAATGGGGCAACCTTCGATTGCTGCTGGCAGAAGCGCAATGCAAATGCTGTAGTACATCAATTGAGTCTTTCCAGAGCAGGGACAGCTTCCAGTGATTTCAATCACAGTAGGAGCCCTCACCGAAGGGGGTTTAGGAGGCTCATGCTGTTGATACAGTACCTCCTGTTGGCGTGTAGTGGCTGGATTCTTGAAAGCTTCCACAATTGAGTCTAGTGGAGCAATGCCGGTTTCATTGTCAAGTGAGGCTGTATCAAAATGTAGAGACCTTAATAGCTAGAGTCATATAGGGTCAATGGGGAGCACAGGAGGAATATCATAACATCCCCGCACCTCATCCAAGTTTTCCTCCTGCACTTCAGCGAGCAATTTGTCTCCCCAGCTAGCAGCACTCATGATGCTCTTCACTTGCCGTTCTTCACTTCATCCAACTCGCACGTGCGTTAGATACGCGGCGTAGACCATGCCGACCCTTTAACATCAATCAAACGTCTGACCTCGACTGAAAATATGGCGCCTCCAGTGGAGTCTTTCCTTGCATCTGAGCTTCAAAACCACATCAACCAACTACCAAATGGGAAGAGGAGGAAGGGCGGAGATGTCGACCTGAAAAAGTGCTCGCTACACGAGTTGGTGCAATATTCGTGTTACTTGGAGGGTGACCCCAAAGCAAGCGATTCTGTCATCAAGTGCAAGCCGTTCGAGAGGCTTTTTCGAAAGTACGCGGTCTGCTTTCGTTCTTAAGACCCGGAGGCTGACGCTTTACTACTTTCCAGATGTGCAGATGGTTTGATGGTTGAGACTACAGCATTCGAAGGGGGAGATTAAGCAGAAGTAGCAGATTGGTCAATCGCAGCACGAGATTATGAATTTCGGACCTCACATTGAGCACTAATGCAGGGAAATTCAGGGTGACGATGTACTCCATCGTGTAAATGTATGAAAATGGGTATCTTATGCGAGTCCCCAACGCCAGGATAAAACGTCACAGCCAAAACCGTCCACTCGTCACCTGTCCCTCAGATCTCCCTCCGACGCACAGGCTTTCTCCAGTATTGCCTGTCTGCATTGACAGCTGAGCTGATATGCCTGTTGTTCGATGGTCTCCCGTTCGCGAAACTTGAGCCGGCCATATCCACATCCATTGCATTCCCATTCGTTTCGTCTTGCTCTTGTATCACGCTTGCTAGAGTTTGCTGCCATAGTCGGTCACGTTCTTCATTTAAAGAAAGCGGCCTTTTCGGATCCGTCTGGTGCGTTGCGCCATTTGACCCTGCTGCAACCAGTTTCCGCAAAGCTTCTTCTCCTAACCTACCTTCCTCCGTGGCCTTTTCGCGCAACTTTCTTGGATCTTGCTCCCGTATTACAAAGTCTGGAGTCACTTGATAGGTATGCTTGTCTGGCAGCAGTGGAAAATGTTTAGGTATGTAGGATTTAGCTGTCTCGGTTTGAGGACCTCCAAAAAAGGCGCTGAGTGACGGATATGACCTAGTCTCGGATGGATCCTCAGCGTCCTTCGCAAGTGAGAATTGAGATTTCTGTGCGGTGACTGGAGGATCGAGATGTCTATGTAGAGACCGTAGACTGAGTTGATGGGTATGTAGTGCTTGTAGAAAATCCTGAGGTGTCGCATTATGCCGTCGACAAGAGAGCATTGATTGACGGACATCTGCCAAGTAATGCGCCATATCTATGACAGTCAGTGTACAGTTTCCGTATAACTGCAGCAATCAGCCATACACTCTTCAACATGTACACGATAGCTTTCCAAAGCTGCTGATTCCACTGTACCAAAGCCGACAGTTTCCAGAGCGACGCAGATTGAACGGTTGAGAAGCTCCTCCGACGTGGTCTCATTCTGAAGTTGTGCATCGCGTCTGAATTCCTTCTGGATATCCCATCTCACCTTGTGATGCCGCAAGTCCCCATGATCCTGCTTCTTCGCAACTGGAACCTCGAATTGGGCTTGGGATGAAGTTCGCTTCAAGGAATGCGGCTCATGAATAGCCATTGGCGCCATCGGTCGTGAACGACTAGCATCCCCTCTCCACTATCATTTAGCTATGGCAATGATGGCCAAAGCTGTACAATGCTTCCGTGAGCTGCAAGATAGTACAAAAGTTCAAATATTCTTTGTGATTGGTCAGCGCATCTTGTCCGACGGCTGACAAATCGCTTGGCATGACTCTTTGCGCTTTCCAGTAATTCGTCTTGCTCACACTACTGAACATTTCTTCCCTTTTAATTCCTCTCTGCAATCTGAAGATGTCCGTTACGAAAGAACCTCGAAAATCTGTGGCATTCAGTGAAGGCACGACAGTTGTGGATGGTGAGGGAGGAGTAACCCAAGTAAATGGAAGTGGAACATCAAACAAGAACTCAGCGGAAAGTCATTCAACCAGTGCGTATACAGGGTCACCGGCATCAAAGCGCAAAGACTCATTCATGACAGGCAACGGCGACGCAGCGCCGTCAGATCCAGCGGTAGACGAAGTCAACGAGCTCTTCAAAGGCCTCGGTAAGAAGAAGAAAAAGCCAAAAGCAAAAGATGAAGCGGTAGAGGGCGCCGACGAAGCGGCTCCGGCAGCGGATAACGAATTCGATCCTACAGCATTGAAGAAGAAGAAAAAGAAGAAGCCTGCAAAGACGGATACCGACGAATTTGAGGCCAAATTAGCCGAGGCAGGTGTCGGCGCCGAAGCAGAAACGAACGGAGAGAAAGCAGAAGAGCCGGATGAAGTAGAGGGAGACATGGACGCTGGGACAGGAGTATGGGGCCATGAAGAAACAAAGCAATTAAAATATGAGCAGCTGCTTCAAAGGTTCTTTGCACACCTGCACAGCGCAGTAAGTAATGATGCAAGAGGAATACTAACAGGTTGCTAACATCGTGAAGCATCCAGATCTTATGTCGGGCGGCTCAAAATCATATGTCATTCCGCCGCCTCAGTGCTTGCGAGAAGGCAACAAGAAGACCATATTCGCAAATATCCCAGATATCTGTAAAAGAATGAAACGCAGCGACGAGCACGTTACACAATTCATCTTTGCCGAATTAGGAACTAGTGGCAGCGTTGACGGCAGCAAAAGATTGGTGATCAAGGGGCGGTTTCAGCAGAAACAGATTGAGGTTTGTGAATTCCAAGAGCTGTTCTCGTGTCATGGTAGAACTGACTTTGGCGATCACAATAGGGAGTCCTTCGCCGATACATTGGTATGTTTGCATGAGTAGAGTGCGATTGAGCGAGAGCTAATATTGTGAAAGTTGAATACGTTACTTGTAAGACTTGTCGATCACCTGACACTGAACTATCCAAAGGGGAAAATCGTTTGAGTTTTATCACAGTATGTTCCCTCTCTTACAATGCCATATGATGTCTCGCTAACCCTTTGCTGTAGTGCAATTCCTGCGTAAGTCGCATCTGCGATCTGTCCAGATCTAGCTAACAACTACAAGGGATCGAGAAGAAGTGTTCAAGCAATCAAAACCGGCTATTCCGCCCAAATTGGCAAGAGAAAACGACAACAACAGTAATCGACGCGAGGATGTATGTGGGGTTTTTGCTACGCATAAACAGGGTCTAGGCGTTGAAAACAAGGTGATATGCAGCCCTAGGCAGTCTTGTGCAATATCTTTAGATTTCGGAACAAGTGCATCAATACCAGATTTTGTATTAATTTTTGATGAAGATATCGCTAAATATATCTTTCCCTCTTTTAGCAGCCGCTAATGTTTGTTGTAAGCGCCCAACTACTACATCCTTCCACCATTCAGCTCGAGGCATTTCTTCGCCTTACGCTGAGCCATGCAAGTGCTTCCGGCTTTCATTAGACTTGCTGAACATGCCATGGAGAGGTAGCAATACAATACACTTGTTCTCGTTCACATCCACTGTCTCAAGCCCTTTGACTGTTCAGCTGAACTCCTCAGCACTTGCCGGTCCTCAGCCCCAGCTTGATATTTCGTGCCGTCTCATTCTTTCCTCCCTTCTCTTTTTTCTGTGTCTTCCAACATTGATCATTGCTTCGTCTTTCTAATTCAAGTTCCGTTTCTGTCACCTTGAAGATAGCAATGGCGTCATCTCCACCTCCAAACTACGGCAGTCCAGCCCCGCAATACTTCCCTCGTAAGTATACTCTTCCAGTTAGACGCGCTGGCAACGCTGACGAAGATCTACAGCTCCTCCAGGAGGAGCCCCGCCGCCTCATGCTCAGAGCTATACGCCACCAGTCCAGCAAGCATTCCCACCCCCGCCAACCTCACCTGGCTACCCATCCTATCCTCCCCCACCTGCAGCCCAACCCTCGCCCGGTATCAATGGAGGCAGCTACCCCCCGCCGCCCACACAACAGCCCCCACCGCAGCTTCAGAGCCAACCCTCCTACGCTCCGCCTCCTCAAAGCTACCCCGCTGACAAGAAAGACCCTGCCTCATTCCAAGAGCCACCGCCCTCAGGAGGCCACACCGGCGCTCATGCAACCTCATCCCAAACAGCGGAAAAGCAAGAGAAAGCCCTCGATGCTGATAAGCCCGCATTAATGCCCGGTGGAGCTCCCTCAGCGGGTCATTTCTCAGGCGCTACAGCAACACAGGACGATGTGGGCACCTTCAATGGGGGAAGCTACAGGATCAGTCACCGGGATTGCAACACTATCCTGACTTTACAGTTGGCGATGGGCTGTCCTCTACAAGCAAAACCTGGTACTTCCACCTACTTCCCTAAAATCCCGAAATAATCGCTGACGTGAAGGTTTTCAGGCATCATGATCGCCATGTCCCCCACCGTGACCCTCAAAGGCGCCATCAAATTCTCGCTCAAGAAATACGTCGGCGGCGGCGAAATGACCACATCTACATACACAGGGCCTGGAGAAATCCTGTTCGCCCCTTCCTACCTCGGTGATATCACGACGCTGAGGTTCACGGGTCAAGAAACGTGGAATGTGGGCAAAGACGCTTTCATGGCGGCTACGCAGGGCGTGGTAAAAGAGATGAAGAATCAGAGTTTTAGCAAGGCGATGTTTTCTGGGGAGGGGCTTTTTGTGTATAAATTGAGTGGGAGGGGCATATGTTGGTTGAGTAGTTTTGGGGCCATTATTAGGAAGGATGTATGTTCTCTTTCTCTTTACTCTGTCTTTTCAACTGTTTGTGGTACTTGCTGAGCTGAAGCTGACTGTGGTATCTAGCTCGTCGAAGGCGAAAAGTACATCATCGATAACGGCCATCTTGTGGCCTGGAACTGCAAGTACGTAATGGAACGCGTAGCCAGCGGTGGAATCATCTCTGGTATCAGCAGCGGGGAAGGACTCGTATGTAAATTCACAGGGCCGGGGACAGTGTTCATGCAGACGAGGAACCCGGGTGCATTCGTGGCTTGGATGGGTGCACATACAGCGCAAGGATAAGTGTTTTGGTAATCTGAAGCGGATAATGTGAAGGCTACATTGCACGGTTCCAAAATCTTTGCATTCATCTTCTATCCCAGTATCCATATTATACACAACGCTCTACTATAGTCTCTCTTCCTCATTATCTCGAGGTCTTTGACATGCATCCCCCTCGTCTGCATGCTTTCGACCAAGCCCTTCTGTAACACTCTCGCTCCGAGCAACGATTACGAGAGGATTGTAAACCTTGCTTGGTAAAAGTGGTCCCGGCCACAAAGTCTCTCCGTTCGATAGATCCGGAGAGGTGATTCGAGGGGCGTCCCCTTTCTCAAACACAGAAGCTGCCCCGTAAGGCGAAGGGTTGTCCTCTGAAACGTTCTCTTTGCCAGGATGCAACCTGTTGTCTTCAAACGTCCGCTCACCCGAAGATGCGCTTGGAGATTTCTTTCCTATCAGTGACGGAGCCACGGAGCGGACTGAAGGGCTCCTCATAATGCCCGCAATCCTTCGTTGGGTGAAATTCCTGACTTTCTTTGTGAAGCTGCCTGGCCGTACCTTGTCGGGGACGTTATTTCGATTTCTTAAAGCCTCGTGGTGGCCGAATGACGGTAGGGTCGTGCTAGATCTTCTTGAGCAAGGCTGAGGACTGGGGTAGCAGGTAGTGAGTATGGGTTCTTGCGCATCTTGTTCCTTGCGAGGCTGGTCTTCTGTGATAGCGGGCATCTCGAGATAGTATGAAAATATCATGGATGGTGAGATAGACGATCGGACTTTTGCTTGATCCATTGATGGTTTGACATCTTCTTCCTCTTCCTTTCCAGAGTCTTCGTCTGAGCTCGAATCGATATCAGCTAGGTATTCGCCACGCAGTATCTTCTCCCTTTTCTTCGAGAGCCGCATGGCATTCATCGCTGCAAAAAGCAGGTTTTCAAACAATGGGTTTTGGCCCCACTCAAGGCGCTTGAGATTGGTCAATCACTGCAGTGAATTTCGTCTGTGAAAATGACTGTGGGACAGATGAAATGTTAAATGTGGAATTGATAGAAAGTCCCGCTGTAAAGATGAGAGTTTTGATGAGATAACAATGAGAATGTAGTAAATTGGCCATGTTAGACAAGTGATACAAACAAGTCATTGTAGTACAAGACATGGACCTGATTAGCCACCGTTTCCATAGCTGTAGTGAATAAATTAATGGATTGGGAGGAGCCGCAGGAACTGTTACAGGTATCAATTTATTAATACATGGCAAAGCCTCCACTGGCCGATAAACACCGGCCAGTTATCCATCGACTCCTCTCTTCGGCCAGAAAGCCGACTATTTGAGCTACATCGTCAGGCGTACCAAGTCGGTATTGCATCGGTGTTGTACTTTTCTGGAAATCAATGATCTGCTGGGGGACGCCGCTGAGCAGATCAGTTGGAACGGGTCCCGGATTTACTGCGTTGACAGTGTGCCCGGCAGGTCCCAACTCTGCAGCAAGAGACCTTGTGAGTCCTTCAAGTGCTGCTTTGGAAGAGCAGTAGAGTGACAATTCCGCAAACCCAGCTCTTGCGCCCACAGAGCTCATATTGATGATGCGGCCTGGTGACCGAAGATGGAGGAGCACGGCTTTAGATAGCAGGATGACAGCCCGCACGTTGAGACCAAAAGTCGCCGCGTAATCTTCGGGAGTATTTTCAGCAAGCGTCTTAGTGACTTGATAGCCAGCGTTGTTAACGAGTATGTCAATTGAGTCTCCAAAAGCACGACAAGTCTCTTTGACTATCTGCTCAGGAGCATCTAAGTCTCGCAAGTCTGCTTTAACCTTGATAGCTTTGGACCCATTCTTCAGAGCTGAAATGTGCTCTATGATCTCATCAACACCCTTTTCACTGTTTGGTGAAGTGAAGGTGATGACAACCTTCAGCCTTGCCGCGTCAAAGTCATATCAATCTCGTAGAGGGCCACAGTAGCAAGCTCACTTACCTTGGCGCCACGACATGCTAACTCTTTAGCTATCTGAGCACCTAAGCCTTTCGAACCACCAGTCACTATGGCCACCTTGCCGTCCAGCGTTTGTGCCATAATCAGTCATCCGAATATTATTACACGATGACAAGCTTGGCACGATAACGAACTTGGAAAACCTGGATTAGGAAGGCGCTAGTCCGAATGAGGCGAGAACTGCCAAGAGCGACTCAGTCCGCGGTCAAGCTAATCCCTTGGGTATCATAAGCCGCGCACTCCCCGTGTGAAGGCTAAGAGTACACGACAAGGACGCAACATCCGTCTTTCCTTCACCTACGTCGAGATCCTGTACCCCACCCCATCATTTAGTCGAGTGGCTGTACTACATCGGATGATCTGAGACCTCCTGTCTCCAGGCACTCCGCCCGTCATGCCTGACATTGATGAGCAAAAAGCGGCGATCACAAATCGATCACTTCGCACGATACGTACAGTATGTGCAACGTGTGGCTCTTTCGAGACTGGGTAGACTGACAGTATCTTAGGAGCTTGAGTATCTTACAGATGCAAGCGTGATCACTCCGCAGCAACTCGCAAGCTTCCTATCTCAGCTTCCACAGCAGACTATCCTTCATGCGCCTATATCGAGTCCAGCGGCCACTCCCGCCCCTGTCGACCTTGATCTACCATCACCTCCAGTCAGCCAAGTTGCCAAGCAGACGGCCAATACTTCTCTCAATGAAAAACAAAATCTCTTTTTATGCACCTTCGCCTTCGCCAGTCGCCCCTCCACCTGCATATGCCTCAGCCGCTTCGGTAGCGACTGCTACAGCACTCTACGAATACCATCCCACAGACGCCGGCGACTTAGCTGTGGTGCCTCACGACCGCATCTTCATCACCGAGTTCATGAATGCAGACTGGGCAAAGGGAAGGAACGAACGGACCGGTTCAGAAGGCATATTCCCTCGGAGCTATGTCGCCATCATCGACGAGAAAAACAAGATGGGACCATACCAGCCACCTACACCTTCCCAGACCAGCTATGGAAATATGCCACTAGACGTCAGTCAGGCCGGCAGTAGCGCTACTCCCGGAAAGCCAAGCAAATTTGAAGAGCATGGAAAGAAGTTCGGCAAGAAGCTTGGGAATGCTAGTATGTTCACAGTGCTAGCAATCTAGAACATTCTTTGCTAATGAGTTTTAGCTATCTTTGGGGCTGGAGCGACAATTGGGTCAAACATTGTCAATGGTATCATGCATTAAAGAGATGGGCGATGTGTTGCCATTTGCCAAATTCGTAACGATTCTACCGGCGTTAGGACGAGAAGGGGGGCTGGAATAGTATAGACTAGGTCAGACCAAAGGGGCCCGATCAAATGATTTCACAGTTTGCAGGTACGATCACAATCACACAAGTTTGCCACCTTCGCCTTTCGTTCGTCCATCATTAATCGGAACTTGAGCCAAGATGTACCTCCCGGAACATAAGGTACAGTCGTGAGTCAGTTTTTGATGGTGCAGCACACGGTCCCACGGGCTACAGCCTCACCGAGATGCAAGCCACCCACTAGCGCAACGGGTTGGCTCAGCCTATCATCCATATTGACACCACTCCGCTTGATGTCCTATTGACAATGTTGAGTGACACAGGCAGCTCTCTTTGCCTTGTTGCAGTGCATGTCAGTACAACGCGCGTACACATAAATTTCGATAGGCCAAAAGCGCGCTCAGGCGACAAAGAGTCAAAGACTTCTTGAATCCCTGCACGTGTGTGTGGAGCCCTCAGATGATCGTCCCCTGTTCGCACCCTAGTCTATTTCGGCTGCATGGTATTTCCCGCGATATAAAAGTGAATTATGACAGATCGGGTTCTTGACTGCAGGGTTGGACAGCCACAGCTCGTATGTGTTGTCCCCTTAATCTAATTGATTCCAGGTTCCAACGCTTTCCCTCCTACCAGTCAAATTAACAAGATGAGTCGCGCTTTGGTATTGCCTGTGTCTCCTTCACACTTAATTTTCATACTGACTCCTCCCAGTCAAGCGAAGACTTAGCTAGCATCCATATACGAAGGTGCGCTGGTGAACCTTGGAGTAAGATCACTGAGGTACCTCAAGGTCCGCTGCCACTTTGCCATTTTTGCGAGCTTACCGTTCCAGGCCTACCCAAATATCAATCCCAAAAGCCTGAATGTCTACTATCTCGTGAGACTCCACTGGTGAAGTATGACTCCAAGCTCATGATACGTAGAAGTGGAAGACCCCACCAATTTCAGACGTAACAAGTCTTTGTTTCTCGTGTGCTTGGATTTGAAGCTGAGGCTGATAGAAATACGGCACCGTGTCGATCAAAGCTGGCCTCCTCTCTAATCAATCGAGCCCAACCATGTCAAGCTCAACAGTCAACTCGGCCAACAGAAAGCGATCCTTCTCAATAGAGTGCCCTAGTGATGACGGTACAGGCGAAGTATGTAATGTGGGACTGTAACCTTGTGCAAATATTGACTTCACAGTTTGAACCTGCTTCATCAAGGCCTCTTGCAATAGCAGGCGTCAGAAAGCAACCAACTCGGGGGAATAAGAAAGCAAGAAAGCCGGGAAGTCACAGTGCTTTGGTGTCAGGTGGTGCATTTGATACGCCCCTTGCTAAAACAGTTGCCCCTCCCAGCGAAGATTACTTGCAGATGGGCGACGAACATGATGATAATCATGCAAGGCCTGGCCAAGCAGCTTTAACGCCAACATCGATGACTGAACGTAGTGACAGTCACGACAGCTCTCTACCTTCTCCATCAGCAATCACTATGGCGTTGGGAGACGACGGCAGAGCGTGCTCACGTGCAAGTGGCCTGCCTATCGGTGGGAGAGACACGACGACTTCGAAGGTGAACAGTAGCATAACCAAAGATAATCTGGCAGCTGCTCTCTCGGCTTCAATCATGCTTGCAGCTGAGGAAGTTTCAAAAGTGGCGGTAAAACCACTAGTGTCACACTTTGATAGTGTACTCAAAAATACCCAGAAGGAGTTGGAAATAAAGGAAGTTGAACATGCTCGTTGTATGCAAGACCTGAATGACAAGCAGGAACAGTGGCAATTGACCGAACAGGGGAATCGATCGCAAATCTGCGGTCTGGAGCTGGCCTTGAGCGAATGTCAACGAGCTCTGTCGGACGAGCAGACAACACTAATTGATTTGAAAGAGCAACATTCTCAATTGACAAAGTGTGTGGATGACAGAATTGCTGACCAAGATAACATGGTAGAAAAAGCCATTGGACACCAACAGACAATCATTCAGTTGAAAGCGCGACTAGCCAAAAGCGAGGAATTGCACGAGAAGGAAATGGGGGATCTCACAAAACACCAACAAAACAATGCCTCTCTTATTTCCAAACATCTTCAGGGGCTAAGTGTATGCGATCTTTCCAAGATCAGTCCAGGTCAGGATACTGATGCTTAACAGGGCGTTGTCGAGTCGCGGATAGCGCAAATTCAATCTTCCTTAGGCAGCGCGATAACTCAGAATGAGAACCTAAAAAAGACTGCTCCCAGAGGGCGGAAGCTGCGAGTCTAGTCCATCAGACGTATCGCTTAGCAGTTCATGAGGAGCTTGAAAAATGTCTGAGTCGTCACACAACAAAACCTCGAGATGATGAAACGATCTTGGAAAATATCGCGACTCTCATGCAAAATGCTAAAAACCACACAAGCGGAATACTCGATCTTGTAGCGAGCGTCTGTAGCAACAGCCATGTGGCTGAAAATGTAACCATATGAAAAGCATTACTTAGGAGAATATTGACGAGTCTTGCAGGTTACCAACAGCTCCACGAAGGACCCGAGAAGGCGATTGACTGCTCAAGGCTTACAATCACAAGTCACGACCACATCGACCCATGTAAGGCGCGAGGCCCGTTTTCAAATCCTGTGCTAATACCACCGCAGGGATCTCCAACAGTCGGAGACGTGTCAACGACCCCATCCGGGGGACAAAACAAAGCGCCGATTCGCAAATACTCGGCTGTAAACATAGGTATAGCCTCAGGTAACCTACAAACTCAACGCAAAACTTTTATACCGTCGAAAGACTCTGGATATGAGCCTGACGAAGGTTCCTCAAACAAGACAAGAGAGGTCGACCCCCCTAGTGGGCCGCGGCAAATGGGTTCCGATGGTGTTTCGGGAATGATGACTACAAGGAATGGCTCGATAATTGATACCTGGAGACCAAATGACAAAGACAGGCGTCAAGTAGAGGATATTGATAGCTACCGCCCTCACGACGAACGCTCCCGCTCTGGGGAGGAGCTCAGACGTCGTCGATTCGATGCAACTGATACTGCCTCCAACATAAGCCTATGTCGAACCTTCCACATCCAGAATAGTTGTCCTGATGATGACGATCAATGTAAAGACGACCATGGCATTCGTCTACCTGACCACCTGCTCAATGTGCTCGACAATGTAGAGGGTGAGATTTCCCGGAACGGTCTTATCAGCTTGTTCAAGTCTCTTGAAAGAGTACGTCGGGAGCGTTATTGCCACCATTATCATGTGAAAGGCGACTGCCTCCTTCCTGTGTCCAGATGTAAGTATGAGCATGGCGAGAAAGTTCATGGCACTGATTTGGAAGTCATGAAAATTGCTCGCAAAATGTACGAAAAAGTCAATCAGATTCGGAGATAGGATATTTTTGTTGGGGTTGCAAAAAGCTACATGTGACGGTGTAGTATGACATGAAAAAACAGGGGCCAAATTGCAATACCTTGCAAACTATTTCGCGTTTACTCTACCACAAAAGCATTCTCTATATTTAGAGATCGATTTCGGTCTCGGTTCAAGATTTTAATGAAGACGCATTTAGCCAACGGTAATGTGAATTTGCTCTTTCCCTATCAGTGGTGGCAAATTTAGTTTTGGTCAGGATGGACCTTCCTTTTTGGACGGGGATCAGTGTAATTTGTCGTAACACGTGAAGATCAACAGAACGTGCGGGTCAAATCGATATCCCCCGAACAACCTGCTATCAAAACACCAACAAGGTCGTCAACATGTCGCTCAGACCTGTAAGACACCTTGCAGTTGCGCAAGTCGATTTCTAATGTCGCATAGTCACAGGCAGTTCTAGAGAATATTGACGAGCTACGGAAAAGTGGGAAACCTTGGTCTACCATTGCGCGAGTGATTTAACCCTGTCAGCATACTCGTACATCACGTGCTGACTTGCAGGCATATCCATCAATTAAGCAGGGTACTCTCAATTTGTGCTACTTGGTACTACTCTTTCTTGTAAAAAATTGATAGCTTTTCTGGCTGATGAAAAAAAGGCATGGAAGGAACCAGTAGATTCGAAGGTCGTAGAATGAAGTACTGAATCCTCCCAATCTTCTATCAGCTCACTTTTCCAGAAATATATGCAATTTGTCGCCTTAAAAGGAGGGCAAACTGCTTACCACCAAAGGATAGCAGGTGATAGTGCATCCCTGCTTGCGCCGAAACCTGAGAGGCACGCTACTCCTTCCAAACGTGTGAAAGACGATGTGAATGGTTATGTGAGTATCTCAGGAGCAATCTACTCTACGGATCACGCAATTCAAAGGCTGACCTACTAGTCTGAGCGACCCAAAAAACGTGTCATGGTAGACAACACCACTCAAAGCACAGGCACCAAGTCACTAGTGGTCACGCTGAAATATGCGAGGCCATCAAGCACCAGTCACAAACAGAAGTATGACTTGTTGTCCCCGCCAGGGACTCCTTCAACAGATTCAAAGCCAGCTACTACGAGGAGCGATGGTTCTATTTCTACGCCATCAGGCCTTGTTCGGAACACAACTCAGGAAGCCATCGGGAAGGACAATTCAACACCGTCTTCTTCGCAAGCACCTACGCCGATAGTAGTCGAAGATCTCGATGAGAACGACGTACAGTTAGCGGACCGGGAGGGTGCGATCAGCGACAGTGACAGCGACAAAACGGCACCCGCAGTCTTGAACATGTTAAAAATGGTGTCTGACTTTATGCCCGCCGTCTACTCACGGCTCAGCCGTGAGTTGAGAGAGACTAAATCACAATGCCTAGTGGAAGCCAGACTTCACGAAAGCTGTAAAACAGCCCTAAAAGACAAATCTCGTGAAGTAGATCGCCTGCAGGGTCTACTGGCTTCTACGGAGGAAAGGGATCCGACTCGAATCCATAAATTGGAAACAGAACTGAAACAATACAAAGAAATAGCGTGCAATCAGAAGAGAGTTTACGAAGAAGACGTCGAGTCCTTGGTGAAGAAAGTGAAGGAGAAGACGTCTGCGATCACAATTCTCATGGAGCAGGATAAACAAAGTGAACGATCTGCCTCCTCATATATCAATAAGATATCTGATCTGGAGGAAAAGCTATCTGAGATGTGCCACCGCAAGGATCTGGAGCGGGAGATCGAGAAATGACGTCGTGGGACGTTTACACACTCTATGGCTTCGAAATCTGACAGTGAAAGATTCAGGTACGAGACTGGCGCAATTCCTCGTCCACTCGCTGGAATTCTTAATTGAAGTTTCGTGTGCTTGCCAAGGCAGGACCCGTAACAGAAATGGGCCCCCGATAGATTAGGATGGAGTTGTTCCTCTGTATAGGAACCAATTCTTTGCTGCAACTACTATGATGGAAAAGCTGACATTCATAAAAACTTACATCACAATGATTGATGTCTACCATGGGGCTGCATAAGTTCGCATATCTTAATATGTCAATTCGATCCTAAAGGCTATTGTTACTGCTATGGCTATCACCATGATGACAATTGTCATCATAGGACTTATAAGTGTGTCTATGGTAAAGATATGGCAAGGGGGGTGAGGAAACTTTCCTCATATGTGCGCAACGTGCTGGTGGATAATGAATGAGGACATGCATAACTTGCAAATAGGCCACAGATTCATGTGACACGATGTAATTATATGACTACTAAGTTTGAGGATTGATGGTTCGCTTTGGCGAAATAGGAATGCGAATCCATCCATCGTGCCTGCTGCTCTTATCGGAATTTATGGGCTCCTGAAGTGAATTTCGACTGCACCCTATCCGCCTCTCGCTCCCCGATTTCCGGCATGTGGCTTAACTGATACAGAAAGGGAATTCCATTGGTTGTGCCAAGATCACGAGATTCGCACTGCATAATTAGCAGTAATTCCTGTGTCTGGAAGACTTGTAGGGCTAGACTCTCATCACCAAGCGATGATGACACCGCTTGATTTGGTCAGTCACCTAGGCAACAGGCATTAACACACCCCACTTCGCCCCTCAAATTGACTTGAGACAGGACGATCAGCATTTCAAGAGTATCGATCACCAACGCAAGCAGGGTGTGATTTCGTGGCGATCAATCTTCGATGTAAGTCTTCAAAGAACAACTTATGTCTTGACTGACTGACCTCCCCACAGGCGTACCCTAGCATCAATACGCAAACGCTGACTGTTTATTACTATGTAGCGGCAGCACCTACCCGCTAATCCGTAAGCTAACGATATACCAGCGTTGGCTCAAAAGCCCTTTGGTGCTTGAAAACAGCAAGAAGTGTAGTCTTAGATTGTTGCTAAGCGTACTTTTAGCACGAAGAAATGCCATCCAAGTCCAGGAAGTCGGCGCTCAAGATAAATGCTGAACCTCCAAAAGGACAAAGCAGTGATCGGGACACCAAAAGCGTAGACCTGTCCACCTTACCTGTCTTGGGCTCTGGTTCAGCTGACAAACCCTTGGTATTCTAGGGATCCATGAGAATAGGATATCGCCCTCACAGTGGCATTGGATCTCCTAGTCTTTCCCAAGAGGTAGTACATTTGTCAAAGAAAGGGCACACTTGTAGCTAATGCGTTCAGGTTCTGGGAAATGATACCTCCAATATGGCAGTCTCTTCCCAGGAAGCTAGTCGAAAAAGACGTAGAGTTTCCGAGGCTGATGATCAGTCAAAGCTGGATGTGAAAGCAGAAGATTCGTCTGTTAGTGACGAAGAAGACGTTTCATCCGCTTTAGGACCGATAGTAGATCTTTTCAAGCATGCAATCATGACAGTTGCTGACGTCCGAGATGTCCAGACCAGGCAGGAGCGCGTAGAGCAGCAGCAAGAAGATATTAAGCATAGTGCTACTCAACTCAAACTTTGGGAAGCTGAACTCGCTTTGAACACTATGCGGAAACAACACAATGCTCTCTCAGCAGCTCACGCTGACATTGAAAGCCGTCACGAGCACTTAAGACTGGAACATGAGATGTTAGAGCAAGCATTTACAGACCAGAAATGCGTCGACAGCGATCAGACGCTGACACTGAAGAAGGAACTAGAGTTCAAAATTGTCGAAAATACTTCTCTTCAACAGCAGCTTGACCATTCCAGACATGATGCACGAGGCAGCGACTCTCAGCATCGTGCTCAACTTGACTACCTCAAAAGGCAGATAACGGCGCAAGACAATCAAGGTACAGAGAATGATGACTTGAAAGAGCAACTCCGTGCCAAAGAGGCGGAACGTCAGGAGCAAGTTCGTGCTAAAGAGGCTGAATGTCAGGAGCTCCGAGTCCATGTCCGTAGAATCTTAAATTTAGAACGGTCAGCCTCGAACAACCAGGTACGCATTGATGGCTCTTTAATCCTTGAGCGAGCGCTAACGACGCCTACAGCAAGCCCCACTGGATTCGCAGCAGGCTTCACTGAATTTACAACATTCCGGGGAGCTACAAAGAGCACTTGGTGAAATCTCCCATCACCTGCGTAACGCGCGAGCTCACAATGAGAATGTGGAGTCATTTAATAGAAGCTGTGCTAAAGATATGGAAGGGCTTTTCCAAACACTGTATCCCCTGGTCAACAGTGCTGTGAGGGAGTCATTCGAAAAGATCAAGGCGACAACCAAAGATATGAAAAGTTCTATTCGCGCCAGTAGAAGGTCCAGTGAAGAGGCGGAACGACGAGCTACCAAAGCTGCCAAGGCTGAAGTGGACCTCCAAATGTATTCAGCAAACAACCCTATGGCAAGTACACCAGCTCCTTCGAGCACACGGCCTTCGATCTGCAACAACGTGGACATGCATCGTGACCCAAGGCGGCATTCTCTCACGGGCCCGTTGCCCAAAGTGTCGTTTAGAATCTCTTCAATTCATGTTCCGAATGAACATCATGCCAACACAGGTCAAAGAGATGATATGGAGAGCGAGGAAGGCGAGGGTATCGATCTAAACGAAGCTGATGTTGGCAGGACAACGAAAGAGTATGCCCAGGAATGTCACTCCAAGGCTGATACAAAGTCAAAAATACCAAATACCAAGCGACCTGGGTATAATGTCTTCGAAAATAATAAGTCGGAGCGTCGACGAAAGACCGTCGATCATAATTCTTGGAAGGAGGATGATCGCACGCAGCTGGACCGTTATTCCTCCCCACGCAAAGAGAGTGACCGTAAGCAAGAAGACCATTGTTCCCCCCTCGTAAAGAGAGCGTTCGTATACTGTCGCCAGCCAAGCGCGACCCAAAAGAAAACCGAAGCATGATCGCCACACCCAGAATGCCAGCGGCAATGGCTTCATTAAAGCCAATCTAGGCCTCTGTCAAAAACACCATCTTGAAGGGTACTGTATTGCCGGGGATCTATGCCCTGATACGCATGGGGAACAGTTAGGACAGGAAGAAAAGATGTTTTAAGGCGCTACAGTCGAGGCAAGAACGTATGAAGGCCTTTGCAAGATTTTCTACCTGGAATTCGAAAACAAAACAGTTCACTGCTTACTTACATGGCTCACGATTATACCGAGAAGCAGTCGCACCAATACGGAGTATAATGTGAATGTGCTGATTACAGAAATTTGCTTGTTATGGTAGTATGCATCAACAATGTAGGCGGCAAAAAGTATCGGTTATCGAAGCATATAGTATGGACATCAGCAGGAAGTCTTCTTTCAAGTGTTGGAGTTGCCACAAGCGTAACATAACATAACCTGTCAAACACTGAGCTCGCTTCTTTGTTTCGCAAGGATGTTGGCGTTTCGATCGATCGCTGAATCTAACATGCACTGCCCCAGATTTCTCCAATTTTCTTCCCATACACGCAGTACTGACCCGTCTTATCATGTTTTACTTTATACCTCGAGTAGGCCTAGCAACTCCTTCCGCACAGACTCAAGAGAGCTCGCTGATCATTGATCCTTCTTATTTGGCGCAGTGAGATCCAGCCGTGGTCGACAAAAGAGCATGGTAGCTTTTGAGCCGTCAATCACATCATTTGTATAGCAATTGCGTCCACGAGTTGGCGTAGCGCATTGGCAATGGAGGAGTCATCGTTTTATAGCCCGTTGTCACTCCTAACTCGAACAGGCAATACTCTCGAGGTTTGAGACATATAACGAGCGCCCGTGATTCCTCAACCGGTTGCCAACTCAGTATCTCGATCTTGACGGCGAAGCCAAGCCGGCGCATTGAGCCATTGACGCTCCGTGCTGTCGACAACACTTGACGCAGAGAAGGATGATAGCAGAGCTGGAGGAGCGCAGACACGTGGTACTTGAGACAGAAAACGTTGATGGCGAGACTCCAAGATGCCTGGGATCGGCATGGCCGGTGTGCATTCCGATTGGGACGCCTACCTGAATCATTCCCGTGCATGGCCTGGAGCTTCGCAAGTCAAGAAGGTCGACTGCGTTCAAGCTTGCAAGCTTGCTGTGCCACCCAATTAAAATAGTCTCCTTTCAACCAGAGGAGTAGATCCCTCCCTCCCCCCGCATCTCCACACGATACTAGGTCCTTACTTCCATGGGGACTATCTCGGGAGGCGGATGCGCTGCCTCTCCGATTCGATGTCTGATATGGACGCTTATTGTGGCCATGCAGCCTACTTACGTCGTGCTCGAGAGAGGGCCCTTGAGACATGCAATCCTTTCAACCACATGCGTCTTCGCATATCTTGCATCTCGCGTCCTTTTCCTTATCGAAATTCCCTCAGAACCCCCATCTTCTCAATAGAGTCAAGACGCATCTCGTCGCGTGTCTCTCTTGTTGATCTCTCTTGGAAAACGCACGGCAAAACAAACACTCCCGTTCATAGCGTGTACGAGATCTCAAGCAGTGGTGCGACCTCAATTGATCGTTGGAACTAAGCCACATATACACAGAATTTACACAACATCTATCCCGGCAGACTCTAGATAAGCCCTTCAACAGCTAAGTGCCGAGGTGGTAGCCATATCGAATACCCTGTTCGGGCTCCATTGTCACTGCTATTAGCAACCTCTTGGCCGGGGCATTTATCAATTCACTTCCGTGTTTCGAAGCTGTCTAAGCTATCCTGGTTCTGGCATCAGATCCTTGATCGAATTCGCACCCCGTAAAAATATATATGTAGTCTTGACCACCGGCTTATCTGTTTCAAAATCTTGGGCATCGCTTCTGCCTCAATTCCTACATCTCAACATTGAAATAATAAATCTATCAATATGTTTGGGAAACGGTACTTGGGCCTTACGGGCACCAAGCTCCAAATCGCCATTGGTTTTATTGCTGGCCTGGACTTTTTGTGAGCAAGAATGCACCAACTATCGGCAGTGCGAGCTGACAAACGAAAAGATTATTCGGTTATGACCAGGGTGTCATGGGTGGCCTCCTAGATGGAAAGGCATTTGTACGTCCACTGCAGTCTATGTCGCGGTATGTACAAGAAACAATGCTTACACAATAGGCAGACCAAGACTTTCCCGCAGATCGACGCGACGAAAGCAACCGAAGAAATGCAAGGGCTGAATAAAGCTCAGAGTACGCACCGAGGCACCATTCAAGGTCTGAAAACCCCCAAGTTGTAAGCGATGATTCATGCTGATGCTTCTGGATAGGTATATCTGTGGCTAGCTACAACGTTGGCTGCTTCTTCGGCGCTATCTCATGCATCTGGGTTGGAGACATTCTCGGTCGCCGGAGGACTATCTTCCTCGGATCTTCCATCATGATTGTCGGCGCGTCTATCATGTGTTCTGCTTATGGTTTGCCCCAATTCATTGTCGGTAGAATTATCACAGGGTCAGTCAAACTCCCGATTCTTGAGCGGGTGGAGCCAATCACTGATCGACGACAAGATATGGTAACGGCCTTAACACTTCCACGGTACCTACGTGGCAATCGGAATGCTCGAAGTCTCACCGACGAGGCATGCTGGTCATGATTGAGGTAGAGTCTTCATTCACCATCTTCTGATCTCGCGGACAAGGCGCTGAATCCTTACAGGGAGCTCTGATTACAGGTGGTATTTGCATCAGTTACTGGCTCGACTTTGGCTTTTCCTTCCTCGAAGGGACAGTCACGTGGCGTTTCCCTATCGGCTTCCAAATATTTTTCGCCGCAATAATCCTTGTATTTGTTCTCGTTTTACCTGAATCACCCAGATGGCTAGTCCTGAAGGGCAGAGAAGACGAAGCATCTCGCGTACTCGCAGCATTGAGCAATTTGCCCGAAAGCGATGTTCGTTACACCAACCTAGCCTCGCTTAAGCAAGTATCTAATAAATTGTGATAGAGCTACATCGAAGGCGAAATGTCAGCTATCAAAGACACCGTGCTTGAAATGGAGAAAGGAGGGTTCAAGGATCTTTTCACCATGGACGAAAATCGGCATTTGCATCGCACTGCGCTGGCCTACGTCAACCAGGTGTTTCAGCAGGTAAATATAGATTCTTATCAAAGGTTGATCTTACCTTTTTGAAGAGCTCTTATTGATAATTAAAAGATATCTGGCATCAACCTCATCACCTACTACGCGCCGACGATCTATCAGAATCAAATTGGCCTAAAGGGACTTACTCCGCGAATTTTGGCCGCATGCAATGGAACAGGTAACCCAGACGACCGATGATGATAAATTTACGGGACCATGAATAGCTGATTCAATTACCTACAGAATACTTCCTCGCCTCCTGGATCGCCGTCTTCACGATTGAAAAATTCGGCCGTCGTCAGCTGTAAGTTTCCCACCCCCTTGCCGCCACCTCAGCACTTCCCCCTACCCCCTACCCCCTATCCCTCACTTTTCCTCTCTCCCATCCCCTATCCCCAAACAAACACTAAACTCCCCAATCTAACCCGACACCCAACAGCATGCTCTTCGGCGCCGCCGGCCAATCCTTCTCCATGGTGATCCTCGCAGCAATGAACTCGATCGGCGGCAAAAACCCTGGGATCGTCAGCGCCTTGTTCCTCTTCCTCTTCAACACCTTCTTCGCTATCGGCTGGCTGGGCATGACGTGGTTGTACCCGGCGGAGATCGTGCCGCTGCGGATCAGGGCACCTGCTAATGCGCTGAGTACGAGCGCGAATTGGGTACGTTCAGCCTCCCTTTCATTTTTTTCGTTAGAGGAAGGGGGCGAGGGGGGATGTGGATGGGTGGAAAATAGGAATGAGGAGGGAGACTGACTAGATGCAGGCATTCAATTTCATGGTCGTGATGATCACGCCCGTCAGTTTCGCGAGTATCACTTACAAAACCTACATTATCTTTGCTGTAATGTACGTTTTCCCCCTTCCCCTTCACCCTTTCCACTCCTCCCCACCCTTTCCTAACACCACCCCAGCAACGCAGCCATAGTCCCCACAGTCTACTTCTTCTACCCCGAAACAGCGTACCGCTCGCTGGAGGAAATGGACTCCATATTCCTGAAATGCAACTCGATCTTCACGGTGGTGAAGATCGCGAAGGAGGAGCCAAGACGGTATGGCAAGAATGGGGAACTATTGATTAGTTATGAAGATACGGATATGGCGGAACGGAGGGGGAGTGTGCTTAGTGCTGGTGGGGGAGGAGGGAGGAGGAGGAGTAGTGCTGTGGTTGGGGAGAAGGGCGGGGTCGTTGAGAAGGAGGTGTAGTTGGTGGAAGGGTTATTGAAGGGGATGGGGAGGGGGGAAGTGGCGAAGGCGTCGGGGTGTGGGTAGAGTGATTGGGGGGGGGGCACTAGGGTTCTGGTGATTTTATGTGAATGGGTGAGTAGGATATACCAGGAGAATGCAGGCGACAAGACGTTTAGATCGGGTAGATAAAGCAAAGCAAGACTGTGAGACACTTTTCTATTCTACCTGACTATCGATCGCCTAGTTTTCTGTATTCTTCTGCTGGTACCTGTGCTATTGTGTTCGCCTGAGTTTCTTCCATCATCTGCGTTCCGTCTCAAATTCTGTGCATATGAAGCTTTGCTTGAAAGAAGATGCTTGGTACAACTTCATTATCGTCCTCCTTTCAGCAAACAAACCCGACCTTCGTCGATCAAATCACCTCTTGAATATTCATCATCACATTGGGAGGCTTGAACCAAGCGTGAGAGACATGTCGTTCGCTTCTTACCATCCACCGAGGTTCTGGGAGGCCTCGGGAGCTGGAGCGCCACCGGTGCCCCAACCTTCAGCACCACCAGAAGCTTGGGTAGCTGTCTCGCCGTATCCTCCATCCGTAGCGCCGCCATAGCCACCGTTGGCAGCTCCTTCCTCAGCGGGGGTTCCTTGCAGCGAACCTTGGTATGGCCCACTATATAATGTTAGTCGCTTGTCCTACGACAGAGGAAAGCTGGAGGTACGTACTTTGATGGCAATTCGAGCATTCCACTTTGCTCCAGTCTCGTGGCTTTGGGCAGTCACGAGAGAAATGGCCCTTCTCGTCGCAGTTGCGGCAAGTAACATTCTCCGGGTTCTTAGGCTTATCACACTCTTTGCTCTCATGACCTTCTTCGTTGCAATTACGACAGATCATCTTCTCACATTCCTTTGAGAAATGACCCACTTGAATTTGTTAGTCAAGAGAGAGGTTCAAAGGGAGTTGTGCACATACTTCCACCACATTTGCGACATTCGACATTCGACAGGTCGGGAGGCTGGTCACAATCATCCTTCTTGTGGCCTTCTTGACTGCAAATCATTAGAGTGATGAATCGCCTGTGTGAAGTAAGATATCAACATACCCGCAATTACGACAAGTCATAGGCCCACGTGCTTGCTTGCGAGGTGTTGTGCAATCACGAGCACGGTGACCTGGCTCGCTGCAATTTGCGCAAGCGATTGTGATTTTATCAGGGCGGAGGAGCTCCTCGCCTTCTGCTGCGCCCTCCGTAACATCTGCTTCCTTCTCGGGGCAATTCTTTCCCACATGCCCAAGCTCTACCATCAGAATCAGCATACGTAAACTCAAAGGGTTCGAAAAGGTTCAGTCACCATCGCAACGGTGGCACTTAGGCATCAAACGCTCCATAGGCATACCAGCCTCCTTGAGGCGTTCAAGATTCTCTTCAGGAGTGCTAGGCCAGACAGCCAACATCTTCTTACGCTTTGGCTCAGCATCCCAGTAGAATCCTGCCTGATATTTCTTGTCCAACTCGCCTTGAAGGCTAATGTAGGTATGTGTCTTTGGTAGTTCCTTTTCCTACAGAAGCTGCTTAGCCGTCTCTCGTGCAATATTGACTCTCAAACGTCTAACTTACAATTGCAACAAGATGTAGATTGAAGTCATTCTGGCGAAAAGCCTTTTCGAGCTCCTCGTAAGTTGCATCGGGACAAGCTTTCGTGTAGATAGCAAAGGCCTAGTCAGCACATTAGCGATAATGTTTTTAAAGATGTCTTGAGAAAGCTCACATCGCGAATACTCTCCATGTCCTTCCCCTCATCTGATTTAACGAGTGCATTCCAAGCAGTCTCCTGGTCTGCGTCCGAAATGTTGCTCCGGTCAAATTTCCTATTTGCCTTGCAGTCTTTCACCTCGTGGCCTTCCTCCTGGCAATTTTTACATTTCTGTGCCGGCTTGTCTGGGCACTCGCGAGCAGGATGGCCTTCTTTGTTACAATGGCGGCAGGTACCCTTGAAGACGCGAGGCTCTGTGCAGTCTGCTTTGTTGTGCCTATAATCTTCGATTTCAGCGGAGTGATTATGATGGAGGATTGGAAGAGACAGACCCAGGCTGGCCACAATTGAAGCAATTTCCTGAATTATCGCCTTCTGGTTTTTTAGGACACTCGCGAGCCTTGTGTCCGGGCTCATGGCAGCTGAACTTCTATCAGCATATTACTCGGATGAATTAGGTCACACACAAGTTGCACGTAAAGTCACCACCATCGGCTTTGGTCTCCGGGTCTCCAGCAACGTTGCCATTGCCGAAGGTTTCATCATTGGCAGTAGTGCCGCCGCCATTCCAGGTGTCACCACCGGTGGCGGCACTCCCTGCGTTCCAGGCATCATTCGCTACGAGAGAGCAATGTTAGCTGATACTAGCTAATTTGGGGGGCCTAGAAGCTCAAGGATGAACATCTATCTGTGGCTGAAGATGGATGATGAAGTAAGAAATGATGTTGATTTCTATGACGCGAGAAGGAGTAGATGAATCTGATCTTACCTCCTGAATCCCACCCAGCGGCTCCGTCAACTGCAGCCGCCATCTTCTTCTGTTGTCTATGGTAATATCAGTGTCTCCAGTCTTCCACGCGTGATCAGAAGCTGTGAGCTTACTTTAGGTTGCTTAAGTGTTAAGCGTGAGCTGCTTGTTTGTTGTGTTCTGCAGAGTCGGATAGAGAATGAGAAGCCTTTCCTCACTCGATCTCACTCAAACTGTATGCCAATACTTGCACAAGATCTTTATGATGATCTTGCAAGCTTCTTGGTGTGTACACAAATCACGCGGTTCACAGAGAGGGAGGAGGGGGAAAGGTTGAAAGGAAATGTGTTGAGCGCACAAAAAGGAATCTTACAGAACCGGGCGCTAAGGACTTTGATTCACCAACACTGCCTGGTGGCGACGGTGAATGAAATCCCACCTTAGGTCTCCAGAAAGGCGAGCCCTAGTCTCCAAGGACAGGCAACGAAGCACGCTTCCACGCAAACTGTTTTTGAGCTTGATGTTTCTAAATTTTAGGATCTCAGTCAATCACGGTGATGTACATGAGTTGTACGCTCAAGGGGTATATAAAACAACTTTTCAACCGCCGAGACCTTCTCATAGATAGCCTTTCAGAACAGCGGCTTCCGCATTCAATATAGAGGAGCCCGAGGCACCTATGACTGCTAGAAGGAGTCTCAGTAACGGCAAGGCGATATGCTTTTGTTGGGAGGGATTACTTACTATTATGACTCAATGCCGTGAAAATAATATCGCAGAATCCGCTAGGATCTTCTCGGACCCTACCAACAGTGATGGTGTATCCTCTGCCCGCGTCTCTGTCAAGCTTTGGCTGCGGTCTATCGGCTTCTTCCATTACGGCGATCGCCTTCTCTGGTGCAGACGGGCATTCCATCTTCTGCACTTCAGATACATAATCCTTCATCGCTTGCTTCACCTGCTCTGCAGACGGGACTTTACTCCTATCTGCGAACCGTACAGACACGCAAGCTCCGTGTCCGTCTGTCACAGCTACCCTGTTGCAAGTCGCTGAGACCTTCAGGTCCGTCCTGTCCACCAGAGCTTTGCCCTCCACATCGTACTGCCCAAGAATCTTTCGCGACTCAGGCTGCATTTTGTCTTCTTCGCCAGAGATATACGGGATCCAATTGTCCATCATCTCCATCATACTGGGTCCCGGAAAGCCCGCTCCTGATACTGCTTGATTGGTGACCACGCTAAGTCCATCGATCGCTCCGCACGAGGCTTGTATGGCCGCTAATGGGATGACTATGCCGATGACCGCGCAATTGGAATTGCAGACGAGGAAGCCTTTATCAAGCCCATTACTTTCTCTCTGAACTTTGATGTAGTCTAGGTGCGAAATATTCACTGTAGGGACGACGAGCGGTACTGATGGGTCCTGTCGATGGTTTTTGGCGTTTGAGAACACTGGGATGTTCTCCTTCAAGAATCTATCCTCTACGGTCGACTGTAAGCGCTATTGTATTGCTGGGTTCCGTAGCACTGACCAACTTCACCAGCAACAGAGGAGTCGAGGCCAGAGAAGACAACGTCACAATGCTTGAAATGCTGCGGGTCGCACAGTGTGACGGTCAATTCGCCAATGTTCTCTGGCATTGAGCCCGATGTCTTCCATGTTGTTGCCTCTTTGTATGTCTTGCCACTTGAGCGTTCAGAAGCTCCCACCGCTACAAGCTCAAAATGTGGATGTTCGGCCAAGAGAAGGGAGAAACGCTGCCCCACACTGCCCTGTGGTGAGAATTAGTGGATTGATCAAGCTGTAGGGAGGATCTTCGACTCACCGTGCAACCTAAAACACCGCATCTCTTCTTTGGAAACCCTTTCTTCGGGGAGGAGAAGTCCATCGAACCTGCGAACACGTTACGCGATTGGAAAAGCCCATTAAGAGGCCGCTTTTCGGAGTCATAAAGTTACTTCCAGACGCCAACATCATCTTAAGCCCGTTAACTCCGGCGCTATCTAAGACATCTGGCCCCTGATCGATCATAAGTCGTTTGCTCTCGACAGCGAACTATAGGTCTATCCCCAATAGATGCATTACATCAAAAGTATGGTGCTATCGACTGCAATTTGCGATGCAGAAAATGACTTATTCTGGAAATTCTAAGAGTACCGTCACACAAGACATGGGCTCCTCCAACTTACGTGACCCCTTTCCAAAGGACTATGACCCGCATGTACATATCCATCTTTTCGTACCCTTCACACAATTAGCACTCGTCCCCTAAGCAAACATGATCACGCTCCCCTGCGCCATACTGCTCTACGTCCGTATACTTCCACATGGAGCAATAAAACCGCTTGACATACTCTATCCCAAGGAAATCCATAGCCCGTCACGTGCGAGGCAAGCGCCAAGGCTCATTTCTCGTGAATTATGAATGTGTTGAAAATTAGTGCTTGGTCTCTGGTTTGTTGTCAAAGCAGCAAAGGTATTTGTGAACACCGGAGGAGAGCCACGCTGGATGACTTGGCCCGCATGGGGACAGCGAAGTGATAACCGGGTCATCGCTTGTGCTGCTAGTCGATTCGTCCGTCGCGATGGGAGAGTCTATGCTGTTGTTAGAAAGAGGCGCAGTGGAAGTGCTCATTCGGAAGGAGCTGCTGACTAGACAGGGATCTTATAGTAGCTGATGACGGAAAGGCTGACGACAACGCAGGAGCGCTCTCAGTGCTAGACGTTTTGTCAGTAGAGCTCAAGAGACTGAAGCTGCTGAATCAGGGATTTGACAAGCTATGCAGCGGAGAAGAAGTGGCCGGAAAATTTGTAGGTTCACGTGAAGACTTTGGAGAGTCGGTCCGGATGGCGGTATCGTATTCTGCCACAATCATCGTCGAAGTTCGATTGCTTGACGTCCCTAGCAGAAAGAGAGCAAAAAGGATAGCAAGAAGTCTGACGCGAAAGATTGTGAAAATCGCCCACTAAGGCGTCTGTGCAGGTAGATCTAAAAACTGGGAGGCATTGAATCTGTTATGAATGGACATATAAGCCAGGAAAAGGCTTTGTGTAGTGTAAATGTGCAGAGATCAATTATTAAGGGGATTCCCCTACCAGCTTCATGGAGAGGATTCGTGATCTACGGGACGTATCGCACTGACAACAAGTTCAAGTAGGCAGGTCTCACCTTTACCAAACTATGAATCTGATGGTGTGACTTTGAGAGTCTGTTGAGGGACTGCATGTGTCAGCATTCTCAAAGTCGCCAAGTTCGATGTGGGCTTCTATTCTATCGATTTTCTAGTGAGCAGACAATTCTAGGCTGTTTGGAGCTTACCGTTCCTAGTCTTCTCATTAATCGGGTCCGTGCTAGGGGTGTGTTCATGTATAAGTAATGAACCGAGCGAAGTGCTAAGTTACTGTTGCTATTATGATTTGTTCTTTCATCTCATTATCATCCTCCCTATTCCATAGTGAAATCCCATACGACATGCTCATACCCTTTCCTTCGCTTGACCATGACCCGAACATCCTTTTCTGGTGGAAAAATATTCGTCGCCATACTCTCTTGTTTCTGCCTTGGAATCTCCCAAGGCCCATCCACTGGCACGACATCATACCTCAACACAAACAAAGCAGTCAGCGCCATAGCTTCTAGTGTAACAAAATGTCGGCCCGGGCAAAGCGATGCTCCACCACCGAACGGACGGTAGGCAGTAGTGTTCGTCTTGAACTCCTTACTTTTTGGCAGCTTAAGGAACCTCCGCGGCTGGAAACTTTCAGCATCGCTACCCCAAATTTGAGGATCTAAATGCGTGACAGCCATTGGCATTTGTACAATCATGCCCTTCTTTAACAGATACTGGTCTTGCAGCACAATATCCTCACGCACGTAGCGAACGCTGGACCCCAGCGCATGAAGTCGTAGCACCTCTTGTAACGTCGAGTGCAGGAGCGTACATCTCTCTCGCATGGTGAGAATATTTAGACAGCGGGTCCTGTCGCCTCCGAGTGATACTGCTATCATATCCAATTCCATACGTATATCGCGCAGGAGATTGGGGTTTGATAGGACGTGCACGATCATATAGAAGATAGCAGGGACAGTGTTTGCCAAGATACCAAGCAGCACTCCTACTTCCAAGCGGCTAGAGTTCCAAGCATCTAAGCCATAGCGGGTATTTAGAGAATGTCTTGATTGAATTAATGCAGCACCCTTTGCATGCTTTGCATCATACTTCTCGAAATATCGTTGGAAGGCAAGCCCGAGTTTCCTGCGAGCTTGATGACCTTTTGGTGCGAAGACGGTAGGCAGAATGTCCACAATAAGTGTATTGAGGTCTTGATTAAACTCCCTGTGGAAATGCTTAATTCAAGCACCTCTGAACGATGTTGGTAGTCAGCACTTACTAGAAGGCTTCTACACAGGACTTTTCACTCTCATTAAAAGGGTTGTTCACGCCGTATATAGCTCTGGTACTGCACAAGGTGACCATGTGTTTTATCCAAGCGAACAAGTCTACCTCTCCGCCAGGATCAAGCTTGTCAAATTGGACCGACGCCTGCAAAAGCATTTCTGCTGTCATGCTCTCGAGGTTTATCCCGGGAGCTAGACTTGTTACCGTCGAATCATGAATCTCAGTAACGTAACCTGGTCCATCTTCACCGTTAAGATTGTGCTGAACTACTCGGCTCGTAGCGTCATTGTGACCAGTAATACGTTTTCCAAGCTGGGCGATAAAAGGGTTGAAAGCCAGGACTTTTGAATTACGATTGACAGCATTGACCAAGTCAATTGATGTCACAACGTAAATTTTTCCATTCAGCATGCGTAAAGTGTAGATAGGCAGCTTGCACTTGGCGCTAGGAGTCCGGGGTCAGCATCTGCCTGTACAAATTCCACCGCTTAAACACTAGTCCTGAGAATCACCTGATCTTTTGGTAGTAACGTGTTCCATGCCAAAAGAGGCCGAGGAGATGTCCAATGTAAGGAATGGAGGAGGTTATCACTGGTGGCTCATCTTGGGAATGTATGGGTATAAAGAAACGATCAAAACAATAGACAGCAGTGAAAAGAACAGCAGCAAGGACGAAGTACATCGTAGGCCACGATTGCGTTGGATTTGACCTGTATCAGAGACGATGTCAGCTGAAGGCTCAAGTGTGAGCAAGGTGTTCGAGCCGACCAAAGTAGTCTATAAGGTTGATCCGTAAAGGTTGCGGAAGATCGTCCCAGGAGCTGACATGAGTGCAGCACACCTCCACACTAGCAATCAATTCTTTACCCACTTCTGCAGGGCTCGAACACGAGACGCTTTTTAGGACACGAATTGGGACGCCTGTGGAAGACTTCGGAATTCGAAACAACGTATCTTTGCCACGTCAAGATCAACGGTAAGTGGGCTGAGGCTCTGCATATGCACGCGGACCACATGCATGAGATGGCGAATCGGCGATTGCACTCAGATTCCTACTGGCCTGAGAAAGCAACCAGCCTTCTATCATTACTTATTTCGCAGACACCTTTGCTGAGTGATCTCAAAGAGCCTCTCACTAGAGGCATTGGGTCAGTTATTGAGGAGAATGCTCGGCTCTGAGGCCTGTTGCAAGCGTCCCAGAGACCTGATGCTACACATAAGGCTACCTTTTGACGAGAGACCCTCAGCTATGATGTATTGCGAGTTGCGATCTCGTGGCGAAGCATGCATGACCCATGTCTCATTGTGCCTTCGATGTGCCGAGCTGTAGGCAGGCTCACTATTCATTTAGCTACTATAAGGCACAACTAACGAGCTCATAGTTGCCTGCTCGGCACTTGAATGGGCAATGTCTTTCCAGTGATACCATTCGGTAAGGAGGTGGTACAGTATTCGGCAATGCAATCGATCTGCCAAACGTATCGCTTTCGGGGAGGAGCAGCATGGCGGAGGCTGGAGTCAACACGTCGTGCCGTGTACTATGCATGTGCGTATCGACTGATCTCGGGCATTTGGTTCGTTGATGTGAGGAAAAAGAGTCAGCGATGATGATCAGTAGCCTTGTAGTTACAAGCCTGACCGTCGTCGGAGACTCTTATACGAGCAGAAAACCAGACCTTTACCGTCAGATCCACTCAAGCAGAAAAATGGCTTCAACAGTATACAGCTCCCGTATATCTACTACATCCTACCAGGTAATTGCTGTATCACCGGGACCAGCATACATAGCACTAATCCCAACCCCAGGGGGTCACTGGCGCATTGTTCCGGTTGGCAATGATTACCTTTCTGGCTCGTACCTATATTCGGACCCGTATACTGAAGCAATTCTTCGCAGAGGACGTTTTACTTTCTTTCGCGGTAGTATGCTTATGCGCAACAACAGCCCTCGCGTTCGTCGCTATGGCAAATCTGTTTAATGCCCTTGCAGCTATCTTGCATAACGCCAGCCTTAAAGAATTAGCCCACCTGCTCGACCAAATTCCCAGAACCTCGAAGCTTGAGAATGCGGCAACAACTCTGTGGTGGTGCGTGTTATTTCCAGTCAAATTGGCCTTCCTCTTCTTTTTCCGGCGACTTATCATTCATCGGAGACACCTGTACATTTGCTGGTGGTGCGCTATCGTCTTTACAATCGCAGCCTTCGGAGTGTCTTGTGCGGCTGCTTGGATGACCTGCCCGTATTTCACCACCGAGAAGGTTCTCTGTAAGTTTTTGACACTGTTGTCAGTGTAAGAACCCAAGGCTAAATCGTTCCAGCTTGTTCAGGGCCATCAAGTAGCTACCGAGTTATACGCGACACTGCAATCACCACTGTGATGGATGTCACGACCGACTTAATTGTGCTCGCATTTCCGATTGCTATACTGTGGCAAGTCCACGTCAATACTCGCCAGAAGGCCGGCATAGCTATCTGGCTCTGCTTATCGCTTGCGATGATCTTGGTGGCCGTCGTGAGGATGTCTGGGCTCAAACTGGTGGGTGGTAGCGTAGACATCGTATGGTTGGCTTTTTGGCAACAGCAAGAGTCCAGCATCGCTGTCATGATGGTGTCCATGTCAGCCTTTCGCTCGTTGTTTGTAGAAACTTCAAGAGGCGCTCTGCCCCAGAGAGGTTTCGATTACACGTCGAAGAATTGGCGAAGGAAGCTGGTGCAGAGGGCTCTTGGTTCCATAGACGAACATAACACTACGTCCACCGGTATGGGATTGCCAGAGATACCCTCAGCAACTCTCACGGGCATGTCCGATATCATTCAGGAGGTTTGACAGATTATTGGCAGTACTGAATAAGATCTCGGCACCACATATACGTATGCATGCTCGAACACACGTTTAAGTACCAAAGGCCAATACTTTGCCCTCCGTGATCATTTTGTCAACGTTCGCCATAACCGCTTTGCCGAGTTTCACGTTGACGAGGCTCTCTGTAAACAGCACCCAGACGCGCAGGTTATGTTTCTGATTGAGACGCAGAAACATCCCGCGAAAGAAGGTTTTCGCATCTTCTAGGTCCGTTGCATGGTGCTTATATTCCGGCCAGTAATCTTGTATAGGATAATTCTTCATATTCTCGGCCAGAAGGTCGGTGTTGCTCATAAGTAGCAGAATGGGTGTCAATTCGAGCCATTTGGAGGCACATATCTGCTGGAACAATGCTAAATCATCCTGAAGGCAGAGTAAGGGCCTGTCATCAAAAGCGAAGACGTAATAGGCTGAGATGTCCACGACAAAAATCATAGTCGACATTCGTTCAAATGAATAGATCCATTTGTTTTCCCTAGAGTGCAGCCCAATGACATTGAAAACTCGATACCGGTGGCGCATCCACGTGGATTTCCTAGAGAAGATAGTTTCTTTGATGCTTTCTTTGATGCTTCCGTCCTCACTCTCCAATCCCGGAGAGGTCTCTCCATACGCCAGGCCCATAGACCTCAGAAGCACCTGTCCACTACTTTTTGCATTGCCAACCAAAAGCAGCTTTTTTTCAACAGACTTCTTTCGTTGAGAGTCACTTTCTAGAGACATCGAGCTGCGAGGCTTTAAGGAATCAGGCATACGTAATAGCTTTCTAGTGATATGCTGAGTCTGCTCCAGCCGGCGGCCTTTATCCTCAGATGTCGTCGTTGTTTGTGGGGACAGTGATGCACTGGTGTATTCGTCACTATCCAAGACTGACGGGCTTAAGCTGACACCATCGAGCTCGGGTCGGTGTAAATCGCTCACCACTGGACCATGGAGCGCCGTTCCTAGCGAGCCATTCATAGCATGCATTGCTTCACCTTCTCCAGCGCCTCGTTGCAGGCTCTCATTGTCACGTGAAGCCCAGCGAGCCTCTGTCTGAGTATCACGCTTGTTCTGAGCCTCGAGTTGAGCCGATAGAACGGCTTTTTTCATGTTAGACTTCATTGTTGTAAAATAAGCTCGAGAACTAAAGACTTCTTGATCGAAAACAAAAGACAAGTCAAGCAATTCGGAATTTTGAGTGCAGACACTTCTACGCGTGTCATGGGACTCGTCATCGTGCAACCACAATAGAGATGACGTCTCATCTCTTGCTCTGTATATGGTCTGGCGACTTGCTGATTGCTCTAATAATGTCATTTGTTCGGACTGGGATCGACTATACTAGTGTTACAACGGCGTGGAACAACTTTATTGAATCCTTACCATTGCAAAGCAGTAAGTAAGAGCTGAAGGGCAGCGACATTGTGACCCAGCAGGTTTGAGAAATCGCTTCTTTCTCTTTCGCCCCATAGTGCCTGGGTCTTCTTTCTGAAAGTCAAACCCTTGTCTACAGAAAGCTCCAGGCGAGCCAGGCGATTGTTCAATGTTTCAATCAAGAGTTTGCAGCTGTCGAGTGAGGTGATCAGTTCTGGAACAATCTGAGAAATGATATCGCGCTGACTGTCGTCTATCAACCGAGAGATTTGGCGTAAGGCAGTCAGGAGGGTAGAAAGTTGGGTTGCGAGAAGTCGCAATGAGAGATCAGCGTTCTTGTAACGATCCTTCAGTCTACCCAAGCGATGAAGACAGTCTGCACATAGTTGCACAACAGTTATAGCTGATGCTGCAGCTCCTAACAGGGACACTAGTTCCATTTTGCATCAGAGGTCCTCATAAATTTGTCAAGCCACGGCTCTATCCTCTTAAATAATGAATGCACGTCAAATATAAGCTAATACTTCAAGCAAAGGCCTCATATGGCAAGTAGTCTTACCAGCCCAATTGAGCCTTGTCCATTGAGCTTGTAATGTCATGCACCGTAAAGCATAGTCCTTGCAGGAAGCCTCTGATCAAACCACAGACACTGAGTTGCGTGTTCCGGTGTCCAGAGGGATGGGCTTGAGGGCCGTTATATCTCCTGAATAAGGCTACGGTTCACTGATCTCAGCTGAAGTTGATTGCAAAAAGTTCTGTCGTCATATTCGCAGGGCGCTTCTGCACCAATTGGGATGACTCTAGCATACCGAGTGAGGAGCCGCTCATTGGTCCTGGATTCTGCAGGACCTCAAACCATGATCGTCCGTCATGCATCTCAAGCATAGAATTCGCAAAGGTAAGATTGAGCTAGAGGTATTTCCGTATTACGCGCAGCAAGCAGTGCCGAAGGCACGCAGCCTTTTGTGCCTGATGCAGTGAGGAGTAGATGCTCCAGTAATAGAGGGATTACGCTCTAAACATCGTGCGCACTTCATTCAATCAAAATGCTTTGCTCTGAACCGATTGGATTGTTAGTGAAAGCATGCGATTGCGATAGCAAAAGTCGCTTTATTATAGGGGTAGCCCCTATTCCTTTAGGGGGTCGGCCTTACGCTGCCAAGGCCGCCACTAAGGGGTCTCGACTCGGCACCCCCACCTTGCTGTCATCTCTTGCATTGCCGTTGTCATTGGGTCGTCAAGAACCTTGGACCTGCTTGGTGCTTATGCCCCTGCCACGCAATTGACTCAGCTCTCTTTGTCCGAATGAGTAGTCAGCTTCTCGTTAAGCTAGGCATGATACGCGCTGTTTGAACTGCTGCATGCCCTCAATCAGATCAGAAGCAGTCCTTGACAACCACTCCACAGACGTTGAGCCCTGAATCACAGATCCCTCGAAACCCCGCTATCGACAGTGCTAGGCAACCAAGTCGCTGGGTGACATACTCATACGGACGTCAAAAATGACGGATCTTCAGGGCAGAAAGGTGTTCAAGGTGTTCAACCAAGACTTCATAGTGGATGAGCGATATAATGTAACAAAAGAGCTGGGGCAAGGCGCATACGGCATTGTCTGGTATAGCTTTCTCAGAGGAAGTCATGACTGAAGAGTGGTCCTGACTTGAGATAGTGCTGCTCAAAATAATTCAACAGGAGACGGAGTTGCAATCAAGAAAGTGACCAATGTCTTCAGCAAGAAGATCCTTGCCAAACGAGCTTTGCGAGAGATCAAGCTGCTTCAGCATTTCAGAGGGCACCGTAACGTCCGTTCATCGTTCCCGCTCACATCTCTGAAGACCTGCAGCTAATGTCAATGAAGATTACATGTTTGTATGACATGGACATCCCGAAACCAGACAACTTCAATGAGACATATCTCTATGAAGGTCAGCAGGCATGCTTGAATCAAGGTCATTCAATTGACTGAGAATATACAGAACTTATGGAATGCGATCTTGCTGCTATCATCCGGTCCGGTCAACCACTCACAGACGCCCATTTCCAATCATTCATATATCAGATACTATGTGGTCTCAAATACATTCATTCAGCAAACGTTCTCCACAGAGATCTCAAACCCGGAAACCTGCTTGTCAACGCCGACTGCGAGCTGAAGATCTGCGATTTTGGTCTCGCAAGAGGATTCTCAATAGACCCCGATGAGAACGCGGGCTTCATGACCGAATACGTGGCTACGCGATGGTACCGAGCACCAGAAATCATGTTGAGTTTCCAAAGCTACACCAAAGCCAGTAAGTTCACTCCTAACATTCCCCCAATGTCCACTCCACCACTAATCCCCTCCACAAAGTCGACGTCTGGTCCGTCGGCTGCATCCTCGCCGAACTCCTCGGCGGCCGCCCCTTCTTCAAAGGCCGCGACTACGTCGACCAACTCAACCAAATTCTACACTACCTTGGCACGCCCAACGAAGAAACCCTCTCCCGCATCGGCTCCCCACGAGCCCAAGAATACGTGCGCAACCTGCCCTACACAAACAAAGTCTCCTTCCAACGGCTCTTCCACCAAGCCAACCCCGACGCGCTCGACCTACTCGACAAAATGCTCGCCTTCGACCCCTCCTCCCGCATATCAGTCGAAACGGCGCTCGAGCATCGCTACCTGCACATCTGGCACGACGCGTCCGACGAGCCGAATTGTCCCCAGACGTTCGACTTTCATTTCGAGGTCGTGGAGGATGTGCCAGAGATGAGGAAGATGATTTTGGATGAGGTGCTCAGGTTTAGGCAGACTGTGAGGACGCCCCAGGGTATGCCGGGCCCGGTCCAGGGAGGACAGCAGCAGCAGACGCAGCAGCAGGGGCAGGTGCCGATGCCGCAGGATAGTATGGGGGCGTGGAGGCAGGAGGACCCGAGACCGCAGGAGGCGGCGATGGTGGGTGGTGGTTATCAGCAGGATGATTTGAACCAGGTTCTGCAAGGGGGGTTGGATGCGATGCATCAATAAAGAGTCAGTCTCTTAGTCATAGGGATGGTACGGTTTTGGTAGGGCTACGAGGGAGCTTTTGATGGATGTGGACGCGTTCTGATGATTTGATGGTTGAATGTTGCAGAGATGCAGGTTTGGATAGGCAGGTAATACAATGATTAAACGCATCCATTGATTGAGCCAGAGCAAAGACGGCATTTGCGAGAAAATTGTTACTAATATGTGATTATAGGGGGAGAGCCCATTTGGTCTCGTCCTTTGTATTCTAACGATGGATGCCGTAGGTCATAACGCTAATTTCAATGCCAATGCCTGCACTGTGTTCCAATGGAGGAGGTTTCCATGTCCTCTGCGTCATTATCGATGCTAATGCGTCACCATAACGATGCCCAAAACCCCTGAATGCACACCAAATTCTCGTGAATGCTGCTTCCCATGGCTAATGCTAGCAATCTGTTGCTCGTTGAAACGATCCCCTTTCTATCCGCTAAAGAGACGTGCGTTTCTGCCGTAAGATGCATCTGATGATCATGGATGCACGATTTTCCGTTCGTCGAACCCATTAGCCTGTTGAAACCGATAGTGGCCCCTTACTAGATGCTGAGCTCAGGCTTCAGGTCCGCTTTTATCCTGAGTGAAGATAGATGATTGATAAGCCTGCACCATAGGGTGTTCTTACAATCCATTTCCTTTCGAAAGTGTTCTAAACCCTTCACGATGGCCCTCTCTCAACATAATCTGGCGGCTTTACCCTCCCTTCTCTGTCCCAGTCCCTCAGCTCCACGCTCGCCGCGTCGTCGCCCAAGTGTGCCCTCTCAGGCTCCTTTACGTAGGGTGGTGGTGCCTCTCCTGTCTCGTCAAGGCCTTCATGATGCATTATTCTCGTGCCACCACTGCCGTAGCCTCTTCTCCATCCTCGCCTCGAGAATGATTGGGCCCAACCGGTTCGATCGAGATCTTGTGCTAAGGCGTCCCGTTGGTTGGATTGTTGCCGAAGCAGAGCAGCTTTCCGTCGCCTGTGAAGAGACCAGTAGACGATGATTATGATGATTATGAGAACGGCAAGGAGGAGGAAGTAGTAGTTTAGGAGACCATCATTATGGCCGTCATCACCGCCTGAAGGGTCTGTGGCAGTGTCATTTGAGGTTGGGGTGCTGAAAGATGGTGCATTGTCTGAGGCGGTAGGAGGGGCCGGTAAAGAAGATGGGGCTGGTGGTGATTGTTGATCTGAATCATCTAAGTCGTCTGAAGGGAATGAAGGTAATGAGGTCGGTGAGGAATCCTGTGCTCGGATATATTCGGTGAGGATGGCGAGGAGGATGAAGAGTTGAGCGTACCAGGGTTTCACATGCGGCTGAGGACAATACATTGTATATTTCGGAATGCAGTCAGCGTCGATGGTCGTCAGAGCGGTCGTGTTCTTGGTTCTTGGAGGCGCATGTGAGATATGTAGTAAGCACGGCGAGCCCAATATCGAAGGTCAAGAAAATTCTTCGGTCAGGCCACCTGCACAGGATTCATGGAATACTACGAAAGTCAGACGTCCTCGTCACCAGCTCTCTCTTCTCCAGCTGCAAGAGATCGTTGGCCATGCTCCAGGAAGCCAAGTCACAAGGAAAGCGTAGATGCAGGACATTCCTCGACCAAACCGGATTCTCGCGGAATGCGGAAACTTGCCCCACCGACACGCTAGGCGGATGAGGCTGAATCAAGCTTTGATATCACAAAGTCTATTCATTACTAATGTAAAGATTATCACCCTACTTCTTCAAATAAGCACATTGGAAGGAGCTACACCTATTAACGATATTTGCAAACGCTTGTTGGAAGTATATCGTCATCGTCAAAGAGGTATAAGAACGTACGGCGCAGCGATTTGCTTAGAGCTAGTGATCGTTTGAACTGCTTAATAGAAACGTTCGTTATATAGTTTGGTTTGATGGTCCCCTACAAACCCATCCCAGAGACGTTTGCACGAAAGTTCCAACTCTCCTTATACCCCAAGTTCGCTATTCGAAACATAATGCGTCCCGCCAGCACATCTGTATCCACCAGCTTGCTTGATCCAACGAAATCCTGCAACGCAAACCCCCATCTCTCTCAATTTGACTTGGACCTGTACTTCCTCTTTCCGCTTCCGCTCGGCATCCTCCCGGGCCTTTCTGAACCTTTCGTCAGCCTCTGCTTTTGCACGCCGAGCAACGAGCTCTTTGAGCCGTGCTTCCTCGTGTCGGCGCTTGAATTCCTGCAACTCTCCGTCTCTGGCCTTTTGTGATGCCAAGATCTTGACTTCATTTGCGAGGACAACTGCTTCGCGGGCTGCCACACGATTCTCCTCGTCAGTAGCAGCCACAGCATTGTCCATAGACTTTCGAGCTAGTTCTTCCGATGCTTTGTCAGCTTGGAGTTGGTCCCAGATTGCGTCGGTGACACCTATGTCGCGTTGATCTGACGCTTTGGACGCTTGCAAAGGCTCGTCAACGGTCGCAATTGAACTCTTGGAAGTGTCCTTGGCCGATGCAGTAGACTGCTTGGTTCCCAGTGCAAGTGGACGTTCGACTAGATCTTGCGAAGCCTGGTCATTCTGCTTTAGTCTTGTTGACTTGGAACTGCCAATGACTGAGCGCGCTCTTCGTCCAGTCAAGAAGGTTGTGAGGAAGCCCGTGATCTGCGAATACGAGACGGTTACCTTCGCTGTCGAGCTGCCTGCGTTTCGAAAAGTGGTGCTCGTGATCGACTTGGAGATTGTTTGGACGTCGCGGCCGTTGCCCCAAGAAGGAAGACTGGAAAGCTCTCGGAAAAGGGAGATGATATCCGAGATCGACGCACGTACATCCTCCTCATCAATAGCGATGCCTGTCTTTGCGAGATACTGCTGGAGAAATCTCCAGCAGTCCTCTGGCTCCATGTTAGTAAAGATAACCTCTTCTGAAAATCGGCTTGATAATCCTTGATTGACACTGAGAAGCTCATTCATGCTATCCTCATAGCCCGCGAGGATGACGATAATTTTTCCGGCAAATCGAGGCTTTGTCAGGCTGTCTACAAGCTCGTTAATTGCCTCTGCCGCAAAAGCACCTTCACCCAACCGATAAGCCTCATCCACAAAAAGAACCTTTCCGAGAGCCTTTTCGAGCAGCTGGATTGTCTTCGGTCCTGTCTGCCCTACATATCCAGCGACCAGGTCTGTAGCAGAGCATTCATGGACATCCGACGTTGAGAGGAAGCCCATATCGTAAAAGACCTGACCCATCTTGCGAGCAGTGGTGGTCTTGCCCGTGCCTAAGTACGAAGGCAAAGTCAGACAAAAACTGTAATTTTCGTGCGAGAGTTACACATACCGGGTGGACCTTTGAAGATGAAGTTGAAGGGGATATACTCTCGAGGGTCAATCCCTCTTTTTCTCATACTAGACGAACTCTGTACAAACCCCTCCAACCTGCCAATAATATCGTCGCAGCCTAGTAAATCCTTGAAAAGCGCTCTACAATTCACGCTTGCATTCGCGCTCCTGTCAAAGTTCACGTCAAAGTCTTGAGGCTCGAAAATAACGTCGGCGGATCGACCAGATAGTGGCTTTGCTGACTGCCGGGTTTGATGTGAGGCTTTGGCATGACTAATCATATTTTCAACTTCTCCTGCGTTGCCAAAGTTAGGGCGGTGTCGAGCTCTGGCGAGCATCGATATGGCAATGTCTTTGGCCTCCTCTGTGGCTTCTAAGCACTGCTTCTTGAGTTTGAGCACCAGAATCTCTCGCAGCTGGTCGTCGTCAAAATCCTCGAAGTCAAAGGCGTTATCAAGTGCAAATCGCCGAGAGAGGCCCGGATTCGTGTTTCGAAACATTTCTTCCATCTTTTCCTTGTACCCTAGGAGAAGGACACATCGATCTTCACCTAGTGTGCTCTGGACCTCGGCGACTATTGTGTCGATAACGGCGGTCTTGTATGGATCAGACGTTGTGCTCATACCAGCGCCACCCGAGTACAGCATGTAAGCTTCATCGATGATAAGGACTTTTCCTTCAGTGGCTTTCAAGATCGCCTTGGTGTTCTTCTCGGATTCTCCCAAGACGCTCCCAACAAAATCAGCCGGATTCTTGACGACGACTAAAGACAAGATGTTAGTCGTTTCGAATCAAATCGAGAGCAAAGGGAACCACATCAGATCGATCGCAGTTGACTAACAAGCGATTGCGAAGGCACGACTTGCTGACTAGTGTTTCAAGCGCTGGAAGTAAGGAGTACTGACCTTCCCCGTTCGATAGGATTCCCATGTCTGCTAGTACCTGGCCGTAGAGTTTCCCCACGGATGTTTTCCCCGTCCCAGGAGAGCCGAGGAAGACACGATTCAGGCTCACATCAATCACCTCCTTTTCTTCCAATTCGCGTTGATAGTTGGTGTGGATACGGTCAAGGAAGCCCTGCATAGTTTCCTTGACGGCCTTGAGCCCAGTCAAGGCCTGCAACTCTTTCCACGCATCACTTTCAACGATTGCTCTCGACGGCTCCGGGCCAATGAGGTCTTCCTTTTTGAAGAGAAAATCGTTGGGCCTGGCCCCGGCAACGCGTTCCCGGTGAAGGCGATCAGCTTGCCGCTCCGAAATCCTCGCTAAGATGTTTTCGAGAGCACGCGCGTTGCCAAAGCCTTCACGGCCTCGCCCTCGTCCAAGACGTCGTACAGCTATACGTGCATACAGACCGGCAACGCCTCCCTCAACTTGCATTTTCCCGTCGTATTTCCTCTGAATCCGCTGACCAAGCATCTGAAGGATTTCTGCATCTTTGTAGTCGGCGAACTGAAGGCGGTATGGCATACGGCTACTAAAACCCTGGTTGTGTTCAAAGAATTTCTCCATCTGCTTGTTGTAACCAGCGAAAATGAAGACAATCTTCCCAACCTGATTTTCAATCTCCGCAAGCAAGAAATCAAGGACCGAAGCGCCTCCGTAATTCTGTCCGAGAGCAAGCTGGTAGGCTTCGTCGAGAAAGAATGCACCTCCACCCGCATTGATAAGCGTCTCAAGATGTTTCTTGGCCCCAGCAACCCCATCATTTGCAAGACGAGATCCCGAGGTCTCGACGAATTCATTTCCTGACAAAACACCCATCGAAGTCAGGAATTTTGCGTAGAGGCGAGCCACGGTGGTTTTGCCTGAAGTTTTCACAGTCAATAACCCGGTCAATGCAGTTGGATATCGAGTCTTACCCGTCCCGGGATTGCCTAATAGGACGATCCCATATCTTTCATCCTTCATATTCGTGTTCTGCCTTAGGGCAGTGTCGGCCCTTGCCTTGATCTTGAGCACTTGTGCTTTCACTTCTTCTAGACCAGTCATCTTCATGAGAGAGTCGATGGCACCGTTTGAGGCATTGTCCACACGCTTCTGCCGGTCCCATTCCCTTTCCGACGGCGAGCGTGCTTGCTCATCTTGAGATCCAATTTCCTTGGACTCTCGCACATCATCTGTAGCACCACCATCCAAGATGACGGCCTTGCCGCAATGAGTCAGAGGCGAAGTCTGAGCACTTGCAGGACCTTTTGTGTTGACGGAAGGCTTTGATGGACGTTCCGCCAAGACCCGGGCGTCCGCCAGGTCTTGCTTTTTTTGCTCTAAAGATTGTGCCATTTCTTTTGACATTTGGCCATCCGCAATCGTTGCTCTCAGCATCTGTATCTCTTCATCCAATCTGGTCAACTCGGCCTCATGCTCTTTTTGTTTCTGCTCTCGCCTCTGCTGCCGCACAAACTCTTCCTGCAGCGATTTCTCCTTGGCACGTTTCTCCTTATCACATAGACGGCACGAGACCGGGTTTTTTGCATGACATCTCCAGGATTGAACATGGCCTACGGGACATTTCGATTGAATCAGGTGATTGCACCTCATCTTTGAGTGATCGAATAATTGATGGCATCGACTTGGGCAGATATGCACACCACACTGCAAGAAAACACCACTAAGGATCATCTTGTCAGCTCAAAATGTCGATGAGAAGTCTGATAGAGCTCACCAGGGCTCGTTGCATCCGCCATCCGGACACTGATCGAAATCCTTGGGACAGCGTAGAATGGATATACGGTCCTGGTGTCGCTCACATTTTACGGGGAACCCGTCGTAAATGTGCGAACCACCTTTGAGCAGGCTCATAAACTCACTCCACAACTCTTTACCTTTACGAGCGTCTAGAAACGTTGTTGCATTGCCGATCAAGATGAGAGCATTTCGTGCGCGGGAGAGGAGGACATTGAGACGTTGCGGAGACGACATGAACCCGATATCGTGGTGATCGTTACTTCGAGTTAATGACGCAACGACGATATCGCTCTCTTCTCCTTGGTAATTATCTGGACAGGTCAGCGTCCTCGACAGGAAATTTTGTCATAGATTTTGAGCTATGAACGCTTTCACTCCCGTGCATCCGACGATATTTCCCCCGGCAGTGTTCTGCCAGCGGAACCTCTTCGGAATGCCCATGGTAATGCGGGGTTTGATCTTCTGGAAGTAATGAAATTATCTTACCGATCGTCGAAATCCGAAGCCGCCGCTTTTGAACTTGAGCTGTCGCTGCGGGCATCAACCCGGCTCGCACCAAATCATACGAATCAAGATCATTCAGGACTGGGTCGTTCTCTTTTCCCAGGACCTCAAATAGGAGACGCAACTGAGCCAAATATGGTGTCAGAACTACCACTTGACCTGTCCCATAGCCTTGCTGAGCGAGATAACGCACGCATTTCAGCGTCATTTGAGCTTCAAAGTTATTCTGCTTTGACGACGTTGAATTCCCATCTTTCGAGTCAGGTGTATCGTGTGTTTCCTCTTCCAGATTGTTGTGGCTCAGAAAGATCAGATTATCCTGGAATCCAAGTAATGCAGGACGGTTTTGAGTGCCTGGAGCGTCAGTCAGACCTGGATAAGTAAGGTGACGGACCAAGGACGAGATTTCTGGTCGCATGCGGTGCTGTTGCAAAAGAACTTGGTGAGGGAATCCCTGAAGAACAAGTCTCTCGAACAGCGAGCGATTCAGGTCATATCCATCTCCTTTTTCTATGCTAAGGTCGTGATGAGTCTTCGGTCGAAGCTGTTTATGGTCTCCAATCAGAATTGCTTGCTCGGTTTCGGGTCCGAGGGCGGTCAAGATATGGCTTTCCAGGATTTCCCCAGCTTCCTCAACCAAGAGTATATCAGGTGAAGCAGACTGAATGTTTTGTACATGCTTGGCCGCGGCAGTGGTGGTGCAACCGATGATTCGCTTTCCCTGAATAATCCGCCTGTCCTTCTCGTTGAACAGCGCGTTAATATTGGCTAATGTCTCGCCATACTGCTTCCCGCAGCTGGAAATCCTCGAAAAGCGCTCTTTGAGGATGTCTCTCTCCCATGTTTGCAGCGCCGCAGCTCTCTCAGGATAGGTCATTTGCCAGATCGTCGGGAATTCGGCTTGGGCGCCAGAATAAGGTCCAGCATCCTGGCCACGGGCCCAACGGTCAATTAGGTAATATCTGTCCATGGCTTTGCCCTTCTTGCCGATCCTCACCATACCATTAGTCTCATCGGGTAAAATGAAGGCTTCAAAGAACTCCGGGGTTTCCAAGTCGAATTCGAGGTATGCCAGCAGATCGGATTTTGACACAGCCTTTGCCTGAGAATCCGCAAAGGCATTGCGAAGTCGATCTGCCTGCTCTGATGCCTTATTTTGCCGTAGGTTGATAATATCCCAGTCATCTTTCTTCAATTTGAAAGTGCTTTGCTGCGCTGATAGGACTAGAGGTTGGGTTGCCGTACTTGACTTTGCGGCAGAACCAAGACGAACGATACTATCACCGGGTATACCTACCTTCAAGAGGTCTTCCAGGAACTGATCCAATGCATGATTCGTGTAGCACACGACGAGAATCTTCTGCGATGAAGATCGATGAATAGCTTTGGCAATCAAGGCGCCAATGAAAGACTTACCGGTCCCTATCAAAGTCAGCCTGAACAGCGAAGAGAATAGTGAGCTTCTCTGACCTGGAGGTCCTTGCACCAAGCTCAACCGCTGCGTCAGGCTTGCCATGAAGCACTCCACCTGGGACGGATCTAGCTGTGTTGGCTTTGGCAGTCCTAAGGCTTGCTGAAGGTCGCATGAAGGATCACTCCGAACCGTGGCAACCAAGTCAGTGATAGACTTAGATTGCAGTAATGGGGAACTCTGTAAAGCTTTCTCTGGATTACAGTGCAAGATTTCATCTCTCAGCATTAGTTGCTTAGTATTCTGAAGCTGTTGTAGAATAGGTTCGTATGCAAATACTGCTGTATTCAACTGGACCAGCCGAACAGACTTCGCCAATTTCAAGCCAAGGAGAGCTTTGGTGGTGGACCCTTCGGATCCGGTGAATTGTACACATAAAATCGGGGGGTTGTGTGCCAATAGGTCTTCATTCCTATTGATAGTCACCAACGCAACTATTTGTCCGTCAGCGATGAGGCACGCTTGAGATTGGTGCTTCATAAATTTGCGGTTTTCGACGATGAATTTCTTTCGCAGATCGTATTTCGTACTCGGCAATTGGGACAAGTCATTCCGGCATTGCAATCGTATTGACCATGACTGGCGCTTGTCGCACTCGATACCGTCAATCGTCAAACCGTCGATGAGCAGTCCCTTCCGGCGACCCTTTCGCGAGCCAACAGCGACCTGAAGCTCTTCCCTTAGGTCTCGGAGCATATCCTCGCGAAGGAGACGAAATTGGTTGTCGATATGCATCGCAAGCCGTCCTGATTCAGGGCACTCAGCTATTTCTGTGGCCCGACGGAGGTATGGAGGTTCGGTCGAGGCTAGCTCATCTGGGGTAGGCAGGATGGTGATCTGCCTGATATCCACAAAATCGTTGTCATGTCGACCGCCCGGGCCTTCGTCTTCCAAATGTTCAGGATTGGTGACTGCGTCGATAATATGCATGATCTTCTGTCCGGTGTTCCGTACCTCCAGTTGCGAGCATTCGAGGAACATCTTCTGAACTACAGGATCTCTGGCAACACCGTAGTAGGATGGAGCCTTGTCTCCGGAGAGACAGATGAGCTGCAACAGAAGCCATGAGAAACACCGCAAAGCTTCGACTTCCAGGCAACCCGTTCTCTGCGCTTTTACGAAAGCGTCCCAGAAGATCGGTGGGTCAGTAATGGTAAGGATGAGTTGTTGAAGAAACTCGCCCCTACAGACGACTTTCAGTTCAGGATCCTGGATGTACCGAAGGAAGTTTGTAGCAGAGGCATTGAGAAACTGGGTTGACACGTCTAAACGCAGAGCTGACTGTAATGCAGACAGCCCTTTCGGACTGCTAATCAGCCTCTCAACGCATTTCACCGGGTCAGGCTGGTCGCAAATAGCTTCGATGAAGAGCTTGACATTCTGGATGCTCCGAAGGGCTTGTTCTCCCGCCAACGTTTTACCGAAAACAATCCTCAGCTTGCCGCTTCTAACATGATTTCGCTCGGGCAAATTGGAAAGCATGAGGCCTGAAACAAAGCGAAATCAGAAGCTACGATCTTGAGCCTCATGAGTGACCAGGGAAGTTGTCTCTCAGCCAGAGGCGAGATAACATCCCAGCTATCACGCCCCATTGACGGTCGACCAATTGGACGAAATGGCCAACTGCATGATCCATCAGTCAGCTTGAATGAACCGCTCATCTAATTGGTCATTCAGCTGTCTTGTTCGTCAATCTTGTGCTGCTGGAGCAGGGGTGGTTCTAGGCAGTCTTACCTATTCGGTCGTTAGAACACTTTCACCGTCAATAAATCGTGCATATGCTCTAAAGCCTTGCAACGCTATGACACACTTGCTCTGGGGTGTCTTAATGATCACTTGGATACAACACTTTCAGCAGAAAGCTTCGTGGCTTAAGAGGCTTGTCACAGCCCGTGGATTGATCAAGTCCCGCCTTACGGAGTAGCTCTCAGTGCACGTACATGTTCACATCAATCGTCTTCAAGCTCTTAGACTAGGATGTGCTTGATCGACTTGGGTTCATAATTGCATCAAAAATCATCCGTAGCCCACCGAGATTCATAAACTTCTAGATCAGAAGTGAAAAGCCAAAGACCACTGCCCTAATGTTCACCTGATAGGAAATGTATGAAAAACCGTCCACTCTCTGCCGTTTCATTAGATGTAAAACATCGTATTCCTCAAGTTAGGATGGATCAGCACGTCTTCCGTCCTTGCCTCTGAATGTCCTCCATCGCCCAATACACTTTGTGCTGGAGTTCCTGAGGGCGTAATAGCATCAAAAAGCCCGCTGAGATAGCATCTGGCCCTTTCACACACAATATCTGCATAATAAGCAGGCGGGCAAATGCTCACAGCTTTGGTGGCGCGACCGAAAAGGTAGCACATGCTGTGTGTCAGATCTTCGAGCACGTCAGCGACGTTCTGGAAAGGCGGTGGAACTTTTCGCTTGGAAAATATTTCGTCATGCACGATATAGTAGTGAGCAGGCCGTGCCGTGCCTTGGAGCGCGGTGTGGGACTGCAGGAAGAAGTCCCAGTTGCAGGTTTCGGTGACGCCGCGGTCGACTACTGTGCCATTTTTGGGATTGGCGGATCGGTCGGCATCACTGGCAGCCGTAGGATAGAATCGGGTATGGTGTCGTTTACCGACGATAATTATGGTGATACGCGGGAGACCCTTCTTCGTATCCGGAGGTGGATAAAGACCTTCGCAAGCCTTGCGTAAGAGCGGGAGCTCAGTGTCAATGACGGTCGCGTACTGGCCTTCGGAAACGCCGTCACGGTAGACGAGGATATTTTCAGGGAAGACTTTATGCTTCCCCTGCGTCTTCCAGAGAGTAAGACGGGATTTGAGCATGGTGTCGAGCTCAGACACCATCTCTTGACGAGATTCCTGGATGCGAAGGTCCGCCGGCCATTGTCCAAGCCATCTATCAACGCTAGCTACCATGCCGGCTACACTTGGTGCATTCGATGCGGAACCAGGTGAAGGGTGAGTTACGTCTATACCGACGACCATAGTCTTGTCCTCGTTGATGATACCAAGTCGCGTGTTGTCAAGCAGCTGGTTGATACCGCCGAGTTTCAGGTTGAATTTGAGAGCGACATTTGCAAAGTATTGGGGCGATGATTTGACAAATTTGGAACCAACGACGCAGACTGTATGGATGCCAATCTTTACATCGCCAATGTGCTTGACTCGGTTGTATAAGACTGTGTTTGCGGTCGGTATGATGATCAGCACCAGCCTGGTCTCCTTCGCACCACTGGCAACATTCTTGAGTGCGGTCTCAAGTCGCGGATCAGCTGGAGTATCGAGCACAACCCTCGATCCTGGCGCTGGTGCCGCAGCCGTGATTCCAATATCTTGCAGAGCTTTATGAAATTGGGCCACCGTAGATTGTAGGCTAGTTTGATTGAATGCGTCCGGCGAGCCACCCATAGAAATCATCAAGTACGTCCAGCTTCGCAATGTGCCTCCAGTATTGAACTTGATATCTTGCATATTCCAGCTTCCCCCTCGAATGAAAGGTGATTTATCTTGTTTATATTTCACCTTGGGCTCATTCAGGACACGACCTGGGACTGTAATCAAATTCGCCATCACCGATATACCAAAATGGCCCTGACAATATCAGCCGGCATAGGGCAATCACCCATCAAAGCCCCAAGAAAGATGCTTACCAGACTGCTGTTCACCCGTGGCAGAAGGCCGACAGTACGGACACCTTCTTGTGTTATGGAATTTGCATTCTCCCAGGGCTTGCGAACGGCGAAACGGATCATTTGTTGGGTTTGACCGGGATCAAGCTTTGACTGTGAGTTCTGTCCGGGCATTATAATACAAACTTCAGCGGGGAGATAACTTGGATTTTCCCTGTTCCCGACGTTGACAACGGGCAAATTTGGGATTGCGATCGACCGGCCGTGGACTACTCATTTTGTTACAAGAGAAACGAGCTGAGCAATGACGGAATAAATACCATTTTTGAAAAAGTCGTAGACGGTAATATACCTGCCGCCCTGTGGAGCCGCTTGACCTGGCCCCTGACTGGACTCGCCGCCCTTCTTCCCCTTGCCTTTTTTCTTACTGCCTGGTGCCCCGGCGGCTTGACCTGTCGATGAAGTCGGTGGCGCTCCGGAGGTATCCGCAAGAAAGAATTCTACATCTTTCGGCCCTGCACCAAAGCTCTGCACGCGTGGTGGATGTTCCAGACTGTGACCGTCATTTTTGTCTGCAAGCCCAAATATAGTTTTGACCTTTGGAATGGATTCGCCGGCTTTATTTTTCTTTTCACCTAGATGGGTCACCCTTACTCGCACTCTCTTGAGGAAGGACTGCAGCTTTATTCGATTGAATTGATGCGCTGAGCCATACTTCTGAATCAACTGATCTAAAGGTATGGCGTCGTAAAAGGCACCATGACTGACATTCACGTTCACGAGGATGCGGCATGTCGCTGCTCGAACACTTGAGAAAAACCCTCTGAGAGCGGTCAGACCGGCACCAAGGTCCCATTTTGGAGAGTCCTGAGCCAGTGAGAAGCTTTTACTACTCCCGACCGTGGCGACTGAAGGAGCCAACTTAGCATGATGGCCCAAAAATATATTGAGAGCTTGCAAAATAGGTAGCTTGTTTGCATATGTCGTGTTTGCATTTGTGGAAGATAGATAGTCAATGAGCTCGGAAACGGTGAGGGTTCCCGTTTCTTCGACACGTAGCTGATAAGTTTGTGCGTTAACCCTTGGGTCATCTTCGCCCTCCGCTCGGTACTGAATTGCTGGTCTGGCTGTGTTGGGGCCAGTAAGAAGCTTCCGACGAGAGACAATGGTAGACTTGAAATCAGTGACTATGTCATCACGGACTTCGCTATACCCTGGGAGTTCTAGTAATAGTCTGATGATCTGGCTCAATTTCTTGCCCAACGCAGCAGGCTGCACAGCGACGTTGTAGCGATAAAGGACGAGATCTGGGCTGGGAATCATTTCAAAGTAATTCGCCCATAGTATGACCTTTTGCCCTTTGGTGCCATACCCGGGTCGGTCAGGAAACTTTGGACCTATTTGAAGACGCCCAATGCCCAGCGACTCGCCGGAAGACAGACTTTTTTGGAATAGATCCTCAACTTTCGTGACTTGAGTACTAGGAGGAGGAATGGATTGATCTGGAGAGCTAGTAAAGTCGACTTAGTCAGACACTTTGTTGAAATAGGGGAACACCAACGAGAAAACCTCTACCCCGCCCCCATCACCATGTCCTCCACCTCGTCCTCCACCTCGCCCGCCCCGAAACCCTGGACCGTCTCCTCCTCTGCCTCTACCACCTCTTCCACGGCTATCGTGACCACCGCGGTCACCGCGGCCCCGGTTGCCTCGATCTCGGCCTGACATTTTAGTGTAATGTTTAAGTGAAAGTTTCAGTTGTGGGAAAGGTGGGGACGGGTGGGGACGAGGCGATCGCTAAAATAGGCTCATCTCAGCCCTACAGCCCTAAGATCCTTGGCATACGCCCCTCAAGAGTCAAGACAGTTGGAGCATCTCAACAAACATAACGTACCAACTGACTAATATTATAATTACGGAATAGCTTAGAGCTTGACCTTACTAATAGCTCCCTTCAATAAAATATCTTCAATCATGCATATAAGTATAGCTATAGAATCAATAAGCGTCTAAATCCCGTCATAGGTTAGGGGAATCGCTAAAGTTGACAAGCTCGTATGAGCAGAGGCCAATGCCGACCATCTGACCCGTGCACTCCATTATAGTCATCTCGTCCTTCGTGGGGCAATTATAAGAGGATGCCAAAAGCTATCAAAGGTCAGACAAACCCTACATCCGCGTAATCTCAAGCCGCTTAACCTTCTCAGGCGTTCTGATCGAGTGCGACCCGTCTATCAAGGCCATCATACTGAAGATTGACCAAGAGAGGCACGACTTCATCGTAGAAGATCTAGATGACCAGACCCTGGTGATTAAGGAAAGCCAGCTGCAGCGGCTTAAAGCCCGACTGGAGGAGGTGGGAAATCCGCGAATCTTCTCGGAATGGTCTCCTAATTTGCGAAACAGGAATTGGCCAATACTCAGCAGGTGCCCGATGATAATTCAGAAGACGACTGATTTAGATAGATCTGTTTAATGATGCATTGCGCACGTAGAGCGCGCTGTCGTGGCTTCTGCAAGCTTACAAAGCGGAAGGTCTACTAGCTACTTCGCAGTCCTATGGGCAGAGGATCGCTGCGGATGAGGTCTCTGGGGTTGGAAAAAAGGGGTTTATGGCGAGTGCTATTGATTGTTCACTTACAACATAGGCCTTTAATCGCCTGAGTTTAGTCCTCGGTGATGACTCTACATTGATCAGTAAACACGTCGGCAACGCCGAGGATCACTACGAGAACTCAAAGAGACCGTTACTGCTTCTCGAAGTCTGAATAATCATCTCGCATTCACAGAGATGTAATCAAGTTATGCTGTTGCGTGTGCTTTGGAGCCTTGACGATGCCCGTCCACCCTGCAGTATATAGGGAGGGCCATCATGCCTTACCATCAGCTGCACCGTGTCTTTACATTCTTCATCTCAATCGACAGCATCTGACAAATATTGAAAACAATCGCCATGACTTCTCTCCACGCAGACGTCTATCTCAACACTGGGATCCCAGTGGTGCCCCCATCGACGATACCCGGGGGCTTTCCTTCTATCTGGACTCCATCCACGTCCACCTTGATCCACTCAGCTCATGAGGCGGTGCTCGTTGATCCTCTACTCACAAGAGACGAAGGCACAGCTCTTGCAGATTGGATTGCCGAGACCATCCCCAACAAGACCCTCAAGTATGTGTACGTAACCCACGGCCACGGCGATCATTATTTCGGGATAACCCCAATCCTTGCTCGATATCCAAATGCAATTCCAATAGCCACCCAAGGCGTGCTTGAGCACCTGGAGGACCAAATTGGCGCCGATATCTGGGCGAACTGGCAAACCTGGTTCCCGGGCAACCAGTTTGAAAAGCCTGACCTTTCCAAAATCCAAGTCTTCAGCAAGAACCAGACGAAAGATAGCTATCCAACTTTCTATCTCGATGAACATCCACTTCACGTTGTCCCAGTCGGTCACGGTGATACTGATGCATCCACAGTCCTCTGGTCTCCTGATCTCAACCTGGTTGCTGCTGGCGATGTGGTCTATAATGGGGGCTTCCAGTACGTAGCCGAATCTACCACACCCGAGAAACGCCAAGAATGGATTCATGCTATCGAAAAGGTCAGATCCTTGAAGCCAACCAGCATAGTGACTGGTCATAAACGAATTGGCGCTGTTGATGGCGCGTGGACACTGGATTGGACACAGCAGTATCTCAGAACTTGGGGTCAGAAAGCCGAAGAAGTGCAGAAGGAGGGAGGGGGAGCCTTGGAGATGTTTTGGAAGATGAAAGCGGCCTTTCCTGACAATACGGGGTATTTCATCCTCTGGCTCAGCTCTTTGGCTCAATTCCCTCCTAAGAAGTAGGGTGATTTGAGGATACATTCAAGCCTTCACTCATCACGAGAGCCGTGGAATACGTAAAAACTCATGAGTAGAGGAAGACATTAAGTATGAAATTTAAATTTCTTCCAGAATTCCTCACGTATGCCCGCTAAAACCATGCGTTTACGCCTCAAATTGCCCACAACCAATTTTCCGAAAGCAGCCTCAACGCAACTCGCTATTGAGATAAGGAACCACATTTCCATTCGCCCCAGTGATCTGCCCATCTTGCACTGCATGTGCATGCACCAGCAACCTATCCGCCCCCTGTGGAAAATTATCGATCCTACACTCTCGCACCTTCTGCGGCGCTTCGCATGTCTTGCTCGCAAGCGTCTTATACCCATCTGGCCTGCTACTTCCCCCACCTCCCACGAGCGCCTGCACCTCCATGTCGATGTAATCCAGATCTGCTTTCTGGTCAATGCTGTCGCCGGCAGTGAACACGATATCCACGGATTTCCCGCCCAGCATAGCTTGCTTGACGTCAATAGAGGTGCCGACTCCACCCCGTTTGTTCTGCTGAGCCTGCTTGTAATTCACGAGATTCACGATGTAGAAGATGGTCTCGTGGGGCAGGCAGCCAGCAAAAGGCCCCGTGCCCAAGTTAGGAAAGTTAGGGTGAGGACCTGCTGGTAGGATGTCGGTCGTGTCCATGCAGATGCTGCCCTAGGGGCATTCACCGGTCGGGTGCGCATCGGCAGGGTTCGGGAAATAGTATATGGGCAGGCCGTGTAAAGCTTCGATATTTGGATTCGGCTCGACGTAGATGTCTGTAATCCAGGCCCGAGCACCGCGGCTGCGGTCACAGCTGGAGCGTTGGGTAAGGCAGTTGAGGGTTTCAACGGGCGCGAAGGGGCTTTGTCGGACTTGACGAGGACCGCTCCAGGTAATTTTTGTGAAGGCGCGTTTCTTTAGAGAGAGGCTGGTGAGAGAGTCTGGGGTGGTGATGTTTAAGAGGGGAGAGTCATCATCAATCGCGGCTTCGATGGGGAGGGCTTTTGCTAGTTTCATACAGAGAAGCGATGCGAAGAGTAATCGAAGAAGCAAAGATGTATGAATGGTAGACATGGCTTGTTATCTTCTAGACTTGGATATGAGAGACACACGAATGCAAGACAGTGCTGAAGCCCAAGTTCTTCACAGTTCACTTATACGTATGAAATAGTCAAGAAAATATCAGCAGGTAATAGACTGGACAACTCTGAAAGGCTATTTTGGTCGTGCGCGTATGATAGTCACACAAAACGGGAACGCAGGCATTTAACAAAACGTGAGCATAGCCACAATACTCATAGAGCCGCACCGTGAACTCGTTACAGGCCATCCACTTGCTAGAAATGCTAGCCTCTATTCATCCATGCCCTCCGTTCGTATTGCGCAGGAGTACGTATAGGAATGACCCGACTTGTACGTCTGCGCTTCTCATTCTGCATTCAATCTCCATCACAAGAAACATTCAGTCAAGATGTAGATGTAACTAAGAACGACCTGGGATAGATCTTCTAAGCTTGACTGATTGTTTCTGTTGCGACTCCGGAACCAGCCAGGTACTGAGGGTGGCGCAGATCTTTCTATAGAATTAGGCGATTCGACCGCTTTGCCAGTTGCAGTTGCAGTATCAGTATCGTAGTGAGTAAAAGTATTGACTTTGCTAATGAGCTATTATAGCAAAGAAGGGATGAAAGGTAGTGGTCTCCCTTATCAAAGCGTAAAAGCGGCACTGGAGACACCTCTCGAATGAACAATGGCTGCGTCCTCTATTATCGAGAAGTTGCAAGTGGTTTGCTTATTTGTTCCAGTGAAACGCCTGAACCGTCTCCGCTTTGAAGTATGCCCACCCGATCTTTGGCCTCCGCGAGACTTTGCGATGTAGTCAACATGCCCAGTCCCCATCGTTCTCAATGCATCTTCAGTGCCGATAAATGAACACAAAAGATCCTACTCATTCAAATGGCCGATTGTTGACAGTTTGTTGATGCTAGGTAGAAGATGCTTGTGTTAATCCGTTGCGTGACCTGTCATCATTTGCCCACTGATTCACTTCAAGAAGGTATACAAAGGCAGATGCTCTTCGCCCGAGACTTTAGTTCGATATTCTTTCTGGCCCACGCCGAGACATCCCTCTTTGTCCTATTTTGTCTCTGCATATGGTTAGGCTCTAGCACCAGATAAGAGAGCCGTGACTCCGCTCGACTCTACACCAGGTTGCGCCGGATTCTAGCTAAACATTACAGAGTAATCATCTCTTTCGATAAAACAAGAAGGGGTCATTGAACGAGCTTGAAGTGCGCGAGAAGATACTGACCCATCACAGACGGTGGTTCCTATTTTATGCGAAGTCGCAGATGTCACATGAACATGGTGATTTTGCATTATCGGTCAAGAGATCTCGCTCCGAAGTACACATTTCGAGAGAAGATCTCGAGCTTTTCGACTTGCTTGGGTAATCTACGTCAAGCCCTGAAATACCCATCCCCGTTCCCATTCCTAGCACACAACCTCCAGTCGTTCCTCCCGGCTTCAAGGATGAGATTCTACAGCGCCAAATTCAAGGACGACTCACTGAAGCTGTCGCGAAGTACTATCTCGAAACCATGCCCCGTGCAGATTCTCTCAGAGTTCCAGGTCAGCATGGGCGGCCTTCTCTACTCAATACCATTCTCACAGGCAAGGTTCAGTCTCTTCCGAAAGAACTTTCCAAGGGCCATGAATGGCGGCCGATGCGAATCGTCGGCAAAGGCGCCTATGGTTCGGTCATTCTATGGGAAAAGGTCTTCGCTGACGGAAGAATAATACGACTCGCTTCGAAAGATTCGCAGTGTTTATCATTCTTCCGCGACTATTGTTCAGAGGGTCATCTCACAAGACGGCTCAATGATGTAGGGTGCAGAAATGTCATCAGCGTAGTCGAATGGATGCACATTGACAAGACGGTCAACTCGACCTTCGATCGCGTCGTACATGACGAGAAACCCAAGAACAGAATCTGCTACGAATTCGCCCGCTATTCTGACTTGCAACGTCTGGAAAGTTGGTACAAATCGCAGAAGCTCATCCTCCCGGAAGCGTTCATATGGCACGTTCTCTACAGCGTTGCTAATGCGCTCTGCTACTGCCGGCACGGAGCCAATACATACCCGCTCAAAGCAGGCTGGGACGCAATTGTGCATGGAGATATCAAACAAGCCAACCTTTTTCTCACAAAGCCCGACGATTCTATCAACGCTCTCTATCCGTGTATTAAGCTTGCCGATTTTGGGCTGGCCTATACGACGGGAGGTTCAGTGGCAGCTGTACAACATTACAGGAGTCGACTGAACTATGGCACAGATGGCTACATAGCGCCAGAGATCGAAGATCACACTCCAGAGTCTACAGGTCGGCGAAGAATGCCAAGAGAACTCCACGGTCCACACTCCGACGTCTATTCTCTAGGAATGACATGCAAGCATCTTCTAAGCCTAGTCCAATTATATAAACCCCCCACAGCCGGCCATGTCAGATCAAGCTCTAACTCTACCCTTGCCGGGCTATCAGAAAACCTCGAATCATTCTACAGCCTCGAACTACGCACCCTTCTCGATCTCTGCGTAGCCCACGACCCACGTGACCGACCAAAAACATCCCGTCTCTACATGGAAGCCAAAGCCCAAATGGAGCGGCACCAAGAGATCGCCCGTAACGAAGCAATGGCCGCAAGGCGCGGCGAGAGCCAGTTCAAGCTATTCCACAGCGGCATCCTCTACACGCAGGAAGACCAGGTGCGGTATGAGACGGATTCGACATTTCGGCAACACTACGAGCGAGCGAACCTAGAGCGATTGCGGGCACTGATTGACGAACAACAGCTCTCGAAGACGCAGCATGAAGCGGCTTCTGCTAAGACACGGCCTATTTTTGACAGAAGCAGTAGTGATAAAGGCAAGGAGAAGTCGGGCAAAGAGCGCGAGATATTTACACTGCCTTTCATGAAACGATTGAAGTAAGTATCTATGTAGCAAATAATATTCAAATCTCAGCGAGAGCGTCATGCTTTGGGGTAACATGAACGTACATGATGCATGCCCAATTCTTACCTCAGACTGTAACTCACTGCACATCGTCCATGATCTCATTGAATCGACTAATCGGCCGGTATGCATCAAGCATCAGATTCTGCACCCATCAATGCACCTCATGTAGCAAAAGTATCTTCTCACCCACCCACCCAACCAACCCCTTTTCCCGCCCCTGGACCCTTCCACCATATCACACTTCTTTCCGATCTCTGACTTTCCTCAAATCTCGAACTACAACCACTCGGGTAGGTACAAGCACTCCCCTCCCCGCTCCCCTCCACCAAACTAGAAAAATTGTTTCAATCGGACTTTGGGGTCAATTTCACGTGGTGTGGCATCCCGCCAGGGAGAACTAGATGGCTAGCGCCTCCTTCGCCGCGGCTGTCCCGATGTGGCGGTCTGGAGTTGGGTTGGTGGCTGCTCCGGTTAGCAACGGGCGCAGTCTGGCTGGACGTTCATTTCTCCGACGGTGCGGTGCGGTTGCTCTGATATTGGGATGGCGGTGAAGGGGAAAACGACAGGGTTTGCGGGTGGGGGCTGTGGGAGGAAATAATGGGGGAGCTTTTGCGGCGGGGCGAGCGAACTTGCTGGAAAGGGGAGGTAGATGTTTCTTGAAATAGAAAGCGTGAGGTACATGTCGAAGCCGGCTTTTATTACTACATTCCAAAGTATGCAAGAGAAGTCTACGTTATGGTACACATGGACACGTGAACTCCTTCCTAAGCCTGCCCGTCCGCGATACCTTATTCCCATTTGGTCGAATCCTCCAGAACTCCTTTCCCTCCCATATGTTCGTTCGTAGATCCATGCATTATTCATAACCTAAGCTCATCCACCTCACGCTTCAACTTATCGATTTGTTGGGCCTGAATACATATACAATTGGACCCTTGCTGTCCTCCAAGGTTGGGAATCTGTTGGTGGTTGTGCGCATGATGCGGCGAATCGTTTGCAAATTGACCGTGCCATATACGCTGCCTTGCCGCCATCTCCTTTAGGACTTGTACCATTGTATCAGCTTGGTCTTTTGTCCTGCCCCAAATGTCTTGTTTTACTGCCTTGCGGGCCAGCGTCCTCCATTCGGTCCCTGAGAGGTCCACCGACATGCCCATTGGGCAGTCGTTGGTGCCGGTGTGCAAATGTGACGATGCGGGATGATCCTGTAGCTCCCCCATTCGGTATGAGATTTTGCGATCGCCCATTCCGTGTGCTTGTACATCAATGTTGTGCAACAAGGTCCTGTATGTGACTACGGACAGATGGAGCAGGGTCATGAGACCCATGCTGTTCTGCAGTGCGCTATTGTAGGTCAAGCCGCAGAGACTGCAGGAGAGACAGCCTAGAGCCACGTTGATAACTCTTTTCAGAGGTACCAGGGTTGCTGGGAAGGATGGTGCAGCGACACTGGGGGGAAATTCTGAGAGGGTCTTGTAGATGGTTGGGATGCAATTGCAGGACCCGGATGACGTTGGGGACGTCAAGTCAAAGGTCGTGCTTGGCGGCGTAGGTAGCTGATCGGGTATTGGCACGTGACTCTGAACCGGCGAGAAGTTGTTGGGTTGTGTGATAGGAGAGAATTGGGTAGGAGGTGAAGACGTCCACGGCTGGGCGTTGGGAAGGAAGGCTCGGTTGTTGAAGTCCTGGCAATAATCTAGCCCTACAGTCGGTGGGCTCATTCCATACAGTGTAGAGCTGGCCTGAGGAGCACTCATATACGTCGCGTTCATGCCACTGAAGTCATAGCCGATGCTATTGCCGCTGGATTCCCCCATGCCACTGAATCCTGAATACATGGTAGGAGAAAGTTGAGGAGCCAGGAGGTCCGCATATGGTGAGGTCATTGTGCTATCTGTCTGAGCTGAAGAGGAGCTCATATCTTGGACACCTTCACCAAACCCCCACTGCTCAGTCGCTGAGGATTGGGTTTCTTCATCGCGTCTCTTTTTCCTTGGCCTGCCCATCTGTTTCCTAGGAGAATATAGGCAGGATACACCATCGGTCCGACATCTTGAGCATCCGGAAGCTTCGCCCGAGCATTTCAGCTTTCTGGCGCGACATTCATCGCACGCGTTGTGAGGCCTACTTGAGCTAGTCTGGGCTAGGTGATCAGACATCTGGAGGGAGTGTTGGGAGGAGACAGACATGATGATGCCTTGTGTCGGGACATTGATGGAGGCGTGCAGTGAACCAGATTTTGTACTCGATTGATGTTTGGCCGACGGGTCAATACCAGTGCCTGATGTTGTAGATTGTAGAGCATGGTAATGTTTAGCTTAAGTGCATAAGCATCAGCCACGTTCCAATCCTCTGGGATGTCACCATGCTCGGCAGCATAGGGTCCCGCTCCGCAAGGTTAAGGCGTAGGTATTATAGTGAGAAGTCTTGGTAGGTACATCGTACCTTAGTCTTAGGTCTTGGTAGTGAGTTCCTAGCACAGATACCCCCTCTAGTCATCTTAGTGCCCTCTGGTGTCCTTTTGGTGTGATCGGCCATCGTCCTGTAATCTCAACGTCCTTCCATCTTCACCGCTGATTCTCCTCAGCTCCATTAGCTTTGCCAGGCACATCACCTGCAGAAATGACCCACACGATTCCTCACCCCTCGTGGCTATGTTCTTAGCAAGCACGCTCTTGCTGATTACTCACGTTGCTTCCTGTTGGTACGCTTGCTCTCGCATTTCTTGTCCATGCTTGGATCGACATGGCGCGCGGTGTTCATTTGGTCCCAGGAGTCAACTTGGCACATTGAGCCAAGCGAGACACCCAAGAGTTCAATAGGGACTGTAGCTTTTCTTGTTGGTAAGCATGAAGGTATTGGAAGACGCAGCTCAAAGTAAAAGCTGCAAGAAGCTTAAAGATTTTAAGTTGGCTTTTTACACGTTTATTTCACTCATGTCTTGCAAACGGAGAATGGAGTGCCTGCTCGGTCATCGGCCTGCGCTTCCCCTTCTCCGACTTACATCGAAATTTTACGTTTCTGTGGATAGCCCTGTCTTTCATCCCGAACAAATGACGAGAGGTGCATACATGAGTAATGTCCGAGCAAGAAGTGCCAGCTTGCTAGCAATTTTATAGAACCACAAGCTCATTGCTCAATCGCACGCGAGATTCGACTCCCGACACATCGATTTCTCTGATCCCTCATCCCCAACTACCCTCCATAGGGACCGCCTCTCCCACGTCCGCGTCCGCGCCCGGACTTTTCATGTCGTTCCGCTTTTGCCATTTCCATTGCTTGGAGGACAGCGGTCCTAAAATCCTTCTTGCGCTCCACCACTAGAGGATCAAATTCCGGCTGTCCTGGTTGCAAGACCCAAATTTGGGAGAGGACGTCCTCCAGCAAGTTCAGCCAGACTTTCTTCCCCATGCTTCCACGTATTGGAAGTTGGCTGCTTGCAGCATGAACGCGCGCTTGTTGTAGCAAGTCGATGAATCGGCGTTGCGTTGCTGTAGGCGCAAACCCTCCCGCTGCCAGACGGCTCATGATCATGCTCTGACGTTGAAAGAGATAGTTCCAGTATGTGAGTGGGTCCATGTTGCCCTGGAGTGGAACTGTGAGCACACTGCCATCATCAGTTAGGAGGGTTGGTGGCATCAAAGAAGGGTCCAATCCCTCATAAGGTGAATATACCGCTCCTGGTAGCCGAGGCAGTTGGTCCTGCTGAAGCTGAAGTTGTCGAATCTGATCAGCCTTCATTGGTCCTTGCCTCTTATGAGAGAATCCTGCGCGGCCATTGGATTGAGGATCTTGATCCTGGTGGCCAACAACGTCGACTGACGAATTAATAGCTGATGTACGGCTAACGTTCAGGCCAATTCTATCGAAGCCGAAGATCTCGGCAGGGCGTGATTGATCTTGACGATCATCAGACATGGCAGGTAGGTATACTTCAGACCTCTTGGACGGGCTGATAGACGTAGGATCAGAAGACGCCGACTCACTCTTTCGATGAGTAATTGGATGATAGTGAGCTTGATCTGCAAATTGACGTGGGCTATTCGAAAAACGTGACCCAGGCTGGCTATCCGCGAGACCAGTCAGAAAGGTAGGATTGGATCTTGATCGATGTGGAGACAGGCTAGAAGGCTCAAGGGTCGCAACCGGCGTCCTCGTTGCTTGCCTCAAGTCCGTGAGGCGTGGTGTCGATGGTGGGCGAGTTCCAGCGATGGTTTCCTTGAAAGTTGTAAGTTGACTTCCATGCGTTTTGAAATCGTCAGAGGGTCGACGAGGACGCGACCCGGTTGTTGGCGACCAAACCATCTCATGGCTGCGGGAAGAGGGAACAAATTCTGGTATCGTGACCTTCATACTAGCTGGTTTTGCAATCAGCTCCTTGTGTTGCGGTCGAGGGGTACCTATTGGGTCGTCAGCGAATCCACTTGCATGCTAAGAAATCCACGGGCACGAAGTGCTTACTCTGTTGACTTCCATGTTGAAGATCCATGGCGGCTAGCTCGGATGGCAAGAAGCCTTCCTTCAATTTATCGATGCCCAACATTTTACCTTCAAGAAACTTCTCCCACACGATATCTTCTGGGAGGTCTTGGATTGACTGTGATCTCAGCAACGTTGTTGCCTCTAGTACCGCCTGCAACGGTAGATTAAATGTCGATGTGATCAAAGAAGCTTGTGGGGATAGTTCAGGAATGACTGCTTGCGCGCGCGAGAAGAAGTCTGGAGTGTGGGTTAGGAGCTTGATGAAGGTGTCGAAGTTCGGAGGATCAGGTGAAGTGCTTTCACTGGTCTGCGAATTTCCTTTGCTCAGCGGCAACACGCGGGCTGTGTCATCACGGTCGTTCAGGATGAATTGAGTGAAGTAATCTAGGAAGAACTCGCGCAATCTGACCATAGAAGGTATTGTCGCCGGCGACGTGTACCATTTGGGATCATAGTGATGATCTTGGGGCATGTGTGAAGGTAAGTGTCGCATTGCGATACTAGATGCCATCTACGAAGTGACAAAGATGACTTTGGTGTTGTGCAAGAGAGGTGACACTCGGTCTGCTGTTGACGTCTATTTTTATGCGTGTCAACATGTTGTACTACTTTGTTTGTTTCTCGGTGCCCCACGTGTGCGCCGCCATCACAGAGTGATGGCGAACTGCATATACTATTCCAATAGAGCACTCTGCCCATATATTAATGGTCGGAGCGCACTTTGCTTTGCATTATCAACCTTCTGCACTTGCCATTCGTGTATGACAGCAGTCGAGAGGGCCACAGCAGTCATTCCGTTAGCAGGACTTCTTACCGAGATGGAAAGAGGTAATTACATCTATCATGTTTTCTGCTAATGCAAAGTAGATAGCCTGTGAGTCTCCATTCTGTTGGCGAAGGAAGAGCTCGTCGTGAGACTCAGATTAAGCAGGCATGGCTACGAAATAGGAAGCCCCCAAAACATCGAAGGAGGTCCAGAGAAGGTTTCGATCTCTTCAAGGCTTGGTTGACCCCATGAACCACAGGTCCAAGAAAGAGAAATGAGGCGCGTTGTGAATCAATGGAAACCTCTGCAGATGAAACCTGCGTGACTACACCAAGATAAAGAACAGTAAGTCAATGATGTACGACATCAGCACAACCAGTGGTTAGGTTGTTCAATGTGCCTCCTGCGGCCATGTTACACAGCATTCTGACTGGGTCGTAAGTGTAAACGCTATACTTCAAATACCAGACTTCTTTCTTTTGCACTCTGCTGATATGCCCATAAGAAACAACCTTCTTCGATACATTGTCCCTTGCTGTACTAGTATTCTGTACCTCCTCGTCTATATGAAGAGGTCTTCTACCCCTAGCAGCGTTACAATGACTTCCCTTCTCGCGTCTGAGATAACTGGTGCAGACTCTGAGAGTATCATCCTTGACCAGGCTAGCGAAGCAGAGGTGAACAATTACTGGTCCCTGAATTACGACGAATGGGGGGACAATCGTTCCGAAGCATTTCATATTGCAAAAGAGAAACATCTTTGTAACCAGAGGCTAACAAGAGACGGTTGCATCACTCACTGGGTGCTCGTTGACAAATCACGCTCAACAGAAGGCCGTTGTGTGCTCGCACACTGCGACACCATCAAAAAAAGAGCGTTCATTGCGTCGAGAAACGAGCTTGGCGGCTCAATAGTAGAGGATAAAGTTGTGTTCGGCATCTATGGTGTCTTCACATTTGTTCAATATCGGAGAAGAGGGTACGCTAGTAGACTCCTCGAGAAGCTTCATAAAAGATTGGAGACTTGTAACGGGATGAAGACATTTTGTACCGTGTTATATAGCGATATCGGTGCTGTGCGTCTACTTAAATGATATTCGGCGAAGACATGATGAGCTGAACGATCTGAAAAAGGAATTTTACGAACGACTTGGCTACAAAGCCTACCCCTCGACTCATATTTCTCTCACCGTCGTCGCTCCCGAATTTCATTCTACCGATGATAAATCAATGCTCTCAACGTTCGACGGTATCTCCATCGTCCCAATGCATGCCCCTGATCTTTCTAACATCTGCCTCCGGGATACGGCGCTTCTTGGAGAACGCCTCCAGCAAATGTCATTTCCCGAAGGCGTGAGTTACCGCATAGCACTCTTTCCAGATGAGGACACAATGCTATGGCACCATTCGGGTGAAGAAATATTTGGGGAACATTTCCTTAACATTTGCTCAAATACTAGTGTGAAAGGCGTTATGGCAGAGACAAAAGAGGGCAGATTGTGGTGTATATGGTAAGTAACACTTCTGAACGACATGGGCAAGTCGTTCCTCCCAGAAAGAAAAATAGCTGCTTCGAACCTCGTTAACTGCAAATTGTCTAGGGTAAGGGACTATGATCGTGTGAAGGAGAAGAACGTGTTACATATCCTACGTTTTGTTATCGAGGAAGAGAACAAAGAAGAGGACGCAACAGTGATGGAGCGGAGAAGGGCGAACGAAGGTCAAGGAGGGATTGAGACTGGCATCAGGGAGATATTGAAAGAAGCGCAGAAGCAGGCGGGATTGAGTGGGTTGGTGAAAGTGGAGATATGGAATCCTGAGGAGAGGGTAGTCAAAATTGCCCAAACGATGGACCAGCGTGTAAAAATGGAAGAGAGGGATTATGGAGTGAGTTGCTTAAGGGGCTATGGTGGGTTTGTGGGAGGTGGGCTGGAATGGGTGGAAGATCAGGGGTATGGAAGTTGGTTTTGAGGGCGATGAATGAAAGCCTAGAAGATAGAAATGGCTCTTGCTACATGCTTTCTTCTTCCTAAAGCATCTGGAATAGATAGGATAGCAGAGCAGTTGAAATGGAATTAGGTTGCATAGCTAGCCACACCAATTTTGTATTGCGGCAAATACAGGGGTTGTTGCCCCCCAAGACTACTTTCTAGGGCACATCTGAAGGGCCTCCCCCTGCAATTTGCCCCGGAGTTAAGGCGCCTCAGACTTACCCTCCCTTGGGAATGCCCCTGAGGAGCACTAACGATGCCCGGCTTTCAAACTCCATAAAAAACCGACGGCTTGATTGATGCATGTTCACAAGAACATCAGAGATCATTGTCATGACTTTCACCATAAGCCACGCTCTCCCCGCCCAGTCTACGCAGACCTCATCTCCCCCATCCTCCCCCTCTTCATCATCCGGCTCCGAATCCTCCTACCCGCGCCCCACCAAGCGCCCACGGCTCGGTCACAACGCAATTGTCACCCCAGGCGAGCTCGTAACCACCGACCCCCAATGGATGCGCGGCCACGGCACATATCACCCTCCCCTCTCTTCTGACACCCCTTCCTACGAGCCCAACACCATCCTCTCCTCCCTCGCAGGCACCCTCACGCGAACGAACAAACTCCTCTCCATCTCCCCCCTCCGCAGCCGCTACACCCCCGAAATCGGCGACCTCGTCATCGGCCGCATCGTCGAAGTCCAGACGCGGCGGTGGAAAGTCGACGTTTCCGCGCCGCTGCTGGCGCATCTCCCGCTCTCAGCGATAAATCTTCCAGGGGGTATATTGAGGAGGAGGACCGCGACGGATGAGCTTGCCATTAGGAGTTTCTTTCGAGAGGGGGAGTTGATCTTGGCCGAGGTGCAGAGTGTGCTTGGTGATGGGGCGGCGAGTCTACATACGAGGAGTTTGCGGTATGGAAAGTTGAGGAATGGGGTTTTTATGTCGGTGGCGGGGCAGGGGGGTAGGACGGGCGGGGTGGTCAGGGCGAGGAGGCAGATGTGGACTGTGAGTATGGAGAAGTTTGGGAAGCCGGAGGCTGGAGAGGTGGAGGTGTTTTTGGGTGTCAATGGGTTTGTGTGGATTTGTAAGCAGGGAAAGGGGGTGGATGCTGCTGGGGATGGAGAAGGTGTGGAGGGTGGGCCGATGAGTGGCGGTCAGAGGATCGGGATTAGCAATTTGGAAGAGAAAGTGGGGGAGGGCATGTATGAGGCTAGAAACGAGGCGGTGGGAGCTGAGACGAGAAGGGAAATTGGGCGGTTGGCAGGGTGTGTGAGGGCGCTTGTTGATGGGGGTGTCAGAGTAGATGAGGATATGGTTATGATGGCTTATGAGGCTGCTGTTGAATCAGAGGGAGAGGATATGGATGAAGATGCCGAGGAGGAAGAAGCAGGGGATTACTTAGGCGGGGAGAAAGGGAGTAGAGTTGTGGGGGAGGTTTTGACTCGCTTGAAGGCGAGATAGCAAGATTTGATTGTGATAATTATGATACCCCCGAATGCATTGACCATTCCTGTTCACCTCGCACTATAAGCTGGCTCATGCGGCCTTTTTTGAAATCCTTCACCTGTTCAGATGCATATAGAGAAAGCCTCCCTGAATACAAGTCATCAAAATAATCGCAATTCTATTCATCGCCGCCTACTGCTCTGCATGTTCGCGAAGATCAGTTTGAACCCGTTGCACAACGCCCTCATGTCAGGATACATATTCTTCTGTAATTCAAACGCCTGGGGCACGACCTTGACACTCCAATGCTGCACTTGTGCATGCTGGCCTGCCTTAAAACAGAGGAAAAAATAGCCGGGATGTTTCGTGTCGATGCAGAAATTGTAAACTGATCGCTTGGGGTTGGCCTCAGTATATGTCGTCAACCATCGTTCTGAGAACAAAGTGCATTAGTCCAGAGTTCAGAAAGAATGAGAGCATGATGGGAACCTACCAACTTCAGTCCGATTGAGATTTTGATATTTCTCATGTAACATCATCTCGTCGACCTTCTTAGCCATAGCTTTGACGTGGTTGACAATCAATTCATCAAGATCGCTGTAGGTATATTTCCCGCCAATCTTGAGAGTTGTACCTTGGGTCAACTGGTTTGACTTTCCAAGTTCTAAGACGTCAATATGCTGATATATGTTATCGGAGACTTTCCAAGTTACTGCGAGATGGTCAAGACCCTTGGACGAAGGCCGGATGACTAGGTCCCCCCGACCTTGCGAACCTAAGTACTCCTCTGCTTGCGTGGAATTGAACGGTTTAAACAGCGGATGCTTGATGACTCGTTGAGTACGACCTGACACATCATTTTTCTCTTTCATGGCCTCATTATCTTTACGCTCTTCCTCTTCGTCCCACTCGTCCATACCGCGATCATACTCCTTCTTGTAAGGCCGTTGCAGCTCGTCCTCGCGAAGGGAGAAATTAGCAGTCAAATGCTTGCGATTCAGATATGTGATCTTGGCTTGTACCGTCTGGTGAAGTGAGAAAAGCTGTTTGGCCGAGACATCTGGACGATTAGAGATCGAAAGAGCGGGGACTGTACCCTCAATACCACAATCCATTTTTGCCTCAACATAGTCGTCTGCCACTTTCTTGATCGAGACAGGAACGATCATCCCCTCACATAATGATTCTCTAGTCTCGCCAGTGAACATAGTGAAGATGCTTTCTGATGATATCAATGTGAAATTGTGCCTGAGCTCTTCATATGGTTGCTGTAACTCGGCGCGAATCAATTCCAGTGTGGCACGCTTACGCTGGTTAAAGTTCTTCTCTAATTGCTCGGCGTACTCTTCAAGAACAAGGTCGTTGACTTTGTCTTGCGCCTCGTCACGAATCAACTTTCTGACGACAGCGCCAGTGCCACCCTCGTTGTTCTCTGCCTCAATATCTTCTTCGTCGAGTTCAAGAGCGTCGGCGGCCATCTTCCGACCAAGATCGTAATCCTCAGGATGTACTCTGGTGTTGTCCAAGAAGTCCATGTCGGCTTCAGAGCTATCGAAAGGTATGTAAAGGAAGCTTGCACAGTTATTCCACACAACGGGGCCAACAGCAGCCAATTTGCTCGACTCTTCATCGCCAACAAGTTCCGCTCTTGTTGTTACCACGCCGCCATTGATATTGATGACTTTGAGTAGCTGCGCTGCTTTTCGTGCTCCGAGGCCAGCTACGTAGGGAAGCAGATTGGCTAGATGTGAATTTGTAGTTACCTCATCGATGTTGACACCACATAGGTTCACGTTGTCAACCATGGCTGTTTCTAGCTGGCTAATCAACTTCTCATGAGGGACATATTGTTGGTCAGGATCGAACGAGATGGACACAATATCACGTCCTAGCGCAGCATACTCGATCATCGGGTTCTGGAGGTACTTCGCTAAACCGACACAATACTTGGTGAGAGGTGCAAATCCTGGGTGCTCCATGTTGGCTCGGTCACTTGTTTGGTAAAGTCTGGCTACTTCGTCGTTGACGACAACGACATCCAGCTTGTCAGTTATAGGATTGCCATCTTCATCTTCGTACTCTGCGCACTTGAGAGTTTTGCGCTCAATTATCTCTTCAAGCTGCTTGTAGAGCTTGCGGGTTTCGGCAGAAAAGCCTGAGACACCGATGACATCTGGCTTTCTCCGTTCAATCAGCTCTACCAGCACCTTCACGTCGGCGCTGTCGTCAGTACCCCGGTCAGCGTCGCCAATAGTAAGATCAACTACTTTCCCATTCTCAAGCACACGTCCGTCTTCTTCTACCCATGCCCAGCACACTGCGTCCTTCCCAAAATTTCCACTCCCGTTCGACATTGCAAGGACCCTAGGGATTGTACCCAGCTGCATGCCTTTCGGTTTGTATGGCGCTTGATCAAGTCGCTTATTATATTCCTCTCTACAACCCTTTGCGACTTGATTCTCGCACTCTGTCCTCAAGCCCTCCTTTACATTCTTCGTAAGCACTCTTTCTAGCTTCATAAGAGCCATATCAAGGGTCTCTCGGCGTTCTCGATTCCAAGCGTCAGCAATCTCACTGAAATTGTCGGATTCTAGGTCTTTGTAAAGGCCTTTCACAAACCGGGAGCGATCTTCCATTCGGATTCGCACTTCGACAAGGCCTTCCTCCTCTGCCCTAAGCATCCTCAAAAACCGGGCGGGATCAGCTGCAATATGCTCTCTGATACGCTGGTTTCTTAGATATTTGATCTCGTAGAACGGATGTTGGTCATCTATTTTACGCATACCCTTTTCTGTGCGTTTGCATTCAATTAAAGCGTTGAAAAAAAGCTGAAAACGCATGAATTTTCGCATGCGTGGGCTCATGAAGATTTCTTCAGCGAACATGTTCTTTGCCGCCCGGAGGCACTGGGCGCCAGAAGAGTATTCGGGTGGGTCTAATATTGAATCGCTGTCGGCCATATCATCCGGTCGTTCTACTGGGTCTTCTGTATAACGCCGTCGATTGCCTTTCTGAGATGCATTTTGTGCGAAGCCATCTGCTGTAATACCAAAAGCTTGCACCAGACCGTAGACTTTTCCACTTCGAATGCGTTCATAGATCGCCTTCGACGCTCCGGGTCGGCGTTGCGTTCCATTTGTTTGGGTTCCATTTGACGCTCCCATATCGGCTATTCGTGCTGAGTGCTGAAAATGAAGATAGTCCTGCATGTCTTGCAAATCATCCAAGGCGGTTGCTTCGGGAAGGAGTTCCTCTATGACTGGATCGCTGAAATTTTCATCTAGGGCTTGGAGATCGTCATAGACTCGTTGTAAAGACACGCGCTTCTGCAGGAAGGCTCGAAATTTCAGGTCATGGTCAAATATATCCCAAAGGTCAGTGACGTCCACCAATTTCACAGCATCCAAAACATATTCAGGTGCATCTGGGTTGTTAGGATCGGGATTCACAGGAACTCTGACGGTGTGGATAAGAAAATCTTTCCGGTGTTGAACAATGAATGGTACTTCACAATTGTCAGTATTCAGGAACTCAAGGACTTTTGCAACAGCCTTTTGAAATGGTTCCCTTAAATCTGCATCGAGCCGCTTTTTTGGCCATATTAGATTCGCGATCCAAGCAGCCTCTTCCCTCCTCTCATCTTCTGTCACTTCCATGTTCTTGTAAGGCTTCCGAGCGAGCTGAAATCTTTCCGGTTCGTCAGTCATTCGAATGAGATTGTCTTCGTCTGTCAGCATCCTGTCGGCAAGCTGCGAAGGCTCAAAGACATCTTTCAACTCAATGCCTTTTTCGAGGGCATCTGGGTCTTCTGGGTCTGGTTGCCCTTGCTCTCTTAGGTCGGCTGCGTCTTGAGCTTCCAAAGCCCAGTCATACTCAAGACCATCGCCAAAGACCTCTTTCATGTCCTCGATCGCGACTTCGTCCAGACCGGCAGCCTCTTTGACTCCAATTATGTTTCTTGCCGGGCGTCTCGTTACTGCCACATCGTCGTCTTCTTCACCCTCCCCTCGCTCGTCGCCATAATCCTCTTCGATAAAATCTGCAAACTCATCATCTCCGAGGCGACGGGAACGGTCAGGCATGCGCTCTTCCTCTTCATCATCATCAAAGATATCGTCGACGCCCTTTGGTCTTGACTCTCGGTCATCTTTGTGGCCTCGCTTCAACCTCTTAAATTTAGATTCTGGCTGTGGGCGCCGCTCATTTGTCACACCAATGATGTCAAGGTCGTCCTCATCTAGGTCTGCCTCCTCTTCTTCGCGTTCCTCTCGCCGCCGTTTTTTCTCTCTTGTCTTCTTCGCTCTCGAGTTTCTTCATCATCCTCCTCTTCGTCTACTATGAACCCCTCCCTAACAGCTCTCGCTGCCTCCTCGTCATCGTCATCGTCGTCTTCTTCACTGGAATCCGTCATGTGGCCATTTGCGCCATTTGTTCGGCTTTCTCCGTTCACTCTTCGTCTGACGTCTCCAGTCTCTTCGTCAAATGACTCATCATCCTCTTCATCATCCAATTCAGCCTCTCCAGCGATCAAGTCTCGTTTGTTCATGATGGACTACCAGAGGATCAGAGGACTGGTCGGATGCTTTAAAGCTAGAGGTGCGGCGTGTCGTTGATAGGCCTCTCCTAAATTGGAGGAAGCTTACTATCGAAAGGACACGATAATATCAAAGGCAACAAAGGTGGAAGGACGCGAGATCGAAAAGTTGTCGAAAGCATCCAAAGCCAAAATAAGTTTAGGGCAAAGCGGGCCGGCTCAGGGTCTAAAAATCCCTGTCATGTGCAAATGCCATGCCGCGCCTGTCAGGTCTTCGAGTGCCTCATAGAGGCGTACACAATGAAGGACGACTTCTCTACCCAATCGATGAACTGTACGACGTCTCAGGACGTTCTACCGGACACAGTTTGGCATCGTTGAGCTAAGGATACTACCGCTGATTACTGGTCTTTATGTGGACCTATCAAAGGACAAGGACGCCCAAATCACTTGAGGGCCACCTCAGCAGCCGAATACCCTTCCTTACTTATATACTTCTTTTGTATACAGCTATTCAGAACGCAGCGACCCTCCTCCAACATGTCTGAGATGACTGATATGAAGAGTCGGTCTATGGGCCGCAAGAATAAAAAGGGATTAGCATTGTCTGCTCCTCAGACTAAACCTGCTGCCCCATCCAGCCAAGACGCACAAATTCCAGGAGCGATAGGAAATGCTGTCAATGATCCTGGAACATTGGAGATAGGGGTGGAGTTCAAGCTCGACCTTCGGAATGAAGATTTGATCGTCATGAAAGAGCTGGGCGCTGGAAATGGAGGGACAGTTAGTAAAGTGATGCATTCAGCGACGAAGGTTTTCATGGCTCGCAAGGTATCCACAGAGCCGTTAACATCGTTTATATCTCAGAGGCCCTAATTCCGTGCAGGTGATTCATGTGGAAGCAAAGAAGGATGTTAGGAGACAAATCGTTCGAGAACTACACATTATGCACGATTGTCAGTCGCCCAACATTGTCAATTTTTACGGAGCCTTTCTCCATACCTCTGGAGATGTGGTGATGTGCATGGAGTATATGGATTGCGGGTGAGCTTCGCTGCAAAAAGCGCAAAACAGGCATTTAAGCTGACGCCTTGCCAGCTCATTGGACAGGATATCCAAAGATTTTGGCCCCATTAGGGTGGATGTAATTGGCAAGATTGCTGAAGCTATACTCAATGGACTCAACTATCTCTATGAGCATCATCGGATCATGCACCGGGATATCAAACCATCCAACGTCCTGGTAGACCACCATGGACATATCAAGCTGTGCGACTTCGGTGTTTCTGGAGAGTTAGTGAATTCAATAGCAGATACATTTGTTGGGACTTCGACTTACATGGCGCCCGAGCGAATACAAGGCGCTAAATATTCAATTAAGTCAGATGTCTGGAGCTTTGGACTTACCCTGATGGAGCTCGCCATTGGCAGATTCCCCTTTGACGCCAGTGATGCTGCCGCAGGGGACAGGGCAAGTGCAGGGCCCATGGGTATACTTGATCTCCTCCAACAGATTGTTCACGAGCCAGCACCGACACTTCCCGAAAGCGATGCGTTTCCACCATATCTGCACGACATGATCGGCCAATGCTTGCGCAAGAACCCGGATGAAAGGCCAACACCAAGGGCTCTTTACGTAGGTTGATCGCCCTGTTGAAAAGGCTGAGCTGACAATTTTCAAGGATAAAGACACATTCCTGCAGGCAGCAAAGAGAACGCCGGTCGATTTAGAATTCTGGGCCGTTCAGATGATGGAGCAGCAAAATCGCAAATCGCACCTCGCCCCTCAATTATCGCCCAACACGAAAGCCCTTCTGCGTGGAGAGAGTACAGCTTCACCATCCCGAGAATCTGCAGCTTCGACTGCTTCCGCATCGAAAACACCTACGTCTAGTGAGATACCCATTGCCAACGACGATCAACGCCCTTTGCCTACTTCCACCTCCGAGCCGCCTATGTCTTCACGCATTACGGATGTCAATGGAAATAGTGGCATCTACCCTGAACAGCCAGCAATCTATGACACACCAAATTATCCACCTCGGACTTCCAGTAGTCTCAGCCAGTCTTCGACTCGATCGCGCCCCATAGGAGGTCACGAGGGCTACTCTGGGTATACTCCTGAGAGTGGTGCATTCAACCAGACTTTGCCAATCCGCCCTGCTCCACCTACGGGCCCTTTACCCCAGCGACCTCGTTCTAATTATGGGAATGTAACCACGCCGCGCGCAGCCAATGATAGCAATCATTACACCTAGAAAGATTCAGGCATTTCTCCTGACTGCGACAAGTACATTCGCGATTTCACATGTATGACCATCAATAACTAATAGCGGGTCACAGAGAACCTTGTGCGGGAGTATACACTGTAACGTTTATGGTTGGAGACCTACCAAAATAGCCGCTAATGGCAGCCATCTGGGAGTTATCTGCGTAAGAAGTGCGTCTAGTCCTCTTAGTGCATATGTGCGGAATCTGCTGTATTTGGACCTATGTTTCTTGTTTATAGATAGGGACTATGAAGCGGACTGTCTTTTCAATCTATTGACGCCTCGAACCCATCAAATGCTCGTCGTAATCCTTGTCAATACAGCCAAACTAGAGTTTTGCTTTTAGATACTCGCTTCTGATCAATAGCCGAAAATGCCAAGCCAGTTGTGCGCTAAGATAAGGGACGATAACGTCGCGTAAAGAACGCGATGAATGAAAGACTGAGGGCCAGCTCTCACGGCAACAACCTCACTGTGTTTATCCAAAATGTCGGATCTCACCCTAACGTCCGATGACGAACATGCTGTCTTACCAGCTCAATTGACTCCACGAAGCAAGATCAAAGCTCTAATAGCCGCAGTCGATGATGATGATGATGATTTGGGAACTGAATCAGCTAATGATTTAAGACCTACAGACAGCCTACAGTGGTCAGCACCCTCTGCGAGCAAAGCAAATCTCGCAAATAAACACCACGAGGAGCCACGCACAAGGTCCAATGGTTTTCCAGCGGACGATGAGGAAGATTCATCACCATTGAGGCCGCGAGGCAAGCTGACTGCCCGTCTCAATAATGGCGTGGCCAGTCCACATTGTGAATACGCAAGCGGAGGACAGGATAGTGACAAAGAGAATGCTTATGCTCGGGTCAAGAAGCAGCTGATGCGGAAGCGGCTCAAGACAAATCGCAGTCCACCTGCAATGCGCACAGCAATAGACGTAGCAAAGAGGACTACGTCGCAGTCGCCGACAAGGCCTACTCATGAGCAAGTCAAATCTGTAAGAGGCTTGTCCATGTCTCCCGCAATCACAAAACAGGGAGTATCACCTGGCTTGTTTCTTAGTCCCCGCCCATCTGGTGCATCTGCTAGGCAAACCCCCATTGCCCAAGAATTGGACAGTTCAGATAGCGATCTTCCAAGAAGTCCTCTAAAGAACAGTAAATTCCTCGAACTCGCAGCCCGCAAGAGAGCAGAGCTTGAAGCTAAACGAGATCGCAAAAAGAATAAGAAAAGATATCGGAAAGGTTCGGTTGAAATGGCGGAGAGAGGGAGTGCAACGTCCAGTGAGATGGACTCGGATGATCAAGAAGCAGACCGAAAGCTTACGCAACACGACCGCCCAACGAGAAAAGCCAGCAAAAAGGCTTTAGAGGAAATGAGCCGAGAGACCCAAAGAATGAGCAGAAATATGCAATTAGCACATCAAGCGAGAACAAAAAAGAGAATTTCGAAGGAGAGTCTACTCGCTCGCTTCAATTTTGTTGTGCCGCATGATTCAGCCCAAGGCGAATCAGCTGCACATGTCGAGTCAGCCACGGCGAGCTCTCTGCCTGCCTCAGACCATGAAATTGTAGCACACAAAGAAACCCCTCCAACCAGCCCTCTGGATACTGCCGAATCAATGCTAGACCCTCTTTCACAGGAGAAGGTCGATAAAGAGCCACCAGCTAGTAAGAGGGATTCAGCAACGACGGAAGGCCAGATGGAAAATGAGCTTCCGAATATGACTGATCTGTTGAGCCAGCCGTTACTTACTTTGCAGAAAGAGAAAGCAGAGGAGGAAACACCACAGCCGCAGCTGGAGGCAAAGAAAACCCCCCAATTCAAGTCCCAAAAGGCACCCGTAAGAGTGAAAACACCAAACTTTATCCTAAAAGGCGATGTCAACATCATCGATTCTGACAGCGACCTAGAAGTGATGCCAACAAAAGGCCAAGACACTCTCCGGGTATTCGAACGCGTACCAAGGGCCGAGGACCAGGATTTACGCCCTTTACAGACGTTGCGCGCTCTAGCACATCTAAATCCTTCCTCTGATAACAATGGCCGTAGGGTCAAGCCGTCCATATCTCTAGCTCACTTGCAGATTTCACTGCAGAGAAGGGCGAGACAGCAGGCACTTGAGGAGCGTAATGCTAAGATCCAAGATCTTAAAGCTCGAGGTATTATTGTTCAAACCGCAGAAGAAAAGGAAAAGGAACAGGTTGAGGTTGAGAATTTGCTCGAAAAGGCGCGAAAAGACAACGAAAGACTCAGAGAACGCGAGAAGAGAGCAGCTCAAAGAGCGAATATTGCCAACGGTGAGACTAATCGTACTGATTTAAGTGGTGAGGACGATGAGGACTACGAAGAAGGAAGTATGCATGAAGCTGACTTAGAGCTTTCGGACTCGGAAGACGAGGAAGTCATTGATGCGTCAGAAATTGAAGCTGACCCTGAGGATGACCAGGCGGAAGGAGCAGATGAAGATCGTAGTAAGACAGATGGTAATGCCCTCATAATGGAAGAAGCATCAGATGATAGCCGCGACGACGCAGACATTGACGCTGATACCGGGACTGAGGACGCCTTTGATAATTTGGAAGTGCAACCTCGTCGAAGAAATCGTATGATTATTGACGAGGATGATGAAAACGATTCAACTAACGTTTCAACTAATGATTTACGATCCTTCCACACCAATATCGATGATGTTGTATCACCATCACGGACTACTACCGTTGAAGTCCCAAAGCTATTCCAACATAAGCAAGATAGTATGCCAATGGGAATGACACAAGCTTTTGCTGCGACCATGGCTGACGAAGAAGACAACAGCGATTCTCAAGAATTGCTTGAGGCACTTGGGCCTCCTTTGGAACCTGAACTTCCAATTCTGCAAGTGGAAGACTCGTTACGAGTGGTAGAGGATACGCAAGATCGTCTGCCACTGCTTGCCGCTGCGGACAGCATGGAGCCTCTTAAAATTGACCTCCATACGTCTCAGATACCCATCGGGCAGAACAGCCTTGCCGAGACTCAATCACTGGCCACCCAGTTTTCTGAAATACCGGATCCAACCCAAGATGCTGGCTTTGTACTTTCATCGCCTGCACCAGAACAGCGCTTTATCTCTGAGCCGCCTTCTACGGTTGATACCGTCATTATTCCAGGGGCCGGGGATGGTTCACCAAGGCCCAAGAAACGCGGTCGCCTTCGGCGCAAGGCTATGGCACCGGCATCAGACGAGGAGAAATCAGAATCCGAACCAAAACCTCGATCAAAAAATGCTTTTGCTATTATGGAAAAGGCCCGGGAAAAGGCAGAAGCAAGGGCATCGTTCGACAAAACGAAGAGTGAAGCGAAGGAGATGGTTGAAGAGCAAGCCCAGGAATCTGAAGACGAATACGCTGGGCTAGGTGGAGCTAGTGATGATGAGAGTGCGGGTGAGGATGATGCCTTTGTCAAAGAAATGATCGACCAAGGAGAGGTGGATGTAGACGAGGGAAAGCTAGCTGCTTTTTATGCGTAGGTCCTTTGATCCTCTTCTTGGAATTTGCTTACCTTTGCGTAGAGATAAACAGCGGCTTGAAGACGGCAAGGCAGTCGAGAAGCTGTTCAAAGACATTAATAACGGCGGTCTTCGGCGCAAACGTAATAACGACTTTGATCTTTCGGATTCCGAAGACGAAGCAGAAGCTCGTCGGCGGAGAAAGCAGAGAGAGTTTGCTAAGATGCGCAAAGCTCTTCTTGAGAACGAGAACGTAGGCAAGATTGCCGAAGACCCTAGGAAGATGGCCTTCTTAAAGGCTCTTGAAGATCGGGATGGAGAAGATGATAATGACTTTCTTAGTCGACCTGCCGAAGAGTCTTTCAGAATCGAAATAGATACACAAGAGGATGGAGATTCTCAATCTCAGAAACAAACCTTGGATGAATTACCCACCAATGAGCCAAAGCGTCCTCTTCACGAATCAAATCAAGACAGGACAAACATGCGTCCACCAGCAACAAGCCGCCGTACTCATGCTCCAAAGAAACCCGCGTCCATGTTGGAGATTCGCGAATCTGTTTCCTTCTTGGTCGAAGACCCTGGGGCTCAGAACACCGCTGATACGTCATCTTCATCGGAGGACGAAGAAAATCAACAACCGTCAGGTCGCGCTTCGCCCCAAAATAACCGGCGCCGCACGAAGGCAAATCCAGTGGTCGATCGTCTGTTCTTGAAACGCCAGAGTTCCTCCTCTGCCTGGAATAACAGCAATGCAAACCTGGCTTTCCACGCTCCCACCACTTCCACCAACAACAGCTTCGTCCCTTCGCTCCTCCGCCGTGCTACCAGTTCAAGTCTCTCCAACTCAAATTCCCAGGATTCGCACGGCATTAGCCATCATGCGACCACGGAAAGAGCAGCAGGAGGGGGCGAGAAGGGCGATTTTGTGAGACGTGGGGGAACCAAAAAGAGTTCGGTGAATTTCGCGGCAAGGGAGATGCAGAGGAAGAGTGCGGTCGATGGAGTTGAGAGAAGGAAAACGCAGCAGAGAGAACGTGCCGCGAGGGAGAGGGGAACTGGGTTGGTAGGATTGTCCAGATCGAGCACGTGGGAAGGCTAGAAAAGCTGTGTGAAAATTTATCTCGTATGAGGGAACATACAAAGAATAGAAGATTGGATTTGGCCATGATTTCCTTACGTCTGCCTGTCGGTTGTTCACCATCTTTCCTTCAAGACAAGTCAATTTGCAAGCACCGGTCACAACCCATTCTTCTTTACTTGACGTAGCTCACAGCTCTGATCTACCATGTGAGAAATAGCGACTCATTCCAGTCAATGCGCAGGTCATAGAGCTAGACATACGTGGACGAGAATAAAGACATCTGTGCGTGGAACTACCATCTCAGCTGATCAGTATAGCATTGAGAAGCCTTTCTAGCCCGCAAATATATACTAGAATGATATCCGCTGTTTGCGCTCTGGCAAAGGCCTGTTTGTGCCTTCGCTTACTAGCCTTTTGCTTTGACGTGCGTACTCAAAGTGATTGAATAAGCAAAGTTATCAACACGCAGCAGGAACAACGACCAAGGCCTTTTCCAACGAATTGCCCTCGGTATTTTATAGTCTTTTGATAAGAATTGGTAGAAAGAGTTGCCAAGCAGGCTGCATGATCATTGCTAAATCTAGCTTTCTAGGCGGACCATGGCGCTGACCTGGAAGGCTCGGCAGGGTTCTTGCAGCACCTACTTCTAGGCCAAACTTTTCCCCAAATAGGCAAGCTAGACGTCCTGTACTACTCAAACAGCTCAATAGCATTCGCCAGGAGACTTGGACGTCTCATAAGATGCGTCGAGTGATATTACGACCTTCATAGGGCTCCTTCAAGCATTATTGAGAAAGAATTGGAGAAGTCGTGAAGCTTTTGCAAGAGAACAAGTGATAAAACATAGAGCCTTCAGATTTCTGCAGAACATGCCTACCTGTCGGCCTACCTGTCGAAAGACCGCTGCGAGATTCGTGGAATCTCATCCAAGCATCATTGCAACCTGTGCTACGCCCTGAGAGCACTTCTGCAGCCCTGTGGAGCTTTCAGTGTCGCACAACCACCAACCAATCCTCTTGGAGATGTCTGAGCCTGGTAATTCAGGTAGTGCGAGAGCAAAGTGTCCGACAATTTGATAGAGCCTATGCATACGGAATCTCCTGAAGACACATCTGAATGTCGCTGGGTATTAGCATATGGAGAAGCAAGCTGTTAAGGAATTTCAGCTGTCTTGCTTCTGCCGCCGCAACTAGTGATCTCACCACTGCACGCCTTTGCCTTCGACTCCGCCAGCCAGAAATCCATACCATAGGTTTCTGTTTCGGTCTAGAACTCGATGGCCTTCGTTCGGGCACCGTCGCTTGTTTCTAAGAAAGTCTGTCGAGCGTCTCAAGTGTGCCTGTATGCGAGCCAAAGAGAAACCTATATACTGGACGTGTTCTTCTGGATGCGCCGTACTTGGATCAGTGTTGCTTCCCCTTCCCTAGATTCGAAATACTCGTCGCTGTCTCCATGGGTACTCAACGTCTGTTAATGGATGAGGCCGCTCTTCTCCTCTGTCTTGACAGCATGGCCCGTTTTGGAGCGGACTCTAGCTACTTCTCTGACTCTGGATACTCCTCGCAATTCTTAAGAGCGGCAACGACTCTTGAAAGAATTGGCGTACACTTGGGTCTCTCAACCGATATGTCACGCTCAAGCTTTCTTACCTTTACCTGTATGCTGGGGCTTCAAAATATTGACTCTGCTTTCCAAACTTTTGACTTGAGAGCAAGAGTCCTATATTGCATTCCATCAATTGGCTAGAGGAACTCCGAACATGAATGCTAAGTCTGCGCACATCAGGGATGACAATACCTCTGCCTCATCCGGGTCTACTTCTTCTGGTGGAAGAGTCCTGACTGAGCCCTGCGAGTTGTCAATACAGAAAAACTGTCTGACGGACTATGTACGTCCACGGTGGCAAGTCAAGTGTGTCAACACCAAAAGTCTTGGCGAGTATGGTTTCCCACGACATCAGGCGTATCCCACTACCAGGGAGACCTATCCTGGAGCTGCACTAGGGACACTGTTCTCTATGGAATCGCTCGCGATATTATGCGACATGTCAAAAAAGTTTGAGATGTGGTCGAGATGAGAATTGAACCTTCGACCGCGAGGTGACTCGCTGCCCCTTTTACTGACTGCGCTGCAAACCACTGAGCCATAGCACGGCAAAAAAAAGAATTCCCGCTCCGGGCAGGCTCTCAAGGAGTCCCAGCCGATGCGGGGATGGATTTGGGGAGCGGCCCCAGGCCGACGATCAGATCTCCCCCCTTACACCCTGGCTTCAGGCCCTGCCAGAGCTTGCTCTCAAGAGGCTCACTGGTATGATAAGCATTGAGGTCTCCATCCTCGGTTCCCAGTCCCCATAGGCAAGTTCATCTTCGAGATTTGGTAACGGGCCTTATTACCACTGCGTGGGGCTTCCTGTGTCCTGGCTCTGAACCGACGGCTTTGAGGCGGAGGTTTTACCCTAGCAGCTACGTGGACACATTCATTTGACGGAACAAGTGAGAAAAAATTGTTTTATTTTTTCTTATATACCTTCCAAAATCTTGACACCTCAAATTCTTAACATTCCATGCAACCACCGCAATGCAATATGATTTTAAGTTAAACTTCGAAGGTTTGAGAGCCCGTTAAGCGGCCTTTTCGAGTGTTTGGTGCATCGAAATCCGATTCCTCGTTGTTGAGTAAACGGCGATGAAAAATGAGATGCCATACAAATTCAGGGGCGCGACCGGAACTTTGTTCACTTCGTACTTGCGTATTTTCACCTATCCTTCACGCCCCTTTTGCTTTTGTTTCCTGTTGGGTTTCAACGAGCTGCAAAATCGCAGGAACGCTCGGAGCTTAATGTACTCGAGCACCTGGTTCTAGTTCATCTATTTCCTGAAATTGGTTGCGTCCTTCAGCAGAGCAATTGGTGCTCGCTTCTACAACTACTTTTATCATGTCATAAAGACTCACGAACTACGGCCTATTAAGAACTTTCAGGCCGAATTACTGCTGCACTAAATTAGAGCAAGGCAGTTTCTCTTCGAAGTCAAATACATCGTTGTCGATGTTTAGACTATGATATATTTACAAAGATCGATCAATGACTCGCAGCATGGCAGTCGCAAGACTCAACGCACTCGCATTACGTCTACATACATGTTTAGGGGTTTAATGCTCACAGCGAATTTTATGTGATTCTCGTTTGACCCATTCATTCCCATTTGTGCTCCACATTATGTGACTTATTTTTCATTTATACTTTTCGAAGACCAAGCTAATGTACACAGAGATAACAGACTACACTGGCTAGCACAAAGAACGAATTGTCATGCAAGCTATGGCAACCCTGTATCGATCCTGGTTTAGTGGAACTCCTCAGGGGGCGAGGTCTTTCGTTGTTATCCGCGGTGACCAAACAGACCGATCGCAGAGGAGCCAGCACACTGATCCCAATCAGTATATTCCAGAGGTCCGAGCCAAAGTCATGTTCAATCGAAGTTGTGCTCTCTTGTCGTCACCATATATGACCAGGCTATTCTAGAACAGCTAGAGACACGCATCATCTCAAAGTCTACTTGCCAGTAAGGAACAACTTCTTTGGATGCTATCTTGAGAATAGTATACAACCGACGACGAGGTCTCCCACTCCTCCCAAGAAGATGCGATTTCGAATCCATCACACAGTACCCAACGTTCCATTCAGCCTAGCAATTCCTGGTGGAGCCACAGTTTGCATGTGCCCCAGCAAGCGTCTATCCCAGTCACTGTCCAGACCCCAAAACCCCACAAAGATGCTCGTCGCTTCACCCCCAGGAATCCATCCGGGAGACGGGCTGTCCTCATGCATCCCAATCACGCAATCATCAAACACCTGGTACGCTAATTTCACCAGGTCCCGGAAACTTGCGGTGTCAATATGCTGCAAGCCCTGGGGTGCTGCCTCCTCTATCTCGTCGTCATTACCGATTATCATTTCGCGCATCCAGATTGAGACGACGCATGAACCGGATACATATCTCCTGGGCACTTTCCTTGAAGTTGAGCTATCGGGGCCCGCGGTGGAGAATGTGAATGAGCGGTCCCGAAATGTTGCGACGTCGTTCAGGAGAAGGGTGTTCACAGCGTCCTGGCAAGAGATGGAATCTAGAACAGCACCTCCACCTGTGTACCAGTCAGGGTCGGTACGGCACCAACTTCTGTAGTTTGCGGGTGCTCCGCTTTGCGAGGTGATGTTAGTGAGTAAGGCACTTGGGATTGGGGCAAATGTTGGTTTGGCTGCAACGAGCGCTAGTTGAGCAAGCAAGATAAGGAGATGCATTTGGAGCTGCAGAGGTTGATGAAGTTTATGTCTGTGGTATGCTACCTTCCTAATCATGATTCTTCGAATAAAATAGTAGTCCAATCGCGGAAATGAAAACGGGTGCCAATGTCTCATGGCGCATGAACGACGTAAGTCATTTCGCTGCTGAATGGAAAGCGACGATGAAGTAGTCCTCACCAGTGTCTCGCTCTGAACACAGAACAAGTTTCGCTGCAATCGTAGAGAACATTGATCCAGAAGAGCGGGTGGTTCAAGAACTAAGAGTTCATGTCTTCACTAAATGAAAGCTTCCGTATCTTGAAATAGAGGTCACACATTGTTTTGTCTTGTTTTGGTGAGCGAAAGGGCTAAACACGAGGCAATCGTGTTGGAATGTATGACCGAACGAGCTAATGAAAATGGTATTTGCACTATTGGGTATCACAAAATGCACGAATGATAGTGCGGCGTCAGAACTACAACGCTCGAAGAATATGCCTAAGAGAATGAGCTTGCCTCATCACACTTTCCAGTCTGAGCTTTTTCCACCCGCAGACGCCGAACACCATGCTCAAATATTCACACATGCATTAATCATCATCAGGCGGGTCTGAGAATAGACTGACTCTCAATCGGTGGCTCTGCTAAATTGTTAGTATGGGCACTCGAGGCACTTCAGTACTCAATGGTACTCACAAAGGGCAGCTTGGGAATCACTACCCCCAGGACAGCCAGAAAATTGACGATGAAGTACGTCAGGTCATAATGCGTATAATGTGTACTCAATAGGAACAGCAAGATCGGTACACTCAGCAAGAACTTCTTGGCTGGGGTGTACTGATCTCCATTGTCGATCTGTTCCCACATGTTCAGATTGTCATAAGCCCCCGCGTTGAAGTCGAAGGGAACGCCCCGAACGTAGTGGAACATGAGATAGGAGCCAAACATGTAACAGATGTTGGTCAGAGTCCAAGAGGTCTCTTGTGACATGCCCGGCATGATGTCGAACAGTATCTTGAGGGTAATGATAAGAACAACATGAATAAACCATGCTCCTAGACGGACATTAGGTTAGCATTCATGTCCTTAGAGATTCTCATTGTTTTCAACCTCAGGCTTGTTCAACAGCCTCCCACATGGGACAGACAACCTCAATACTCGCTGTGGGGCTCATACCTTTTGCGTTGACCCAGCCTGCGTTGAGGTTTGGGGCTGCCAGCTGATCACTTATGTGCTCTATCGATTCCTGTGGTTCTTGATACAAGATGCTACTGGAGCGCCTCCGGCCCCTCTTCTTTCCGCTATTCATGCCGTCGTACTGCAATTCCAAGTACAGAATTTAATCTGACGCTCGGTATGTGCCCTGAAAAGCGGAACAGGCTATTCGACAATCTATTGAGGATACTAGATATTGAAGCGGTAGGCAATGGATCGAGCAATCGGATGGTTTGTGAGGAACCAGGCTACCATAAGTGACTGTGATCGCTTGAAGCTGTAGTGAGCGGGAATTCCATATATACTACTCGGAAACGTACCGAACAAGACGGTCTAATGATCCGTGACCCGCTTCACTAAGTGTAAGCAGTAGCTGCGTAAGCTCCCCAACGTCCCAGTTGCAGGTTGCCGACGAGAAGCTTGGCCGGTGGAAAGCTCTGGAGAGATCTGCTAGATCCGCGAAGGATGTTCAATGCTACAAGAATGATTGATAAATTGGGAAATTGATAAACATATCTTTCTACTACATCTTGGGCACTGAGAAAATCGAATTTTTGGAGAAGCCAACGAGCGGAGCTACCTCTGGCGGGCAAATATTCGGCCCGGCATTACGTCATTCTTTGCACTTTTAGTAAACAGAATCTTGGCGTTCGCTGGAACGATCTCTTTTAAGCAAAATACATAAATCATATGGATGACGTGCAGTACTATGGACATCTGGCACTTCTCCATAAGCCAGGAAAAGCTTTCTGCTGACAATGGCAGCTGACCATCCCAAACTTTCTGCCGATGAGGATTCACGAACAACCTTAGGCAAAAGGCCAAAAGCACAAATTTCAACGGACAACGGTGTGCAGGTAGACTCTGCGCAGTCTGCGCCTCGTAAGCGCGCCAAGAAAGAAACTAGCCAATGGCTTGAAGACTTTGGTGAGTTCGTACTCAGGGTGGATGTTGTTAATGGAGGCGTTCATTTCAATGGCGATTGAAGGGCTAATCAGGAGGTCACAGACGGTAGTAGTTCTCCTCGGGAAACTACGAATCCTACAGCTGTAAGCGAAGTAGTTCCATCGAGAAATAGAGCGGATGACGAGAAGGCTGCGGAGAATGGATTCAATCGACCTTCCCCAAATTACCCTTCAAAAATACCCGTTGCTTTCTCGCCATCAGACATTCCCGACCTTCGAGATGTCATAGACCTCTTTCCTTCGAAATCAGAATCGAGCAAGGTGAAATGGCCAGTCAAGGAGAATAAAGCCTACGTCACAGGTGCGATGTTGCTCTGAATCAAGACGTGACATAAAGATGTGCCTGCAGCTGAGCTGATCAATTGCCTGTATTAGCGTTCGAGAACCTGATCAAACACAACCCTAAGTCGACAAAAGATTCAGATGCCTTCGCGAGTAGACTGGCGTGGTATCAGTATTTTCCACTTTGTGAGAAATGGTTCAACCCTCCACCAGCGAAGGCCCGAGAGGTTGCCCACGGAAGAACGGAGACTAAAAAAGCAAGACTTCGCTTCTGGTCATTAGTTGAGAATTGTAAGGCAGAAGGCACATTACTGGAATTACGTGCGGGCAAATTTGGAGGTGTTGAGGCGCTTCGCGAGTATGCTGAGGACCACAAGATGGAAGAAAATTTAGAAGATGAAGCTGATGGTTAGAAATTCCAGCCACATACGCAAATTTTGCTAACAGAGGGTTTTAGACCTGATCAAGACTTCTGAGCGCTTTGAGATGGCGGTTGCCCGTCGCAAACAGATCCCCTCAGTCAAGGTGAAAGCTTGGGGTCGCGCATGTCAGAAGGTGCATTTTACAGAAGTTGATCTGAATTACTGTAAATACTACCCAAGCGGTCTCGAATATCAACCTATAAGTACGTTCAAAAGGCCTAGTTTCGACGTACCGGACATGACACCATCATTGAACGGCTCGCCAGCGCAGCTTTGGAGGCTAGTTGAGAAGTGCATGAGCGATGGAAACTTGCAGAAGCTTAAAGACGGGCAATTATCTCCAGAGTATGTGACGCAAGCGGCAACTCATTTGAACGCGGATCTGGATAGTTCTAACAACGCCACGAACCACCAATTAAATACTGAATTAGACTCTGCAAGCCTAATTGAAACTGGTGACGATAGCGACAAAGATGAAGGTGGTGTAGCAATTCTCACAAATGCAGGTCTGAGAATTGATCGGGTTACACTATCGCCGAACGACAATTACGGTATGTCTCCTATCGACCAGGAGGCCAGAAAGGAGCGTACGGAAGCGAATCAGCATCTTGAAAGTGACTCACAGGATTCAGATGAGATGCACGTTTACGCAAATTCTGAGCTGGTGGCACCGCGTGCATCTTCTCGCCCTCAATCTCCCAAAATAATGCTTGAAGAGCAACAGGAGTTTAAGTTAGGAGTACGTATATTAGCTGATTTGACACCAGAAGATCTTAACGCACAATTGCGATATTTTCACCTGTTCAAGCAGGCAAACGAGGTGCCTGGCGATGCCTTAGTCAGATGCTTGACATGTCGTGAAGCAGGTCATATGGCACCAGACTGTGTAGACTTGACCTGCACCCACTGTGGTGCCTTCAATGTTCATGCGAGTTCAAAGTGCAACTTGGTAAAGAAATGCACTAAATGCAAGGAACAAGGTCATGTTGTTGCCGAATGTCCTCACAAACTGAAGCGAGTGATGACTCATGAACTTTCATGCAATCTTTGCAAGCGTAATGGGCACGACGAGGAGGACTGCGAGCTCATTTGGCGTACGACCGGACTCCCTGTAAGCTTCGACATGCCGAAAGCAGACCTCAATCATCTATCATGTCACGAATGTGGAAAGTCTGGCCACCTGGGCAATGACTGTCCATCTCGCAGACCAGGTAAGGCATTTGGTACAACAACATGGTCGCTTCAAAAGGACACATTTATCAGACGGCTCGATTCTGCCGCTCCTGAGCTCAGGATTCGTGGTCGAGCTCGGCAACCTCCTGCCCAACCGGCCGTGATCAGCGATGAGAACGATCAGAACAACTTTTACCGCTCGAGACAGCAAAAGCCATCTGGTCGAGGCCAAATTCGTATCAAGAATAACTTTGCCAATAGCCAGACTCTGAACTCACTTCAACCGATCTCGACAAGTGACGGCCTCAATCCCTCTAAAAAGAGTAATCAATCACAGTCCGAAGCTGGCTATGGACACCCCCGAGGGTCTCATGATGCACCGCGTCAAGCTTCTAATACCAACTCACAATACATTTCCAGTCCCATGAGTTGGAATCTCCAGGTCCAGCCTCAAGTGGACCGGTACCTTCCCCAGCAACCGTCTGCTCAACCATACCGGCCAATGCCAAGTGCAGCCCAGAATGCATGGAGCAAATATCGATCTTGAGGTGTTAGCATCGAGCGTTGCTGGATACCCACTACTCAGCATGCTCCAAGAACATCCTCCTCGACTTTGGCGTTACGATGGCATGATCAACGATATACGATTAGAGGTCCTTTGCTTGCGCTAGGTTGCATCTTAGACTCGAGTGATACCCATTAGTAAGGTAGCTAGCTATGAATAAAAGTCTCGAAAGCAGACCATTGAGCTCCTTTCCCATTGCTTTGCTGAGATTCTCGAATGCTCAGTGTCCTCGACTAGCACGTGCGTTGCCCGGCGCTCAGACTGCTGAGATGGAAAAAGATCCTCCACACTCACGCGCCATCATCTGTCATCACCAACGAGACTACAGAATAGCTATTGTTGGGTCATCAAGCTGGTCAAGATGCCAAAATATGAGTCCTTGCTACCTCTGTCTTACGTGCTTAAGCTAACATAGCTCTACTCTTTTGTAGGTGCTTTTGTGTCGTTCAGAAACAGAAGTTGTTCATGTAAATCTTTAGGCGACTATTGCGATGTCTACCTCACTCATGACTCTATGTCAGTGCGAAAAGCACATAACAGTGGCCGAAATCATGAGCGGAACGTCCTAGAGTACTATCAGCGTATGCCTCCTCCTGCTACTGCCAGTCCAATAATCAAACCACCAAAAACTTCGCTCACAAGGATCATGATAATAGAAATTGGCCACGAGAAAGCCCAATCGGTCATCGATTCTATCACAAACTCCTATAATGCTGAGGGACAAGGCGCTGCAAATCCTATGCTTGCACCACAGGGACCTCCCCCACCAATGCCAGGACAAGGCTTTCCACCTCCTCCATTCGGTTTTCCAGGTAGGACACCTGAAGCGCACGCCTTCATGTCATCTTGAAGCACTTTCGAAAGCTAATTAAAGACTGTCTGTAGGAGGAATGCCACCCCCACCTTTCAACATGCCCGGAGGACCTCAGGGCGGACCCCCACCTGGATTTCCACGTACGTATTCCTCGTCTGATCGCCTCAACATATGCAAAACCTTCTTCCTACCTTGATCTTCATAGCAAAATATAATGTTCCTATTAATTCAATGCATGTGCTGACTGCTAAATACAGCACCAGGAGGGAGGGGCATGCCCCCATTCCCGCCTTTCCCACCAGCCGGTTCACCGCATGGTCAGATGCCGGGCATGCCACCGAATATGCCCTTTCCACCCCCGGAGGCATGCCCTTTCCACCACTAGGTCAAGGTCAAGGTCAAGGTCCAGGCCAAGGCATGAGTCCCCCGCCGGGGCAGGGAACGCCCGGTGGGCAAGGAGGCCCTTTTGGGGCTCCGGGAGGTCCAAATGGTGGAGGCTATCCACCAGGAGGTAGATAAGATGATATTCAAAAGCAGAATCATTGATGAAGCTAAGTCACGGCGACATGACTTACTGGGAATGGACACGATGTGCCTCGAGTGGCAATCGTTTCAGAGCTGAAGATGAGATTGAGTGTCCAGCGAAGAGAGTAAGACTCATCATTGGAATACATATGACACAAGACTGATTGTATATAGACTCTTAGATGCTGAATTGCTAATCGACCCCATATTGTCCTCTGAATATCAGATTGTCTGCATATTACAAAACTTGACCCCTGCTCAATCCCGACCCTTAGCACTTTACCAATCTTACGAAATCCGCAGACCTCCGTCAAGCGTATCCAACGCCCGTCTTCACACCCCTAGGAAGTCGCTAGCCCTGGAAACGCGACGGTCTCATTCTGGCCTCCACTACCTTCAGCATCAGCAGCCCCATCATCCGGTTCCCCAAACCCCGGCGTCACGTTCTTCGGTAACTTCGTAAATCCAATCTGAATCATATTATTCCGCCCCGTAACTACTGACCCCCCTGTCCTGGGCTTTGCCCCTCCACTTGCACTTGCCAACTTAGCACAATTGAGAATCAACTGTGTAACAATCACCTGCAGGCCCAAAGTTGTGTAAATATCAGATTGCTCTGCTGCGCCTTCGACGAGGCTTATGTCGACCTGGCACCGACCGTATCCCACAGTCTTGGATAAATCACCTTGGTGAAGAGTCTGCTCAATAGTGTCCATGCCAAGTTGGAGAAGCGCATTCTGGCAGTCGTTGGCGTCGGGGAAAGCTGTCGTGACTTTATCAGGACAGGTGAAGTGGGGCTTATCGTCGTCATTCTTAGGGCTGGATGTTGTGACATTGGTAGTGCCATTGGAGTCGGCAGGAAGGGCAGAAGTAAGGGCGGAGAAGGAGAGAATGGACAGGCAGACGGAGAAGGAAAGGTACATCGTTGTGGTACAACGAAGAGGCCTGCGGACTTCGATTTAGAGCAAGAGCCTTTGGGTTTTGTGAGATCTTGTGGGTCTCGCGTAGGTGATTTCCCACTTTTTCCCAGGACTCTCCACGTTTTATATAAGCTTTCCCAGCATTCTGGGGTAGCTCGCTCATGATGGAAATGTTTTCAGGCGGTAGCCCAACTTATGCGCGTGTCTTAGTCGCGAGGCGCATATCTATCTCTGTCGTTGTTGTCATTAGCAAATGTGAGACCAGGAACCGATTCCGCTCGTACTCATCCCCTTTGAAGGATGGACATTGTTCGAGACTAAGCGAGACTACTACCATGTTGAAGGCGTTGTGTCTTGCTCTGGCAAATGGTAGAACCCGCTAGAGGCTGCGTTGAATAGACTAAAGAGGAATTTGGAAATCGTTTTGCATATTACAAGAGTATAAAGCAAATTGAAAACCGCTAGGAATGACTTAAAAGATCACGGGTTGGAAGTCTTTTCAACAATATCATGAAGCTGAGCAAGATGCCAGAGAAGACATGCAATTCGGAGAGAATCAATTCCAACAACCTGGGTCTCAAAAATGGCCCGTAGGATTTTCTTGGCGGTCATCATACATCAAGGTCATTGATCAACATACTAATACCCACAGAGGGGGTTCACTTAACAATACTTCCTCATTCGCTTATCCGCTGCTTTTGCCTGGCGGATCTCGAGGCCCAACGAGCTGCCTCCTAGCGGCACCGAAATTGATGCCTTCACCGCCTCTGTTCTGGCTATCTCCACCCAAGTACCCGTATTGCGAAGTATCCCAAGCTCCTCCTCCAGGAGTGACTGCTTCACTAGACCTAACGCCAGAAGCAGCTGCAGCTTGGGTCACTTTCTGCGCTTCCTCCCATTCCTGCTGCCGTTGGCGGTCGAGTTCCATTTCCCTGGACAAGAGTGAAGAAGGCTTCGCGAAAGGTGGCTTACGAAGGGGATTACTCGGTGTGTTAGACGCGGGAGACTTGGATAAGGTTGGTATTGATGGGGACGGAGTTGCTTGAGGGCGTGCAAAGGGAGACTTGCGAGTTGGTGATGTCGATGAGGTGTAATTTGCCGGATCAGGAAGTGGGCGTGTCGGCAAGGATGGAGGGGGAGGTGATGGAGTCTTCGAGTGCTCACCCTGCGCTGGGAGATGGGAGGTCTGAGGTATTGGCAACGGGCGTGGTGGCTGAAGCGGTGGTATCGGCGCTAAGGGTGGTATTTCTCTCGCCGGTTGTGGAGATGGCAATGGTCGCGGTGGTTTTGCTGGTCCTGCTTCCTCTGGCTGAATTTGGCTCTCTTGCCATTGTTTGCGAAGAAAATCTCGTTCATCTTCTCGATCTGGGCCCTCGTCTTCTTGAAAAGCGAACGCTGGCACTGACCTCGTTCGGCTTTTGCTTCTTGATTCATTCCGCCGATACTGGGGAACAGGTCGTGATCGACTTCTTTCACGCCGCTGGTTTCCCTGGAGTCTCTCTTGACGCTCGCGCTCATATTGTTCTTCCCGAGCTTTCGCCTCTTCGAGTTGCCGCTCAAGCTCTTGTATTCTTTCCCTTTCACTGTTTCCAATGCTAGGCTGCCGTTTCTGCTCTGCTTGATACTGTGACAGAAACTGGCCTGTGAGCCGAACATCTTCATGAGCCTTTTTCCTCTGTCTATCGATTGCTAAACGAGCTTCTGCGTCTTGCTCTTCTTTCGCACGCAATTCTTCCTCTGCCTTCCATCTTCTCTCTTCCTCCTGCCACCGTCTCTTCTCGTCTTCTATGCGTTGCCTCTCGATTTCCCTTTGCCGGGTCGCTTCTTCTTCTCGCCTCTGATCTTCCTGTCTACGCATTGTCTCTTCCTCCTTACGGCGTCTTTCTTCCGCCTGCTCTTGCTCTTTCTGCAGCCGCCCTGCTTCAGCTTCTTGTTCTCTTCTCTTACGTTCCTTCTCCGCAAGACTCGGTACTTTTGGTGCATCGCTTGTAATCTGCCGTCGTGCACCAAAGGAAATACCTTGGTTACCTTGACTTGCGCCGCCCATGTACCCATATTGATGGATATTCCAAGCTGGCGCTGTTTTCCCTTCATCTGTCTTCCTGCTCCAACTGCTAACTCCTCCTCCGGAACCTTTGGGTGTTGAATCTTGAATCGAAGTGTTGAAACTCCCAGGAGGCTTGAGGGGACTTCCAGAGCCTCCGATAGCTTGTGATGGCCTGTGAGATGTTGTGGAGCTGCTTTCACTAAGATCGCTCACGTTCCTTGGCCGACCATACTGTGGGCTAGCAGCCGAGAATCCACCCGTACTCTGTGGGCTTACAACACCGCCCTTTCCTTTTTCTCCAAGTACGTTTCTAAACTTTGTAGGCTGCAACGCATGCGCTCGCCTACTGAAGGCAGAAATGCATTGTAGCACTTGCGCTGGATCCTTGGATTCGTACAAGTCAACTGTCTGAAATACGTCGTGGGATTGCAGACCAAGAGGCGTAGATTGACAAGCACGTAGGAAGTGAGAGATATTTTCCATCTGCACAAAGGGCATGGAAGACTCCTTAAAACGCACGCTCCCTGGAACCGCCAAGTTCACCAATCTAGCAGGAAATCAGGTCTGCATAATCATTTCGGCCATGGTTTTGTGTACTTGCAGAGTGTAGTACCATCTTTCAGCGCCTGCAGGAGGTCACCAGGCTGCAATTGCTCGCCTAATGCGCTCTCGATCCAGGTTCTGACTTCGTTTGCGGCTTGCGGGGTATATTTTGACAGGCGTATATTCTTCATGTCCTTGTCTAGAGAGGAGACTGACGCCATATTGGCGCGCAAATTGATGTATCAGGAAAGGAATATAGTGGAATGCGGGCTGTGAACTCGGCCAAAAGTGCAAGGATTATACAAGAGGCTATGCAACAGGAGACGCTCACCGTCGCGATCGCATTCTCAGAGTAAGTATGGAGGTCGGAAGCAAGATGTCTCCGGACATCAAAGAATGTAGGAGCGTGAGATGCCTTTGTCTCGTTCAAAGGGAAAGCCGCTAGCTCACCCGATGACGCCAGTTTTCTTCAAACTTTTTGATATTCGACGAGTGATGTCCAAGTCTCTAAAATTATATCTACCATGACTACGACAGTGCAGTCACCTCTGAGCTCTCTATGGCGTAAATGGAAGTCTGTCAGATTGCCTTGGCGACGTCGGTGGCTTGCGGGTATCACTATGATTGCTCTAAGCATTCCAATCCCCTGTTGACTTACCGCGTTTCTAGGCGTCGACCTGAACGGCAATCAATACTACTACTTTCGTCCATCAGCTTCCCTCCCTATCCGTCGTATATTGCAGTCAAATCCACAAATTCCATACTCCGACATCAATATCCCTCCACAATGGCATCAGTGGCTTCGGCAGACTCGCCCCGAGCCTCCATCCTTGCAGGAACAGCAGAACGATCTCATACGTCAGCAGCAGTTGAAGGTACTAGCTAGACAGGCTGATGAGCGATGGGCACAAAAGGCAAGTGTGCTTGATAAACCGAGACGAGCAAATCAAGAATTGGGAGTGGGTGACGGAGAGACGGAAGGGACCGTAGGCAGGAGATGGGAGCCAGGCAGAGAGACAGCTAAGGGCGAGATTGTTGAGAAAGACAGAAGTGAAGCCGAACGAAGAGAAAGAGAGAATCCATGGAAAAGGGACAGAGGAGCGCCTGGTGAAGGCTGGCAGCCCGAGAGTTGGGGTGGGAATATGGCAGCAAGAAAGCCTTGAGCTTTTGGATCCGCAGAAGGTGCAGAAATGACAAATTCAATCGAGAAATAGTGGTCAAGAGTCGGATGCGATTCTAATAGCGAAGCCGGCAAGTAAAAATTTGCATGGCGACCGACTTACCAAAAGTATAAAAGCAGGCCACTCTCTTTAAACACGCCTAGTCAATGGAGTATAAAACGCTCGTTGGTATATTTATCAGGAGCTCATATCTCGTCCGACGAACCCGTCCAAGACAACGGCGAAGCATCAGAAGTCTACGCTCTTCAACCCATCTATCAAAACAGCATGGCAGCACCGATCATCGCTCCAGCAATTACGATGTACAATCCTCCCAACGCATCGCTCCGACTCGCTGCGTTGGAAGCTGCATTAGTTGGCAAAGCAGTTGAAGTAGCAGTTGCGTGATGTGATGTTGTGCTAATTGGACCAACGGCAGTGGCAGTAGTAGCAGCAGCCGCACAACTCGCGCTCACCGAGCTCAACGAACTCAAACTCGCCGATAGAGTCGATGGTAGCTGACGCGCTGTTGTAGTCGTCCCAGAGACGGCGAAAATATCTGCTGTTTTGAGTCCTCCAGTAGTCGAGGTGTAAGACGCCGCCTGGCGAGCTAAAGAGGAGGATTGTGATGCGAGGCTAGCGGTATCACACTGATGGGCGTTATTGCCAGATTTACCGTTACTCGATCCTCCAGAGGAGTCGTCGGAAGAGTCAACGTCGTCACCGTTGTTGCTGCCATTCTTGATGGGTTGGCTAGAAGAGGAGGATCCGGATCTGCTACCACTGCTACCACTTCCACTGCTGCCAGCGCTTCCGCTGCTGCCACCTCTGGCGCCTCCTGCTGACCCTGCGCTGCTGGATCCACTGGAGCTGCTTCCGCCTCCGCTACTGCTACTACCCGCTGGTGAGCGCGGGAGGAGATACCAAGAACTTGAAATGGGTGAGGTAGCACGTTTGATTACAGAGTCCCAGGTCTCGGAAACCTCATCGAAGACCTGCTGGGGCAATGTTGCTGGGGTACTTGAACAGACGTGAAAGAGGATGAAGAATGAAACGAAGAAGGTGAGTGGAGGTGAATGCATTATGATGTTTTCTTGCGTAAGGAAAGAAGCCCAAAGTCTTTGATTCTCACTTCCAGTTTATCACGGTCCACTATCAATTCCTCGTACATTTTCGTCTCTTTATATCAACTGCCTCCCCATGCCACCGTTTCTTTTAGCCCGCCCTATACAAGGAAAAGCCTGCGCAGAGAGACGCCCTTTGCGGACGCTAGGGCAGTGCCACATTTCAACAGACAAACAAGTTGGGGTAAGGCTGTCTCATTCGCTGAAGGTCGCTGAAACCAATGAGGATCCGTTTCACGAAGGATCAGTATCTGACAGCCATCCTTCAGGAGGCGCAGGGCTGCGTCCTCTAGCCTCTTCCTGCTCAGCCGCATACAGCTGGATGCGCGAAATAAATTTCAAACAAGGAACGAGGAAGTCTGCGTGTAAGTTGATGGTATATGTGACGTTGACTGACGCCCAATTTGTTGAGGTATAAATTTTGCAAAGTCACTTGCGTGAAGATTATCACCGAAGCCATGGCCTAAGGCAAAGGGAAGATCACGAATTTTTAGTCCCTGGTTTTTCGTTGCTACACCTCGAAGAGCCTCACCTGGTCCTTCGGAATATCCGGAAACGAAAGTTGGGCTGATTCCTTCTCTCATGGTTACGATGCAATTTCCTCGAAACATTAAGCGAAGGCAGTGTAGCAATAATAGCATTGAGGTCAGCCCGAAGGATTTGGCTGCAGCATGCCGAGATGAAGATCTATAACTGTCCTACAGGAGATCCTGTGACATTAACGCTCTTTTCTTTTCTAGGGAAGATATAGATCTAGTCTCGCTTCGCATGATTCGTTCTCACTACCGTCAATCTGCAGCTTATCATACCCCAGTCTATGCCTGAAATGCAAAAGTCTTGTATCTCATTATATATGAATACAATTTGGGTATATTCCTAGCGAAACAATAGTCTTTCCTTTGCATGAAACATTCTTCTGAAGCTCATCAATAAAATTCTCGCTTGTGTGTAGCATGCTGAATCCACAAGATTTGCTGTTTCCCGAAACTCGCTAAATGCATTCTCAAATCCGCTCCTTTCGCGATGCATTAGAATCCCATGTCCACACGCTATGCATCCCAGAACTTCGCCTGATAAAAATCAAGCAACGTCCGCAAAATCTCACAGTAGCCTCCACACCACCCCCACGACTCCAACCGCCAACGCCATCGCACTCACCCCAAACCCACTCGCAGCATTACCATTAACGGCAGGCGCAGCAGTCGAACTACCCGTAGCCGTAGCAATCGGCGTCGTCGACGGCGCCACAGTCGTACTCATCGTCGTCTGGCCGCCCGCCCTGGCCGCTGACGTAGCAGAAGCCGCATTTGCCTTATTTCCACCTGCTGGCCCCGTCGCTTTGGCAGTCTTACTGGCACAGCTCTGAGCCCAACTACTCCATTTCGCCGCCACGGTCGGATGCGGGGCGAGCGCAGCCGAGTTCGGCACAGTTTGCGCCTTGCAGTCATCTTTTGCTGGCGGGTCCGGAGAATCGGGGTCGTGGTCACCCGAGTCGCTGCCACCGTCGCCATCCGAGTCGCTGCCATTGTCGGTGTCGTTGGAGTCGCTGTTTGTGTCTCCGCCATCGCCACCGTCTTTGTCTTTGTCTTTATCTTTGCTCTTGTTTGCGTTCTGGCTATTTTGGTTCGAGGCACCTTTTTGGGCGGTGTTTGAGGCTGGGTCGATGGTGGGGTTGTTGTTGCCGTCGTTCTTGGCGGCTTGGTTGGAATTAGATTCTGATGCTGGGTCTGTCCCTGGCTCGGTGTTCGAGTTTTGTTCTGCATTGTGGCCATTCTGTTGTGCTTGTCTTGTTGCGCCTTGATTTGTCGCGGCTTGATTTGCTGGTTGTGGTGCTGCGCGGACGGAGAGGTCGTGAGAGAAGCGGTTTGGGGAGTCTAGGGGGGAAGGAGCATCGCGTTTGAGGATCTCAGGGGAGAGAGCGGCGAGCTCAAAGGCGGTTGCTGGATCATCGAGGTCAGAGGAGTCTCCTGATTTTGCTGAGGAGAAATGGGCGAGGATGAGAAGGGTCATGGTGGTTGCGAAGTGCATGGTGAACAGTGTTCGCGAGCGTCCTCGTCCGAACGCCGGCGGGAAACGACCTTGCCAGATGAAGACATGAGTGCCATCGTATATGTACAGAGTTCTCGCAGAGCCTGGCGGGGCACTGTTGTTGCAATACGGCCTTCAGCCACTTTCTCAGCCGTTGATCTGGGGGTAAAAGTACTAGATTGGCTTAGTAATGAGACTCCGAGGGAAGAAAGACGCTTCATTGGTCAAGAAGACGAAGCTTCCTTTGTTTCATTTGATACGAGCTTGTTAGTGCTGGCAGGGGCTGAGAATCCAACAACTGCTGCGCATCGCGGTACGGCATGGAAACCCCCAACCCAATGTTCAGTCATGGGTAAGTCAGAATGCTTGCCGCGAGCTTGGAAGAGCAACCTTGAAGTGATTAATTTGTATTTTTTGTAGATATTCCTGCTTTCCAAAAGGTGTATCTTCATGCTTGACTCTTTTCCTGCCTAGCTTTCCTCTCTTCCACCGTCAAATCACTTTTCGCCTTTTTTATCCTGACAAATACCAACAAGATGAGAAGCGCCAGTGCAGCGCACGTAAATTGGTACCAAAAGACTGATTGATAGCTTTTCTTGAGCCCTTGTTTTGCCGTCTCCGTTTGCGTAACATCTGCAAAGGCCAAACAGACTGCGATGCCAAGGTAGAGCAAGCTGTTGATGATAGCGCCTGCCAGGCCTTGTCGATCGTGAGATAGGCTCGTCGAAATAAAGATGTTGGCAACATTCCAGGTAACGTCGATGCCGACTGTAGCACCAATCATAGCAGGGAAGACATAAGCCCAATAGCTCGCGCCATCTGGTGCGACAGCGAATAAGATTGACGTCAAACACCATGCAAGACCAGCTATCAGGATTAATAGCGTCCCTGGTATCAGATGAAGAACGTAGCCTCCAACGATTGCAATGATGATACCGCCTCCGCTCATGGGAGCGCACCAGGCCGCGACTTGAAGAGGGGCTGCACCCATGATGTCTTCCATATAAAGCGTGGCGTATAAGAGGAAAACACCTAAGACCCCATAAGAAAAGAAGAGAGCGATGAAGAGCGGCGTAAGCTGTGGAACGCGGAAAATGTCGAATGGAAGCAGCGGAGCCTGTGCGACCCATCCTTCGACATATAAGGCAACTCCAAGAAGAAAGGCTCCCAAAATGATCGTCACGGGTATGTAAGGAGTGCGCCAACCATTTGGTGCGTGCGAAGCATCGGTCACTCCGAAGACAAGGAGGATAAGTCCCGCCACAATCAAGATTGATCCATACCAATCCATCTTCACCCCTAGTTCCTTTCGTTCTTGCATGTCGGAAGGAATGGCGAAATATGCAGGAATAAGTATCGACAAAATCAGAATCGCACCAATCCAGAAGTACCAGCCAAACGGCAAATAGCTGCCGGTGACGCCCGCAAAGAAGATGCCCACAAAGAACCCAAAAGGTGCAGCGCAGCCGTACAGCGAAAACATGATATTCAGCCGCGGTCCAGGGCGGTAGATACTTCCAATCAGCATGACCCCAGACGGTAAGAAAGCAGCCGGACCAAGGCCTTGCAGTGCTCTGCAGAAGTCCAGCATCAACTCGTTCTGGGAGAACCCTGCGATGAGAGACCAGAGCATGAACCAGGCCAAGCCGCCGATGTAGACGGGATACCCGCCGTACATGTCTGCGAGACGACCAAACGGGAGAAGAAATGCTGCAGTCACCAGTGAGAAAGCAGAAGCGGGCCAGACTGCCGATGCCTGCGGTATGTCGAGCTCACGCTTGAGCGTTGGAAGAAGTACATTGAAGCCGGATACGAAGTATTCCTACATGCTTTGTCAACGACGTCAGTGTTTGGCGTGTGAAACCGGACTTACAGCCATGATCTGTGAAGCAAGGATGGAGTAGGCAAAGGCGACCTCTGCCCAAATAGTCTCGAATTGAGCCGGTCGTTGTCGGCCTAAACGTTCAATGCGAGCGGCCTCGGACTCCTCGTCGTCCTTGTCTTTGTTGTCGTTGACAGTGGGCTGCATTGCAGGCGAGGTAGACGGCCGAGCGTCTTCCCTTTGGGACTGCCTCTCGGTGCCTTTACCAGTAGGTTGGCGATCAATGCTGAACGTACGGCTGCCATTGAAAAAATGTCTGTCATTGTGGGCACCTACTGCGGCTACAGGTGCCTCTGGAGACATCGGCGAGGTCATTGAAACTGATCCAGCTTGAGAATGTCCATGCTGAGCAGAGTCCATGGACGGCGGGGGGAGACTCATCCTTTTGAAATGATGTCAAGCCCGTGGTAGAGTTTCGGGGTGGTGCCGGGAGCTGAAGATTAGTGGCCAAGAAAATCGCGTTTTTGGATGAGTTGAGATCCATAACGGGGAAAAGGGATATTATATGGCCATTTCTGGATATGACGACCTCTTCAGGAAATGTGATATAGATCGCATTAGATATCCTCAAGCGTCTCTTATTCATCTTGTGTGCCACCAAGGAAATGGATATTGCAGTTGTCGGTCGTCATTGGTCGTCACAGGTCGTCATTTTCTGATTTTCTTTACAAATCCACGCCAAGACCCTTGCTCAACGGGGCCTGGTTTTCACATTAGCCTGCATAATTCTCCGTGAAGATCGCGTGGGCGTGCTTGCTCGGGAAAGCCTACCGTCCTCTAGGCTTGTTGTGGTGCATGGAGAGCGTCTGGCCCCTTCCAGTCGTTAAGCTAGTGAAATGGTGTGTGACCACTCTTTTACAAGTATATGCAGTGAAGGTGAATCATCTTGCCAGTGTGTCTGACAAGCGAGAAGGGTCTGAACCTCACCAGTTGGAGTCATGAACATTGCATCATCTTGCGAATATGCAAGGGTTGCACACAGAATTAATATGTTCATGCAATTGGCAACGCTAGTGGAATCGCAGCGACAGAAAAAGATGAATTGGCATTACCTTCCTTACCAAAATTGATATGTTGCCGAAACTTATATGAGATGCTTTGATCTGCAAGCTTTTGTCAGCACTGCCGTGGGAAGAAAGAAATGGCGTACCTGAAATATGCCCTCAGATACACAACCTGCCATGCCCCGAGTCCCACGAGCATTCCCATTGTTCCAAAAGCAAACCATTTGACTCGCTCATTCGTGCTCTCGTTTGTGTCTCGTAGCTTTTGTTCTCGTGTTCTCAAATAGTCCATCTCGCCCACTATCTCCTGTACCAATTCCTCAACTCTCCTCAATTCAGTCTCCATGGGCTTCAGCTTCTCCTGAGCTTGGATAGCAGACCAATCACGTGCATCAGCACCAATGTCGATGTCGAGCTCAACATGTCGCGAGGGATTCATGACGGCGTCTGAAACAGCAGTGAGTGGATATAGTTGAATAAGGATAAACGAGGCATACGGGACGCAGTAAGTTGGTTCTCAAAGCAGATGTCGAAAGCGGCGTCCGCGTGCGAGGTGAATGCCATCCGCTTCTCACCGACGATATCCTTCGGGCGCCCATACTCGTTGCCCACCGCATCTTTGATCTGAACGAGGGCACGTGTCAATCTCAAGGCGAATTGGAGGACAGGTGAAGCTCACGTGCATATTCACTACTTGTCCGTCACCTTTGTGTCCATCGACGATCGCTGTTACAAGGACAAGCGTGTCTTTCGCGACAAAGTTCCGTATACATCTTTCGTATTTGGAGCTGTGGCCGGTGTGTGCCGCGAGATCGAATTTCAGGGCCCAGGAGAAGGGGAGGAGGGTGGAGAGTATGAGAATTAGGTTTCTTGGGCTATAGAACGTCATCTTGGGGTGAGCAAGCATCTACCAGACGGCACTATGTGGAAGCCATTACTGTATATATCTTTCACTACTAGGTCAGGGGTCCGGTCTGTCATCTTTTTTGAGGCGGAATTGGTGCGCATTTTCGTCGTCCCACCAGCACAATGTTTGGGGTGCTCGATCAACACTGCAATTCACTTCCTAAAGGACTTCGGTCACCATGCTGATACATACATTTGTCATCAGCTGCAACGATTTTCACCAAGTGATCCGAACTGTTCATTGAAGTCACAACATCTATCTCCAGAATCAACGAGAGGATCATCACAATGGCAGGGCTGCAGCAACAAAGCATTTGGGCTCAGGTACGTGTACATTGTCACTATTCGAGTTTTACCTATCTTTTCATATACGCGTTGGAAACCCCCAAAGCCATAATTAATCGCGTTTTCAGATGTCATATGTCCCACCACGTGGGTGCTGTTCTCAGAAAATCTCAATGCTCACTTCTTGCCCGTGCTACCGCTTCATGATACATCCTATGAAAGCAGCCACTTCCTTTGACTGCGACGGGTGTGGGCACCATGCGAGCTTTCACCGTATGCAGAACGAGGAAGACGAAGAGATAGCGAGGAAATGGAAAGCAGAAGAAGAACGACTGCAACTGGAGCGCATTAGGGATAAAGGCGAATGGAGATCTGTGGAAGAGGTGATGGAAGAACTGGCGCCGAAGCGGAAGAGAATTGCTGGACCTTCCACCACAGAGGAGTCAGACGTGATGGAAGTGAAGGAGAAAGAGAAGCCAAGGATCACAGTCGGCAGCAAGCGAAAGGGCAGGAGCTGAGCCAGATCTGAAGCTTACAACATTATGCACGGAGTCGTGTCAACAAGTCAAGAAAGGATTTGTACCAGGCGAATCGCTTGAAAGGAACTCGAAGGACGCAGCGGCGTACGCGTCGAAATTTGAAACGTCAACGAAGTGAAGTGAAGCACTGGCGCACATTACTGTGATTTGCAACACAGACTTCCCGACTTCGTTGCGGATTTTGACTCCACGGCAAGCTGCGACAAAAGCATTGGCAGTAATAGTTTGACCGCCTGAGGCTGCGAAGATGCTGCTTATGATTTTGAGAGCGCGTTCAACGATACGCAATCAAATCGCGTCTTTTGCTTTGAGGCGAAACAACAGCGCTTCACCCAACATTGCTTCATGACGCATTTCAAACCGGCGACCTGAATCAGTATTAAATCTATATGGATTGCAATGTCACGAATGTGTCTGTCTTCTACTTCACGCTGAACGCAGTGTTCTAATTATCATTGAAGTGGTTGCTGGGTAAACCCGATGACGTAGTAAGCGCCAGGAATTTCACTCATTGATTGAAGTGGTGATCACAAGGTCTTGTTCTCCGCCTGCGATTTCAAATACAAGCGCCGGCGCATTCCGTTTCTCTTCTTTAACAAACACAGTACTATCTGCTCCGTTGCTTGGAAAGATTGAATTGTCGTTGCCTCGCAATTATGGCCAATATTTTCAATTTTGCCCTTCGAGGGCTTCAGGTAGCTCTCTCACATATATTTTGCTTGATGAAAATCTGACCGAAGATTTAGTTCCTTTTGACTCTCCTCATCCTTGCCCTGGTGGCCGACATGATATCTGATGCGAAATCCGGCAACCCTTCGGTCGTGAATTACTCGATGTTTGTGGCAGTGTTTGGTATGCTGTCGCTCATCTATTTGATCGCTGGCACGATCAACGAGGCATTTTCAATCGCGCCAATGTTCATGCTAATCGCCGATGCGATCAACACCGTCTTCTTTTTCTGCGGTGGGGTTGCGCTTGCGGCAGACCTGGACGTCCACAGCTGCAACAACAAGGTATGGTTTGTGGAGATAAGGCTGAGAGAAATCGCTGAAATCGCCTAGGGCTACCTCGATAGCAATGGTATTACAAATGGCGCAGATAATGAGGAAAAGCGATGCAGAGAAGCACAAGCGGTCACTGCGTTCCTCTGGCTTGGCTTTGCGTCCTTTGCTGGCAGCTTGGTCTTCTCATTCCTCCAAATGAAGGGGAGCAGAATTGCACCACCCAGTATCGTTCGGTCAAGAGGTGGACCGGCAATGAGTCAAGTCTAGTCTCTCGGTCAGCAGCCTCTCAGTGACTTCCACAAGTCAGGAGCAGGGATTAATGCTGACCGTCGCTCGGGTGTAGCACTCAGGTTGTGGAAACACTTAGTCAAGCTAGTGCATCCTTGAATGTCCACAAAATGCATTCGTCTTCTCAGATCACCCACAGAAGGCCTCACAAATCATCGATTCTGGCAAGAATAAGGGTCCGTGGAGATGATCTCGTCTTTTTGGTATATCACGCACAAGTAACGTGTACATAGGGTTGAAGGAGGATGGCGACAGAAGTTCGCTTCAATGTGCGATTCGAGATTTTCTTCACGTGCCCACGTGCCCACGCGCTCTTGTTCTTCATTGCTACGAAGAGTGCCGTTCAGATATCATGCCCTGACATGGCCTAGATCTCGACCACATGGGACTAGGGTACGTCTAAAAGCGGATGTTATCTCATCCAATGCTCATGCACAATGACGCCAGAATTATTGGGGGTTGGGGGAGGCCATCTTCTGCCAGCGTGTTCATGGCGTGGCAGTGTCTATTCACGAGCCCATCTTTCCAGACCAAGTTGGCTATGAGAGCCTACCCTAGTGCAAGAAGTTGCTAAGCAGACCGAATAGCAAAGCCTCGTTGTCAGCCCAAGGCAACCTTACTCGACGAACACCAAGCGACGTCATCGATCTCCCCCAATCTCACACGGACTTACGTTTGGATCTCGCATTCCGCGTACTTTAGTCACTTGTCAAATGAAAGTTCACGCGCATTCTTGATAACGTCGTCTCGATATCGATCATCTATTTGGAACCTGATGCATTGAAAGCAAGAGCTGGAAACTACCAGATGCGATGCGGCCTGATCTCGGTGTACAGCCATTGGTACCCAATCATTCGCACAAGGGTGGCCCGACACACGCTTCAAGCTTCAAAGGTCGCTTCGTCCTTTGCTACTCGGTCAGAGACGTCTTGTACGGCGACACGTCTCTAGCGTCGTTCGGTCTCTCCATGTGGCCAGGACCATGGAGGCCCCCGAAGGGAAAGCAGAAGCAGTTTGCGAACTCTTGATCGGACGAAAATAAAGCATGATCAACTTCCCCTTCCCTACTTTGCTTTGCATTGCGGCGAGGGGCAGCTCTGACGGTCGTTGCTCTTCCCCAGACGTACACGCTACCGACTGGCATCTTGAGTCTCAAACCAGACCTACGAAATTGACAGTCAGACGAAAGTGTGTGTGAGAGCGGTTTGGCGGCCTCTTTGCACCCATAGAATCGGATTGCTAACAGGTCACAGCTTACAGTCAGTACATCTATCATTTCTCCTGCTAATTCGTCAAGCATGGAGATCCTACGTCGTCAATGCGGGCTAAGAGACTGCTATACAGAGCTTTCTGTGCAAAATCGTTGGGGTCCCTGGCCGCACATTCTGGATTCGCATTGTAACTGGTCTTCTTACTCCCACAGATCTGGCCCCAGGCAGCATGCATTATCTATACCTGTAATCAAGAATTCGAAAGCATTTCTTGAGCTTCAGCAAAATTTAGGGCTCCCTTAGCCCATGAGGACAAGACTCATTTGAGGCGGATGATCCAGCCCTCTACATAATTGTTCCACAAACATCTAGGACGTCAGTCCGCGAGGAGAAGTATAGAAACTTACAGACTTTTGGTCCGAAATCCCAATGATTGAACCGTCCCCCTATACTGCTGCACCAGATTATCCAAAGGAGCGGCTCCTTGTCTTAGAAGCACCGTCGTCCAGCGGGCAACGATCAGGAGCCAGCAATCGTTCTTTACAACGATCCACACACCGTCAGGATTGGTTTTCTGAAGGCTCACCAAGACTTCATCGGACCCAAGGCCAAATTTCCTCACAAGGCTACCAGGAGTACTCGGACTTGCATGAACATCAAGGTCAACCCAACGGGCAATTGCAAACCCTTGAACGTGATATGGGCCATTACTGCCACCAGGAATCCACATATATGAATACAAGGTTCCCAGATGTAGATACCTCCTTGGCTCCCTCCCACAAGGACGCAAGACAGGACAATCCGGATCCATACTATACTATCTCTGGGCCTCTGTATAACGCGAGCTCATTTAGCCGCATCAGCAACAACGTGCTGGTTCCCAATAAACCCTGGTCAGTGTATGAAAATAATGCTTATGGCCAAGTTTCCCAAGAAGTGTCGCACAATCTGCCAGAACCCAACAGTCACCAATCCCGACGTATTTCCGGTCCTGGTATGGCGGAAAGTCCCAATGCATGGGATTCCAGGACCGAGTACTCCCATAACAACTCCCAGAGTGACAGCTTGATTCAGACTGAAGATTCCCAGCAATGGCCAATAGATGAGCCTGTCGGGATGCAGGGAAAAGCACAGCCTTTACCTTCACGTTATGTATCCACACACAAAGTAGGCCCGATTGATAATATTTCAAACACCAATCCTTTGTCCAATAATGATTTCCTGGAACCGTTTGTACCGCAAATCAATTCCCAAGGATATACCAAACAGGACCCGGGCAATCGCTCAGTGTATGCAAATTGCGATACGAGTACACACGCCATTGGTACTTCGTTCAATGACTACCAAAGCTCACAATACGTATCAGCCCCTCCGGACTCCTCTCCGTCCCATAATTCATATGGAAACAATATTTCCAAGCAAGTGCCGGAGCCCTTCAAAGGCGCACCAACTCAAAATATTAGCCAAACAAAAGGCAAAGGAAGGAAGGGGCGGAAGCTAACTCCATTGACGGATGAGAAAAAAACCGACAGGGCTTATATACGTAGAGTGGGCGCCTGCTCTGTCTGCAAGGAGAAGAAGATTGGAGTAAGTTTTCAATGAAAGTTCAAAATCTCAACGCTGATAGACACTGCAAGTGCAAGCATCGCAAACCCACTAAATCGACTTCGCGGCCTCCCACCAGTTCTCGTGGAAATAGGAGCTCCTTCTCCAACACCTCAAGAGTTTCTGGCCCTGGTAATCACCTAAATCTGGCTCCAGCCCATGCGGACCAAGAGCACTCTTCTGGAGGCCCAGGCATTGCTACTTCTTCTGGGGCCCAATCGCCAATCTATCCAGACGATAAACCTCAGGTTCCCCTTACTGGCGTAGGGGAGCAGTTCAGTGGAAGCGACTACCTCGGATATGGATTGACCAACGACCATTCGTTCTGTTGGCATGGTTCCCAATCAATGTGCCAGAGGTGTCCGCAGTGCCGTCTGGGGATATGCCAATACCATATTATTTGATCTCGATTTAGGAATCAAAGCCCCTTTGGACTTCCTCGATATGTTTCGTTTTCTTCTGGCTGGATGACTTGAATGCCGACCAGTTGCGCTTTTGTTTCACAGGACTGCTGGACATGACGTACCGCGCATAGACCTATATGCATTTCCTTTTGGTAGGTGTAGGACCATTCCGGGTGCAACAGGACCGTATCGGCGGGTGTGATATGTTTCATTCCTATTACAGCGTGTAGAACTCAAGGTAAAAAAACCCGTGATCCCATATGTGGGAACGAGAATTGTTTGAGTAAGAACGGTCAGAGAGTGGACAGTCTCACGACACATGTTTCATTTCATTCTGGGTAATTGCAAGATGGGCAATGTTCACTCTTCTTGATTGCACGAGGCGGTCATTATATCGTAATCTTTACCTGTCTGTCCCACGCTTTGATGATATTAATTGATCTTTCAAATGATACGTCCGCTCCTTGGACCCACGAAATATTGTTAGGATTGGCTCTGCCAATTTCTTTCACCCATGCTCATTTTCATGATAGCAAAGCGAGACGATGGACTGACGGGTTGATGCCATTCTCGTCCCAACGCCATATTCGGCTACATCGTGCTCCACGGAAAACCTGGAGTTCGAAGCGTGGGGTGTCCTGGCGATCGCTCTTTCCGTCCTATGAGAGCAGTGGGAGACGTTTTAGCGCTTAGACTTACACCTACGGGGTTTAGTTGCGGAGGTTCGAAATAAGGGTACGGTTTGGCGGGAGCATGTGGAGTCGTCGATGACAATCTCAGGGCACTTAAATCCCCCGAAGCATTATTGACAACCGGCTGATTGACGGGCGCATCACCTAGATCCGCCCATGCCGTCTATTATCTTCCATCTCCAGAATGTCCTGCTGACGATAAGCGAGTACAGCTTTCGGAAAATAGAATGGCGTTTCGCTACAGCATTCGCCCATAAGCAAGTGGTCAATGTCCTATACGAGGCTGTGGATGGTCAGTATAGACCCCAACATGGGGGAGTCTCACACGGATGAGAACGGACTTTTCATGTTGAGGAAGCATGCTGTTTCTCTGGTACTGTATTCTACAGCTCTTATGGCGGAAATGTTTGGCGCTCTCTCATCATCCTTGTTCTGGACGAAGTAAGGGTGGGTTACCCCACAGCCTGTGTGGAGCGCAAGAGCCTTGCAGAGTCTCAACAAATTACAAGGGTGACAGGCCATCGCATCTTGGAATTTGGCGAAAGACCCAATCTGGACTCGCTACTGGGTGCTAGCTAGAGGATCGCCCAAACTGGATTCGGATACAGTTCCAAGCGCGAGCAATGATGATCCTTTATTTTCCACCGACGAGATGGATAGTAGGTATCTCGTTGGGGGCAAGTAGGCACAATTGCAGCTGATCGACGCTCCATGCACCCCTTTTCGAGCGTTGGGTATGTTGCACTGGCGAGCGTGCACTGTTAGCAAATGATGCATGTTGACTATGCTTATGCACCGTCGTTTAATCCGGCCTCCATCAAAAGTCAGCATCTCATGGCGGCCGTCTACGGCCGTTTCCGTCACTTCTACATATATTCCTCGTGCATTTGACGTCCTAAATTAGGCTACCATTTCTTTGAAAATCGCATCAATCGCTTAACGCGACCAGTGTCTGCCTCGTTTTGCCTGAATCCATTTACTGACTATCAGCTGACCCCCAAAAAGGCAAGTATTCCAAGATTCCGGAAAGATTCGAGGCAAATAGGGAGCTCTTCAGAGCAGAAAGTGGGGCCTTGATTTTGCCTATATGCCTTGACGGTGGCTATATTAACAAAGACTCGTGAGTTGAAGCTTCATTGTATATCATGGGTCACTACGAGGCGTCCCGTCGGGTCGACAAGATGCGCACCGTCATCCACCCGGAAGGTATAATCATATTCGCGCCCAACGTGCTGGTTGAAAGCCGCGCCTTTGGCTTGTCCATCCGTCGTGCCAACCTTATGCTTATTCCTGGAGGCTGAGAGTCAAATGAACCGGGCAAAAGCTTCATCAAAGTAGGACAGTCTTGCTCCGTTCAGTACGACAACTGGTACCGCTTTTGCGGAGCTGACCTGTCCTACCTACCGCGAAACGCCCATGACTTGATAAATAAATATATTACGCCGTGGCGCAGCTTTCTAGCCAGTCGTGTCTCATTGGGCTGCTTAGAAAAGACTACGCTTGCACCTCATCAAGCATATCACTTTCTTTCCCAAAAAGCCGTCTGTCTAACTCCAGTGAAAATATTAACTGAGGTACAAACTCGGTCAGGGCATGAACTCTTTTCTGATCAGGAAAGTCTTCTATCGAATGTAGGAGGCTACGAACAGTTTTCCTGTTCAACAGGGTCACGTTACGGAGGCTATCTAGAGTTGAGGTAACACTACATTATTCCTCTGTACTCGCCGCCTGCAAAGGTTACTGAAATCTATCGTCCGGTAATCCTTCGCTTCACTCTTCTTAGAGTCCAAAGATTCGAGTGAGTCCCCAAAGGACTGTCAGATACTTATGTACTAAGTATGATAGCTGCGCTACTTGCATACTGCGACTTGTGAGCTTTTGAGTAAATGGACTGGCACAATAACACCACAGGCAGTAATCAATTTGGCCAAAGCCCACGGAATTTTACGCGGCAAGGACTCGCGTCGGCACAAAGCTGGGCCTCACCTCACGACCAGCCTTCTAGCGGGCATCGAGAACCTGCCACATCGTACAGACAGGATTACGTTCGTCATGGTGGCGCCAACGACTTTGTGCGCCAGGAATCTATCGGAGATTTCGAAGAAGTCCATGGCAGATCGAATGATCTACACGCCATTCCTAGTCGACGGCATATGAGCAACCGTGGAGGGGATTGGCAGTCATCAAATACACACGGTCTAGCCGATGCTTCAGCTAGCCCTTGGTACCAAGGTGGCTCGAGGACCAGTCATGAGTCTTCTTTTCGTGCACCGAGAATGGGCTTTTCGAACAATATGCGAGATAGACCCAGCGAAAGAGCCTTTCAAAGTCATCGAGGTGTTGGCTCGACTAGTCGTCCTCGTCCAGTGAGCCAGCTTACGCCAACTCCAAACACCACAGCTGAAAATAGTCTGGTAGAAGTGTTGTGTGGCAAGATAACATCGCCGATTCCTGACCCTGAGCTCCAGTCTACGCTTTGGAGTAGCAGTCATCAACACGAGCAAGAATTACATAACACGCCTTGGAGTATTGCTCAACACGAAGGTCTGTCCTCTGGCGCTGACCCAGCTCATAAAGTGAGGAGGGCAGTGGCAATCGATGTTACGCATTGGATCGGAACTCCACGGCACATGTACACTCATTTGCAACAGGCGACTCAAATACCTGACTCGTCTAACGAAGTGACTAGCCCACCTGAAGCTCCAATACATAGACAGCAGGGACTCGAGCCGAGTACTCTTGCAAGGACCTTGTCAGCTACTACATCGAATACTCAAGGGTCTGATGGGGGCAGACCAAAGCAGCGCCGACCAAAGCGATGTTACGACGAGCCAGAAAGGCGTGAAGTTGCCTACAAGCGCGAGCATAAGCTTGTCTGTGAAGTCCACAGGCAGAGGAAACAGAAGGTATGTATTACCCTTACGGCCCTGCCGACGCAATCCTAATTACTATCAGTGCAACTGCAACATGATGGCTGGTCTTGTTCCACCTCTTCTACCTACCGACACGCCTCCTCGTGTGACTAAGACCCGAAAAAAGCGAAATAGCCTCTTAGAAAGCACATGCACAAGTCCAACTACCGTTTCATCGCCTCCACCTACTCTCCCACCGACTCCAACGAAGGCAAGCCGCAATACCCGTGCCTACCGGCAAACGAAGAGTAGACCCACTACGTCACGTCCAACCTTCGTGCCAGATCATCAGGCAACAGATTTGGATGCCATTGGGGGAGAATTTGGCAACGAGGACAGCCGCTATACTAGTGAGTAGATATCCCACCTTGAACGATAGGCTGCTGACTCTAATGTAGCGAATCCCTATGATGCTGCTTTAGAAACAAACCTTCGTGAAATGTGTAATCAATTCGACGCCGACATTTCAAATCACCTAGCTCAGGGACTGCCTCAACAAAATCCTTACAACGGGGACATCGATTTTGACTTCGCCTGGGACATGCGAAAACACTTCCAAAGAGATTAGTCGACACCGCGTTTCTTCCATTCTTCCCTCACACCGAAGTTCGCGTCCGAAAAAGCATGCGTAGATCTGACGCTCGAGAGATTTGAGGATAAAAAGAGAAAGGGCAACATCGACACATGCACCGTTTTACAGCTCTATCTTTGGATCACCGTTCTCAATTCAAATTCCCTTTTCCCTCGAACACTATTCACACAAAGCAAGCATCAAATGAAAGAGCGCTTTACTTTATAAGACATCCGGCAACTCAAAATTGGTCTGCATTGTCATGAACATAAAACCTTTTTTTCGAACCCAGAAAACGTCAGCAGGCGAAAAAAGTGAGATACGATGGAGCTGGTCACTGACAAATTTTAAAGTACTTCTATGAGTTATAATAACGATTGATGTCTCGGGGAAACGGGATGATGGAGAGACTAGATGATCAAAAGGCGCAAGCCAATCAGAAGTGATTGTACATAGCGACATAACAGAAATTTATTCAATGTGTATCAGACTAAAGTACTCCCTGAAGCTTTCCCTTCGTTCCCTTGTAGAAAGAGTGCTGTACATTTCAATAGAGAACGAACAAGCGGTTTTCCACGGCGAAAGTGGGAAGCATGAAAAGATGGGCGCACGCACCGAGTCAAAGATGAAGAGTTGAGGAGTCCTTGATCATAAGTAGTCCTTTCATAACCATCTGCTCACACAATCAATTCTCAAGTCCCATCCGGCACTTGAATTCCCTCAATATCCCTCTCCACCCTCTCCAGCTCCTTCACCAACACACCCTTCCTCGCCTCCAACGCAACCCTCTGCTCCTTCTCCCCCGGCATCCCCTTAAAAACCAACTGCCTCGGCCTCATAAACTCATCCCTCTCCTCCTCCGTCACCGCCTTCCTCCTCTCCCTAAACGCATGAACATAAGCCTGCAGCTCCTTTGCCGCCGTAATCTTCATCTCCCCACTCTGCATCTCCCCGCTCTCATATCGCTGCCGTATCTCCTCCAACCGATCATCATCCTCGAGAAAAAAACTTAAGTATTGAAACGGCACATCCACGCCCGTCCGTCCCCCCAATTGCCGATGCAGCTCTTGCGTATCCTGCCCACCAGAAAACGCCTTGCCGACTTTCTTCTGGATCTGCTTGTCCGTGTCGGACAGGTAGATGGTGGAGTCTGGATCTGAGGCGGACATTTTGGATTCTTTGCCGCGCAGGGAGGGCAGGAAGACGGTGTGGATTATGGAGGGTTTGAGGAGGCCAATGCGGGGCGCGTTGTCGCGGCATTGGCGGAAGTAGGGGTCTTGGTCTATGGCGCAGGGGATCAGGCAGGGGACTTTGGAGGTTTTTTTGGGGTCGGTGCCAAAGATGAAGGGGAAGGAGGGGGCGAAGGCGGTGGCGGATTGGGTTGCCGGGAAGGCGAATTCGAGGATATTGTTGCTGGGAAAATTTTAGTACGGTCTGTGTTTGGGGAGGGTGGTGTGGGAGCTTACGTGTCGTTGAAACCAAATGTGCCTTTGATCTGGTTGTTGGTTGTTCTCTTACCGATCTCCATGATATGGCGACTGAAGTCCATGCCTTGGCCTCCGTATATGAATTCAGAGTCCGCGAATATGAAAGTTTTCTTCTTGTCAAAACCTATGGCAATAATGTCCATAGCGTTCTGTCGGGCAAATTGCTTGCATTCTTTCAATGTCAATTTTTGTGAGTGTATGAATTTTTCATCGTCTGTGAGCATGATGATCAAGGGTACATTAAACACTTCCTGAAGATATCTGTTCAGTATCTCTCAGCAAAGGGTCTGGCGGAGCAAAAGGAATTGGAGGTGGAAAAGGTGAGCGTACTTTGTGAATTCGAAGGGAATCGCATGTCCAACGTGCATACTATCGCTGCTTGGACCTCGCCCTGTGTACAGAAAAAATGGGATGCCTTTCTCATATTTATCCAATATGAAGCCTAGATCCCGATGGCTAAATATCATGCCACGGCGCATCAATCTGTGAGGTTTGCGTCCAGTCAATCTCTCGAAGCGCTCTAGCAGAGCTTGATCTATTCGTTGAGATCCAAATCTGTCAATCAACTTGTCGTAGTCAATCGCAATTGCCTTGCCATGCTCGTCAACCCCGCCAGAAACATCGAAGGGAGTAATAATCTGCTCTTTGGCTTTGGGATCTTGAGATTCTTGGGCAAGTGCAAGGGCTGTCAGTCCTGGAGGCTGCCCAGGCTCGTCTGGGACATCTCCAGCTGTTGCCATATTGCTGAATACTAATGTGGGAACAAAGTTGGAGTCAGGAGCACAGGAGCACAACATTCAATATCGATATGCCACTGGCTGCCAAGACGGAGTTAACTCCTTATATCCGACTAGCGCAACTTCAACTCCTCTTTTCTGCAGGTGAATGTCATGCGGTGCTCTCACTATATCCCAACGTCCACTTGACCCTCAGCACGAGGATGAGCGCGATCTTCGAATATACTTGATCATGGTCAAGTTCTATGATACCTCCTTCACTTATGACTACCCATTTTCCGCCGTCAGCCTAGCTTACTTTCTCCGCTACCCCAACCCCTTCGCTACTCACGTGCTCTCAACTGATGTCATAAGCCGCCATTTTGACCCGGACAAACAACAGCTGAGCACGACTCGCCTGCAGCTCAAAAAGTCCAAAATCCCGCAACCGATTCTGAAGATACTGCCGAAAGGCATCCTCGGCAGGGGCGGCCAGACTGGTCAGAGTTTTGTCTTGGAGACAAGCTTGGTAGATATCAAGGAAGGATGGATGAAAACAGAGTCAAGAAACATGGAGTGGACAGGCATCTTGAGTGTGATAGAGAGACAGACGATCCGGCGGCCACCGAGGGCGCAAATTGAAGAGCAAGCAAAAGGTGGCGACTTAGTGGAGGCGATGAAAAATGAGGACACAGAAGTCAATGCCACAGTCACACTGGTGTCGCGATTCGGTCAAGCGAGGATGCGGAGGAGACAAGAAGCACGGAACGCGGCCAACAGTACTGAGTCTGAGGAGGAAGCGCCACCTAAGAAGGGATTCTTTGCGTCTTGGTCAACAGCGGGACTGCAGCGCACTATCGAGACGTATGGCTTGCAGCGAACCCGGCAGTCATTTACCAAGAGCACAGAGGGGATGAAGGTTGTACTCGACCGGCTTCGTGGTGGTGGTCTCGTTAGAGTTCTTGAAGGCATGAAGCAGGATGGCCAGCCCACACTTGGTCAGAATGGAGCATGGAAAGAGACATGGAGGCAAGGAAGGGAAGAACAGGATTCATGACTGCATTGGAATCTCGACTTCGTGATCCGTTTGTTCGACCATCTAGCGAGGCGTGGCAGGGTTGATTTCGGATTTCTCATTCGTGACATGTGCTTCTTGAAATGTACTATACTTACATCACGGACGAACCGTTTAACACGATGGTATGGCGCAAAGCTTCCCAGTCGCGATCCGTCTCCCAGAATAATGAGTGGGCCACATAAGGCATTAATGAGAGCAGGAAAGCTGATAGAGTCGAAGCCAAGACGCGCTGTAGCCAATGAGGCAGCGTGCAGCTTTAAGCGCTGCCCGAGTCGAAACTCGAGCAGACTAAGTCCCATCTACAGCCAACGGACCACAGACGGCCACAACGGCTCGCAACCGCCCGGAAAGCAAGCTGGAAGATGAGGCTCTTTCGGATCCATATATAGAACACCCTCGCGTGTCTGGCAAATGGATCCTCAATCTTGACCTCGTCCTGCTTATTCGGCCTGACCAAAGACCTGCATTGTCGACATCTGCCTTGCTTGACCAAGCGCCCATGGTGGGCATCCATCTAGGTATCTATGTATAGGCAGGCCATACGCAAGGCCTCAGCTCCTTCGTCTCGGTCATGCACCGGTCTAGATGGCCGAGGAAACGCAGGCCTGCTAGTTCACCAGCGCAGCGCTTGGTGATACAAAACAATACCCTGCTTCCACCTCCCACCTTTTCTGTGCCTCTGCTTCTATGTTGTGTTCCTCAACCTTTCCATCTTTACGGAAGAAGAACGTGCCACAATGCGCATCAGCACTGTATAGCTTCACCCTCATGCTTTTTGATCCTCCGTTCAATTCGCCTGTATCACTTCTAATTCTGAAGACACTGGTGTCCTGACCGCCTCTTTCCTCGTCCAAACCTCTGCAACAATACCCCTCAGTCTTCCCCAGTCAGAGACGGTCTCATCGAGACCACAACAACAACAATGTTCCTCCCTCAACGAACCCCACTCCTCGCGATCCTCACAGCCCTCATCTTCACCCTCACCACAACCTCCCTCCCCCACCACTCCCAAGAGCGCAAACCTTACCCCAAAACCACCCGCTCCTCGGACTCCCCCTTCGACATCAGCACCCTGACCGTGCCCCTCACAAATGGCACCGCCACGCTTCCCTCCCCCTCAGGAACCCTAAAAGCCATAACCCTCGGCCTCGGCACCCAAAACTACACTTGCAACGAAACCACTCCATCCCCAGTGCAAGTAGGCGCCAAAGCCGTCCTCTTCGACCTTTCGCCCTTCCTACCCTGGCTCTCCCCCTTCTTGCCATTAGTGCCGCAGAAAGCCATGGCTACAGACCCAGAAGTCATTAAGGGCGCGGCCGACATTCTCGGGAATCATATCTTCAATGCGCTCGGCGTGCCGTGTTTTCATCTCGGCAAGGAGGGCGATTTGGCCGCGAAGAAGGTGCCTGGTGCAGAGCTCGACATGGAGAATGCGGTGCCTTGGTTGAAATTGGTGGATGCGGGGGGAAGTGAGGGAGTTGATCAGGTATATAGGGTGAATACTGTGGGAGGGAAACCGGCGAAGACGTGCGCGCAGGCTGGGGATATTGAGGTGCCGTATGCGGCGCTTTATTATTTTTATGAATGAATGAATGAGCGGGGGTCGGTGGCGGTGATGTTTCTTCTGTTCTTGGTTTAATGTGCTCGAATGATCTGGGTGTATTTATGGTAGTGTGAGACAAATGACAGCTGAAAGCTTCTTTCCATCATTAACTCGTGTGTTCGGAAACAATCGCTGGTATTTAAATTGCACGAGAGGTGAACCGAACAGAGCGATACTCAGCTTGTCTAATCCCTTGAATGTCGATGCGACTCAGCAGCAAAGACTAATGAAGAGGCTTTCGTCTTCGGCGACATAGAATCGTAACGCCATCAGAGGACCATGAATGATCCCATTGAAAAGAAATTAGTAGCAGTATGATCTGTCAATGACTTGAGCCGAAAATATCAAATTGTAGTCAGAAATTCGTGTAAATCAAGACTCAATCCATGGCATCCTCCATTTCAGACTTTCTGGCACCAGAATCCCCATGACCACTACTGTTCTTGGTAGAGGCTCTCTTCCGTTTCTTACTCCCACCGCCCTTTGGTCTGTACGCATCATCATCCTGACCCCGTTTTCTTTTCTTAGGCATGCCTGACTCTTCCACGAAGCCAGCGATCACCGAGCCATCCTCATCTAGGACCTCCTCCTCGGGCTTTGCTAATTGTGAACCCGCTTTTTCTCGCTTCACACCAGACCTCGTAGCGCCTGGAGTGGAAGAGGAAGCTTTGGGAGGAGATCTGCGAGGTACTTTAGGCGGTTTATCGTGGTTGATGTCCCCTCGATCGTCCTCTAGTACCTTGGGACGATGATGCGATAGCCAATTGTAGACAGACATTGGATTCTTGAGTTGTATTTCTCGCTCGCGCTCGCGCTCAGTGGGTCTTTGTTTGGGTGGGAGAGGCTGTTCTATCGGATGGGGCATTTCGAGGTATGCATCGACAGAAGCTATATGCTCTTCTTCATGAGTAGGCGTCAGTAAGCCCGTAGGCATTTCCTCGCTGAGCTCGGGCACGAGCTCTGTAGGCACAACATCTAACGTGCTGTGGCTCGTTTTGGAAAGACTTTTGAAACTCGGCTGATGGTTAATTATAGCTGAAAGCTGGTTTTCTGTCTCTTGAGGGTCTGGAACACCAGGCGGCTGCTCTGCTCTAAACTCTTGAAGGGCGGCGTACGCTTGCTGCACCTGTCCTGGGGATGGTGGGTCATGGTCCGACATAAGCTCAGGGACGTCCGACTCGCCAGGCGCAGGGCTGCGAAGGTCGTAGCGCAGATGAGCCGGGACCCTTCCTGAGTCATTTACATCAAGTAGGAGCTCGAGCAGGCAGCTATTGGTACAATTGAGCCTTGTTCAAGTTCACGGGTTCAAACGGCGACATACTCATTTTCTTCCTGCAACCGTCGCGCGATCTGTTTTGCGTGCTGCTCGTCATCGTAGAGGGTGTTGCTGTCCCTCATCTTTTCCCTAAAGTGATGTCTCAATTTCAAGAACTTTTTCCTGCGCGCAAAATCAGTATCGCTAGACCTTTATTGCGAGTAGTCAGCTCACTTGTATGAACGGTAAGGTCGTTTGACAGCTGCTAAATCTGGCGGTGGACTTTGCTCGGCATGGTCCACTGCAGGGAAAGCTGCCATGTTGACTTTGAGATGATGCTAGAAAGGCACAGTCTTCGCGCTTTTGTTGTAATTCAAGTGAGAAAATGAATGCTTGACGTTGAATTAAAGGCCATTCAACAATCCACGTTGGAGTTCACGGTCGTGCCGTCCAGTGGGCAAATTTTTGAAAATGCGTGTTTATGATGAAATATGCGTAAGGCCTCTCGCACGCGTATATTCTATCACAATTGCACAAAACTACGGTATGGACCACGAAATTGGGCTCAATCTGCCCCTTTTCATCACCCTTGTAGAGGGTTGAGGGTGCTCTCAGGGAAAATGTGTATCTTTTACCAAACATTCAGACTACTTGAATTCTGATTGATATCGGGTAGAGTTTTTCTTTTGGTCAGATCAGCCTTGCCAAGCCAGTATGGAGTTGGATTCGTGTGGGAAACAAGCATGTTACGACATCAATTATTGACCAACCCTATCCATCACGACTTCAACAAGAGGCCTCCTGATGCCCTTGCAATTTGCCATAGCTAGTCATTGTTATAATCTTGAGCCCAACTGCAAATGCAGTAGATCTCGAATCTCAAAGCACTGCAAGAAATATGAGAGAGCTTTTGGTGAGGATTGAGCGCTCGTTGTTCTGCCTAAGCTGCGTTTTCAAACCAGTGCTAGTTCTTTCATTTCAGTGCCTTGCTGACCCAGCCTATCATATAAGCCCATGCCCCAATCCACAGGCCAAAGTCTCTAACTCTTTTACAATTGCTTCCGCAGAAACTTCAGCCTCAGCATCGACCTGAACTGCTGCTCATGAACCATAAACCTTTCTCTGAACAGCCCCAATTCTCTTATTGCCCTGGTCAAAGATCTGTTTTTCCGTTAGCGCTTATACTCATCAAGCTACACTCTATCCCTTTCTAGCCAGACATATCGACTTGGAAAGAAAGGAGACCTTACCACATAAGACCCCTTCAACCAGACATCTCCCAAGATATCAAATGGCAGATCTCCACAGCTCTGAATACCCCCGTAGGTGAATCCATTGCCAGCATCCGCAAAGCCCAGATCTTCTTTATGAACACCAAACTGTTTGCCTCCAACGGCAAAACTAACGTCGGGTAGCTTGTCAACTGCAGTATTCGACGGGAATATGTAACCCTGTTGGAACGAGTCATATTTGGCGCCGGGGATGGTTTGGTAAATGGCCTGGCAGAGGTTGTCATCGACTAGGGCTAGCGTTGTGCCAGTGTCAGCAATGGCAGTATTACCTTTCCGTTGAATGGTTTTGCCAGCAACAACAGCAGAAGGAGACTGGAATTGCCAGAAGCCTTGCGAGTTGTCAATGGGTGCGTAGTAGGGTGATTTTCCTCCTGTAATGAATATAAGATTAGCGGATGATACGAGTGCGAGACTTAGAGCTACACTGACCAAGAGCATCACTATCAATGTAGCCGAAAGTGAAGAAGGGCGCGTCATCTGGATGGCTGTAATTTGAGAGGTAGCAGGTAAAAAGCTCAGCATCTTTAGGAATATCCGACTGTTCGATCATGTTTTCGACTGGCGTCTTACAAGGGGTTGGCCGAACAGTGTTAATTGCGCCGAATGCAAGCCCAAGAAGGCCGTCGCCGGGTCCAGAAGCAAATTGGTCAGATAGCTTCTTAGCCAGTTCGATACATTGGGTATTGATCTTAATACCGCCAAGGTTGATAGTATCAGTACCACAGTCACCGGAAGCCGTGGAGCCATCTCCGTAGGAAATTTGCCATGTGGAACTGATGCGTTTGAATGTGCTCGACTTTGAAGAGTCAAAAATGGAGTGTTGACCTTTGTACTTGTCGGTGGTGCTCTTGGGTAGTTCCGTGGACCATATCTGACTTGGGGTTAGCTTACTGAATGAAACGAGGGAGGGAGAGCATCTTCACCCAAAGATCCGCTGAGCCAGTGTCAAAATCAAGCTTAAAGGTCTGCTCTGGAGTACCGATCTTTACAGGGCAGAGGTACAAAGAATCGTTCTGCTGGTCATCGGCAGGCACCTCTCCACTGTGGTTTGAGTCAAGCTTCTTCTTCAGAACTCTTGACACAGTGGTGTGTCCACCGATAGCCTTTTGTTCTCCATGTTTTCCCTGCGTTTGAGCTTTGTTGCTAACGAAGTAAGGTCCATCTTTAGTAGGCGTGAATTTGTACTTGTTCAGGAGGTAGACGCTGCAGTTTGAATCAGCAAACTCAGTACTTATTGCTGTGCAACGCGTATACTCACTAAGACTTGGATCCTGATGGTTTGTACTTCTTGTTGACGTGAAGGTTCACCCTCTGGTGTCCGGCAGCCATGGCGTAGCTGCCTCGGGAATGAAGAAAGACAGGGTATTGAAAGCAGCGTAGCTAATAGTGTCTGGATTAATTTAGAGGATGTACGCGACAATTCAAGTATGAATAGTAGAAGAGCTTCGTTTTAGGAATGCTATCGTTGCGATGATGAAAGAATGGAAGTTGCAAAAACTCGTGGTCAAATTTTACTAATGATAATGAGGTACTCAGGCAACAATCCAAACATGGCAAGAGGAAATGATTGCACACAACAACGCCGACTAGAGAGTGAACGACCGTGCAACCACCTACCATACATTAACCACATGACCAGCGCCGTGACAGGGGTCTCATGACTCGTATGCCAATTTTCCGATTTGTGTCACCGTTGCAATGTTGACAGTAGATACCCAGAGGATGGTTGCCAGGGAAGCTAAAAAGCCAATGTTCTCAGCAATCGCCGCTTGACAAAGCATCATTCTAGCTAGTAGTAATGGTAAAGTTTGTTATCTTGTGGACTAAATCGCTGCGTGTATTATCGATGTTGACAGGAAAAGACTAGAGCCCAGTTGGACATAAAATCTGGGGGAAAGGTACGCTTGAAGTGCGTAGTCGGCAAAAGACAGGGGGAAATCGGAAAGATCTTTATCATTTATGATGTGTCAGTTGTTAACATCACGTAGCAAAAGGTCGATTCTTGTGTTATAATATTGAATTTTGAAATAGCATACATCCATACTAAAAGCCAGGAAATTGAATGAGAGGACCGTCTCGACATGCCATAGACCTACGTCCACAGATTCAAGTAATACTTTGCAGAGATGAAAGGGAATATCAGCCTAGCTCCTACCTTGCATGCATGCATAGTATCTGCCTACAACTCCAGGCTCGTAATCTCCAGCATTTCCTATCGTTGAGAGCTTGACTGGAATTAAGCTCGGCCATATTAAAAACAATAGCCAGACAGTCATTTCTTTCCGTTCTTCGCTACCTCCAGCTCGTCACCGGAAGCAATGAGCTCGTACTCTTCGTCCGTTAGGAAACCTTCCTCACTGCTCTCATCATCGTTATCATCAAGTTCAAGGCTCTCGACGTCTTCGAGCAGGTCCTGCTCGGCGGGCGAGAGTGTGGCAGCAGTGGCGACGGTAGTAGATGAGGTTTCGGCCTCGTGCTTGCTGGAGACAGGAGACTCCTTGTCCAGAACCGGGAAGATCATTTGACTGCTCTTGGGTTGTTCCTCTTCCACTTTGACCTCTGGATCTGGCTTGAGCTCCACAGTCTCAGCTTCCAATTTTGGCTCGATGGCTTCCTCCTGCTTCGCGGGTTTCTGAACAGTGACATCACACCAGAGCTTATGGCCGAAAGGCGTTCCATCAGCAGCTTTGAGACGCCAGTAGGATATCGCTTTTCCTTCGCGCTCGGGAGTACGCATCGAGACAGAGAAGTCAATCAGCTCCCCAGCCTCAACAAGGCGATCAACCGTATTGGTACTCATGGCGTTTCGAAGCTGTTCAATGGAGCTGGGATGATTTGACTCAACGTCAAGCATGCTATCACCCCCAACAAAGGCGACGCTGCATCCAGCAGGCCATGGGAGTTGACCAACGTTTTGGAGTGTCCATGTCTGTGTGAATTGGGTATTAGGCGCGACGATAGAACCATCAGCCACTGTATCCCGGACAAAATGAGCCTGCAAATGAGGAGGCATCCAAGATGAGCGTTGAGCTCTGTTGACAATACGTGCAGGCTTCTTCTCCATCACCTGTCTTTTGGATAATTTGACTTCGGTTGTTGGTTGGACTTGGGTCGCAGCATTGGCCGAACGTGCAAGCGGTGTGGTCTCAGTGGATTTGGAGCTTACATGGGCAGCTTGGTCGCCCATAGGGCGCATGGACTCCCCACTCGCCTTCTCACCATACGTGCTAACGGATACATTACGCACAGGTGTTTTGAACTTGAGTAGAGGATGGGTGCGATTGTGCTTCAGAGTTGGGAATGCCTCACATCTAGCGCAGAAGTCGGTGTCGTTACAGACGGCGCACTTATAGCGATCGCCCATAATATAACCTCCTTGGCCCTCACACAAAGGTCCATCGCAGCTGATACCGAAGTGCTCCTGAGCATACCGGTTGTTGTGCGGGATTGGCTCCTGGAGTGAAGCAAAGCGATGGCCTGGATGAGTCTTATAGGATTCAAGGAAGCACTGACCACAGAAATCCCAGTCAGGGCATTTGAGGCACTTGTGACGGATACCATAAATGCTCTGGTATTATTAGTCAAGCATTGCCTGAAAGTCAAGAAGTGTACTTACTTGGTCGCAACCGTCACAAATAGCAGCGTGACGGATGTCGCGGCCTGGCTTTAGTAGCTTAGATGCCAAAGAATTGAGTTCTACTTCTTTCGTTGCAGGCTTAAAACCATGACCAGGGTTGTGACCATGTTTGTTAACGATATGGCATGTTAGGCAGAGGTCATAGTCGTCACAAAGAGTGCAAGTTACGAATTTGGCCTCAGGGAAGACTGCTGGAGTCAGTCATTTCGGTCTTGACGGAGAAGGGGATCAATTTCATACTTTGGACGCAAGCATTGCATGTACGTTCAGCTTGTTCATACAGGTTCTTCGCTTCAGATGCAAAAGCTCCTGGCACGCCACCCGAGTAACCCTTAGGTCCAAGTGTTTCGGTCGTGCTGTTCGTGATCTCACCATTCTTGAAAAAGCGTTTTATAAGCCAGTGCTTGTCGTTGTCGCACATAGAACCTTTCTGGACGCATGCAAGACACAGATCGAAGTCGCCCTTTTCACAGACCCCACAATGCCAGTGAGTATCAGGAATTGAGTTATCGCACCGATTGCAAGAAAGGAAGAAGTTAGAAGACATAGGACACTTCGATGCGTTGCGCTCAGCAGCGTGTTTTTGTTGAACATTGGCAAGATTTGCCAGACATTGCCCGCGAGCAGAAAAGAAGCGAGGCACCGGAGCTTCCGCTTCTCCGTCATTCTCTAATTTTCTCTCCTTGTTTGCTTGAGGTTCTGAAGACTTCTTCTCAAACTTGGCTTTTGTAGCTTCAGAGAAACCTTTGTCGTCCGAGATGGGCCAATAACACGGGTGAGGTTTGGTCTCCTTTTGACTCTCGGCGGAAACTTGGGTGAAGGGGGTCAAGGTGATTGTCGAGGGAGCGGCAGACAAGGTCTTGAAATCTTCTAACATAGATATGCGAGAGCTCGGACTCTGATCCAACAGGGTCTCGGATACATAGGGGTGGACATAAGAACGGCTTGGCAGACGCTCAGAGGCACCTGTTGGTGTTTCCGACACGCTGTGGTTTTGGCTTGGCTTGTCAACAATGGTGACTCTAAGGCGAAGCTTGCCCTTGGCTTTGGCGGCACGGAATAGTTGTTTGTAGACCTGTTGATTGCTGCTATCAAGTGTAATAAAGGAAGCTGAGCTGTCCGAATACCGCTCGAAGACCGCATCTTTGGTCGGATCAATAGAGAGGAGGTGGCGGAGCTATACAGTACAACATGTATCAGCTAACACGATCAAGTTCACAGTTGATGAAATCATCATGCAACTCATCTAAGGATCAGGCTGCAATGTAGGGAAGATTCTACGAACTTTCTCTGGTAGCACAGATGGCCCCAGATCCTTCAGAGTGAGCTTGAACTTTCTATGATCGTCTTTGCCAATTATGGTGGTTTTGACGGCTACAGGAGTGTCATTTGACAGAGTTGTATGATGACTCGCCATGATGACTGATAAGGCGATGAAAATGGCCAGCGGCGGTGGAGACTAGAATGTTGCTGCTGTGCTATTCAAGTGAGCTGTTGGGTCAATATTAGAAGGCAGTGATGGGTGTAGGAATAGCTATAGATGTGCCCTTCGCACAGAAGGTTGGGGTGAGGTGGATGACGAGGAGTGAAGCTGATGAGGGTTGGGGACGAAGCTCTTTGGAGCCTGGGAGGCGCACTAAAATCTTGGCAATTTTCGGCCCCGCCTTTTAGGCGGACCGAGGGCCCCTCGGCCACTTGCCTGCAGCTTCCTACTCGAGTCGATCCTTTATTTGATAATGTCTCTTTAACGTACTGATGAAGGGTCTTCCCTGATTAATAATTAGAATGGAAGGGACACAAGATATCAAGTACTCAAAGTTTAAAGCCTTATGTATTCAAATACCAACTATACTACACAAGAAAATGAGTCAAATGTCAAGTCCTGAACCCTCTCTATCCCTCCGCGGGGATATCGAGTCCATGCATGAATTCTAGATTTTCCCTTCTCTGAACCCAACGCATTGAATTACACTCCCCGGTGTAACAGCGTAGAAGATGATGAAACCGTAGACTTGAAAGCTCCACCAGCTCACAAATGCTTGGACACGCTGAAAAACTCTGACACTAAAAGCACACTGACAGACAAACTCCCGCTTTCCCATTGAAATCAATTATTGCTGAGGTGGGTAGAATGCCTGAGGCGGTGGGTAAAAAGGTGGGGGCATCACGCCCTCCATCGTAGTTGCTGGCGGGGCCGTAACATACATCGTTGAATATCCGGCAGAGGCCTCTGTAGAGGCAGCAAGCTCTGAAGGGTCGTAGTAGTAGACCATACCTCCGGCCTCGTGAGCAACAGTGCCAGATTGTGGGACCGGCTCCGTTTGTTGCGATGCCTGAGGCGGTGGCGGCGGCGGCGGTGGCGGCGGCATCATAGGCATTGGGTAGAAATATTGTTGACCCGGAACAAAGGGTGGAGCTGCGGCGGGAGATCCACCGCCCTGTTCTGACGGTGGATAATAATACATCTGAGGCTGGTACGGCTGAGGATAGAAGTGCTGCGGAGGTGCGAATGGATAGGGCTGGAATGGCTGGGCATGAATTGCAGCTTCCGGTATCTGAGGCAAAGGCGTTCCACCAGAGGTATGACTTGGATGTGATGGATGTCTTGAGTGTTGAGGCTGCAGCGCACCCATAGGCATAGCTTGAGGTGCCATCTGCATCGGCATTTGCTGATGGAACGGTTGCTGCTGTACAGCAGGTGGATTAAACTCCATCACAGCTGGGGACTCGATACCAGCAACTTGAAGGGATCTTTCGGGTTTCGGATGGTGCATTGGGAGGTCTTCTGTTCGATTCTCCTGGAATGCTGGTCTCTGTTGTTCCAGGTGTGCTGGAAGTTGCGGCAAAGTGACGGACGGGGAGCCACCTGCTACCTGCTGTTGCTGCTCAGAAGCAGGTGGCAACCGTACAACAGGCTTGCTAGCATCCAAGATCATTGTACTTTGCTGAGGCAGATTAAGTGGATTCGGAGGAGTCATGCCGGGGAACGATACTTCTCGAGCGAGAGATGATCTTCGACTGAGCGCTATGCTTGGTGAGTAGGCACTGCCACCATACGCACTTGTCCTTTTACTTGATAGAGGGTCGAAACCGATTATACCAGGTCCAAAACTGCCCCTTGCACGTGGCCTTCCAAATCCTTGTTGATGAGGCCTGAGTGCTCTTGGGATGAAGATGAAAGATCGATCCATGGCAGGAAAGATGAACTTTATCTGCATATGTGGTATCGATACACGTACTGGCTTATCACGTCGCAATGGCGGGCGGTGTTGTGGAAGACGCGTGTGGGAATTTCTTGACACACCGGATATAATTTTTGATTCTGACATGCCTTGCAGCAGGATTCTCACCTGCACTTCGCCGAGTCGAGTCGTTGTGGAGAATGTGCGGTTGGGAGGTCCTGAAGGGCCGGGCGATGCTGCAGTCAACTGCCCATACGAAGTATTCGAAGCCTTGTCTGGGCCTGCGGATTGTATATTTGACTGTGTTGTGTCAGGTTTTGTGACACTATCATGCAAGTCGTGGGCCCAAGGGGCATCAGCTGGTCCTGAGTATTGGGTAACTCTGCGGTGAAAGGTCAATTTGCAGATTTTGGTATGTTCTGATCAGCGAGAGTGCTTACCTGGATTCTTGGAAAGGACCTCGAAATGCTCCACGCCCTCTCATTTGCCCCCTACCGAATGGTCGAAAGCCATTTTGCCCAGGTCCGGCTGATCGATGATCATGCATGAAGAATCCACCACGGTTAGGCACAAACGCAGGATCTGCATCTCTCTTCTTTCTGTACTCCTCGTGTTCTCTCCGTCTCCTGTCGATCGCACTCTCTTGATGGGAGATACCTGATTCTTCACGTTGATGCTGTGCCAAATCATCAAAATCTACACCCTCAGTCTCTGCATTATCGGATATCTTGAGACCATTCATCATGGCCTCAGTATCTTTCGAAGTGTTCAAAAGCGCCGTACCTGTCGCATCTGGTGCCTGCTCAGGGGCCACCTGCTCGCTTTTCTCATGATGGCCATTCTGTAACGGGGTAGGCCTTATGACTTCCTCTCGAGATGCGTCTAGCTCACTTTCGTCACTTCCCTCTCCGTCTGCATCGTCGTCGGCATCGCTGATTATCGAGCCCTCACTCAGCGAGTCTTCCTCTACAGCTGCTGCTGCGGAACCCTCCTCCTCTTCTCCTTCGTCCTCCACCACCCTCCTACTCTTGATAAGTGGTTTCCTTCGCGGAGCTCCCATCCTTTCCTGTCACCTGGCGAGTGACCAGTTTTGGAAGAATTTGGTGGCGTCGGAGGGCGCTCGACCCGGGGACTGAGCAGGGCACCAGTGCCGCAAGAAATTGTAAGTCTACCTATACTGTGAGTCATGGATGTCTAGGCCCCAGACACAACACCTCGATGTACGATAGATAGAGCATGGCATGCGAAGACCACGCAGGTTGCAGGAGCGGATAATACATGGAGCCGGGAAAAATGAGGTCAATATTTCTCGGGTCGCTGACGGGTCTTTTTTCGACTCCGCTTAACTCCGTCTACGACTTAGGTCTTGCTAACATTCCGCATGTCGAAACTTTTCTTGTAATGCTGTTGATTGACCATGGCGGCTCATATTGTTTCTACTAACGCAAAATCGTAGGCTATATTGTAGGAACAGATACAAAGACAGTGACTCTGATCAAATGCCACTCAATGTAATGTCGTTCTGACTGTAACGCGAAGTGGAGTATTTGTTACAAGATAGCTATCACATTATTACCGCATGGCTGCCCCAGCTTGCAAATTACCTCCCATCGCCTGGAGTCTTTCAGCCAAATGTGGGTAGCGTTGCTGTACTTCAAGCTGTGTCCTCGTCGCTTCCGCGTACGATAAAGCATTGACGATTTCTCCCTCCGTTCTGGAGAGTTCGGCAGCTCTCTCGAAGTATTTCAAGGCTTCTGTAACCTTGCCTTGCTGCAATAGCAGCTGAGCCATAGTTGCAACAGCTATGTCGCACTCTGGGTCAACTGAAGGAAACGTCAGCTCAAGTGCGCTCATACGCAGCATAACCGAGACTCACTTATCAAGGCCTTCTGACAGAGCTTCTCAGCTTCTTCAAAGTCGGTCTTCCACTGAAACATTGCAAGCGCCTTGTTGATTAAAGGTAGCACGTTCATGTTGAGCGGCTTTGTTTGTCTTTCCATTTCTACGGCAGTGTCAAACTTGTCAACCGCCTCCTGATACTTCTGTTGATCGAGTAGGAGTTCTCCATAGTAATTGTATACGTCAGGAACCTTTGAAAAATTCTTGACGCATCGCCTAAAGGTCGCCATCGACGATGCTATCGACCCCATTTTATACTGAGTAACGCCGAGTTGTATATGCGAGAAAATGAAATTGGAGTCCAGATCAATTGATTTCTGATAATCCTTGGCAGCCTCAGCAAACTCGTTCAAAATGAAGTTCAGCTGCGCTCGATGGTAGTAGATGTCCGGATCATCAGACTGGCGAGCCATCGCTTCGTCGAAATCGTTTGCAGCTGCATCCCTTTGTCCTAGCTCTAGATGCATACTCGCCCGTTTTATGTAGCTTTGGGTCAAAGATGGTTGTATCTCAACACTTTTCGATAGGTCTTCTAGTGCAGCATTGTTCTCACCGCGAAGGTACTTGAATGTACCTCGCATATTGTATGCAAATCCTTCGTAATCACCGAGCTCGCCCAAGTCTAAGGCCTTGTCGAACGCAGCCGCGGCAGCCTCGTAACCTTCTCCTGTCTCTTTACCCATCGCAACCAGCCCTGCGCGCAGCTGGCCTTTGCCGCTTTGCTCATCTATTTCAGCGCTCTCTTCCAAGCCTGTAGGAGGTGACTTTGGTCGGAAACTCCGAAGATAATTGGTGACAAACGTTGGGCTGGGGAGGCGTTTTTCTTTCTCAGCTAGGATTGTCTTGCCCTTGGCTTCTGCGACCAGCTTCAACAACCGCTCCACGCTCTGCGCGCTCTGATCATTTCGAAATTGATCAATTATACAGCTTGCTGTGTAGTCCAGTAGAGCTTCGTTATATTGTTTCAGGTGTTCGTATGCATTTGCTCTCCTGTTCAACGCCTTCACGTATTGATTATCGATACTGACAGCAGCAGTGGTGTCTTCCACCACCTTTTCCCACTCGCCCAGAGCGTTGTAGCATGCCGCTCGATTGGAGTAGAAGATTGGGTTAGGTTTACACAATATGGCCTTACCATATAGCTCTATTGCCTCATTGTAATTTCGATCACCGTACGCTTTGTTCCCAGCAAGCTTCAATCTTTGTGCATAGTCCTCTCTTTCCTATTGTGAGATTTAGCCCTAGGAGCGATACTTTGAAGGGGTCAGGGCAAACTCACCTCCGACGATAATGAGTCAACCGTAGACTCGTCTACGGGCGGTATCCCTTCGAGCGGATCTGGTTGAACTGTGGCGACTCGCTGTGGATCTTTCGGCGTTTCTGAGGCCGGCTGCGAGGCCGAAGAAACCTGTGCGCTCTCCTTCTCCTGTTTGGCTTTCCGCCTCTGACTCTTGCTCAATTTCTGTTTCTTCTCTTGTACCCGGCCGCCATGTGAACCGTCGCCAGACCGGGAGTAATAATACACCGCCCCTACCCCAGACCCCACAATGGCTACCCCAGCAATTGTGTATACTAGAGGCTTGTTTTCCGAGGCCCAAGTACTCAGCCTTTCCCATACTGCCGGTGAAGAAGAGTCCGCGGGGAGCGAGGAAGGAGATAGGCGGGTGTTCGGGGCCGAAGAAGCATGTATACTTTGGGCCGACATCTTACTTGGATACACGGGGAGCGAAGTTGACCTGACGCGCACTCGGAATCCAAAGAAGGGTCCACTAGCCGGGTCCTGTGATGCCCAGCTTGGTGAGATGAAAGGGGGCGATACTTTGCAAGAATAATGCGGTGAATTGTATGGCCACCCTGCAGGATGGTTCGAATGTGCGCAGACCCCACAATTATCCAATGATGCAAGGCATAAAGGTTTCCGGTAGCTGCTTGAGCTTCGCTGCCTTACCAGTTTGAAAGATGTGGTGCCATGGCGGATCTGCATCATCATCTATATTTGCGATTTTCCCTTATATCAAAAAATTTTGACTTTCGGCTTCCCGGAGGAGAATCTCCGCGCTATTAGGGCACATACGCCGCCCATTTCTCACCTGCGAATACCCCCATGCTTGTTTTGCTTGCAGTGCTGCTTATGAATATATCCTCAGACTATTGGCACTGGTCTCGTCTCGTCTGTACATCTGCTGACACACTCAACGGCTGCCGGTGGACACATCTACTGCCTATGTGATTTGCCCTCTGACGTCCTCTCTCTCGGCAGACGCCACAATTTTAGCTACGATGATGATCCCTCTTGGACGCATCCGGGGGTACGGTCTAGATGTGATAAGATATCCGCACACAACTTTTGGTTTTTTGGCTTAAGGCTTGACTCTCCCGACTAAGATGAAAATTCGATACTTTAGGCAGAAAGGGGTAAAAGGCCGCAAGGAGCTTCCGTAGGCAGAGTGATTTGAAGATCAAGCTTCGTTAGCATGGACAAAATCGGCCTGGTGACGACCATCAGAGACGACCAGCTCTTGCTCTTGAACAAAGAGAACGCAACCTTTGCGCCGCCGAGTCGACGGCCGAGTCCGCTTTATCTGCTCTCCTTTCATCGCGATCGGATCCTCGCCGCTGCGCAAGCGGCCGGCCGGTCATGCAAGGAACTTGAAGGTGACAAGGGTCTGGAGCTCCTTGCCTGCAAAATCCAAAGTCATAGAAAGAGTGCTAATAGGGACGTTGAGGATGCGCTAAAGGTACGTCGGTCCGTGTACGCTTGAAACAGCCGATCTGGAAGCGCGAGGAAAACTCATCTTGGCCATCATTAGGTTCGCATCGTGCTGTCCGCCAGCAATGCCCTTGATGTGACATCGACGCTTGTCCCGTCCACGCCCCAGAGCGCACTGTTCCCCAAATCTCTGAGTGAAATTTTCAAGTCCAAACCGACTTACCGTATCTATATCTCGCCCATCAAGACTAAACCTAGCCTCTACACTCGTTTCAAGACCACGGAGCGAAGCGCATACGACAAGGTCCGCTCCGTTTTGCCAAAGTCAAATCCTGATAGCTTGCTCACGGAGATCCTTCTGATCAACGAGAAGGGAGACATCATGGAAGGCAGCTTCACCACTCCCTACTTCAACCATGGCGGCTGGATCACGCCCGCCAAGAGCTCAGGCGGAAATCTCGGAGTCACCAGGCGGTGGGCACTGGGCAAGGGCCTTTGCGAAGAGGGTCTGGTGAACATGAATAGTGTCCAGGCAGGCTCGCTTGGGGAAAGAATCATCCTCAGTAACGGAGCTAGAGGCTTTGGATGGGGAAGGGTGGAGCCGCTTGTAGATCTATGATCCTGTTGCTGAGGACAGAAAGTTGTCACCAACCAGATGTTTGAGAGCAAAGTATACCACTGGTCGTAGCATATCAGTCGAACACAATCCTCTTTCCGCGACTTTCAACAATCGCTGCGTTCGATCTAGGTGCTGCTGCTAGCGCGGCTCCAGGGGCAACATTCCTGGGATCGATTTTCTGCAAAGGCCGGCGGGTTGAAGGCGGCTTATCATCTTTGGCGGAATTATTGGGCTTCAAGCCAGCGTCAACTTGTTGCTTCGCATCTGAAATGTCGTGGTCACTGTTTGTGTGCCCGCCTCGATCCTTGTTGAATCGCTTTTTGTACCGCAATGTCTTGTCCTCGGCGAATTCAAGTCTTAGGTCCCGACCTTGCAATCGATTGATCCACCATTTGTGAGCTTTCTTTTGCTTTCCTTGCTTACTTACGCTCGCGTCCTTGTCAGCGCTGTCTTGCTCGGCATCCTCAGCTGGGTCGCTCTCTCGCTCTACCCATCCTCTAGCAGCAACCTTGCCTCCTTCAAGGTCCACATATTCAATCCATGCATAGCCTTTGCACTTACCAGTATCCTCAAAAGTCGCAACGTGAAGGTCAGCAATTGCTCCACACTGCGAAAAATGCTCCAGCAGATCTTCTTTTGTAGTGTCGAACCCAAGGTTTCCGACGAAAATTCTTTGGCTCGGTGGGTTGCCTAAAGGGGTTCGTACATCTCTCTCACCTTCCTTGGGCGGTTCCGGCCGACCTTCGAAATTTTTCGAATCCTTGATGAGTATCCTGCGCCCTGACAGAAGCTCTTCGCTCAATGCTAAAGCCGCATCTAGTACCCCTTGGCTCGAGAAGTCGACGTAAGCAAATCCTCGATTCCGAGGCTTCATCGTTTGTTGAGTTGTATGCGAAGACCCTTTCTTGGGTGGCGGCAGGTGCAGTCTCTTGATCGCAATGGCTTCGATGCTAAGTCGTTCCGTAAAGAAAGTCCGTAAATCTGCATTCGTTGTTGTCCACGGCAGGTTACCGATCCAGATCCCAAAATTTGATTCATTAGAGGAGTCTGTTTTCACTTTCGCGTCTCCATGTTGTCTAGAAACTTTGTCGTTTGTTTCGTGAACCTCATCACCAGCATGATCCTCTGTCAATTTCTTGCTCAAGACACTACCCCTTTTCGCTCGCCTCAAAGCCTTTTTTGACGGTGGCTCTGGTGCAGAAATGTCGACTGCTAACTCTGGCGCCACAATCTCATCGCCATTGATTTTTCGCTTCTTGGGATTAATAGGCTCATCCACCTTGGGCGTAGGTGACGTCAACTTGGTTGAATGGCGACCCATCTCTACAATTTTGACTTGCAGCCCGATTCACCGCAAAGCTACGACATTTCATTATAATCATTCAATATTTCCTCAATCTGACTCGATACGTGATGAGTCTCGACGCTGATACTGCTTACGAAGGGCCCGGCAATGTCAAAATTCGACTAAAGAATTTGATAGTCCGGTCGAACTTAACTAGGCTAGGTGGGGCTGAGTCCTAGCCCTAAAGCTATTACACTTCGGAAAGTGGACGGTTATCCTAAATAGGAACATTGGCATTGAACTTCGATGTTACTTTATACTTTATTAGAAGAGCGGTATATCATGATTCTGGCCAGCTAAAGCTGCAAGTAGACCTTCTTGAATCGCTTTTCATTCTACTGAGCTTGTCTAATGTAGGTAGAGCATAAACTGACAAAGACTGAAATGTAATCTTAATTATCTTACATGCAAAGCCATGAGATAGAATCTATAATGAAACAACCAGCTCACTAGCTAGGTCGTATAATGCCGAAATAGCAGGTCAGTGCTGTATTCATCCTCATTCCGGCCGGGAAGCAAATGCTGCTAGACCGCTTCAAATCCTAAGTCCTCAAGAAAGTAAACTCACGCTCGTCTCATGTTATTTGCGGAGGGGGAATGCCTCTGAATTGATTGTTCTCTTTTTCTCCATTCATGGTGAAGTAAGGAGACATATGCTCGCCATTGGGCTGCATCTTCGGCGGGGCAATTCCACCATTCGACATATGTGGAGGTTGCAGATTTGGCAAATCCCTCCTGGGGTGCATCTGCTGGGCTTCGTGTTTCTTCCTCTTCCGTTGGTTCAAGTCCCCAATGATGCCAACAATCCGCTTCTTCGCAAGCACTTTTAGATCATGGGGCTCTCGGCTACGTTTAATGGACTCATTCATGGCCCGAAGCTGAGTGACTGAGTTCAGGTGAGGGCAAGTTCGAGCTTGACCATAGTGTGCCAAGCCACAAAGATTGCAGATTTCGACTCCTGCAAGCTTCAGAGGACAATATCCAGTATCATGCTTTTCACCACAGGCAAGACAGGGATGATATTGCCCGTCGTCGCTTTCCACAGAGCCTGCGCGTCCGTTGGTGAGAGCTGCGCCCCGCGGGGTCAATAAAGGCAACTCTGCGCGTCTAAAGCTTCGACTGTCCACTAAAGCACTCTTGGATGGACGCTCCTTAGGCTCGTGTAACTCATTAGCAGCGTCTTCACCGTCGCCATCTGGCATATTAGCATCGTCACTCTCATCCCCAGAGGCTTGGAAGTCGGTGTCACTATCAGACTCGGCAGAGCGTCTCGAGACCCTCGTATGGGATGGCGACGCGTCAGGCACATCGTCGCCTGCCCCTCCAGAGTAGTCCACCATCTGCATTGATCAGCAACGCTTATGTAATCTCATTGTTCGGACTTACCTCTCGCCTTCGACGTCCTCTACCGAACTCTTTCTCATGCATTGCAGCTTCCTCGGCGGCTTCTAGCTCTCGCTGTTTCAATATCTTGTCCCAAAGCGAAGGATCGGGTTCCCCTTCCGTTACGTCTTGCAAGCCTTCCTCCAAAGCACCCTTGTCATTGACCCAGACTTTTGCAAAACTGAATTGGGATTCTGCAGACTTGTCGTTGTCGGCTTTAGTGTTTTCGATTTGGCTACGGTCAAGAAGCTTGTCGATGGAGGCAATATCATATTTAATATCCTGAGTGTCATCATCATCAGCAAAGATCGCTTCTGTGCCATGGCGCAGGATAGATTCAAGGTCCATTCCAGCGTCATCCTCCGCAGCCATTTGCTCGATGAGAACGTGATCCAGCATCATCTTCTTTTTGCCTATCTGCATAATTTTCTCCTCTGCGGTTGAGCGAGTTGTCAACTGGAAAACAAGGACCTTCTTCTCCTGGCCAATTCTATGTGCTCGTGAGAGCGCTTGGATATCTTGATGGGGGTTGAAGTCTGGATCGAGGATAATGACGGTATCTGCGGTGGCTAAGTTGATCCCCACACCTCCTGCACGTGTGGAAAGCAAAAATGCAAATAGACTTGAACCCTTCGCATTGAACTCGTCTATACGCCTCTGCTTCTGGAGGGAACTCATACTACCGTCAAGCCTTTGATGCAGTAGTCCAATGCCGTCTAGAAAGTCCTCAATGATATCTAGCATGTCCAGAAATTGACTGAAGATCAGTACCCGGTGACCTCGGTCTTGTAGCCGTGGTAACATCATTTCTAGTAGCTGCAATTTTGACGAAGCGTCTACCAGATTTCGATGTGACACAATCGGATCGCGGCTTCTCTCTTCAATTTGCTTGCTGTAAACGAAAGGATGACAAAGACATTTCCTGAGCTGCATTAAAATATTATTGAGGTTGGCGCGCTCATTCTGCTTGAGTGATTTCCTGCTTGATCCTATGATTGACTTGATGAGATCAGGATTCTTGGCGAGGATGGACCTGTAGAGTTTCTTTTGCAATATCGAAAGAGACACCGGGACTATCACCTGCGCCATCGGGGGTAGGAATGAAAGGACCTGAGCTTTGGTTCGCCGAAGGAAGACAGGTTTCAATTTCTCGTGTAGCTCTTTCACTTTTTCTGCGTCTAAGTCCATGTAATGTTCATCCATTTTCTCGGCATCTTGGGATGGGTCTAGGAATTGTAGCAAATTGAACAATTCTCGAGCATTGTTTTGAAGCGGTGTACCGGTCAAAAGAACCTTGAAGGGGGCTCGCAGAGCGTTCAACGAGCCGTAAAGAATACTTTTATCGTTCTTCAAACGTTGACCTTCGTCAACAATGAGGCCCTGCCATCGAACACCCCGAAACACTTGACGGAATTCTCCGTCCTGGGCAGCGTCGTAAGATGTGACAACGACATGACATCTCAAGTCTTTGGGTCCGTTCGGGAAAAGCTCATGCTTTGCAGCTAATTTTCTCGCTTCTGACGATCCGTAATAGCTTACTACTCGAAGCTTTGGCGCCCATTGTTTTATCTCTCGTCGCCAGTTGGGGCAGGTCGAGTTTGGTACAACCACGAGAAATGGCCAGCATCCGTGGGTTTCCTTGAGATTTGCAAGGAAACCAATGATCTGAATTGTCTTTCCTAGCCCCATTTCATCTGCTAGAATTGCATTTTGCTGTCGAAACCACTGATAGTGAAGCCAATTGATACCTTCAAGCTGGTAATCCATCAATTTGCCCCCTGTTAGGCTTTCAGGTTGAGTCTTTAGTGCGTAATGCTGGTCGAAGCTTTGCTTGCGAATTCTATAAAGGTGGGATGATAAAGTCTTGGGGATGGGCAAAGTAATGTGCATACCCAAAACCCATTCCTCGTACGCGCCTTTCCAGTCCTGGTAACGTTCGGCTTCGTTGGGTTGAGGCGGCTCAATCCAGACTGTGTCTTCATAGCCAAGGCCCTTGAACTTCACCAAAGCCTTATCTACTTCTTTGATACGTTTCAAATCAACATCGAGCGTGTGCAGATTGACAACATTGGTGTACTCGATGTCAAACACGATGTCCACCCGCATGAATTCTTCAGGAACGGCTTCATCCGTGGTCATCTTTGGAAGATTGTGCTCATTGTCTCTTTTGGCAAAGGCTTTTCTCATAGTAGCGCTAGTCATACCCCAGACCCAAGGCCCCGGCATCCAGGTAATCTTCGTATGTGGGAGCTTCTTCCATTTAACAAGGTATTCTTTATTATCTTCTTCGACCATGTCGGTCGTCGTCCCATGTTGATATGATTCTATATGCAAAGGACGCCATGCGACTAGGCCATCAACTTCTGCCGGTGCTTCGGCACACAACTTGCATCGCCAATCACGGGAATATTCCTTCAGTCGCCTCTCAGCCTTCTCTCTGTCGCCTGCACCCAAAATACTAGCGATGCCTAGGTCATCACGTTGTTCGAGATGATGAAGATGACACGCGCGATAACATGCCAGGCATCTAAAGAGGACATTTTCGTAATTGTTGACCAGACCAGGATCAACGTCCACGATCGGATCCTCTCCGTCATTCTCTTCTCTTTCCTTCTGTTCCTGCTTCACTGTCTTCCGCTCTCGGAAGGGGTTTGAAGTAGGCCCGTTCTTATCGCATTCGAAGCATTTACTTTGATTGGGCGCCGTAGAGTCTTTGACTTTCGCAAGATTGACGCAACGTCTACACTGCAAAACGAAGTCTCGCTCATCGACTTTCGTGACCAGATGATCTCGACTTCCACGGTGACCTAGGCACTTTTGGTGGTAAGCCAGAGTGCACCCCTGACAGAACACCATACGCCCGCGTTCTTCGTTGTCACCGACCTCATAGCATACGTCACATGTTTGACAGTGGCGATCTCTGAAGGGATCATTTTCAGGCAGTCTTTTGAAATGCTCTTTCGCACCAGTGTATTTGATACTGTTGCTTGTGAAGCCTTGCTCAGGGATATTGTCTTCATCTACCTCCCTCATACTCCTTGAAAACAGCGCATTGCGACCAGATCTCCGTGCCCCTTCTGGGGATGGTCTCCTCGGAGGCTTCAGAACGAGGGAGGCGCGCGGTCTTCCCCGTCTGCCCCTACGAGAGTTTCTGCGTCCCGAGCCAGAGCTGGTATCAGAGTCCAGTTCTTCTAGACCAGCAGCGTCGTTATAATTGACACGCTTTTGTGCAGCTGCTCTTGTAGATCTCGTGCCTTGCTGGCCGGTCTTGCGCTTCTTGAAGACAAGATCAGAATCCTCACTGCTAGGTTCCAGATCAGATGACATGGTGCTTTGGAAAGACCGCTTCGGTAAACGGCGAACAGGACGTCTGGCTTTGGAGGTCTTCGTGGAGGATGATTGACGTTTATTGCGGGATGGTCCTGTAAAACTCATTGTTACAAATTCGTCTTCCTCTGAGGAGTCGAGGAGCCCTGAAAACGTCTTGCTTGAAGACTTCTTCTGTGTTGGCCTTGTACTTTTCCGGGTGGGAGCAGCTGCAACTACGTCTGAATCGGATGGTTCATGAGCATTGAAGTCAGCAATCGCTTCGGAGCCACCTTCGAGTTGTAGTAGCTCATCGAAGGGTACCTGCAATAGTGAGCATGGCAATAGAGCAAACAACGCATTACTACGAGCAGAACGACAGCGCGAAGGAATAAATTTGGTAGCCTTAAGTGAAGGTTTGATATGGGCGGTACGTCTTGATAATTCTGAAAGTGATAGGTGAGTGATGAAAAGGGGGGCCCACCGTCTCATCGCTCCCATCCTCGAAACGGACAAGATATGACACTTCATCATTGTCCTCATACTCTTCGACGATTTCCATGACGAAGGGTTCCTCGTAGACTTGATACTCCCATTGCCGCTTTACAGGAGGAACCAAAATCGCAATGCCATTTTTTGCTATATAGTGTCTTGTTCTTTCGTCCAGATCAGCACCAAGAGAATCTTGTGTAGTGAGGTCTGCATCCGCTAGAGCAATCTGTGGATCATCGTCGTCATCATCATCGATCACGTGGCTAGGTGCGACTGGGGTGTCGTCGATTGGCCTCTCTCGAGGTTCTTCTGCCTCGAAATGCAACTCGCCCAATTGGGCATCACTCTCGTCACTGGATGTATTGGCCATCTTGGGTCAAGTTACGAAGTGATAGTTGACCGAGGCGAAATATTCTCAACAGCCCTTGGGCTTCCTCAATCAGTATTTTGCCGATGGACATCTGGCCTTCATCACGCCCCTAAAGTCCAGTCGTAACGCTGAATTGAGTATTGGCAATTTGAAGGAAGGAATAGAAACACACGAGATGCACCCGCTTTGATAGCTAGTGACTGCTGCATCGACAAACGAGCTTCGACCTCACGCAGCATTGTGAAGCTCGACGTATCGAACGCGACTTCCCTGCACGGCTTTATCGGACATAAGATCTCGTCTCCCTTGGCTTGCATCCCTATAAATATTATCAAAGCTTCAATACTCCCTCTACTCTACAAAATGGCAGATGTGAACCCTTTGAAACAGGCGTACCCTACACTGTCACCCACCTGTTCCAAGAAGGTGTTCTGCATAGCCGGCATCCTGACAGCCGTCTATGGCCTCGATGAGCTCACGGCCAATCATAATGGCGTCGCATGTATATGGCTCCTTCATCCACGCCTCCAACGGCAGGAGACCATGGAGCTTATGGCACACTCCATCCTAGATAGTTGGTACTGTCAATCAGAAAAGTCCAAAGATCATGATCAATTACCCGGCCTCATAGCCGTGTCATTTGATCAGCGCAATCATGGTTCACGTGAAAGAGAGCCACTTGCGAACCAAGACTGGAGGAGTGGCAATGAAAGACATGCTCAGGATATGTTCTCCATCTATAGTCCGTCTCTTCTGGCTCTTCTTTCTGAAAGCTAAGTACCTACCACAGGTGGGACAGCGCTTGATGTGTCTCAACTTATGGACTATTTGTCTTCTTATGCCTTTCCTTTGCAACATACTTGTATCACAAAGCACTTAGTGTGTGGTGTCAGTCTTGGGGGCCACGCTGCTTGGCATTGTCTCTTTAACGACCCCCGAATCTCTGCTGCAATAAGTATAGTAGGTTGTCCGGACTATTATCGCTTAATGGAAGACCGAGCTCGTTTATCAAAGGTGTCATCTTGGCAAGATGGAGTCTTTCGAGGTTCCAAAGACTTTTCAAATGGTCTCGTTGAAGCTATCGAGAAGCACGATCCCGTGGCAAGTATCATCAAAGACTTGTACTTAGGTGATGAGGTTTGGTCCCTATTGGACAACAACATAAATATGAAACAGCAACAACTCCTTGCAACACGCCTGACGAGCAGACTGACGGGCAAAAGATTGCTGAATATGTCTGGCGGCGCGGACAAACTCGTCCCATATCGCTGCTCGGAGCCTTTCGTGAATTTTCTGACCCAAGCAATCGGACCAGCAGGATGCCTCAATGGATCTGATTTCCACATGAAGGACAAGGTCTTCGATGGAGTAGGTCATGAAATGACTCCTGACATGGCAGCAGAAGTCAATCGGTTTGTCCTAGAAACGCTAATCCAGACCCCCACGTCTTCACATATGAACAAATCAAAGATTTAGAAAAGACCTCAATATGAACAAAGACTTATTGCAATTTGCAAAGATTTTTTGATTGACTTCGTATCACCTTAATAGGACTCATAATGTCCATCCTATAACAGCTTCATCGTGCTATTACCACCTCCAACCCCCACATTCGCACCGTCTGGATCTGTAGTAAAACTACTGACCTCGCTCAAACTCCCAATTCTACCTAACAAGAACTCTAATTGCCTATACGCTGCGCTTGGCGCATACTGCGGAACCATGTGCCCGGACAAGCTCACCTCCACCCACGTCAACCCACGCTCCGTATGCGTTGTCCCAAAGACGCCCGCTCCTGCCAGGGTCGAAGGCTCCTCCAATGTATGATACGGCACATAGAATTCATCTTGCGGCTTTGCCTGGAAGCCTTGAGCCCCGTTCCATGTCATATTCTGGATCATCAGCAAGGTTCCGTTGGCAATAAGGATATAGTCGAGTGCGCCGTGTGCGATAATGGTCTTATTGAGGCGCTCGATGACGCTTGGAAGAATGGAAAGACCACTAGGCGGTGATTGATCGCCATCACCGACGAACACGTCCTTGGAGGTGCATTCTTCCCAGTTGCCAAGTGGGGCATTGATCGCTTTCTGGACGTCAGATCGATTGAAATAGATTTCCGCTCCATCGGGAAGGTAGTCGAAGGAGCCAGGAAAGCCGAGAACGTCCCAGAGGAGCGGGCAAGTGGTTGCAATCTGGTAGATATCGAAGCATGGATTTATGAGAGATACAGCGTTGAGGATGGCGTTCCAGATGTCGCAGGGGTCATCTGAACCTTTGGTCATTGGGGGATTTGGAAGGGGTCCAGGGGGCGGAAAGACGAGATATTTGTTAAGGTATTCTGTGTAGCCGCATGTTTCGGCTTGGGAGTGGATATAGGAGGTGAACGAGGCATTGAGGGAAAAGAGAGGGGCAAAGGCGTCGGTATAAGCGACTGCTGGAATTTGCTCCTGGACCGCATCTGTGTCTGTACTGGGGTCGTAGATAATGATTCCGTTTACATCGTAATACTTGGTGTCGTTGGTGTTGAGCATGGCGTCTGCGATGTAAGGGACATAATAGCCTGCATAGCTCTCTCCAGTGATATAGACTTTCTTGTTGTGCAGGCCAAAGGTGTCCAGGAAATTTTTGAAAAAGCCCAGGAACTGTTTGGCGACATCTGTCTCATCTTTTGCGGAAGGGTCTCCTTGCGAAAATCCTGTGCCGACTGGCTGCTCGACCCAAACCACACTTGTCAAATTCACCCAGGTCCACGGATTCTTGACGGGAGCGAAGGTGCCATATTGCCATAGGAAGGGGCCGTTTTCTTGGAGTAAGCCTTCAAGGGAGCTACAACCTGGACCGCCGTTGAGCCAAATAGTGATCTCATCCTCAGCAGCTGGGTTTCCCGATGGAAAGTACCAGAAGTACAGTTGACGAGTCTCGTTAGAATCCGAAGAGATTGGAAGAAGGCCAGCGTAGGATTCGCCTATGTCAAACTAAGGAGCAGTCAGTTTGGGTCTCTTCAATGCTTGAGAAGCTAAAATGCTGACTGGGACATCAGGAATGCCTGTCCCGTCGACCGAGAACTCTGACTTGGTTAGCAGTGCTCTAAGAGCAAGAAACAATCTTTCAACTCACTGGACGCGTTTTCGGTGGGGGCGCGTCGTTCGACTTGGGCATAGGATTGCTGCTCGCCTGTTTGCCTAGAAATGATTCTTGGAGGCGCGTTCTGCAATTTCTTGCCAACATGAGCGGCACTTCTGGCTGAAACCGAACATGTTGTCAAAAGCAAGGCAACAAGAGACGTGAAAAGCATTGCAGATGTGGGCGGAAGGCACGTGCTCTCTCAAGGAAATGCTTCCTTTCGAAGGGGAAACGGGTATTTAAAGCTGCCATGGTATGTGCAGGCGGCGCTTGCAATCAAGTTCAGAGCAGGTACGGAGCTCAACGATTAGCTCTCGGTCATTCAAATCTATCTTGCGTCACGTATCTGCGAAGGGGACGAGGGTCGGTAATGAGCCGCAAGGGTAGCTCTTATGATCCCCGCAATAAGTGGGTTGCAGCCGTTACCACACCTGCCTGAAGCATGAGACTTTTATCGGAGCGAAGGTGCAGGGCATGCAAGGGGTCACTGGCAAAAAGTCTTGTCTGGATGGGGAAGGTGACGGATATAAAGCGTGAAGGCCCTTAGCGTAAACGGCTTCGGCGCTGGCCGTCGTTTGATTCAGTAGATATATCAAATACTGACTTGGCAGGTCAATTGAAACCTTAGATACTCTGTCTGTGTTTCCTACTAGACGGTTTTCGATAGCTCGAGTAGAGTCGGGTAGATTGGAGTCCCGTAGCCCGTCACTGGATCTAAAGATTTCTCTCGTTAGTATCGCCACTGTACACCCAACACAGACACGGAACGTACCCCAGCCCTTGACAGCAGCCCAGCCAGCTCCGGGCACGAATGGCGTCGGTAGTCCAGAGTAGATGTCTTTACCCGTACAACCCTTTGAAGATCCGTCGACGATGTCCGTCAAGCCTTTATAGCCATACTTGTAGATGAAGGGATTCAAAAACCCGAGCGGCTTGCGACCCTCGGAGAGGCGTGCACTATTCAGCAAAGAGACCACGCCAGCGAAAGTTGGAGATGAGGCGCTTGTCCCTCCCACCAGGATCTCCTTCCCTTGGTCGATGACCTTGAAGTTTCTTCCCTGCGCAGCAACATCCGGAAAGCCGCGCCCATTAGGATTGTACAGCCCTTTCCACGTGTCACCCAGGATCTCCAAAAATTGTGTCACGGCTTGGTCTTGGTATGATGGCCGCGGAAAACGGTCAGAGAATCCTCCAGATGAAAAGCTGACTGCTTTTTCCGGCTCCACGTTGACGGTACCACCCACAGAAGTCACAAATGGACAGGCGGCTGGAAATATGGGTAGGAAGCGAGTCGTATTCTTGCCGTCATTGGTCTGACAGGCACTTCCAGGCCCAGTATCCCCACTAGAGAAGAGAACACTTACTCCCCGAGCTCCAAGTTGAGCGAACAGAGAGCAAGTCGTGTTGGAATAGCTTTCCGGCACGCTTTGCTCATCCTCGCCGTAAGACGTCGTCAAGGTTGTAGGCAAATCATCATCTGAGAGACTCAGAATGTAATGCAGAAAGTCCAGATAAGGCTCGTTCTGATTGTCAGCCAACGTCGGTTGGTCTAGATCTGGAACCAGTTCACCAAGTCCGCCTGTGCTGTAGTAGATCCCAGGGGTGGGATACGAGAGTGGATAGGCATATTGCACGTCAAGATTTGCTTCCACATCATCATCGACAGTATCCTCCTGCGTGTCCAGTCCTCCATTGATGAGTACGTACGTGAAATTTTCATCTGCAGCGTAAGGTGCGTATTCTTCGGTGAAAGCCCGGAAATCGTCAAATTTGGCGTATTCTTTGAGATACCCGGCAATGCCGATGCTCCCACCTACCCAAGTCAGGACATGTTCTACTTGAGCTTAGATTTCTTACCATTCTCTGCACTACCCCTGGCATCCCCAATCTGGTAAAGATCTCGAAGACACTGAGGGGTGATGGTAGTATTACATAAAGTCACGTTGAGATTGGGGCTTTGATACTGATTCAACTGCTTAGCAGAATCTCCGATCACAAAATGTTCGTAGACCGTGCTCTTCTCAGGCTGCATCTGGCCAAAACGAGTGGTCGGCTGGATCATTTGAACATATTGGTGCACATTCGGTGGAACTGAATATTGCAAAGTCCGAATTCTATCGATATCTGCCGCCTTGTTGTGGTAGTAGTAGAACTTGGTGTGAAGGATGCGCTCTGCTTCCGTTGTAGGAACATAGAAATTAATCCAATCACCATCATCCTGAATATGCCTTTCTGACACGCCCTCCGATCGGAGCCATTCGAGGATTGCGGAAGAGGCGTCAGGACTTGGTCGTAGCATATCCTTCAATTCATCACGTTTCATATGCTGTCCATATTTTGGATGGTCAGGGTCGCTGATCGCCAGAACGTGCTGCTCGAAATCAAAAGCATTGTCTTGCTTAATTGCAATGCGAAATCGCAGCTGCTCTGATGCTCCTGGAGCGCGGCCCTGTTCCCATCCTTGGGGTATCCTGCCTAATCTTTCGACAAGTAGGGTTCCTCCAGAGGAGGTCGGTGCTGACGTGCTACATGCAAAGAGGCTCGAAAGTGTGATAACTGTGGTCAGGTGCTGAAGGTAGAGCATTCTGAAAAACCTCGGACGTGAAAAGAAGCAGGATGAACTGAAAGCAATGCATTGAAAATTCAAGCACGGAGGTTACTTATGCGAAATATTGCAGCTGCAGAGACGTTGCACGACATCAAGTAGGAGAGGAAGGTGTTTCTGCTAGAAGAGATTGACCTACCCCATTCGTTGCTGCGAACACTTCGGTATGCACAAATGCCCAGGAAGCCATCTTGGCCCTGTGGGGCGACACCACTTAGGCGATGATATCCATGAGCCCCTCCTTTACTGATAGAGCAGCTGCATGATCTAGCGGCAGACTGCTTCTCTTGGCTGCGCAATCTTTGGGGTGTATGAAGGACCCTCACAGCTCTATTGAGGAGAGTACATGCCTCGCACAAAGTCACAGATGGACCTTGCTTGTTCGGTTGTTGAAGGAGAAGGATTGCCAGTCGCTACCTTCCCCATGGAGTAGGTGGATCTCCCGCATGCAATTTGCGATGCTGCAGATACGACATCGGACATTTGAGAACCAGTCACTGCAAATTAACTCAAAGTGCTGATTTACCTTGGATGTGGTAAATTGCAATACTTGCCAAAAATGGTTCATGTGCCCCTTTTCGCTTGGCTTTCGTGCTTTGAAGCCAAGAAGACGAGTGCCTTTAAGGATGAAGATCCGCAACTGTCGGCGTACCACAACTTTTGAGGTCAAAATAGTCCTGGGGAGTCGGAGCAAGTCAACAGAGTCTTCCACATCACGCGTTTGATCAAGCAGAAATCTCTTGTTCGGCATTCCTCTTCGCTAGATCAATGACTGCCCGGATCCTCTGGGCGCTAGCTTCCAACCACATCTGATCACTATTCAATTCACTGGATCGTCGTCCTTTCCTGCCTTTGCTGCGGCTGCTGCTGCTCGACTTCTCGCGCCTGGCTTCGATACCAATCTCCGCAGCTTTCATTAGTTCGTCCGTCCCACGCAACGCGCCCTCTCTATCCAAAAGTCTCAGCAGAGTCTCCACGCAAAGGCTTACTTTGGTGTTCTCTACCACCGCTGCCGAATTTGCTGCCCACGGCAAGTAGCAGCGTTCCAGTAAAGCTTGGTCGAGATGATCGTTAGGAGGTTGTGGCGCGTTTGCAGCCATCATTGTTAGCAGAATATACTGAGTCAGGGATGACGCTGCGGAGACGTTGAAGTACCGCAGTCCAGATGGAGACATGATGAGGAAAAAAGTTGGTAAAGGTAATGGTCTGATGTGCTCTAGCAAAAGATCGTAAAAATTTCTCATGGCCATAAATGACTGCGGTGTTTGTGCAGAAACGTTCGATAGCAAAGATAGAAGGCGTAGGCGAAGGGTGAGCGCTTCCATGCCTCCCAAGTGTTTCGACCCATTTACAACTCCGATTTCCTTTCGTTTTGGGACACGCTTCGTTTGTGATTCAGAATCCTCATCAGAAGATGATGGGGCACTTTCAAGATCGGCATCCTTTTCTTCATCCATATAATCCCCGTAGTTGTCAGCGTCAATGTCAATTTTGTCCACTTTCCTTTCATCGCCATCCTTTTTCAGCTCTCTGGTCTCCTTCGACCACACCTCTCCGAACTCACTCGCAGCCCTTCCGCTTCCATCCGCGAACACAGCTCTCAAGATTCGCTTGCTCAAGCCAGCGATTTTGCCGTCGCCCCCACAGTATTGAGCTAATATGCTGGTTTCCAGATTGTCATCCTTATTGACCCGCAAATTCCACTCTGTTTCTAGAACGTCGATCATATATTCCAGCCAGTCTCGCCAGACTTCCCACCGTCGGTGGTGTAATATGCTGCAATTGAAGCTCCAGCCGACAACGTGCCAGAATCCTTCCGCCCTGACCCAGAGGGACGCTACGTTTGCGAGGTCGTTGTTGATTTCTTCTGAGTCATCATCCTTGACGTCTACTTCTTGAGTTCTCCTTCGTGATACTCTTCCATTCCTAGCAGGCGCACTACTTCTAGACTTAAATCTAAAGGCTTCTGCGAGACCTCCATGGATTGGTCCAACACTGTAGAGCGTAGCTCTTAAGTATCGTAGAGCTAGATTCCCAGCATGAGCGCGATCATTTGTACTCGCTCGATGGGTCAATGTTGGATGAACGCTGAGAGTCGCAATCAGAGACAAGAAGTGCGCCGGTGCAATGATGGCAGGTAGATAAGATGGAGGTGTCGCGCCTGATGAGAGGACGGAGAGGAGGAGATTGAGTGCCTGTGTATCTATTACTATCAGCACACTAAACTTGCTCTCGCTCTTACGTCAGAACGCACGTAGACTCTCTTCAAAATAAATCAAACAATGTTCCCGCAGCTCGTAGGGAAGAGCATTCTGTTCGCGATAAGCTGGACTCTTTGGTGGGGTTGATGCTTGACTTGAGCGCAGACTTTTGGCTGAACCTTGCGAAGGCAATGGTGTAAGCGATGAGCTGGGTATATAGATAGGTGTGGGTGCCATTTCGCCCAAGTCTTGTGATGCTCTAAAGTTCACAAACCCATGTCAATGCGGTCTCAAGTGCCGGGTAGCGTTGGTGCTTTCACTCATGAATCGTGAATCGCGACCTGAAATTGTGTAGATCACGTTAAGTAGGAGTCCTAAGTATGCGCAGATACTTTCTTAGTATCTGAGAGTATTTCAATTGGTGTGGATGTTTCGATCTCCGACAATATGACAGAAACCCTACACAATGCTCCAATCGTTCTTGACAATGGCTCTGGCACTATTCGTGCTGGGTTTGCGGGCGAAGACGCTCCCAAGTGCTATTTCCCCTCTTTCGTGGGTCGACCGAAACATCTCAGAGTGCTTGCAGGAGCATTAGAGGGCGATGTGTTCATTGGTCAGAGAGCTCAGGAGCTACGAGGCTTGCTGAAAATACGCTACCCCCTTGAGCATGGAATCGTGACGGATTGGGATGATATGGAGCGAATATGGTCATTCGTCTATCAAGAGGAGTTGAAGGTCATGAGCGAAGAGGTGAAACCAACAGCTCTCTATGCCGAATATAGTATTGTTGTAAGATCTTGAAGAGAGAGCTAATGCAGATTCTACTACGATAGCATCCATGTCTGTTGACCGAACCACCGTTAAACCCCCGAGCGAATCGCGATACTGCAGCGCAGATTCTCTTTGAGACGTTTAATGTCCCGGCGCTTTACACGTCTATACAAGCGGTGCTATCTTTGTACGCTTCTGGCCGCACTACTGGCATTGTTTTAGACGCAGGTGATGGCGTCTCTCATGCGGTACCTGTCTACGAAGGCTTTGCTATGCCCAGCTCTATCCGCAGGATTGACATAGCTGGAAGGGATGTTACAGAGTACTTACAACTTCTCTTGAGAAAGAGCGGATACGTATTCAACACTTCGGCAGAGAAAGAAGTCGTCAGAATGATGAAAGAGAAAGTGGGATACGTGGCTCAGGACCCTAAGAAAGAAGAGAAAGAGTGGTTGCAATCAGCCAATATCAAAGGAGAAGGCAAGTCGACAGTAGAGTATACTCTGCCGGATGGGCAAAAATTGAAGGTAAGCACCAGGATTCAAGACTTCTACGCATTTGCGCTGACAACGCTATAGATAGGACCAGAACGATGGCGGGCTCCTGAAATATTATTCGACCCTGAAATCATTGGATCAGAGTATCCGGGGGTTCACCAGATTGTGGTCGACTCCATTAAGCGAACAGACATGGATTTGCGAAAATCACTGTTCGGGAATATTGTGCTTTCTGGAGGCTCAACACTAACAAAGGGTTTTGGAGACCGTTTACTTCACGAACTACAGCGTCTAGCTGTGAAGGATATGCGAATCAAGATCTTTGCCCCACCAGAGAGAGAAGTATAGTACGTGGATTGGCGGCAGTATCCTAGCTGGCTTGAGCACATTTCGAAAGGTAATACTTGCAAGACAAATCCACAGGGGTGTGCTGATCGCTTTGCTAGATGTGGGTCAATCAAGAAGATTGGCATGAGAATCCGGAAATTATCCACACCAAGTTCAATTGATATGCCTATCTAAAAGGGAAGAAACTCCTCAGCCAAGCACTTCGGAGGGTGTCGGATGAGTGCGGAGACGGCAACAGCTCTTTCCTCCAACATGGAAAGCCTGCTCTTGCCTTCGTCGTTGAAGGATACTGACTTATATCGAATGTGATCTTGCATTCGTATCTGCATCCGTCCAAGGGATTAATGTTGCCATACCGTACCGCTGCCAAAGCGCGAGGGTCACTGGGTCTAAGTGCAGAGTCTCAGAACAAATGGCCTGCCTTTAAAGACACAGTGTCACAGGACGATGCATGATGTTAAAATATTAGCAAGATGCTGCTAGTGCACCCAGAGGTATACAGACTCTGCTATGCAATTGAAATGGAGGGGAAGGCAGACACAGCGATGAGAATATACTTGTGTTTCAGCTGCGTGTGAAAATTCGATCAAGTAGGGTATATTGCTATGAAATCTGGGGAGAGCAAGCCTCTGCAAACAAGCATCAAGCGCTACCAAAAAGTCTTCTCTACCGTACAATCCTCATTTCGAGCCTTTTCAAGATCGCATGCGCTATGATCCCGCGTATTTCCAAGTCCACCAGGCACGCCTCTGCTCGCATTATACCCCTTTGTCCCCCCTAGCGTAGCATGCGAGTAATCCCTTCCATGAGGATGGGCGCCTCCAACATTCAAGCGCGCATTTGTGTACCCACCGAATCCTTGACCTTCGTAGGTCCTTGTAGGCGTATCCATGCGAATGCCCTTCCCAGACCGGTCAGTGCCAGAAAGTTGTTTGCTGCCGCTGTAACCTCTGCTTCGATGGCTTCCGAAGTAGTTGCCAAAGATTGGCCGCAAGAGAGGCACACACGCACAAACAATGGCAATATTAGGTTCAAGTTGCGACCAGATCATGATCTTCCAGATTGTGAAAGTGGGATCGGCGGCGGTCCAGTAGAACATTGTTTTCGATGAGAGGCGGACAATAGTGATGACACAGATTCTGTAAGACGTAAGCATTGTCACAGGCCCCTTTGACGCACCTGCGGTAACTTGCATGAGACCAAAGCTGAACAGGATTGAAAGCACGACTTTTGTCCGTACTGGCATCTGGAGCTTCCATATCTGGGGAACTGGCAAACAGATCACAAGGACATCCGTAAGGACATTGACTACTCCAGTAGCGACGTATGCAGCATCACCGTCGCCGCAAGTGCCTCCCGTAGGAGTTGTGTCCCAATTGAGAGATATAGGTCTGCAAAGCAGTGTCTCTTCGAAGATCACGGCTACGAAAAGGGCAGCCACGACCGATATACCTAGGCAGGCGATCATCTGGAAAGGTCTCATTTGTGATCCTTTGACTTGTTTCGATTTAACACCAAAGATTCGAATGTACAGGATGAAGAGTGATACTTTGACAAGGCAGAGCGCACACTGCCACAATATGAAGATTGGCATTCGAAGCTGTCAACAAGTCAGATAAGTGACGCAGGCAAATTGCGAAAAGCATGCCTTCAAGAGAATTACTGCTCGGCGCGGATCAAGATCCGACAAATGAAGTCCAAGCCCGCCGTATGCTATTGCTGTGTTCTCTTAGCAGGTGGAAACCAATCTTTCTTTCTTTATACTTACCGATGATAAGGCATATGAAGCTCACCCAGGCGAGGAACTGCCATATATCAGCATCCACCACTTGATCTCAAGTAAGATGACTTCATCCCAGACTGACCAAGGCGAGGAATATAGTATAATCATCCAGACCAAGCCTTGCATTCTTGATGCGGTGAGCAAGCACGCGGAGCACGACTGCTGCAGTCGCCAAGATTAGGGAGAAAACAGTGATGAGCAAAGGCGCCAACTGCTCAGAATGCTGTAGGCTCAAGGATTGAAGCGCCATTTCCGATACTGAATGTCGTACCCAACCTGTGGATGTGGAGGTGAAAGTCGAAACGCAACGCAAGACATGGCGATAGTGAGCCTGGTCATCTGGCAGGTCGTTTCCTGGTGCTCCACGAGCTGCTATGAGCCTATGACGAACATTCTGGCACAGGGATGTGGCACAGATATGGTCAATCGCTTCGAGCTAAACCTCGAAGCCAAGCTTGAAATTGAAACAGCGACTGTATTTCCTGCGCAGGCCTGGGCATTCCTTGGTGATTACAGTATCACACGACATTCTTCAGGTCAGATCAAAGGCAACGTAGGAAAAGTCAATGCTCAGTCTGCAACAGGATACACAAAAGCTAGGGCGTGAGGCTGACCCGGAAGTAAGGAGAGATGTTGAGCCTCTGCGCCCAGCGTTCGGCTACCTGCACCATTGTTTACTGTGCCTCTGGGTTGCTTTTGGTCCTTTGAGGGGTAGAGGCGAAATTGAAAAGGGAAGAAGAGTCTTGGCGCAGAACAAAAAACAGCGTCGCTCAGGATTCATTCGAGAAGTAATATGAACTTGTACTTGAAAGCTGAAGATGACACAAGACATAGTACTTAACCTCCGTAATGCTTGATGCCGATGCAGGTGGCATCATAGACACGATCTGCCAACTTCAAAAGACCGTATTTGTGCAGGAGTTAATTACCACAACGGTGTCCAGCGGACATATCGTTCGCTAACGCAATGAGATTATAGAAATCTTATTACTCTGTAGAATAATAAAATGTTTACAGACTGAGTTCACCCGGGGCGGACGGTTTTACTTATATGCAGATAGTATGGACGCTGCGCACTCTTTTTGCGCTACAGGTTGGCGGAGAGCTCGTACAGTTACGCCATTTAAATTTCGGACACCCGCCGTTTTACACCAAAAGTGATACTTTTCAGATACGCATAGATTTCATTTTAATACCTAGGTTTTGGCTAAGAATTTCAGATCTAACCGGCAACTGATTAATTAATACAGATGTGACTTTTCAAATACTTTTGTACTAGATGTAAGCTTTAAAAGTAGTCTAACATTAAGTTTGAAATTTGGTACTGAATTTTAAGCGAGAAAATCTATATTTCAACTTCGAGCCAATCTTCTCCATTATTTAAAGCATTTTTAAAAGAGAAGTCATATAGGAATCTAATAGTAAATACAAAAAACTTTCGCATATAGAACTTGGGAAACTTTGATTGCTTAAGGGGAAGAGTTGTGGTCCCTAAGAAAAGGTAGGGTTTTGGTGTAAAAAGAGGGGTGTCCGAAATTTTATCACCTAGTACTATATGTACTCGTAGATTTCACCCTACTCCTACGTCTCTTTGCACACTTCTCATACGCAAACCTCCTCGCCCCAAAGCCTCACTTTTGTCTTCTGAGCTCTCATCTAGCTGGTCGATGTATTCGACCTTCTCTACGGCACACGCAGAAGACAGATCTACCATCCTTTGAAATGATTTCATTGACGATCCGCGCTATATCATCTGCCGTTCCCAAATTCCTGCCTTTTGGGAGATAGTGTGGACTAGATGCCACACATATGATCTACCAATTGTATCCGATTCTCCAATTCTCTGTTCTTGTCTATCATTGCCGCGCCCTGCAATATGCCTCTGAACGCGTCTGCTATCTACCCTGCCTCAGATCCTGAGTTTCTATCATTCCCGAGTCGAAGAAGTGTTGTCCATAGCGCCAACGGTATTGTGGCTTGTACACAGCCCTTGGCTGCACAAGCAGGTCAACGAATTCTACATGCTGGAGGCAATGCTGCAGATGCGGCAGTCGCTGTTGCAGCCGCCCTCAATGTGACAGAGCCGTCCTCTACAGGCATTGGTGGTGATATGTTCTGTCTGTTTTACGATGTGAAAACAAAGAGGGTAGAGTCTTTAAATGGATCTGGCAGAGCAGCCGCGTCTGCATCATTGAAGCAAGTGAGAAAAGACCTTGGTTTGGGTGACGGGAAAAAAGGAAGCATACCGATGTCAAGTGTACATGCAGTGACTACGCCTGGCGCAGCTGCTGGATGGGCTGATACAGTTGAGAGCTTTGGCAGTGGGAAGCTTTCACTAGGGGAGATTCTGGCACCTGCGATTGGGTTCGCAGAGGATGGCTACCCTGTGTCGGAGCTCTCCTCGGTATTCGTAAGTCTATTGCTGCATTCAGTGATGGGGATTCACTTACAGCTCTAGTGGCGAAGCAGCGAAAATGAAATCCGCCACGCTTCTCCAAACTTTGGAGAGATGCTCAAGACAGATCCTAAGGCACCAGATGGCAAAAGAGCACCGAACCCGGGCGAACTCTTCACGAACCCAACATTGGCGAACACTTTTCGTCTACTAGCCAAGCATGGGAAGGAAGGGTTCTATACAGGCGATGTGGCCGACGCGTTAGTAAAAGTTGTGCAAGATCTAGGTGGACATCTCGCATCAGAAGATCTCAAATTCCACTTAGACGAGGGTAGCGAGCCCACAGAAGCAATATCCTTAAGATTCAACGGTCAAGCCATAGGTTCAGTCAGGAGCCAAGGCATAGATGGCGAGCCTGCCCAGACCGCCCACGAACACGGTGTTGACGTATGGGAGCACCCACCAAACGGCCAAGGCATAGTCGCTCTTATGGCCCTTGGCATCCTCGAAGAACTCGAAAACACCAATCAAATCCCAACCTTCACCGAAAAGGACCACAACTCCTCCATATACCTACACGCCGTGATCGAAGCCTTGCGCATCGCCTTCGCAGACGGGACATGGTTCGTGACCGACCCCAACGTCGTGAAAGTGCCCACCGCCTCCCTCATCTCCCGTCCCTACCTCGCCGAGCGCGCCAAACTTTTCAACCCCAAAAAAGCCTCAGATATCCTCTCCCACGGCAGCCCCGCCCACCAACAAAGCGACACCGTCTACTTCGCCGTCACAGACCGCGACGGCAACGGCTGCTCCTTCATCAACAGCAACTACGGCGGTTTCGGCACCTGCATCGTCCCCAAAGGCTGTGGTTTCACATTGCAAAACCGCGGCGCGAATTTCAGCCTCGATGCTGATCACCCGAATGCTTTCGGTCCGCGAAAGAGACCGTATCATACGATCATCCCAGCTATAATTACAAATCCGGATGATGGCAGTCTGCATAGCGTGTACGGGGTCATGGGGGGCTTCATGCAGCCCCAGGGACATGTGCAGGTACTGCTGAATATGTTGGCGTTCAAACATAATCCGCAGAATGCGCTGGATGCGCCCAGGGTTTGTATTGGGGCGGGCACGCCGGAGATGGGCAAGGTGCTAGATGTGGTGTATTTGGAGGAGGGGATCGATGCGAAAGTGGGGGAAGAATTGAGAGCGCTTGGACATAAAGTCGAATTTGTGAGTGGGTACAAAAGGGGATTATTTGGAAGGGGCCAGGTCATTAGGTGTCATATAGAGGATGGAAGATATATTTCGTCCGCGGGCAGTGATCCCAGGGGTGATGGGGCTGCGTTCCCGGCGTAATTGAACCTTGTGGCGGGGACTGTACATAAGAAGCGATGAATGATGATAATTTGATGAGGTCCAATAAGTTTTATGCACTATATACATGACTGTGAAGCCTTCTGATGATCCATGAGACCCAACAATTAATAACAACATGGCCAGCACGCTCAATTCGCAGCATCAGCAATATTACAAAAATCTGACTTTTAACCTCCCATGCAAGATAAACAGATCACAAACATGCCCATCTACAACTTCTTCCCCAATCCCTTGAGGAAGTCCAAGCTGCCTCTCGCAGAGCTCTTGCCCGATGCCTCGCTCGCCTCACTTCCGCGTCTCTTATCAACAACATTGCCGCCGCCTCCCCGACCAACATGGTACACGGGCGCGGGGTTCTTGTTCAGCCGCCTCTCGCGCTCGAGTTCTTCGTCGAAGTGAAACATAGCTCGGTCTTCGCCTGAGCTGTGCATGTTGCCCGCGCCGCCTCGGCCGGTGGAGTAATTGGGGCCTTGGTGGGAGTGTTGGGTGGCTGTGATGGTGGATGGTGGGAGCTTGTTGCGCTTCTCTGGGGAGACTTGGTTGCCGGCGCCGCCGCGGCCGAAGGGCATGGAGGTCTTGGAGGAGTAGGTGGGGAAGGGTTCGTGGAGAGTGTAGCGGGAGGTCATTGTTGTGGTAGTGGTAGAAAGTGTGTTTGTGTGTTGTATTGATATGATCGAGGACTGTGAGATGGGATGGATTGAGTCTCTTCGATGGATTCAATGGAGTGTCCTTATAGTCGAGAGTGGGATTATCTAGAATTGACTATGTGAGTCACCGGTGAAGACGGTGAAGCAGAATTAACAATTGGTCTGTATAATCAAGGTGGCTCTCTGTGAATAATCAAACATATTTTTGGTAGGACGAAAGAGGCTTTATATAGGCCTCGACGCCCTTGGCTGGGCATGGTCACGCACGCCTCCGGTCGCATGGTGTCACACAAGACTATGCCGTTAACTGGAAAGACAGCCAGTGGAGCGGGCAATAAAACTTCGGTTTGCAGTCACCTGGTCACGCTGACGCTGTGACTTTCAGTTGTGTTGCTTATGGCCCCAGGCGCAGCCGACGCACTTTGCAGTTAACGGCAGGGCTCTGACTAACAAGATGATAAAGCAGCGCTGTGGCTTGCCCACCAGGTCAGGCCTGTGGTGCCCCGTAAATGGGATAGTCGTCGTGGCTTACGCCTGAGACTGTGACGCTGCTTTTGCTTGGCGGAGATGCGACGGACACCTCACGTAAGAAAATTGATGCTGTCCAGTCGGAGCGTTGCCTCTGGCCATCAGCCTTTCTTGGCTACCATTCGTTCCCTTCGCTTGGATGCGGCTTTGGCTTCGGACAGTGTTTTCTGGGGGTAATAGATTGCCCTATGGATTTTATGCCCGCCACTCGGGTATTTGCTGGGGGTAATGGAATATCCTTAGCTTCTTCAGGGCACGAAGACGTGACCTTGGGACTGGATGTTGTCATTATTACTCTGGATCTTCCTCGGATTCAAAGCCCCTGCTCCTTCTCTCCTGGATCCTTTGCTTTGACCGTATGTGAGAAGGATGTCGTCATGATCTTGCCATGAGTTCTTCCCTGCAGCGTGGTGTGTATTCGTATATCTCCAATTGCTCGCGACTATATAGCGCTAGCGCATGTGCGCTCCCCCGCATTATGCACGTACAGGCGATCAGGTACCATACGTTGGAAAGGGTCCGAGTGCAGATTCCCGATGTTTTGGCCCTTTAGCGTCTTTCCACCGACTAGTAGGTCTGGAAGCCATCCATGGGCCTCCTCGTGGCACGTGTGACGAAGCCACAGCTGTCAGCCGATTGATCCAGTCCTGGGAATTACAAGCTACAGGTTACGGCGACTTGATACCAAGACCAATCAAAGCCTTTCCAACATTGAGAACCTGGCCACGATCTCCCATGTTCAGCTGAGTTTGGCCTGCTGTCAATCGTGTCAATCCAGCCTCTTTCCATGATCCAGGCGGGCCCGCCTGGCTCTCAGCTCCAAGGTCAAGAAGAGGAGGCCCACGCGAGTTCTGCTAATACTTGACCTCTTTAAAGCCGTACCCTTGTTGTCGAAAGTAGTCAGCCACGTCCCTACAGCCTTGATAATTGGCCCACTGGACAGCATCAAGATCGCACAATTTGTCTCTCTTGCGTGGGTCTGCATTATGCTCGAGAAGCAGTTTTACGACATCTAGCCGCCCACGGTATGCCGCGATGTTGATAGGAGTCGCTCCTCCTCGTCCTGCGTGAACTTCCGTATCCGCCCCGAGCTTTAGAAGAAACTTCACGACGGCAGTAAGGCCATATGACGAAGCATAGTACAGTGGGGGCGTAGTCTTGGCATTTGAGGATTCTGGAATCAATAATTGTACCCAGTTGACAAAATTTTGCCGGCCGTCTTCTCCACTCAAAAGAAAGCGGCGAAGAGTGCCCCACAATGGCTCCGGAGTATCTCGGACTCTTTTCATGTGTGGTGCCCAGTAGTCTGTGGCATACATAAGAAGCGGGTATTTCTCATAGAGGACCTCGTCGTCGCCCGATTTATTCTCTCGCTCTCCAGCGAATTCGTCAAATGAAAGGTAAGTTACGCAAATCAAGGTGAGATTACGATGCGCTTCTTGCTCATTCAGCTTGTAAAATGAGGCGTTGTTCCGAGGACTCGACGTCAGGTATACGTACACCGAGTGGTGTGCTAGTGAGACCACGTCATTTTTTTCATTATATTTCAATAAGCTGCCACAAATATCCAAGATGTCTTTTGGGTGAGTTAAGCACTTGCTTTCGTCCAATCTAGTCAAGCCGGGAGTGATTTGAAGCATCATACAAACTTCTCTCAATCTCAGAGGCCGTAAGCTGAACGCTACCACTTCCAGAATCTGTCTTGTCAAGGCTTTGTCTTCTTCGCCATCAACTCGCTCGAGCAGTGTCTCGTATGTTTTGTCCAATGTTGGTGGGAGGGCTGCCAATGCTTTCTGAACAGCACCGGGCGTTCGAAGTCTGGACAGTATGTCGAGTTGACATTGCACCCAGCGAAACCTATTACCATCAGCTAAATCACTTCTACGCTTCGCCTACTTACATTCCCTTGGCTCCATCTGTCAATTTACTTATTACGTCTAATTTCACGCTTTGTGGCAGCTCCTTCAATCTTGAATTAGCTTCCACTGCATGTTTGACAAGCAATTCGACATCGTTGCTTATAGTGCTCGGCGATATGGTGTAATTGAAGCAACTTGGCATTTGATCAATGCACTTGTCGACACTTCTTTCATTGATACTCGAAACCACAAGCTGTACCACAGCGCCTGCCGTCAGGATCTTCTCTAGGCAGTAGAGGACCTCATGTGGATCAATGCATTCATTGATACCGTCTATGACGAGGTATACACGTCCACGACTCTTAACATGTTGTATGAGTAAAGTCACTAAAGTATCGATATCTAATTTTGGTATTGCTTTGGACGTAGCTTCCTTCGCCAACGATGCGAATTTCTGCCTCAATGCATAGTAAGCCTGGTCGTGTTCATCACACAACTGCGCCAAGATTGAACCTAGTATATGCTCTGTATGGAGAGATTCGTCATTGCTGAAAGAGCAGTAGAAGTATGCAAGTTGCTGGTGCATCTGAATTCGGTTTTCTATTTCGCCGATCGCTGTTGTACTGTCTTGTTTTAGCCACACAGACTTCTTGGTCGTTCAAGTGCTGCTCGCTCACATAAGCGTAGTTTTGCCTGCTCCGGCTTATTCGAAAACGTTCGTCAGCCTGCTTCGAGAAGACGAGGGCTTCAATGAATCAAATCTCTTAGCGAAAACTCCCTTGACTTACTTATGCCATTCAGCCAGAAGCAAGAGCTCTCGTTGAGGGCTGTCTGACTTTGAAATGGTTCACTTTTCGTGAACCATGTGCCCGTGCCAGCCATTCGCTGTTTCTCAACCGCTCTTCGAGTCACACGGGGATCGACGGGACAAAGCCACTTGACCATTGCTTGGTACTCCTTGGCTATTATCGTCAACCTCATCTATATATGGGATGCATATGGACCTACACGCTTCCCGCGCCTGTTGTTTGAGAGTCACATCGTGCAGCATGGTGCGCAAAGACATAATTTCATTAGCCATCTCCCTTGATTGATCAACCTCATCTGTAACCAAAGACAAGATGAAGAACGTTTTCACCCGTTCTAAACGATTCAAATGCGTCTGAACCTGACCTTCCTTTAATGGCCAAGCCATGACTTGTGTCACTCTTTTGAAGCGGGTAGTTGGCACAGCTAGGCTCCGCTGCAGTTCACGCAGGAAGTCAATTGTCTGTTCCAGTACCGAGGCGACACTCCCTGAGCTCGAGTCTTTAATTGCAGCAACATCTTCCGAGTTCCGATCAGTGGACTGGGTCGCGGAGTATGCAGGAGGCGCAGAGCGCTCTGCTGCATCTGTAGCTTGACGCTCTAGTCGTGATTTGTAGTGCTCTAGAGCGCCGACGAGGGCAAAAAGCTCATTGCTTAGATTTTGGATATCTCGCCTTGCTCCTTTGACTTCCTTTCCGTACTTGTACAAAGTTGACGTGATTTCAAAACAAATAGCAACACTTGTAACGACTAATCCGCTGATATCCATAGCTGTGCGATCGATCAATTCGAAATGTAAGCTAGACTGGCGCACTATATATGGTCATATGGATCAGACGGTCCTGTGGCCAGACTTATGCGCAGCATTTGTTCTAACATGAACCTCTCTTTTTCCCCAACAAAATTCGTAATCATTCACGGCCACAAGTGATCAAAGGCAGTTTTAGAGTAGCTCGGCTTGAATGATGAATACTGACACGAAGCATTGCATATTGAGGGGTCTTGGTGGTGTAGCATGGACTCTAGCTCAAAGTGGCCTCGGTTCTCACCTTAAGCGTAGCGCTAACATGCCTATGGGTTGGATGTTCAAGGTACCTAAAGCAGCTCAATGAGACTGTGCCCTTCTGTCTCCGGATCTCGTATTCATCCGTAGAGGATGGCCAAATTGAGATTATACAGCGCAATGTGCAGCAGGTATGGTATTTATTGTCTCGTAAGAACGCTAAGCGTTAATGGGCTTAGCGCACCCTCGACCCGCTCGAGCTAGTAAGAGCGCAAAGCGGTCACAGATTCGGAATCGCGCCTCTCAAGATGGCTTCACACTCACAGTCTTACCATCAGCAGCAACAACCTCCGCCGTCTTTCCTCCATCACTTTGCCGACCAGCAACATCATAATCTTCAAAGAGGCCCCATACCAGCAGGCTTTTATCCTGACCATGACCCAAACTCACACCACCACCAGCCGTCATCGGCCAAAACAGGCGCGAAGGCGTTGCAGAATAACGGCGAAAGCAACAAAAACACTATCAGATTGAGGAAGGCATGTGATAATTGTTCAATTCGAAAGGTTAAGGTGAGCTATGTATTTCTATGTGAACGTCACGTGAAATCGACGACCTCTGAAGGGGCGTCCTACTCAAACTGCGTTCCTCTGCGCGAATAGCACATTTGAAATGACTTTTATTAAGTGCGACGAGTCTGGCCCTCCTTGCAAAGCCTGCATCAGTCTAGAAATACCATGTACGTTTGAAAGGCCTGCCAAACGACGAGGTCCTCCAAATCGACTCGCGGCATCTATCAAGAAACAGCGACAAGATTCTGACCCTCCTTCATCTCCTAATCATGCGGCGCATGCCGCTCAGACCTTGGCCTCATTCGCACAACAACCAATTGCGGTCCTTTCAGCAGAAGCAATCTGCCCCTGGACTGTGTTGCAACCTCTCATTGACGACTACTTTACCTTTATACACCCCCTAATTCCGGTTCCACATGAGCCCTCCTTCCGACAAGCTCTGCATGATCGTCAAGATGTCAAAAGCTCGACTTTTCTGGCATTGATGGCTTCAATGATTGGTTGTCTGACAGCAAGCTTTCCACGTCGACCTCGGCAGCATTTCAGATATCATAGCCTGGAGCACCTCTTCCCAAATTCTATGAGCTTGATAGAGAGGTGCCGAAATGTGGCAATAGAAGCACATGGCCCAGCGACCTACAACCGCTCATACACCGTACACGATGCCATTATCAGCTACTTGCAGGGAATTACATATGTTTATACCTTTCAACGGCAACCGGCATTACTCTACTTCAAAGAATGCTTGGGAATTTCTACCTCCTTGGGCTTACACAAAGTGAGTTACGTAAGAGATCATGCCAATGCTGCATCACAAGCAGTGGGAGTCGCAAACGGGGGCAGCAACGTAATTGATACGGATCTCATTGTTCAGGAACTTGAAAAAAGGGTATTTTGGATCTTGTTTGTGACAATCAAAACGTTGCATCAAATGGGCGTATCGCCTTTCGAGTTGAGCGTTCCACCTGCCACAAAATGCGACCCTTACCCTCCGCTTCCCACAGAAATCGACGATGCGTATTTAACGACCACACATATCATTCAACCTTCTGACGATCACATGTCAGAACTGGTAGGTTTCAATATCAATACAAGGATATTTTCATCCTTCGAATCTGTTGCTCGAATGGAGCTCAATTATGGCGTAGACGAGATGATTGATTGGAAACGACAAAGTGAGGACCTGAAACAAAGTCTCGATAACGTCAAGCGTCTCGTTGATAGTTTGCCATCGATATTCGCCCTTAATCGCGGAGACTCACAGTCAAACAAGGTGTCTGAAAACGATGTCACAGTTACCCATGGCTCTATGAGCACGAATACCCTGGAAGATCGATTGAAGATGCAACACGAGATACAGAAAGCCAACATCCATGCGACCCAGCTCGGTACGCGGTCCTACCTCGTAGAAAAGTACTTCAACCTCAGTGACGCCTATCAACGAACGACCTCTCACCAGCCGTCGCCGACTTCTCCAAACGGCGTTGCTCCTTCGGAGCAGGATTTGAACGCAGCACGCGACGCCGACAACGCGATGTCAAATGAACACTCCGAGATTATAGCATCTCTACTTCAAATGCTCTCTAATATTAGGCAGATTTACATGGAGCCAAACGGCGCATCGCTCATCTCAAAGGTGCGATCAATTGCAACTACGCTGATTGATTGTCCTCGAACGAGCAAGATCAACCTTCCCCTGGAGACGGGGGAGTATCTCAGCACCTTTGTTGCTATTCTTGGAAGGCTTGAGAAGACGGTTGGCGCCACCGAGCAGAGCAATGAAGAGGATGAAGAACTTAAGCTCAGGGAATGGGCAGACTTAAGAGAACAACAGGATAAATTCCTGAGGTATGGTGGATTCTTCGCCGGGAGCTGAGGAGGTATCTCCAGGAGGAGATAAGCTTGGCGGAAGGCAATGAGAGTAAGGCAAATAAGTGTGACAGCTTGTTCAGTAAATAAATGTATTAGAGAAGGTTACTAGCATATAACGAATTCTTTAAAGAAGTCTAATTTCTTTTCCTCAAGTTATTCCCACGTTATTTTCATTTAATACAATTGTCGCAAGAGGCTACTTGGGAAAATTAGCAGAACAGGAAACGGCGGTGAAAGTAAAGGAAAGTAGAAGAGATGCCTTTTCAATAAAGAAGCATGAAGGGAAGGATTATTGGAGCATAATAAGGTATGTAAAGGTAGTTCGATTTTCTTCTTCAAAATGTGCCGACGTCTCAACCAATAAGGCATTTATGCAGATTGATCCTATAAATTCATCCTACTATCCCTCCCTCACGGATTCGCCGCCGCCATCTTATTGATCCAATCCCCCAATCTATACCCCGCCTTTGCAATCTGAATCTCAATGATCGGCTCCGCACCCGTGTAATAAGTCCCATCCAGCTCCTTCCCATTCTCATCCGTCTTCAGCACATATTGGCAATTAAACGCATTCGCGTCCTGCGCCCACGCCAGCGCGCACGCGCTCGCCGTCTTAATATTGCTACAGCTCAACCAGCTCGCTTTCTGCCCGCTATAACTCCCGCTATCGATCCGCCCGATCAATGTGGCAGAGAAGCTGGAGAGCGTGGCCGAGGTGTTGCCGCCGCCTGCCGCTTTCTCGAGCATCTGCGTATCCCAGCAAGCGTGCAGGTTTGTGGTTGCCCCGTCCCAAGTGACGGGGATGTCGTTCCCGCCTACTTGTTCGGCTTCGTCGTGGAGCGGCTGCGTCACGTCGCCGATGAAGTGGATTAGGAACTCGAGGGCCTCTTTTGAGTTTTCATGGGTCAATCGGCCGTCCTGCACCCGCTGAGTGTAGTTGGCTATGGCGGAGACGACGCAGCCACCAGCGCCACAGTCGCGATTCAGATTGACGGAGCAGGCGGACGGTGGAGAGTCTTCAGCGTCGATGAAGCTGTTTGAAGGACGTCATTAAATTTCTGAAAGTTCTGAAGCAGAGGCGAAAGGACATACTGGTATGGCGCACTGAATCTCCCTGCCGTAGTGTATCGATAGGTGTCCGCCCACGATGCGACTGATGCCATAGTAGCGCCATCAAGTTTGGTCGAGACCCAGCTCTTTGCTTGCGCTGTGAGGTAGTGATCTGCTATTGCGCCCACGGTGGCGTGGCCGAGGGTGCCCCAGCCATGAGCAACGGGGATCGCAAGAAGAGAAAGCGCAGCAGCGGATGGTACAAGCATAGTGAAGGGTAAAGGACAGCAAATGCAGCAAGTAAGACTTGGAATATCCAGATGCAAGGCACTCCTACCTTCTTATCATGATTGAGAGCGCAGATATATATGGCGCATATGGAGGACAATCAGCTGTACCTGCATTCCCCATGCAATCTAGCTCATGTCTCTGCCTTGTGTTTCTCGAGCAGCAGGTGCACGCATGACAGGCGTCTGTTTATCGCAGCGGGCCCCCTCGTCATCTGCCGGACCGCACCGACCTGGCGCAACTGCCAAAAGCGAGGGATGATTGGCACCCTGCATGACGCCTTAAGAGGGAGGCCGGAGATGAAAAAGCACGAGAGAGAAAGGAGGAAGGGGACTGGTTGGTTGTCGTCGCTTAAGTCAGGCAGGTCCTTAACCTATGCCTAGGCTACTTTTGGCGCTTGGCTAAAAGGGGCAGGAGAAGCAGGGCAGCAGCGCCATGCAGGAGGTTGTTGCACCGTGAGGTGCTAGAAATGTTAAATGGAGGTGAGATATGATGATAATATCGATGTTGATTATTAAGCTATGTGTAATATTCAAACGCTATGCGCTGCTTTTCGTCCAAATCTATTGGGTATATGGTAACGAACGCTTTTTCTCAATTCCAGCCATCCCATTGCTAAACCATGCCGCTAAAGACTGTCACTAGAAGAATAGAAAAAGGTATGTCTGTTATGCAACAAAATCAAGACATTAATTATGATCGTGTATTGTAGCTGTAACAGTCACTGTAACTGTGACGAAGCCCTTGACTCCAGCATCCGCTGGTGGAGCTGCCGTGATGCTCGGGGCTTGGGGTGTGTCGGATGGGCTTGATGGAGTGGGTTGTGGGACCGCAACATTCTTGTTGAGTGGTACTGTTGGCGTTGCTGACGCCTGCGAAGGGGATTGAAGAGCATCAGCTTTCACATTTTTCTGCGCCGCCGATGGAGAATCTTGTCCAGACTTGGGGCTGTCTTTTCCTCCGGGAAATGAGAGCTGAACTCCATCATCTGGATTGTCGCTGTCAGATGGCTTCTTGTCCGTCTTGGATGAATCGCTTGACGAAGAGCTCTGGCTCTGATTCGAATCTTGCTGCCCCTTGTCATGCTGGTGGCCTTGTGAGCTCTGGCTTGGTTGTTTAGGGAACGGACTTGGCGACGGTGATGGCTGGGCATCTTCTTGCTTTGCCTGACCCCTGGAGCTCTGACCTCCTTGCTGAGACAACTCGTTTGAGGCTGAAGAGGGACGAGACGCAGATGAGGTCGTTGGTGTTTGACTGCCAGCGCCAGCCACGGAGGGTTCAGGGAATCCTCCAAATCCGGCTCCTGAGCTCTGAGTGTTGACATTTTCTACACTTGAAGAAGAAACTTCATTATCCGCAGCAGCCCCTTGTGGTACTGAGGACGCCTGGTTGGTATTTGCTGTGCTAGAGCTTACGAGATCCAAATTCTCCGCATTGCTTTGAGAAGGCGCTCCAGTGGCTGTTTGTGATGATTGGGCCACGGGACTAATTGAAGAGGCTACACTTTTCTGAGATTGTTGTGCATTACCCGTCTCGGCTGAAGCACTAGCACCTCCACCGGACAAAAGACTGTGTGCGAAGCTGGGTTCGAAACAACCAACTTCGACACCAGCTTGGTTGTTTTTCTTGGGAACTGCGTAACACGATTGTCCTTGAGGGCACGAAATCAAGCTATAGGTACCATCAAGTTCACACTTGGCAGGTTGTCCAACAACACAGGCTGAAATCTGCTGTCCATTAGTTGGATCACATTTCGAGAACAGCTTGAGACCCTGAAAGACATCGTTATACTGCTTCGCTGCTTGAACACCTCCGAGGCTAGCGTCTGGATAGTTGTATTGCGGGCTCGCTTGCATACTCGACTGACTCGGTGATGCTGCATCAGACGAGGTAGATGATGGCGCATGATCTTCTAGTAGTGAAGCAGGAACTTGGCCAAAAACAGAAGCACTAGGGTCTGCATTTTGAGCGGCTTGTTTTTGCTCAAGGCTCAAAGAGTTCGGACCAGCTGTTGACATGGCTGGCTCAGAAGCAGTCTGCGTTGCTTGTGCACTAGGAGACGCAAATGGCGTCTGAGCAGCGGAACTTTGGACGTTGGTGGCAACCGCTGCAGTTGTTGATATCGACCGAGCACTCTGAAATGCCTGCATTGCCTGATCATCATCGCTGGATAACGAACTAGATTTTTGAGTGCTGGTGCTCCGAGTCGCCGATGCCTGTCCATTGTCGCTTGTAGAAGGTATACCTCCACTGCTCGTGGTTGGGTTTACAGACTTCTGTTTCGCAAAGTTCTCACTCTGCTGCTCCCCGGAATTAACTTTGTTGGCTGGGCTAGGGAGTCTCGGGGTGGACGTGAAATCTTGAATTTGTGTGACCTGCGTACTCGTAGATGGCGTGTTGTCTAATTGCGTAGAAACTTGTCCAATATTCGTGTTGTCATTAAGTTGGCTTTTACTGTTGCTGCTAGCGCCGGCATCGGCTCCTACAGCACTCTTGCTGGCAGCCAAGTTTTGCGAGGTGGACATTGTGCCAGTCTCAGGCTGGCTCGACTCGCTGGACTGTGATGCAGCATGCCTGCTCGCTGGAGCTGGAGACTCTGCTGGCAGACTGTTACCAGTGGCCCCGCCCTCAGGCGCTATGCCGATTCCTTGACTATTCCCATTTGCATCCGCGGATTTCGGTTGTGAACTGTCTTGCCCATCATCTGACGTGACAACCCTCGATGGCGGTGTAGCGCTCAGAGAGCTATCGTCTGACAGAGGTATTGTTACGGTAGAGGTAGTTGAAGGAGTAGAATCTGATGTCGTTCGTGAGGGAGTGTAGGTTGTATTGACATATCGAGGGACGATGTCTTGCCTGCCACTATATTCAGTCTGCTGGTGTGTCAAGTTGGAGCGGATCTGGGCTGCATACTGTACACGCGCTTCGCGCCGCCGGACAGGGCCAGCCTGTATGATATTGGAGCAGACTGTTAGTATTATCAGAAGCTCGCAACGCATTCTGAGATTTATTCGTGGTAATGATCGTGATTTTGGGTATTCGGAGAAGCTCAAAGCGCGTATTTCCTATAACGATGGAATCCGTAATAAAGAAAGCGATACCAAGAAAGATCAGACGAAAGGAAAGATGCTAGAGAGCGTCATAAAGAAAAGGCAGAGGCCTGGAACGAGGGAGAAAAGCAAAGCAGAGTGACGATATGAACAATAAGGAAAATTGACAAAAGAACCGTAGGCCATGACAGCCTGAACAAAAGACTCATATACAGCACAATACCATTGTAGCAATCTTGAAACAATAGGGCAAAAACCAGGCCCTCGCATTGAGCGCCGTCAGCGAGAGATGAAAGTGACTCAGCGGTTCCTGCAACATGCCTCACAAGGACTCAACTAGGAGTATGGACAACCATGAACGTCCAGAATAGAAAAGAACGAGTTTCGCAATCATAGTGTGGCAGGCTATTCCAAGAGGATGTTGATGTTTGGTCGTGGGCGACGATTGAAGAAAACTTAGCCAAGACTCTGGCCCGACTTCCGACGGCGCGTACATTCTGACGCGTCTCATTGGCTGTCGTGACCACAGCTGATTTCCTATGTTGAGAAATCGCAATTTCTTTTTCCTTTCTCTTCTCCAATTCCTCTTGACGCTCTGGCAAAGGTAGAAAGAGCCGCATCGTAATGTTGCTATTCCAGGTGATCGGCGCTAAGTATACTTAGAAGCTCACAGGGCTAGACCAAGCTTTGTGGAAGCTGTTGCTGTTCGTTCTTATCGAGGCGACAACGGCTTGAGCGCTTTTGCGACCAGGTAGTGACCTGATCAGCTGTCAGACCCTGGAGCATGTTAGAGATCGAAGAGGAAGGACCCACCTTTCCAAATCCGATCTCGTCGATCTCGCACGCAGCTTTTCACATGCCTCAAAATGGCCCCCTCGCTTGCCCTAATTATAGTTATCGAGTTGTTGTGGCCTGGCAGATCAAGCTGAATCTTATCAGCAGTTGCTCCGATCTCCTCAAGATGGTAAATCTCTTCGTGCCGCTCTTGCCAAACTCATGGGATTATGCTTCAGACTCTCAACTCATTGCTTCGAATCGTAGAAGGTAGGGGTTCTTGAAAAGTCACTAACCGTAAAGGTGGCCCAAGTGAAGACTCGCTAAAAACGTGAAGATTCCCCCCATGGAAGAAGCAGTCATGTAAAGGTGCAAGCAAGGGTATGAAGGAGTCCTTTCGATGATTCTGCAACCAGATGAGCTTCCATGTAGTGGGAGGACAAAGAATTGCGCTCAGTTGTAATTGACTTGCTTACTTTGCTTTCTTGGTGCGAGAAGCCAAAATGACAACGGATGTACGACTCACTTAAGACACGATCTCTGACTCACGTAGACTCATCGGTGTAGGCCTCCTGTGATGTGCCTTCTGATGAAGTATTTGCCTTCTGCCTTGCATGCTCTAGTCGTGAGACCCATAACGCAGATCCAGCGGTAGTGGTCAGCAGGAAGAACATGCTGAGAAGCGGCACCAGTTGAAACAGCAAAGCTACAGTACCAAACCACGTGTACCTCAGTTGTCTCTGACGTATCGCAAGGTTTCTCTCTTTCTTGCTGAAATTGAGAAACTTGAAATATCTCCAGTGATGTAGCGGGCCCGCTCGATAGCCTGTGAGCAGCAGAAATATGGGTGTTCCGACCACAGGAATGAGGTTGAAGGGCAAGAACACAATGAATTCAATAATTTGCCGGACGGAGAACGGTGAGTAGACCGCGGAAGAGGTTGGCTTTCCGAGCTGTCTGACCGGGTCTCTGGCTTGCTCGTCAAGAGCTCGAGACGTGGCTACAAGATCCTTATGACCTTGGTCAATCAGAACAGCGTCGAAGACATCCACGAGGGTCTCGTCAACAAAGAACGCTTCGAAAAGCAGAGCAACGATAGCAGCACCTTCTCCGAGGACAAGGAATGCTCCATTAATAAAAGCCAAAGACGGTCCATGAAAGACGGCAAGAAAGGCGACCTGGGGCAGATACGCCCTGTGAAGGCGGTCAATGCTCTGCTTGCCTTATCGTAAATGAAGAAGCATACCAAAAGAATAAGTTGCCTAATACAAGGAAGGAGAGCAGGGCACAAGGCAACAGGCGGCCACGGAGAAGAGGCCAGAGGAAAGGATGGCCAAAGAAGTATACGATTCCCTGATGCAGTCAACAACACTTAGTCAAAGGATATGATCTTGAGAAGGGTATACCTTCAAGGGATAAAGCCACGATGCATGGCTGAGGCCTGATATTGAGGATGTCATACAGGTTCGCCTCGGTGGACGCCTAGGCTGTGCAGCCATAGGAGATACTTTTGGAGAACAAAGGGATGGAACAATCTAGGTCAAAGGCGCTTAAGCCGTGGCCAGCCGTGCCATAGCCTTATTAGGAAAGAATGGGATTGTGCTGTCTGTAGAGACCTTATCAGGCATTTATTTTAGATGCCCGCGGACGTCATGCAGAGCGGAAGGATTCCGCTAGTATTGTCGGACCGTTTCCACCATCCTCTCATGACTTTCCTTATGCAAGCTTCACCACGTCTCATTCGTCACTAACGTTTGAGAAATAACAAGCTGCTCGGAATAATAATGAGGGGCAACAACTGAAGCCTCAGGATGCGCAGATATTCCGCTGTTCAACTTCGAGAGCAAGCGGTGACTCCTCCGCACCTAGAACTAGACGTTAAGCTTGCGCGATGTCGGGCCCAACGGCAAAGTGGACCTTCCTACCGCCCCAAGGTACCAAGTGAAAATTGCGTCTTGATCAGTATTCGCTATCATTGACTCATTGCCGCTGCTTATAAATGCTTTAGTTTCTATGTCGTCGTGCTGTTTGAATATCTATAGATATCAATCCAGTTCCCGTTTATGAAGCAATACTCCGAGAACGATGTTTAAAGTATGATGATGATTCTTGTATCAGTCGTGGCTTGAGAAGATACCCGAAAAAGGGCTGAGGCGTTTCTATTGAAAAGCAAGATCATTTGCGCACTTTGATTTATTATGCTTGCTGTTTCCTGCATTTTCTTTTTCAATTTCGACGTCAATCCGCCCCATATGTAAAGAGCAAGGAGATTTATTTGAAAAGGATTCTGCAATCCCTCGCAATATGAAGGACGATGCCAACAGGGTAGGTCAAGCAAGCCCCGCAGAAGACGTCGAAAGCAGCATCGGCACCACGGAGGTGGAAGACAAAGAAGTTATCCCACAGCCAACGCCAGAGAACTTTATTGGCCGCGTCCTCAGCAAGACCACCACTCGAGTGTCCGTCGACCCAGGACCACCACCAGATGGCGGTCGACGAGCCTGGACACAAGCCGTGATGGGCCACTTAGTCGTCTTCAACGTCTGGGGCTACATCAACTCCTTTGGGGTATTCCAAGCCTACCACGTTTCCAACCTCCACCGAGCCCCCTCCGATATCTCCTGGGTCGGCTCCGTGCAGATCTTTCTCCTATTCTTCATCGGCACCTTCTCAGGGCGAGCCACGGATTACGGTCTCTTTCGCCTTACATTCCTCATCGGCTCGATTCTCTTCCTGCTAGGCGTATTCATGACAAGCCTCAGCACGACGTACTTGCAACTATTCCTCGCCCAAGGGGTGTGCACAGGGATAGGGCAAGGCCTACTCTTCTGCCCAGCCCTCTCGCTGCTTTCCACCTATTTCACCAAAAATCGCGCAGTGGCCATTAGCATTGCTGCCTCCGGCACAGCCACTGGCGGCATTGTCTTCCCAGTCATCGTGCAACAACTCCTTCCCAAAATCGGCTTTCCCTGGACTGTCCGTATAATAGCCTTTGTCATGCTTGCTGTACAAATCGTAACCTTCACCTTCCTAAGAACACGTCTCCCTCCCCGGAAATCAGGTGCGCTGGTAGAATGGGCCGCCTTCACTGAATTGCCCTACCTCCTATTCTCCATCGGCATGTTCTTCTGCTTCTGGGGCCTGTACGTCGCATTCTACTACCTCCCATCCTTTGGCCGGGACATTCTAGGCATCACATACAAGGACAGCATCAGCAATCTCCTCATCCTTAATGGTGTCGGCTTGTTCGGCCGCATATTCCCCGCCTTTTTAGCGGACAAATTCTTCGGGCCTCTCAATACTCTCATCCCCGTCATGGCGGCGGCAGCGCTATTACTCTATTGCTGGTCGGCAATATCCACTCCTGGTGGATTGACCGCATTCTCGGTCTTCTATGGCTTATTTGGTGCTGCTATACAAGCCTTATTTCCGGCCACACTGGCTTCTCTAACGACGGACATCAAGAAGGCAGGCGTCAGGATAGGTATGGTGTTCAGTGTCGTTAGTTTCTCCTCGCTGACCGGCCCGCCCATGGCTGGTGCATTAATCTCGGATCGCCACGGGAGTTACCTGTATGCCCAGATGTTTGCAGCGACTGTCATGGTTGTTGGGTGTCTTACGTGTTTGGCTAGCAGAGTCACACAGCTTGGATGGCGAAAGGGCCGAGTATAATCTTTTACATACTATAATGAGCACTTGTTGCTCCCAACGTATATAAAAGTCTAAGATAATTTCATAATCTCTAATGCAATGCCAAAACTCCTCAATAGTGTTCTCATCATCATCCTAATTCATGGTTCATCCTCTCCCTCCACCTGGGCCCAAACCTACTCATCGCCCATACCACCACAGAGCTACTCGCAGCAATGACACCTACACCAGTGAACAGCCACCCATTCCCAATCGCATCAATCAACGGCTGCGCTACCACACTCCCTATACAGCTGAAGATATTTCTGATCAAATTATTCACTGCGACGCCAGCACTAGCCTTTTTCGGCATGAACTCCGTCAACATCGTTGTCGCCATCGCAAACACCAGCATTGAGCCAACTCCGAAAAAGAAATTTGCTACTAGGGGTACGATCCAGTGAACGCCTTTTTGGACCGTCCAGCCGTACCAAATCAGCGCTCCGGGATACAGGATGGCAGCAATCCATGCATTCTCCTTCATCCGATCTTCAGGCCTGTACAACAGCTTTCCCTTCTCATCGTACCGCCCGGCACGCCGCGCTTCCCGCGCCATGATGTGGTCGGTCCAACGCCCGCCGAATATAGACGCTAGAATATAGCCAATTGCGGCCGGGATATAGGTCAAGCCCACTATGATGCTTTTGAAATTGTAAGGGGCGGCAGAGAAGGTAGTCTCGAGGGAAATGTTTAGAAGGTAGAGACTACCGAAAGTGATGGCGGCATAGTATACTGTAATGAGAACGGCGGGAAAGCGGAGATAGAGGACGATGGCAAGGGGGTCGATGAAGAAGCGGCGGAGGAGGCGGATGTAGCGGGAGCTTTTCTGCGCGACCGAGCGGACAGAAGTAGTACGGGAAAGTGATGAGGGCTCGGTCGGTGGGGAATTTGTAACTGGTTCGGTGGGAGGTGAGGCTTTCAAGGTCTGGGGATCCAGGTCAGTTGAGATGACTGTTCATGCTGCACTTTTGCAAGACATACCTCAGGCAAAGCAAAGAAGAGAAAGCCGAGCGTGACGGCGCCATAAATGGTAAGGAACCATAATGTGCTCCGCCATCTCAGGCCTTGTTGAAGCGCACCACCAATGATCGGACCAAATAGGGGACCCATTAGTCTTTATCAATTCCGAGTCAGCAATGCTTCTTTAGACTGCGAGAGAGTCACGGGACATGTCTCTCGAGTGATAGCTCCGAAAATGTCACTTACGGTCCGAGGTAAAATATGCCCATGGCTTTTCCTCGCTCTCTTACATCCCATAGATCTGCTATTGTGCCCGCGCCCACAGCTTGTACACTTGCTGCTGCTCCTCCTGCTAGCGTTCGCATGACAACAAGCATCGCTATATTCACAGAAACCGCCGCAAGGATATTCCATATGAGGAAAAGAGTAAACGATACGAGGTATATGGAGCGTCGGCCGAGCGTTTCAGAGAAGGAGGACCACCAGAGCGGGAAGATTGCCATAGCCAGCATATAGACAGAGGCTGATAGATTGGTGACTGTAGGGCTGACTTTTAGATCATGGGAGATATCGAGAAGCGAAGCTATTCTTTCGTCAGTCAGGAAACAGCTTTCGAATGTATGAAAACACACGGAAGATGATGGTGCTCCCCAAAGGAGCCGCGACAGCGGCTAATGCCACGACAAAGGTAAGAAACCATTTAGTAGAGCGTGGATAATGTTTAGGTTCTGTGACCTCCGCAACCAATGTGAAGCGTCCAAACAGTCCTCTCCGTTCAGCATGAGGAACTTTGACAGCCTCTGGGGTGGGTTCGCTCTGTGTCTTGTCCAGCTCAGTCGTCTCATCCTTAATGGCTTTGTCTGTGTGCTCGACCGGCGTAGGAACAGAGCTCTTCTGGCTTAGGGGCTCATTCTGGACTGATGTTCCAGTTGCACAGTTCTTTGAATGCTCATGTTGCAGTTCTTGTGCTTCGATTCTCGCTGTGTTATTATCCATCACGAAGATGGGCAATGCTTTGCACTATCATTATGCGCCTGTAGACGATTTAGGTGAATGAGACCATCAATCTCGACGCACTGCAGGTATCCCAAAACAAAGACTCGAGACTAATTGGCTATGGCTGTAAAAGAGACTCGTGTGCTGCTGCTTGCAGAGTATAAGCGTTTTATGACATGGCATTTGACCGTTTTGTCTTCCACCTGAGCATGATGCCGATGATTTTGAGGAAGATAGAAGACGAGCAAAGCGGAATGCGTCATGTTTTGCATGTTCCTAGCGGTGATAGTATGACTAGACCTGCCAATGAGAATGACAAGGCGTCGCAAATCAAACAGATTTGAACGTGCAGTTGAGACGCCTGCCGTGCCGAGTTACCGCCACCACCGCTTTTCCTTAGGCCGATGCCGCGCATCGTTGACTTTGGATTAAATTTGGTGGATCAAACTAGATTTATTTCCGGTCGATATCGCCGCAACTAGACCCTAGTAAGCTTGTACGAGCTTTCGATGCATAGCGTCATCCGAGAAGCTTCATTGTATAGTGAACGTTTGCAACAGCCTCGGTGTAAGCGTAACACAGTTGATAGTGTGCACTTAAGGCATCAATTATCATCCATCTCCGCGGTCTTCCGTTCAGGCTGTCAAGTGAAATTGTTGACCTTCGCGCAGTCCGCACAAAACTGGACGACACATTCGTGTGAATTTGGAGCATTCTCAAGTCATTGAAACAGCTCAAGGTCGGAATGTCCACAGTTCAGGAAGCTCGTGCGAAGCTCGGCGAACATTTCGGAGTTGGTGGATCAGGCAAGCCCGACAGATGGGAGGCGCTTTGGGCCGATGGCAGCTTTATTCCTTGGGACAGGGGACTGCCCAACCCAGCGCTCGAGGACCTGCTCAAAGACCGACAAGACCTGATCGGTATACCGAAAGAAGCTAGTGATACCGCTGGCAAACGAAAGAAGGCTTTCGTTCCCGGTTGTGGTAAAGGTTATGACGTCCTTTTACTGTCAAGTTTTGGGTACGATGCAGTCGGCTTGGAGGTTAGTGAGACTGCTTTGAAGCGCTGTCTTGAGGAACGAGATAAACATGGCGACAAGTATGCTGTAAGGGATGCTTCGCTCGGAGCCGGCAAATCGAACTTCGTTGCTGGTGATTTCTTTAGCAATGAGTGGACGGGTTCAGCAGGAGCTGAACAATTTGATCTGATATACGACTATACCGTAGGTCAATGAGGCTCCCTCTCAATTTATCGCATGACAAAAATGAAGGCTAAAACTTTGCCTCATTAGTTTCTTTGTGCGCTGCCTCCCTCAATGAGGCACCAATGGGCTTTGAGGATGTCTCACTTACTAGCACCCGACGGACATTTGATCTGCTTGGAATTCCCTCTTTCCAAGAATCCAAATTTAGGTGGTCCTCCATTTGGCCTTCAATCAAAAGTCTACGTACAGCATCTCGCGCAACCAGGCTTGGACATACCGTACAATGCTGAAGGATACATACCGGAAGGTGTCACTTATCCCGATAACCCAGCTGCTTTGAAGCGAGCAGCTCATTGGCAGCCAGCGCGAACACACGAGATTGGGAAAGACCAAGATTGGATCAGTGTTTGGCACCGGTAGCATAGTCACCAGATATGTCTTAATGCGTTGGCAAAGGTTCATTTTGACCTACGCAAAGAGTTGTAGTGCTCTCCGAGACCGTAGCTATGGCGATAATATGCAAGCCACAATGGTTCATCCTCGCTAGTACCACTCTCGATCGTGTCAACGTGACCATTTCCATGGAGTACCTTAATATCAACCGAGTATGCTCTGGCTAGAGCAAGGATTTCCAGATGGCCTCCCCACTCACCAGTTTCTCGAATAGTCCTTAGATATTCGTCTAATGGCTGCTCGAGAAATGGTACAAAATCATCGGAATGCTGGGCAATATATGCCGCTGCCACCTGTCGAGTGACGGCATAGTCAGGCTTCTTAGCACTGTCAAGTTCAAGCGTTATTTTTGGTTTCAATTGTAAGCCCGTATTTTGGAGCTGATCCGCGATAGCAGCATACAGGCAGTGACCGTCAGATCGGATATCGTGCTCAATAAGCCCTTTAGCTTCGTAAGCCTTCCGCATCGACTGAATCTCCTTTTCACGTAGATTTGGCAGATCAGCAGCTTCCTGCTCCGCCTGTCTCGTTGCAGCTTCTTGTTCCGCAGCTCGTCTAGCAAGACGTGCTTTTTGCCTGTTTGGTTTCTTTGATTCGCCGTTGGAAGCAGAATTCGTTGCAACAGAGACAGAGGCGAGTTTTGTCTCAATGTCACTAGTTGGGTCTTGAGTGGATATCTCAATTGATGGAATCACGTCAAGCTCTACATTGGCGTCGTCATTCAGTGTGTTCTCATCGTTTAATTGAGCCAATTCACTGGATTGTCTTTCCTTGAGTTGCTTCTCGAGTTGCACACATTCATCGAGAACACTCTTACGCGTCTTTTTAGTAGCGTTCTTTTTCTTTTGAGTTACCAGAGACTGCAAGTCACGCTGTTCCTTGCGGTGCTTTTGCTGCAAATCTTCCATGCTCGACTTAGCAGGGTAGCAGAAGTCCTTGACAATCCAACCCCTCGAATCTAAAGGGTTCACCGTCCTGTGGGCCATACCGTGCTATATGCTATATCTCAATAGTACGTATAGGTGATGCAATATGCGCATTGTTCTCCAGGGGCGCAGTGCCAATCACGAATCGGCAGACTTAGTTTTGGTCCATAGGACGATATGGCCCACAGGACCAAGAACTCTTCCAATTCTCATGACCGATGCCGAGGCTTTTGTCCACAACCTCCACTCGTGAGCGGTTGACCCAGCTTTCAAAGAAGTCAAGTGATAACGAATGGCTCTTTGATCACTGGGCTCTGCCAATGTCATTGCTGGCTTGCAGCATGGGTTGAAAGGGGTCTAGTCTACCGATGAGAGGAGTTGGGCTTTGCGTAACTCTCCCCTTGACCCGAGCCTCAACCACGCGTCCAATTGGCCTCGGTCAGAAGATGTCGAGCATAGGGCTTGCAAGACTGTGCCATAATGTTTGTTCTGCTTGTACATCTTGTACATTTGAATGCTATGCAATTGTTGTACTCGTAGCCATCTCTTTTCATGCCCAAAAATCTGCATTCTTGGCAGGCATTTGTTCGCAATATCTCAATGGCACCCTCAAAGCCTTTTCTTTTCGCGGATCCCATGTCTTCGGCCGAGGAAGAAGATCTCAGATATGAGGTCGAGGTTGAAGCGATCAAGCAATGGTGGAGGAATTCGAGATGGAGGTATACGAAGCGGCCATTCAAGGCAGAGCATATAGCAGCAAAGCGCGGCAACATCAAAGTAGAGTATCCGAGTAATGTGCTGAGCAAGAAGCTATGGCGACTCATGGAGGACAAGTTCCAAGTCAGCAAGTTATAGCACGCAGGGACATTTGCTAATGACGTGGTAGAACGCTGATGCTAGCTATACGTATGGTGTTCTTGAGCCAACTATGCTCACCCAAATGGCGAAGTTCCTGGACACCGTGTACGTCTCAGGCTGGCAATGCTCCTCTACAGCATCTTCTACGGACGAGCCGGGCCCAGATCTTGCAGACTATCCCATGGTATGATACTCTAAGCTCTACTTTGAAGGTCACAATTAAGGTTTAATAGGATACTGTGCCAAACAAAGTACAACAGTTGTTCATGGCTCAGCTTTTCCACGACCGCAAACAACGTGAAGAGCGTATCACCACCCCTAAAGCCCAACGAAGCAACGTGCCAAATATCGACTACCTTCGCCCACTCATTGCTGACGCAGACACCGGGCACGGTGGACTTACAGCAATCATGAAGCTCACCAAGCTATTCGTTGAAAAGGGCGCCGCAGGTATCCATATTGAAGACCAGGCACCTGGCACGAAGAAATGCGGCCACATGGCTGGCAAGGTACTCGTACCTATAAGCGAGCATATCAATCGTCTCGTTGCCATCCGTGCCCAAGCCGATATCATGGGAAGCGACCTCCTCCTCATAGCCCGAACAGACTCCGAAGCCGCAACCCTCATCACCAGCACAATCGACCACCGAGACCACGCCTTCGTCCTAGGCACCACAAACCCCGCCCTGCAGCCCTTGAACGACCTAATGATAGCAGCCGAGCAATCCGGCAAATCAGGCGCGGAGCTCGAAGCCGTCGAAGACGCCTGGAACGTCCAAGCCGGTCTCAAACTCTTCAACGACGCAGTCGAAGACACCATTAATGCAGGTGTACACGTCGACAAACCAGCTTTGATCAACGAATACCGCGCGGCCAGCAGAGGCAAATCCAACAGCGAAGCTCGCGCCCTAGCTAAAACCCTCACAGGTGTAGATGTGCCCTGGGATTGGGACGCCCCACGTACGCGCGAGGGCTACTATCGCTACCAAGGCGGCATTGCAACCGCAGTGAACCGCGGCCGAGCGTATGCTCCTTATGCAGACTTGCTCTGGATGGAAAGCAAACTCCCCGACTACGATCTCGCGAAGCAGTTCGCCGATGGCGTGCACTCGCTCTGGCCGGAGCAGAAGCTCGCCTACAACCTCTCCCCGAGCTTCAATTGGAAGAACGCGATGCCGCAGGCCGAGCAGACCACGTATATTGCGAGGTTGGCGAAGCTAGGGTATTGTTGGCAGTTTATCACATTGGCGGGATTGCATACCAGTGCATTAATTAGCCATCAATTTAGTCAGGCGTTCAAGGAGCAAGGGATGAGAGCGTATGGAGAGTTGGTGCAGGAGCCGGAGGTAGAAGGGGGTGTTGATGTGGTGAAGCATCAGAAGTGGAGTGGGGCCAATTATGTGGACGAGACGTTGAAGATGATCACAGGTGGTGTGAGCTCGACGAGTGCTATGGGTAAAGGGGTCACGGAAGACCAGTTCAAATAGGTCTTCGAGAAACGAGTCAGTATGACGAGCTATGATCATGCTGAGCCATACGGATTTTTAGGTCTTGTCCAAATGATTGAATGAAATTTTGCTTTGGCATTGGTATTTATTTTCATGGGTTTCGTCCGACTGCCGTCATGATTCCTTATTCATATCGAGGTCTGCTTGTTAGCATCGTGTCTCGACCCCTTTAGAGCTCACAGTAAGATACTTTACACCCTTATAGGGTTTCACACCTTCGCCCAAGCCCCGACTTCTTTTGGTATCGACGGTTAAACCTTGCACTTTGATCCCACTGGCCAGCCATCCCTTAACGCCAAAGCTCACCGAGGCTGAAGACGGCATGAAAATTGAATTTTGCTGTACCTTGAATTTGTCTTGATACTCGCTAGGGCCTTTCTTCGAAGTAGCCGCTTTTGAAGTTTTGGAGGAGATTGCTTGATAAGTATCTTCATTCTCGTCATAATCGCCATTCACTGGATTCAGCGTGAGGGCGGCATCCTCGACTTCATCGTCCTCTTCTATATTACCGATTACTGTGCAACGTAAAGTCGCATTTCCGACGGAATTGAGGTCTTTGTTTGGTATTCGCCATTCTACTAGGTTTTCTGTTGCTGAAAAAAAAGCTTCACCTCGGCTCGGCTGAAGGTCCTTCACATTTCGAACACTAACGGGTAAAGGGATCGTAACAGTCAGATTCTGTAAATTTGGTCCTGCAGAGCTTCCACTACTGCCACTGAAGATATTTGGGGTCGAACGGCCAGATGAACGACCGCTTATGGCTGGTCTCGACCCCGACGACGAAGATGCTGCGCCTGGCAAGATGGAGGAAATGAGGAGGCGAACCTCAAAATCTAAACCTAGGGGGCCCAACGATTTAGAGACCTCAATTGAGACCGGTAATTGAAGGTTGAATTTAGACCAGGCGTTCAAATCCATTTTTGAGGGCATCAAGTTCACTTCGTATCCGGCAAGCATGAACTTGCCGTCCGGAGGCACAAAGCTAAGCTCTCCGGGTCTCTCTTTCCATCTGGCCAAACGAACGCAAGGGTGGAAGACCGGGAGCTCGATAGCTTTCTCCATGCCTAAAGTACCACCGGATGCGGAGAGTGTCAGGAGCAGATCTGGTACCCCGGATATTTTTGCAGTGAAAAGGATTGAGCCATTGGCGAACGCGGCTAAAGGTCTACCGGATGGCGCGAGGGTGACCGAAAGCGTTTCTACTATATCGACGTATAGCTCATTGCTTGTATGTCGAACAGTTGCTCTCCGCCATGGGATAGCAGGGCCGCTGTTGAGAGGGGTCAGACCGAGTTGTTGCTTTAGATTTGCAGCCGAGTTCGGAGTTGGAACAGTACTGTGCTCAACCCAGTCAGTAAGGCCACAAAACTTTGACAGGTGTGGCAACCCCATACCTTGGAAGCCCAATGCCTCCCAACAGCTTCCCGATCATCCCAGAAACCTCTACGTCATCCCTCAAAACATTGGGTTCGGTGTTGCAAACATTGCCAGCGTCACACATTTCACCCAACAGTTGAGCAACAACATCATAGGCGTTCCCTATCTTGCTTGATAGCAACGGCGCCCCAAGGAACTCCTCAAGCACATCGATCACGCGATGGATAAATTCGAGTACGAATAGCGATTCTGTTTCGGCACTGACCGGGGACAAGAACAGAAGATTCGTGTGTGTGACGGAGAACAATAATGTCGACGGATTGACATCAGGCAGATGAATCAATGAAGGTCTTGGGATTGGATGAGCAAGATAGAGTGGAAGCAGCGTGCGAGCTGAAACTGGTCGAGACCGGTACACATGTTCGAAGATGAGTTCACTGATGGATTTTAGCGAGAAGCAGGAGAATCTTTAGAAGAGAACGGGTATACTTGAAGTGATCACATATGTACAAAGCCTCAATGGCGCAGTTTATCATGTTTCGAGCATTTTGAGCTGTGTGTCTGGTCGTTGAGGGATGGTTGAATTCCACACGCAGGTACCCGGCGCTCGGTCTTGGCACTAGAACTATACATAAGGTACAACGCCCGACGGGATTCAGAGTCCAACCCCCTTGGAAAGGAGCCTGGTACTAGATTTGGCGTGGCCATATTCTGACTAAATAACCCTCGGCCTTGAACGCGTCACTCTCTTTCAAAGACGGTCTCTTGCTTGCCTTATCCATATCCGGTCCTAGTCATCCCAAGGAACAGCCCGTATCAGCTACTCTTAAAGCGTAGCGAACGGAAGCAAGGAGAGCAAAATCCTCAATTTCTCTCTTACTTCGTAGTTAATATTGCCCTATGTTCTCAAAATTGCCGCTTTACATATTGCCTAGTGCTATAGAGGACGACTGACCCGACACTGCAGAAATGTTAAGCTAGTCACTGAGAGCATCTGGCTTTATTCCATGGACTGCTGGATGTCATATTTCTAGAGTGGTTTTGGCGCGGTCTGCAATGCGTGATCAAAGCCTCTGATGGCAGTTCTTCGTTTCAAACTTTTCAAGCCCCACAGAATGATTGAGTCCCTAATTATGCCAGCGAGCAATTTGATTGAAGTAGGGGTCCTTCTCCAATGCTGACGCGACCCTGTTGTTCAAGAAAAGTGCTACGTTCACCTGACCGTCTGCCATCGCTGAGCTCTTAGAGTCTGGGAAAATGATAGAGAGTCCGTGTATCGGAACCTGACATATTCGGACACTATCGCAGCCCTTGCCCATAAGCGGCCCCCAGTCGAATTCGCAGCACTTCATATCTCTCCAAGATGAGCTGCGAAAACACATCCCTTTGTAATCGCCGCGAGAATGCGAGATCCTGCTCAAGTCATTCACGGATGCAAAAGCCGATACTACCCTCTTCAGGTGCTTTTCATCCATTTTCAGAAGCTGCTTTCTTAGCTTGTGTGCCTGCTTCGCGACAGACTCTGGTGAAGATTTAAGATCGGCTAGAGAGGTCTGCGTACTACAAAACAATAATACGTTGCCGATGAAATCTGGCGGCAGTGTCGGCGAGCAGACTTTGCGGGCGTTGAAAATTGTGTGAAATGTCGCCTTTACGTCCTTTGGAGCTGATATTTCGTCGTCCCCAAATCGGCGCCAAAGACTTTTGTTCTGCCCTTTCTGATTTTTTTTCTTGAAGCGCCCTCGGTTTCTTTCATTGTAACAATTAATTGTACAGCAAAACAAGAATGCTGACAACGCGTCCAGAGTGGATATCCAAGACCCTGTTTCAATGAACTCTTCTCTATTCCTTATTGCGGTCTCCTTCAAGGCTTTTAGATCTGCGGACGAGAATGACACTAAGCGTGCGGAAGACGACCTTAAGAGAAATTTGAAAATCAATCTTGTTGCAGAAGCTGTAATCGGAACGAATAATGACCTGCGCAAACCCTGAATCATTTGATTGCATTGCTTTCTTAGTAGGCTGATGTTTTCGGACGGATGTGGCACGTAGTTTCTCCTGTGTGAGACTTCTGGTCTTTTCCTGTATGTATAATCCGGCAACTCCGAGAGAGATGCCGAGATCAAGCCTTCCAGAAGACGCGAATTATCGAGGTGAGGCAAATTGTTTTGTTCCTTAATGGTCGCGCCATTGCAGAATGCTGCCCACAATCTAGTGAAAATGGAGATACTTTCCCCATCGAACAGGCAGTGGTGATGGCAGAGCCCAAGTACCATACCACCATCGATAAAGGTGGCTTGTACGTGCAACACTGGCTTGTGGGTTTCGAAGTTGTATCTCCAAATCGTAAAGTCCCATAGCTGAAACATGCATAGAGGGAAGCTTCTTTTCTTCAAATCTGCATATCTCCATTTCTTCGCCTGCCTTAAATCCTTCACTCTGAATACATCATCTGCGGTCCTCCACGGCGATGTGATGGCGAGCCGACCTAACTGCGATTTCTTTTTATCAGCTATTGCATTGATGCTTCCGGAAAGAAGTGGCACCGCTTCGAAAGTCATCCGAAGACCTTTTAGCAAGGATTGGGCACACTCAGCCATGTTTCCAGAGACGGTAGTCGTAGTCGACTCGAAGAAGAGTAGGACAGGAGTAAAAGAACCAGGCATCGTGTTGTCGATTGGAGAGAGATAGTGCGGAGACGCCTTCCACTTGTCTGGACAATCCATGGATTCAAGATGTCTCCGGTGCACTGTTCGATGAGGGAGACAAGTGATTGAAGACGGACTAATCCTTCATGTATCTCTTGCTCTGAGAACGAGAGGGGCTTGTAGCCTTCCCTGTTGAGGCTTGCTCACCACCTTCAACAGGGGGGCTCGTCTCTTTACCGGGTTTTTCCTTTCTCAGCGTGTTCTTAAAATTTTCACCGTAGATAAATATGCTGCATACAAGCGCCGGTCAAAGAAAGAAGACGGCCCTGGAACGTAATGAAAGAGAGCATGAAGCGGCAGTCTACTATACAGCCGACAAGTCTGTCGATCAAACTGGTGGCTGCAATTGCTTGAAACTATGTCATGATCCTGGTGAACCGAGAGATCAGAGCGATATTGAATGGCAAATTAAGTACTGGAAAAAATGCACGGAGACGAAGGAACAGGGGTAGTGGTATGATGTGGTATTTGCGACTGGCGCATACCTGTCCCACGGGCCATTTCAATGTGAGCCAGCTGCTCGCCTACCTATCATGCTTGTAAATGATGTTCCTAGCCGAGGAATACCGGATTAGCTTGGCAAGAATTTCCTTGGGGTTGATGCGAAAAACAGAAGCTCGATCAACAGATTTGAGATTGCTACAAGGCAGCTGCTTGACCATGTAACAAGCCTTGATCAATTGCTCATGGGTGCCCTTGTGGATGTAGAATACAGGAATATCGATGAGGCCGGAATGAGGCCCCGGCCGGGTGCTCTAGTGACCGGAACGGCCCAGCCTTTTGATGTCTTGGCGCCCAAATGACACCAATGGAATGCATCCTTTTTGGAAAATGCCTACTTCCGCTCACCGTTCGATACATGATAGCATATCTGAGAGGGCTCTGTTCTACTGGCTCATGTAGGACACCAAGAGAATGTCGGGTCCGTCACAGACCAAGCGCTATGCTGCGCCAAAGCCAAATGCACAACTCATCGAATTCCAGAAGCCTGAAAAGCTTTCTACTGCTCTCAAGGCAGACAAAGAACTTGACTGCTTCTCTTGTCGACTAGTTGGTATGACTTTCCATATTGATATCTCCCCCTTGAAACTGAGATTGACGATCCTGCAGGGGCAACAGCCTTCGTTGGGCTGGGGGCATATGTCTTCGTGTCTGGAAGGAGATCGCTACGTCACCGGCAGCAGGAGATTCTCAAGAGTAGCTCAAGAATCGGTATGGGAGGAAGAATGGCGGGCTTGAAGATACTCTCATCGGCACTTGTGGCTTTGGGATTTTGGCGGCTTGTCAATTGAGAGTGTAAGCGAAGCGATGGACATAAAATGAAGCTTGCGTGAAAGAATGTGTTGGCGATGATCAGCTCAGAGGGTTTTTAAACCACGAGCCAATTCGGAACGTATGAGAGCCTATCGAAAATTCTCTAAGGAGAAGATAGTCGGAATGACAGGTATTCCCGCTCAAGGCACTACATAGGGAAAGGGAAGGAACTGTGTTCTCTTGAAGAGCAAAGGATTTTTAAAGGATCATTGCTTAGATACTATGGACCAAGGTTCTATCTAAAGCGCCACACGCTATGCAGTGGTATCATGTCGAGTTATCATGTACTGAATGTTTATATACCGTCCGAGTCCCACATTTGCCTTCTATTCGTAATCCTGGTACTCCCAAGTGCGGCCGTGAATCAATTAGGGTACGTAGACATCCATGTCATGAAGTTCTTCCTCTTTTGCTGCTCCCTGCGGTATCCAATACGCCTACGTCGAAGAAATCATCGAAGGTGACCTTCCTCTTCGAACCCGCACCAGAACCCAAACCCCTCCCAGGAACACTACGTTGAGCGTGGCGAGTGCCCCTTGGTGTCTTGCTTCCCCTAGGTAGTACATTGACTGCAATTGGTTGAGGACTCTGAGCTTGGATGCGTGGTTCTGCTGACGATAGCTCAATTTTCATGGAGCCCGGTGATGGCATCTCTGTGTCGATTGGGTATGGATGCATCGAGCGAAAGGTGAAGACATCACTCAGTGGTTGTGAATTGTTTACTGCTTCGACCGGAGGCGTGGTCAGTTCTCGTGAAGGAGATTGCTCCGGGGCTTGTCTTGGTTGCCCAGACTCAACAACATTCGACCTCGTGGATTTTGCCTGTGGTGGGGTCGCTGCACGTCCCATACTCTCCTGTTTCTCCTCCTCACTATCACTGCTCGTCCGTCGAGCTGGCTGATCGTCTAATCTGGCAGTTGCCCATCGCCTTATCTTCCATCCCTCCCCATCGTCTAGGCCGATATTTTCTCTATCCAGGAAAGTAAGGAGCTCATCGAGGGCTTCCTGATAACCAGCTTGCCTTGATCGAGTATCATTTGCCTCTGCCGTCCGGTAGAGGTTTGTTACGGAAAGGGCGGCACTTTTAAACACCTGGAGTAGATCCTCCTGCTTTTGGCCGCTTCCCTTTTTCTGCGACTGCGAAGGCAGCGAATTATTCAAACTCTTCATCGATTCCATGGTGATGAAAGCAGGAAGAGGTGGGATAGCGCTGAAAAAGGTAAGAGGAGGAAGGTAGATGTCCGAGGTGAGAGCCAAAGGTGGTGAGGCAAGATAGGATGACTAGAGTGTTGGCCTGTCTCGGACCTTCTATCTCGCGGGAACCAAGACCAGGCGATCGCGAATGTCGTGCAAGGACCAGCCGTAATCAGCAATATAGCCAAACATTGCTGACCATATCGTCTGACGGGGGATGAGTGAGGACTGAGTGTGTGAGCAGTCACGATGATGGCGTCTGGTTGAATGCGTTCGAGAGCGGAGCGGAGCCGGGAGCGGATGCGGGTCTGGACCAATCAGGATGGGCTTGACAAGCTTTCATAATGTACGCGAACCTACATGCTTTTCATACCCTCACGCCTTCCACACTTCCTTTGACCTTTCACCCTCTGCAACACCGTCAATCATCCACCCTCCACATCTTCTTCTTGCTCGAACCCCTCTCGACGCGTCCGCTTTCACGCGACAAGCCCAATATCAAATTGTCTGTGTATTCAAATTGCCTAAAAGGGAAGGGTCTCCAGATTCGATGGGTCGGAGGATGGCTCCCTCCAACAAGGCGTCCAAGGCCAACTCCAACGCCACAAGCCCATCAGACACGTCAATGCATGACCCTGGGGATGGGTCAAATGGTCGAACCAATGGTCATGCCGACGACAGCATGATGGAGACCCCAGATTATTCGGATTCTGATACGAATGCGAACACCACCGCCAGCAGTATTGCAGGGGATGCCTTGCAGCCTGATGGACGAAAGCGGAGAATAGAGGCTGCGCATTTACGAAAGAGTATCTTTGGCAAAAAACACAACCGTTTAGATGTCTCCAAGGTACGTTTGTTATTTCTGCTACAGGGCGCTGTGAGACTGAAACTTGGATTTACAGGAAGACGATACCATTCGAAGATTTCGGTATTTGCTAGGATTGACAGATCTCTTCCGGCATTTCATTGACTCCAGCCCAAATCCCCGCATCAAGGAGATCATGCAGACAATCGACCGTCAGAATGATGAAGACACACAAAAAAGCAAGCGGGGCCGCGCAAGAACTGGCGGGGCTGCAGCTGCTCGAGGTCGAAGAACTGAAGCAGAAGAGGATGCGGAGTTGCTCAAAGACGAGAAGCGAGGAGGCCAAGCAGAGACGGTTTTCAGAGACTCTCCAGCCTTTATCCAAAATGGTGAGATGCGGGATTATCAGGTCGCTGGCTTGAACTGGCTCATATCTTTACATGAAAATGGTATTTCGGGCATTCTAGCAGACGAAATGGGTTTGGGAAAGACCCTGCAGACCATAGCCTTCTTGGGTTACCTCAGGCATATTTGCGGCACCACTGGGCCACACTTGATCATGGTACCTAAGTCGACGCTTGATAATTGGAAACGCGAGTTCACCATGTGGACCCCGGAGGTCGATGTGCTCATCCTACAGGGAGCTAAGGATGAACGACATCAGCTGATCAATGAACGACTTGTCGACGAGAAGTTTGATGTCTGTGTCACCAGTTATGAGATGATTCTAAGGGAAAAGACACATCTGAAGAAGTTCGCCTGGGAATACATCATTGTCGACGAGGCGCACAGGATCAAGAACGAAGAGTCTTCCCTAGCTCAAGTCATCCGCCTTTTCAACTCTCGCAACAGGTTGCTCATCACCGGAACACCTCTTCAAAACAACTTGCACGAGCTATGGGCGCTCTTAAACTTCTTACTTCCGGATGTGTTTGGCGACTCAGAGGCGTTTGACCAGTGGTTTTCTTCACAAGATGCTGATCAAGACACTATTATTCAACAATTACATAAGGTCTTGAGACCCTTCGTCTTGCGGAGGGTCAAGAGCGACGTCGAGAAGAGTCTCTTGCCAAAGAAGGAATGCAACCTTTACATCGGCATGTCCGAAATGCAGGTCAAATGGTATCGCAAGATTCTTGAAAAAGACATAGATGCTGTGAACAATGCCGCGGGTAAGAAAGAGTCCAAGACACGACTTCTCAATATCGTGATGCAGTTACGGAAATGTTGTAATCACCCGTATCTTTTCGAGGGCGCTGAGCCTGGTCCACCCTACACCACTGACGAGCATTTGATTGACAATGCAGGAAAAATGGTCATGCTTGACAAGATTCTTGTTCGTATGAAGAAGCAAGGAAGCAGGATCCTCATCTTCTCTCAAATGAGTCGAGTGCTCGACATATTAGAGGATTACTGTGTTTTCCGCGAACACAAGTACTGTAGAATCGATGGATCGACCGCTCATGAGGACCGTATTGCCAGCATAGACGATTACAATCGACCCGGCTCGGAAAAATTTGTCTTTTTGCTCACAACTCGCGCTGGTGGCCTAGGCATCAATCTTACCAGCGCTGATGTGGTAATTCTTTTCGACAGCGACTGGAATCCACAGGCAGATCTGCAAGCCATGGACCGCGCTCATCGAATTGGGCAGAAAAAGCAAGTACGAGTTTTTAGGCTTGTAACCGAGAAAGCCATCGAAGAGAAGGTTCTTGAACGAGCAGCACAAAAACTTCGTCTTGATCAGCTTGTGATTCAACAAGGTCGAGCTCAGACAGCAGCAAAAGCGGCTGCCAATAAGGATGAGCTTGTGAACATGATCCAGCACGGAGCGAGTGACATGTTCGGAGCCCAAGGGGCTACGGGGGCATTAGAGAACAACTCAAATTTAACCGAAGACGACATAGACAAGATTCTAGCAGAGGGCGAAGAGAAGACGAAAGCACTCAATGCTCGCTACGAAAAGCTTGGCATTGATGAATTGCAAACGTTTAATTCGGACAACGCTTACGAATGGAACGGCCAGGACTTTACTGCCACTCGAAAGAAAGATATAGGCATGAGTTGGATTAATCCGTCAAAGCGAGAGCGCAAGGAGCAATCATATTCAATGGACAAGTACTACCGACAAGCATTAGCAACGGGAGGCAGAACGGCTGATACTAAACCCAAAGCTCCCCGTGCGCCGAAACAAGTTGCAGCGCACGATTACCAGTTTTTCCCGTCAGAGCTTCGGGATTTACAGGATCGTGAGACGGCCTGGTATCGCAAGGAGATTGGCTATAAAGTGCCCTTGCCTGATTCGGAGGAGATGACTGAGGAAGAAAAGGAGGCTGAACGTGAGCTAGAACAACGAGAAATCGACGAGGCTCAACCACTCACAGAAGAGGAAACGGCCAAGAAAGAGCGAATGACCGAATTGGGTTTTGGCGACTGGAATCGGCGAGACTTCCAACAGTTCGTTAACGGTTCTGCCAAGTCGGGTCGCAAAGCCTATGAAGGAATTGCTGAAGAAGTGGATGGCAAAAACGCCAAAGAGATCAAAGAGTATGCCCTCGTATTTTGGCAGAAATACAGAGAGATTCATGACCACCAAAAATACATCAACACGATTGAGCAAGGAGAAGATAAGAGGCAGAGGGTTCATCAGCAGAGAAAGTTACTGCGGAAGAAAATGGAAATGTATCGGGTGCCCTTACAGCAACTAAAACTGAATTACTCGGTCTCAACCACTAACAAAAAGGTCTACACCGAAGAGGAAGATCGCTTTCTCCTCGTCATGCTGGATCGATATGGGATTGATTCGGAGGGGATCTACGAGAAGATTCGTGACGAGGTCCGCGATAGTCCATTGTTCCGCTTCGATTGGTTCTTCCTCAGCCGGACGCCATTGGAGATCAGTCGTAGATGTACTACCCTGTTGACTACCGTTGCTCGGGAGTTTGAGCCTAATGGAGTTGCTGGTAAGAGCAGAGCAAGAGACGAGGTCTCGGAAGACGAGGACAGCGTTGCACCTACAAAGAAGAAGACAAAGGGTCCTGTCAAGGTATGTCATACAATCCTTAATTTGAGGGTAGATACTAATACCAGTTCAGAATAAACAGCTTGATGGCATTAAAGGGAGCAAAGCCTCATCGAACCAGTCATCCAGGGCTGGTAGTGTTTCGGCGAACGGTTCGGCTCAAAAGGCAAAAGCAAAGGGCAAAAGAAGATAGAATATCCATTTGTGCTGGTTTTTAGGGCTTGCTTGCATCATTGGGCGGTCTGTCAACTTTCGTGGCCAGGCTGGCCAAGCTCGTTTTCAAGAATATGAACGGTCTGGGGCATAGGCGCTGGGCAGCGTGCATTAGATGAATGAAATGTAACTATAGTAGCTTACGAGCTTGTAATGAAACGTGCCCCTTCATTTCGAAAGATATTATGATGACGATTATGACAGTCACGAACCCAGCTAGGTGCCCCTAAAAGTGACGTGCGTCTTTCTGACTATGTGTTACAACGAATATTACGCACCTTTTCAATCAATTGTCCAAACGATATCTAAATCAATGGCATCTGAACATGCATAGATACCTCAGCACTCGTGCAAGAACAATACAATCCTCAAAAATGCTCAAACAGTTCGCGCCCTTGGATCCTACAAGAGGAAATCCGCACAAAGCACCATTGCTCAGAGGCATTGTTTTTGACGTGGATGGAACGCTGTGGTACGTGGAAACAAGATCTTGTTTTTCCCTTGTCATGCATGAAAATGAAGAGCGTACGGATTTGCTGGCCACATGTCTAACATCTACCAATATTTTCACTGTGTTTGTGTCTCCTTTGAAGAAAGATTTGCTTCATATTGGTGAATTTGTTCTCAGTCTTATGCTTCTTCTCTTTTGTGTGGTCGCCATCATATCTAAATCTTTCTCCACACCAGCAAACCCCAGTCTTATATGTTCTCGGAAATGAGGTACGTGTGGCACTCATCCGGTAGATGCCAAATTGCCCATTACATTCCATGACCACTTGTTCAACACACGGTTGTTGATAATTGGTCAGAGCAGCGCTCAATATCCCAAAATCAACAGATATCCTAGATCATATTTACTCGCTTCCTCAGCCAGCACAATCAGAGGCACAAGCTGCCATCCGTGCGATCGAGTCTCAAGCTATGATACATCAAGAGCCTCAGCCAGGACTGATGGAGTTGATTGACTATCTTGAGAGAAGACATGTCAGAATGGGACTGTGCACGCGGAACTTTGAGTAAGTCCTGTCTCTAATTCGCAATGTAAGATTCAAGTACGACAATTACGCACTGAGGATCCAGGGAAATACCCCCAAGTGAATAACTCTTCTTTTTGATCAGTGGTCCTGTCCTGCACCTTCTTCAAAAATTTCTGCCAGGAAAGACGTTCTTCCCGATCGTGACTCGTGACTTTCGGCCACCAAAGCCCAATCCAGCAGGTATACTGTACATAGCGAAGGCTTGGGAGCTGGACGCTCAAGGGCAGAGCCTCATAATGGTAGCTATTTCTCATTCTCCTGCTCAAAACAAGATCTTACCATTGATTGTGCTTTCTTAGGTTGGAGACTCAATTGATGACATGACGGCTAGCTTTAAAGCTGGCGCGGCTACTGTTTTGCTTGCTAACAAAGACAACGAAGACTTGAAAGAGCATCGGCACACCAATTTAGCCATCGAGAGATTAGACGAGCTGATTGAGATCTTGGAAATAGGACTGACTCAAACTCGACCTGAGAGGTGAAACCATGTCTTCAGCGACGAGTATCACAGGAATAATCTGGCAACATGGAACACGTACTGCGAGGCAAGCCTGTCTTCAAATAGAAATACCCAACGGAGGTTGAGTCTCGATTTTTACTTGGAAGCGGCGTACATGGCCAGCAGCTTCTGAAAGGTATCCCTTTATAGAAAACCAACACATAGACGAAACCTCACCGAGATGCGTCATGTATCCAAAACGAAATCGTAGCCTTCTTCACTCCCCTTAGCCAATCACCCGGAATTTACAAATCCCAACTCCTGATTCATAACTCCAATTAAACCCTTATCATCAGCCTTGGCACTTCTGGGCGGCCACGCCTGCATCTTCTTTCTCAAAATTTCCGCCCTCTTTAGTGCTTTCGTCAGATCTTCAATCCTACCGTGAACGGCGTATCCTTGCGCAGCCATCTCTTCAGCCAACTCTTCTTGATGATTATCGAGCAGTGTCTTATTCGGAACCAGAACGAGGGGCACGTTTACCCTCAAGGCGTCGAGCACAGAGCCAGAGCCGGCATGACTGATCACCACACCATTTCGGGCGGCAGCCATATCTGGGCGTAGACCTTGCATCTTGAAATCGAAGCCGGATATCTCAACGGCAGATTTCCCATCGTCTCCTACGCTGAGCTGAGACAGCTTCGTATCCAGAAGCTTCGCGCCGCTGATGCCGTGCTGTAGTCGTAGATGTGTGTATTGCAGCTCCTCGAGACTTTGGAGGAAGGACGGCTCAAGGACTGCATTGATGAGAGCATCGAAAGCAGCTGTGGCTCCGATAGTCACGAAGCATAGCTTCTGGGCGCCCTCATGCTTGTCTTTATCCTTGTCCATAAGCGACAACTAGCGAGACAGTATCGTCAATTCGTGGCCGCAAGTACTCATAGAAGGCTTGAATTCCGGTAAATCCGTCGGCAGGACTTGCCGAATTCAGCGACCTCTCCAGCAACAGCTTGAACTGAATCATCATAAGGTATTCGACTTTAGCTCACCCAACCATTCTCAACCCGTGAGATCAGCAGAATGTCAGCCATAGCAAGTGTTCGTGTAAATGCTCAGTCCATACTCCATATTCAACGCCCAGTCCTCGATTTCCTGCTCCCCAGCTTCTCACAAATCCCCCTCTCAAGCCGAAGACATGCGTCCCACACAGCTTCGTCCGCCCAATCATCCCCCTCTCAAGATCCAAAGACCACTAAGAAGCCGCTCTCTCTCACCCGCACTCAACGCGAATACCTTGACTCCGCCTTCCGAGTGAACCAAGCCGGTGAGCTCGCCGCCACCCTAATCTACACCCACCAGACCCCTCCCCTGCTCCGCGCCCACCCCCATCTCCGCACCCTCATGCAACACATGTACTCCCAAGAAGCCTCCCACTTCGCGACCTTCAATCATATGCTCTCCCAGCACCGAATCCGGCCCACAGTCATGTACCCTATCTGGACGGCGGCAGCGTCCACGCTTGGCTGGGTCACGGGGCTGATGGGGAGGGAGGCAGCGATGGCGTGCACGGAGGCAGTGGAGACGGAGATTGGAGGGCATTATAATGGGCAGGTGAGGATTTTGCTGCAGTGGGTTAGGGAGGCAGAAGAGAGGGGGGAGGAGGTTGGGGAGGAGGTGAGGGAGTTGGTAGGGACGTTGAAGAGGATTAGGGATGAGGAGTTGGAGCATTTGGATGAGGCAGTGGGGGAAGGGGCGAAGCAGGCGAGGCCGTACCAATTACTGAACAGGGTTATTAGGAGTGGGTGTAAGGGGGCAATTTGGATTAGTGAGAGGGTGTGAATAGGTGACAAGTTGCTAGAATGCGCCGCTGGACATGTGCAAAGAGTGGATGAAACCTTTCGAATGCTCTTGTTGGATGTTTAGAGAGGCAGGAGTGCCTCAAACTGCTTTTTTACACTGATGAAGAGGCCTAATTTTCGTCGTCTGTTTGGGTTGAAGCATTACCTTTCTTCAGGCATTTGTTCGCAATTCTCTCAAGGCGTTGAGCTTGACTTAGTAAAGTGACCCGAGGGCGTCGCTACTCAATGAAGCTCAGAGGAGAGTCTCACTCTCTAGCCATCTTTTCCCAAGGTAATGTCTCTGGAAATACCATTGTCCCGTCTCTGCCCCCTCCCCAACCCAACAGCTTACAGACCTCCACCTCCAAAGCATTGCCACCCCCTTCTGCACACAACTGGCTAACCAGATCATCCTTCCATCCCCTTTTCCGCCTTTTCCCCGCCAGCTCCGTGCCAACACCATACAGATCCCTCTCCCACGCGCCAACAGCCTCTGCCTCATTGATATCTAATTCCCCTCTCGAGCTGATTTCTTCTGGTGGGTCAATACCTATATACGACACCCGCTCTCTGGGCCATTTGATAGCTTTGAGATGGAGGTCCAGGAATCTGCTTTTCTTGAAGTCATGGGAAATGATTGTTATATGGGCGGGGTACTTTGAAGTTTGTTTTCGAAATGAGATGAGAGAAAGAAGCACATTCTGGTAGGAATCTGTGGCATATGTGTCGGTGAACATACGGTCTGCGTAGTAGGGAGATGAAGAACCCAAGAGATGTTTCGCTAGTGCCTGGTTGGTAGGCTTGAGCACTGTGATTCTGTACTTTTTGAGCAGCTCATTTTACCTTGTAAGATTCTGCTTCGGAAAGTCGTGTTCTATCTGTTTTCGTCGCTGCCCTGGCAGATGAACGAGGTCAAACAAGGTTCTTCGAATACGTAGATTTTTTGATCAACAAACACACCCAGAAAAGAACAACAGAGCCTTATCATCTTGCTTCAAGACTTCCAATCCTGTCTCGACATGCTTAATGAAAGTTGTCGTTTCGCCGGCTTGAAACGACTCGATTGTCCTTTTATAAACAACAGGTCAGATGCTCGACAAAGACACTGACTCGACAGCATACTGTATCTTACCATTCATCTTCATTTTTCGGATCTACTTCGCCACTCCATATCGCATGACAGCACACTATCACCAGGTTCATCTACACTTTTGTCAGGAGAATGCAAGACATATTCTTAGGCCTCACTTTCACGATAATTTTATTTGAATTCTTCAGAGCCACTTTCGAGGCTCTGAAAACCTAGCAAAAAGTGACTTCTAATGTATAGATTAGGAAAGACCGACAGCAAGAGCTAATTCGTCGCCTTTTTCAAACTAATTCGAACCTCGTAGATCGGACATCATTTCCAAGCTTGAGGCAAAATTGCTGGTTTGAGGCCTCCAAAGTAGCAGTTGCTAAGCATTAGTAGCCTGAATGAAGCCTGGGGTTCCGCAGCTTTGCGTACTTTGAGATTCAATATCATGGATTGGAAGGCATAAAGCATTGGCCAATCCGCGTCATGTTTAATTTCTGTAGGTCCAGTCATGGAGCTCTTTCAATGATATCGTACTTAACACAAATCCTCCCCATCAGTCAACACGGCTACTGAAGGTAAGGAGCTAGGCATGTGATATCAGACCTTTTCATCGCTTGCAAGTTCACAATAATATTTACAAAGCCAAGAAGCCAACCCAATAATGGCCTAATGCAAGAACGTACACTCTTCCCCTTTGCGACACTTTCCCTCCTGGAAGAACTTGCACATTTGATAGGGTACACCTGTAAAGGGCTTCCCTCCCCGTGCTTTCTTCCTCCCGTACTCATTCTCGTCGTTCTCGAGCTGGCGTTTACGATCTTCGTTCATGGGGTAAGACTCCTGGCTGGTATTGTAACCGTAATTGTGCATAGGTGGTGCTTGCGGCGCACTGCCCTGGTTACCGATCTGCGAGAGAATAGCTTGGAGATTAGGGACTGGGTTAGCCTGTGGTGCTCCAAAAGCAGGTGGTGCTTGATAATTATGTTGCTGTGGCTGATTGATCGCTGCTAAAGCACCTTGCAAATTAAATGGAGCTGCTGCCGGAGGGGGTGCGGTCACCTGGGCGGCTTGATTGTTATTGGACATGTTAGCAAGAAGCGCCGCGAGAGGATTTGATGGATCTGGAGTTTGCTGCATTTGTGGCCGAGGTTGCTGGTGCTGCGGCTTGGGATTGTTGAACATTTGAAGGATTGCTGATATGTCAGGAGTTTGCGGAGCCACAGCCGCGTGTTGTATCGGTTGAGCATCCCTTCGAGCACGATATTCAGATTCGCGGGTCTAAAGAGAGATTAGTAGGCTCTTTCGCTTGATGAATCGTACACGACAAACCTTGATGATACCCTCTGGCTGACCAAATATCTGCTCTGGGTTGTAGTCCCCAACATATGGATCAACTGGTTCACGGGGTGTGAGAGGCATATCCGATGCGGATGTATATATCGCCATGAGCGTCTCATGTTCCCGTGTTTTCTGAGCTTCGCGCTCGGGGCTCTCAGCATTATTTCTTCCGCCCCGACTGGCAAAGTTCCGTGAGGATTCAGATTCATCAATACCGCTAAAATTAGTGGCGAGAGGCGTTGTCCAATCCGAAAGCTCTGGAAGAATCTCATCTGGTGGTTCATAATCTTCATCATCATCTAATTCAAGGTCTTTGTGCATCTTCAGCATTTGCCCCTCTCCCTTGCTGTCGAGAACGTCCCGGACCTGACTTTGATCGTGGCCGATCTCTTCGTCCGGATCATGTTCGAAAGTCCGCACAGAGACCAGTTCATCATCACCTTTGAAGGAAACTCGGAGCTTTCGCCTTTGCTCTTTGCGGAGACGCTTTCTCCGCTCCTCAGCAGTTTCAGGCTTCCGAGTCTCCTCTGTCTTGACAGGAGGCTCCTCCTTTTGCTTCGCTAAGCCTGCCATTGTAGCAGCAAAAGAAAAGGCTGGCTTTGACGCCGCTGCAGATGGAATTTCTACCTTTCTTTCGCGCGTAGTGCTGCAACCAGTTAGCTAGAGATCCGAGAAATGCAAGTATAACGTCTTACCCTGTACCTCCATCTTCTGACTTGGTGGAAGTGCCAGGACGCTTGGACGCAGACTTTAAGCTTGAGAAGAATCCCGAAGGCTTCGCAGCTACGTTGACAACCTTGGTCTTCGAATCGACTGCATCAGGCTTCGTCTTTGAGCTAGACTTGGCGTCCTCTGAAGAAGCTCTTTCTTTGGTTGATGAAACACCGTTCGGACCTTTGTGGTTGAGATCTGTTGCCATCTTTTTGGTATCATTCTGACGGTCCTTCTTGAAAACGATATCAGAAGTCTTAGACGCATCAGAAGTTTTCCTTGGGGCGCCATTGATTTGAGATATTGAAGTAGATTTCTTGTCTGCAAGTTTGGCATTTTGGAGCACTTTCTGCGTCAGCGACTTCCCTTGCTCGTCTCCCCGTTTGAACAGTCTTTGTAGGATCTTGTCGACCTTTGTTTGCTCCAGAAGTGAATTGTCGATATTAGAGCAGCGCACCATTAACTGAGTTATGTTAGCTTCGACTTTTCGATCAGACGTATGTTCGTCACTCACTTGGAGAATGGCCGCAATGAAACTTCCGGTGTACTCGCCGTACTTGAATCGATCCGCTAGAAATTGATAGAAAATCACTAAGAGCACGGGGTTTTCGCCAAGCCTATGATAAATCAGTTTATTGCTCATGCAACACCTGTGTTTGCTTGCTCGCAACGCCACGAATGAATGTATTTTGCCTAGTACTTAATCGCCATCTATTCTAGCTTTCCTCAAAATTGAGTATGCCAAGCCCGAATCGACCATCCCATCTTAAGAGATGCATTTGCTCGGCTGTTCTGAGCAAGGACCCGTTTACAAGATCAAGAAGCACACTACGGGTATACTGCTTGTTTGGGCAAAGTTCACATAGAGTAAGAAAAAACACTACACATCCCTACATTTAATCGTATGGCTGTAGGCTGACTGCGCGGAGAAAACTAAGAAGAAAGAGACTTACTTATCGACGATACTAGGATGTCCATGCTTTAGAGTCAGATGTATACAAGACTCCAATAGGCGTCTTTGCTCTGCTACGCGACGCTCGAAAGCCTTCTCGGTGGCCTGATCTTTCTTGTCAATGGCTTGCTGTAAGTTAGTGCTTTTAGATTTCCATTTGTCACGAATGCCTTTAAAAATCTCCCACGTCTCGGCCAAGGCAGTTCGGACCACAGGACTGGAGAGCACAGCAGAACGCTTAGCCCAGATGGCTTTGATAAGGTCATACTCTACGGCTTTGCTTGGATCTGTGGGCTTGGTTGACGGCAAAGGCGAAGGTTCATCGGGTTCTTTCTCAACTTCTGAGTCGCTGTTGCTCCCGGAAGAGTCATCCGAGTCTGAGTCTGAGGACTCGGTCGAAGAAGGACTTCGACTTTGGGTAGAGGAACCAGCAGGTTTGGGTCCAACCTGCTTTTTGGCTGCTATTTTTAGTTTCTTCACAAGTGGCTCACGGTCCGGGTGCCAAGGTCCGTCTCCTTTCTCTGTTTGGCACATCAGCAATTGCTTATGCCAACTGGACAAAGGTTTGTTACCGTTTTGAAGTAGGCGCATTGTTTCATTTCGTGACTTTTTCCTCTTGTAGCGGGGCACAGTCGCTGCAGATCTGTGAGCTTCTACAGCTTCTAGTGAGAATTGAGTCATTGAAGATCTACCTTTGCTGATGTTTACGACTAGAGCATTACTCCCCACAAATATGAATCCGTCGAATCTCTTGGACTGTGTGACGCTTGCATACTGATTTGTTGGCTTAATATGCAAACCAGGACGATCAATAGATTTAACAGATCTTCCTGCCAGCTGTCGCCAATCCTGAATACTGAGAGACATAGGCATTGGGGTTTTGCGAGGGTCAGCATATTGGGCTTGACCATGTGACGCGGCGAACGAGTCAGAAGGCTGACCCTACATGACTTAGGATTCAAATACTATTACGATTGATGATGACATGGGAAGACTTACGTTGCGGCTCGTGTCAAGTGAGGCATTTGATATGTTGGGATAACTTTCGATTGCCGCAGGCGAGATCGTCTGGCTACTCTGTTCGAATTCCGGGGGACCACTGAAACGATATGGAGTCTCGTTGCTTAAAGCGTTGGGATTGAAATCTGCAGTACGCTGGTACACGGATTGCTCCAGAGAGTCTCTGGAGGCGAATTGTGGAGAAGGGTTCGAGTTGAATTCGGGATACTGATAATTGGAAGCAGGGTTTGAATATCTTTGATCGACATTGAACTGCGGCATAGGTAAGTAGTTTGGTTCCGGTGGTTGATATGCGTTGTGCGGCCATTGCTGACTGTTTTGGTCGAAGGCCTGACTAGGCTGTTGATGTGCGGAAAAGTCAGGGGCTTGCCAAGTGTTATCAAAAGCGCCGTCATCTTCGGTGTGAATGAAAGAATTGAAGGGATCGCTCTGAGTATTGTTGTATTGATAATTTGGGGGATTATTCTGCCCGTGTCCCACATTATATTGGGTCGCTGGTGCATTATCCATCTTTGTGGTTCAGCCTTACAAGAGCCCTAAGTTACTGCCTTTGCCTAGTGACCCCAGCTTCACGCTAGTCCAGAACAGGCCGCCACCCAAACACTCCTGAGAGATGCAGGCTCGACACCGACTGTCCACTTGTATCAGAGCGGACGTGACGACGGTGGATCTGTGAAGGATGTTGCTCGGACCGGCCGTAGATTACCGTAGGACTAGCAAAACCGTACAAACTGACACCGGGAACGTGATGGTCACCTCTGTAGGACGCATGTACGATTCTAGCAGCTCCGCTGCCTTATACCGCTGTACTTCAAGGTACCACGGCGTTTATACGCTTGGAGCTTTTAGAAAACAAATGCGTCTGCGAGTTTTGCAGCTTGCGTGAGAGTCCAGCAATGCTCTGTACGTCTTCGGGCCTGATTACCTCACCGCACCTCTCTGTCCAACCACGACCGCTGCCCCTCCTCAAAACACTTTACAAGAGGCTCAATCAAGCTATTGTCAGTATCATGATGAAGGGAACTTCATCTAGTCGTACTTGAGACGTGGTGGAGTTAGTTGTTGATGAGGGAAAAGTGGACGTGAAGACAAATTTCTTTGCGACGGTTGAGGAAATGTCGCGCTAGGAGCTCGGAAGATTTGCAAGTATTCTGGAGTATACAGTGGCAGTATGAATATTACGCTGTCTTTACCCGTCCAAGGGCTCCCTTTTAGCCTGCAACATAAATTTCTATCAAAGGACATGTCGTTGAGAATTCGCGTCTTCTTAATTGACATGGCACGTTGTCTACCAACAGCTTTATAAGGATGATTTCTCGTCACAACATGCTAGGTCGTATTTGTTTAAGCCTTTGAAGTCCCTTTCAGCATGGCCTCACCTCAGCAGACACTCCGTGACAGGCAAGTAGGTAGGCCGCCAGTTAGGCAATGATGAATGGAGCTTTGATGTTGACTTTTCAAAGCTTGCCTTCAGAAAGTACTCAACTTCAATCATGCTCCTTCGCCCGAATCTACAGACCACCACGATGGTCCCAGCGCCAACGGCGTGGTACCGCACGCCTCGCCAATTCTCAACTCCGATGGAGACCCGATATGGAAAGTCTTGGTATTTGACGACTTAGGGAGAGATGTCATAAGTAGCGTTCTCAGAGTGAATGATCTACGCTCGTGGGGCATAACAATACATCTGTGGGTTTACCGCAAAACATGGTCTGAGCGTCTGGGTGGCATTCTTGCTGACAATTCGCAGTAATATCAACTCTCAAAGGCATCCTATACCCGATGTACCTGTCTTATACCTACTCGAGCCAACTGTTGGTAATTTGCATCACATCAACGGTGATATTGTAAAGAACCTATACTCAGATGCATACATAAACTTCCTTTCATCCATTCCCCGCCCGTTAATGGAGGACTTTGCAACGGAGATCGCAGACAATGGCACGGCGGAAGGGATTGCACAGATGTACGACCAGTACCTGAACTTCATAGTCAGCGAGCCGGACTTTTTCAGTCTGGGTATGGGGAAGGACGTTTATTGGGCACTGAACAGTGCAAACACCAAGGATGAAGAGATAGATGCAGTGATAGATCGGACAGTAAGCGGTCTGTTCAGCGTAGTGGTCACTATGGGTGCGTGTCTTTGATGTCCATTTCTGCTTTGGCACTGACAAAAGACAGGTTCGATACCTATCATTCGATCGCCAAAAGGCGGTCCAGCTGAGATGATAGCTGCGAAACTAGACCGCAAACTTCGCGACCACATACTGAATTCAAAGGACAATCTCTTCTCTAATCCCGCCCAACGGGCAGCCGCGGGCTCAGCGTTGTCTTCAAGGCCTGTGCTGGTCATAGTGGACAGAAATGTAGATTTGATACCCATGCTGTCCCATTCGTGGACCTACCAATCACTTGTGCACGACGTGCTGAAAATGCGACTGAACAGAATCACTATGGAAACATTAGTAGATGGCGACAACACTGGGAAAGGCAAAGTTAAACGATCATACGATCTTACCTCGAACGACTTCTTCTGGTCAAGGAACGCTGGCGTCCCCTTTCCCCAGGTCGCTGAGGATATTGACAACGAATTGACCAAGTACAAAGATGATGCCAATGAGATCACAAGGAAGACCGGAGTCAATTCCATTGAGGATTTAAATGAGTCAGGCTCCTCCGCCCAACACCTCAAATCCGCAATCACCCTTCTACCTGAACTCCGCGAGAGAAAAGCAGTTCTTGACATGCACATGAATATTGCCACCACCTTGCTACAAGGTATCAAAGACCGGCAGCTCGACAACTTCTTCCAAATCGAAGAAAACATCACGAAGCAAACCAAAGCCCAAATTCTTGATCTCCTCAGCGCGATAGACAAGGGCAAAGAACCACTCGACAAGCTAAGACTCTTTGTTATCTGGTTCTTGAGCACAGAGCAAGAGATTGCCCGCTCTGAGATGGAGCGATTTGAGGCCGCCCTCGCAAATGCTGGAGTAGATACTACAGCCCTTGCGTACGTCAAACGGGTCCGTGATGAAACGCGAATGACAATGATGACTACCGCTGCCCCAACTCAACCATCTCAACCCTCAACGGACCTTTTTCGTGGCTTCTCTTCCATCTCAAACAAACTCACCGATCGGTTAGGTGGAGGTTTGGGCGTCAATCTCGACAGTCTAGTCTCCGGCGTTAAAAATTTCCTCCCAGCAAACAAAGACATCACAATTACTAAAATAGTCGAATCACTGATGGATCCAGCCTCAGCCTCCTCTTCTGCTATAGCGAAGACGGAAGATTATCTCTACTTCGATCCGCGCTCAAAGGACGCTAGGGGCACAATGCCTGGTTCGCAATCTTCGCGCCAGCAATCTGCCCCTGGGGCGTTTGGTGCACCCATTCCAGGTACAAATGCAACGTTTGGGCAAAGAAGGCAGGGTTTCAGTGAGGCGATTGTTTTCACCGTCGGCGGGGGAAGTATGGATGAGTATGGAAATTTGCAAGATTGGGCGAAGAGGACGAGCGCGCAGCAGGGGCAGAGTGGGATTAGGAGACGGGTGGTATATGGGAGCACTGAGACCTTGAATGCGGAGGAGTTCGTGAGCGTAGTGGCTAAGTTGGGAAAGGAGAGTGGATAATCACAGAATCGACAAATATTGTCGCCATTTGAGATTACCGTCTGATGTATAATATCTGTAAGGGAGAAAGGGTGATGGAACGCGCCAACCTTCTTGAAGCTGGTCCTACGGATGAATGCTTCCCAAAATCAATCAGCTAGAACGCTCATGTCTACCCACCATCCTGAACGCCTCGCTATCCCAAGAAGAGACTAATTAGATTAATCGCTGTCTCGTTGTCAGTATTGGGTCCTTCCACAGTTGACCAAGACGCGAGGGTTTACTTACTAAATCTCCAGAGGTGCCAGGGCGTCAATGCTGTAAAGCCAGTTCCCACCCTGTTCCTCTTTAACCAGCCAATCGTACGGCCACAGCACCAAATGTCCCCGCAGCATATGCATCAGCTCTTCCGCGTCGTCCTTTCCGATGACATCGTCACTCGCACGAAATTCCCTCCTCGAACTTCTGGTTGTTGCTCGCCTTCTCCGCTTTTGAGTTGAAGCATTGCGATTCAGCGCATCCGAGTAAGTTATGGAAGGTGGAGAGGCCGGTTTCGAGACCGGGAGGTGTTCTGTACCGTCAATGTTAGGGATTGCAGACGAGCCGGGTTGTCTAGCATCATTTGAATTGAAAGCTTTCTCGCTGTTCATTTCTCCCCTTTGTTCCCGCTTCGCTCGTTTCTCATGCTCCATGTCCTCGCGTTCATGTCGCTCTGCTTGTGCTTTGTTGGCTTCTTCTGCCCATTCCTCGACTCGGCCCATTGGGTATTTCTCTGGGTCTTTGTATCCCAGACTGTGGCGAAGTTTCTGGCCAAAAGATTCCACTTGGCCGTCTAGTTGGCCGGCTTTCTCTCCAATTGAGCCAAGTAACTTGAGCTTGTCAGCTGTAGATGATGTGCCAGGTGGCCCACTGCTCGATGAGATATTCTCCCTCTTCACGCGCTCAGAGAGCTTACCTCCCCCTTGTGCTTGTGAGAATCGTTCAGTGTAGGAGGCATACTCTTTGTATTCCTTCCAGGTTTTGACTTCGTTGTCAGGCATACAACGGAACACATTCCTGTAGATCTTGGTGTTGTTTTCAGCGACGGCATGCCAAGTATCGAGATAATACTCGTCGATAAGAGGATCACGCATACAATCCTTGTCAACTGATGGTTGTTTAAGGTCCGATATACTGGGATAAAACATATCAAGTATATTCTGACCGCGGACTGCTTCCCTCGAGGGCCCCCTATGTCTGTGTCGTCGGTTGTCGGTAAAGGAGGGAGTGAGCTTCCAGAGAGGTCCCCGAGACTAGCACTCTTTTCCAACAGAAAGTCGGGAGGTAGGTCTACGTTAGCGGCTAACTCGTCAGCATGCTTAGGATGAGGTGATTGCAGATTAAGCCTTTTAGTTGGAGTATCCGAGCCCTCGAGGCTGGCCAAAATTTCTTTGCTGCCACCCGTCGTCTGTCGGAGGCTGGAGTCTCGGCGTTTTCGATTTCCTGCTCGCTCCTCTCGCTTCATTGCGTCAGTACCGTCACCATCCACCGATTTCCTATGCACTTCATTGTGGGTGACCCTTGGATCCTCCGTTAATTTCCTCTTAGTTTTTAAATTTGGGTTTTCGGATTGCTCCCAATCGATATCATGGTTGAAACTTGAGATCTGCTCAGATCTGAGAAGCATCTCGTCTTGTCTACGGTGCATAGATTCCCAAGCTTTACGCTTGGACTCTTCGTCTGAAGGCTCAGTAGCAGCGTCATCGCTAGTTTGCCCATCATCTCTGCCGTGTTCTGTCTCATTTGCTCGTTGTTCCTCTTCCATGACTTCATCGACATCAATACCCAAATGCTCCCGCATAAGGCGTACGCGTAGAGTATGAGCAAAGCGGCCAACAAGATAGGGTTCACCATCCATAGTAGAATTGAGCATATCAGTATCACGAACCACCGCAGCGCATTCCGAGTCCCGAGAGCCAAGCATTGAACGCTCGTTGATATTTGCGGAACCAATGATGGCAATCCTGTCATCGACAATCATACATTTAGCGTGAATATAGAGCTGCTCAGTCACAAGTTGCTTTTGAGGCCCAATCTTGCCCCACGAGCGAAGGCTGTAGAACTGAATATAATCTTCAGGCTCGAAGCCTGCGGCTCGGACGCGGCCAAAGATTGAGGCCTCACCGCGGCATATGCTACGGAATTGACACTGCATAATGAGTCTGATACTGCTGCCATCTTGATTATCTACAGTGTTCTGGAAGCCTGGCATCAATGGAATGACTATGACAGCCCGCCATCGCTCGCCATATTGCGCCGCACGGATAATACGTTCAACAAGTGCGTCTCCGATCTTGTTCTCCATTCTAGTACCTTCAACCTCGCAGCTGCTGATGAAGAATTGGTTCTCGATATACACGAAGTGCTCAGATTGTTCTATGAGCTTGATGTAAGCATTCATGATGCTATGCTCCGTCAGGCCGGGGGTTCCAAGCGACCATTCACAAGCTGAGCGGAGAATTTGTATTTCGCAAGTGCCCTCTAACCCGACAGCCCGGAGATCGGGGGTGTCGAAGTCTGGCGGAGGTAGAAGAAAAGGTGTTGGTCGAGTAGGCTTTCGTTGGCGAAGAATGTAGTTCCATCGCTGCACGAAGTGTCGTGTCAGGTCGCGCGCCGGTTGTCCTACAATTTGCATATGAATGTCATGCCACGGCATACGAGGCACTCGTGATCGATCATACATCTCTTCGTACGGCTTGTCCAAAGCGTAGAAATCCTGTACCCGCGGATTTGAATAATCCTTACCAGGCCATAACTGACAATGATCGGCGTCCTTGGGTTCATCGGATGGTTCGAAGCCTGTGAGCTTGTCGTCCGCAACCGTATGCTGCGGCGTGTCCCACCTGCCAAAACACAGATCAATCCCACCCACAAAAGCAACCATGTGATCGATCAAACAAAGCTTCTCGTGGTGTGCCCAGAAGAAAGTATTTTGTCGAAATTGATTCGGAGAGCGTTGTACAAAGATGTTGGGATGTAGATCAAGAAGAGAGAATTTCGAGTACTCTGAGTCGATTGGAATAGCAGAGTTGATGTTGCGGTACATTAGCACGAAAATCTTGACGCCCTCTCTTGCCTTACGCTGCAGCAGACGATCAAGCCTCCATTTCTGACTGATGGCGGCAGGTCGCCGCATGTAAAGTTCAGGGCTCAACCACCAATCATGGATGTATACCACATCTTTGGCCATGCTAATCGCTCGGGAAACATTCCACATGTAATCTCTGCCATCCACAAGCCATTGAGCAAAACAATTCGAGCGGATGGGCGCAAAACTGTCGAATCTTTTGGGTTTTGACCACGGAGAAGTTGTGCACATATATAGGATCGATTCTTGAAACTCGTTCAGCATTCTTTCGCTTCTAGCCAGCAATTTGATCTGCCGCTCTGAATTGTAGAGCTTCAACTGATGATGTTGCGGGTGAGCCGCGGATTCTTTCGCGGCCCTTGCCATATCTTTGGCTTTCTGTTGATCCCTCAGTCGTCGTCGCTTGGCTGAAACTCGGAAATTGGAGTCTACAAGAAAGACATCGTAGATGTTCATGGCTTCCGGAGAATCGACACAGACCACATAGCTATGGCGAACAACAAACCATTTAGGTCTGTGGCGATCGACAAACAGCAGGGGGTTGGGAGTGCTCCATGCACGTCTGAAATCAACCCCTTTTCCGGACTTCAAGGTAAGCAAGCCTTCTTTACCATGATAGCTCCCTTCAGCAGCAAGTCGCACACCGAGTGCTGAAAGCTCTAGAAATTTGCATAAACGGTTGCATTCTGGCCGGAAGATAAGATACCTTATCATCTGCTGCAAGTAAATCTCAATGCTTTTACGCTGACGTTCTGGCAATGCTTCCCTGCGAGCTTGTGCTGCAGCATCTCCGGCCATAGAGACCACGCTTGACTTTCGACGGTGCGCAAGGGTTGGCCGGGGCTTTCTATCCTTTTTACCCTTGATTTGCTTTTGTCGCTGCTTAACACTCGCATCGCCAGTATTCGCTTCTGGTGCCTCGGCATCATTTTCTCCATCCTCTTCTGATTCACTATCGAGACCCGTGAATCCGAGTGACTTAGCATATGGCATCAGAATTCTAGGGAAACGAGGTAATTTAGTGCGCTCATCGCCTCTCAACTGAATGTACTTCTGTGCACTGATTTGAACCTTGTACTTTGCGTGTAGAGCTGCGAACTCTCTCAAAAGTCGATGGATCACCCATCTCATTCTGGTGAGGCCATTTCCATATTCGAGCTCGATACGAAACGAAATATGACGATCGCCAGATTTTGAATCTACTTGACCACGATCTGTGACCCGAACCTTAAGCTGTTCTAAAAGTATAGGTATCCGCTTGTTTCCATGCTCGTCGCGCTGAAACATACTGGCAAGAATGAGGACCGCCGGTGCACCTGCAGTCAGCTCAGCAAGCAGTTCTGCAGATTTTGTTTGATCGATACCACCATGTTCAGCCTTTCTTCGTTGGGCTAACATCTTCAGACCTGCCTTTACGCGCTGCCATCTGGCTGAACTAAGATTCGTTGCTCTCTCCCCTCGGTGTAGCCGCCAGGGTGAAAACGATGATCCAGCTGGGCTCTCTGTAGTAGAGCCAAACCCCGTAAGGCGTCTCAAGGTATGCGGACGTCGCTCCTCTGATTCTGCACGTTCATTCTGCCTGCGATTCGTTGATTGTTCATTACCACGAGCATTGTTGATCCATGCGCTGCCTTTACGCCACGGACTTTGTCGAGAGAGACGCTGTCTACCCTCGTCTTCGGAAATGCCGTGGCGTTCATCATCTTGAATGTCACTCATAGTAGCACGTCGCGGTATGAAGGTCGGACGGGATTCGTCATTGGGGTTGGCAGAAATGCTTGTCTGAACTTTAGGCCGATCTCTTTTCGGACGTAGATTGGGAGTCGACGGAGCTGTTTGCGAACTTTCATTTGCAGACCCATCGCCCGTCCGCCTCCCTTTGAATCGGAGAGCATGTTGCTGTGCGCTGCGAGCCTCCGGAAATCCTTCTCCCTCACTTTCTTCTACGTCTGCATCACCATCCTCATTGCCAATGGGATATCGATCAGGTTGAAGGCCCTTTTCCATCTTAACAGGAGACCGAGACGTGTGCATTTTGCCATCGGCCTCTCTATTGATGGCTGTACTACTCAAGGATCGGGTGTGAGATTGACCGTTCGGGGACGTTGTTAAGGCTTTCAATCTGCTCAATAATGATCCTCCCCAACCGTCCTTGTTATTAGAATCGTCTTCTTCAATGGCTACCGAGGAGTTCCGAATATGGCGATTCTGGCTAACATCCACGGTTGGTGGTCTAGGACTGAATTGTACACTTGGTCGAGGCGGCGGAGTCTCAGCAACATCTCGCACTTTTGGTGCTTGTGGAGGCTGCCTCAATGACCCCGATGCCAAAAGAGTTTGCTCTTCTACTGAATCAATTTTGTGCCTTTCTTGCGACTGTTCATTGTGCTCTTTGCTCCCACCAGGCTGGTCACTGTGGCCAAGACCATTCTGTATTTGAATGCCTTGATACATGGGTAATGACTGTCGCTCCTTCGACAATGCTGAATGGTGTAAATCTCTTTCGCCATTCACGACAGACCCATTGAGTGCTGGCTCGTTCATCGCCCTTAGGACATCGTTGTCCGATGAGGCCTTCTCTTCCTCCTCCACTGCCTTCCTCTCGATCTTCATCATCTCAGCCATTGCGTATTTCACGCAGTACTATAGCTTCAAGACACAGTATACAAAGAACACCGCGGTCCATCCTGGAGCTCTGTAGCTTTCATACTCAGCTCACTGTATTTGAAGTACAAGGCGAACAATATTTTATTTGAGCAAGCAACCATCCATGGACATGAGCGGGTTTTATTGCACCGAAGATTAGTCTGGGACTCTCATAGACATTTGCTCAGCGAATTATTGACCCGGTTGGCATAAGCAACACGAGAATAAAGAGAGTCTGACAGCCCTTCTTTTACGTGTCCATGACTTTCAATCCGATCATGAATTGAGGGCTCGAATTGGATTATAGGCTTGGCAAAGATTAGTAAGCTTTAACGGTTCAATGCAAAAGCAAGCAAACTTCCATGCGACCTGAAAATCATGTAATGACCATTGTGCTTTCAGGCTACTTCAAGCGCTCTCATCATTGGTCTAAAATCAATGGCCTTTCTTCTCAAGCACGGCCTCTGTCGACGAATTCAGCAATCAATCGCTCTTTGAGAAAGACCCAGTTCGCTGCATCAGGACCTCCAAGTGACTCCTGCCAGCCAAATGGCTACAAGAGGCGCTCTCCCTTTCCCGCCGAACAGCGTTCGCGCAGAAGGCCACAGACTCAGTATGGTAAATGGGATCAAACGGAGTCTATTCAGAGTATTCCTTACACAACACCGGCTTCAGTGTTTCTCTACGGGACCTCTGTCGTAAAAGCCGCCCTCCAAGCTAGGAGGCGAAAGTTTTATAAACTCTATATCTACGAAGGCAGCAATCGAGAATCGCAAGAAAATGAGACGATTATTCGTAGGCAGGCACGTGATCAGCGCGTGTTAATCAAAGGACTCAAAAATGATGAAGTCAAGTTGATGGATCGATTGAGTCATGGCCGACCTCACAATGCAAGGCCCGCCCATTCCATATCTCTCGTTGATTATCTTCTGCTGCATATATTAACATCTTCGCAGGGATACATTCTGGAAGCTTCCCCGATACCACAACAGCCCATAAATGCTTTGGCACCGGTCAATGCCCTTCAAGGAGACTTAGCCGTCGTGCTTGATCACCAATCCCAGGAAGAGAAAGCGATTAATGGCGTGAATTCTGTGATACAACACACGAAAACTTTTCCACGTTACCCCTTCGTGGCTTTCTTAGATGGAATTGTACGCGAGACTGCTTACTGCCTATATTCTTTACTGCTAACGCTGATAGCTTGATTCAGGCAACCTTGGTGCTATCGTACGATCGGCTTTCTTTTTAGGTGTCGACGCCGTGATTATCTCGCACCACCACGCCGATATATCGACTGTCGCCCTGAAGGCGTCAGCAGGTACATTTGAGTTTTTACCAAGCATGACTGTGGCCCATCCCATAGCATTCCTCAATGCCTGCAAAAGCAATGGCTGGAAGGTCTATGCTGCCAATGCTCCGTCCGGCCTGAAGAAGACTCCGGCCAGAATACTCACACCATCCACGTTGGGCAAACCATTATTGAACCATCCTTGCATCCTCGTTTTAGGGAGCGAGGGTGAGGGTCTCCCGTTCAGAATCCGAAAGACCGCAGATTTTGAACTTGGTATCGAAGGATCTAGAGCGAGGCAATTTGATGTTGATAGCCTGAATGTAAGCGTTGCTGCCGCGTTGCTTTTCGAATCTTTTTTGAGGAAACCGGATGCGGCGCAATTCGAGGCAACGGCAGACACAAGCATTCAAAACCATAAGAAGCGGTTATTCTGATATAATCGATCAAGATCATGACCCAAGCTATCCTCGCTTTACAATATGCCCCAGAGACAGGAAGGAAAGTGAAGTTGAGGGTATGTGAATTTTACCAAAAAGTCCTTTGGCATACGGAACATACATGACAACATCACACGCACGAGCTGTTTTGGAGCGACTCGCATATCATTTGCTCTTTTCTTCTGGGAATAACATTAGGAGGCCTCCTCTGCCGTGAGATCAATATATCTGGCCGTGTTCTTATGTTAATGGATCCTGAATTTCAAAATCCAACACTGCCCATGACGAATCTGTGAAATTGTAACCCTCGTGATCAAGGAAAATAGGCGTTGGTATGAGCCAGTCTATAGGAAGCGAGTACATCACAAGGTCTAAACCAATATGTCATAAGTCTTTAGAAACCTTCTCATGGAGTGCCTTTGCCTACTTATATAAAAGCCGCATCACACAGCAAAGGGAAATTAAAGCGGTCTAGTCAAGGCACTGGATTACTGGTCGCCACTTGAATTCTTTACTTACCAAGAATGAAATCATTAGACCAAAAAAGCAGGCATTCGAGAAGTCAAGGCAAAATCTGCGTAACCACGCATTTGGACGCAGGCGTTCAATCATACGGGATGTGCTTCACATGATCCAACGGAGGCTGAGTATTCCAGCAGCATTGTGTGATGGTTTTGACGGTGCTCAATTTCAGAGAGAAAATTGCTTCCCTTCCAAGTCCTACCGACATTCATAGGTCTAATATCGAAGTATGATCCAATATTACGTCGCGGTAAGACCATTCTTTTGTTGGAGGTTTAAAGGCGAGGTTCAATTGGTCTTTGAACTACATATCAAGCGTGTAACCAATCATTGATACCAGAATTTTCTTGCTCGCAAAATGCTCTCGACCATTGTAGTAGGGAGCCGCTGTTGATACTATTTAAGGCCTCGGGTCGACAAATTGCTGAAAGCCTTACAGCTCATCATTCTCCTCTGACGGTGGATCTATGGGCGGGTAATAGCCTGAATTAATGCAACTTATTATTAGGTCTCCTAAGAAAAGAGATGCTCTACTCCTAGCAACTGTTTCGGGTAGCCCTGACTGTTTTTCTTGCCAACGATCTGGTACCTCACCTAACCCGTGCAGAATTTGGTCAGCCAGAGGCAGATCAAAGCAGGGGTCCGGATTCTAGACGACGGCGTAGGCTGTGGGTCGGTTTTCAGAAGCATCAGAGATTGGACACAAAAGAGGCATCATGAAGCCTAAACGGCTAGATGAAGCCGCCACTGCTGCATTTCTAGGCATTAACAGGAGCAACCTCTTTCAAAAGCCGCGAAGGGGCTGTTAGACTGTGATTGGTCCTAGATCAAGGTTGGTTGCAGCATATTGAGGAAGAGCCGCACTCATTGGAGTAAAGGATCATATCCGTTGTTGCAGACCAACTGACTTATGATTTCCAGAGGAAATGAATGGTAGTTCACAACGGAAAAGCCAAGCCGGAAAGAAGATCACACTTCAAACGTATCAGAGCGTCTACTAGTAAAGGGTTCTTGCTCACATTGACGGGTGCTGCTTCCACCCAACGGCCATATCCGAGGTATACGTGTATGTGGACAATGGTGCCAAAAGAGGGAAGGCGGTACACATACAGTTCACCGTATGTCGCGAACCGTGTGATATGTGACGAGCATGATATTCACACGTCTATCGGCAAATAGGAATGCAAGACCACGAACGTGACTCATGGAAGCTATGTATTCAACAAAACTTTACTGCGGTGGGTATCGCATCGTCTTTCGCCACCTGTTGATGATGATGTTCTTCACACCGAAAAGGGCAGTGTTGGCCCACAAGTGTAGCTCCCTTTGCCTCAAACTAGGACAACACATTCACATCCAGCAAATAGAGACACAAACTTATGATACAGGCACAAATTCATCCCACAGGTGAAGTGTTGATTTCACCAGGGCAAGGGTATATATGCCTGCTCTGCAGCCAACCTTTTCTTTCTTCTTCCACCTCTTTGCAGCCTACTCGTCAGAGCACTTCTATATAACATCTACGATCTACGAAGGTCTTCTTCTCAGTTCCACTGAAGACACCTCTGACAAACAGCTGATCAAGACTCCGTCTGGCCGTCTACAATATTTTAATATAAAATCCAACCATCACGATTTGCTCTTCAACCTTTATTGACGGGCTCGGTGAAAAAGTATACGAACGACTTCCGTACCGTAACACCAAGGCTGCCTGCTCGAGATTTTCCCGTACAGCAACCACCAAACGTGCCCATCCCATACTGTAAGCAACATCATGGTCGGTCAACGTCACTCTTCTCCTCCTGAATCGACGGGCACGGAAGGTTTCATCCTTTCAGACTACCCTCGACCTCGTTTCTACATCGTGCGTCCAGACAAGACCTTTGTGCCGCTTATCGCGGTCGATGAAATCAATCCTATGCTACGCCTGCATGGCGTTCCTCGTGCTCTAGCGATTGATGAAATCGATAAATGGAATTTGGCTCGGGTGGGCGACTTAGTCGATCGACCAGGACAGTATTATAGTATCGATCTTGGTGGTTCCGGAGAGGGTTCCATGGATACTGGCTTCAGTCATGTTACCCGTACAATTAGCAACCAGTCTCCACCTCAGCAAACGAACGATCCTCCAAAGACATCTACTGATTCTCCGAGCCGTTCTTCTATCAACTCAAATAGCAGCTTCTACACATCGCAGAGTGATTTGACGTCTCATGTGAATCAAGGACCTGGTCCTTCACCGATCCACAATGGACGTGAAGAGAATCATGAGAATGTGCATGCCACTGACCAGGCCCGTCTCGATAATCAGGTGAGCAAAATGGATGTGAGCGGTTTCAGCATTGTGACTGACGAGAAACAGAATACTTTAAACCAGTATGTACATGAGTCTCAGGGGACCCAAATAAATCACCCGTCGAAGACAAAGGACGCTGCCACCCCTGGGTACTTTGGTAAGAAGAAATTTTGCACTTATTGGATTCGTACCGGCAACTGCGATTACATACAGGAAGGGTGCAAATATCTCCATGTAATCCCTGATGAGGAAACTCGTCTTCGGATTGGCATTCGCGACATGCCTAGATGGGCGAAAGAAGACTTTCCCCAACAGCAGGAACCAGTGCACCCGAAACACTCTCTCGCCCTGACCCAAGACTGGCGTCGTCCACATCCTGGCCAGCCCGCTAAATATCCCAAGGCAGAGAAGCCTCGACATCCAGATACGCTCTCAACAACCCGATCTACTCAACAAGTAAATCGTACGGAGAATAGTCATAATACCTCTATCAAGCGTGATCAGCAGTCTCTTCCAAACAATGGTCACAATTTGGCTCGGACGAATGGTTTCAATAGCCAGAGCCCATTCGATCCGACTTCAGCTGGGGCTCCTGGAACATCCATCCACGCACTGAAAGCTGTACCCTTTCAAGCCGAGATGCAGTCGGCTCCTCTCACTTCACATCCTCCACCGCCTGTCCCTTCTTCCTCAGCTGCTCATTATCCGCCACCAACGCAACCACCTATCAGCCGTCCCACCAATGATGTCTACCAAGCTCCTGATAAGGTGTCTCCATCGAAGCCTGCACCAAGCGATGACCTTCGTTCTTTACTTGAAGGCAGTGAGCCTGTCACTGTGATGCCCACAGCGAACGGTGGTATTACTGGAACTTCTTCGCAGACAAACAATGGGAAGCTGAATGGCTTGGTTTCTCAAGCTGTCAATAAGGTATCCCCGAAGCAGGCTTTGGCTACCGCGAGCCACACCTTCTGCAACCATGGTCCTGTCAAGCCCCCTGGACAACAGGGCACCAACGTGATGGATAACCTTTTCCACCTGAGCACACCCAGCTCACAGGTGCCTAGTGCCTTTCAGAATCATCAGGCTATTAACGGCTCGAGTGGCTCCCTTCCATCCTTCGTCGCAAATCAGACGAATGGAGCTTTGTCCGCCCAATCTCAGGATATTCGCTTGGATAGCAACCACGCAGAGACGGAGACCCCCAGCAACAATGGCCATTCGGAGATCTATTGGCATCGTCGCCATTTCGCTGGTCCGGGCCAGTCTCAATTTGTTGCTTCGAGAGTTGAAGAAGAAAAGCCTCGTGAGAAGAAAAACGGTCACGGTGGTCAACGGAAACGTAGTCCTCGTGGTAAGAGCAGCAAGGGTGATCTAAGCGGGGGCAAGTAGTCAGCAGTCATTATTCGATTGAGGCAGGTGAGGCGGACTTTTCGGAATTTCTGGCTGATGATGAGGGACGGCAGCTATATATAGCTGATTTCTTCTACTTCTCTACCCTATATATGCTGGTGGCTTTATTATTCCTTTGAATAGAGGTGTGAATCTTTCATGCGAGACTTGCATGGAATTCGAATGTTTCATTGAGATCAATTACTTTCCCAACAAAATCCAGGTCATATGTCTCACGAAGTTCTCACATTTGTCTCTCTTTTCATAGATGATCTTAAAGGGGGTCACAATCAGACCTTCTCTTCTCAGAAGTACTTTCAAGCGGAAGTCTTAGTTCAAACGTGATTTGGCTTTCAGCGAGAGAATTTACCGGCCTTAGAAAATGACGCCTTAAATATATAGTGAGAGGCTACAGACTGTGTTGATGAAGCGGAAAATACTGCAAATTGAATCATGGAAGCACTCGGAGATGGAAAGGCAAAATGTGATGCAGTAGAGAGCCTAGCTTCTACGATACATTATAATTCTACCTCAGTAAAATGATCACAATGTAATGCCTCTCTCAGGCGAGGGCATTATCTTATCCTAGGACTCCTTGCAACTCTGTCCAAATTTCTTGCCTGCTCAAGAGGTAAAGCACTCCGCACCCTCCCCACTGGTATCTGTAGTGCCTGCTCGACGACAATCATCCCATCAACAATCTGTCCTGCACCATCTTTGGCCTCCTCAATCTCCATTCTCTTCTCCCTATCCTCAATCAGCTTCTGCCTCTTCTCAGCATTTAGCTTCCACTCCATGGGAAAGTTGTAGACGGGTTTCCGCTTGTGATGTCGTAGATCCACTGGCACGTCTTCTAACATGTCCCTATCATCTTGTGCCTCCTTGATAAGAGTATCAACTAGATCAGATAGGTACTTCTTGTTCTGAGCTGGTGTCTTATGAGTTTCGCAGCTCATCTTCACCACATCAGTATCCGGGTTGTAGCGCACGCCCACCAATTTAATCAACTTGACGCGCTGAGCCTCCGTGAGGTCTGCAGCCTGTCGAATATCTTCCGTGGTGAACTCGCAAACGATCTTTCTGGCCGCTGGATGCGACTCCCCCAAATAAGTCGTAGATCGAAAACGCAGCGGCCGCTCTAGCGTAGGCGGCTCAAAAGGTTTCCTTAGCTTGTACAACAAAGGCATTTCCCACACGGCCAATCGAGCGTACTGTCTCATCTCTCGATGCTGCTCCAGCTCCCCATGCGCTAGACTCGTGATATCATCCCCCTCGAACTCGGGATCCTCGCCAATCATTTCCGGCTCGTCCTCGCCCATTGCCATGAATCCTTCAATCCTCTGTGGTGGCTTAGGGTCGATGTGAGGCATTTCATCGAGAACCTCATTTGCGGCTAGGGAGACGGCGCTGTTGATTTGTGAGCTGATTTGGGGTTGTGCATAGTGGTCATGGATTGCGCGAGCTTCTTCTACAGCTTCTGCTTGCTCCGAGGGAGTGAGGGCTTTGTAGGCTGCGCGTTCCTCTTTGGAGAGGTCGGAAAGGTTGAACTGGAATGCCTCCTTCTGAGATCCAGGTGGTGGACCCTCATTATGGTTATCATCAACATCATCATTATTTCTCGCGCGAGCAATAGGAGACTGGTGGAATTGGCGGCTTCGGTCGAGTGATGAGAAGGCTTTCCGGCGTGCACAAGTCCTGTGTGAGTATCTGATTGCCGTAAAGCTCAGTTTGTGTAACGCAGAAGCCATGAATGTATCACATGGAAGATGCCAATGGTATTTCCCAAACTGCTCGGAATCATTCTGCTTTTCCTAGCTCTGAGATTGCACCAATCAAGTGAGACATCCCGGCCTGGACCATGGCTTACATAATGATCTGCGCAAAGCCTCGGCAGGCGCGATCCGAGCTGCATATCCGTGCATATAAATGTGCACAAGAATAAAGAATTGTTCCAAGTGTCTTAGATTCAGGCACAAACGACGATAGTAAACCTGCCTAATCCGACACACCCACACAACACACAACACCTGCCTCGCTTGTTTCGCACATTCTCAGCTTCGTTACAGAGTCGTTTGGGATTGTGCTTCACCGCTCTTATGGAATTGCGAACACACTTGTTACCTTCAGAGCTTAATATCTTTCATCCACCGGACGGATAACATCCAGCAAGAGTGGAACGCACCTGCGCATCAGAACTTCACACCACAAATCACACGTGACTCATTAGCATCTCGAAATATGCATGACTTACGAAAACAAGCTCTTCTAGAGAGCAAGAAGACTACCTCTCGTAAGGCGCGTTCGAGGCAGCCAACACCAGCCTCCTCCAAACGGACCACACCCGTCTCATCACGCGCGGCGAGTAAGGTTAGAGGAGGTAGCAGTCGCGGCGATTCAGACGAGGAGAATGATGCAGAGTTAAGCGATGAGACATCTTTTAGGTGGGCCTGATCGCACTACCAATCGTGAAGTTAGCAGTAGCTTACAAGTCTCAGTGTCGGTTCGATCGACGAGCTCTTGAACGGCGATGCCTCAGAGCCAATGTCGGAGGGTGCTCTTGCGGATCGAATCGAAGAGATCTTCTCGAGAAAGGGCAGCACCATTCCTGGACGCGAGAAGTGTTACAAAACATATATCCACTACCTGGTGACACGGTATTCTGGCGATGGGATTGATGGCAAGGAGGAAGAGCTTGTAGCAGCCTTCTTGAAGAGTATTAGAGAGGAAGATAGCGAGAAAGAGACGATGCTTGCTGCCAAAGGTATGGCTTGCACTCCCTGGCACTATGAATAAGTGCAAAGCTCATACGGTCTAGCTATTGCTATTACTTTGACAACATCGCCCTCCGAGGACACTTTTGAGATAGCTTCCAACATACTGAAACGAGCTATCACGGATTCTGATTCTGTGACCGTCATGACGGCCACAATTCACGCCCTTGCTATTTGCACTTTCTATGGAGGCGCATCTGACGAGGCAACTTTGGAGATCATGGATTTCCTTCTGGAAATTGTGACCAGTGACGGGAACAGCATCTCCGCTCCTGACGAGTCAGATCCTGTAGTCGCAGCTCTCGAGGAATGGGGTTTTCTGTGCACCCTAGTAGACGACATGTCTTCCCAAAGCGAAGAGTCAATCGAAGCTTTCATCGAGCAACTCAACAGCGCCTACGCTTCCGTCCAGATTGCTGCGGGTGAGAATATCGCTCTGCTTTACGAAAAATCCTTCAAGCCTCTCGACGCTGGGGAGGACTCAGAGGATTACCGCGATGAGGACATCGTCTCTGACCCTCTAGAAACCCCTGGTATCCGGCCTCTTATACGCCTCTACCCAGCATACCGCCGCACCGACCAGCTCCTGCATGCTCTAACGACCCGCACCCGCACGAGCGTCAGCGTCCACTCCGTCAGCAAAGCCGACCGCAAAGCACTCAAAACTAGCCTATCAGACGTAGCACAGTCCATCGAATACCCGCACTTTGGTCCCAGATATTCCACTGCGATCGACGACAACACTGAGATGTACTACGGCAGCAGAATGAAAGTCAAGATCCACGATCAAGGTGTTATGACGATCGACAAGTGGTGGAAACTATTTCGACTGGAGGCGCTCAAGAGGGTGCTCCAGGGAGGTTTCGTCACGCATTATGAGGACAATCCGACGATTTTTGAGACTTTACCAATTTTGGTGAGTGCACCTGATGCATATAAAAAAAGGATGCAGAGACCGAGGAAGGTTTCAAGGGCAATGAGTGGATAGGGGAGGTAACCGAAGGGATTTGATGAACATGGTTGCAATGATTTGCTACCTTTACTACATTGGATCAACAGACGAAAGATAGCATAGCTAGTGATAGTTGGAAAGTGTTATGACATTACATGCCAATCTCGATTTTCTGTGGAAAGAGTAATACGACTCTTCGCATTTGCACACAGCTTTTTTGTTTTATCCTAAAGACTTTGCAATGTATCCCCATTTACCATTTTTGAACGAAAATCAGCTGCCCATATCTCTTTCCAAATTCTATATTCTGTATTCCCATTTCCGTAACGCCACGCTGAAGTACCGCAGCAAGAAACAATTAATCAGATGAGTGACCTCACATTTCAAGCATGAAACGCAAGCCCGACAAAAGCCTCCCAGTCTCCTTTCCACCCCGTCTCTCATGCCAATCTAGATCTCAATATCAATTCCCATATCCAGCGCCCCAATGATCTCATCATCCATATTTCTACTCCCCAACACCGGCAACCCCTTCCTGACCACGCTCTGCGGCTTGACCTCCGGACTCCTCGTCACCTTCCTCGCTTCAATCTTAGGCGTGAGCAACCCCGCAGGAGTGCCGGACCGGCTCCTATTCACCTCCTTGACCCTATGCGGCGCCAGCGTTTCGTTGACATCATAGTGTGTTCTTGCTGTAGTCTTGACGCGAGCGAAAGGGTCTTCCACTGCTTCGCCCCGCGCGACTGCCTCGCGTGCTAAGCGAGCGGCGCGCTTTTCTGCGAGTTGCGCTTTGCGGATGTCTTCGGCGTTCTTTTTACGGTTTTGGCGGTTCAATTCGGCCATTAAGTCTTGTTGGGAGGGCAGTGCGGGGGCTGCGACGACGGGTTTGGGATTATCGAGACTGGTGCCGTATCTGAGCCGTGGACCCGTGAGTTCAGTAAGCTCGGCGTCGCATTTGGCGACGGCGGCTTCGTCCGCGTGTTCCTCGGCTGCGCGGCGCCGATTCAAGATGGCGACCTTTTCGAAAGAAGCAGCTTTAGATGAGAGGACTCCAGAACGCTCTAACTTGTGCTGAAGCTCGTCGTCTGTGAATTGGTGGTGAATAAGGCTGTTGATATCGTCAATCTTATGGTCGAGGTACGGTCGCGAAGGAATGGGTTTGCCTTCGTTGGCAAGGTTGTTCTTGTGATTGGCGACTTCCACCTGAGTGGTTCAGTATGGCGCCGATTTGTCTACTTTATTGATGCTTACCTCGGTGACTGTTGAATTTGATATGCTGTTCATATGAAATTCTTTCTGAGTCCCCTCCACGGCAAGCATGAGATGCTGGTTGGTGACGAATCTCTTGCCACTGTTCTTCATCATCGCATACGGCCACCCTTCTTTGTCGAAGACGTCTATATGACATTAGGTATGAAAACAGACTGCTTCAATAGACTCACTCTTGATCTGCACCAATTGATAACCATTTGAGGGGATCCCAGGGGCTGATTTCTGAGGTAGGCGTACATAGCACTCTCTGATCTTCTCAGCAAATCCAGGGTGGAAACAAAACTCGGCAAGAAAATTCCGCGTCAGCGTAGTCCGGCGAAAATCGTTGAAGTCAGCTGGCTGGGCGTTCCGAAAACGTTCCTCATCTGCTTTCGACTTTCCAGTGTCCCATTCAACCTCACTCTCTCCATCGGCATCAGCACTTGGATATCGCCCATTACTGGAGCTCCGAGCCCGACGCTCCTGCGTTGCGAGAGCACCAGCCTTCCGCTGTTGCGTTTTCAAGCCCTTTTCTTCTCGCTGACGCTTGTAAGCCTCAATAGTCTTCGATGCTTCCCCGACTTTACGTCCGCCAAGCGTTGTTTTCTGTCGTGTACTCTTTCGCGGGCTCTCCTCAAGATCTGGATCAGCTTTACGCTTTGAAGGTTTGCTTTCGCCTTCCAATTTAGCTTTCAGCAAGGTACGAAGCTGTTGGTCTTGCTTCTTCCGCTCTTTGATGTGTTCACGCTCTGCTAGGATAGATTCGCGCTCGATTTCAGGTAGAGCCAACAGCTTCTTTCTGTCGCCTTCAGAAAGGAATTTGCCCTCCAGCGGAAAGGGATTATCATCAGAGAGTCCGTCTGCGGCGGCAGAAAGTTCTGAATCGGATTCAGACATAGGTGCAGATTGCAAGGAGTCTGGCGAGCCAGCATCGGATGAGCTATTAGAAAGTGTGTAAGCACAGTGTCAAGGCCAACAAAGACCCTGACATGATACTTACGCCTCGCCTTCCTCTTCCGAATCGTTTCTGCGAGACTTTTTGGTTTTGGTTGAACTGCCCCCTCGAAATGCAGGCGAGGCACGAGGTTTGCTTCCTGCAGGCTTGCTGTTTGGAGCCTGTGACACCTCAATCGAAGGGAGTGGGGAGTTAGCATTTCTATTGGTGGATGGTTGCTGTGGTATCTCTTCTTCGTCCGAGGAGTCACCACCAGCTAGGGCGAGAAGTTCGTCGTCTTCGACAGCCATGTTGAGAAAATGTGGTCAATTAGCACGCGGTGCAGTACTGAAGTGAGTGTTCTGATACAACAGAGTTCCTGCTCTGTCGTCCGAAGTGATAAGTATACCCGAAAAGCAAATGCAGTGAATCTCACAACTCAAGACATGTGTTCAGGCTGGTGTTGGTTGCTGCTGCCATAGATTAGAGTAGAGAACTCCGTCAGCGGGATGAGAATGTTCTTTGAAGCTTATAATTCACGCGGGCGGTTAGTTCTAGCGTGTCCTACCCCCCTACTCTAGGCGTGTCGGCCGGGACCTCCTGCGGCTCTGGTTGACCCCGCCTGGCAAACACAAACACGCTCCCTGTGTCCGAGGTCTCAAGCCTTTAAGAAAACAAATGTAGACTGCCTTCAATCATGAGTCGTCCGATCTTGTCACAGGTAGCGGGCTCCCTGTGCAGGTCGCCACGCTCGAAGATCATCCCTTCTTCAAACTCCTACGGCAATTTCGCCTACAGACAGACTCAATCCCAATCGCTCGCGCCACAGTTTTCGAGGATGTCTACATCAAGTAAGATCAATGTCAAGAATCCTGTTGTTGAGTTGGACGGGGATGAGATGACGCGCATCATATGGAAGGAAATCAAAGACAAATTCATACATCCCTACCTGTCAATTGATCTAAAGTATTATGATTTGGGGCTACCCTATCGCGACGAAACGAACGATCAAGTCACCATTGACGCTGCGGACGCGATCAAGAAGTATTCCGTAGGGGTGAAGTGCGCAACCATCACACCTGATGAGGCAAGAGTGAAAGAATTCAAACTGAAGCAAATGTGGCTAAGTCCCAATGGCACAATTCGAAATGCTCTTGGAGGGACCGTCTTTAGAGAACCAATCGTGATACCTAAGATACCACGACTTGTACCCGGATGGAAGAAGCCCATCATAATAGGGAGGCATGCGTTTGGCGACCAGTACAGAGCGAAAGACCTTATTGCGCCCGGGCCAGGAACGCTGGAGATGATCTATACTCCTACCAACGGCAAGGCGGAAAGAATAAAGGTCTTTGACTTTGGAGAGGGAGGTGGCGTCGCACAGACGCAATACAATACCGATGAGAGTATAGCGGGCTTCGCACACGCGAGCTTCAAGTTGGCCCTGAGCAAAAGTCTGCCCCTGTACATGAGCACCAAGAACACCATATTGAAGAAGTATGATGGGAGGTTCAAGGATATTTTCCAGGAAGTCTATGCGTCAGAGTATCAGAAGCAGTTCGAGGAAAAGAAGATATGGTATGAGCACAGGCTCATCGACGACATGGTTGCGCAGATGATGAAGTCCGCTGGCGGCTACATCATGGCTCTGAAAAATTACGACGGGGACGTCCAGTCTGATATCGTAGCCCAGGGCTTTGGGTCCTTGGGGTTGATGACGAGCGTGCTGATTACGCCTGATGGTAACACTTTTGAGTCCGAGGCCGCTCACGGCACCGTCACAAGGCATTTCAGAGAGCATCAGAAAGGCAACCCGACCTCCACCAATCCAATAGCGTCGATATTTGCGTGGACGCGAGGGCTTGTGCAGAGAGGAGAACTTGACGGCACGCCTGAGGTTGTGGCATTTGCTGAGAGTCTGGAGAAGGCATGTGTGGATACTGTTGATCAGGATGGAATTATGACAAAGGATTTGGCTATTGCTTGTGGGCAGAAAGCGTACGCAACGACCCAGGAGTACATGAATGCTGTGGAGAGAAGGATGAAGACGAATCTGAAGGAGAAGCTATGATACTAGACGAGATCTGAGGAGTATGAATGTACGAGAGATGGTGTATGATACTGTAGATTAGTATTTGGGGATGCACATATGTCAGCATGAGATGACTTTCAATAGCTTTCCGGTCTGTTCATTTCGTCTATGGAGTCATCGCTAATGCCGCTAAGCTCGCTCGATCAAGCCTCCGTATCTCTCCTTTGATGCTAGAAGCAGCGTCCTAGTCTTCATACCACATAGTGATTCGCAGCCAGTCTAGCCACCACTCATTTATCCTGCGGCTCTCCCGACTTTGGACTGATCTTCAACACCCTACACACCTTATTGATGAGTGCCTGATTCTTGATCGCGGTACCGGCCTCCAAATTCTTGATCTCCGCCACTTGTGAATTGGCCTTCTGAGCCAGTTGAGCCTGCGTCATCTTGTACGGCCCGTCCTTCGATCGACGATCTCGAATGGCGGCACCTAGTTGTGTGGAAGACTTCTGAGGAACGACGATGTCGTCTGAGCGGTCAACTTTGGTGAGATGTTGCCCTTCCACGTTCTTGCCGACCTGGTTCCCTGTTGCAAATTTCTTGTCGGTGCCAACGATAGCTCCAGTGCGTTGGGCTGCATTCAAAGCTCCCTTGCCTTTTACGACGGTTTCACGCTGAGAAGCCCCGCCGGAGGCTTTGCTGCCGATCTTGGTGACGGTATCCCACTCTGACATCCTGAGGGATGAAGAGATTGCGTTGCTTGATTGACGGTTTGATGAATAGTATTATAGAGAGGTTTGCTCTTCTTGAGAATGAGATACTTGATTTCGATCTTGGATTAATACTGGTATTGCAAGAAAGAACGATCTGAAGATCTGGAACGTTGATGATTCAGGCGACCGATAAGATAACACATTCTCGGGCTTTCTCTGTGTATTGCGTCACGCCACGCCTTAACATTTTCGTATTGCAGTAGAGCTTGTGTTGCAGTGATGGAGGATGACAGATATCACCCTGAAAGATGACACGGTGTCCAATCGCAGTACGACACCGGACTATATCGAGACCTTGACAAAATTCTCAGACTTCCTGTACGATATCTTGCCCACCAAGTATGACTTTTATGGCCTGTTATTATACGACTACCTTTTTGGCAACGGCATCTTAATAAATACTTTTCTTTCTCAGCTATCTACACTATGTTTGTCCCAGATTCTATGTATACCAACCTCTATTGCACTCCTGTACGCTCCGTGTGTTGATACTCAGCGCTTCTTGCATCAACGTAGAAGAACGCCTCCATCGAATGGAAGGGGAAATCTTGATGATATTGCGGAGCAGCAGGCTCAACCGCATTTTCTGAGACCTTTGCTATTCCCTTGTCAAACTTCTCATACAAGGCTATTTCCTAAAAAGCACTCATTTCAATACTCATATCTTCTTGTTGGCATTCCTGTTGCTTGGCGAGGCTCTGTCGGCAATATTTTGTCTGCAGACAGGCAGTGCTCAGGCGCCGACAGTCCCGATGCAAAGCGGGCTTGGTTCGAAGTGGATGGTGTAGACCATTTAGAATGGGGCGACCATGAAGATGGCCTGAAGGGGAAGCTACGTGACTATCTCAGCTCTCAGGTATAAGATTTCTACTTGGCCGAGATGTCTAAATAAGCTGAAATCATGGTAGGACGAAGATCCAGACTTGTATCCTTATGTGTACTTAGCAACGGCTCCAAAATTCCTGGGATACTTGTTCAATCCAGTATCTTTCTGGTATCTCTATGATGCACATCAAAATCTGAGGGCCATGATATTGGAAGTGAACAATACTTTCAATGAACGAAGACCATATCTTCTCAAAGGCAACCCGACTATACCCATTGAAAATGATCTTACGAAGTCCACGTCAGATCATTCTGATGGAAAAGTGCTCTTGGAGTCTAACGCAAGTCGAAGGATTTTTACCGAAACATGGCAAAAAGACTTCCATGTGTCTCCGTTCAACTCTCGAAAAGGTTCTTATTCTTTGAAAGCCACTGATCCTTTCTTTGCCTCTGAAAATCCTTCCATCAGCAATGTCATCACCCTTAGCTCATCAAAGGAACATCCGAAACTTATAGCCTCAATCAACTCCACAATGACTAGCATCGACCCTCTGAAAATGGACCTTTGGGAAGTCTTTAATTTTCTGCGGATGTGGTGGTGGGTTGGCTTCGCCACATTCCCACGAATTGTGAAAGAAGCAGGAAAGCTATTCTTCAAACGCAGGCTACATGTCTGGTACCGCCCGGAGGTCCTTTCTACGAGCATAGGTCGCAAGCCCACGATTTATGAAAAGTAAGGATACTTCCCAATGCTCTCACGAAGAGGCGCTAAAGTAGAAATAGTGCCCTCGCCCCCATTGCCGAGCACTGGCTCCGACACCTAGTCGAGGAATCCTTCCTGTCATCTTCCGTGGAATACATTCCCTTGACATCTGTTGCTCCAAGAAGCTACACCTTCACACCTAAGAACGAGACCGAGAATCCAACATCAGTAGAGACAATAACTCTGAAGCCAACGAGTCCACTCTTCTACTCCACGTTAGCAACGGCAAACAATCCGAATGATGCAATACAATCAATGCTCACATGCTCTGAGCCCTTAACATCCGTTCTCTTCACCAACAACGCAGGACACCTTCTCGGATGCTTTCGCTATCAACGCCCCATTGACCATAATGGCCACGAACAAGCTCGAAGCGTTTCAACTTTTGTCAGATTACGCTGGCTGCCAGTCGCGATGCTAAGAGGCTTCTCATTTTCTGACCTAGATTTGACTGCCATGCATAAACCGTTTACGACCGAGTCCGTCGAGTATCGAAGAGCTGCTTTCAAATTGCTGCTTGCCAAAAGGGTCGCCTTTGGACTGGTCGAAGCCGTAGATCTTGCCTTCTGGATGATGAGGAGCTTCCTCTATTGGCTGAGTTTGGAAACACTGGTTGGGCTGGTCGCCCACGGAGGACGGGGACTTTCAAGTGAGGATGCATCGTTCCTAAGTGTGAGAGTTGTAAGTTTTCTTATTTTCAAGACATTGAATCAGGTCTTTTGAGATAAAACATAAAATTCGTAAAGCAAAGCAATGGTATATCAGTTTGGACGAAACCTAGAGGTGCGAATCGACAAGTTTAAGGAGTTCTTCATTCAGTTCACAAAGCATTCATTTGGACGCTTGCAAACTACTCACACAATGCCAACAATTCTGACACTTCATCTCCCATATTTATCATCACCAACCGAATGTCTTTCAAGTTGAGATCTCATTTCATAACCTTTCAAGTGCCTCCGCAATCCTTCCATCTAATACCTTCCTTCCCACACCCATCCCTTTCACAGTCACCCCTACCACCTTCCCCAAACTCCGAATACTCACCCACTCTGGCGTCATTTTCCCCAGAATCCTTACCGCTAACGCCGCCTCCTCAGTCGAAATCGGATTCCGCAAACTCATCTGCAAATTCTGCACCAATGTCGGCATCGTAAACGACAAATTCCTCGCCCCTGCCGCTACTGCGTCGCCAAATGCCCCCAAAATCGCATCATCATTAGTCAAGCATTGTCTTTGCCCAAAAGAAAGCGCTAGACTCTCGAGCACCGGCGCTACTTCAGGTAGGCGCAGTAAAGCTCTCCTTCGCGCGAGTTGTTCGGCATTCAAGGGGACGCCGTTGTGGGATTGCTGCTCCTGCTGACGCGCGAAGATGCGACATTTCAGGGCTGCAGAGCGGGCAAATGGGTCGTTTTCGACCGCAGGCTTCGTAGGCTGAGTCTTGGTGTAGGAATCGATGCTGGTGGTGCCGGTGGACGTGTGTTTGATATTTCCTGTTGAGACTTTGAGGGCGCGAGCTTGTGCTTGTATGGCGCCGGCTTTGAGTTCTGTGAGGCGCGTTTGGCCTTTACTGCGAAGGGGCTCGAGTTTTGCTGCTGATGAGATGGGGGTGATCGGGTAAAGAGGAAAGCTAGCGAGGAAGACTTGGGGTGTTGAGGGATCGGGATTTTGAAAGGTCTGCCATTGAGAGAGCAGATTTTTCTTGAAGAGGGCGTTGAGAGATTCTTCGTCTATCAGTCTCCTTCTAGCTCTCTTCGATGCGCTTTCCGAAAGTTCCAAGCACGTCTTGCCATTGCCGTAATCCGAGAGGACGAAAGTCTTATCTGACTTGTTTGGTTGCAGAATAGTCAGCAGGCTGCGTATATCATCGATGTGGACTCGTCGTTTCTGCCATGTTCGAGAAATATTGGGGCAGAGCACGCGCAGGTCTGCGGGCGTCATTGAGCCATTGTGTGCGTAGTGCAGTGAGAGAGCGGTTAAAAAACATGAATGCAGATCAATCAATTCTGCAATTTCTTTGGTCACATCTGAGCTTGTATCTGATCCTTGTGAAGATGGTGGCGTCTCAAGCTGTTTGGCCCACGAATAGGACACTGGTTGCTTTGAGGAAGCGAAGGTGAAAGATTCGAGCAGAGACGTTGCACCTTTGGTTGGGGTTTCTTCGACATTGGCAGGGAGTCGAGCTTTCTTGCGGGGTGTTGTCGGTGGTGGTGATCGATCAGTGTCCGAAAGGCCTGCTTTTCTCTTCTTGTCATTGACGATAGGAGACTTTTCAAAGGCGTCGGTCTGAGATTCAAGCTTTCTCGTGAGCGTGCTCTTTCTTGTTTGAGCAGGTTGCGCTTTGGAAATCTTGCCAAAATGCTGGATGGAACTTTTCTCAGCAGGCGCGACTTGTCTGCTTCGTAGGGCGGTACCCATTGTGACTTCCTTCGGCGCAAAGCTGAGGAGGTTGGCACAGACTGACTCGGTCGATTGAGCAATTGGAAGGGAAACGCGTCGAGTGAAAGCCGACGCGTCGGGTAGCAAGTGAGCAATTGCCGAGGCTTGGCATCAATTAAAGATTCTCATTCTTTTAGAATCTGCAGAATTACCGATTGCATAAATCTGACCGTTGATACGGGTACACATTGTTCGTGAAGTGTCAAATTAGGGCCAAATCAGCTCGCTTGTGGCAATGTTGCCTCATCCTTTGCCCTCACTACCCGAGCACACCAACCACACCATGCCCTATCCTCATGCGCCTTCTCCCTGGCAAGGATAGCCCCACCCTTACTCTCGTCTTCCCATTCCCTGACAGTCCCACCAATGCGTTCACGCTTGCGAAACTTTTTCTTCACAACGCCCCCTAAGCCTTCGATTTCTTGCCTCCAATATCCTGCCTCCTCTTTCTCCTTCATCGGTGTGCCGGACGCTTCCTCACCGTCGCTTCCATTTCCACTACTCTCGCCATGACTACTCGCGGATCCAGGCACAGGACTTGAGGCCGAGGTTGGACATTCGAACTCCACCTCCACCTCTAGGGCGCCTTTGCAGTCAGCCCCTCGCGCACATTTGACGCCCTCGTTCCCTTCGCCAATACCTGTGCCTAGCCCGCCAAGGTACGTCGTATATCGAGTTCGCCAGGTCCAAACTCGGCGATAAGTGGTGTCTGCCTCGGCAAGCTTTGCCCCACACGGTATGCACAGGTGCACAGCACTTTCGCAAGTACAGGGGTCGCGACTAGGCCCTGATCGAGGGGCAGTCAGTTCTGGCAAAGGAGCAGTCAAGCAGATCGGACACAGGCGGCGTAGGCGACTCGGAAGGAGCGTAGTGGACGGCGGTTTGGAGGTACAATTCTGTCGAGGGTCAGCAGAGGATAGCCCAGGCGGAAAGGCTTGTCGAAGGGGCAAGGGAAATGGTTCAGCTGACTCGACAAACAATGCGGCCGCAGCGCCGACAATCGCTCACAAGATCTCGGGCGCACGAGGACACCTTGCCAGAGACGATATGGCCCGCTTCGTCGAGGATATGCCATCCTTGTGGTCCCGTTTTGGTTGACTGAATTCGGTCATTGGAGCAGCGCAGGGTCTGCTTAACGAGGCGGCTGCGGTATTGGAGGAGGTTGGCGCGGACTTGACGGCAGGTGCGTGAAAGAGCGTGCAAGGTATTGAGGTCTATATGACTAGCCAGGAGGGTGATGATGCTGTGGGAAGATTAGTGGCCACAACGGGTTTGAAACATGATGCTTGGTCAATGCAGACGGGTAGCAGCCAAGTGCCTTAGACAGAGTATTGAGGTTCGGATTCGGTCTCTCATCTGCACTCGTTCTTGCACTTGCAGAGAGATGGCTCGCAGCCTTCCGCGTTATCGAGCCACTGGCGAAACGGGAGCCTCCAGGTAGTGCAGACCCCGCGGCCTGCTCGCCCGAATGGGGAGGCTTGTCATCGGGCTCATCTTCTAAATCGACGAAGACCACCATGATGCCATGCAGATGAACAGATTGAGGAGCTGTGTGCTCACCAGAGCCACAGCGACTTGAGAGAGGCAGAAAGTTGGACGGGCGTGAAGTGCGAGGTAAAGTTTGGCCCACTGCTTTCGTCGCCACCCGCTTGGCTGAGATTCTATTAATAGGCACTACCTTAGCATCAACTATCAACCCTTCGTAAGCATAAAGCACCACCCTACCAGAACCCTCCTGCAACCATGTTGCACCAGGAGGGGCCGGAGACAGAATATTGCCATTTCCTGAGACAACAAAGTGCTCGATTGACGTCTAGAACTCCAAAGTAACGCCGTCGCTTTGCCCGTTTCCCCAAGCTTTCCAAACATCCCCTTCCGAATCCCGAGCCACACTATGCTTTACCCTTTCCTTTGTCTGACGTCTTTGATATCTCTTCGTCAACTTCTCCCTCTGTATATGTGCTAGAGCCAATATGCGGTTCCTCAAAGATCCGCGCATCATCTGAAAGGCCTTTGATCTCGTCCGTAATATTGCCAGCTTCAGCATCTACAAATGGACCTTCTGGACCACTTTCGGAAGGGTTCGCAACCTCAGTAGCATCTAACTCTCCTGTTGAATTGGTCGGATCCGTCTCGCTGCTCGTCATTCTAGCCCGCAAGCGGCCCCAGAAGTCGACGTCGTTGCTGTGGATTCCTCCGGCATGAATAGCTTTCAGGATATTGTCGATCTTCCGCTTGTTGGCCGCTTGTTTGTCTGCGTCCTGCTCGTCTTCTTCACTGCGGGTCACCTCCTGGAGGGTTTGAAGCAAGACGTTCTGCAATTGTCTTTGCGACGTTTGATGCACAAAATCACTCCGAATAGTCGGCATGGTCTGAGCAAGGTAAAAGAGCTCATCTCCGCCCTGACTCAGGAAAGCTTTAACCGCGGCTATCTTTTCCCTGTCCACAATAGCACGTTTCAATGCTGCTAGCAAAGCTGCAATGTCTCCGATCTCACCCAATGCGTCGTCGCCCTCACTCACTGCTTGGTGAGCATCAGTAAGGCTTGAGCGGTAGGTGTTGGCTCGGTCGGCACTGGAGTCTCGACTGCGATTGCGGGTCTGAGGATGGATGGTAAAATAGTCAGCGTTTAATCTGTGTGCCTCTTTAGTGCTTTTCCCGCGATGCGTATCTGTTTTGACCCTCTTTCGTAGCCATCGTCTTCTTCTAGCATACGAATGATACCAGGGATGGTTACCATGCCAGGCAAACTGGTTCCCAAAGCTGAAAGAATACTGCCACCCTTCCTCGTCTACATCGTACGACATGTCCACGTACCAATTTCGCCAATCCCACCGCCAGCTAGGATCTGGTACTTGAGCATTGGTGATGTCTACAGGGCTGTCTTGAAAGGTCGACGTTTGCCATCCCGCAGGATCGAAGTTGAGGAGAGAATTGGACGAGTATAACGGAATACCACAGAACCACCAGCCTCGTTGGTTCTCATACAGAACGTCGATGAAAGCGTCAAGTCCAGCATGAGATCTAGCAGCCTTCTTCTTCGGTCGAAAGGGAACTCTGTCTCTTAATCTTCCTGAGCGAATCGTGTCTGTTTTCGATATTCCTTTGGCGGCTGCTTCACTGCGGGGATCGTCACCGCTGACTTCTGACCCCGACACGTCTGTCTCTTTTTCTTCTTGCCATCGAGCATATTTTCTGCGAGCTAGTTCTTTCCTTAGATGACCTTTGGTCCGCTGTCCGCTGAGTGACGGTGCTCGAGGTGTCTGGTTCGATCTAGAACCATCCTGGTAGCTTCTTTCTGGGCTAGCCTTGGGTTTGGTCGAGTCAATAAGGTCTATGACATGATCATAAACGTCGTTTGGGGCGGTGTTACTGCGTTCCAACCCAAAGACAGACATGCTCGCAGGATTCAGGCGATGGCGAATTCATGATCGAGACGTCCGGCTGGCGTTCATTACCCTCGAACAACAGCTGTAGGCGAGATTTATCACATTGACAATGGCAGACTGTTTCCTCCTAGATTCCCAGAAGGGAATTGGTTTGTTCGTCAGGTGAAGTGGGGAAGTTCGGTCAGGAAATTACGCTACAGCTTTCAAATGTTACTAGCGTGACCTAGGGGCGAAAGCTGCGCGTACTTGGGACCAACGTCATACCGTTGCTGGTCTTGTTTCCAATCGAAACTCAAGCACCCTTGGTATAACTTTGCTTCTCCTCCAGTTACCTCCCATTTCAATATTCGAAAGTAGATATTATATACCCAGTCTTCCATTTTACTAAGCTTCTCGATCATTTTCCCGAACCGCTGGTTCGCTCAGTACTCCTTCTTTCGCTATTAAGATGTCTCGACGAATCATCACAGTAGGCGGTGGTGTCGCCGTGGCCGGTATTGGATACTACCTCTACCAGGGCATGTCAAAGTTTGCAATTGTCGCCAGACTGCCTGTGCTAACCCTGGGGCAGCCGGTGGAGATCCTAAGCTGGCAAAAGATGACGTGAAATGTGAGGATCGCGCCTACATTGTCAAGTCAACTGACTGAGTGCTACGTGCAGACGATGCGGAGAAAGCCAAGAGCAAGTTGAAGGGCGAGTCGCAAAACGCGCAAGGTCAAGCGGAGGAATTGGCATCCAAGACTGGAAAGAAGCTAGACTCTGCTGTGAGCGCACTCTCTAGGTATGGATCCTGGGTCCAATGCTTATGATCCATAGACGAATGATGCTCGCAGCAAAACCCGTGAATTCGACAACGAGGCCTCTAAGAAGGTCGCTGAGGCAGAGAGCAAGGCCAAGCAATTCAAACAAGACGCAAGTTCGACTTTCGACTCATCTCGGAAAGATGCATCGAAGAAGATTGACGAATTCGATAACAAGGTCGAGAAGAAGACATCGGAGGCGAAGAGTGGCATTTCGAGCTGGTTGGGCTTTGGGAAGTAAGTAAGTATCATAAGTCCTGAAAGCTAAAGCGTAGCTGCGCTGTCGGGAATATTTGCTGCTTGGGCCTGAGGCCTTGTCTGTGTTCTCGTAGTCATGTAAAGGATCCTACAAAGTCTGAAATCGAGTCGACCTAGAACCACTTGTTTACATCTTCGTTGAATATCAAACATGCTTTAAGAATGCGCATCATTTTAGATCTTTCTTGGTCTCTATGGATAGAAGATGAATGAATGTAAGTTCCAGATAGTCGTAGGCACTTCATGTCGTTGAGCAAAATATTTTGATGCCAGAGAGCTGTTCATCGTCATTCCGTGCAGTACATATACTAGTAACACAAAACCTTTCTAAGAAGTTTTCCTTCTCGTCTAATTATACAATAATTTCAGATTGGCCAATATCAAAGTGAATTTACATGCCAGTCTAGCCAAGCCCCTTGCTATGAAATGCCGAATTTCCGGGTGCAGATAAGGACAGTGTGTTAAATGAAGGATCTTTCTAGAGTCTCGTCCTGCAAGATGTTGCGACATGCTTCAATCTCAAAATGCGTCGTTCTAATATGCCAGGGCCATGCATCGGTTGAAGCCCAGCGGATTAGCCATGGGACTGGATCCATCCCTGGACGGCTGACAGACTTGGATCATCAACCAGCCAGCAATCCTTCTGCTGGTCTTTTTGCCGAAACGCATTGTAGATACGTTGGTCCGTTATATTGTTCAATTCCTGGACCTACGTTATCAGCATGCATCTCCTAATGCCGATTAAAGAAGCGCCAACAAGTGTCGTGTGATGAAGAAGCACGCTCGTAGTGCAAGAGCTGAACTGACCACTGAATAAATGTTGACGCAAAGGGCGGAAAAGTGGGGGGGGGGTTGTAGGTTTTGTATGGGGTGCTGGACATCGGAAACTTCAGGGGCTTAATCACAGACTAACCTGCATCAAGGCACTAGATACCTGCTGCATCTTAGAGTTATCGTCATTCATTGCTTTCTGCCCTTTCAAAAGTGCGTTGCGCGCATCAATCCACTTCTTCGCAGCGGCAGCTTTGAGGAAGATTCGCTGAGCTTTGAACCGGCGTGCGCTAGCATCGAGGATGATACTGCGGTCTGACATTAGCAGTGGACGAACAGCTTCCGAGGGTCTGTGCAATGTTACCGTTGCAATTGCCTCTTTGCCTGCTCGTCATTTCCAGTGGGTGGGTGCAGCATTTCCGAGGAAAATGGCTTGTTTAGCAAGGTATGAGCTTCGGATTTGGCTTGCTGGAGCGTAGTATAGCCAATCTGATTGTGTTCGCCGGGCTGAGGGCTGGCTTGAATAGAGGCAAGCTTAGTCTGGAGTGCTTCATAATCACGCAAGAGCTCGGTGACTCGAACGGCACGTGCGTTGTTCACTGCATGGCTTTAGCATTGCGTACCAGAATCGGCCGTGGGGATTCTGCAGCTGGCGCGGACGTCTTACACTTGTCTGCCATCATGATTTATTATTTGATTAGCGGACTCCCGGTCGCTGTGTGTTTCTGTTGAGGTCTGTTCTTACTTCTTGCTCATCCATAACCACGGTACCCCAGCGATGGTTTTATGCCTCCAGCCATCGAGACTCACGTTAGGGAGATATGTCATGGTGAGAGAGCGGCAGCGATTCAAGCATCATCCTCGAAACGAACTGTGATTGATTGGATCCGTTGCAGACTAAGGTACCTGACGGTTGCAGGAGCGGACCGCGAGAAGCGGCGTGGCGAATATCACCATGGCGTTCCCGAAGTAATCTGAAAACAAAGGAGAGTTGTCACTAAAGTCATCTAGCATCAGATGACAGCGTGAGCAGGGTAGACGAGCAACGAGTAACGAGCCATGACGATTCAGAGCAGCAGTGAGGTGAAAGCTGGTGAAAGTTCAGCCGATGCAGCTTTAGTCCTTCCAAGCCATTTTTGGTCGCCCGAAGGGGGAAGCTCAGCTTGCGCCACACCAAAGCTGCAACTTTTCCCTAGCGGAAGCAGCAGAAACGCTGGAGCGTTATCCCCAAATCACTTAGACCTGGCTCAATACTGCAAGGCTCGCATGGGAAGGAAAGGTTCAGAAGGCTAGAGCAACGTCGTAGGGGATGCACAGAAAGGCCAGGAACTGCTAGTGATTGGGCAATGGTGCCTGTGGCTTGCTCCCTAGAAGCTGGTTGCGGCGCAATCGACTTTCGCGCTCGCTTTGCGCGCACGAGAATAACAATATTACTATTCTTCCTGCAGGGTTGGGGATCGAGGATCTGTTGTCAGTTGTCACAATCGCTGCCGAGCCTCCTCCATGGCTTTTCTTCCTTCGTCTGAGCCTCAAGCCACACTTCTGAGGTAGGACGTGCCGGTTGGCCTATTGCCACAAAACGTTGCACATCCGGCTTGCACCTTTCAACCGTCGCACCATAGGGCAGCCAATCACCCGTGCAGATGCTTAGCCGATTTTGCAGACACGAGACGCTGTCATCCGCTTGTGAGTGAGCACACAAACATCAATCCTTTCTTATCAAGTAAAAGAAAAAGGAGTCATGAGATTTTCTGGAAGGACTTCGAACTTCGCGGCAAGACAGAGTTCAACTGCTCGTACTCACTGACATTGACTTCAATCCTTCTCCGCGATAGACTGAAGTCGTTCGTCTATCTCCTCCTCTGAAAGTATCCGAAATTGGTTTGGATCCAGGCTATCCTCCGCTCCTGGCTTTGATGCCCCTACTACGCCTACTTCGAGTTCGGTCTTCTTGAAATCAACACTGAGCACTGTACTCAACGCAGATATTCCCAATTCGACCACATCTTCCCACGTCCCTTCCGCGTAATCTTTTTTCTTCAGCTTCTTCTCCAAGTAGTTCAGCGCCTCCTGCTGCTTTGGTCCAGCTGCTGTGGCTTTGTATCCCACGAAGTACCCTGCTGGATCACATTTGTAAAGTTGAGGTCCATATTCGGAATCAACCGATATCAGTATTTGCGCCACGCCCAGTGGTCGCATGTATGCCTTTCCCATGTCAGCAATGACGGAGTGGCTTGTCTGTAGGGCGCGCGCCGTGATTTGCCACTCACTTTTTGTGTATAGACTTGATTGATATTCGCTAATCGTTTGGCCAAGACGTCGCAGGGCATCTCGTATCCGAATTTGTATTTGAATTCTGCTGCTTCTCCTTGCGCTCTTTGTGCTGACGCCCTCGCATCTGCAATTGAACCTGTCATCACACAGCCGACGGCAGGCGAGAGTCTGAAGATGTATGAAACAGATGATGGGTCGATCAGTCTATCCTATATACCCTTTGGTTCGTGATTGGCTTGCGCGACACGAGTCAGACAAGACGTACGGGGACTTTCTTTTGTGACAGCACCACCGCACAGTTCTTTCCTCTCACACCGACGGAAGTGATATTAGCTGCCGTTATGGCCTTGAAAGCATACTCTAAGCCACTCGTGAGCATTCTGTGTTAAGCAGCGTCGAGGAGTAACAGTAATGGATGATGGAAAATATCGGAACGGAGCAATCCACGAACCGACTTGATACAATCTTCCCTGATCTGAGAAGATCGTGATATGCCTGTCCATACCACTCGCTGTAATGCTCCATCAGCTCTTACACATAGTAGTTTAGAAAAGCGTTGCATACCTGCCATGTTGGACTATCAAGTATGTAGTAAGACTTGTTTGATCTGTGAAAGACGATACCAAGAATATAAAAGGAGCTCTTTCTTCAAGCCGCTCGACGTGCTATGCGTGTAAAGGTGTAATAGCTGACATACGCAGCTGCTGGTCAATGCGCGGAATTTGGTCCGCTCTCTTTCAGAGCTCTCGACCCGCACCTTCAGAACCCTCGATTATATTGCAGCGCAATTGCCTTTCCTCGTTGTAAAGCTCCCTCGTATGAGATTATGCTGCCTTACGCAAATATCTACTCCACCTTCCCGAGTGATTGGTCACTCATCTCGAAGGATCACATCCGCCTGCCTCAGTCGGGTCGTTGGGACCTCCCCAGTCTTGAGCCATGACTTTGCTAAAGCCGTCGGAAAGTTGAATGTTTTCTCTACTCGCATTGAGTCTCCTATACATATTACAAATCCGAATAATGCCTATGACAATTCGTTGAGAGCATTGGCCGATGTTGCTCTTCCGCAGGCACATCATCAGTCCTCAAGGCAGTTTCATACGACCGGCTGCACAGCAATGACCCGTGCTAAATCGGAGGATGGAGTCTCAAATTGTTTTGGTGTACCTCTTTCTCAGTCTTTAGAACGGACAACACATTGTCCTCCTACATATAGGACCTCTAGCATCATACCTACTCCTCGGGAACACTCGATAAAGGCCGAAGAATCGCAACTAGATGATAGACGATTGAGTCTTCAGAAGCTACTGGGCGATGCACAAGAAGCCTTTAACATTCTCGCGCAGGAAACCAGAAAAGAAACTAGAGATCGGCCAAGCGAAAGTACTGGAAGCATACGTCGCCGAAAGGTAGCCAGGACGAGACGCCTGAGATACAATAGTGCACCCCTATCATCTAACAGAGAACGGACCGAGGACGCTTTGACTGAGTATGTCGAGGACCTTGTCGCTTTTCCACCTCCTAGGCACCCTTGGTCAGCTGACGAAGCTTCTCCTACGGATGTACATGACAGAGCAGATATCGTCGAGCGTCTATTGCATGATACATATCTCAGACATTACCAGAATCCAAGACTTTCTAATTGTGCTTTGCGGTTCTTTTACAAGAATAAGATGTTTGATCGAGCGCAATCTCTCTTCCTGCAAATGGAAAGTCTTCGCTTGGACATTGATATAGTAACATGGAATCTAATGCTCGGTGCATATGCAAAAGATGGCAGGACACGTCGATTTACATTCTTGCTAAAGGCAATGATTCAACGGGGAGTGGCACCAAATTCCCAAACGTGGGCATTGTTCCTCGGGCTCCCACACTCCAGAGAAGCCCAAGAGAAGATTGTTGCTGAGATGCGAGCGCGGAAATTTCTGGAAAAACACTACATACAACAACAAGTCGCGCGTATCATGACCTCTTCCGAAATCACCAAACACCTTGCGCTCGGGAGAGATAGCCAGACTTTCTGCGACTACATGCGTCGCCAGTATGGAGAAGCCTGGATGTCTGATTCTGCGGGCAACACCATAATAAAAAAGATTATGGGCAATCCAAGTAGTACCATTACTGTGATCCAGGCAGTGAGGACCTTGTATGATCTTAAGCAGCAAGCATTCCTGCCTCGTCGAACGTTACAAATCTTCTACCGAGCTTGCAAGCGACTCGATAACCTAGATCTATTCTTAGAAATTCTGCATATCTTCACGATTCATTTTGGACTCGAGCCCGGGTTTCGAGAACATGAAATGCTTTTTCGTTGGGCGTGGCGTGCTCGGTCGCTCAACCTCTTCCGCACAATATGGATCTCGGCTTATCTGAACAATTTTGTACAGTCCAGCATGCGGACTCTCATGCGAAGAAGCACAGGCGAGTACAAGAGCGCTACCGACGAAACAGAACCCTTGGATTCATTCGACAAGCTCGCAGCCTGGTTTGCAACTGGCCCGGTTCCCGTAAGTTCCGAAAGAATTCTGCTCTTGAAGGGCAGTGTGGCAACAGAGCTTGGCCGTGCCACTGCTCGTGCGGACTTTTTGGACTGGGGTATCGTGCCCTTGCTGCAACAGGCCATTAGTGTAGATCGCAATTGGGCTGCTCGCGGCTTTTGGGAGTCTGCGCGAGTCCGAGCAGAGCTACTGCCAGTAAGGCCTGTCGAGGCAAGTGGAGAGATGGAATCTCATTTGGTCTCTGGATCGCCCATGTCGGAAGAGGGTATGATGACTGCACAGCAAGCATTCGAGCCGACAGTGAACGGAGGACGTACATGTGATATGGAAAGCGCTGATCTCAGTGTTAGGGTGAAAGCCTATCCAAGTCTGTCCGATGCTGAGTAGAAAGCGAAAATTGGACCTGCATATATGTGGATCAGCTTCAAGTGGCAAGGTCTATGCACGAGGATCATGTGAGACACTTGGGCAAAGGATGACGATCATGAGGGTCTTTCCACGGGACCATCTTTTGCCACCAATGAGGTCGAGTTGACTAGATTAGAGATTTGTGCGGTCCCTAAACGGCATTCACAGTGCTATGATACCCAAAGCACCTGAAAATCGAAGTACGTTTCGCAGCCCTTCAAATTTTTGTCTTATACTGCTGTGTTATGCGACTCTAAGCGATCTATCAATTATACTTGATTTTACGGCACTTATTGCTTGATGAACTTGAACAAAACGTGATCTACTTTTGTCGTTCGCGTATTTGCCTCTTTTCGTGGTGCTCATGTCATCCTGCTCTGGCCGCTTGGAGCAAGCCACTCCTCCGCGTCCACCTCCTCATAAAGCTCCTGTCGTCTTACGATGCATTCAAGAAGCGAGTGACTTCTGATCTCCTCGTCAAAAATGAACGTACATGACAGGGCTCTAGAAAGGAGGGGGGGACAGAAGTCACTTCTTGCTCGATAAATCACACCAGAATAGACTGAAGTTTTTAGCAGGTTCCTCTTGAGCTGTGCTTTGTTACATGGCATTACGGAGCACTTGCTACGCTACGATGGTCCAAAGGCGAATCCATTCGACTTCATATCAGGCCCACCTCATTGTCTGCCAATATCTGGGTTCAATTGTGGCTCTAGAGCCACCTCCCCCAATTTGCCCCTCCAGCAGAGAAGATTGTGCTAGAAAAAGGTTGAGCATGATGTACATGGAGACGGCATTTACAATGGAAAAAACATATTGACAAGACCCTTTGAATGTGGTCTTGAAATGTGTCGTTGCTGGTTGAAGATGATGAAGTAGAATGTGCTTTCGGAATACCAACAAGCAAATACACGATATTTTTATCAACTCTAGATGTCCTTTGGACCACAAGTGTACTGTCGACAATTCAACAGTCTGCTTTTTGGAGATATCGAGTGTCGCCTTGAACTTTTCACCATCCCTTGCTCTATGATGGAATTACAGCTGTTTGGATCATTTTGCCCGCTGGGTAAGATATAATCGCATGCCCCTTTGGCGGGTCGATGGTCGGACTTTCTCCATCGAGATAACGCAGATGTGTCGTGAGGCAAGTGAGCGAGTCTCAAAAGTATCTAGATGAAGGGTCGGGCGCACGCTCGAGTCTGTTCTATCCTGACCAGGAACAGCGACATCGGTGAGCGTCGGTTGTTGTAGACGATCAACAAAGCAGGGTGGCAACGAAGTAGCGGGCAATTATTGAATACTTACATCCCAAACTTTCAAAAACTGCTCTGAGATTTTTACAATATCAGTATACCTGCAGAGGTACTGTAGTAAGTTGAGGTCTGGGGAGGCCCACGAGAAACATTTCCTTTTCAAAAATACTGCTTACTCGTGTCTGGCGTTAGCGAGATTAGACGCTATCAAGGGCATTGTCACGAGTTACACAACCAAACTTGGTTCCAATATGGGTAAGACCATACGTGGGTGGTTGGAGAAAAGCAAGACAGCTTGACTAAGCGGACAGTGTATCTCTGGGCGCAGATCGCTCTACTCCACATGACAAGACGTGGAAGAGTGATCTCTCCAGCAGTGATAGCCGTGCTCTTAGTTTCCCATTGCCGGACAGGCATACGCGCAAGATTGAGAGGTGTCTTTGACGAGGGGATCACGCGGGTGGCGGGTGACGGATTGCTCTCGCTGAGCGAGGTGGATCTCACGGTTACCGTGCCCGTTTTGGCCCATCTCAGCTACCCCATCCGTACAGTGCTACTAGAAATGCAGCCTAACAGCTATCTAATCAGTAGCACATGTTCGCATTCAGGTTCTTTCGTTCGCTATTGGATATCAAGCTTTTGGCGTGATCCCAAGGATCTGCACTCATGCTTGACGCTTGCATCGCTTGAGACCCAGCATCCATAATCGGTTCTGAATGCAGAATTGAGTGCAATTATTCATGCAAGTAGCCGAGTAGATGGGGACGTGGCGTCTAGAAGGAGTGGCGTTTGGTGCCATGGGTTTGCTGTGCCATTCAGAGCCTTGGACAGATCCAGATACTCGCACAAACCCTGCACACCGCTGCAGTGTCCAATGATCCGCATTGATCTAAAAAACGGGTTATCAAAAGCCTCCCCATCTTCTCTAAACCCTCGAATGTAGAGCGAGGATCATCACAAGCGGTGGCAATCTTGTATCTCCGCCCATGCCTGCCAGCGGTTTTCCCACCCTTTATCGATCTGTCGTAACCTCAAGTGACCGATGTGAGGATTCGTGGTGCTGCCAAAATGCCTATCTGTAATGCTTGACACGAAGGGTCTCATGTCTGTGATAGCAGTAAAGCTGTGAGTATAGCATTTGTTGCCCCAATTTCTGCCAGTCCAGATGTAAGCTGGGCGCGAGTAAGGGAATTTGACCCGTCAAAAGGGGTTGAGATTGGAGGATAGACCCGTGTATTACCCAGTGTGATAGATCCTTGACTTGCGTGATCTCAAACATCATTCGTTAATCGATGTTCCTTACTCGAGGCATCCTACATCAGATCATGCAGGGCCGATTGCTGACATGGCAGCCTTCTGCCGTCCCTCTGCTGTACATTCCTGCCTCAAACGTTCGGTTAGACAAGTAATTCAAGCAATTCAAGCAATTCCAAGAGGACGGAAGCGCGGCTTCATGCATGCAGCCAGCACACTTCGCTTTCTAATGGGGCGAGGTGAGACATCTGCCCCAAATTCTGTGTGCAATAGGGGCTGCGTGATTCCAGGGTCCAGAAAGCCCAATACTTGCGAGATCTAAGTCTCCGTGATCGACAAGCTTCTTTGATAATTGAGACATGGTCACCACTTGGTCAGGCATGGTGCAGAAATCGAGACGCCAGGGAGGCATCCAAGGCTGCAAACGATAAGTAATGCATGACGGGAAAGTGTCGGACATGGTTAGGTGCCGAAAGGCGGAGATGTCATCCTTCGAAAGTGCGAAAAGTCGCAAGTTCAAGTAGTGAGCGTGTAGATAAAGAAAATGAAGCACTCTTTCAGCCTTGGGGTCGGCAGTCTTCCATTGAGACCAAGAGCGGTAGCCATGGCTTACCCACTATCTGTCACTCGTTAATTTGAACTTGTTTGTGTTCCTCCACTCTAGTGATGGCATCAACGTGGTCTTTACATAAGAGATTCATGACCTGCCCATGACTCCTTCAGACCCAAGAGAAGTTCGCTCATTCGTATGCTTAGCCGTGGGCTATACCCTCTTCGCCAGAGCGCCTTTCCGCAATCTAAGAAACCCACCCGTCACGTCCATTCAATAACAAAAGGAAGACATCTCTCCAGAGGACGCCTCTATGCCTTAGCGCTGCGGCCGGCCCGGTAGCGGCCCCTTTTATTTCAACCTCCTCTATTGCCTTTTTGGGCTGAACTGGCACCACCACGCCACTCCAGTCCACATTCACTACGAAAGGTCCCCGAGCCGTTCCCGCATCGGGTCAGATGGGTGTCGTCGTTCCACTGCGGATTGCATGGACCAAGCTTTGAACAGTATTATCTAGATTATGCCACACCTGCTCCAGGTGCTCTAGATCCCCAATACCTTTACCACGATCGTTGATGCCAAAGTCGTCAAAAGCATCATCATTCGTGCCATTAAGCTGGTACATAGACATTGATCGTCTCATCGCAGTCGGGTCCATGGTCCTTTTCGCTTTCAAGCTATCAATTCTTTCCTTGAGACGAACTAAAGTATATCTGATTCTGTCAAGCGTTCGGGATAAGAGAAGATCAGTAACGGCTGTCCTCTCGTCCCCTGTGATTTCGTAGATGCCGATGGTTGACCTGATGTCGTCATGGCTTAAGCTGTGAGTACTGAGGACGGGGCTGGCTTGCCCGGAAAAGGTAGGTGAGAAAGTTGTACCGGGAGAGGAAGCGCCGCTTAGTGGCATCGGGTTGCGGCTCTCGACCACAAGAGCCTGAAGGCGTCGGAGAATCGATCGTATGCTCATAGCAGACATGAGGAGTACCTCCTGGTTATGATCCGTCTTGCAGGTGCGGCATTCGATGACACTCTTCCAGGGGACCAGAGCCTGCTGTGCCCCAACGAGGACGACATCAATACGAGGCATGATATGCTTCTGCTCTAACTCCTTGAGCCGACAGATCAAATCAGCGTGATTTTCCAGACAATGGCAAGCGCTCGAAGCCGTAGACACACCCGATTCTGAAGACTGATAATGACTTATGTCGTTTGGAATTGTGAGCTCCGTTTCTCTGTCGCTCGACCTTCGAGACGATACAGATGGTGATAGATAGGCTGTGCCGTTGTATGACGAAGGCTGAGACATCGCGCTGGCCCAATGTCCTACAGCATCAAACGGCGGAGACATGCTCAAGTCACCCTTGCCATATGAAGATTGGGGATGACAGTTGTGTATCTATCAAGATCAGGAAAATGAATCTCGACAGGCGCTCTAACGACTGCACGGCGGATATGCAGAAACTTCAATGGTGCGATCAACGTACCTTAAGAGGCGACGCAGCGTCTCCGGGTCCTGGAATACCCGCAAGACCGTCTAGGTCACACCAAGTATCAATAGGATCAGTGAACTGCATTGTTCCGTGTTCTGGCTGGAATGACGTTGACAAGGGATATGAGAAATCTGAATTGTTGTCCAGCATCGTTTGGATGGAGATGTCATCCGAAAATGTAGGCGTCGTGCTGATTGGGCTCCCCAGGCACGAAGAGTTATGACTAGGCATCGAGATAGGGTTCGACATTTGGTAGTTGGATGCTTGCTCCTTTTCGTGTTCGGCATTCTGACGGTTGAGACGCTCTATCGTTCGTTTGTTCTTGGTACCCTTTGGTCGCCCTATTCGGTTCGAAACGCTATATGAGCAATCATACCCCGAATCACGACAACCATCGCACGGACGTCCACCAGAGCATTTCATTTTAGCTTGGTGGCAGACGTCACAAGCGGTGCGAAGTTTCTTGGGCTTCTGGCTCTGTGGCTGATCCATGATGGCAGTGGAGGAATCGAGGAAGATGCTTGGTACGACAACGAGCTGTTGACGAGGTAGGAAAAGATGTATGGTCTGACCGGAGCGAGTGGCTGAAACACCTTCACCACGAGGAAATCCGCACGCAGCCTTTCAGGACAGGGAAGCTGAGAAGCTTTATCACACAGGAGTCGATGACATGAACGCCTAAACAGCCGTCAAGAGATCGACACCAGTACGCATTGAATACCTACAACGTGGTCAGAAATGGCGCGCATTTGCGCATGGACTTGGTGAGAACGGGCCCGCCGTATAGAGCCCTTGTGTGCATCAACGGTAGCATCCCGCGCCCCTCTCCTGTGCCGTTGAACAGCACAGTGAGGGCAGCTTGAAGGAGCTCAAGTGGCTCCACATCAGACAGGCAGTTGGCTTCACTCCATGAAGTCTCCTATCGGGGCTATCTCAAGGTACATTGTGGGGGTGTGTGCGTGTCGACTAGGATAAGGCTCGAAGGCCATGGCAGCCAATGGCCTACGGCACGCGGTTTGTCGGCCAGCTACTACCCTTCCGAGTCCACCGGGAGCGGAGCGTCAGCACTTTGCCTTCTTCGGCCATCTTTAACGACTCCTGCTAATCTCACAGAGCTGCGTCCACGATCCTGAATATCAAATTCCGAAACGACCAATCAGGTAATCTTTGCGTAAGATTTAGGCCTACGCAGGCTTCGCCGAGAAAGACGAGAGGTTACATCGCCATTGGATATTTGACAAGCGCGGCATCCTTAGAAAGTAAGCTCATTCTGACAAGCCGCACCTCGCTCACGATGGATGTCTGGGTCTTGGCTGTGGCTGTCGACGAAGCCTTAGAAATCGGGATAAGGTACGCTTCGGGATTAAATATGAACCTTTTATCCTACCTCTGGCATTCGGTCATTTGCAAGAAGTCCACAGACTTGTATGCATTGGAAACCTCCTACGCATGGCTCCATAAGGTGAGGACGCCCTAAGCACGATCTACCGGCGAGCAATCCCAGCGCGTGGTCGGAAGTGCTTTGGCTTCTGCGGTTGCATTAGGCTCGCAGCAGTTGGTGCAGCGACCACGTCAGCTACGTCCTTCGTGGAAAAGTGTATTCTAGGAAATGTTGATGGAAGCCATGTCCACGACCTGCTCATGGATTTTCATGGTGAGACGGCGCTCATGTTGATGTTGATCACATGGAGATTTACACGCCTTTACAGCATACCCGGATCATATGCGATCGAGGTGGCACAGCAACTAGACATTGCTGGCATGGCTGTTGAAGCCACCGCTAAAGAGTGAGAAATAATCAAGGAGATGAACAAGTTGCCGGCAAGTAAAGGCTGTCAGATTCTCGATCATAGATCCAGGCTGGTATGGCCATCAGGGGCCACGAATAAATTGACGCAATCTGCAGCGTTCTCACGAGTCACGACCCTTCCTACCTTTGTCAGATCTGGACTAAGCTTGGAACGCGATTGTTCTCAGGGCTGCCAAAGTAGCGGCTTCGCAACATAAGGTAGTCTCTCAGCATTGTGGGGGCTTCTCGAGAGCCAGCACGGGGAGGAGCATGGCGCCTCTGTCTAGAGCTGATTGGTAGGGGGCTTCTGTGCCAGATAATGAGAGGACGAGGACTCTTTGTCAGCCGGCGATCCATTGGAAACGCTGCTCCTGTAGTACGTGGATCAGCCTAGTTCAAGAGGTGTCCGGGGACTTCTTTTGAGTTCTGCCTGCAGGACTACTGCAGATAGAAGTGCCTGGGTTACATGTTTCACAATAGCCTCCTCATACCTGACGGCTCGCAGAAGTCTATCCTCTGGGGAAAGCTGGAAGGGTCCTCTCGTCCTCGACGACTGCTTCCCTAATCCAATACCCGTGCAAGGAAAGCAGAGGCGGGAGGCCTAAGGGAATTCTAGATCAATTATTAGTGCCATTACCAAGCCAAGCCGTAATCCGTTCCGCAACGATCTACGCAGCTACGTCGCAATCCCAGCTAGGGTAGTTCTAGCTTGCACCCTGGTGTGTGCTGTCGCCTGGAGTGTTCGACGTCAAAACATGAGGCCATCCTCGGCCAGAACGACTGGTCCAAGCGAACTTTGTCGGCGATTGAGAATTGCGAGTCAAGCGTGCAAGCTAGGGCTAATCACTCGCGTATATTACTACTAATAAACTTCCGATGCGTGATGTCAAGCATCGCGGGTGCCTCCAGCACGGCAGAAGGCGCTCCAAAAAAAAAAGCTTGATACACGTCCCTGTCGTTCGATGCTGCCTACTTCCTTCGGCTGGCTGCTCCACAATCCACTCGAGCCGCTGTTGCATGCATACAATCAACCTGCTAGCTGCTGACTGCCCTCTAGCCGCATGTTGGCGACCGCTGCGATACCCGAAGTTAAACAGTTCCCCGCATCGGAGATCGAAGCATTCCGGATCGGCAAAGGTGTAGGCTGGCAACAGTACTACGGGGATGAAGCTGAGATGACTCCGTCTCACAGCCCAGGCAGAGCTGACAGCTGTCTATGAACATGGTTGATATTCCTACTGCTGAAGGCTGTGGTGGTGGAAAAGTGTCCACAAAATTTGGGATGAACGAGTGTGAGACTTCATCCAACGAGCCTTACGTGAGATGCAGGTGTTGGCGATCGATCTTGAATGATTGAACCCCAACTCGTTCCAGGACGCAATTGTTGACAGGCATATCGACAAGAAAAGGAGCGGTCAAGAAGAGGGTGTCCGCATGCTGGTAATGCCATGCAACGGAGAATGCGGAGACGTCCCTCCTTAAGTAAGTGAAAGAGGCTGTCAAGGTACATGCTACTGGCGACTTCATTCAAGAAAGTCATTCCAAGACACGGCTTGTTTCCAGACAAGATGCCGAAACAATCGTAGCTTTTGCAACTGATGCATCCTAGGCGGATGCTGTATCGCTTTCACTACATGCGCCCATTTTCATCTCTATACTCTCCTATGCAAGCGACGTCCTACTTTGTAAGGTAGACGACTATCGAGCAATATATGCAACGCCAGTCATGTTCCTACGGTCGAGTAGAAAGCAATGGCTGTTTCGGTAAGTGTCTTAACGCATTATGTCTTTACACTCTGCGAAGTTTTCTACTATGCACGCCTTCTTGGTTTCCTTATCCCGGTAGCTTATCCCTGCCATTTCTGAACGCACGGATTCTTTCAGGCGAATTGAGAATAGCAATCACGGACTTCAAGAAGCATCGAATAATGGCCTTGGATTGTGGAGTCTGCATGGTCTCAATGGGGCAATTCCTGAATGTGTTGCATCTGCTCGTCTACCGTACAGAGATCTGGTGATCTCTACTCCGTAGACGGCGACCATCAGTCTCGGTGAGTTTCACAGTGGATTACCTTTATGGTAGCGCCCCAAGGGACTTGTACATTATCGTTCCTTGCTCGGGAAAGGGAAAAGCCAGACAAGTGCGAAAGACTTGAGGTCAAGAGGCAGGGCTGTTAACGCAGCTCTACGAATGCGCCTTATCCGCGCGCGAGGCACATCTCACCACACGTTACGGCAGCGACAGAAGGTCGCTTATCGAGTACTCGCTACTGAGGAGAGAACCCCCACCCCCTTCGCCGGTTGTAGGCGTCGCTTTCATAGCAGTTCACGCGCGGTAGTCGGTTCTGCCTGCAAGGGACAGTGGGGTCAGCAGGACCCCGAGTGGGTGGGAGCGAATGGAAGAGACCCTGCCGATTTGGTGGTGAGGACAAGGGAGGCCGATTGGAAGCCAAGCGCCGACTATGATGGGCAGTCGAGGGAATTCCCAAATGAGCAAAGATGCGCGAAAAGGGAAGGTCTATGCGAGCATAGCCAATCAGGAAAGACTTCTTCCTGCTCGTTTTTCCCCCATTCTTATCCTCCTTCCTCCCTGACGTCACCCTTGGCCGCACGCTGTCGGCCTCCCCTCAGGCTGCAGTGGGGAGTTTGCTTCCAGCAAGGTGGACTATTGCTATGAAATCACGAACAAGTCTGTCTCGTATAGTAGACTGTCGGTGAATCAGTCGGCCATTTCTCCATAACTTTACCGGACCTGCATCAAGCCTCAACATTGATCGCTTCCATGATTCGCATCGTTCTCCGTAACATTTCTTTATGTTTTGAACCCTCCGAGTGGTCATGTTCATGTACTTTCCCAAGCTTCTGGACGCATTTTCACAGTAGCGATGGTGGATTGGGGGAGATCGTCTGCCAGAGAATGTCCAGGCTCTCCAGGATGAGAGATCGTCGTCTCATAGGTCGTTCTTGAACAAGGTCGATGTCTGAAAATTTCCCTAATGCGTACTGCCTCACCAATGGCACTCCATCGATCAGCCACTGCTAATATGAATCTCCCCATCCCCTTTGAAACACCGATTATACAGGTCGATGGGTGGTTTCCGATCATTTGAGATCACTTGTTGTTGATAGAGCAACACTGTACCTTCGTAGAAAAGATCTGATTTCCCATCAAGTCAGTAACTAAGTAAAACCTGCATAAACTAGTATTCTGACCCTTGTCTTGCCTCTACTCAAAGCGAGTGGCCAACTTCCGTCTGTGGTTGTGCCGTATGATTGTAATTTCTAGGAAATCCCATTTACATGCTGTACCAGCGATATCAAGATTCAATTGAACAGAGACAGCTCTCATCACTGGCGAATGCCAAAGAAGCGAAGGAGTCAGTCTTCACCGGGTGGTCTATACCAATTCACCTGGTCACTTCGAGATTAAAACCGCGAAAGAGCACCCAACGATGTGAGGCCTGATCCTGGTGAGCAACATCGGACTAAGTATAGGACATCTAGAAACGGAAAGAGTCGAAACCTCTTCGATGCACCGGGCGAATACTCCTCATGAACAGCCCGCCACGTTCCCGAAAAGCCGACCCAAACAAATAAGAATCATCTTTCAAGACCGTATGGAACAAGTGGAACATGCTGTACACAGAATGCCTATTGTCAGGCACTCAGCAGTATAAAGCTCGTTCAGAAGCTTGGAGGCGATACTGTGAACAATCATGACTTTACCCATCTCGATCAATAATCTCATCGTCCGAGAACAAGATGTGTTCAAGTCAAAAATGCATCGAAGCGACAGGTCGCCGCGATGGATTCTTAGAGAGTCGTTGAGAATGATCTAAGCAACATCAATAGAAGGACTTACCAAGTAGCAGGGCATCTTCGGACCGCCCTTGGTTGAGATGGACACCGGTCCAATCGTTATCTAGCGATACTCGTGGACATATGCACCAGCCCGGGATCATTGATTCGCAGACGATGTTCGCGGAGCATGCAAAGACACCCCGCCAACGGATGTATGTCACAGCCGAATGCAATACAAGACGTCATCATGTGTACTGGTATAGCGCAAATGTTCAAAGCTCAAGGAACATACATCAAAGAAAGGGGAGTGGCTGATTCAAACAATCCAAAGGAACAACAATTGGGTCCACACATCTACGGCGACGACTGAATAAAAACGAAGACACATCAGTAGCATCGCCTGACAAATGCATATCATCATCGTAGGCGCAGGCATCGCCGGCCTCAGCGCAGCGGTAGCGTTGCGTCAAGGCGGCCACAGAGTCGAGGTACACCATCTCCCTCCGAGCCTTATCAACATCTCCCAGAATTGGGATCCCCGACGCTTATGCTCACTCACCTTCCTGACGTTAGATCTTCGAAAAATCCGCCTTCGCAGCCGAAATCGGCGCCGCCCTAGCTCTTGCTCCAAATGGCGTCCACGTCCTCAACAGCCTGAACTTCTCCCTTCGCCGTGCTCGCGCAACGCGACTATTACTCTGGCAGGTCACCCACGGGTCGAACCTAGAGCCCATCTCCGTCATCGATTTCAACGACGCTGAGGAGCGCTTCGGTGCGCCTTTGATGGCTGTGCATCGTGTGGACTTACATAAGGAGCTATTGCGACTAGCACTGGACGAGAATGAGAGCAATAGGCCTGCTGCGCTGCATTTGGGAATGCCGATTGTCAAGGTGAGTCCGGAGGAAGGGTGGGTGGAGACGAAGGATGGGCAAAGGCACCAAGCGGACCTGGTGGTAGCAGCCGACGGAGTGCATTCGGTTATTAGGCGTGCGGCCCTGGGAAGGGAGAATGATGCAAGGTACTCGGGGAAGAGTGCCTTTAGGTTTTTGGCCGACACAAAGACTTTGAGAGAAGACGAAGGGATTCGCAGATTGATTGATGAGTGGAAGCCGCCCGGAGCTACCATATTTGCGGATACGGCGAATCCTGATGTCGAGAGACACATGGTGTGGTATGACTGTCAGGGGTGGGTCTCTGGAACCTCTTTGAAGACAAAAGCTGACACCAACAAGTGGGGAGGTTCAAAATTTTGTCGGCATCCATGAGCCTGCGAGACAGGATGCCATAGCTTCAGCAGATGGTAAGGAAAGGCAAGCCTTCTCGAATCATCGATGAACTAAGCCCCTTGCCAGATCAAAGAGGAAGAATGATTCAAGAGTTCAGCCACTACCACCCTGATCTGGTAAGAATCATAAGGTATTTGTGCCATAGCCCTCCCTTTCTTGCCGCTGACAATCTAAGACTGGCGAATGAGATCAAATGCTGGCCAATATTTTCCCACGAACCCTTATCGCAGTGGAGCTACGGCAAAGTCTTGCTGATTGGAGACTCTGCTCACGCAGTAAGGACTATCCTGCGGCAAGCAACCTCAAGTAACCAACATGATCTTAGATGCTTCCATTCGGCGGGCAAGGATCAAACCAGGCATTGGAAGATGCAGGTGCTCTCGGATATCTGCTTAGAGGAGTCGATGATGCATCGAAAATGCAACAGCGACTTAAATTCTTTGAAGAGGTTCGCATAAATAGAGCCTCACGCACCCAGACTATGTCGAAGGTCAGTGTGGGGAATGAGCTGAAGGTTTTTGATCAAGTCAAGAAATTTGCCAATGACAATCAGAGTATGTATCTTTGCGTCCTTTTTTGGACAAGTTATCGAGCTGATATTGGCAAGATGTCCCTGTTTCTTTCTCAGACCGAATTGAGCATGATTTTGGGTAGATTTCTTTCAGCCGTCGTTGCAACTCATTTGGCTGACGGAAACCCAGATATAACGTTCTCAAAGATTGCGAGCGGGTTCTGCAGACGAACAACAGGTAGTTAGACTGCTCACTAAAGCAGCTCGATGGCAAGAGACCTAGAATTGTATAGAGCCTTGCAAAAGTAGAAGCCTTACTTTTTATGGATTTTGCTCCCTTTCAACGCTTTCCTTGAGGATTTAGAGTGCTACAAAGACACTGACAGGAGCCTTATCATTCTTTACAGGTAATGCTGAAGTCTGTCATACAGAACCACTGAGTATCAAGAGACAAAGAAGACAACACCGGTCAAGAGGTTAATGGAGTAGATTGTTGGCCGTAGATTGTCATTCAATTTCCTCTATGTTAAAGCTGAATTTTGGGGTATCATTGTTGAAGACGTCTAGAATGCATACGAGGCAAGGAAGTTAAGTACGAACACTGCTGTAGTGATTCCACCACAATCGTAAGATGCCTCTAGAAAAGCCCATCGATTTCACCAGTCTCTGGATCGACGTCAACGTTAAGATAGCCTGGGGCGGTGGGTAGACCTGGTATCGTCTGTATGTCTGCTGCAAGAGCGTACCTGGATTTGTCAGCTTAGTATCGTTTATTGGAAAGCTCCACTCACAAATAGCCGGCTCCGACAGCCAAGCGTACGTCCCGTATTGGTACTGTAAAGCCCGTAGGCGCCCCCTTGAGGTTCGGATCGTGGCTCAATGAATACTGTGTCTTTGCAATACAGATAGGCAGATTGCCGAACCCTTGCTTTTCGTACGTATCGACCTTCTTCTGCGCTAGGTCGCTGAATTCGACCTTCTCTGCACCATACATTTCTTTGCCAATTTTCCCAATCCGCTCTTGGACGCTTCCACTCGTATCGTAGAGCAATTTGAAGTTCTTGTCTTTTTCACTTGCTGCAATGACTCCTTTGGCCAGGTCTAGGGCACCCTTGCCGCCCTCTGCCCAGTGATTCGATAGGATGGCATCGGTGGCACCAGCTGCCAGTGCTTCTTCTTTGACGACAGCAATTTCCGCGTCTGTGTCCGTCTCGAACTTATTGATTGCGACCACAACAGGTACGCCATAAAACTTGGCATTTTGAACATGCTTCTTCATGTTGACGCTGCCCTTTCGTAATATATCAATATTTTCTGTCCGGTAAACCTCGTCCAAGGCTCCGCCGGGAGTGATTGGAGGACCACCTCCGTGAACCTTGAGTGCTCGTACTGTAGCAACCACCACCACAACATCCGGTATCAGGCCAGAGGAGCGACATTTGATATTGAAGAAACGTTCACCACCCATTGTAAAATCAAAACCGGCTTCTGTGACGACAAAGCCGGTTGTCTCGTTGTGATCCTCGTCGGGTTCCGTGCCAGCGAGCTTGAGCGCCACCTTGTCTGCGAGGATGGAGCTGTTCCCAATACTAATATTCGCGAAAGGTCCAGCATGCACAAATACAGGCGTGCCTTCCAATGTCTGCATGAGATTGGGTTTAATAGCATCTTTCATCAGAGCAGTTAGGGCACCACCAGCCCCAATGTCATCGCAAGTCACAGGCTCTCCTCTCTTCGATGAAGCTACAACCATCCGACCAAGGCGTTCTCGCATGTCAGCTAAGTCGTTGCTTAGAGCCAGGACTGCCATGCATTCGCTCGCCACGGAAATGTCAAAAGCAGTATCTCTCGTCAGACCCTTTTCCGTTGGTGCTTTTCCTATCGTGATGCCCCTCAGATGCCTGTCATTAACGTCTACAACCCTTCGCCACGTGAGGGTTTCGGGATCGATGTCCAGTCGCGCAAACCTATTGATTTCGTCGTCTGTAAGCTCGTCTGGGTTTGACTTGTCTATGCCTAGCTTCTTCAATCGACGGAGCATGACGGGTTTAAATTCTCGCTTGCCCTTCTTAGCAGGCACTAGGCGTTTATATAGAGCTCCATCCGGTGATGTAGCTTCATGAAACATTCTTGTATCAATGGCCGCAGCCAGAAGATTGTTTGCAGCAGATATCGCGTGTATGTCGCCTGTCAGATGAAGATTGAATTCATCCATAGGGATCACTTGACTAAAGCCACCTCCAGCTGCGCCACCCTTGATGCCAAAAGTTGGACCTTGACTTGGTTGCCTCACATTTGCAAATGCAACTCTGTCAAGATGTCCTGCAAGTGCTTGCGCCAGACCTACTGTTGTTGTAGACTTGCCTTCGCCTAATGGTGTCGGTGTGATGCCAGACATGAGCACATAACGCCCATCCCTTCTGTGGCCAAGCCTTTTTAAAATGGAAAGATCTACTTTTGCCTTGGTTGACCCGTATGGTTCAAGCTCATGACCGGCTAGACCGACTTCGCGAGCTACAGTAGTGATCGGCTTTGGCCTTTGAGCGCGGGATATTGCAATGTCTGAAGGGACTGGGCTGGTAATCTTCAATGGCAAGGGATTGATATGCCGAGTTTTTTGACGTTCGACATGCGCAGTGGTAGCTTCAACGACATTTTCAAGCAGCATTGCAACGGTCATCGGTCCAACACCGCCAGGAACAGGTGTGATTTTGGACGCAACTTCAGCAATTGACTCGAAATCCAAGTCACCAACGAGACGTTGGCCTGATTTCTTCGTCTCATCTGGGATGTAGTTTGTCCCAACATCAATGACGACAGCACCTGGTTTGATCCAGTCACCTTTCACGAAATGAGGCTTCCCAATGGCAACCACTAGGACGTCTGCCCGCTTCAAATGCTCTTGAAGATTCTCTGTTCGCGAGTGGCAGACTGTGACAGTAGCGTCCGCATTGCGTAGGAGGGCGCTGACTGGGTTGCCAACAATATCACTCCTTCCCAATACCACTGCGTTTTTACCCTTCAAGTCTACCCCACTCTCTTGTAGCAGTACCATTACTCCTTTCGGTGTACAGGGTATAAACAAGGGTTTCCCACCTCGTTTCGAAAGTTCTCCTATGTTTGTGGTGCCGAAGCCGTCCACGTCCTTCTCCTCAGCAACTGCTGAGGTAATAGTATGCTCTGACATGTGCTTAGGCAACGGCAATTGTACGAGTATACCATGAACTGCGGGATCATGATTGAACGCGGTGATTTCTTGTAAGAGCTCGGCCTCAGTAATGCTTTCATCCAGAGATATCTTGTCACAAATAATATTTGCCTCTCTCGCAGCATTCTCTTTCATGCGTACGTAGGTACTGGAGTCTTGACGGCTTCCAACCTGCACGATCTTGAGGCATGGCTTGTAGCGAGGATTCGTCTCTTGCTTGTCTTTAATCTGAGCATTGATCTTTTCCCGTATTGATTTTGCAATGGCAGTGCCATCAATTTTTTCTGCCGCCATGTTTCGAGAAGTAATGGAGAAGTTTCTTCGGAGAAAGGTCAATTGATATGGCGAATTCAACTTATTGTGTATAGAAGCAAGCCTTGAAAGAGGCACTGTGATGCTTGGAGGGGCTCTATGGATCGACGGAGAACCGTAAGTGCGGAGGCGCCTCAGGGTCCTACCGATGTGATCTGACCTGCGGCAGACGCAGAATTCAACTCGGTTGATCTCGTGACCAATGCGCCGGCATGGTACCATAATATGATTTTGTTAGCAAGCACTGCGACTGATCAAGCATTCCCTGTCACAGCAAGCGAGACAGGGAGGCAGATATCGAGTCGTTGTCTCGTTAGAAAAGCGGTCAAAAATCAAATCATTTCTGAGCTCTTGGGTGTTCCGGGGAGAGGGTCCCCTAACGCGCCCCGAGAAGCGGCCCGCATGCGCCCGCTTCAAGGTATGAGGTTAGGTGACTCATGGGTCGAGGGGGTGGCTGAAGCCGCACAGTGCGAAAAAAAACCTACGATAAATTCATGTGCACATTCAACTTGACATTCACAATTCACAAAGATGAGACCTATATTACTTCAAGGCCATGTAAGTCTCCTAAAGAAGCGCTCTTGTAGTTTCAAGGCTGACAATCTCCCCAGGAACGGTCTTTGACGCAAATAAAGTACGTGAGCACCTGGAATCAAATACTGCAGACCTCCTCTCAATTCATTGTACTAAGTGCGAGTGCTGCAACTACAGATACACCAGAGACGGCGACATCCTCTTCTCATGTGCTAAAGATCAAATCATATGCGCCTGGTTCTCTGCGAACGGTGAGCGCCTCGGCACCTATCATGGTCATCAAGGTGCCCTTTGGACGATCGATGTCGACCCCACAACAACCCTCCTTGCTTCAGGCGCTGCAGACAACACAGTCCGACTTTGGGACATACGGACAGGCAAATGCGTCAAAGTCTGGGACTTCAACACCGCGGTGAAGAGGGTAGAATTCAACGAGGATGGGACGAAGCTGCTGGCGGTGACAGAGAAGCGTATGGGCTACTTAGGCACTATCGTGGTCCTGGACATCATTCAAGACGTGAATGCAGAGCAGAGTGACGAAAAAGCCCTTACGATCACTTGCGAGGAGAGTAAAGCCACGGTCGCGGCGTGGAGCTATCTCTCCAAGTACATCATTGCCGGGCATGAAGATGGCACAGTATCGCAGTATGATGCAAAGGTATTCCTCCAACCTCAACATACTCCCACTCCGCAAGAGAAAATATCGCTGATCAGCCTAGAACGGCGAACTCCTCGACAACTTCGCAGCCCACACCCCCGACTCCACCATTCAGGACCTCCAAATGTCGCCCGACAGGACCTACTTCATCACAGCTGGCAAAGACAAAACCGCCAAACTTATCTCCTCCCGTGATCTTTCCCCACTCAAAGCATACACCAGCGACACTTCCCTCAATTCTGCTGCCTTGACTCCCAAGAAACCATTCGTGATTCTAGGCGGCGGGCAAGCGGCTATGGACGTTACCACCACAAGCTCACGGCAGGGCAAGTTCGAGGCTAGATTCTATCACAAGATTTTCGAAGACGAGATTGGGAGGGTGAAAGGGCATTTTGGGCCGCTGAATACCGTGGCGGTGGATCCGCTGGGAAGAGGGTATGCGAGTGGTGGAGAGGATGGTTATGTGAGGGTGCATCATTTCGAGGGGGCGTATTGGGGATTCCAGTATGAGGTTGAAAGGGAAAAGGGAGAGGAGGGACAGGATTTATGATGGAAGCTATGAGGACTTGTTGAGATGAATCGTAGACGGTGAATGGTATGTCTATCAGCGAACATATGTCGTCATGTAGCTTGAGACTATTCAAAGATCTCTAACTATCCAGATGTCAAAGTAAGAATTCTCCTCCTTGCTTTGAAGCCGGTAGTCACTGCGTTTGCAGAAAGGGAATCCATCAGATCGAATAGTCAATCGTATCACCAAGCCCAAGTGATCTTTCACCGAGCGCAAAAATCGTCTAAGACGTTTTTGCCTTATCAGTCACCAGGTCAAGATCGCCCTCATCGCTGCCATCATCTCATCAAAACCAGTACTCGACGCAACAAACGCAAACGCAGCTTTCATCCAACCACCAACCCTTTATCTCCGTAAATAACAAAACACCAATTCGCATCTATAGCCCAAAAAAGCCCTAGACGTCCAGAAGGCCTTCTCAAACGCGGTCTCGCCGTGAAGAGGGAATCCTTCAGGATGAAGAAGCGATTAAACCTAAGGCAACTCACTTTCTGCGCCGCGCTTGGCGTCGCCTGGTCCGCTTCAGGATCTGTCTCAAAATCAACCTCCTTTCACCCACCACGACCATTGATTACCTTATTCACCATTTGCAGTGCGTAATAAGGTAGGATATACGCCCGGCGCAGATCGTCGAGACTGCTGGACGCCGAGGCCGAGCACCGAGGGTTTTGGGAGGAGTGGAGAGTGGTACGCCAGCGTAGTCAGTTTCACTTGGTGGCATGTGCACAGCGACGCCATGTACGCTTGATGTGAGTAATACGGGTCTAGCCCTGTAGATGCTCAGGCCTGGCTGTCTTGCAACGTATGGCAGGCTCAAATCATATGAAATTCTAGGGAAAAGAAACAAAGCAAATGGAAAGGGAAGCTTGAAGTGAGGAAAGTTGATGCGATTCCCTTCATGGTGCCTATCGACAACCTTCTCGTCCGTCAAAGAAGAATTGAAATATATACATGGGTAGAAATATGGGTGTAGGCGCATGCTGACCGAGTGCAGCAAGAACAGCCATACAATCCCATGTCAAGGTTAAAAGAATAATCTGAGAGTTGAAGTGAATGTGATAGCGCAATGCTGGCAGGACAACTCCCGCGCTTTGCTGATCATGATATGCCTCGCTGCTTTTTCTCCTTCGTTCCTTATGCCAAAAGAATCTCATTGATATAGTGCTGCCTTCAAGCAAAATCGGCGGTCCAGAGATCTCCAGTGTAGCAGGCACCGATTTGAGTGTAGTCTGCGCTACCGAAGATCTTTGCGTGACCTTGGGGATCCCCAGATCGTGCAAATATGATATCGGAACGCTTGGAGTTGCCACATTGGAGAGCCTTGGGTATCTCGCATAGCCACATCTTCATGGCGCTGGTGATATCATTGGCGTCGCCGGGTGCAATGCATTGACCCATCGAGCCAGGGTTGAGCGTATGAACCTCTACTTTCCCTCCTTGTTCGCTTCCGGTACCCGTCGAGCAAGCATTGCCCTTTAGCTTGTCGCTCCAAGTGTAGGGCTTGAGTGACGAGTCCCATTGTTTTCGGATTGAATTGATGGTATCGAGCACGTCGTTACCTCCAGATGAAGGCTGTTGTGTCTGCTGGGGCTGTTGTTGCTGTTGAGCCTGCTGTTGTTGAGGTTGTTGCTGTTGCTTTTGTGGTTGGGCTTGGGGTTGGGCCTGAGGTTGTGCTTGAGGTTGTGCTTGCGGTTGTGCTTGGGCGTGATACTGAGTTTGCTGCTGATGATGATCACCATCATGCTGATGCGAGTCCGTGTCTGCATTTTTCTGGCTGACTTGTGGTTGGGGTTGAGGGGACTGCTGTGGTTGTTGGGGAGCTGACTGTCCGGGGCCGAGCTGAATCTTCTCGACGACTTTATAGTCCTCATGTGTGACACCATTGCCGTCTTTCCAAACCTTGGCTAGTTGAGGCGTTCCCAGTTGTTGCTCATTCTGACGCTTGGGGTGTAGATGCATGTTTTGCAAGGTGGGATGAGCGATCACGCTGGCGCTCAACAGAGCCGAGATGATGATTGAAGTACGCATCTTGTTCCGAACTGACAGATGCCTGGTTTGATGATGGAGATCAAGGTGATTTTATGGTTGTAGTGGACCTGCCGACTGAGTATTCGGGAGTGAGTTGGAAGTCTTGGATATTGCTCTGGTTGTTGACAGGCCGGGTGATCAACACTCAAAGGAGCAAATAAGGACGAGTTGAGGGAGATGAAAGAGCGTGGAAGCGAGACCTAAGCTCAGCAAAGAACGGTTTTGTTACTTGAAAGAATGGACGGTGTCTAAAAGACAGCAAATGAAATAGGGAATGTGAGGTCTAGCGAGAGGCACGATGAGAGGGTCAGGAAGTGAGAAAGGGAAAGCGAGGAATGCTCTTATTTCTATTCTAGTGTTTTGGACATTAATTTAAATTACCCCCAGTCAATGAAAAGACATGACTTGGCAGACTCGGTCATTCAGGGGAGGAGCTAAGGGCCAATTGCGGTGGTGGCGCCAATTGTCCCACTTTCCTGTCCTTTATCCCTGGGTCTTGGGCCTTAGTCCTTCATTATTCTGACGGCTAATGACTTAGGGGCACAGTCTACCAAAGTCTCCACCCCATTAGGTACCTTATTATTCCATACTACTTGCGATGTTTCACCGCTGCAGCCAATCGTTGTAGCTGCGTGTTGTTTTAGAGTCGAGATTGGAGGCCGGTAATTGATATGGAAGGGGAACTCGCCCTTCCCCGCATTCTGCTCATATGAGATGCTCCGTTTGCGAGAGATGTCCACGCAGACGGGACATGTTTCTGAATAATAATGACGCCGTCTGCGCTTCCACGGTACAATTGCTGGGGCGGTGATCAGATCATTCGCTTTGGGCGAGATCTGCCAGAAAACCCACGGATTCAGGGGTAGCGTATGATCTACAGCATGCGCCGGGAGGATTAAGCCGGATCCGAGATATCACCACCACAATGATAATAATTCACGAACCAGCATCCTTCGTTTCAACGCTTGGCCCCTCGCACTACGGCCGCCCCTGCGTAAGTCTGGACTCTATTTCACAAGGTACTGAACCCCTGGAGGTGCTGGGCGGTCCAGGGGTGCGAAAATAATGCAGATGTCGGTTGGCGCCCATTATTATTATTACTACATCCTGACCCTCCACGGCGCCACATAAATAATGAACACCGTCTATCATGAAACGTTTCATAGGGACGAACCGCCGGAGTGGTGAGGATTCATGCGTCCTGAGTCCTGACCTCCAGTCATGGCATTGACCCGACTCAACATTGATGCACGCGGCATTCTTCCACTGGGCTTCCGTAGGTGGCTGGGGGATGACAGTTCGGACCGCCTGATGCAAATGTCTACGTCAACCCATATCCAAGGCTCTCACCGGCGCGAAGGATGCGGCGTTGAACATCATCGCATCTTGACCACCTGTTTCGACCTGCAGCGCGCAGGAGACGACCATCCACAAGATAGAACTAACTTGCTGCGTCGTTGAGCCTTCCGCAAAACCCCACCGTAGTCTCCACACGCTGTCACTACTCCTCACCAACATCCACACACTTCAGTCACCGAATGTCGTCTGAGATCTAGCCATGGCAAGAGCGTTCTACCATTAACCTCCCGCATGGCCGTATGTTTCTACCGTGCCGTCCTACAAGAGATGAGATGAAGGGGCCAATGCATGTACAGGAATAGCTCGTTATCGATATCAACTACTCGCTTCAACGATATATGCGCACCGCACATCAGCACCTACAATCTCTGTTCATCTTGTACATGCAGTGGTAAGGATTGCTTCGCCATAGTTTGCACACGCCGCTATTGATGCTTTCCCCTCTTTCCTTTCTCGTATCCGAAAATCCTTCGGTGGTGGATACGTGAGGGCGCAGCTGCGTTCCCCGCACAATGATGTGACCTGCGCGCAGAAGACCCTGCTTTGTTGGAGACATACGGGCAGTGCATGCGGCCGCTCAGGTCGTAGCATGGCGCGGGTAGTGCTTGTGAGGAGCAAAGATCGTTGTTGACAGGAGTGAGCCCCTCCATTTTGTGAGTTGGAGGATTTGTGGCGAATTCTTAAAAAAGAGATGCAATTCGAGTGCAAGTTTTGATATTCCTGCCGGAAAAGGATGGAGAGTAGATACATAACCGCCTTTTCTGTGTGTGTGTGTCTTCAGATTGATGAGCACCAAACACCCACACAAGACGATTACCTGATATGACTCGCAATATGCATATCTTGAAATATATGTGACTGCATGAGCATTTGATCCTGTCCCGACAGGACTCCTCACAATAAAGACCAGCAACTAACCACTTGCCAATGATTTTGCCGGCGCGTGGTCTTTCAACAGTGACCGCCTTGTGCCGTGCCGGTGGGAAGTGTGTGATGCCCATCTCCTTAGCACGCTTGGTCGAAGGATGGAGAATGCACCTTGCTTGAGGCGAGAAAGTGAGCCGCGAATGCCGTGCACATTGATTCCAGACAAAGCATATTCACCAGACGCGAAGGATACCCATCTTCCACACAGAAGGGAATTTGTTATCATGAAATTTCTCATGCAACACCAAATGACCTGGAATCTTTTCACAAATCGACGCTCCAATATGAGCAGATTCACCTTCGCTAATGCCTTTTATCTTTCTTCGCTATGCCGCCTTTTCAGAGATCAGTAGCCAATAAATACACCAAGACGATCATTTGATCAATCATCTTCCCTTCTCGATCCCTCCCTTTTTTTCCGAGCAAATAGTCCGTCTCCCCAAAGTCCTTTCTTGTCCTTCCTCTCCGTTGGACTTTTCGGATTTCTATTCTTCTCCACAATTGTTGGGCTATCTGACTTCAATCGATACATGCTCTTCCCTCCCCCGAGGGCGTTTCGTCTCTCGATCTATTTGCCATGCCAGCTTTATGCCTCGCCATCTCCGCCCGTTCTGCCGATCGCTGCAGCGAATACTGGCTCTGCTGACCTTTCTCCTGATGATGCCGCCACTTACTGTTGATAGGGGCAAAGTATTTGGTAGCTGGAGTGATAGTCTTATTCGTAGCGGCGGAATCACGCTTGGATCGTGTCTTCCCCAAAGAGTAGATGGATGAGCCCAAAATGTCGGAGTTATTTTCGATGTCTAGGTCGGAGAAATCCTCATCTTCTTCTCCATCTTCTTCGTCTTGTAGTATACGATGCTGATTACGCCTTTTGACCGTATCTGGAAAAGTTGGAGAAGTACCTGAATCCCATGCGCCGGACGAAGAGCCGGGTGGCGTACCCGTTGTCTCCGACCCTGTTTCTTCGGATGTAATCTCCTCAACTGAAAGAGGTGAGCTGGGTGATATAGGGCTGCGTGCTATTGCAAGGCGAGATGCTGCGGGTGAGCTGCGGTTCGCGTGGTGTCTCTGATGGAAATAGCTGTCTGCGAAGCTTGAGGTGCTGCTATTCAAGGTCCGAGAGCCAGATCCATCGCCGGCTGGGGTATTTGGAGAACCGTTGCTGCCATTGGCTTCTCTAAAGCGGGCTTTTCTTTCCATTTGCTCGACGAGTTCCTCCCATTTCGGCTCCAGCACGCCACTAGGTCTCTCTGCTTGCTCGGCGCGTGACAAACACTCTCTGGCTTTATCGCGAGACGCTTCACAGAGCTCGTCGAAATATTGCAATTCTTTGCTCCACTCAACTCCACTGTCAACCTCATGTCGTGCATCTAGCCACACATCGACAAGATTTGCGCATTCCCTGGCTTGATCAATGAGATATGGCAGACTGGGAAAGCCTTCCTTGCTTGTGCCTGGTAGCCGGTTCAGGATCGTGATCGGAGTAGCGTAGGAAGGGGGAATAGCGGAAGTTGCACGCTCTGAGCTGATGTCACAGACTTTGTCAATGAAAGCCTTGAACCCCGGTCGATGACTAGTCAGAAATACATTCATGGGTTCCATCCAAGGCTCTTTGCTGCCAAAGGTGTTGAGATTAGCTAGCATTTGCAAGGTCTTCGTAATCAAGGTCAGTGTTCTTTGTGCGCGAGGCCTAGGATGATCTAAAGAGAGTCAGGCGATATTCGTAGCAACTAGCTGGGCTGTTCATACCTTTGAGCAAGCCGAAGAGCTTAGGATTGAGCACTGCAGGACAGAAAAACCTTAAGAAAAGGAAACCGGAGACACTGCTGTAGGCTACCGTCCGCAGAAAGCCGCCATATCGATCTTCAGCACAGTCTCGAATGCGACGAAAGATGATTCGCAACTCCGGAGGGCAACGTGGAGCTGAAGCCAAAACAGCCTGCCATACGTTCTCTGTCAATGCCGTTAGGTTCCTCCAATTGCGCTGTAGGTCATCTGAGCTCGACACCCGGTGTGGATCGACTTCACAGTCAGGGTCGCTCTCCGCAATATCCCTCATTCTCTCGCTCAGAGTCTCGTCTAAATACTCCTTTCCTAAGCGGCGCATGTGAGAGTCCAATGCCTTTGTCAGTAATGTGTTGCCCCGAAAGAGTAAGTTCGCCTCAATAGTAGCGTTCTTTCCCATATCTCTCACCCACATCTCACGCTCGACGCTCGATTCTAGCGCGTCTTGGGAAGCTATTCCCCTTCTATACCTAAATTTCGACATAGGAGTTTCTTTGTGGCTTGTGTCAATTTCTTCCTCCACGAGTGACATGAGCCAGGCACTGGCATGGCCTGAGACCTGGAAGATATTCAACAGGATTTCTGAAAGCCGTTTCAGTTCTATATGAGCCACTTGGGTGATCTGATTGGTCAAGCCATTCGAGAATGAATGTAGAGTCTCAGAGATCATAGCATAATCGCGGCCCATTGACACAACGAGCTCGTCAACCCGAATTCGCATAAGCATTTCCCCTACAACATCCTCTTGGTCGTTGATCAGTTGCCACCACCTTTCCGTGTCTGTTGCACGCTCTAGACTGTCTAGTCTGATGTCAACTTTGCCGTAGACTAAGTCCAATGGCGAAACCTGAACATCCCCATCGATCGTTGCCGGATTGATGTCTCCTCTTTTGAGGTCCGAAGGTGCTCTAGTCAATGACCAAGCTTTTTGGCCCGGGTTACGGCTTTTCAATTCAATCGCAGAGCTTGAGAAAACGGGCGGAAGATCAGAGAATTCGAAGTCTTCCCGAAAGAAAGGATTGCTTGTCTCTGGCTTCGTGGACGTTCTCGCCCTTACTTCGCCATCGAATTGAATCTCGGCATAATAATTGCCGGTAGTCTGTGGTTTCCAGCCCTGAGGTTTAAGATGCTTTTCAGGGCCGTGAGATGAATTCTGCCTTGGCCCATCCAGCTTTGCTTCTATGATCCGAAGCGAGAGTATTCTCTCGACTCGGAACATATCTGTAGGTGGCGGATTGGCAGAGGCTGAGGCCGAATCCAAAGCTCTTGACTGAGAATCGATTGACAATTGGTCAGGCCCGTAAAGCTCAGGTACTGTGAACGCTCTGAGGAGTACGAACCACACCTCAAAGAGGACCCGAGAGTCTAGTGAGAAATAAATACTTGATACAGAATTGATCGACGAGTTGGTCAATGTATACTGAGTATAGATGGCAATACAATATTCATCGTCCAATATCGAGGGATCTAGCCGCTGGACAGCACACCTTGATAATTGAGACAGTGGTATGACAGCCTCGAGGGTCGACTCGGGCTCCAAATAGATCTTGAAGTGGCCATTCTCCTGAAGCGTGCATGAAACTTTCCTCCAGTTCTTGGATAAGGACTTGATAGGTCTGTAAATCGATACCCTCCGATCGGTAGGTAAAGGAGAGGTCGATCTCGGCTGAGGATTTTTTTCCCACATTAACATCTTACCAACTTTTATGATCGATGCATCTTTCCCAGAGGCGCCGTCAGAATCACCTTTGCCGTCGCCCAGTTTCTTTTCCCCAATCTTTGGATCTTGTGGTTTGCTCATTTTGTTCTGAGCGCCTTTGGGCCTTATCGGCTGCCAGCATAGCAACGCCGCAAGCCATTGATCAAATGTTTCTGGTACATGTGGCTTTAAGTGGATACCTGAAGTAGTCCTTAGTGTAGATACGGCTAGGAATGTAGACCTGCTTTCGGCGTCATACAAAGTCCGCACTTGGCATCCTCGAAGGTCATTGATGAGGGTCTTGGCTAAATTCACCTCCCCTTTCGTCTGATATATCAGACTCCCGGAAGCTACGTTGATAGCACAATAGCCAGACGCCCAAGGACTAGCCACCGAATTCCTAAAGGAAAGAACGCCTTGCATCCTCCCACACGTAGTTTTCATTAATTGCAGTATCTTCTTGGCGTCAGTGGACGATGAAGACAGGGGCGTTCCTGGCTTTGCGGCAATCGGATTTCGAATGGGCGACAAAGGTCGAGAGGGAGGTCTAGATGGACGTGGGCGTCGTTGCGCCTCGAGTGCCGGGCTGGAAACGATAGAAGGAAATCCAATGGAGCTGGACACACTGCCATTGTCCTGGGATGGAGGTGATTGGAGTGAGCTCATACGAACACGGGTCCTTGACGACCCGGGAGACCGTTCTTTGAGATGTTCCTCCAATGTTCTCGTTCTAGGTCGTGCTTGCGATTGTTTCGTTGCTTGAGCATCTTGCCCTGACATTTGTCGACGAGGTGTGTCTCTACCAGTCCGGTGTATCGTCCTCGACTCATGAGAATCCGAGAATTGAGGCGAAACACTCTCAGAAGTATTGTAGGCTGACAAAGGAACCGGTGTTCCTGACCGCTTTGCAGGGCCCGTATCTGGGTCGGCCAACCCGCCCATTGATTTTGTATGCTCTTGCACATGTTGCATGGGGTTTCGCTTCTCTTTGGACGGCTGCTTTTTCTTCGAGCTTTTCCGCGGTTCATCATCACTGTCCTCTTTGATATATATCCGCGAGCGCCTCCTCCGCTCGTTGCTATCTCGACTCGGCCCTTTTGGTTTCATGCTGGAGCTTTGTAGCCTCTATGTAGAGTGTTGTCTTTTGTGCCCAAACCACCATGAACGTCAACTGTCCAATCTCTTTCTGAAGAGCAGACTCCGCATGCGATCAATTGTGTGCCGACATTGCGTTCGGCTACCTTGAAGTGGGGTATCTCCAATCGAAGACCATGGAAAGAGGAGGCTAGAAAAGCGTGGATTCATAGGGATGTAGTTGCTAGGTGACAACAAGAAGGGTCTCAGCTACCTCGAAATGGTGCTGAGTTTTGCCTCTCAAGGATGGTCAGGTACGGCGAGTGGGGTTTTACAGATCTGCTTGAGTGTGGGGGTGTGCTGTGCAGGTTCAGAGACGCTTCCTTCTCAAGTCACCCATTCCATTCTCATGTCTTCGAATGCTTCAACTGAATCAAAGACTGTCATCATCGAAATTTTTCACTCATGAGTCCCGTTTTAGGTGATGTTTGGACGGTCAAAATGATTACTGCCATGAGTATTTGGACGGCTTTGGTGGTGTCAACAAGTTTTCACGAATCCATTCGAATACATATCTAAGTCAAAAACATGCAATTTACGAAACAAAGAGGTATCCTCGGCACTTAATCAGAGCTCCGCTGCAAAATCTTCAATATGCGCTCTATATGCGCACAACCACCGAACCTAAAAATCCATCCCTACCAGTAGCCCTCCCTTTGTAGGAGCCCCTAAATCATTGCAGATAGATGGCCTTCATAGGTTGTCAAGAGTACAAAGGCAGTACTCCATTAATGATCCATAAAACCGCCATCAAAAACACGTTTCACCCCCTGTCGGCTGACCCTTGTCCCATATAATTGTGATCCAAGCTACTTGAATGCTTGTGCAGCATTCTCTTCATTGTCGCTCGTAGCACTCATTGGTAGACTCCTCCCACCGCTGAGGTCCCCGCTTCCAGTCTTTCGGAGGGCTTGCCGCATAGTTTCGATTGTCAACTCCCCACCTAGAGGAGGAGAATGACCCGGCAGAGGGCTTGCTAGGCTTCTGCCCGCTCTGTTTGGAGAAGTTTCGCGACCTTTGGACGAGACAGATCCCGATAGATTTGGAGACCCGCCGAGACCCTGAGACGACAAAGGTGAGCGTATCGGGGATGGTGAACGGTTTTGAGAGACGACGGGACTTATCATCCCCGTTGCAATGCTGCCTCCGTCATGTGTATGTTCCGAATGAACAACATCAGCAAAAGATATAAAACTCAATCTGCGGACATCCGTCGAATCCAAGGCTCCATAATTAGAGGATCCATCTTCGCCGTCTGGAATTGGAATATACTCGTCTGGCATTGTGGGCCCTGGCGCTTCCCCCACCACAGTCAGTGAGGCTGGATGATGTGCAGAGTGCATGACAATTTCTACATTATTGGGATTCAGCTCCTCATTTGTGATAGCTTCAGAGGAAGCATCCAAAACTGGTGGTATGTGGTTTTCAGTCGCGATGTGACCAGGTATCGGTGCTTGTTCTGGGATCGTGAGTATGTCTTCTTGTACATGTCGCTCGAAAATTTGCGATGATGCTGGTGATGGCGGTGCTGGTGAGGAAGTATTAAGGTTCCTGACTGGAGACGAAGGCGAGTACGGGTGCGACGAAACGTTTGCTAAGGTTGGTATGTTCCCTCCATGGCCAGGCGGTGAAGTAGGCTGCATCGTAGGCGGTTGCTTGGTAATCTTCATGGATGAGCTACTGCTTTCTGAAGCATCTTTCTTCTTCTTTGCCTTTTCGTCGTCCCTTCTCTTCCCAAGGCCCCAGAATCTACGCTTGCCCGTCTTGGAGTCCACGTACCCAGGATCTGTCCCTTCCGATGTTGTTTTGTCCTCAGACGGTGGCGGAGTCTCCTGAAATCCTTCGCCGAGGACAGGCACTGGTGACGGCCCTGAGACCGAGTCTTGTGCTTGTTGATCTGACATCTCGTGGGTCAGGCCTTGATTAAGTTATGCTTGCTGTACAGATGACGATACAGAAGCAGGATGCTCATAGTCTGTACGTCGTGAATTGTCGCAAGGGGCCCCGTTTGGGACGTCGTCCTATTTTGATTGTCACCAACATGCGCCGAGGAGAATAGCTGCCAATACGAGATCGACTTGTAGGCGACTTGCAAGCGCTCTTGCCCAAATCAGCCACAGTGACGGAGTATGATCGACTGAGCTCATATACCCTTTGCGGCACGTCGGATGGAGATAGTGCTTTGTGATAGGAGACGTTCAACTGTAGTCGTCCCTACCGTAGCTGCAAGCTCAATTGGTTGGTGACGTCGCAGGGCTGAGAAAGGGTAATTATTGTATTGCGCTAAGGTAGTCAGAAATTAAAATTTCTTCCGCATCCTGATTGGAAACTGTAATAAGAGCTGAAGTTCAAGCATAAGCAAAGCTCAGAAATCCTCAGCAAAATGCTTTTTGTACGGTAATACCATGTCACTACTACTTCCCCATCGGATACCGACTATCCTGTCCTTCCTCTATCCACCCTGGGCTACACTGCTTCCTCGATTTACCTGCCGTCACGAATCCTCCTCTCGTCGAACTACTAAAAAGCTACGGACGAAGCCCAATGTTTCTTCGCTCACGGCTTCAGTCTCTCCAGACAACGTCAATGACTACATAGTCTTCAATCCTCCTTCTTCGGCTCCCTCGCCATATCATACCCCGGCGGCTTTTCTCCCTCGAGATGACCCACGGCGCGACTTACTCTCCCAATCACATCTCCATTCTAACCCCTATGTCGACCTGAGACGATCCCTACCACCGCTCGCACGCAAAACACAAAAGCAAAAGAAGTATCATTTGACTCCGAAGCAGATTGAAGAAATCAGAGAATTACGGACAAAAGATCCCTGGAAGTGGACGAGAAAACGCTTGGCTGAGAGGTTCGACTGTTCGCAATTTTTTGTCGGAATTGTTGCTGAGGCGCCGACGGAGAGGAAGAGAAGTGAGATGGCTAAGCTTGAGGCTGTGAAGGAGAGATGGGGCTGGAGGCGGCGAAATGCGAGAGAGGAAAGGGGCAAACGGCAGGAGCTGTGGGGTATGGACAAATAGTGAACTAAAGCTTGGTGCATGGGTTGGCTACGCAATGGCCAATGTCAAGATCGAATCTTGGATTCCTACCTTTATTCTTTCGTTTCATTCGTGCTTCATGCCCAAACCTGCTTTCGGGTGGCTAAACATTTACACTAGAATTATTCCCATCCGGGCGTCTCGACTCTTTCTGTCGGACTAATCCAATGTTCTGAGGCATTGTGGCGACTTCTTTAGTCGAAAAACTTTTTGTAAGCAGCCTTTTCTTTCTTCGCTTGATCTGCTGCTTTCTGCTTTGCTGCACCGAGCTCCTTTGTGATTGCTCCATCGCCTGGCGCCAGCTTCTGCGCTGTTTCAAGACTTTTCACAGCTCCGTCATCGTCTTTGAGACCAAGAAGAGCGAGTGCTTTACGATATGTGGCCTTTGCACGATCTTGATTCGATACTGCTCCCTCATTGTCAATTTGCAATGCATTATCGGCGCTGCTCTGGGCCTCCTGGTATGCTTTGAGCTTGATCTGTAGCAGTGAAGAGTTCGAATGCAAAGTGAACCTCAGCTGTGTAAGCTCCTTGGTGAGCGCTGCAGGTTCCTCTGACTGCGACTCTGGATGCTCGTTCAGATAGCGAAGCCCCTTTTGATATTTCGAGAGAGCAAGATTTAGATCACCAGTTTTATATGCCTTGTTCCCATAGTCTTTAAGTTCGGTAGCGATCTGAGCGATTTCTGGGGCTTTGAATTCCTTCCCTTGGTCCTCAGGAAAGTCTTCATACGGATCTCCCGTACTATCGGGAGCTTTTTTACCCACATCTTTCGCTTCCTCATCCGACAACTGGCCGCAGTCTTTTTTCGATTATCAGTGCACTGTTTCAATGTCAAGGATTTGAGCAGTCATACCAGAGATGGTGACATCTTTGGTTGGTTTGTCGCTCTGGGTAATAAGTCCCTCAATACGTCGAACGATACTTTTTCCATCTAGTACTTCCCCGAAAACAACCTATCTTGTCGTTAATGCAGAAAATCCCGAAATGCAAAACGGGATAAGCGCACGTGCTTGCCGTCAAGATGTGGAGTAGGTACTGTTGTGACGAAGAATTGAGAACCATTGGTACCTACAGATATATGAATTCCATTTCCACAGTCTCAGGCGTCCATTGAATTTGCTTACCAGGGCCTGCATTTGCCATGGATAGCAACAGGGGTTTAGTATGCTTGAGCGTGAAATTTTCGTCCTCAAATTTCTCGCCGTATATAGACTCTCCTCCAGTACCATTGCCCGCTGTAAAGTCCCCACCTTGAATCATGAAGCCCTTGATGACTCGGTGGAAAATTGATCCTGCAGCTCTTGCTCAACAGACAATCTGTGCCGAAGGATTTGTAAACAATACCATTGTAACTGAGAGGTTTCCCAGATTTGCCGTTGCCTCTTTCCCCCGTACAAAGACACCTGAAATTTTCTGCCGTCTTGGGGACGACTGTTCAATGTCGGATGAGTTTCTTCCATTTGTTCGCCTCTTTACTTAACACATACCATCATCGTACTACATATAAGTCCAACTCAATGAGCCTCGTGAACTAAGAACAGGGTTGAAAAGCAGACGCTAGATTTTTGCAAAGAATTGCCGATCCTCCAGGAGGATTGACCTACCAATTCGAATACAACGCGTCCTTCTTTGACCTTGCCAATCTCAATGTCAAAGTACACCCTACTCCTGGATACTGGAGGCTTTGTTAGCCGAGTCTGCAGTCCAGAAGTATCTTTTGTCATCATGGCTACCTTGCTTCTCTGAAGCCATGATGACGCAACAATGGTTCAAATTGGATGCAGAAGTTTCGTCACAGCAATGGCACGGATACAATTTTTGTGATAGAAATCGAAGGCAAAAGCCCTCAGTCTCATTGGCGCTTCAGGCGAGGCTCCGCTAGCGCGCTTTCCAGCATCTTCTGCCGCTGGTGCCGCTTTGGGGTTTGCAGATATAGGAATAGCGACAACGTGGGTTACGGTTTCCAATGAAAGGTGGTTCGGGCTGCGCACAGGTCAAAAGCTTTCTACAAGACCAATCATTTTAGATCGTCGAGCATTCATTGCGGTCCTATCTTCCAGTCTATATACAAGCTTGCGGTCTATTCGACCAGCCCAGATAGTAAATCAGGATTGTCCACCTTGTCCTTCATCTCGGAAGTTCTAGCTTGCTCTCCTGAAATCTTGGGCGGGGTCGTCTCAATCTCGAGGGTCACCTGATGGTGGTGTTAGAGCGAGAATCGGAAAGGCAGAGAATAGAAGGAGCTGGAATAGTACCGCTCCATCATGACTAGAGTAATCTACACTCACTGGCCCAGAATTTTGGAGGTTCACTGATACGTGTAAGCAGTTGAACATGCCACGCAGTAACACACAGCAGACCTTCCATCATTGCTTGGAAAACCCCATTCTTGACCTTGCTGGTGTCGTAGAGTTCCTGTATTTTGGTGAAGAAGCAATCGTAGAGTTCCTTTGCCTTTTCGCCGCCGGCTGCGCCATGGAAGTCGGGCTTATTGCCTTTTTTTGTGGAGGCAAGGAGTGTGAATTGAGAAACTTGCGACTCGATTTTCATGAATGGGTGTAAATCAATGTCCGATGAACGACTCACCACAAAGAACTTCTCCTTTGATATCCTGCACGTTGTGCTTCCACTGCAAAGGTGAGCATCCTTACATTGGGATCACGGCGCGTCTCCAAGGATCATGTTTAGGCGTACGCTTCCACCCGCTTCGTCAGGCCACATCTTCATCTTGAGAACCTTCGAAGCCATTGCCTCCACCTCCTTCTGGGTATCCTTCTCTGACACACCCGCAAAAACCAGGATGCCTTTGCCAATGGACGATATGAGTTGACTATCTACTGTCACTGAAGCAGAAGCCACTCGTTGCAAGACAGCTTCTTGAGAGTCAAAAGATGCGTTCATAGCAATCCATAGAGCCCACCTTTCATGTCGTCAAGTTTATACTAGATTTGCGACGGGTGCAGAAAGGCTACTTTGGTTTCACTCTTGACTTCGCTGCCCAATTATGGGTACGCTGAACAAAGGCAGAGGCAGCGACCTTAATCGCATCGTTGTATCATGTGACCCGTTGAAATGCGAGGCCAATGATTAGTTTCCTGCGATGGGAATTACGATAGAAATAGTAGATTGCAAAGTCTCGCCTGGTGTCATTTATCTAGATGGAACCCTTAGAAGCTAGGGGTGTCCCGCTATTCGCGTGATCCTGCAGCCCTACGAAATTAGGACGGACTCACCTATCATGAGCTTGAAAAGAAACGACGCAGAGACATGAGGAACTGACAGCCTTGCAACCTGACAACTTGATCTTTTTATATCTTCCTTAATGCCTACCCCATCTGGACAATCACCTATCTGCTATAATTGCAACTCCAGAGGCTCCTCAAGGCCGCTCACGGACGGCGTTCCCTTGTTCATTTCAGCACGCGAAAGCCAACTCTTCCACCCTTACCTATCACTTTATACGGCGCCATGGCCCAGAGAAAGCTTCAGCAGGAAATCGATAAGACCTTCAAGAAAGTTGCAGAGGGGATTCAGACCTTCGAAGGAATCTACGACAAAATACAACAAGCTGGCAACGCGTCCCAGAAGGACAAGCTCGAAGATGCCCTCAAGCGAGAGATTAAGAAGTTGCAGCGACATCGTGACCAGATCAAGACCTGGGCTGCTGGCAACGAGATCAAGGATAAGAAGCCCCTCCTAGAGCAGAGAAAGGCCATCGAGGCTGTACGTAATCTGAGACTTGACAGACTGTGTGACATTGGACGGATTAAGCTGACATCCGTGGGCTTGTAGGAGATGGAGAAGTTCAAAGCCGTGGAGAAGGAAATGAAGACCAAAGCATTCTCTAAGGAGGGTTTAAGTGCAACCGCAAAACTCGACCCCAAGGAACAGGAGAAAGCGGAGGTCACCGATTTTTTGAGTACTATGGTCGAAGAGTTAGATCACCAGATCGAGACACTAGAGGCCGAGGAGGAATCACTTCAAGCAAACGTCAAGAGGGGGAAAAAGGACATGGCCAAGGCTGATCGTCTGTCCGAAATTAGCAGAACTACAGAACGACACAAGTTCCATCAAGGGAAGCTGGAATTATTACTTCGATTTTTACAGAACGGGAACGTAGAGACAGATCAGGTCCGAGAGCTGGAAGAGGGTATCAGGTACTACGTTGAGGAGAACCAGTCCGTTGAGTTCATGGAGGATGAAACAATGTATGATGACCTGAACCTTGAGGAGGATGAAGGTGTCTTTGGCCTACCGACGGAAGGTGATCGAGTCTCCTCCCAGGACGCTCAATCAATTCAAGACGATCAGCAAGACGCAGCAGAGAGCCGAGGGGCTTCAGGTGGAGGTGGCAAGCCCAAGTCAACTTCATTTTCGGAACCACAAACCGCTACGGCAAGAAGGCCATCCAATACCTTCAAGTCGCCTTTGCCAGCTTTGGCAACATTGCACACTCCTCATGCGACTGTACCAAACGGCACGGTCAACAATCCTATGAAACCTGCACCACCACCGAGTAGGCCGCCAGGAGAAACTTTGAAATACGCGTCTGCAGCCGCGGCAGCAGCTGCGAGCGATAAGAGCACGGTTGTGGGAATTGCTCCATTGCCTCCTCCGCCAGGAATTCCAAGTAGCCAAATATCTACTGCGGCCCCTGGGCTCCCGAGTCTACCGTCTGCTCAGAAAAGTGTCATTACATCCTCAACTAATACCGCAGCTTCGATTCCTACTAGCTCAACTTCTTCTACACCTGTCATCGAAGCTGCTGCACCGACATCGAGCGCGGAAGCACTCCAAAGTCCGCCGACTAGGCCGAAGTCTCCTCCTTTACCGGGGACTTCTACAGCCGAGGCCAGTATACATAATCCACCACCATCGCCCCCCGATGCTGCTCCGACTACCTCTCTTTCTCCACCAGATGCGAAGCCTTCGCCGCCACCACCCACTAAAACTACCATACCCGTGGAAATATCAGCCTCTAGAGAAACGCTAAACCCTTCGAGTAGAGAATTATCACCTTCCGACACGCAGACAAATGGAATTATGGCACAGGTAGAAGAGCCTGAGTCTATCTACCATTTGCCCCCCGGCCTGCAAGATCTTCTTCAATCCTTTGAGGCTACGAAGAGTCGCCCTCCTGACCCAGATTCACCTTCCGTCCAACGAGCTATACAAATATCAGCTGCTAGCCGTCCAAATTACCTTGACGCAGAGAAACCAAGACAGTACAGGCCAGATATAAAGTACAACACGCCCGATTACTACCCACAAGAGCCTTTCGCTTTCGCAGACGACCCCACTCTTTACGGTAAGATAGAGACGGATACTTTGTTTTACATCTTTTACTACCGTCAGAACACATATCAGCAATATATGGCGGCAAAATCGCTGAAAAGTCAAAGCTGGAGGTTTCACAAGCAATATCAAACTTGGTTCCAGCGACATGAAGAGCCGAAGACGATCACGGAGGAATATGAGCAGGGTACCTATCGATTCTTTGACTATGAGAGCACATGGTGGGTACAATCCGCCTCTTTTCCGAGATCTCACCGTTAATTCCCCGGTTCTGCATCAATTCGTCGCTAACGCATCAATAAACCAGGATGAATCGAAGAAAAGCAGACTTTCGATTCGCGTATAAATTTCTGGAGGATGACCTGTAATTATAGCTACAAGGTTTGCAAGTGTCATATCTCACCCAGCCGGCATGACTGTTGCATCTTGTCCTTCAGCATTTCTAGCTAAATCTTTTGTGCTCTTCGTTTTCACTGCTGCAATTTCTTCTTGGCGTTTTAGCACTCCGACTCCGGTTGCCTTGTGACACGATTTCTAGCAAACCACATCCGAAAAAGAGAGGCGAGAAAGCAAAGACGTCGAATTTCTGAGTTTCGTAATCTTCGAGTCCTCTTGCCACTTATTGGTGCATCCTTCGGTGAGTTCAATCCGAAATGAAGAAAAGGCAAAAAGAAGGCAGACGAATTTACCCTTTTCGGTTTAGCTCGCATCGCCCCTTTTTCCTGCCACACCAGATCCACCAAAGGACTGGCATTGCGCCTCGCTATCTGCCCGCAGGCTGCTGTGTGATTTTCAAACCGCAGCTTTTGCATCCGCTTGTGGAGACTAGAGAATCCTGGATCTGTGAAAAGGGCGACCCAATTGCCTCGATATCACTCTGACCACATGGTGTTGAACAGGCGCATTTCGGCACTTCGCCTCCATCTGATAATTATCTGTTGCCGCTTGTGAGACGTTATACTCTCAGGCCTAGCGTCTGGCACTGATCACCATCGGGGGGCTGGACCGAAAGAACCCTCATGCGAAAGGCGAAACGACGCAGGATTCGAAATTTTGAAGGCTTCTTCTGTGCAGTCAATGCCCCTGGTAGCGCAATCGCAGAGGTCTACGACAAGGCAATAGCCTTTCGCCTTGTACGACTTTAAGGCTATTCAACTCCGCCACCGTTTACACAGAGCCCGTTGTTCGCTCATGCATATTTCTGCCAACTTACAGTCTTTTGACGACAAGATATATTTTCGATGAGTCACAGCAAAGCTCTCTTACCTTACGGGCCTAGATGAATTCGCCCTCTCTTTCCACAGCCCACAAGCTACAGTAGTGGTGAGTGGTCATGCAAGCGTGATGCCCTTCACCTCAACATGCCTCTGCATAGCATTTCTGGACCTTAGACTGACACGACAAATCGCACCGATCTTCATCTACCTACCGCTGTTTTTGGGATGCCAATGCAATCTTTCTGACACCACCTACCATACCAGCTCCTATACTTTGCCCATCCAGAAGGTCTTCACACGGCGAAGGATCCGCAATCCCCACACCACCATTGCACGGTCCGTACCTTGAAAGAAGGCTACCAATTGAGGGTTCTGCGAGACATCGCTCACATTCATTGCGGTTGAGGCGCAATCTCTCTACTGTGTATCGCCACTAGGCTTGTCTCCATTCTAGTGAAGCAAAGGGTAAGGACGTTTTACCGGAGAGGAATCGTCCTCTTCATCTCTGATGAGAAGCTCCCTCCGATCCCTATTCCCTCGTCATCTTTAACGGACTGCTTACTTTACAAGACTTCAATCCTCACCGGGCCCGTTTTGTTCGGTGAACTTGCCATCTCGACCGGTCAAGGCTCATCACACCGAATGTGCTTTGCAAACCAAGAGTCCAGGCAAATTTGCTCCGCAAAACCTCGAAGCCTCGACTCCAGCCAATAGTGAAGCCTCGCACCTCACCGTTGGGTCTCCACCGTACTTAAAAACACGTCATTTCCTGACGCTGTCCGCCCATCGATCACAGTCTTCCTCCTTTGTCTAGATTGAAGCTCAGCCATCTGAGCCACGAATGTATGTCGTGCCCCGAATGAACTGTTGCTGAGACTGAGATTTTCAACAGATATAAATACTGTCATTGTCCCTATCTAGGCACTCTCACTATGTCTTCACCATCCTCTCCGCCATATTATAACGTAAAGCCAACCGCTTCCTCCCATCGTTCTCATCCTAACCACCTTCAATAGGACTGGCTTTATCCACTTCAATTCGACCCATATACACTTCGAATCCCCTCAGACACTACATTCGACAACCAGCTTAGCCCTGAAATTATGAGTCCGACTTCTTCCCAGGGTTCCTATGACTCGACGTCTCCATTAGGCTCGTCGTACAGTGAATATTCGAGGTCATCCAGCCAAGACTACACGCAGTATGATTTCGAAACTTTTCCGAACGATCAGGCCGTTTTGCCGGACGCGGCCTCTAACACTCATTCCTATAGATCCCAAAAATCCCCAAACCATTCAAGGTAGGCATTTTGGTTCATTCAGCAACTCCTACCTTTCGTTTCCGGACCCTTTGATAGAAAATGAATTGGTTTTGGCTTACACCTCACTCTCCAGCTCTTCACAGAAAGCTATTTTGCATTGTCTGGCACCCAAATGCATATATCAAACGGACAGGCTACACGATCTGAAGCGTCACAAACAATCTAAACATGATAGCCCCGAAGACCTCCATAAAGGTGGAGTCTTGATCGACTGCCCTTACGACGGATGTGGACACGTGGGGCCACACGGCTTCAAGCGCAAGGACCATCTGCGCGACCATACCAAGCGCTGGCATATGAGAGATCTTCCAAAGGAAATGGGAGGCAGTGGCAAAAAAGTGCCTCCTCCCTCGAAAAAGTGACAGTGCAAGTCCCGTAGCGTCTCACCTCGACCGAAGAAATGCAAAGGACTTGAGAGGAAATCGGCATGGGATGGCGGGCTGTACAATGTTTCGGCGTTTTGAGCAGGTGGCCGAATTTGGAGCCCCGGGGCGTATGTATGGCAATGTTCCTGACTTTCACGAACACGCCCAAGACACCAGTATAGTAGCTTTACCATATAGTTCTTCAAACTGCAATGAAGCATCGAATGACCGTCTCTAAGACTTGAGACATAAACCAGTATTGTCCCGGTCAATGCCGATCCAAGTCTCCAAGGTCATTTTCTAGCGGTAGTAGCGCTTCATTCTGGCTCTCGCAGCTTCACCGAGGTGCCCTTAGTTAGCCAGGTTCGCCTGTCCGGCTCTGGGCAAGGCAGAAAGATATGTATTATTGAGGGCCACCAAGGCTGTTCTGACCTCTCACCGAAATAAATCCCCCATGAGGGCCATGAGTCGTGCTGACAATTACGGTGCGGCTTCCGGAAACGGGAAAGCTTGATCCGATAGGCTTCCACTTCTAACTTCTAAGCCCTTGGGCTGAACCGTTGGTGACCGTTCGATGCAGTCCACGCCGAGATACCAGCAGTCACGGGCGCATGGTTCCTGCACATTCGGTCAGTCACCTTTGCAGTAGGCAAACATAGCCGCTCATCGATCACCAATCCTGGTCACTCTCATGGGTAAAACAACATGTGCCGTGGGAAGCTCTCGGTGGTAAACAATCGCGCACAGCTAGATGGAGCAGCTCGAGATACACAGCAGGGTCAGTCTTCCGTGTTTCAATTAAGAAGCCTTGCCTGCTGACATTAGAATTATAGTCTTACCTTGTACGATGGGTTCAAGTGAAAGAGCTGCATACCATCTCGTGGACTATACGACCGGATAAGAAGTCAATAAACTTTGGTATCTTCCAACACCCTGGGGGGTCTGGTGCGACCCTTGCTCCAAGATTACCCTCTTCGACTATCGAAGCCCCGCCGACACCAAGGCTTTCTCCGGGAGACGGTCAGATTGATGTGACCTCATCTCATCATGCATCATCTAAGGCCGCAGACAAGCTTGAGAGCGTGGGCTTGAGGCTTGTACAGTGGTACGGGACCTGCGATCCCAATCGCGTCAATACTGGAACCTATGATGTACCCCAGAGTGAAGGCGGCATGTATGCATTGGTTTTTGACAACACATTTTCGAAGCAGCATTCCAAAAAGGCAACTTTCGTACTCCTAACCTATCCTACCAAATCACCCCCGCAGACCAGTTCCCTGACTCACCATAACCAGAGTGTGGGGGCAGCGAGTAGTGTGAATCTGAAGGACTCGCTGGAGCAAAAGAAGACTACGTCTTCGAATGACTCAATTCCTCAGCTCAAGGCATCAAAAGCAAGCACAGCATCCGAAGAAAGGCCTCGAAGTGGTGGGAACGACGTGCCGCCCGACCCAGGTCTATTCACCGGCACTTTGCAAAAACGGCGTAGAAGGAAGCACCAGGGGTGGGCACGCCGGTTCTTCTCCCTTGACTCAAAAACCTCAACTTTGTCGTATTATCACGATCGAAATGCTGCATCTCTGAGAGGATCTATACCGCTTTCTTTAGCTGCCATTGGCGCGAACGCCGTCACGCGCCAAATCAGTATTGATTCTGGGGTGGAAGTGTGGCTATTGAAGGCATCTTCGCAAAAAGACTTTGGTGCTTGGAAACGTGCCCTAGAATTTGCCAGCTCGCCAGGTGATTCTAGCTCTCCTCAGGAAACCACTCGCAGGAGCTCCTTCAAGAGGATTGCTTCTGTTAAAGCGATAAATCCAGAGGAAGACCGCGAGTGGTTGAGAGTTGAGGAGCTTCTTACAAAAGTTAGAAGCTCAAGAGACCTGGCTCGAAATGTAGCCAAGGATACTGATCCGAAATACCTGCCATCGCCGGCACTCAAGCCTAAAATTGAGCGAATACCTTCGGATGCAATATCTAGCCATTCAAGCGCCTCCGAGAGCCCAATTGAACAAGGCTTGAATGGCTATTTTACCGAGAGGCCCAAGGATCGCCGACCGTTCTGGAAACGTAAACCAAGTACAGAAAGGCATATGCCTGGTGCTTTTAGGCGAAGTGTCTCTGCTACTCCCTCTCTCGCAACTCCACAAAGGAGTACGCCCACATTAATTACGACCTCGTCGATGGGTTCCGAGGGTAGAAGTTTAGAAAACCAAGTGAACGCCAGCTTACATGATCGTTGCCTTTCTCTCCTGAGAGACCTGGACATTATAATTTCTGACTTCGATCTCCTCTTATTTGAAAGCAAGCAGCGACGTGACCCAATGGTAAACTCAGCGACTTCTCGGTGCAGTATTGAGTCCCAAGATGATGAATTTTTTGACGCCGAGGGATCTCAATTGCTCGATATTCATCAAGCATCGGATGAAGACATATCAGATGCTGGCTTGGCCGAAAATGCAAGCTCAAGCTCTGACAGTGAAGCCGATGAGCCTCACGCCGCATCGACGCCAAAGAAAGGCCCACACAAAGCTGACCCAGCGTTTCCAGAGATTCCCACATCACTTGAGCCACTGCCAGCGTCATCAATCAAACGCAGGGACTCGCTCCAGCCTCCTTCTGTGAATCCACCATCTCTCATTGGATTTCTCCGCAAGAATGTGGGCAAAGACCTTTCCACAATCTCCATGCCTGTGTCTGCCAATGAGCCAATTTCGTTGCTACAACGTGTGGCAGAGAGCCTTGAGTACTCACAGCTGCTTGATTCTGCCGCGGATGCCACCACCAGCGTAGACCGAATCATATTGATCACAGCGTTTGCAATCTCCCTTTTGTCTAGTGCTCGAATCAAGGAGCGAGCGATTCGCAAACCCTTCAACCCAATGCTTGGCGAAACCTTTGAGCTCGTTCGCGAAGATCGGGGTTACCGGTTTCTCGCAGAGAAGGTCTGCCATCGTCCTGTCCGCGTTGCCTCCCAAGCAGACAGCTTCAAGTGGTCCTTATCACATTCGCCCTCACCCACTCAGAAATTTTGGGGGAAGTCGGCGGAGCTACTAACGGATGGCAAATTCCACGTAGCCTTACACACCAGTGGCGAGCATTTCAGCTGGACGCAACCCACCACCTTCCTGCGAAATATCATTGCAGGGGAAAAATATGTAGAACCGGTGGGATCGCTAAGTGTGACGAATGAAAGCACAGGCGAGAACGCATGTGCTACATTCAAGGCCAGCGGTATGTTCTCTGGTCGAAGTGAGGACGTAACGGTGCAGACTTACGATGCGCACGGCAATGAAATGCCCCTTGGGCTTATGGGACGATGGACATCATCCCTGGCCGTGACTGATCAGAAGGTTGTAAGACAGACTGGTAAGCCGATCTGGACCGTGGGCGAACTGGTGCCAGATGCCGTGAAGAGATACGGCTTCACGAGCTTCGCTGCTTCGCTCAACGAGATCACTTCGCTCGAGAAGGACAACCTTCCGCCCAGCGATAGCCGTTTACGGCCTGATCAACGAGCTGCTGAAGACGGTGACCTTGACATTGCGGAGGATCTGAAAGCTAGACTGGAAGAGGCCCAGAGACAGCGGCGCCGGCTTGCTGAGGAACATGGCATGCAATGGCAACCTAAATGGTTCGCGCAGGGGGAAGCCGCGGATGGGGAGGAGGTATGGGTACAGAAGGTAGGCAAGGACGGTTACTGGGAGAGACGACGGCAAAGGAACTGGGAGGGGGTAGAGAAGGTTTTTGAAGTTCAGTGACGATTTCAATTGTTTTTGGATATGTGCTTCGCCTCTATGGTTACTTAAGATACCCCTGAAAACAATAGTATTCCTACAATGTCCAAAGTTCGACGCAAGCTAAGGCCTTCCTTCAACTACCCCTGTACGTGGTATAACTCCACGGCCCCAACAGAAGTGGGACATGCCAGTGCTTCTTCGGGGTTCCCCCATCGCCATCACCGTCCCTACTACTGGTAAAGAACTGTACCCTTACCTCTGGCCAAAATGTCTTTCCTTTTCCATAGTAAGCCCCTGTTTGGAAGACTAGTTCCCACGAAACCCTCCCATCCTCATGCTCCCCCAAGTTCTCGAAAATCAGATCCAAACTAGGGCCATCCTGACCCTCCCATTTCGAGATTCGCCCATCGGAGTCGGTCGTGGCGCGAAAGGGTGCACTAGGTCCTAAAGGGCGGAGAAGGGTCAGGCTGACGGAGATATCGCGAGCGGGTAGTCCGGTGACGGTGTCGAGAACGTGGCAGGTTATGGGATCTTTGGCTGTAGCGGGGGGTGCCAATTGGGTTTCTGTGGATTTGGAATTGTCTTGGGAGGGCGGGAGAGGGGAGAGGGTCATCTTGGTGGTTTTGGTTAGGTTTTGGAAGTGGTCGTCCATGTTTGATGCTGAAATTGGAGAGATCAAGGGCTGGTTCCGCTTCCTTGCGTGAGGATGTTGGGATGAAAGTCTTCTCAATCCTGGATCCTGCGGGGTTCGGTGGCGACGCCCCGCAGCACCCGCAAGTTGGAACCGGGCGGGCCGGAACGAAGGCTTAAGCGGTTAGATTTGTTCCAGACCCAAAATCATTGAAGACTGCCTCTAGATAATACTTCTTCAATAGGGGAATACAACAATTCGCTCACCGCTTCCAATGACTTGACGCTACATCATCAATTCAGTATCCTCATTCCTCGTCCCTCGTCCCTCATCCCTCATTCCGGTGCCTCATATGGCTTGATTAGCATCTCGCTGAAGCTGTAGACAGACACGACGTCAGTTGACGGACCGATGAAGAGGAAAGGATTGAAGATCTTACCTTTTCAGCTTCTCCACTCCTCTGACCTCCTCTACTAACAGTGGCATCTTCACCACATTGAACTCATCATAAAGCTCTTCTATCTGCTCCAAGTATTTCTTTTGCATCTTTCTCCTGGCGTTACACTGTTCACATTCATTCGACTTCTTTGGGAACAGCAGCTGGTTGACCACGATTGCGTGTGTGTCAATTTCATAGCCAGATAGCTCCTGGATCATCCGCTCTGTTTCATACAGTGACAAGAATTCGGCAATGCACACACATACGAATGTCGTCATGTCAGCATTCTTGAATTGTGTATTGACCTCGGAGATCGTTTCGCGGAGGGACTCCATCTTTGCGATCACGTCGTCCATGCTTTGGCCGCCCGGCAAACCACCTCGAGCGCCGACGATGGAATTGAGCATGGGGCCAAACTGGGTGGACAGTTGCGAGATCTTGGCCAGGGCTTTCTCCATCACGGTAGGGAATTGAAGGAAGCGAAGTGTGTGTCCCGTCGGTGCGGTGTCGAAGACGATGACTTCGTACGAAAGACTTTTGACCTGCTTCAGAACCTCTGCAAACGACATTGCCTCATCTACTCCCGGGATCTTTTGCATATTCCTTAGCGAACTTCGTCTTCATTGCTCCCTAATGACACTCACACTGAAAGCAAGGTCCTGCATCATTCCTCCCAACCCTCCCGTTTGTGCCATCATCTCGTCTGCAGATTCACCACCCTCTTTCAGTAAGTCTTGAATACTGCCATTTGGATCTATTTCCATGGCACTCAGGTTGGTGAAGCCATCTATGAGTCGAGCTTCCTTCCCAAACTTTTGGCTAAATGCGTCGCTAAGATTGTGGGCAGGGTCGGTGGATATGAGGAGTACTGATTTTCTGACCTTCGCTAGTTGAATGGCTAGGGAGGAAGAAGTTGTCGTTTTGCCAACACCGCCTTTCCCACCAACGAAGATCCAGCGGAGAGACTTTTGATTTATGATACCCTCGAGGGTTGGCGCGAGATCCTCTGCGTCTCCATCGATGGAGGCAGACATGGTAAATTGTAAGAGAAAAGGGTGAGATGCCCGTTTGGAGATGCAGAGAACAATGGAGTGAGCCAAGTTGGGAATGAAAGACTGGTGCCGGTCGATGTCAGAAACTTGGTTCAGCTTTGATGACGTTCGTTGCTCCCGTGGTGCCCGCCTTGTGGAGATCTTTCTGCTCCGGCGGGGGAAAGCCCCTAAAATCGGGAGTTTCTAGGGACTCTGTGGAAGCTTTCGCGGGAAGGCTCAAGCCTAGAAAGACGTGGCACTATTTACTCGCAGACGCGCTTGCGCACTCTCTCTACATCCCACCTCACGCGTGCAATCATTAGTCGTGAGATTTTGTCGACGGAATTCTGAATCCGAGAATGCGCACATGGGCGATGAACGAGGCCGTCGCATTGACGATGCCCTGTCGCATCTGGTCGACAATCTCGTGCCGGTGTCGGATGACGAGAATGAGGACGTTGCAGACGCCAGACATGACCAAGCCGTAGACCTTGCAAGGAATATCATTGAAGGGTTCGTCCCCACTTGTTGCCTCAGACACCTAACTGAAGCTGTGCAATAGTCACAATGCGACTTCGACAACGTCAGATGTTCAGCATGCCGCTGATTTGATCAAGAAGAAGCGTTAGGGAAAACTTGCACACTCACCGTCAGGATGCTTGCTTACCGCCAATAGTCCTGCGCGAGAACGACTCCCCTGATAAAGCCGTGCAATTCTCAAATCTCTATACCCGCCTCTTATCACAGCCAGTCATCAAGAACAAATGGGAAACGTTATATTTATTGCATCAATTGGCGGGGTCTGGTGCGGATGAAAGTTTTGTCGAGTCCGAGCAAGGCAGTGGAGCTGTAGAGCATCGCGGACTGTCAATTCGTCCGAGTGATTTCGATGATCAGACGTATCGAGATGCTTTTGCAACAACAGGTCTGCCCAAGCCGTCCAAACAGGCAAGACAAACAAGTCAACCCAACCACTTTGACGGCAGATTCAGCAGAGAAGCCTCCTCGGCGGCTGTCAAGGATATTCCTGAGGCGAACGAAGATGGCGAACCGACGGCGATATTCAGCACAAATGGGCCGTCAGAAGCTGCATTACTGCGAGATCTCCCATTTACGTTACAGGGTCTTTCCACCACCAACATGCCCCTATCTGCCCAACACACACTCATACTTCCACCTACTCTACCTTTGCCTGTCATATATCTGCTGCACGATCTCGCTGAACCTTCTCTCCTTTACCATAGCTTGTCTGAATTCGTTGAGTCGAAAGATGAAAGCTTAATTGGTCAAAGTCTACGTTCTGCATTTCAAAGCGAGTTGCGCTCTTATCTTGGTCTCATCACATCGTTAGAAACCCAGATACGGCAGGCTCTCTCTTCAGCGCAATTGAAGGAGGGAGAAAATGGCCCTCGAAAAATTGGTGTCACACTTAAGAGATGTGTTCTATGGACTAGGGAAGCAACTATGGCGTTACGATTGATGAGTCTGATGGTCGAAGAATCGAAGACAAGGAAGGGAGGGCAATTGATCTCAATGATACACAGCTTTTCCACTTCACACGGCGACCCTTTTGTGGGCGCTTTCGCTGAGCGGCTACTTACCCACGTGACACGACCGTTTTACGACATGCTACGATCATGGATATACGACGGTGAGTTGTCAGATCCTTATCATGAGTTCTTCGTCATCGAGCAGGGACCTAGCGATCCAGGCGACGATTCAAAGAGAGCCCCTGCTACAAGTGTTTGGGAGGAGAAGTATCGACAGGACGACACAACCATTCCCACCATAATCACGGACGAATTCGCTCGAAAGATCTTTCTTATTGGCAAAAGCTTGAATTTCATCCGTTACAGTTGCGGAGACTCTGCTTGGGTAGAGGCGTACTCAAAGGACGCCTCACGGGAATTAAAATACGGAGACACTGCGACATTAGAGAGTTCCATAGACCAGGCATACAGGACGACAATGGCTCGTTTGACTCATCTCATGGATACCAAATTTCAGCTGTTTGAACACCTGAGCGCTCTGAAGCGATATCTGCTGCTTGGCCAAGGTGACTTCATTGCCCTACTTATGGAATCTCTGTCGAGTAATTTGGACAGACCAGCAGGATCTCAATACAGACATATGCTCACAGCCCAGCTTGAGCATGCAATCAGAGGTTCCAATGCTCAGTACGACCCACCTGATATCCTTCGCCGTTTAGACGCACGATTGACTGAGATGGAAAAGGGGGACACTGGATGGGATGTCTTCACGCTTGAATATAAGGTTGATGCTCCTGTGGACGTCATTATCACGCCTTGGGCCAATCGCCAGTATCTCAAAATCTTCAATCTCCTCTGGCGTGTGAAACGTGTGGAATTTGCTTTGGGCAGTACCTGGCGCAGATGTATGACGGGCGCTCGAGGAGTGTTGGCCTCTGTGGGTGAAGATATGAGAAAGGACTGGAAGAAAGCCCGCTGTGCCATCGCTGAGATGGTCCACTTCGTGGACCAACTTCAATACTACATTCTGTTCGAGGTCATCGAAGCATCTTGGGATATTCTCCACGCCGCAATCTCCAAGCCTGGCTGTACACTTGACGACCTAATATCAGCGCACAGTCGCTATTTACGATCAATCACACATAAAGGTCTGCTTGGTTCTGTCCGAGTTACAAGCTCCGGCCACAAAGAAGACGTTTTCACGGTCCAGTTGCACGAGATCCTCAAATTAATACTCTCGTATAAAGAGGCTGTGGATGGCCTCTACTCTTTCAGCGTCGCCGATTTTACGAGGAAGCAAGAACTTGCTGCGAAAATTGAGACGAGGACGGCGCAGGGGAGATGGGGTCTCACCGAGAAGGACGAAGACGAGCTCAACTCCCCGCATCCGCACCTTCACAAAACCAAAACGTCCGGCCGTACTGCTGCTACTGGTAGCGGGACCGACTCCCCCTTTCCGATCACCACAAACCCTCTCTCCGCCCTGCCGCCGGACGAGAAAAGCATGCTTCCTGCGCTGCGAACGCGCTTGAGCTCCCTTTCCGCGGATTTCAAAGTCAGGATCAACAACCTCTTGGGTGATTTAGCGGTCCAACCAGATGTTGACATGAAGTTCCTCGCCATGGTGATGAACTTTAATGATGTGTATCAGCCGCGGAAGAGACGACGGCATGGTACCACTGTCACAGGGGCGGCAGAGAAGAAAACACCCGCGCCCGCAAATGCTAGTGAGAATGTAGGCAATACTACTGAGAAGAAAAAGGAATCTGAAGGGCTGAAGCCACCGGTAAACGCACGGAGAGGGAAATGAATTGCTTTGTCGCTGAGTGGGAAAGGGGAGAGCGTGGCGCTTGGCGGCGTCCTCTGTTGGTAAATGGAACGAGCGGGTGTATGATACCGAATACGTGAACAAGAAAGGTAGGCTCAGCGATGTAAAATAGGTCGAGAGGGTACAGAGTAAATGAACCTGCTCAACTTGTCTTGGAGTTTTCATTCACTGTCCTCCTCCACTACTCGAAGTCGCATCACTACTCTCTCCTTGCGACAGCTGTGGTCTCTTGACTGCCCTCACATCCGACTTCTCAGTAGCTCGCTTTTCCTCGTCGCCGCTGCTGCTACTGCTCGTGTCGTCGTCATCTGGTACACCCATCCTCATCTTTCTATTCTGCCTTTTTCTCTTCTTTCCTTTCCTTGGTGCCTCGCCATCCTGTTCCCCACCTTTCGCTGCGCCATTCCTTCTACCAACCTTCCCATTGGCAGCATCATTAATACCATTCGTGATATTTCCCTCTCCAGTTTCGCCAAAGACAATCTTCTTACCTGTCCCCTGCTTCGCCCCGTTTAGCCTGGTGGCGTCTCGTCCGAGCATCCATCCATTCCTTCTGCCTTCCTCGCCGTCCCACGATCCCGCAGATCGTTCAGGATAGGACCCATTTGTCTGCGGCGGCACCGACAGCGATGGCGGCTTCACAGGAGGGATTTGGGTTTCTTTCTCCCCAACAGCCCATAGCGCAGCCTCCGCCCTCTTCCTCTTTTGGAGACGGCGCTCCCATTCTTTCTTTTCCAGTCCAAATTCGAACTCTCGATCCTCACGCTCGTATTCCTTTTTTTTCAGTATCCGTTTGAATTGCTTGACATATGCTAGGTACTCGACTTTGTGGCGAGCTTGGCAGCCCGTGTCTGCTTCGAGGGGAGTAGACCTCATGGATTCCCTGTCCGTGACACTGTCTTGTTGCTCCACAGTGTTGAGTTCGCCGCCTATTTTGTCGGTGGCGATGGAGTTAAGCCATGCAGCATCAGCTTCACGTATCTCGAGAGCCTGCTCCCTTAACTTTTGACGAGCGCTGAAGCTTTTCAGGCCTGGGAGATAGGAGATAAGGGCAGCGTCGTAGGTTATAGGTATGTCGGAAACTGAGAACACTTTTTGAAGGATATGATGTTCTTGCTTCTTTGAAAACTTCCAGATTGAGGGCGAGTCATGGTAGGTAGAGAGGTAGGTGAGGTAGGATGGAAGTGAATCTGAAGGTTGAGGCTGGGTGGTCTGATGGGGTGAGGTCTTGGGCTTAGTCTTTTTCTTTTTGGTCCTCTTGGGTTCACCTGGGAGAGTGTGTGACGGTGCTTTGGTGATCTGCAGTTCGGTTTCTTGATTTCGAGCTTCGCCGGAAGCAGAATTGGGAGACAAGCTTACAGAGCCATCAATTTTCTCCTTCGACAGGTTCTTCGCTTGCCGTGAGGAGAGCCATGCCTTGTAGATTTGCTTCACGCTATCGCCATCTTCAATCTTCGTCTCCGGAGTGAAGGATACAGACTTGCGCTTCTGTGTCGAAGAGCCGGTTTCCCCCACAGGAGCAGGGCTGTCTATCGGCAGTCCACTTGATTCCGCGGAGCCACTGGAGCCGATGTTTCCATTTTGCGCAGTCTTACGCCTTTTTCGTGGGCCATCAATGTCACCAAGGTTGTCAGTTACAGCTGAGGGCGTTGACTGTTTCGCGTACTTCAGCTTCAAGCCCAATTTCTTCCACGCTGGAGTATGCCCTTGCGGAGTCATGAAATTCGCTTAATGTGGTCGTGAGCAACCAAGCTATTCCTCATTCACATCCTCAGGTAGGCGTCCCAATTGCGGTCTACAATTGGCAGAACGCGTTGCGGGATGCATGGCACAATATTTTCCTGCACCTTACACATCAGAGCTCGGCTAGCGGCCGCTAGTTCTCGATCGAAAAGGGGTTGGCATGTAGCTTCACCAACTGGGGTCCTGGCTTATGGGGAAAGATCATGAGTTAAGGAATAAATCTCTTAGACTTGAAGCTAGTCTCTTCTGTACGTATGTCATAGACCTCATCTACTCACAACCCATCATGTTCGCAAAGAAACCATCCCTATGCCGCTCAATCGATCGTCAGACCACGAATTATTCTGTGAACCACAATGCCTCAGGATCCTTTCATGATCACTCTCTCAAACTGTGTCCCTCTCACTGCTCCTCCACTCATGGAGGTCCGTACGTTTCTCTTGAAGCCTTCTCTATTTGACCGTAGATCCTCCGCTGCCTCCTTGTTCAGTGGGTCCGATGCGTTTGGTTCGAGGTACAGAAACTGTAGTCCATTAGCCTTGCTTGGAACCGAACATCACGCCGTGCGACCTCGTTGCTGCTCCCACGTACCTGTAGTCCTACAATCACGGCGTTTAAATTCAACACAGGTTTCCAGTCCTCCCTTAGAATGTTCAGGCAGACGTTGCCCTCTAAATCGATGTTTGGGTGGTATATCTTCTGCTTGCACTTGACCTTCGGAGGGTCATGGGGGAAATTCTGGTTGATGGCAAAGTTGAAGAGGAACGATCCTCCCTTGTACATCCCTTCGTCAGGCTCGATAGTGAGAGTGAAATTGAGTATGTCATCGGGATTGGGAAAGGTGGTCTTCATCGTCCTTCCGAGCGTGCCCTCCAGCTCCTGTAGGTCTGGCGTAATCGAATATTAGCATGCTAGAGTCCCCGACTGCAGACCTCATCAGTAGCGATAGACCTTTCTGTACCCTCAACTGTGCCGCCGTGACCTTTTTCTTCTTTTGCCCCACTCCCTCGGCATTTGCATCCTTTTGCTGCTGTTGTTTCTGTGAAAGTCGCATTAATCTGTAGGATTTCTCATTACAGCGTATTAAAAAGAGAGCCATACCATGGACCATATTTTCAACATTTTCCGTTACTCGGTGGAGAGATGGTAGAGGGAAGGAGGGATGGTTGGACAAGAGGCAATAGAAGAGGTAGTAATTACAAATTCGTATTATTGAAGACTTGGATTGCGTCTGCCTGGTGTCGCATGACACTTATCTCGTTTGTAACGCAAACACTAGTATGATGGCATCGCCGGGTGCTGTCAAACGTATTGGCCTCAACTTTTTAGGACGTAGGTATTTCACAACTCTAAGGGTACGCTGGTCTAAATTTTGGGTTCACAGTGAACGTTCATTCCTTTTCATCTTCAATTTGGGCGTTTCAAACACCATGATCGCTAATATTGCAAGATCCCAAGGGCATTAATTGCCAGCTGCACAGAACAACTTATTGCCGGTATTCACAGCTGATATGCACACGTCGTAAAACACCCCTGTACAGCATCCAGCCGAATTTGGTGCCTGAAGCCGGCACTCATCTCCGATTGAAGCAACATAACAGCCCTGACTTCCCCAAAAACCAGCAGCAACCAAGGAATCGCACAACGGAGAGGCCTGCGGTCGCCCACAACAAAGCCTGGAAGAAATGTGCAGTTCTTTGATTGGCTCCACTCTGCAAATGCTGTCAGTTTTCCTTCTTGTGATCAGAATCGTGGAGACATACCGAGAGCCCAAATTTGTCAAAACTTTCGCTAGTAATAACAACTGCGAGCAATGCGTTAGAGAAGATCCAAGCAGTAACCAACTTCGTTCTGAAGCTTTTGTACGAATCGTCCAGGGTCTTCTTCTCGACAACAACAGGGTCTTTGTATTCCTGCAGTGCCCTCTTGACGGTGACTTCAAATTGACTATCAATATCTGCCTGTGGTTTGTCCGGTTCCTCAATGACCGCTGCCTTTCCATCTCCGGATTTGGTTGTTTGTGCAGACGGTAAGACGTCTGCCTTGTCCGAGCCTTTTGTTCCCCAAGAAACATCATGCCAATTACTGAAGGCATAGACCATGAGAATGTTGATGTAGGATGACATAGTCAAAAGGTATTGAGGGAACGAGGTGAACATGTGCCACGGGTCAAGGTACATGAAGGAGGCGACAAAGTACAATCCGAATGTGGCGACGAGGGCGATAATGATGATCCCTACGCTGGATGAGGAGAAGAAGGATCTGAAAAACGGGCTCACTCCATCGTCGAGGTCGATTGAGGTCTGTCCCTCCTTGTGAACCGTAAAAGCACGAATGACCAGATACAAGGATAACACGATTAGGTATAGTTGAATGACTGCGAAGACGATGAAAGAGCTGATGTATGTCCATCGCGAACTAATTGCCATGTCAGTCAATCATAGTCAAAATTTGATCGCTGAGCTTACCCCTTTGGTCGATTTCCTAATGCAAGAATAAATTGCAGCATGACGTACGCAAGATAGAGGTACTTGAATACGGTATTGACAATGGGAGTTACCGTATTTCCAAAGGGAAACGCGTGATTGTCATTTGCCTGGCCGGGGAGGCCGACAAGATCCATGATCACGCTGGTCGTAAGCCAGAATGCCGCTACCATGTTTTGTCAGTTAAATGGCCCAGCAGAGGTTAAGTTGGCTTACCTAAAGCAAACCACGCGAGAATCACAGAGAACACGTTGTACAGCATCTGTACGTGGAAGAAGATCATGCGGACTATATTGTGACTGCTCTTATACATCCTTCCGAAGTGCATCAACGAGTATATGCTTGCTGCGAAGGAGCCATTTAGCCAGCGGCGGCGTTGACCAATGAATTCGGGAGCCCCTTCAGGTACATCAGTCTCAGCTTTAGATGCTTTGACGTAGGTTAAATGCCATTTGGCCCCGGCTTTGGCAACGAGCTCAAAGCAAAGGATGCGGTCCTCGGCCAAGAACATATTCTTCTTGAAGATATTCATATTCTCGATGCCTTTCCCCTTGTTGATAAGAGTTGCTGTATGGTCTCCATGGAAATATTGCTCGAGGGGTCTGCCCATAATTGCACGGAATCGGTAGGCCGAGAATGCTCCTGGTAACACGCTCACATAGCCAAAGGAACTCTCCAAGGGCTTGTCCAAAATGTTGCTGATTTTGTACTCAAAATTCTGCGAAGCCACAAGTGGGTTTATAAGATTTCTCCAGCCCGGTCCTAACATAGCATGGATCTCCCCACAGGCTCCACCGAGATCTTTGTCGTTGTAGAAAGCCTCCCAGAGAGCCAAGAGGGATTTTGCGCCAGGTTTCGTCCCGGCGTCAATCAGGATGCATACTTCCGGGTTCAAAATGCGACCAAAACCATTGAAGAGCCACCTGTGGGAATTGATCTTCTTGCTATTCTTCTGCTTCAAGCAGAAAATCATTTGCACAGGCGGTAAAGTGGCGGGACTTTCATCTTGAGGCTGAACTAGCTTCTGATTTGCCGTCACGGAAAGTTGGGTAGTGTATTCGAACTGTCAAAGTCAGCGACCCCATATCCTTCACCTTTCAAGCTCAGACCTACAATGTGTGCAACAGTCTCTTTACCATCAACGTCTTTTTTCATGATACCGTCTTGATAGATACCAACAGTTGCGAGGACATCAAGAGTTCCTTTGTCGCATGGATCGATTCCATCGAAAATCAATGCCACTACTATTTTCTGCCAGGCAGGCCCACCTTTGTTCCAGAACTCAGTCCTTTTGATATTCACGATGTCCCGAATGTTCTGCATGACCCCATGCAGGGTTCGAGCTGTCAAGACCTTGTCTTCATTATAGTATGTAATGGCGATCAAAAGTTCTGTATGTCGATTATACATTGCAGGTCGGAGATTGTAGCCATTCTTAAGTGTGAACTCGTTTGGATCGCACGTCGCGGCAGTATCTATGCGCCATTAGCATCGGTTCGTTTACATTAGGACAATGTAGTACATCTCAAATGGGTGAATTCTTCGCTTCCTCCTTCCAGATCATTACGGTACCTGGCCTGGACAGCGTTCTGGATAGCACTAGGGACGGGATAATCAACGCTCAGGACTTGGCCCTGAATGAGCTTGACTTTTCGAGTTGCATATCGTTTCAAGCTCGCTCCAGGGGCTTGTCTCTGCCGCCATGCTTCAGTTGACCCGGAATCGCTCCTTTCATACGGAGATGGGGTTCGTCCTGGCACGCCAAAGGCGGCGGTTGGGTCTTGGAGGTAGTTTTCGTGATAGCCACCGCTGTGTGAAGTTGCTGAAGATTTACCATCGCCAACATATGATTCAGATAACGTATAGTTAGAGGCTGGTCGGACGGGTGGAGTTGCTGTTCGCGAGTGGGGCTCATCGAAAGGTCCTGCGAAAGGACCGTGACCTTCGTGCAGTAGAGCTCGTTCATCCTCCTCGTCAGAATTATCATGCGGAGGCAAATGGTATTGCTAGGCACAGGTCAGTCCCGTCCTTAACATCCCGTCTGCTCCGCTTACGTTTCCTGGGGGCATATCTTGCAGTCTGTGCCCGTCGCCATAACCTCCTCCGGGAGGGCCTTGATAGGCCATTCTGCTCTTCCTCTTAAGTGCAAGGGCGATTACAGGCCTTCAAAAATCTGTTCAGGGGAAATGGCACGGTGTGGAGTGATCCGGATTGGGAGAACAAAGGCAGGGTGTTTGAGGATAGTCGTCGGATGGTCGCCTGGACCCTTCAATGCAATGAAATGTGTCAAGAACGACGAGACGTCGCTCTTCCACTCATTTGATGGACGAAATGAGGCTGAGTGGTAGGATTGGAGGTTTAAGCAAATAGAAATATCCTACTTAGGGGGATGTTTGGATAAAATATCCCCTGCTCCTGCGCCAAGAAATCGAGAGGGGTGGCGCGACTAAGATATTCGTGTTTCTGCAACCGCTATACGATATTTGTGATTGGCATTTATATTCCAGCGTCGTTCGTGAATTGGTGAGAAACCTCGGTGATATCTTGTATTATTATCTCGTGGACATCGTGCCCTGTCTATAGGGTCTTCCATAGGACTGTTCTGGCCTCCATAAGGCAAGCCTCACCCAGCTGGATTTCCCACTGAGGCTTGTGGGTGGCTTCGCCGATTCCCAAAATAGCTACACGGTCTCCCAGCTGAAAACATCTGGTCAAGCCTTTGAGAATACTACCTGTTTATTGCTACCGCAACGACGGACTCAGCTACAGTCACGAGAAGTTATTGCAAGACTTCGACTAGCTTTGTACCCTTTGGTTGTGCCCTATGCAAGTGGAAGACCTTGATCCACAGGCATAACCTATATTGACGCTGTTAAGGGTTATAGGGAAGATGCGGGTCATGACTGCGCAGTTGACATCAGATCGCAACTCGTAAAGATAGAGCAGATGAAGGGATGATGTTCCTGGTCTTTAGGGCGGCCTCAACAGCGTAGTGATCTATGTCTGAGAACATTCCTCCCATTGTCAGGTGATCGATTGGTTGATTATAGCATGGTCATAATAATCAGACGCTGAGCTGTCACCGTAAGCACTCTCCCATAAATGGACAGCACTATCTGCTCCGAATGCCTGTCAACCAATATGCTCGACAGCCACTGCCAGTGTCGCCAGTGTCTAAAGTCGACCCATATGTTGCAACTTCGTAGCCCTTCTGCCACTAGTGCCCGTCGAGACATATTATAAGGAAAACGGTCATCGCTTGTCATTATTATGCAGGTCAACTCTAACGAATTGAGAAACTTCACGCCGCGCTCGGAGATATGTGATACGATCTGGAAGGATTTTAGTCGAACAAGACGGCACGCTGAAGCAGGGACGGCCGTTGATAGAACAATCCGGGGGTCAAGCGGCAGTAAGTCGCATGCATTGATGCGCTTGGAAGACCCGACGCCAGATCGCCGACCTTGCTTTGCAAATTGAAGGGGGATCTGTTCATTAGTAGTGTTGTCAAGAAAAGGAAGCGAAGGCTTGCTAGAGTGAGGCACGACTTCAGACCAACAGGAGGAGGAGTTGTGACTAGTGACAGTTGTAGTTGTGCTTGCGGAAGAGAGGCTCCAAAAGCCTCCCAGTCGTGTTTTCCGGAGTCTCCACCTGCGTCCAGGCGAGGAGCAGGCTGGAGCGCAATTCCGGGTGGAGCCTTCGAGAACGCATACTGTCCCTTTCTGATTTGTTGGTCCAACTTTAGGTGCCTTAGTCTTTGGTATTTAGTGCCTGAAGAGGTGTTAGATTTGTGCCGCTAGTCTTAGACCACCGTTCGTCGCTGTACCTGTTCTGCCCAGCCCGTGGGTGACTTTCGGTCAGCACAACATAGTCCACTCTTCCCCTCTCCCTCCTTCCCTTCCTCGACAGACGCCCATCGACAATCACCAGGTCCTCGCGAGCGCCTGCCAGATTGATTTCACATAAATAAGAAGTCAAGAGAAGGAAGTTGACGCGAAGCGCGGCTCAGAACAACCGTTCGATAGGGGTTTATGCGACCGACTGCGCCGCTCCTAAATTCACCACTGCCTTCTACCACCCGAACATCCACCATATCTTCCCGCACGCCTATGTGACAACGAGAAACAAAAGTGCTGCTCGGAAAGTTAGAAAACGCTGTTCAACATTCATTCACGGCATTGGTCTTGAGGTGCTCCTTTAAAGACTCAATATCCTTTGTTTCTCAACGATCTAGAACAACAACCTCTCAGCCCAACGGCAGACAGCCAATTTTCACTTGACCACCACACTCGTTCCATCACTCGCTTCTCTTCCGAGTCATTCATTTTCAATTGATTATAGCCAATTCATCTGCGAACATGCTCCACCTGGTATAGCATATTGGCAAAACTTGCGCAACAACCGCGATGGCGACAATGGATCTTGGTCGCCTTGGCCGTTTTGGTAAGAATCAAGTGGCTCCGGGGGTCTGTACAACCATTAACAGTCATAGACGCCGATCTTTCCAGCCCTATGCTCTTTCGGAGATGTGCTACTTGCCCACCTCAGCCGCCCCCATGTCCTCAATGCGAAGCGAACGAAGTCTGTACGCTCCTGGGTGGGGGATGCGATAGTTGCCCGATCACAAATTGTACGAAGATTGGTGCAGATGACAGTCCCCCTTCTGCACAATCAGGTCCGTCACCAGCGGGTCCGATTGCGGGCGGTGTTATAGGAGGCATTGTCTTCGTGTGCTTTGTTACGTTTATGGTTTGGACATTCTGTATCAAGAGGAGGAGAAGACAACAAGCGGACGAAGAGCCATGGCAAGAGGCAGAATACGAGAAGGAAGGAGACGATTTCCACTCACACCGACGAGGGCGGTCCTCAATGCATTCAGTACGATCAATAGCATCGACTGTACTGACGAGGGCCTCCAATGTCATCCAGATAGCATACATACCTGGCGTCACTAACAGATCCGTCGAGTCAACACCAGACCTCATCCCTCCAGTGCCACCAGTGCCCGCTCTCTCTACCTTTGGTTCGGCTGCTGGAACTCCTCATCCACCTCAAGACGAACATTTCTTCATGCCGAGTGACCTTCGAAACTCGACGTATTCTGACTACACCGTTGACCGGACATCATATGCCCGGACAAGCATGTCTCCCAGCGTTGCTAGAGGGAGCGTTCCGTCCACCGCTTATAGGGGCAGTGCAATCGTCAACACCTTACCTGCGCAAACTGCTGTCAGAGGCAAGGCAAATCCTGTAGCTGTCAGACCAAACGATCGAGGCAGCCCGTCTGATCGATCTAGATCTGGCTCCCCGGCAGTCCCGGCAATTGAGAAGGCACAATTAAGAAATAACACAACCAGCCCGATAGTCGCTCGATTGGGCGTTCCGAAGGCGGTCACTGTGACGAGATCGACTGGTAATCTGGCCGCCGCTGCTGCTGCGCAGAAAGGCGCTAGTCCAGTGGGAAGTGAAAAATCAAAAGCAAGTTCAGCGAAAAAGGAGGAGCGACGAGTCTCTATTGCCGATTCGCGGCATGACGGCCACTCGTCAACTTTTGACGACGTTTCAAGCAGTGACGATGATTCACCGGCTGATCAAAGCCTCATGGGCCACGATAAGCTACCTCGATTCTCCAGGTTAGACGCCAACGACAATGTCCGTTCTCCATCTTCCGCACCAGATCTTCGTCTCGTACCGTCACCTCTTCAGCCTTCCTCCTCTCCAGACACTCTTGGTAAAGCTAGGAAGCAAAAACACAAAAGATCGGGGAGCTTAAATCAGATAATAGAAGAAGCTACTCGAAAGGCTAGAAAAGAGCCTAGGCACGGTGGGCTGGGCAGCGTTGGAAACATATTTGAGAATCCGTCGAGGGCGAGAGACATCGATGGATCGAGAGAAGGCCCCTTTTCGGATGCCCATGCAGCGAGGACACCATAACGATTATCTTTTTATCTGCATTTCACGTCGAACCAAAAGCTTAGGGGACCTGACGACGGCTTTGGTGTAAACTACATCATTCTCCACGGCGCTTACGGTTGTTTCATGGTGGCTGCTGCGTTCTATGAGCTTTGGACGGGGTAGGCACCCACTTAAATGTATTCCACGATCTGGTGGGGCTTTTGTGACAACTAAAGATTATACCTAATTAGATCCAATCTACTTCTATTCACTAGCCAAAAGAAAACTTCGTGCAGTTGGCAGATTATGGCAATCGCATCAGCCAGCTCATATGCTCAACTAATTCTTATGAGTCTTAAATATCCACCTATGAAGGCACAGATACTGTGTTAGTAGACTATCAAAGTGAAGCCCAAAGATGGGGCGTGACACTAGTATTTCTAACACAAACATCAATGCTTCGAGCGCCCTTGCATGGATCCTGCATTCAGCGACGGCTAGAAACCAAAACGGTGCGTCTTTTGAACTTGGCATCTTCTTCCTCTTTCCATCATCCGACCCACCTTCATTATTCCAATCGTCAGCTCACGTCGAGACCGACAATGGCGCCCAAATTAGACGGCTATTTCAAACAGTAAACACTCTGCGTCTTGCACAGAAACATATTGCTAATTATTCGTAGAGTAGACAAGTTGTCAGAAACTTTCATTGACCGTGAGTGATGCTTTCGGCACATGGAGAAGCCATTTACTCACGTTCATAAGGCCTCCGCAAAGCCGTTGCCATTCCTTCGATCTCAGCAGATGATGACCGCCGGCAAGATGTCGTCAAGGTCAGCAAAACACCTCTTTACTTGAAGCATAGCCACGGGCTTGCCCTGACAATTCCATCCGCTAGATGTCCGAATTCCTCGTCTCCGAACTTACATCCCTAGGCGCACACGTCGAGTCTCGTCCGCTTGGGCCACAACCAGGCAAAAGAGATCTCGATCTTCCTCCTGTGATAGTCGCCCGCCATGGCTCCTCCCCAGACAAGCGCACAATCCTTCTCTACGGCCATTATGACGTTCAACCTGCCCTGAAAGACGACGGATGGGCGACCGAGCCATTTGCCCTGTCCATAGACGATAAAGGACGAATGTATGGCCGTGGCAGCACAGACGACAAAGGCCCAGTGCTTGGTTGGCTGAATGCAATACACGCGCACCGAGAAGCTAGAATAGAGCTACCGGTGAACCTGCTAATGTGCTTCGAGGGTATGGAAGAATATGGTTCAGAAGGCCTCGACGACTTCATAGAAAAGGAAGCAAAGCCAGGCGGCTTCTTCGCTGATGCCGATGCCGTTTGTATCAGTGACAATTACTGGTTGGGGACCGAAAAGCCATGTCTTACATATGGCCTGCGAGGCTGCAACTACTACAGCGTGGCGATCAGCGGGCCTGGACAAGATCTTCACAGCGGAGTATTCGGCGGGTCTGCGCAGGAACCGATGACGGATCTCATGCGCGTGCTTGGTAGCCTGGTAGATACGAACGGCAAGATTAAGATCCCGGGCATTAATGAGATGGTCGCCCCCCTCAGTGAGGAGGAGAAGAGCATCTACGGCGGCATATCCTACACCATAGACAACCTTCACGAATCCATAGGTAGTACTACGGGCATCTATGAGGACAAAGAGAACACCCTCATGGCACGCTGGCGGTATCCTTCCCTCAGCGTCCACGGCATCGAGGGCGCCTTCTCAGCCGGCGGGGCAAAGACCGTCATCCCTGCCAAAGTGATAGGGAAGTTTTCAATTCGCACCGTGCCGGATATGGAGAGCGGCAAAGTGGACGAATGCGTCTTCAAACACGTCAAGGAGGTCTTTGCTGCTCTAACCTCGAAAAATACGTTGGATGTACAGCTCATGCATGCGGGCAATTGGTGGGTAGCGTCCCCAAAGCACTGGAACTATACGGCCGCTGCGAAGGCCGTGGAAGCAGTATTCCATACGAAGCCGGACCTGACAAGGGAAGGAGGAAGTATCCCTGTGACATTGACATTTGAGAAGGCGACGGGGAAGAATTGTTTATTGCTACCGATGGGCAGTTCGACGGATGCAGCGCATAGTATAAATGAGAAATTGGATCGGAGGAACTATATTGAGGGGACCAAGTTGTTGGGGTCATATTTGCATTACGTGGCTGCTGAAGAGCTGGGTGGGTAGGCGTGTGTAGGGGAGACTCGATAGGATAATCTTGACGATAGTGAAATGACATTCTGCATGCAGATTGCACTGTAGAGTTTGAAATCATTTCGTTTCTAGAGTCGATCGCAGGTGCATCCGCAGATGTCCAACTCCCCCCACTCCCGTTAAGTGCTCATCATGACATAGCCATCTCGGCCTGCAGTTTCCGTAACTCTTCTTCCTCGTCGTCTTCTTCCGTACGCACTTTCGTCTTTCCCTTCTCTGCATGAGTAACACCCGTGGTCAGCAAAAACTCTTCAAACAACTATATGAAATGAAGTCTCGAGGAGGAAACTCACTCTCTCCATTCGTAGCAACATGCTGCCTATCAAGCTCATCGCCTACCGGCACAGTGGTACCAGTCGATAACATCTGATTGTCCAGTTTCTCTTGCTCCATAGCCGCGAGTTCCCCTTCGAGTTCGTCCTCGTCGATCGGCTCGGTAATTGGCATGCTTGTGATTGCGGTGCCGATTTCTTGCGTAAGTTCGTGTTGTTCACGGAGTTGCTCCCTAAAGCACGGCAGTGAAAGACGTTAGCCAGAACTCTTGTCCAATTGCTTGTCGAAAAGGGAGCATTCGACGATGCTTATATGGCCATTTGGGTAACGTGGGACAAGATGAAACGTACATGGTGTTGTCCACATCCTCCATTGTCATCTTTCCGTGAATCTGCTTCATCGCCTGCCCAGCATTCTTCATGGCTGCTAGGGTCTCCTGATTTATGTTCGCGGATTCTATCGAGTATATTTGTTGTTCCAACATCTGTATCTGCCCTGCCGTTTGCTCCAGAGAGTGTTCGTGTTGCTTCTTCCTCTTGAGAGCGTTTCGCGCAGCTGAATGTTGAGCAGAACCCGCGTTAGTAATGTTCTTTTCTCAGAGCTTTGCCACTCCTAGATTATCGTGTGAAGATCGTAACCGAAATCCGTGGGACTTTCCCGGGTCTGGCAAGGTAGATCGAGGGTATTAACGTACCAGTTTTGTTGCTCGTGACACTCTCCCTAGCAACCTTATCTTGCTGGGCCATCTGACTTTCTAAATGCCGTTCCCTTTTTTGCAGCATATCCAGTTGCTGCCGCAGGTCCAGTATAGCTTTCTTCGGCGCATCTTTTCGGCTTTGGGCTGTTTGCCCGCCAAACCAGGCGCCCCACATGTTGACCAGACTTCTGTTGATCAGGGCTTGCTAGCCCAAATTGGAAGAAGGTCTCTAAGCCAGAGGGCAAAACTCCTCAACCGATATAGATCGAGATAGATCGACAGAGATGAGTTGGTGGTCGGGTTATCAGATGTTGCAAGGTCCGGTTCAAACGGCGTCGCGATATGTGTACAGGACGGGACCTCACCTCTTCTTGCGAGATAGTAACTACTGCCGGGTTTAGAGAGAAGGGGAGTGTTGACTTATCGTTCCGGGCTTCCTTAGAAATCATTGGAGAAAGCTTCAAGGCTCCAAAAGGTTGACATGACATACCGACCACGCTAAGCAAGTCACGTGCGCCTTTATTCAGTACCTTGTACGGTCTCTGCTTGACAACCCTTAGACACACATTACCCTCTGCGGAACCAAACCTGGCGTGCTACAGCAGAGTCGACGTGTAGGACTTTGATCAGTAAAGGACATGTAACATTGCTTGTATCGCTGCAATGAAGCACTTCCATGCGCAATTATGTCTACAGCCCCACCTGCGACTACGCTGACATTCCTCTCAAACCTACCGAACCTCGAGATAGGACGCAAGATCCGTTTCATTGGTTGTGTCACTGCCTATAAGACCGAAAGCGGCGTCTTGCGGCTTCAACATTCATATCCCTCTTCTCAGTCACGTACGATAGTAGCATTAGTCGACGTGAACCTTGTGCTCGAGAACTCAAAAAGAGAGGATCTAGAAATTGGATCCTGGGTAAACGTGATTGGTTATGTCGAAAAGACAACGAAGGAAAAGGAAGCAGCGCATAATACAAGCGACGAGAGAGAGAGAAAGCTAAACTCAGATCCAAATCGGAATCGTATGATTGACGAGATTAGCGTCCAAGCAGTCATGCTGTGGAATGCTGGAGCGTTAAAGATCACAGAGTATGAGAAAGCTCTAGAACAAAGATTGCGACCTTCTGGCGCGAAGACTTGAGAGAACGATTGTGCAAATGTTTGTATCTAAAATTTCGCGAATGTCGGCGAACACTAGGTTGTTCAGCTTCATTACACCCCAAGACTCCGAACCCCATCATATTGAATTTTGTAACAACAAAGGGTGCCACCCTAGATTTTCCTGTGACAAAAGTGACCACTCGATGCGCAGTAGCTAACTATATGTGCCTGTTGCAATAGCGCCCACGCACCACGTTATACAATCTTGATCATGATATGTCGTTATAGTTGGATCTATGCGCCGCTGTTCAATTAAACGTGCCGAGGAGTCAGACTGTCCGGCGGTCATCATTATCGACCACGCCCCGGCACATTCTGGTGACCATTTGGCAAACCCATGCCATATGGGTGTGCGTGTGGGTTGAATTCTTGCTGTTGTTGAAAGTACTGGGTAATTCCTTGGCTCTGTGAAATCGGGCAGTCTTTATGTTGGATGAGGAGCGTTTTCAAGCCAACAATCTCCTCTCTCAATGCATGAACCTGCGCTGTGAGAGAGTCGTTCTCGGTACTAAACATCTCCACCTTATTTTGTAAATTTTGCAACCATTGTTTCTTCCGCTGGCGACATTTGAGAGCAGCAACGCTATACAAGACCAATGAGTAGGGATGACGAGAATGTGGGACAAAGCTTACCGATTCCTCTCCAGAAAGTTTTTCCTCTTCTCTTCGTCGGTCATCTTGCGTGTGTCTTGAGGCTCTTCTTTGATATCCATGTCGTCATCATCAGAGTCCATATCCTGCATGTCATCCATGATGTCCAAGTTGCGCTGCTTCTTAGAGGGCGGCTGCTTCAAGGGATTGTCTTCTGCCTTACGTCTGCCGTTACTCGTACTAATATTCTTCCCGCCAGAGGACCTTTTGCCTTTTGATCTTGTAGCCATGCGACCCTCAGAACCTTCATCAGACAAATCTCCACTGCCATGAGTGGAGCCGTTCAAGCTTCCGTTCCGTGCATTGCGCATATTGGGTGACGTTTCTATATTTTGCCTCTGATGGTTAGCCGTGTTATTGTTGAGGGATGAATATTGGCTTGCTTGTTGACCATTGGTGGCTTGTGCGAGAAGATATAATCCATTGGCAGCATCGTTATCGTGTTGACCGAAAGTCGATTGTGGGGCCGGTTGCTGCTGTAATAGAGGATCCATTGATGAGGCTGGTATATTCTTACTCTCTTGAGGAGCTGATGAGTTGCCACCGTACTGCTTATTTTTGTTCGCGGCAGCAGCGTTAATGGCAGTTCGGTGAAAGTCAATGGTGCTGGGAGTTGCGCCACCACCTGCCAGTGATTGGATGAATGCTTGTGAATTTGGGCTAGGAGCTGGAAACATAGACCCTCCCCCACCTGGGGTCAGGCCCGTCCGTAAGGATGATTCGTTTGGTGTCACACCAGGGAAAGCAGTTCCAGCTTGCGGGCCGAAATAATCCGTACCCGATCCAACGGGACCTCCCAGCATAGCAGGACTCAAAGGCCCTGCCCTTAATGATGAGGCGAAATTATAGCCACTTGTAGATGATCCCTCTGGTTGAAGCGGTGCGGGCGATGTCAATGCAGCGACAGGAGGCAAGAGCGACTTGCTGTCCGATGCTTCAGATGATGGTTGCCCGAACGACTTTTCAAACGGATTAGGCTCTTGCGAAAAATGTGCGCCTTCTTGCTGTGCGCCGGAGAAATAGTCTACCTGCTTGCTCTGCGACTGGGGTTGGGAGGGTCGAGGAGGAGGCGCAAGCGGTCGCGAGGCAGCATTAGACTCTGTGGAATTTCTGTCGGCTTGTTCTGGCCGTTTTGAGCCAGACGACTGAAGGTCTACGAACGAGTCAATTTGATGGAGATAGCGAGGGTGGTTGCGGGCTTAATCAAGGAATGACGAACCTCCTCGAGCAGGAGAGTTTCTGGACCGTCGGTTGGAATCCTTCTGCGATTGTTCTGTTGGGTCGCACGACAAGATTAGCGAAAGCCATTACGGTAATGAAGATGATGATGACGATGGAAACGAAGGATGACAATAGTTCTGATGACGATGCGCCGTTGAGCGCACCAAGGGCCAGGTGGACAGGAGGTCGACAGATTGCGACGATGCAGCGACGAGATGGCTCGCATCAGGGTTGTGGCAGGTGGGTGATGATGACGTACCTTCAAGGTTGGTAGCCACGTTCTGACTATCCATGGACAGTGATGATGGCAGATGCGTGTTTGGATGCGCAACCGCAGCTGACATGTTTCCAATCTGGAGAGATGACGACAACGGCTCTCCGAGGAGCGCCCGGGGGGGGGCACGCAGGGAGCCGGGAGGTGGAGACGACGCTAGCGAGAGCGAGTCTGGTCTCTCCCTCTCTCGTCTATTCCCTTAGGGGCATTGATCGCAAATAAAAGTCAGCTTAGCGGGCGGAGGATAATGCGGGCGTGTCTGTGTTCACGTTCAAGCAGGATGACGAACAAATGATGTAGGGGGAGGAGGCGAGGGGGGAAAAGATTTCATCAGGAGAAGCCTAAAAGGGGCGCTATAGAGAATGCCGAGCCCACTACTCCCGAAGAGGCTAGCCCCATTTCGGCGCTCCTTTTTCCGTCCCGAGGTCTCCTCGAATATGGATGTGCCTGCCGTCGCCATAGCTCGTGGTCCCCTGGGGAGATACTTCGACAGAACAAAGCGGAGCTCCTGATAGTTGCGTGCTTCTCAGGTGAGTATTTTCTTACGCTTTGAGTTGGCGACGTGTGTATCCTTTCAAAGCAGCGCGTTTCCGTTTGTAATATGTCGTTGAATCAATGCTTCTTCCTTGTATTATATCTGTGTCCACGCCCTAGTTGCCATTCTTTAAGGAGCTTGGCAGGATCTGGTATTCGATGCTGAAGATTGGCGTACTCATGCCAGCCGAGAATAAGTCTTCGCTTTTCCCTTCTAATCGCTGCCTATGCTATTCGAGCACGGGAGGACCGTTCTCAAGCCCATCAAATCTCAAGTGCGTTATGGCTAGTGGAAGGGTGACATGGGGAAAGGTTCGGATGTGGGAACAAGGACCGGACCGCCTGTTGAGACTCAGTCGTTTCTACACAAAGCCCCACAACTCCTACAGAGCATACCATTTTCAATTCAGAAAGTCAATCGTATTGTGAGAAGTTCTAAAATCTAGTGCCCTGCTTGCTCCCACGAATCAAAGCTTTTAAACGTTATAACTTTTTTCCAAATCTATCTACATGTCATTCAAAGCATCGAGATCGTCCCTCGTAACCATTTCTGAAGGAAACGTTGGCGGTCCGGCACTTTGATGGCAGCGCCGGTCGTTGGTGTCAAATCCATCTCCCCTCAATGACCTGCTTCTCGGACATAGTTCCGGCGCTGTTGTACAGGGATGGGTTGGTTGACAAAGACATCGTTGACGCTGATGTTGCCAGATCTAGATAACATTCTCATCGCCTCCTTCTTTTCGTATTCAATGCTGAGCTGTATCAGATCTTCAATTTGTTCCTACAGAGGAGTCATTAGTGATTGCGCGCTTCTGGACAGCGAATATGGCCCCTTACCTTCGTCAATGGACTTCCCGGGTTGGTGATCATATAACCTTCTCTTTGCTGGTAAGAGAAAGGCCGTATGGTCGCGGACGGGCCAAGCAGCCGTTGATACCAGCTAAAGATCACCTGACGAGAGATTTGGTGGCCGGGCAGGAAATATGAAACGTGCTCTTCCTTCCGTCGTTTGGAAGAAGTGCACGTCGGAGGATCGTTGTAATCTAACATCGAAGAGTCGTACTGTGAGCTTCCATTATCTTGTGAGAAACTATTTGGGTAATATTGATCCTGCGAGTCGTAACAACTATAGGAGTTCATTGTGATTTGTTCAGTCCCCGGTGTGAAAGAGTTTGGAGAGACAAATATTGAGGACTTATCTTTTGCTCATGTCCTCTCCGCTTCCATTGTGTCTTTTATGTCCCATTGCAGCAGTGCGACCAAAGGCGAGGCTGTTGGAAGCTGTCATGCTGACAGCACATAGCAGGACAGGTGCGATACCATTAAGACGCCGCGGCCATTAATATACTCACTCTTCATCAAGGCTCCAACAAGAAGAGTGACTGTGTGTTTAGTCAAGAGATTGACTTTTTCGGTCAAGACACACGGAACTGATGGACCAGGGCGAGTGGCGGCAGTCCTCGTTCTGTCATTGGTCAATCAATAACGTGAAGCACTCGACTTGCCTCATGAACTGGAGATTAAAAGGTGTTTTGGCCGATTTTGTGACGCATTCACAATGGATATAAGAAGCTGATTTCTTGCCCTGTTTATGTGCAACCCGACTCACGGTTGTGGGCCCTGTAGAGCGTATGACACTGATGTCGACACACGCTTAGAAAGCTCTAGCACACAGGATGTACTTTCACGTCTCTCTTTTCCTATCGCGTGGACGCTGTCCCTACGTTATAAGACGATATTATGGTTTTTCCCACGTTTATACTCAGTTGAATTGGTTGCTTTCATTTTCAATTTCTGCTGATTTGTCGTTGCTATTCGTGCACCCATTACTGAAAGTCACTGACAGCTTGCAGATGAGTCTCCCGTGCTTACCCCTTTCTTTTGCCCCAACCACGCAAACAGGAGCTCATTTACTCCTCCTTCAGAGCTCAGGCCTACTAACTGGGCGATACCATATGTTCTGTATCTACAGACTCTTGCTCTATACCGATCTCAAAAAATACTTCTAGCGACCCGGGACGCTGTATAGCGGGCGCAAGAGCGATAGCCATGACTCATCACGGTATGAATCTACCAAAGATGCAGTGACAGGGCCGTCATTTGGATTACAGTTTGTTCTGGATAAACCAACGCCGCGCACGAACGAGCAAAATTTTGGGCGCTTCCTGCACACCTTGAGCATAATATCGGCCACACAGAGAACCATTGGGGGTCACATTGCCACCAAGGCTGTTACCTGTTGATTTTGTTCCTGAACTCTATGATGGCCGGTCTGACAGCAATCGTAGGGTCAAACGCGAGAACCAAACTTTACACGGAGAAATCTGCCACTCACTTGCACAGCCGGCAGCTTGCAGACAAGGCCAGAAAGACCTTCGGCGTCTTACGTTGCAGTATATGTCTCACGCCAGTCATGGTGCAAATTAGGGCGCGATTGAAGGATCTAAGAGTCATAGTCTGCTGTGAGAGGGGTTAAACAGACTTTTCAAAATCGAGTTTTCAAAAAAGGGCCATCACAAGACTTCGAGTGGAAGACTCAAGCTTTTTGGGGGCCTAGTGACAGGAGACCTCGAAGACTGTATTAATATTTTGCAAGACGACCCGGGTCCCCTAAGCCAATTGCAGACCCGACATACATAGGAATACCTTGCAATCGCTACCTGTCGAAGGTCATTTCTACGACCCCGGATTGAATTCCAACAGAGAAACATGCCAAAATGTGACCTCGCCATCACTACATGCCCCAGTGATTACCTTAAAGCGCCTGCCGTTTCCCCTGTGGTTGACTCAAGTCTTCCGTGGTGGGAGATCGCTGATGCTTCAAAGCCTTCTCATTACCAGCTCCAAATTCACCATTTGCCTCCGTAAAGTCATTGCGTGAATCAGGAGCGGCTCCAAAAGGCATGCTCTCCGCAACCTGTTGTGCTACCTCAGCAGCTCGGGATTGTTGAGGGAAATTCCGGGAGCCCTGCTCTGTAGGTGAATGAGGCGTTCCACGAACTCCAGAAAGGATCAGCCTCAGAGCAGCGATAATGCTTGCTTCTTGACGTAGATCGGCTTCGTCACTTAGCTCCGATGCAATTGATTCATCAAGAGCACGTTTAATGGCAGATTGGATCAATTTCTCACCAAGCACCTTATCTTCCAAATCTTCCATCAACGTTTTCTTGAATTTGATGACAGCCTCTTGGATCTGGTGTGGCAAATTATCAAATTTGGTAAGGTTCAACTGCTTCGCTAAAGATGAGCTACCACCGTGGAGGCTTACGGCGGGCTGCGAGCTATTGTAGAATGAATGCTGACTAGTATGATGCTGCAACGAGCCTGCGTGCGGCACTGCTTGAGGTGGTCCATTGTTTCCGTTCATGCCATTTACCGGGAAGTGAGGCTGATTAGGTTGAATAGAACCCTGGGAGACTGAATTCGGATCGTAAGGTGATTGGTATGTAGCGTCTGACTTGGCATTCATTATCATGGGAAATCCAGGGGCAGCGAATGGTGGACGAGGAGGCAGAGCTCCATGCTGCATTCCTGCTTGCATGCTGTAGCCATTTACCATCGGCATCGCGTTTGGTGGATATTGGAGACCTGAAGGCATTTGATTGTTGGGATATTGAGCTCCTGGATACCCATAAGGGTTTGGCGGGGGCTGCTGCGTCTGAGAAGGAGGATAGTATCGTGGCTGAGATGTTGATTGCGGAGGAGGGGTCGCTCGCCGTTTCTTCTCTTTCTCAATCGAGATTGCCTTGTTGATTCCCCACATATAGCCCTTTCCATCTCTCTCAAGCTTGCGAAAGGCTGGATGTTGACCAAGGTTATGCCGAACACTACTTTGCCAGCCATTTGTTGTGACCCGCAGTTTGAAATATGGATATTTACGTTCAATCGCCTTATAGATGTTGGGGAGCGCCATGCTACCCGTCTCTGAACTAGACAACGCGTCATGAATTAGCACGACATACGAATGTTGAGGTTTAGCTAATTGTTCTGGCGTGAACATAGATTCATCCAATACTGGCGAAGGTGATTTAGGCGGTTTTGGAGGCTTCTTGTCTTTTGGTGCTTTGGATGGTGGAGCTTGTTCTGGGGAAACGGATTCTGTCTGCTCAGTACTTTCTCTTGCTTTACGCCCTCCAGTTTCAGCAGCTGTCCCTTTGCGCTTGTTATATTTTCGTTTCCGAGGAGGCTGCATAGATGAGTCTTCCAGGTCCATTGCTTTTGGTATTTTGCCGTTGTCACGGCCAGAAAGTTTGTTCTTTCCTTTTGCAGTTCTCTTCGTCGTGCTCTTCGATTGATTCGAGAGTTCTTTCTCCTGTCGCTTCGACATGACCCCGTTTTTGGGCGGACGACCTGGTCTTTTACGCCCACCTCTTGCAGATATGGGTTGTATGTCAGGTTTGCCTTGCCCTCCGCCTCTTCTGCCCCTGGTCACTACTCCCTCGACTTCTTCGTCTAGCAACGGTTCTCCGTCTCCTTCGGCTTCGCCTTCAAGAAGCTCTAGAGGATTTTCGTCGTCGTCTGTCATTTCGGATTCTTCATCAGACCAGGCCCCCTCAGCACCCGTTTCCCCCGGTGGCGTATCTGGAAGACAAAAGCTAATGCCAATGCCGCCAATTTGAAGCATGCTGCCATTCACCAGAGGCTCAACCCCGCCTGCGGCAAACCATTCGTCATCCACAAAACCTCCATTTCTTCCCAGAAATTTGATCTCGAAAAAATCCTTCTCAAAGTTGAATTCTATTAGCACATGTCTCCTTGAAATGCTCTTCCATTTCAAGGGTCTTCCGTCGGCACCGATAGATGGGTGAATAGGGATGAAAGGGTATCGCTTGTGTGTAGACAATTCAGATTCGCCGTTTGGGAGGTCATCCGTTTGGGGTTCAGGGCTCTCCACCAGGTCGTTGTACATGATCCTGGGCGCTCTGCATGAGAGTGCTTGCGGAGCTCGACTGGGTGAAGAAGGTTTGACTATATCAAACCCTTGGGTACCTGATTCGTCTGGCGCTCGCTCCTGATACTGGCCGCTACTGACGGAGGTTCTGCCATTACTGGAATCCGGGTCTGCGATCGCGCGAGCTGGCACATTACCACGTCCGAGCACTACTCCATTTGTCGTCATATAAAAGTCACCATCATGGAATACAAGTTTGGCAAAGGCCTGGATTTTCAGTTGTTCGGGTTCTGATGAGATGGCGTCCTCTGTAGCAGAGGCACCACTGCCGTTGATACTGTCTTCTCCATCTGACAGGGGTAGCTGCACATCTGATGGCGGGGTGGTAGGTTCATCTTTTGGTTGCTGCTCGCCGTCCATGATTACTGAAAGCGTAGATGGATCTGACAGTGGGAGTGTTCGTCACATTCCACGGTGGCGAACGCGGTTAGGGCATCTAAACTACCTCGCAACACATACATTATTTCTGCGAAATCAAGCATAGACGACAATACAAAATCAAAAAGCCCTGTGCGAGTTCTGTGCGTGCTCCCTTTTCAAGTCGCTTAGAGGTGGTAGAATTAAACGATGGCGCCCCTGTACCACTAATCAAAGCGGAGTTTTAAGGTGGGCTTGCCAAGGCTTTAAGCCTTACCGAGGCTTGGCTTGAGGTTAGTCGAAAGGTGGCCGTACCAATGTCCGTTGCCGTAGGATATAATATTCCTTTATTTGGATTCAGAGCGACTCACAGCGAAACCCTCTCGAGGGCACAACTTATAGGTGCTTGAGCTAACGGACTCTCCTATTCACATCAAGACCGATCACGTCCAAGGACCACGAGCTCGCAATGCCGACGAAAACTCGCATGAAGCCAAAAAGTAGGCCCAAGGGCTATGCATCCCATCCCTCAGCAGTAACGCTGCCAAAGTGGCCCCTTCTTCAACCTTCACTGCCCGTCGAAGCTCTGTCTTTGGAGACGCTACTCGAAAATCAAATCATTGTCATCCGAGATTTCTTCTCTTTCAACCTATGTAAAAACTATGTTTCTTTCTTGTCCACTCTTCCTCTCCTGACTACGCCCGCAAAGCCCAAAGATGGCAATGCATTACGGGTCAATGACCGCATTGAGTTCAGCGATTTCGACTTTGCGCAGCAGCTTTGGAATGTCACCGGCCTCTCAACCCTACTCAGAGGCTCTCCCGAGGCCCATGATCATCGTGGGCGAGCTGCTCGTGACCTGTGGGGAGGGACAATCTGTGGCTTGAATCCTCGTATTAGAATCTACAGGTATAGAGAAGGCCAATTCTTCGCTCAACACTGTAAGTCGCAGTCCGTCCGAGGTGCAATCTATGGTCTAGCTGTCCCGTTCTACCCTTGTGTTTTCAGAGATTGCCAGGAGTCACTGCCCCAAGAACATACAACTGCCACCGGTCCTGCTCTCTCGTCGAGATTGAGGCTTTCGGTCAAGAATTACATATCTAAAATGGTCATTGAGCTCCAGTGAGGTCGCAGGATGGTCGCTTATGCTCTAGCCTTTTTGACACTGTATGGACAATTTCTGCCTTTTGACCTCAAATGTACCAACTCGTTGCATGAATTAGCCTTGCGCGGACGAAGTCTTGCTTTCGTTTGTGTATTCTAGTAATTTGGAGCGTACAAAGGAGAATCATTAAACCGCTTTCACTTACTGTTCAGCGTAGATGATGAATCAAACAATTTGATTCTGCCTACGGTGCCCCCTACTCCTGCGAAAACGACATGGACCCTCCTGATTTATCTTACCGGACCTGCTACAGGTTGCGTCGGAGGTGAGACAGTCTTCTATCCTGAGCTTGGACCCGCGAAGAAGTTTTCCGGCAAAACGAGCGAAGGTACACAACCGATAGCAGTGGGCTTAGAAGTTGGCATGGCTTTGCTTCACAAGCATGGGCAGGATTGTCTGCTACACGAGGGTAGGGAAGTCATGAAAGGCGAGAAGTGGGTCATTAGGAGCGATCTCTGCGTGAGACGTTGACTGCAATAGCTTTTCACTATGCTCAGGTGACTCTGCTTCATCTACGCAATGAGACATGTATGTCTTTTTAGGTCCGCCCAGCATCGACGTGCACCCTCACTTTGACTCCATCTCCCTGATTCTCTCGAAAGCGCCAAGGAAGGCCTCTGGCTCCCTTGCCCCACTAATCTCGTACTTGTCCTGCAGCACGAAATGAGGGACTCCGGTGATGCCGCGCCTCCGCGCCTCTGCAACCTCATCATCGACCTCGCGTCCGCCAGCTCCAGTTTGCAGCCACTGCTGCACATCCATCTCATCCAGCCCAGCTTTGATTGCTGCGTGTGTCAGGACATTTGGATCAGTGATGTCACCCTCATTCTCGAAGTATGATCTATTCAGCTCATCGACGACCCTATTCTGGACGTTCGTGCCCGCCTTTTCTTTGGCCATATGGATCAGTCGGTGTGAGTCTCTGGTATTGCCAGTTTTGCCGCCAAATTTGAAGGGAATGCCAACAGATTGGCCTATTTGCGCGAGGCGTACTTCAACTGCCGGGATTCTTTCAGGTCCATAGATGGTTGAAAGGTACTGGCGCTTGTCTACCCCGGAGCTAGGGCTCTGTGGATTCAGCTGATAGGGGAGCCATGTGGTGGTAAATGTGTCTGTGCTGTTTGGGTACTTGCTTTGGTAGAGTGCGATCCCTTGCTCGAGCTTCTTTTTGCCGACATAACACCACGGGCAGACCGAGTCGGATGTTATCGCGATAGCGAAATTGGTCATGATGAGCGTACCTGTGAGGAAGCAAATTGACGATTCCAATGCGAGATGGACGTTTGAGAAGTTCATATTTATAGTCTGCGTTCAAGATCAAACCCGATTACCAATCCATCTCTCGTGCTCGCTTCTATTAGACACGAAAGCGCGAGAACGGCATGACATAGTGCACAAGCAATTAAAAGACGAGATCTTCAGCGACTGTATTGGGCCTCACCTTCCTATACTTCCTCTATTCGTCTACATTGCATCCTTCGAGAAAGAAAGCAACGACTTACAATTGACTTTGAGTCTTTGATTAGTCAGCTGGATCTGGTGAAATATCTTTTCAAATGAGAGCCTTACAATCATTGGACGAATGCGAAGGAGCTAAGACTGACTGCCAAAATCAGCACTAGTGCTTCAAGCAGTACATAAAGAGCGTTCTGTGGAAGTGCTTACAGCTTTAGAATTTGCATGTGGTCCAATCTACGGATATTTACGCCCGTCCATAACATTCAACTTTGGTATCTTTGAGCCAGAAAAGTAAATGTAGAGACTGAGATGTCCGAGAAGAAGGGCACTATCATAGTTACTGGTGCTAACGGGGGTTGGGGAAGACGATTGCAACGCAATTCCTTTCGAGTCCAGAAGCTGTGCTCTACAAAGGACTTTGGGGAGTGCGGGACCCAGCAAAAGCAGTCCAGCTTCAAAATGCTATCAACCCAATTTCGACAGCTTCCGACCATGAGATAGTCAGAATTGACATCAGCACGCTTGCCGCTGTTCGCTCTGCCGCAGCTGATATCAACGGTAGAGTCGCGTCAGGACATCTCCCACCCATTCGTACGTTGGTGGTAAATGCAGCCGTCCAGTATGTCACTGGGCAAAAGTATACAGACGACCAAATGGAGGCGACGTTTGCGGTCAATTATTTGGCGAATCTACTCTTGATATTGCTTCTGCTGCAGAGTATGGATAAGAAAACAGGACGTGTAGTCTTGGTCGCAAGCTGGACGCACGATCCTGCGCACGCATTGAATGCGTTCATTACGGCTGAAGAGCACAAGACAATATTTAACGGCTCGCTAGGCTCTTGGTCAAAGCCAGGAAAGGACGAAGAGGGTGATGATTACAATGCTGGTAGGTCAAACCTTTGCCTGAGAAGTTTAACCCATCACGTATGGGTGTCGAGTGTCTCTTCTGGTGTTGACTCATGTGTTCCAGGGATGCGGAGGTATGGTGCCAGTAAAACCCTACTTGTTATGATCATGTATGTTTGCTTAACGCTGGAGAAAGCGATGAAACTGAGTTAAAGTAGGTACGAGCTTCAGAGACGGTTGAATGCAAGCAAAGAGTACTCCAACATCTCCATCCTTGGGGTAGACCCAGGTGCGATGCCCGGAACTCAACTGATACGAGACAGCTCCGGGCTTCTCAACTTCATGGTTCACTCGGTGATGGGGGCAATCACGCCCTTGCTGACTTTCTTTTTCCCTAATGGATATTTTCGCACGGTGACAAAATCAGCGACCGACGTCTTGGAGGCTAGCTTCGACGAAGCCAAGATTGGCAAGTATCCTAAGGCAATCTATCTGAATGGCAATGCGAAGGTTCAATCAAGCCCTGAGACAAGGGACGAGCAGAAGCAGAGACTGCTGTGGAGTGAGAGTGTAAAACTGGCTGGCATTCAGCAGGAAGAAACTGTCTTGACTCTAGACTCATGATTGACTTCTCCAATATTCAGCGGTTTGATAGGAGATATCGCCCCCCTTCAGTAGTAATGCTATAACGCCGCTTAGAGCTTTAAAGTTTTCTCATGCTGGCGAGCTTTCCAAGCCTTTTAACCCAGTCGGGCAGTTCCCCTGCGCCAAAGTTGGGATTTGCTGGCCATCCCCCGCTGTCATTCGCTTCCAATTTTAATGAGTCGTCTTAGTGTCGCCCCTGGAGAAATGATGGCCGTGATAGGTCTGGCAGGGCCTGGTAAGCTCCTAGTCGGTGCTGATTCGCTCGTGATTTACGTCACTGTCGATCTCGATGCATTGGCAACACGAGAACCGCAGCTACCGCCCGGCCTGGGCTACAGCGAATTCTTGAGCGATTTCCTCGTCAATCTCCTCGCGTCAGTCAACCCAAAGCAGCAATCCAGAATCCAGATGTGTTAAGTTCACCTTTATGATCATGGATGTGTAAATCGAGTTGGACAAGAAGCGACGATGGCGGAATCAGAATTACCGAGGCTTCGCCTTCGACCGGCTAGACGATCAATCTTTCAAGAAGCAGATGTCGACACCATTATTCCTAGAAGCGAGCTTGAGGCACGCACCTCCTTTTCCAGCCTCTCTAGTGTCGACAGTGAGAGACCAACACTGTCGCGCACATCCTCTGAATACTCGCAATGCGACCTATCGATTTCCACTGACCGCTCCCGGTCAACCATGTTTTATCTACCTTCACGACTGATGATGCTAGCATGTGCGCTCCTTGTCACACTCTCCCTTACTTTCGAAACACCTTTCCTAGCAAAAGCAGGACCTAGTGTCATTGGCGCAAGAGCTGGAGTACTCCGAACGTCTAATCTCCAACGGAAGAGCTGGGAGGATGGACAGCTTGTCGCTCGGGCAGACACCGACACCGACATTTGTAGCCGCTGGAGCCAGCAAAGTGCTATTATCAACGGAACCATATATATCTACGGTGGTCGCGCGACGACACAGCAAGGGCAGACTGACAACACATGGGTCAATGACTTCTTTACGATTGACGTGACCAAGCCTTGGGACATCTCTTCGCCTGCTGTAAAGGGGCTTCCTCAACCATCAGGACCGCCAGCCGTCTCAAATGGCTACCTTTGGAGCTCATATGACCAGCTACACTTGTACGGCGGCGAATATTCCGATACCCCCACCAAAACGCCTGATGACTTCTCGCTCTGGACCTATGATATCAAGAGCGCTTCGTGGACCGAGCAGCAGAATCCCCAAACATCGAAAGGTAACAACAGTGCCTCTGAGAACCAGCCCGTACAGAGATCTGCCGAAGGCGCCGGCATAAGCGTTGCAGAGCTGGGTAGAGGGTGGTACTTTGCTGGACACGTGGATTCTTATACAACACCAGGGTGGTCCAATCAAGTAGAGCGGGTATACCTTAAATCTTTAATCGAGTATACCTTCCCAGGTCATACCAATGACGGTCTCCAAAGCTTGGGTGGTGGAAAAACCGCTGGACCAAACGGCATATGGCGAAACATTACCGAGGGCGGCATTCAGGATACCGCACAGTTCCCAATTAGGGCAGACAGTGCGATTGTCTATGTCCCAGGTTACGGAGCTCAAGGCATTCTCGTGAATATGGGAGGAGGGACAAACGTATCCTTTGTGAGTCGCATAAAGCTTCTTCGAGGACAAATGACTGATAGCTACAGAGCCAAATGAATGTTATTGACGTCTTTGATATTGCAACGTCGACTTGGTACAAGCAGTCTACCGCCGGTCAATACCCTACTCTTCGCGTCAATCCATGTGCTGTGGCCGCTTCGGCACCAGACGGTACTAGCACCAACATTTACATGTACGGTGGGCAAAACCTTGTGCCCTACAAGAATCAAACGCAATTCGGCGACATATGGATCCTTACAATACCAGGATTTACTTGGATAGAAGTGGATACTACAGGCCAATCCGTTCCTCCAGCTCGCGTTGGTCATACATGCAATATGTGGGATGGTCAAATGATTGTCGTAGGAGGTTACAATACGGACCTTGCTGGGGGTTGTGACAGCGGTTTCTACGTCTTTTCCGCGACCAATTTGACCTGGCAAAACAACTTTAATTCGCTTGGTGGCGGTAACACTGGCAACAACACTCAAAATAAGCAATCAGTGCAAGCAAGTGATCCTGCTGCATTGACTGGCAGCTACGGCTACCAGGTGCCCGATGCTGTACAAAAGGTAATCGGTGGCAAAGGCTACGGTGGAGCGACGATCACAGCTCCCGCTCAATTGGCAACCGCAGGTCCAATAGCGACTGGCAAGCCAATCACCTACACAGTCACTGGTGCCAACGGAGCAGTGATCACGGCCACGGGCACCGCAGAGGCAGGCGCTCAAAATAGTCATTCCGGCCCAAATGTTGGCGCAATCGTTGCTGGAGTGGTGGCCGGATGTTTCGCTGTCCTTGCCGCATATCTCGGATTTTGCGCCTGGCTTTACCGTCGTCAACTCACCCTTTACAAAAACCATGTTGCCATGACGCAACGCGCTGCTGCTGCTGGCGGACCAGGCGAGAAGTCTGCCTTCCTCGGTAGCTCTACAGAAAACTCGAGCCTAGGTAAGCCTGTCGGTACTTCTGAGTATAGCAGCGGTGCCGCTGCTACTGCCGGTAGTGGAAGTGGCTACGAATCCTCAGTGCCTCAAACCCCGGGAGTGCCTCTTGGTCGGGATAGCACAGCTAACAGCAGTACGGAGAATCTTGTTGGCGAGCCTACATTTTTTGGGGTGCTACTGAATCCTAGGCGAAGCTTGAGAGTTGTGAATAGGGACTAATACAATTTTGTGTTCGAAAGTCCTTTCTCTGTGACGCAAATGGGGCCTTTCTCTTACACACGACGTAATTATCCGCAGGAGGTAGCCAAATATACGATGGCTATTGGTGCTCACTTACAGTACATGATATACCCACGAATCGCGTTCTCATTATGTCAAGCAAGGCGTTCAGAAGGAAAATGCACATATATTGCAGGTGGAATTTAATGATCTTAGGTACAGGCTCACGTACATTGCATGAGCATAAGGAAGGATACTTATTATATAGAACCCAGCACACACAACGCTTCTGTATCACATTCACATTTGCCATTCCAAACGCTCTTGATTGCTTTTGAATGCCGTTGTGCTAATAGCTGTTCGCCAAGTTGAGTCGAAAAAACGTCAGAAATGTACTTCAGCCAAATATAGCACCAGTTTCGGACGACGTCGAGCTGTGAGCAAGCCACCGAACCCTGCAGGGTAGCTTGATCCTTCACGCAACGTTATGGGCCTGACTTTCTACACCTAGTCCAAATACAAGAATTACAGCGATTGTTCGCTAGCTGGCACGACTAGGTGCTTTCAGTAGTAGTATTGTGTCTCGCCTGTTTCTTGTTACAGAGAAACTAAAAAAGACAAATAATTGACGCTGCTCAAGGCCACTGAGAATCTCTTGATACGTACTATAGTATATCTCATTGCTAATCAATCAATCTAGGTACGGGGAGGCGAACGTCAAGCGCCTTGTCATTGGGCCACAGAGCCTCATACAAATTTGAAGAGGGGACCTACTGATGAAGAAGGGATCGAGGGTACCTACTGAAGTACTGATTAATCTTTCTAGAATTAGATGTTACTTTTTGCTAAGGGCACTGATTTTGGGTTACCTTACTTTTTTGATGTCTTGGCAACAAGTGCTCGCTTCCCAATAAAGTATTCATGAAAACCACCTCCGATTGACGAGCATTTGTTTGTTCCCCACAAACGATCGCCCAAGTATAGAAAAGTCCTGTCGCAACATGTAACGGATCGCTAGATGTCTATGTACTGAGACGCGAAGAGTGCTATTGACCCGCAGATTCTATCCACCATGCCCTCGTCGCCAAACATGCTCACTAAGGTATTTGATGCAATAAGCTAAGACAATAATCTATGCTCACTCTGCGATCAGTTCGAGTCCAAATCATCAAGAGCTAAAGGCATAGCTTTTCATCCCAAGAGGTATGTAACCACACTCAGTAAGGGGTATTGGGCTAAGCATTGCCAGGCCATGGATCCTCGTGTCCCTTCACTCTTCTACTATACAACTTTGGGACTATCGCATGGGCACTTTGATTGATCGATTTGAAGAGCATGACGGACCCGTGAGAGGGATCGATTTCCACAAAACCCAACCGCTCTTTGTTTCTGGTGGAGACGATTACAAAATCAAGGTCTGGTCATACCAGAGCAGAAGATGTCTTTTCACCCTTAACGGTCACTTGGACTATGTACGGACCGTGTTCTTTCACCATGAGCTTCCATGGATCCTGTCAAGCTCAGATGACCAGACGATTAGGATATGGAATTGGCAGAACCGGTCACTCAGTGGGTAGCTCAAACTTGGGAGCGCCTTGCATTTTGCTAACGGAGCTTTACAGTCTGTACAATGACGGGTCACAATCATTATACGATGTGTGCTCAGTTTCACCCAAAGGATGATCTGATCGTTTCTGCGTCCTTGGATCAGTCAGTGCGCGTGTGGGATATATCAGGCCTTCGGAAAAAGCACTCAGCTCCGACATCGATGACATTTGAAGATCAGATGGCTCGCGCGAACTCAAATCAGGCAGATGTATTTGGAAATACGGATGCAGTGGTCAAATTTGTGCTAGAAGGGCACGATAGGGGAGTCAATTGGGTTGCTTTCCATCCCACACTCCCCTTGCTCGTATCATCTGGAGACGATAGGCTCGTCAAACTTTGGAGGATGAGTGGTAAGTCTCCAGGACATAAGATCAGTCGATTGCTTGTGCTTAAATCTTTTCATAGAAACAAAGGCGTGGGAGGTTGATACTTGTCGAGGACATTTCCAAAACTCTTCAGCCTGCCTCTTTCACCCACACCAAGATCTCATCATCTCTGTCGGTGAAGACAAAACTATCCGCGTATGGGACCTCAACAAGCGCACTTCGGTACAATCATTCAAACGTGAAAATGACCGGTTCTGGGTCATTGCAGCTCATCCCGAAATTAATCTCTTTGCAGCTGGCCACGACAATGGAGTCATGGTCTTCAAGTTGGAGCGGGAAAGACCTGCCTCTGCAACTTATCAGAATCAACTATTTTATGTTGACAAGCAAAAGCTCGTGCGCTCATATGACTTCTCAAAAGGCAGCGAATCTTCGCCTCTACTATCCCTGAAGAAACTTGGTAGCCCTTGGATGCCGCCGAGGACACTTTCGTACAACCCTGCAGAGAGAGCGATACTCGTGACCTCCCCTGCTGATAATGGAATATATGAGCTTGTACACCTTCCTAAGGAGCCTGCTGGGGCTATGGAGCCTACTGATGTGAAAAAAGGCTTAGGAAGCTCAGCAGTCTTCGTAGCTCGCAATCGGTTTGCAGTCCTCAATTCTGCTAACCAACAGGTAGACGTAAAAGATCTTACTAACTCGACTACCAAGACGATCAAACCTCCGTCAGGGACTACGGATATTTTCTTTGGAGGTACTGGCTGCTTGTTGATGGTGACGCCTACGATTGTGGCGCTTTATGATATTCAACAGAAGAAGCAACTAGCAGAGCTGAATGTTACGGGCGTCAAGTATGTTGTCTGGTCTAACGACGGCCTCTACGCCGCTCTCCTCAGTAAGCATAATGTGACTATCGTAACGAAGTCCTTAGAACAAACCAGCACACTTCATGAGACAATTCGCATCAAGTCAGCGACTTGGGATGACGCGGGCGTTCTTCTGTATTCTACTCTAAACCACATCAAATACACTTTGCTGAATGGGTAAGCATCGATAGCGCACTCAGGAGAAAGTACTAACGTTACTATAGAGATAATGGCATTGTGAGAACATTAGATCAAACAGTTTATCTTGTGAGGGTAAAGTCGCGAAGCGTGTACTGCCTCGACCGCGCCTCCAAGCCGAAAGTCTTGGACGTAGACCCGACCGAGTACCGCTTCAAGCTCGCTTTAGTCAAACGAAATTACGAAGAGATGCTGCACATCATCAAAACTTCAAGCCTTGTTGGTCAAAGTATTATCTCGTATTTGCAGAAGAAAGGTTATCCGGAGATAGCACTCCAATTCGTTCAGGACCCTCAGACTAGATTTGAACTGGCCATTGAATGCGGAAACCTCGACGTTGCCGTTGAGATGGCAAAGCAACTCAATAGACCAAAACTCTGGAGCCGGCTCAGCACTGAGGCGATCGCCCACGGCAACCACAAGACTGTTGAGAATGCCTACCAAAAGCTCCACCAATTTGAAAAGCTTTCCTTCCTATATTTGTCGACCGGCGATAAAGCTAAGCTCGCTCTTATGGCTCAAATTGCAGATCGGCGTGGAGACTTTCAGTCGCGGTTCCAGAATGCACTGTACTTGGGTGACTCGGACGCTCGAACACAGATGTTTAAAGAACTTGACCTTTGTGAGCAAAGCTCTATCTACCAACCTCATGTGAACGCTGACAGTGGATAGATCCGCTTGCGTATGCCACGGCAAAAGCTAATAATATGGAAGAGGAATGTCAAGGCATCCTTGATGCCGCCGGCCTGACAGAAGACCAGATCACCTTACCTACTATTGGAGACCCACTGACGCCTCCAAAACCAGTCGTGCAAACACACAAGGCCAACTGGCCAGTCAAGGCAACATCGCAAAGTGTTTTCGAGAGAGCACTGCTCGGCGAAGTAGGTGGCGTTGAAGAAGATAGTGCCCCAGCCCCCAATGGCTTTGAAAATGAAGAAGCCCTTGATGAGAACGAAGCAATTACCCGCAACGGTCAATTAGGCGACGATGACGACGAAGACGGAGCGGGATGGGATATGGGAGACGATATTAACGCTGACACTGAATCAGACTTCGTGACTGTTGATAGTGCCGAGGCCGGGATAGCCAGCAGCGAAGCCGATCTATGGGCCCGAAATTCACCCATTGCTGCTGATCATGCGGCTGCTGGTTCCTTTGAAACCGCCATGCAGCTCTTGAGTCGCCAAGTGGGAGCCGTGCATTTTGCGCCTCTCAAACCACGTTTCATGGAAATATTCCAGGCGACGAAAACATACCTACCCGCTACGCCAGGACTGCCACCAGTCGCGAATTACGTCCGAAGAACTGTCGAAGAGACGGATTCTCGAAAAGTTTTGCCCATTATACCCAGAGACCTGGAGACCATCGCTGCAGTAGATCTTCAGGAAGGATATACTACGATGAGGTCCAACAAGCTTGAAGACGGGGTTAGAGTCTTCAAGCGCATCCTTCACTCCATTCTAGTCAATGCAGTATCGTCTCAGCAACAAGTGACGGAGGCAAAGAAAATCCTCACAACAGCAAGAGAATATGCGATCGCAATGTCAATCGAGCTAGCTCGGCGAGCATTGCCATCAGAAGGCGAGGCGAACCTCAAGAAAAGCCTTGAGCTTTCGGCTTACTTTACGATACCGAAGCTTGAAGTTGCTCACCGTCAACTTGCGCTTCATGCCGCCACGAAGCTGGCTATTGCGAACAGGAACTTTTCCTCCGCTCTTAGCTTTGCCAACCGCATCATTGCGAATGGTGGATCGCCGAAGATTGTAGAACAGGCCAAAAAATGGAAGCTTCAATGCGAACGAAGCCCGCAAGAGAAAATCGACATCGAGTATGACTCGTTCGCCGAGTTTGACATATGTGCGGCGTCGCATACACCAATCTACCATGGATCGCCGAATGCTACGTGTCCGTTCGATGGATCAATGTATCATTCACAATACAAAGGGCAAGTGTGCAGGACATGCGAAGTCTGTGAGATTGGCGCTCCAGCTAGTGGGATAAGATTATTCGCGTTCTAAGATGGAGGAGGCTGCTTTTGTGTCAGTGAAGTTGCTCTTAGCGATGGCATGTAGCTCGTAATGTTTGCAGCGGAACTGGAGGGCAGGGTAAATGAATAAAAAGCCAGCAGTTGAGGATCAGGATTGTTGTACTACGCGAAGACCAAAAGGTCTGAAGACGTGCCATCAACGTCGTCGAAGGGTTGCGGCTTCATACCACATGAACAACCAGTGGCCTTTGCATGCCCTCGACGTCGGCTTATAGGGGAGGCTCTAGGGCTCGACTCCCTATTAGTTGCCCTTGGAGTTCTAAGGTAAGTCTTTTGAGAGATCGGTCTAGAACTTCTTGGCGGGCCGGCCCAACGAGCTGAATTGCCCCAGGACTTTAGCTATCTCGAGTTGTGCACAGTATGTCAGGCTACGCCAGTCAATGTAACGGTAGTCAGCATTACGTGTCCCAGATGCGAACAAGACTGTACTCTTGTTACTGACTGGCCTTAACCAATCCGATCCCAGAGCCTTCTTCTTCAACCTCGCTATCCACGTCCCAAGCACACCTGAATCTTCGCATCGCGTGCTCAAGTGACTACCCTCGCCATCATGTCGCTCCTCTCACAACTTGTACCCCTCATCCTCCTCTTCCTCGGCGTCGCTGTCGCTGGCTTCATTGGTTTCGTGGCCTACTCTATCGCTTCAGATATCGCAGATAAGACATCCAAAAAGATGGAAAAGAAGAACGTCACATTTGGGAAAGAGGGCATGAAGATCGGTGTCAAGGAGGTGAAAACAGAGAATTATGTCGATCAGACACAAAGGTATGAGCGTAGTCCACCAGAAAGCATTGTTGAAATAGGACTGACGCTGCGCGTACCAGCTTGCTCGTCAAGGCTTGGAACTTCTCCACTTGGCCCGCTTATAAGTCACGCTTCTGGAACAAAGAGGACGAGAAGGGCGCCCCAACGAGTGCTCGACCACCGTATGTAATGTCTTGATGTCAGCCTATATTCTTCTATTGACAAGGGTGGGTGCAACAGGAATCCGAGAGCGTCCAGCTCGCATAAGACGAAGTGAAAGCTACGCAGCACTTCATCGAGATGCTTATATCTACGGTTACATGAACGACCATATGAAGTTAGATTTTTCACGTCCGGTATAGCGGTGACTGCTTTGTATAGCGAGACCTAAGGGTCAGAATATACATTCGCACCTTCAGCATTCAAATCTGCAATTGCGTTGATTGAGAAGCGGCTGTGGGGCTCGGTTTCTCTCCTTTTTCATATTGGCTAAGAAATGAGCGCTTGATGGCACAGATAGATGTCTGACGCGACTTCAGGCCAATGTATCTACATGAACACCTATGGACCAGATGGCGGAACCGTTCGAAAGGTCGTATACAAGCCCAGACATCTTGGAAATATTACTCAAGAGGGTACGCATATTTAGGAATCCCTTTCTCGTCACACTGCGTCCACACGTTTACGGGAGATGTCAACGCCAGACCATACAGGGTCGAAACATTACTGTTGGTGTCTGGCATATATATTAGCATAACCGGAGTCTTTTAGCGTCCTCCAACCCCCACAACGTTTTTGACTAGGTAGCAGCGCTTTGGGGAACCTGCAGGCCAACTCTGGGGCGCCTAACTCAGATAAATTGCACGATTTGGAGATACTTCTCTCCAGCAACCCATCTGTACGATATGGCTCGCATGCTCAAGTGGTACTGTATGTGAGTGGCAATGAGTAAGACGATGGCATTTCTCAATTTTTGAAATCTTTATTTCCCCTTTGTTTCCGCCACCTCTTGAAGATATTTCTTTGTCGTCTTTCGTCTCTGATTTCGCCACATTCTTAGCTATGCCTGTTTGCAACGATTTTCCTAGAGTGACAAATTGTGATTGCTTTTTTCACGTTCTCAATAGACTTGGGCCCAAAGTTTATGGCTATGCTTATGATAATGTTTTGAAATGATGCTGTTTTTGTATCCGATCATCAATTGATTCCAGCTCAAAAACTGGCGGGGACATGTCAAGCCACAATGGGAGACGCCGCGATATACACAGATGATGAGGATATAGACCTATCATTTCGTGCTGTTCATCCAGTCGAGCTTCTTGTAGAACAACTTCATGTTGGGGTTGACCTTTCACCCAATCGATGGGGAGCTCTGTTGAGGGCCGCAAGCAGCGAAAACCAGGCCTCGAAATCAATACTCAAGAACATCAATGCTCGAATGCCTCCTGTAACAATAACCGCTATTCTGGGAGCCTCTGGCAGTGGGAAAACGTCATTACTCAATAGCTTGTCCCATCGCATCGAAGGTGGTCGACTCAAGACGAGAGGGCGAATACTGTACAATCAGAATTCGAAGATCTCCACCATTCGCCACGCATATGTAATGCAACAAGACATCTTGATACCTAGCTTGACAGTTCGTGAGACCCTTCAATATGGTGCTGAGCTACGCTTATCATCTTCGATGACGGCTAAAGAGCGCTACCAAGTCGTTGAAGAGGTCATATTGGAGCTCGGATTGAAGGATTGTGCGGACACTAAGATTGGAAACGACGCCCACAGAGGATGCTCAGGAGGAGAGAGAAGGCGAACATCCTTAGGAGTCCAATTACTCGCCAACCCTTCAGTCCTTTTTCTAGACGAAGTCACAACCGGTCTGGACGCGTCAACAGCGCATCGGCTAGTCAAGACTTTGAAGAACCTCGCCAGAAAAGGTAGAACCATCGTTATGACAATTCATCAACCTCGAAGTGAGATATGGTCCTTATTTGATAATGTTTTGGTATTGGCGCAAGGCTCACTGGTGTATTCTGGTTGCCGTGAAGAATGCCTCCCTTACTTCGAGACCTGTGGCTTGAAGTTGCCTGTGTTTATGAACCCTGCCGAATTTCTCATCGATCAGGCTGCGGTCGACAATCGCTCGCCAGAATCAGAAGCGAGATCGCAAATCAGAATCCAAGAGCTCACAGCTTGTTGGGAGAGGCACATAACATCTAATAAGAAGTCGTCTAACGATAAACGAAACAGTAATGAGAGGCATTTCGAGCACACGACCTCTGGTGAGAAGTCATCCTACGACAAACCAATAGGCAGTGAAGCTACTCCAGATTTTCCAAGTCAAGATGAGCTGATTGTTTCCAAGGCCGCCCGGGCGCCTTCGCGGCCGGTCAATTTCTTGCGGCAATGTAAAGTGCTCACGAGACGAACTTTCAAGGTGACTTGGCGGGATCCCTATGGCCTCTTAGGCTCCATGCTTGAAGCCATATCGATGTCTGCTATCTCTGGAGGGATCTTCTGGAATCTTGATGGCACTCTTCAGGGCATCCGAAGCCGAGAGGGAGCACTCTTCCTTGGCACATCTCTGCAATCATACCTAGTAATGCTCTACGAGATATATCGATTGACCTACGATATTCAGACTTTCGACCGGGAACGTGGCGAAGGTGTTATCAACGTCCCAGCCTGGTTACTTAGTCGGCGCATTGCTCGCTTTCCGCTTGAAGATTTGCCCTCACCAATTATCTTCTCCACCATTTTCTACTTCATGGTAGGATTTCGACCAGACACTGACCAATTCTTTATCTATTTCGCTATCCTGCTGCTGATTCATCATATCTCTATCAACGTTGCGACTTTCTGCGTAGCTCTAAGGCGGGATTTCGCGCAGGCGTCGTTGATCGCAAATACAATCTTCACGGTACAATCGCTTGCTGGTGGGTATTTCGTACAATCAAACCAGATCCCCGTCTGGATTCGATGGCTGAAGGTAAAACTCACTTTTCATCAACATTAATGCTCCTGGCTAAACGCTACCAGTGGACAGCATATTCATTCTATGCCTATTCTGCCTCTGCCGTGAATGAATTCCTCGTTCATACGAGCGATCCTGCTGGCCAACTTTACGACTGCCCGTACCCTGGTGGGACTGCAAACCCACAATGCAGTCAATACACAGGTAGGTACATAATGCAGATTCTCGAAGTGCCCTTCAAGGATTTGAAACGTCCATTCATTATACTTCTTGGGTTCACGCTTGTGTTCTTTATTTGTTCGGGCGCTATACTCAGCTTCGTTCGTGTTCATTTGGGAATGTCCGTACCTCGAAAGACGGATACAGACTTTTCAGCTGGCAAAGAGAACATGACAGCACAGTCACTTGCCCGAGCTCGGACGGTCACCGTACATTTGAGAGGCTTTGCCCTCGACATCTGGAAACGGAGTGGGATGTTTTGGAAACCAAAAAAGCTTTCAATCCTGAAACCCATGGACACGGATTTTTACCCAAGCGTACTCAACGTTATCATGGGGTAAGCCTATCAAGATTTGGCGAGGCTACTATGGCTGACAAAATCAGACCCTCCGGCTCAGGCAAAACATCCTTGCTCAATGCCATGGCACAACGAATGCAGCACACTCTGACTACAAAATACTATAAATCAGGTGGAATAAGCTTGAATGGGGCAGAGCCTTCTCTCAAGGTCATACGCTCGATTTGCTCGTTCGTCTGCCAAGACGATGCCCAACTACTGCCTTGTCTGACCGTGAGGGAAAATCTAGTCTTTGCGGCCCTCCTGAGACTTCCTTCCCACTTTTCGAGGAAGCAAAAGCTTGACCGTGCAGAGTCTATTCTACTGAAGATGGGCCTAAGCGACTGTGCAAATAATGTTGTTGGTGATGAGTTGAGGAAAGGGATTAGTGGCGGCGAAAAGAGAAGGACCACTATTGCTTGCCAGATCCTTACCGATCCACAAGTTCTTCTCCTGGACGAACCGACCAGCGGCTTGGATGCTTTTACCGCGTCGTCAATTATTGATGTTTTAAAATGTCTCGCGAGCGAGGGGAGAACGCTGATTCTCGCCATTCATCAAACTCGAAGCGATTCGTTCAAACACTTTGAGAACGTTCTACTGCTAGCACAGGGTGGTGAGATTGTGTACACCGGAAGAGGCTCAGCAATGCTTCCCTATTTCGCAAGTCTTGGCCACATGTGCCCTATCACAACCAATCCTGCCGACTTCGCTCTAGATCTCATATCTGTCAACCTTCAATCGGAGTCAAAAGAGACCAGAACGCGTGAGAAGGTTCGATCATTGATACACAGCTGGCAGGGTAAGCAGCACTCGTTGAATAATGAACCGCAAACAATCGACAGTCCGGCTCAACTTGGCAGCTTCGCTCGAAAAATGACACCATTACGAGTCGCCCTTCCTGCCCTCATGCATCGTAGCTTCATCAACTTCAAACGCAACAATGTGGCGGTCGTGGCACGTACCATGCAGATTCTGGCCTACGCCTGTATACTCACGCTTCTTTTTGCACCTTTAGGAACAAGCCAAGCCAGCATCAATGCCCGCTTCGGCTTCCTCCAAGAGATCACACCCCTCTACTTCATCGGCATGCTCCAGAACGTTGCCGTTTACCCAAAAGAGCGGGATGTCTTTTACCGCGAACACGACGACAACGCATACTCCGTCGAGGCTTTCTTCCTCCAGTACACCTTTGGAGAAGTGCCGTTCGAGATCGTTGGCTCACTTGTGGCGGCAACACTTCTTGCACTGGCAACACAACTCCCTCGCACCATCTTCGTCTATCTCGTCATGGCGTTCAATTGCTTCGCGATCGTCAATGTTGGCGAAAGTCTGGGTATCATGTTCAACACTCTCTTCACGCATACCGGCTTCGCGGTCAACATGATGTCGGTGGCCATCTCTATTCCCACATTGATGGCGGGCACCATGTCATTGAATGTGCCTGCCTTTCTGCAAGCACTTAATCACCTCAGTCCCCTCAAGTGGTCGCTCGGGAACCTTGCACCCTACAGTTTCAAAGGCGTGACATTCCATTGTGAGGATCATCAAAGGATGCCGAACGGGGAATGCCCGATTGGTACAGGGGAGGAAGCGCTCAAGGTGTATAATTTTGAGACGAACCCTGCACTTAATCTGTTGGCGCTTGGGGTCTGCGTGGTTGCTTATCGACTGTTGGCGTACCTCATACTCAAAGTGGCGCGAATGAGGTAGAATATTGCCGAGAGAGTAAAACAAGATTGGCTAGGAAATACATTTGGTAGAACACGATATAGAAGTCTAATCTGCTGTCTGTACCTGTAGGGTGTTTTATATGGCCACTTAGGATTCAGAATAAAACAGTATAGTACATGTAAAAGTATAAGGGGTATATAAATGCACAAGAAGGCCAGTAGACAAGCTCTTTTTGTCGTCCCTTTTTCCATCATTGACAGTCACTCATTACCTCATATTTCACGTTATCGATACCTACTTCCGAAGCCTTCCCACAAGATTCTGCCCCGATTGACACCTGCTTAAGATCTTTCCAATCGTCTGTAAAAGCCATCTTCTGCATGCCCCTTTTACTCGGAGAAAACGACAGCGATGCCGTCTGGACACTTTTGCCGCTACTTGTAATGCCTGTGATTACAATAGAGCAGCTATCACAAGTGCTCTCTCCAACTTTCCCTTCTATTCCCCGGGCCCGTAGCCAGTGGTTGTTCGCGACGAAATCTCTGACCTGCAAGGCTCGCCGTGAGAGCGTGGTATTTGACTGTGCATTGGTGTCTTCTGTGCTGTTGGCAATACATGCCACATACATCTCTTCAAGTGCAAAGGCGCCTTTGCCGCCAGTTGGCACAAATTTATTAGATGGTGCGGGGCCCGAGTGGCTGACGTCCGTGTCACTGCTTTTCTCGTCTGGTGAAGATGGTTGGTAGCTAAACACATTTGGCTGAGAGAATGCGAGAAGGTTCTTCGTTGACTTGAAGTCGCTCCAATCGAGCCCTTGATAGGGGACTGGAGAAGCCTTATCAACTGATATCGTGTCGTCCAATACTGAGGATGGAATATTCACGTTTGGAAGCGACAGCGAGAGAGTGGTGAGGTCGTCGAACTGAATTTGTGTCAGTGCTCGGATGATCAATGGTGAGCAGAAAAGGCATGAGACTCACAGTAGCGACGTAACTTTGCTTTTGGTTTTGGCCCGAAGCACAGGGCATCGTGGAGTTTGATGGCATTGAAGAGGGTGGTATCATAGAAGATGCAGCAAGAGAAGGCTGCAGTACAATTGGACTCACTCCTATGGAAGATACAGAAAGACCTCCAGAAGGATTTGAGAAGCTCGAGCTATTTCCGGGTGTTCCTGTTCCACCGCTATAGGGAATTGATAGGGAAGGAGCTGAGTTGTATGAGTATGGAGGTCGACCTGTACCTGAAAGAGCTCCAGTTCCAGGAAAGCCATTACTAGACAAAGGAAACCGTTGGCTTGCTCCCGTATTTATTGGCCGTGATGCAAAGGACGATGCTGTCATGCTGAGCGATGGGCTGGTACCACTTCCACCTGTTGGGCCGCGGCCAGAGGGCATGGAGCCAGACAGGAAGCCACCTGACGGACTCGAGTTATTGCCATATGGGGCAGTAACGGGTAAGCCCCCATTTGTCAAAGGGAATCCTGGCTGGATAGGGGAAGCGTGTGGTGAGGCGGTGGATGGAATTCCAGAATTAGTATTAAAGGGAAAGCTATTGATCGGTGAATTGTTGCTGGGAACATTACTATTCTCGCTTCCTCCTGTTCCTTGAAACGGAAGAGATGCTACATTCAATGGCGTAGTCTGAGGGAGCCCCAGTCCACCAGAAGGGGATGCTGCTGGAATTCTAAGTCCGGCTGAAGGAGAGTTGATCGGAAACTGGTTGGACGCAGCAGTCCCTGGCAATACGGGTGAAGCAGGTGGAATCTGGTCTGTAAACGACGGCACTGCGGGACTAGGTGGCAGGTTGCCAGCGTTCCCTCCTGTTGGACAGCTTGCGCCTTGATTTGCCGTGACTGTGATTATTATGGTTGTTGTGACCGTTACAGCTGGGGCGATTTGTGCTCCTGCTGATGCATCTGCCGATGCTTGCGCTTCAGCCTGCGCTGTTACTGTTACTGTCTCTGCAGGTAGTGTGACCGTGGAAGCCGGCATAGTTACCGTCGCAGCGGATGGACAGAAATTGCTTAGGCCGCTGGGTTGGACTTCGCCTGAAGCGCCTGGACTGGGGATACCTGCACTGCCGTAAGGTAGATTTGGTGATGGAACCAGCCCTGGTATGGAAGGCGATGGGAATATTGGCGACGTAACATTTTGGTATGGGGCGCCCGATATGGGATACGATGGAACACCACCAGTCCCCTGTGACGGGGCGCTGCCAGAAGCAGAGACACTTCGATAGATACCACTTCCACCAGTGATTTTCAACAGCCCTGTTCCGGATGCAGATGCAGTGCCATTTGCCGTGGTGATACGTCCTCCAGTGGGACACGGGGAGGTTTCCCCGGTCTGCTTAGATTCTGGATTATTAAAGAGCGCCTCCAAGCTGGCATAAGGAACTGCTTCGGCGTCATGGTTTTGGGTCGTAGTAGTCGTTGGAGTCGCTACTCCTGCGTTGATGTCTAAACTAACGTAGGCATATTCTGAATCATCTTCCCACGGCTTTGGTGCGCATTCGATAGTAAAAATGAGAGAGGCTGCAAGAACAAATGCAAAGGTAACGAGCGACCTCATGACTGACAGCCATGAGCGGTGAGAGCCAAAAAGAGTGAATGAAGGAAAAGAACTGAATTGAGAACCGCAATGACGACAAAAAACGAGATTGTCAAGAAAGCAGGAGCCAATCCCGTGCAATAGAGTGAGACCAACATTGCAGCTCAAGAGAGGGCCGTATGCCGCCTCCACGCCGTGGTTGCGCACTTATAGTCGACTAAGCAGGCTTGCGCAGGGTCGAGAAGGTTGACCTGCGTTGAGCCCGTATTCTTGAAGTCGGGTATAACGACCATTGCATCGCATAAAGACAATAATGATGTTGGAGCGACCCGGATTGAGGCTATGAAAAGCAACGTGCGGGTAAAACGAAACAGCGGGTGCAGTGAATCAGGAGCTGTGCGCTTGAGCGTAGGTTATGCAGAGAGTTCTCTCGTTGATGCAATAATAATATTTGATTCCGGATGCGGAAAGTTCTTCGTCACGTGCAATCGCCGAAATGCTATGGAAAAGGGTAGTTGCATCTAGCCAACTTCCACAAGCCAACCTTATAGGCTTCGTCACCAGCGTGAGCTATCCTTTCGTAGCTAAGGATGATTGGCTTACTCGGATGATGCTCGTTCAAGCTGTGCAGCGCAGCTGTTGTTGTACCAATCGATACTCACGTCATCCACGTAATAATCGAGCAACTTCCCCCAACCGCTGCAGAGATCGAGATGCTGCTCACACCGACGAGCTCTGAGTCGAATTCGACGTAAGTCAAAGAGCAATTGTTGAAATTAGGACAGGGAGGGAGTCGACTGGTTCGTGTTCTTGGCTCAAGTTGCTGTCCTCCGAAGGTCACATTGATGGTCAAAAGACATACAGACAGGCTCCCATCTGTACATCCGAAATAGCCGGACCGTGGGTTGAACCTAAGTACCATAATCAAGTCAGTCATAACATTTCGGGTCGAAGAAAGAGCCTTGAACCATGTCTCGAGGGCCAACGACCTGGATTCCTCGAGGAGTTGAATTTGAAGACTTAACGTACCAATATGAATTATCCGCGGCACGAGGTCCAGCTCCGAATCCGCCTGTCACAAGCCCTGCGTTAGGAGACCCGTCCGTAGCTGTACCTGATACCCGATATACGGCGAGCTGAGGTGATGATCGTGGTGGGTACGGGTCTGAAGGCGGCGGCACATACCCAAAGTGATCGTCAAAATATAGTTTCCGATATGGGTTGAATATAGGTGGAACGTCTTGGTCGTTTGGATCATCTGAGACTGTGAATTGCGGTAAATCATCAAACTGTCTGCCTCGTCAGCCAGCATGACCAGATGTTCCAAGACACCTCTTACGTCGACTAGAGATGCTACTTGTTTCTCATTACAAGGTGGAGAAGCTGTTGACCTGAATGAGCTTGATGTTGGCGAAGAGAAGCCCTCTGGACTGCTACCCTGCTCTGGACCAATGGGAAAAGGCCAGGGAATTCCTGTGGCTGTTGAGGCCGTCTGTACAGCCGCTTCTGGTATGGCACCTTGAAATGGACTTGAGATGGGGTACGCAGAGGCTTGTAACTTCACTGGGATAACGCTAGACGAGGCTAGTCCTTCTGCCATTGCAGGTGCCGCAGGTGCTGCTAAAAGGTTCTCAGGATCGGTCTCCCACGAAACCACCTTACCATTGATCGTTGCAGTGATGACAATGGGTTTCTCGTCACGCTTGTTTCGATTACCAACAGTCGAGGGGGAGACTAGGGCAGATGCTCGCTCGACAGAGCTAGCTGCTGCTGTTGAATTCTTGATTGTTCTAAGTGTCGTAGCATTCCAGCCTTCAGGTCCGTGTCCAGTGTATAGCTTGCCAGAGCTGGCAAAATACGCGTCCGGTGCGGTTGCAGCCGCTGAAATCCTGTCAGCTTCATCATTCTGCCTATCCGTGGACTCTGCTCGCCTTGAGTGTTGCTGCTGGATGCAGCTTGGGTAATGTTTATGACCTGATTTTGCGCGACCTCATTGTAAACAAGAGAGTCTTAACATATGACACGTCACCAGTGTGGCTTACCAATACGGTCTCCGTGACTATGTTCGTCACGTAGACTGTTGAGGTGACACTACAGCCAGCTTGGGAGCTATTTGTACTGTAAGCTTCTGACAAAGGCAACGCTGAACATCATTGATATGGCTCGGAGATATTGTTAGGCTGGCTTCTTGAGCAACTTTTACGTACTTCACGCTGGTTGCAAAGGCGGTCGCTACCAAAAGCAGTGCTATGAACAGATTCATGGTAGGATGATACGCAGGAGGTCTTAAAGAATGGACGGCTACGAGGCCAGAGAATTGATAAAAGAAATTAGTGACAGCAGGACTTGATTGCTCAAGGAGTGAATGTGGGTTGGTGAAGTATCATGTACAATCTGATATGAAAAATGCCAAGCGGTGGAACACTCCTTCAACATCACCCATCATCACAGGTCATTGGTGGTGGCGGTGATACTACATAAGGCGTCCCCCTTCGGCGTAAATTCAGCAGAAACCAAGCTTCATCGTTTCACTGCTCAGGCGCTGTGCTTGCTTTTCTGGGTTTTGGTGAGCAAAGGCCTGCTTCAAGCTTGGCCGTTCACGCATAAGGAATTTAGGATTGACAAACATCAAGATGCAACCAGTTTTACGAGAAAGATTTATGCCGGTCATATTCTTGTTCCCATTATTAATCAGGCTACCTGGTCTTCTTGCTGAGAATGATGTCAAACATTCAGCTTCAGGACAAGGCTCATCTTTCGCCGGCGATTGCAATGCTTCAGGACTTCGTGGCAAAATCGCGATATCATACCGGGCGAAAGGTTTAGCCTTCGTGTCTTCTGAGGTCTCGCAGGGTCTCCCATGTCGCTTGAAGGTCTGAGCGTCTCGAGCTTGGACGGTAGTAAATAGCCGGTTGCCGATTCCTCGCCATCAGCCACTCTTTGGAAATCATGCAGGGTTGGCAGACCATGGCAAGGGACTACCGTGGAGCCCCACTAATGATTCAGCCCCCGAGTCTGTGCGATGGCAATTTTGCAATGCCAATGATCGACGAAATGTATACAAGTCTCACAGAATCGAGCGCTAATGCAAGATTTGGCTCCTGCAGTATCTTGCAGACGCAAGAGAAGAGGCGCGCAGCCGCCCGCCTTGCATGGAGATATGACCTGTATTGACCTCAAATATCGAATGGACCGGGATAGCAGCGGCCATCTGCTTCTGTAGGAAAATTATCTGACCAACCAAAGATCGCCTTAAAAACTGTCAAAGATTGAGAGCTTTGTTCACTTGATTGAGGAGGCTCTATTGCATGAAGTGTGATTAATGATCTTGGCCAGATGGTCCATGGCTTGTAATTAAAGAGGTGAGAAAGAGCTTTTGGTGATTTCATCGCTCAGCTGCTCTTCGAAGTCTAATTGTGTCAATCATACTGCCGCTCGGTATTGAGGCCTGCCACGTCATCGGTAGGAAGTCCCGTTGATGTTCGAAGGCGCGAATTCCTGTTTGAAAATCTCGAGATCTGTTGTCCCGTCCTTGTTAGTCCCACTCGTGCTTTCGATTGCAAACACGACATTTGAGAACCATTTGCTGAACTCTTTCTCGTGTAAGAGAATCTCTTTCCACATCTTTGCAACCTGAACAGCTGGATTACGGAAACCATAGCCAACTCCAAATGCACCCATGACGAGGTCCGAATGCCCTCTGATCATGGCAATTCGAAGGATTGTCCTCATTTTCTCCATCATCATATCTTTCTCCTGCTTGAAGGAGTAATTAATCCCACTTTCATCGAGCTTCGGTCGTCGAACTGGGGCTACGGAGATGACGGGGAGCGCTTTGAATTCTTTGAAAGCCGCATAGCCTTTACCAGAGCTTGAACGAAATATAACTATGGAGATGAGCCAAGGATGTACTGCGTTCAAAAAGAGGCAGAAAGGATACATACCGACCGAGGGGGAATAGATGCCTCCTGTGGTCCGGATTGGATAGTGCGCTTGTTTGGATGACAGAGAACATGGTGCTACCAATGCTTGAGCGAGTGTCGAACGTCTGCAAAGGCATTCTTCCGGTGCAATCAGACCGGATTCCCAGTCGCCTCCAGCTCGTTTCTCGTTTGCCATATTAACAACGGGAATGGAAGCACCGGCCAAGCTCGAGCGCGAGGCACTACCTTCGCTGAAATTCGAATCATGCCATTCTAATGCTACATCAACGGGGTCGCCATCCAGGACAGCGATTCGAAGCTTGTTGTCTTTTTTGTGCTGGCCTACATTCTTGAGGTTGGCGCTGTCGGGGTACAGAGTCGAGCGGGCGGGAAATTGAGGATACTTTTGTGTGATGAGTGGTATGAAATGCCTCTTCGCTTCCGCAGCTATATCGGATGGTTTGATTTTGGCCTGAGGCATGTCTTGGAGGGTAGGAGTGGAAGTGTGTGAGGAAGAAAGGGCTTCTCTCTTCTAGCAACTGCAAACGGTGCGGGAGTGAAGGCTTTGGCCATGCATTAATTCTCCGACTTTTAGCATACCGCTACTCTAGTAGCCAGAAGGGTAGATTCAAGCGAAAGCAGTGAATGGTAGGGCTGGGGATGGAAGCTGCATGGAAGAAAGACCGTAGTGGGCGGAAAGCAGGTGCCTCGTACACAAGTTGTGGGGAGGAAAATAAATGATGCAAATTAGTCAAATAGCTGGGAGCTCACAGCAGGCGGCTTCCAATAAGGTGGCAGGCGGCAGAAGTAGCGACTGCCCAGATCGCTAGAAGATGCCTCTGGCCTGAGACAGCAGTAGGCATCATGACAGTACGATACGCGAGATCTCGGGGGAAGGGGTCTCAGATCTGATGAGGTATGTGAGTCCTGCCACTAAGGTCGACTAGAGGGGATCGTGGCCATCGCGGCCAATGGGAGGGGCAAGGAGGGGGGATGCCACATCGACTCATCGAGTGCTGTGAGATAGCCGCGCATGGTAGTGTGAGATCTGGTGGCTTGCCAGTTTGCCACGATGCCGACTGAACGTGCGGCCGAGATCCAGAGTCTAGGCCGATCGCTCCGTGCGGTCGAGGCACGCTATATCGTGTGTCCACTGTCCACTGTCCGCTGTCCGCTGCCCAATTTGACATTATTAAATTGGCCATGCTTGATGCTTCACCCAAATCAATCTTGGCCCTCGTACAACGTCTTAATCTTATTTGGAGTGAATCAAATAGCAGCGGCCGCGGCGACTTCACTGCTCTGTTTCCTCCCTATTGGCGGAAATACTGTCATTGGTACATCAATCCTCAGAACAGTATCTTGAGCGCTGGCTGTGTGGCGTTGCGGGACACTCTGGTCATTCCCCCCCGTGTATGTTATTCAATTATTATTGGTATCGTCTCTGGGAAGGACGTGCAATTTCCAAATTCAGAGAGGATTGCGGGGCAAGGGCAATCTGGTCGTTGCTGTCTCAAAGACGCAGGGGCTGTAGCCACCAAAATGACAAATTACCATTCGTTCTCCCGCAAATCGCGAGTTCCGTTTCAATGGCTCGCAATGACATTTATTGGTAGTCTCTCGCCTGTCAATAATGTACTCGTTGCAAGACCAGCCAAGCCAGCACAAAGCCAATGCAGGAGATTGGAGGCAGCGAAGTGGGAGGGGCCGACGCGCTATACCGCTTTAGAATAATGCACGCCTTTTGGCTTGCCCTTACCGCCGAAATCAATCAATGGTGCGCGTTGCACACTTTGCAAGTCTGTCAGAGGCGGTGCGCTATCACTGACCGTAAGAAATGCTATGGCGCACCAAACGCCACCACCTGCCGGCGATCGTGAAGATGCCATGTCTGGTGACCATCGGAAGCACGTTCCCTTCACGCCTGTTTAGCATCAGAACTTCTAGTCCCGATATAGCGTGGATATTGTCGACTCTGAACGACCAAGCAGGGGAGCGACTCACTGCCATTGGACATATACGTACTGTCAGGCAACAAAAAAGTCATACATTCGTTGAGATCGGAGATGGATCTACCATTGACACTCTCCAAGCAATACTCAAACCGTCGCTCGCAAAGGGGTGCGTGCACAAGCTTGCTGCATTCGTAGATCATCACTAATTCACCGCACATTGACAGCCTACAAACAGGTGCATCTGTCGCCATCACTGGGACATGGCAATCTGCCCCCCAACCGCGAAACAGTTGAAAGAGCTTCATGCGGAGGACGTCGTGGTACTGGGAAAGGCAGACGAGGTATGTCTCATCTTTCCTGCCCGCATCTGTGGGACTTGTATAATCGCCTTTCTGACAGAGCTACAAGACTTTCCCCATACAAAAGAAATATCATAGCCCTGAGTTCCTCCGCACCATCCCACATTTACGACTGAGGACGCCGTTGAACGCTGTACTAGCACGTCTACGGTCTGAGGCGGACTACAGTTTATCAAGCTTTTTCCGGCAGAAGCAGTTCATTCGTGTTCAAACCCCGATCATCACGTCCTCTGATTGTGAAGGTGCAGGCGAAGTCTTTGAAGTGACTGAGCATGCGAAAGAAGCAGATGATGTACGGGACGTTGACAGCCACAAGAGTATTGATCGATTCTTTAAATCACGAAAGCACCTAACGGTGTCCTCCCAACTCCATCTCGAGGCATTCATAAATGACCACCCTCGAGTCTGGACCCTTTCACCAACCTTCAGAGCCGAGAACAGTGATACCCCGAGACACCTCAGTGAGTTTTGGATGCTCGAAGCTGAAATGCGGACGGAGTGTCTCAACGATGTAATGGAATTCACTGAGAGGATGCTAAAGACCCTGGTCACCGATCTTCTTGAGACTTCTATTCTTGACGATCTCAAGGGCGTGACGAACAAGGCATCGCGTAGTCGCGAGGACAATAAGACGACAGACCTCGGAGCTCGATGGGGCCGGCTTGCGCAGCAGTCATGGCCGCGTATCAGGTACGCTGACGCTGTTAACCTCCTTCAGAATGCAGCAAGAACAAGAGAAGCCCATTTCGAATATGAGCCTTCATGGGCAGGACTTTACCTGGAGCATGAGAAATGGATTGCTGGAAAGCTCGGCATGGGAGGCCCCGTCTTCGTCACGGATTTTCCTGGAGCTATCAAACCATTCTACATGCTACCGTCCGTGGACAGTAATCAGCCATCCAACATGTCGACTGCTGCATGTTTTGATCTCTTGCTGCCCGAATCTGGTGAAGTGGTGGGCGGGTCGCTACGTGAGCATCGGCTAGATGCCTTACTCTCTGCTATGCAGTCCTACGGTGTGAACGCGCCGACTTCTCCTGGCTCCGGCAATCTCGACTGGTATGTTGATTTGAGAAGGTACGGAAGCATACCACATGGGGGTTTTGGTCTTGGTCTGGATCGGTTCTTGGGCTATCTTGCAGGCCTGGATAACATTAAAGATGTTGCGCCTTGGCCGCGCTATTTTGGGCGATGTGATTGCTAAGACCAGGAATTCCATTTACTATGCGCTTTGGAGCCAGGATCACATGCAGCATGTTTTTGATATTAGACTCATCGACATTCCACCAGTCCGTGTCGCCGTGTGTAGCCAGGAAGGTCCCCGTGAAGAGAAGGCTCGAGCTATGGGATAGTACAAGGCAGTGTGCCAATAAACCCACAGCGAAGTTCCGGGTAGCTGCTTGGCCTAGCTGAAATGATTAACTCTCAGCGGGTCGCCTAAAGCAGTTTATGCATACCTCTGCCACGCGTAAGATTGCGGCAAGGAAGCTTGGCCAGCTGTAACAGTGGATGATCATGCGATTGGTCTCGGGAAAATAGGATGGAAAGATAATCGGTTGGTCTTACGTACTACAGGATCAACAAGGACGGGGAGTAGTGATTATGGGTCGCCTGATATGACTTTGCATGTCGCAGAGTAAGATGTCTCCCTTGTGGATATTGCAATCGGGACCGCGAGACGGAGACGGAGTCTTACATACAGAGTAGCAAATGATCCTGGTCGAAGGAAGCAACTCCAATGATCTCCTCGAGAGGCAAGAGGGGACCAGGCGGTCTGCATTCCAATCTTGTTGTTCTCGTACAGTCTGACTCTGACTGTGCCGGTGGGATCATCATCCCAGACCGCAAAGTTAGAGACAGGTAGCGTAACCGGCAGGGTCGCGTGAAGGCGCATGTATGATGTATTAATCTTGTCGATTTATGTTTATTGCTCCGGGCAGCCGAACCCAAATTCAGCAGCCCAACTTAAAAAACAAGGTAGCACTACAATGGACCTAGTACCATGTAGCCTATTGCCACCAACCGCGCCCCCATCGCAAAGCCAGGCCACCCACCCACCCACCCACCCCCTTGTTCAACAATATTCTCTCGCGATCTTGCCGGAATTCCGATTGCGGCACGTGCTTGGCTTGTCCGCCTGAGGTCCCTCAGGATTCTTGATAAATGCAGTGTTGCTGAAGGTTGCTATGTAAACAGTGTCCTGGTTGGATTTGTCCTCCAGCAGTTGAGACCTTTGCTGACACATGTACATCTTAAAGGAGACTGCCCCCGTCATGATCCAGGGAGAAGGGGATGCGGAGGATTCTGAATGTCAAATCTCCAACCATGACGAACAATCTGCGAGTAGCTTAGGCGAGGATCGCTGATTGGCCTCGAAGGGTGAGTCTAAGAGACTGAGACTCGCCGAGACGGAACTAACAAAAGCCAAGCAGTCCAGATAGAAATAAGCATACCGGGGAGAAAGCCTTGGTATGAAGGCAAATCTCGGTGGGTCAATCTACCCAGCGGGCTGCGGAAGGATACGTAATCCTGTGTAGTACGGATTTTCCTTCTCCTCCAGCAATTGCTGCCCTGCCCATTGTAACGCGTGGGATATTGAATGTATGAATGATAGCTGAAGGCTGGTCATGAGCCAAGCGAGGGATTTACCCTTGTAGGATCCGGCAGGCAAGCGTGATCACACAGCTGGATGTCAGCAAAGTTGTAGAACTAGGCGCCGAAAGGGTGCGGTCGAACGACACGCAGCAGCAGCTGCTGATGTCAGGGAAAACCCTGGAAAGACCCTGAGGAGATTCGAGATTCGATCAGACGGAGGTACAGCTGTGGTTCCCCACAGCTCGTGAGCCCACAGGACTCCAGGACAAGAGAAGGCGATTTTAATAATCCTTGACGCCTGGTCGGCTATCTTGACCTTCGTAATTCGCCCTCTTCTGCTGCCGCCTTTTGGCTTCCACTTTCGAGCTTACGGACGAGACGAGATTCACATCTGCCCTATGCGGGCCAAGATCCTGGATCAGCGCCGTGCAGCACCCACCATCGTCCAGTATCGCTTACTATCGTGGGCTAAGGTCCACTGGTGCACCATCCTGGCAGTCGTTGCGAGACGCCAAGACGAACAAAGCTCTTGACACAACAACCTACGTGATTTAGCTTAAATTCGGCCTCGTCTCGGTGGACGGCTCGTGGAATTAAGTTAGGAGCGCCAATTTAGAGGCGTATCTTAATAGAACTCCCTTAACATAGCCTTTCCCCTAATCACCCATATCCCTCGCCCCTGCCTCTGTAGTCTGTACACCACACTACTACTACTTACCACGTTGGATTCGCCTTCTCCTCGCAAGAAAAAACAACCACGCCAAGTTCCGTCTTGGGTTGGCTCGACCCACCCGATCATCATTCGAGATTACACACACCCCATCTCCAGCAGCAGACACCCACCCCCTTCGGCACCGGTGCCTTAGAAATACCTAATATCGTCCCGTCACGAACTGTTGGTCCTCCCTACCATACTACCTGGTATTAGTATTGGCATTGATCCCGGTGGCCGGCTCTTCCCCCAACATATCCGCCGGAATCCTTCTTTCTGACTTCTCGACACCTTGTTTTAGCTCGAGGCCTTACTCCGATTAGACCATACGGCTTTAGGGAATTGTTATTCGTGGCGCCCTTGTCATCTGTAACATCCCATCTCACCTCGCCGCACCACTCATGCCAAAACCAATGCTGATGCACCGAGACTACACGAGGATAATCTCCAAGCTTCGATAGTCGTGCCACCAAGTACCTTATCTGGTGACTGGAGGCTCGAGAGTTACTGCTTCGGGGCAAGTTTGCGGTAAGTGTCATCCTCCAATTAAGCAGCTATACTTTCCAAAGAGTCGCCGGTCCTGAAGCTTGTAATACCTAAAAATTGCTCCCCTGGGCTGCTTCATCTCCGAACTTACTGGTGGCTGTGTGCCTCTCACCTGCTTGGTATTTCTTTCTATCGGCTTGGCTTGAATTGTCTCTTTTTGCCTCAATGTTCCACTTCTTTTTCATGTCGAACAACGTCTATGGCCTTGGTTGCAAGGCCTTTGGTCACGACAGAGTCTCAATCAAAGCTAATGGCGAGAAGCAGAATCCAACTTCCGCCATTGCCATTCGAAACGGGCTTTCATCGTCAACTAGCTACCCCGCTGGCGGTCGAAGCGGCAACGAATCCACTGAAGCGCAAACATCCACTCGAGGCGGACCTTCAATACGCACCCCGTTACTCGCGGAAGACATTCACCTTTAGCTCAGACACCAGCTCCGACATGGAAACCTATCACGGCCATGTGCGGACACCAGCAGACGCCATCATTCTTTTTGAAGCATGTCGTCTCGGGTTACTCCCGCGTGTACAGCGGCGGCTGTCGGAGAAGGAGCGGCAATCGATCAAGTCAGGTTCGGTGTTTGTGTGGGATGAGAGAGAAGCTGGGATGAGAAGATGGACAGATGGGAAGTCATGGAGTGCCAGTAGAGTCTCTGGTAGTTTCCTCACATACCGCGAAATGGAAGGGAAACGCGGAGGTGGAGGGAATGGATATCCTCCGCCAGTCACAGCCTTGGCGCGAGCGGGTCGGACACCAGAAAGCACCCATGGCAGTGAATCGGATATCGACCTCGCTGGTGAGGAGGGCCCGGATGGATACAGATATAAACCCGACGGCTTAGTGAAACAATCATTCAGTATCACAACCTCTTCTGGAAACCACTTGCATCTGATCAGCTATTACTCTCGGACTCATCCGGCATCTCAACAATTAAATAGCCCGTCTACGGACCCTCAACTCCGTCACATTCGACCGGCCAAAGGCATGTATCCTGAGTCTACAGTCCATGAGCATCAGAACATTCCTGCTGTGACACGATCCCCAATGGCGGGCGCACCTTATACTACTACTCCTCAAATGGCAGGTTATGCTCGCCAAGGTCCACCACAATGGCCACAACAGCAAAATTATGGGTGGAACCAACCTCCACCTTCTCATCCACAGTACCAGTATCAAGGCTATTCTTACGGCCCACACTCTTACGCAGCCCCTCCGCCTGGTCAAGCCAATGGCCAATCTTCTTTGCAATACTCTCAATCCGCACAGTATTCGGCCTCGCAATCGGGAGACCGCCCTCCCCCAGCGTACGATCAGAGACCTTCGCAGCCACAGCCGCATCTCCAGTATCAAGGGTACGACACTAGACGATACCCACCGACACCTCCCGACTCTAGGCCATCGCAGAACCAGAATATGCAAACCAATTCCCCCGACGCTCGTCAGCGTCCAATACCCAATTATCAGCACCCAAGTCCATATCCACCCGGAATTCGAGAAGCGTATCCTGGCCCAGCCCACGATCAGCGATATCAGCGTCCACCGCCCTCAGAACATCCGCCGACTTTATCCCGTTCTCAACCATCGTCTACACCCACCGCTCAACAAAATGCTCCGCAACCCCAAGCATATCCGCCTGGTCCATTGCCACCTCCTCAACCCAATCGCAGTACCCCGCCTTCTCAATATCAGCAGCAACCAGCACCGAACGCATCAACACCTATTGATCCACAGCTGACGGGTGTGGCTTCAGTACCACACCAACGCAATGGGCCTCCCAGCGAGCCAGCAGGAAGCATGCCAGGTACTTTAGGGGGTGAAAGTCGAAGTCGAGGTACCGTGCAGCCAAATGGATACCACCCATCTCCAGCGAGCTCGATACCTAGCATCAATTCGTTGGTGAATGGCTCGACCCCTCAAAACCCAAGCGAGAATCGCATGCCTGTTGTACCAAACGGCGCTATTCCTAACGGCCTTTCCAGCTATTTGCAGAAACCGGAGAGGAAAAGCCCACCGGAGGCTCCCAATGGTAAAGAAGGTTTGCCGGACATCGCTAGCAGTAAATCGGGGTTGACGGAAGACAAAAGGGCGATCAACATCCTCGACCGCGGCTTTAAGGTCTGATTATGCGGAACGTAATGAACTTGCATTTGCTTTTGAGCGTGCATACTTCGGCGGAAAATAGAGGCCAAGCATAGCGTGCAAAACATCATTTCGCATATTAGTGGCTCGAGAGATGCTACGAAACGTCGCACAATCTTGAGTCTGTTGAGGGGGGCATCATTCTCGAGAGTACTTAAAGTTGAACACGATCCATAGCAGTGGTGTGGTTATGGCGGATTTTCTGCATCGATATCAAGGACATGACTGAGAAGACTCAAATCCGTAAAGATGGCCTTCGGGTATCTTTTTCAACATTCAAGTCTTATCACTTCTCATTACTTCTACTCGTCGTACCTTTTTCAAGCTCTTCCTTCCATTCCCCTCGCATCTTCCGTGCCGGCCGTCGAAACCATCTCGTATTCCCCCCTCGCGGCCCCATTAGCTTCCTTCCCACCACCACCAGCTGCACCAAAAGTCATTGGCCTCAGCTCCCTCCACCGACAACTCCACACCCCACCCGCCAGCATCACACCCGCGCTCCCTGCCTGCAAAGCCCACCACAGTGCGTTGACGGGTATCCGTTTTGTGTACGTGCTCGTTACCACAAGGTGAATGAAATGGAGGGTGAAGACGAAATCAGGGACGAGTTTGGAGCGAGCTATCAAGACCAGAAGTAGAATGATGCTACCATTGCCAAGCGTCAGTGTTTCTGCCTCCAACAAACAGGTGGATCGTAACTAGATAGAGGCGTACCCAGTTATTCCCCCGCCAACCCCCCATACGACGCCCATGGTCCACCCCATCGCGGTGTCCCCTCTCACTGTCCGCCAGTCCAGGATGAGCCCGACTGTGAAGATGCGACCGGCAGTCAAGGCTGTGAAGAGGGTGAGGGCCGTGACGGAGATGTAGTAGAGGATTTGGAGAAGGATGATCTGGGTGAGGATACGGAGGGGGGAAAGCGTGTTGAGAATGTAGGAAGGGCGAGGGGGCCGACGGGGCATGGTGTGTGGGAGGAGAAAGGGTCGTTGAATTAGAGAGGCCCGCCGAGGAGGTGGGTTTTGGGCGTCGTGTTCATGGCGGCGACTGAGGGAGAGGGATGGTAGTGGTTTAATGACTTAGCATGCTATGCCGCGCGATTTGTAGGTCATGGGCGCATGCGATAGAGGATGTTTGAAGATTTGAGGATGCTCGGAGCCTGAGATGACAGAAGGTTAGCTCTGCGAAGCCGCTAGCTCTCCGCAAAACGACCGAAAGAGGAAACTGAACGAAACATATTTATTGCATTGATTTTATCTCAAGCTCTGGATCGCTGAACAGAATGGACTGTCAACATTCGATATTGTCGATACAGTTATTATAATCCGTTATCCACTCTTTATACACCCTCCCGACCTTCACTCACCCATCTCACCTACGCCACCGCCCACTACTCTTTCTCTACTACCTATCACCCCATACCCCGCCAACATCCAAGTCCATGGCTATCTGGCCCTTTACATCATCCGATTCCTCTTCTACATCACCCGCACACGAGCCCCCAACACCTTCCTCAGACGGCGCATACATAGCGCCAGACCGAATATCGCGGAAACGGTGCTGGGAGGCGCGAGATCGATTCTTCGACTGCCTGGAGCAGAATGGAATTGTTGATAGTCTGAAGGAAAAAGATCGGACGAGAAAGACATGTGGGAAGGAAGATGAAGAGCTGGGGAGAGAGTGCGTGGCTAGTTGGGTAGGTGGACCTGTGTTTCTTTGTTTTGGATTGAGAGATTCGGCAAAAGTGGCGTTGTTCACGGAGAGGGTGTCTCAATAGGAAATGGAATCGAAATGGGAAAGATGGGGTACATGGAGCTGGGCAATGAGTGGAAAAAGGTGCTAGACATGAGCAAGGGGAGCGCATTAGGATACTCGAGTTGAAAGGAATGGAAACAGCTGACGTCCTGATGTATAGGTCACCTACTTCAAACAGCGAAGAGTGATGGAACATAACAAGAAGACTACACTGGAGAAGCTGGCAAAGGAAGGCGCAGAAAAGATATCAGACAAGGAGTTACCTCCAAATCTGCCCAGAGGGAAGCCACCATCATGACCAGGGAATCAGGCTCGCAGAACCTTTTGAAAATCTTACTCGCATAGCGGCGACAGGGCATCAGGCGAGCGTGTCGAAGACCAAGCACGGCTAAAACTCATTTCTCGCATCAGACTCTTTAAAAATGTTCATGTACATATTTCGCGATCTTCAGACAACGATTCGCATCCGAATGGGATGTTTATCAGAGGGTGTGTACTTTCTCAAAAGATCCCAAACAGCATACAATGGACTGAAGAACGCCGGTTGAAATTCCTCCAGTGGTATCATTGGTAACGAACGCTCAATGCCCCGCTTGCCGAATGTTCATGCATATCTGAGCGACCGTGTAGCAGGTATAAACCAATATAAAGCCCTCCCTAGAAATCTGTACTCCCAAAGCAGCAAAGCAGATTTGTTCAGCTCGTTTCTCATTAAGGGGTATCCTTCGCAGCAAATATTTACGTATATTCACGTCTCGTCGTTTCTTGTCGTAAAGTGATCTGCTGTCACCTTTGCATCATGATGTGCAAATGACTCGTTCAAAAGGCGGTAATAATGCAGCTCCAAGAATTGAAGACCTTCTTATACACGCTCACGCTTTGGGCGCGGCATTCTCTTGGCTGGTAGCAACGGCTACCAAAGCATCCAGGCCGGTCATCTCAGTGTCCTTTGCTTGATTATATTGTTGAGGCCTATGTTGGCCGTTGAGAGGCCAAGAAGCGTGGTGTGGTCTGTCGAGTGGCATGACCTAGCTCTACTGTCAGCGCTCCATATTGCAATGATTCAGGAGTCACCTCTTACGTGCGATTCAGCGACGCCAATAGATCGCGGGGGGTTTGTTTCAACAAATCCATTGCTATGTACTATTGATGGGTGATGCTCAAGTGGGGGACCAGAAGGCGTTTTCGGAATCCCTTCAGAACTTGTCGATTCACCAGGAGAGGCTCGTGGGTGCGACGTAGTAGAAAGTATTGGAGGCCCAGCATACCATCCTTGTCGCTTTGCTCTGTTTGGGTTGGGCGACGGGTGATCAAGTTCTTCAGCAGGACGTTTCATGGTGTCTTGGTGGATGATCGGAGCTGGGCGAAGACTCGGGGCTGCACCATCAACAGAAAGTCTTGCTTCGTATTGCTGGGTTTGTGGGGTCCACGGCTGGGACTCTTGAGGCGTACCTCCACTTTTCAGATCCAGCTTTGTCAAATTCTGATGTAAAGACAAATCCCATGATGCATGGCCTCTCCTATCACTCGGCCCAGGATGCGGCTGGGGAGAGGACCCGGCATACAAAGGTGGCTGATTCGGTGGATCCGCTTGAGTATGGGTTGGACCTCGAGATGGAGATGCTGCTGATCTCAGAGGACCCTGGTCGAATGTTTCGATCCCGGGTAGTCGCTGCGATTGGCTTGCCGCAGCGGTCGCGTTGTGGGAATATGAAGGATGAGGCGCATCGGGTGTTTGATGATAACTCAGACCGCTCGTTGCAGGACGCGAAAAATTCGGAGCCGTTGGACGGGAATAGTTGGTATATGTGTGAGGAGTTGGATGCCATGTCCGTCGTCGTATCTCCATCTCAGCTGCCTCACGAGACTGGATAGTGTGGGCTACGTTTGTTGGACTTCCGAACGAGCTACTAAGGTTCGAAAAGTTCGATGCTTGCGATGAGGCCAGGGGGCTCAAATAGGGAGAGCCGTACGAGGTGCTCTGGGGTGATTGAAAAGGCATTGGCCCAACCGGGACTGACAGCCGGCGATTATGACCCCGACCGTCCCAATACCCGCTATTCCTGACATTTGATGCAGGAGACCCAATCGAGGAGCCGTATCCAGGACTGTTTCCTCCGGTGGAGAAGGTTGTCGAGGTAGGCGTGCTCAACCCTTCAGACTCGTCTCGAAAGAACGATCCCTGTCCCGGAGGGGTTGAAGTTTGATCTCTCAGCACATCCAGAGTGAGTCTTGATTTCGAAGGATCATTTGCCATGATGAGGGGTGCGGGTCTTCTCCTTCCATCATCCCTACTGATGGTGGAGGCCGTTGAGCCAACACTAGATGCGGACAAATTACGACTGTGGCCGCGAGGAATACTACCACTACTACCACCGGTATTCGCGCGCGGTCGACTGCCAGGCGGTCTCGGTACTCGGTCTGTGCGGATCTGCCTCTGGAAACGAGTGCCTGTTGCAGCTAGTGAGCCCATTGGAATCTCTTCATTGACGTGTACAGTCTGCGCATGTTGGCGAAGATTGTCCAGGCGGGAAAATCGACGCGAACAATGACATTGAAATGGCCGCTCTCCGGTATGTTTTCTAGGGCAGAGGTCAGTGTCGAATGCCACCTAGCGGGCAAGAGTCCCTACCTTATATGTCTCGCAAGATGTTCACTTCGAGTGAAGCTAAGTTTGCAGGGCGGGAAATCTGTGCAGAAGAACCTTTGTCCCTTCTTCTTTTTGGATCCTCGTGCTGCGTCAGGCCCCATCCCTTCGCCATCTGAGATCTCACCACCCTCTCCGTCCGAGTCCGCCATTTCAACATCTTGGGATTCGTTCGATTGGATGGACAGTTGCGAATCCCGTTTGTTTGAAGTCTCCACTGCAGTATCGACGGACTGGCGATCTGGTGGAGAGAAAGAGCCCGAGAAAGGAGAAGTGGGCAGGGGTCGCTGGCCATTAATTCCGGCGAAAGTCAAGTTTGTAGGTGTACTCGAGCCCAGTCCGCCAGCATTATCATTCGGTGGAGATGCGGCAGCGTGCGACGTGGGCACTACGGGGGCCCGAGGAGTGGTAGGTGTTGTGGCTTCATTTGAGTAGTCGGCCAAGCCCAGGCCAACGTTGACAGACTGCACCGAAGTCATAGTGGCGACTTATGGAGACATGTATATGTATTATCTTTCCGTTGCCGGCGGTCGCACAACACATGAGGTAAGGGCGACGGATGATCGAACGAGTTTGAATCAAGTCATGGACTCAGGAGTGATTAGGCGCTCGACAAGGAGTAAGATTGTCGTCGAGATTTGGAGATCGGAGATTGGAGTCTATTCCCACCGCACGTGGGGACTCGTGGTTATGCGACTCTGCAGAAGATGACGAGGTCGAGGACAGATGGGTCCCAGCTTGCCGGCTGTTCCTGCAAATCTATTCTTGAGGCTGTGTGGCGCGATGAAGCGGAGGGGATGGGTCAGGTGTTTCAGAGGTTAGAGGATTGAGGAGCAAGTCTGAGCCACGTCGTAGGGGCAGGCAGAAACCAAAGTATGTTAGAGGCCTCTCGATGATGGAGCAGGTATGATCGGTAGGCGAATCTGATCTGCCGGGAAAGGATGACGAGGCAGACGGTGAGGTCGGAGTAGTGAGAGTCTTTGGTGGGGAAGGAGGGACGAGGGATGTACGCAATTCATAGACTAGCGGTGGCAGGGAGGAGACCCACAAGTCGCTACGCCATTAAACCCATTTCCATACTTTCCCTTCCTTTCAAACGGCTCATTCACCGCTAGAACCTAGTACCTGATCCCTATCGCGCCCTGGAACAGGAGACCTAAGATCTGGTTTCTGAACTGCAGTGAGACCAAGACAGAGCGAACAATCATGGCATTATGACCACGTTTCAGGCTGAGGGGGAGAGATGATACTGGGATGGACCGGACTGGCTCCTTGTTCAGCGATCGAGGCTACTGGGAAGACTATAGCGGAAAGTGTGACAGTGTGGTACTTCTCCGTATCACACAGTGCTCATGATGCTAATTCCGTCGATGCAGGCTCTGCCCTCAACCCACAAACCAGAACCCCCCAAAGCAGAGAACCGGTCAAATTCGGCGGTAAAGCGAACCCGAGCAAGCCACCTACTCGTAGGCAAAGCGGCATGTTTGGATCAGCGGGGTCAAACAGACTGGACCGCATATGGCCTTCAGGTCTTCGAACCCACGCTCGCCGCAGACTAGCATCTTACGTGCATGAGAGACCTGCAAGGGCTGCAAGGGCCTCCCTTCCTCCCCAAAAGAAGGCCCCGTCCCAGCCGTCCAGGCACCTCCCTTCCTGTCTCCTGTCTGCATCGCTTTTTGCGGCATATCCTCCCTAGTGCATTTACCTCTTGGCGCGAAGCAAAATATTCCGAACGTGGAACTGGTCAGATGACATTCTGCATTTCATCCTGCTCCTTTTGCCCCGCATGCTGTATAGTGAGAGGTCCCTGAAGAGGTAAGCCTGCAACAGCGGAACAGGTTTCGATGCTTCGTTCAATTGGCTGAGTTGACGAATGCCATGTACCATTGCTGTCTACCGCGCCTTTCTTGACGGCGGCAAACGAGCCAAAGGAAAGCCCTGCTCATTCTCTATAATTGTTGGGGTCGAGCATACTCGCAGACATCCAAGACGCGCCGCGACACGCCAAAACAGGCCATGGATAATGGCCGATCCGTGTAATGAACTCAGTCGCTTATGCCTACCGGCTTAATGCTCCAACCACGCTCCCTACCATGACCGCCGCTTCTCGTTCCCATGCTCTGTCTCTGCCTCTGCCACCAGCAGGCCCTTGACTACCTTTGATAACGCAGCTTCTGATACTATCCTTGATACGATCCTTCTGGCTCTTCAGAGCTCTTGCATTGACCCCTCCTCTTGATACAAGGTCTGAAACCCTGCCAGACAATCCCTCGGCCAGACTTCGCCAAAAATAGGATGGCAGTGCAGATGTATCTAATGAAGCAAGTAAAGGCTCTAGAAAGTTCGTGTCAGCTTTATCAGCTGTGCCTTCCTCTCCTGTCTCCGCAAAAGGCTTGACGGTCTCCAACAGAGACTCTAGAGCGACGATATTCTGACATCGTGCTGAGACTTCTAGAAGAGTCCGGTCCAAGATTGCAAGATTTGTCAGGGCCCTAGTGGTAGAGGCCAATGATGAAGTGAGAGATGTGCGTAAGTAAGCTTGAAGAGCAGCAAGTTGCAATTGTGGAGAAAGTAGATGTAGTGTTAGGAGCGCCGATGTGGTTCTTGCCTTCGTTTCTTCAGATTGTGCATAAGTTGTGGGGGCTGTAGGCCCTGACGTGAGAGAAGACATGGCAAATTCACGAATGATCTGCTGTCCTTGAGACTGAAGGAGATTTTCCGTGGGGTGCAAGACCGTGGACCTCAGACTGACCACGACGTCTACTTGCGATAAATGTTCACCTTCCTGACCCTTTCCTGAGGCTGCGAGCAATTTTCGCATAGTCACGAGGGTTGATGCAGCACGCACCATAGCTCGATGGTCCTCCTTCTTCGATGATCCGCTGGGACTGGCCACACTCATCTGTGCTTCAAGCTGCCTTGTAAGTACTAGCCATCGTCCAACAGAGCGGCCAATCTTCACGGTCTGCCAGAGCCGTTCTACAGTCACTCGAACTTCGTTTGCAGTTTCGTATCGCTGAATGACCTCTCTCTCCAACCTTTCATAGCCATTTGCGAGGTTCGCGACTTGCGCCTCGACCTCTTTGACCACTTTCTGACCTGCATCGTCTTGCTCTCTGGTATATTCGAGAAGCGGTAGTGCAGATCTAGTAGCTAACGTGTGGATGTGCGTGTCAATTTCTTGCACGTCAAAAAGGACTTTTGAGAGAGGAGTCGAAAGGTCTACAGATATATCTAACGGGTCATTCGTTGTAAGAACAAGCGAGTTTGCGAATGCCTTCGGCGAAAAAGAGGGGTCCAAAAATGTTTCGTAGTCGATGTAAGAGGGTTGGTTATCAGCCATGTTCACTCTTGAATTTTCGCTATGGAGAACGCTATGGCCATGTCCAAGCCTGGGAAGATTTTGGTATTTCCACAAGCGAGGACCAATGGTTAAGTAGATACTACACCAACAGATTTGGTGAGAAGTAAAGTGTTATGGAGCCATTCGCGGTCAAAGTGGGCAAGTGCGCGGATGACGACAAGCAACCGAATCTTCCTAGACTTCTATCTGCTCAGTACGACAGGGTCCTGCGAACGGAGTCTTGCGCCTCAGAGCTCCGTATATTCGACAAGATACCGCCGACGTCCGTCCTAAATCCACATACAGTACTCCGATCCCATGACTCCGACGGTAGAGAAAGATTGAGATGGTGGAGTAAAAGTAAAGCAGATGCAGGTTGCAGTTGTTGGATGCTGACTAAAGGAGTGTCAGAAATAAAGACGGCCGCTAACAAGATCCAACGCAACCAATGAGGAAACGGAAACATTGCTAGTCTGGGCCGATCTATTACTCGTATATTGATATGGGTAAGTTCAACCCCACGTAAAATCTAGAATCGCGCCAAAAACGCCCAGATGCTTCGGATCAGATACAGAGAATGTTTGCAATCCATGGTGTCGGGCGGATTTAGGAGTATCACGCCTTCCACGTGGCAATGCACAATCCGTCGCGCAGAATGGATGGAGAGTGTATAAAATAGAGCGGATACGCCTTCCAGAGCAGTGTTGTATGCTTGGGCTTGCTGCTTTCTCCGAACACCAAAATCCTATTAGCTTCGTCATATCTCTACCATTGAATCAAAAACACACTTTCCCTTTTTTTCTCTATCTCGCTCGACCAAAAGCCTACCTATTCTCTCCCAATGGCGTTCGCCGGTAAAGTTGCACTCATTACTGGGGGCTCGAAGGGCATCGGAGCTGCTACTGCCCTGAATCTAGCTAGCCAAGGTGCAAGTGTTGTCGTCAATTATGGTAGTGACTCAGCTTCCGCCGATGCACTCATCGCGAAAATTGGTGACCCTCAACGTTCTCTAGCCGTCCAAGCCGACGCGGGCAGTGTATCTGGAGTCGAGAAAATGGTTGCAGCTACTGTGGAGAAGTTTGGGAAGCTCGATGTTGCAATTGCCAATGCTGGTTTACTGCCAATGATCGACCTTGCCTCCATAACAGAGGCCGACTACGACAAGACATTCAACCTCAACGTGAAAGGACCTCTCTTCCTTGCTCAAGTAAGTGCTTACCATCGAGCAACTCCTATTCAAATGACATGCAGGGCTCAAGTCAAGTTTAGAAAGCTGCCCCTCATATGGCTCCGGGCTCCCACATCGTCTTGCTCTCGTCCTCTGTTACCGCTTATTCGGGAGTGTCACCAGCATACCTGCTTTACAATAGCACAAAAGGAGCGATTGATCAGATGACTCGACTTCTGGCCAAAAGCCTGGCTCCAAAGGGCATCAGTGTCAATGCGGTCGCTCCTGGCCCAACTGCAACCGACCTGTTCATGAAAGGCAAAAGCGAGCAGGTTCTAAACGGTCTCAAAAGCAACATACCATTCGGTCGGCTTGGTGAGCCGAATGAAATTGCCGATGTCATAGCCTTCATGTGTTCTAGTAAGAGTAGCTGGGTGACAGGCCAGGTTCTGCGAGCGAACGGGGGCTTCGCAACTTGAAGCCCTGACACTATCCTGGTATTCTAGGGATCAGCCAGTGAAAAGGGTCCATGGGCAGAATGTGAGTAGTCCTCAACAGGTCGCAAAAATCCGTCCCTACATTGTCGAAGTGATGTGGAATGTAAGACAAACTGACAGCTCTTTCTAAGTAATTTTCTTATAGCCCGAGCATGATTGTCATCCTTCATCACACATTCGTTGCGATCGACAGAAATAAGTTTTGAGGTCTTCCCAGCCATGCCAACAATCATTGATGGTTCTGAGTACTCTTTGAAGACATGCACAAAAGGCGGGTGTGTGGGCATATCAATCGACATATGGGGCTGACTAATACCTTATGAAATTAAGCTTTTAGTTTGTCAACTAGAGCCATTAGTTTTGATTGGTCAGGCATCCCACGTGCGACACCCTCAGGTGGCAGATGATCTCATTAAGCATATTCAATACTTCCCCCTCTGCGCTCCTTCTAGAAGCGACCCTGCAACCTTCCGCGACTGGAGAGTAATAACTTCAACCCTAGGCTCGACGTGTATATATATATATATACATATATATCTAAGGGTATCTGTAGGATCCCCCGTCACCGGCTTCCCGAATCTGATCACCGAATTACCCACTGATGGCACCAATATTTTACCTGGCGCTGCAAGTCAGGCTTGCGCAGCGATGACATTCAATGCGGAGGCTGCGCTTAATGTATCTCGCCGCTGATCCATCTCAATCATCCTCTGAGGCATCTTTTGGCCGAGTCGGAGTCCGTAGCTCCTGCCTTTCCACCCGTTGCACAACCTTGCCATGAGAAAGTAACACAGGCGCGTTGGAACCATCATTTGCCGGACGTCAGCTATCGATTCTCGCTTCTTCACGCTACAATGGCTTCTTCCTCGTCTGTACTCGTGACTTCTGGATCCTTTCCGAAACCGGGCGATTCTATTCAGGCCGTGGAGTGTCCTTCATACCAGTCAATCCAACAATCAATGGGTGTTCTCACCCCTCCGACCACACCCGAAAAGGATGACGTTGAAAGAAAGAGGTTTTCAGTCAGCATCGACAGCAAAAGACTACTAGAGCATCCCACGGAGCAGTTGAAGACGATGCTAGCAGTTGGCTCAGGACTAGGCGTCGACCCGACCGAGATGGTTGGCAAGTGGATTGAGAGCGGCGAGGATATTGGACCCTTATCACATGTTCCAGAAACAGCGCTACCGTATGGGAAAGAGTATCAACTGAATGATGAGCTTGGCCATGGAGCCTGGAGCACGGTATACAGTGCTAGTGAGGGAAGTGATATCAATCAGAGAAAATGCTCGACGCTCCTTACGCCACCTGCCACGCCCGAGAAGCAGTCGGCGAGCTTTGCGTCAAGCCGCTTACTGGCTGTGAAAGTGCTCTCACGTCGGGACGGAAAACAGATTTTGGAAAGGGAGGCACGAATACTGACATACCTACACTCGCATTCTCGGTCCCGACACTACTTAGTTCCATTCCATGGCTTTGATTTGGCGAAAACCTCCATAATCATGACCGCTGTAACTCTCAATCTAGAAGTGCATGCCAAAGCCGCTGCTCACCAGTCATTGACTACCGCAACGATGTTCGACCCCGTAATTGGCGCTTCTCAATGGTCAGACTTGGCTTTGTCTCTTATCAGTGGTCTTGCGTTCCTCAAGGACAAGGGTTGTGTACACGGTGATATCAAGCCAGCGAATATCCTTTTACGCGCATCCGAGGATCCGGAACGTTCGAGTCTGACGCCTTTTTACTGTGACTTTTCATCCTCACATGTCCTGGATTCTTCTACTGGCCTCAATGGCAACGATGAGGTCAATGCGATCACAACAGACTACACCGCCCCCGAGCTTTTGCAGATCCTGCATCCTAGAAATGGAATGGATGGTGGAGGGCGAGCCACTGCGACCTTCGCGTCCGATGTTTTTGCATTAGGCGTCACACTCATCTTTGCTGCAGCCGGCGAATCACCGTACGCGGGTGCAAGGTTGGAGGCGCAGAAGACTGCTATGGTCCTGGAAGGACGACCAATGGATTTTGCGCGTGGCGGTCACCAAGCCAGCAGGAGTATGGCAGGTAGGGCGGTCGACAGAGCTTTAAAGGGAGCCTTAGTGAGGGACATCACAAAGAGATACGTGGCAGAAGAATGGGAGGAGGTGATCAGAACAGTCACTCACCAATGGAGAGAAAGTGGTTGGAAGCAGGGCGGGAAATGATTTGCGCAGATGGCGAGATTTTGACGATAGATGATCTATGTTTGAATGGTATCAGTACGATTTTGATAATCTTGCAGCGAAGGCGCTCGGTGGCGAGTTACAAATTTCAGTCCTTGTATTTGGACCGATTTCGGGCGAGAGATACCATTGGATTTTGTACAGCACTTTCGATTTATAAAAGTGCGAGTCTAATCTACGTGAACAGTCGCTACTTCCGCTGCAAAAGCAGCTGTATTTGTTTATGAGAGACAGCGCATTTTACGATCTTTAGATCCTATGTGTCGTTAATGTTGACGCACAATTTCTTTGTGCCAACCAAAAAACGCCTTCTATCTCTACTCCGCGTAAGATATCCTGCTATCCCGACGCATTCTAAACAAAGAAATTGTTTTTTCAAAAATCTATATAAAGATCCTCTACCTGCTTCTGATTATTGTCATTGTTACTTCTGACCGCGCTAACCCCTATTCATTCTCTATTTACCTTCTCTTCCTACCTTCATTCACTTCTTCGATCATCTCCCCTATCAACACCTACTTCTTCCGCTTTCTCCGCCAAAACGAAATCTACCTACTCGTCCTCCCTTAACCCCCCTGAACCCCCAAAAATGTCATCCCCAACCACCACACCCTCCTATCCTGACTCAAACCCAAATCTGTCCAACCACCTCCCCCTTCCAAAGCACCACGAAACCCTTCAGCACTCATTTCTCCACGCACGACAGCCCTGGCGATAATCGACTCCTGCAAATCTGCAGACGACCTGTGGGCCTTCATGACACCCTGGCTCGAGGATCCGAGAATTTCGCCTGGTGAATGGGTTGAGCGGTGGCGTGATGCGCGCTTCTCCGCTGGTAGAAATGCCGATTCTGGCGGAGGGAGCAGGGAGGGAAGGGCGGAGGGTAGTAAGCTAGCAGCTTGTGGAGACGACGCTTTTGAGAAATTTGATTGTGGGATGGGGGAGAAGAATGTGAGGCGCTGGTTGGGACGGCAGGCGGAGAAGGTTGAGACTAATTTCGAGATAGGTTTGAGGGATGTTTTCCTGGGTGTACGGGTGGTTGGTCGTGGAAGGAAAGCGAGGAAGGGGAGGGGGAGGAAGAGAGGGAAGATTCAGAGGGCGATTGAATGCTGGCGTTTGGGGGTTGAGGTGCTTGTGAAAGCTTGAAGGGTGAGAGATGGCAGATATTCAGGGGACGCTAGGTGGGGATACTCCTTCATCAAGGGATATAGGATTATTCAAGGCAGGAAGAGAGCAAGAATTAATCTAATTGTCTTGAAATCAGCGTCGGGCTATTACTTTAGGACCAATTACATTCGGCGAAGGAAGAAGATTGTCACAAGTGTGAAGAAAACAGACTGAGCTATCCTTCAAGCATTCCGAGGGCTGGATTCGAGGTAGTGAAGAAAATAGAGAGTGGAAACATAGCCAGTCACCCACGTTGTAATGATTGAAAGAGTAGGCTTGGGCAGATCACCTTGATTGGGCAGTGGTTATATTGTAGAATATAAATCCACTGTCTTCAAGGTAAGAAAGATCTGGCTGAAAATAAAAGCGCACTAAAGAAACGATTGGCAAGGCAGTAACGTAGCTATAGCCATATTGTCATATCAGTCGAGCCAAAAGGGAGAACTTTGCACTGCTATGCTTTGTCTTCGTTGTCCCGTACATCATCTTTCTTGGAAAGCAAATCGTTCAGAACTGCGTCACTTCCTTCACACACGGCTTGGGACAGCCCACCTCTAGTGTTTGGTGATTGCCCCAATCCGTTACGGCACCAGACGGCCCTCGTTACAACCTCCCTTGCCTTCCAGTCTGATACAGAAGACGCGCCTGTAAGGCAGACCCTTACGTTTCGCCGGACTCCTAATCAGTGGCGACATGTCTAACACGCTTCATCATGGCAAGGATGTGCCATCTGAGGAAGCTGGAGACTAAGACGAGGAGGGTTTGTTGCTCCGATAGAAATGGCAGGCGGTGCAGAAAACGTTCCTGGGCATGAACGGCGTCACGGCATGGCAGCATCGCAATTGCTCCCGGCTTACAGAGGCTGAGATGGTGGCTGCAGCACGAACGCCATAAAAACGTGGCAGTAAGCGCTATCTTCATAGCGGTCATCTCGGTGTTCCCTCGTACAAATGAGACGAGGTCTGATTATAGTGATGAGTCAGCATTGTCGTAGCTTCGTGCCGGCGCTCAAACTGTCGTGCTGCTAATGCTTCTGGTGGTCTGACTTTGATATGAGGCTGGTCTTTCCACCCGAGCAAGAAACGTCCGGGCCTCATCGCCCCGCAGAGTCTATAGGCGATAGTAATAAATCAATGTCAGCTGAGTATACGTAATGAGACTTCCCTTGATCTGCTGCGTCTCGGTAGGGATAAACAAATTGAGCAGGAAGAGGAACCAGGCTGGCTGTGAAGTTTCCATTCTGCTCACCGGCCGAGTCTTCACCAAACATTGGATCGTTTCAGCAATTAGTGTGGTAATCCACTCATACATTTTCGGCCCTTTTCTATCATACATGGATTATGAAGTACGCTAGACATGCAGCAGACAATAGCAAACGTTTCATCATGCCTTGATTCCATACGCTCGTCTATCAATGACAATGTGGTAGTACAGACGGTCTCCCTTTCCAATTAGGTATTAATGGTTGATTTTACAGTATGTGGCGTACTATGATACAGTCGTGTCGTCATGCAGTTCGTCAGTGCCATGCAGCCTGGGGAGGCATTGCTAGCTCTGGATGATGTTGAAAGGAAAGTCCATTGGCGGTATTCCAAGGTGGAGATGTATTGTGTGCATACTGCCGCTGCAACTTCTTGTTAGTCAACCTGTTGGATAAGCCTCTGCGACCAGAGGCAGGTGCATTACTCACGGAAGATACACAATGCGTCTCAGGGATGTACGCCAACGCGGCAGGGTCATAGTTGCTCCAAATTGGAATTGGCCCATTCACCGGTGTTGGTGGGCCGACAGACAATGGGGAGCCTTCCATAGACGTGTAACATGTCTCAATTGCTGACTGGGGCCGTTGAACGAGTTCGGGGCTAAATGGATAGTGCTGGGATAGCGGCTGTGGGGCTTGTACGTATTCTGAGAGGGGTGAATAGCAAGAATCAGAGGATGAATAGAGAGAGTCTCCTGAAGGAGAAAAACCATAGAGTATTTCCGGGGCAAGTCCACGAGGAGCCGTACCTATTGGTTGTGAAGAAAGCCGATCATGCAGACTCGGTGGCACAGAATGCGTTCTGTAGTCGGTGCTACGAAACGACTTTTCCACTATCGGACCCATAGATGTCGACATTTGTGATTGGGCAAGAGCTGAAGGCGGGTATTGTGAGGGCATTCGTGGTACGCCAACACTGCTCATTACTGGACTTGCTGATACCTCGCTCATCGAACCCCGCGACCGCGCGCTTCGAGTTGAAACGGTGTCCATTGTCATATTGTGTCTACACAGGTCAACTCAGAAACTGTCTCAGATATGCTTTCCCTTACTGTCTCTCCATATGTCTCGCAAGTAAATCGGCCCTCTGGAACGGCTTTTTGCAACCCTCAATCTGACATGAAAATGCTGGATGTGCGTTGTGATTCGCTTCATGCCGTCTCCCTATGAAAAGTCTTAGTTAAGCTTTGGTCAATATTTCAAATTCAACACTTGCGGTGCTCTGCTCTCGTGAAGACCTATTGCACCTGAGTCAGCCATGGAGTAGCCCTTTCCGCGACGATAGAACCAACCTTTGGACAACCGGGAAATTGACAATTGTGAACCTTCTTGCCTTTCTTCGCTTTGCTTATGCGATGAGTCGTTGGGGTGTAGGTGATATCCTCACCAACCAAATGTTGAGGCATCGTAGGTACAGCCCCTCTACCAAGCGTAGTCCTAGGCGCTGTTGTGCGTTGCCTCCTAGACCTCTCGGGTGGGGCTTGTGTTCGCGGGGTGCCATTGTTTGAGGGTGAGTGGGAGCTTCGTTGTTTAATTCTCGGTGGTGGGGGTGAGATGCCATTCGACATCGGTGGAGGGGTTGGTTGGAAGGGTTGGGGTGGGAACGTGAATGAGAGGTTTGATTCGCGCTTTATGGGTGGCGACGTAAAATCCCCCATGCCGCTGCTTTTGAAATGAATGTGGTATATATTACGGTGGACGTCCGTCTATAGCGAATGGTAGAAGAGCTCCACAGGGAACGTTGGGGCTGGTGGTACTGTCGTGATCTCGATGAAGTCGTGACGAATTAATGCTTTCATGTAACGTGGTTGTCTCTGGGTCAACGAATGGTCGGGGTCGGGGCAGGAGCAGAGATATATCTTGAAGTCCGTGGGCCTGGAGAGGATATATCTTTGGTGCTCGGTGTGTTGGGGTCCTGGGAAGTCAGGGTGAGACCGACACAGTATCGTGAGTGGAAAGCCTCAATCCACGAGTGTCATCCGTCGGGGATCTGAGGAGGCTTGAGGCTAGGGCAAGGGAGTAAGGATACTGCCGGAGATCTGACGATGCCTGTTTGAGCATCGAAGGTAGTCACAAGCTTGCAGACTCTGACCTATTTTAGAGGTTGCAATCTCGTTATAAGATTATGATTAGATATTATGGAGTATATGCAGACGAGATGAATCCAAAAACGAGTGAAAAAATCGAGTAGAATTATGTGCGGCGCGTACGAATCATAAGGAAGCTGGCGGTGCGTCTAACATCATCATGCCCCAACCCCCGGGATGGTTGACGAGATGTTTATCGAAGAAGGAACATGATAGCCTTGCGACGAGAGGACCAGGTACGACTAAGGGAGTCGAAGAAAGCGCCCATGTCATATGGCTCGTGCTCCTTAATTTCCCTTGGAGCTAGTTGACTAGTTGACTTAGTTCTAAGCCGCATAAAGGGTATAGACTTGAATAGTAGCGCAGTGACATGGCGCGGAAAGTTTTGGTGCACTTGTTGCTTTAGTCCCTTGGTTAGTCGTTAGTTCGCGTTGATTTTCACGCTTTTTACCCACGCTTCCCCGGCTACCCCCTTCTTTCTCCCCTCCCTTGACTTCTGGAGTAGTGCTGGAGTGCTGGGACACTCTTCGCTGAATCACCGACCTGCCAAGCCTGCTGCAGGTACAACAGCTTCTGGTTGCAGCATGAAACTGCCCACCCTTTCCTCATCCAGGCAAAGCGCCCTCGTTCTGTGCCGACCAGGTAGTGCTGAGAGGCTCGACATGAACCTCACCCACGCCCGCTCCTGGCTCGGGGCTACTTTGCAGAAGATCATACGTGTTTGACCTGTGAAGAAAGAGGATGAGGGCTTACTTGCACGTTCCATGGGCCTGGTCAGAGTCTGTGACAGACTTCTTACATCTTTCTGACTGTCGGGGAAGGATGGATAGGATTTCGGCCGTGATACGGATCGAGTGTGACTTGTGAGACACAGATTTCACACTCAACGACCACTCCAGGAGGCAATTGACCACTTAACCTCTTTGAGTTGCATGAGCTGCATTAGTCCGTCGTTGCCCTGCTAGCGCTCTCGCCTACCGCCCTGCCCGGCCTATTTTCAGCAACACGATAGCTCGGTGTGTGTTTGCTTACGCTCAGAGATGCGTAAGTAGTATCTTGTACATTATTATTCGGCTGCGGCTTGCGAGCCATCTCTCTCGGCACCGTACAACAATTCGCACCAAGGTCGTGGTCCCTACCCTATCGTCAACATTCCCAAAAAGCCATCGTCTTCTCCACCGTTTCGATCGATTGAGAAGGTGTGTGCGAGCAATAAGTTCTACCTGCTCGGTGCAATTCATTATAGACTAGCCCTTTTCTGCGACCCCTGAGCCCGTTCCGGCCGCAGCTACTGGCGGGTTGCTCATCATGCCTTTTCTACGTGACGGTCACCGCCCACGATACTGTTTATTAATCACTGTCCAACCACGGTTCGAAATGGTGCAGAACGGGCTCTGCACACCGTAGCATGCTACGTATGCTTGATGCCATCATCCATTCGATGAGTGGCTGTGCCCGCCTGCGATGCGTATGCCAGACCCAAGAGCACGTGAGCAGGCCGGCAGAGTGCATGCGTGACGCAGCCATAGTATGCAGCCGAAAGATTGCTCGCCATCGACTCGTTCAGATCTCGACACTAACCCGTTGCGCGCGTGAACGGCCAAGAACAGAAGTGGGAGTATCTAGTACTACGCCGCTGCTTCACATGTCCTGGACAAGGAAGGGCGGCGACAGAGGGAGGCAACTAACTGGGCGCTACAGCGATCCGTTTCGCATGATCATTGGTCTCAGTGTGCATACACAAGATGTTGGTTGAACAGTTGAGTTTCCCATGAACTCCGACTCGTAACCTGATCTCTCCTGATGCTTTCTGCGGACGTATCATCTCAACGCCTCCAAAGGCCATGAATCCTGGCAGCGGCCATCGTCTGTGCCGCATCTTAAGCGAGTGATTGAGATCGCACAACTTCTCCCAATAATAGTAATGACCATACGCCTTCGTGGATTCGTCCAGACCAGAGGAGCTTGTAGCATAGAAGGGTCGCCTCTAGCACCAGTATGGTGGCCGTTCCAGCCGCGTTTCAGATACAGACCAGGGATTTGATCTTCGATTCTATGCCTTGATACAACCCTCAAGTCGCAGGAGCGTCTGGACATCAGCTGAGATGGCCCTCAAGTCACCGTGGGATCTGCATTGGTCACAGGAAGGTCACGAGTGTGATGCAATCATAATCAACTGATCGGAGCGAGGTTGCACAACACTTTGACTAAAAACTTTGCGTGGTGACCGTGCGTCGACGTTTAGGTGCTGATGGCACCCAGCATCCGGCCAAGAGGAGCATGCAACGCTGTCATCCGCGTACCTGCATTAAGATGCTCTAATCAGCACCACGGAATGAAACCCATGAGCCCTAGACTAATCAGCTGAGATACCGAACACGAGCGATGTTGTCATTCTTGCTTATGTTCCTTCCTCCCAGGCACACCAACAACCGCGGAATCCATACCCCACGGAGCTTGCATCTCTTCCGACATGCGACCCGTTTCACCAGTCGACCTACCAACACTATCTGCCTCTCTTGTTTTATTCTCCGAGAGCTTAGCTTTCGAGCATGCCTTGTGGGTCTGGCGCTTCGAGGAACAATCGGTCCCTGTCACGGGTGGGCTCACAGGACGAGATAACGAGACTAATGACATTACCACCGGCCAGGACTCATCACAAAGCCATGGAAATTGATGCATCGTGAATGACCGGGGTAGGCACACTTGAGGATACTCTGGTCTAAAGTCTATACTCATTGCCTTAGGTACGGGCCTTTTAGGTCAAGATTATCTCGAGGATCCCTGTTGAGGCTGACCTCGCCCTACTAGGCGTGCTTAGCACCTCGCACAAACCGAACAGTCATCCTCACAACAATATCTCATATCGAATGATTCTCCGTGCCACTGAGGCCCAGTGCATTCAGCGTATGCTTCTATGCGTGTACATGACTGTGCATGGCCGATTACGTGGACTCACAGTTGTTTCCCGCGCAGTCACGGAAACGCTCTTAACTTAAAAGGCTGTGCCTAATGCCCACAGCTCCAACGGCGCTAGAGGCATGCACTCATGGCTTCCTCCTCTTGTTGTGACTCCAGCCTTGTGAAGCCAACGTGCGATCATCCTGCATGTGAGATTATGAACTTGCCATTGTACCAGTTTGGCCGAGGAGGATCATGCAGTCCCACCGGGCCGAAGGCGTGCTACTCTGAAGATTCGGATGCATCAAGTGTCAGCGATGTATACACCGATTAACAAACATGAATGTAGATAACCAGTGCAGCAGGCTAAACAGGGATAGATCCTGGCTTCAGCGATGAGTCTTATACTCACCAGACTACAGTCTAAGCCATCATTACTATCCTTGTGGTCCAGCAAATGTGGTGCTACTCAGGCTCATAACCACGCTGTGCAACCCATTGTCAGCCTTGTGAGACCCTTTGCCACGTGGTGCATCGAGCTATGGCTTCTGCAAAGCCAAACAATAGACAAGACAAGAATAAGTGATCAGAAGATCTTCTGACTTGCGTATATTAGCCTCTACTTTACAGACAACGGGCGTGAGATTATCCCTATCGAGTCGGAAAAGGGCGGCTGCAAGAGGCCTAAAGACCAAGCTCATAGGCATTGCTTTAGGGACTGCCTCCCTATAAAGCCGCTTAAAACAGGCCCCTGGAACTTGGCGTAGCAACTCTTAGACTAACCGAGATGCAGGCCTCAGTCGAGAGTGTTTATGAGACGACGTGGGAACTTTATCCGCATTACAGACAGCTGTCTGATCTGATCATGGAAAGAAGTTGCCCCATTTCTTAGTCACATGATATACTGGGATGCATCACGACGATCTCATTTCATGGGTCCTTGCTCAATCTGAACATTGAACAGGAGGCATCTCTATTTCATTTCATTTCATTTCATTATCAGGTCTATGATCATTCAGTTCTATCTGGGTCACGTCAAGTCTTTGTGTGCTTGAAGGAACGCAATTGACACAATTTCATGTACTTGCAAAATCCGATTTCTGTGCATGTTCATGCAGGCTTGCTCCTTTCAGAAGCACTCAAAACACCGAGAAATAAATGACCAAGACCTCTAGAAACAAAACAGTATGTCCGCATTTCAAGATGCATGATGTGTAAATTCATATATGTACATGAACATCTTTTCACCATACCTCACGTGCAAATCAGGCCATGTATGACATGCATCCATGTACCGCTCCCACATATTCCTACATCACTCACTCTTCAACTCCAGGGTCATGCCAAAATGCACGGTCCGTTATGCATGGCAGGGTCATTGTCCTTCAGCCAATAAACAGCTCACTATTCGCATGGTCCTCCGCAGAGGTGCTTCAGAATGTGACCCCTCAAATTCCAAATCACTACCAACGCCTTCGCTCAAAGACGACATAAATTCCGAAGGAAGAGCTCATAGCATCCCATCACCTGCCCCATCTGAATCCGCCATATCCACCGCCACCTTTCCTAGGTGGCTCCTCCGCCTCTGGACTCACCGGACTCAAGATACTCATACCCGTGTCCTGCCGTCGTGGTGGCGAGAACGTCCCTCGCCGTGAGATGGGACTGAATGTGGTATCGCTGGCTCTCTCATTGCTACTGCTGTTGTTTCCGTTGCCGGAAGATGGTGGCGAGACCCTTGGTCTTCGCCGTCCGGCACTGTCATGTGCGTCCTCGCTCCCATTCGTAGAGTCGGTGTTTTGAGACGGCGGAGACACATCTGCTGTAGGGCTAGTTGGGACCGAGCTGCGTGGAGGCCCTGTGGGCTTAGTTGAGCTACTTGGCAAGGAAGGTAATGGTCGCTCTGGAGAGCGCTGCTCCCGAGGACCCTCATCGAGAGAGCCGTGTCTGTGGCTCGGAAGATATCGAGAGGCGTACTTGGAGCCTGACTTGTGGAAAGCGCGCTCGGGTGACGAAGGAGAAGATGGGCCAGAAGGTCCGGAAGACGTCTCATTCGAACCACGTCGATGATTGTCCGGTCGTTCGTTATCAGAGTCAACCAAGTGGCGACTTGAGCTGTAATCGGGTGACAGAGGGGAAGCTGGTCCGCTAGCCGTATGGCTCAAATGATGGGTAGGTGATGATTGGGGAGAGGGTCCAGAAGAAGAGGACGAGTCCAACTCGGCACGACGTTTTTTGCGACTGAACGGACCGAAGATGGAAGACTTCGATGGGGACGGTTTGCTGCTTGATGAGCGGCCTGATCTGTCTTTAGCGCCGACTCGTGGTGAAAACTGCTCCTCTGTGCCTGTTGGGAGTTCAATCGGTGGTACTGAAGATGGGTCGTACATCTCGTGCACGCCTCGTCCTCCATAGAAGCCAATTGCACCAACTAGCTCTGCTCTCTGAGCCTCAGTGTCCATCTCCGAGATTCCATTAGCAGCAAATCCTGGGTACTGCCCCTTTTCATCCACCCACGGAGGCGTACGTCCGCCGTATGGCTTTAGAGCGTTACCATCTGAGCCTTCCATTTCAAACCGCGCGTTCTCAATACCCGTGCCCATTTCGCCTTTGGCGAAACCTTGCCGTATCATACCTTCCTTCGGATTAACGCCGGTCTTTGCAGCTTCCTCGGCTGCACGTCGGCGGGCGTTTCGCCAGCGAAGATAGAGCCACGTCGTTAGTGTAATGATAACAAGGGTGCCAGCTACGACGGCAACGGCTACTCCAACCTTGATTCCGGTCGAAATACCAGTAGTAGAAGCACCAGGAGAAGAGATAGCCATAAGCTTTGCTTCAGCGCCTTGCGTGAAATTACATTGAGAAAGAGTGAAGTTTCGGCGTTCCCAATCAACTTTGAGATATCTGCAAGATCAATTAGCGAAAAGATTTACACTATTTGAGGCGCTTGAGCACTCACGATTCTTGTAGTAACGTCCTTCCGAGAGTGTATTGCGAATCATTGGCAGCCCTACGAAGAGGAAAGTACTGTGAAGTTTGATTGATGCCCGGAAATGGAGGCTTTATCTGAAGATCAAAAGCCATATATGGAAGAGCTATATCGATTGTATCGCCGCCCGATGTCTGATTCGAGAGCGTAAAGGTAATGCTCGAAATCTTTTCCTGCAAGGACTGATGTAAGTCGTCGTCAACCAGATAGAGATTAGTTGCAGGATCGTATTTGAGTCCAAATGCAGCCTCGAATGCTTTACATGCGTCTGTTGGGAGCCACATCATAGATTCCGTTGGGTCAACATTTGCCATGATAGGGGCCGGTAGTAAATTATCTGTCTGGCCACCCAATTCTTTGCCTATGATCTTCTGTATGCTGACTTGCAAATAACGTGTTGGATCGGCGCCTACAAATGAGCTACTCCATGAGTTCGGTACGAAAAGGGATTGATCGTAGCCGCCAAGGGTGAGACTTCCATAAACCTTCTTCAGTCGATACTGGTTTCCAGCTGTGTACCCAAAACTCAGGCTTGGGATTTTGCCCTGCCGCTTCAGTGAACTCAGATAGCTGGGAAAACCTTGACCGCCATCGGTATCATTGATGGATATAGCGTTGACACCAAACATGCCCAGCTGTAGCGAGGCATCGGTGTAACTCAAGATAGGCTGGTCTATCAAGACTGGCCCTCCACTGCCTTGCAAGCCCAGGCCCAATGTGTCATTCCCAAACTCTGCCTGTAGTGACGGTTCTAGATTTTTATTCACACCTAGCGCGGAAGTGCCATGGTGACTGTAGGAAGTTGACCGATGAGGGTCAAACGTCCGTCCCCTGTCTTCCTGGCAGGACCCCTGATCTTCTACACAGCCGGCATCGCTGACCACCCAAGCTCCTGAGCCAGCAGGGGAGACAAAAACCCGGACATTCTGAATGGGAGTGCCGATTTGAATAGTGAATGAGGACCATGGACCATCGTCGCCGTCCCTACCATTGTCAATCAGGGTGCACTGTACGATTGTCAATTGAGAAGGCTGTACCAATTTTGAGAGGGCGCAACAGCGATGGGTGAGGGGGATGCTGAGCGCTGGAGGAGTCTCGAGGCTGAGCCCAAGCCTAGTGAAACACACGAGAAGTAGCCAAGGAGAAGTAGGATGCGCATTGTTGATACGAGATTCGAAGACTCAGTAATGAATGCATAGACGATCGGCGTCACGACGTCTGCAGTTTCTTATATGAAGAGACGTTCCACAGCCATTCCACAATAAGGAGAATGAACATTCTGAAAATCGCGCGGAGGCAAGAACAAGTGGTTGGCGAATGGAGGCGCTGCGACGAAGGTGGTCGCAAATAAGTGTCAGACAGACATGGTGGCCCTGCTCTTTCGTGCCGCAAACTCGGCCCTCCTCATTCGCCCGCTGACGGTTCCTTGCTGATGGACCCGGCTCCTGAGCTGAATATAGCTTCCACCGTCCGCTTTAGGGCCTTCCATCGACGTTGACTGGCGTTCACGAGAACTCGCTGTCATCGTTGTTGCCCAGCCTGTGGTCGGAGGCAGAAAATGATGACGGGCCTCTCTGTGGAGCAATTGAATAGATGGAATGACAATGGATATCTCATCATTCCCAATGCTCTTTCGCCATCTACCATTGACTCCCTTCTCAACGAAACTCGCCAAATGCTCTCTTCGTTTCCCATCCAAGATCATCCCATGACAAAGTTCTCTACCGGCGAGTCATCGTCGCACATCGGCGACGACTACTTTCTCCAGTCAGGCGACAAAGTTCGCTACTTTTTCGAAGAGGATGCCTTCTCGAAGTCAGGAGAGCTTGCAAAGCCAAAAGAAAGAGCCATTAACAAGATCGGTCATTACATCCATGAGTTGAATCCGTATTTTCGCGAGGCTACTTTTTCACAGCTACATAGGGACATCGCGCAAGCATTTGGCTTTATTGACCCGAGAGTCCTCCAAAGTATGGTCATATGCAAACAGCCCGAGATAGGTGGTGCCGTGCCACCTCATCAAGATAGTACATTCCTGTATACTGATCCTCCGAGCGCTGTGGGTTTCTGGATTGCTTTAGAAGATGCAACAGCTGAAAACGGGTGTCTCAGCTTTGCCAACGGCTCGCACAGACGGACACCAGTCGAAAGTCGATTCGTACGCAAGCCTGAAGGCGGTACAAGCTTTGAATCAGTAGCAGGCTCTTCATGGCCGCAAAATCTGCAAATTGAAAAGCCAAAGGAAGAGGAGAGCTACGAACTGGGAGAAGTTCAAGCAGGCACACTCGTCCTGATCCACGGCAATCTTCTGCACAAAAGTGAGAGGAATTTGAGCCAGAAGCGCAGGCTGATTTACACCTTTCACGTTATTGAAGGAGACAATCAGCATCAGTATGACCAAAGAAATTGGCTGCAGCCTCCGAAGTCTGGTTTCTCGAGGCTCTACAATTGATGAAAAGGGCGTCTACGTGCTTGAACACAAACGTAGAATGCTTCTCAGACGGCTTGTAATTCAGCAAGAAGGCATACTTGAGCTGCGAGACGCTTGACATTAGTCGAGCGGCTGATATGGGCAAGCCGTGCTGAAGGCGTATATTTCTTGGACCAGAGGTTGATGGTTCAAGAATGTGCAATCGGCCACATGAGAATCAAAGACGAGAGATTTAGGCTGCACTGAGAGACTCGTCACAGAGAGGCTGATTTTCTCTATCGTCATTCGTTATGCGGGCTTGATTTGCAGGATGGTTCACCTACAGGGCCCTTTGCACTGTTCCTTGTTCGCGTTTAGCATTGGTCGTGCTCTGACCACGCGATCAATGCCATCTAGGCTACGACAAATTGCAAAGGTGAGATCATTGCCAGCTGCAAGCTCTCTATTGCTTCTGCTTGGCTGGACATTGTCTCCGCGACTACTGTCAGGGTAGCTTCATGTTCTACCTTTGCCGCTGTGCAATACACGTGGAGCATTGCACAAAGTCGGAAACGTCTGAGCGCATCACCCTAATCTAGTCACTATGTTCGCAGACACGCGAAGTACTGTAGGAACACAAGCAAAGGAACGTGGTTGGGTTGTCCTAGTGTTGTCAGGTTAAAGGCTGGGCAAACGACGTCTTCTCATCCCAAGCGGTAGACATACCAGTACAGCAAAACAATTCAATCCTCCTATCTTAAAGCCCCACGCGCGCTCTAAACTGTTTCTCATTTGCACTTGCTTGCAGCTGGTTATTGCTTGGTCTATTCTTTGCAAAGCAGAGCATTCGCATTGCATCGAATTGTCTGCGATCTTTCGAAAAATTCACCTGTAAGATTTCAATTTCGGAACTTTTCGTTCGTTTGCACTGTACACACTGCTATGTTTTCATATTGAACAATGCTAAAATGAGCCGCATTTTGAAGCAAGAAAACCAAAGGGGGCAATACGTGCTAAAGAAACTCTATAAATTCAACATTGAACCATATCACCAGCTTCAATGGGTCTATCCCCCTGCAAAATCGAAGTGAACGGTTTATGGCAAGACTCGCCGCTTTCTGCCCCCGCTCGCGGTGACAACAAGTCCCCGGACACCTTAAATATAGGGCATAGAAGAAAACATATATAAATCTACAAATAGCTTTTCAATTACAAAATGCTTGGTGACAAATATCTTTGTTTTTTTGTTCTTAGAAATTTTGTCACTTAGCTTTTTGTATAGAAATTAATCAATAAAAAGTTATAGTCTGCAAAAGCTTTTACGATTTTTAAGGTGTCCGGGGAGTTGTTGTCACCGCGAGCCCCGCTGGCCATAGGCAGAAATCATAGACAACATTACAGGCAGAGCTATACAAACTATTAGCTTTGAGCTTTCGTGACGTGAATCCGAAATGCAAAAATTGATGGATTTTGCAAGCAGAGAGATTCGAACTCTCGCTAGCCCTCATTAGTATGTCACACGTCCAAGTGGAGATAAATAATTACCATCTTTCGATAGTAGAGCTTAAATCTACCGCCTTAGACCCCTCGGCCATACTTGCTTCGGCAGCACAATTTTCTATCAAGTATTATATACAATAAATTGCTCAATCACGAGCTATTGGTGCTTTAAGGGCAGAGCGGTGCGACCTTTCCATTGGTGGCATAAAATAGCAGCTGGAGCCGATCCAGATCGTTTCTTGGCATTTAATGGCTTTATTTACACATGATTCTGTAAGCACCGGCTTCATCATGGAAGCTCGAGGTCTACAGTAGAACTGTCGCTCTTTATGATGTCATATGAAATGCAAGTCCCGCCCCCTTTCGCCTCGGAAGACCACTCAACTCCATTCCTGTGGAAGCTTGTGTAGGACCGTGCTGAAGGCTGTAGAATATGAAAATGGAAATGACTTCAGCGCAGCTCGATGAAAAATTGCAGGTCAGATGAGTTCGTAATTTCTGAGATTCCAGCATGTTGTTTCCCTCACAATTCTACTTATTACCCTATTACGTGATTATCATTTGAAAAACCTTCCGCCTTCGCTTAAAGCAGAAAATGGAAGTCCTTTGACCTGGATCGCCGTCTTCGGAGGTGCGCCCTCCAGTAACTCGTCAATCTTCGCTGCACGTCATTGAATATTCAATCTAGACATTCTCTGATCTCATGCCATATTCGTCGTTTCCACCGTTTTCAACTGCTTGGCTGGTCACACTGAGCCCGCCGCTCATGTTCAATAGGGCGGCACAGCATGGAGCAGATTTTGCAAACCAGCCGCTGTGAGGATCATGTGTCGAAAGAGATCAGAATAACTGGGATCTGATCATCATATGCGAATCTTTTCACAATTCCTCTTCCTCGTAACTGGGTATCAACTCATATCCACCCTCAGCGGGCAGCAGGAGCATAGAGGCACTTAGTCCGCCAGCCAGCAACAAGGCTACAGCAAAGCTAGCAGTGCACAAGATCCACGAGACATCGAGCTTCCAGCCAGGGAAGAAGCGGTCGTCATGGTCATACAGGTATGTCTGTCACGAGGTTAGCAACGCTGGAATGCATTGACTTTGGCAGACGCACTATTATACTCATAGCCGCGCCCAGCAACAGCCCAACCATGACATGAAGTGATGCCAGCACCCTCCATCCAGACTCTCTTTTCTGCTTCCCACCAGCCATGATCACGATGTAGGCTATTATTGTCATACCCTCCAGGACGACAGCGAACGACATGAGGAAGCCGACGCTGCGCCACATGCTGCAGAAGTATCGATCATTATGACAGTCGGCGCGCTGAGGGAAAGAGACGCAATTTTGCGTGAGAGAGTTGCAGCGTTTGTGAAGGCCGTAGGTGTAGTGGATTTGTTCGCCGGAGGGCTATGTGAAGGGCGCGTCAGCTTCAGGTCTGAGGCCACGAGGAGGGGTGATCCAACTGGGGAGGACGGCAATACCAGCTCGCTATCCCAAGATATCCACCGTGGTATTATTATGCTTGTAAGTGTGAGACCAGATGCTGAGACCAGAAGGTTAGCCGCCGTTGTTGGCCTTTGTTGTGAGGATAATTTGGCTCAAGTCCTACCAATTAAGAAGGCGAAGAGGCCGCCTGCATAAACCATATGATGAGTTAACTCCATGATGAAATATGTGTGTGTGTGTAGTGGTTATAGATGGCGATTGCCCCGTAGGCCGCCCGCAGGCTGCAAGATTGGGAGTAATGAATCGCCGTAAGCAGAGCGCCTTCGATACGTTTACAGGTGTTCATGTGCTTCCTGCAGCTCTTGAGAACGACGTTGATGATGACTTCACATGGAGCGGGGTATTCGTGATATGGAGCTGGATTGGTGAAGATAAAGCCCGGTCGAGTCTCGTTTTTTGTGCCGCTGCAAGTTCGCCCCCAGTGGCTAGGCGGACGGCTCCTCTTTGTTTGGACGGAGCGGTGAGAGTCTCGGATGGGTCAGTGCACCACGGGAAAGGGTCGTGCTAATCCACGGTCTTGGAGGGCTGCGAATTGGTGGCTATGGTATCATTGAGGTAACAACGGAAAGTTGACGTATTTGGAGGCGGAAGCTTTCTGATTGGTGGGGGTCATTTAAGGAGCTCGCCGCAGGGACGACATGGGCTGTCAGATGATAGTAGAATAATAATAGGATGATAATTGATGCTTTTGCGGGAGACTATGACAACCTTGCCTGATAAGAACCTCCTCTAAGACACATGCTTATCTTGACTGCTAGTCACAAGACCTTTGCAGGAATCTATTCTACCGCTTATTGTATCTATCATGCCCGCTCTACGAGGATCCGCGTACGCCTCTATCATCGCCAGTATCAAAGACAGACCGCCCATCCTGAGCCTTCAGTCAGCTGGATCTAGCTGTGACTGGGCGGTAAGCTTGCGGATATTCCGTTCAGACTTCTCATGTTCATCCTGGACAGCCTACACAACAATATGCTTTTGACCTTCTCATCCAGCCTAGACAGTCGTTCAGTCGACCGCCGCCATATAAGAAACTTCAACAGTCGCCGACTTCAGTTTAAATGGACTACTTGCACCCCAACTGAGCTTCGTTTCGACTTGCTCGACTGCTATTCCCGAGACTTTATCTTCTATGCCCGGAGATAACTTTCGGACATAACATCTTCGTAGGACTTTTTGAAGCTATACAAAACCTTATCTGACGTACATATTTACTGACAATCCAATTCAGGCTTCACACTTGGTTTTCTCTAAGAGTGACTGACACTATCCTGAGCGCATCGCACCCCTCAAGCCTGTGCAATGTCCAGCCCTCTAGCACAGATTGCTTAAACGAGCCCGAAGTCCTAGCTTGTCAAGGCTACTAATGACATCCTTGATAGGCATATGACTATATCGCTCCTGCAATATCTCAAACTTGATGAGGTATCCTTCGCACAATTCCCCGAGTTCGTCCTTCGTAACCTCCATTCCAATGGGAAGGTATGGATCCTTCAGATCACCAAGAAGCTCGCGGAATGCCCTGCGGACCAGCAATAGCAAACCGGTGAAATGTGCATGCTTGACTTTGACGTCAGCTTGGTCTTGTCCATCTTTATCTCGAAGGTTGATGCCTTGGAATGTCCCGCTCTCCAATTCCTCTCTTAATTTCCGAATGAGCACTGCATGCAACTCCAGCTGCCTGTCCGTATTTAAAACATCTGGCACAAACGCCAAAGGTCGTTCAATAGTAGTCGCTGAGGATCTGCCTGAGTGACGATAATTTGACAGTATGCGACTGCTTGCTCCAGACCAACGAAAGAATGAAGTTGTGGATTCAGGTGTTGCGGACCTGATTGCGCCTGATTCTGATATTGCCTGTTCGGCTATCTGGTCAATCGTCCTTTCCTGAATGCTGAGACGAACGTCCTGGAGTGTCTCACCTGTGATTACCTGCTCTTCCTCCTCAACTTTCTCGTCAGCCCTTGCCTTCCGAAGATCCGAGTTTCGGCGCCTACGCCCCATCGGCCTGCGTTTTGGTGGCCTCTTGGATCTCAACAGGGGATGTACAAGCTCCGAAGAAGTATTCGTACGTCTTTCATACTCGCATCGATGACCTGGCTTATCCAAAACTCCACCGGCATCTGGCAGACTTTTAAGCTCTTTCCTTGCCATCTCTTTGAGTTTTTTTTGGAGTTGATTCTGGCGAATTTCATCATGTTTATCTGGATCAATGACTCGACAGTATGTCCTGACCGGTTCAGAGACTAGCATTGGTGGTGGCGTTGGATGTGCAGAGTGTATCGGTGAGTAAATATGCATTCGCGTATAATTCCGTACAAGGTCTTCGTCATCAATGTTTGAACAGCCTTGCTGCACCCGCACATAAGCTTCCACCACTATTGGGGGAGGAACAGTGTAATTAAAACGATGACTGACTGGCTCCGAGTATGGCGGGCAAAGTGCTGTGTATAGTTCATCATCACTGTTTTCAGCTTTTTTACCGCCAGCATAATATCTGCCAATGTTGTGTGGAATTGTGATAACGCAACTGGGATCATCGCAAGGGATGTCGCTATCAGGAGATATTTTATGGCGTTTTGTGTCTGAGCAGATATTTTGTGAGAGTGGTTCTTGCGGCTCTAACTTGTCGTAGATGGCCTTTGTGTTACTGTTCGTCGACTTGGAGGTGGCGCGTGCTCGACGCTGAGATCGAGCCGCATTCAACTTCTGTGTTAAGAAGCCCCCTGATCCTGAGCCTTTCATCGAGCATGTTCGTTCTAGCTTCTTGCCGACGTGCTCAAGATCTGTCTGAGAAACCATGGCTTTCTTTCGATTAATCCGAGATACAGGCTTGTCAGTTGAGTTGAAAGTATTCTAGTACCTCACAGAAATTCTACAGATGGTGCGATCAGAGAATATTATCCAAAAAATGCGAGCACAATACTCTTTGTTGGACACCAAATGCCACTCTTTAATATACTTTGATTTGGAACAAAGCTGAATAGCCTTGCAATTCCCTGTGGACATTAGTGCTGGCTTTGTTCCTCAACGCTCTTTCTGTCACTTCATTGTTCGATGCATGCTAGCTACCCAATGCCATATATTAGGACGTGCATTATGTACATTGCCGGCCTAACATTGTTTCTGGCAAATACTGGCAAACTCATCCCAAATCTACAGCAATTCTGGTCTGGAAAAGCATCGTCTTCAGGTACCGTTGTAGACTTCAAGAAGCTCCTACATTGCAAATTTCCGATCATGGGGATTTTCTTCAGCAGCCGTCAGAGTACCTCCAAAACGTTCCAACGTCTCCAAAATGATCCTCTCAGGGACAACACCATTCGCTACAATGGAGCCAGTACGATCCCAATGGGGTCGGAAGATCACACTCACTTCTTCAAGCAATGCCCATCTTGTTCGAGCTGGGAGCGCGAGAACCAGGTCAAGTGCTCACATCACTGCAAAGGGCGACTGAATACTGACAATGAGATGATTGAAAAAGCTTTGTTCGAGAACGTCCGGAAACGCAGTGTGAAGCAGAAGAAGGAGGGCATTAATGAGAAGGCCATAAACATCGAAACTACTATTGAGGTATTGTCAGAGATTGCACCATTTTTAGCTGCAGATGAAGGCAAACTTAGACAAGTGCTATAGAGTGATGTAAGAATAGTTGCCAGTCGAATGATGAATAGTGACGGGAGAACGTCGCTTCTTTGCTCGACAACATGGAATTTATGCCCAAAATGTTCTCTGGCTGCTTGAATGATACTTAGTGTTTAGTATATCGTCAACTTGTCCCCATCATTGCTCATTTTCCAAATGACTTCATCCCAAACACCTTGCTCCATTTTTAAACATCATCGTTCATAAAAACAATCCAAGACAAGACAATCCACCTTCCAATCCGCGAAGACCCCAATAAGCTTCCAGCCAATTACCTCACAATGACCAACTCCTCATCGGCTTGATCTCCCACTCTCTTACCACTCCCAAGCTTTCCCCACAATTGCCTGCCCTCGTAGTTTCTAGAATTCCCCGAACACCTCTAATTCTGGGCACCAAAGGCTATGCGAATAGTTTTACAAACAGCAATCTAAACAGAAAATGTTTGGTGACAAAAATCTTCAGACATTTATTCTGAACAGCTTTGCTGCCAAATGATTCCTAAACAAACTTGTCAATCCAATTTTATATTGCACTAAAGATTTTCGAGTTTCTAAGGAGATCTGGAAACCGCGAGGTGCCCTACTTTCAAGTCCTTTCCACGCCAACGACTGCCATCCCCTCTCTGCCTTCTACTCTTGCCACCTATCCCTAGTGGCGGTAAGGCTTTCCTTGTTGCTCTCGCTTATTTGCGCAGTGGAAACGTTTGATGGCGAGGCTTTATCGCGCCAAGATTGACTAGTCGCTGTAGCTGATTCTGATGGGAATGCCGGGTTAGAGTGTAGCGAGAGGCGGTTAAGTCTGCAAAGCCAGGTGTAGTGGCTGCCGCTGTCAATGGCAGTTTATTGTCAGAGGTTTTTTAACTCTCCTTTTCGCCGCGAGAATTGTATACATCTTCTTTAGAACTAGCGGTAAGACAAGAAGCCGCTTTGAAAAAGTCTGCTTATGTTTCCTAGCTTGTGTTAGCTTCTGCGGGAGTATTTATACCTTCTCTAGAGGCAGTAGTAGGAAGAGAAGCCGTATTTAATAAATCGTTGTATGTTTGCTGACTTCTCTGGGCCTCGGCTGGGGCATTTATGCCTTGTTTAGTCTTTGGTGCCAGTTGCAGCGGGTCTCCAGTCTTCGCTGACTTGTGAGACCTTGGTGCAGGCAGCCTGTGCCTTCAGTACTGCTGCACGTTTCGGGTCTACCTTCTCAAGATCTGCGAATTCCGGGAAACGGTCTTTGAGCTTTGAAGCGTAATTCGTGATTGGTAATGGGGGTGAGGAGCCAACGGCAGGATTGTCAAGGGAAGAATCAAGGCCGGGACAGTAGCTTGATTCTGATGAAAGGGTGTTTAACGACGTATTTGAGCCTAATCCAGAGCCCGTCTCTGACACCAGTCTCGGTCTCGGAGCATTCGGTACTTGCAGTGTTTCTGCAGGCGGCGCCCTCCGTTCGAAACTTGCATATCGCGTATGTGTCATTAGCCAGTGGTCATGCTCAAGCCGGCATACATGGATGTACGATGGGTCATTCATGAGTGCTGCAGCGGCATCCGTCGCCTCCTTGGTAGTCTTGGGAAATGGCATTGTGTATTTGGGTCTTCCTGCAAAAAGATATGGCGGTGTCGCTGGGGGCTGCGGGAGAGTATAGCAATCAGGCAGGGTTTAGAAGACGAGGTCTGGATGCTTTGTGAGCATGCAAGGTCACGAGCAGTCAACATCGTACGGATGGAATCATCTTCTTGATTGTGTAGAGAAAGAGAAGAAGGAGGAAAGAACAGTGCAAAAAACAAAGTTAATTAAGTGCACCGCTTTGAAAACTCACGATGTTAACTTTGTGTGGCTCCTTGCCTCGTGACTAGAAGCAAAATAGCCAAAAGCCTACAAGACCTTGTTTGACAACGGGAGTCCCACTTTTTCTTCCTTGTTGAAGAGGATGAATGAACTCATATATCACGGCATCCTTGAAAGTATCACATTGTTGACCGAAACTTTCACAAGAGCTACCCTCGAAGTCAAGGAGGAACCAGATGTTCGCTCCACAAGATAATTCATCACGATGGCTTCACAATCGTGAGATTACCTAAGGAATGTCATCCTCCTCTACTTACGGTCGCGAGCCCTACGCTCGACGTTCGCTTCAAGGATGCCCATGCATTGTAGCCACCAAGCCTTCAAAGGGGTGAAATTCGGTGGCGCCCCGTTACAGGAAGTTACACACCAATCCAAGGACGGAGAGAAGCGCATAATAGCATTGGAGATTTGAAAACATATTTCTGAAAGGCAGTTGTCCGAAAGAGGAAATTGATAAGGTTCAAGATTCTCAGCAAGCGGGGGAAGGAATCAATAGGATGCATGTTGTACCTGCACCTGCTAATGCGAATGAGACGATAGCCCTACTCAAGTTTTCAAAAAAAACCCTCTAAAAGACTAAGCCTGCTGCAGCTCGAGGTCTGGGTTCGAAGTGTCAGTAGTGCCATAAATCTATGGAATGACTAGTGAGACCGCTTCAAGACTTACCAGGATTTCTCGTAATGGCACCATGCTCAGCGGGGAGCAACGCGCCTTTGGGTGGTTTGTTGTTGCTTTTGAAATCATCACAGATGTCTGCCATGGTGACCCATTGGACACCTGCTTTGCTGCTGATGTACTCGATCAGACTGTCAGATATGTCAGCCGCGTTCAGACGAATCGACAGCTGATACCAGCTAATAGGAGTTCTCCAAAGTAGAACGCCGTGAATATGATACCACATCATGACCGCTATACGCTGAAAAAAGGCCATGACCCGGAACCTCATGAGCTCGTTGGGAACTAGTAGTTCGACGTAAAAGGTCTGGAAGACAGGGAAACGCGAGATCTGGAGCGCGCTGCATAGTGCAACTTGCGAGCTACATTACAGCAGGCGCCCAGAGCCTTACCGAAAGCTACTGATCATAGTCTTCTTGATCCATTCAGGGAGAAGCACCAACTCCCGACGAAAGTATGGAACTGAGTGTCAGGGCCTTTTTTCAGCGTATCGTAGTCACGGTGCGGTATCATAGTGACATCATAGAGCCATCTCTGCCCTAAGAACCCCTGTTGATTGGTACGATTTAAGAAGATTGCTCAAAGGTAGACCAACCGTTCCAGCATCAAAATCACATGAGGGTGCCCACTGACGTCCGGATGAATGGTCACAGGAAAGCAAAACTCATCATACTCTCTGTAGAAGTAGTCAAAGTGATCTCTCCATAGATCTTCGACATCTAGTAGGAAAACAATGATGATAGATCAGTCGCAAGAAGGAAGACAATCTTCATCAAATGGGGGCATAGTCCACCATTTCTTTAACCGACTCACCTCTAGGGTTTACCCAGCCGTGGGAATTAGGCGCCTTTTTGATGAACATCATGGGCGGCAAGTCATCAAGGTACCAATTGGACGGAATTTCGACCAGACCAGTCATTGGACCTGCGACTAGAGGCTTCATCCAATGTGAGGGCTCTTTCTTGTAGTCGATCGGTGTCCACGTGTCGCCCGTTCGTAGATAGTAGGGGAGACAATCATGATGCGAGAAGCTATGGTCTTCAAGAATTATCGGCTGTTTTGGCTGTGCATGACGATCCCCATACCATATTCAACACCATATTTCAGCATGAGCTCGGCGCCCTCTTTGCTGGTCTCCCACCAGGGCGCTACACTTCCCCTTGGTGGCTTCCCGCAGAAGTCGGTCAACTGTCTATAAGTTTTGTCGAGGATGGCATGCTGTTGTTCCAGCGTCATAGCGACTGGGTTCTCATGCGAATAGCCATGCAGACCTCTGCCAATGCATGAGTTTCTTGCCAGATGAGATGCCTCTCTTGGCAGGCGGACATACATCTCATGTCCAGCATCCCGAACCATAGCACACTCTTCAGGAAAGGTCTCGAGTGAATGCCCAGGAATGAAAAACGTGGTCCTCATATTGTACTTTTCAAACAGCTTCAACAATCTTCTGACTCCGACAGTCCCAGCGAAAATGCCTTTCGCAAGTCAATTTGCATCTTGTAAGAGGCGTATTGAAGGCCCGCACACCTCGCGAGATATCGCTGGTTGAGTCTTGCCCTCCATAGGAACCGAGCCAGCCAGCAACGGCATCGATGTCGACAGATATGCAGCAGAGAGCCTCTGGTCACATCAGCTCTTGGTTGCGCAAAGGTGATGGATACACTGACTTTTCTCAGCCATAGTCGCTTGTCTGAGCGGTCAGGCAAGCAGGATCTGCCAATTGAGCTATCATATCCAACTGACGTAGTTCGTCTTATCAGACAGCTTGGCGGGGTCTGGCGGGGTGCCTTGGTACCTTAGTCTACCGTTGGATTGAACGCCGGGAATATCACTGCCAAGCCCAGCATCCAACTGACCGAAAAGGGGCAGAGAGGATCCAACTGGTGCCAATTTTAGTGCGTATCGGTTGGAACACGTACCAGTAATGGAGCACATCGAGAACGACAATTTAGTCAGTATTTACTTGATTGGTATAGCTACGCATAAAAGCTAGGTCCTACAAATCAAACCATTCTCCGTGCCGTCTCCTGATGCTCTATCATAGTCACAGATTTAATCTACACAGTTTTCTCATCCCTTGAGCTATCACCGTTACTGCCTTGGTGAACGTCATCACTTCCTCTATATTGTGCCGTGCCATGTCCTGCAGAGATGGGGTCATAGTTCGGAGTTCCTGGAACCTCACCGGCCAACTCTTCGAGCGTCTTTCTCTTCGTTTCAGGGATCAAGAAAGTCGTAAAGATACCACACAACATGAACAAAGCGAAGATCTGCATGATATGGTTGAGCCATGGAGACTCTGTGGATCCGGGCGGTGCGCCTTTCTGACGAAGAGGACCGAAGACACATTGCGCGATGATAGCACCAACTTTGCCAGAAGCTGCCGAGATACCGTGAGAGCTGGAGCGATACCGCGTTGGGAAACACTCTCCGGGAACAATGAAGGTCGTGGCGTTGGGTCCTACATAGCTCTGTTAGCTGACGCAATCAAGGGACTCAGGTAAGGTGACGTACCGAAATTGAAGAACAATTGAGCAAGCACATAGAGGAAGATGAGTGCTCCTTCGACCTTGAGAAGTTTCTCATACGCGAAACCAATGATGATGAAGAGGATCGTCAACATCGTGAATCCCATGAATTGGATAGTCTTGCGACCGATAGTGTCGACAGTGGCGACAGTAAGCCAGTAGCCGGGAATGGATCCGGCGCAAACCAAGATCAAATTGCCGACAGCTGTATTGTAGAAGACCTTGTACATGTTCTTGCCTTTGGCGTAGCCGATAGCCGCCAAGATGGTAGAATTGTTCAAACCCAGACCGTAACTGCACTACATTAGATTCACCAATCCCAAAGTACTTAATATTTGCACGAAGGCGAAGATACTCACAAGGCAATATCGAGGAAAAACCATGAACCTGCAGTACCAAGCAATACTTTGCCGTGCTTCCACTGCTTGTAGTGGCGCCATACATCTGCCCAGGAAGCCTTGGGAGCTTCATAGCGTTCCTGGGAGTCTTTGACCACAGCAGCCTGTCGGAGTTCATCAGGTTTACCTTCGCCCTTGTGCTCAAAGTACGCTTTAACATCCTCGCTTCCTTTCTCAACATCCCGAGAGACGTCGAAGGTGTAGCGGGGTGTCTCGGGAATGGTCAGGCGGTAGTACAGCGCGATGCAGCCGGGGACAGCGCCAAATCCGATGATGATCCGCCACATCTTGTCCACAGCTAGCCTACAGACACCGTCGCACTTGGAGGCCGATGAAGCGGTTTCAAGAGATTCCTTGAATCCGGATGTCACGATGAGGGCAATCATCGCAGCCGCGAACTGGCCGAAACCCTGCATAGCAAAGACAGATCCCATCATGGCCCCTCTCCATTTTGTAGTGGCGAACCTATTCTTTTGTCAGAACCTCACGTATTGCGAAAGTACGGTTAGCTTACTCAGACGTGATAATGGAGGACAAAGGATAGTCTCCTCCAATACCGACACCCATTAGAACACGCCAGAAAATGATCAGACCAACCACAGATATGGCTGCAGAGTTGGACGAGAGCGATTGAGCCAAAGTGGCGAAGATGATGATGATGAGCTCGAGACCATACATCTTCTTACGTCCCACCAGATCGGCTAGGATACCAAAGCCGACTTGGCCAAGTACTGTCCCACCGGAGGTGGCAACCTTAATAGCGGTATCCGAGTTGTTGGGGATGGTACCAGGTTTGCTCTTTGCGCTTTGCCAGTAGACAACACCCAACATAGCGGTCACCAAATTGATGGCGAAGATATCGTATGCGTCAGTGAAGAAACCGATACCGGCGACCACACAAGCTCTGACATGGTACCAGCCGAAAGGTGCCTTGTCTATTTCTGCGAGGGCGAGCCTTCGACGTTCGTTAGGATCGGCAATGTGAGCAAAATCATTGTTGAAGTTGTGAAATGCAGCGTTCCCACCGGCGGTTTTACCGGTAGCCATAGCGCCAGGCTTTGATCAGTCAACCCAAGTGCTTGAGGACTGGACGCTACGAGGCGTCGACTAGAGATTTGGGGGGGTTTAGTGGCGACAGGAAATGCTTCGTCTTGCCAAGCACTTCGACCAAAGAGAGAGGGAAGAACGATCGAGAGGTGTGGTGGAGGGTTGATATGATATAGGAAACGGGTCAGAGATGAGGTGCGGGCGCACTACTCAAGACAGATCTGTAGCCAACTCCAGACAACTCTTTAGACAAGTCGAACCTTACTAGAAAGATGGGCTGCAGCGGAGGCTCGAGGCCAATCACGAATGATATTGGAGCACATGGCGCGCATGTCTAGCTTGGCATTAGAGCTGTTACATATTGAATGGGGGTAAACGAGGGCAAAAGTGGTGAAAAGAGCCTAGATCTCGGTTGTTGCAACTCCACGAACTCCACTACACTGGATCACTCTCTGCTTTTGCCCATTCAGGCTTTCGTGTCCTGCACATGCGAGCACCCAACCGGCCACGCCCGATCCGTCAGGCCGGCCTGCCATTTGCCTCGAGCGAGTATCGTCAGGCTTATTAGCGGCGTTCAGACCTCATTCGGCGGACCTGCCACATTCGAGACATCGACGAGGCACTTGGCCACTTGCCAAGGCGAAGATCCTCGATCCTCGATAGCTGTGACTACTGAGCAGCGGCCATTTGTTGGAGAGCTAAAAGGCAGGCATGGGGGTAAGTCGCTTGGCTTAAAGAGCTTGGACGAAATGCCAAAGGCTCAAGCATCTGAAGCTTTGCTCGTCCGTGATATTGCACCCTTGGCATTTTTGGATGGCTTTGGCAGCGCTCAGGAACTTCCTGCTCATCTTCCAGAAGCAATTCTTGCGAATTCGGGCGTGGCAAAGGTTCCTCCATCGAACCTCGGGCTGACAGCGGCGAACCCAGGGTCTGAGATAAGGGAGGGTAGGAATATCATAGACAAGCAGAGGACATGACGTTCCAATCAGAAACGCCAATTTGGCCACGTTCTGCCAAGAAATATCCGCTAAACGCTAGGGCGCACTAGTCCCTTTTGGTCATTGCTAGCTGATATCGCCGTCGCTGCAAATAATGCTAGCTGATGGATTCAGGTGAGCTGATAATGAAGCTGTCGACAAAACACCGCGCTTCCATGCTGGTCAGACAACAGAAGGTCAAGATATCTCCTCCACCAAACCTACGCTCACTTTGACCATCGGGAAACCTCTCAAGTCTCAACGCTTATTGTATCTCAAGAGTGACCGGTTATTTCCCTCACTTCCTCTTTCCCGAGTCTCGTCATTTCTCTCTTTCCAGAGTCTCGTCATTGACGACTCCCGGTAGCCGAGTGGCCACAGTTGTCGCAAATCTGTCCGCCGTGACTCCCGGGGGATGGAGGGCTAGGAAGAACAGGGCCATTCTGAGGTGGACTAGTCCTTGCTTTTGTGCTTTGCAATGCTGAACAAGTGGTTTGACGTGCCGCGAATATCAAGCTGTATGACTTTGCCGGTTCACATATCTGCCCCTTCCATGGATAGTACCAACAGCGTTCATGATGCAGCTCTGGAACTCGTGCGGCATGCAGACGATGGAATGTTCTTTGAATTGACAAAAGCTTACCGAAGTCCCGGAAACGAAGGCAATGTAAGTGAATCGTTGTCGAACAAGGCAATTTCCTGAGAAGCCAATCTATGTACATGCTCCATGTTGGATCAAAAGAGCCTCTGAACGTGATTGCAAGAGCCTGCATACTGTTCCGTAACGTTTCCAGCTTCTTGAGCCAGCGCACGAGGACTGTTAGAGTTTTTGATGCTTCGTCCATGTTCCTACGACTCTCCACTAGGATGTGGAAGGGGCGACATTGAAAGAAAAGGAGAATCGCCTCTTTTCGCACTAACCGACAGGTCTTGAGAAGATTAGGCTGCTGTATCATGGCACGATTGCGGTCTCCAGGAGTAATGAACTTGCTTCGGAGCCGTCCGGGCTCAATGTCGTTGTGAAGAGTAACGATTTTGTATATCATATTCCTAATTTCCGGCGGTAGATCGAGGAAGCGAAAAGGGCTGTTTTCTATGTCAGCGGTTTTCAAATAGCGATTCTATCTCGTGTACTCACTGCTCGCGGTCATATTCCACCAGTCGAGCAACCAAAGTTTCTTTCTTGCCACCTCTAGGCAATCCGCGTCGCTTTAGGACGCCCTTTAATTCGCGCAGTACCATGGTGTTGTACTCGTATCCCGATTTCCATGCCATCTTTGATCTTGGCTCGGTCTTTTGAAGATTCTGCTGTGTTGGTGATTCAAGAGGACTCTGCATGGACCGGAACTGAGATAGAGAATTGCCCATCATCGTCACGCAACTAAGTTTTGATCGTCAAGGCACATACGAAGAATTGGACATATTACTGTAAGATGTTCTATACTGTGAAGAAGGCCATTGCATTCTTGGAGTATGTTATGAAGGGCAGATGAGGAGACCTCACTTGTAGAGAGATGTGTCAAAAAGTGAGCTCAAGATAGTTTTTTGTAGAAAGAGAGTGAATGATAGTGTGTCAACACCTGTACACCAGATCAACAGCAATCAGTGTCATACTGAAGACGCGTTTTGCACTTGAGAAAAATACATGAAAAGAAACAATCATGTTAATGCTAAAGGAGATTGGGTCTGTAGAATTTTGGAAGGAAGGTGAAAGTCACATCAATATATCAATGTATCAACGATTGAGTTAAAGTGAAATATGAATACTTGAACGGAATTAAAGAGCAGTATGGCCGCAGTAATGTCAGAGCCCTGCGGTCTCTTGACACCACATATAGTGACAGCCTCGAGTACTGACAGATATTTTCAGTATGCTATTCGTGCTAACAGTTCCGAATATTTCAGAAAGGGATCGTGAATGTACACAAGACGAAATAAATACCATCGTGCTGAGCCATACCATTCGTAATTCGTCGCCTCAAAGGACCTGTAAATGGTTATAATGTAATACATCATTGAGTCGAAATCTACTCCTCCCGTCAATACCAGAGATTAGGTTCAGTCGATCTCCCAGCTTCCGCCTGCGGTCTGCAATCTGACTGAATCACCAGAGACTGATTTGTCAAGGCTGGTACCATAATCATCCTCGTCGAAGCAGTCCTCGCCTCCCTCGCTTGCGTCACTGGAAAAATCCCATGAACAAGGGATCTTCTCGCCACGCTCTCCATGCCCAAATGCGTAGCCTTGAAGTGCACCATGCGTAATTCGCTTTGCTATTCTCAACATCAATGCCACGAGATGCACAGGAGGTCCAAGCAAAAGTGAGCAAGTTCGCTGTAGAATCGCAGTTGTGAGGTGGTTGCCCGAAATGCTGTCCTTCGGAGAATACGGAACGTAAAGATTTGCCGAAGGCGGAAGCGGAGATTGTGTGCGACGCCTCAGGAAATGCTGTCGTACGCGCAGACCAGGTGGTGAGCGTGTAAGGGAGTCAGTAGTGAACTCGGGTAGTAAGGTATCATCTTTAGTTGAGGTAGATGTAGTGCGACTACAGATTGGCGTTTCAGGAGACGCTTCATTTAGATCCCAACGATCTCTAGGTAAGGTTGTGGTTTCAGGGTGATTCTGTTCGTGGCCACGGGTTCGTGAGACATGCAAACCACCCTCCGAAGACTCATAAGCAGAAGGGGATGGCGTCGAGGGAGACTCAGGGCTACGAAAGGAACAAAATGAATCCACGCTGGATGAGGAATCAGACGTACTCTTTTCAACTGTTGCTTTAGCGCTGGAAACGTCGTTGTGAATCGACGAGCAAGGTCTTGTCTGTAAGAACAATTGCGGCGGCGCGGTAGCTACGCGTCCAACCGAAAGAGTAGCCGGACGCACTGGCTTCTTGATGTTGCTATGCATCTGCTCCAAAAGATTTTGCTGAACTAGGACGTCTACGCCAGCTGTTTCCGATTCTAGATTATCAATCTCGCTATTTCTACGGCTTGCATCAGAACCCTCCAGGGGGTAGTCCGCAACCTTGATAGGAGGACTGTGATGGATAGGACCTTCCTCGGGTTTCCACGGTGGCCTTGTGGCGAGATCTGGAGGAGTTTGCCTTGCGTCGTGACCATGCGTCTCTAGCTCTGGAGTCTGAGAAAGACTGGTTTGCCGAGCCTCAAACCTGCGCTTTGGCGTCCACGGAATCATTTTCACAGGAGTCTCGGGAGCTTCGGGCAAATCAACCGTAAAACTTCTTTTGAAGGGACATGGGGTCTTCTCGTATTGCAGCACCTTGTCAAGCACGATCTTGAAATCCTCAACCTGCTTTCCCTCCTCGTCATTTGAGAAAGGAAGCTCAATGCGGTAGTAGCTGTAAGCTCTGATTCGTAGAACAAATTTCGAAACGCCATCAACGCACCAACATTGGGATTTGGCGAGGATTGGGTGAAGTGTGGACCCAGAGCGGAGGAATGCAACGGAGCCGAGAACGCGATAGACACTCAGTGGACCTGAATCGTGATCTTAGCATTTGCTATTAGACAAACGGGCTCTTTACTTGCCTGCGGCAATCGTTCTCTCAGTCAGACTGGCCCACGGAAGGGAATCTGGAGGTTCTTCATTGCCTTGCGACCATGCGTGACTGGCCGCAGAAAATTGACGGCCTGAACTACCAGACGTATTGAAGGAGACGATTTTTGCAGCAGTATGTTCGAATAAGGTTTCTGCACCCTGGGCCTCTGCTTCTGCCGGCAGCGAGGGTCTTTTGGACCCTTTGATGGGTGCTGTAAACGCCCGACGGATCTGAAAAGGGTGGAGCCCTCGATCTGGGGTTGATGGAGCGGAAGCCAAAGCCATTGTCACGAAGCCATCAAAATATACAGGATACCAAGGACAATCTAAGGCATATGATGATGTTGCAGCGCCAGCTGAACTTGAACAGGGACGAGGAGATGACGGGCATTTTGCCCGCCCTGCCCGCTCCGTCGGAACTCCTGCCAAGACTTCACTGGCACTAGCACTAGCGTGGATGCTTTTACGCGTTGACGGTTTGCAGGAAATCACTTTTGCTAGAAATATCACTCGAAATGGCTTTCATGGATTCCATACTGCTCATGCACGCGCTTTCTCATATTTATGGCGGCGTCACGATTGAAACTCACATTCATGAACGGCGTGAATAATGTCAAGCAGGCCAAATCTAGCTTGACCGCGACGTGGAATGATATCTGAAGCTTGATTTCAAATTGCATAGTGATTGCGGTCGCTTCGACCTTCTACGCGTTTGTGTGTCACCTAACATAGAGAACATGAGTACCAGACCAGATAGTGAAGAAGGTATCAAACCCTATGACAAGAAAATTCGTAGTCGAAAACGGAAAAGGGCTACTGCAGACGACACTTCAGTCTCTTCAGATTTGCCGTCAGATGGGTTCGACGAACCAAAGCGAGGACGAAAACATGTTCTGGAGTCTGTGAGAATATCCCAACTCACATATCCGAAATCACTCTACCAGCACCATGAACCTTCAACTTCTCGTTCGACCGAGCACGAGGTCTTGAAAGAAATTCTGGTATGATTGTGTAAATGGCGCTCGAGAGATGGGCGCAGTCACTGACTGACGGCCGTTCTCAAGGATAGTACCACTGTCGATGATGGAGCCTCAAACTGCTTTGTGGAAGCCGATCTTGATAATTTCTGCATTTACAGACCGCATCGTCAAAGATATTCTGAAAAACTCAAAGGGATGATTGAGGCCACTGGCTCCAATGAAATGGTAGCTCTGCATGAATTTAATGAATCGAATGTATCACATTTCCTTTTTGATGGTATCGTCTCCCACGAAGGAAAAGGATATTACCTCGAGCATGTGCCGTTCAATCTGCTGTCTATTGGAGGATATGAGGATACACAAAGCGCCAGCGTGGATGACAATATCTGGATTCAAAGCCTTGAAAGTCGAAGAACGGACGTCTGGTATAGAGTTCGAAGGCCAAAGCCGGAGTATCAGCGGTATCATAACTGGTTCCTATGGATGGCGGATCTGGCTAAGCATGTCATTGATTACATGTTCTCTGTAGGGGCTACTCACCTTTTGAATTATCAAAGCGACTTTGATTCATGGCTAGCGAAGACTTACCCTTTTGCTCCGTCCGTAAAGAACTGGAGGTCACAGTATGGTGATCGTGACTTCCGTCGAGTGATTGCGAACCAAGCAGTTTTTCTGCACTGTCAGGCTTCACAGGTCAATGAGACATACCTCACACAGCCTCTCTGGCAAGAAATCCATCCAAAGCACCTATCAGCAGTTCCAAAAAGGGTCGAAAGACGTCTTGATGCCCAGCAAATGATCACTTCTGGAAAAGGGATCCTGCATCGCAAGACGACAGTGACTCCATACGTATACGAGTGCTTTAAAAGTCTACCATGGGCAAGGTACTTGCACCTCCAAGAACCTTCCGGACTTAATTTTGCGAATGGTAGAAAGTTGCCGAACATCAAGAGTGCAATTAAAAGGCGCGGATGCGAGAGCAAGACTTTTTCAAATGCAGCTCAAGTTGGAGTCGGTGACGTTGTGGCGATCCCGCCAGACCAAGATAGTGTTTGGAAGACGAAAGCCCAAGAATGGTACGCATATGTCCAAAGTATCGATACGACTCCAGAAGGCTTCAAGCTTGGCCTGCTGTGGCTCTATGAACCTGGCGACACAGCTTGCATGAAAATGCGGTATCCCTTTGCAAACGAACTCTTTCTAAGTGATCATTGCAATTGTGGTGACGCCGCCTCGTTCACCACTGACATTATCAGACAGCCGCTCGTTGATTTTTATGGATGCCCTGAGTCAAACAGGGGTGATTTCTTTTGTCGTCAAAGATATGTTGCAGACGACGCCGAATGGGTGACTCTCGAGGACGCACATTTTCAGTGTGCTTGTAAGACCAGAAATAAGCCTACCAGGCAATTTCTGCCTGGGCAGACAATCCTCTATACCAAGCGCAATCCAGGAAAGAAGTCGGTGCTGGAACCTGCTGTTATCGCGAGTTATGATCCATTTGAGAAAACTTACAGAGTAAGGCTGCTCTTACGGAGAAGGCGCGATTTTGGTGTGCCTCTTGCGGCGCTCAACGAGCTTGTATACACCAATCGCTTTGACACAGTGCCTCTTCAAAGGGTCGACAGACCTTGTCACGTTCGATTTTACCCTTGTGACATACGTGACACCGGCGATATTGCTGCGCCATACAACCGCCAAGGTCAAGGAGACCATTACTTCATTTGCTCGATGGAAACGAATGGCACGGTTCTGGAAAATTTGCGTTTCCCCCGGTCTGAAGTAATTCAAGGCTGGGATCCTATTCAATGTCCTACGCAGAAACCTCTGAGGACTCTGGATGTATTCTGCGGAGGCGGCAATTTCGGCCGTGGTATCGAAGAAGCCGGCGTGGCTAAATGTGAATGGGCTGTCGATCACTGCAGCGAAGCAATTAACACCTACAAAGCCAATATGTTTGACCCCAATACAAAGCTTTTCCATGGCTCGGTAAATCAGTATCTAAGTGAAGCTTTAAGAGGCAACGAACACGATGGCTTAGTCGCCCAAGTTGGGGAGGTGGAGTTCGTCATCGCCGGTAGTCCTTGTCAGGGCTTTTCGCTGTTGAACCCTATCAAGTGAGATTTCTCCGTATTTCTGAGACACGTTAGACTAATGAGTTCTGTAGGGGAAATGAAGGAGGTCTTCTTAATGAATCATTGGTTGCCTCAGTAGTCTCTTTCATTGACTTCTACCGCCCGAAACACGCGTTGCTCGAGAACGTGAAGGGTATGGCTTACGGCCCCGAAGACAAGAACGTTCTTGCGGCTGTTCTTTGTGCATTCGTGGGCATGGGATACTAAGTCCGGACGTTTGCGCTTGATGCGTGGTCATACGGAGCTCCACAAGCTAGAACCCGAATATTCATCTCTGTGACTGCACCTGGAACAAGCCCACTTCGAGAACCGTTGCAAACACATGGCCACCCAGAATCCGTGATGGCCGGGAGCCTGGGACGAACCGCGAATGGACTTAAGTTTGGGGCGCGTCTTCATGTCCGGACACCCTTCAGCTACGTATCAGCAGAGCAAGCGACAGCTGACTTGCCATCAATTGATGCAGGCGTTGTTCCTATTGCCTTCCCAGACCACCGCATGTCCAGAACCATGTCTGTGTTGAACAAGACGTGCATATCTTGTGTCCCAAGATTTCCTGAAGGGCAAGGGTTCCTCGCTTCCTACAAGAAGGGCTGGATACCACAGATCATCATTGACAATTTCTCATGGACTAATCATATCCGAACGAGCGAATCTTCTAAAGCCTGGACCAGGTTAAGACGAAAGCGACTTTTTCCTACCATTACAACAGCAATTAGACCGGAGGATGGAGTTGGTGGGACTTGTCTACATTGGGATGACCACCGATTGCTCACAATCCTTGAGGCGCGAAGGGGTCAGGGAGTCCCTGATACGGAGGTCATACTCGGCTCAATTGCTGACCAATTCAAAATAGTAGGCAATAGTGTTGCTCGTCCGGTGGCGCTGGCTTTAGGCTTATCTCTCCGCGAGGCCTGGCTAAAGAATGTATCAGACGAGGCCAGCACATTACAAAACCTTGCCAGTGTAGAAGAATCAATGACTTCCAAATTGAACGCCACGAGTGAATGGACATTCGATCGCACCGCGGGAGGTCAATCATCAACCCACGAGGTCTTCGAGATCGTACCAAGATTAGACTCGGCGTCCTCGACCAGCCAGTCGTCAATCACGTCTGTGATTGAGGCAACGACCCCAACGAGCTTAGGCATGGACGACAATCCTGATCCTTTGTCATACTGAAACAACCCTTACATGGTCGATATCTTAAGGCTTTGGGCCGTATGTGGATTGCTGACAGCTCCACTGAAAATGTTTGGTAATATGTTTGCAACGCTTAGCAGCTTTGATTTGTTCTCTAGATAGTGGATAGCCCGCAATGTATTGGACAGAACAATCCAATGCGTCAAAATTAGACTAGCTTCTGTTTATGTTTGGTGCCTTACTTCTTTCTATTCGCCAATTGAGAGGCTTGGGGCAGGCCAGTGCCGCCTCGCGACGAAAATAATAGACGGAACTCAGCGTGGTTCATGACCAATGTATTGCCCCGAGAGGACGATCAAGGGGCAAAAGCATAGCAAGGCTTGCCGAGTCTGCCTTGTCTACAAGATGAATTGCACGCACCCGGCGTTGGCGGTTATCTGTCTCACGTTGCGCTGGCCTGGTTTCGAATCGAAAGTTGCTGCCTTTGATGCCAATGATCAGGATGGACGTTCAGTTTCAGGCGCGTTGACGAGATGTGGTGGGGGAAGGGGGGTTACAGCCACGGGGTTAGATATAGCCTCATGCACGTTCATGCACCTAGCCTCCCAATCACACGTCGCTCGTATGGCAGTGCCGTACCAGCGACTGCGCCCTCCATCCACTCCAATCAGCTAAACTTGGCAGCCAGGCTTGCGTGGAAAGATATAAATGCGCATGACAATCCGCCCGATACTTTCTTGTCGTCGTTATTTCATTGCCTGTTGTGGTAGACTGCCCCCAAGCCTTGGCTAATCATGGCCCCAATGTCTCCAATTGAATCGTTCTCCTGGGATCCTTGCCTTGTCTTTAATCTTAATCTAAACGAGACGACGTGTCGAGGCTTGACTCTTAAAGGAGTCCGGTGCAGGAATCCCTTGAACCAAACATTGGATCATGAGATTAGGAGACTTGTCTCCAGATTAGGCCAGCAAGACCCTTCTGACATAAAGCTAAAGCATATCATGCCAATTGCAAACTTACTATTGTGCAAACGCAACCATCGTGGAGAACAGGACGAGGACAAAGCTACCGAATTCTTCGAGGATCTTCAATATTTCAATGACTATGGAGCCTCCCGATATCAGACTAAGAAATCCCTAAAGCTCGCAGTCGTCAAGGAAGAGAGAGACACAGCTTTGGAAGATGCCATCAAGCTCGAGTCTGACTTGAGAGATATTACAGAGCAGTTGCACCACGAAGAGGCCAAGAACAAAAAGCTTCGTGCCAAAGTGAAGCCTCTGGAGTTCAAATGTGAGGTCTTTCTCAACAAGCTGAGAATGCAAGAAGACACAGCAAACAAGCACCTTGCAGAAATCGCCCGCCTCTCCTGCTTGTCGAGCTCGCAGGAAGCGGAAATAGCAGAGCTCGAATCTGCAAGTAAACATCATGAGGAGGAGTCTGACATCTTCAAAAAGGAGAATGACCGGCAGAGAAGAAGAGATTCTGACTTGCAAGAAAAAGTTGACATGCAAGCCCAGGCTCTCGACCAGCAGAGAGAAAGAAACCATAACTTGCAAGAGGAAGTTGACATGCAAGCGCAGACTCTTGACCACGAGAGAAGGAAAAATTACAACCTGCAGGAGGAGGTTGAGACGCAAGCGCAAAATCTTGAACAAAGAGACAATAAGATTGAGGTACTGCACAGCAGCGTCCGCGACACTGAAGCCAAGCATAACGGCCACATCAAAGAAATGCAGCTCGAAGTCTCTAAAAGAGACACCTTGTTAGTTCAGCAAAATAAATTGATTGATGCGATTCATTCGAGAACCAAGATTGAAAGCCAGGAGAATGCGAAATTGAGAAAGCGAGCTCTTGCCCAATTCTTCATTAACCACGTTCAGCAAAGCATCAAGCAGCGCAGATACGAGGAGGTTGAGGCAGACAACCGCACGTTGTCCAGCAGTCAGAAAAGCCTGCAGTACGCTTTGTGCAATCTTGAAGGAGACTTGAATGCTTTGGAGGTAGGCGATCACTTCGCAATGAGATGATTTGGCGCTGGGGTGCTGACCTGAACTAGCAATCCGTATCGCCCCTGAGATTGGCGAATGTCAAACGAGGTGTTTGCACCATGCTATCCCTCCGACCTCTGAGACTGCGCGCTCACCGCGTGTCTGAAGGCAGCCTCTCGGCGTCCAAGTCAGAACCAGCCACGGGGTGAAAGACAATCCCTGATTGCTATGTCCTTTAGTATTTCGAATACGATGAGTATATACATACACATTGGCTCAGATGACGCAAATACAAGAGTGGCTATCCAAGCAAGGGCCACACCAACGCTATGCCGAAGACACAAGGCTCGCGAACATATCACATCCAAAGGCACAGCTTGCCGCTGGCTGTCCCAGCGCCGATCCACTGCTGCGTGGGATGGAACTGCGCCACGGCCGGCACGGCAGTGATGCCGTCGCCTCCGAGCTGGGCGAGCTGTTCGCCGCTTGAGGTGTACACGTCGACGAAGCGATTCATGTTGCCTATACAGAACCGGTGGATGGAGTCTGGGGGATGGCGTTGCCATTGGGCTCGGAGACTAGGTCGTATTAGCGCTGCTGCAACTAGAGTGATGCTCGAATACATACATTGTCACCCATCTTCCAGTCTGATTGTTGTGCTTGACGACAGTACTTGGCCGCACGTTTTCCTCCGATATATTCTGGCCAGGCTTGAAGCTGCCTAAGCCATCGAAAGTGTGGATCTTGATGGTGTCGTCGTAGCTAGCGGTTGCTACTTGCCCTGCTGAATTGAACGCGGCATGACTGACACTAAGCCTACTCTCGTGCTCACCAATTAAGGCAGGCAGTTGCCTACTTCGGGCTCCACTTAACTTTCGCAGATCCCATATTCGCAGATACCGATCGAGAGAAGCGGTGGCTATGAAATGTGGTTGACCGGGATGCAGAGAGAAGCCGCCGATCTTCTTCTCTGATAGTTCGTATACTTCGGTTGTCTGGGGTTTGGCTCGGGTATCAATTCGTCCTACAAAACCATCAAGACGGGAGAAGTATACGAGCTTGGGGTTGGAAGGATCGATCTCGACTCCGGAAAGCGGCTCGTCAATGGATGCATCTTCAGGGCCATAGAGCTCAACCGACGTTGATTTGTTCAGGTCGAGAAGGCGCAATGAAGAATCATAGGAGCAAGTATAGAGATGAGATGGATTGTCGGGTGAGAATTGAAACGATGAGATTGTGCGCGTATGGGTCTTGAATGTCGTGATTGCCGGCTTGCTGTCATCTTCATCTTCCTCATCATCCTCGTGCTTGACGCCGTTGGCCTCTTGTTTCGTGGTCGACTTCTGAGAAGCATCGAAGATGCCCAAGTTACCCATCTTGTCCCCAGCAAACACAAGAGCTTTGTCTGTTGTGGGATGAAAGCCTAGAGAATAGATTCTCTCCTCAGTGATCTTGATCTGATTAGGCTCAAAGCCTTCGTAGATTTCCAGTCCGCTCATCTGCTCTCTCAAAGCCTTGACCTCCTTATTGGTTGTCTCCTTGACCTCGGTGGCATCGAATGTGCGCTCGTACGGATTTGCGCCTCTCCTGAAGACATCGACGAGAAAGTTCTTATCCTTGTCCCAGCCATCACCCCGGACTACCACATCACCAAGACTCATGTCCCCGGTCTTCCGCTGCCTCTTGATCCGCTCTGCCTCTCGGACGGCGACATGCTCTTCTTCTGCCTTTCGCTTTGCTACCTCACTATCTGCGACAATTCCCTTCAGCCGTGACGATGTTCTCGTCGGCGCCACATCTTCAATCTTCCTTGGAGCCGGCCTCTTCTTGTGTGAGCTACTTTTAGTTGGAGGTTTCGAGGCTGGCTTAGGACCAAGTCCTGCAGCTCGCGCATCAAGCGCAAGATCTTTCAATAACTTGTTACGTTGGGCGATATTTTCTTGACGCTGACGCTCGTAGTCATCTATTTCAGATTCTATCTTTGGCTCCGATCTTCTGCCCATGACTATGACCGCTAAGTGTTTGGCTCGTGATTGCAACGGTGTTGTATTCGCCTCACCGCGGTGAGCATGTGCAGAGGCTGTTCTCCATCCACCTGCGCGTCATGATTTCGCGTTTAGTAATTTCCTATTTGAATCTAGCGGGATGTGTAATGACTCTGCTGTGTCGTGATTGGTCAATGATACTGAAGCTTCATGAAGTTATCATAAACTCGCTTGTAACATGCTGCCGCAGATATTTGAATACCCCGCACGGGATACATGTCGTCCAGCCAGATTCATATGATCGCAGAATGCGTCCCCATACTATACTGCACCAGAACCTTATTATCATCTCCATACCTGAATCTTGCAGCATCGAGGCCTGTTCACCTGCACACCAAAAAAAGAGTCAGATCATTACAGCATTACCGTCGATACAACACAGAGACGAATGGCAGTTACGATATCTCTTTCGATGACAACGCCCTCGGCAGCGGGCATCTGCTCGGCTCTGATGGATTTTTTGGGAACAGTGAACTTTTGCCTCGTCGAAGATCTACCCTTACCGCCTCTGAGAGATTGACATTTCATCGAATAGCGACTGGCTCTCGACATCAACGACAAGAGAATGATGAGGATTGTGACTTATCGAATATATCTGCAAACGTGAACGATCCCCATGAAGAACTTAACAGCATCTTCGAAGCAGCCATCGAATTTCAAGACCAACAAGAAGATTTTGGGCGCAACTTTGCAAAGGCGCGAGATCAACCGAAAGCAGTGGAGAGTCTGCGCGATCAAGATGAGGCTCCGGTCAAAAGAGATCATCTCCGTCCGTCAACGCTCGAAGATGCAAGAACAAAGCAGGCCCGTATCAAGCATGCTTCTAATTTAGAAGAAAAATTGCCAACTGCGGTAGTAGCATATAGAACTTCGATCAGGACCAGCTTGGACGATGCTACCACAGATGCAGGGGTCTGGGATGTTTTGGAGACTGAAGTCTTCAGCATGGTCACACAAATGACCACACAAATGGCACGCGAAGAGGAAGAACGAAAGCCTCCATCTAAACACAGCAGGCGAAAGTCTAAGACCCCTGCCAGTCTCGACACCATGCAGCAGGACCTTGGGTCAGTGACCAAAGCAGTATTCTCGCCCTTGACAGCCGGTTCTATAATTCTTCCGAGCCGCAGCCTCATCGCCATACTTCAAGAGGCTTATACATACCTCAACCTCGAAGCCCTTCGTATTTGGCGTAGCAAATTTCCCGCAAGCCCCTACACCCTCGCTCTCCTCCCAAAGATCAAATCTATGGGCTCAATCAGCTACGTCCTGGGCGCATCCACAAGCCTTTACAGTGAAGTCCTCTACGCAAAGTGGTCGCAGCAACAAGATCTGTACGGCCTAGCCGATCTGCTTCAGGAAATGCAGAACCAAGGGATTCAGTTTGATGAGCTCACGGTCAAGTTTCTAGAGTATATCGGTCGTACAAGAGTGAGAGATCGGCAGGGAGCCAGGGGGAGGTCATGAAGATGTGGTGGAATTTGAGGGGTGTGAAGGATATATGGACACGAGTCAATCAGCTCTATTTGGAAGGAAAGGCAGAGATGAGGAAAGCGGCCTTGCTGGCAGAAGAGAGCAGCACGGCCGCGACGGATGACAACCTGTCGTCTGAGCAACAAGGGACCAATTTGAAAAAAGTGAGCTCGGAAGGCTTTAGGATCGAACGGGTCTTGTCCGATCGACAGGTTCCTAAATTGAAAGAGCGGTTGAGGCTGCAACATTTTGCCGAGAAATAGATGGCAGTGGCCGGTTGATACATGTCTTGTAGCGATCGCGTCAAAAATCTAAATTCAAGTTATTTAGACGGGAATTCTGCCGGCTACCTTTCGAAATGGAATGTGGACAACGGTGTCATATCCAGGCCCCTTTACTCCTCAACCCGTCGATCAGCCCCCCCACTTGCATTCCGACCCACTGTCCTACCATTCCCCCAGCTCTTCGGACCTTATCAGCCTCATCTAGTCTTCTTTGCAGAAAGGCGTCCGTCTCGACGAAGCCTTTGCTTTTGTCCTGCGTCATATACAGTTCCGCACTAGCATAGATGCTCGCCAGCGCCGCGCGATCAGTGAACCAGGCGGTCGTGACAGTGGTGCTACCTGCCAAATAAAGAATCTCGTCTGCCAAGCGAGCCAGCTCTTTCAGGCCTGAGGACACGTTCGAAGGGAGTGAGAGGAGCGCGAGTGCAGATTGATATTGAGAGATATATGGGATGTTTGCATGTAGGCGGTGAAGAGCGATTGTCTGAAGCCGTTGAAGCATATCGCTTGGCGCTTCATTGGTCGCAGGCGAGATGTCCGGGCGTTGGAACTGGTTAGAGAGGCTGAGGCGCTGGGTCGTGAGGTGGTAGCTGACGAGGGAGAAGGCGCCGTCGGGGAAAAGATTTGTGGATATGGGCAAGAAGCCGGCGTCTTGCGCTCCAAGTCTAAGGGATTGCTCAGTGAAGCCATGCGCAGGAACATGCTTCAATGCGGAGGATAGGATGGCAGATTTTGATGGACTGTACGGCGAGGGCTGCTCAAACGCAGATGAATGATAGTAGCCCTTTGTTGATGGGACATGCTGTCTGCGAACCGAAATCGCGAGACGTAACAGACGTGATCTCAAAGGAGATAATGCATCTGCCATCTGCCATCTGCCATTAAGGGTCGTATCATAGACTCTGGAGATGGGGAAGTCACATGCGCGGGTTTTGATTTGGATTGCGGCCCGTTACTCCGACTAGCGCGCATGACTGCGCGTTCCTCGCTCATAACTTTTATACACGCGCATTATTCATTATTCACTCTCGCAAAAAAGCGGCAGTTTAGCTCGGTGATATTGGGCGGTTTGACTTGTCTGGCTACCGGTCACAGCTCCTAGCTCTTGCTCTGGTCTGAGGTCAAAGTCGTACTCGTACGCTTGTACTCTATCTAATGACCTATGCTCTCGACAAGGCAGGCTAATGCATGTGCTTCAGCGCCCCAGCCGCGGGGAGGCCGTCTCTCCCACCACCACGACAATGTATTGGCTCCTGGCGTGCAGAATGAGCCTTTTTGATTATTGTTTAATGAAGGGTGGACTCGATGGAGGGCAACATTAATCTTTAGGCATCTCAAGGCGGGAGATCTGCCGTTCATTTCTTTCAGCCTTGGAAAGCAGACCATCTCGCAGGCCACTGATTGGCCGCAGGAGGCTCAACTTAAATGATCCAATCAGCACTGCAGAGGATTACGCTCTGTACGAATATGGAAGCTGGGTAGGGAGTCAGATCACTTTGCAGGAATCTCGGTGTGAGCATTTCGAGAAGCGTACGTACATACGCAGGATTCGAGATCCTATGCAGCTGGTGTATGGTCGGCTAGGCGCCGTGAGGAGAGATAGACACTTCCGACTTGAGTCAGCTTATTAGGAAGACCATCGATGGCTTGCATATCTGTGGCAAAACTCAGCTCAGTCTCAAGCCGAGCCGCAAGCCACCTTTGCGGCCGATTTCACCTAGTTTTGGTCAAGAAACCAAATTGGTCGACCAGCTAGCCACAGTCTGCAGCGACCGTTAGTGTCACAACGGTTCGCAACATTCAATACTATCCATGGTGGATAGAATCCATGCGTGTCATCCAGCACGCCTGATGAAGGTCCTTACCTCAGCGCTTGTGCCACTTTGTAATCCACTCCTCAGACAGACCGGATTGCAAGAGTGGAGGCATTCGTAGTGCCGAGAAAGCCTCCATCAAATGCCAAGCCTCTATCCCGCGCTTTGACGATAAGGCTGATGGCCTTTTTAGCTTGCGTGAACTTTTTCTTCTTTCTCCACAGGAGCTCTCCATCCTGCAAATGCACCACTCCAGCTTTCTCCTCTAGCCTGCCTGGGCCATACCGCTTCGTAAACCCTGCCAGCGATCAGAACCTGTGCGTCAATCAGGAAATTTCAACCGTTCAGCTGTCAGACTTCATACCACATCGTGACCACTCACGGTCCAGAAGTAAGTAGGCCGACTCCAGGCCGACGTTGCTCTGATCCATGGTCGCCCTATTTCACGCAGGTTTCAAGATGCTGATCAGACTCGAACATGTTGCAGGTCTAGTTGGTCCCCCTCACTCCCCCCTTCACCAATCGAAAACAAGGCAAAATCTCGGCGGAGAAGATTCTTCTGAAGCCCCCACTCCACCACAATTGAGACTATCCATCGCTACGCTGCAAGCAGAAATATTGGGGTTGTGTACATCTGACTGGTTGGTCAAGAACTGCCTAGAAGTCCCGAAAGTTCGGCCCAGCCGAAGTGCTGCAGACAGTTTCCCATCTGTGCGCCATCCCTGCACACCAAACCTCGCACCAACTCTCAGTCAACGAGTCTTGCAACCAGAATCCTCGATCTCGTTCACCGCTTTACCGAATTAACACCTTCTCGGCAATCGCCTGAGAGATTTGTAGCCATGGGTTTGTCCTTCCCCTCTCTTTTTTCATGCGCACTAAGGGTAGTTCTTTCCCATGAAGCACTGACGTCGCCGCTTTGGAACATCGCCTGGCTACGGCTATTCCGCCGTTGCTGAGCTTGAAACATAATTCAATTTGCACGTTCCACCAATTGAATGCTATTACCACTACCTGTCAAGTAAAGGCTTATGTTCTTACTTTAGAATCAGCAGACGTATATCGCCCTTACACTGTAAGTCAGAATCTCTTCTTGTAATAAGACCCATGTTGGCTATGCATGTAAAATTGCAACTTCATTTTGCCAGCTCGGAGCCTGGCTACCCGTCAGGACCTTGGGTCATGATCCTGTCCCCCGGCTCTCGGCTGGGCATCGACTGCTGAGACCATGTGGTCCCTCGTCCGCCTAGGATGAACGTGGCCTTTCTACCTCCTTACAATATCTCTTCAGCCTTCTCAAAATGCAATTTGGGACGCCGAACTTTCTTTTGTAAGACTCTATCAAACTAATCTATCACCATCATTACAGCGCGACCGCTCTCGTTCACCAAGGCGTCGATCTAGAAGCCCTCGGCGTCGTCGTTCTTACTCTCCGAGAAGCCGCTCCCGTAGCCGTGAAGACTACCGCCGTAGTGATCGTCGTTCTCGGTCACCTATGCCTGGTGGGGCTGGCGGATATTCCGGATCCAACCATAGTCGAGGTGGAGGAGCCCCTCCAGCACGGTCCTTTGAAGAGCGAGCACAGGCAAAAGAGCAAATGATGGCTTCAGTACGCGAATCCTCACAACAAGAACGCCGCGTCTATGTCGGCAACCTTTCCTACGATGTCAAGTGGCATCACTTAAAAGACTTTATGAGACAAGGTAAGCAGAAAAATAACCTTTTAGACTTGATCGATGTCATACTGAATTTCTGCTAGCGGGCGAAGTGCTCTTTGCCGATGTGCTATTACTTCCCAATGGAATGTCGAAGGTGGGCGCCTATATATGATGGCTGGAACTTCCGGTTTCTTTTGTTTTTGGTTAAGGAAGTTGGATTGACGGATGGGGACTTGTCCCGTGGGTATATGTAGGGATGCGGGTATGTCTCAACGTCGTGTCCTGGTCTCAAATCCACTGACAATTGTTAGGATTGTGGAGTATGCCACCAGAGAACAAGCTCAAAACGCGGTCAACACGCTCAGCAACCAAAACCTCATGGGTAGGCTAGTTTATGTTCGAGAGGTATGCGATAGCACTAGATTTCCTTTTCTCTTCTTCAACGTCCTAAAGTTCCGGTTGTTACTGACTTGTCTTGATCCGCAGGACCGTGAGGCGGAACCACGATTCACTGGACCACCGGCTGGTCGAGGCGGCTACGAAGGCGGGCCTCCACGTGGTGGCGGCTTCGGTGGCGGCCCCGGCGGTCCCGGAGGGCATGCTGGAGGAGGTGGTTACGGAGGGCCACCATCAGGCGGCGGGAAACAACTTTTCATCAGCAACGTTCGTTGAAACCGAGAAGCCCTTCGTTGCTACTGTAAACAGTGTGTTTGCTGACAATAATGTTAGCTTCCTTACAATGTCGGTTGGCAAGATCTGAAGGACTTGTTCCGACAAGCAGGTAAGTCTCTTGCCCCCAGATCCCTCACACAAGAAGACAGTCTAAGAGTGCCTGTTGACGTCTTCGCTTCAGCACAACAAGGCGCTGTGATCCGTGCAGATGTTCACCTAACCCCCGACGGCCGACCAAAGGGCTCAGGTATTGTCGCGTTTGAAACAGCTGATGACGCTCGTAACGCTATTGCTCAATTCAATGGTTATGACTGGCAAGGACGTATGCTTGAGGTCCGCGAAGATCGTTTTGCAGGCCCACCTGGCGGCGGCTTTGGCCGTGGAGGCTATGGCGGAGGTGGAGGTGGTTTTGGGCGTGGTGGCTTCGGTGCTCGCGGAGGCTTTGGTGGTCGAGGTGGTTTCGGCGGCGGTTATGGAGGAGGCGGAAGAGGCGGCTTCGGTGGTGGAGGATATGGTGGCCATCAAGGTGGTGGCTTCGACCATGCCGCTCCTGCCGCACCTCCGAACTCCTTCACGGACAATGCAACTTCTGGTGGCGAAAGGAGTGAAATTATCTACGTTCGAAACGTAAGTACCCTCGCAGCTCCTTTAGCTATGCTAACATTTGACAGCTCCCTTGGTCAACAAGCAATGATGATCTGATCGAGCTATTTCAAACCATTGGGAAAGTTGAGCGAGCAGAGATACAGTATGAGTCCAACGGACGATCCAAAGGCACTGGTGTCGTTCAATTCGACTCCGCTGATAATTCAGAAACAGCCATCTGTAAGTCGAATGCCCAATGGGAGTCCAGATAAAGGTGCCACGGTACTGACTCTTGTTAGCCAAATTTACCGGGTATCAATATGGCGGCCGTCCTCTTGGCTTGACTTTTGTGAAATACTTCAACCCCGAAGCCGGAGATGTCATGGAGGGTACCGAAGAAACTGGCGGCTTGACCCAGGAACAAATCATGTGATATCGCATTCAGTCTCTGCGCACGCGATGCAGCATTACTGGACGTCAATCTGTCGTACCCAGAAGTTTTTCTCCTTCTCAACATTGCAAGGGATGAAGTAGTCAAGGAAGGGAAAAAGTGTGCGGGAAAATGGTTCTCTCGGTGTATTACTACGCCCTTCAAATGGCTAATTAGGTCCACATTGTCCATGAGATAGACTGCCTGCTGTGCAGGATACAAAATGAATGCAATAATCTTGTCGGTAAACAGAAGTCGTATGGTCATTTCGCGGTAATATAGATTATTAAGTCTCACGAAACCCTTCCCTCATAGCCTCACCAAGTCTCACCATCTTTCACCTCTCTTGCCTCTTTTGGAATAGTACGTCACGTGCTGCCGTGAGATTTGCGCGCTTTGGTGGCGAAACTTTGTGTTTAGACCTATGAACATGCGGACTTGACGGACTACCTACCAAAAGGAGGCGTCCGTCTTGCGATTGCAGATACAAATAATGCATCAAAACCATATCTCGGACGCTCAGGCGAACAAGGAAAATACACCGCCTGTGCAAAAGCCCGCGCGACTTTATGGTGGAGGACCAAAGTCAATAGACCGTCTAATAACGCCATTCAGGTGTCCAGGTAGTAGTACACCCACTCGGGCCTCGGAAAAGCCAGTACGCAAAAGGCGAAAGGTCAGCTACGCTGATGCGGATGGCAGTATAGAAGACGGGAAAGCGGCTTGGACAAACGAGGAGAGACTGGCCTTGAGCAACAGAGATGCCAACAAATTTCCCACATTCAAAGTCAAAGATAAAGAAACGCAATTTCGTCAACGCTTTGCTGTGCCATTGATCAATAAATCGTTAGGCACTTATAATCCCACTCGACCACCACCAACACTTGGGCTTCGGACAGGAGCGGTATTCGTGGCCAAGGCATTACACGATCCTAGTGGGGAATTTGCCATAGTACTCTATGATCCTACAGTAGATGGGGGGCCTAAAATCAAAGATCCGGCACAAGAAGCGGGCGGAGAAGATTCAAAACCGAAGCTGGATGTGCCGTTGATGCACAAGAGCCTGGCAGACATTTTAGGCTTGAAGAAACAGATCACTGATGAGCACCCCAAAATACCTGTCGTCATTGATCCAAGGCTTGCAAAAGTCTTACGGCCGCATCAAGTTGAAGGTGTCAAATTTCTATATCGCTGTGCCACCGGGCTGATCGATGAGAAGGCGAACGGGTGCATTATGGCAGATGAGATGGGTCTCGGGAAGACTCTACAGTGCATTACCTTGATGTGGACTCTCTTGAAACAATCCCCCGAACCAGGCAAAAGTACGATATCAAAGTGTATAATTGCATGCCCGTCTAGTCTGGTGCGCAACTGGGCAAATGAGCTCGTGAAATGGCTCGGCAAGGACGCCGTAACCCCTTTCGCCATCGACGGAAAAGCCTCGAAAGCTGAGCTAACTTTACAGCTTCGACAATGGTGCATCGCTAGTGGAAGAGCTGTGGTCAGACCTGTACTCATCGTATCGTATGAGACATTACGCCTCAACGTGGATGAGCTGAAGAGTACCCCTATTGGCTTGTTACTATGTGATGAGGGTCATCGTTTGAAGAATGGAGAGTCCCAGACATTTGAGGCATTGAATGGACTGAATGTCAGCAGACGCGTCATTCTCTCGGGGACCCCTATCCAAAACGATCTGTCAGAATATTTCTCTCTGCTCAACTTTGCGAATCCCAATCTTCTCGGTACTCGCATGGAATTCAGAAAGCAGTACGAGATCCCTATTCTTCGCGGTCGTGATGCAGCAGGATCGGATGCCGATCGCCAGAAAGGCGATGAGCGACTTCGTGAACTGCTCGAGCTTGTGAACAGGTTCATTATTCGCCGAACGAATGACATCCTCTCAAAGTACCTACCGGTCAAATACGAGCATGTCGTTTTCTGCAACCTCAGCCCATTCCAATTGAAGCTCTACAACCACTTCATACAAAGTCCGGATATCAAATCGCTTCTTCGCGGCAAAGGCAGTCAGCCATTGAAAGCTATTGGTATGCTCAAGAAACTGTGCAATCATCCGGACCTTCTATCTCTACCAGACGATCTTCCAGGCTGTGATGACTTCCTTCCGGATGATTTTGTACCCAAAGACTCTCGGGGACGAGATCGTGACGTTAAGGTCTGGTACTCTGGCAAAATGCAGGTCCTGGACCGAATGTTAGCCCGCATCCGTGCAGACACCAATGATAAGATCGTTCTTATTAGCAATTACACCCAGACTCTAGACCTATTTGACAAACTTTGTCGTTCGCGACAATATGGCTGCTTACGCCTTGACGGCACCATGAATGTTAACAAGCGGCAAAAGCTTGTCGACAAGTTCAATGATCCGGATGGGGAAGAGTTCATCTTCCTCCTAAGTAGCAAAGCTGGAGGGTGTGGCCTGAACCTCATCGGTGCAAATCGTCTTGTTTTGTTCGATCCTGATTGGAACCCTGCAGCGGACCAGCAAGCACTCGCTCGTGTCTGGCGCGATGGGCAGAAGAAAGACTGCTTCGTTTACCGCTTCATTGGCACTGGATCCATCGAGGAGAAGATCTTCCAACGCCAATCTCACAAGCAATCACTCTCATCCTGTGTGGTGGATAGTGCTGAAGACGTTGAACGCCATTTCACACTGGACAGCCTCCGGGAGCTCTTCCAGTTCAAGCCCGGGACCACGAGCGACACACACGACACATTCAAGTGTAAGCGTTGCAGGAAAGAAGATGGAAGGCAGACTATGAAAGCGCCAGCCATGATGTATGGCGATACAAGTAGCTGGAATCATTTCGTCAACGACGGTGAGAGTGGACCACTCGGAGGCATTCAGGATCTTTTGCTCCGGCAAGAGACGAAGGAGAAGGACGTCAGTGCCGTGTTCCAATTCATCAGCCATTGACTGATGCACGCCGCATTCTTTTGGGGAGCGCTGTTTTGCTTTCCTCGATCAGGATCTAGCCTTGCACATTGCACGTTGCCATTGTATACGGCTCTCGTCCAGGGGATCCTGGTGGCTTTCGGCCCTCACTGGCACATTCCACCAAGCTTGATTCACGTATCCTGCATTTGGCGCCGCAAAGCATAATGATATGTAAATTGGGACTCATTGATGAAACAAAGACATACGAATACTTTTGCCAAAAGCCGAGCTTGCGCTGAAGTCTACCTTGTCGCCGCTGTACTCGTACACACGTCGGGCCCTCTTGTCTGTGTTCCGAAAAGCCATCCACATCTTCTCTTTTCACATAGCCTCAACTGCGTTGATTCTTGCTATCTTTGGAGGGTCAGGCAGAATTGCCTCCTCTGACCCCGTCAACGGCCAGTTCCTTGGGCTCCTTCTCCCTCTCTCAACGTCGCTGCTCTGCTGCTCTTCCATCTGCTAGCTCACCGTCTTCTTTATGCTCTTCGGCGGCATTACCCCCGTCCCTCCACACTCCACACATTCCTCTCCCTTCCTATGCTTCTGCGGCACCGACCTCACCTGCGGACTCTCAACCACAGTCGCGCTCCCCTCACTGTCGGTACCCGAAAAACTTTCCTTCTCCTTCCGTCCCAACCGCCAGCTCTTCGGCGGCACCCACGAAGTCCTCGCCGTAAACTTCGGCGTCGACCACCCGCTCGACTGTCTCGTCCACCAGGGCGGCGTGTCCCTCCCTCCCGAGCGCCTGTCGCTATTCCCCCGAGCGGACTCTTTCCCAAAGAGGTTGCCAAACATTGTCCTCAGCGCCGGCAGACTCGCGAGGATCATGCCAAACAGGTGCTCCAGGATGGTGCACACGGCAGGTTTGGTAAGCCCGAACGTGTAGTCCTGATCGAAAACTCCCTCCAACGTGACAGCTTTCGCTATCGCATACGCAGCGGTCAGGCAGCCGAGGCCCATGAGCACGCAGAGCGGCCATTTCGTCCTCGGTCGCATATGCAGCGGTTTGATGATGAAGATGGGGATGGCGGAGCAGGCTAGATCTGTGAACGCGTCGAGCCCGAAGCCGATGTATCCTGCGAGGTAGGTGATGTGCGGGGAGAAGCATTTTGCTTCGCCTTTCTTCTGCATGTCGGGGTGCCAGATCGCGCGCATGGGGCGGCATTGGACGATGAAGAGGATGATTTGGGCGGAGTGGGAGAGCGCGGCGATGGCGAGGAGGAGCCAGAGGAAGGTGCGTTTGCTGAGGAAGGAGGTGTGTTGGTGGGATATGATGCGGAGAATGGTTAGGCAGAGGGAGACTTTCACGAGGCCGATGCCCAGGATGTTGAAGATTTGCCCATGGATTGAGGCATGCAGGGCATGAGGGATGTAGGAGGGGGGAGGCAGTAGATATGCTGGCCGAGGCCGAAGTGGACGAGAACAGTGAGGTAAGATACGGCTGTTATTCCGGAGATCTTGGGGCGTATGGTGTCAGATTGGGTAGAAAGAGAGCGTATAGGGGTGGGTATGGAACAGGAGACTGACAAGGCTGGCTAGCATCACCCAATCATCTATGTGTATACCGCCTCGATGGTAGTGCCTGAAGTATAGTCTGAGAAAGACGGTGATAGTTGCTAGGCACAGAAAACACCAGCCAAGGGCCAATAACATTCCGCCATGGTTTGTCTCGCACGCGGCGAGCATTTCTGGAGGCAGTAGAGACGCCATGGCATACGTGCAGCATTGAGAGCGTGTTCGAGGGCAATAGACAACAGTGAGAATGAGTATGTCTCAACGCCGCAATGGAGGCCGAATGATTGATCGTGACGGCTAACGGAGTCGTTAGATCGTCATTATATAATCTTCTTTGTCGTTTTGTTTGCGGACTGCAGGAATCCTTTCTTGACATTGTGAACCCGTAAGAAGCAATCCACCGCTGCAAGGAGCACCTGCGTCGAGTCGACGACATTCGTATCGCTTGCGAATCCAAGAGCGGATGACTTTTCGAATTCATGCAGGAAACAGTAAGGTTCTTTTGGAGCGCGCAACGTGTTTGGATATACGGCGTACTTACCGAGAGCCCCCGAACGCAAGTCGTCGATCTTACGCTCCAGCGCCTGCACAAATGATGCATGTCCTGCAGGTTAATGCAAACGTCGAAGTTAACTTGTGCTGTCGCATGCGATCCGTCGAACCAAATGTGCAGCATAATCGTTCGTTCCCCAAAGTGAAGGGGTTTTCTCTCTGTTGTATGCGCTGTGTCTTGAACAGCGGTTCGGCAGTCGACGATATCATGACTGGTAGTCACGCATTCCTTGCAGCTAAAAGTCTCAGCATGAGAGCTGCAAGGAGGCAGCAATAATTCCAACGCGAGAACAAATGTCCCATCAAATCAACTCCTTTTTCAAAATTGAGAGTTACCAACCAAGAGCATCAGCTGAAGACGGAAAAAACCGCAGGAAAACGGCTCAAAGGTTGTTGAACGTCCTCGGTTGATCCAAGAACTAGTCTAATTAATTAGTGCTCAATCCTACCTCTGCCGAGACCATAAGTGTTTCCCAATGCGTAGAATGTCGAGGTGCTGCTACTGCTGCAGCCTCGAGGCATTGCAAATGCAAGTTATCCAACGTGCCACCCAATAAATGCTATGCTTTGCTCTTAAGAATTACATATAAGTTTGTACCTGGACCGTCCTCTGTCTTTCTTTGTTACCAATGGGGATCTTACAGCGTCATTGCAAGAGTAGAGGCAAAGAGCATGCCAACGACTAATGCAGCCTTGAGGTTCGTATGCGGCACTTGAGGAGTGGATGCGGAGCTGGAGCTGGAGCTGGAGCTGGAGGCTGAGGAGGCGCTGCTAGGGCTTGTGCTGGCGGTCATTGAAGCGCTTTCTGAGCTGGCTGGCGTACTTGTCGCCGAAGACATCATCATCGAAGAGGTAGGCGAAGACATCATGGAAGACATGGAAGACATTGAAGACATGGATGAAGACATCATCGAAGAGCTCGAAGCTGATTTCGACACAGCGCTCTTTGGGTCCTGATAGAATTGTCCCGAAGCACTTGTGTCATTCTTGCCATTGCAATCTTTATCGTTGCCAATGAGTTGTGGTGCGTCTCCGGAGCTGAGCTTTTGGTACATTGCCTTGCCATTGGTCTGTATCACGACATAGGCTTGACTGAGGTCGGGGGGTTCTCAGCCCAATTTTGAGGTTCGTTGATGCCGGAAAGCTCCTGACTCGGCATCGACGTATTGAACCATTTGCCAGTGGTATCGACCTGGAGGTTCTTGGTCAGGTCACTGATGCACCTCCATGTTTGCGTTGTCTCTCCATTCCGGGCTGATTCGGCGGAGTTCAGCAGGCCACAGATACAATGGCCAGTGTCGATGAATTGAGGGAAGTTGGTAGCTGATCCGACGCTTGACATGATGATATGTGGGTGGAAATAGAGTTGTTGAAGTGAGTATGCTGAATGGGGCCGCAATGCACAATGACCGCATGGGCAGCAGAGGGCTGAATATTTATATGCGAGCCCCTGGGGCCAGAGCAAGACGTCGGCGCCTGAACGGGCACGGGAAATGAGTTGTTCATCTCCACATGACGTTGCGGGTCCAATTAATCAAAGAACCCTCCAAACAAACAAGGAAAAGCTTTGCTACTTTAGACACTCCTAGGCCGACTTGTACCAAACTGGCTGGAGGATTAGGCCACGACTGGCCTAGAGCAAAAGCGGTCGGGGCGGGAGAGCGTGGCGGTAAAGCTTGACCGCACCAGAGATCTTGGCGTCTGGGGAGGATCTGTCCCTTCTTATTGGAGCACCCCTCGACCGGCCGATCTTCTCTTCACTACTACAAGGCCATGTGCTGTTCAACTGCTTACCAGTCCCAGACAGCCCCTTGGAGGTACAGTGCTTCGCTGTCTTGTACTACGAGGCCATGTTGTGAAGTCAGTCAGCCAGCAGATCATGCCGTCGTGAAGGTTGAATTGACGAATTCGTCCAGTAGATGGAAGAGCTGGGAGTCATACTGACTGATTCGTGATGTTGACAGCGAAGCTATTCGCTAGTACTTGCAATATCTGTTATCCAGTCTTGTTCACTTGAAAGGCCCATCCGACATTCTTGATGCTTCTCAATTTCCTGCTGGCCGCAAACATCTATATATAGCATTGGAAGAAAAGTCTTTCCCATCGATTGCGAATATGGATTGCGGGTTTCAATTGATATTCCTTTATTATCGGTAGTCTTATGATGTACAGCGCTGTGATCTCAGGCACCCGCGAAGAATAATGGGTTGAGGAAGACGCAATGTTGGTTGTTGCGTACTTGCTCCTTACACTCGACGGATGCTGTCTACTTCTTTTTCACGGTTTCCTCTGGCTCAAGAGGTGACTTCATGACTATCCCGTGCACAAGTCCATCAAGAAGATGCCAGCGACTGCTTCGCTGTTGATAGGCGAAGAGAATCCTTTGAGATTTCGAATTCCTTTTGATAATCTTCACCAAAATGTCAATATTTACAGGTATCTTGAGAACGCCCTTCCCTCTCAAAGATTGCTAGTAGTGTATTGCCTTCGAGTATGTGGCCATAGCGGCCTCCTTGAAGGCTTCCGCCAGCGTTGGATGTGCGTGGCTTGTCCTCGCAACATCTTCACTGCTAGCACCATACTCAATAGCGAGCACACCTTCCGCAATCATTTCACCTGCATTCGGTCCCACGATATGTATTCCTAATATTCGATCCGTCTCTGCGTCCGAGATGAACTTCACCATACCATCGGTCTCCAAGTTCGTCTTCGCACGGCTGTTGGCACTGAAAGGAAACGTACCGACTCTATATTTCACGCCTTGTTCCTTGAGCTCAGCTTCATTTTGGCCGACCCATGCGACCTCGGGATGCGTATACATTACGGAAGGGATGGCTCCGTAGTTCACGTGCCCGCTGCCCTTCGAAATGTATTCTATACAAGCAACAGCCTCCTCTTCCGCCTTGTGCGCTAACATTGGCCCGAATGTGCAATCACCGATGACGCGGATGTGAGGAACCTTCGTGCGGTATTGCTCGTCAATGATCAGACGACCTTTGTTATCGACGTCCAAGCCAACATTTTCAAGCCCCAAGCCAGCGGTGTAAGGACGACGACCTATAGCCACAAGAACAACGTCTGCCTCGAGCTGGGTCGTATATCAGCTTCAACGTCCAAAACATCCTGTTGCAAACTTACAGTTTCTTGCTTGCCGCCCTTTGCGGCTTCGACCTTGAGCTTGACGCCCTCTCCACTATCATCGCCCTCCATGACCTTTGTGTTGAGCTTGAACTTCATCCCTTGCTTTTCCAGAATCTTTTTCGTTGACTTTGAGATATCTGCATCCATACCCGGTCCTCCTATTTGACCTAGAAATTCCACGACGGTGACCTCCGAACCTAATCTCGACCAGACTGACCCCATTTCAAGACCAATGATGCCTCCACCAATGACGACCATCTTCTTGGGCACTTCCTCAAGAGCAATGGCGCCTGTGCTTGTGACGACCTTCTTTTCATCTATCGTAAGGCCTGGAAAAGGCGTAGACTCGCTGCCAGTGGCGACTATAATGTTCTTTGCCAGTAGTGTCTGCTCTTGCCCATCTATTCTGTTGACCTTCACTTCATTTGGCCCTACAAACGCGCCTGTTCCGGGAATATAATCGACTTTGTTCTTCTTGAATAGGAATTCCACTCCTTTCGTCAAACCATCAACAGAGGTGTTCTTTGCAGCCATCATCTGCTTTAGGTTGAGCTTCACATCACCGACTTCAATGCCCCGTTTTTTTGTATCGTGGAGGATTTGGTGATACATGTGGGAGTTGTTCAAGAGTGACTTTGAAGGTATGCAGCCGACGTTTAGGCATGTTCCTCCAAGTGCTCCTCGCTTTTCTATACACGCCACCTGTACAATTTTTGAGCGTTACAAAGATGGCGAATTCAAGAGCTGTTTTACCTTCATGCCCTCTTGCCCTGCCTTTATGGCCGCAACGTATCCCGCTACTCCGCCACCTATGATGACAAGATCATGTTGAGCTATTGAGGGTCAGTAAAAACAAGATGACATTTTCTATTTCCGAAACATACGGGCTTCTGTGGCGTAACCTCTTCTTCGACTGCTGTAGAGATAGAAGGCGGGCTGTTGATATGAGGTGGTTGAGGTCCATGGCTTTGAAAAGGCTTTAGGCGATGCACGAGGGATGAGTGTGCGTAACATCATGGAGCGCTGCGTAGGAGAAAAGGTAGAGTATCAACAACAATTGCACGAAAACACACTGACCGGAGTGCAGCTTTTTCAAGATGATGCGGCAAAAGGCGGAGCTTCCGAAGCCTGGTCGCCGAGAGCGTGGCGCTAAAAATGGATGATGCTAGCCCACAATGCTACTCCCTCTTCATCATCTTTTGCACAATATTGCCATCCTTCGACATAAAGCACCCATGTCAATGACGAAAAAGGCCCTAAGCTGACATGTAGCTCGAGACGCTTTCCTCATCATGTCTTCGTTGCGAATCTGGAAGCACAGATACAAGAGCAAATAAGACCGGATCAAAATAAGCAGGCAGCCTTTGCTTCCTGCTACGGTCGAATGCAGGCCTTAGATGATGACCAATGGGGCTTCGCGCCTGCAATCAACCTAATCCACTCAATCTCAAGTGTTCAACAGAATAAGAACGCCATTAGCTATACTCATCCTATTTCCGTTGATGATGCAGCTGCGTACCGTGATGTCGACAGAGACCTCAATCTTACAGCAAACTTAGGCGATTTTGACACTATCTGGAGGTTTCTTGGCCTCCCAAGCACATCGCTGGGTGAAGATGAGGTTGCCAAAACTGTGCGTTGGCGGGACGAAGTCGACGGAGCAGACCTAGCAGATGATGACGACAACGAGGACGACGATAGATTGGCAGGCTTGACGAAAAAACAACGAAAACGGGTAAGACGTAAGGCTCGAGAGAGAGCAGCCATAGAAGGCCTTCGCAGTAGAGGTCAGGGTAAATCGGGCGACAGCGAGAACGAATCTGGTGAAGACCGTGAAGACGACTCTTTGGCAGGCTTGACGAAGCAGCAGAGAAAGAAAGTCCGGAGACAAGCCAGACTTGAAGCTTTCAAGGCTTCCTTGAAAAGCGGGACAGCATTTACAGCGAATGTCAGCTATCGCCAGCCAGGGATTGAAAGCGACTGGAATTGGCAGGGAGGGATGTTGAATTCGTCAACAGAACAAGCAAATGAGGAGGACAGGCATCAAGTGATTACCAATGGTTTGAGTAATGGAAAAGATATTCTGTCGGCAATCGATTCAACCTTTGTAGGTAAGAGTGGTATTGGTGATGGGCTCGCCAGTCTGCCAAATCAACAGCAGAATGTAGCGCGGCAAAAAGTTCACGAGGAGTCTAATGTACACCGGCTACGTAATGGAAAGGTCTTTGCAACAGACGCAGATGACAAAGGCATTCGACAAGCAGACAGTTGCCCCTTGGTTGACAGAAGAAGCATCATCCACGAATGGATGAAGCGACCTATTCCGTTATCAAGAGGGTTGGATGCTACTGCTCAGCCATTCCGACCATCGAGAACACAGAGCAGTTTGCTTCCACACGCAAATGCTGTGAAAGCTCCTAATGAACTGTCGGAGCCTTCGAGAATAATCAATGAGCCTCCCCCGCCACACCTGAAACCTCTACTTGTGTACAAATCATCGACGGAAACTGATTACAGCATCGCAACAGCAAGGAAAGTAAAGCTGATCCATATGCTCAACGAGCGGTTTTACGGTGAAAGACCCTTTTTGAGCAACATCAGCATCCTTCATCAAAATGAGGATCATGTTGGTAGCGCTTTGGCCGGCGTCCACGTGTTTATTGATGCATCGAACATTATGATTGGATTCCATGACGCCTTGAAAATGCTGTGGAAGATGCCAAAACAGGCCCGTATCCACCGGCAACCATTCTCGTTCCATTCACTCTCTCTGATTCTTTGCCGCGGCCGACCTACGGCTAAATGCGTGGTCGTTGGCTCGGATAATTCGTCTGAGATGAGCGAAGCAAAGCTCATTGGCTACGAGACGAATATCTTGGACCGTGTGCACAAAGCGAAGGACATCACACCTCGTCGAAAAGGCTATCATGCCGGCAACGGCACGCATTCAGCTGGTAGCGGATCTGAAACGATCGCGAAGGCGCCAGAGAAGTGGGTGGAGCAAGCGGTCGACGAGATTCTGCATCTGAAAATGATGGAGAGTGTCGTTGACGCTCGCGAACCTGCGACGATGGTGCTGGCAACCGGAGATGCAGCCGAAGCCGAGTACTCAGGCGGCTTTTTGAAGATGATCGAGAGAGCTTTGGGAAAAGGGTGGAAAGTGGAATTGGTCTGCTGGAAGCAGAATATGAGTTCGGCCTACAGGAAGTATGACTTCAGGCAAGCGTGGGGAGATAACTTCAAAGTTATCGAGCTGGATGAGTTTGTGGAATTGCTGTATGGGGCATGATGAATTAAGGGTATTGACGTTTTAATGTTTCATCGTTGAAGATGTTGCTCTACTCATCTATGTGTATAGAGTCCGAAGCCTTTATGGAAAGAAGAGGTATGGACGTCACGGTATGGATGGCGATAGCTTCAAGGAACCCAAAAAATAGTCAAATGGACCGTACCGCCTCCTTCTTATTCTACCATTTTTGCATTTCTGTGATATTTACAGACGACGATAGGAGAGGACAGCGGACAATTGTTCTGCCGACCCTGGATGCCCCTTCGGCACCGATTTCCTCGACAGCTTCCTCTGCTCAACACTCCCACGCAGCCATTGGGGGCTTGATCTGCCTTCGTTGAACGTGCAGAGGCTTTCAATATGTGCTGCGACGGTACATTTCTTAATATGCGAGCCTCAACCGGCGAATGATCCTCCCTTGCTTTCTCAATGGCTCTTGAAAAACCATCGCGACAGCCAGCCTCTCGCAAAGAAGCGATTCTAAGCCGACGTGAGATTGAACACATGATTGCAAAAGGCCACACAGTCTTCATCACGAGTGGAAGGGTCATAAAGGCAGATGCTTGGCTCAGGTTTCACCCCGGAGGAGACAAGGCCGTAAAACATATGGTTGGCCGCGATGCCACAGACGAAGTTCATGCGTACGCACTGGTCATTGATGATTTGGAGTACCGCGACTGATCGGCTGAGGCTTAGGCTCCATTCCACACAAACCCTCGAGTACATGACGAAATATCAAATTGGCCGTATCAACGGCTATTGGAGAAACTTCCTCCCTCCAATTCAAGGTGGAGCGTTCAGAACCATTGATGAGGCGGAGGAGGCTGGTGAGGAGCAACGTTTGCAGTATGCGGAGAGCTCGTCCAGTCAAGGTAGCTCTCCCCTTGACTCACCACTGTTTGATCCCGTGGATCAAGACGAAAGTCGAAGAAGAAAGAGGCATCTTAACGACGATGAGACTTCGTCGATTTCTTCAACCTCCACGATGGAATTGACTCCGCTTGAGATGTCCAAGAACCTTTCACACATGGACGTATATACCCAGGAGGCCATTGACCTTGACCTCGCCAAATACCCACCCCTCGATGCTGCAACACAGAATGTTATCGTGCAAAAATATCGCCTACTTCAACAGCGGATCCAGGCCGAAGGTCTATACAAATGTAACTATACTGCATACTTGATTGAGTTTTGTCGATATGTTCTACTCCTCGCGATGTTTCTCACGTTTCTCCACTATGGTTGGTATGGTACGAGTGGTGCTTTCCTCGGCCTTACTTGGCATCAACTGGTTTTCACCGTTCATGACGCAGGTCACATGGGCATCACACACGATTTCCAAACAGACACCGTTATTGGCATGTTGATCGCGGATTACATTGGTGGTCTAAGCCTTGGCTGGTGGAAACGTAACCATAATGTCCACCACGTTGTCACAAATTCACCAGAACACGACCCTGACATAGAGCATATGCCTTTCTTTGCCATCTCACACAGATTTCTGAACTCCTTACGAAGCACATATTACGACCGTATCATGACTTACGATACAATGGCTAAATACATGATCCGCTACCAACATTTACTCTACTATCCTATACTACTGCTTGGTCGCTTCAATTTGTACCGCCTGAGCTGGGAATTTCTTATACAAGGGCAGGGACCAAGAAAGGGACCAGCACGCTGGCACAGGTGGTTTGAAATTGCAGGTCACGTCTTTTTTTGGTTTTGGTTTGGTTATCTCGTTCTCTATAAAGCGATACCTACTACTGGCGGCCGCATCTCGTTTCTACTAATTAGTCATATGATCACTGGACCTCTGCATGTACAAATAACGCTCAGTCATTTTGCGATGAGTACGGCGGATCACGGTGTGGACGAGTCATTTCCACAAAAGATGCTGAGAACGACGATGGATGTGGATTGCCCCCAGTGGCTTGACTTCGTCCATGGAGGCCTGCAATTCCAGGCTATCCATCATCTGTACCCGAGAATACCACGACATAACTTGCGCAGGACTCAAAAACTTGTACAAGAATTCTGTCACGAGGTAGAAATACCATATGCTTTGTATGGATTCGTCGATGGCAACAAGGAAGTTCTTGGTAGACTCGCGGATGTTGGGCGACAAGCAGCCATTCTTGCGGAATGTCAAAAGACGATTGCGTCTCAGGGCAATATAGCTATCCATTGACTCGAGGATAGAGGATTGCTGCTGTCGGCCCTCGTCGGGCATGATACACACAGCTGTTTATCTCGAGACACAGACTTATAAATCCTTCAATTCTTGCCCAAAAAGACGAAACTCTCGGGGAGTAGGACAATCGAGATGGGTTCTGTACGAATACAGATAATTCATCGACCATCTAATGTTGACTCCATGGTTAGGCTAGAAAGCGCACCACTAGCTACCCTACAGCCCCATTTTACAATGTTCCTGTCGCGTTTGCTGCTGGCGATGTTACTCTTTTTCATTATTGTCTTCATGAAATATTGTAGACTAGTGGCCATACGGGGCATCTCCTTGGGTTGAAGAAGGACCTCCAACAATGACGTCTCGGAGCGTTCATCACCATGTTCATGCTGTGTGTGGATGACGATGGTCGTGAGCAGAACTTCAAGGAAAGTTCTGGTCTTTGCGTGCAAATATGTCAAGTTCAGGACTTTGAGTACGCCTAAACTTAAGTTGCCATCCGCAATGAGGATTCCAAACATCCGGGCTAGGTTGACTACGCTGCTAAGTTCGAGTTTGCTCCCCGACTCTCCTTCATCATCATCACTCCCATCACTTCCATGCTCATTCTCGCCAAATTGTTTGAAAAGATCCCACAGGCTGAACTGGAATGCCTTTTTCAACTGAATGTCCGAGCAAATTCGTTTCGAAAGGAAAGTATAGTATGGATTGTAGACTTTCTCCGCACCAGCACACTCGACAATCACCCTTGGAATTTCCTTCTCCTGAATTCGTTTCAACTTTAGTTTCTTGAGACGCAAGAATGCATCATTAGGATCCGTAGCTGACATAGCAGCCACAAATACCGCTCGTCTAACGTCGGTATTCATACGCAGAGATTTTGAAAGCTGCATCAAGTCCACTGTACCTTTACTCGTCGTGTCTTGGACAGTTGCAGACCCTGCATTTTGCTGCTGAAGGGCGCCCTGTGATCCTGTGGCAGGGTTATCGCCCTTGTAGCTTGCTCCTACCAGCCACCACTTGCCTTTCCGTTCACGATTGCGAATGTCTTCTAGTCGAACGCCTAGAGGCTCAAAGGCTTTGACGCTTTGTTGGTTCAATGTGCCTAAAATCCGCTTCATGGAACTCGTATGCTCGGCGGTGATTGATGCGGCGGATTTGCCTGTCTTCAATTTGTGATTCTTAAGATTATCGATAGTCTCGACCATAAATCGAGTCCGTATGGAAAGCGTCTGCTCTCCTAACAGTGACACTTGTTCGTGCAACTGAGCTGCAATGTCTCTCAATGCAGATGGATCGTCGTATTTCAGTTGTTGTCCCGCAATGCGTACAATCCTTAGAAGAAGCTCTGTATTGTGCTCAGACATGTCGCGCAGGCAGAGTCTGACGTAGTCGAAGATCAGACCACTACCAATGACTTGAAATACATACATTTCTGCAAGTAGGCTTATCAAATTAGTTGTCTTCTTACTGCCCGACGCTGATTCCGTGTAATTATCAAATGCAATTCTAAACTCGTCATCAATACTCATGAGCATTTGTGCTCCAAAGTCTGTTCCCAATTCTTTGTGTAATGCAGCAATGAAGCCTGAATGGAGAATTATATACGTATCCTGCAATACCGAGGCGTCTGCTAGCGAGTCTAGCAAGAGTCGAATAAGTGTACTAGAGACATACTGACGGGGGCTATTTTGATACAGTCTCCCGACTTCACTAACGATAGATAGAACGTTAGATTCCGAAAGCCGATTTAACGATCCTCGAAGTTGCCGTTTCAATCTTCTTTCATCCTCCGAAGGACCGTCATGAGATGTCCTTAGCGACGGTGGTATGTATTTGGTCTTTTGAGAGATTACTCGACCTTGGGTGGGGGCAACGTAAGGGTTTTCACGAGTTGCTCGGGGCGTTCGGGTTTCGAAAGCGATTGTGTTAGCCTCAGATTCGTCGGTGTCGCCAGACAGGATTTCTCTAGCGTCCAAATCATTGTCATTCTCATCAGCGTTGCTGCCAAAGCCGCTGAACTCAGATCCATCCACAGTTTCATTGTTGGCAGCAACATCGTTAGGATACTTGGACTGGCGATAACCAACTTCCCCTGTTTCCGCGGCGTCATCTCGCTTTCTTTTGCCCAATCTGGTTCTTTCAGGAACCCCTTCCAGTCCCTCCAAAAATTCATCCAGACCGTCGTTTTCAAAGGCTTTGGAGTGTCCTTTCTTGCCGCTTACACCCAATTTTCTCTCAAGTGCTTGAATTTCGGCGTCATCTCGTGATAGCCGAGTTTTAGCTTTACCTGAGATTGAGCGCAAGTTCTCTCGATTGAGCGATGGGGTTCTCTCTTTCTTCCTCACAACAGCCGCCTCGGAATCAACCCTTGATTTCTTCTGAATCGATCTCGAATTGCCTTGACTGACATTGTCGGCATCCTGATGATAAGAGCCTTCGATAATAGTGACGAGAGTAGATCTCTCATGCGTGAAACCATGACCGTCTTGAATCAAGGACTGAGCCTTCTTAGGAGCCGTTGATCTCGCATTGCGCTCATTCCGTCCTGTTTTTCTCTGGTCTTTACGCTTGACATGTACACCAAGTTGCCTTCGAGGAAAGTGTGGTTTCTGAGATGGAACTCCAATCTCCTGGAGCATGCTCTTTGGGAGCTTCGTAGTGTCATAAGCAGCGTTACCCATTACCCACGCCGCATCCAATATTCTTTGCATTTTTTGATCCTCAGACGTATCAATATCTCGGATTTGACGGACTTAGTGCCGATAAGATAAGCGAGTGCCAAGATTTCCTCCCGCACCTCAACTTCGAAGTCTTCACTCAACTCGCTGGCTTAAACACTTCTCACAGCAGCCTTTCATCACCTTACCGAACCTCGTTGTTCAGGTCTTGACTGGCGCCCTTGAAAATTTCCTTCGCAAAATTGCAGCCATCGTCACTTCATACCTGGGTTCCTAAATATGTCATTCCAAAAGCCTGAAAAGGATCATGGGGACGGGCCAGTATGAGGTCCTCAATCCCAATTTCACAGACTGGCTAATGACATCCATTCGTAAGAAAATTCATAAAATACGTATCACTCTTACATCCCGTAAGGTCAAATCGCTGGAGAAAGTCTGTCAAGAGTTGATAGACCGCGCAAAATCCAAAGACCTGCGCGTTAAGGGTCCTGTGCGCCTTCCCACAAGGAGCTTGAAAATCTCAACAAGGAAGACGCCCTGTGGTGAGGGATCGAAGACTTGGGACATGTACGAGATGAGGATACACAAGCGTTTAATCGAGTCAGTCCTATCTACACTCACCCAAATGATAAATAAGCCGGACAAGATTGTGACAATCTTGCGTGGTCATTGTGCTGACTTTACTAATCTTGCAGTCTCAATGCTCCAACTGAGGTTGTTAAGCAGATTATCATCAACATTGAGGCGGGTGTCGAAGTTGAGGTCACCATTGCCGCTTAGAGAGAGCGAAAGTCGCTAGAGGAGGGAAGCCAGGTAATACCATGTATTCATACGAGAAATCATGCGACTGTGAGTCGCAGACCAACTACTGTATCTGAGCCTCGCATGTCTCCTTCCAAAATCACCCAAAGTCAAAGATCTGCACGAAATGCTCTTTACACAGTGCTACAGATTCCAATCGCACCATTCTCTCTTCGGCGGCAATAAGGGCATTGCACCGTTCTGAAAGTCTCCGCGTGTTTTCAATGATGCATAGATCTCCTTCGTCAAGCCGTCATAAACCTCATCAGCTGGGTCTATGACATTGACAAAAGTCGGCGCTCCATCAGGGAACCAAAGTCTCTGCCAATTTCCGTCGTTTCCTCTGTAACATGGCTCACTATCGACATACGTCACTGCTTTACCATTCCATCTTCGCACTTTCCCCTGGCCATCTCTCTCGACATTGACTGTCGATGTTGGCTTAGCGATGTTCGTCGAGGTCCCAACCCGCCTTGGATCGTTTGATATGCTTTGCTGAGCTATTGAGGTCTGGTTGATGGGGCTTGAGGACGCAATTGAAGTTTGTGGGAGAGTCTCTATGTTGTTGGAAGCCTTTGCAGCAAACGGGTTTCCAGTGGCCGCTTGATTGGTAGCAGCTCCTCCAAATGTGCCATTTGAAGAGGGAGCTTGCGATTGACCGAACGGCGAGCTTTGGAACGAAGTTGAAGCCGGCTGAAATGGGTTGGCTTGCTGCATATTAGTTGAAGGAGCCGGTTGTGGGAAACCAGCCGCATTCGAGACGGACGGTTGCCCAAAGGTCGGAGCAGAGTTCGTAGTTTGACCAGGTGCTGTGGCTGATGGCCCAAATGACGTCGTAGGTCGGCTGAAAGTGGATGTCTGACCGAATGAAGGCTGTCCAAAGGCGGAAGCAGCTGACCCACCGATATTAGACAAAGGCGCTGATGGTTGTCCAAAAGTCGAAGCAGATTGTCGTCCAAATGCCGTCGGTGCCGAGGGCTGGCCAAACGCAGGGCTCCTATTCGAAGACTGTCCAAACGAAGAAGCAGTTTGTGATGGCACAGATTGATGTTGATTCTGCGGTGAAATGATTCCTTTGGCCTTACAAATGTCGATACGATTTGGATGCTGGTTTTCGCTATCAATAAGGTATTTGAGAGCACCTTCAACGTCGTCTAGAGCGGCTTTCATTTGCATCTCTGCGTTGTGAACTAAGACCTGAGCTTCTTGCATGGCCTCTCGAGCTTTCCCTTGTGCGGCTAGATGGTAATGCTGTACACGAAGCTCCTCGAAGGACTGTTCCCTTGGATAGCCGCCGAAGAGTTGTGATGGCGTATCTTTGCCTGGTGCGTACGCAGACAGTATCCATTGTGGACGCTCGGTAGAGAGATCGTTTGCAAGTGTGGTCTTATTTAAACTATAACTAGAATTGGTATCAGCAAGTACAGGGATTGATTAGCTTGAAGTGTCTGCTGACGGTAGAGGTTGAGAATCCTTGGCGGAGTGTCCTGGAGGTAGTCATCAGCCCATGTTGAACGAAGGCCCGCACAACAAGGTGAAATTATACCCAAGCGTTGCGAGACTGCTTGAATTCTCTATTGCCAAGACTTCGAGACACTCGGGCGTCTTTCAGCATGGGGAGAGCTTGAGATTATGTGCAAGAAAACAGAAATTCTTGAAGCTTACCTTGACCTCCGTGTTGACTTGGTCTGGTGTTTGCGGAATGTTGGAGTGGAGCGAAAGGGTTTCTAGAACTACCAGACTGCCCTCTACTAGGATGCTCATTCTTACAGCGATCTGACTATATGATCAGTTCTAGGTTTTGGAAATGTCGAGGGACAAATGCACCGCCAAATTTGCAGTTCCCTGACAGATAGAACCGGCAGACAACCATTGTCTAAGATGTCCGATAGCAGTGGTACTTCGTGCTTTCATGCGATATCTGATTGCGTGTTTCGAGAGCCAATTTTCCCGTATTTCAGTCCTACAATTAGTTGAATATTGGATCCCAATTATTTGTGAGCATTTAACTAGACTGCCACCTCGGTGCATTTGATATTGCAAAACGACCTCAATACCCCCTCCCAAAAAAACTCCGCTTATATCCGACATTGTTTACTTTTTATGTACGGTCGAACTCACATCACTTGTCGCGACAATTGCATTCGATGAATGACTAGTCACAACGATGTCATCGGCATCTCCAACAAGACCATCGAGGCGAGCAGCTGGCAGGAGAAAAGTTGTCATTGAAGAATCTGATGAGGAGAACAGCGCCGTTGTTGTTGACGAAGAGGACGAAGATGATTTTACACCAGCGCCCCAGCAGAGTCCAAGGCGTCAAACACGGCGCAGAGCTACCGAGACACCGGAGACTCCTCGTGCAACAACACGCGCACGACGCGCAAAGACTGGAGATGATGTAGTGCCGTCTCAGACCCTACACCCGGCCAAGGAGGAGCAGTTGCCAGGTTCTCCTACCAAGAGAGCGTCACCAAGGAAGCGTAAGAGCGCTGCACCTACCAAAAGAGGTCTTCCCCTTGAAATCAAAGAGGAACCTCCTCATTTACCAACACCTCAGCCGTCTATAAGCCCAGAACCCGCACAAATGCGTTCGGCGCCTTTGGCAGACATTACATCTTCGGTGAACAACGAGCAAGGGCCTTCTACAGATAGTCAGAAGCCCTTTATTCCAATCAAGCCCATGAATGCTGTTCTAGAGAAGCCCATGGACATTGTAATTAGATCAAGAGCATTAGCAGCACCTCCAAAAGAAGAAGATATTGGACCGAAGCCAAGAATGGTCATCAAATCTTTGACTCTCAACAATTTTAAGAGCTATGCTGGACGGCAGGAAGTTGGACCCTTTCATGCTTCTTTCTCTTCTGTCGTAGGGCCCAATGGCTCTGGGAAATCTAACGTCATTGACTCGCTTCTTTTTGTATTTGGATTTCGAGCAAGCAAAATGCGGCAGGGCAAGATTTCTGCGCTAATTCACAACTCGGCGGCCTTTCCTGATCTAGATCATTGCGAAGTGGCGGTCCACTTTCAAGAGGTCATGGATATTGTGAGGGTCCTGTCCCCAAGAATCCTGAGCTTACTGCTAATCTTTCATAGCCAGGAGAATGTCACGAAGTATTAACAGATGCAGACCTGATAATCTCGCGGAAAGCGTTCAAAAACAACTCAAGCAAGTACTTTATTAACGGACGAGAATCAACATTCACCGATGTTACTAGCCTTCTGAAAGGAAAGGGAATCGATTTAGATCACAAGCGTTTCTTGATTCTTCAGGGTGAAGTTGAGTCCATTGCTCAAATGAAACCAAAAGCAGCGAATGAGCATGACGATGGCTTGTTAGAATATCTTGAGGATATCATTGGCACCTCCAAGTACAAGTCGCCCATTGAAGAATCAGCCACTGAGGTCGACACATTGAATGAGGTATGCACAGAGAAAAGTGCGCGAGTCCAGCATGTCGACAAGGAGAGAACAAACCTGGAAGACAAGAAAGATAAGGCTCTTGCTTTTATCAAAGATGAAAATGAGCTAGCTTTCAAGCAGTCTGCTTTGTATCAAGTCTACACTGGCGAGTGCGAAGATAATCTCAAAGTGACAGATGAAGCGATCGCAGATACGCAAGGCCAATTGAACGCAGAATTAGAAAAACATCAAGGGAATGAAGATGGCATCAAAAATCTTGAGAAAGCTTACAAGCAGGGCTCAAAGGAACTAGAACATCTTCAAAAGGCCACCCAAGCGGTGCTCAAAGAGATGGCCAAGCACGACAAGGAGAACGTAAAATTTGAGGAGAAAAAGAAATTTCTGCGATCGAAGCAAGCTAAACAGGAGAAGTCTTCTCAAACAAGTCGACTTGCTACTTCAGAAGCCACTAGCTTGATCGAAAAACATTTCGACGACATAGAGCGCAATGCGCAAGACATTGCCCGTATGGAAACTGAAATGAGCACAGAGGAAAAGGAGTTGGCTTCTATTCGGGAAACTCTGAAAGGGAAGACGCAGACCTTTTCGGAGCAGATTGCTTCCAAGCAAAAGTCATTAGAACCGTGGAACGAAAAAATCAACCAAAAGCAGTCTGCAATCGCCGTTGCACAGAGTGAACTTGACATTCTCCACGAGCGAGCTTCTGCTGGAAGCATCGCAATTGAAGAGGCTCAGGCGCGAATTGAGTCTTTGAAAACATATCTAAAAGCAAAAGACGCAGAGGTCAAGCAGCTTAAAAACCATAAAGCTCAGGTCGAAAAGGATGAGTCGAAAGTTCAAATAGACCTGGACACGTTAACCCAGCAAGAGCCTGAGATGAGATCCAGATTGTCGGGCGCCAGACAAAAAGCTGATGAAGCAAGAGCGAGCCTGTCGAGCACACAGACTCAAGGAAATGTCCTGAACGGGTTGATGCGTCTCAAGGAATCTGGTCGTATTGAAGGATTCCACGGCCGACTAGGAAATTTAGGAACTATAGATCAGAAGTATGACATAGCGATCTCAACGGCCTGTCCTTCTCTAGACAACCTAGTGGTGGACTCAGTCGATGTTGGTCAGCAGTGCATCGATTACCTGAGGAAAAATAACTTAGGCCGCGCCAACATTATTTTGCTTGACAGGCTCGCGAAAAGAGATCTATCACCTGTTGAGACCCCAGAAAACGTGCCCCGGCTTTTCGATCTTGTCAAAACAAAGAAAGATAATTTCAAACCTGCCTTCTTCAGCATTATGCAGAATACTTTAGTTGCAAGAGATCTTGAGCAGGCAAATCGTATCGCGTATGGGGCAAAACGCTGGCGTGTCGTTACGCTCGACGGTCAATTGATCGATGTATCCGGCACAATGAGCGGCGGTGGCACTCGCATAGCTAAAGGGGCTATGTCTTCCAAACTGGTTGTTGAAACCACCAAAGAACAAGTCTCAAAATTGGAAGTGGACTCAAATCGATTAGAGCAGACATTCCAAGAATATCAACAAAATTTGGCGGCCCTTGAAAGCTCACTAAAACAGCATCATGAGAAGATACCCCAGCTAGAGACCGCGATACAAAAAGCAGGCTTAGAATTTGAGAGCGTCAAGCGTAATCTCACGGACGCTGAGCGTCGGGTAAGCGAACTAGCAGCAGAGCAACCATCAACCCATTCCGAAGACGCTCGTGTTTCGGTGTTGGACCAAGAAATCGCTAAGCTTGAGAGGGAACTTAAGAAACTTCGACAGGAAACATCGGGGCTGGAAGGCGAAATCCAAGAACTTCAAGACAAGATTATGGAAGTTGGGGGAGTTCGGCTAAGGGCACAGAAAGCGAGGGTAGATGGTTTGAGAGAGCAGATTGATATGTTGACCGAGGAAATATCGAATGCTGAAATAGCAAAGACGAAAGCGGAGAAGCAGAAAACTAAACACCAGCAGGCGTATGAAGACGCTAAGAAAGAGCTTGCCGCTGCCACAGAAGAACTAGAGAGTCTTGGGAACGAAGTCAAACACCAGGCAAACGACGTATCACATTCCAAGCAAAAGGCCGAGGAGGCGCAAGACGCTCAGAGTACTAAGCAAGAAGAGCTCGTGGCGTTGAAGCAAGAGCTTGATGAGAGGACAGCAGAGTCAAACGAGATCAGGGCCATAGAAATAGAGATGCGGAACAAGCTTGAAGAAAACAACAAAGTTCAATCCGAATACCAGAAGCGATTAAGATACTGGACGGAGAAGCTTAGCAAACTCTCAACTCAACAAGTCAGCGATCTTGGCGAGGAACAAGAAGCTGAACAATTGCCGCAATACACCAAGGATGAGCTTGCAGACCTGGACAAGGGTATCCTCAAGGGGGAGATCGCTGCTCTGGAAGAAAAAACTCAGAATGTCAACGTGGAGCTCAGTGTTCTGGCTGAGTACAGGCGTCGTGTAGAAGAACACATCTCAAGGAGCAACGACTTACAAACCGCGGTCACATCACGCGATGCGGCCAAAAAGCGATGTGATGAGCTCCGTAGACTACGCCTCGAGGGTTTCATGACAGGCTTCAGCACGATCTCTTTACGATTGAAGGAGATGTACCAAATGATCACCATGGGCGGAAACGCAGAGCTCGAGCTTGTCGACTCTCTGGACCCATTTTCGGAGGGTATCTTGTTTAGCGTTATGCCGCCGAAGAAATCTTGGAAGAACATCTCGAACCTCTCTGGTGGTGAGAAGACACTGAGTAGCTTGGCTTTGGTATTCGCTCTGCATCATTACAAGCCCACACCCTTGTACGTCATGGACGAGATTGATGCCGCGTTGGACTTCCGAAACGTAAGGACCCTGCCACCGGGCTGGAATGTTGATGTATGAACTGATAATGGAGTAGGTCTCTATCGTCGCGAGTTACATCAAGGAAAGGACGAAGAATGCACAATTCATCGTCATATCTTTGCGGAATAACATGTTTGAGCTAGCTTCCCGGCTGGTAGGTGTATATAAAGTCAATCACATGGTACGTGCATCCTTAGGCGCAATGCTTATCAATGGATTGCTGACAGTCGACGTAGACGAAGAGCGTGACGGTTGAAAACAAGGATTACCTTCACCGACGATCTCGATAATTTTTCACGGGCACGTGGAATGCTGCTTTCCTTTATAATTGGATGATATTGGATCACGACGCCGAAGCTGTAAATTGGAGAGCTCACAATACAGATCATCGTTTTTGTTCACGGCCATGGTCATGTCTATGCGCCTAGCGACGCTTTTGACGGTTCTCAATGCCAAAGCAGGACATCCGAGCTTTTCCCATCAGCAGGTATGGTTGCCATCACGCCGGCGAAGTGCGTGTCGAACAAATCATGACCGCACTCCGCATAAATGTATTGTCTTCCTGATTGCCCTCGGACGCTTCTGCCATTGCGATTGGCTCGCTCACGATTTTCTCTCGGGCGCTTCCTTCTTTACCTTTTTCTTTTTCTTTTCTTTTGCCTTTTTTCGATCTCGCTTCTTCAACCCGGACATTCCCACTTTGCAGATCTCTGCATACTTCACGTAAAAACCTTCCAGGTCATCTGACTGAACGATTGTCGACAACTTCAACTTGATCCTCGTCTTGTCCTTGCCATTCGAGGCGCGAAATATAACTGGCAACGGATGCTCTAGGTGAAGATCTGGGAACGGCGATGATGGAGGAAGAGGAATGTCGGTTGCTTTTGCGGGTAGATCAGGTGGTGACACTGCAGTCAACACGTTGGGTCAGAGAGAGTCCATCGAATCCGACATATACTCGCATCGCTTTTGGGTTAGAGTCACTGAGCCGTGATTTGCAATGCGTGTGGAGTCGAATAAAGCGGAAAGACGAGTAAGAAACTGTCGATATTAGTAGACTGAAGTAAACGCAGATTCGAAAAACACTGACCTCATCCGTGCTGAGATGAGTGTCGTGCATGTCTGAGGAAAAAGGATAACAAAGACAGAATGCAGGTCCTGGGCTTTGTGATGCTGTGTTATTTAATGCGATACTGTACAAGCGGTAATCTATATAATGTCAAATTACATCCTCGCCGATCAGACAACATCTCTTCTAAATCACAGATCTTGGATTGCGATATCCCACCTACACGATATCTCGAATTACTGAGCGATTTGTGCCCGCCATTCCGGAACATGCATGGTCTCAAGAGCGCCTAATTTGCAGCGCCTTCCGTCAACAACTTCGGGCGTTGCGCCGCTTAGATTCGCTGACAATTGGTCCAAGAATACGTTTGTGAGAGGCGACGACCGATATCTAGCTTGCAATGATGATATGGGTGTTTATGATTCAAGCCTTTCAATTCTCGCTCAGAAGCAGCCGATCAAATGAAATCCCTGCCTTCCTCTGCTTCCATTCTCACAGTGTGTTGTCCAATCAGTGCAGTGGTGACTTTTCAAATCCCTCTACTGATAATGCAGCACGATACCTCAATAGCTCTATGAGGTCGTGAAAAGACGTCTACGGGCGGCTTGCTCTTCAATTCGCCTGAGATCCGTTTTCGTAAATGCCCGTTACGATAATGTGGTAGCAGAGTGTCGAAGACCTGAAGTGTTGAGTAGCATGGGATTTGAGAGAACGCTGAGCAGCCTTTTCCTTGTCCATCGCACTTTCCTAAACCGCTACACCTGAACTGCAGATTCCATCCAGGTATGCCTTGTATCCTTTCGTTCGCTTTAACAAAGTTTTCAGCAGCTGTCTCTGCGTGCAGTTTTTGCAATAGCACCTTATTGATATTCGTTCAGAAAACACCATCACACCATGAACTTCACCCTCATTTTTTCCTTGCTCGTCATCTTCTTCTACGACGCGGTGCCAACCTTATCAAATGAGCAAGTCCAACCCGGTGTTTACATCGCTCCTGCGTTCCCTGTGAACATTAGCAAAGATCCATCGAGTTGGGCGCACAGCACTCCGCTTCTTGCAGGTACACGAACTCTTCTTACGCGGACTCACCGAAACCAACTTGAAGCTCGTGCGCCATCCGAGAGTAGCTTTTGGAGGGGGTGGCCAAACATCCAATACGTCTTTGCTTTGTGTGATTCGCTTCTCATTTCACCGCGCTAGAGTTAACACTGACAGTGGCGATTCATATACAAGCACGGGCTTTGATACGACCGGGACTCAACCCAGTCTGACAAACCCATTGGGCAATCCGACCTATCCAGGGAAAACTTCGTCCGATGGACCGAATTATATTGACTTTTTGACCACCACTTACAATCAAAGTGTTGTGCAAACCTACAATTTCGGGTTCGGTGGCGCACTGATCGATAATACTATCGTTCAATCGCCATTTGGTGCTATACCAAGCTTGGTTGATCAGGTCAAGTCGGAATTCCAAGCCAAGTATGTTGGAGCCCCTCTATTTCCCTGGGCATCGAACAATGCGCTCTTCACTCTGTTCTTTGGAATCAATGACGCCATTTATACGTACTCGAGACCAAACAATGACTCCTTACAATACGCCCAAATCAAATCTTATGAAAACATACTAAATCAGGTATGTTCACTGTGACCACCGGAGTCGAGCCTTTTATAGACAATGCTTTAGCTGTACCAGGATGGGGCTCGAAATTTCGTCATTCTCAATATCCCGCCGGTGGATAGGACGCCTATGGCATCAGTGGCAGGCGCCTTCCTGATAGAATCGCAAGCAAATTGGATCGGAAGGTTTCTCTTCCGTTTGAATCAGCTCGTGATAAATTTCGTCCGTCGCCACCCCGATGCCACTGCCTTTCAATTCGACACAAATTACCTTTTCTCGCTTGTGCTCGACAATCCCTCCCGATTTCCAGAAACGGCTGGCTACCATAACACTACTAAATATTGTCCGGCATATCAACAGTAAGTCTTTGCCCTGTACCCAAAGTTACGACGTTCTTGTACTCAATGCTTCTAGCGGCACTACCAGCATGACGGCTTTCGACCCTACCTGCGGAATCCCAGTCAACGAGTACTTCTGGCTGAATGACTTACATCCTACCTATCCTATGCACAATTTCATGGCATCCCAACTCAGTAAGCTTCTTACGTCGCCAATCTCATAAGGAATGTATTACAAAATCGCAGAATGAATCTTGTACAGAGCTGGCTTATAAACCTAGCATATCAATGCGAGCAAGAACTACCAAGCAAATGTTTGTTAGCGGGCTACCTTCAAAGGAAACGGCTCATCAAGGCTTGCAGCGCTTCGGCCTGAGCGAGATTGAATGGTGTTTGTTGAGCATGATTTACTAGCGCATTGTGCTCTGTATGCTTCAAGCAGAACATAGATTTGTGAGACTTGCGGTGATAAATGAATACCGAGAATGGATAGCGTAGGTAGTATGAGTATTTGATACTTATTAACATTGCGTATTGCCTTTTGCTCTTTCAGACAAGTAGAAACGTAGATGGCCGTCCTAAGCTCTTTACTCTGAGAAGACGATCGAGTGCTCCACCATCCGTGCCCGGCGAACGAGACTTGGGCCGCGAGCCTACCAGGCATGATATTTCCTACACAACTGCAAGCGTTGATCTTTCCAAGCCTCCAATTTGCCCCGATGGCAAATTTCGATCCCAACGCAATCTTGCGCGGGGCACAATTGACTGTAGTAGGCGGTTCGCCTTCGCAAGATCCCTCCTCAGCAAGCTCTGCTGAAACAACCAACAGCAGTTCGTGCTCTTCAGAACCCTGAGCTTTTTAAAGCTGAGGTCTATCGCCATGCCGCCATGGCAGTTGCGGCTGGGATAGCCATTAGAATACTAATTGCTGTTCCCGTATGTGCTTGGTGAAGGATCTGAAATCTAGCGAGAAGGCAGCGACTAAAGCGCCGTATCATAGATCCTTGCCGTCAAAACAACATTATGGTCTTCCTCCTTCGTCTTCGACTTCGATTCTGTTACTTGGGATGATAAGCTCGTGGGTGGTATGGACTTTATTGCCAACTCGGTGCTCCAAGCCCCCATGTTCTTGATGAGCCTTATGCGCTACATTACGCCGACTTTGGATCACATGTACATGTCACGGCTGCCATGGTTACTTCTTTTCAGCTGACACTTCCGGCAAGGTTCATGGACTCTTTGAAATGGGTGGACAAGACGTACTATCAAAAGCACAAGTCCGACGATCCCTCAACTCTACGAGCTACTTATTACACCGAACTGCAGATGTACCAGGCGCACGGCGACACAAGCAAGCATAAGAAACCTTGGGACGCAGTGACTGCATTCTTGGTACGCTTTGGAAGAAGAGCCGCGATCTCATTGACAATCTATGCGCTCTCCTATCTGCCTGTGGTAGGACGGTTCGTCCTCCCTGCTGCTAGCTTCTACACTTTCAATAACGTGGTCGGGCCAATACCTGCGACGGTCATTTTTGGCAGTGGCATTTTCTTACCAAGAAGATACCTCGTCAAATTTTTGACGAGTTTCTTTTCGTCGCGGAGTTTGATGCGCGAGTTGGTATGTAGGACCCACAAGGGAGAAAGCAGGATGCTGATAGCTCAACAGCTGGAACCCTATTTCTCTCGAATTCGCTTTTCTGGAGAACAAAAGAAGCGCTGGTTCCGTGATCGCGAGGGCGTCCTTTTTGGTTTTGGCGTTGGCTTCTACATCTTCTTGAAGATTCCTCTTCTAGGCGTGCTCATTTATGGCATCGCTGAGGCATCCACGGCATACCTCATCACCAAGATTACAGATCCTCCGCCTCCGCCAGCATATGCAGAGAAGTTCGCTGAAAGCCAAGTGACATGGGAAAACAAACAAGAGTTTTTACGACTACCCTTGGGCAATCTGGATGCCAGCAACGTCGATACTTCCGAGAAAAAGCAGGATCCCATTGATACCGCCGGAGCAGGCGCGAAGAAATTCTCCTGAGTAAGACTGTGCCCAAAAGACTGACGAGATGAGGCTAGGGTTTTTCAAAAGAGGGATTGGAAAGCCCATCCGGTACTCAATCGTGCGAGTATACGAATTTGAATACTTAGAGCGAGCGCTCCAAGAGGCCAGTGATTGGCCAATTGATGTGAATATCTTATCAGCGTTCAGTTGCCCGAACAAGCATGTCTACATCATCCACCAGAGCAAAGGTCTCTTGGTCCGCGGGGTCTTCAGTAGCCTTCCGCTGCCCCGCATTACCACTTGCTGCTGCAGCTGCTTGTATTTACTGAGTCCTGTCGCATTCTTCTTCGTGCTTCTCTACCTTGTTAACTGCTCCTGCTCAATTTTGCTTTTGCTCAACCTGACCATTACACAAACTATCAACCCTTGAAAGGAAAACCAGGATTCTCCTTCCAAAATCATCATGGGTCTCTCTGAGATTCGGACTGCTATCAAAGTAGACCTGAAGAAGCCAGCAGATCAGCAAGCAGGCCTACACGTGGGTCCTCAATCAGAGCATGGAGAAGCTCAATGCTGATGCCTGCTCAGAACAGATGGCACCCTGACGGCACGCTTGAGGCGCACTTTATCCCTCTACCCCTGAATATACTGCTAACGTCTTAGGCAGTTCCTTTCGCGGCCAAGATACAAAGTGGTGAAGTCGTCAAGATCGAATGCGTCGATTGGGTAAGTGAAACCTTTGAGCATGTCGCCTCGGACGCCCCAAATGTGCTGCTTGGCACGTCGTTACCACCCGGCTAGAGGAGCAGCTCTGACACGAAGATCTCATTAGACAGGAGGCCAGATCAAGAATGATGATAGCGCGGACGACGTGAAGAACGTTGATCTGACCAAAGTGCATTACCTCACCGGCCCGTTCGAGATTGAAGGCGCAGAGCCAGGCGACGTTTTGATAGTCGAGATTCAAGACGTGCAGCCCTTCCAAGATCAACCCTGGGGCTTTACTGGCGTCTTTGATAAGGACAACGGCGGAGGGTTTTTAGATGAGCTCTACCCGAACGCGTATGCCCCTGCTCTTTCTACTTCTAGGTTACTCTCTCTCCTTTCCGCTCGGTCACTGATTCCATCCTTTCCCCTGAGAACAGTGCGAAGGCCATATGGGACTTCGAAGGGATATACTGTCAATCTCGACACATTCCCGGCGTGCGCTTTCCGGGGCTAATTCACCCGGGCATCCTCGGCTGTGCCCCTTCCCCTGAGATACTCAAGACTTGGAACGACCGCGAGGCGAATTTGATCAATACCACCGAATTAAAGCGCATCGTTGCACAACCTCCACAACCACAGAATGTCCACGCTGGCTCCGCCACAGGTGAGCTGAAAGATAAGGTTGGCCAGGAAGGGGCACGCACGATTCCTGGCAGACCAGAACACGGTGGGAATTGCGACATTAAGAACTTGTCTCGCGGCTCAAAGACGTACCTTCCTGTCCACGTGCCAGGGGCTAAATTCAGTGTGGGAGATCTGCATTTTAGTCAAGGGGACGGTGAGATAAGTTTCTGCGGGGCGATTGAGATGGCTGGAGTGATTACTGTCAAGCTCACGCTTATGAAGAATGGGATGCGGGATCTAGAAATGAAGAGTCCAATCTTCATTCCTGGTCCAGTCGAGCCAAATTTTGGGCCAGGTAGGTATATTACATTTGAGGGATTCAGCGTGGATGAGAATGGGAAGCAGCATTATTTGGATGCTACAGTGGCATACAGACAGGCGACACTAAGATGTATGGAGTATTTGAAGCGATTCGGGTACAGCGATTATCAGGTATATCTGATGTTGAGCTGCGCGCCGATTCAGGGCCATGTTGGAGGGCTGGTTGATGTAAGACGCCGACAGAACAACGTCATGTTATCTGGCCTGCGAAAGTTGTAGCTGACGCTTGAACAGATCCCAAATGCGTGCATGACCTTAGGGCTGCCAATGGATATCTTTGATGTCGACATTTCACCGCTAGGGCCAGCGAAGAAGACAGATAGGGGCGCTTGTGCAGTTGCGAGCAAGTGATGATGCTTTGGATCAGAGGCGAAGTTGTAGATATCTGAATCCTTGGAATATATGGCTGTAAGATTAATTGTTTGAGACTTAGAGTCTTCACTTCGGTCTCAGCCAGCAAGTCCTCCCCCTCGAGCATGCTTCTTGGCTCTTTGGTTCCTTCGGTTGTGATTAGCCCTTGAACCCTTGTTGACATTCTTCTGCTGCGTGGCCATCTTGCTGACGGGGCCTCTTGTGGCTTCCGTCATGTTCGCGTCCTTCGGTCCCACTCCACGACTGCTGTCATGGCCATCAGCTCTGACTGGTGTGTTTCCTCTGATTCCCTCCGCAAAATCGCTATCCTCAATCTCTTCATCGTTAAATTGAGCCTTCCAGGAAGTGCTACTTAATTCGGGCTGCTTGAAGCCTTCATTTGTCTCGTGCATCCTCTCCAAACGTTGCAATTGCTTAGGATCTCTGCTCATCATGATAGCCCAGCCTTCGATAGCTTCGTCCGTCATACCGGTCTCAGTCTTCATCGCTAGCCGCGTCTTGCTTCGCCTAGTCTCCTGGTCCCTCTTGAAGGCCGTTGGATGCGTCTTGTAAGCCTTGAAAAGGACTGCTTGATTTGTCTCCTGTCTAATGTCCGCATCAGAATCCGTAAATGTCGTATCTATAGTGCCTCCAACGTCAGCTACATCATAAGTGTCGTCTCGTTCGTCATCGTCCGAATCAAACGTGGCCAGAGCCGAGAGGATGGCAGCTTTATGGCTAGCTGGCTTCCGAATATCAAGCAATTTATCTGCCGTAAGATCGGCATTCCTTCGACCGAGGTGTAACTGGGAGGCGTCAATGGTAAGCCGGTCAAAGTCATCATCTTCGTGTATGTTCCGCCGAGATGGGAGAGACGGTGGCGTAGAAGTAGAAACATGATTTGACAGGGGTGCTTCTTCGAGGTCCGTGGGAAGAGATAAACTGTCGGCAAACACCTCTTGCTTATCTGCGCTTTGAAGGTAGGAAGGAAGTCTATCATCAAGAAGGTGAGCCGTAACTTGCTCAACGTCATTGTTGTATTCGTCGAGCAGCTTCACAATGAAGCCAGAACCAAGCTCGGGAAACAGATCTTGTATTTGAGAGATTATGCTCAACTTGTGGGCATGTACTAGGCTGCCGGGACGATCAGTGTCTGCGGATAGCACTCTATCTTTACCCTTGTCTATTTTACTTCTATTCAGTCTGCGAGGCTTGTGCCCAACGGCTGGTATGTATGATGCAAACACGTCAAGCAACGGTCGAGCTCGGAGGGTCTCAGCACCCCTTTCGTTTACATAGCGTTTGAAGTACACCTGGAAAGGGGTATCACCAACTACATCCTTCATGAGGGTGGTTGCTTGTATGTTGTAAAGATGATCGAAAAGAACAGAAGATTTAGATTCCTCCAGAGTCATAAGATCTGCCAACAAGCAGTACATTAAGACCACCAGCTTCTTTCGGAAGGCAGCTGATGTGAAAGTCTCATACGCTTGAGATAAAGCGTCAACAAGGTCTGATCCGATCAATAAATATTCACCAAATGGTCGAACAGATTTGACCAGCGCCAAAGTGTTTTCAAGCAATTCGGCCAACTGCGGAGACTCTTTTCCAGTTTCAAGTAGCGAAGTGATTAAGGCCCTAGACTGAAAGATGTTCTTCCTACTGGCCAGTTCTTGCTTTTTCCAGACGTCTTCAAGCAATCTATTCATTACATGACTTCTGCAGTAAAGGAGGGATAGACGAGCGAGGAATGAGAAATCAAGTAGCTGCTCAGGTGGTGGCTTCAGACTTGCAAATATTCTGTGAATTATTGAGAAGCATTGTCTTTTTAGGCTAACAATGCCTGCACTCGGAGGTGCTGCACGGCCTCCTAAAGAAGAGTTTCTCACGTAGGATATCAAGAATTGAAAGATAGACTCTTCTTGCACAAAATTGGTGAAATCTTTGTAGCTCAGCGATAGAAGCCTTCGTGTCAAGATAAGCCACGAATCAACGAAAGCAGACCATTCCTGTGGTGGAACATGCTCCCTGACGCTAAGCGGAGGATATGGAGCAAGCAATATTGAAGCCATCCTTGCCCTCTCGATGTTTGACAACGTCGTCACTAATCACAGCACCACTCGAACGGACTCAGGATGTCTTTGAGACGATCGGCTAGAATTAAAGGATTGAATCTTTTTCTGGTGCACATGAGATGACTAAGATTTCTGCAAGTGAAAGCCGGGTAACCTAAATGCCCAAGGGATTACGGAAAAAAGGGGCACTTTAGATACCAGAAGTAAGTATCATTTTACAGGCTATGCGACTCGTGACATGATCCACCCGTCAACATCGATCTCTCGAAGTCAGAGGACCTTGCTCAATCTTTTTCAGATGGCTGATGTTGGGACCAAGCGATGCATTTCCGCAAGAATGGTGTCGCCTGCCTGCGAAAGTAGCATACTCGCTTGGTCAGACGTGGCTTCGTCGCTATGCAAATGCTCGAGATGCAGGTCGATGACTTGTATCTCATGTTCTATGTACATCAAATGCTTTTCGTTCTCCAGACCCTCTCCGACCATTGATATTTTTCGTTCTGATTTGGCACATTCAATAAGTAAGAGTGGTGTCATTTGATGCGCCATAGACGAGACTTCCAGTCTGCTCAATTCCACGTGGCTTCTCCATTTTCACTATCTTGATCATCAAACCTGCTGATGGCCCGGCTTTGACCTGTCCAAGGGTTCGCCCGTCAGAATTCTTAAAATCGCTACAAACAAATACGAGGTTTGAGGCAGCCATCTGAATGTACGACCAAGAGGTCTTGATTGGCCCTGACTGCGTTAAGCTTAGTTGTATGGCACATCGGCCACTCTGAATTTGGCTGTTGGAAAACTCAACTGAGCCGAAGTCTTTGATCTCCGGATCTGGTTCGATATCGTTTATGGCGGAAAGGCAGTCGTACATGCTCGGGCTGCTGGATCTATTGACGGGCCAGCATCTGAAGAGTGGATGTATTTCACCGAGACTGTCGTCCGTAGCATTGCTCGCTTGAGCAGATGCCAATATCGAGGCTGCTAATACTGAGAGAAGCAGTGAGAAATGCATGTTGAACAATCTGCGATCCGATAATTGAAAACTCAACGTAGAAAACCTTTGGTTCGATGGTTGACTTATGCTCTGTGGTCTTGCATTCGACTTCATAGTAAAGTTCCCTTGTCTGCGAAGAAGTGGTGTTGCTAATCGCGAGGCGCTTAAGCGGAGAGACAGTTGGTATTTCGCCTTGCCTGCTATACTTCGTTGCACTTGTCCACCCGTCCCTTTAAATACTATAATGTCTTAATTTGATCCACGGTCTGCTGCGCTTTTGAAGACAAGATCAGGGCGCAGCACGTATGCGATAGGTAACTAGGACTCTCCTAATCGTCATTGTTGGTATAAAGATGCATGGGCATTGAGTGTGGGAACGCTTGGGAGACACAGGTGATGTTTTCGTTCACGGATACCGCAATTCAACATAGAAGCTTTGCGTGTCGAACTGCTTCCTGAACCAACTCATTTCAAAGTAAACAGACACATGTGGAAGTCTTACACTGCAACGTTGGTTTTCGCAGTTACGCGGCCGCCTTTTGCGAGTGTCTGAAAATTATTGATCAATTGAGAATCCACAGAAGGCATACTCTGCAAAGCTATACGTCTGTCTCCATCGTGAATTGCTTAGAAGGATGCTGTCACGGCACTGAGCGGGCAAGAGATCAAGTACCTCAGTAGAATTTAGAAAACAAATCAGGGGTTTGCGCCAGTCCCTTCATTCTCCTCCGATAATTTGATCTTCTCGTATTCATTGAAAGCAAAGACCGTCTGGAGAATTCAAGAATCGAAATCTGCGGTCCGACATCTTGGGGTTACTGCTTTGGAGTACCGCCCACTGAATAGATCTTCGACGTGGTAAGAAAACTTACATCAGCTATGAAGCCGCTCCTCGTTTGGAACCAGAAGGGTTCATTCTTACTCCTGCTGGTTCAATGGCAAAGCAAGCTCACCTTGCCTTGACCTGCCACCAGAACCTGCAGTGAGGTCTAATCCCGAGTACGGCAGCAGCAGCTGCTGAGATCTGTTACCCGATTGCAGCCTCAAAGTATGACCGAACAAAGATCTCGTGCAATGCCCTTAGACTAAATCTAGGCTATTACCCGATAATATCGAAGGATCATGCTTTCGGCCTGATCAATGTTCTTGGTTCACCGACTGAAGGGCACAAGCGACAGAGTCGGGAAACCATTCCCATGGAGGACTGATACTGACGAGCAGATCCCTGCGTATTCCTCATCCCGAGCCGGATCCCGGATCGACCGAGTCACTTCACATCCTTGACATCCCACTTCCTTCCGCCCACATTCTCTAGGGCTGCATGGATTGGAAACGAATAGAAAAGCCCCAGGGGTATAATGGGAACATCCTGCGTCTTGCAGAGTGTCCTTAACTACTGATACCCCGCCAGTAGTGCTTGAGTGTAAGGCTTCATTCTAACAGTGTCGAATCTGAACCTCCGCAAAAAGAATGGCTCCCGAAGGCCCCGCCAGGAAAAGACCGAGTACGCTTTGAGAACCCTCCCTTTCGTTGCAACGACTAAAGATGGCAGGGACTCAATCTTGTCCACCCCCAGAGCTCCCAAGGCTCGTCGCAGAGCAGCACCATCCGATTCCTTCTACGGACAAGGACACTCCAAGACTCATCGTCGTCCTTTCCAATGCAAGCCTCGAGACCTACAAAGCATCTCATGGGGGAAGATCGGGAAACGCCAGGGACGAGAAATTCTCGCTCCTCAATAGTGATGAACATATCGGGATCATGCGAAAGATGAATCGGGACATCAGCGAAGCTAGGCCAGACATCACCCATCAGGTTTGATTCTCCTCTGATCCCATCCTAGCCGCAAGGAATTGTGAAGCTGAACCAGCGCACAGTGCCTGCTCACGCTGCTTGATTCGCCTGTGAACAAGGCGGGCAAACTCCAGATTTACATCCATACCGCAAAAGGTGTTCTGATAGAGGTCAATCCCACTGTTCGCATACCTCGTACTTTCAAGCGGTTCGCTGGGCTTATGGTCCAATTACTTCACAAGCTTTCGATACGATCGCTGAACTCTCAAGAAAAGCTACTCAAAGTCATAAAGAACCCAATTACCGATCATCTGCCGCCAAATTGCAGGAAAGTGACTTTGAGCTTCGATTCCGAAGTAGTCCGCACCAAAGACTATGTCGCAAGCCTCAGCCCGAGCGAAAGCGTTTGTGTCTTTGTTGGGGCAATGGCCAAGGGCAAGGACGACTTTGGTGACGAGTTCAAGGATGACACGATCAGCATCAGCAACTACAGTCTGAGTGCCAGCGTCGCCTGCAGCAGGTTCTGCAATGCCGTCGAAGACGTGTGGGACATCATTTAGTCCATGAGCTGGATCGATGATTTGTGCAGGTAATTTTGCCTCGCATTTATTCTGCAGCTTGCGGTATGGCTGTTCCCAAGCCTGGCGTACTCTCTCCGTCGCTGAAAGGGCAGCCTTCATGACAACGTGATTAAAGTCGGTTCTGAATCACTAATGATTCACGGGGAGAATTGAGTCTCACCCAGCTTTGGCCCTAGATCGAGCTTCAACATACGCTCAACGTGCTACGAGGTACTCATGAAGCAATCAACTCGCTTCACATTCGATATTCGTATCTGCACAGCAGCAAGGTGAGTCCGTTTGAATAGTTCAGGGCAGGGCGTCTTAGTCCAAAGTTGAGATTTGGATACAAATTACCAACGAATGATATGTCGCATCCCTTGGATAAAATTTACAAGGCAATCAAAGCCGGCATAGTACGGCCCATAGCTGTGCTGCGTGGAATATAGCATCCCCCAAATCATTTGCTACAGCCAAATAGAGGTGACGGCGTGTCAGCCCTTGCTTTGACGTGAATGTCGGTCTCCTACAGTCCAGATTCAGGTAGTGACTGGTAGTGAGGCTGACTGTAGCCCGAATAGCCTAGGGTTCCTCTGCATGCACTAGCTGCAGATGACCTACGTGGCCGGTCCTGCGCTATTTGAATGGACAAAGGCAAACTCTGGGCCTAGGTTGTGATCCCAATCGTCTTCAGGTACCAAGCTATCTTGCAAATCGAGCGAATTATGTCCCACGTGAAAGACTATTGAGCGCTTCGCCTTCGGTGCCTTCTACCATATATATATGATGCAGGTAGCCGGCTTGAAAATGCCCTCCCCGGTTGGAGTTCGGCTTCACTTGAGGAAACCCGTTAATGCCTCTCTCTCAAGTGAATCTTACTGCGTCACACCTCCCCACTTCTTGTTCCTTCTACCTGTCTGCTTTAAGCCCCTTGAACTATCGGTGTCTTGGACAGAGAGGAAGCGACATCGGATTTGGCATCGACAACGTTGAATTCTTCATTCACCAGCAAGCTTCAGAGTAAGTGAAAGGCATTCATGAATATTCACCCTGACCTACAACAGCCAAAGCGTTCATCCTTCCCAGGTTGCTTTCTCAGCTTCGGATCAGCAGTCAGTCGATTTCTTTTATCTGGAAGCTTTGAAAGCAGGTGGCCAACATTACGCCGCTCCTGCACTTCGACAAGACGAAAGCCCTTACTACAGCGCTGCTGTTCTTGATTTGGACCGCAACCAGATCGAAGTCATGTATCGCCAAGACGTTGTTCGCGGATCAAGCAGTGTATTGCGACCATCCGAAGCGCAGCGCATTAGTCAGTGGCAAGATGATGTTGCAAGTACTGCCAATGATAGAGCCTTTCGATATGAGAAAGCTGAGCCACCTCGAATCATCGTAAACAACATATCCGCATCTCCAGCAGTTGAAGTGCACCGCATCAAGGCAGAATCGAGGGACAATGGCGAGATAAGTACTAGAGCAGTCCTCGGAACAATCTTAGGCGCGAGTGCCGGCGCAGCTGTAGCATACGCTATGGCTAGGAGCGAAGGTGAGAGGCCTCTCCGTATCAATGCGCCACGAGTCCGTGCTGTCGAGGCACCACCTCAGCGAACCACACAAGTCATTTACGACTCATCCAAGTCCACATCCTCAAGGCCTCACGCCATCGAACTCATTGATCGTGAGGTAGACGATGTCAGACAGAAGCATGTCGATTCAGGTTCCCGCATTAAAACGATTGCTTCCGCAGACCGATCGAACCATTTGAATCATAACGGGAATATTTCTGGGAGCCATACCGGCAGAACCATCGCCCAAACGAACGGGACGAAGATCATCTCTGGCGAGCCTGACAAACGTTCCTCACCTTCTCGGGAGTCCAAGGCCAAGTCCGCCAGAAACACTGTCAAAAGTGCCGGCTCTCGTCAATCAAATTCTATGCACAAGCAAGGGACAAGCACAAGGTCTGCAAAAGACGTACCACTACCACCGAGTAGAGTCTCCACGAACCTTACGCCTGCGATTCAGCCAGAAGGAATCATCAACGACCTCGCCACTGTCGTTCCGGACGATAGCATCAGTCAGGTCAGTACCAAACAATCTTTCAAAGAACCCTCAAGGTCAGAACACCACCACCATCGATCATCGGGGCACGGAAGCAAGCATGGCAAGCGAAGCAGCCACGGAAGCAGTCGAACGATCAAGCCTTCAGACAGACATGACGGTAAAGCAAGCACACATAGGGGGTGACAGGCAGATATTGCCTCGGACGTGAGACAGAATAATGTCTCTCCTGCTGTAGTGATACTGTAGTATTTCTGTCAGCCTATGTAGACGAAACTTGCTTCAACGATACACAACGCTGGTTTGTTCTGGCCAGAATGATGTATACGACGTACAGTACGACGTAGGAGTTAGATTGCTGTACTAGTGCCGCCGGTGCTTCAATGTTTATTCCCGCATGCACGTTGTGGGGGGCAACTGCTTCACGAATCGATTCTCCCACAGCATGCGTCATGCATGCTACGCCAATAGCAGAACTCTCCACATTGTCCTACAGCCATTCCACTGCATAGAATCATCAGCCCGTTCCTACTTTTGCTTGTGACTCCAATTTCTCCCTTGCCGTGCATGGTTCAGAATGTCAACAATGATTCAGTACCAAGACTAGGGCGAAAATGGAGCCTGCTGTACACCGTTTGCTCAATGACAAGCTCTACGACAAACGAAAGCAAGGCGCCCTCGAGTAAGTCCTTGTTTACAAACTCTTTCAGGAACAGCGACCGCTAACACGCACATTTTAGTCTTGAGAGAGCTGTAAGGGACGCCAGCGCAAATCACGATCATGAAAGAATAGCCAAGATTGTCGATCAGCTATGTCGCGACTTTGCTTATGCGGTGCATCAACCTCATGCGAGAAATGGTGGACTCATTGGGCTGGCCGCGGCATCAATTGCCCTAGGATCCGTATGCCTTGTCACAAAATCTGAGCGATCTAGATGGCTAAAGCAAGCGGCAGGATGATGTTGCCCGCTACCTGAAGGCCATAGTCCCTCCTGTCCTTGCCTGCTTCACCGATCAAGATGCAAGAGTGCGATATTATGCCTGTGAGAGCATGTACAATATCTCCAAGGTTGCCAAAGGAGAGATTTTGATGTTCTTCAACGATGTCTTTGATGCTCTTTGCAAGGTGGGTGGACTTTTGAATTGCTCAAGGCATTGCTAAGGACACCTTAGCTCGCCGCCGACTCGGAGCTCTCAGTCAAGAACGGTGCCGAGTTACTGGATCGCCTTGTAAAAGATATTGTTGCTGAGTCTGCTTCCACTTACGTTTCCGTTCTACAAACACAGGAGCACTCGGACTCAGGCTCGGAGAAGGCATCAGAGACTTCCTCAATTGACTATCCTACCGCATTCTCCCTTGCCAAATTCATTCCCTTGCTACAGGAACGTATCTATGTTATCAATCCGTTCACGCGAACTTTTCTTGTCTCCTGGGTCACGTTACTAGACACAATCCCTGATCTTGAATTGATTTATTATCTTCCTGCTTTCCTTGGCGGCCTGTTCAAATTTCTAAGCGATCCTAATAGGGATGTTCACGTTGCGACCCAAGGTGCCCTAGAAAGGTTCTTGAACGAGATCAAGAAAATTGCTCGAATTAGAAAAGGTCTTGCAGAGAGTCGTCAAGGGCACACCATTGACCATGGGAAGAAGTCTGCGTCCAGCGAGAGCGGTAGTGTACAGAGTGAAGGAAGTCTAGCCAACAACGACTCTGCCATTGCCGATGAGGACTCACCTGCTCCAATGGACATCCGAAATGGCCGTGTTGACGGTGATTGGGTCCCGGGGCAAGATGTGCAAGTAGAATTCTCCAAGATACTGGAGATTTTGGTTGCTTTCTTGGATGAAACTTCGGAGGAGCAGATTCAGCTTACAGCTTTGAGATGGATTGAGAGCTTTTTCGAAATATGTCCGGAAGAGATCCTCGCTTTTGTTCCTCGTTTACTATCTCATGTGTTGCCCGCGATGGCCAGCGGGGCAGATCATGTTCGGCAAGCCGCCAACCGTGTGAACAACTCGCTGATGGATCGCATCGCATCCTTACCTGCTGAGAGTGCGCCAGAGGACGCAAGACCGCCGCCACCTTCCCGAATATCCACGAATACGCTCAAGGAGCCGACGACGGCGACCCTTAATGTCAAAGATATGGACAGCAAAGGTCGTATCACATCTACACCTTCTCCTAAAGTAGCCCCCATCAATGATACTGATGCGGAAGCTAAAAAAGACGACTCTCCTCCGGCTCCTACAACACCAAGGGCAGTTTCACCACTACCACCAGTTCACGTCACAGACCTTGATTATACAGCGGCCGTCAATGCCTTGACTTTGCATTTTCTCAATGAGCACGAAGCAACACGAGTTGCCGCTTTGGCATGGTTGATAATGCTACACCGCCGCGCTCCTCGCAAAGTTCTAGCTACAAATGACGGCACCTTCCCTGCACTGCTCAAGACTCTATCCGATCCCGCTGAAGCTGTTGTAACCAGAGATCTGCAACTACTCTCTCAAATATCTAGGAATAGCGAAGATAGCTATTTCACGTCTTTCATGGTCAACCTTCTTCAGCTATTTGCAAGTGATCGCAGGCTTCTAGAGACTAGAGGCAATTTGGTTATTCGCCAACTTTGTGTAAGCTTGAGCCCGGAACGAATATATAGAACTTTAGCAGATTGTTTAGAGAAGGACGAGGATGTCGAGTTCGCGAGCATCATGGTGCAAAATCTCAACAACAACCTCATCACTGCCCCTGAACTCGCCGAGCTACGCAAACGGCTACGAAATCTGGAGACCAGGGAAGGCCAAGCATTCTTCGTCGCCCTGTTTCGATCATGGTGTCACAACGCCGTCGCCACGTTTTCGTTATGTCTACTCGCCCAAGCCTATGAACAGGCTTATAACTTACTCCAAATTATCGCAGAGCTAGAGATGACGGTCAACATGCTCATCCAAATTGATAAGCTAGTGCAGCTCCTCGAATCGCCAGTCTTTACATGTAAGCTGCCATTTTTACCCTTGCGCCAGCTTATTATCGTATCTAATTTCAGCACCCAGACCTACGTCTCCAGCTCCTCGAGCCCGAGCGCTACCCCTTTCTCTACAAATGCTTATATGGCGTCCTGATGCTACTTCCCCAATCCTCCGCCTTCGCTGCGCTCAAAAACCGTCTGAACAGCGTCAGCGCAATAGGCTATTTGCACGTCCCTCCTCGCCCGTACGTATCCTCTCACGTGCGGCAAAAGAGCACTGAGACTAAGTTCGGTGTCAGTGCGCCTCAGACACCGTCTACCACCACCTTTGATCGGCCCAACCGGCTGAAGTCTAGAGATGAGGGCACTATCAAGTGGGTCGAGCTACTGGACAAGTTTCGAAGTGTTCAGGAGAAAGCGAGAAGGGCGAGCAGACTGCCAGGTCAGATAGAGGGCGGGGAGGGGTCTGACGGGGGACTGGGAGCAATTGGAAAGGAGAAGGAGCTGCCTGATGTGCCTAAAGACCCGTCCAGGCCAACCAGTGCACTGAGCGGTGGGCAGAAGCAGACACCTATGCAACCGCCACCGCAACCAGTGCATAAGCCGAAGTCCAGCTTGAGCCGTCTCGGGAGGTTTGCTGGTGGGGTCGCTGATAGGAACAGGAACAAGAAATAGCGACAGATGAGCTAAGAGTGATCTTGAAAGATTTCTTGTTTCTATAGGGCCACATGTTATGTATAAGATCTGGTATGGACATTGCTGTAGGCTTAGCATGGTGTTGGTGGTCGATAGCCGTGAAATTATGGGATCTTTTCTTAAGATAGATTGATATTTAGCGACATAATGTTGTCAGTCTCTCTTCATAATAGTACACTGATCTACAGTGAGCGAGTAACATTATATTCTTGCCAAAACAAGTAAACTTCGTTAAAGTGCGAGATCCAAAGGGCGTTCAATTGTTAGGAACATTCTGGCTTTCTAACTTGACAATTTGATGTATAAGCCGTAGCAGCTCAAATTTCCATTTGGGTATTGGCATCAGTAGAAAGTCGCCCTTCGATGGGGTGGAGGCTCATAATGTTTCAGCCAGTCCTCTGGCTCTTCCTCAACCATAATACCACTATTTCTATCGGCGGCTGAACTACCTTGGCTCATTGGTCTCTTGCCCGGTGAACTACCTCGTCGGTAGCGAGCCATCCTCGGCTGTATTGGACTCATGGCCGTATATGGCACGCCTAGTTTGTTGTCATCCTCAGTGGCTGCAGGCGCAGAAGAAACCTTCTGCAAATCGAGCCCATAGGCATCTGCGTTTGTTTTCGCTTCCACAATGCTATTGTCATCGGTTGATATGCCCGCCTCCAGTATCGTTGTAGAAGAGCTGACGTCCTCAAAGCTTTGCAACTCCTTCGTCCAGCGACTAGTCAGGAAACGCTTGAGCCGTTGCACAGTGCCAAGATCGTCATATGCAGTATCGTCACCTGGAGTCTTCCTAATCGTCTTATCAGGGTCATTCCATAGTGTGATGAGCCTCCACTTTAATCGGTCGAGTCTGCTTTGAGGTTTAATACCTTCTCGCGGACCAGTCCTCGCCCACAGCATGGGATAGCTAGTAGCCAATTTGAAGAAGAGGTCCTCATATATTCCTCTCTGATATGGCGTTTGTCGCTCACTTGCCAAGGAGTGTTTGAAAAAGAACCAAAGACCTAGGACAAGAGCCATTAGGGGCACAGCGGAGGCAAAGTAATACCGTATGCTTGGTTCGGCCTTGAAAATGTCAACGTTCATGCCGAAAAAAGTGGATATGAATGTCATTGGAAGGAAAATGAAGGTGATCCAACTTAGGCGCCTAGCGAAATTGAATCAGCTTCTCTTCAGAATTTCGGATACAGCATCTGTTAGCTGTCCAAAGAACATGGAATCGAAACAATCAAAGCGGCGGCGTGCCGTCTACTTACCACATGCTTGTGTTGAGTTGCAAGGAGTGCCGAGAGTCCCGAATTTCCACCGATTTGTACATCAGATCGGCCAGGTTTGCAGTAGGCTTGACGAGATCATCTTGTACCAAGACTGTTAACTTATTCATATCGTCCGTACTTTGCTCAAGCCAAATGTCTTGCGGATCGCCTGTTAGTTCTCGTAAGTTGGTTTGCATCTCCCGGGACAGTGCTCCGTGTATGCCAACAAGCCTTTCAACTTTCAACCACATGCTAGAGTTGGACCAAAGCTCGGGCGCTCGACTTTCATCTGCTGGTCCATCATAAATTTTGTCCTCGAGAATGGACACGTGGGTATTGCAAATGTCAAACACAGCCTCCCAATTTTCTGACACACTCTTCCAGATATCTGCCAAAATGATTCTCATGCATTCTAGTGACAGATTATCATCGCTGGATAGATCATGAGATTCTACGCTTAGATAGAATGGAAGTCGGCGCCAACGTGATTCCCACTGTTCGCGAGCACTGATCAGAGTATCCCACGGAGAGTTGAAGGGTGAGTTCTCAAATATGATAATCACGTTGCCATTATCAAGAGATTCGAGGTGCGGGACGTAGTGCTGTGGGTCTGGCCCTCCATTCGACTCGTCATAAGGTGATTCTATACCAGGATAATCTATTGTGTCAACGATAGGATCTTTATGTTGAATGTAGCAACTCTAAACTAAGGTGAGCAACACGATCTGAATACTGAGCAGGGCAATAGACCAACAATTCTTTGAACATACAAGTCGAAACCGTACTTTGGGTTGTCTTCTTCGTCATAGTGATTCAATTCGAACATTTTTTCCTTCAATGCTTCACTCGACCTGTCTTGATACTTAGGACATTTGTAGTATTTCAGGTAGTCAAGACCGAATGAAGACCGGCTTATGCCTGTTGAAGATGAGCATATTAGACAATATCAACGGCGGCACGAGTTTCCGAGCTAGAGAGGAATACCTCTCCAGGGATCATGCGTTGTCTTCCATGTCTTGCCATTGAGATAGGGTTTGCCACCCCGGCTCTCTGGACGCTTGTACTTGACCCATTTACCTAGATAAATTTCAAGTCAGTGCACCGTCAGTCCAATCATTGTTGCGATGCTCGAAAAGCATGCCTCAAGTGTGGAGAGTTACACTCACCAAAATCAGTACCAACCAAGTCGTCTTGGGCATTGATATTGAATTTACGCAATAGAAAGTGCGTCGCCCACGAAGCATTTTGGCAATGTATCACACGGAGAAGTGGTTCACCTACCCGTGCTGGCTACAGAGCATTAGAGCCAGCGGCCTTTTGTAGGTGACGTGAACTAGTACCGTCGAATACAAGTGCCGTAACCCATGTTCTGAGTCGAACTCTTGGGCTGCTACCTTCCGCATCCCCTGTTTGCTTTGCTCTAAAAGATTAGACAGTCTTAGTCGGGCCGAGAGCATGATGTACCCTGTTTGATGTAATCTATCACAAGCACTCTGCCGATCTTGAAACAGTCTGGCCCATCATATGGTTTATACCATTTCAAGCCTGGGCTTCGAGGGCGTCTCCTAGGGTTCTGAGATCTGGAGGGTTTTCGCATTGGGAATTGACTGGCTGAGTAGGGAACCGCCTCGACCTTTGCAGGCTGCACCCCATCATCGTCCACGGAAGAAACAAATATTTCATGGGTAGCTGGATCATCTGCTGGGTGTAAGCATGAGATGTAGCATTTGGATGCTCAAGCTGACCCTTCGGTTCAGATGCATCATTAGACAAGCTCATATTTGGAACGATAGATTAGTAGCTGAAAGCAAAAGAGAAAATGAAGACAAGGCCAGGAATTTCATGGAGATTTGCCATTGATAGGTCTTTTGTAATAGGTTGATGAGCAGCTGTGCATGCAAAGCGGAAATGTGTGTGTATAAAAGGGTACATCGTACACTACTTTAGCGTGAAGCTGCGCAGCGATCAAAAGGTGGATATCCAATGGTCTTTCAGATCATCTCAGCTGAATTTGCACGTGTGTCTACATCCTTTACCTCGTCATCTTGAGGCTCCATCACGCTGCCTTCAAGTCCAAAGACGGAAGGCCTTTCCGCCACCATCCCGCTACGCCGCCATTGTCCCAGCGTGAACACTTCGGCTTAAAGATTAGGAGCTCAGGCTACGTCAGAGTTCCTCAGTTGCTAGACTGCAAAAGTATCGGTGACGACCTGTGCTTGGAAATGGACACGTAATTCCTTGAAAGTTGCAAGCTTCCACTCTCCGAACTGGATTCACTACCTGGGATCCTTCAATATGAATAACCCTCAATCAAACGGCAATCCCCAGCGATTGCCGGATCCCCACACACTACTGAAGCCCGAACACGTAAAGAATGTACTTGGTCTGAGCCCAGAAAACCAGACGAAGTACCATCAAGGTCTCGCCGCCCTTTGGAACACTTTGAACACTAATCCACCCGACAGTCAGAGCTACCAATTAGCTCATGGCAAGCTACATGCGGTAACTAAACAAATAAGAGACATGGTACAAAGGCACAGGATGCAACTGGCCGGCGCGCAGCCAAATGGCAATAGGCCTCAAAACTTGGGACAGCAAGGCATGGCTGGGCAGCAAGGACAAGCCGGACAATCAATTCAGCAACCACCGCAGCAGCTTCAAGCGAGTCAAACCCTTTCACAAAACAATGGAGGGCAGAAACCGACATATTCGGCGAAGGTGATGGAGCAAATCAATAAATTTACATTTGTGGCGCCACCACAGGTGCAAGTCCAGGGCCAGCCCGCTGTTCAGAAATGGATCATCGAGGCCAAAAGGGTCTATGGAAATCATCTGCACAGATATGAATCCGCCCTGAAAGGCCTTGAAGAGCTTGAGATTCTTATGAAACAGAAGCAAGGAACTCTGACAGCTAATGACGAGCAAATGTACCAGAACAGACGACAGGCCTTGGAGGCAAATCGGGAGGACTCTCGTAGGTATCTGCAGAAACTGAATCAGACTCAAAAGGACTTGAAGGATGGTGCTAGCATGGCAGGTGGTGGACCAATGAAGCGTGAACCAAGTGGGAACGGAGGGCAGCAGGTGACTGGACAACAAGAACAACCTGGACAGGCGCATAGTGTCAGCTCTGCTTTGGATGCTGCGCGAAGCCAAGCCGATACTGCTGGAAAATCGGTAGCAAGTCATCCTACAGCGGGGCATGTCACAGTAAATCAGCAGCCGACACACTCGCAAATAAATTCAAGTGTCAAGACTGAGGTTCCGCCGCCTCAACAGCGCATGAATTCAACACAATCCAACGTGCCTTCTAGTGCAAGGCCCGCCGGTCAAGCATATCCGTTGACCCACGAGACTGCAGTGCAACAAGCTCGCTCCTACTCAGACCCAAACAGCCAAAATAATATGAATTCAGCATATCCTCAGAATCCACCACAGAGTGCTACTCATAGCCATCCATCTCAGCAAAGAAATATGAGTAATGAGCAGCAATCTATCCCCAACACTCACTCGAAATTACCAATTCCCAAAGACCTCAATATTCCTCCACCCCAACCAGTGTCGATGGGTCAAGCGCGCCCAACGATGACGAACGGTCCCCATATTGGAGGGCCCATTGGCCAACCAGTGATCCAGAAGCATCCCGGATATGTACTTGAAGGCGAAGGTGAGCGTGTACTCAGCAAGAAGCGATTGGAAGAGCTCGTGCGTCAAGTGACTGGTAGCACTGGCAACGATGGCGATGAAGGCGAGACTATGACAGCAGAGGTCGAAGAGGTAAATATCCTCTAGCTGCTCCCCAAAGCGCTTCTCCTTAAATCATTCTGACACTGCGCGCAGACACTTCTTGAAGTAGCAGACAACTTTGTCGATCAAGTAATAGTCTCAGCCTGCAAGCTCGCCAAGCTACGAAACTCATCGACACTAGAGCTTCGAGATCTGCAACTCATACTCGAGCGCAACTACAACATTCGAGTACCGGGCTTCGCATCTGATGAGGTGAGGGCGGTGAGAAAGGTCGTCCCAACCACAGCCTGGACTCAAAAGCTCAGCGCCATACAAGCTGCTAAGGTGACGGGAGGGAAGGCTGAATAGACATCAAAACCGGGGTATCAGGTTCATGATTACGGAGGGCCCATGGAGAAGGCGCAATCATTTTTGGGGTTGCATTGGCATCTACCGGAGTATGGCTTTTGGAAGGTAAAGGATGAAAGGGCAAAATGATACCATGCATACCGAGACATAATGCCGGTCGGAGTTCGACGATGGTATGTAGATTTAGAGCTATATCCCAACACTAAGGATTCTACTTAATCGATCAACAAGGCTCGATCCGTTCAGAAATGCGTAGTTTCGTGCCGAAGCGTATGCTACACGAGGCTATGGCTCTCTATCCTGTGATGTGGGAGGGTAAAGCAGGCCATGCCTGCATTCGCGCCCAAGCTTGACCTTTTCCGCGGCGTGTGGTTTGCAGAAGCTGGGATGACTTCCAGTACGACTGCTGCAATGGTGTTGATTTATCTTGTACGTAGGCAGCAGCCCAGAGCTAGTTCGATGGCTGGCAAAGGCGAGATATGAGCGATCAGGCTTTGCCCAGCCAATTGCGGCCCCCAGCACTACACCCTTCCCTCTTTGATGTACAGTGGGCTTCAACGTTATACTAATGTTGATTGACGAGGTGAGATCTCATGTGAATCATTACGCGGGCCGATTGACTCAAGCGCAGCGAGGCTCACACAAGGGCTCAATATTTAGCTTCAAGGGAAAAGGGGGAGAGGGGATAGCCACTAACACGCACCAGCCGGCTTGCGTCGGGCTCAAAATGGCAAAAGGAGCCTCATGTTCACAGCCTTGTGTCAACAGGTCCCCTCACTATGCTTCATAATGGCGTAACGCGCCAAGGGCATAGTTCGTTGCTCTTAAGCTCCGTGCCTCCCGAGCTTTACTTCTGTCGCGTCAGGTTTCAATGGCACACCGACCAAACGACAGACCAGACATAGATCAGTTTTGGCACAGAAGAGCATCCGAAAGGCTTCGCGAGAATGATCGCCCTTACAAGAGTCCCGACCGTTTGCAACCACCGGTAGGACAAGGCTCATATGGGGATCGTCAGAGGGCCCATTCCATTAGGTGAGAGTTGTCGCGCTCGTCCAAATATCTCTCACTGACGTTCGATACCTTCTAGTACCCCTGCGTATCATCCCATCAACGAGCAGATGCGCTATGAGCCCCGGTACAACGAGCCTCGGTACGATACCCATCGAAGGGTATCCCAGAGCAGCAGTCAAAGCAGCAGGTATACACCTGAGATGCAGTTGCATCCTCCTCGTGATCGGGAGAGAAGGCATTCAGAGCCTCCGAAAGCCTACCTGGGTCCGGCCCGACCACGATACGCACCCTCTCCGGACATGAGATACCCTCCTTCTCCAGAGATGAGATACCCCACAATTTCGGAGAAAAGACATCGTCCGTCGTCGGATAGAGATTACCCTCCATCTCCAGGAAAGAAACACGGGATGTCTGATAGGGCGATGGGTCCCGTTGCTGCTGGCGCCGCTGGTGGCGCATTAGGGGAGCAGCCATTGGAGGTGCTAGTGTGGCGACGCATGACGATTGTTGTGGTCTTGGGAGCTGTCTCGATTGCGACTCGTGCCTCGACTGTGGAGATTGTTGCGATTTGCTGGACGGCTGCACTTTTTGCGTTTGAGCGATTTGACGTGATGTGATATGATGGGAGGCATACAGGGCAAGATACCAATGGCGATAGGCGAAGCGGTACAAATGAGTTCAACCAGAATGGGAATTGAGATGTTTTTATTCGCAGGCGGGGGCCCTTTCCTTCACAATACGTGCATTTGGTGCATTTGAAGTAGAGCGCAGCTGAGCCTCGTCGCTTCGTGTGCATTTGACGCCAATATGACGCAAAATCTCGAGGTGATCCCTGACAACGAGCCAGATGTTCTGTTCCGCCACTGCACGCATTATCGACGGCCACTTCAAATGTTAGACTGTTGTTTCACGCAACAGATGAGGAGGATGATTCATCTCAGCAAGCCCCCTAGGTCCCTCTCCATTCCACTGACGCGGTCTTCAAGCATGCGCTTCTTCTTTTCGAGCTCGTCGATCTCCTCATTCTCATTCCGGATGTCTTCTTCAGTTACCTGAACTTCTGGCAAAGCACCGTCTAGGTCCTCGTGGTCTTCGTCTTGATCGTCAAAGTCCACGTCATCTTTATGCCTGTTCAACTCGGCCACTTGAGCCGTTTGCTTTGTGACGCGACTTTCATAGCGACTGATTGAGGCATTTAGCTGTTCAAAGCGGGATCGCAGAGACGTTATCCGTTCTGATCCTCCGGCAATTGGATATGCATTACACAGCTTCTCAGCTCCTTTTAGCAAAAGATTGACGTCGACCTCGCCCATTTCCTTTCCTTCCTTGGAGTTCTCTTTGCGAATTTGGTCTCCAAGCTCTCCACCAAGTAAAACAGCCACGGCAGGCTCTTGCCTCTGGCCTCGTGCTAATTTCGCCCCTTTGACGTTGCTGATTGTATTCCGCCGTGGTAGGTACGCATCTGGTACACCTGGAAGCTGATCAGGGGGTGCTAAAGTGAACAATGCACGTTCATGTGCCTCTGTGTCGCGTATCAGAGCTGTAATGTCATGGTGCTGAACAAGCGCATTTGTGAAATTCTTGGGCTGTGGAAAGCTTGGGATCTCCAATTAGTATTGGACTGAAAGACCAAACGATAATACATACGGCAACTCAGAGATTGCAGCAGATGACAACGATATCTGCTCGAGGTGGGTATCGAGCAGTGGCATTGTGTGCCCTCATGTGTTGTTGTACGGTGGCAGAAGGACGCGTCTCGGCTATTGGCTTCTGCGCTTGAAAGCCGGTATATCTCATCACGCTCGCTGCATTTCCTGTCCTAGCCGGAGTCAGGCAGGGTCCTCATACGACAGCCGTTGTCCACCTCACACCGTCATCACATCACCATAGGCTCCGCTACTGCACGTATTGCTGCCCATCGAGCCTCCAGTCACGTCTAAGTACTTAAATCTTTCGTGACCCCCGAGGAGATAAATTAGGTATCGGGCAATTTTGTCGTCGGAGCTCTGGATTTAGCGCTTCCTCCAGCGATCTTCCAGTGCAATTCGATCACCCTTAACATCCTCCATTAGCAGCGCGATATCGGCGTCATACAGACTCTCACACGCATCGATCTAGGTATTCAATTTCATCATCGTCAAGGAACCAAGTTGCAATCGCCCTTGCTCCGTTGCTCGCTCTTCGGCGTTCAAGCTTTTCATTCACAACAACGCCATGCCAGGTGAAGGACGCAGCCTCCGGTCGGGCAAAGACACATCGTCATCTACAAATGGTGAAAAAGCACGCTCAAATTCTCAAAGTTCAAGCTCAAAAGATAAACCTGTACCAACGAGAGCCGCAGCCTCAAAGGGCAAGGCCGGGCCTGGGAGAAAGGGACCCAAGAAAGAGACTTCCAACGATAAGCCACAACCAAACGGCCAGCCAATAGAGAATGGCGTAAATGGTGTTGAAGATGTTGATATGGCTGACGATGGGCCTGGAAAGGATGTAGCTGAAGAGAAAGAAGAAGAGATGACCGTCGTCGTGCCTCCTCCGAAAAGTTCAAAGCTTGCCGGGGAGCCCGGAAAGGACTCAGAAGGCGACGTTGCCATGGATGTTACGGAGAAGGTGGATGGTGAGGATCAGAAGAAGGAACCAGTCGATCCTAAAGTCAAGGCAGTAGCTGGTATGTCTTCAAAACTTGAAAAGTTCTATGATGTCGCATGATCGAATCAGCAGCTTACCTTTTCAAAATAGATATCAAAGCCAATTTCCAATTACTTGAACGAGCAGTCGTCCAATTTGACGCTCGCTTTACCTTGAGGGCTCTTCGATCTATATCATCAGTAAGAAAGCACCTCACGCCCGACGTCCTTGCTCAAGTCATCACCGAAACGTACAATGCCACGAATCCTGTCGCTCAAACCCTGCTTGCTGCTCTCGGAAAAGAGGATGCGCATTTCCAGAGCTCTTCGGAGATGGACATTGACCTGCCTAGCAAAGATAAAGCAGGAAAGTCGAATACTTCACCAAAAGATATACTACCCGAAGTGGACACCTACCTCTCCATCCTCGTGCAGATCTACCTATATGACGAAAAGGCTATCGAGTTTGGAGCTAAATTCTCTAACAGCTTGATTGAGAGATTAAGAACCCTCAATCGTCGTACCCTCGATCCCCTCACTGCAAAGGTCTATTTCTACTATTCGATATTCTACGAGCATCTAAAACCACTACCTCCCTCACCTATGGCGCCTGTTGTGTCTATACGCCCTCATCTTCTAGCTGCCTTACGTACATCTGTGTTACGTAAAGATCAGGATACGCAAGCCACTGTCACTACTTTGCTTCTCCGAAATTACCTTTCAACGTCGCATATCACTCAAGCAGATCTCTTGATATCGCACTCTCAGTTCTCACCTGCCGCTTCGAACAACCAAATTGCGCGCTATCTCTACTATTTGGGAAGGATACGTGCGATACAACTCTCGTACACGGAAGCACACGAGCATCTAATAGGAGCTACACGAAAGTCTCCAGCAACACCAAGTGCACGTGGCTTCTATCAGGCTGCTTCCAAACTTCTTGTGGTTGTAGAGCTGCTTATGGGCGATATCCCCGATCGGGCACTATTCCGACAAGCCAATTTAGAGCAAGCTATGGAGCCCTATTTGGATCTTGTGCAGGCTGTACGCATAGGGAAGATGGAGGGCTTTCTCAACGTTGTCCAGACGCACAATGCTGTATTCAGACGGGACGGCACATATACGCTCATTCTACGTCTTCGCCAGAACGTTATCAAGACCGGTATCCGTATGATGTCGCTTTCATACGCTAAGATCTCGCTAAGAGATATCTGCATCAAACTTGATCTCGAAAGTGAGCAGTCTGCCGAATACATCGTGGCCAAAGCGATCCGAGATGGAGTCATCGAGGCGACCCTCGATCATGAGGGGGCCTTCATGAAGAGCAAGGAGGCTGGAGATGTCTATTCTACGAGGGAGCCTGGCGAAGCCTTCCATGAGCGTATTCGTGCGTGCCTGGGCTTGCATGATGAGAGTGTAAAGGTAAATCTCTAACGGTTTGCTTGATCCGCCCTTTGACTAATATCCGTTCATAGGCAATGAGGTTTCCCATGAATCAACATCGACTTGAGCTCAAGAACGCGCAGGAAGCTCGGGAACGGGAGAGGGAGCTTGCCAAAGAGATCGTAGAAGGTGAAATGGACGACGACGATGGTGCAGGGGGCGACTTCGAGGGAATCTAGGGAGGGAGCCGTCCAAGCTGTGATTTTTGGTGAGGCGACTCCAAGCAACTGAAGCGCCATTCTTCGAGGTTCCGGTGTTGAGCCTTTAATGTAGTATCACAAACCTTTGGCATTTCCCATACACCATGCCTGGGATTAGCAACAGCATGTAGATAGAAGCATCCCATTTGCATTGCTTCGAAACTTTGCACCTTTGCCAAACGGATCCCATTCGTTCACTACCATTCGTAGATACCCATTGCTGGCGGGCATTTACCGCTTTACCCAATTGGGGTATTTTCTCAGTTCCCCGTTGGAAGCGGTCGATCCACACAGAGGCCTTCGTGGTCATCAGAAGTTTGTACTCACCTGCACCTGCCCCAAATCTATCCTATCAACGATTGCCTCTCGCTATTCGCGATCTGCAATTCAGTATGACGAAGCATATTGATCGTAGCCCTCTCCATCCACAATGTAAGCAGCCCCGCGACGAAAGTCTAGAGTGAATGTTGACCGGCACTCAATCAGGATCGATGCCACCATACGGTTGCGCCGTGCCATAAACCTTGCCGACTTATCACTTCTGAAGCGAGTGGTGAAGAACAACCCTCAACATCTCCGAAACCCGGACCTCAGCGACAATGGCAACACCTCACTGCACCTGGCCGCAAAGCTAGGTCTGCCAGAGATTGCTGTACGTGCAATCATTTCACCTTGCTTGAAGGGTCTCCCCTCACTACCAGCATTGAATGTTTGGGGCGTCTCTGAGACGACTGATAGGACTTCCTGATCTCCGTCGGCCACGAAGACGCAGGCATCTCCCGCAATGCACATGCAGAAACTCCTCTGCATCTTGCCATCACCTCTCTCCATCCAGGCGGAGCTGCAGTAGCTCATCTCATCGCCTCGAGGTTCCCGCGCTGCATCCCATTCAAGAATGATGAAGGCATCGATGCCGTACGTTTCCCTCCCTCCTCTCCTCCCATGCACCTCAGTAACTCACGAAATCTCCTGGACAGATCATGCTTGCCTCCCACTCCTCCCTTTCCTCCCCTCCCACTTCGACCCAATTCCTCACATCAGCCTCCACCGCCTTCATAGACGCCCACACTAACCCTCCTAACAATACCACGACCACCGGTCCTATTAAACACCCTCCTTCCACAGCAATAACCGACGACGACCTTCTTCCCCATCTCCTCGCCCAACACCCCTATCCTCTTCCACTTCCCCTCGAAGCTACCGACAGCGCTGGAAACACACCACTCCACCACGCGTCCGCCTGGGGAAACCTAAAAGCGATCCGCACGTTGCTGGAACACGGGGCAGACGCAAGCGCAAGGAACAATTGGAGCTGGACGCCCGTCGCGTATTCGGCTAGTGTAGCTGCCGAGGTATATTTCCGTGGATTAATCACGGCAAGGGATAAAGCAATGGGGATCAGTGGCACCGGCGCCGGTGGTCGTGAAGGAGGTGTGGGAACAATGGGGAGTCCCAGGGTCGGAGCGGCTGCGGCGACGAGGGAGAGAGGAGGAAGCGGAGGGGATGCCAGTGGCGGTAGCAGGGGCAATTCTGGGGGCGATGGGGCGGCTGGCAGGGTGAGAGGTGGAAGTGGCGGGGACAGTCAGCAGGGTGCTATCAATAGGATAAGAGGAGAAAGTGGAGGTGATGGTGGGAGTAGTGGGAGCAGTGGCAATAAGACGAGAGGCGGCAGTGGCGGAGAGACGCAAGCTACAAGGATGAGGGGCGGCAGTGGCGGACGGACGGGTGGTGTCAGGATGGTGAGCGCGGAAGGCGTGGGAAGAGATATGTCGAGTCCAGAAGCCCTGAGGGCGGAAGGGAGGATTAGGCAGGCCATCGTTGACGCTGGAATGAACTTGGATCGATGACCGGGAGCGTACTATGCCCGATCTCTTGTAGAAGACTCATATTCTACAGCTAGTGTGGTACATTCATGACCTTCTTGTGCTATCATCACTTAATGTAATAACCTCTCATGCGCGCACCACAAGCCCTGCTGTATGGTCGAACGACGTGGCGTACTTTGCTTTACCTTCTCCTTGGCTCAAGCAGTAAGTGTCCGGCAGGCTTACGCCCACCGAACCCATCCCCACTAGTCTGACCATCCCACACTTTCTGCCCCTTCAGCCAGGTCTCTCTGACCTTCCCAGTCATCTTCTTCCCCTGGTATGCAGTGACTTTATTTCTGAAGAGCATTCCTTGGCCTCCTACACCCACAACCCACTCTGTCGAGTCATCGAAGATACATATGTCACCGTCGTGCCCTGTTTCCAACTTGCCCTTGCAATGATCTAATCCGACCTGTTTAGCTGTGTTCTCACTGCACCATCTGGCCACATCGACTGGCGAGACGTCACGGTGATTCTCTTTTGCTTCGGTCCAGAGGATTGGGAGACCAAGACCAACAGAGGATACTCCACCCCATGCGGAGAAAAAGTTGCCCAGATTTTCGTTACATATGTCGCCGTCCTCCGACGGTGGGGTGTGCAAGCCGTGCTGAACATCGGCGACAGCGGGAGGTAGCAATTTCAGCTCAGGCGTGCAGGGTGAATGGTCGGACACGATTGTCTTGATGACGCTATCATCTGGTCTAAGTAATTCGCTCCACAGCCCGTCTTGGTTCGATTGGGTGCGAATGGGTGGGCAACACTTGTGTCGTGTGTCACCATGCTGTATCTTTTCTGCGACAAGGCTGAGGTAGTGGAAGCATGTCTCTGCTGTGATTTTTATACCTGCGGATCGTGCTTCTCGAAGGAGCGGAATTGCTTCGATAGCTGAGAGATGAACGATATGCAAGGGAAGAGCTGGTGCCAGGTGCGCAAGAGATATGATCTCCGCTATTGCGTATGTTTCGAATGAACTTGGTCTTGAGGCAAGAAAAGTTTTGTATTCGTTCAAAGGACCGATTGGTGCAAGGGGTGGGAGTGAATGCTGCACGTCGTCACCGACCGAGTCACTAATGGGTGGGATCATTTCGGCGTGGAACATGACTGTTGTCTTTTGGTCTTTCAATTCGTGCAGTACCGCGGAAATATCGGTGGATGACACAGCTGGGAACTCCGGCACACCACTGTCAATGAGGAAGCCTTTGAAGCCACGAACGCCGGCCGCAACAAGAGGCCTGAGTTCTTGAACATTGCCGGGTATGATGCCTCCATAAAACCCAACGTCAACCCAGCATTTTCCCTGAGCAGCTGCGACCTTTTCTTTCAGGCCTGCAATTGTGGTTGTAGGTGGTATAGCATTCAGGGGCATATCGATGACCGTAGTGACTCCGCCAGAGGCCGCAGCTCTCGTACCAGTATAGAATCCCTCCCATTCTGTGCGGCCTGGCTCATTGAGGTGAACATGAGCATCGACAATGCCTGGAAGAAGAATATGGGGAGAGTAGTCCGTATAGTTTGTGCCGGCAGGAAATGCTGTACGCGGGATGACAGATTTTGTGACTGAGGTGATCTTGCCAGTCAGCCGTGAAATAGTGATCGTTGCTGGAGTAAGCTGACTCGAGACGACGGCGCGGGAGGACGCAAGGACTGTTAGCGGAGATTGAGATAAGACAAAGCCGTCACCTTCCGGAGGGCTTGGTGTAGGAGTGGGATAGGGGTTGTTCATCGTCATGTTGTGCCACTTTTTCAAGACTCAAGCAGTAGAGCCACGAATGCTCGAAGGCTTCACGCATCCAAAACAGCAGTTCTGCTCAGTGAATAGGAAACGGTCGCTAGAAGAAAGAAGTCGCGGTCTAATCAACACAAGGAGAACGTGCAATGCATCACGAAAACCAGCGAAAAGCGAGTGCACAAGAAGAATAGACGAGGTTGAGAGAATTGAGGCTTCGAGAGGATCTTCATCATGCATTGGACAAAGAACGCTCTTTGTGGGGTCCCCAGATCTCCTTATCAAAGGACCTTGGAGCTCACCACGCCATACAGAACCCAACGATAGGGCTCGGGCAGAGGGCGCAATAGCTTCCGTGGTGGTGTGGCAGCGGGATGAGTCCATAGGCGTCATCTTACTCGATAGAAAAGAAAAACTCTGTAACGCTGTTATCTTTCTATCTTTCGGTGAAAGTCGCGATCAAGTAAGCTTTTGCTGTTTGCCTCTAACAGTGTTGCTCGTATAGGCGACTAGCGGATAGCGGCAGATAAGGACGTCGACTATTCCGCTTCCGTACCTGCATTGATCTTCACATGGATTCCTGGCTATCCTTGCGTGTTGCGACAAGTGGAAGATATTTCAGATCTCCAGGGATTCGAAGGTAGAAACACGTAGACCTTCAGTAGGAGCCTCATCGAATCGAGCCGTCGGTCGGCAGAGACGTCAACGAAGCTATCTTCGAGCCGACAAGTTGACTTTCAGCCCATCGTTTTGATCGAGTAATAAACATCGAGTAAGCATTACTCGATGGAAAGATATGCCCATGGGTCTTTGTTGAGCATGGACGGTCACGATTCGTTGTGAGCAGGCTCTGACTTCTCTGGCCAGATACCCGGAATTTTGCATCATGTGCATGAGTCTCGTCGCATCAGCCTTCCTTCTTTCGCTTTCGTACTCCACTTTCAATCGGCGAATGCGAGACGTCGATTGGTATGGCTTCCTCTTGCTCCTTCTCCTGCCGCCCACCAACCACCCAAGTCTCAATGATTTCCTTGACTTCCACCTCTTTCTTCGCTTGCGCCTTTGCATCTTGAATCCTTCGTAAGTATCCCGCGTAGACGATCACTTCAGCAATCCCGATGATGCCGCTTCCGCCCATGCTTAGCCCCAGTCGCGATGGAGTGCTCCAATGACGAGCAGCTAGCCAAATTGCAACACTGCAAGCAACAATCGAGATGATAATATTGATGATCAACGCCATCTGCCTGTTAATGTCGTCGTATGAAACCTTGTCGCTGTCGCCGATATCCTCCCGAGAGGTAGGAAACAGGTGGGCGTGATGGGAATTGGGAAACCGCTGAGAGAAAGTCTCAGCAGGTCTTACAGGGTTGATCATTCGCTCATAGGCACGAGACTCTTCCTCTTGCCGAAGGCAAGCCATCAGTGCTTTGTATCCAGAAGACTTTCGAGCGTTAGTGGATGCCTACAAGATAGGGGGAGATGCTTGCTGGTTCGACTTTGGGTTTTGGTGGCTCTACGAAGACTCGAGATCCTCTAAGTAATTGATCCAAGCTGTAAGTAGGCCGATCTCGAGGTGAACCATCTTCTTGAATCCCTCCAATTTCCCGAAGTCTTGCTGCGAGACAGATGGTCTGTTCGTGAGAGATGGGCTGTCCGACTCGCGAATTGCCGGGTAACAATTCTTCAAGCCCGTTTTCATCATCCAAAGATGCTTCCATCGCTTGTATGTAATCCAGAGCCTGCACCATAGCAGGCGTCATAGTGAGAAGTACCATGATAGAGTTTCATGGTACAGGAAAAGCGCGTGAAGAAATGATTGCCTCGAGCTTGCGGAGCTCCAAGATCTGAGCTCGGCAGATCCTGCCGTTGAACGCCAGTTTTGACGACAGGGAATTTTTATTGCAATCTTTCTGTAGCGATCAATTGCTTTGTGATCCTTAGTATGCAAGCGAGAAAGACCGGCGCCAGGCTCTTCAGCTCCAGTCAATACACTCTGAGCTCGAAAACCCAATTCGTCTGCGCTAGCTGTCGCCAAAGCCTCTCACTTGCAGCTTTTACAGCATCACCTCGTTCTAAGTGCGGTTCAAGACAGCAGACAACATGGGCACAAGCAGCGTCCACTGCTCAAAGCATACTAAATGGTCATGTCAATCCAGACAAGAGGCTCGCCGGCCTCGCTGTCGACCCTCTCCGCGTTGTGGCCAAAGAGATGAAATTTCTCACGAAAAATATACGAAAGCTACTTGGGACCGGACATCCCATCTTAGACACCGTGGCCAAGTATTACTCAAGATCGGAAGGAAAGCACATCCGCCCTCTTCTTGTACTCCTAGTCTCTCAAGCCACCAGCAACGCCCCAAAAGCCTCGCGACAATCTCCGCCTGCTTCCACACCGACGATCGATGACCCGATATCATCCCCTTCTATACTTTCAGATATCAACCCAGACGCTTCACCAACCCACCCCCTGTCCTCCGTGTCTCTCAACCCCTCCACGAACTACCTCGACACTTCCATTCTCCCCTCCCAACGCCGCCTCGCTGAAATCACAGAATTAATCCACACCGCCTCCCTCCTCCATGATGACGTCCTCGACAATAGCGGCACCCGTCGCTCCAATCCATCTGCAAACATTGCATTTGGCAACAAAATGGCCGTCCTCGCAGGCGACTTCCTCCTCGGACGGGCCTCCGTTGCTCTTGCCCGCTTGAGAGACGCCGAAGTCATAGAATTGCTCGCTACTGTAATTGCAAACCTCGTAGAAGGCGAGTTCATGCAATTGAAGAACACAGCGCTCGATGAGCCGAGCCCGGTGTATACAGACGAGACTCTCTCCTACTATTTGCAGAAGACATATCTTAAGAGCGCGAGTCTTATCAGCAAGAGCTGTCGCGCGGCAGCGCTATTGGGGCAGAATGCGCCAGAGGTGGTAGAAGCAGCGTATGCGTATGGAAAGAATCTAGGGCTGGCTTTCCAATTAGTGGATGATATGCTGGATTACACTACGTATCGTGGGAGTGACCCGAAGGGGCTAGGGAAACCGGCGGGTGCGGATTTGGAATTGGGGTTGGCGACGGCACCTTTGCTGTTTGCTTGGAAGCAGATCCCAAGGTTAGGGGCGTTGGTGGGTAGGAAGTTTACCGAGCCCGGAGATGTCGAAATGGCTAGAGAGCTGGTCGCCGGGAGTGAGGGTGTGGAACAGACGAAGGCGTTGGCACAGGATTATGCGGATAAGGCCGTCGATGCTATCAGGTGGTTTCCAGAGGGGGAAGCCAAAGACGGGTTGATGGAGATGTGTGCGCAGTCGACACAGAGGAAAAAATGATGGTATCTCAATTGGTCGTTGAGCAAAGTTGAAATGCAAAGCTGTATATATTATAGATGCAAATCTATAGACTAGAACCCACGAGAGCTAACGTGTGCACTCTAAACAAGGTGGTAAGCAGTCTTCCAATTCGCCGGGTATCAACATCATGCCTCATCCTGCTTTTCAAACAAGAAAAGCTCACCAGCCCGTAGAAACAACATAATAATTAGCTATATTCTTGCAAGCTCTCGACTTGTCTCGTCAATCCTGCTCCTATGTTCTCATTCATTGCCAATCGTTCATTAGCATGATCCTGACCCGGAGAATCGAAGAATAGGCCCTCTTCGCGTCCACCATTTGCGACCTCACCAAAAGGGTTCATCTTTCTCGAGTACATCTGTGCCGTTTGTGCCTTTGGGGTAGAGTTCTGAAGCGATCCGTAGCCCGGAGAAGTCTCTGAGAACTGTGTCCCTCCTTGATGGAAGTCGCCATCAATGTCTTCGTCGCTTTCGCGCACGACAGCATTGCTCTTGGATTTTCGCCTTCGTTTGCCCTTTTGTCGCGGGGTGCCATCATCTTCATGGAGCTCCGTCTCCTTGTTCTTCTTCTTCTTCTTCGTTGGAGGCCGTCGCTTCTTTCTTGCTCTTTCCTGCTCGTACTCTCTAGTATCCCACCTCTCAAGCGGACGCACGTCTAACAACGGTGTCAAGAGCCTCTGTGCAATGTCCTGATATTCAATGTCCTCATGGCCGTCAACCTCACCCTTGAGCAGTAACCACGCAGCCTTCCTCTCCTGCGTCGTCCATCTGTCTTTCCACCAATCCGGTCCCATCGTTTTCCAAGGTAGATTACCTTCAGTCGATGCGCCACTCCCGAGTATAGCTTGCAACAAATCGACCTTGTCACCAGGATACATGTGCTTCACTTTATCGTTTGCGACCTTAGTGCGCCAAGCAGAGATCCTCGTATGTTTCATGCTCGGGTGGTTGCTAGAACCGAAGACCTCACCCCTTTCGCGAGCCTCACGTGCTTCTTGCAAATAATGAATTCGATCTGCTTCTTTCATCTTGTTCCACTTCATACTACATTGTAATCGGGATCTTCCACCTCCGCCGTCACCCATGCGATTACTCACGGCTTGCCAATTGACAATCTTCATATCCTCGGGTCCCAAATCGATTTTTGAATCCGCAAAAGGTCCGCGATAGCCATTTAGTTCTTTGTATTGACCGCATTGCTCAGCTTTGACCATATCCAAACAGTCGAGAATAGCGCCCGCTAGATTCAGCAACTCAGCTTCCGTCCATTGCTCCTTATTTCGATTTTCTGCCTTATCTAGATAATTGCGCCAGCGATCACGGCAGTCTTCGGGGAAGCGTGCGATCGTCTCTCCAATCTTCTTCCACGATTGACCATGTTGTAACACCGCGTCACGAAGCATCTCATCTTCATTGGGTTCCCAGGTGCCTCGGGCTCGGAAGTTATGAAACTTACGTCGGCAATAGCGCTGGATGTATGACGACCGAGCATTAGGAAACAAGCCCTCGATCTCTCTGAAAAGCTCTGCCGCCTCAGGGTTCTGGCGAAGGTTGGCTTGGATGAGATCGTGGAATTGCTGGACGCTCTTTTCGTGCTCCATACACCATATGTCACGAAATGCCTCAATGTTACCCAACTCGGCTGCCCCAAAATGTTTCTCACTATTTGTGGCACTTTTCCTTCGCCGTTGAGGCTGTGACGAACTTGGCTTTTCCTCTCCTTCTACTTCACTGGAATGTTTCTCCTCTGGGTTGTAGGCGCTTTTATAAGTATCATTCAATTTCTCGTCTTCGTTCGAGTCATTAGGCAAAGAAGTCGGCCGGACTTGATCCACCCGTCGCCGCTTATGGCGTTGTTCGGGATCCTCGGGGTTCTCTACGGAACGTTGGCTGCTCGCGTAATCTCGATCCACTTCATGCTCCAGCATCGATAAATCAAGGCTACGTAAGCCAGGATCGATGGGCATATTTTCACTTTGGGTAGACTGACGAGGCGCGTTAGTTTCGTTAGCACGTGCGGTCAAAGTGTTTTTCTCATCTCCTTGAGATAGTTGCGAATCTTCTATTTGCTGCTGATACGATTGAGGTGGGTCAAATACGTCTGAGTCACGGGTTCGCTTTCGTTTCGTTTTTCGTGATTTGGTAGGACCGTCGGATGTGGCAGCTTCTATACCTCGCGCGCGTTGAGAGGTTGTGTATGTGGGCAATATAGCCGGGCGAGAAGGGGCCTCTTCTTCTGCAAGCCGCGGTTTGGTTGACGGAACTGTCGTTGGTTTTTTCTGTGATCGCGAACTTCCCCCAAAGTCTTGGGTCCCAATCGCAATCTCATCAACCTCATCATCAGTAGAAAGATCATCGAGTGGATGCGACAACCTCTGCTGAGGTACACCTGGCTCTTCTGATGGGGAATGATCCCTTGACGAAAGAGAAGCAGATGGCTGCTCTGCATCTGTCAGCTGGGTGCCTTCTATATCAAGCTCGTTTAGCGCTCTTGACATTCTCTTTCGCCTCCTCTTTTCCGCTTGAGCAATTCTCTCATTCTGCTCTATGATCTCCTGCGACGTCATTTCAGGGCCATATTGAGTTGGAGGAATGCTCTGAACATGATCAGAGATGACAGATTTCTCGTCTTCAGTTTGCGTAGCCTTGATCGGTTCTTGGCCCCCTCGCAGTTGTAAAAGAGCTCTTGCACTCTCTTGTGCATCGTGACCATTATCTTCCTCCGGAGCTCTTGTCTTTCTTTTCCTTCGTTTCTTCTTCGTCTCGGTTCTATCTGCTGGAGGTGCCATGGTTGAAATTTTCTCATTCATATGGGCACTCTCGAATTGAGATGACACTTGACCCATGTCATTATTGCTGTCACGTCGAGACTGCCTTCTCACCATACTGGCCTGGATCTGTCGAGATCCAAGGTGGAAAAGAGGAGGCGGGTAACAGAGGTGAAGTGTGTAGCCTCCAGGTGTACCCAGTGGAGGCGCTAGTAGCTTTTAGAACTAGTGCTCGTTCTAGTATAAGGAGTTAAGGTAAGGTATGACAAAAAGTGACCAGAAAGGCTTGGCATCTACTTCTTCGATACATGCGATGCAAGTCCTCGAGACCTCATTCTAAGCTGAAGTCTCTCGAGATGTCTACGCAAGACCTGCAGAGTACCCTACATCAACTTCAGCACTCTCCATCACTCCCTCTAGACCAGATCTCGTCCCTCCTCTCAAATGCCAAACGCCAGCTCCTCCAACTCGACGCCCTTCTCCCAACCCCATCAACTCCCCCGCAGCTACTTCACCTTGCGCGTGCCACTCTAGAAACTGGCGCTATCCTCTCAATAAGAGTCAAGAATCCCGATGCCTTCACCCGCTACTTCCAACAACTGTCCCCATTCTACGAGCTCCCTTCCTCATCATTCTCACCGAAAGGCGACGGTCAACGAAGTAAAGTGACAGGTCTATACCTCTTATTACTCTTGACAAAGGGAGATTATGCAGAGTTTCATACCGCGTTAGAGGGACTGGAGACGGAGATCACTGGTGTAGGAGGGAAATTGTTGGAGGATGATAAGTTCATTGGGTATCCCGTGAAGCTGGAACGGTGGTTGATGGAAGGGAGTTACAATCGAGTATGGAAAGCAATCGGACGGGAAAGCGTGCCAAGTGAAGAGTTCGGGGTCTTCAGTGAGGTTGGTCGTTCTCTCACGACCGAGAAAGGTCAACGACTAATGTGGAGCCAAACAGGTCTTGATCGGCACGATACGCTCGGAAATTGCGTCTTGCTCCGAAAAAGCATACCCATCGCTCCCAATACCCAATGCGAAAAACCTACTTTTCCTTGATAGCGAAGGCGGTGTTGTCGAGTTCGCCCAGTCTCGAGGCTGGGTCGTCAAGGATGGCAGGATATGGTTTCCCGCGCAAGAGGACGAAAACGGAGGCATGAACAGAGATACACTTTTGGCAAGCAAGCAGGTCATCGAGAACACTATCGGTTATGCTAGAGAGCTAGAGACGATTGTCTGATATTCTAAGTTATAGCAATAGTCAAGCAATTGAAGCGTTCAATTTCGAAGCAGGTCCTCTTTTCGCTACTTGATTTCTTGGAGCGGTCAGTCTTACTGTATGCTGTGTTTTGGGAATTTCAGCACTACATGCGTGAATTCTTTCGTCAGCTAGGATAGTATGTCCTGTCATAATCATTGCTACGAAGCGTTTCCTAGACAATGATCGCTGCGCAGTACAGCGGCTTATCCAAGCGCTAAGTGCTTTCCAAATGCTGAAACCCTCATCGCGCAAGCTAGTTCCTGACTACTCTTCTCGAGAGCAATCTTCCGACCTGATAGCCCGTTGATATAGAGCGAAGGGCCCTCGCTGTCCAAGGCCTTTTGATCAATGTTCCCAGCCGTCATTCAACACGTCTTTACTGGAGAACATACTCGCTCTCAAACCCCACTGGTTTCCTGAATTTATTTCCAGCCAAGTAAATGCATCTGTCTTGTAATAGATCCCTCGCTCCTCACCCATCGGACCCCGCTGCTTTACCAAGCCCATTCGGTCCAGTTGCTGTAATACCCTTTTCACGGCCTGCATATCGGCAAAGTCCTCATTGTACGAACAGATCAGCCGCGAACGATCACCTGACCCATCATCAGCCGCAACCTTTGCAGCATGGCCCAGAGTGCCTTCCACAGTAGCATGAGCGATGAGAGACCAAATACGATCCACATCCTCTGGAGCGGGAAAGAGCATCCACTTTCCGGCCGTGACGCCTGTCTCTCGAGCCAGCGCGAAGATGTTCTTTTCTAGCTGTCTTCTCAAGGGTGCAATCTGACGACCGATGACAGAGTTGGTCTTCCATCCAGCACTGTTTTCGATCTGATCTTTGGCTTGACCGAACGTTGAAAGGAGCTCCGCGCCGCGCTCCTTGAACCTTCTTATGTTTTCATGCAACGCTTCTCGCTTTACCTGTGGATTTGATATATAGATCCATGGACCGGAGTCTGCGATCTGGCTAGTGCGAGGAGGCAAGCGAGCAAGAAAGTCGGAGACTGTCTCATCGAGTTGACGACCTGAAGGGTAGTCTGCATAGATATTGTATTGCTCCCCTTCTCTTGGAGACGCCATTGATCGTTGAGTAGCTTGGAAGGCAATAACAGAAGGCTGGAATTTATGGAAGGCCCAGTAAGAGCTTGAGTCAAAAGCCCCAGCCCTGGCTTCTAGGTCTTGCCTCGCTTCATCACCGCCTATTTGCATATTAGCCGAATGAAAAGTGTCAGCGCGGGGCTTTGTGCAGACCATAGAAACTTGATTCCGCAGACATGAACCCGTCATCATCAGATAGATGTTCTATAGTAGGCTCATAGGCCATGAAGAGAAGTCAGCCTTCACATGATGAGTACTCTGATTACAGCAATACTGCCTTGCCTCGCTATAGACAAGCTAATTCTTGTCTCCCGATTACGTAATGCTCATTAGCGTCTCCGTGCTGCCTTGGCCCCTTAATGGGTGCTAAATCTCTTACAAGATTCACACACGAATCTCTTTTGGACTTGCTTGCTGTGAGAGCTTGGAATAGACAGCCAGATTGCTGTAGCCTGGAAATATCATTCGAATTACGGAGTGCGACGGTAACGCTCCAATCTGATCGGTGTTTTCATGTGCCAATTACTATGACCTCTTTACGTATAAAGTCTCACTCAGTTCGTAAAGGGCGTTGTCAATGGCCGACACGGCTAGCGCAGGTGGCGAGATTCCACGGGTTGAAGGCGATGTTGAAGTCATAGCTGCTTCCACAAGCATAACGCTTGACGAGCCTATCTGTTGTGCAGCTTCCTCTCAACAGTATCCAAATTTGCTCATACTTGGAACATACATCTTACATGAGGATGGCGAGGTACAGAGCCGCACTGGAAGTATACAACTTCTTGAGCTGACAGAAAATTCAATGTATGCCATTCCCTTTTCAAAGTGAGTGATTGCCTATGATAATCGTTCGACTCAACGCTACATTGCACAGTCTCCTCCGCGAGGTGATTCGAACGGGTTTCGGAGTCCTAGATCTGAAGTCTTCGCCTCGTGGAACAGATATGTTTGCAGTCGCTGGTAGTAATGGCAATCTTGTCTTCTATTTCATCCAGAATATCAATGGTGTCTATTTGAGAGAGTTTTGCTCGATCGATCTCTGTAGAGGATCCGTCATCATAACTTATCTCGACTGGGTTTCTACTGTTGGAGAAAAGGATAAGATAGCAATGGCTTGTTCTGATGGTACCCTTGGCGTTGTTCATTTTGATGCAAGAGATCCTAGCTCGTGCTCTTCTACCAGTTTTGTTTCAATTCATATCCAACAGGCCTGGTATGTTGCTTGGGACGGGTTCGACGAACAGAGACTTTACTCGGGTGGAGATGATGCACACTTTTGCACTTTTGAAGATCCACTCATCGTTCTTCCGCGGACCAACCAGGGTAGAGGTCCCAGCGATGAAGCAATTGCGGATTTTCAACCAAGCGTTCGTGACAAAAGAACGCATACTTATGGAGTCACCGCGATTGTGCCAATTGGAAAGGGAACTGATGGAGAGTCTATAGTCCTGACTGGCAGCTATGACAATCGCTTGAGAATTTTGCGGCGAAGGAAGGCAGTGCTTTCTTGGCAGACTATTGCAGAGACAGACTTAGGTGGCGGCGTGTGGCGGATCTCTTTTCTAGAGCACCTGACGAATATTCAGGAGGCTTTGTCAACTGGCGTCTCATTCAACATCCGACTAGTTGCATCATGTATGCAAGACGGACCAAAGATCGTGGAGGTCGGATTTGAAGGAGACAGTAATTGGTCAATCAGAACTCTTGCTCGTGTACCTGGGCATCAGCTGAACTATGCCACAATCGCCATGCCACACCAAACAGATCATGGCCCAAGGACGTTGGTTTCGACAGACTTCACAAATCGGCAGGCTCACGTTTGGAGATTCTAGAGGTGCATGAAAGCACGATCTCGCAATCTAAACTGTCTAAAGAGTCCTACACGGTACCACTTCGAGAGATCCCTTGTTTTAAAGTCCCTGTTCTTCAATGCCTTGTTTTAGCTTAGCCTTTCTCTCCGTTTCCCAGGCTTTATGTAAAGCATCAATCTTGCCCCCAAGAATAGTCACCACTCTTGGTTCAAGCAATACCATGCCCCTAGCAGCGATAGCATCCCGCAACAAAAACTTACACCCGATACTCATGCCCAATCCTATACCTTCCACGGGATTCAGTTCTATGGCGTAAGCTCGGTTGCCTGATGCATCTTGCAGAAGTAATTTGTGAATGCCTCCCTTCTGCACTTCAGCTCCTTCACCTTGACCATCATTCTCGTCTGTCGTAGCAACGCGGATAATCTCCCTCCCTTTCTTGCCTTCCCCACGTTCGATAGCTTCAATTGCCTCAACCTGCTCCCATCGACTTTTGCTTATGTCTTCTATATCCAAAAGCTGCACTAGAACCGATCCTGCTAGCTTACGCTCCTTAACATGAGGGCTTGCAACGTCAGTAGGGAAACATGCATCACGGGCAAGTGTGCTCGTGATATCTGACGTGAGGAGACGGAATTGTATTGTCTGAACAAGCGACTGAATCGGAGGGTTACTTTTCTGAGAGCCTAGAATTGATGATAACCACTGCGAATTAGGGCGAAGCCCTTTGGATGCAAGTTGAGCTACCACTTGAGCCTGCGGGTTGGACATAGAAATGCACTTGTAGTCTTTTTTTCTAGGTCTCGAGGGGCCATGCCACAGCATTACTTCATATTTCACGTGTCATACTCAACAGTGACGTGTCATTTAGTGAGAAGATTTTGGACGGTTCACGTCGACTGTTAAAAATGGCTTTTTGGTGTAGATCGCAACCACTTGGTATGTCAGAATGAAAGCAAGCTAGGCCCAATCGGGACTGACTGTATATTTGAGGTCTTCTTCTCAATCTCCTACAACTTCCGCATTTGGACTTATCTTACTCATCATGTCAACAGCGTCTCCTGTGCCTCGTGACTCCATCTCGTCAACTCCAAACTCCTCTCGTACCCAATCTCCGGCCCCTCAACCCCGTGCTCGGGCAAATCGCAGCGCCCTCCGCGACTATTATGGCCTCAAATCTACCGCTAAACCCGCCGAATCCTCCGAACTATCCCCTAAGCTCCTAAATGAAGGATTCCATGGTGGCGTTAAGCACAGCGAGCTCGACGAAGAAGGGTTTGATGCAGAGGCATATGTCCGCAAATTGGTTGCTACAAAGCACCTCGAGGAGGTGCTGAGGATCGAGGGAGACCTCATTGGAGAGATTAGGAGTCTGGACAGCGAGAAAAAAGCGCTCGTATATGATAATTACTCAAAATTGATTACTGCTACCGACACAATCAAGAGGATGAGGGAGAATATGGGGCCCCTTATGCCAAAAGATGGAAGTTTAAGCGAAGATGTTGGTAAGATTGCTGGCATGGCCGGTGAACTAGCGATGAAAGCACAGGGACCGTACGTAAAGAAAGACCAAGAGAAAATTGGCAGCGAGAACGAGGAGAGTAGGTTGAGGAAGAAGAGAGAGGCGGAAACAGTGAGATGGGTCCTGGAAGCGCCCCAGAGACTAGAAAGTCTGATAGGTCAAGGGAAAAGAAGTGAAGCCGCGACGGACTGGAACGAGATTAGAGAGCTATTGAACAAGTGGCAGGGTGTGAGGGGCGTTGAGGAAATACGACGTCGATGCGAGAAAGCCGTGGCAAAGACGTAAGACTCACACTTGGATGGACTCGCATCGCTGGAAATCTAATCCGATCTAAAGCCTATGATTCTATGGACTATTTGAATGAAATGGCATGCACCCGGGAAGTCAATACCCTAGCAGGGCGGTTGAAGCCTAACAGAGAGCCTCCCACCCCGAAGCACTATACGGCGCCAGCATAATTGCTCGCTGCGCGTCGTCTGGTCTCCTTGTACCAGCGTACCCAAGACATAAATCAGAGGCTTCCAGATTACCTTTTGGGGTGGCCGCTTTCGAAGCTACAAGTATTGCTGCTTCTGCAGGAAATGCTTCATGCGAAAGTGCAGCTAGTTGGCTCCAGCCGTGAGGGTGAGAGGGTGACAGCATGATAGTGGTATTTGCTTGAGAGAGCTCAGCTGAGCGTTGGCCATCGGGCTCGGTATGAAGAGATGAGACGACATTCAGCAAGATTGCAATTTTGCTTCGCTCCTGGAGGCTCAGGCTATCATTCGTGCGCATGTCACTCAAATCTTGTACCACAGCGTCGAGTATTTCTTCATCTTCGAACAAGATGGCAATGCAGCCCAACATGGAAGTAGCACCAACGTGTCCAGGATATCTTTCTATACAATCAAGCAATTGCTCCCGGGCGACAGCCCGTTCGTTATCTTCGCCTTTGGCCCACAATACTTGCGCAAGCAGACAAACGATGTCGGGATTACCATGTGTCTCTGACAAGGCACTTTTGAACATATCGATCGATTCATCATCGGATCTTTGGTGTGAACAAGCCAGCCCAGCGGTCATGTGGGCAGACAACCGGATCTGTGGACGAAGCTCGACCTGCTCTTCATCTTCTGTAAGATCAAGAGCCGTCGAAGAATCATCCGCAGCATTGGAAAAATGATTCCTTGCCAATTGTGTCCTGGCGCCATCTGATTTCAACTGTGCAAAGCGCGATAGAGTATGGAGAGACTCAGAACTTTCGTATTCGGTTTCCAGCTTGGAACAAAGCCTGTTCACGCTTGAGTTCGCATCGTCGAAGTTCCCAATCCTCTCTGCAAACAATGAAAGAAGATGCTGAGAGGCCATATCCGATGGTGTTTGCAATTGAAGGTGATGCAAGGATAAAAGGGGTTGAAGAAGCTCGCTGGCGCGAACTCTAGACGAAACAGCATGGTCGAAAACGGCTCTCGAATATAACAACTTGACCAATGTACTTGTGGAATCTGCAATTTCAAAAGCGTGAGTGAAGAGGTATCTGGCATCTGCCTGATCAGAAGATTGGGTTGGAAGAAGCCCCTGACCAAGCCACGCTTGAGCAAAAGAAGGATCTCCAGATTGAGCGCGCGTGAAGGCTTCAGCAGCAAGTTGGCGATCGTCCTGGAGCAGATACAAGGTGCCTAGATTAGTCCAGACTCTAGCGTTCTTGTCGTTCAGATAAAGACTTCGTACAAAAGAGTGCTGCGCAACTTTTGGACTGAGGTCGCAAGTAACGATACCCAAGGCATTCCAAAATTCCGCATTACCTGCTTCGAATTCTATAGCACGCTTGAAGCATTGTACTGCTGCTCTCAGATGCTTCGATTCATGCCTGTCAACAACTTTGCTGGCATGTGCTTTGTGCTCGGCCCAGCCCAGATTGTACCAAGCGACTGCTCTAGCATGAACATCGTGTGCTGATGCATTTATTGCACGCTTATAAGCAAGAATGGCCGCACAGGCGGTACGAGCACCTGAACTTTCTTCTCCATTGCTTGTAGAGATTGCGTTGAAGGTTGCTACATTCACGTCATCAATATCAGACATGATATCAAAATCTAGGGCCTCGGAATTTTCGAGCATCAGCGATCCGAGCTGGGTCCACGGTACGATAGAGGCGTGGCCTTGTACACTCAGGAATACCGAGCAAGCATCTCCCACGGCTTTCCACAAGTTGAACGCATGACTCCGAATCCTTACAACATCTTGGCCAAACAAGATCGCCTCTTTGGCACGTTCAGCAGCACGTCCAAAGAATCCAAGCTCAATACTCCGCCACGCGCTTTCTACGAGGGTCTGCAACAGCGCCAGAGACACGCCGAACTCGCTTGATCTGTTCTTAAGAACACTTCGGTATCCATAAATGGCTTCATCAAAGTCACCTAGTTCTCGTTTTACATTTGCTAGCATGTATTCAGTAAACCAACCACTATCTGCATGAGAGCCTTGTTCTAGCTCTTTTGCATGTTCAAAGGCTTTCGTTGCAGCTATATAGCGTCCGGAGTTGTGGTAGCTCTCAGCGAGACCCACCCAGCAGTTGTAATCAGTAGGCGAAGCCCGAAGTGCAGATTGAAAAGAAACGACTGCCTTTCCATATTCTTGATTATTGAGCTGCACGACCCCTAAAGTGGCGAACGGCCAGCTTATCGGCTTTTTCCTCGAACCTGGAGGAGGCTTGATTTTTCCAGAGTCGATCACACGCTGAGCTACGGCTTCAACCGACTCCCACTCATCAGTTTGAGCGAAGGACTCTGCCAGCCTGTAAGCTGCATCAAGCTCGGAAGCTGAAAGCTCGAAAGCTTTGTGAAAGCACCTTTTGGCCCGCTTTCTGTCTCTCGCATACTCTGCATAGAAGATTCCGAGGCTCGTATATGCAGGAGCGAAGTTCATGTCGGCCTGCAATGAGGCTAAAAAGCGGGCATACGACCCATTACGGTCCTTTCGTCTTGCTCGGCTGCTCTCTAATCGCCACATACACATGCCTATGCGGTACAAAGTCTGTGCACGGAGCGATCTAGTCTTCGGGTCCGAATCGTTCATGTCTGATAGGCAAACTTCTAGTTCTCGAAAGGCAGCACCATTGTCTCCCATTAGTGCCTTACACCAGGCAGCCTCTGCCTTGACTTTGGGATCATGACTTTTCTCGAGCGATCGACTCAGAAAATTTAGCGCTTCGGCGTAGTTTTCTTCTTCTTCGTAAATCAAGCCAATTCCGATTAATGCTGCTGTATAATTAGCTCTATGGTCGAGAATAGTTTGAAAAATAGCTTGAGCGTCAGCATGATGGCGAGGTGATTGGTGATGTACCAAAGCTGTAGCTAGTGTTGAGTTGATCGCATCAGCTGTACGTGGAAGACTAAGGCCCATGAGATTTGCTTCTGCTACGAGGCGCTCGAGTCCCTCCTTCGATACATTGACAGCATCTTCGTATTCGTCTAAGTACAGATAGTGTTGTCCCATCAAACGGTGGGCCAGAATTGACCTCTTTGCATCGTCCAAGCCCTCGGTCATTAGAATTAATCTATCTTCTGCGAGCGCATAATCATTCGATTCTTGCTGCTTCTCCCCATCAGTATCGTTCGATCTCCCGTTTGGAAAAGGTGAAATTTCGCTCAGCAAATAGCCTTTGCAAACCTTAGCGAGGCCTTCCTCAGGAAATAAAATCGTAAAATCACGTAGCAAGCCGATATCCAATTCTGCAATTTCGTCGACGTCATTCCACTCCAACACAATTTTCCAAGCCAAAAGGAATGGGTGCTTCAAAATGACCAGGCCCCTAGCCATCTTCATGACATCTTCCCGTTGAGAATGTTTCCTGGACAAAGGCAAAGCAGCAAGTGTGTCGCCTGCATGTTGGAGCTGCTTCTCTTCATATGTACGGCGAATCTCGTCGTCTTGAGACCAATTAATAATGTGAGAATAGACATCTCCCAATACACTATTCTCCAATATCTCTCGTTTGACCTCTAAGGTCACCTGGTCAATGCGGGCTCCTAGCCTTGTTCGACGTTGACCAATCTCAAAGTTAAGCCTCTCCTTTTCTTCTGCTTCAATAACATCTGCCAGCTTGCAATACGTGTAAGCTGGCTGAGGTATTCTACCTTCGAGGTACTCAAAGACTGGACTCCCAGGCAAGATGGTCTCTAGGGATTGTTTGAACTGGCTTCTCGAGCCGTACTTCTTGGCGTCAAGCATGTACTTATCGATGACAGTTTGGCATTTGAACTTATCATCTTGTCCAGCATAGAGCTCTGCTAAAGAGAGCGCCGCATCATGATACTGATCTAGCATCTTACCTGCATGATTTTCAAATAGAGATACTAGCCCCTGCCAAGCTAAAGGGTCGTCTTCTTTGATATGCGTTGCTGCCTTGTAGGCCTTGACAGAAGACTCAGGGTCATTCTGCTTGTCAAGCGCTAGACCCAGGAACACATGGCCATGATAAGTCTTCGAATCATGTTCGATGGCTTTCTTCGCCTCGGTGGCTGCACGTTGATAGTCGTGCGCATCGAGGGCAGCTTTAGCCGCTTTCAGGGAGGCTTTTGCACCAGACATACTCCTGCCACCTATTCATGGCCGAAGGCTTGTGGTAAAGAGCTGTCTCCAAGTACAAACCATGATTTCGTTGTGTCATCATACGCGTACATGACTAGAACACTTGCTTCAATTGTTACACCTCCTTGTAATGATCCGCGTTTTGAAAACTTTATCGGTCCTATTGACGTTTTCGATTAGGGAACGGAACGGGCCGCTCATGCAGGAGTTTGTGCGCTGTACATGCTCTCCTCTGCCGGACGTACTCGTACGCCTTCAAGCTGGCTTGACGACGACCAGCATGTCATTACAATTATCAGCCGTGCAAGTCGCATCTAAAAGGCCTACCTCCTAATCCTATTCGAAGCCTCAGCATACATTTCCTGTGTTATGGCCGCAGAATTCCAAAAGATCACAAACGAGTCTGCTCTTATTACATAGCTTTGAACATTAAATGGCGCCGCTCCGGTTACGCATTGATGGCCAGAGATTCCGCGACAACAAGAATAGAGAAGTTACTCTTCGAGGTATCAATGCTGCCGCAGATGCCAAATTCCCTTCGCGACCGGACGTTCCTAATTACAGATCTGACAATTTTTTCGACGGAGATGATTTGTCATTCAATGGAAGACCCTTTCCTATAGAAGAAGCGCATACACACTTTTCGAGATTGAAGAGATGGGGTTACAATACCATCCGCTATATTTTCACCTGGGAGGCTATCGAGCATGCGGGTCCTGGTCAGTATGATGAAGACTGGATCCAGCACACGATTGCCGTCCTCCGGCTGGCGAAGGCCTATGGGTTCTACATCTTCATGGACCCGCATCAAGACGTATGGTCACGATTTACGGGCGGCTCTGGCGCGCCTCTTTGGACAATTTATGCTTGTGGTCTGAATCCAAGGAAATTTCTATCAACACAAGCTGCTTTGGTTCACAATACATGGCCGAACCCCGCCGAGTATCCCAAAATGATCTGGGCTACAAATTACACCCGATTGGCATGTCAGGTGATCTTGACGCTATTCTGGGGAGGCAAAGATTTTGCGCCTAAAGCGATTCTTGATGGCAAGAACATTCAAGACTATCTCCAGGACCACTTTGTGGATGCATGTCACCACCTTGCACTGAGAATAAAGCAGGCTGGAGACCTCGTGAACGAAGTTGTCATTGGTTGGGAGAGTATGAATGAGCCGAACAGGGGCCTGATAGGATGGCAAGACATCACAGTCATCCCCACAGACCAGAAGTTACAGAAAGGCACTTCGCCTACTGCTTGGCAAGCGATCCTGACAGGTTCTGGCCGAGCTTGCGAGATTGATACCTGGGACTTCGGAGGTCTAGGTCCGTACAAGTCCGGCTCAGAACTTGTTGACCCGAAAGGCGATTCAGCCTGGTTACCCGCTGATTACGACGATTCCAGGTACGGATGGTCAAGAGATCCCGGGTGGATAATTGGAGAGTGTCTCTGGGCTCAGCACGGTGTTTGGGACCGTTCCAATGATCAAGTCCTGAGAGCAGACTATTTCGCCAAGGCGGCGACTGGGAAGAAAGTCGACTATGAGTACTTTACCAACAACTATTTTATGCCGTATTACCGAAAGCATAAAAAGGCTCTCACGAGCGTCCACAAGGATGCCATCATGTTTTGTCAGCCACCGGTCTTGGAAATACCGCCGTCACTGAAAGGTACTGAGGATGATGATCCGAATATGGTGTATGCTCCTCATTATTACGATGGAGTAACCTTGATGATGAAAAAGTGGAATCGTTATTGGAATGTCGACGTCTTTGGTCTTCTACGAGGTAGATACCTTTCGCCGGCGTTCGCTATCAAAGTAGGTGAAACCGCCATTCGCAATTGTTTTCGAGATCAGCTTTCTGCAATACGAAAGGAGGGTATGAAATACATGGGCAACCATCCGTGCATTTTCACTGAAATCGGTATTCCATATGACATGGACGATAAGTATGCCTACAAGACAGGAGATTTTTCCAGTCAATCATCAGCCATGGACGCCAATCATTTTGCTCTAGAAGGTTGTGGCGCTAATGGTTATACTTTATGGGTCTATATGTGCACAGTGAGTAGGCTTCGACCTCTTGTAATTCATTGATTGCAATTGAGACCTTTTAGAACAACCACGAATGGGGCGATCTTTGGAACGGTGAAGATCTCTCTATCTTCTCACTAGATGACAAACCGCTTCCTCTGCATCCACATTCCAATGCGGAGCAACCAGGTCCGCCATCCCGTCCCAATTCAATGTTGTCCGTTGACAAGCACTCGCCTTCCTACTCGCAAAGTCAATCCGCTGACACCTCTCCTATTTTTCCAGAGAATGTCAAAGCAGCTCTGAAGACGCCTTCCATATCGTCCGAGGCAAACCCCGGTACATCTGCTGAGCTCGCGGATGCACCGGGGTATAGAGCAGCTGAAGCATATGTGAGACCAAGCCCTATTGCCACAGTAGGCGATGTGGTCAATTATGGATTCGATCTGCGCAACTGTATTTTCACGTTCTCGCTCGATTGTAAAGAAGCTGCAACAAACGACAGGCCCACTGAAATATTTATCCCCGAATTCCACTTTCCGCGAGACCTAGTCCAGGTCGAAGTGAGCAGCGGCAAGTGGACGATCAGTGTAGATGATGCAGATGGTGGCTGGATACAACGAATGAAATGGGTACACGGCGTCGGACAGCAAAAGGTGACTATCCGGGGAGTCCAGAGGCGTCAAGGCATGGCTCTAGGCAAAGAAGAAGAAGAGGGTTACCTGGAGCAGTGCAGACGGTGTGTTGTGATGTGAGTGCAAGTAAGTCGGTATTGTACATATTGATCCCCCGTGCCACTGTGACGACCTCTCTTATTACTATCAAGCATATTCATACGGGAAAAATGATGGCCTTGGTAGCCACATGCATCCCTTACAACATGGTCCGAACCACCTTTCTACTTCTTGAAAAAATCCTGTTTGCCCTGTCCAGCTTTCTCCACACCATTTCCGACATCTTTTGCACCTCCTTCGACTCCGTTCCTGTTGATCATCAATACCAAACAATCGACTTGGTGCCGGAAACATTACCCTAAGGATTTCAGAGCATCACCGACGGGTTTCCCCGTGTCGCCGGTAACCCCCTTGAAGAGCGTCAAAACAAGTTCAAAGAGGTATGGAGGGCTATATGTACAGTGACTGTATCACCAACGCCACGGCCAGCAGCTCCTACCACTCCACCAGCTGTTTTGGTCAGTGTGTGATCCTCGACGGTCACGACCTTTCATCTAGGGATAGATAATTACCAGTTTTTGCAACTCCACCAGTTAGGTTCCCAACTGTTGAGGTCACAAACCCAAGAGGATTCTGACTCTTGTCCGACATGGTGGCTTCGAAGATTGTTTGAGATAATGTCAAGCTCTGGAGTCTGATGTGTCCGGTGAGACGTTCGAAGCGTTGGAGGCTTGGAGGGGCAACAGGCGAGGAATTCCCGCGGGATGACAGGCATGTCATAGTGCGGAACCTTACCCGCTTGGGTTATTGCTAAATCGGACCGGGTGGGGACATCAATAATAATCTTTCACCACCCAGGGCCAGAGCCAGGGCAATCCATCTCGGCTCTTTACTTCGGCTAGGCCCATGGCGCCGGGTTTGAGTCCACATACCCTAGGCGGTAACAACGGCATCAACGGCATGCAGGTGGTCCTCGAGCGAGGACCGGCCAATTGCCCAATGTGTTCTTTGCACTCTGGGTATCCGCGGTCAGAAGGCATTGGCCGAGTATGAACGTCATGTGTTTCCGCCCTTCCTTTGCTGGGAGCACACATCTTCTTCCTGCCTATCGTAGTATTTTGGCTTCCGTGTATTAGTGAGCGTGTCATGGCTCCTTCGTGTGCCCTTCGCTCCCTTGTCTGTTCTTTTGTTCTTGCCTGCTTGCGTGTAAAACATTCCTTATTGTGAAAATACATGATGGTAGATGATTCGAGCGAGAAAGCTCACTACGATGATGCCGCCTCCACGGGCTCTTCAAGCTCAACAAGTCGACCATCTACGCGTGGATCAACAGAGCGTACACCTACACCTTCAGATATCGAGAAGTCACCTGATATCATATTCCCCACGCCGGCAATAGAGCCTACCACAACCAGAAGCTCTACAAGGTCTCAACATCCAGACTTTGAAGTTGATTGGGCTGAGAACGATCCGGGAAACCCTATCAATTGGTCGTCGCGGTACAAAGCCACAGCGACAGCTCTCGTAGCATGGAGTACCTTGGTTGTGGTTGTGTACTCGACGAGCTATACAAGTGGTTTGTATGGTATGATGAAGGATTTCCAAATTGATAGTGAGCCGGTCGTCACGTTGGGGATCACTACATACCGTAAGAGATCTCTCACCGTGCCTTGAGGCGCAAGTTGAGGCTGGAAGCTGCGGCACTCATGTATATGCTGACAGAGGTATCAGTGGTTGGTCTTGCCATTGGGTCTATGTTCCTCGCACCTTTATCCGAAATGTATGGAAGAAAGCCAATATACGTCATCGCCATGTCCCTCTTCACACTATTAATCATCCCGTGTGGCCTTGCTACATCTTTGCCGGAGGTCATCGTTGTGCGCTTCATTGGCTCTCTTGCCGGGGCTTCTATGATCGCAAACTCCCCGGGCACCGTCAGTGACATTTCGACGGAGAAGAATCGTGCACTATTCTTCTCCATTTGGTCCATCGGTCCATTGAATGGGCCTACATTTGGTCCTATCATCGGCGGCTTTGCGACCCAGTGAGTCGGGGAAGCCGTCACGGAGTACCACATTGCTGATACATCCAGATATTTGGGTTGGAGATTCACTAATTGGATCGTCATGATGATGGCTGGCACTAGTGTTCTGGCTATGATTCTTCTAAGTGAGACTTACCCGCCAGTCTTGCTTCAAAGGAAAGCAGCAAATCTACGCAAAGACACTGGGGACGAGAGATACTGGTGTCGGTACGATAATAGAAAACAGTCATTTTTGCAGGTTCTGGGGGTGAACCTCAAGCGGCCGTTTGTCATGTTGTTCACCGAGCCTATCTGGTAAATTTCACAAATCACGTAATGTAGTCAATTATCATGCTGACTTCCGACTACTAGTATCTTCTGGGATCTTTATGTGTCAGTTATTTACGGCATATTATATCTATGCTATGTTGCATATCCGATAGTCTTTACCGAGATTCGAGGCTGGTCCCTAAGTTTCACTGGGCTTTCTTTCACTGGAATCGGTATCGGGTGCTTTATCACCGTAAGTGTAGACGCAATCATTGAGCGCTCCAAAGATGGAGCTGAAGCCTTGCTAGATATTATGTGAGCCACTCATACGACGTATGATAGAATCGCATAGGAAAGATCTATCGACTGGGAAAGTGCCACCAGAGGCTATGGTCAGCGTGATCTGTATCGCCGCGGTCTTATGCCCAGTCGGAGAAATCTGGTTTGCTTGGACTTGCTTACCACCTGTGCACTGGAGCCTTCCAATTGTAGCTGGCATACCGTTTGGGGCTGGTAATACGGCAGTCTTCATCTATGCTGTCAATTACCTGGCCCACAGCTATGGCAGTATGTGTCCTGTTTTCCTTGTTCTGACTTCCGCCCTCCGAATTATAGCAGAGCTGACGTGGGGATCTCACAGTCTATGCTGCCTCCGCTTTGGCGGGTAATTCTTTAATACGATCGCTTTGCGGTGGCGGCCTTCCTTTGGCAGGTGCCAAGATGTACTCCACGTTAAACGCACATTGGGCGGGCACGTTACTTGGATTGCTTCAAGTGTCCCTGATTCCAATCCCTGTGATCTTTTACAAATACGGGCACAAGATACGCATGAAAAGTGCTCTCATCCAAGAAATGCAGAGAGAGCGGGAAAGGCTAGAACAGAAGCGGGTGTCGAGGATGGAAAAAGCGGACAGAGAACGAAAGGAAGTGGAGACTGCTATGATAAAAGTCGAGAGTAATAGGTTTTGATTTGATTTGGATGACTAGATGGACAATCAAATAATCAATGATAGTGTTTCAATCTAGGGTCTTGATCAGGACCTTGAGAACCTTGGCCTGCGGTCTAGACTGTGGCTTTGTGGCGCGCTAAGAAAGCTGGGGGCGGGATCTCGCATTAGCGCTGCGTTGACGTAAGTCCAATCGCAATTCCTGAATTCCAATTTGGGCGGCCGTTCTCCCTCACCTCTGCATCCGTCGGTGATACATCTCAGATCCGATCACATGGCGCCATCTCGAAGGTCAGCGCGCCAGGCCGCAAAGGTAGCATCAAGTCCGGCATCCTCGCAGAGCAATGCCTCGCCGAGCGCTGGAGCCAAGCGCAAAGCAGCACCCGAAGCTCCGGGGAAACCCAAGCGCGGCAAGAAAACGAAAGCAAATGACCAGTCTACCATTGAAGCTTCGATGCCAACGGATCAGTCGAGCAACAAGACTGATGCGACTCAGGATGTGGAGATGAACGATATCCCGGAAAACAAGATTGACACTGAGCCAAATGCATCTGATCAGAAGGGAGACGAGAGTGGCGCAGAAACCGCCCGCAAGGTAGAAGAAATGACGAAATCCGAAGCGGAGGGGGAGGAAGCAGAAACAGCCAATGGGAACGACCCAGAGCCCGCTGCCACCAACAAGGAAAAGACTAACGGCGAGAGCACGGACACAAAGCCCGAGGCCAACGCAAATGAAGGCTCGATGGAGAATGGGTTTGACAAACTGATGAGCAAAGATGATGCACAGCCTAAAGATACCCCGGAAGCTACAGGGAGCAAAGTGTCTCCGGAAGAAAGCGCCGTCGAGGATTCTGCCAAGCGTGAAGAGGCCATACCTTCTAATCTGTTGGAGAAGGGCATCATCTATTTCTTTTTCCGTGGTAGGGTCGGTATGGATGAGCCAGGGAGCGTCAGTGATATTGCTCGCAGCTATATCGTTCTGCGTCCCCTGCAGCCTGGTGCCAAGCTTGGCGAGGGTCCGATCGGGGATGACGGCAACAATCGCATGCTGGCGTTGCCTAAGAAGGTTCTGCCAATGAGCCCTAAAGATCGCTTCATGACGTTTGTAGAGCAGGCCAAGCTGAGCATGGATGCCATCAAAGAGAGGCTTTCATCGTCAGACTATGCTACCAAGACAGCAGGAGTAAGGCATACCCCAGCTGCGGCGCCAATTGGAGAGGGCGTATACGCAATCACTCAAACAGGACGAGAAACGCACCTTGCATACATTTTGACTATTCCGGATGAGATTGGCGACATTCAGAAAGATGTCGGACTTCGACAACGGGGAAGCTATATCACCAGTGCTAAGAATCCCCAATCTTCAGGCACAGCGAATGCTCAGCTTCCTCAGGGAGCTGAATATCCTGACGATATTCAAAAGGATTTTGGCGGCCGGGGATGGATGCCTCTTCACCCAAAGCTGCTTGACTTCAACAATACGCAATTCTTATTGATTGGGCACGGAGATGATTCACTCGAGAAAGCTACAAAGCCGCAGAATGGCGAAGAAGAGAAGGCAGAGAAGGAGACCCCCTAGAAGAGATGGAAATGCTCGAGGGGGAGGATGAGCACAGAGTTGAGGGCTTGAAAGACGACCATGCTGTGTTCACTGATTTGGGCTTGAGCTCAAAGGAATATCCAAAACTTCAAACCACATGGTAGGGCACGATAGGTTTTGAGAATCGATTGGATTGCACATATGGGGGAAAGGACGTGTTTGGGAAGGTATATCTGAAAAGTTGGGGGATTTAACTCGCATTTGCACAGCACCTAGAAATTCTGACTAGGCTGCAGGGTTTCATCAGGTAGTCGCGCCTTTTTGTGAATATTAAATAAGCTGAGCCGTTAAATCAACAAGGAATGTTTACTCACGGTTCCTTGTAGATACATGCCCTGCGCTAAGCCCAAAGCAGCCAATAGCTCTTTCTCGCTTGGCCCAGCTTGAGTTTGCCCAACCTCGTCCGTAACAAAGCAAAGCTCCCCCAAGTAGTCCTCGCTCATCTCGTCAATACTTCAGCTTTAAAGTCGTTGCGCAAATCACATCTACACTGGACTACCGGATCCAAGGTTGCTCCAAAGTGAATTGTCACAAGCCCCCTCCCCAATTGTCTTCACAAATCCTCACCCAGCAACTCTCTTTTGAGCTTGCGAGAGGCCTCGCAAAACGTAGTCTCGTATGAGACTGAATTCATTTTCAAGATCTTAAACTCCCGCACGTGCTTTATGTACTTACTTCAAAATAATAACTCCAACCTTGAACGAAGCCTTCCGTCAAAATTCTGTTCTTTAGTCCGACTGCTCCGCGGCTTACCACTTCCTCTCATCTGCTCACCATCTGAAGACGTCTGATTTCTCGCTGTGTCCAACTGCTGTCGCTCCTCAGAATGGCGTCAACTCTGGCAGAACAAACGCAGCGTATGAGTATAAAGTAAGTTTCTGATCACTTGAAAATCAGAAGGCGACTTATTGAGTTCGGAAAAGTGATGGAGCGTCCAAAGATAACGCTGCTTCACAAAGACCGCGAGACGCTCGACCGCAGACAGAGGTGCTTTGACACCGGCTAAACAAATGGTTCCCAGCTAAAGATGCTTAGGATGTCACCAATACAAAAGGGCTAAACTTTGAAGATTTTGTCATAAAACGCGACCTTATGAAAGGAATCCATGGCGCTGGATTCGAAAAACCTTCGCCGATTCAAGAAGAAACTATTCCAGTTGCGCTAACTGGTAGAGATATCCTCGCAAGAGCAAAGAATGGGACAGGCAAAACTGCCGCCTTTCTCATCCCCACCTTAGAAAAGATAAACCCCAAGAACTCGAAATGCCAATCTCTCATACTTGTCCCCACAAGGGAATTAGCTTTGCAAACGTCGCAGGTCTGCAAGACACTTGGACACTATCTGAACCTCAATGTCATGGTTACTACTGGCGGAGCTTCGGTCAAAGATGACATTCTTCGATTACACGAAGCTGTTCATATAGTGGTCGGCACCCCTGGACGTATCGCCGACTTGGCGAGACAACAAGTTCTAGATCTCAAGGAATGTACCACGGTGGTTATGGACGAGGCCGACAAGCTCTTGTCACCCGAGTTCACGCCTACCATTGAGGAGCTTCTTTCATTCCTCGCAAAGGAACATCAAGTCATGTTGTTTAGTGCGACCTTTCCTGTCATTGTCAAATCATTCAAGGTAGGTGTTGGACGTAGTAGCACGAACTCGGTGTAATCATTAACTTTACTGGCAGGATAAACACATGCGCAATCCTCATGAAATCAATTTGATGGATGAGCTCACACTTAGGGGCATAACCCAATACTACTGTTACGTGGACGAGAAACAAAAGGTCCACTGTCTCAATACTCTCTTCTCAAAACTCCAGATCAATCAATCCATTATATTCTGTAATTCTACAAACCGGGTCGAGCTGTTAGCAAAGAAGATCACCGAGCTCGGATACTCTTGTTACTACTCTCATGCGAGGATGCTACAGTCGGCTCGCAACCGCGTCTTTCACGATTTCCGCCACGGCAAATGCCGTAACCTGGTGTGCTCGGATCTTCTGACTCGAGGCATAGACATTCAAGCCGTCAACGTTGTCATCAACTTTGATTTTCCAAAAAATGCTGAAACGTATTTGCATCGCATAGGTCGGTCAGGTCGATACGGTCACTTAGGAATTGCCATCAATCTTATCAATTGGGACGACCGCTTCAATATTTACCGCATTGAACAAGAACTTGGTACGGAGATCGAAGCTATTCCATCCTCGATTGATAAGAGACTCTATGCCGTTGATACACCGGAGAACATTCCTCGACCCATGAACACCGCAAACGTTGGCCCTCAACGCCAGGACTCTGGCCGAAACCAGCAAACCACCGGTCATGTAGGAAGACCTGCTCAAGGAGAACCGAACAAAGGTGCCTCCAGTCAAGCTCGTCATCCTCCGAGTGGACGACCGAGCGGGTCTAGCGCCACAAATGCGCGTGGGTCTCATATTTCAGCCCGAGGAAATCATCGAGGTGCTCATCAGGGGTATCCGCCGCGTAACCAAGTCAATGGCGTCGCAGCACCTTAGGACTCAGTGCTTTCCTTTTCGTGAAGCGCTCCGGTTCCCTCTTTTTATTTGTCTGCCAATACCCACTACTTCGACGCAATTTTACCCGGTCTTTTCTTGATACGACTTGATGCTTTCCGACATTGTATATATTGTTCGACGATACCTGCGTACTTATTGTTAAGGCCTTATGGATTCAGCATATGCTTGAACCCACGAGACTCTGCAACTTTCAAGGAATAGAAGATTTAGACTCCGGAGCATGAGCAGGGGGCTTGGTCAAATGCCCCGGTGTCTGGAGTTACTTGTTTTTATTTGCACTACAGATCCGCCGACCGTACGGAAGCTTTGAGACTAAATTCACCTGTTTAATGAATAGTCCAGACTCAACGACATAATGCTTTTCAGAACTCTATGGATCTCCTTCGACGCACAAGTAGTTTCGCCGAGCATTGCTCTGCACTACGATTATTGCTTCGGTGTACTCCTCTGCCGAAGATCACCACCACATCAGCGTATTTCAAAAAGCTTTCCCAATTCCCCTCGATTCGCAAATCATCCGCTCACAAGCACGATAACAGACAACACACAGCATTCATTTAATAAGAAAAAGAGCTCGGCATGCAGCAGCAATTGCTTCAAAGAAGATTGCTTGTACTCTTCGCCAGGTTGCTGCCACATGATAAGGGCTGACTATCAAAACGGACATAGTCATCAATTTGAAGACAGAGAGATTAGACTGCTGTGACATAGAATCACAATAGCCATTTTAAAAAAACACCCAAAAAATAATGGAGGCAAGGGTTCGCTCTCAAAGAATCTGTCAAAGCAGTATTGTAGCATAGTTTGCTCCACGTCTAGCATCACAGTCAAAATGCAATGCTGTCCTCCAACACCTTGACCAACTTATTCTGAACTCTAAAGCATTTCCCTGTCCCAAATAGAAAAGAGCGGTAAGGCCTTCTCAGACCGGTGCGTCAGTCAGCGGCACATATCTCACGCCTATATCCCTCCTCCTGTTCACGTTCCCCTGCTCATCCTTATCGATGACCCAGATGTACTGCAAACCTCCTCCCACGGGGATGAACAACCGCCCTGGCCGTCTCAACTGCCTGATGAGAGACTCATGCGCCTCCTTTGCCGCTGCACCCACGTGTATTGCATCCCACTGCTCCTCGTCTTCTCCCTCCTTCCTCCACTCAGGATCGTCATACCCCAACCTTCCGTCCCCCTTTACGAATTTCACCCTCCCGTTCTCCAGCCACTGTCTCCCCTGCTCACTCTTCCCCATATTCTTATTCGCAAGGTCTACCAAACCCTGGATATGATCAATCCCCACTACCCTCCCCCCTCCCCAACCAGGTTCGCCAACACAGCCGTAAGATATCCCGAGCCGGAGCCAACATCCAGCACACGTGCCCCGCCAGGGCGGTTTAGGTAGGGTAGAAGCGATTCGGAGGCCGAGGCGTGCATGTGAGGGGCGGAAATAGTGGCGCTGAAGCCGATGGATTGTGGGGAGTCTTCATAGGGTGAGGCTGGGGAGAAGTGCGCGCGGTCGACGGCGAGCATGGCCGCTTTTACGCGGTCCGTCGTAATGAGAGCGTGTTTGGCAAGATTGGAGATTAGGGCTGAATTGCTTGCGCCCGAAGAGTACCAGGCCATGTTGTGAGAGTAAATGGGAGTAGGTCGGAAAGATTGGGAGGATGGAGCGACGGGATGTGAGTAGGTGACGAGATAGTATGCAAGAACGGCGAAGAGTATCAAAAGACTGAGTAGAAGAAGGTGACGCCCCACTGTGGGGGCCAGGTAGACTTGAATTCCCGAAGTTCAAGTCGAGTATCTGTGTGAGAACACTGAAGGTGTCCGGCCTCGCAATTGATTCAAGAAGGTTGATGCAAGGTTGACGTGTGCGGGACAGATGCGGAGAGCGGACCGAATCCGCCTCTTGATATGAGGATCGAGTTGGAAGCAGAAGCAGTTCTTTCTATCAACCGATAGTGGGTATCACTTTTGAGATCAAATGTGTCTTGCGTAAGGATCTACCCAGTCAAAGAGATCCATCGTCTTTTCGTACCTGTTCTCATTAGCATTCGCACCAGCAGACCTCATTTCATGTCAACTTACATCGTGAACACAATTCCTCCGCTTACCACTAATCTGGCCAGCCTAGGTAATGCACCAGACCAAAACGTGAAGACACCTTCCTGCTGAAAGATTTTCTGTGCACATACAAAACTATTCTTGTACTCCTTCTTCGCTTCTATGGATTGCATCCTTGTCAACGTTAGCCAATGGCAGTTGTAGGAAAACAAGCTGCTGCCGTACCTGGTCTTGATTGTGTCTAGTGGCTGCGTAACGTATCTAATGTGCATAAGCCAGTAGAAGCACCATTGCTGAAGGTTGAGTGACCTACACTGTGATAAAGCCTGCCAAGCCTCCAATCCCAAAAGTGCTGATGGTCCCTAGCTTTTCGCCTGGCGCAACATATCCTTGAGCGAACTGTTTGATTGTAGTGTAGCTTCCGAATCTAGTAGCTGAGTTTGCAGCCTGCCGCATCGTTGTTGGGACGAACCCCTGGAAAAAGGCTTTCACTCCTCTCTCTCGGAACATCAGCGTAGTACCATGCAGAAAGCCAGCCATTCGAGGCTTTCCTGATCTCTTATCGTCGATACTTTGACTACTTTAGCAATTGGCGTCCCCGCGAGAATAGTCAATTCATACAATGAGGTCTTTATGCTCTCAAATGGTGTCACAGCCAGCAATGATTCAGTAATCCCAGCACCAAACCCGGCTATTACTGTCCTCGGACCTGATATGTTCCCATTCTCATCCTGTAATAATGCTTTGTACTGATCAAATGCGACGAAGCCTGCCGAAGCTTAGCTGTCCCATGTTTTGCAACGTTTCGTAGTGAGATCGTACGTATCCCACCCTTCAGGGCATTGCCTATGACCAAAGTCGAGCATCCTGCATACCAGGCCTTCGAGAACTTCGGCCATGGTAACTTTTTCTCTTCCGGCAGCCTTCGATTTAATTGGATCCTGGTTTTTGCATCTGCGGTGCCTTGAGCTGCAGTTTATGGCTGAAATTGTATGTTGCAGGGTGCTTACACTCAGCAGGATAGGTAATACCTGCGTATTGTCAGCCTTCCATTATCTAGTTCAGAGATCAATGGAAGCGATACTAATTTCTGCAGCCCCGGCGAGTGCGCCGGCAGCAACTGACCGGAATGGCGTTGGCTGGCTTGATCAGTATCAATAGCTCCCGATTCTCAAGAAATCGGGTAGCAACGAACCTTCTTGCCAGGCGAAGAATCGGTAGCCGAGGCCATGGGAACGAATTGTGTTGATCGTGTTGATTGTGTTGATTGTGAAATCAATGTCACAGTCCATAAATCATCTCGCAGGGCTGGCTGATTGGAGCTAGCAAAAAAAGTCTTGGAGCGTGGAAATTTAGACATCATTTTCCCCATTCTACCATTCCCTACCGACTTCTTCATCATGTCCCTCAGGAATTTATGCCGGGCTCTGCCTAGATCGGTCCCAAGATCCTATGCTCTCACAAGCTCAAGACCGCTCTGCCCACTTCGCCACGTATCTCCTCTCCAACAAACCTTAAGGATCACTCCTATCAACCGATATGCAGCCTTCTCGACATCCAGATACGCTCGTGCAAAGGAAGGACAAGGTACGAGACATCAGACACCCTCATCGTCTCAGTTGACTAATGCTGCTTACAGTCGACCAAGAGCTTTCGGCAAAAATACAAACAGAGCTTCAATTAGAAAGGGAAATGCGAGATCCAGACAAACTCCCATCAAGTATATCGGATTATCTAAATAGTAGCTCATTCAAAGTAAAGTGCTCAGGCTTATCCTACAGATTCTTGTGGCGCTTACGGTCCATAGCTCCACGATACCCCTGGCAGTGAAGAAGTTGTTTTGACTCGCAAATTCGGCGACGAGCAGTATGCTTCGCCCGGACCTAGATGTTGATGGCCCCACCCTCTAACAACATCGTGATTCTAGCATCCGCATCTCCTTCTCAATTGCAGACCTCAACTCCATCGACAACGATCCTGACACCTTCGGCGACGACAATGCCCTCTTCGACGAAGACGCTGGCACCAATCCCTCCGACATACCTGAATCGGCCCAGTCCGGAGGTGCAAACTCCAAGGGTACTATAAATCAAGGTCGCACCTCCGGAGGCAACATAAATGTCGCTCCTGAAGACAGTGTTGCCCCCGCAGACCGCGACGAGCTCGCCGACGACGAGGCGCCCGCAGAAGACGGGCGCAACGCAGAGCCGTCTTTCCCGGCACGTCTCAGTGTCAATATCGAGAAAGCCAAATCTGGAACGCTCCAGGTCGAAACAACCGCGCAAGATGGGGAGATTGTCATTGATAATGTGTATTACTACAAAGATGGCAAACTGGCGGATGCGGAAACAGCGGAGTTGGACTGGAAGCGACGCAATCTGTATGAAGGTCCCCCCTTTGCCAACCTGGATGAGGATTTGCAAGTCCTGCTCGAGCGATATTTGGATGAAAGGGGTATCAATACTGCGTTGGCTTTGTGGGTACCGGAATATATCGACTTCAAGGAGCAGAGGGAGTATCTGGATTGGCTAAGCAGTAAGTTTTCTCGTCTCTTCGTATCTTGATTGCTAATGACGATTCTTCTAGATGTCAAAGGGTTCGTAGATGCGTGAGTCTGTAAAGTATAGGTAGTGAGAGCGTGTCTCAGCTTCGAAATGTAACAAATGGTTCCACTTCACAATACTCAATAATGCAGAATTTGCCTCGGATGGTATCTATGTACGTCTATCTTTACGTGCGTTTTTCAGTAGAACAAAAGTTGAAGTCTTGGCAAGTCTTTCGAATGTGTTTGTTTCTGTGATATCTTGGATTGAGCTACCCTTACATGGCAAACGTTTCCAACACACTTGAAAAGAACGGGAGGGATATTGTCCCCCAGAGTCGTCGCTTGGAAGATATGGCAAGTTTATCGATATCCAAGATCGTATGCACACCAATGGCTCCCCATTACAGGAGGCACGAACCCGAAAAGTTTCCCTTAATCATCCCAATCATCCACTCTCGCACTCACCACAGCCGTTCTGCACAACTCCGTTCATCTTCGCCACCTTCCCACCTTGCAAATGCTTCTCTGCCTCATTTGCCACCCTGGCCCCACCCTCACCATCAACCAACACGCTCCCATTATTCCTCTGGTCACTAGGCGGCACATCCAGCGCCGGGTTGCCAGTGAAGAAATTACATGGCTTCAGACTGACCCTGATTGTCTCCGCAGGCATGACCGGCCAATCTTCCGTCCTCACAATATGCTGCAGCCCGAACTGTACCCAGACCACGATGTCCTCGCCCTTGCCGTCTTCGCCTGTGATATCGTCTTTCCTATTCGCCCACGTGCGTACCCCGTGCCCACCCCGCGATTGGTTCGTATACGTCCCGCCGGGATAAAGTTCCCCGTCGCGGTAGCGTGTCACATAGAGATTGCAATCTGCAAACTCGGCGCGTTTGTGATGATAGCTGGTGGGATGAGCAAGCATCTTCTGGAAAGGTGGGGCGGCGATTTTGTATGCAACTGGCTTGCCGGTGATGGGATTTAAAGAGGAAGGGTTAGCGATTTTGAAAAAGCGGTTTTTGTCAGGGTCAAGGTTGAGGCCTGTGCTGGTCGGAACAGTGGTTTCTTCGACGGTGTAGCCGTTGCCGTAGGGGTTGAACGGATCGATGGGCATTGCGTGTGCTTCGGAGCGGATAAGTGTGTTGCTGTGACCATCGATGGCTGGGTCGATACGGAGGGAGATGATATGCTGGTGGTGGGAGGCGAAAACGCCAGGGTGTAGGATTGTACCCCACGGTACAGAGATGCCTTCGTCGATGGGCTGGGTACTGACAATGCCAGAGGCGCGGACCTCGTAGGTAAGTTCGCCAGCTTGGTTGAAGATGAAAGCGAGGATATATTCATAGTTAGCGACGGTTATAATTGACTGAACCACGAGTTCTCGGTTTCGTACGACTGCTGCGCGGCCAGTGCGGTAGTTGGTGTGCTTCCAGAGGACGCCGGCGTCCTGTTCATGGATGCAGATTGCGTTTGGTCTAGGGTCTGGCTCGCCCTTGTCGTCGGAGATGACACCATTGATATAGTAGATGGATCCTAAGCAGTCACATCCTAGCTTGAGATTATTAGCCATGATCCCAGCACCCACATCGCCGAGATCAAAGGCCGTTTTCCGATGAAGAGGCGCGCGAGGATCAGCATAGGGAATGTTCATGTCCGACAATGACAGCCGGTAAAAGAGACTACGCTTGTCATAGCGCACCTAGTAGCATTAGCAAGAGACGTTGTTGAAAGACACAAAACTGACGAACATCGTACAGCACCATTCCCTCCCGTTGGTTGAAGCCTATTCTAAAGAACCACTTCTGCCATTCTACAGTATGGCCAGTCTCGCCGAATTTGGTCGCTTTGAAGCTTGTACCCTGAGGTTGGATCACTTGCAACGGTTTCAAGTCTGTCCTCAACTTCTGGTGTTCTGGAGTATATTCTCTGGGAGGGTGAACCTTGGCCTTAGACGTTAGCTTTTTCTCCAGTCCCTTTCCGGTGGCAATTCTATCGATGCGGATCAATTTCATCGTCGTTGCATCAAGAACAGGCAGAATCGAAAGCGGGAAGGCATAGTAATTCGAGTCCGCATTATGGGGATTGGCTGGATCTCGAGTGTAAAGAAATGCTTGCATCATCCGCTTGTCGTCGTCGACGCCATCAGAGCCTTACACTGTCAGTCAAATAATGGAATTTTTTGCAACGAAAGTCTTTGAACGTACCGTAAATCCACGGGTCGCAAACGAATTTGGTGTCTTTTGGCAATTGAAGCTTCTTGAGTTCTGCTTGAACTCTCTCGTCCTTGAAAACGGCCTCTTCAACGGCGATAATCTCTGAAGAGTCGACCGGAGCATGGTGATGATCACCAACACGGACATTGCTCTCCACTGACTGACTCCATATGTGGACAATGGCTTCATGTAGTCGATTCTGAAGGACATTGTCAACAAACATGATTCTGAACTAGAAAAAGAAGGTCGTACGGTGTTCCGAACATAGTATGAAACAAATGCTCTTCTCTCAATATTCAGCGATCGCCGTCCTCTATGCTCTGCATCTAGAAAAGGGGCGAGGGCTGCTTTGGGGGGCTCCTGAAGTGTGATGGCCTTGAAGTGGATGTTTGGCCGGCCTGGGTAGATATTCTTCACAGCTTCCGCGGCAGTCTTGATCTCACGCGATGTTAAGGGGCATAAGGGATGAGGATCTGCAAATTGCTTGACGGGTAGCGTCGTAGGTGCTCTCGAGGAATAAGTTGAGGCAGGCATCTTTGGAGTTGGACGACGGAGACTTTTTCTTTTTCTTTTTCTTTTTCTTTCTCAATGCACACAGAAGTCTTCTAGAAAGGAAGCAGAGCAGACCCTTTCGGGAGAAATGAATCTGGCATATGCGGGAAAATCGTAAGGGAAAAAGTCAAAAATGTAGAAGTCAATTATATAGACAGCATTCGATCAAGAACATCCAACCACGGGTGCAGGCGTCAGATCTACCATCGATCTCCCAAACTGCGCCCCCCGCAAACGCCTGCAGCTGCCCCTTCCAGCAAGCCTATGACATGTCACAGAATGGAAGGACAGAAGCCAGTCCAAGACCAGAGGTGGATTGAGCAACAGCCATCACAGGCCCAAGGGGAGAAGTGGTACCTCAAGATAAGACTTCAGGCCACGGGGGAAACCTAGGCAAGAGATCATGCACGCCATGATGGCCCCAACTCTGGAGAGCTGCTTAGCTTGCTTAGTCGCTGGAAGGATGGCACCAGATGGTGAGATGAGGCGGGAGTCGCTGAGGGTTTGCCTCCATTATTGATCCATTATTCTGATGCAGGTGGGAGCAAGCGTCTGATAGGGTCCACGGGCAACGGCATGGATGTCCCATGCGCTAGATGACTTGCCCATGCAATCATCAGCCACGCCACTGGGTCCGCCGGGAGACCCCTTACGGAGGTAGGCAGGTCCAGCCGTCGCCTTCCTGCTGCTAGTGCTGGTGGTGGAGTCTTTCCCAAAATTGCCTAAATTGCCTAGAGATTCTGGCACAGGAGTCGTCGTCGGGGCTCTTAGTGTGCAATAGTAAGAATGTCAGTGCTTCTCGACTGGTCGTCATGCATGCCTAGACTTTTAGACGGGCGGGAGAATGGCTTGCAGTAACGCCATCTGTGAAAGAGGCGTTTGACTACTGCCGATTTGTTGTCTATGCTATCTTCTTCCGGAATGCCCTGCTCCTCACTTGCCTGTAAAAGTACACACCAATGTCACCCTTCTATCCTAGCCTCGCCAATCTCTCCCCTAAGACCAAGGTCCAACAATCTCCCTTGCCTCCCCTCCTGCTAGCCTATCGAAGGCAACGGGCTCACTCGGTCCACGAACAAAGCCATACCTCTCTCCCACATTCACCCTTCGCTAGCTCGCTACCTTCCAGTGTTTGCGAACGGTCGCCAATGCCCCACTTGAAGATCTGGCCTGCTCCCCAGCGCTGATGCCGCATTGGAAACACTTGTTGGACACCATTACCTCTCCTGGCAGGGCAGCCCACTTTCTGGAGAAACTGTTCTATCGTAGTAGTCTTGTCAAAAGTCAGAAGAGCTGATGGGATATTGTCGTAGTCGGCATCTAGGTAGACGTCACAGGGACGAATGCCTTCCTCGATGAACCTTATGTAAGTCTTAGGCGGCGTCCTTGGTGTTTGGGCGTCCCGGATCCTGGTTTGACCATGACCATTGCCATGATAATGGTGATTGTATATGTTGAATCCGCCACACATGAGTTGCTGAGTGACTTGATTATTGAGATGGCTTGCGTAAATAGCGGGCGGCCCATGTAGTGTATCCTCTGGGGGTATGCCTCCGTTGGGAGGTAGTTCCTCGAGATCGACGTCTTCCACTGGCAGAAAGAGAGTACCTGTAGGGACACCACCATTGGGACATTCGCCATCAAGCGTCATGTAATGAGTTTCTGAAGTCATAGTTGTAGGGGATTTGTCGTCGATGGTTTTTGCTTTTGTTGTGTGTTTCCTTTGGACAGCCTTTCTTTGCTTGGGAGAAGTTCGAAGATAATCAGTTAGAAGACCCATGATGGAAAATGGGGGGAAAGAGCGTCAAGATATAGAAGGTGCCCAGACATCTTTAGTTGTGCAGCCTTCAACTGTACAACATGGAAGCTGGATGCTAGCTAGTCGCACAACGATATCCTGCACATCGGTGGGACAACTGATAGCATCCAATACAGAAGAAAGCGTGCGTAGTACAGTCCTGCTGCTAGGCAGCAAGGAGGCGAACGCCAAGGCACAGAACCAGTAATAAGATCAACAGCTTAGTCTGCAGCATGAATCTATAGCATGCTGCACAAATCGGTCCCAGCGTGTAGTAGGCTCTCAGCCAGCGAAACGAAGGCGTTTGAGGTCGCCACGTTTGGAGGTGGCGGCTGGATATATTTGATAGCAGAGCGTAGAAACCCCTGGGTTTCGATTCCTTTTGACGCATGTTTTGAATCATTCACCAGCAATTACGGCCAGTTCGTCATAGATCTGGCGTTTCACGGCGTAAAAGGACCCTTCAAGAATACGTGCCTTTATCTCTGGCAAATATAGTCCCCCACCTTCTACCGCGATTTTACCAGTACCTGATTTTTTGACTGCAATGAGTCCGTCAATCAGCAACGTGCCCTCACCCCTGAAATCTGCCGTGTGACCACCTGCCTGCAAGAATTTACGCAGATCAGCTAGTCTCAAATCTCCAACGTGAAGCGGTTGTGCAACAGATCTTGTGTCAGCAATGATATTTGACGCGAAAACGTCAAGCGTTGGTACTGTATCAAATTGTGAAGTTTCGGTCGATATAGTTGAATGGGCGGGCTTCTCGTCTTCGCTACTTTGGTTTTCTGCTTTAAGTCTCTTTCGTGAAGTTGCTTCAAGGGGGTTTGAATTTTCAAGGGGAGTCGCTGCCAGTTGACCTGCCAGTGTGACTATGCCAAGCCCTTTCACATTTTGCCAGTTCAGTTGCCGTGACAAAGTCTCACTCAACTTGACGGTCCATGCATTGGTATCAACACTTGCATCCACCTTTTGGCCGACACAAGGTGTAAAGATGAGATCTGAGCTTCCATTGCTATCAGAAATTGATCGGCCACCTAATTTCTCTCGGCATTCTTGCGCCAGGTTACTGGTTTCAGAAGCATCACCTCTGACTAGTATCAACTTCTTTGGGTGAATCAATGGTATGAGCATAGATAAGCTGCGTTGGTCATGTATGCCTGCAAAGTCGACATAGGCGATGTTTAATCGAAAATCAACGGAGCGTTGCTTGACCTCCAGTCTGGCCGGACCATTAGGTGGGTCCTCGGATTCCGCCTCTGAGGCAGTAGACGATTCATCGTCGCCGGCGGCGCCATTGACAGTATTACTAGAAATTTCATGTGATAGCTGGCCAACAGATTGGGTATGCTCATGGTGCCGTCGTTTATTTGACCCATTGGCGCCTTGTCGTCTTACGTCGTCTCCGTGTCCAGAATCTTGCCATTTCCGTTTTTGCCCAAGTCGCTCTTGACCATGCTTTCCTTCATCAACTACATTATGGGCATCCAACTCATCGCGCTCTTCTGCTCGTAGGTAGTCCTCGGGCTTGATTAGTTCGCCGAAGTCATCTCCACGTCTTCTCTTGTTGACGAATGGAAATACCTGATCCTTTCCCTTTTTGCCACGAACGTCGTAATCATAGATACCTGGATAACGAAGTAACACGTTGACCCCCAAAGCTTCTTTGTCAGGCTCGATCTTAGTTTTGTTGTACCTTGCGGATTTGAAGGTAGTATTCAGAGCCTTGCCCTGCTTTTCTGGATCTGACTCTTCATCTGAGGAACTTGAAGATGATGCCTCTTCAACTGCATCAGCTGAAGTCTCGAGATTCATGCCCTTGCTCATCTCTGCAAAATCCGAGGCTTGACGCTGCTTTGCAAGATATTGTTGATATATATCAAGCTCTTCGCTCTCCAGCGCGAGCTTTTGGGCATCTTTGAATGAGAGTTGTCTATCACCTGCTAAGACTTGCTCCATTCCCGCACTGTCTGGGTTCAGAGATACAACTCCGGATGACTTGCCATGTCGATACCATTGCCAAAGGCTTCCGAGAATACTACTTTGATTGCTAGCATCTACGACCGCTGAAGAATGGTCCTCTGTCAAGACTATAGTGTTTAGGGAATTGCCAGCGATCTTTTCCAAAATGTGTCTTGAGAAGCCCCACTCCATGCTTGTGTCGCTTGCAAGAATCACTTTTGGGCCCTGACGTGCTATCACTTTTTCGACTTGTTTCCGGGTGGAAAGGATCTTTAAGTGCTGAAACTCAAAGGGGCCGAGTGGCTTATTACTGCGCTGTTGTAAATTGGGCCCATGCTTGCTGTCACCACGTTTATGCTGTTTGCTGCCGCTATCGGCCGATTCAGACTCAAACTCCCGGACAATGCTGTCTTCCATCCATTCTAGCATACTGCGTGCGTAACGCATAGTGGCCCCAACATTGCGACTGGCCAGATAAAGTTTGCAAGCTCGAAATGGGCTCTCGGAATTAGGATCTGAAGCTTCCTTCCTCCAAGCATGTTCTAGCATGTAGGCTAGCTCTAGGACTCTTGCGCTTGTATCCGTAGGAATCAGTATCGTGCCCCTTCGTCCAATAGTGTCGCGCACCAATTCCAACATGATACTGTCTCTTTTCACTCTTCCACCAGTCACGGCTGTCTTCCCGGCGCCTGCTGCACTGCATATCAAAGCGGTTGGTTTGCGGAGCTGTTCGATGACTTCTGCTCCCCCCGATCCGCGCAGCCATGCAGCCCCGGAGAACACGTTTTCTTTCGCCTGATTCCAGTCGACAGCGTAGACGATGGATTCCATGCCATGTTGAATATGCCAGATTGTACCGCCCAGGCTATGACCGGCGTTATAAGCGGTGATGGTAAGATCATTCAGAGGAGGAGAAAATGGGGAGGGTAGAGGCTGATGCGGTTGAGAGAATTTCAGTGGATGTATGAGCCCAAAATATGAAGCAATCTCTTCAGATGTGGGGGGTGGGAGCAAAATCTGAGGGGCTCGACTAGAAGTGGAGTCCCCGATATTGTCATTTTGAGGAACGATAGTACACGCAAGCGGATTTGACGAATAGATGTCGTCAATGAGCGTTCTTCCAAGCGATATCACCGGCGTCGTCGCATAGATGGGAATCTGCGTGAATGATGGAAAATGCTTGCAACAATGCGCGAAGGCAGCGAGATGGCTTGGCGTTGCATGTGTGAGGAGGATTATTGAGACCGTTGGTGCAAGCCTATTGAATGAGACGGTCAGTATGGGGAGCTCTACGAAACCGTCATCACGGCGCAGCTTGAATGCAACGTGCAAGCGGTAGCGAGCTTGCCTTAAGTGAAATAATCAAAGCACATTCTCGTCCGCGGGTGCAAAGTCCTAAAACTCACTTACCGCTCAATCTCTCTCAAATCAGCCAAATCGAATGAATCATTCCAGCCTACGTCAATCAGTATCTTGACACCTCCGTCCAGCTCCAACAAGGACTGAGAGCCAGGTAAGCCGGACTGAGCGCCCAGCAGCGGTGTAAATTGCAACATGGGTTTCCCTGCATGCTGTGTTTCTCAAAGATTAAATGAAGGTCTAAGTGGCGCTGTTTAAGGAGCGAGGATAGTGGGTTCTCTCACGGAGCATACGAGTATAGCTCAATGAAAGACTCTCGAAGTAGATCGCGTCTACTCCCTAAATGCGGCCCCTCGGGCAGTTTTTAGGTTCGATGCCTTAGGGCTGCAGCGCGATAAGATAAGACGAAGAGAGCAAGGCCAGCCGGCACTAGCCTTCCAATTCAGGGGAACCTCATGATACTAGGATTTACTCTTGGTACAAATTTTTAAATACTTTCAAAACTGCAAGGGGCCTAGAACTATACACAAACTCATGTGACGGGTAATGTCACGCCTGTCAGGTTTCCCCTTCGCTCGTGATAGAAAGGAGCGCATCAAAAGCGACTACCTCTCCACACCAGATTGACACCTTCACTAGCGAGCACTTTGCACTTTGTACGTAGCTCACTTGCGGAATTGGTAATTGCTGGCTCGAATATTCCAATTTGATTTGGGCCGTGTATTGCTCGTAGCGTGGACAATATATCATCCCACTCTGGCAGGCCAACTTTCACACCTTCTTTGAGGTTATGAAGAATGCTCAATTGATCTCCGCCATCTTGATATGTCTCCGGCGGGATGTAGTACTATATCAGGTAACTATTAGCAAAGCTGCCTTTCAGACGACCTGGCACATACCGTGTGAATTTCGATAAATCGACACAAGTCCTGTGCCTCAAGAGCAAGTAAAAGTGAATGAAACCATCCAAAAACCATCAGATCATGGCAGATCCAGAAAAAGTAAATCTTCCGGAGCCGAATCGGCTCACTTTGTGAGTTGTACCGATACCAGATGCTCTTTAAGACGGACGCGCAGGGCATCGCACCGTTTCCCGTGCCGACTACTAAGGCTATCTCAGCCTCGAAAATTTTACGTGATACACTGCCGAAAGGTCCACTTAGGGAAACTAAGGGGAGGGATCTGCCAGTATCGAATGAGCTGTGATGGTTGCTCGGAAAATTCTCCGTCTTTGTATCTACGTATGAGGGAAATCTATAGCCGATGGACTGAGCGATCTTGTTGAATGCCTCATCTTTGCAGTCCATATGAAACGACATAAACTCTTCCTCTGGTGCACTGGTCAAGTAGAAAGTAAAATACTGATTTAAAGACACCCCAGGGAAGCAAACACTGATACACTGTGATCTTTAGGTCAAGAGACAATCCTGGCAGCAGTACGAGCTTACCTGGCCCATCGTGGGCTTCCAGGCATATTTCTTCACCTGTACCTCGATGATGTTCCCCGTATGTTCGATGATTTTCGAGACAGGTATCATTCTCCTGGTTTGGATGACTCTGTGCACCGTCTCAAGTAGGTACGTAAACGGCCCACATAACTCGAGACAAGAAGCAATCCTTCTAAAGACACTCGGATCGTCGAGGTCATTGCTCGGAATATATGCTTGATGTATTGTCCATAAAAGCCAGAATAGTATAAAGAGCCTGTGTGAAGACCAAAAAGTTGGAAATACGCATTTATATCCAATATTGAAGGAGGTAAATGCCATTGCGGCGAGACAAAGGAGCATAACGTGACCCGACCAGCCAGATACGGTCAGCAAACCTGCAGTTGCGAGTGTAGCATGTTGCCTTGCCGAATTCATAATCTGAAGCACCCACCATGTAACGGTATGGGTTGCCGCAAAGAAGAACATGTGCCAGGCGAGGACTTCGTGTATGAAACCGTCCATATTAACACGTAGCACCGATCTCAAACTTGTATGTCTTAGAAGCTGTATTGTAAGATGGCAGATAGGGAAAAATATCAAAACCATGTCAAGGTGCATGATCACACCACTGCCTTGAAAAACCGCCTGAATTATTGTTTTCGCGAGCCCATACCGCGCTTCGTTGCACCTTGCTAGAAAGTGAATTAAACTTAAGATGAAAACACAAGCGTGGATGATTGATAGAGAAATCTCGAAGCACAGAGGATGATCAAAAATAGATGCGGTATTATTAAACATATTCTGTGTTGTCCGTATGGCTGCTTCTCTATGTATAAACATTTGATGCTTGGATCTGTGAATCGCACTAGGTTTTGAACTTGGGTTATTGGTAATCCTTGAGCTGTCGCTGTCTTCTGGTCGTCTGGAAAGGTTCAAAGTCAATCATACAAGAATTCGGTCAGACACGGCGAGGATATCAAACAAGATTGCAGGAAGGCTGATTTGCTGACCACTGGCTGTCGATGAATACATTTGCCACAGATCAACGGTCATATGGCTAGAAGGTGGAACGATAACTTGTGAAAGTAGAGGCTGCGATCGCGACTTCCTCACGTGGTTCTTATGTGCGGTTTCATTGATGATGTCTGATTAATTCGCTGCCAATTCAACCGTTCGCTATGCGTCGAATAACGCAGCCGAAAAGCGCAGCCGAGAACCGCAAGAAAACCAGATTCAGGGCAATACATTGGTCGTTTCATCCGATAGCACTGTCTAAATACACTTGAAGCTATGAGCCTGACTGCACAATTAGATGCATCATGTATCGACACCAAACACCCTCTTGCAGTCATCAATCATTGAGCAGGCCACAATGAGGAAAGAAAAGAAAATATGTGGGTCAGGCCGACCAGAGGCTAGAGAGAGCAACGTATTGCTCGCACACACGTACGGTGCCATGACGAGCCTCAGCACCCTCATCCTGGCCAGTTCTACCGCAGTAGAAGGTGGTTCCCTCACGCTAAATGGCGTATTTCCTCGTCCACTCCCTTGCTGTAGATTCGTATCTCGAGCGGTCTGTCTTGTAAACGTGTGCGATTTCTGGTACCAAAGGATCGTCGGGATTGGGGTCTGTGAGCATAGAGCAAATGGAGAGGAGGACTACTCAAATGTATTAGCTAGACGATTGGAATGTAATGTAGCTTATCTACCCCACCTTTCGAAATCGTTAATGCTGGACTCCACTGATCACGCAGAATATCGAGGCATATACTGCCATTTGAGTTGATGTTGGGATGGTAGATTCTAGTAGTGAAATTGACTTTGGGTGGTTTGAAAGGATAGTCGGTGGGGAAGTGTATTGCAAGGAAGAAGACGCCGCCGGAGTAAGGGCTGTCTCCCTACGCAAGTGTTATCAAGAGCGTTGGTGTATATCCAGAGAGGACATTTCAACATACTGGACCCATTATGGTAGCTTGCCAGTGAAACTACACGTAGGTTTGGCGACGTCAACACTCGAATCTCATAGTATGGCGTCGTTTTAGTTTGAGTGGGAAGAGACATACTAAGTCATCGCCAATAGGTCCCGCAGAGCATGATGAAGGAGGGTCACTAACAACGGGAGGTTAGTTGAAGGCCTTGGTAGAAGAGACGGATACACCGTGGTACAGGAAAACAGGGATGTAAATGATCAGCCCTCCGCTGACTTAGACTTACCGGCCAAGATCTGTAAGTTCTTTGTTGATGCGCTTGAGAGCCATTTCACAAGCTGTGATGAGGTATCTTTAGATGGTAGAGAGATGCAAGTGTTGCTTGAGTGATTTGCTTTCTGGAATATCTTTGTGGTTCTGGTTGTAGAGTGAGAGACTGAAAACGATCAAAGACCCGACGAGGCTTAGAACTAGGATCGCGGATTGATTCCGAGCTGCCCGCTACATTCGTCAAATCGATGGCTTGTCACCTTTCACACAGCGATGACAAACCCTTTCGAAGCTTCGCGCAGCCTCTTGGCGCTGTGCAGTGAGTCGTCTTTTTCATTGACGACAGGGGCTGCTGCTTTGTGTAGGCCCTCAGTCATTTGAAGACGCCTCACGCGAATTATAGCCTACAATGCAGCCGCGCTACCACGAAATCCATCACCCTAGGATATCCTTGGGCATTTACGAGCTCATTACAGTATTGATTGCTGAGAGCTCAGATCCCCAACACTGACATCATGGTCTTAAGCTGCAAAGTGCTAGGGAGAATTGCACGGCTTTGTGACGCTATGCCTCGGCAGTGCGGAAACCAATGTCGAAAATCGTCTGGAGAGCAGAGTGCTACCCCCAATTCTGCTTTTTGGCCAATCTATTCAATCCTTTGTCTATAACATGCTCAAAGCCTTATCGAGGCCACGTTTGAGGCCTCACCCGAGAAGTTTGATTGTTGCGAAGCGTTCCGTGCATGCTCCAGTACCTTTCAAGTGGGAAGACCCACTTGATATTGCTTCGCTCTTCACAGAGGATGAAGTCGCAATTCAAGAGACTGCCAAATCCTATTGTCAGGATCGTCTCCTCCCTCGTGTGCTAGGTATCGCATCCTATTTCGGTCTGCGACATTTCACCATGCTTATTGTCTGTTGCGGTTAGACGCATATAGGAGCGAGCATTATGACCGAAACATTCTCAAGGAAATGGGTGAAGTGGGCCTACTCGGTGCAACTATAAAGGGCCATGGGTGTGCAGGAACTAGCAGCGTTGCGTCCGGGTTGATCACTCGCGAAGTTGAGCGCGTAGACTCAGGCTATCGCTCTGGTATGTCTGTTCAGTCTTCTCTCGTTATGGGTGGAATCGATGAGTTCGGTACCGAAGAACAGAAAGAGAGATACCTACCAGAGATGGCAAAGGGGAACCTCGTGGGCTGTTTTGGCCTTACTGAACCGAATCATGGTTCTGACCCCGGCAGCATGGAGAGCGTGGCCAAATCGCATCCTACCAAAAAGGGATATTACCTGCTAAGTGGGTCGAAGACATGGATTACGAACAGCCCTATTGCAGACGTCATGCTAGTTTGGGCAAAAGTGCAGGACACTGGCAAAATCAGGGGATTCTTGGTAGATCGGAAGAGTTGCCCTCCTGGCACCTTGGAAACGCCTCCCTTGAAAAACAAAAATGGTCTCAGAGCTAGTCTCACAGGAATGATACTGATGGACGACTGCCCAGTGCCTAAGGAGAACATGTTTCCAACTGTTGAAGGTCTCAAAGGACCATTCAGCTGCCTCAACTCTGCAAGATATGGTATTGCTTGGGGTGTGATGGGAGCACTGGAGGATTGCATTGGGAGAGCCCGAACCTATGCTCTAGAAAGAAGGCAATTTAAGAATAATCCAATCGCAAAATATCAATTGGTCCAGAAGAAGCTCAGCGACGCTGTCACGGATGCATCCTATGGGGTCCTAGCGGCCGCTCAAGTTGGAAGGTTAAAAGACCAGGGTCGCCTAGCACCGGAAATGATAAGCATGACGAAGAGACACAATTGTGACAAGGCACTTGTCAATGCGAGAGTACTTCAAGAAGTTTTCGGGGGCAATGCCGTTAGTGACGAATATCACATAGGTAGGCATGTGGCCAATCTCTTCGTAACACAAACGTATGAGGTAAGTTATCATGTTTCCACCAATCGAAGAAACCAGATATTTACGACCTTTTGATCAGGGACAATCTGACATTCATTCGCTCATTCTTGGACGAGCTATCACCGGCATTCAAGCTTTCGCTTGACCGCTTTTCCAGCACCACGCGATTCGGAAAACCGTTGCCCTTGGCTTCATTCAGTGCATTTGAAGTAGCAGGGTCGTCAATGCGTGGTTTTGAGACCGAGCTCTCTCATACCTCGAGTCTTAGCTTCATTGGGAGTAGAGGCACTTACCCAGACTCGTGACACTTGGTGGGTGTGTAACCTTGCTCTAGAAACCCTTTGGAATCAAGTATGAGTCGGCTTCATAGCCAAGGCCGGGAATCGCAGTATGGACAGGATATGCCAATGCACGCTTCAAACATTGCTCTCAAACATGAGGGGCTCCGAAGACAGATAGACGATTTAGAGAAAGATTACGTGGCTCCTAGTGAGGTGCCGGAATGTCTCTGGCAACGCCGAAGGGATATTGTGCTTCACTGAGGCCAAGCCGGACAACTCTTGCAGGGCAAGAGATTTGAGAATGGCATTAGATATATTTGAGTCGGCGCTGAGAATCAAAGAGCACACTAGCATTGATGAATCTCAATAGAACATCCATCAACGAAGTGATTGCTTCACGTGATTTCAAGATATTGCAATCGAGTGGAAATGTGTGACAAGAACTTACCTTACCCACGGAACTAGTTTTGCTTGTCTCCATATCAAACGATTGAACGGGCAACGCGAAAACGCGTCAGTCGAAAGCTTGGCAGCGTCATTCCGTGCCCTCAGAACTCTGCCATGCATTAGGCTCTGTCATTCACAGATTCTCATTCTCTTGTAGGCTGTAGGCTGGTGGTCTCTTTATCTCTGGTATCTACATAGCAGCCATGGGTATTAAACGTAAGTAAAAGTTGCCACCGAAGGACATCGTTCTTCGGATGCTAATGCATTCGTACAGGGCTTGCCCAGATCATACATGAGCATGCCCCTGATGCAATCAAGACGGGCGAGATCAAAAATCACTTTGGTAGAAAAGTCGCAATAGTCAGTTCGTAGTGATATCCATGCGAGATGGCCACTGATGTGTTCACAGGATGCGTACGCAAGAATGCTCCCGCGAGTGGGCTTCGATGCTGACGTACACACTAGATCTATGAGCATATACAGTTTCTTAATTGCAGTCCGCTCGGAGGGTCAGCAGCTAATGAATGAGAGCGGCGAGACCACCTCGCATTTAATGGGCATGTTCTACCGGACTTTGCGCATCGTTGATAACGGCATTAAACCACTCTATGTCTTTGACGGAGCTCCTCCAAAACTCAAGTCGGGCGAACTAGCAAAGCGCTTTCAGCGTAAATCTGAAGCAACAGAGGCACATGAAGAAGCGAAGGAGACCGGAACAGCCGAGGAGGTCGAAAAGTTCTCTAGACGAACGGTTCGAGTAACACGAGAACACAATGACGATTGCAAACGACTGTTGTCTCTGATGGGCGTCCCATACATCGTTGCCCCAACGGAAGCAGAAGCTCAATGCGCTGTATTGGCGAAAGCTGGCAAAGTCTATGCTGCGGCGTCAGAGGATATGGATACCCTTTGCTTCGATTCACCGATACTCCTTAGACACCTCACCTTCAGCGAGCAGAGGAAAGAGCCAATTCAAGAATTTCACCTCGATCGTGTTCTAGCTGGGTTAGATATGGATCAAAAACAGGTCAGAGGGTCTCGTATAACGGCTGCTGCGCATTTGCTGATAGTATCCTGCAGTTTATCGATCTTTGCATACTTCTCGGCTGCGACTACGTTGATCCGATACCAAAGGTTGGTCCTTCTACTGCATACAACCTCGTCAAGGAATATGGAACGCTTGAAAATGTTGTCAACTTCATCAAGAATGACCCAAAGAAAAAATACACGCTTCCCACCGACTGGCCGTACCAAGACGCACGCTTGCTGTTTCTAGAACCTGACGTTCGAGCCCCAGAACATCCCGAATGTGACTTCAAATGGGACGCACCAGACGTCGAGGGTCTGGTTAAATTCTTAGTCACAGAGAAGGGTTTCTCCGAAGACAGAGTCCGAAGCGCTGCCCAGCGACTCCAAAAAAATCTGAAGACTGCACAGCAGGCCCGACTTGAAGGATTCTTCAAACCAGTTCAAAAGTCTGAGGAGGAGGTTGCTAGTTTGAAGAGAAAAAACGAGGAGAAGGTAGTTGAAAAGAAAAAGAAGGCCAAGGTCGAAGCAAAGGAGAAGAAAGCAGCCAAAGCAAAGCCGAAGATAAATGCTTGAATGCGTGGAATATGAACTAGGGATTTTTGACAACAGCGCGGCGCTCAGGTAGGACAACTTTGAACGATTCAACTTGCTTTATGAAATGCAAAAGTCTCATGTCAAGATATATAAAGCTTCAAAAGGGGACATAATCGTCAACGTAAGAGCCAGGTAATCAGCCCGCATTACAACGAAAGACGCTCTCACCATACCTGCATTACATCTCGCGTTGATTGATCTCGTTATGTTTGACATTAATGAACGTCAATTTCTAAGCAGAATGACCTCAAATTTGGTTGAGGGTTGCCGAGCTAGAGCCCCCAAAGCCCCAGAACCCTTTGGTTTCTGGTGTCTCTAGTAAACCCTAGCCCGGAAATTGTCCTCGGACAGCACCTGGGACAGCCAAGCTCGAGTGCACATCAGCCATAAAGCCGGAAGGATTCTCCTCGATCTGCGAGAGCGTGAAACCCTCACCAGTATCCTTCCCTTCCATAACCAGTCCGGTGCTGAAGGGTCCTACAAAAACAAGTCAACGACCTCAAACCTCTGAAATCCAGGAAAGCAAGTGTTGATGACTTACCTTGCAGACATCCAAAACTGTACCTCACATCCCCATCCCCGGCCGGATTCGGGAATGCTAACCTCGGCGGCCCATTCTTCCCCTTTGCCGCCGAATGCACATGCGTTGCTGTCTTCGCAGGGCTCTGATATTCACCTCTGAACCCTACGAGTTTAATGGAGTAGCAGATCAAATCAAGATTGACGTTGATGCCGAAGTCGTAGAAGCCCTGGGCGCCTTCCAGACCACCCGTGAAGGTCGGGTTGGTAGTGCCGTTGACTACTTGGTCGGGTGTGGCGACGATGTGGTAAGTGGATGTGAAATAGAAAATGGAGTCGGGGAGGGCTGCATTCTCTCCGGTGCCTGGTGGGTAAGAAGGGAGGTTCTCTCCTGCGCCTGGATAGACGTCTAGGTTCTCGCCCGTGCCAGCGGGGTATGAGGGAAGATTCTCGCCTGCTCCAGGGTATTCATGCAGGTCTTCGCCTGTGCCAGGAGGATAGTCGATGTGGCTGAAATCTTGACGTTTGTCTATGGGTTTGGTTAGGGCAGAGGGGCATAGCGAGAGTAGAGCGGTGAGAGTGGGTGTGGCTTTCATGATGACGAATGAGGTCGATATGCTGCTGAGTGGAATACTACTCGGTAGAGTGGTGAGGAGTTGCAAACTCGAAACAAATGAAATGATTTTGTGTGTAGATGATGATCTTGCAGAAATGGAAAGCAAGCGGAGCAAGGAGGGTTTTTATAATCAGACGAGCCTTCTTCTGCTTTCGAATACGTCCCTCCTTCCCAAGCCAAGTCCTCTTGATGGAGCGGTGGCGCAGACATCACCGTGACTTACTGGTGCCCAGAACACAGGCAGATGGAGACTGCGCTGACATTATCTACAAGAAAGGTTCGCCGGATACCTTTCGTCCGAGAGTCAAGGCTCATAGCGCTCCAGAGCCATAATGGAGCAATTATCAGATCGATAGCTTGAGATTTGGCTCTAGCCTTGGACGGATCCAAAAGAATAAGTGGCGAAACGAATAGATATTCAATGCGAAGGAGACTGGAGCTTTGATGCCAAGCATTGGCAAAGGGAGAGGGAACCTAAGATGGTTAGTGGCTTACCTTTCCAGATCCTCTCCTAGAGAACAAGGCGATGACCTTGTAGACTAGAATGAACATGGCCATGAGCCGTCGCACTCCCAACATTGCGCTACTTAACCCGGAAACGTTCTGACTGCGGCTGGCTTGGCTTTGAGGGGAACACGCATTCAAGACATGGACGCTAGCCGCATCGTTTGATTGCCATGAAATCCAAGAGGCTTCTCGCCTTGGCGCTGATTGCCAATGGGTGCAACCAGTGACACAGAGTCGAGACATGCTGGAAGAAAGTCGGAAAGTTCGAGGGGCGAGAAAGCAAGAAAGCGAGACGATATCGACATCCGAGGATGCAAAGCTATCCTACAAAAAGTAGCCCCAAGACGCACACACGGGTGGATAGCAGCGCAGGGCGAGCTCACATTTACATCCCTCGTCTTTATTCTGGCAACGAGACGTATTGCACATTCGATCATGATGATCATTTGAAGTCAACCATTGCCTGAGCACTGGCGGAGAGAGGTCCTCTCGGGCGGAGGAGCAGCGTACAAGCGCTGACAGCGAGCCACCGGGATGAACGAGACTATGAGGGATTGAGGAATTGCATCACAATAATACAAACGGATGCTTTTATCTCTCAGCTTCTAGATCTAGCAGACGACACTTTGGCGCTCCGGCTTTCTGATTGCTGCGGCGCACAGAAACCGACGCGTTCCCAGTCTTTTGATGACGATGGATTCAAAAAGAACCAGCAAGTCCTAACGAAAGAACGCACGCACAATGTTGCAGGTATAGTATCTCAGCAATATAGCTGCTTGTAGCTCAGTGGATTCTTCTTCTTAAATGAACTTGAAGGCTTGGGAGAACTAAATCACTATTGACGCAAATCTGCGAATTGCGACTGGACAAAAAGCACAGAAGAATGCCTACTGTCAAATGCTCGCACGCAGCCATAGGGAGAGGAAGATGAGCTGCATATGGGTGAAGACAAAAGATGAAGCAGAACGATTGCGACCTGCAACCGACGCACATGTCGATTGTCGATCTGAAGCAGGTGCGAAAGGTGAAAGGACCAATTAATTGATGGCAGCAGGAGGCTGCTGTTTGTACGGCAGATCACTTGATCAATTCCACTAGCCGCAGCGACCAGCGACCAGATCACCGCCCGCCCAAAATAATATAAATAAGCGGAGCCACCCCGCACCCTCTCACGATTCTGTTCTTTCCCACAACCAGCCAAATTCCGACCCAGCGACCCCCCAAAGATACGCCTTACAGCATCTCATTCGATTCCTCATCGACACGCGATCCTATCCATATCAATCATACACAATGCCTGCTAAGAAGGAGAAGTCTGGCGCTGCCAAACCAAAGACCGCCGCCGCCCCCGTCCATGGCAGCTACAAAGGTCTGTCGTCGCCATATCTAGCCACTCTCACGTGGTCGCATTGCTTCCAATTTGCTTTCGATGTGATCGCGTACATCTGCTGACTCTTTTAACCAGAGATGGTTCGCGATGCTATCATCAAGGTTCGTCAATCCCGAGTCGCATTTTCGTTGTTTTGATTGGCGTCATTCGTCTGGTCGCGCGACCGATCACCAAACACAACAGTAACGAAATCTCTCTTCCAAGATCAATGCAAGCTAACGCGTCTATCTCACAACAGCTCAAGGAGCGTAATGGAAGCAGGTAAGCTCACTCATCTTGTCCCATTGCCGTTCCTTCCTCATCGTCGCGTCCCGCGAGCAAATCATCAGCTGACCTAATCTCTTTCCAGTCGGTCTAAGCTGAAGCAATACGTCCTTGCAAACAACAAAGGCCTTGAGCAAGGCCCATCATTCGACACCATGTTTAACAAAGCAGTCAAGTCTGGCGTCGAGAAGGGCGAATTCGCTCAGCCGAAAGGTGACTCGCTTTACCGACTTCCTTCGCCTGCATGAGCAGACTAATACTATCACAACAGGACCCTCTGGCACAGTCAAACTTGCTAAGAAAGAGCCCGTCACCGCTGAGAAGAAGCCTACCGTCGCAAAGAAGATCACCAAGGCCGATGCCCCTAAGAAAGCCAAAGCCCCCAAGAAAGCAGCCACCGGCGCTACGAAAGCCAAGGCAGCCCCAAAGAAGACCGCAACAAAGGCTAAGCCTGCTGCGAAGCCCAAGTCCGCTGCTAACACCGGCGCGAAGAGGAAAAGCAAGGCACCCGCTGCCGTAAGTCCCAACTCCCACTTACCCACCCCACCGCCCCTAATCCTCCCACATCACCGTCATTGCCTTGCTTAGCCTGAAAATGCTGACCAATATCTCCAGGCACCAGCAGTAGTCGACGAGAAGAAGGTCCTCGGCAAGACCAAATCCGGGCGCGTAACCAAGACTCCAGCCAAATCTGCTAAATCCTCCGCGAAGAAAGCCGCACCCAAGAAGAAAGCTGCAAGCACGCCGGCGAAGAAAGAGAAAACGCCTAAGAAGGCAACGCCAGCTAAGGAGGCTGCTGCATAGATAGATACTACTACTGTTCGGCTGTGACTGGAGCAAGGGCGTTGAGGAGTCGAGGCGCAAGGGGTGGCTTGACCCTACCGTATCCTACTGGGGGAAGGCCTTCCGTTGCATACTGCCACAGCGATCTGAGCAGGAGACGGGACCACGGAAGTAAGGGCAAACCGTTCGTGTTTGTATTCATGAGGCGTTCTAGATATGTCTGGGGCATGTAGATGTGTGTAACATAACGTGACGGAGAAGCGACATGATCCTCGGCTTTGCAATTTAATCATACTGTTTCACTGATATCTGACCCAAGTCATACATAGCGCTATCTGCCTACGGAACTGGCGAGGCGAGTGTGCGACAGGGCCGTAGCCCCTGAGACGCGTTGTTTATTCCCAAAGTGAAAATCAAAATAGTGCGATAAGAATTCGCTATCACCACGTGACCTGAAATTATGACAAGGGCTTAAATTTCCACAATCTCAATTCAAGAACGTCTCTATAGGCTTTCATTTACAATAGGTAGGTTATACATTGCTTATCGATTTATTTTCCCCCTCAGCTCGTCCACTTCTCGCTGTAACGCAGACAGATCTGCCAGGACATCCTTTTTGTCGGAGGTACTCTCAGGGGGTGGCATCTGCAACTGCGAGATCGAGGACGATCCGGAGTCCCCTCTCGGCCTCTGACTGAGTAGATTACGGTAGTCCCCACTGAGTCTGGAAGGTGTATAGTTACTTAGACTAGATCCTCGTCTTCGAGGTGGTGGGGGAGGAGGCATTGACGGTGAGCTCGACTGTGGAGATGGATGAGCCGGCTTTTGCGTTGCAGCGATTGAGGGACTGCGCGTTGGAGGTGTTTGCAGAGGTGCTCTCGTAGGTGTTGACTGATCTGACAGCGGGGTAAAAGAGCCTGTAGTTGGTATAGACGACGAAGAATCATGCCTGACTGACCGTGCTCGCCGTGGTGGTGGCGGTCTCGGCTTTCCGAGGTTGCTGACTGGAGACTGACTCTCTTCTTCTGCTTCAGATCGTGACTCTTCCGTGATAGGTAATGATCGAGCCGCCTCAGGCACGAAAGAGCTGGGACGGGGTTGGCCATGTCTTCGAGAAGGTGGAGGGGCAGGTGGGCTTTTCTTGTGAGACAAAGGATCTCTTTGGGCTTGGCCTGCTTCCTTCTGGGATGGGCCTTGGGAGGTAGTATCTGATTCCGCAGAAACTACGACCGAGCCCAATGCATTGTGTCTAGATCTTGATGTGTCTAACATCAACTGATCCTGAGAGTACGCAGAGCTGAGGTCGATGTCAGTGGGTGAAAATGCAGAGTCTTCGAATGGCACTGTCTCAGGTGCACTTGCTTTTACAAGTTTGCCATGGCGGTGCCTTGGAGCTGATGGTTTCGCTCCCGCTGCTTTCATTGGTGAAGCCGCTGCAGAAATATGGCTTTCGTCATCCGATGGGGATATTTCTTGGGACGTTCGTGGTGACTCTGACTGCTGTTTAAGAGTGGCATCAAAAAGGGAGACTCGAGAGATTGATGAGGTGTCTGTGTTGCTGCTCGTATCCGCACCTAGCAGCTGATTTGGAAAGCTGACAGCCGGCGCAGCAGTCGAGTTGTTCGGTGGAAGAGTCTTCTCCCCCGTCAATAGCAAAGTCTTGAATTCTTCAACGCCGTACTGTGGCTTTTGAGCATTCGTTGCTTGTAGTTGCGTAGGTGCATTCACACCGACTTGCCCAACAGTTGGAATTGTCTTTTTGAACGGATTCGATGACGATCTCGAATAGTTCTCGGTATTGTTTTTCACATGCAAGACCGAATCAGGTAGAGACTCTTCAGGTCCCGAATTAATAGCCTCCTGATCTAAACCGGACCTGAACGGATCATCCACGTCGTCATCGAGGGCGTGTTCGCGCGATATCAATTCTGGAGCAGGTGACAAGCTTCTTAGCGGTGGAGCATTGGTGACTGGAGATTCGTGTTCCGGATCCGGGGTAGCTGAGTGAGGAGAGATAATACGGACAGTCTTGCCAATCTTGCTTTTGGGTGTCTTCGGTACGTCTACAAGTTAGTGTGAGCAATTCTCCAGGCTCATCTTTCCGCACGCCTTACTTGTGTCTATAGAGGGAACGTATGTAGCCGGTCGAATGACGGCAGAATTCGTGGGATTCGCATTTCTTTCGGTAGAAAGCTGCTTGGTAGAATCCTTACGGCGGAAAGGGTTCGTACCAGACATGACGATACCCTTGTAATCGTATGATCATGGAGATGGGCGACATTGAAAGTTGTTCATAGCATCCGTAAAAGCCGTTTTAGGTCAGGGATCTGACTTCAGGTGGTGGAGCCTTGGAGGTAAGCAAAATCCATTCCATCCGGACGACTTGGTAGTTGGCTTGGACATGGGCAGTTTGGCACCACCGGCCCGCTAGCTTCGAGCTTCAAATCTCACGGTCGGGGCGAATTGCTTCCGTATAAAACATACATAATCAGACCTCTGATACCGAGTATATCGACTTCTGGCGTCAGATGAATGTGCCGTCAACAATTCTGAGTTGGGATTTGCACGAGGTCCAGTTCTACTCCCAGCCTCTAATGAGGAGACTAACATTTAGCCGCAACAAAGTGTGAATCGCAACGTGAGTCTATGCATTCACGATGGCCCCGCAGGCGAAGTCCACCGTCAGAGGATGTCTTGATAAGGCATTTGATAGATGATCACGTTGTCGGCATTAAAGCAGCTTTTATCCACATTACATTCGCTATTTGCAGAATTCTTGCAAGCTACAGCTTGCCTGATTGAGCAATACCTGTTTGGTATCACAACGTGACCGCGCAATGCCTGAGTTATAAGCCGTACATCATGTTGATGTCATCTCCCTTCTGTGTACACAAGCCAGCCTGTCTTTCCTTCAAACCATCTTTCTGCTAGACGACTGCCGCTTTCGGTCGGTTGGCTGAAAGCCATCAGATTTTTCGGAACCTGGATACCCTGGAAGAAATTTCCTTGAGTACATTTGAGTAAATCGAAGCCAATGCCTCGCTCTCGAAAAGCTTTTGACACCCAGATCCTCGACACTCCTAGCAGAGCAAGCTTTGCGTGCTTGGAGGTCGATATCGACGAGATCTCTAAGGACGATGATATAGCGCTGTCCTTGAAAATCCGCTTGTCAGGCATGATGACCGGCAGAGCTTGGTTGATTTCCTCGGCAAGGCAGAATCCCACACATCGGTCGTCAATGAGATACAAAAAAGCTTTAAAACGATCAGCTCTATGGTCACTTTGTTGAGATTTTCTTCGTCGTCTGAGAGTGACATTCTCTGCCGGTGCTTGCTTCAGTGGCTGCCACAAGGTTCCGTCGTCTATTTCGGCTGCCGATAGCTCGGCATTCACAACCTCAAGCACACGCTTCACCTTGTTTCTGAGAGCCAGTGAACTCTTTCGTTCAATGCAGTACACGCTCTCCTTCTCGTGCCTGGATGCCTTCTCCGATATTACCCGCTTCCCTGTTACGTCTTTTAAGAACGCCTTGCCTAGCTCAATACCGCTTGCATTCATACCACAATATTTCTTATGCAATGCTAGATCTTCTGTAACGCTAGGGACATATTCCATTCCACAAGCTCTACATTGTTTCCTTGATTCTCCACCCAAGTCAATATGTGATTGGTTTCCAATCTTTTGAGGTTTTTTTGCTGGAGGTTTTCCTACATTTGGGTCGATTTCTGCTAAGGGTTGCTTGACTAATTTAGTACTTGACTCCAGCCTCTTACGCTTCAGTAAAGAGAAGGCTGGTTTGCGGTTTGTGGGAAGAGGTGAAGGCGCTGGCTTTGGTGGAGAGGATGGTGGGGAGGAAAGCGGTGAGTCGTTGTCTTGGAAAACATCCGATGAGAATAGCGGCTGTTCTTCGCGAGGAGGACTCGAGCTTATAGTGACCGAGGACGAACGACCCATTCCTGGTGTGTTTGGATTTCTTAAGGATCCTGGTAAGCCTGGCTCAACTGTTTCCGGAGGTTCATCGTGCTGCAAAGAATCTAGATTCATGATTCTTTCAATCGCTCGTCCGTCGACATCCATGCAAATACGCTTTCGAGGCTGGTCAACATCGTAGCCATAGTCTAGCTGAGGTCTCTGCCGAGAATAGGTTTTGACAGTTCCCCTAGGATTTGTTACTCACGGAGGCTTGATCTGGCCCCTCATGATAGTCCATACCTTTTAAACGAATTTGAGACACCGTAAGGCATGGCTCCCTATCACATCAGTATCAATACTTCGCGTCTGAGATATATAGGATGCCCTGGGCGTCCCCGCAAGTGTATATACAAAGGAGGAGACGCGACGCGCCCACTTGCCGAGACTTAGCCGCATCTATGGACTAGCGTAAGGGTGACGACGTCTGACGGGACTTGGCTTGGCATAGATGGTTTGCCCGCCCGCAACCCTAGGGATCAAGATGTGCTGGAGGTCACAATACTCTACGCGAATCTTTATTCGCTATTTCTGTGTATATGGTATAGCCGAATAAATCCAAAGCTGGACTGATATGGTGTTTCTGATGGTATACGTTCCAGGATTGGCCATGCTGGCTGACACGAATTTGGGCTTGCCGTCATCGCAGGAATCTCTAAAATTGGTTTTCACAAAAGAGGGCTATTAGAGGACGTCAATCGTAGCCTGAGCGTCTATTGGGCCACGATGCCCAATCTCTTGTCGAATGTTATCAGCGAAAAAGTCAGCCTACAGACGAACGAAGAGTCGCCCTATAACCCTCCTTCCAAAAGCTCTGGAGATCCGTCGCAATGCGTAAACGCTCAAACGAATAGTCAATTCAACAATGGAGGCCTTGTTGACTTATACAATGATCATGTTAGCGATGAAGTCGCTGATAATGACGACCAGGAACGATCTAGGGGAAAGGCTGGCGGAAAGGGAAATTCGAAATTTAGTGCAGGCCATATTCAAGAGCAAAGAGCATCAAACGAAAAAGTCAATGGCTCAATTGTCAATGGAAAACGAGCAAGTCAAGATTCAAGCAACGACACTTCGAAGCTGAATGGGGTGCTGAAATCACCCATTGCAAGCTCAGCGCAATCCTCAGCTCATTCAAAACAGACTCATCCCAAAGTTCGCCGATCATTCGAAAGCGGACAATCTGGAAAAGGTTGGCAAAAGGGTCATGGCCGGGCCCATTCGGCATCAGCACCCCAGAATCCCAATGCAACCTACCTGAGCAGCATCCAGGGGTCCCCACCACCCACGGAAGATACAATATTCGGAATGCCTGATTCCGTTGAAAGCCCTCAAAGACACACGCACCCAGCAGGTCCTGCTGCTCCAAATCCTTCGCAGCCAACAGCAGGTTCTTCGACATCCTCGCTACACCCCACAGCACCCAGGTTACATCACCGACATACTTTGGAGGTACCGCGAGTCTCCACAAGTCGTACTTCAAGGGACTTTTCTTTACCCAATACCATAAGTGATGTCGCCAGTGAGACCGGACGCTTTACTCCGACCCTTCGAACTCCTCGCGCATCCAATACAATAGCGCGAGCACAGACAAGGTCGATTCATTCAGACATGTTTCTGGACGAGATCCCACCTGACAGTGATATGGCGCGGTGGGCTGAGACTGTGAGATACAAGCGTGCAAGCCGGCGGAAAAGGAAAGAGGAGGAAGAAGATGATCGGGTAGTGGTGGGGACAAAAGTTGACATAAACCACGTCAATTGGGTCACGGCGTACAATATGTTGACCGGTATTCGATTCACAGTCTCCCGCACCAACGCCAAAATAGACCGACCTGACGACCCTTTGGATTTCGACGCACGCCACAAGTTTTCTTTCGACATAACTGGGAATGAATTGACACCATCTGCTAAGTATGACTTCAAATTCAAGGATTACGCACCTCGTGTGTTCCGTCGTCTCCGGGCCAAGTTTCGTATTGATCCTGCCGACTACCTTGTCTCTTTGACGAGCAAATACATCCTATCCGAGCTGGGTTCTCCGGGGAAAAGCGGTAGCTTCTTCTACTTCTCACGGGATTACAAATACATTATCAAAACCATCCACCACGCAGAGCACAAACTGTTAAGGCAAATTCTGCAGGAATATTACAAACATATAGAAGACAATCCCGACACACTTCTCTCCCAATTCTACGGACTGCATCGCGTAAAAATCCCTTACGGCAGAAAAATCCATTTCGTTGTGATGAACAACCTCTTCCCACCGCATCGTGACATTCATCAAACGTTCGATCTTAAAGGCTCAACCATAGGACGAGACTTCAAAGAAGAGGATGCAGCGAAGAATCCACGAGCCACACTGAAGGACCTTAACTGGCTGCGACGAAAGTACCATTTCGAATTCGGCCCCTTAAAAAAAAGATATTTGTGGAGCAGATGAAGAAGGACGTGGCATTATTGCAGCGTTTGAAGATCATGGATTATTCGCTTTTAGTAGGTATACACGATCTGAAGAAGGGAAATGAGGAGAATTTGCGTGATAAGACGCTTCGGGTTTTCCAGCCTGGGGGAGAGGACGATGCGGAGCAACAGGCGAAAATTTTAATGAGAACGCCATCCAAGCTTGAAAATGTAAAACAGGCTAAGCAATTGCGTGAGATCATCAAGAAGGAGAGACCGGTACCCATAGAAAAGAGTTCCAACAAGATGCCAGAGGAGATGCTAGACGAAAGAAAGCACTCCGTCTTCTACAGTGACGATGGTGGATTCGGAGCAACCCATGAAGAAGGTCAGCCAGGAGAAGAGATTTACTACCTAGGTATCATTGACTGTCTGACTCATGTGAGCTCAAATCTCTGCTCCAAACTCTAAGGTTTCTTCCTCGCTGATATTGTTAGTATGGTTTCATCAAAAGAGTTGAGCATCTTTGGAAAGGCATGTCTAACAACAAATCTCAAATCTCGCCCATCCCGCCTGAAGACTATGGTGATCGCTTTGTAAAGTTCATGAGCGGATTGACCATGACAAAGGAAGAATCCGAAAGAATCTCGCAAGCGGGTAACCATGTTGATGGCTCCGGAATGGTTAGCAACAGAAAGCCGAGCTGGTCCATTTCACGGAAGTCTACAGACAAAGTCATCGAGAGGGCAGAAAAGCAAGCCTACAAGTCTGAAAAGGAAAGCGCGAGTGAAGACCCTTCAAAAGACTTGACGTTAAGCGCTGTGCGACACCCGAGTCCTGACCGAAGTGGGGGAGGGGGAGGGGCAATCCTACCAGTGGTTGAAGAAGATGCAGAAGGGGCCAGTAGAGAGGCCAGCATCCGTCGTGAGAAGACCCGGTCACCAAATCCCCCAAATTATGAGCCGCCAACCCCCGCCGCAACCTCGAAAGCAGACTCGGGGCCCGCACAATTACCTTCCATACCTCATCTGAACAGGCTGAGCATTGGCATTGGTTCGGGATGATTTTTCGACTGACAATCAACCACACGTCTGACGAATTTTCAATATATGGAGCGTTGAATCATTATCATTTCTTTGAGATACCCATATAAACCGCATGTACGAGAGTTGTATAGAGGAGGGGTTGTGAGCTTTTTTCGGAAGCAGCACGCATCGCTGGGGGAAAGTCGTACTTGTTGCGTTCTCTGACATTTCAAATACTTGTCATCAACTACTCCTAATGTGTCTGCGTCTATGATATTCATTGACACGGCTTCGCAACTTTCAAAGTAGATTAGAAGTGTGAACGCCCTCGAAACCCTATGATTATCCTAGCCGAATATACAGCACACATGAAATTCTTACTCTGCTAGCCTACAAGGTTCTTGAGCAAATGATCGTCACCAGAATTTAGCTAGGAGAATCTGGACTCACCTATAACTTACAAGCGTACCGACTCGATGATTGCTGGTACTGAAACTCCTTAACTGTACTTTCTCCCCATTTTCTATCTCCTTAGCATCACTATCCCCCCATTCCAGCGGTACCTCTGAGTCGGCATCAGCATAAACCAAAACATTGAATGTGCAACCGCCAGTATCAAGCTGCGGTAGAAAGGTCACTGATGCGGTGATCTGCCTAAAAATTGCTTGGATCTCTTGCTGGATCTCCTTTTCGGACTTCTCTGAAGTCTGTGCGCTTGGCGAGATGCTAACTTGATCGGTCAATGCTGGATTGGCAAGTGGATATGATTCAGGGGATTGTACTTACGCAGGCGCCGAGTTCTCTTTGTCTGTTGATTTCTCTTGGTCTCGCGAGGAGTGCTTCTTTGCGTGCCTGCCGAATATTTCCACCTTGATGTTCTTTAGCCCCTCCTTAAAGTCTCGGCTCTGGGGTAAACGCACGTCAAATTGCCACCTTTCTATTGACTCGCCTGTCTCTTTACTTGTGATGACGATCACAAGCTTAGAGATTTTGCTGCTTAGCATCCATTTGTTAAGTTGTGACATTATCTTCTTGATATATGCCTTGACTTGATCGTCGGAAGTGACTGCGGAGACTGTTGGCGAGAGTCAAAAACAGCCGGAACACGGGGCTTACGAAGCATGTTGAGACCATATTTCTTCACGCTGGCTAGAGTCAGATCTTGGGCTTGTAGTCGCGTGCATGGTGCTCACGGAGTGAAATCCTCAGCAGGATAAACCCCCCTTTGATGGCTGAGAACAGTATTAAAATCATTTCGTCAAACAGGAAGTTATCATTTACAGAATAGTATTTATGGAGTATTCAAACTTTGCAAAATCAATAGGAATCCCGATAGAAGGGACTCGCGGACTTATACAAATTCTGCTACCAATTTCGAAGATCCTTTGCACACATGAGCAGCATTCTTCTGAGACCCACTCAAGGCTTACCTTTCAGCGATAACTTATGAGTTTTAGCTTTCTCTTTATCTCCTGACATAGTTCCTCAAGATCTGGAATTGTGACACTAAGACTCGTTGACATGCGCTGCTTGCCATGCGCATAGAGAATCTATGTTTACTACTGCTACTGCGGGTTGAGCGGGTGACGGGCGCTAAGCGCGCCTACTAGAAAGGGGTCCGTGGCATCCTAGTTGCCGAAAGCTTCACCAGGTCTTTATCCTCTTATGTACAGACGACATGCCAACCAGACATGCTGCTTGATTTAGGGTGACCTAATGCAGCTATGTTGTCGCGCATTCTCAAGACCATGTTTGTCACTCAGATCTCACCTGGCCTTGCAGAAATGTACACCTAACTCCAGAGCGATTCGCTGTGCATCAACACGGCGAGTGATCGGCAACCTCGAAACGAGAATTGGAGACATACCTCTCGAACGATACCGAAACTTTTGCATCGTTGCGCATGTTGATCATGGCAAAAGTACGCTCAGTGACCGTCTGCTGGAGCTTACGGGTACGATCGAGCCCGGAGGCAAGAAACAAATCCTCGATAAATTGGATGTCGAGAGGGAACGTGGCATTACCGTGAAGGCACAGACATGTAGCATGATCTACAATCATAAGGGAGATGACTACTTGTTACACCTTGTCGATACTCCTGGCCATGTGGATTTCAGGGCTGAGGTGACAAGAAGCTACGCTAGCTGCGGAGGTGCGTTGCTGCTAGTAGACGCAAGTCAAGGAGTGCAGGCTCAGACTGTTGCAAATTTCTATCTCGCCTTCTCCCAAGGTCTGCACTTGTTGCCGATAATCAACAAAATTGATTTACCTTCTGCTGATCCCGAACGGGCTCTCCAACAAATCCAAGAAACATTCGAACTTGATTCAAAAACAGCTGTTCTCGTATCTGCTAAAACTGGTCTCAACGTCGGAGAAGTCCTACCATCAATAGTCGAACGTATCCCTCCGTATGTAATCCCCAGGGCAGACCTAGCCTATGCTTATCATCATAGGCCATCGGGAGATTCGAGCAAGCCATTGCGAATGCTACTGGTCGACTCATGGTACTCAACCTTTCGGGGAGTCGTGCTGCTTGTCAGACTTTTTGATGGTACTCTCAAAGTTGGCGAACAAGTACGCTCATTTGTGACCGGCATCAAGTACACCGTTGGAGAAGTAGGAATCATGTACCCAGATCAAACGCCTCAGACACTGCTGAGGGCTGGTCAGGTAGGCTATGTATATTTTAATCCAGGTATGAAGCGAAGTCAAGAGGCCAAGGTCGGTGATACTTTCACCACAGTTGGCAATGAGAAGAATGTCGAGCCCTTGCCTGGATTTGAAGAACCTAAATCCATGGTCTTTGTCGCAGCGTTTCCCGTCGATCAAAGCGAGTATGGACGTATAGAAGATAGCATTAACCATATCCTGTTGAACGACAGGAGTGTGACAGCACGAAAAGAGTATTCAGAGGCCTTAGGCGCTGGCTGGAGGCTTGGCTTCCTTGGAACGCTACATTGTTCGGTTTTTGAGGATCGTCTTCGCCAAGAACACGGGGCGAGCATCATCATAACCCCGCCTACCGTACCAGTCAAGGTCATATGGGCAAACGGCAAAGAAGACGTCGTTCGAAACCCTGCTGATTTTCCAAATGAGACGAACCGAGCTCTTGTAGCCGAGCTGCAAGAGCCTTTTGTTCTTGTCACCATCACTCTTCCAGAGGAGTATCTAGGGAAAGTCATTGAGCTCTGCGAGGGTAACCGAGGCGAACAACAAGCATTCCAATACTTTACGGCCACCCAAGTAATCCTGAAATATACACTGCCGCTCACTCAATTGGTGGATGACTTTTTTGGGAAGCTCAAAAGCCTGACAAAAGGGTACGCCAGTCTGGATTACGAAGAAGCTGCATGGCAGAAGAGTAACATTGTCAAGTTGCAATTGCTCGTGAACGGCAGCATCGTTGACCCAGTCTCCAGAGTCGTTCACACAAGCCAAATCGAGAGACTTGGACGAGAATGGGTGACCAAATTCAAGGAGCATGTCGAACGCCAACTCTTCCAGATCATCATTCAAGCAGCTGTCGGCCGGCGAATCATTGCACGAGAAACCATTAAGCCCTTCCGAAAGGATGTGCTCGCTAAGCTCCATGCGGCTGATGTGTCCCGCCGTCGAAAACTGCTCGAGAAGCAAAAGGACGGCAGAAAGAGACTCACCGGTAAGCAGGCATAGCTCCCCCGGGTGTGCTTTTCCTAACAATGATCATAGCGGTGGGCAATATTTCTATTGATCCAAAGGCTTTTCAGGCATTTTTAGCCAAGTAGAGAGTTTTCTAAGGACCAGGAGCTGTTAGGTCACATACGTAATTCGATAGTGCTGGCGTATGAAATATGAAAGCATAGCAAACATACATGCACTCACTTGCACCCAGCTGGCATTTTAGTCGATTTGTAGGGGCTTCAGTGCCACACGATGCTCCCCCCGGGAGCCTCGTGCCCCACCCTTCAACCTCGAAGTGTCACACAGATCACTAACACCATTTGTGCCCATGTGACTTGGTCAAGGCCTGAATCTCACGGAATTCAATCTTTCTCTTAGCAAAGGCCATATCGCGCTCATGACACTAGTCTTCTTTTCCCGACTTCTACACCTGCACCCTCACAGGTAGCAATTGCCCTGCATGGCCACCACCGAGTTGGTCAAGGAACAGGTCACAGACAATGTACCAAAAAGGATCAAGGAACTGAAGTTTGGCGTTGCGTAAGTAGTGTGCTATTCCTGTGTGAGCGTGATCTAAAGTCCATAGTGCGAGTCAGGATATTCTCAAGCAAGGCGTTCTCGAAGTACGTGATCAGGTTTTCTACGACACCAGTGGGGAGCGGTATGCCACTGAACATGGTCCCCTCGACCCGCGCCTTGGCCTTTCCACCAAGGGAAGTCACTGTGGTACCTGTGGAGAGTCTTTGCAGTCTTGTATGGGGCATTTCGGCTATATCAAATTGGTTTTGCCCGTGCTGCATATTGGTTATTTCAGATTCATCATACATATTTTGCAAGTCATTTGTAAAGACTGCTCAAGCATCTTGCTCGCAGAAGACTTTCGGCGGTCCTTTTTGCGGGAACTGCGTCGTCCCCACATCGACAATCTTCGGAAAACTCAAATATGTAAGAAGATATTCAAGGAAGCACGTAAAATGTATACTTGCTCGCAGTGTGGCGGTGCAAATGGGAGGGTCAAAAAGAATGGTGCTGGTCCTTTGAAAGTTACTCACGAAAGATTTAGTCACTTTGAAGGTTCAAAGGCATTGAAGAAAGTAGCACCTCGAGCGAAGATGGAATTTGATCAGAGCTTTGACGCAGTCAAAAAATCTCTTGGGGACATTGAGCGAAACCTGAAAAAGGCTTTTGACGACTTAAATCCTCTAAGAATTCTCAATATTTTCGAAAAGATTTCAGATCCCGATTGCGAACTGTTAGGTATGAACCCAACAGAAGGAAGACCAGAGATGTTTATTTGGAAATATTTCCCAGTTGCCCCCGTGTGTCTCAGGCCATCGGTGGCTCAAGACAGTACGACTACGGAAGATGACATAACTCAAAAGCTAGCTCACATTATATCCATGAACAATATGATAAAAAGGGGCCTCGAAAACGGGGAACGCGTGGGAACCCTTATGGAGCAGTGGGATTTTCTACAAGCACAGGTCGCGATGATTGTGAACAGCGAAGGCCCTGGTGTCACTCCTTCTGGCCAATACGTCACCATGCGAGGCTTTTGCCAAAGGCTGAAGGGCAAGCAAGGCCGATTTCGAGGTAACTTGTCCGGTAAACGAGTCGATTTTTCAGGGAGGACTGTGATTTCTCCGGATCCCAATATTGGGGTGAATGAAGTCGCCATCCCAGAAGCTGTTGCTAAAACTCTTACCTTTCCTGAAAAAGTCTCCCAGGTCAACATTGAGAAGATGCGACAAGCGGTCTTGAACGCCTCACGCAAATGGCCCGGTGCGTCTCAGATCGTAAAAGCTGGCTCAGGCTTCAAACAGTTCCTCAAGTTCGGGAATCCTAAGAAGCATGCTGAGGCATTGAAAGTCGGCGACATTGTTGAGCGGCATCTTGTGGACGGAGACGTCGTGCTCTTTAATCGACAACCCTCTTTACACAAGCTCAGCATTATGGCTCATCGTGTCCGTGTTAGGCCGTCACGAACTTTTCGACTCAACGAGTGCGTTTGCACACCTTACAATGCCGATTTCGATGGTGACGAGATGAATCTACATGTCCCTCAAACGGAAGAAGCTAGGGCTGAAGCACTTGAACTGATGGGCGTCGAACACAATTTGGCTACCCCAAGGAATGGTGAGCCTATCATAGCTGCCATTCAAGACTTCATCACCGGTGCGTTTCTCTTGAGCAACAAAGACCAATTCTTTGATCGGAAAACATTTAGTCAACTTTGTTCTTATATGGTTGAGGGAAACGCCAAGATCCATCTGCCTCCTCCATCGATCCTCAAACCAGTCATGCTGTGGACAGGGAAGCAGGTCTTTAATGTCTTGTTGCGTCCGAGCAGAGACTGTAATGTACGAATTAGTCTCGACGCACCATGCCGAGAATATCGATTCAATTCGTCTGCCCCCCGAGACATGAGTGAGACTGATGGCTGGCTTTGTATAAGAGATTCTGAGATTATGTGCGGGGTCATGGACAAGTCCACGATTGGTGCTGGGAAGAAGGACTCGATTTTCTGTGCTATCCTTCGAGATTTTGGCGAAGACGAGGCCCTGAGTGCAATGAACAGACTTGCCAGATTAATCTCTAGATACCTATCAGGCCAAGGTTTTTCTATTGGTATTAGTGACGTTCGCCCGGGAGAGAAACTCTCCCGAGACAAGCAAACCCTCGTCGAGAAGGCCTATGCTGACTGCGATGGCCTGATCTCCCGATACACTGATGGAAGCTTTGAGCGTAAAAAAGGGTCTAGTGCCGAGCAAACTTTAGAGAAGGCCATATCTGATGTTTTGACTCGCGTGCGAAAAGAAGCTGGAGACTATTGCTTTGCTGAACTTAACAAGCATAATACCGCGATGCTCATGGCAAAGTCTGGCGCAAAAGGTAGTTCCATGAATGTATCTCAGATGGTGGCTGTCGTTGGTCAACAAATCATCAACCAGCAACGTGTCCAAGAGGGATTTCAAGATCGAACTCTCCCTCATTATCCCAACAATGCTCGTCAGCCACCTTCAAAAGGCTTTGTACGTAATAGCTTCTATACAGGCCTGAGCCCAAGTGAGCTGTTCTTCCACGCAATGTCTGGCCGAGAAGGTCTCGTTGACACTGCCGTGAAGACCGCTGAGACGGGATACATGTCACGTCGCTTGATGAAGTCGCTTGAAGACTTATCGATCAAATATGACAAAACAGTTCGCAATTCAGCGATGTCTATTGTACAGTTTCAATACGGAGACGACAGCCTTGACCCTACAAGTATGGAAAGCGAGGCACGCCCAGTAAATTTTGAGCATGCATATACACATTCTATGGTAACCAACTAGCAGCCATCATGTCTGATTATCTACTAAATGTCATTTTTCAGGAACTGGTCCACGACAACGAGGCGGTCAGACTGTTGCCTTCCGAGATCCTCGAGGTCTCAGCACAAAGACTCGATCATCACAGGCAGCAGCTCGCTCGGTCATCATTAACCCATCTCAAGCTTCCTAGCTCAGAGTACGTGACATACAACGACGAGACCAACGAAAGTGACCAAAACTACCTACGGTCAATTCAGGGGTTCTTGGACATGAAAGCACGAAATCGATCAGACTTGGACAATCGATTAGGCCACGCAGATTCTTTACACAAGTCACGCAAACGGACACAGGCGTCTCGATTAGACTGTAAGTGACACCTTATGTAAGGACATAGTAAGATAACTGATTACCTGTAGCGGATATAATAAAGCAACAGACCGACCGTATCGCTGGGGTCTCTCAATCCACACTGATCGCCTTCATTGAAACATGCATGGACAGATATCACAAGGCTTCTGTCCAGCCAGGAACTGCAGTCGGCGCTGTTGGAGCGCAGTCTATTGGAGAGCCAGGGACGCAGATGACATTGAAGACATTCCATTTCGCTGGTATTGCCAATCTACAAATCACACAAGGTGTTCCTCGAATGAAGGAAATCATCAATGCCTCTAGGGAAATCAGCACGCCAATCATTGCATGCCAGCTGATCAACAAGCATAGTATGCACACGACTCGAGAGACTCAAGGCCGCATTGTGCAGACCTACCTTCGAGATATAGTCGAATGGGTAGAAGAAGTGTGGGCGGACGATATGAGCTACGTTGAGATGCGACTAGACACGAAGACCAAGATAAACCTTTGCATTGACATCCAGGCTACCGATATTAAGGATGCCATACTCAAGGTGAAAAAGTTACGTTTGACACCCGATGATATAACCGTCTTCGGGGAGTACATCCGGATCTCAACCAAACCACCATACAAAACTGAGCGTACTATCAAAGTCAAATCAAAGGATGAGACCCAAGTGTACGCTCGCATGCAACATATCTGCCGTCACCTTCCCAACATACCGGTATGTGGCTACGCTGGAGCGTCTCGAGCTATCATCAAGATGGATGAGAAGAGAGAAAATTTTTCACTATTAGTGGAAGGATACGGCCTCAAGAAATGTCTCAACACGGATGGCGTCGATGCTTACACTACGAGAACTAATTCTATTCTGGAGACGCGCGAGGTACTCGGCATTGAAGCAGCCCGGACAACAATCATTGATGAGATTCGCTCGGTAATGGACGGCATGGGCATTGATCCTCGGCATATGCAGCTCCTGGCTGATGTGATGACCTACCGAGGCGAAGTTCTTGGTATCACACGCTTTGGTCTGAGTAAGATGAGAGACAGTGTGCTACAACTTGCAAGTTTTGAGAAGACACCAGATCATCTCTTTGAAGCTGCATGGCATGCGAAGAGAGACAAGGTCGAAGGCGTCAGCGAATGTATCATTTTCGGACAAAGTACCGGCCAGGGCACAGGTGCCTTCGAGGTGGTGAAGTTGTTAGATCTTCCAACAGACTCCTTGAACGAAAAGAAAGCAATATTTGAAGATACATGGGAGGCATTGGAGGTTGAGCTCATGAGAGATAGAAGCAGGCGATAATCTTCCGTTTGGCGAGACGTATACGAACCCCATTGGTAATGTGGCTGCTACCTCCTAAAGAAGGTTTCACTCACACGATCTTCCGGATAGCAATGACAGGCGTCGACGTAAGGCTTGAACCATGTTGGCCTCGGTCATGGGAAGCACGATGAACAACCCATATATACCACATGAAAGTATGAAAATTCAGTGCGTTAGCTTTGTTTGCAGGATGTTGCTCTTTCAAAATACTTCCGTCATTGGCCTCATCTCAAGCCGATAATGCTACTTACGACGCTGCTGCACGAGATCTATGGTTTCAGTGGTCTACAAGGTGAGTGAGCTCCATCATGAATAGCAAATGTGTTAATTCATATGGTAGCCTCTGAAAATCTCACAAGTAAGTAGATCTTGTGATGGCCTGTGGCAATTCTTATTCAGGGCATGCGGTTGAGCACGCTGACAACCCACCACCAGCGAGATCAGCTTCCTCGAAGAAGGCTACTATCGGAATTGCGGCCCAGCAAGATGGTGATCTGGATGCTGTAGAGTGCTCTCTTGTATTGAGCAGAGAGGTTTAGAGACGATGCAAGTATCGCGCGATATCTGTGGAAGTCGATTCGATTTGAAGCGACAATGGTAGACATCTAGAATTGAGCTTCAAATTGAACTCAAATAATATACAGAGTCTGAGTCGGATCGAGGGCCCACGTAATGCTCAACTGCGTCAGCCTCAGAACATATCCAAGCAATTGCAGTAATTTATTTCTCATTGGTGTGACTACTGCTCGATTTGATTTCGCCTTCTTTAACCGGCTTGGGCAATTCACTGTTGGCGGAAGGGAAGGCAAGCACATGCAGAATTTTGGAGCTTAATCACCAGAAAATATCATCTTGCGTACACAGCTATGCTCATCAGAGCTCAGGTCGAAGAGAGATTGAACATCGTGAAAGGGACAGAAGCAATCGCTGGGACTAGCTTTTCAGAGTCCTATTACCTTATCTACGTAGTTAGATAGAGCATATCTATGTTTCGGGAGTATGTCTTAGAGGTAAGCATTGTGCGATTGCTCTTAAGACATCTAAAAATGATAAAAAGAACTCCGAAAAGACAGTCATGGCAGTGCCACAATATGCAAAGAGAAATAGGACAGGGCTACGAAAAACTTGGCGAATTGACACATTCATTCAATCATGTCCTCGTCCTCGCCAGCCCACGCTCCCATGAAAGCATCCTCCGAAATGGGCGACCTTAGGTCAGCGTTTGTCCTTGCAGCCCACTCCTTCACGTTCTTCTTACTGACTGCAAGACTCCCATCCTTCCTTTTGGCCCCCAACACTCCCATTCTGTTTAGAGAAGCAATCACATCTTCAGTCAGCACCCACGCTTCCTTTGCAACATCCGAAACAATGATTGAAGATCTCCCCTTCATACCCAATATCGTCCTTGCAATCCTCGCCTCCCAGAATTGCATGTAGCCTCTCTTGCCAAGCTCACTCAACGGCTTCTCTGGCCCACCATATCTGCCTTCTCGCTCACTAAGCTCATAGCTCACACCCATTAGGACCTTGCCTAAGCCTTTGCGCTGCCATGGTGGAAAGACCAATATGCAGGCTAGATTATTGTTGTCCCATGACATCTTCTCCTTGCTGAAGAAGCCTATGATCTGAGGGCTGGGCTTGGGAGCTGTTTGGGAGGGTTGATAGACGAGGGCGTAGTAGTCGAAGGAGGCCACGTCGAAGAAGACGGATTTATTGTCAAGGAAGAGCTTAGCGAAGAGTGAGAGGTTCTGGGCGAATAGCTGTTATGAGCGCGTTAGTGGTCGTATCAAACGACGTGCTGAGAGAGGTTGTATTCAAAGAACTTGCTTGATGCTCCTCGCCATCGATCTCGTAGATACCATGCTGGCCATGAGCGTAGATCAATTCGCCAGGCGGTCCATCGTCTTTTTCGACACACAATCTCTGACCTCCAAAGCGTAAGTCTTGCATCTTTGAAGGACGCACATCATTCATCTTTTAGAGCATACCGTATGGGTCAGGTACTGCTGTTGCTCCTTTGAGTATTTGAAGCACCATTGACAGATATAGAGCCTGTCGAGCTCTTTCCCTACGAGCTCATCAGGGTAGAAAGAAGGAAACCAAGTGTCGAAGAGGATGTCCCCAAGCACGACATGGTGTATGTCCGGCTTACGATCAAGGCGTTTTGGAGAGGCCAGAGATGAGCCTTTTGCGCCTGGGTTGGCCGACAGGCGGCCCATTGATAAGCCGGAGTCCCTGATATGCAATACTCCTAGAGGCTGATCTCATTGTGATCAAAATCGAAAAATTTGATGAGCACGGTTTAGGCCATGACGAGAAGGGATGTCGCATAACCGCGCTAGCCCATTTACAGACGGCATATTAGAAATTAGAATACACAGGAATTCCGACTGCATGCATTGTTCCAGAAACGATACTCTGCATTGGGGGTATCTAATGCTCGTTATGCAATTTCCACCGCGAAAGCCACCATCTTACATTCACAAAACATCCATCTCGTCAGCTTCTGTTTCATAGGTATCTTCCATCAAGAATTCATGTGACAGCGCTGCTCTCGCGGACAATCTCCTCCGGGGATCTAATTCCAACAGTAGCTCCAAGAATCTCACTGTCTCTCTGACATCCGGTTCCAGAGCTCGATCGTCATCTACTCGGTAGACTGACGTTGACCACTGCACGACCTGTGGGAGCGAGTGGCCTTTCTCGCCCACGCTTGGAAGGGTACACTCGTACATCGAGCCATGTAACAGCGCGCACTGCTTCATTCGCTGGCGTCCAAAGATTGTGGACATTTCAATCATTGCGTCAACGTCATCTGCAGAATTGAAGAATGGGAAGCGCCTGGCCAAAATAGTGAGAAGTATTACGCCCGCAGACCAAATGTCGATCTTCGTAGTTTGCGCCGTACATTTGAATAAGACTTCTGGTGCCCGGAATCCCCTAGTCCCCGCACGGTTTGCTCTTCTTGGTGGCCTCTGGTCGTCCTTGGGGTAGCCGTTCGGCTGTGCATGGGTGAACGCTCGACTTGATTGAATTTTTGCTTTCCGTGTACTCGACTGATCTTGACATAGACAGTGGTTAGAGTCGCTTCCTTCTCGCTGCTCTCCAAGATCAGACAGTCGCAAATGAACCTTCAGAGTACAGGAACATACCTCTGCCAGCCCGAAGTCCACTAATACTCCTTGTTCTGTTTCAATATCATATAGAAAATTTCTACAACTGTTTAGCCTAAGCTTTGTATGCAAACCGGAGGATATTACGTTGGTTTGATATCTCGATGGATGATCTTAGATTTGTGGATAAACGCTAACGCCTCGAATAAAGATCTGAAGTAGATCTTTATATCTTCAACCTTCATTTGACGGTAATACAACTAGTTCAGGTAAGCAATTGCGTGATTTCTCAGACATAAATCACATACGCGGAAATCTTGATGCCGGAAATGTGGCAGAACAGCAACAACTTGGTCCTGATACCGAAACGCGGTTATCAAAGGGCAGACTGAAGCGCTTCCTCGAAGATTGTGCAGCAGTTCTAATTCGTTGAAAATCCTTATGGGACTGCTTGTGACATAGATTTTTTTGATAGCGACGAAACGCCGTTTGGGTTTTTGCGGCGATGCCCACTTAGAAGACTCCTTAGGTTGTACGTCCCAGTCGTTCTTAAAGCGATCATACATCAAGTCCTCAGCTTGATAAACGGTGGAAAAAGTCCCTGAAAAGAATGAGTGGCGATGCGCATCAACACTCTGGCGCTTGACACTTACCCTCCCCAATGCGATCTATCATTCGGTACTTCATACCCTTTTCTCTGAATATCCGATCAAGTTTTGCCATATCCTCCCTGACGACCTGAGCGATCTGCTGTCGCCTTGTCGAAACATCTTCACTCCCGTCAGATACCTCAGAGTCCTCAGCATCATTTTGCTGGTCTTGCGACTCCCCTTCATCTACGGGCCCTAGTGGACAACAGGGCGTTTGGAAAGGATCCTCCTGGTTTACGGCCACGGTCACTTGAGCCATCGTAGCCAGGACACAATCGTGCTTCAATTGACATCACGAAGCGCGCAATGGCAGCGAGTCCCTTGGCCCTTCCTCCATACAAAACGTCAAATTGTTCAATTATTGGTGGGGTAGACGCGTCGCGCGTCTAAAACGTAAATAAAGGTCCGTGCGCAGTAAACAGACGGGGACCGCAGTCGGGATGTAAAGAATCGACTTACGACGAGTAAGAATACTCACCTGTCATCGCCATCATGGACAGTAATACTGAGTTCGACATCAATGATGCGCTGAAATATTATCTCAGCGACCCTGCTTCAATCGCGACACCAGAGGCAGACGGGATCCTTCAAGACTGCGAGACCGCTCCCGAGTCTCTGACTAGTGCCACGGTGAACAGCGTCCTCAATCCTATTATAGATGCGATCGCGGTGAATCCAGAAGCTCTATCAAGAAGCTCTGTATTTGATTCTCTGCAATTCTTGCTCAAGTGTGCCCCTACTTCTCTTTCCCGTGAAACCCCCGTCGTCAAGAAACATATTCTGAGCTTTTCGAACTTTCTAGACAGGCTTCGCTATTACCTGCTCAGACTTTGAGCAAACTATTTGACCTGCTCATTTCCGGCCTCTCTGCTCAGGCAGACATCGTCAACAATGACCTGGAAACGGAGGACCCGGGAGCAACGCGACAGCAGAAGCACTTACTCGAGATGTATGCATTCCTCTTACAATGGTCGATTTCAGCAGTCGAGGTCAAAACAGCGGAAAAGCCTAGCAGTGCTTTGACAAAAGTCAGAGGGAAGGGCGCAAAGTCAAAAGCCAGCCTGAAAGATGGGAGCTGGGACTCCGCAGCGCAAGTGCAAAGTGCTCTTGATACTATGTGCAAGGTGTTAAAGGTCAAGTTGGCAAAAATATTCGTGACTACCTCCGAACGGGACACTTTCATAAGTCTTTTCACCAGACCCGTGTACCTGGTCATGGAGAGCGAACAGCGTGTCAAGCTTACGGCTTTACGTATGCATGCTTTCAAGGTACTCTGTATAGCGATCAAGCACCATGGGCATGCTTTTGGTAAGGAATCTTGTCATGTTTCTGGGAATGTGCCACTGAAATTGCATGAGGTGCTCAAACGGCCATCGTACAGAATCTTACATATTACGAGCATTTGGCGGAGCCAATGGCTGAATTTGTGCACATACTTGCTGAACAATACGACTATCCACAGCTCGCAGATGAAGTCTTGAGGTATATCAAAGGTGCTGACTTATTCACTCATCAGATTGCTAACCGTACGCCGGTAGAGACTTAAGTAACAAGGAATTCAACAACAACGACAGCCGAGGACCAAAGTCCGTCTCCACTTTCTTTGTCAAGCTTTCAGAGTTGGCTCCGCGGCCAATCATGAAGCAGATGACGTTGCTTATCAAGCAATTGGATAGCGAGGTGTGTTTATTTATTGGTCTCTTTTTGGGAGCAACCCAGCTGAATGACATAGGCATACGCCCTTCGCTGTGCTATCATTGAAGTGTGTGGAAACTTAGTCGCCTATCTAAGCAAACAGGAAGAACGAAACGAAAACTCCAAGGCACAAATCAACGCATTTTTTGACATTTTGGAGGAAAGGTTTTTGGATACTAACCCGTACTGTCGTTGTCGAACGATACAGGTCTACGTCAAGATTTGCGATCTAGATCAGAAGTTCCCCAAACGGCGTCAGGCGGTTGCCGAGTTGGCTATACGGAGTCTTGAAGATAAAAGTAGCAACGTCCGCCGCAATGCTATCAAACTTGTTGGTAAATTGGTCTCCACCCACCCGTTTAGTGTTATGCATGGAGGCCAATTATCGTACTCTGAATGGGATGAGAGGCTAAAGACCGTTGAAGCACAACTCGATGCTTTGAAGCCTCCAGCTGACTCGCCAGGTCTGGGGAAGAGGCAGAGTCAGGCTGAAGGAGCCGTCGATAGTGCGCTACTAGATGAAGCAAGCACTGTAGAGAGCCCTCAAAAGGCACCTGCATCAATGACCGAGGTGCAACGGGAGGAGGCCATGAGAAAGGCTGCCGAGAATGCAGCAACGTCAGAGCTTCTGAACAAATTACAACTAACGCGGAAGTATTATGTCGAAGCAATCCGCTTTATCGAAGTCCTTCATGCTGGGACTCCGGTCGTGTGCCAATTGTTGTCTTCAAAAAACAAGAGTGAAGTAATAGAAGCCATGGACTTCTTTGTCATTCTCGACGCGTACAAGATCGAGCCCGCAAGATTAGGGATTCGCCGAATGCTACGATTGATCTGGACTAAAGGCAACAGCGACGAAGGTAAAGGAGTACAGACCCACCTCATGGATTGCTACAGAGGTCTCTTCTTCACCGCGCCGGACACTTTCAGCGAGAACGATGCAGCAAACTACGTAGCACGGAATATGATCAGTCTGACTTTTGGTGCGACCCCAGCTGAGCTGACATCTCTAGAGCAGCTTCTTAACACAATGGTAAAAGTTGAGCTTGTCTCTTCTCTGGTTGTGAGAAAGCTGTGGCAAGTATACGGTGTCCAAAAGCAAGAGATCTCTAAGACCCAGAGACGAGGAGCCATCATTGTCATTGGAATGCTTGCGACAGCAGACCCTGAGATCGTTTCGAGAGAGATGGAAACATTACTTAGAATTGGCCTTGGACCCCTTGGGCGCAAGGACCTCGTCCTATCAAAATATACATGCCTGGCTCTACGCCGCATGCACCCGACCAAGCAGCAGGGAAAGGAGCATAGTGCCCCTGTTGTGAGATTAAGCAATGAACATGCGATCTTGAGTCAACTGGCAGCAATGGTTGAGCTTGTTTCTGATAGCAAGGAATGGTAGGCTCGCTATACCTCTATCGATTCGACTACTGATTCTTTCTAGGTTTGGAGTTGCTGAGCAAGCCGTTGGTGCCATCTATGCTTTATCGAAGCATCCAGACTCTCTATGCTCCGCAATAGTTCGAAGGAAGACGCAGTCTGTGTTCAGGCCGTACGGTCAGCAAACCCAAGAAGCGATTAATGGTAGGGCGGGAAACGAAAGCGGCTTGCCTTCACCGCCCCCAGAGCAACCCGAACAGCGGCAGAAAGGAAGTCTGGCTCTGTCGCAGTTGCTCTTTATCGTCGGGCATATTGCAATCAAGCAAATTGTCCATTTGGAGCTGTGTGAGCTCGACTTCAAGCGGAGAAAAGCGGACAAAGAGAAGGCTAGAGGTAGCAATGCATCTCCAACCAAGTCAGCAAACGTCGACGAGCAAGAACTAGATATGATTGGTGGTACAACAGAAGACGATTTCACCGAGGCCATGAACAGCATCCGAGAACGAGAGCTTCTCTACGGCGAGAACTCGTTGCTCTCGAATTTTTGGCCTTTGGTCACTGAAATTTGCGCGAACAACACAATCTACCCTGACGAAGACCTACAAGCTGCAGCAACACTATGCATGGCCAAGCTGATGTGCGTATCCTCCAAATTCTGTGAAACAAATTTGCCACTTCTCATCACCATCCTGGAGCGGTCACAGAACCCAATAACGCGAAGTAATGTTGTCGTTGCGTTAGGCGACATGGCGGTTTGCTTCAACCATCTCATTGACGAAAACACTGACTTCCTCTATCGCCGGTTGAGTGACTCAGACGGCTCTGTGAAACGTACTTGCTTAATGACACTGACATTCCTCATATTGGCTGGGCAAGTCAAAGTCAAGGGGCAACTTGGTGAGATGGCCAAATGCCTAGAAGAATCAGACAAGCGTATTGCGGACCTATCTAAGATGTTTTTCACCGAGCTCGCCACGAAAGACAATGCGATCTACAATAATTTCATAGATATGTTCTCCTTACTCAGTGCGGAGAAGGAATTGGAAGAGGATGCATTCAAGAGGATCACCAAGTTCCTTTCCTCGTTCATCGAAAAGGTGAGAGTCACGCAATCTATTTCCATTGAAGGAGGCGTAAAGTGTTTTGTACAGAATACTGACAATGCTTGTAGGACAAGCACGCCAAACAATTGGCAGACAAGCTAGCTGCTAGGCTTCAGCGTTGTGAGACAGAACGACAGTGGAACGATGTGGCTTACATACTATCGTTACTTCAACACAAGAATGAAGACATTCAGAAGACGATCAGCAACGGGTTTCACCTTGTCGAGGCTGCTGCATGAGTACTCTGTGGGTGTACGTTCTTTTTCTTAAAGTACGGTGCTTTGGCGTTGATCAAGGAGGGATAAGTGATGATACCCCAATCAAGGTTGACGTGGTATGTGATGAAAGAATGGAGTTGTTGTCAAAAGGACGTCTCATCCATGGGGCACTGCCCTCAACCTTAGTGGTAGCAGCAATCGAAAGGCCGAGTTGCCGTTCAGATAATATCGGTGCAGCTGTTTGCTTCTAATGAACCCAAGCTTCTCGTACAACCTCGTTGCTGCGGCGTTAATGACTTCAGTCTCAAGACATACCTGATGACGGTGAGTTCAGAAACAATAATGAGAAAACTCTGAGCGGACTTCCTCAGCGCCCTTGGCAATCATGGCATCTATAGCTCTCTTGACAAGCCTTGTTGCTATACCTCTGTTCCTATGTTCTTCTTGAACGGCCAACATTGCGACATAGCCTCTTTGCAACTCGCCCCTGTGTTGTTCAAGCTTGCAGATCACGACGCCGATGAGTTTGGCATCTTGATCTACAGCCTTAGGAGAACACATCAACAATTATATTTGACCATGCGTCTGAAGCAAGCATACAATGAAGCATAGATCTCCCCATTCTCCTAAGAAATAGCGGTAAACGTAAATGCTATAGGGCTCTGAAAGATCTTTAGAGATCAGATCCCGCATAGGGGTGAGATAGGCTGCTTCTTTCTCATGCGTGTACTGAATCAGATCTAAGTGCAGTGGGTCTTGAGCTTTCTGATCGTAACTCATGACAGCATATATCAATAAGTCGACGTAGCGAGATGTTCAATTCAGTGATGTTTGATGCTGAAAAATGCCCACAGATACCCTCCCGTGAATCTTGTGTAACGACTGCGTAATTTGTCTCCTGTACGACAGCAGGGCCGGTTTGTCGGACTGAACTAGAGTAGGGTACTATGCAAGGCGTCCATGATTTTGTATGCCTTGTCGGACCAGAATCTATTGGAATTGTCATCTTGTCTCGCTGAACGACCTGCTACACAGCGTCGTCTGCTCTCTTTTCTACTCAATGCTTGCATATATTTTATAAAGAAGAAGAAACCATGCGCTCTCGGTCAATATGTCCACCCTCCGAAGACGAATTATTGGAGACTCATCTGTTGACCCTTCACGAGACTCCTCCCCCCAAACCTGAACCGGTGATACCGGTCCCAGTTCGCCAACTTGAAAAGCTGAAGAGAAAGAAGGGCAAGCGAAAGTCATGGCTGCTGTTTGGACTCGGTGGGCTTTTTGGCATCTGCGTCGCTGCTTTCTTCGCCGAGCAGCATGATGTGATCAACTTTGAGGGGCTGGCGGACTTTAATCTGGATGCTTTAATTGACGTGATCCCAGCTGGAATCGTGAAGGATGCAAAGGACATCACGGTAGCCTCCCTCGAGCGTGCCAACTGAGGAGCGTGGACTGAAGCTGATGCAGCTCACGTCCACTTTAGAATCATGAGCGCGAAGCCGTCAATTACGATTCCTTTGCTGTTGGATTGCACGCGCAATCTCAAGGGATCAAGGCAAAGCATCCGGTGATCATGGTACCAGGTGTAATATCTACAGGACTGGAAAGCTGGGGGACTGAAGAAGCTTCGAGGCCATATTTCAGGAAAAGACTATGGGGCAGCTGGAGTATGATGAGAGCCTTAGTCACAGATAAAGCCGGCTGGAAGAAGCATATCATGCTCGACAAAGAGACTGGCCTTGATCCTCCCGGTGTGAAGTTGAGAGCTTCTCAAGGATTTGATGCTACAGATTTCTTCATCACTGGCTACTGGATCTGGAACAAGATTCTTGAGAACCTAGCAACAGTTGGCTACGATCCGTCGAATGCTTTCAGTGCGACTTACGATTGGCGATTATCATATGCCAATCTAGAGAACAGGGATCAATACTTCTCGCGTCTTCGTGGTCATATCGAGCTTGCCGTAAATACGAAGGGAGAGAAGGTTACCATCGTATCTCACAGCATGGGTTCTCAAGTACTGTTCTACTTCCTTCATTGGGTAGAATCAGAAGCCGGCCAAGGTTGGGTAGAGAAATATGTTGATTCTTGGATTAACATCAGCGGCTCTCTGCTTGGAGCGCTGAAGGGTTTACCAGCGTTTCTTTCCGGCGAGATGAAAGACACGGCGCAGCTAAATCCATTCGCAGTCTACGGCCTGGAAAAGTTCCTTGGTAAAGGCGAGCGCTGTGAGATCTTCCGTAGCATGCCCGGCACCTCTTCCCTTCTGCCAAAGGGAGGTAATGCAGTCTGGGGCGACAGAACATGGGCGCCAGATGACCAAGTCGGGCGTAATATAAGCTATGGCACTTTCCTCAATTTTCGGGATCGCAATGTCACGCAAGGGGCCTCACGAAATCTTACTATCGAAGAGTCGCTCGAGTATCTTCTGTCCAACGCAGAAGACTGGTACAAGTCTATGGTCCTTGAAAATTACTCTCATGGTGTCGCACTCACTACCGCCGAAGTCGAGATGAACGAGCGTATTGCGTCTAAATGGGTCAATCCGCTCGAAACTCGGCTCCCGCTCGCGCCTAGTCTCAAGATATACTGCTTCTACGGAATAGGGAAAGCAACAGAAAGATCCTACTTCTACAAGGATGACCCAGACCCTCTGAACACTGCTAATGTGACGATTGATACGAGTGTAACGGGTGGTGAGATCGACCACGGCGTGATTCAAGGCGAAGGGGACGGCACCGTGCCCTTGTTAAGCAATGGCTACATGTGTGCCAAAGGCTGGAACATCAAGCGATTCAATCCTGCTGGAATCAAAGTCAAGACATTTGAGATGCCGCATGAGCCTGATAGATTCAGTCCAAGGGGAGGGCCAAATACTGGTACGTACTCGACCGATGCAGGGAATAAAGAATTGTGATCTTTGCTGATGCATTTCGCGATTTAGGCGATCATGTAGATATTCTAGGGAGGTCATCGCTTAATGATCTTATCCTGAGAGTCGCAGGTGGCAAGGGAGACCTCATCGAGGAATCTTATGTAAGTGATATAAGGAAGTATGCGGAGAAGGTCAGAATTTATGAAGAGGAGCCCGCTTTTGGAGAGAAAGCGAATTTTCCATAGGGAAAGCTGGATTTTACATGATTACAATAGAACGCAACAGATTCATAGAATATCAGAATTCTCGTTGATTGAATGATGCTTCGGCATTACTATCAACGACCGCTTATCCATCCCGTAGTCTCTCTCCTACGTACGTCATCTCCATTTTCAAACATACATTATCGTAACCAAATTGTACAGAAGAAGCGGATGAGATTTCCGTATGGTGACATCCAGCTTCATATGCCCGATCGTATACACAACGCCAACGCTGCAGTTCATGCAAAAGTCCCGCAAATACTATGCTGCAAACTCATTAATGTTGTTGCAGGTCGCATCCCATTATTCTATGGTCAGTTTTATTAATCAAAAGCCCTCGCTTTTGCTGTTTGTCTTGGAAGACTCGCGCCATTGAGTTTGTTTCTCTCCAAAAGCGCTGCCCTACCCTCCTTTTCTTTGTTTGCTTCTCGAATCATTTGCCGCCTTCGGGCATCGAAATCAAAATCAGGCATCGGCTCATCATTACTGTTATTGCGAGAATGGAGTTGCGATGATCGTCCACTCCCGTTCTCTCGGTCACGGATTGATGAAGTAGATTTCATCTTTCGTAGGCCTTTGGAAGGCTTGCTCGATTCCTTGCCGTTTGTAGTGGTGTGGTAATCGAGGTCTGTGATTAAGCCGATGTTCCCATTGGAGATTTCTTTCACGTCATTACGTCCGCGAAAGCTTCGGATTTCGCGAGCAATCTTCTCGAGGGTTGTAAATGGCGTACGCTCCCTTTTCTTCGACGTTGTTGTTGGCATGGTGTTGGCCTTTTGAAGGCTGGGCGGTGAGGCTGGAAGCGGTTTATTGATCGTGGTTGGAATGTTCGAGTGGCTGTGGTCGCTACTGCTGGTGGAAGGACGATCGCTTGTTGCAAAGCTGACACCGGAGTCTGCTTTACGTTCATTTCGGCGACGTGATACAGCCTCTGGTGAGAAGTAAGAGGCACCAGTGACTTCTCCACACTCGTCAATGAGACCATTGGCAGTCCGTAGATACTTATCGACTACTTCACGAACAGCCTTCCATCCATTTCGGTCTTCAGGCTTAGCTCCTTGAAGCTCCAAGTTTTTAAGGATTTCTCTACCGTTGTTCTCGACGCCGGTGATGTATCTAAAAAAAGCGGCTCTTTGGGTCGAGAGGATATGCTGGGTCAGCTGTCTCGTAGGTGGCGAGACAGTGGCAGGTGGGTAGAGCGTGTTCAGCATCGCTATGCTATTGGCCTTTGAGAATGGTTCTAGACGCATCTCATTGATCAAAGTCTAAAGTCGACCGTTATTAGCCGCCTTCCAACTGTTGAAGAAGCACATAGAACTTACCCAGCGGCGAAGGCCAATGTAGACTTGTGTGTATAGCGCCTCAACCTTTCGCTCTTTGTCATGCATCCCATTTACCCATTCTGAAATCCGAGAATTGTAGCTGATTTCCGCCCTCCGCTCAGACACAACGTCTTCATCTATGCCGAGACGTTGCAAGACCGCAGTCAGCTCTCTCTTCCTCCTGTTCTCTAGATCTTTCAAGTAATCGAGCGCGGTCAGGGACTGAGTGAAATCAACCATAGCCAAGTCTTCTGTAAAACACCGTCGGACGAAAGAAGTGATGAACGCCGGAGGCAGTGAACATGGCTGCGAGGGCAATTGGCTGATGTGTTCCATCAAGCACTGTTTAAAATGATCTGTTGCGGTGGCTTGCGGTAGATGATGCTTTGGATCCACAGGAAACTCTGGTGTCTGTGGAGAACCGTCAAGGCTAGAGGCGGATGAGGACAAGGACGGAGTATCGACACGAGTCGATTGACGAGGAGGTTGCTGCGCAGAGGGTGCAGAATTCAGAGTATACATCGTACGTAAAGGTATTTCATATGTGCTGGGATAGGTTAGGAGGTGCTCCAATATCCAAGGGTAGGCTGAACCCTCGGTTGACGAAGAGGACGAAGAGCTGTTGTGTGGAGACATGATGAGGAATGCTGCTGATGGTAGCGGATTTGTATTGACGGTCGGCGTGGAGGGAACTGAGTACGCTGCAGTCGCGAGTAGTGCGTTAGACCATTGGGGATGGGGGTGATAAGGCCAGAGGTAAGCAAGAGCAGACGCCCTGGTGGACGACGTAGCTATAGAACGGGGACGTAGGCCTCTCGTGTTGTTTGTTGTGGTTGGTGTTTTGTTGCGGTTGCCCGTGCTGTTGCTACCCAGTGTCTGTCACCGACCCTCGATGACAGCGCCCCACGTACACAACACCCAAAACCCCTGCAACCTCCCGCACAATTATGACAGATACCCGATGATGCTGTGTTCCTTTCTGAAATCGATTGCCAGCAATTCAAGCAGAGTTTCCAATCAATCTAGGAAACGCGACAATGGCTTTGCACCTCCAGTCGAGACCAAAAGGCTAGGTAGGTTATTAGGGTCGCAAGTAATGTTCACCGCAAGCTGGACTTTTCCGTTTTCCCAGTGAGAAGTTAGAGTCCGAAGCAGCTCCGTCCACAAAAATTGCTGAGAGATAGGCACGGTTTGCGGCGTGAGCTCGTTGGAGAGGGTGTGCCCGCGGCGAGCCCGAATATTGTTCTGGCACCGAGGTTTGGTAGCTCGCCGAGCAACGGAATGGCCAAAGAAGTGACAGTCAAGGTGGATAGCCAGAAGCGATCAAGGAGGGAGTAGGATGAGGATGCCGGAAGCTGAAGCAGACACGAGAATGATGATTGGGGTCAAAATGGGAAGAAATGGCAGAAACGGCAACTTAAGCGGTACCTGCGCCTCCCGCGCAATTACTACTGCGCTCTAGGTACCAGCACGGTAGACGGTCGAACGAGGATGATGATTATGATTATTCGGCTCAACTCCTTTCCCAAACGATTCAGCCGTGCGGTTCCTTTGGTTCCCTTTGCTCTGTTCGCATGCTTCTTTTCGGTAAGGATGCGCTCGTCTAAAGATCCCATCGATCCTATTCTTCAGCCGCCCTAGTGAATAATAGCAGAAAGGCCGACGTTACAGCATGGAACCTGTGCCGTCCTTCCACCACCAGAGACAGACGTCCGAGGACCCCTTGACTGGCACGCTCGACCTGAGGGATGGGCAGATCACGATGCCGTGCATGGAACTACGCTGCTTCTTCGAATTCATCTGCGAGATCGCCAATCAGATCCACTACTCTACATATGAATGTGTGACATGACCTGGACAGATCCCGCTTTGAGAAAATTAGGATGCTTGAATTATGCGACATGCAGCCAGCCATTATGATTGCGGAAAAAGGAAAAAGGAAAAAGGAGATTACTTTATCGGCTTTCTTCTTCAGATCTAGACCTAGTGCACATGCACGCTTCACCGTGGGATCTGCTCAAAGACCACTATTCTTGCTCAATAATAATCTGCCTCATTGCAATCCGAATCAGGATTTGAACGACTGTGGTCCTCCTCCGGTTGGGACATCTACGCCCCCCCGCCCTCCATGTCTCCAGGCCCAGGCCAGGCCCAGCAGGATGCTCGTGGCCTCCCTCCCTCCCAAGCGGCGACTGCCTCCTCGGCACAAACCGAACGTTTGGACCATGGGGAGAGCCGGTCCCGGCGCTGCAAGCCATGCGTGGGTGACTTAGTCCTACGCCATCCCGCATACCCGCCTCAATCAGTCGACGGCACATCCAGGCGTGCCATACACCTTCTCCGCTCCCGCCGCTTAGGACTGCTGGGCTCGACCTAAGCGGTTTTGTAGGAGACCGCCTCACACACCTTCCTCTGGAGGGGCTATATCCACGAGGTTTGCATGTGCCCAGCGCATATACCTCGACACATTGCTCCGATCTGTCGCATTTTCCGAACACGTGGAAAGTGTCTACTACTGACTGAGTACCGCATTGCCCGCTCCCACCGCCTTTCAGCGTTTTGTTCCTCGTGAACTTTACCATAGGCAACCAGAGGCAGGGGAATTGGAGCAGCGCTCACTTCAGAGCTGTCTTGGACGAGAGAGGTCATAATAATGCCTCAATGACGATGCCCTGAGGGCGCAATTACCAAATCGAAGTTGACACGGACGTTCAACTAGTCATCGGCCATACGCCAGGCTGGCCTACTGCTGAATCCTGGGGTACTCACAAGCCAGCCAATAACAACCATAGCGGAAGGTGAAAGGCCAGGCACCTCAGCCTGTGAAGATCCCGCTGCACGTGTATGTGAAACTCAAGCGACAAAGCCACGGAAAAGCCCACGGCCGAAGATCACTACTACGATGTGCTAGCCAAAGGCAAAGGAGTCTGGCTTGGGTTGTTAAAGAGCGGAATGGCGCGCCTGGTACCGAGCCTGTTCGAGGACTGAAACCTCGCCCGTGGTGAAACGACGAAACATGAGCCGTGGTCAGGTTCGCATCATTGATGGATCTTCAACACCATCAAGGACTCAATGAGTTCACTGTCGCGGCAAGTTCTATTCCTAGCATGCTGCCGCACTTGCAGTGCTCGACCACCAACTGCTTCGACTGGTGAAACGAACCATTATCATTGAGTTATTTTCAGTGCTTCATGCTCTTCTTCAAGAACGAGGGCGCAAGCCAGCTTTGAGACATGATGGAAACTATGGAGTCGGCTAAGAGCACCGAAACTTTACATTCAGGGTAACATCAGACAGCCTGACGTAACATCCACAGCACTTCCAGCAAGAACGACCTTCTCGACGCTTTTACCGCTGCTGTCCAGCGTGACCGTCACGTGTATCTCACCTGTGCGGCCCATTTCGACCCCTTGCTCGATCACATATGCATACGTTTTGTCAGCTTCGCTACGCAGAAGCGAGAGGTATGATGCCAGAGTGCAGGCTGCGCTTCCGGTACATGCGTCCTCTTCAATGCGTGGTGAGAACATTCTGCTCCGGATCGTCGTTTCGGTTTGCAAGGTTCCCGTAAGCGTATAGTAGTAAGAAGCTGTGAGTGAAGGCTCCCAACCTTCGTCGAGGCTTAAAACGGAATCTGGGTCAATCTGCGCGGACGGATCTAGTGCGCTAAGATTTGCGAGCTCAGGTACTTCGATCAACGCAAATGTCATCCCTTTGACAATAGAGACGAAAGGGAAATGGCTGTATTTTGGATCCTGAGGAAGCCTGTCGATGGGTTGCCTGTCGAGGAAATCGCTCCTGCGGGCTTTCGCTTCGTGGATGTGGACCTTATGCGGGACTTCAGCCTCTGCCTGCAGCGTCCGCCGATTGTACCTGCCAACAAGTGGACCAGCCTTCAGGACGAATTTCACATTCTCTAATGGCGGGGAGGTGCTCTGAGCTACATGAACTAAGCTGCCAATGATAGGATGCCCAGCGAATGGCAATTCCTGCGTAGAGGTAAATATATCGAGGCGACGCTCCTGGGAATCAGGTCTAGGGGCATGCAGAAAGACCGTTTCAGAGAAGTTGAATTCACGGGCAATGGCTTGTTTCGTCTGCTGGTTGAGACCTTCCGCCTCAGCTGGCAGTTTGACGATGGCAAGCTGATTGCCTTTGAAGCGGGTGCGGGTAAACACATCAACGGTCGCAAAGTCTAGACTATTGGGCATCGACATGATGAGCGAGGTTGATAGAGCGCGCTGTGGGGAGGGAACAGGTAGGAAAGGCAGTTACCTCCAGCAATGATGAACGAGAAAGGTAGATAACTAAATGTTTGACTCACGTGAAAAAGATCTCATTTTGGTCAGTATTGCTGATTTCTCACCTCAGTACGCACACAAGGCACATCAGTTTTTGAGAGGGGCCAGGCTTCATATGATGCTTTTCCTAGCTACGTGCAAGAAGGGTATCAATGAGTCCCTCATGCCAGTCAACATCCATTCAGAAGGATTCGACATCAGTCGGAAATGCAGAAATCATTTGACCTCGTCTTTGACGCCCCCAGTATTTTGCATCACTTGCCGGTACTTTCAAGACTGAGCGGCCCAAGGGTCCCCTAGGTCACGTGCTTAATCCCCTAAATCCGAATTGCAGATTTATGTGTCCTGAGCATGGCATGTCAAAATCGTAAATACTTTTCCCAAGCTGGCGCTCCAAGCGTGAATGCTTGCATAAACTGCCATGGGACTGCAAACTTGCCGGCAGGAGCTAGTGAGGCTCTTGTCCTTTGCAATTGTGCTCAGTGCCAGACTGGTTCTGGCCGGCCCTTCGATCAATGTCGCATTGCAAGCATCCTTTGCTTCTCCGCCTTACCTACTAGAGCTGCTGTTGGTGATACTCCAGGCCGCTCCTGTAAATCTATGCTGGTCAGCTGACATGTAGCAGAGAAACGGCCGCAGAGGAAAACCCAACTTCCTACTTTCCACTCCTTGATCGGATAGCCGAAGGGCGATTCATAGACTGCAATACGGATCAAGAATTATATGACAATTTCCTGCATGTCTTGAGGGAGGAGGGCCATATCGACACTGAGGAGGGCATAGCCTCCTTCCAATTTGCGCTCTCGATACACTCTGCAGCGCCTCGGATTCAAGCGCACTATCAGTATTATGAAACCTCCATTGAGCCGTCACTGATGGTTGCACAAGACGCGGCTTGTCCAATATGGGTCCACTTTAATGGTAAACAATACTGCTCGCCTGCTCTGGACAAGGCCCAGCAGGACGCAGGGCAGATCAAGAACCTTGCGGGGCTGCCATTTGATCGGATATTGGACGCGCCTGTAGACTCTGAAGCAGTACCATCAGTCCTTTATGCCGATATCACTTCTCCACTATTTGGACAGTTCCATCACACTATCAGTGCTACGGCAAGGAATGGGGAGACATCGTATAGGATACGATATAGGCCGCAAGGTTCGCAGGAGAGAAAGCCTTTACCGATCAATGGATATGGAGTAGAATTGATGCTCAAGCGCACCGATTACATTGTCATTGATGATCGTGAGGCCGCAAAGGAGGGCGAGGATGAGGCTGACTTTTCTGAGGAGACGGCTTCTGACTGGGAGGCACCCCCAATTTTAGATACGATTGACGAAGAGATCACAGATCTCAAGCCCTTGGCAGCGAAAGAGCTGTCTGGCCTTGGCCTCAAAACAACTAGCTTTATCATGGCGAGTGAGGATCCATTCGAAACATTAAACAAGATCTCTCGAGACTTTCCTAAGTTTTCCATGCCTCTTTCGAAGCGCAATGTCTCGAAAGAGGTTCTTGCCGAGCATCGTGTCAATCGTGAAAAGTTTCTCCCCGCAGGTTACAATGTCATTTGGATGAACGGTCAGCAAATCCAGTCGAGAGAGATGGACGCGTATGCTTTGCTTCAGCAATTGCGAAGGGAGCGTCAAATTGTAGGCAACCTCCAAAAGCTGGGCTTCACTGGCGCAGAGTCAGTGAAAATCCTATCAAGTTCAGCCATTTCAGAATCGAAAGTGGAGGAGGATTCTCAACGCTACAATTATAGGGACGACATCGAAGGTGGAGGAGTGATTATCTGGCTCAACGATATCGAAAGGGATCAGCGATACAGTTCATGGCCTCCTGAAGCCTCAGCTATTTTACAACGAACATGGCCAGGTCAATTGCCGCAAGTACGCAGAGACATTCACAATGTGGTCATCCCAATGGATTTGACGGATGATCAAGATCTTGAAATCATTGTGGAGCAACTACAGATGGCTGTGAAGCGCAAATTCCCTATCCGGTTTGGTATTGTACCTTTGCTGACAACAGCGAATGCCATTGATCAGGCAAAAGTGGTCTACCATATCTGGGATTCATATGGCCTCTCTGCTCTATTCTCTTACCTGGAACTCAGTAGAAAAAGTAAAGGACCAGCTGTTCTTCGGGGCAATTTTGAGTCTTCTGTGAAGGATCGTAAGCTTCGCCATGGTCGGCTAGCAGCTGACTTTCAAGAAGTGCTTCAAGGAGACAGCGAGAACATGCAGGCTTTGGACGAGTCGTCAGGAGAAAGTCTCAGCGCTACCGCAAATGCCATCTCTCTAGACCTCGTTCGTAGGTACTTCAAACGCTTGGGCATTGTGAGTCAGCCTGCGCCATTCTTCTCAAACGGGGTAGCCATGCCTCGAAATGACAATTGGCTTTCAGCAATGACATCGCGCGTGGACGCGGATTTGAGGATGCTCCAGCGTCAGGTGTACGAGGGGCAAATTCCTGAGGACAGTTGGCTTGCTGGTCAGCTGATTGAAAATGCGCCCGCGTATCGTAATGCCCTCATTGTGCCAGAAGACGAGGCTAGCATCAAATTTGTTGATATTGGAAGCCTTACTGACGCGCAAAAAGACCTCTATGACACTCTTCCCCACGTTCCGTCGGTACCAGAGGCTGTCGGGATGGAAAGGTTTGCCCCTGAACTCACGATCATTGCCAATTTTGATTCAGAGGATGGCGTGAAGCTCTTGCTAGAAGGTGCGAAGTTTCAACGAGAGCAGCCTGAGGTCGAAGTCAGACTTCTGCATAATCCCACAAGTACCAAATTGGCAGCTCGATCGATCATGATCGCTGAGCTTGCTAGAAGGAATCATGGACGACTAGAACGCGGAGCACTTGAGTCAGCTTTGCATGCAGAAAGACCGGCGAGTGAACATAGCCAACGCACAATTGAGGAAGCAGAAAGCACCTGGCAGGGATGTCAGCTACTTATCAGAGCATTCTCATTGACTCCTGGTGAACACTCGTTAATTTTGAATGGCAGAAAGGTAGGCCCTTTGCCTCCGGCGGCTGTCTTTTCGCTCGAAGACTTCAGTTTCCTTCTACAGTACGAGCGCCAAAAGCGACTTTTGCCAGCTGAAAAGGCTTTGACCACTCTCGGCTTGCACGATCGTCTAAAATCAGCGTCCGATTCGGCGGTTCTTACCTCTACCATTGCGCTTTCAGCTATCTCGGATATACCTGAGGGTATTTTTGACTCATCGCCAACAGTCCGTATGGACAGATTTCGTGACTGGTCAGATACTTACACCATGATCACGACTGGGAACGTGGAGACTTCTTCGATCCATCTCGTGGCCTCAATCGATCCCACGAGCCAAGTTGCGCAGAGGTGGATACCCATTTTGAAAGTGCTTTCGGAACTCAGTGGGGTCCATGTGAAGCTATTCTTAAATCCACGGGAAAAGATGCAGGAGCTCCCAGTTAAGCGTTTCTATCGCCACATTCTAGAGTCGAAGCCAACGTTCACCCAAAGCGGCGGTGTCAGTGCTCCTGGGGCAATTTTTCGAGGGGTACCAGAAGAAGCTCTGCTGAATCTCGCCCTCGATGTCCCACCAGCTTGGCTTGTCACTGCTAAACAATCCATTCACGACCTTGACAACATCAAGCTCAGCGCACTCAAGAAAGGAGAGGACGTAGATGCTTTGTACGAGCTAGAGTACATCCTGATCGAGGGCCACTCGAGGGATGTGTCTGTTGGCACTCCGCCTCGCGGAGTCCAATTGTTCCTCGGTACTGAGAGGAACCCGCATTTTGCGGATACGATCATCATGGCGAACCTAGGATATTTCCAGTTCAAGGTCAACCCTGGCTACTGGACCCTGAAATTACAGTCCGGAAGATCCTCCCAAATATTCGCCATCGATAGCGCTGGACAAGAGGGCTGGTACCCCGCGCCTGGCGACCACAGCACCGACATCACCTTAATGTCATTCCAAGGAAAGACGCTCTATCCGCGGCTATCCAGGCGACCCGGTCAGGAGAATGAGGATGTACTCGAAGAAGGAGGCTTGTCTATCCTCAAGACTGGTGCCGCGGCCCCTTACATTCAGAAAGCGAGCAAGCTCGCCTCCTCTTTTCTTTCCAAAACCGGGCTCATCCCTTCAGGCCCCCAACATGCCGACATCAATATCTTCTCTGTTGCCTCCGGCCACTTGTACGAGCGTATGCTATCCATCATGATAGTGAGTGTGATGCGCCACACCAACCGCACCGTCAAATTTTGGTTCATCGCTCAATTTCTCTCTCCCTCCTTCAAAGAGTCCCTCCCTACCCTCGCCTCCCACTACCACTTCGATTACGAACTCATCACCTACAAGTGGCCGCACTGGCTACGCGCTCAACCAGAAAAGCAGCGCCAGATCTGGGGCTACAAGATCCTCTTCCTGGATGTGCTCTTCCCCACCTCCCTTGAGAAAGTCATCTTCGTCGACGCCGATCAGATCGTCCGCACAGACATGTACGATCTCGTCACACTCGACCTCGAAGGCGCCCCATATGGTTTCACACCCATGTGCGACTCCCGCACCTCGATGGAAGGCTACCGCTTCTGGAAAACGGGCTATTGGGCCAACTTCCTGCGTGGGCTCCCCTACCACATCAGCGCCCTCTACGTCGTTGATCTTGTCAAATTTCGCGAGATTGCAGCCGGTGACCGCCTGCGGGGACAGTATCATCAGCTCTCTGCGGACCCAGCAAGCTTGTCGAATCTGGACCAGGACCTGCCCAATCACATGCAGCATGTGCTGCAGATCAAGAGCTTGCCACAGGAATGGCTGTGGTGCGAGACGTGGTGTGCGGATGAGGGCTTGGAGAAGGCAAGGACAATTGATTTGTGTAACAATCCGGAGACCAAGGAGCCAAAGCTCAAGAGGGCGAGAAGGCAGGTCCCTGAGTGGAATGTGTATGATGAGGAGATAGCGGGTGTGCTGAGGGCTGCTGAAGGGAAGGGAGGGGTCAGGGGTGGTGTGCAAGAGGTCATGATTGAGGGGACAGTGGAGGGCAAAAAGGTTCTGGAAAGCTCTGATCCAGAGGGGAAGAAGAATGAGGCTGAAAAGGGAGATGTTCCTGAAGGAAAGAAGATCAAGGATGAATTGTGATTACCAGGTACTTACTGCAAGAGGCGTTATAGATAGATCAGAGACCTGTAAGATGTCAATCTAGAAGTAGCTCATTTAGACATATTGTAAATTATCCACTATATGCAATTTCTATCCATTCATTATCATACACTTCATTTGTATGTGCGTAACCTTTCTAGCCAACGATATCGGCTGTTGTTCAAAACGCCGTCGCTAAGTTCGCAGATATTCTGTGCCTGACTCGACTGCCCTTCCTCCAATTCCTGCAGCAAGCAAGCTTAAAACGGAGTATGGCATGCACAAATGAGCAAGACCTGTGCAGTCCATCACAAAACCTGTCCTGGCGATTCTTCGGCCCTAATAACATAAACGTTCTTGTGTGTCCCCAGCGGCTTTCCGCGGACGTACCCAACTTGCTCAGAGTCTAGGAGTGAACGGGCTGCTGTCTCAACATCTAGCAACAGATAGAAGTCTAGTTAGAAATAGGAAAAGTCACTTCGAAGCACCAAAAAGCTTCTATGGTAGCAAAGAGTCTGCCTGCGGTCAATTCCATCCGCCGCTTGGTCTAGAGCCGATCGTCCCCCATGCATTGTTGTTAGATCCGTTCAGTAGTCGTGACCGATCGTACTCCTCTTCCTCCATCGAGAACACTCCTTCGCCCACTTCTTCGTCAATTCTGTCTTTCTGTGCCGAAGATGGGATTGAGCGGCCAAAGCCAGTCGTAGGGGCAGACGAGTGGCGCGCAGAGTTGGGATGTAGGTTGCCAGACTTGTCACCCGAATCAGAGGCTTTTGAGGAGAGTCGTGTCCGACCGAGTTGCTGGGATAATATAGACATTGAAGAGTGCCGGGGTGGACTTGCGAAGGCAGGAAAGGTCGTTGGAACATCGCCAGCATCTTTGGTGGCGCGCATCGAGGGACTTGCAGACGGATGAAGACTACGTAGAGGCGAACCAACAGGACCAAACTGAGATGGAGAGCTCCCCATGCTCCCCATGCTGCTGTTTGTTTCCGGCTGCCGGCGAACAAACACGTTGCCGTAACGCGAAGGGCTTCCTGCGTTAGGCGACCCAACAATGCTCGATGAATCACCTGGACTCGCAAGTCCGCTTAGCGATTCTCGAACGCTCTTGTTGTCTCTGTCGTTTCTTGATGAGCGGCGTAACTTCTCCTGGGGCGTTAGTATCTGATCATGTAAGCTTGACGGGATGTAGTCGGTCTCTTCGCCATCGCTGAAATTGAACCCCTCATCCCAGTCATCCGTACGCATGCCGGCTTTCGGTAAACTTGCCGAAAGCATATTAGGCTTTGCAATGCGCTGAGAATGCATTGTACGAGGTGGCGGACCTTCATCGCCTGATGTGAAAGGTGATGAACCAAGTTCCGGACCTCGCGTACGCGGGTTACGGTGCGTAGCAAAAGCGGACTGCAGGTTATCTGATGGAGCGAAAGCGTGACGGTTAGTAGAAGAGGGAGGCGAAGAAAACTCAAGACCGAACTTGGAAGGAACGGAAGCCGCTACAGGGCCATGTCTCGCGATGTAAGAGACACCTTGACTGTCGAATGAGGCCGGGAGCGGAGCATCGAGGACGTTTAGATGATTAGACTGAGAATACGCTAGACGTGAGCCTTCTATAGGAGATCCATACTGAGGAGATGCAGGATCGGTGTCTATCGAAGGGATACCATAGGGCCGAGGCTGTGGGATTTGCATTGATCGGTCGTGCTCTGAGAATGGGGGAATTTGTTGAGAAAACGGACCGTTGACATGCGATGTGAGAAGAGACTGTGGAGGCACTGGTTCCGGCTGCGAGTATAGTTGAGGGTCAATCCTCCCACTGAGATCCATACTCCCTCTCGCTGCTGGGTTAGGTCTGTTCACCCGCCGTCCATTAGGAAGAACGTGAGCCAAGGCGCATTTGTGGCCGAACTTGCAATTTCCCTTGATAGTGTCAGCGCTTCCGAACCAGTTCCACTTCTGGCGATAACAGACCTTTTGAAAGTACTTGCAGACCTCATCAGTGGTATTGTCCAAGGCGTGTGAGAACGGGCAGGCCTTCCCCGCCTGACATCCACCGATCCTGAAAAACTTGCAGGGAACATGTGAAGTGCTCTTTGGATTTGGAGGACTCTTTGAGATATCATAGGATCCCATGCTCAATCCGCTTCTGTGCCGTGCGCCTGGTGGTGGTACTTGAGAAGTGGGGCCGCTGGGCATCTGCACAGAACCAGGACCGTGGCCGTTGACCGGCATTGGGACGGGATTGTGGGTAAAGTCGAGTTGAAAACGATTTCCTTCTTGCATGTCGTCTCCGTTCGAGAGGTGCCTGTCGCGCTGAGGGTCGTGGGTGAGATGAGAGGGCGCGTGATCGGCTCGAGGATTGTGAGGAGCGAAGGAATCCACAGCGGACGGAGTCTGCGAGTGTTTGAAGGCCGCCATAGCGGTAGGACAAAGGCTAGCTATACATGTAGAAATCGCATAGGACTCAAGAACAGTGGGATCAGAAGACCAAAGACTGTATCACGCATCTACGGTGTCTCAACAGCCGACACCAGCCGATTCAAAGCCAGAACGCCAAGACTCAGATCTCTCACTATAAGGTATCTACCTTGGACCATCTCTACAACATCGATCATTCACCCCACGCGAAGCGCATGGTGGAAATGGCTATGCAGATTGGCGACCGAGAACTATTCTCCGTCCGGCGGCTACACAGCTTTGCTCGGTGAGAAGCTTCATTTATGGCAAACACATAGGGACGCCCCGTTTGCCCCTAGCAATTTCACAATGTCTGTCATTGTGATGAAATTGATATGCACTTGAGGAGCCGCACACCGGAAATCGCTCATATCCTGATTGAACCTTGTTGACCTTGCCAATGGGTGAAGCGAATAGACGGACAACCAGGACATTGTCCATGCGGTTCACAGGCAGGCTCACATCCCTGAGTCGGCGGAGCGAAGGGCATCGAACACAGGGGAAAGTCCGGACAACGAAGATCACTCTCGTCAATCAAATATGTATGGGTGAAGCATCACGGCAAGTGGTAAACCACGGGTTTGCTTGGTGCAGCTCTTGAATATTCATATCAACAAGCACCTGAGTGTTGCCCCACGTCACACCAGGCTTCCTTATGCGACCAACTCCGTGACCCCCCCAGCTTCTTTGATCTTCTTCTCTGCCAGACTGCTAAAATATCTGGCCCTCACCACAAGCGGAATCTCTGGTAATCTTCCCTTTCCCAACACCTTCGAGTAACCTAGGGGTAAAAGATCGAGGACGGGTGCTGTATCGGATTTTTTATTGGCGATATATTCGTCTCGTTTGTCTTGAGGAACAAGCGCCCATAGCTGTTCAACGTCGTGGTCAGCCCAAGACTCCTTGAATAGTGTGCCACTGCTTCTTAGATAGACACCGATGGCTATTTTTCGTTCATATCGCGGTGAACATAATGATTGCCCATATCCGCAGGATCTCCGGCACAGAGCTGTCGGTACTCATTCATAGTCTTAACGCACCTTGTCTAGATTTATCACTGGCTTCCAGAAATGGTTTTGCAGTTTGTGGAAATATCGCATTCCAACCTTGCCAAAGTACCCAGGATGGTACTTGTCGAGATTGGTTCGATGATGATGCTGGCCACCTGCCATACCTCGACCACCAGGATGCTTCCTATGTTTGCCTATGCGACCGTGACCAGCAGATACATGGCCGCGACTACCCAGAGTGACGTCGTCAGTAAGTCGTCCATTGTGCATAACATTCCGCACGATTGATTCAAGTGGAGAGGGGAGGGAGAACGAAAGGTGGGGGGGACTCATACTGTTTGCGGGTCTTGGTCAATCTAGTAGGCATCGCTACGACTGACAAACTTGGGATGGGGTCGACAATGTTGAAAGGCTCGTCGGGTTGAAGGAGAGCCCTAAGTGCGCGCCAAGGTCTTTCGCTTCATGCGGCTCTTTCAGCCTTACGACTTTGATATCACGACACCTGTCTACATATCATTGATTGGCTGCGTTGCCCCTTTCATAGAGCTTGTAGAGCGCACGATTGTTCATTAGGATCTTCACGCACATATTTTTCAGAATAGCTAAGCTGTAGTCTTTATTTTACTTGTAATTCAAAGAATGCCTTCAGCTGCCTTTCCCACCCTGCGAGCCCGCCTTGCTCCTTTACCAAGCCCTGCCGGATCCAAGCTGGCAGCTTGTCTTGAATTATTCTCCTTCCATATCGTTGATCGAGCAGCACAATTGCAGCATAATCATCCTTGTGTCGAATCGCCCTACCAATGCTCTGATTTACAGCTCGCATGCATGCATTCTCATAAAACTCTTGTTTTGCTTCTTTTCCCCTTTGACCGCTCCCCGTTCGCTTTGCCGTAGATTGCTCGATATATTCCAATTTCGCCTTCCATTGCGCAGATTGGATATTGGGAAACGGGAGACCTACCACGATGATGCCACGGCCCAGAGCGTCCGAAAAGTTTATGCCTTCTGAAAGCTTGCCTCCGATAATGGAAAGGAGTAGGCCCCCTTTTGAGGTAGTGACGGATAGAGAATATGAAGCCAGTGTCTCCTCGACTGGGTCCTCTTTGGTTTCTCGAAATACTGGCTTGCACGACTGTAGTTGCTCCCAAACCGTCTGGTTTAAAGAGTTTAGACCGCGCGATGATTTCCAGTGCTCGATAACCTTATTCAAATACGCATAGCTAGGGAAGAACGCAACGATGCCGTCAGGAATAGACTGCGCTAGCTTGATGAAGCAATCACCCAAAGCGCTCAGTAATCGAGGTGCATCGCGAGCTTCGTAAGTAAAGTTGAAATCTGTTCCGATTGCTGAGTTCAAGATTGGAATGACAACGAGGCTTTCTTTAGAAATGATGTGACCGCAACTCCAAGTCGTCATTCTTTCGGGAGGGACGTAAGGTAAAAGGTGCTGAGCATAATCCTCCATCGGTGACATTGTGCCTCCAGCGAGTATGATCGCTCGCGACTCTTCCACAATGTCCTTGAAATGATATGTGGGGTCCAGAAGCATATATTTGAGCGAAATCTCGCCCAATTCTCCCATTTCGTAGAAGAAGCGACCTTCGGAAGTCGGGTTTGTTAGTGCGAGTAGGAACGATTGCACTTGGATCAAGACTGGAGCAGACCTATTGCTCTGATGGTTCATTTGCTGCCAATTCTGATTTCGCATCTTCAGGTGCTCTGCATGCTGGACGTAGCCTTCGACTTTTCGAGCAAGCTTACTGTGTTGGAGGTATTTTGTGAGCTTGTACAAATTCACTTGGTCGACTCCCTTTCCTGACATCAAGTCACCTACACTGACTGGGCCGTCGGACCCAACCTTTTGAGCAGATTTGCTTTCCAGATAATTTGACAATGAATCTAGTAGTCGTACCAGCTGAGCAATATAGACCCTGTTCATGCCTTTGAGGCGGTTGCGGAATCTCTGGAGGTAAATTCCTATACATTCGCGGCAGCGCTGTAGTTGCATCAGAGATATTGAGACGGAGTAAATGCTTGTGATAGCGTCCATTAAGTTGTGTGCTTCATCGATGATAACCACATGTCCTCTCAAAGAAAGATCAAGCGCCTCACGAGCGGACTTTTGCAAGAGCAAAGGATAGGGTAAAGTCACTATCTATCTATTCGTCAACCTCCAAAGTCTCTGCAACGAGCTAGGAGACATACTTCACTTGGTCTTATGGTGGCTCGTGAGGCGTAGTAGGGGCATATACCGATTTTCCTGCCAAGGTCCTCAAGGTCCTCGATATCTCGAATTGTTGCTAAAGTGTGGTCTCTGAAATCATTGACCAGCGTCTCGCTCTCTTTGTTTGGGAGGAATGGGCACTTGTTGTCTTTTGATGTAATTGGTTGCTGCAACTCAAGACATCGATCATTGATTTCAGAGGTGCTTCCCAGTCTCGATACTCTAGGATTGATGCAGAGGTTCTTACGAGAACCGAGTGGCAAGTGTTTTATTACTACGTGCTCATTCGAAGCCTCAGCGAGCTCATCACCCTCCAAATTCCATGGCGGTGGTGGCAGGTCTACGCGCCTCATTTCTTGCGTGAATTGAGTCAACTGTGAGTGGGTTCTTGAGCAAAAAAATACTTTGACTTCAACAGTGGGCGTCGAATCCTCTTCTCTGGCAGGCTTGAATGCCAGCCCAAGCCTGTACGCGACTATCAGTAGAATACATCTTGGACAAGAAGGTCCTCACATGCTTCTCCATTAATTCAAGGTTTGTCGAGGAAATACCATCTGTCTGAGCAGATTGTCGGGCAAACTGTTTGTCTTCCCCGTCGCTCTCATAATCTTTTAACTCGAATTGATCTCCCTCCTTTGAATCACCTAGAAAGTTGTCTTCGGAGGGTTTCTGAGAAGAATTAGTCTAGGATTTCTATGTGGACGAGCTTTTGCTGACTATCCGCTTAGTTGGAAGACCCTCATTCTGCTCTATTCTTTTCATTCGGGCTTCTTTTGCCCGGACTTGCTTCAACCGTGCTTCAATCTCTACCTTTTGTTCGATAGCTGCTTGCTTTCGAAGCTGATTTGTGTGTTCGCGGACCCATGGAGGCTCGCCGTCATCTGCAGGCCTTAGCCATTGGCACGGTCACCAGGTAAGTCTATACCTTCAACAGCCGAAATAAGCCCAAGAGATTCTTCCTGAGATTCGCGCAGCCAGCTCAACGAACTGCATATGAGACTCAAGGATTTTCCCTTATTCGGGCGTCAGTTGGGTGTTGACTAAGAAGAGACGCAAGAAACGGAGAACTTAGTAAACATGATGAAATGTAGAACGAAAGAATGACAGTCAACGTGCAATGAACTGAGATCAGAGATTTAAAGCCTACCGTGCCCGTGGGAGATTCGAAGATACCGACTTTTCCATCCTTAATACATTCATAAATAGCATTCATTAATTCAGTCTGTATGTCATAAGGCTTATAAGGGTGATGAAAGTCTTTTTGATTAGATTGATCCATTGGGGGGGCTGTACGTTAATCTCCTCCAGTGTAGAAATGCTAGTTGAAATTATCAGTCGAATATTCAGGCAGAGCATTAACATAATAGGCATAGCTGTGTTAGAAACCTTACCCTTTCTAGCATTGTTTTGGAGGTATTCATATCTTGACCGCACCTCTGAACAGAAGAGCGGTCTCTTTCGACGATGTAGATCAAAAATCAATATATTGATCCTACAAGCCAATTCCTGAGAGTGAAGTTTGATAAATCTACATGTGTCGTATTAGTAATCTTCCTCAACATGGGACTGTTCAAGCTGCTCTGCATCACACAGGGTTACCACCTGAGCAGCCACCATCATGGGCCAGGATCTACCGCCCGTCGGTGGCTACGAGCCAGTCCAGTACAAGGTAAGGATGATTCGACTCCCTGAATTGAGATCATTCTACTGTGTGGGCGCTCACAATCCAGCGCAACATTCCCGTCCGCGGATTCCGACCAGTCTACTACCTCGCAGCAATGGGCCTGATAGTGACCTACGGGATGTACAAGCTTGCGCAAGGGAACAGGGAGAAGCTGTACGAGACCCTTCATCGTCACTCCATCATTTTGGCTCCCCAGCGCGATCTCTCTGTTGAACGCCTCGCTAAAACAATGGCGTCTAACAAATAGGGAGCTGCGCCGAGAGAAGATGTGGTCGCGGATTTATTTGATACCAATGCTACAGGCTGAGGAAGATCGGGATCAAGTACGACGGTATTGGGCAGATCAGGCACGGGAGAAGGTGCTTTTGGGGGAGAATTACAAGGTATATCACAGTGACAGGTCGGCATTTCTGAACTCCTGCGTTCTGAGAAGGCAACACTAACGCCATGGAAGATTTGTAAGGCCTACGTACGCCGTGGTGCCGTCCGAAGTCACCAAATAGTCGTTTAATGGCTTTCTTGCAGAAATGGATGGATTTATGCATGGATTTGTGCATGGATTATGCATGGTTGTGCTCCCAGTGTAGAACACATCCTGTTATATCTACGAAGTCTTGTGGACTGCACGCAACGCCTCGCTGTCTTTTCCGTCTCTAAACCGACAGCAAAAGATGGGTATCATTTGAACATCTCTGCAACGCCTCCAATATCGATCTCTTCCTCCCTGTCCCTATCCTTGATCTCCATGCCCTCCATGTCAGCCGTCATATATTTCTGCTGCATTACGGATCTCAGTTTGTTTGGATCTGGTTTAGTCAATTTGCCCTGCTCATGAATGGCAACGCTCCTTAAACCCTGCAAGAGTTCGAGAATCACAGCCCTCTGCTTCTTCGAACTTGAGTGCACTTCAAGTAGCCGACGCAGTGCTTGGTCAACCTTCACACCATCCATGTTGGGCAGAGATTGTATGACCTGCTTTGGCGTGTTCGTTCGTGGCGAGTAAAGGATACAGATCTGCGCAATAAGCTGGGCAAAGTCTTTTTGCATTTCCACGAAGTAAGGGTCGTTTAGCGACGTGATGCAGGCTTTAAGGACTTCCGTTGAGATGAACTCCCTGACGTCAGATTCGAGTGGTGTGTCTCCAGCAAAATCACCAATTATAGTTCTCAAGACTCTTGCGATGAGCGAGCTTGCACGAGTGTCGTGCATACTCAAAGCGTTCGTACAAAACATTATCAAGGGCTTCAGAATCTCTGGGGTGTTCAGTACAAAGTCTCTCGTTGGATCCCTAGAGTGCGACTCGATAGTACCATTCGGTCTCAGAGTTGTTTCCTTAGTCAGTGACACCTTAGATGGCTCTAAAAGCCCAACGACCAGCATCACAGCGGCCATAGTCAGCTGCCGTAAGACACTTTCATCTTTCATTTCTGCAGTCAGATCACTGTCTTCCGTTGAAGCGGCCTTTCTTTGCTCTATCTTTGCCCATTCTGAGCCTACTTTTCGATCAATCTGGTTGAATAGCGAGGAGATGATCGGTGGCAAAAATTGGGCGTGATACCGCTGCGGGCAGTTGTCGATCACAGGACGTAGGGTGTCGAGCAAGACAGTCAGTTGATGGGGAGACAGAGCAAAAGAATCTGAGAAAAGAGCCGTAGCCAAGGGTTCAGGCAAATCCTGCAGGCCATACAGATGTTCCCCTAGGAGACTCATGTAGTACAGAAGCCGATAACCCGTTTCGCGTGTAAGCCTTACTGTGGCTCGAATTGTCGACGCAAACCCCTCCAGAGTTGCTTTCGTACCTCCAACGGCCGCATAGAAGTCGTCTCGTGAGCCCTGAGATATGCCGTGTTGCCAGAAACGATCCGTAAAGATCCTTCGAACGATGGGCTTTTGGTCCGGAGTCATGCCTGTCCAATTCTCCGGGTCATAAAGAGCATTTGATCGGCTGATAAACTGAAGTAGTGAAGGCAAGATTATGGGCATGTACTTCTGCCAGAGGCGACAGGCTATGTCAAAAGCCTGTGTAGTTGGTTCAAGCTTCTCGACACTTGACGCCATGATATGTTTGGTCGCCCTGAGTGGTAGCGAGTCCGCATTTGTCTGCATTCTAGCTTGTAACATTTTGCCCTCATCATCAAGAGAGCAGGATGCCCAGTCTTGGACATTTTCCGCGTGGCGAGATACCAGATATTGCTGAGCCGCATCTAGTCCAAGAAGTCTGTTGAAAGCATCTGGCGATGATAGGGCCAGTCGAAGGCGCTCGTCTTGCCATTGATCAATCACAGGCTGTAAATACTGTTCTAAACGATCCTCACGGGCTCTAATGTCGACATTCAGTGCTCTGTGCATAATGACAAAAAGCACCGAAGTGTACCGAGCTTTTGTTTGCTCGTCTGAAGAAGTGTCGTGACTCACTGCAAGTATTTTGGGCTCTGCTGCATCAAAAATAGAGATGAGGTGATCTGCGAATCGCATAGCCAGGCGTTGCAGTTGATGGGTTGCAAAGACTTGAAAGTCTTTGCAGGCATCATTGTATGCTATGCATTCTGAAAAGATTGGGCATTTGGTCTCTAGCACATAATCGAATACCCGAACCGCAAATTGTGGATCCTTTTTCAAGGGGCCTACTGCGAATCCTACAGCCAGCTGGATGACGCGTTCTTTGATTCGTGGATCCTCGAATGTCAATCCAAGAAGTCTGTCGCACCAGACCTGAAGGTTAGAGGTCATAACATCGCGCTGGTGCTTCACAGTCTCATTTTCCGCATGAGTCAGCCAATTCAGGCAGCCTTTGAGTGCAGCCTCGATCACCGTGAATTGAGCGTCGAGCTTTAGCCAAGGTATGGAATATTTGGTATATGTGGAAGGGTTAAAGGGGGGTTCGTTATCGTAGAGGTGATCGAGGACTTGGTCTGCCTGTCCTAAGATGTGGTAGAGAGCGTCGATAGGTTGTTTCTCGACGATGCGCTCTACGACTTGGTTGCAGAATCTAGAATAATTGCCTAAAAATGCATGTCGTTCGGGAATTGTTTCGATGTCTTCTCTAAGAAATTGAATGCTCGGGTGATTCGTATCTTGGGGGAGCGCTTCATAGCGTATCAGTCGCTGACTGCACGTCTCTAGTAGATCTGCTATTGCCGACTGCACGGAGAGCGATTGCGAAATCTGCTCAGAGTTCAAGAATTTGACCCAAAGATGCAGGGCTGGGATCGATACTTGAAGACTATCGGACTTCATGACACTTCTCAGTAGATCTACGAAGCCTCCAATGTCGCTATCTTGAGCCAAAGCCGAATGCCTGTCGGAGAGCAGGCGTCCAAGATTGAAGATAGTCTGTAGACTAGTTTAGCTCAAGATTGTATTCCATGAAGATCCGATTTTTACCTCAGACAGTCTTTTTAGTATGAGATATCTATTATCGTCTATATCCTGTGGATCAATCACAAGCCACTGGAAAAGTTCCTTAAGCAAAGTCACCATTTCAGGCCGAAACATAGGCCCGACAATCTCCCGAAAGTCGTCATCTGAGAAGCGGGTACGATTGTACAAGTTGTACAATGTATCAAGTACTGCCTTTCTCAGGATTTCAGCAACATCACAACCAGCTATTGCAGCGAAGGACCTACTCACCAACTGCACCGGCATATTCGGAACAGCCAAGCTTGCACAAACCCGTTGTATAGTTGCGGTAGAGATAAGTGCCTTTGGAACCACCCACACCATAATCGATCTGTAAGCGGAGAGAACTTTGAGCGCCAACGCTTCATTACTTCTGGCCGAATCAGTATCTTTGGTACATTCGTACAAGGTATCTGACATGCGCGAGAGCCAACCCTCAGAGCCATAGCGGACGTTAACGGAGCTTTCTCGATTTGGGAATTGTTGGGCTAGAACGGCGGCTGGTACGAAGATTTCCACGCATGCTCTGTTGAGGTCGCTTCCCCGGAGTGCAGCGACAGTATCTTCTGTTGCGAACACCTCATCTGAAATAGTGGTCAAGATGTTCAAGACCAGCACCTTCTGTGCAATAGTACTTTCCCAAAGGCGCACAAGAAGTTCATCCATGTCCATCCATTCTACGGCCCAACTACGCTTAGCGCACTCAACCCACAATTCGGCTAATTTGTTCGTGATATATGGCGGTTCTCGTTCGAGATTTGTATTTGCAAGCTCGAGTATCCAATTCCTTAACGCTGCATTCTGTTCTCGGGAATAGTCTGCCCATTTATAGCGAATCGCGTGATCTATGAGCGACAGGCCGAAATGTCGGACAACTGGCGACTGATCATTTGCCGAAGCGAGAAGAAAGCCTTGTTCGGGTGCTCGGGAGTCTTCTCGGAGGTTCTGAAGATATTCGGTAGCCTGCTGTCGCAGGTCGTTGTCTGAGCGAGGGTCATGGATAAGATTCAGGGCTTGCAATATTTGTTCATGATGCAGGGGCTGGCTTGTAGTGTGATTGTTCGTTCTAATGCCGCTCATCGTGTATTCAAAGAAGAAATCTCATAAGGGTTGAGGACTTTTTCAAGGGGTCATCGGCGTACTGAGAGCTTTGAGAATGGGGGCGCTCCGTCGATTTGTCCGTTAAAGCAGGCGGGGTTGAGCAGGCGGGGTTTACAGACGGTCCATCTGTAAGGACTGTAACTTTGCCTGAGGAGCAAGCACTGTGAGGCAAGCGACAGTTCACTGTTGGCTATCATCACGAGCTGTACACGCAAGTATTTGTTGAAAAACGAGTGTTTCGATGCATCGGAAGGTCACTCGGTCACTACCTTCCCTGAGACCATCCCGCTCCCGCTAGAAATGAGCCGATGAACGCTAGAAGGTCCCTAGAACCCGGGCGAAAGAAGCCCGTCATCCGAGCTCCTACGGGGGCCCTCTCGAATATTGACTGGAGCTGACTTTAGCAGGACCATGACTCCATGCCCCGTAGCACAGTCCTTGTTGGTCCGGCTGTCTGTATTTGTCTTCAATTGTGTTTCCTTACTGCTGTTTGGCCTCTACCGGTCGAGAAGCAGTCATCTAGTGTTCATGCCCGCCAGACATACCACGGCCAAAGATGCGGATTTGTTGGTAACAGCGACATATATGGTCTGGGCATCCGTCTCGGAACATATCTGCAATGGGTCGCTGCTTTGATATCGAAGCAGTATCTGGCTACCAGCAGAGCAGAAGTCCTACGTGAATTGCTGGATGTGAACAACATCTTTTGCCTCGCCATCTTTGTGGCTACTCTGCTCTTACAGACTCAAGGTGCCAGTAATAGCAATGGTCCAACTCGTGCAATCGAAATTCTGATCATGCTCCATATCTTCTTTGGCAATACTTACATTGTTTCCTATGAGCAGTTACTAAAGGGAAAGCACTTGGGCTCGCAGACCTTCCTAGGCATCACGTTCATGACTCTCATAACAGCCGCTATGAGCTCCTACGCCATTTACTTTTGGTTCTTTGGTCTGAAGTATTTTCCTGCCACAGGCTGCAGCACTTTCGCTTTCTTATTTGCTAAGGTGGATTTGTTCGGTCCGGCAAGGACCTTTTTCAAGATTGCTGCTGTGCTTAACATGATCCCTTGGGGCGTTGGTGCTGGAGCTCAGCTTTTCTTCAGCGTGCCCATGCTGTTATACGGCGTCTTCGACTCATTAATAGTCAATATGAATCATTATGCGAGATGGATGGCAAACTGCCTGCCCTGGTCGAACATCGACGTGCTGGCACCCTGGCGTCAGAGCAATCACGGGCACCTGAGGTTCACACTCGGTATCTACGCAACAATACTAGGCGTCCCAAAAGGCGTAGAAGGAGCTCTGAAAACAGCGGAAAGTGATAACATCATCGTGTAAGCCTGAGCCGTACCCATCGGTATAGATTTCAGACTCATGAACATCAGCCTTGCGTGGAAATATGTCAGCTTTTGTATTTTGCTCTTCTCGATCATAGCTATAGAGCTCATACTTCGCTGGAATTCAGTCACGGGTGTTTACAACATTCAATCGACGGGCCAAGTCATCCCCTTCATTATCGGTATCGGTGGTTTGTGCAAAGTTCTAGTTGGTATCATTGTACAGGCTTTTGACAAAAATCCCGTCTGGGATCCCAAGAACGAGGCCTTCAGATTACATAACGGTAGGTGGGCAACCTTTCCGCGAAGACTTCCTCAGCGAAGATACAGCTGGGCAGCTCAAAGGATAATTAATCAGGACGGAGATGTTGAATGCCCACCCAAAGGGCTGCCCTTGGCAAATAGTCAAGCAGTCAGAAGTTATTGGACGAGCTTTTCTTGATGAGCACATTAAGAGTAATGTAATACCTACCTGCCATTCGGAAGCTGCGGCGAAGAAATGGCATGACTATCTCGTAGCATCATACATCTCGTTTGAGATCAGGCGTCATCCTTACATTCCCGATTATACTTACGCATCACCTTCCAAGCCCAATGCATCCTGTTCGAGACGTTGAGCTATAGACATGGGACAAGAAGTCCGTTACTCACCCAGAAGTCGTCTTTTGCCATTCCCTCAGGTAAATCTTCCGTCACCATTAGCCATAACTCCAGAGCAATTCTTTTCCTTCCAACAGCCTCTTTCGACCAACGTGCGTGCAAATGATCCACTTCGGCCTTCTCCTGCAGTGATACAGGTTTCACATCCCCTTTCCTCAGAGGGCCGAGTCGAGTACGCAAGCTAGCCTTGTCGGACTCAAGAGAGTGCACGGTGGAGTTGAGCTCTTGCGTTGAGAGTGTTGCATTTACAGATAAGAGATTTGAGCGTAGAAGCTTTTCGTTGGATTTCAATGTCGCAATGTCATCACGCAGAGAGCTAATTCGTTGGTCCATGACCGAAAGATCTGCAAGGGAAGGTGGATGGTCGAAAGTCTGTAGTGTATGGTATACTACTTGTTTGCCTGAAAGTTGGAGAAAGAAATCACGCAGTCAGCAACGCCGTATGATCCCGTGATGCACTGGAAAGTTGCAGAGATAGACTGGTGTACCTGATGCTTTACCAGCAACAACCCGACTTTCGTGCATCTCTTTGAGTGCTTTAGCTGCATACGCTACGTGAAAATTAGCTCCTCCATAGTCTGCATCATGCGCCTGATTTTGCTCGATTGATTGAGCACATACTCTTCGTGACCTTGTTGTGTAGGTTGTTGGAAACATCAGTGGCCTGACTTATCAGTCTCAGCACAAAGAGGGGGCTTCTCTCGACTGACCGAATATGGACGACTACAGGATCGATGTGCCGTTTCAGCACATTTAGAGACACTATGGTGCTTCCATGCAGACCAGGGAGGTCACGTACTTTTGCGTTTCTAAAATACGATGTCAAAATTGTATGTGACGACGAACGAGCTGTACCCACTTAGATATTGAAGGATCATTGCATTACCTGGTCGATGAATCAGTCAAGCTGCAGAAACACTGATGAGCCAATTCCTGTTACCTTGATCGGCTGAGGCTTTCTCGGGTTTGGTGTTTCTTGGTGCCATCGACAATGAACGTTGAAATGCCTCCCTTTAGTCTTGACCGAGAAGAGATACGGGCAACCAATCAATGGAGCGACGAACAAAGGAGAATGTAGCTTTCAGGCGACGATGACTTTGGCCATTGAATACTGATCATTGCCTTTGAGCGTCCAACGCGGTGGAACTGTCTTGGCACTCGACCATCTTAACCCAGACTAATATTATTGTTAGGCGACTATGTACTATCATAAACCCAGCGGGACTCGTTTTTCCAATGCTGCCATGATAATCCCCTTGCAAACATAGGAGGCTTTAGAGGTATCTTGCGCCAAATCGCAATGCAAAAAAACATCAGATCTTCGGAGCTGTAGGGAAACGTTTTTAGTGTCTACATCACAACCTAGAAAGCTTGTAAGTATCATGAAAACAGGTAATTATAGAACAAAACTTACACAATCATTATCCTGCTTCTGCGAAGGCAAGCCCATCTCCGAAAATGTCTTAGGCCCTTTGCCAGGCAATCGAGTGCTTGCCGGTGCAGAGGGCGGTGGCGTATTCGACACCCTACTAGAACCCGCGGGATCCTGCAGTCTAGGCGGTTTCTCGAGAGGTATCGAATGTTCAGGTCGTGGTTGCTGGCTTGCCGGGGGGGCATAGCTGTACCACTAGGTCTGCCTGCGGACACTGGTCGTCTCGAAGGACTCGGGGAGCGGCCACTCGGCGTAGTCGATGTATGAGGAAGACTAGAAAGGCGATCGCGGGGACCAAGACTGGCTGTTGCGTCGATGCTAGAATGTCGAGGAGGCCTCCCAGACGGCTGGATCGGGCGGTGATCCGTAGACTTCTGCAAGCGACGGCGGTCAGCCCCTGAGGGATCAGGTGGAGCGGAGAATCCAATATCGATGGCAGGAGTCTGAATTTTCGGAGGAGCTTGTGGGATGCTCTGTGGAGGGGCCGTATCATGGGGGCTTGAATGAGCGGAAACGGGTTGGCGAAAATTCTGTAGTCCGGCAGCAGTCGATACCCTTGGCGGTGGTGCACCGCGACCTCGACCCGAGTGGGGAGTCTGTAATGGCGAAGGTTTGAAAGTGGGAAAAGCTGAGCCTCTGTAGTTGTTGTCACCATATGAGGCCTCTGATTCAGCCGGGGAAGCGGATGGTATTGGGGGGTTTTGTCGAGAGGGAGGCTGATTTTCGTAAGCGTTACGGACCGGACGACTCAGGGGTCGAGGCTGCATAGTATCGTCATCTAATGGATAGGGTGCAGCTGAGGGAGGTCGTGCGCCTGGTGCGTATTGACCAGCGTTAGAAGGATATGGAGCTTGTCCCGTTTGATCTGGTCGGATGATAGGTAGCTTCGGCTCAGGCATGTCAACCGGACTGTCTGATATTCTAGGCATTTGTTCAAGCTGCTTGAACCTTTCCGGGCGTTTCCCCCGCTGAGAACCGTACTGTGACTGGATCTTAGCGACAGCGACCTGTTCATGATCCTTCCTGGAAAGTGTTTTGGAGCGAGAAATGCCGTCTATTCTACCAGCAGCGTCCTTATTCCCGTGATCAGCGGCTTTCTGATACCATAGCCGCGATGTTTTGAGGTCTGCCTGAACAAAGATACCAACCTCGAAGAAATAGCCCATTGCAAATTCAGCTGTTGCAAGCCCGCTTTGTGCCGCCCGTTGAGCATAAACGTAGGCAAGCTCCTCGTTCTTTTCGAAGACACCTTCATAACCACATAGGAACCATTTGCTAATGGACATATCAGCGTCCGGCTCTCCTTGCTTAGCGGCTAGCGCATTGTAGTGCAGGGACATCGCAGGATTAAAGTCGCATCCTAACTGACATAATTCGTAAGCGACACCCAATTTCGCCTGCGCCTTTGCAAAGCCTAAGTAAGCGGCCTTTTCAATGTTATAGCGAGCTCCAGATATGTTGAGCGCGAGGTACTGTTCTGGTATCGAAACCTGAGTCAGTGCACGCGCTTGAAGCATACCGAAGACGTAGGCTCCTTGGGGGGCGTTCTCATCTGCAGTCTCTGCCGCGTAGCTGATCATCTTAATACCAAGCTCATAATCCAGAGGTTGGTTGTGCTGTCCGAGTAGATACATCATCCCCATGCGGTAATTGGAGGCAGAGTCTCCCCCATCAACTCCCAATCGGTAATGTTTGATCGCTTTTTCCGGGTCACTTGAATTCTCAAATTGCATGCCCATCCTATACTCAGCTCTTGCATAACCTCTTTGAGCAGCCCGCTGATAGCATCGAAAGGCTTCTTTCTTGTCCATGCGGAATCCAAATTTCCCAAATTCCAGCCACATGCCTCTCAAAAAGTCGGCCTTGGGATGACGTTGATCTGCCAGAAAGCCAACCACGTTGACGGCATCAATCTTTAGCTGATGCTCAACATTTGGCGTTTGCGGCCGAGCCGGCTGGTTTTGAGAGATCCGGGCCTCATACTGGGTGGCAATATCGACGTATGCCAGCGTATCTTGTGCCCAGCTTAATTGCACTTCGGGGTCATTACAATTCAAGACTGGCATGCGAGCCTTCTCTAGGACTCCCTCCTTCTCGTCGTCGGATTGTGGAATGTTTGGGGGCCGATTACGAAGTGGTGGGAATGGAGAGAACGAAGGCTGATCAGCGGAATACTCTGTGGGCCTGCCATTGAGAGCTACCAGGTCTGACACAGAAGAATTGTGGCTGGCCGGGCGAAGATTTCTCATCTGCTCGACAGGTGAAGGTGATTGGAGACCGGATAAGGGGCGTCTGACTGGTTCTGCTTCAAGCTCTAAATGTGCGATGTTGTCCTGTATCTTCTCTGGGATTTCGGGTGTCACGCTACACCACTATCAGCACATACTTCGCGATCGACAGTTCGCAGCTGACCGTTGTGGGGACGGAGAAATGACCTCTGGCATATAGAAGTCATCGACTCCCCCTGGTACAAACGTTGCACCAAGTTGGGTGGAGTTCTGCCGATGCGGATTCGCCATTGTCGCTTCAGGCTGTATCGCAAGCAGGTTCCCCGCTTAAAACCAAATGGTTTACGTGAAATCATGCAATATCCACATTCATGAATACGGTGACCCCTTTGATTGGCGAATGTCCATTGTTGATTGGGATCTTGTTTGCTTTCAGAGGGCACAGCATACCCCTTTGAAGGGAGAGGAGAATCTTCCCAAACGCGAGAGATCGTACTATGAGATTGTATGGTGTTTCCACGTGGAGCGATGCCGGCAAGGATGGCAGGTATCAGGTACGTACTCAGCCCATCAGAGCATCCCAAGCCCCAACCTGAAGATATTCTTAGATCCAGGCGGTCACTCCGCCCCCGCCATAAGATGACCCCTAGAAGTAGTTTGTTCTAAGCCGAACCTACGCTAAAGCCTACGGGAAGTTCTGGGCTGTTCCGGCGCCTATCCCTTAGCGTCCGCGCCTAAAGTTTGGGAAGCCAAAGCAAAGGAATGGACTTAAATTCGGAACCAACGTTCCCGTACTTTGGTATGCCAATGCAGCGCTCCTTCTTGGGTCTCCGCCAGACAAGCCAGAGGCTCTTGAATCCTCCTTTGCTCCCACCGATCTCACTCTCTAGATCAAACATGAGTACCTCAAGAGCCTTGTCATCTGACGCGCCCAAAGCCGCGGAAACAGATGCCCAAGCCGAAGCCGTTGCGAACACCAGTGGTGTGACTGCAGAGTCTCTGCAAAAGTCACTAGAAGAAAGGCTTCAGGCGCAACATGTGCAGATAGAAGACATGTCTGGTGAGTCTGTCATGATACGTTCCGGTCCCGTACGGCCCCGGGCAACAAGTCCATCAACTCACGTCGTTTGTGTTGGAAAGGGGGTTGCGGTCAGATGTTCCAAGCCATGATTGTTTCGCCACAGTTCGAGAAGAAAACGACAATTGCAAGGCACCGGCTGGTGAATTCAACACTGAAAACGGAGATAGCGGCAATCCATGCGTGGACTCCGAAGTGCTTCACCCCAGAGGAATGGTCTAAGAAGCAAGGGAGTTGAAACCTCAGCATCTTAACGCATCCGTGCCTCGTTACGTCATCCAGACGCTGCTCGACCCTAAACGTACATGGTGCTTTATCTCCAATGACCCGAAGCTCGTTGGCATTGGAAACCCTACCAAAGCCTTGATCTACGGCCCACTTCACAACGGCACGAATCACAAAAGTAAAGTTGCGGAGCTCACCATCTGGGCAGACATGTAGCAACGGCTGGCAGCCCAAAGCATCAGTGAAAGCATCTTGATGGAGGTAGGACCACTAGGTTGATTTAGTAGGAAAGAGGTTTATACATACTCTCTGTTAGGCCTGCCGCAAGGAGAACAACGCTGTGCCTGCGGCGTCCTCACAAATTTACTGCCCATCGTAACTTCGCCAATCAATACTACGTTCCTTAGGGTTCATCCAAAGTCTATCTTCCATCACTGGCTCATCTTTGCCTACCTTTGTGAGCGCATCTATAAAAGTCTTGCCCCAAAAGGCGCTGCAGCATTCTCTTAGCTGCCGAAAGAAACGATCAAAGCAATGACACAGCTAAGGGGATCAAAGACGGAGGGGTAGTCTTGTTACGTACCTAGTGAACTTTTCCACATACCCGTCCATCTTCTCGTATCGGTCTTTTCTCTCGTCTGGCTCCATGTGGTAGGCTTCATAGATTGCTCGGGCCATTTCGTACACATTCCATGGATTGACAATGAGTGATCCGGTCAAGCTCTTTGCGCTGCCTGCGAACTCCGAGAGAATAAGTGTACCACGCCGCTCACGTTGACAAGCTATGTACTCAAAGGAAACGAGGTTCATCCCATCTCGTGTTGAAGCGACGAAGCAGACGTCAGAGATAGCATACAATGCTAAGAGCTCGGGGAAAGCTACGGATTGATGCATGAAATGAATGGGCGTCTTCTCAAATGTTCCTAAGATTTTCAGTAAACTCAAAAGGCCACGAGAACTGTTTGATCCTTACCAAATCTCCCGTTGATACGACCGACTAATTCATTGACAACGGCTCTGAGGTTTTGATACTCTTCAACATCGCCCCGAGACGGGACTGCGATTTGAATGAATTTCACCTTCCCAACGAACTCGGGGTGTTCTTCAAGGAAGATCTCGAATGCTCGCAGCTTTTGTGGCAGACCTTTGACATAGTCCATTCTATCAACGCCGACCATGACCTTCTTGCCTTCGAATTCCTCCTGAAGCTCCGCAATGCGTCGCTGGACCTGTGGGGTAGCAAGAGTCTCACGGAACCGTTCGGGATCTATGCCTATTGGAAAGGCGCCGACTCCGACCGTCCTCTCGTTGTACGTTACCGTGCGTGTGGTTGTACTTGCACCCCTTGGCAGATCGTATTAGCGCCGTTAGCACTTTCGCTTCCTCAATGAGTTTAAAGCTTACAGGATATTAGAGCAGGCGCTCAAGAAGTGTCTGGAGTAATCGCAAGTGTGAAAGCCTATGAGGTCGGCATGTAACACGCTGTTTAAGATCTCGCTGCGGACCGGAAGTATACGGTATATCTCGGAGCTTGGGAATGGTGTATGGAGGAAGAAGCCAATCTTAATGTATTTCTCTGGCCCTATCTCTTCACGAAGCATCTCTGGAAGAAGCATCAAATGGTAATCATGGATCCAAACAAGATCACCGTCCTCAACGTCTTTAGCAAGTACTTGAGCAAATTTTCGATTAGCTGTTTTGTAAGCCTCCCAACCGGCTTCCGTAAAAGTTATCTCGCCGGGATGATAATGCACCAATGGCCAAAGAATAGAATCTGCCATCCTGTCAACGAATATGGTGAAATGAGAGAGTGCTTTCCTACTGGAGAAGCCATTATAATACAGCTCGGCGAGTGCTTCGTTGAGATACACCGGAATCACCCCGAATTTTTCCTTCAGTCGTGCAGAAACATAGGCAGTTTCTGCGTCTGGTATTTCAAGCCCTGGCCAGCCATACCACTGGAATGTGGTAGCCTTCGAAAGCCCATGAAGCCCGGTGATTAAGCCACCAGATCCATTGGAGAATACATACTCACCCTCTTCAGACCGCTTCACTGTGATTGGGAGACGATTGGAAGCCAAAAGGATGCGTGATGTTGGCTTGGGGGTCAGGAGTAAACGTGCCATCTTGATAAGAATAGTTGAAAAAACAACCTCAAGGACCGACTCGAGACACCGTTTTGGGATTGAAAAGAAATGAGAAATGATAGCTGAAGATCATATTCAGAAGATTCGTATTGGAAAGGCAACGTTACCGGGCTGATGAAGGAAGGTGCCTTCGTCAGGAACGTATCCCGGGGCTACCGATAAATGCCTCTATGTGATGGTCACTTTCAAGCATGAGACATCTTGTCGGAAAACAGTAGATTCATGCTGCAGTCGTCTAGGAATCAATTGCGTCAAACTTAATTTGGAATATGAGTGGAGAGTGTACGTGGGCCAGCCCGATGGCAATGCCTATGTACTTTCTCGTGCTGAGGGTGTGATGGCGCAGGTACAAGCATATTGCAGATAGCATCGGCGGAACGTTTAGTTTCCCTATCATATTGGACTCCGTATATACATGTCTTGAAGTTACGCGTCCGGCTGCCAAACACTGGTGGTACCCCTTTTACCCCTGAAATTCATTTCTCAGTATATCAACACACTGGTGGCAATATCATGCTTCTCGAGCATCGATTGCCCTTCTTGGCACTCCAACACACACCAGTTCCAAGTCTATACTAGAATATCAGCAAAATCGGGGAAGCGATGGAAGCTTAGAGATGTTTCATGCTTCATGCTTGTCTCTGGAGTGCTTCATGGAATACCTTGTGCAGAATTGTGGTTTATAAGTTGAGCGACAACTCAGTTCCACTTGCGGCACGCTTTTTTCTTCTATGACCGGCTTTCGTAAAGTAATAGCAATTTGTGAGATTCATTTCAAGACTAGACGCTGTTATCACGCTAGTCCGAAGTCAAGGTCTTCTACTTTGTTTTCTTTTGTCCCCTCGATTTTGCCGAGAGTTGAAGTCATGTCAGAGGTGGAAGGAAGTCATGCCGCTGAGCAGTCGGAGCAGCCAAAGATGTCTAAAAGTCGAATGAAGAAACTCAAGCGAGATCAAGCATGGGAAGCTGGTAGAGAAGCCCGTAAAGTAAAACGAAAAGAGAAGACTAAGACCAAGAAGCAACAAAAGCGTGCTGCACGAGAAGCACACACTACCACTAATTCATCGCTACCAACCACATCACCGCATGCCGAGCCGGACCACGCTTCAACGAAGACGATCCAACTGGCACAAACAAAAGGACCGCATCGCCGCACTATATTACCAATTACATTCATCATTGATTGTGGCTTCGACGATCTCATGACAGAAGTAGAGCACAAGTCGCTTGCATCCCAGATCACTAGGTCTTACTCGGAAAATAGGAAAGCACATTGCCAGGCGCACCTCATGGTCAGCTCCTTCAGGGGTCAGCTTAAAGAGCGATTCGAAGGTTTGCTAGAATCGCAGTATCTATCGTGGAAGGATTCAACGTTTCTCGCGGATGATTTTGTCGAGGCGAAGGACATCGCGATGGAATGGACTCAAAGCGCCCAAGCGGGTATGAAATCTGATATTTTCGACGACATGACAAAGCATTACTCGGATCTCAAAGAGACCGCATCGGGCACTGAAGTCGTTTACCTCACAAGCGACAGCCCAGATACGCTCACGGAATTGAAAGCTAGGGGGACATACATTATCGGTGGTCTCGTAGATAGGAACAGACACAAAGGGGTATGTTACAAGAAAGCCACAGGACGGGGAATTAGGACTGCTAAGTTACCGATTGGCGAATACATGGACATGAATAGCAGGTTTGTTCTTACGACCAACCACGTCGTTGAAATTCTGCTTCGGTGGCTAGAGCTCAGAGACTGGGGAAAAGCCTTCATGGAAGTGATGCCGAAAAGGAAGGGAGGTACGGTGAAACCTACTTCAACAGATTTGAAGCACTTAGACCAAGCAAAAGTGGGCGAAGGTGAAGATGGCCGAGAGTCTAGTCAAAAAGGGGCAAACGAGAACAGACTAGAAGATGAGAAAAGTCAAGGATGAAAGCTTCAATAGACCCAGGTTGTGGGCCTACCGTTGTATTTGATACCCCTGAAGCAGCTACCTATATCTCACACGTATTCTGTACGACATTTTACAAGATGAGGGTGTCGAAAATAAGCGACTTTGTCTCCTCTCCTTCGCGATTGACACTAGCATCGACTGAGGGCTGGCTTCTGGTAATAGGTGAAGTTAGCTGGTCAATGTGGCAACGCCCTGCATTCCAACGGCGGCCTTCGTGCCGTCTTTCTCTTTTACTCTCCGCGAATCTGCTCCAAGTCGCCTGCCAGCAAAGCTGCTCATTCTCCTTGAATATCACCCCCTAAAATCTATCGTCCGTGGCGTGATGTCCTGGAGTAGCGCCAACAAAAATTCATTTCACGGACATTGTGTTTCTAGCAACTTCTTCAACCTTTCACCAACTCGGCAGCATCTTCACCCCTCCGCTCATAATCAGGTGCGTCTTTACCGGTCTTCTCTCTTTCCCTCTCCCATCTCTCCAATTGCGCTACTTTTCCTCGCCTCTCTAATTTTGCCCGGTACTTCTCATCTTTGACTGCTTTTCTCTGCTGCCCGGACAGAACAGCCGGCCTTTCGTGAATTTCTGATCCCCAGGGAGCAACTATTTCAGTCACGACATGCCTGATATGGCGGGAAACTTGGCCTTCGGTAGTAATGCGCACGACGTCCCCGGTCCTGGTAGCTTCGGTGGGATCGGAGACAAGGTGGTTGTCATAATTTACAAAATGCTGAGTGCACGATATGCGTCAGCAGGGTAAGCCAACTCGAGATCGTAGTGACAGGCCACCTACCTTTTTGAGGAAGCTATTGTAGACCTGTTTCGAGGTGCGGACTTTGATCGCGCGCATCATCTTTCCGGAGGAGATGACAACGCCACAGAGCTGCTTCGTGGACGTAGCCATCTCTTCTCGCGTCGTATACAGCGCTGGCTATACTACACGACAGGCTGGGGCGGCCATGTGTTCGGTTCAATTGTAATTGATACTTGCAGCAATTATGTTCCTCTACCGCATAAATTACGGTATGCTAATACGTTCTTCTCGTATTATCCACTAGTCTGACACAAAACATGACGCATATAGAACAAACTAAAGGTGCTTGCCTGTTCTACACACTCAATAAACACACATCAATGTCGCTCTTTCCCAATCTTTTTCTGACTTTCGTGTCTCCACAGTCCCCTTCTAGTTGCGCCTGAACCTCTGTCTCACCTCACGCATTCATCATGTTCATGATACGTAATGGTGAGCATTCCATCCTGGACTTGCACTGCGAGAGTGGGGAACACGTTCTGACTGACCTGACAACAGCTACGAAATATCTCTTTGGTAATACCTCCAAAGAGTCACTCATTGAAATACCCCAAGGGAAATTGTATCTTGTTCGGCCCCACTCGCTCAAAGGCACTTCGGAACTCATCTTCAACGACGCCGCCGCTAGCATAAGACGCACGGCGCAACCGTTCCAATATCAGCTCGTGATACAACGGGCTTACGAAGAGGGCGAGGCTGAGCTTGCTGCAGAAGAAGACGAAGATGAGGATGCAGCTCTGGCAACGGACAAAGACGAGAAGATATTTCTCTTGGACGCTAGCCTCCAATTCCGCTCCGATAGAAAGGATGGCCAAGCCGTATTCGCTTGGAGAGACCTCAGTGGTGATTCCGATGACTTGTACGAGTTCGTGTGCGACGAGAGCATCAAGGATGCCGAAATTACAACCTTTGAAGTCGTCGCAATCGAATGCCAATATGAGCGAAAATTTCGCAAGTCCAAGGACAACGCTACAGAAAAGGAGTTACAGCTATTCAATTTCGAGAAAGAGCCAGTACCTGACGCAAGCCCTGCAGCCAGCCCGATAGTCAAGCCCGTAACGGCAGAGTCAGACAAGCCTGCTGGTGCAGCAAAGGAGCGGCATGCACGGGACAAAACCGAAAAAGCCGTGGCAAAGGTCGTAGGCAGCGGTACTACGGTCGCACCAAAAGCCGTAGCTCAGCCCATCTCACGAGACGTGCTTGCGAGCGAGAGGGCTGAGCTACATCTCTTTGACTTTGACTCAGGGACCTTTATCTTGCAAGATCCATCTGTCATTGCCACGGTCCATGAGATTGGGACATGGCAGTATTGGCTTCAGATCACAGGTGAAGCGCGCGAGTGGCTGGGTCAGAGAATTGAGCCGGAGCTCAATCCTGTCTTCAACTTTGAATACCTCTCCTTTATTTTCAATTACTATACAGACGACGGATCGGCATACTCGTGGCTGCTGCGCTTCAAAAGTACGGAGACGGAAGAACGATTTCAAGAGGGGGTAATGTCCGCCTTGTGGGAAAGGTTGAATGAAGCCAAATGGAAGAAGATTGATAAAGACGACCAGCAATATGTTATGGACGCCTTCCAAGATTTAACCATGGAGGACGCTCCTTCAATGGAAGAAGAGGAAGAAGTCTACGAAGATGCGCAGGAAGATGATCAACAGAGCGAACATTATGACACAGACGAGGATGCTGACGATGTCGTTACACGAGATCAAGACGGTAATGTCAACTCCCAGCTTGCCGTCGGCTATAAGCATGATCGTTCGTTTGTGGTTCGAGGTTCGAAGATTGGAGTATTCAAGCATACCCCGAATAACAACCTTGAATTCTCGACAAATATTTCCAAGGTCACTACGCCTAAAGGCGAGCTTTTCAGTCCAAAGAAGGTTATGCTTCACGCAGAGGATTCCAACATGATCTTGCAGAATGAGAAGAACCCGAACTCACTATACCGAATGGATCTGGAATACGGCAAAGTTGTGGACGAGTGGAAGATGCATGATGACATCCCAGTCAAGTCATTTGCTCCTGACAAGGTAAGCCCACTAATAGCATATCTTTCCACAAGTGCTGATCTAGAGACAGAAATTCGCGCAAATGACGGCGGAGCAAACGTTTCTAGGTCTGAATGATAACTCACTATTCCGTGTCGACCCTCGGCTTTCAGGGAATAAAATTGTTGAGTCCCAGATGAAAACTTACACAGCTAAAAACAAGTTCTCCAATGCTGCAACGACCGAAAAGGGGTACATTGCCGTCGCTTCGGAAAAGGGTGACATCCGAATGTTTGACCGTCTGGGCGTGCGTGCCAAAACCCAAATACCACAGATGGGGGAAGCTATTATTGGTGTTGACGTGTCTGCTGACGGCCGTTGGATCCTGGCAACGTGCCGCACTTACCTCCTCTTGATTGACGCCATGAACAAGGATGGGAAAAATGAGGGCAAGCTAGGCTTCGAAGCCTACTTCGACAAAGACAAGAAGCCGCAACCTAAGCGGCTGACGATCTCACCCGAACACATGGCACAAATGCAATACGTAACCAAGAAACCTCTCGTCTTCACACCAGCTCATTTCAACACTGGTGTAGATGACAAGGAAACTTCCATCATCACTGCGACCGGGCCTTACATCATCACATGGAACATGGAGAAGGTACTGAATAAGCGTCGCCAACAGTACGCCGTCAAGCGGTATGACGAGGAAGTCAAAGCCGACGACTTCAAGTACGGGAGTGACAAGAATGTCATTGTTGCTCTGCCTAACGAAGTCAACATGGTGGCCAAGAAAAGCTTCAAGAAGCCGACTCGAGAGAGCATTGCCACCGCTAGTACGCCCAGGAGGAGTAGTGGGAGACGAAGGCTAGGGCGGGAGGAGGTTGTCAATACACCCTATTGATTTGGATTGGTCCAAGAAAATAGCAGCCCGCAGTGTAGCATGAGAAGCATCTTTCGGCGTCCTTTAGGGAGAGAATGGCGGTTCGGAATGATATCCCCTTTCGCGATGGAATTGAATGAGGAATCTTGACGTGGAGAGCATATGTCAATGCTTCATGTAGTTGCGAGGACGAGTTGGTTCCGATCGCTTTCGGTATTCCTCAGTAAATGTATTCGACTGCACCTTTCTTGCTTATGTAACGAAGCATGGCGGTTGATGGAAATTCGCATTCGTCAGTCTTCCATCACTCAAGCTTATCGAACAGCCCATTTACGACCCATTTCGTCGCTTGTCGTTGCGAGTGTACACTTCTCAGCGCCTCACATGCCGTTTATGCGTCTCAGTCCCCAGTCCCAAGCCCCCATATCTCCACCCCTACGACCTCGAACTTCTCCCCTTCTTCACTCAACGCCTCATTCCCGAACGTCAAGCATCCGGCACTGCTAACCCCCGCCTCCAAAACCCCATCAAGCCACAACCCATATTTCCCATCTCCACCTCCAACACTCAAGAAGTTGTTCTCGCAGTGAATCAAGTAATCGTTGATGCCACTGTACGGGAAAGCTTTGAACCTAATGGAGTCCATTGGGCCTAGCCCATCACCAACGTTGTCAGCGCCGCCGCTTATGAGCTGTGGGCCACTGCTCGTCCCGGCATGTTGAGAATGTGAAGTCACAGGGGATAGAGTAGGCGAGGTAGGAGATGCGATGGTGGTGCTTCGACCCATTCTCTCCGTGTCTGCGGATGGTGGAGGAGGAAGATTGGCGAGTAGAGATGTGGTTTGAGATAGAGAAGCCCGCCAAAGGAAGCACTCGCCTGTGCCATAGAAAGAGGAGGTAGGCTTGGGAGGGTCGGTTAGATAGGCGCCGAAGATCTAGACATTGTGGCTTTTGGTCAGTCGAGCATTCTGTTTTCGGAGGAAACAGGGGAGGAGGACGTACTCCACCGGCTGCGTCTTGGACTACCAGTATGAATCCACATCCCCGCTGTAGATCTGCATAGGCACATTTGTGGTACAACGTCGCTAGGCTGACCCCGTCGTTCTCAAGACTGTAGACTAGGCTCCAGGTTTCGGATAGCTGGAGTCGCGGAGGCACGAGAAGGCGAATTTCTTCGGCGATTGCTTTGGAGAGTATAGTCGAATCCGAGGCTCCGGAAAGGGTGAGCGGAGTAAGTGGAGGAGGCTGGAAGGGGGACGCGTCTCTGTGGGGAGGTGTGTAGAAACCATTGTGTACGTCAAGCGTAGGCTTCTCGGTCGGGGCGGGTATGGATCGTTTCGAGGACGGTGATCGAGAGCGGCTAGGACCTTGGTCGGTCAGGCGGCGGTAGAGAGAGCCCGCTATATGGCTTACGGGGTACGAGAGGTAGGAGGAGGCGGATTGATTTGGTGGGCGGGAGGATGAGGGTGTGGAGGTGCCGCTTGATGAATCGGACATTGTGGGAGCTCTAAGTTCTCATCTTCGCAATGAGCGACTTGTTTTGGTTGTGTCGTTAGAATGCTCACTAGGAAGGAACCGCAAAAGTCATCGAACGACATACATAGGGGAAAGCAGTTGGACTTGGCGCGATCTAGATTAAATAGGTGAAAGTGATTCATTGGATCTTCCACGGATCGAAGTTGATGCCTCGAGTTACGTCAAATTACACATTGCACATTGAAATCCGCCAGTTCCCTCTGCTCCACACAACGGGATTGCTGTTTTCAAAATAAATACGGAGAGAAACTCACGAATGCAACAACCTCAATCAGGTTTATCTCAACGGACGTGGACCTAGTAGCTCCTCATAGCCTCAATATATCATAAACCAGATCTCTTCCGATCGATACCCACCACCCCTCGAACCGCCAGCTCGCCTGAGGCAATGCAATCCAACCAACCCAAAGTCCAATCATTTCCAGGTGGATTCAACAATACAAAAGGTCCTCCCAAAAGTCGTTTACTTCATCTCAATGGCTTGCCCTCCTGTTTCGTCTGTAGGATGACTACCCCGAAAGGATCTCGGTCCCTCTCACTGACTTCCACGAGCACATCGTCGTCCTTGATTGCATCATGCCATTCTTCATTCCAATCATCCCGCCCATCAATCTCCGCCTTCATCCCTGTCCTCACAGACTCCCACTCCTCTTTCAATACCTTGGTCAACTTATCTTTCATTACACTACTCAGGTATCCCCTTTCAGAATTGCTGTGGAAAAGTGTGACTACGCACTTTCCTTGCTCTGTCATGCGCAGGGCGTCATGATGCGAAAGCTCTCCCGTGAAAATCAGATCTGCATCACAACGCTTGAGAATGTCGGCCCCTGATCCTGCACACACACCGACACTATTGATGATGATGTCCTCGACCTGTTGACTTTGCGGTATTGCGACGGGAAACCCCTTTGGTGAACCAACGCCGTGGGCTATTCGTTCGATCAGGTGCGTGAGGGGCTGCGGCTCTGCGTACTCGACTAGTCGACCATAGCCCGCGTTTTCATGACCTGCGACACCTTCCACAGGGATGATGACGCTGCGAGTATGCTCGATCTCGGACTGGTTGAGGTCGGAAGTCGTATCGAGGTCGGAGGCTTTTGGATATGTTGGTTTTGAGTAGGTGCTTGCTCTTTGGAGTAGTGAGGGCCTACTAGGCTTCTTGAATTGCTTCTCTTGTTCATCTGATTTGTGCCGCTTTTCACTCTCATCGAGGGTTGGTGCCTGCTCTCGCCCCTCTTCGGCCGTGTGTGTTTGTGGTTCAGGACCAGGCAACGTACCCGTCACGATGTCTGCAAGCCAGTCGCCCAAGCCGCCAGGCGCTGCATCGACCGCGGTATGTGGGCTGTAGACGCTTATTCCTTCAAGCGCCAGGCGTAGGAGTGATTGCTGCTGAGGATCGGCGAGCGTGAGGGCTTTGATACCCTTAAAGATGATTGGATCTGTGGGTAGGTCTTCAGTGGCCGTCATATTTCTGCAGGCTAGGGGCTCGAACGATAGGAGACAACAACGCAATCCTTGCGCTCTATAGCTTCGTCCGCAACGGCCTTGGTCAAATCGATCGTGAGCAGAACCGAGTTCATTTGCCGCCGAATTGGGTCAAATGGTGCTTCTAGCAAGACTTGTGATTTCAGTCAGACGCGGTCGGAGCCCTAGCAACATTGTTCCTTTGCGTACGCCCAGTGTTATCGAAGCTCTTATCTGCCAGCTCCTCCGGATACCTAGTAAACAAGCCCATTAGTGCGTCACTCATCGTGGTTTTTTTTTGAAGCCTACGGACAATCTTCTCATAGCCTTGACGACCGCCGTTGCGAAGGGTGACGTCCGCTCCGTGGTATACGTACTCATCCTGGCGACTTTCCCGAGAGCTCTGCCAAACATTGAAGGGAAAGAAAAGCAGGAAATGTAGATGGCGCTAGAGATCTTTGAAGATCTAGGCCCTTAAACCCTGCGAGAGCGCCTCCCGCCGCCCGCGAGCGCATGACGCAACTTTGGCAATCAATAGGGTTGACGAACCGACGAACGGAACCGCCTGGTGCCGCTAGAGAGCATTAGCCTGACATCTTTCCATTGTACGCCTCAACGCACAGATTGGCGTTGAAGCTGCACCTTTCATGATTGAATAGGAGACTGCAGATAAAGGATTAAGGATTGTCGTTCCTGCGGTATACGGTCTATCGCAGCTCTGGAATTCGTCAAGTCCTCGTGGTATGGACAGCATGTAAAGAAATGGATTCCCATTTGGGTTAGCCGATGTAGAAAGGCTCAATTCTCCTCTATGAGTGCGCTATGATCGTGTTCATCTAAAGCATCGGTTGCCGCTTATTGAGCCACCGCAAGTCTTACTTCGTACATCATGCGTAGAGCAATTCGTGCAAAATGTCATGGCTTAACCCTCAACAAACTCAACCAAGCACATTCTCTGCTGCAGATTCTATGTATATAGTCAGTATATAATTGACAGAATTAAGTGGGTGCTGAAGAAAGGCCTTACTATCTACGCCAGTGTTATCAGGTTCAACGTGAGCGCTCTTGACTTTCCCGTCCTCGACCACCAGCGCGTACCGCTTGCTACGATTGTTGCCAAAGATGGCGGCCGAGTCGAAAGTGAGATCAAGAGCTTCGGTGAACTTGCCTGCGGGATCTCCAAGATAGCGGATCTGGTCAACGCTGTCAGCTCATGGGACAGCTACAGACTTCTTCGCATGATGATGGACATACACCAGTCTTACTTGTGGGGTCAAGAGTTTTGCCCCAAGCGGCCATTACGAACGGATCATTGACCGATACAACAAACACTTGGCCGGCATCTTTCGTTTCAGCATGCTCGACATACCCTGGGATGTGCTTTGCAGAGCAGGATGGACCTACGGCTGTTATGAATGGACCCAATGAAGAGAAAGGGGGCACGAACTGAACGCAGCCGGGACGCCGATGATGAGACCCTTGCCTTTGAGCTCTTTAGACAAGTCGACCTTGGTGGCCGGCGTAGTCTCGTAGAGTTCGATGGAAGGGATTGAGTCACCGACTTTGACCATGTTGACAACTGTAGGATGAAACAAGCGAACAGAGCTGGGTTGCAGTATCGGAGACTTCGATGCTTTGCGGAGACAGTTACGTGCGAGAAGACTCATGGATTGTTTGTAGGATTGAATGGCCACTGCGACGATATCAATTGAATGGCGTCAAAAACGGCACCCTTGAAGGATGCGGGGGAGTAATTATTCAGTGGTGATGCCCCTGGAAGGCTGCTGCCCGGGGCTCATAGCGTGATCATTACTACGCGCAGAATCCAGAGTCTAACGCCCGAAATGCCCGACCGAGTTGCTCTGGTGGTTGTCCCGGCTTCTAGCAGGATACAATCGTTACTTTAGGGTATCCATTGACGGCAGAGGCTTGACAGGCCGTTGTGGAAACCACTGTATACACTCTGACATCAAGCCCTGGAGCACATGGGCTTTCTTGCGATCTTCTGCTTTCAATAACTTGTACGGAGGTATCTTGGCCGGAAAGTATACTAAGTTATAAGCATCAACGGTACGAGCAAGTCCCCAGGGAAGACCTCCCTGGGCCAGCATGTGCCGGCATGAAGGCATCATGCATCATGCGCGCAAGCTACAATTCGCAGCACTGCAATTAACACTGAACCAGTGCGCGTCTTGTCTCTCTATGGTCGCAGTCCTCAGATGATAAAGCCACAAACGTGCAACGATGCGTAGGCACAATAATTAGTCCCCAAGAATGAGAAGAGTTGCATCCGAAATGTCGAAAAAGATAGGCTCGATCCCAATGCGTACTAGCGAAGCAGCCACCCCCGTCGATCACGGCCCCTCGCCAATATCTCCCAGATCTCTTTCGCATTCTGCACCTGCCTCTGCACGCCCATTCTATCCTGGGTCGCCAACCTGTGTAGCCTGCTTGTACCGGTGCGACAGTTCTCTGATCATGGACGGCAGCCAAGCTGGCAGCGCCGCCAGCGCCAACAGTTCAAGTGACTTTGTAATGCCTCCCCCCCCTTGACGCATTCCAAGCTCCGGCGATGCTAATTGAAGCATAGGTACGAAAGCTTTATAAGTATGATGCGCTTCACCGAGAGCCCCAATCTTGACTGATGTCTTGGCCAAAGAATGCTTGAAGATCCGTCATATTCGCAGGTCGTCCGATGGGGGGATGACGGTGGAAGCTTCGTAGTCCTCGAGGTATACTCTTCTTCCGGCTAGAGGCCCCTTACTCACCATGATTGCAGAACGAAAAGTTCACCAAGTCCATCCTCCCGAAGCACTTCAAGCACAGCAACTTTGCGAGCTTCGTCCGCCAGCTCAACAAGTACGACTTTCACAAGGTGCGGCATAATAACGAAGAGGGTGGAACGTCCCCTTATGGCGCTGGCGTGAGCTGAGAGCTTCCTTCCAAATCAGGACACAACTGAGATATGTAGGCTTGGGAATTCAAACATCCAGAGTTCAAGGCGAACAGCAAGGACTCCTTGGACAATATCCGTCGCAAAGCCCCGGCTCCACGAAAGGCACCACAGGTCGCTGATGAGACCGGACCGACACAGCAGATGGATCTAGTCAACACTCAGCTCGTAGCGACACAACAACAGCTAGAACAGCTTCAACAGAGGCATCAAGACCTGGCCGTGCATCACTCAATGCTTGTTCAGGAACTCATTGGAGTACAGAAAACGGTGGTCAATCACGAACATGTGATGCAGAATGTCATGAGTTACCTGCATTCGGTCGACGCGAGACAGCGGCGAGACAGCAGGGTTGGCGGCCCGTTCGCTGCACAAATGGAAACCAAGGGGCCTTCCTCAAATGTAGAGACACAGCATCAGATGTCGCCTCTAGAAGACGAACCAGCCTCGCCATTGCAAAAGGCGTCCAATTTGCTTAATGACCTTAGTGCCGACGAGCAGTTGAATTATAAGACTCTTGAGAATATGAACCATGATCTGGCTCACCAGGGCAATGGCTTTGTGTCGACTCCACCACCAGATGGAAATCGTGGGCACCAGAAGGCTGCAACATCGGCAGCGTCTAGCACATCAATACCTTATGCAAAGCTGCACCACCCGTATGATGGCGATAATGTGGTGTATCCTGCAGGCCAGCCCAACGGCATAGACCCAGCGTACAGTGAACATCTGCCGAATATTCCTTATCCCTTGCCGTCTAAGGACTCCGAAGCGCCTGATACTAGGAGCATCGCAAATCGCAAGAAGAGCACCCAAGTCGACCCGGGTTGGTCGCGGGCACCACAGATCCTGCTGGTTGAAGACGATCCAACGTGTCGGCGAATTGGTAGTAAATTTTTGTATTCCTTCCATTGCGCAATCGACAGTGCCGTAAGTTTTCCAGATCAATTGACCTTTTTTAAAATGTTGACATCGACCAGTTTGATGGCTTAGAGGCGGTCAACAAAATGAACGCAGGATCGAAATATGACTTGGTCCTGATGGATATCATCATGCCCAACCTTGATGGTGTTTCTGCGTGCCATTTGATCAGACAGTTCGATCATACACCGATTGTTGCAATGACGTCTAACATCCGTAGCGACGATATTTCAATGTACTTTCAGCATGGTAAATTCTGCCTCTAGAATCACTGATGGTGTGCTTATCAAGTTCAGGTATGAATGATGTTTTGCCGAAACCATTCACGAAAGAGGGCCTCTTGAGCATGCTTGACAAGCATCTTGGTCATCTCAAACGAATGCCTGATGGGATGGAGCCGATGCCCAATCCACCCCCAATCCCACAAAGTTCAGTAGGAACATCGCTCAAGGAGGAGAACTCTCCAGCCGATTCTCCCTCGACGATGTCGAATTGGCAATCGCCAGGCCCGTACTCAGGCATCTCCCCAATCCAAGGAGCGTCTTCTCAGTCATTCATGCAGCCTCTACACTCAGCTAGCGCGTACAGCTCCGATCAAAGTCCCATGTCATACCAGCCACCGCACACACCGATCGGTGGTCAGCCTCAGATGCCGCATCGAAGGCAGATATCGGAGCTAGGGCCAGATGAGATAAGTAGCGACCAGAAACGCCAACGGGTTTACGATCAAAGTTTACCGATGGGCCAGATGCAGCCTGGGAGAGCCAGGTGATGAGACATGAAATTATGGCTTCTTCCCTCTCTCTTCTCCTTTGTGTTTAACGGCTTCAAAAGCATTTGCATAAAGCCGAGCCTTGCGAAAATGCGAATCATTCGAGTAAGGGGATCAGCATTTCAAGATCAGACTGCTGCTGTCTATTTCGATTGCCAATATTTGTCGTCTGTGTTTGAAGGGAAAGATTACTTATTATGATATTTTGGGATACGCCCGCTTTTTGGGCAGTACGTGTTTTGTAGCGATCTGTTTTCAGATGACGGCAGGTAATGGGTCCTGAAGACTTGGTTCATGGTTCATGAGCAGTGATGGAAGGGGCGGGGGTGCAGTGACGGCTATATCTATTGCAAGGGGTGGAACATCCAGGCCGTTCGAGACTGTCGAAAAGGATCTAGACTTCTTTTTTGATATCGCCTTTCCTAGCCGACCGTACCAATTCAAGGTTCTCGGCACCACTCAAACCTTCACGCTTGGCCGCGTCTTGTCCCTGCATGAACCCGTCACACCGTTGCCGTTGTGTAGTCATCTCCACACCCACCAAAGACCAAGCCATTCTTCACCAGCATCAAGTGGCTCAAGTGGCTCACAACTATGGCGCCAAAGAACGCAAAGCCTTCCAAGGGCAAACCGAAGCCGCAGGAAGAACAGAGGGAGGGGCCGTTGCAGGCAATAGTCAGTGCCAATCCCCCCGCGGGCTGGCCACTGCTCATGCTAGAGGTCTAGGTGCTTGCGGATTCATTTGAGACCCGTTTCAGGCCTTTCACTTTAGATACACCCCGTGTACGAAAGGATCTTCAATTTCGCGACAGGGGCATTCTGATGAATGTAGTGTCTCCTTCCACTCGCCAATACTCCGATCATTGAGTACACGCTCGAATTTCTTGCTAGCAATGGCGTTCAAGAAGTCTTTGTCTACTGTGGCAACCATACCGACCAACTAGAGGAGTATATCAAGTGAGCTCAAGAATCTTCCTGTCCCTAACGATCAATCGTCGCAGAGTCTACAAAGGCTGAACTTTGTGTTGTAGTATCTCAAGATGGAAGCGATCCTCCTCTCCCTTTCAATCGCTCACTCTAATCAAGACTACTGCCACCTCTGTAGGCGATTGCATGCGCGACCTTGACAATAGAGATTTGGTTACGGGCGACTTCCTTGTCGTATCCGGCGATGTTGTTTCGAATGTCAATCTGGCTTCTGCGCTTTCAAGACATCGCTCTCGGAAAGGAAAGGACAAGAATGCTATCATGACCATGGTTCTGCGAGAAGAGGGTTCGGGAAAGGTGCTGCGTAGCAGACGACGTAAACCTGTTTTTGTACTGGACCCTAAAACGGAAAGGTGTCTACACTATGAGGAACTGAGTAGCACGGATGGTGATAGGCATGTGATGCTCGATCCAGACTCCTTAACGTCACACCTCGAAATAGAAATTCGTGAAGATCTAGTAGACCCACATATCGACATCTGCACTCCGGATGTGCTTGCATTGTGGACGGAGAATTTTGATTACCAGAGTCTGAGAAGAAGCTTTTTATTCGGCGTATTGAAAGATCACGAACTGAACGGAAAGACTGTACATGCGCACATACTAAGTGATCATTTCGCTGCTAGAGTAGCAAGCTTGAAAGCCTATGATGCAATTACGCGTCACGTTCTTTCAAAACGGACCTACCCATTTTGCCCTGACAGTAACCTTCTAACTGATCAGACTTATCAATCGAGAGAGGGTAGATTATACCAAGAGCAAGGAGTGCAGTTCGGTATGACGTCCAAGATCTCTGGTCGATGCGCTTTTGGAGCCGGAACCAGTATCGGAGAGAAATGCCTGATTTTGAACAGCACTGTGGGGAGAAGATGCAATATTGAGAACAACGTTACGCTCGAGAACACGTTCGTATGGGACGATGTACAGATTCGGGATTCTGCAAGAATAGAAGGGCCAACTATCATAGCAGGCGCTGTCACCATTCAACGCTCGGCGGTCATTTCCCCTGGTGCTACGATTGCCTTCAAATCAAACATTGAAGGTAGCAAGACAGTTGGTGACATTAAAGTCCGATCGGGCGAGAACGGCTCACAGAACACAAAGGGCCTTGACAATGATTCTGATACCTCAAACAATTTGTTCTTGAGGCTCCCTTACAAGAACTCCTCTGCGGCGAGCTCTCAATCATCAATTTCAACCTTTGCTGCTTCAGAGGATGAGTTCGAGCCAAGGGACTCATCACGCCGAAGCAGCTTCCGCTCCGATCCTTCGGACGAAACAGCTCAAAATAGAGACTTTCAAATTGAGGCCACAGCAAGCATTCTCGACGGTCTTACTAAAGGTGATGCAGCGGATACAATCTTCTTGGAGCTCAATGGCTACCGCATGTCTGTCGATGCAAGTCAGCATGAGGTCAGACACGCCGTTGTTGTGGCTTTCGTCCGACACGTCTTCAATATCACTGAGAGTATTAGCCTGCGAGACGCGATCCAGCAGGTGATTTCTGATTACAAAAGTTTATTTAGGAGGATCATCTTAGATGAGACCGCAGAGCAAAAATCAGACCAGGTCGATCTTTTGTTGATAGTGCAGAAGGAGCTGGTTGGTAGACCTAAAGGAGATCAGGTGCTTCTTTTCATTGCTAAGGAGATGTACGATCAGGATGTGATAGAGGAGGAGGGTGTTTTACAATGGTGGGAAGATGAAAAGAGTAGTGCTGGGGAGATGGGTCAGATTAGAGGATTGACCGAGCCATTCATCACATACCTCGAGGAAGCTGAAGAAGCTGAGGATAGTGGTGAAGACGAAAGTGAATAGCTTTCCATAATTGATCACATACTTGACGGGTCATTCATTTCAGTGCTAATGGGAGTGACCTTTGGGGGCTCCTTAGGTGCTGAGGCTGCTTGGACGAGGCTGTCGAAAGCCGGGTAGGTCTTGGCATTCATCCGCAGAACGCGCTGCGGCATTCTCTTGCACGAATATTTGCTCTCGCTATCTTAGGGTCTTCCTCATGTCTGATACGTCTCGATCGGACACCGTTCTCTCCAATTCGGAGTTGGAACGCGCTCTTCAAGATGCTGTTCGCAATGTCTACAAGCGCGAGGACCTAGGAAATCTTACCGTGAAGCGCATTCGGAAAGCTGTGGAAGAGCAGCTAGATTTGGAAGTGGACTTTTTCAAGAACCACATTGATTGGAAGGACAGAAGCAAGGACGTCATTCAATCGGAAGTGGTAAGCATTCTCCAAATACTGGAAGCTTCATGCGAATGCTAACTCTATAATTAGGATGCCCATAATGAGAACATCGAGGGCAGTCGAGGGCAGCGCGCTTCGCCAACAGATGCGGATCCACTACCTCCACCGGTCAAGTCCAGCCCGAAGAATCGTGGAACTAAACGCGCTTCCAGCGAGTTAGCGGAGGCGAAGCCAAGGAAGAAGCAGAAAAGTATACCCAAGGTCGGGAGTTCCTTGAGCGAAAGAGAATCAAAGCCAAAAGATACTGTAACAAAGAGCCATAATAGAAGCCCGAGAGCGGACTTAATTTCTTCTCAATCTGAAGCAAATACAGATCTGGAAGCTCCAAAGCCCAATTCAAATGGTGCCAAAGCTCAAGACTCGGAGAGTGACATGTCAGTACTCTTAGACGAACCCAAAGTGACAAAGAAGAAGAAGCGTCAGAAGTCAGAGTCAAAGCCCAAAATCAATAAGTCCAATAGTGCAAGCAAACCTATGAGAATATCGGAAGCCACAGTAGACCCCGATAATGAAGAGATTAAGCGGCTCCAAGGATGGCTAGTAAAGTGTGGCATCCGAAAAATGTGGTTCAAAGAGTTAGCGCCACATGACACCCCGAAGGCCAAGATCAAGCATCTTAGGGTGATGCTGTCCGACGCGGGTATGGAGGGGCGTTATTCGAAGGAAAAGGCGGACCAGATCCGGGAGGAGAGGGAATTAAAGGCAGATCTGGAAGCTGTTCAAGCAGGCAACAAAGCATGGGGAAACGACCATGGCCAAGAAGTGGATGACGAAGCTGATAGAAGACCAAAAAGGCGAATCGCAAAAGGTCTGCAGGGTCTTGATTTCTTGAATGATGATGACGGAGAAGAGACGGATTGAGGTCAATCGTCCACCACATCCAAAGATGGTCGCTCCACTGAATCGTCTCGACTTCCTCCTGCGGCCAACTGTACATGTAAGCTGCCAGAGTTCGCTTGTAATGGCCGTCGGTACTGTATGATGAACATTGATCGCCTCAATCAACGTCCTACCGATTTCCGGGCCGGGTTCATGCGTTGAGCAATCAAGCTGAAGGCAGCGACCGAGGACATGAAGAGAATCAAATTGTAAAACTGTAGATGACCTCAGTCAGGGCTGCGTGCTATAATCTTGGTAGAACACTGACAGCATTTCTTGAGTATGCACTTTCCTCAGCTTCAGTCCTCGCGTCGACAAAGAGGCGACGTAGATTTGGTAAGCTAGCCTTTGCGCGGTGAGTTGAGGATTCGATGTAGAGTGGGCAACGTACCATGACAGCTAAGCATCACTAAGCATTTCTAGTCGTGGATGGAGCTTTCGAGGTCCCGCTGCGGGCGAGAAGTCTTTTTTGTAATTTTGTGAACAGCATCGTCTCTAGGCACTCACTCCACATTCAGCATCTCAGCAAACGCACATGATGCCCCCTATACTTCAAATCTGAAGTCTTAAAATCGGAGGCAATTAATTCACTGGGAGACTGTATTCAATTGGCAGATAGCATTGCGGGATCCGTTCTTTCTGGACCACCTCTCACGGCACAATACTTGAGTAGAGAAAAGCTACCTACAGCTTTGGGGACAACGACAACTTTACCGTCCAATTATGGCGGTGAATAGATTGAGGGCGTCATTCGGGACGCCGCGAAAGGGCGAGACCTTCGAGCTTAGAGCTGGACTCGTATCCCAGTATGCCTACGAACGAAAGGAAGCAATACAGAAGACCATAATGTCCATGACACTAGGAAAAGATGTTTCAGCTTTATTTCCAGATGTCCTGAAGAACATAGCTACTGCAGACCTGGATCAGAAAAAGCTAGTCTATCTCTACCTAATGAATTACGCAAAGTCGCATCCGGATCTTTGTATATTAGCCGTGAACACGTTTGTGCAAGACTCAGAAGACCCCAACCCCTTGGTACGTGCGCTAGCTATTAGGACGATGGGCTGCATAAGGGTAGACAAAATGGTGGATTACATGGAGGAGCCTCTAAGGAAGACCCTAAAGGACGAAAGTCCGTACGTGAGGAAGACCGCTGCAATATGCGTTGCCAAATTGTTCGATTTGAATCCGGCGCTCTGTCTAGAGAATGGTTTCCTTGAAACACTGCAAGAGTTGATGGGTGACCCAAACCCTATGGTTGTTGCGAACTGCGTAACGGCTTTGGCAGAGATCAGTGAGGCAGCACCGGAGACGAAAGCTTTACAAGTAACACCACACTCGCTCAAGAAAATGTTGATGGCGCTGAACGAATGCACCGAGTGGGGACGAGTGACAATACTTTCTACCCTTGCAGAATATAAAGCCTCAGACGTGAAGGAAGCAGAGCATGTTTGCGAAAGAGTCGCGCCCCAGTTTCAGCACGCCAACCCGAGTGTAGTTTTGGCTGCTGTAAAAGTAGTATTTCTTCATATGCGCTATATCAACCAAGACGCTGCTAAGAATTATCTCAAAAAGATGGCTCCTCCCTTAGGTAGGATCAACCTGAAGATTCCCCCTTCGACTTGACTAACGCTCCTCAGTCACCCTCGTTTCCTCACCACCAGAAGTGCAATATGTAGCTCTTCGGAACATCGACCTGCTCCTCCAGAAACAGCCGGATATCTTGAGCAAAGAGCTCCGCGTCTTCTTCTGCAAATACAATGACCCCTCCTACATTAAGTTTCAAAAGCTTGAGATTATGGTTCGAATTGCAAACGACAAGACGGTGGACCAACTGCTGGCGGAGCTAAAAGAATACGCTCTCGAAGTAGACATGGATATCGTCAAGCGTGCCGTCAAAGCGATCGGACAAGTTGCGATCAAAATTGAGACGGCAACGGAAAGATGCGTGAATACGTTGCTCGAATTGATTAACACAAAAGTAAACTACGTCGTTCAGGAAGTAATCGTAGTCATCAAGGACATACTCCGAAAGTATCCGGGTTACGAAGGCATAATACCTGACCTCTGCAAATGCATAGAAGACCTTGATGAGCCGAGTGCTCGGGGTTCTCTGATCTGGATTGTTGGCGAATACGCTGAAAAGATTAGTAACGCTGGCGACATACTCTCGGGCTTCGTCGACGGCTTTATTGAAGAATTCACGCAGGTAAGCTGTTCTGGACGTTTATTTCTCTCGTCAAACTTGCTGACCTCAAGTGTAAAGACACAGCTTCAGATCCTTACGGCAGTAGTCAAATTCTTCCTCAAACGCCCGCAACTCCCTCAGTCTCAAACCCTTGTCCAGAAAATCTTTCAGTCCGCTACTGCCGAAAACGACAACCCCGACGTCAGGGATCGAGCATATGTATACTGGCGGCTCCTATCTTCGAATCCGCAGATAGCGCAAAACATCGTCCTCTCCGACAAACCACCAATAACCACTACCATTGAATCACTTCCCCAACCCTTACTAGACAGATTACTCACAGAACTCAGCACTCTCGCAAGTGTATATCACAAACCACCAGAAAGCTTCATAGGCCAAGGACGATACGGAGCCGATGCTGTTCAGAAAGCCGCCATAGAGGAGCAAATGGAGAATGCGCGTGAGAATCCTCTGGCTGCTGCGGCTGCAGCAGCAGGCGTTTCAGGGGTGCCTCCCACGCAAGCAAATGCAGAGAATCTGCTCGATATTGATTTCGATGGTGCTGCACCAGCATCAGCGCAGAAGGACCCAGCTGGAGGCATGTCAGGGCTCGAAGGGCTAGCTGGAACGCCACAGCGGATTGAAAGCCCTGCTGTCGTTGGCGCCGGACCGACAAAGCCACCGCCGAACGTCATGGGTGGAATCGATGACTTAATGGGCCTAGGCAATGGTATGGGCGGAGGAGGCAGCGGTGATTCAATGGGTAGCGGTGGTATTATGCAAATGAATGGTGCCGTACACGCAGGAGGAATGACAAATGAGGATATCCTCGGTGGCTTTGCTGCTATGGATTTGAATGCGACAAGTCAGCCGCCGCCGCCGAATCAACAACTCGCTGGTGGCAGTGCAGCAGGGGGAAAGAAGACGACTGAGGATTTATTGGGCCTGTTCTGAAAGCGTGGAGTTGGATCGCCATCCAGAAAATGCATTTAGAGGGCGTTCGCGGTCTGTCATTCAAAGCGATGCACATAGGGAAGGGTGGGAAGATTACTCAATGAGCCTTGTAAAAGGATGTGGGTGATTGCATACAAGGTCTTAGTCAAAGTTCCAACGGCAAGAAGAAATCTGATCTAGACATTAATTCAGCTCAGTAAAACCCTGATCTCTCCGCTCGTCCTAGGAAACAAGTCCTTCAAGCGAACAATATCCTTCCTTCCTCCATTCTCTCTGTCAGCTTCACTGCCTTCTCCATGGAGCTCACCATCTCCGTTCTCTCCTCCTTCCTCGCTCTTGTCACCATCTTCGCCCAGCCTCGCCTCGTCAAGCTTACATAGCAGCCCATCCACAAACTCAAAGTCCTCGCAAAACCGCTCTGCGGCTTCAGCAGTCACGCTCCTCGCAACCTCTTTGCTCTGCAACAAGCGCAGATTCTCCATGGCGTCCATGAGCGCGGATGGCAAGAATTCGTCTAGTGCGGTACTGGCGTCGGTAAGAGCTTGGTGTTGTAGCTCTGGCAGGCTTGGGATTCTCAGGGCGCTCTCCTCGGACCTTGGATCCTTGATTTGGGCCAGCGCGGAGAGAAGGGGGTGCAGGCCTGAGGCGTGGAGGAAGAAGGCGTGTTGGTATTGGACAAGGTCGGCGGAGAGTGTTGAGATCTGTTCCTCGAGCTTTGATAGGCAGGACTTAATGAACGGGTAGGGTGCAAGACATGAGCTTGCAGCTAAAAGGCAGTTGGTCGTGAAGATGCCGGCTTCAGGCTCAGTAAGGTCCTTGGCAAGCTTCTCACAAGCAGAGAGGAATGGAAGTAATGCTTGAGCGATGATCGGCTCAAAACTGGAGTCGCGGGACGCCTCCGGTGTCATCGAAGAGTCAAAGCTTTTTAAGAGGGCGGCAAGCTGCGTGATTGTCTCGTTGAGGAAGTCTGGAATGCGAAGATCCTCGGGTGCCCTACCTAGGTCGGATTGAACAGACGAAAGCATCTCATTATTAACACTGCGGAAATGACTAAGAGCTGATTCCGACAGGGCTGATAGTGTGGTAAGGACACTGGACGACGGTCCTAATAGTTTGGTGAAAGTGGACGTATAGAAGGTGATGAGATTAGCAATCTTGTAGAAGAGCACGGCATCTTCATGGTTCTGGTAGACCTGCTCTATCCGTTGGCGGAGTCCACGAGCAACTCCAGCCATGTTTTGATTGACCAAGTCTCCCAGGGCTTTCTGGCCATCGAATCCTTCATTCTCGAAAGCGGACCATGGCTCTGACGCCCTTGCTGCTTCAAACCCCCGCTTGATCTCGTCACCTTCCGACACGAAGAGTGTCTCGAGAGCTTCAAGTTCAGATACAGTGGCTGAATGGATCCAAGCCAGCATGTCTCCAACGTAGCGAAGAGGGTCGTGAGAATGAAGCTCTATAGGCTTCGCCAAAGGGTTGGCCCCGCTCTCATCAGAAGACCCGGTCAACGCAGAGTAAAAAGCGTCCGTGAGCACATGCTCCCTAGCTTCAACAAAGAAATTTAGGCAACTCTGAAAAAGCGAGGGTCTTTCGGCGAGCGCTCTTATTGCTCGCCTGACGAGAGACCCCATCTGCGGATTCTCAAGATTCAAGTTCTTGAGCTCACGCTGTATCCACCTAAACAGCTTCTGGTAAGCTGAATTCAAGTAATTCGAGCTTTGCTCCATAAGCTCGAGACCCAATCTTTGATTTTCGGTCCCTAGAAGAATTTGGCAGTCCACGTGGATCTGCTTTGCCCTATGTAATACGACGAAGAATCCATCATCGACAGGGTTTGCAGTGCTGGTCAAAAGTAGTAGATCCTCCTCCGAAATGATGAAGTGTCTTTTGAATGCGTCCAGCAATTGCTGTTTCACCTCCAGCTCTCGTTTCTGCCCAAGCAACGTCGAAGCCTCTTCTAAAACAGGGGCATTCTCCTGACGAGCAGCTACAACATGCCTCCGCATGTCCTCACAGCATTGATTCAAACTACTAACTGTTGTTTCAATTCTTCTAAGTTGCTGGATCCATCTCAGCGCTCGGCTTCCATGTCAGTCACAGCAGACGAACCTCCGCGACTTGGCCAAAGTCCTTGATGATGTTTCCATTGCGCTGAATGATTTCTTTCTCAACCTCAAGTCGAAGTCCTCGTCGTGTCTCAGCGGTGTTTTGTGTCTTCTTATCGTCAAGAGAGCGTAGAGCATCTCTGATCTCGGAGTCAGCGTATGAACCGGACAGGATGGTGCTCACTCTGTGGGAGAATGCGCTTGTCCTTGAAGCTGCCGGTTGCAGACCTAGCCCTTCATCAAGGCCAAGACTGCTGTCATCGGTGTCTATAGCCATCATGTGAGGGTGGTTGAAAGGTTTGTGGTCGAGAGAGAGACGTCTGATCGACTTTCGATAACCATACGCATTTATCATCACAGCACCGTAGAAAGAGGCATCTATCAGAATGGTCGGGTCGTTTTGGCTATGACTCCTCGGATCGCCCCTGAGGCGCTTCTACAAGTTCTATCGTCTAACGCAGGCCAAAGCAGCTCATTTTTTGGTAAAAGGTTGTATTTCAGTAGTTGTAGTCATCGTTTTCTGCTCCACGTTAATGCTACGCAGCTTGAAAACCTCGTCCGTAGATTTAAATACTACGAATGCAAAAGAGATACCGCTCCTTGCCCAAAAGAAGCGCCATGCTTCGTCAGATTCATTGCTCTGACTTCCCAATGAGACCATCGCCAATCATGTAAGATGAGAATTTCCGTCTAGGCACGCTGTTGAAATCTCATGACACGCCATCTATGCTAACATTAAATTTCCACTCTCCTGCGAAATGTTAGGGAAGCTTGGAAGCGGAAGAGAGGCGGAAAACGCTTACCATCTTTCAGATTTCTAGCAGTATCGTCCAGGAGGATAACGCGCCGTTTCGTGCAATACGATGTCTTGTCTAGGATTTCCACTCTTAAGTCTGCAAGTTCTGACGTTGGCTTTTCGAACATTTCGCTCAGGTTCTCTACCGCAAGTTCTAGATCTTTTTGATTTTGCTCGAAGATTTCAGTGAAGTTGTTTCGCTGTAGGTAATAAGCGAAAGCATAGGTCCATTTGAGAGTTTGCCGGCACTGCTGTAAGGCTTGTGACGCGGTATCAAGAAATTGAACCTCGATCCAGGACATGCCGGAGGCAGTCTGTAGATTCATCATCTTCTTCTCCGTCTTCTGGTAGAGATCTTTATCAAGCTTAGCGGACTGCTCATGATTGGAGTATCGGTTGTAGTAATGTAGATAGCGCTCCAGAGATTGCCTAGATCGGGTCTGGGCATCTCGACCGTCGGTTCCAGATTTCTCTTCAAACCGATTGCAATTGTACCAGCTGGTGCCATGTTCTGACCATAGCCCCATACAAATCCAGCAGAATTCATATTTGCATTTCCGGCATGTCATGTGATTGCACCCTCCATTCTTCTCGATGGTTGACGAGCATTTTGGGCACTCTTTCGTGTTAGCATTGATCCAGTTGGCTGTTTCTGAATCATCTTCACACTTCTTAACCCACATCTTGACGAGCTGGCAAGGCGCAGGCTGATGATCATTAAGAGTGCAGCCAAAGCAGAACCGATGGCGACAGGTACAAGTCACGCTTGGCACAATCTTTCCAAGCTCCTTTTTCTTGATGCCGCAGTCGATTGCGTATTCACAATTCGGCGCCGGACACCACTTGAGATGGTCTTTGTCTTCGACATAAGTTCGTGTGAGTAAAGTCTGGTATCTGGTGGAATGGTCAACTAGGGCAGACCATGTGATTTCGGTGTAACTCACCTAGATTTGAGATCCTCAGCAACAAGCAGATCCAGGCTTCGAGAATCCACAATTCGATGGCAGCCAGCCGTGGGACATTGTATCCTTGCGGCTTCGCCTTCATCTCTGATCTTTTGAGCGAGATATTGCCGATAACAATCAATGCAATATCGATGTCCACACTTTAAAGCATAGGTCTCTAGGCCTAGGGTGTCCTCACAGCAGATCTCGCACATGAAGCCCTTGAATGCTCTGGTTTTTGGTGCACTTGAGGTGTCTGAGCCAAGTCCGGCTTCTTCGAGCACTGCTTCGAATCTCTCCATGTATATATCTATCAGTCGCTCTTTATTCCATCGCAGGTGTCGCAGAAGGATTGCGGAGGCTTCTGCTGGTTGGCCCAAGATAGTCGAGACCTCCTCCACTTGCTTGTCTTGGTGAGACTGGATTTCTGTAGGTGAATAGACTTTGTAGTCAACCTCATATGCCTTTTTCGATGGCTTCAGATCCTTCTGCGAGAAACCTTCGTCAGGCTCATCTTGGTCAAAGTCTGCGGGCGTCAGCGTGTAAAGACCGGGATGTCGGGTATCTTTACCATCTCCCAGACTGCCATCATCGCTGTCTTGTTCCATCCCAAAGTCGTCCTCCCCGCTTGACTGACCGCTGATGAAATCATCGTCAGAGTCCATAGTAGTCAGCGGGGGAGTGTTGAGCGCAGTAGATGACACGCTCCGTGGGCGTTTTGATGGCAGATCTGTATTCTCTTCTTGTCTTGAATCCGCTACTGTCTTCCTCTTTCGCGTTTGGGGAGGCGTGGTGAAGGAGGGTGAAGCTCGGCGAGTCTCGCGAGCAACGAGACCGCTTGCAAGCTTCACGTACTACAATAGGCAGAGCCCACGGGCGATGAAGAAGTATTGGCCAGGCCTGGCGGAATGACAAGTAAGCAGCCGAAGGTGGAGCCTTCTGTGCGTCTTGAAGAGCATGAATTTGAATGGATGACTGATCCAACAGAGTGTAGGCACGCAAGGCACCCCTCGGCAGGTTACAGTCGCCATCAATTACCTTATGTCAGCGCTCCCAGGTAGGACTAGCGGAGTGTGCCTTGACTAGCTCCGGTCTACAGATGATTAGATAATTATCACTTTAGTAGTACGACGATAGCAGACGAATCTCCCAAGCAGCCATGGGAAAGACATTGTGTAGGCCCACAAACATGATTTATCTGCCGTTTGAAGGCATAGATTCACGATATGTACCTCGTAGCATAGACTCATTCACGGACGCTCTGGATTGGTATCTCTACACCCCCTCTCTCCGAATTCCCTCGCCCAATCCTCATACTGTTGCAAACCTTGCTTGTTCACGCTGGGTCGGATGTTCATCAAGCTAGCCTCAAAGTCGGAAAAATTAATTGGGCGGATTTCATCCGTAGACATATAGAGCAGCGCCTCTCCTAAACTGCGCAGGGGGCCCATAGCAGCGTCTTTGGCCAGAGCAGTGATATCGCTTCCAGAGAAGCCTAGGATTAACTGTCAGCCTGAAACGCTCATGAGTAAGGGCCAATCAAAGGCGTGCTTACTGTCAGTCAACTCCACGAGCACTTGGATGTCCTGCTTATTGAGGCCATGCTTCTGATGGCCGAGGAGCGTCCTCAATTGCTCCCCACGGACTGGCGCTTCGGGCAATGGAATATACTGCCGTCGCACAAACCTCCGGCGAGCAGCCTCGTCGATGGCCCAAGGCAGATTTGTAGCTGCCAGCACAAGCACTCTGGTGGGATCACCCTCAATCTTGTCTTTGTCGCCTTGCTTACCAGCTGCAGCGCGTTGAAGATCTGACCACTGGATGAGAAACTCGGTTTTAATGCGCCTCGTGCTTTCATGTTCGCTAGAGCCACCACGGGAGGAAAGGAGTGAGTCTATCTCGTCAACAAATATAATGGAGGGAGCCAACGCTTTAGCTAAAGAGAAAAGCGCGCGCACAAGTTTCTCAGATTCGCCCAGCCATTTGGATGTCAAGCTACTAGCCGATATAGCGAAGAAAGTGGATCGTGATTCGGTAGCAACAGCTCTGGCAAGCATAGTCTTTCCTGTACCTGGAGGGCCAAAGAGAAGCATCCCTCGGGCGGGCTCCCTGAGACCCAGAAAGAGATCAGGTCGTAAAAAAGGATAGACCACAGCTTCTTTCAGCGCTGACTTTGCGGCGTCTAGGCCTGCAACATCGGCCCAATGCACTTCATCACCCCTGACGACAATCTCATTGAAGATCTGTTTCGCAGCAGTCTCGTCGACTCCTTTGGGGAGATGCTTTCGAATATGCTTCACTCTTTCCTCAAATGTCTTTGGAGGGCAGTCCGATGTCGGCGAATCTTCACCTTTGCTTTCAGGCGACGTTAAGGCTGGATCAACTGGGATGGCTTCGTATTTGGATTTTTTGAGCGGCTTTCGTTTTTTCTGAGCGGCCTCGCGGCCTCGATCAGTAACATCATCGTTACTGGCCGATGATTCAAGGTTGTCATTATCGCCAGGTTTGCGCGACGGTCGCGGAGAAGACACACTAGCTACTGGCCTTCTTGCAACACCATTCGCTAGCGGCGCTCGAGTTCGCCGTTGAGGGGATTTCTGTCGTATTGGCAGGTTTGCGCTTCTCGGACTCTCGTCCCGACGTTGGACCCTTGCGTTGAACTCTGCTGTCGCCCTTGAGCTTGGCGCTGTAGGAGGGAATTCCGTCCGATAGGATGGGTAGTCCACTGATGGTTTGGCCTTCTGTCGGTTTACCGCATGGTCTGAGAGGGCTTCATGCAGTGATGGAGGTGATGCTTTATGACTGACAAGGTCGGGATGAACTTGAGATTCAGGTGCCTCGTCGTCATATCGCCACGATTCAGAGACCGTCTTCTTGGCGGCCTCATAATTTCGCGGTCCCAGTGGTCCTTGTGCAAATGCCAGAGTCGGGGGCGTGGAGGTTCCAGGCTGAGACTGCCCGCTGTTTTCTGGGCCTTCATTTTCTCCATCCACGACACTATTAGGAAGCTGTCTCGGAATGACCACAGAAGTGCTGCTCTCTCGGCGATATGTCTCTGCTCCACTATTTACAGTAGCTGTCGTTGAGCTTTGGCTCACACCTGACCCATTAGCTTTCGGCGTTGCATCCCATGCAAGTCCAGCCGCTTTGGAAGATGCGGGAGGAACATTGCTGCGTCCTCCCAAGGATTTCAACGGCTTCGTAGGTTTGCCTTTTGCATCTTTTGGCCCTCGCAAGGTTGTAAGCATTACGCGCCCGCCTTTTTTGTCAGGACTAGGAGTCCTAGATGTCCTCGTTGGGGGTACTGGTAGATTTGGTGGCGGTACCATCGCGCTTTGCTGTGGGGTGCTGTTGGGTCGTTCAGTATTGGAGTCTCTCTGAATAGCTGATGGTCGATGAGGTAGAGGTGGAGGGACTTTCAGCTGCTCAAAATTCGAAGTCGGTGGGACTGTTCCTTCTCCCATCCAATTCGATGGTGTACTGTGTATAGATGCAGATCCAGAGATTTTAGGGGGGACCATTGGCTTCCCAGTCGAATTCAAGCTGATACTCGACTTTTCAGACTCCTTGTTAGACTTTTCCGCCTCCTTACGACTTTTCTTCAGCGCATCCAGAAGATCTACTCGCTCTTTACATTGCATCTCCATGTTCCTCAGCGATTCTTGGAGTGCTCTTTCGGTCTCATTCTTCGGGACGTAGTTGGGAGGCACTCTGTACGCATTGTGATAATAGATCTGATCGAGGGCAGAACGCCAGGACCGTAATGCTTCAGCTTCATTGTTCTGCAAACGATCGCTTTCAGTAGTGATTGGATACGGATAGAGAGGTCAGCTTGTGCCTTACCTGGCCTTCAAAGTAGACAGCGGTAGAGCAAACTAGGTAGCATTCATCATAAGTCTTCTGTATAGAAGACGAGACTTTATTGCGCAACATCGAGTTGGTAATGAGTCTACTATGAAGTCCATAAAGAAGACTCGAAGCCGCGTTGGGGGTGGGGTAAACAGCAGTCGATTTTGGGTATGTGAGATATTGCTCGTCCTTTAGCAGCCTTGGGGGTCGAGGGGGTGCTCGCATGACGTTGTGCGCTAAGTGATGGGCTTCCTGATAGGGGACCCCCTCAGCCCGTACCCCGAGCATGTTCAGGCCCCTTTGGGCCCTCTCGTAATTACGTGCTTATGATGTAAAGTACGCATTGTAGATACTTTGTTACACTCTTGATGGCGATTCTTTTGGCGTAACATCTGGCAAAAGGGATTCTTCCCTCGCTAATTTAAAGACCTCCCATGGCATCTCCAGATTGGACTTGACAAGATGAGCATCGGCTGATGAATCGTCCAGACTATTGACCTGGAGACTGTATAAAAACGCGGATGCTTCTGCCGGACATCAGAGCCTCTAAGGTGTCCATAAGCCCAACCAAATATATACACTACACCTCAACACCAAGCCTTTGACCAATGCTTGCATTGGATGTCCGAAATTCGCTCACATAGAATGCTGTCGTGATGATCTTCATCTCATTTTCTCAATCGGTTTGTGCCCCTCAGAGCATGTACACCCGACGCCGAAGCTTTTTCACAACGAAGCCGTGGTTCCTTATTTGGCCATCTCTGGAGTTGCTTTCACGCCATGATGAGGCGAGATGCATGCTCCAGCGCTTCTTCTGTTGAAGAGGTCTACTAAATCCGAGCGCGCAAAGAAGTGCCTTCATTGTCATAAAGCATCATCGCGGTTCTGCACAAAATAATTCTTAGCAAGTTCGTAGGAGCTCCTATTTTGGATATTTAGCAAAGACAATGGCTAGTGATGCTTCGAGTCAATAGCTTACCAACAGATCGCAGTAGAGGGTACCGCAGTCAGTATTCTGGGCTGCAGCCCTCGAAAGAACCCCCGCCAACCTTGCTGTCTCCTGATGATAGAAGCGGCTCCGAACAGTCCCCTTGCAAGACGCAACTCTCGATCATGTGCGCTTCCTCGTGTCTGTAGCAAGGTTTTGATAACGTCTAATGGAGTTGTCAGTGCAGCTGCAAAGCCGCCTGCCATGCCTCCGGCAATAATGTGCGCATTCGGACTATATTCTCTTGCCGGATTCAGGAGTTCCGATAGATTTTCATATGCCATAAATTGCAATGCTGTGAAGGGCACCGTCATGGCTATGGTCGTCGGATATGAGGCGTAGAAGGCTCGTACCCCCTCATTCCTGTAGACAGACTTCAAGCAGTGGAAAACAGATCGATAAGTTGAGCCATGGACTTGCATGCGCTGCTTAATGACTAGATATATTTAGATTCTCGCCGAGCAACATCAACAGCTATCTTACCATCGAAAGGATTCATGAGCGCATCGCTTGCTATAGTAGCTGACCCGCCACTAGCCACTGCGACCTGTCAGCTTCGAGTGCGAAAGTCGATGACCAGCATGGAGAGACTTGCAGCCTGACAGCAGGTGATAACCAGACTCATTTCCACCCGTGGCATGTTTGACAGTCTCGTACGTAAGAAAGTAGACCGCGTGCGCCGGACCTGGTAGAGACCTTAGTATTGTCAAAGAATTGCCAGTGCGGTCGTAGTACCAGCTCCTAATATAACGCTAGAGATGCCTCTCCACATCCGTCCTGATCCTTCGACCTTTCGAATTTTCAGGAAAGCGTTTGTGAGGCCTGTGTATAGGCCACCCTCGGCGGGCTTGAGGACCTGTAACCGTGTCTTGAGGCAGTGAGTGAAAGCAGCTTCTTGTGAGCCAATAGTGGATTCACACCTTCAACATATCAACCGGATACATCACCGAGTGTTCCTATGGGCTTATCAGCTTGATTCATCCATCTTCTAAATCAATGACCGTACTGCGATGCCCGCAAATGCGCCCGCGAAACAATTCTCCAATATGGAGAAGTTGGGTGGAAGTGCTTCATAGCTACAAAATATCAGTCAGTATGAGCCTTATAGCAAACTCCAGATATAGCCCCTTACTCATCGTAGTCCATGGGCTTTGTATCATGGTGAGCTTCCATGGACCCTTGACGCACTGGCTTGGGCGGTGGCGAGAAGGTACCAGGGTGAGATATGGGCGGCTCTCGGATTGGACTAAGCGATGGAGATGGCGGCACCGTCATGAAGAAAGATTTCGAATGGCGTTCATTGACAGGCTGCTATCCTGACTCCGATCATCGGCAAATGCACGTTTCTCGACATTCGAAAACGACGCCTCCGCTCGCTCTCCGTTGTAGACGTGGTGGGAGGTTGGAGATTTTTGCAGATAAGGAGAGAATCGAAACTGTTGGGGTAAAACGGACAGCAGGGTAGATTGCTATTAAGTGGGCTGCTGTGAAATGTCGCGTTCGTCTATGATGTATGGAAAAAAAAAGTCCGGAGTACTCAAACAGGCTAGGTCGTGAATGAAGTCACCAGGGATTTTGGACCGCGAAATGACTTCCCTAATGGTTCTGATTGTGGGAGGAGGGTACTAATATGTCAAAGGATTTCAGGATTAAGATTCCATAAGTGTCTATCATAGTCTGTCTCTTCGATGCATTTACAAGCGGTGTCGCCGAGCTTTCGGCCGAATGCCAAACCCTTTACCTCCGTAGTCTCTAATGTGTAAATGCCCGGAATAAGCTCACTTTCAGATCATCCATCTATATGTTGACGCTTGGGCGTCCTTCATTTTGAGCCTTAGAGAATTGGTATACCAATCCGAGAACACCGGGAGCCTTATCTTCGTTTTCTCCCTCGTCGTCGTCTTCATCCTCATTGTCTCTCGCTCCGGCTTTTGTCGTCTTCCAGGATCCTCCGAGGTTGCTTTCCTGTATTATGCCATCCTCACCTAGATCCGTGACATGAGGCATATGATCCTCAAAATCAGCTTCTTCATCTTCTATAGGATGGTCAATAGGCGTGCGCGAAGCCCTCAATCGAGATTGCGCGCCAAATCTCCTAACACGCTGGGCACTTCCTACAGATGGTTGGTGATAAGGATCGAGTAGCATTGATGCGACTGGAGATGCTTGGCTTCCTGACGGAGCGAAGCGTGGAGTCCGTCGGTGTGCCGCTTGGGTTCCAACGCCTGCCCCAGCAAGCACCGAGCGGTGATGTGCCTTGGAGCGATCTGAGCGAGGCACTGTACCAAGATATGGACTTTGAGCGTCAGCCACAAGCGAAGTGGACATAAGGCCAGGGAAGGTAGGAGGGGCGTGAAAGCTGTTTTTGTTAGTAGGACGAAGGAAAGGGGCACCAGGGCGCTGGTTGGTGACATAGTTGTCAATGAAACCATAATACGATGCGAGCATCTTGCCATCCTTTGTAGAATAGTACTCCTCCCTGAGATCGCGAGCGGCGACATCGTCAATTTGAGGCGCACTGTTGCCACCCTTTTTAAAGTCGAACACAGCAAAAGAGCATACATATCCCATGCCATCCACATGGATGGTGAATTCACGGAAGAAGTCGACCAAGCGATCGGAACATTTCGTCAGACTGAACCATAGTACCAACGGGGCTAGGATGATGCTCATTATTTCCTCTAGAAAAATGAGTACCTTCATTCGATAGAGCTGGGCGAATTCCGTACGGACTTCGTTCGTGTGTAGTCTGCCTTTCCAATGTTGGGGCATATAATGCGTATATTCAGTCACATTACTGAGAGCGTACTCAGGATCGAATACCAAATTCTCCTCTGGCATGTTGCCTCTTGCGATGGCCCATATTGATCCAAATACGCCCAGGTAAAACAGTACTGTCCGTTCTGATGTGATTTCGAATGACAGAAACGACTCCGGGTCAATGAGTGAAGCAACTGCTAGTACTGACGTCAGAGCGCCAGCAACAAAGGCTACGAGTCCCGATATTTGGATGGTCTTGTCTTTTGGGAATTGATCAATGTACCTTGAAGCAAACGGGTACGACATATTGATGCGCCGGTCGAACAGGTGTTGCAGCTCGTTGAATTCTCGAAATTTCCATTCCGCAAAGGGCGTATATTGGCGAGACCCTATTTGGGAAGGATTGCGCTGGTACTCGGTAAAATATCGGAAGAAATAGACAAGCATATAGTACAAGACGGTAAATGGAGCACAGACAAGGCTTATGAAACCTGCAAAGAGAAAGCGGCTTCGAAAGCCATCACTTAGACCTTTTCGATGCGAGTCTTTGAGGAATAGGCTTCGAACCTGCCCCTGCTCATTGAAGACGAAGTCGAGAATGCAGTATTGCAAATGCCACTCCAGCGTTCTTGAGAAGAGCTGTCTGTTTCTCAAGAATGGTAGTGGAAGCGTGAAATCGAGTATATCCTTATTAATTAGTGCAATAAGGTAATTGTCTCTCCGCATAAGTCGGTTAGCAATGTCGTGTGCGTCCATTCTCTGCTTTGAATGGTTACCCATAAAACGTCGGTGTTGCTCTTTAGTGCCTGCTGCTGTTGCAGGATTTAGATCTCGCAGATCCATCAGCTTTTTGACGACCTCCTGCCAGGATATCGTCTGCATATCAGAGTCTGGGACCTCTAGCAGATGACGATAGAAGGTCTGCATGGATCGTAATCGACGAATATCCCGACAGTAATCAAAGACCTTGAAGACCCAGAAGAATGTGAAGAGCCAGAGCAGTAAGTTGGCAGAGCCGGACAAATTTCTAGTGCATTTCGGTATGAGAATCTGCGACATGGTATGGCTCTGTGGAAGTTTCTTGTATTCAATACACGAGGTTAAGAAAGTCGTAAACGTCACAACGAATGCTAAAGTCCTAGTCACTCTCAGTAATTCCTTTGGCTTGACTCTGCTAGATGGCTTACATGAGTTTGACAAAACGACTCAATAAGATACTGCGGATGCCATGCCCTACGTAGTAATCGTACACTTGATTTAGGAAACGATCCAAATTATCGACGTTGGCCCACATCCACGTAGCTTGTAGCTTAGGTTCTAAGATGCTGAGAGGACGACCGCGGCGATTTCCTAAGCCAGGTACCGTTTGGAATGGCGGTCGATCACCATAAAGTTGGTGTTCTCTTTGCGTGATTTGCCAATTAGCACGAGCAGTATGGGTCGAGGGTCCAGGTATTGGAGGCGGAAGGGTCATGTCCATATGTTCGTTGGGATCGACGATGGGAAGCTGTTTATCTTCAATTAAGAGAGACTGTGGCACCTCGCCATCCATGTCTTCTGATTCTTTCCCTTTCAGTGTGTGTCCTCGGCCTGGCTTCGGAGCCTGTCTGTGTAATGACTTTCGACCCTCTCTTGAGTGGGGTGAGGTCCCATCATCGACTTCCCGATCTCCAGAGCTATTAACATCCAGTTCATCATCATGAAAGCTTTGGTCGAGATTGTCGTCGTCTACCGCTGTGTTGGTACGCTCTTCGCCATCAGACGGTTCAGAGGCGTCCTCATGTTGCCTAAGTGTTTCGTAGATTGAAGGTTCTCCATTCGATGGAGGCAAGAGCCTTGAAAAAAGATTGGAAGTCATACGTGTATAGCGGTAAGAAGATGAGTTGGTACGTTGTGCTGCCTAAGGAGGAATTGTCATGTGCCTGCCATGAAGTTGAAAAGACATTTGAGAGGGCTTCGGCAGAACAGAATCCACCATGACCGTTGTCTCCCTGCTTGCATGGCTCACAGCAATTGTTTCGAATTTCTGTGTCTATATACCCAAATGACTCCAAAGATTGTCATTTCTTCTCTTCCTTCAATGTGGAGGACGAGACTTGGAGGGACAAGCGGATTGAAGAAGGCGGCACCTTTCCGCACTCCGCAATCAACTCCATCCGTCGCTCAGACAATAATAATAATGGTGTTCCTCCAGGACATTCAAGCTGCAAGACGAGGAGCGATGGTTCGGACAGCACCTTACTTATGCACCTTTTCTCCTCCCTCGCCATCGGAATCTTCATAGCGGGTTACATTTCTGCGCGGTGGGATCTTGTCAAAACTCTATACGATTTAGCGATTTGGGCGGAGGGTCACGGGGTAGTGGTAAGGACTACAAACCCATGATGCGTTTCCAAGGTCTGCGCTCACGCTGTAGCAGACCAGAGCAGCAAAGGGATTTGCCCTTCTTTCCGTCGGCTTCTCCCTCTTTATCATTCCTGCACACTATCTAGCCTCTCTGGAAAGGCAAGACGTACGCATCGCCAGGGACATCTTCCGACAATATTATAAAGCTGACGTTAAACATACAGCATCCTCGCTCGATTGTTGGAGGAATCTCCGCACGGGAGAATCTTCGGCGACGAGGGTCTTTCTAGATCTGCCATCAACAATGACATGGTCGGATCAACCGGGCTGCTCAGAATTTTCTGGCCTTCAGATATCCCGACAACGCAAGAACAGGGTGTTATAATAGGATGGCGTAACGGTGACCTCGACTTTCTGGTCGTCTCCGTCCTTCGCAATGTCGAGGTAGCATAGGACAATGAAGGCATGTGCATGCGCTCAATGCTAACGAAGGCAGGCTCGACGAGTGCAAGGAGCTCTGCACGTCGGTTCCTTGTTCAAGGGAAGCTCTCACCCCATGAAAGACATGTACGAGCTCTGCGGGACCATTTCAATGCATGTCATAGGTACACTCAACAACTCGCCTAGCCCCAACACATCGTTTGATCCCGATCATTTACTGCTAGAAACTACTCCCGGCAGCACTGTGCCAACCGTGCTCTGCCCTTCAAGCAGCCCTTTGTCGGTGCAGATCGTTCTATTTGACCGTCCCTCGTCTTACCGAATGGAATATATGTCCTTGGCTCCTATTCCTTTAGTACTGGGAGATAAACCCGTCATCAACACTACACGAACGTTCGGTGATGCTACAACAGCTTTGAACGATCGGGAAGGGAGCGCGGCCAAAGCACGACTGATCGAGAAACTCAAACTTCATACCGTTGTACGTCGCCAGCCTTCGCAGAAAGAAAGGCTGCTTTCCACAATTCTGACTCAGATCAATTGTTCTGGCGAGTTGGCGTCACTGATCAATAATAACCTATACCATCTTAGAGGGAGGCAAAAACGAAGCCTGAGTGTTGGTGAGAAGGTTGTGCAGTCAGCTACAACGTTAAGAAATTACGCGCAGGGTCTTGTGTGGCAATTCGCAATTACGTGGCTGTGGCCTTTCCTTATTCGACTTCTGATCTTCTTGCTTGTTTGCCAGCGAGTGGCAGCCGAGATAGTTCTTCTTTTACTTGAATGGAGACCCAATTCTGATTCTAGGGCGCTAAAGGATCTTTCGGCAACTGCCCAGCAACTCGATATTCGGCTTCAACAGTTTTGCTATTGGCCCATCCAGAACATGACCCTACGAAAAAGGAAACGTAGCTGGGAGAGCGTCACCGACAAGCATCCCGATTATATTCGCTTTTACAGCAGCCTGTGGCTTGTAGCTAACGATATTATCATCGGAATGGCCGTGGGTTCATACATCATTGACAATGCAGAATGGGTAGCTCATCAAATCTCGTTGGCGCTTAACGACTGGACCGTTGAGGGTTTGATGAACGTGATACGCTGGCTGAGAGAGTATCCGGCGGGCCTCAAGCTCAACAATGAGCTCGCTAATTTTCTAGGCCGCCTTGTACTCCTTATGATTGAGTATTTCAAAAGTAAGTATTTTCCTTGACAAGGACAAGAGTACTGACGAGTAGCTCAAGGCTGGTTTGTTGCTTTACAGCCCTGGCTGCCGTCCATCATCTACTATATTGGCATCGCAAGCTTCGCGGGAACGACCATGCCAATCGCTATATTTTCTGACCTGCTTTCACTAGCAACGTACCATATACTGTGCTTCTACACGGCTTTTGCACGCATTTTCCACTGGCAGCTGACAATCATCTTGTCGCTCTTTCACCTCTTTCGCGGCAAGAAAAAAAATGTGCTACGTAAACGTATTGATTCATGTGATTATGACCTGGACCAGCTACTTTTAGGGACAATACTCTTCACACTCCTCTTCTTCCTACTACCTACGGTCGTCGTGTTCTACCTGACGTTCACAACAGCTAGGATGGGCGTCATGTTCATGAACGCGGCACTGGATATGTTACTAGCTCTTTTAAATCATTTTCCAATTTTTGCATTGATGCTGAGAATCAAAGATTCTAGGCGCCTCCCAGGTGAAATCTCTTCTTTCAAGAGGTGAAGGACGTTTACTCATGGCAATCAGGCGGCATTTCATTCGGACTCCAAGATACCCATCGACTTTCTGTGCAGCGTTCAAGCGATTCATCTCGTTACCCCAAAACATCATACATAAATTTAAAAGTAAGCTCAACATATACTCCACTTCTCCACCCACTAATTTTTACAAAGTCCGTGCCCCTCTCCCTCCGCGAATTGTTCGACCAATATTTCCAACTCGCCCACCGGATCCAAAAGCACTATTTCTCGTTGCAGGTCGTTCTAAAACTTGTCACAGGTGACGCCATCCCTCCCATTCCCCGCAAAAGCATGTACAGTTTGCAGTATAGCATGCTTCCTGCAAAGCGAGCAGGTATGCTTGAGGTCTGGCAGCGATGGATTGAAGGACCTGAATATCGAAGTCCGGTCAAGGGCAAACAGAACCCCTCGGGAGAGCTCAGGGCTGCGAATGGGTGGGCTCATGGGCACAAATCGAGGAGAAGCAGGTGACGTCCTATCACTTTGCAGTGTTCTCCAGAGTGTGTATGTCTCCAAATTGAGTAGACTCCATCATAGCACTGGAATTCGCTTCTAGAGCATTGGAATTGAATGCCACCTTTCCTTCAAGGGGGTCAAGGACCAATCGTACTATCAGCCAGCGCTTTTGGGTCCTTCCCCACCTTGATCTGTTCCCCAGAACGTAGGCTCCTTTGCCTGCATTCTCGTTTTCCCGCATATGCCTAGCATTTCCATCATCAGTGCCAAACATATTAATCGTTCAAGATCTGCAACCATTCGCACACTTAGAAAGCAGCTGACCGGCGCAATTTTAGCAGCGTGCTAGGGCTGAATCTGCAAATTCCAATTCCACATCCACCGGTACATATCAAGAATATTCTCCATAACGACTACCCAAGGTAATTCAAGCATTTCAAACGGAGTTTGAGGGACATTTATTTTTTCTAATCTCGATCAGACGACCAACGAAGGATGTATGCGTTTTATAACAGATGCGGCAGACAATTGGATTGGAATTCCATGCTCGAGAGCTCCGACGAAGATTAACCAGGCTCACAAGAACGCCTGTATTTATATTCCAGAAATTTTTACGTCCTTCAGCCGACGTTGAATGAATCAGGCAATACGTTCGATCAGAGAGCTTTGATAGATTGGAAGAACGGATTGTCCAATAATTTGCTGTTTCCCCTGACTAGAGCTTTCATCTTCTCAACTTGAGCCTCACTGCTCATATTCTTGCCATCCGTCTCGCTCTTCCATTGCATTAACATCTCTTTGAGGAGTGCGCTCCCTTCATCAACATCTTCCTTGGAGTGCTTAACGGCTTCTGCGTCATGTTTCGTTGAGAAATCTTCAAGCTCGTCGGCCTTTCGCTTCGCCATATTGACGACCTTTGGAGGGAAACGGACCAGTTCGGCGACATGTATTCCGAAACTTTGGTCGCAAATACCATCCTCGACTTTGTACAACAAGGTCACTTCTTTCCGGTCCTGAGCGGTAGTTTCACCGATATGAGCAACAACATGCAGGTTTTGAACCTGGTTGTGCTCCTCTACCAACGCTGTCAATTCATGGAAATGCGTAGCAAACATTGCGAAACATTTGAGTTCTTTGATAATGTGCTCGGAAATGGCCCATGCAAGCCCAAATCCATCGTAGGTGCTTGTACCACGCCCGAGCTCATCAATAATTATCAGTGACTCTGCAGTCGCTGATTTTAGAATATTTGCGGTTTCTAGCATTTCCGCCATGAATGTAGAGACGCCTTTGAGCTGTGAATCGCTTGCTCCCACTCTGGCAAGAATGCTGTCAAACAGCGTCAGTTCTGCTTCCGCGCATGGCACAAAACAGCCAACTTGGGCCATGAGTGCTATAACACCAATCTGGCGAATGTAGGTCGATTTGCCTCCCATATTAGGTCCAGTAATGATGAGAAACTCCGAGCTTCCGCGCACGAGCGACACATCATTCGTAATGAATTGGACGTCGTCCTGCATTTCCATGCATGGATGGCGCGCTTCTTTCAATATAGTGTTCCCTTGCCCACGCGGATGCAATTTTGGGCGCACATAAGAAGTCGGAGCGTGGACAGAAACGTGGGCTAAGCTGACAATAACATCGAGGTGAGACAGCACAGCAGCGAGTTTCTCAAACACCGGGCAGTATGAGGCGGCTACACCAACAACTTCGCTGACAAGTCCGCTTTGCGTACGGTTGTAGTTCTCCGATAGTTGATCGTGCTCTCTCCGTAACTCTTGCATCTTGGATGTGGTGAAGTAGACACCGTTCTTTTGTGTAGAGCATTCTTGATATTGTCTCTTGTTCCGTATACATCCAGCTTCCGTCCGGGTCAGTCTAAAGCACCATCCGTGAACTCGGTGGTTCTCAAGAAAGAGTTTCTTGCCTAGTTCTTGATCTAGATCATCGCTCACACGAGCATGTTCAGCGTCCATGTCACGTCTCAGCTTGTCGAGCCGCTTCCGTATGATCTTCAGGCTTTCGTCAAACTCGGGTTTTATGATGAACTCATGACGGTCCATGGCGTCGAGATCAACCGTTGTTTCAACCATTTCCTGCAATTTAATCATACTATTTGAGTATTGAATCAACTTGGAGGTGTATTCCGCATCTAGCGGATCTTTGTACTTCTCATCCATGACGCCTTCGAGGGTACCAATGAAGCCAGGGATCCGAATGGCAACCTGATATGCCCTTACTACGTCTTCGAGTGACGCCAACTTCCGTTGAAACTTTTTGGCTAGTCTGTACAGGTCGGGTATGGATCGCAGATGTTCTTCCTGCATCGTCTGCCGAAGTTCGGTGTCAATGAAGAAGGCCTCTACTAATTGTTGTCGCCTTTCGATATCTTGTAGGTTCATCAGAGGTTGCTTTAGCCACTGTGCCAGCAGTCTGCCTCCGACAGGTGTTTTACAGTGATTCAGAAGTCCAAACAGACTCATAGTCTTTGAGCCATCACGAGGCCCAGGCATCAAATTAAGTGCTCTGAGCGCAGCTGCATCTAACTTCATGTACTGAGAGAGATCGTGCTGATATAGCTGATATTGGCCAAAATTTGAAGGGTCCGAGAGCAGTCCAAGGTATTTGATCAGAGATGCTGCCGAGCCCATAGCCACTTTGAGATCAGTCTGGGGAAGCCTGCCAGCTGAACCTTCTTCACGTAGCAATCTTGCAAGATCCTGCTCGATGTCCTTGATCCCAAAGTCAGCAGGAGTACAATCAGCCACTGCAACACCACAATTGTCGGCAATGCTTCTCAACTTCGCCAATTCAGGATCCTTTCGTTGAGAGTCAATTTGCAGCAGGCACTCTCTGACACCAAGCTGTATAAGTAAAGACTCAAAGTTGGAGTATAAGTCATTATCAAGGAACTCGCTGACGCCCAGCTCCCGTGCACTTGCGTCCGCAAAGCACACTCCCACGTTCCTTGCTTCCGAAGCTTTAGCTGTGACCTTGACAGCTAGTATGATCGGGGCAGCATTATACTGTTCTCCAAGCTCATCCTCTACATCCTGCAAGTTACCGGGAGATGCTGACTTTACGATCTTCCATTGCATGCGGCCGGTGGCTGCCCAAATCTCGATCCTTTTGCCTCGCGAGAACAGTGCTTCTCGAAGAAAGTTTCTCTGCACAGTGGGAGTCATTGTTACGGACGAAAGTCCGCTTTCTGGCTTGCCGAGCTGTCTGAGAACAGACGTGGACTTGTATGCCTGCAATACACGTGAGTTGTACTGCCTCCGATTTCAAGCTTGGACAGTCATACGGTACGCGCAATAAATGTAGCGTCATCTCCATGGGCAGTGTAATAGTCGCCTCGGTCGAAGATTCGAACAGTATCTTCATCTTTTGTCGGCAGGGCACGAAAGAAGCGAATGAAGCCGACTTCATCATCGACCTAATTCGAGGGTTAGTAGGGGCTGCACCTTGTTGAGGGGGCACAGTACCCTCAACTCTGGTCTTGACGACATGATGCTAGAGTTCTACGTTGGAAGAGGTGATTGTGTAGTTGGATGTCTACGATTCAACGAACAATTATGCGAGACGCGGAGCGCACGCGAAAATTGGGGCATGTCACGTGGGACTGTCCGCAACCCAAGATGGAATATCCTGTGGAATGCGCAGCCAAGATGTGAAATACGCATCAGTCGCGCTGATAGTACAAAGGGCCGAAACATCCGGCCTGGGGATGATTGTGAAAAACAGCGCACGAGAAGACGGGGCATTGACAAAGAGTTATGGTCAGAAGAGCAAAGGAAGATGATTTCTACACGTGCCTATCGCTGAGCTGCTCGCTCATGAACTTTGTAGTATACACCATTCCAGGACATATACATTAACCCATGCGTGTGCCGAACGCTGTACAATCCAACGATTCCACGTTTTTATGCGAAGAGAGAGCCGGAATGCCATGGCGACGGATGCGAATCTGGATTCATCAACGTGAGATGTGCCGGAGTAAAGATGATTCTTTGATCAAAAGATGAAATATGGTCGTATGTACGGTGACCAAGGAAAGGTTGCCGCGGCAGAAGGGCGCACCGCTTGGCGCTGAAGTCCCGGCACCTCATCTCTAACCGAGATCGCGATGCGCTTGGGGGGTGAGGGGCAATCGCTGGGTTCTGTTGATCGAGCCTCGCTTCGCAACCTCTTCCCTCTCCACACGACATTATTCATGGCCTGGATTTGCAATCAACTCTGGCTGCGCATGGATGTCTTGCGACCGATGAAGCGACGCCATTTCAGGTGCCATTCTCGCCCCAGGACGTGTCGTTAATGAAAGCCTCCCAGCCAGCATCTAATCCTGGTGTCGCAGTCCCACTGCCCTGCGAGCTGTGTGTTGTAGGAAACATTTGAAGCTTTGAAAAGTCGGCATTATCAAAGCTCTGCTGTGCCATAAATGTCGGCGGCATTGAGTTGGCTGCAGCGTTCTGATTGAAACCGACTTGTCGCGTTTGCATATCAAGGGCACTGGGTGCTAGAGTCGTACTCATGCCGCCAATCTGTGGGTTGAAGCTCTGGGGCTTCATTTCGGTCTGATTGTCATGGCTGAATGCACTTGGTAAGTTCTCATATCCGCCCATTAGTGCACTCGTCATGGGATCGCTAGGGTCAAGAGCTCCACTGAGTAGCATCTGTGATTCTACGGGCAGCGCTAGTGTAAATGGACTCATGCTGGGATACTCATTGACATGTGGGGAGAGCTGCTTCTGTTGTGGTGGCACTGTCGCTGGAGGCGCACTTGTCTGCGCAGCTGGTGCGACGGGGCTATGCTTGTGGCTCTGTGGCGTGTGCGGGACATTTGTTCGGTGTTGCACTGGAGAGTGAGATGTCGAGTGAGATGTCGAGTGAGATGTCGAGTGAGATGATTGCGATGCTTGCCGCTGCGAGGCTTGACCGTTAGGAGCCCCATCCGATTGGGCTCCATTCGAATGTGACAAGTGAGGTGAGAAACTTGAGGTATGTTGCGACTGAGGCTGCGAAGGCCTCCGCTGCTGGTAAGACGGCCTGTAGCCTGGTGTCCCTGGTGTGGGGTATGGCTGGCCGTAAGACTGCGGCCATTGTGCGTGAGGGGATTTCGGGGGAAACGGCGATGGGTAGACGCTCTGATTGTGCGAAAACTGCGGAGCGTTGGGATACTGCTGAGCATAAGAATTGGAAATTGCTTGATCAAGGGCGCTCCTCATCGCTACATGATTAGTGAGATATGCTGATAGCCTTCGGTTGAAATCGGCAGAGCCGGTTTGCAAATGGGCGGTGAGTCGTCGATATTGCACAGGAAGGTCGTCGTCTTCCTCTTCGTACATCTCCTCGTTGACGACATCCTGTTCGCTCACACGAAGTGACCGACCTGTCCGCCTCTTGTGGATTTCTGACGCTCGCCGCGCTGACTCCACACGAGCTTCGAGGCTGCGGTCACTTCGACGTGAGGCGGCAATGTATGCACTGAATATGAGATAAGAACAAGGACACAGAAAGAATTCAATTGATGTGGGCTTACCGCTCTTGGTTCTCTTCATGGGTGCGTTCGGTCTTCAAGGCCTTTGCAGGAGGCATGGTGCGCACGGGAGGCATCGCCAGTCAGTGGATGGGGCTGGCCTGTATATGACAGTAATAATGTGAGTGGCAATTCGGAGTGATGCCGTGCAAGGCTCGTGCGACCGATTGCAAGTGCCTAGGGCAGATCGCAAGACTGCCGAAACGGGAGGTATGTACGGGAGGTGTGCACAGTAGTTCTGCAGTTCTGGTGCTGTGGAAAGAAAGGGAGCTGATCTCGAGAGACCCTATCGTACCCTGTCTGAGGCTCTCACAGCTGTTGGAATCGAAAGGCTCCAGAAGGCAGAGACCTCTCGAAGTTGCACTTCCAAATTCCAATTGCAGACTTTCCAGACCCTTGGGGGTTCTAGACGCTGTTGCACGAAGTGCGAAAGGTAGAGGCTATTGGTGGAAAAGAACAGTAGATTTCGATGGGTAGGGAGCGCGATGGTCAGCGCAGTCCAGGGCCGAAATCGATCACGGAATTCTCAGATGCGCACAACTGCCGAGAGTGATGCAGATCTCACACTTGCAATATCAGGATTAATGAGGATTTCAATTGATTGCCACGGTAAATTGTTGTCGGCCGAGGACGAGAATGAGAAGTATGAAGAATGAAGAATGAAGAATGAGGACGCAGTGGCGAGGATGAGATGTTGTGGAGGACAATTAATGGGAAGGCAGTTGGAATACTGGCTGTATTAGTATTGGGACGGGGAAAGCGAAGGGAAGAATGGCGCAAAGTCGAGCTTTAGCTGCAGGGGTTAACACTCGGCTGCACCGGCAAAGCTCATCCAGAGCATTATTATTATTATTCTTATTTGGTGGATGAGGGGGGAGAAGTGGGAGAGAAAGGGTGGATGGGTCATGACTTGGGTGAATCGTACTCGTACCAGAGCGACAGCGTTTGGCACCGCGCTGCACGCCTCTGCAGCGGCACTTAACCGGATAACGGGATTAGCGTGCGACCCATGGACCCCCTGGCCCTTCATTGGCTGGCCACCGGCCCTGTCAGACGGACCCTGAGATCTCGGTGGGGCCCCGATCTCATTTTCCCAGATCTGCTGCCGATACCTAATCTACACCTTAAACCCAAAGCATGCAGCTCACCGTCCCTTCTGTCTCCCCCGAGCCACAGCATTTCCTCATTAATATTCTCCATGTCAGAGAGCCTCCCGTTGCTTCACCCCGATTGCACGAGACCTGCCGTCGTGGCTCTCCCTGCTCAGATCGAAGACTGGACGTGGTCACATCCGGTCTGCGAAGCATGAAGATCGCGAGGTCTGTGATATACTGTGACAGTGATAGATTGCGGGCATATCAATCGAGCTTCCACACTTTCCCAACGAGCGCAACGGGTCGTAGTGAGGGGTCTCAACTCTCAAGAGGTCTGAAATGCCCTAGGAATCTAACCCTAAACGGTCGGAAGAGACGGACCGCGGGAACGGCGTCACTTTCCCCGTGCCCTGGCTGAAGAGGCTGCTTTCTTCCTCCGAACAGAGTCAAGCCACACCAGTGATGCAGGAGCCCTTTTCACCACATGAATTGCATCCTCCTACTGACATCGATCGTTCTTCTCGTTGCCCACGACATGCACCGAACAACGGCCTCTCGCCGTTCAATATGCGATCGCGTAACAACTATTCTAGTATTACCGGTGCCTGTCTGCCATCCGCCCGGTACTTTATATGAACCATCATGTATGCAGTGGATTCATCTTGCAAGTCTTGTATTGTACGTCAGCCACGCGTGTACCTCGTCTACCAAGTGGCGCTGGCTTGTACTTGCCAGTAGATCCTACCAGTGACTGGTACGATACCGGCATATTCAGCTCCTGCGAAAGAATAGATCAGACCCTGCACCAACGATCTGTCGATTTCGATAGATCTAATAAGAGCCATTGCTGAAGATTGTGCCCACACGGGCCCGGGACCTTTCAGCCTCCTCTGAAGAATGGATAGAAACTCCAAGTAAGTGCGAGCGCCTGCGGAATAATGTTGTCTCGCAGACACCTAGCGCGTCATACCACAGTCTACGCGCACAACCTCAGCTTTCGCTCTCACCGAGCGTCATTACTGCAGGCCATGGTGACAAGCTCTCCATATCAGCGTAAATTTGATTGGAGGGGGCTCATTCTCGATGGTCTGATCTCAACCTTTGTAAGTCATGACAGTGAAGCCTCCCGAGCCCATGGGTTTCTAGACTTGGCTCGGGGTACGTGGCGCTCCGTCCCGCTGACTTCAGCTGGGTATGCCATTCTGACCGTGCCCAAACCCTCGTCCTCGTCCTTATTCGCCACCCAGAGGCCCGTCAATAATCACTTTGGAAGGCAATTGCCATGGCTCGCGTTCATCGCACCATATGCTAGGTTGTGGTGAGATTGCGGAGTACGATTGAGGTGTGGCACAAGCGTGTTGCTGCTGGACATGGCTCTTCAATTACACGCCCTTCGTGGTGCAGTCACCTGTCGCCATCCGTCATTTCCTCAGCACCTTGGCTCTGGGCTCTCGATCTTTTAAAAACTCAGGGCATAACAAAAGGGGTTTGAATTCCTTCATTCTCTGGGGAACTCAACGAAGACCAATGAGTCCAACGCCATTTATCAAGGATGCTTTCTCGTGTATATGTACAATGCACAAACCTTCAAAGACACTTCTTTCCTAATCATCGATAGGGAGCGTCGGCCCTGGCCACTGCAGCCAACTCGGGCTCCCACTTGTCGCCATTGGCTAGTAATTTCTCCTTGTTATAAAGTAGTTCCTCACGAGTCTCAGTAGCGTATTCGGCGTTTGGCGCTACCATCCAAATTAACCATTGCCTATTGCACTAACTGGTGTTCAAGGGCGGTGGAAGAATACTTACACTCCACAATGGCATCCACAGGACAACTTTCCTGGCAAAAGCCACAGTATATACATTTCGTCATATCAATATCATATCTTGTCGTCCTCCTACTTCCGTCTTCTCGCTCCTCGGCCTCAATGGTGATAGCACTCGCAGGGCAGATCGCCTCACACAGCTTGCAGGCGATGCACCTCTCTTCACCGGTTGGGTACCTCCTCAAAGCATGCTCACCTCTGAAGCGGGGCGATATAGGGCCTTTCTCGAAAGGATAGAAGATGGTGTAAGGTGGCCGGAAGAATTGCTCGAGAACGACGTACATGCCTCGCAGCATCTCGGTAAGGAGGAAGTAATTGCCGGCTTTGTCAAGAGATGTATCTTTGCTCTCATCCCAGCGTTTCTGGTGTGGCAGTCGGAAGTTCGAGGGTGGTGGGCCGGAGGGGGTCGCAAGGTTTGTGTTGGTAGTCGAGAACGCGGATCTGGGGATGGTGGCGGCGATTTTGCAGTGAGGCCGTAGCCCATGAGCGATCAATGCAGTAGCCGTTGGCCTTGAAGCCACGAGTGTCTTCAAACTCTGCGTTGAAGCCATTGCGACCAGAGATGTGAAGAGGCCAATACCTGTGGCGACTTGAAAGAAAGTGGAAGAGGAATGAATGAGCGGATAGTTTGGTCATCGAAAATCCACTACGCTTATTGGACGGCCAGCTAGCTTGTCTTGGCGGGTGATTGGAGCTTTCAGTTCTATATTGCCTCAACGCAGATTCTCTGCTCACCCAAAGGTTGTTAGCTCCATCGATCCTCACCATGCTTCGCAATACCCTCCTCCAATCTGCAAGGCTTGCAACGAGAGCTACTTACAGGACTCAATTACCCGTTCGGCGAATACTTACCCCATGCCTTTTCCCAACCTCCAGCAGATCCTCTCCCTCCCTTCAATGTCAGGCTGCCAGATGTTATTCAGCACCGGCAGGCCTAGCGAAAGAGGAAGTCCAAGGTAGAATAATAGACCTTTTGAAGAATTTCGATAAGGTGCGATTTTCTCGCGAGGTACTGGCGAGGCGCAACATACTAACGTGCTACGTGATAGGTCAAGGACTCTACCAAGGTGAGCGACGTGGACCGGGAGTGATCAAGAATGTAGACTTAAATGCAAAATAAAGCTCACACCTGCTTCGCACTTCTTGAACGATCTTGGTCTCGACAGCTTGGATACGGTGGAGGTGGTAATGGCGATTGAAGAAGTATGGACCATCGATTTTACGCAGCAATTAGCGATACTGAGCGCTTTTATATAGGAGTTCAGCATCGAGATTCCAGATAAAGAAGCGGATGCTATCTTGAGCAGTGAGTGACAATGGGTCTTGGGGACCAGCCGATCAGAATTGCTGACTGGACCGCAGTCGACAAAGCTGTGGACTACATTTTGGGGCAACCAGACGGTAGGTCCCTTCCATCTCCTCCGAGTATCTTTGCTTTCAACTGATTCGTTTTAACAGCGCATTGAGTTCATTGACATGTACGATTTGGGTTGAGGGGGAGAGAATGGACTATAGGGTGCGGTCACGCGAGGCTGCGTCCATGGGACTTGAGCATATATAGACACTGGGCAATGCGATGCAACTCCAACCTCTTCAATCTAGAACCATTTTCATCATCAATTTGTCGCAAGTTCTTTTTGCCCAAAATTGAGTACCACCTGTCCTGCGTAGATTGCGGCAAGCCTAGGCGAAAATCCTTGCCGTGAAACGGTGCACCCTCACCCAATGTCAGCCACTCTGGGGGTGACAACTTTCCTCAACAGCGGTGACATATTGTAATAGCTTGCAGTTGATGACGAACAATCGGAGATACTTGCAAGCATAGAAATATTGATCCCACGCCAAAGCAACGCCGAGACCCGCTAAGCTTCGCTACTGTCCAGCCGGAATTCTGTTTCCTTGGTAGCTTTCGAAGCAAAGAACACCGTCATTAATAGCGAGCTGGAATAAGAGTCATGGCGTCCTCAGGCGGCCTCACTCGCCGCCGAGGAGCAGGAGCGGGGGGGAGGCTCGACCACTGCAGACGACGAAGATACCAGCCGAGTCAGTTCACCCAAGCCGAAGGACACAGACAGTCGCGCCCCGGAAACCTCATATCTAGGCGGAGAGAATGGACACAAAATAGCATTCGATCCAAAAGACATCGGGGAAAGTGAAGAGCGGAGCAAACAGCCGAAGTTGACATTGATGGAGGAGGTGCTCTTGATGGGCTTAAAAGATAAGCAGGTACGCCGCTACACGGTCGTATGTATCAATTGGGAGTTCGCGTGCTGATCTGTCATTTGCTATCTCTAGGGTTATCTGTCATTCTGGAACGACAACATCTCCTACGCCCTACGCGGCTGCATCGTGATCGAGTTGGCATTTCGAGGGCGAATAAGCATGCAAAAAGATTCCTCAAGGCGGCGCTTTCCACTTGCCGACAGGGTAATTGAAGTCATCGATGATACGTTGACCGGCGAAGTTCTTCTGGATGAGGCACTGAAGATGATGAAGTCGAGTGAGAAGATGAGTGTGACTTCGTGGATCGACCTGATGAGCGGTATATTTTCCCTCTTCCTTACCTTCTAACCCGACTCACAGCACATCCATCAAAGCGGAAAGCTGATGAAAATGCACAATCAGGCGAAACATGGAATCTTATGAAGATCGGCTACCAATTAAAACAAGTCCGAGAACGACTTGCGAAAGGCCTCGTAGACAAGGGTATCCTGCGCACGGAGAAGAAGAACTTCCTCCTATTCGACATGGCCACCCACCCCGTGGCAGACGGTGGCGCCAAAGACGATCTCCGTCGCCGCGTAAGAAATATGCTCACCAACCGCACCGTTGTCCTGCCAGGCTCGCAGTTTCTGCCCGAGGAAATGGATTTCCGCTATATCAGGACGATATCCATGGTGTGTGCAGCCTACGCTGCTAATGTGCTAGAAAACGCGTTGGCGACACTAGGACATGAGGCAAGGGAGCGAGCATTTGCGCAGGTGGATGAGCTGCTGGCGGAGTACTCGCAGTGGCCATTTGGGAAGAAGGCGGGCAGTCAGGGGATTGGTGCCAATCTATCACAGGTGGTAACAGAGGAGATGAACAAGAATAAAGATAAGGAACTGCAGTTAGAGGTACGTCCATCGATTTAGGCTTAGTGACTCCTTTGCAGAATGGCTGACACGAATGACTCATAGGTTGTTGCGGCTTGTTTGAGCGTATTTACAAGACTTGATTCCCTCTTGTGAGCGTGCTTGTATTTCTAAGTGAAGGAAGAGCTTTCTCTAGCTGGCTTTAATCAGGTCTAGTCGGCAGTCATTGACTCCTTTGGTCCAGACCAATGAGTGATGGGTGGTCACTCTACTGCTTGTTCGAGCTTGACCCGCGCCAGACTCTTGAGAAATAGGTCATTTCGCGCCTACTCGTTCGGGCATCCCTTCTTCAGATTATCGTACTGAGAGTCAGGGTAATGCAGCGTATTCAAACTATGGTCCAATCTCCCATGCTGCCGTAAGGATCCAACAACCTACGGAGCAAACCTGTCAGCGAGCATCATGACCGAAGTTTGATCAAAAAAGGAACTTACGGAAGATATCAAGCTGTCACTGCCGTTTCGGTCTCCGCTCTGCTCGTTGGATGTTGAATCAGCATTGCTGGATTTTACTCATTTGCATACGACAAACAGAATTGGGGAGGACACTGAATCAGGCTTGGATCTCCAAGTGATCCTTTTAATTTTCACAGAAAGAAGAGTTCGAAGACAACATACCGTTTCCCACCACATTCCTCCTCCCAGCCCCTGATCCCGAATATAGGCCGCTTTTGTCTGCGCCGCCTGCTTGTTGTCATAACTCACCATCATCTTCTGCCCCTGATCAAAGCTATAGCTCGCGCCTGATTCCTGATCCCACTTCTCCACAGCCCCAGCCTTCGGGAGCACTTTGAAATCCCACACACCGTTTTCCCAGCTGCCTTCACCTACACCTTGGAATGGCTGTCCAGGGCCTTCCGTATTCATGAAAGCACGGCCGTAAAGTGGCATACCTAGCACAATCTTCGAGGCACTAATACCAGCAGCCTTATACGCTGCAACAGCGGTTTGTGTGCTGAAGGGTGTTGCAGATGGGTTCGATTTGCATGCATTGATGTTGGATTGGTGGCCTGCTTGCGTATCCCACGAGCCAGCGTAGTCGTAGGCCATCAGATGCCAGGCGTTGAGGTGTTTGTCCATTTCTTTGAGGTGGAGTTTCTGATAGTTTTGTGGGCCTCGTTGGTTTTCAGTTTAGGGAACGTGCATACAAGGTAGATACACACCAGCAGGGCACGCCACAGTAAGCAGCTTTCTACCGTCACCCGACGTATGTTGGATTTTGTCCAATTCCTTTGCTACATCAGAGATTATCCGGACGGACAGCCTTGAACTCACCGCTCTGGTTCGGTTAAGCAGGAGCACGAAATTGCGTGCTTGTGTGTCATCTGCTGGATACTCCCAGTCCACATCGAGGCCTATAGATTTCATGAATTGAGGTATCTCATGGCTACGAAGCAATTTACCATCCAGACCCAAGTTCTTCACAAGATCCACCGCAGATTTAGCAAATGTATCTCTACCAGCTTGAGTCGAAGCTGGCTGAGCGAAATTGGAAGAGTATGTCCATCCACCAATGGATAACAGGACTTTCAGCTGCCGATGTCGCTTCTTCAATAGGTATAACTGCTTGATGCAGCCGTAGACATTGTTACCCTGATCGTTCCAAGAGTCACTGGGATAATGCTGAGACACATTTAGCATGCTCCCTCGATTTATAGGGATTGAGCTAACTTTGTCCGTATCAGACCATGAATCAGTCAAATAGCTTTAATAAAGTCAGTGTCATGCCCATCAAAGACACAGAGACGAACACTGAGCCACTGTCTGGCCTCACATTGGCAAAGGCGTATAGGACATGGGTCAGTTTGTCAGCCTGGATGTCTTGTGGCTGGTGATTTCTTGCATATATCGCCCTTTCGATAAGACTCAGTACTATATCCGCCTGCCTGATTGTGCACAGCATACACACCAGTTCACGAAATAGGCTACCGTTTTATAACCATCTTGCGGTGTCATGGTTCTAGACTTGATGGAATCGATCCTGGCAGGAAAGAACAAGCAGTAAAATAATAAAAGAACGAATATCAAACAGAAAGAGCAGAAAACAGTGGTACGATTGTGGGCCACCTTCGAAGAGGCTAGGGGCGAGTTGGCAATGGAAGCGCCCTGTGATTTCTCAGCTTGGGGAAGCCACTCAGTGGACTCGTCCGTCGTCGTTCTTTCCTTCTTGTAATAATGCATCTTTGCTGGAAGTCGAGGCTTGCCTGACGAGAGCCTCGAGACGTAGACTTACCCAATCTCGAGAATATAAGCGCTTCAGTAATCGAGGCTCATTCTCTGCATTCCATCCAGCCCCTTCTCCCACAACGATGTGAAACCTCCTTGAAGCTACCTGGTATTTGTGTACGAATATGTGTGTAGTCCTAAAATCATTTTACAAGATTTGAGGTTAAAGGTCAACCCAAGTATGTTTGCCAGTCTTTCATACGTAAAGATTGCTTCCTTGGTGGTTCGCACTACCGAAAGAAGAAGAAGAAGAGCACCAACGAGGGCTAGACGGGAAACCCTCGGGCACATCTATTTGCTATAACATTGTATCTGATTCATCTGATGATCGCTCAAGGTACACTACTCGATCCGTTCATGCAGGAATATCATCAACACTCGTCTAGAGACCCACGATAGCCCTAACCTCCTTTCCTCTTCTTGTCACCGCTGGGCGCCTTCGCCCTGAATGAACCCTCAAAGCCTGGTCGAGCTTTGGACCCCTTGCTCTTCTTTCCTTTCCCGCCTTTCTCATCCTTCCGTTTTGCTAAATTTGCCTCTCGTTTCTTTTGTCGCATCTCCTGTCCTTTCTTGATCCCTTCAAGCCTCTCCTGCCATTCTTGCTCGCTCTTTTTCTTCTGCTTCTGCTTTCGCTTCAACGTTTTTTTTAACAAATTAGTGTCGTCGCGGAGTTTCTCCCCGTGAGCTCGCTTTTTGGCGTTGAGCCATGAATCTTTCTCCGCGATGTCCGCTTGTTTCTCCGAATCAAGACCGGCTAATCGAGATTGCCTCTTTTGAGCTGCTATGAGGGCAGTAGCGGGATCGGGAGGTCCTTTCGGTCTAGAATTCGATTCTGTGATGATGTTCAGATCGGCGGAAACCCTTAGTCCGTCTCCAAAATCTACTCGACCAAAAGAAAGGTTGCTGGGTGGCGGGACATAAGATGGTGACATAGGCGAGCCTGGCGACAAAAGGGGGGAGCCTCGAGCCAAAGTCTCAGCCCTTAGCCGAGCCTCTTCTTCCTTTGCCTTCCTTCTCAGCTCCTTCCTCTGAGCTTTTCTCGCCTCCTCTGCACGACGACGACCATCTAGAAGTTCTTGGCGGCTACGCACGGGCGTGCCGTCGGGACCATCCGCTTTTCGAGCAGCACGGAGAGCTTCAATACGTGATTGTAAACGTAGTTTCAATTCTTCCTGGCTCGGATTGGCAACGTCAGCAGATATAGAATTAATCCTCGAGCTATCGTTTGCCGGTCGAGTCTCAATTTGGAGAGCATTCGAAGATTTTTGCTCTTTCTCGACTTTTGATTCCCGAACCATCGTCTCGGGTGATTTTGTGGAAGGCGCAATCGACGTAATAGACGACGAGCCCGAACCGACATCGAAAGCTGGAGAGTGGCGTGGCGAAGGAGAGGCAGTCATTGATGCTTGGTGTTGAGTTTCTGACTCTTCTCGTTCCAGATCCAATCCTTCAAGCTCAACCCCGTCTTCCGGCACATTGTCTAACTCGCTGCTGTTAATCGTGTCTGAATTCCTGATCTTTTCTTTGACCATTTCCTCCTTGGCTTGTTTTTTAAGGCCTCTCTTTTCCACCTTCTCTTTCTTCATCTCGTGTTTATGCTTCCTTTTTTCTGCCTTCTCCTTGCGTTTGATTTCGCTTTTGCTCGCCTTTGCAGTTCCAGGACTCTTTTGTGGCGTCTGATTGTTTCTGAAGACTGTGTTGTCACCCTTCTCTTCACGCTTCTGTTTTTTAGATGTTCTCTTTCGATCGCTGGCTATGTCTGCAGACTTCTCGACTCCAGCTGTCTCGTTTCCAGGCAGTTCCCCCTCCTCCTCTCGCTTCCTCTTGCGCTGCGCTGCCTGCTGCTCGTCCAATACATCTTTAGCACTTTTGAAATTGCTGGGGTCAAGCTTGGCCATCTTAGCTACGCGAGCTTCGTCTTTCGTTTGTTTTTTTCTTTGCCATTGATCCTACTCGCCAGGTTTGTATCAGCATCATGCTCCACCGTAGACTGTCTGTTCTATGAAGAGCGAGCATACACTAGTATCCTCTCCATGATAGTATTTAGCGGGTATGAGCGATAAAAGACCGTCAAAGGCCCTTGCATGGCTCTTGAGACGTTGCTTGTGTGCTGGTCAGTGATAAGGGATTCAATATTTTGGGATTGTGCCGACGTACTTCCAGACTGTCGACCTTGGATTCTTGGGCCATCGTGTCTTCCAGAATGTGCAGAGAACTTTGCGATACCAAGATGAAGATTTAGTTCACTTATCATGTTTCCGTTCAATCCATCTAGTCGCTTTCCAGTGGAATATTTTGGGGCGGATATCGTGTGCGAATATCTTGGCGCAGTTGATGATTCTAGTATTTAGTTTGCGCATTTGTGATTGAAAATACGCTCTATTCCTCATCCGCTTTTCTGACCTCGCTCGCCTGTCCAACTGCAAATTCAATGTCTATATTACATCGTTCTGCGGGACTACGCTTCTCGAGAGACGAAAGATCAGTGTGATGCACAGCTATGTAGAATCAAGATCCGGGGTATCACTATGCTACGCCTTGCTATGCTTCGCTATCTTCTTGCTAGATGCACGCAATGACCTTGCCACTCGCCCCAATGCTATGCGTGGTATGATACAGTGAACATCGCTTCCCTAGGTTTTCCAGAATCTGCTAGTCTCAGGCAAGGAGGATGCTAGCTTCCCAAATCTCTCGCTGGACTTCCTACCGCTGGAGACTTTATTTGACATTGAGATATCTGTGGCCAGCACCAAGATTGCCTCTCTTGCAGTAAGCCTTTACCATCCAGTGTGATTGTTGCTGTCTTGGGGGGTTTGGCTGTCATTCCAACTTACCTTGCCCGTTGGACCGGTAGTGGGTTTGATCGCCGCTGTATTTGTATATGTCATTTCCATTTGTGAATCAAGGTCGATGGGCTCGTAGTCATCCATTGCAACATCTTTTACTATCTCATGGGATGGCTCAGAGATATCTCGTAGAACGGGAGTGATGAGCGACTCTCTCAACTGGTCTTTGACGTACACAAGGAAGTAAGGGGTAGGCGGACGTTGACCAGTGGGGGCTTCAAAAATCTCAGAAATGTCCGTCACTTTCGTGACACGCTCATCATTATAGTTGCGCCAGAATTTCGCTTGAAAATCGTAGATGTAGATCCAATAGTGGCCCGCATTGCTTGAACCGCGGTGCATGAAAACCGCTGCTAATCTATATGGAATTCGACGCAAGTCATCAAATTGTGTCATTATGCTCGTCTTCAGATCCTTGATAGAGGTATGAAGTTCTTCAGCAGTCAGTGTCACACCTTGCGACTGAGGTAAGGGCACTCTTACCCCGAAGCTCCAGATCTGCGTCCCTGGTAGCTTTTCCAATATTTTCGAATAAGTTGGGCGGCACGTGGACGCTATGCAGTCCATCTATCGTCTCAAGCTGTCGAAGGTAAGCTCCAGCGCAATCAAGGACGTCAGGCATGTTCATCTCTATCTGCATTCATCCATTAGAGGCATCCTTTCACGGTCTAGATAACATACTTCTGGAGCGCTCAATTGAGCCTTACGGGTTTCAAGCGCACTGAGTCGTCGCTTCCATGCCCAAGACTCCTCTCGTCGGCGGATGAAATCTTTGTCCTGGGAATCCATGTAACGATCCATGTAGATAACCTCTTTAAAATCTAGATGATTTTCCGATTTGAATTGTTTCTTGGACTGGGGATCGTACTGGCTTCGCTGAATGTGAATTTGAAGGATAGGTGGCAGGCGGCTGATGGTATAGTATTTTGGCTCTATGCCGTCGGCAGTCGCAACATCCTCGACATCAAAGGCACCATCAAGAGCTGCATAGATATCGGAAAAGCCTCCTTGCACGTTGACCTTGATGTCGGACATATACTCTTCTTTAGTTCTCATAGTGCCTGATCGGCTGGTGATATGGGTCTTCTGTTTACCGTAAAACAACTCCTTTACTTGGTCCAGTTGTTCGCCACTTTCATCGGTAGAGAGCGGTTTTATCGCGCACTGCATCTGGTTCAACACATTATACGCGATCTCATTCACGTCCTGTTGCTGAGCAGCGAACTCTGCTTCCTTGACAGCCTCATTAGAGTCCGTAGAAGCTCTCGGCCGAGGAGGCACTGGAGGTGGATGGTTGGGCGGACGATTCACAGCGTTCTCCTTTAAATCCTCTCGATCAATCTCAGGGAAGAGTTGGGCATACTCACGGCTTGTTGCAGGTTCGTCGTTGGCACTATCCTGTGCCGACGGCTCTGCATCATTCTGAGAGGCGGAAGTTGGATTTTCCGTGATATTTTCTCGTGTCACTGCGCTCTCCATAGAGACCGGTGCATCAACTAGTGTGTCACTTGAGTTGTTGCTTGCTTGATCAGGCAGGCCGTATGCCGTGGCTGCAACGTCGGATTGACCGTCGCTCATTACAGCGTCATCAGACGCTGCGGACAGCTTGGGGGGCCAAGGGGTCCTTCAAGAGCGACACCATCAATTTTTCCTAACGAGTCAGAGAAATTTGGTCGCTCGCCTCCATTCATGGATTTCCTGATTGACTGTCTTCGAGCAATTTCCACTTTTGGGGTATGCAGAGTGAGACGAGCAACCTCAGTATCAGGCCGAATTGTATACGTCGGAGAGGTTATCAAATTTCGAAAAAGTTTCTTCAATTCTTCGGCAAGTCGTTGAGCACGATCTACCTCTCTCCTAGTTACAATTCGCCCTCCAACACGTTTTGACCTGAGTGTGCTGTCATTCGTTAAAGTCTTGAGCTCGTCAATATCCAGCACAATGTCCCTAAAAGGTTTGATCGAAAAGTAAAATTGTAAGAGACTGTTCAGATAGCAGGTGTTTCCAATGTTATTGAGTGCAACAGGCCATTCACCAAGAGGATACAGAGATCCTTCACTGTCGAGACCGGAACGTTCCAGTAGAATTTTAGAATTGCGTTCTTTTGCTATGGTGGCAAGAGCTCGTTTCAGCTCCTCCGCTTGAGAGGGTTGTTCTTCCGCATGAAGATTGTAAACAGTGACTACCATTTCATCTTCCATGGTACGATCCGTGATGTCTAACCTGGCGTATGCCTGACCTATATGCATTTCGACTTCACCAAGATTTCCCGTGTCAAGCCAGTGCTTTAAAGCCCGGCTTTTCCTGTGATTTGCTATCAGAGCGACTGCTTGACGTGCGGTTGCTTCTTCACTCGGCCTTTCTTCGAGTTTAACCGTGAACATCGAGGTAATAAATTCGTCGTTCATTTCGTCACCCGCAGCAAGGAAGTTCAACGCTTGTTCATACGTGCTTACAGTCTGTGCTGCCACGCTCTGTATTTTATGACTTGAGCGGTGCTGCCCAATGATGCGTAGATCCTGTCGTAATTCAACCTCTTGCTTAAGAGCATCCGATAACCGAGCTTGAAAGGTGCCAATAACTGTATCATCTGCTAGGGTTTGGTCATTGAGATCTAGACCTAAGTGCTGATAGGCTCCACGAACGTCTCGTAGGCTGATCCGTCCTTGAGACGCCTCGATCGCAGCTTTAGTGGAGAGCTCATCACTAGCTCGACCCTCAGCTATGAGCTGCAAGCACTCTAGGTAGTATGAAATGTTAGACGGATCAGTATTTATTTGGATCTCGTAAGCGAAAGAAATCAGGTTGTCATGAAAATCCGCTACAGAACCCAGTCCGGCGTAGGATGGGTGCTCAGCTGCTGTAAGATCTACACTTTTGCTCTTCGTGACTTCCTTGTAATGGTCGCACCCAAAAAAAAGCCTCATAGTCCTGTCGGCATAGTTCGGTGTGAAGTTGAAATTCGCTCTCCTGCGTTCATCATCGGGCCTACCTAACATGAGGACATTTAGCTCCTCTCGAACATCGTCCAGTAGCATGCGTTGGGGATCGGTAAAAGGCGCATCTGAGTTGGGACCGACTTCAGGCCACTGCCAGGGACCACCCTACGTACTCTTAGTAGACGCTATGGTATATTCAGGGCGTTTCTCACATCACTTGTAAAGCCCAGGAACATCATAAGGCCAATACAAGAATCACCAAAGTTCAGTAACCAACTTTTGGTGTCCCTCGGGTAGGGTATATTATCCTGCCCATTCAGAGCTCTGTTGATGAGATGCGCAAGTTTTTCAAGAACTGTTCCTGGTGTTGGTGGAGCGTGCCCTTGGAATTTTTCAGGGTTTTGAGAAATCGCTTTTTCAGCACGGGCCCTGATGATGTGTCTGTCAGTCAATAGAGATACCCAATCACTCTTGAGTCGTGCGGGCCGATGCTCGATCATCAATCGGGCATTGCAACTGGTGGCAGTGCATTGAAAATGTTTTGGAGACCATTGGGGCCCTTTGTTCTCACCGGTTCGTCGTAGATGTGCACTCGAAAGCTCCGGCACCCAAAGAAAATGATGTAACGGTCGCTCTACGTTTGGACACGGCAAGAAGGCTTGGGCGGTGTTGTCGTCGTACTCAATCAAAAGGTCAAGGTGACAGCGGCATGTTACACAGTGGCAGGCTATTTTCCAGCTCGCTGAGGACGACGCCACATATCTCCTATCATTCTCATCCTCAAAAGAGTCACTTTGATTGGGCTTGATTATCCAACGGTGTCGACAATTTCTAGATCTTAGCGGGGGTTCTCATCTTCTTTTGCGGCATCATGGAAAGGTACATCCGTCAGATCATTGTGTCCACCGACGGATTGGAACTGCGGGTTATAGCTGACAAGGTCTTGAAGAAGCCTAGGAGCTGTCTTGCCTACTTAAATGCTTAGCAACAGCATAACCAGGTGGACTTCTACTTACCTCCTTGAAGCAGAGTTCCCATTGTGACAGAGACTAGCTAGCTAACGAGCATCATGTAGCACCTCTGTTGAATAGCTGTCCGTTTTGTCCCCGCCACATCTAGGCTCTAGGTGAGGCATGTACCAGAATTGCAAAACCCAGCTTAAGATAAACTTATTCGATTTTGCCGCAGCCTGCATACTTCTTCCAAGGTAGAATGCTCCAGAAGTGATGGAGATACCGTCATCAATGCAATACGTTTCTTGCAGGAAGTACTACCGTTTTGGGGGGTAGATGTGGAGCATCGAATGTTTGCCTCTTATGAAGACTATAATCACAGGTCTTCAGGGGCCCCAAGCTTTCAGTGCACGCGTTACTCCAGGAGGTCGCGTTCGGGACTTAAGTGTAATCCCCGGTTAGATCTGTCTAATGCTCCAGAGCCGTTCACGAAAAGTGCGTTGAGGGAGACAAGTATTGATCGATCCCTTGTGCATTGATATGTCATATACAAAGCTGGTGGACCGACCAATCAGAAGCCGGATCACCAAACAAGCGCGGTTCCCACTCACAAGGTCGGGGTACAGTGCTAGGGCAGCTTCCACCACCCAACAGCCTGCCCGATCGTCAGTGTAAGCTCGAGTCGTTCGCGAAAAGGTCCAGCGTGAATGGATCGATGACCTCCAGACTTCAGACCCCTCACGCATGATCACGCCCGTCTCAGGATCTCAGCGTTCATGGCCCAACAAGTCGAAGAAAACCAGACCTATGAACCAAAGGATGCAGTGCAAGATGGCGTCCGCGCAATGATATTCTGCGGGGGAGCAGGACTTACAGCGTCTGCAATACGAACTGGTTTGACAAGGCAGAATGTTGGGGCATGGGCGGTCGTCACGAGAAGCGGAGGTCTAATCGGAGTTGCAAGTTAGCATCCATCACGCCTTTCTTCCCATCTTGTTGTCTGACGATCTTCCAGTCGCGGCTGGTGCAACATTCGGCTTCACACGAAGTGCTGCAGCCAATCTCAGAGAGAAGGATGACTACGTCAATTCCACAATTGCAGGCTTTCTCGCTGGTTCACTACTAGGTCTACAATGTAGGCTACCAGAGAGCTATATCTAAAGCCGCCCATGCTGATGGCTTTCATAGTTAGGAGTCTCCCGGCCACCATTGGTCTCGGAGCAGGCATAGCCGTTTCGCAGGGTGTGCTAGGCTTCACGGGCGGATCCTTGACAGGAGGCGGACAGACTGATCCTGAGGCTTACGGAGGGAAAGAATGGTACAAGAAGAATAGACGAAGACCAATTCAAGAGACCTTAGAGGACCTCGGGGAAGGTAGAGGTGAGGTTTACCTTATCTCCTTTACAAAGACAAACTTCTTACCGATATCTAACGTTGTATGACAGGTATATATGGCCCCGGTTATCGCGAGCGCAGAGCAGACAGGATCAAAGAGCGATATGGAATTGATGTTCCTCGTACTTGACGACGATCAGATACAATTTTGCACAAAGGAATCAACATTCTAGATGAAGAGTGCTTTGTCAAATTTCTCCTCTTTCACCTTGACGTCCAGCCTAAGGTAGGCTTGCTGGAAATGTGCCCGCGTGACAGGGTGGACAGGTACAAATTTCTGGTCGAATAAAAGCCAGCTCAGAGGGAACGTACTCTGTGAGGAAAGCATGGACTTCTCGAAGTTGAAAGTGGCCCCCTGATTCTTAGTGGGGTTGCGGCCCTTCGCCTAGTAGGTGCGCGGCAAGGCAATGGTTACTACTATATCTTGCCAATGCATCCTTCCCTCATACCATACATGAGATCCCGCTTTCTCTCTATATCCTTTCATTTACCCATCCGATCTCAAAATTACATTGAAAGCTTGCTTTGAATTTCAGATCTCATTCTCCTTTTTCTTGCGTATCATACACTTTACTTAGGCTTGCTGGTACTGATTTTTCATGAACATAAAACACCCGCCCATTGATGTGGCTGGCAATGATCGGTCGCAACAAGAGCTAAGGGACGACCAAGCAAAAATATTCAAGGATCGGCTACATGGTACGCATTGCCAACGAAGCCTGGACCTGTAAGCCCTAACGTACTCAGATCTAAATAAAGCGCTCGATCAGTTGTCCAATCCAGGGACAAGTGCAGTCACCAATGGAATTTCGATAGATGAATGTGAAAAGCGACTCGCCAACATAACACGAGACTGGCAGACTTTATCATATTCGCTGCCTTCCTACGACAAGCGCGAGCATACAAATGTAAAAGACATAGCCTTTACCCCAGGCAACGTACTGATCTCATCTTAGAAACTTAAAGAGTTATCAAGCAAATTACAGCGTGTTCGCAAAGCAATTGCCCCCAAGAAGCAGTTTGCATTTACTTCGAAGGCCAAAGAAGCTAACAGTCAAAAATCGCACGCCGAGACTGCCTCAGCTGCTGGAGACCAAGGAAGTCCATGGCCAGGTCTTGAAATCGAAACAATAAGCAGCGACTCAGTGCAATCAAAAGCCTCAACAGCAGGCCTGACAATTGCGTCAATACACAAGTGTCACCACGTGCAATGTTCTAAAATCTCGAATGAAGCCTCGGCCTCTATCCTTGATATTAATAGCAGTATCGTGGACTTATCCTCTGTTGCATATGAGCACTCGTCGCTTTCCAATCTCATGATCAGCAATGTGAAAAACAGCCTACTTGTATGTGGCATAGTTGACGGTCCATCTCACATTACATGTATGGAGGGGAGCACACTAGTTTTAAAGAGCCGTCAAGTTCGCGTGCACGACTCCAACGATTGCGTATTTTACCTTCGGTGTAGCAGTCGACCGGTCATTGAAAACTGTAAGGGTCTCAGATTTGCCCCATTACCTTCACTACTTGATGTGTGTAATTAGAACACAATTGACGAGAAGAGTATCAGAAAGATTGACATTCATTTAGGACTCCAGTTCTCCGGAAGAACAAAATCTCTGGGATCAGATCGATGACTTCAAATGGCTGAGGGCTGGACAAAGCCCCAATTGGACCACATTGGTGCCCGATGATCAGCGCGGAGTTCCAATGGGGAATTGGCCGAAGGTATTAGACCAGAAAGCGAACGTTGAGGACATACTTCGAGCTGCTAATATCGACGATCGCGAATCACAACATTCAAAAGCAGATGTGCATTCCTTTGATGCATAGCTCCTCCATCACAAAGACTCGTCTGTGGTATTTTGAATACTACTCTGCGCAGATTTGAGACTGCTTCCACCTTATAGCTCTCGTCTGTCCAAAGGTTGCCTTTAATTTGTCACACGTCCGTGCGATCCTTCGATCTTCGCCATGGCGATGCGAGGTCAACGTATAAAATTCGATTTAAATGATTCAGAACCTCAATCTCATGTACACCTTCCGGCCGCCAGGGCCCTCGTGGGTGACATCCAAGAGAAAGAGCCTAGTCGAGTACCACAACCACCAAGGCCTACAGGAATTGCAGGTGGTTTTCCTGCACACAAAGATCGCCAAAAGGGGCGACCTAAGCGTGGCAAGTACAGGCAGGAGTTGCAGAGCGATACTGGCGTTGCCATCGCTACAAGTAAGAATGTTGATACAAGCATCGACAAGGAGAATAAGGCGCGGCTTGCAAACATGTCAGATAAGGACATAGAGAAATCAAAAGAAGAGCTCAAGTCGAACCTAGATCCTTCAGTCATCGCAACTCTTCTAAAGAGGGCAAACATAGAGAGTGACGGCAATCATTCCTCCTTTGATGAGGACAGTGGCTCGTCAAAAGTTATCGGATGCCATTCATCGTCTTCTAGCGCGATTGAAAAGGAGAAAATTCACTTGAAAGAGGGTCATGTGCCAGAGTCAGCCCATAAAGAGCTATCGCAATCAGACGCACCGCCTCTATATCCACCAGCTGACCTCCATCCTGTCACGTCGAAGGAGCCTCTACCATCAATATCGAAAATCCATTTTCCAAAGGCACCACCACCCCCTGAGCTTGACCCAGATGATCCTGACTTTCTCATCAAGTTACATTCCACATACTTCCCTTCACTGCCTTCTGATCCCAATACTCTAGCCTGGATGGCCCCAGTCAAAGACTCAGAGCAGGCCCCTTACTCGCCCTCTCAAGATGCCCTGCCTCCATCTTCTCTTCGCTTTGATTTTCGTGGTCGCCTTCTTCCCCCCAGATTATCTGCCCAAATACCGGCTAGCAAAGGTCTTCATCACCATGGGCATACGCCGGATAGTGCCGGCTATACCGTTCCTGAGCTCTCGCACCTGGCAAGAAGTGCTGTCACGGCCCAGCGTTGTGTTGCTTATCAGACACTAGGACGCATCCTGTTCCGGCTTGGTCGAGGAGACTTCGGTGCTGAAGGTGAGGATCTATGCGAAGGGCTATGGGAGCTCGTTGAAAAGGGGAAAGTACTGCCAAACATAATCAATGCTGCAGCGAGAGAGAACGAAGGCAGTAGGAGTGTCTGGGCCACGGCTACGGATGCAGTGTGGTTGTGGAGAAAGGGGGGTGGTAGAAGGTGGAAGGGGCGTTGATAGTGACAGAGTATGTATGAAAACATTAAACTCTGCAAGCGGTTCAAAGTAGGACTTCTTTCTAAGCTACGCTGCGAGTTTTTGGTGATACCTCAACCCTACTTCGTTGCGGACACTTGCACGGCAAACATTTCTCAAAGCATCCACTATCAAAGTCCACCTCCTGGCTTTAATATTGGTCACGTTGTGTTAGATGTATATCCTCCGTCAAGGCATTCACCCAAAACGAAATTCGCACATGACTCGTTAGTTATTCTCCTTCGCTGCTGGCTCTATCGTTATTCTAGTGTACGCTCTCCTGATTCGATGGATTCTCGTTGATACCCAATCCAACCTTGGCGCTCTTAGTAGCCCACAAGCAAACAGTAACGCCTGCAGAGAATATCAAAAGACTAGTCTCCTAGGATGCTATAACGGCAGCTCTCTGTTGTTCAATTATCTCCGCATACAGTAAAAGCAATCGAATCACGAACGCAAGCATAGACGAATCCGAAAGGATCAGAGGCGTCCATAATAAGGCAAGCTCAATGCATGTCGCAGATGTGTGCCCTTCAAACCCAAAAAGAACCATTATCGCGAGTACGATCGCTATCACAGCAGTAGGGAGCAGGACTGACGAAGAAGCCATCGGCTGCCCGCGCCCTCAGGAAGTGTGTAAGGTGAAATTCTTGAATGTTTAGGGTGCAACGGCTAGACCATTCACAAGTGCAGAGATAATATTGAATATTTTGTAGAAGCGCAGGAGACGTGTGAACACCATCATAGCTCGAGTTTTCAATGTCTTGGTACCTGTAGATATGGTCTGTTGTGAGTAATAACAAATCTAGATGGATTGTGTTTTGTAATGCAAATTCAGCAACTCATTATGCGTAAATATACAATGCCATCGTGTGCTTGAATCGATCAGCAGAAAATCAGCAGCTGTGACTATGTGTTAAGAAAAGTTCGAGTACCTCCCCGACTGCGTTAGATATTGATCACTGAAAGCCAGGGTTGGGGTCGAAGTAGTAAGATTCGACTGATTCTCCCGAACGGTAGAGATAGATTCCTGAACTCGAGGGCAAGTTGCAACCTACCTGCTCCAAAAGGATCAATCTCTGTTGAACAGAATGAGATCTCCGTTGCTGTTCGATGTTCAAATCCTTATTTTAGAGTCTTGCAGTTTTGATGCGTCGATTTCAAGTGATTAAATCGGTCTTGCTTACGGGCCGCATGGACTTAGGGAGGTAATGACAGTCTCATGCCTTTGGCATAGGAGTTGGCTGAAGATAGTATCAACTCGGGTGTCGAGTGCGAAGACTGAGCCGACTCAATCACATCTGCTCTGTTCTGTTCTGCAGCACCATTAAGGCGTCTGACCAGCCGTATGCCACCACAGCCCCAAATGGTTTGCCACAGTTACTCTCCCGGGCCACTCCAACATAGAGATACAACCCTTGGACTATAGATTATGTCTAGACATGAGGTGTAATGAGCGCCCTTGCGCTTGGAACAATGCAAAGATTTTCATGTATTCTAAGCCGTACAAGGAAAAAGGAAAGACGGGACCCTTGATTAAGGATGCCAAGCTTTTCGGTGACGAGCCGAGACTGTTAGCTTGCTGTACCTAGCCACACTTAGCCATCATCCATGAGGTACAAAGCCATACAGTACATCTACGCCATCTTCCCGAAACGTGTTTCAACGTCGACCCAGTGACAAAGACATTGAGAGACTCGTTCGTCAATATTGAGGCCATGTGCATGAGGGTAATCATTCCTTCCACCCATGCTTGTAAAGACCCAGATACACCATCATTGCGGCCGAGCAAGTACCGTCCTTCTCTCTGAGTGACTCAGCATACGGTCGCGGCGATAAGTGCGGCTCGAGATGATCTACCCGAAGAAGCCATCTATCGATCCCTCGCCGAGTCTCCACGGAAGCAGGCACCTAATTGGTCTTGCCAAGCTCCCTTCACCAGCATAGCCTGTCAGAGGCTCACACCTCAGCCTGTGTTGCACCTTTTCCCAAATCGCGTCGTGACTTTTTTAAGACCCGACATAATTGACTTCCCCATTTCTTCTTGCCTGGTGCCCTTGTCCAGCGCCCTTCCCTTTCTCGTCATGGTTCACTTTGTACTCCTGGAGTCCTGGGAAGGTCTACATGATTATTACCCGAGCCTGCTCGCTTGCCTGCTGCCCTTCTGCTGCTTGCTGCTCGTAGGCTCTAGCGTCTCTCCCTGCCCTTCTGGCGGCGGTGGCCTTGAGGGGGGGGCAATTGCATCTGACCTGACGCTTTGCTGTCTTGCCGATGGCTGTTCTCATTTGTTGTCTTGGCCTATCCTGTAGTTGAAGGAAGTGGTGGGCCATTCTTCCAGACTTATTAGCTCACCCATCGCCCACCCTTTCCTCCTTTTTCTTCGACTTCTGTTCTTGCTCTCTCTCCTTCTTTTTCTTCCTCATCTCCAAGCCTTTATGTTCCCTTCCTCATAAATCTCCATTCCGCAGTCTTACTTAGCGCTTTAAAGCTTCGCATGAAAGGCTTTATTCGACCCCCAAACACATCACGGCCTCTGCCTGCTCTTTGGACACATTTCCTCAATTCTGGCAACAATACTCGCCATCGCTTACCATCAACATTTCATCATTTCTATCGACAGCTTACCGGCATAGCGATATATGAGCAATTGTCCATCATCCACGTATCACAATCAGTCCTCGTAGCATTCGACAACGTTTGATAATTGCAGGATTGAGAATAAAGTGGTTGTTCGTGGTGGTGTTGTTGTTGTTGGTGAAGAGTCAATGTCGGCGATCGCTCTGGATTCGCCAGATCGTCATAGTTCCTCACCAGAGCTTTCTTCACCACCTTCAGGCACTTCACCACCTCATCATCGCACGTCGATCAACAATAAAGGAGGACTTTCAAGATTAACAGAGAGTATACAGATTTCATCCGCGACTGCGACCGATGATGGTGCCTCAAAACCAAGCAAAGCCGCTAAAGACCCGTCCGCGCCCAAACGCCCGCGTATTAAGAAGGAGCCTGATAGCAAAACAACTACTAATGTTGCAACCACAATAAATGGTGGAGACCAGCCGATCAAAAAACCTCGTGCAAAGCGGGGAACAGGTGTGCGTGCATTGAAAAAAAAAGCGGATGAAGAAGCTAAGAGAGTGGAAGAAGCTGCTGCGCGGCTTGCCCTGGGGCAAAGCGGCTTCGTCCCACTGCCTCAAACGACCGCAAATCACCCTGCACCCCCGCTTTCCCAAAATGGAAATCGTGAAGGCATTCCCACTTTTCAACAAAACCATCAACAGCACCTTTCCCTTCAACCACGTACATCTAGCGGCCAGAATTATGACCCTATACGTTCCGCAACAGTCGCACCCCGCCCCATAACCCCGATAAACAATATCTCCACTGCGATGAAACCAACTGCAAACCGCTCACCGTCCATTTCAAGCTTGATTGACCCTCCTGACGCCATGCGACCGCACAATCCTTATGTACATCAGCCAAAAAAAGATTACGAACATAGACAGTCCTCGCCCTTACCCTTGAGTAACCCACCCGTCCCATCGCAAAATGGATCAATCAATGCCGCCGCCGCTGCCTCATCGTCTTCGCCCATGGAGATTGTTCAAGAACCACCCGTCAAGCAGTCCATAATATCTGCTTCTAAGAAACCTACTCCAGCTGCAAGCAAAGGCCCATCACCTGGCGCTCACTCTCCTAAACCTTCTACCAAAAAAGATGCTACTCCCCTTCCGGCGCCAGGCAGTGGCCTACTTTCTGGCACTATGTTTGGTGGTCCAAGCACCTTAGACGCTCCAGAAGCGGAGAACAGTACTCCTACAGTTATTCTAAATGTGCCGCTGACCGGTGAGCACCAATATGTCAATTTCACTCGCCTAGCAGAAGAGAAATATGGTTTCCATGCGTTACATCCTAGGCTTGCCGCACAGCGTGATCGGCTGGCACGTGTTGCTGCAGCTGGGGCGGCGTTAGAGAAGGCGAAAAAGCCGGGAGCACCAGGCGTTGAAGCAGATGACATGTCTGAAGATCTCTCTAACGAAGAAGGCGATGACAGTAACGTGGAGATGGGCGGCATCGATAATCGCTCAGTCGCGCCGGACGGGAGAAGCGGAGAGGACACTGGCGAAGCCCCCAAGAAGCGAAAACGAATCATGAGAGAGGACATGTATGATATAGACGATGGGTTTATTGACGACACCGAGCAAGCTTGGGAGGAGAAAGCGGCTGTAAGTCAAGATGGCTTTTTTGTCTACTTAGGACCTTTGGTACAGGAGGGGGAAGACACCAAAGTGGAACGGTACGTCAAGGCCTACCAGAAACCCATTGTCATGACAAGCTAATAACTCATAGATCTGAAGTGACCCCAAAAAGAGGACGGGGTGGTGGGCGTGGAAGCCGCGGCGGGGTCGGTAGCAGAGGTGGTCGAGCAAGTGCTGCCCGTACAACTGACAAGGACAGCAAGGATGGTAACGACCCACCGAAAAGGAGGAGGCGAACAAGAGAGGAGATGGAGCGCGACAAAGCGGAAGAACTGGCTCGTAAAGAAAAGAAATTGATGGCAAAGCAGGCCGCTGGGACCGCAACGTTGCCATCGCAGCCCACACCAATTCAGATGCAAATGGCTCAGGTGCCCGTCTGAATGACTCACTCACCACCGACGTCGATGTAATCAGATATATCATATCTGACGCATTGCAGTCTCACTCGCCAGAGGGGTTTTCACCTCCAGAGTGCGACATTGTTACTTCAATTTACAGCTTGTTTGATCAGGGATATATCATATTTCTCGTTTGCACAGCATCGGAGCAAAGGCTTTTAGGACAGGGATTTGGCTAGGGCATGAGATAGGCTCGACATAAAAAGCGACGGATCCAAAGCGACAAAATGCTTCAATGGAACCGGCGTTTCAGGAGCTTTAAATGCAATTGCTACGGCATGCATCATTAGATTTCACGGGAGATGGAAGTGTGTAGGGACTCACAGAACTGCTGTACCATACCTTGCTTATGCTTGGAGGATAGAATATGTCAAAATAACCGGGACTACTGCATTTAGCAGCAGAATCTCAATCTTATATTTAATGCTCGCATATTTCACCAAGCGACTCGTTGAGCAGTTCACGCCGTGCTCGTTTGAAACTGTCCATGTGTTGCCTTCGGGGGTCGCATCGCCAATTTTGAATGGCATGTAAGATTCCAAGAATTCGGCCAAAATTCTCCAATGAATTGCATGATGGAGGAACATAGAAGACATTCAAGCCCTCCTTCACCACCACAATTTTCACCCATGCTCACACCCACAGTCTGTGGCCCACTCACTTAACCCTCCCCTCTCCCACCCACTGACGACTACCGCTCAGTCCCATAAACACCCACCCAAAGCACCACAACCCACGCGGCAGCCTCCATCCTCCCCGGCGTTCTCACCGTCCCCCTACCACTCCAACCTCCACCCCTCTCCCCCACTAGTCGCGCCAGCGGCTCCACTCGTTGCGCTCCCACTTCCACTACCACCAGAGCCGCCGTACACGCCTGGGGGCGGATTGAACTCGCTCGGCTGGGTCCCCTGGCTAGCAGCTTGACAGCCTGGACCGGGGTTGAAGTTGGCAGGTGGTGGATAGGGCAAGAATTGAGTTGGTGGCGTGGGACAGGTCTGTCAGCGTATTGTTAGCTGGAAGGCGGATGGTACTGCGTGGGGAAGGATGAGAATATTTGGAACGGAAAGGTGAGGAGAAGGGACCCACGTCTGCCTTTACGGAGTCATCCGGGAGGGCGTCTTTGATGGCCGTTATGTTTGTGTTTGTGTTTGTATCTGTGGGGGTAGGAGATGGGAAAGCGAGATGGATGAAAGAAAGTGAGATTGCGAGCGACGAAAATGTTATGGGTCGCATCTTCATGATCAGAGACGACGCGCAGATATTTGAGATGTAGAGATGTAGGATCATGCCGAAGGAAATAAAGGCACCATGAACAACACTTGAGGCTTTGCAATAGCAGGTTGATTGACGGGACAAACTATGCTTCACCGACGCTGGCCACACCACGGCGTACCACGCACGGCAAGTGGTCTAACACTCATTGGCTCCTCGACTTAGGAATCACGCTGCCAGGTCTCACAAACACTTTCAAGAGACGTGAGTGCGGTAGGTGATACAACATGACAACTCTGCAGAAACGGTGAAGCGAAGCCAAGCATCACACGCACCGCGCATGTGCTGCTGCCCAATGAGAAGATGGCGCGGAACGAACAGCACATCAAGTTGCACAAACCGTCGAATTTTGAACGCACCCACCTTTCCCATTCCTCAACAGTTCACGTAAGTTTTCCATACACTTTCCACCATATGGACATGTTCGCCGCCACTAAGAGATCAAGCATCTGCATCCCCTTAGGCTCGATTACGAGCTTCCCCAATTTGGCCTGCTTCCCACCAAAGCCGCCTCCAGCGTGTTCCTGGCCTAAGGACAAGTCGAGATTGATTTCATCAGGCACATCTGCAGGAGTAATGTGTGGACTGTCTTCTGAGGTTGAAGTAGTGACGCGGTGGTGCCGCTTCCCTAAGTACGATGTACGCTTCGTAGCACCCACAGCTCCGGCTTGTGGTACATTTGGAGAAGAACGCAGCATTTGAGAGCTCGGGAGGTTGAAGCGAAGGTCACTGATTGTATCTGGCTTAGCGCTCGTTGTCGGCAGGCTTTTGCACTTCACGGAGCGACCTGCGACCCCTGTCTTGAACTCACAAATCCCGTTCCATGGTGTTTTAAAGGTGTAGCCTTGGCTAGTCGCTACCGGCCCACCGAGATGTTCATGGTTCTTCATCGCGCTTTCACTCAAAACTTGCTGGCTGTATCTCCGTACGTCCAAACTTGACCTTTTCCTTTGCGCACCTTGGAACGACTCAATTGACTCCGCTCCCGCCCAATCTCCGTGCGACTGCGATCTGCTCGTTAAATGCAGGATACACTCATAGCCAGGCTGTTGCTCTTCGGGAAATTGACCGTCTTGCAGATCGGGTATATTGCCGTTCGAAAATTCTTGCGATCCACATTTCTGATATCCAGGACAGCTGATTATGAGGCGACCATCTGCATGTATTGTGGCTGCGTTCAACTGATTAGCGTCGTAGCGTCGAATTAAGGTCAGGGAAGGGGCAGAGGTGCAAGTTTTCGTGTTTTTGAGGGGGCTTTGATAGCCCTGACCCTCCCTCGTTGTGTGCACCAACGGTGCGGCATTGGCTGCGTAAGCCATGTCGAATTCTCTTTGTTTTTGGATATAGGTAGCATGCCTAAAAGGAAGAGATGGAGCTAGGCTCCGAATGTCGACATTCTCGTTGCTCAGAGAGCTTTCAGCTAGTTGATGGTTTGGGCAAGGCTGATTTTGCATTAGACGAGGGCCCACGATCTTTCGTTTTGGTGATGTAGACGCAGGTTTCCAGTCCTTGACAGCCTCGCCTGACTCAGGGGTGAAGGTCGATCTTGAAAGAGGTTGGTAATGTGGGAACACCTTCGGCGGAGTTTCTGGTCTTTTTTGAGGCGATAGAGCTGGATTCAAAGGTAGTGGCTTTCTGCGTATGGCGGGAACACCAGATTTCTCTTCTATGCTTTCGTGAATCTGGTTGTTTTGCTCCTCATCTATCCTTTCTTTCTCCTCGCGACGTAGATCCTCGTCCCTTTTGCTGCCCACATGAATGTAGTATAGGCAGCTCTGCACATCTTCAGCTCTCACCATCTTTTCAAGTGGCTTAATCGTGGTAAGGAAGAAATCTAGGCGATTATTCTTAGTTACAGAGGGTTGAGTAAGTACTATTGTGATCATACCTTTGCTTCCAGGCACGCGTGCGACGTAGAGAACAAGAGGTTGGTTGTAGGCGTCAACATTCTCCTGGTAGTGAATTGGTGGATTGTCCGCTAATTCCACCAGATTTGCCAACGACCTTGCTTCTACCATCTATACAATCGTTCAAACAAGCTGTATCGCGAGGAGCGAGAGCAATTGAGAACAGGAACTTCGCGTGATTTACCAGCTATATCTACTTCGAAGAAGGCGAAGCTGACTTCAGGAAATTGTTGCCTGAAATGTTGCCAATAACGCCTTGGGATCGATCGATGAATATTTCTCGCAAGTCCCAGTCGTTTTCATACTGAACAAGCAAGTTGGATATCGAAACTTGTTGGGCTGATGCAATTTGTGCTGGAACATCTTGTGTACCCGATGCGCAAAGGGAGGTGGAGGGCCCCAACTACGGAACCCTGGCGCCACAGCTCATCTCATGGGCTCATGAGGTTTAAGTAACAGAGCGGGGAGTCAAATGTAGCGAAATGCTTTTTGTGTAGTTGGACTTTTATCGATTCGAAGCTGAGGAGCAAATACATCGGCGGGGGCTGGCTTAATCGGCATATCAATAAGCCCTATCTCGTAATCGCCGTTTAAATCCGAGACAGAGACTCGAATTGAGCCACCTTGCGCTTTCGTCCGCATTGTATGCCATCTACTCCTCATTCAACCAACTATGATTACTCGGCTTTCAGCCATAGCCATCAGTGCTTCTATCCTCTGCATTCCACTTGCATTTTCCCTCTCGCCATCAGACATTCCACCAGACACGCCAATCGCCTCGCTCGTTTCTTCTGCCAAAGCCCAGCTTGCTGGTGGGAACGCAAATGATGCACTTACATATTTTGACGTAGCAATAGCAAGAGACCCAAAAAATTATCTCACAATCTTTCAGCGTGGTGCAACCTACCTCTCTCCGGAAACAATGGCAAAGCCGGCCAAGACTTCGATACAGCACTCTCGATCAGGCCAGATTTTGAAGGCGCATTGCTGCAAAGGGCAAAGATAAAGAGCAGGAATGCAGAATGGACAGCGGCGAAAGAGGACTATCAGAAGGCCAAAAAGATAGACACACCCGAATACACAGCTTTAGAGGAAGCATCAGGTGCTGCAGGATTGGCGGCAGACGCAGAAAAAGAGGGAGACTGGGAAAATTGTGTGGGACACTCTGGTATCGCTATACTGGTGGCCAGCACATCACTGAGACTGCGCCAAATACGAGCGAGGTGTCGTTTGGAGCGCGGGGAGGTCTTGGAAGCTTTGAGCGACATCCAACACAGCATAAAGTTAGCACCCTCATCGATTTCACCACATATGCAGATCTCAGCAATGATGTTCTTCTCAATCAATGATAGAGAGAAGGGAATTGAGCAAATGAAAAAATGCATGAGATCAGATCCAGATTCGAGACCGTGCAGCAAAATGCTAAGGAGAGAAAAGCAGATGCATAAGGCGCTTCAACAGGTCGAGAAGCTGAGCGAAAAGAAGCAATACAATAGTGCCGTCAAATTATTAGTGAAGACGGGTGAAGAGCCTGGCTTGATCGACGAGGTTAAGGAGGAGGTGAACATAGCGAAAGAAGCTGGATACATTCACAAGAACTCCCCAAATGAGTTATACAACAAATTGATTGAGACAGCTTGCGAATTTTATTCTGAGGTCAGTAAGCAAGGAGAACATTTCATGAGGCTGTTGCTGACCGTATCCACAGATGTCCAACAAAAAGAAGGCTGCGCCATACTGCGAGGAAGCTCTCTCACAAAATGAATTTTCTCTCCACGGCCTTTTACATAAAGGGAAGACCCAATTAGACTCCGAAGAGTTCGAGTCCGCTATCGACACTCTCAATACAGCCAACGAACACCATCCCCAAGCATCTCAAGAGATACAGCCTCTTCTTCAGAAAGCGCATACCTTGCTCAAACGATCGAAAACGAAAGACTACTACAAAGTGTTAGGTGTGCCCACTGACGCCGATGAGCTGGCAATCAAGCGGGCTTACAGGCGAATGACAAAGCAACATCACCCTGATAAGGCATTAATTCAAGGCGTAACGAGAGAAGAAGCGCAGAAGAAGATGGCGTCCATCAACGAGGCGTATGAGGTCCTAAGCGACCCTGAGCTAAGGACACGGTTTGATAGAGGCGACGATCCGAATAATCCAGAGCAGCAACAGGGCGGACCGTTTCACGGAAGCCCTTTTGGACAGGGTCCAGGAGGACAGCAATTTTTCTTCCGGCAAGGCGCTGGTGGTGGAGGCGGCCAGCAGTTCAAATTCCAACAAGGTGGCGGAGGATTCCAATTCCCAGGTGGCTTTTGATTTTGGGCATTCATTGGGTGGGTTGGCGTCGTATAGAAGTGAGGAAGCATCCTTGGAATCACGAGATTCCGTACACGTATCTACAATCTACGCCTCTTTTCTGGAAAGTTCGCCACAACTTAGCCTCACCTGCATCTAGCACTTTCATCAAAAATTCAATTTTGCATAAAAAGAAAGGTGAGAACGGCATTGCGCTAATCCTCTACCCCTTCATTCAAAAGAGGCATCGTCGCGTTCGAATGACCCTCAGTATCAACTTGAGTTCAGCATCGGGAATAGGTAAAGAGACCTTTCAAGTCTACCACACGAATATGGCCAATTTAAAAAATGCGTTCAAAGCACTCCAAACCCAGAATGATCGTTGGCTGTCAGTTCGGATTATGCTAGCGACAAGCACGTAGTGTTGTGCGAGGATGAAAATTGGAAGCTGGAGAGAGGAACGAAGGACAATCAGTGTCGTTGCTCGTGTATCGTTCATCGCTGCTTCGGGCGTCACTCGTGCTTCGAATGAGGTCAGTGACAAATAGAAGGATCAGGCTAGACCTCAGAAAACAGGAAGCCAGTTGCAGGTGACTTTCAAGGTAACGGGACGAGGACTTTCCAGACTAATGCATGAAGACATTGATCCAGTGTATGATTTGCCTCAGAATGCGCATGAGCCTATCTCTGAGACTACTGGAGAGATCCAGAGTGCTTGCAACAATACAATCAAGCTCCGCTGATCTTTCTCATTTCCATCCCGCAGTCCGATTGAACTTCACGGTGGCAGCCATGCAGAAGTGGGTGACGGTGGCCAATCTAGCGGCTAGAGAAAGAAGGGAGGGCGTTCACTCTTCTAGCTGGAGAATATCTGATGAGATCTGATATCGCGATTAGACAAATAGCAGAGCTTATAAAGCTCAAAGAATTTCACTTTATTCCCCCGTGTGACTAATTTCATGTGTTTTTGTAGAATTTAATGCCAGGTTGACTCTAAGGAGTTCCGTCACCTAGCTTCACCATCAAAAATTCGAGCACCATTACAAAAAGCAATGTCGACACCGGCAGCTGGAACAGTAATTAGATTATATAGATGATGAAATAAGGAGACATACGGTTCGAACCTGCGCTCACGAATGAAACAGATATCGAAGGAGAATTCAAGTCTGTCGCCTTAACCACTCGGCCACAGTCTAATGAAAATGTCAGTCACCCAATCTGCGGATTTGCGAGAGAAAGTCAACACTCACGTCTGCCTTCACGATTTGTCAGCAACTATTATAATCTATATACCAATTTGAAAGTGCCGCGAGCTTTCTCATTGCTATCTTCTTTGGTAACCTCGCTGCAAAAATCATCCGCTCGATTTAGATGACCAAGGCTCTATTCCGACTCCTCACGAGTTACGTCTAGCACATGAGTATTTAATTTACACGGTCCCAAGTCCAACGCCTTCGCTGTGCTCCCAGTGCTTGATACGTTGCAAATTACAGGCATCACTATCCTTCAAAAACAAAGACGCCAAGATTGATTCTGGATTTCGTTTCCTTCGTACTAATTTTCTCTGGTCCGCTGAGCTCTTCTTCGGAGTCGGGTACAAGTGCGTCCTCACTGCCTCTAACACTGGACGTGTCAGGGTCTATGCTATGATTGAAAGGCAGGGACGGAGTCGGCTCTGAATCCTCGGTCAAAACGGGGATTTTGTGGTGGTTACTGCTCGATCGACTGTTTGCTTTTGAGTCTAAGGAAGGTATGCAGTCTATCTTTGATCGTTTCAGTGCTCCGGCACCTAGTCGTTGCAAAGGCGTCATGCTTGCCCGACGCCCCATAGCTGGTCTTAGGACTGACTTCTCATTGACGGCTTGGGCATCTTGCTTTCGACCATCCTCCTCCCCTCGACGTGCGTTCTGATCTGCAGGCCTGTACTTGTATTGCGAGGCCAGAGCCGCCAACTCTGCAGTCACACCTATATCGAGCCTCTGAGCCATTGACGAAGCCGAGCTACTCGTAGTAGTTACGTCAGTAACGCTTGACGCTTGAGCGGATAAAGTTCTTCTTGAAGATCCTGAAGTCTGCGAGTCGTCTACCGCTGAATTTTCTTCTCCTGGAGCGTCCCTTTCCGCTTTTTCCTTCGCTATGGATTTCTCATTGTGAAACACCTCAAACTCCTTATTCTTTGTAACGCGATCTAGGCCCCTTTCGACTAGCTCGGATATGTCTGGAAGTTCAGCCATGACTTCTTCAACTGAGTCGTCAGACCAGATTTGGATTTCGGAGTTTCTTGCTTTCCTCGACTTCCTGCCGGTTAAGAACGTTGACCGCAAGTCTTGACTATTTGCGAAAAAATGGCTACGTACAACCTTGCCGCCTTTCTCCGAGTGTCCTGTATTTTGAGCCTCGACATCTTCTAGTAGCCGTCGCCTTTTGGTCGACGCTGAAGCAAGAGGAGGCTCCGTTGTTGACAAGATCGTGCTTTGAGCAGTCAAGCTATTTCTAGTAGGGCGGAGCCGCTCCGCCGTAGATGCACGAGCACTTGATGTCGTGGTGTTAATCAAAGGGGATTCCCACGAGCTGCCTGCGGCTTGCTGTAGCAAGCGTGCCTGTGTTGGAGATGGAGTAAAACAGTTTGGATCCAGCTCGGCCAATGGGGTTCTTTTTGCTTTGAAGAAGGCATCAATAGACTTATTGCCTTTCACGTCTAGGAGGCTAGTTCCCTCACATTCTCTGCGCTTGAAACTGCCAGGCGTCACTGGCAAATCCCTATTCTTGGAAACATTAATACGCTTCTTTGTGATTGGATCAAGGTCGCCTCGAGCAACGGCAGCCGCGATAGGATGCTCAATCTCTGCTCCAAGAAAGGATACGTCCTCCGGCAGCGAGTCGTCATCGGCTTCTGTCAGCATCACGACTGCGTTCTGCAGCGGAGAATATACCCGCTGATGAAGAAATGTTAATTCTGCTCTGCGAAAAGCTTCAGGATATGTCGTTGGCACGAAGTATTTCCCATCAAATTGAAGCATCCGAAGGACTTTGTCAATCGTCTTGTGTTTTCGAACGAGCCGATAGGCATTCTTCAAGCCCATACCAGTGATACTTGCAAGGTAGTCACATCCGCTCAATATCGCCATGGTGCGGAACTCAGCGTCGGTCCAATTGGTGAGACTGATCTCGCGGCAAGCACTAAAATCAGCTCGATCGATCTCAACGCAGTCACCATATTGATCAAGCTTCGTCAAGAGTGTCTTCCCGCCGAACACCAAAAGATCTGAATCTTCCGACAGCATGCCTTGAATAATCCCTTGTTTCTCGAGGTATACCAGCTGAGCATCAGCTTCATACGGTGCAACGACGTATTGAACACTGATCTTCTTCAATTCTTCAATGAGCTCTCGTGCCATGACAGGAGTGACCTCGATCGCCTTCTGCAGCTCTAAGTGCGCTTGTGATGGCTTGTTCATGTGATAGAGCTCCAGTCCTTTTTTTCTGCTCTGCTCCCGTCTCTGCGCCCTGTCATTCTCAGTAGCGGCCTTACTAGGCAGGTAGTCACCATCGAAAACAAGGTAAGGTATTATGCCAAAATGGAGTAGCATTCGGACACGATGCATAGAAAAGTCGACATATCTAGGTACTTTTCAGCGTAGCAGATCAAGCATATGTTGGTCCTCATACTTTCTGGTCGGCTTACCCAAAGCAAGATCAATGGCACATGCCACTGTACCCCTATGAAGCCAGCCATATGCATCAACTCCAATAGTTTGACCACCAAATTTCTTCAAGCTACTGTGTTTCTGTATTGATTTGAGGAGCGGTAGTAGGCCTAAGTCGTTCAGTTCCGTTCCGAATTCAGAGGCAGCCCTCAGACATACCAGAGATGCCCATTTCAGCACAGAGCAACTACCAAAGCCTACACGGCATATCTACGCACCTCTGTTTACCACGGCCCATGAACATATCTGGCCGTCTCCGCTGGGGTGATCAAGGCTCTAACGCACTCAAATCATTCTCTTCTCCAAAATTCAAGCAATGAGAAAGCAATCATCCATTGTATATAGGTTTTCTTGAAGCTGTAGTCGCAGAATGATCGAAAGATTATGACCACGCCCCACGCGTCGCGAAAGGCGGCTGAGTAGGGCCGTATTTAAGCCGACACACGTGATGTTAAACCCGAGGATATCGCACACAAAGAGACGCATCATGTCGGCATCAACAATGCCTAAGAGCCTGGCAAAGGTTCAAAGCAAGGTGATCAAGAAAAAAGGCAGGAATGCTGCGCTGCATGAAAAGAGTAGAGACTCACAAAAACTACGCAGGGCAAGTGCCCGCGTGGAGAAATTAGAGAGAACGGCTGCTGCGAGGGCCAAAACAATTCAGCCTTTACGTAGGTCAAATTTTCCGAGACGATCGTTTCTACTTATCGTCCTCAGTTCAACGTGTAGCGTTCTTCCAAGATGCAGTGATGAACGCAACTCCTCTTTTCGACATAGAGCTTATACATGGACTTATTCAAAGGTACGTATCAGGCTAAGTGAAAGGGTGCTCCACCGTTGCGCTAAATCAACGAAAGGTTTCTCAGTCGCTCCGATGATACTTTGGCAGAAGTAGAAGCCCGACGGCGGCCTGGTCGGCCGAGCAGCACTCATGAAGACCTGTTGAAACTAAGAATGGCGGTAGAGGATAAGGAATACAACAGTGGCTTCTGGATGCCTGACATGACAGACTCAGAGAATGTTCAGCGGTTGCAAGCATGGAATGGAGAATGGGCCCATCTCAACACACTTCAGTATATAAGCGTGTCACGAGCTGGGCAAACGAACACAGCGAGATGGCCACCCAAAATGTGATGCTGCAAGATCTTTAATTTGTGCCTACAAGACAGCATGCCCCGGCGATCGCAAGTTGCTATCAAGTCCATCCGCGCAGAAAATCTCGTTACACATCGTGGCTTTTTATGAAATTCTATCTCCAGTCAAGATTAGGCCGCGGTCCGTAAAACCATATTTTCTCAAAAGCGTGGTTCGAAGACTATCACCTCAGAAGACGCGCAAGAGCAACATCTAGGAATGCAGGATGGCCCAACACGATTGCTTGCCAGCACTTGGTTGGCCATGGTATGTTCATGCTCCTGCGAGAGATCTCCTCCGTTTTAACATTCCAGATCGTCGTCGCAAGATTATGCGTTCAGGATGTACGTAAGATGGCATTTTCCACAATATTGTCTGTTTGCATGTGCTGTTTAGATTGTTAACGTTATTGGCAGAGTTTCTTGGGAGTCAGGTTTTACCAGCCATGAAAACACCAGCACCACATTCAGGCGTAGGACATTCTCTTCTGAGACGCTCAATCTTCCCATCTGAATCCACCTTGTAGAACTTGAGCACATTCAACTTGACCTTCTTGCGCTTGTGCTTGATCTTCTTAGGTGTAGTATAGACCTTCTTCTTTCTCTTCTTGGCGCCACCCCGAAGCCGCAGTACAAGATGGAGGGTGGATTCCTTCTGGATATTGTAATCTGACAAGGTACGACCATCTTCAAGTTGCTTGCCGGCGAATATCAGGCGCTGTTGATCTGGAGGTATGCCTTCTTTGTCTTGAATCTTGGCTTTGACATTGTCGATAGTGTCCGAAGATTCCACCTCGAGCGTGATAGTCTTCCCTGTAAGGGTCTTCACGAAGATCTGCATGATGGCCTATTGCAATGTTCTCAGCGCTTCAACAATTGACGAGAAGAGAGAGCTTATTTACCTCGACAAATGTGTTGTCGTCCTCAACCTTCCGCAGACTAAGTAAAGGAAGCGAGGGAAAAGATTGGACTATTCATAAGCAGAGTCCCGAATGTGCGCCAAGCTTCTAGCGCGTGTCGGCAGTACGGAAAGATCCCGTCCACGCTCTTGATCCGTTTGCGGCTTAGCGCCTGTCTTGGTTGCCGAGTGAACGGTCGTAAATATTTGTGGTCCCGCATCGACGAATCCATCACCCTTCCGCCATCTTTACAACCCACTCGATCTTTCCGGGTCAGATCATTCCCACAAGCCACTTCAAACAAGCTACAGTACTCGCAGAAGCAAGACTTCTTTTCACTTCGACTAATCTACTTCTCTTATACCAGATCGTAGGGAAGTCATTCTTTGCGACTGGGCAGAGCTTGGGAGCACCCAGGTCTCGCCCGGCCGAGCGGCTGGCTCTGTGTGAAAGGTATAGCTACACTTGCATACTAGGTGACATTAGTCCTCGACTCACGCAGTCGCAGATTTGAGCAACAGGAGACTTTAGCTAGTCTACCTACAACTAACGCTCAAAGACCGACTTGCAACTCTATGCTGTCAAACCAGACATGTACTAACCACGCAGGAAACCATCGACGACAACGATCGACCCCTACGCTTCAAGGATCCTATCAATCAATCTTGCCAGGCTCACCCTCTGAACAAATCTCAGCACGCCAGCATCACAGCTTTGGCAACCACGTTCAAGAGGAGACCAGAGCACCAGAGGAACAAACTTACGGACGTAGTGTAGAAGGTTTAAAACGACAGCAAGACGGACAACTATTCTCGCAAGCCACACAGCAGACCACATCTCGACCGGGCTACCCCCATGGGCCTAATAAAGGCCACTCAACTGACCATCCTCAGGAACAACCTAGTCTTCCCAAGAATGTTTCGGACTCAAGCTTCATCTCGACAGAAGCAATTAATGCACTACTTATGGACTTGCAACCAGCGATTTCGGGCGCCAACTATGAAATGCCCAGGCATGGCATAAGTGGCGGATATTCATCCGAGCACAACAAGACAAATCTGCAAGTAGAGCTAAATGGAGAGCAATCGTCGAAATATGAAGTTGCAAATGTTGGAATCCTGGCAGGTCCACATTATCCATCCAATACGCCCGAAGATCGAATGGCGAAACGAAAACAGCATATATCGCTTGATCTAACCAATTCACACTTCATAGTGGATTTCGATTGTCTTCACAGACCTGAGACGCCAGCTCGGCAACAATGTCAAGGTTTGTGAAGCAACTTCTTCATCCTGAATATTTGTTCATCATAGAATAGGCTCACTGCCAAAGACGCCGATGACAGCACCCGTAGGCTATAGACCTGATAGCATATATGACCCTGAGCATAGCTTGCCGACTTTCTCACCCATCAGAAACGATCCAGATATGACCATCAAAGCTTCGCAGCCCATGGAAAGGGGGAGGTCGTGTCAAGATAGCTTTTCCATGATGAGAGGATCTGTCGAGGACCCTCAGGGAATGGCTCCCTCCAAAACAAGCCACATGATGCGACGATCCGTAGATATTGCTTTTATGCCGTCACCGAAACTCCCAAACATGTCGGACCTCAAGCTAGATCTGTCAGCAGATACTGAGAGCTCCATCGCCGCGTTGTTTCAACCGTCTGTGTCTTCAACAATGACGTCTTACCAACCATCACCTGAGACTACGACTATGTCACTCTTTGGAAGTCAACATGTTGATGATAGTGTAACTAATGCCACAGATTCCTGGGTTCAGACAATACAAAAGCACGGCATGAGCCAATCTGGCCAAACGTCACCTACACAAATGACCCAGCATCAAAGGACGCAATCGATCACAGATACTGACTTTGACGAATGTGTCGTTTCGACTGGTGTCACTGCAGATGATATTGCAGCCTTCATCCAAGGGCCTTTTCCAGACGATTCGAAGTGGCGGTGTCTTTACAAAGAACGAGACGGAGAGGAATGTGGTAAGAGATTCGCGAGAAAGGAGAACGCCAAGTCACATGTCCAGACCCATCTTGGTGATCGACAGTACGCTTGTACAGTGTGTAGAACTCGCTTCGTCAGGCAGCACGACTTGAAACGACATTTCAAGATTCATACAACTGAGAAACCACATCGATGTCCTTGTGGCAAGGACTTTCACAGACATGACGCACTGACAAGACATCGACAGCGCGGAATGTGTATCGGCGCATTTGAGAACTCGCCTAAGAAGTCTGTGAAGCGTGGACGACCCAAAAAGGCCCGACCAAGCTCCGAAGAGCGAGCAGAAAAAGCTGCACAGACCAGGCAACGTATCATAGAGAAAACTTATCCCGGCTCTACTTACGCATCGTCCATCTCAGGCTCGTCTGACGACTCGCATGATAGCCCGCCCAGCTTTGACAACTTCAGTAACCCAGCGTCAAGCCCGCCTCTGAGTCACAAGGGTCTTGACAGCATCACTTTCTCTTACCCATCTTATCAGCCGCTGACTCCGCCAACCTCCCCTACCCGCGGGTCCGACAAGTCATACTCAACCCCCTACTCTCAAGAATCCTACACACCTAAACCCGCGAGCCGTAGCCCCTCGCCGAAGATCACAAGCATGCCAGAGGAAACGCAACACTTCAGTATGGAGTCCATCGAATCAGGCAATGACTGCTACCAGAGTAGCCCTCCCGAATTAGAGCTTTCGTCCTCATCGCCGGCCACTTCGAATCTTAACTTCGCGTGTATATCTTCTGAGGCGTCCCACCCCAGCTTACCCCTTGATCAAGCAATGGACTGTCTGAATCCTCAGATCCTAGACGGAGATTTCCAGCTTTACGGTGGATCAAGTAAGGAATCACCGGCATCCGAATTGGACACCTTCTTTGACTTTGGCGAATTTCAATCTTCTGCCACGGAGCAAAAGCGCCAGCCGAACGACCCGTTGCTTGGGCGTGAGTTTTTTGGGAACAGCTTCATGAATGAACCAGAAGATCCGTTTGTTGACTTTTAAGACTTGCTGAGTACGATTTGGACGGCCTGTAAGAGCCCTTAGCGAGGTGTCATGGAGAACCACGGAATTGGGCGTTGGGGGAAGCTTAGGGAAGGATGCCGAGTTAGGATAGGTGAAAGGGAACTGAAAATGAGTTTGATAAATTGTGTGATATGTAGTGAAGGTTCCTCAGGGTCTTCACTTCACTAGGTTTACCTTGATGCTGCAATGTGGCGGGACCAGTTCTAAATCACCAGCCTTTACAATGATAAACAGCATTAACGATAGATAGCAAAATACAAAACGGGGCTCATGACACATTTCACGTCATACATGAAGTGTGAAGGGACATTGATTGACTGACCAACACTCTGCATCTAATAACGTCACTTCATTCAACTCACATTGTGCCTTGAATCTTTGAAGAAGTAGTGTCGATATCACATATGCCCCCAAAAGACCAGCCTGTTACTCCAAGTTCCTTTTCCTGAAGCATACAAGATCTGCTGAATAAATTGTACATAGCCTTTGTGTACGTTTTTTCAAGTGTCATTCAGGAACGGATGAGTGGGACCATGGTTCGAGAGGGGTCAGAAGCGATGATCCAGCTTCCAGTATTCGCGCACTACGATTTTGATGATTCCTTGAGAGCCGGCCAAGAACAGGATGTTGACCTGCGTAGACGCTTTACCATCAAAGATTACGACGTCAAATGGCCAGAACAATTCAGCAATATCAAAGCGGATCTCGAGGTAGATTTGGCAGAAGGGAGTGTGACCTATACATCTATTGAACACATTGGCAGGTGTGTACATGTCCGAGGCTTCAAGCCCTACGGACGATGATTGACTCCAAGCTCTACACAGCACTTCCGTCCCTGGCCTGTGCTCCAAGGCTACAACCGACTTGTGGGCTAATGTTTGGGAGGAGGCCGTCATAGACATATGCATCGTGGTTCCTCGAAAAGAATTCACCCAAGAGAAATTGGTACGTCATCCAATCATTTCGCGGCAAGTCACGACTGGGAAAGACGTCTCGAACGTACCTTCAAAGCTGTGTGACTCTTTTGTTGTGTCTTACATGTTTATGTAGGACTAGTGGCCGAAGCTGACCAAGACCGTTGACCAGGCTCACTTTCAAACGGCTTTACGATTCGGGTCCAGACAAGGGGGATACCACTATATCGGTGACGGGGGCGTTCAAGACCGCTGGTCTTTCAAGCTTAAAGGCGTGGTACCTCTAAGGAACCTTTACGTTGTTGCCAAGGGCAGCATTCCTCTTCGAGCGTACATTTCTTTGAGAACCGTCTTACGCAAAGATGAGGAACTGAGACAAGAATATGGCGCTACGAAACGGCGCCTTGCTATGTTGTACGACGACCAGGTCCGTACCTACTGCGGATTGAAGCGGCCAGTGATCAGGAAGATCTTCCTCGCGGACGGTTGGACAAACAAAGAAGTAGATGAGGCAGAGGCACAAGCAAAGAGAGACTGGCCTGAGCGCACCCCTGCAGACTTCTTTGAGCAAGATGAGTGTGACCTCTTGGGCGAAGGAGCAATTGCGAAAACGGCGCCAACAGCATCTCCTGAAGGTAGAAATATCATAGCATCGGAGATGAGACCTACGAGCAACCTCTGCCATAACGGATAAAGGATGGCAGGTGACTTGGGTAGCTGCAGCTAGGGCGAGTCGCGCCAGGGGTTCAAGCGAGTAGATGTCGGAGTTCAGCCAAGGAAGCTGATGGGATGTTCAAAGAATGTGAGGTGACGTGAGAGAAGTGTAATTACTTATTTTTGTCTACTCAACCACGAAGGACAACATGGTCAGGCTCCAGGAGTCCAGAGGTCTGGCCTTTTCATGAAACACCTTTGCGGGGCGGGGAGCTGATGCAGCCTGGGTGGTGGAGCAGCTGTTGGGGTGCTCGTCAGTGTGGTTCTAGCGGAGGCTGGGTCGGCTGGCTAGTAAATAGAATTTTGGCTAAGCCATTAAGCCTGTGAAGCCAGTGCTAGATGCTTGTAAGACTAGAAGCCTGGCAGGCCTGGCTCGCTGGCGGAGTGCTGACGGAAGACGGAACATTTTAAATGGCAAATTACAAAGTGCAATCGGTTTTCAGTTTTGCTGACAGGGAAATGAGGCAGAGGTTAGAACTGTTTCTGCCCAGAATTTCTTGCTGCAGGAGACAATATGTCTTTATGAGCATGTAACAATCAACATAGACGAGAAAGCATCCACTGAATCCCTGGTCTTCCGCATTCGGCTCTGAGTGTTGTGAGCTGCACCTGGTTACTTTCTGCAGGAACCTGCAGACTGACCTCACTCGGACTTGGCTCCCCGACTCTCCGTGATTATTATATTTACCCACTTCCTCACCACCAAACACCCTCTTCCACCTCCGCACACTTCCGAAGCTGTCTGCCTTCCCTCCCAAGCATCTCTCGTTCCGGGGATCATCGTCCAAAACAACACTTCAACCCCATTTCTCGATTTCGGCATACCTGCCAGGGGTTTCATTCGGCTCGCCTGCCCTAGGCAGGCTTCCTCCTCCCAGCCATGAGGAAACCCTCCTTCTCCGACTTCAGCTCGCCATACTCCAGTCCTAAGATACCCTTCTCATGGCCAACCTCGATACCTACTATGATACCTCACCGCTTTCGGCGAAAACTTCGCTCCAAGATCCGAAGCCGCCAGTCGCCTTCGTCCTCTCTCACCGGCCTGAACACTTCCTTTGACCCCCGGGACGCTCTGTCGGCACTTCGAAAACACAAGTGGTCATTATACGATGGACAATACCTCATCCTCATGATCCTGGGAATCTTCTCCCTGTGCATAATACCAAGTCCAGGACCATTCATAAAGACGGCGTTCTCAGCCTTCATCATGGCAGCGCTCATCGTGCCAGCCTCAAGACAATTCCTCTTACCAAGCCTTGCAATATGGATGTGGCTGATTTTCTTCTATGCCTGCGGGTAAGAAACTCTCCTGTGTTGCGACAAAGATCCTGAAGTTGCTTTCGCGGATGTTCCGAATTTTGCCCTGACATCTGATTCTGGGAGAGTTGCTGACGTATTGAAAACGTAGATTCATACCAAGCAGCTGGCGTCCGCCAATTTGGGTCCGTGTTCTTCCAGCACTTGAGAACATATTTTATGGCGCCAACCTGAGCAACATTCTTTCCGCTCATACCAGCACCTTCCTCAGTGTCATGGCGTGGCTGCCGTATGGTATAATACATTTCGGAGCACCTGCCGTGTGCTCTATTATTATGTTTATTTTTGCGGCACCGGGGACAGTACCGGTCTTTGCCAGAAGCTTCGGTTGGATGAACTTAATCGGCGTCGCCATCCAGCTGACCTTCCCTTGTTCGCCACCCTGGTATGAAAAGAAATATGGGCTCGCGCCCGCTAATTATTCGATACATGGCTCGCCGGCGGGACTGGCAGCAATAGATGAATTATTTGGAATTGCACTTTACACTCCTGGTTTCACAGGGTCACCTATGGTCTTTGGGGCGTTTCCCTCCCTACACGCTGGCAGTGCTGTTATGGAAGCGCTTTTTATGAGCCACGTTTTCCCCAAACTAAAACCAGCCTTTGTGGTCTACACCCTGTGGCTGTGGTGGGCGACAATGTATCTGTCTCACCATTATGCCGTGGATTTAGTGGGCGGCAGCTTGCGTAAGTCTTTTAAGATCTCACATCACGGTTTTTCGTACTAATGAAAATAGTCTCTGGAGTGATCTTTTTCGTGGTCAAGTCAAAGTTCCTCCCTCGACAACAATCTGACAAATTTTTCCGGTGGGACTATGATTTCATCGAAGTCGGCGAGGATGTGACCACCGAGAAAGGCTATGCATTGGCTGGTACAGAAGATGGTCCGGTCGACACAGACGAATGGAGTGTGGGCTCCTCAAGCTCCGTTTCACACTCACCAGGTTCCCGAAGCCCCATCGATGAAGGAAACCTCTGGGAAGGCGAGACCCTCGCATCACATTCAGACACCGAAGCGCAGACATGACAAGCGCTACCTCGATTGTTTCCTCACAATCACTCGGCTGCCGAGTGCTAGCGTTAATGAATAATGCTTATGCCTTAATGCGCGTGCCTATCATTTCTATGGGAATGACATTGAAATCACTTATTGGATACTATTTAATCGATAATAAGCGGCGATCTATCACGTTTCCGCTACACTCGTAACTCTGGCTTGGGACACTCTAGCTCTGGATGCTGGACATTCGTTTGGATTGGACTGTGTATACCCAACACTCGTTTTTCAAGTCGATATTGATTTAGAAGACAGGAGAGGGAGGACATCTGTATAGAGGAGCCTTAGCATTCGCTTAGCATTTGGTATGCGTGGGGTATCGCTAGTGCAGCGACCTCTGGAGCGCGTAGACATTCAGTCATGGTTGAGCGTAATTGCTTCTTCGATTGTTCGAAGGGGTTTCGAAGCAGACAATAGAGAGAGACTCTCTAGACTTAGATCAAATGCACCAAATTGGTCGACTTCTCTCCAGGTTTTTCTTACACGTTCAAACCAGAGGCGCTCTCGGGAAGGCGGCGATGCGCTTTACTCGAGCGAATGCCGAAAGATTATGCCGGATATATATATTTTATTAAATGCCAAGCATACTGTGGAGGATGACATCCTAACGAAGAATACTCTCCTTGCCTTTTACCAGAAGAGTCCGTGGGTTGCGTCAAATCTCCACTCTTTAATCTTTGGAAACATTTGGTCCGTTCGGATCGCTATATTTTTGCACGGTTTTTGCTCTTCGTATTACAGCCTACTTGATGCTCCTATGTGGGTGCAAAAATGAGGCGTGTTCTCAGGGTTCACTGATGGATTTTGACCGGAGCCTAATCGGAATATCTAAGCGACCTCTCTGCCCTTCTACCTCCCCTTGCTCCTTGTCCTCCAATCCTCAGAAACCATAAAACAAAATCCCATTATTATTCTGATGGTATCCCTCTGCCCTGGTCCATCATCTCCCTCTTCTCCTTTTCCGTGAAGTTGGCGGCACCTTCTTTCAATGCCTGAATAAGGACGGGTACTGACGATTCCTTAAAGTCAGACGCGGTGCGGAGCTTCTCAATATCATCCGCAAAATCTGCTGTTACTTGACGGAGGTAGCGGGATCCAAAATCTTCTGCTGCTCTTTCTTCCTGGTAGAGTCAAAGTGAGCAGAACGTATAGCAGCTACAGCGAGGGGTTTACGTTTGAATGAGAAGCCGCTTGCTCTTTGTCTTCTTCCACAGGTGTGGACTCGGCTTGCGGCAGTGGTTGGTCTTCTTTTGGCTGACTCTCGTTGGAATGCTCTGTTGCCATTGTCCTCGCAGTCTCTGCGACAGTCTTTGTGTTGGGAAATGTTTGGAAATATTTCAATTAGAGCGAGGAAGTTGCCTATGTATCAAACAGTATACGCCAAGCATTTATCATTTATTCTACACATTGTCTAATGCTTAATGTCACAATACTCAGTCTTCATGCTGTGGCCTACTTAAATGCTTTCAAGCCCACCGGTGTCTTTCTGCCGGCGCACTTTCATTCAACTGGCTGCGCCCTCCTTTCAACGAGGACGGAAACTAGATATCATGGATCATGGTAAGTAACTGGCCAGATTTTGGGAGACTCGCAGGTTTGTCTACCTACTCATCTGGTGCAGGATCCCTGGTTAGTAGAGTAACTGGGCCTCTTGAGTCTTGAGTCTTGACCCGGCGCTAGTACGGACCTCCACATTGAAACATTTGCGACCCGCATTGGGGACAATGAACATGACCACGCCAGACCATGCCTCCTCAATTCTCATGCTCTTTATTCTGACCGGTGCACCCCGACCTCTTTATGCTATCTCCTTGGGGAACCTTGCTGTATTTCTCATCTGCTTGTCCTTTCTTCACGCATTCGCTTTCAGTTCTATCAAGCCAGTCACCGCCACGATAGCTTCACAGCGCTCTTCCATCAAGAACAGCTTCTCCGGAGAAAAAGGCCCTCAAAAGAGTAGACCTTTTATTATCGTCTTTCAGTGCCTCTCAAGTGCCATGACCTTGCCACAGATCACAGCACCTGCCTTCTCTGTACCCCACAGCCCAACCCCTACAACTACCCTCGAAAACTTCCAACAGCTTCAACGCGTCGAAACCCTACACCAACAAGTTAAAGAGCAAGCCCAGAGAGCGCAAGAGTTCCTCATGAAGCTTCGCCGCGGAGAACTGGAAGCACAAACACAGGCACAGCTACAGCTCGAACAAAGACTAAAAGACCGCGAAGGGTCTGACCGGCGCAGACACTCGGAAGGAAAACATAGCTTGTGCACATGCAGTTGTCCGCACCACGCTTCGCCGCCACCTCCTCCGCCTACAGGTTCTACGACACAAACGGCGGCGCAGAACCGGAATAGCTTCAGTGCGATCAATCCTGTGCCCATGGGTCCTCTCCCCCTACCGACAAGAGTCGATGAAAAGGAGGTGCGCGATCTAGAAAAGCGCGTGCGTGGCCTGGAGGGGAGGGTGAGGGGCTTCGAGGGGTTGCCGCCGGATAGGGAGATGGCCTTGCTAGAAGTGGAGAGACTGAGGCGAGAGCTGGAGGGGCTTGCGAGACGGAGAGAGGGCCTTTTTGAGGGTTTGAGCTGCGAGGATGCCCTGAGCTTTGGAGGTGCAAGTGCGGAAGGATTGAGAGGAAAAGACGGGCTGCCGCCCGGTGGACAGAACGTGGGCGGGAAGGTTGTTGTGAAGGGGTTAAAAGGCTCTGGGAGGGGTGCGAAGAAAGAGCAATGACTGAGAGACAGTCCATGACAAGCCCCCTCGTGTAAGAGTGTGAGCGATGTGACCTCCGGACGCTGAGACTGAAGCCTGCCACCTCCCTCAAGAGATGGGATTCAAGGTGATGAAAGACTCGGCCGTCCCATTGTTGAGCCTTGAGACTTGCCTTGGCCCAAAGGATCTCTCTTGCGTGAACCATAAATCGGTCTGGACCGACTGGCAAACCACCCAAGCGGTGTATCTCACATGACCAACGAAGACAGCAAAGGTCGGAGGTCGAAAGATCCTGTAATCCAATGCTAACTCGGTATAATATTTGTCTTCAACGATAAAAGTCCTTTTGAGACATTACACGATCAACAAGGAGAATGCACGAGCATTGACGGCAGCACATGGGCCTAGATTTGCTTTGATTGTCACGAAACTCCAATGGGTATCTCAAACTTTGATCAAGCAAGGAGTTTCTGCTCCTACCTAGAAGCTAATACCTCGGGTCCCAGTCATCTTTGAACACCGTCCCTGGAACGAGTGTCAACTGCCTACTCTCAGTTCTGCGCCCTCTACTCTCTTCCAGTTCCGCCCTCTCCTTCTTGGCCTTCGCCTGCTTCACTTTTAATGATTCGTCTTCGTGCCGCTTCCTCTCTTCCCAGTGCTCTCCGCACAAGTCTTTGTAAATCTGATCTCGACCGTTGTGCATCTGCTTGATCAGAAGCTGAAGCGCCTCTTCTGAAGTTGTCTGGATCTGCTGACTGAGTTCCAATTCATCTTCAGCCTGCTTTGCCCGCTTTGGCAACGGCCCCTGGATGAAGTTGACTTTACTTTCAACTGACTCTTCCAGCTTTCTCTTTTTCCTTCGCAGCCAACTCAGTCCGCAGCTTGTCCGCAAGATACCGCGCTGTATGACCGATGGCTGAGCCTGGCTTGACAGGTGGAAGAGTATCAATTGGTGGAGCAGTAAAGAACAGGACATGACCATGCTCATCCTGCTGGAATTGATTTCGAATTTCTTCTGGAATGGCCAGATTGGCGTTTCCGGGCAAACGGTAAACTTCATCGGACCGTTGATAGCTGGACTCTGAGCTTTGTGTTCTTTCAGGCGGGGCAAATCGATTCTGTGCTGTTCCATAATGTTGACTTGGCTGCGTATAGCCGCTGGCAGCTTGCTGTGTGAATTGGTGGGGATGGTGCAGTGGCGCAGGTGACGTGGAACTTCCGTGATATTGGGGGAGTTGCGATGAACCATAGGATGCTGCGTGATTAATGTGCGAGGCGTTGCTACTTGCTGCTCTCGTTTCAGTCGCACGGTAATCGGGCGTGTTATACGACATACTTTTCGGCTTTGTCGTTTGTGGTGGTGGAGGAGAAGGAGTAGGCTCTGGTGGGGGAGATTGCTAAGTGTTTATTAGCAAACATTGCCACCCGATCAGCACGGTTCACTCTCACATTCTCATCTCTCGGGCCCTTGAACACGGCACCTACAATCGGAGGGGCATTTTTCACACCCCATCTAGGGTTTGCATTTGCCTCTGTGCCCTCATCCTTGAGCAAATGTAAAAGAGGACTTGGGACCTTCCTGATCTTCTTGGGCGCATCGAAAAGATCCATCTCGTAGTCTTTATCCCTCACTTCGTCCGGCAAGCAGCTTGCCCATGTTTTGATCTTGTTGAACCTGTGCTTTTCCTCATTGTAGCGGGACTCACAGACATAGACTTCTTTACCAACACCAAGCCCACGGGGTCTACCCCGACTATATCGCGTCACAAACATAACAAAGCATCGATCGACAATCTCGTCAATGCGATGATCTCGATACTGACCAGTCTTGACTACTTCATTTGGAAAAAAGTGTTTCTCAAACTGGTGCACAGTCTGCTCCGGCCTGCGGAATGTGAGTGACTAGCATTTCAAAGGCTTCGTGGGGGCTCGACTACCTGTAATACCAGCATGCATTTATCCATTTGTCGCCGTCCCCATCTTGCCACGTACGATAGACTTGGGCAACAACAGGTTTAGTCACGTCGTTAGGATTTTGGACATGGATCCAGTCACCTATTTTCCACAGTTCCTCGTTGTACAAGATACCTTCAGGCAAAGGTAATCGACCTTCTTCCAAAGCAAACTCTGTGTCAGGTTTTGATGTCTCTTCTTTCGCAAGCTTGTGTGTTTCGGCTTGGAGAGAGACCGCGTCTTTGTAGACTTGACTGTCTTCCATATTATACGATTTACAGTTATTAAACATAACATCCATATCCCTCAGGAAATGATCAACTGAATGGTACTTCTTGCGCTTAGCCTTTCGTTTGATTTGCTCAATAGCTAGGGGTTCCTTGATTTCAATGTAATAGTCTGGCAAGTCGGTCTTATCTGGCAATTTCTCGAATGAGAGTATCATCAGATGGCCCTCCGGATGTTTGAGCTTGCGAATGCCCTTCAAAATGTTTTTTATGCGAGCTTCCATTGGAGTGTCAACTTTTGGCGGCCGACCTCGGCGTTTCCTTGACTCATCTCCTTTATTATTCCGTTCACCTCTGGTGCCGCCCTCTCTCTTCATGATCGAGGCGACGGATCGTGCCCCCTTCTCCGACGACGTTTGCCACCCTCTTCTTCTGAGTCTTCGTCCTCATCTTCATCATCATCCTCCTCCTCGTCTTCTTCCTCCTCGTCTTCTTCTTCCTCTTCAACCTCGGCAGGGGCCACAACATCTTCCACAGCCGGAAGCTCTCCAAGATCTGGATATTCCGAAGCTTCGGAGGTAATAACGCTCTGGTCAACCAGCTTTATGAACTCTTTTTGGAATATATCCCGCAGAGTGATCGCATCGTGATATGCTCCAGCTTCGGGTCTATTGTATGTTTGAGCATTGTGAGATATCAAAGCAGCGTCCCTCACGAATTCCTCAAAATTGACATAAGCTTTCCGTAAAATCTTGTTTTTCAAGGTGCTTAACGCGACAGGTTCCTTTATCACGTCATAGTAATCCGGTATCAGACGCTTATTGACCTTTCTATGAAAGATTTTCGAAGGGTCATGGCCGCTCCCCAAGTCAGCAGCGTGCTGTGACGCGAGAGTTGGGTATATAGAACTTACTCCTTAGTTCTGTACTTATACACCTTTTCCGTGATCTGCTGTATAGCCGACCATTGATCTTTCGTTAGTAAAGAATCCCTCGATATGGACTGAGCTTCTGTAGCTTCTCCGTCAACATCCATAGGATCTGGGCTCGCAGCTTCTGCAGGCTCCAGGCTTCCATCTTGTTCAAGTGATGCCAATACCATATTGACATCTAGAGCGAAATGGTCGGAATATTAAAAGAATGCTCGTAGACGTGATGAAGCTAAGGGCCCGGCTTACTGCAGGCTGCGGTAGAACATTTTTCCGTGTGACCCAGAAATGCCCGGCCAAACTTTTACTTCGAGACGCCTTGGTAAGGTACGTTCCGAATTCCCATATAGTGTCCGAGAATCATACTAAGAAGCAACATTATCATATAAACAAGCATGAAAGTGAGAATAAGACACCCAGCTGGGCAAGCTGCGGTTACCCTCTCCGACGCAGCAACAGTACTTGACCTGGTACAGCGCGTTAAGGACATAAGCCTACTGGACACCTTCGATCTCAAGATTGGGTATCCACCTGAACCACTGCGACTAGAAGAATTCGAAGTAACCACGCCTTTAATTAGAACTGGCAAGAAATATGATGGGGAACAGCTCATCGTGAGTAGAACGTCGCCGCCAACTCCACCAAGTCACTCGGCGAACAGGCACCCCGAAAAGTCTTCAAACATCGCTCAGACGTCAGAGAGCGGGGACGAGCAATCAAATCCTGTTTTTTCATTTGCAGGCTTTGGCGCTGCTCCTCCTACCGCGAATCCCTCATATTTAAGCAATCCTCTGTCGCTTTCTCGCAAGTCTAACAACATAGAACAAGACCCTCCAGAAATCGCCTTAGCGACTCACAATGCTACTATGGTCCTGAGAGTTGTTCCTGATGATAATGCCTGTCTCTTTCGTGCTTTCAATACTGCCTTTTTCGGTTCAATGGACAATATGCATGAGCTCCGCAGCGTTGTGGCCCAGAACATTCAAGCAGACCCAGATACTTATTCAGCCGTCGTTTTAGAGAAGAACCCTGATGACTATTGTCGGTGGATCCAAACATCAGACGCTTGGGGAGGTGCTATTGAGTTGGACATCTTTAGCAAGCACTTCGATATCGAAATCTGCTCCATCGATGTCCAATCGCTGCGAATAGATCGTTACAATGAAGACAGACCGAACAGATGTATTCTTGTATACTCCGGCATTCATTACGATGCAATCGCCTTGTCGCCTTCCGACCCGCCGCACATGCATAGCAACTTGCCACCTGAGTACGACACGAAAGTTTTTGACAGCTCCGACGAACGGATATTACAGGCTGCAATTGAGCTATGCACAGTGTTGAAAGGCAGGAAATACTTTACGGATACCGCAAAATTCAACTTGAAATGCAAGACTTGTGGAGCCTTGCTGATGGGGGAAAGTGGTGCTAGCGAGCATGCTCTAGCGACCAGCCATGTGGATTTTGGAGAAGCTGAGTAGCTTGCGCGTTCATCAGTATCCACGTACATATCAGTCGCGTATTGTCTATCAAGTCATAGAGGTAACTTCACAGTGACACGGTTCTTCAAGCAACCACGGCGCAATCCGTAGCAGCATTTGACCAGTAGGGGATGACATGGGTTGCTTTAGTCGCTTTCAGCACAATTTTGTACGAGACTCGTAGCATAAGTTTACAGAAAAGGTTCTTTAAGGGAGTGTTCTCTGCCGCCAGCGCCACGCCAAAATCAAACTAATCCATACAGCTTTCCAGCCTACTCCAACTTTGCCTCACTTTTCTTTTTCTTCCTCTTCTCGCCTTTGATCTTATTTCCTGCTTCGTTAGTATCTCCATCGTCATGTTTCCGCTTCTTCATCCTCTCCCTCTTCTCATCTCTCCGCTGATCCTTATCCTTAACCGCTTTCTTCACCTCTTGTTTCTGTGCAGCACGGGGAACTTTCTCGGCGACTTTATCATCGAAACTGGTAACTTCACCATCCAAGTCAATGTCGGCAAGAACGGAGTCCATTGCTGATCTCTGCAGTGTCCCGAGTCAGTTGAATATTGAAGCCTCTGAGAAATAGGACAAACCATAGCTATTTCATTCTTGGTTGGTGCAACTCCAGAGTCATAGAATCTCAATCTCTCCTCCACCTGCGCTTTGAGCGCTTCGCCAAATTTGGTGGTCGGGTGCTCTGAGAAATTGTCTATCCTTGAAGCTATGGAAGTTTTGTTCGCCAGAAAACGGGAGATCCGTCCCTTATTTCTTTGTCCCGCTCTCCCGATGAAGGAGGAATGGTAAATGAGCCCATACTTTGGTGTGTTGCCTTTCGTTTTTAGGGCTCGGAACAAAGCCTTCTCCGCGCCCAGTATTTGTACCGTTGACGCTGGGTATTTTGATAAGTTCGTGAGACTCCCCGCATGAGATATAAGCCTTGCTCCAATTACCTCACCTAGTAGAGCACCAAGGTTAGGGGCCACGACTCCCATCTTTCCAACAAGATAAGTGTGCAGGGTCTTGCGGTAATTGGCTAATCTCACAACCCTGGTCGCAAACGTCGTGACATGCTCCATGTCTGTCTCGGAAAGATCCTGGCCCATGCTTACTTTAGCAACGTCGATGATGCTCTGGGCTATTTCAGTGTTGTCATCGCACTGCGCTGTGAGATCTTCCAAGTCCTGATCTGCAAGACGTTTTTTATCACCAATGAAAAGCGCCAATCGTGCGTACTGTTGATTTTCGCTGACTATGCGGATTAGCTCAGGGAAATGCCAGGAATACCATTCTCTAAGGCGCATTGAGAATGTATTGATAGCCTTGTCCAGATGATCTAGAGTGGCAATAGCTTGGATGATGTGATTGTCATTTTTCTGGACGCTGAACTTGACTCTGGCGCGAGAGTAGGCGTGACCTAACCCAAGCTGGGCTCGCTCTACGTCACCTTCTTGAAGCTGTTTCAATAATTTGTGTCCATGCTGCCGTAAGCCGCGAAGCATATCTTGCACAATCTCGCTCGTGTCTCCCGTTTCGCATTGCAGGTGAGGTAAAGCCCCTTTGATGGCTCCTGCAAGAGTTTTGTCGGCAACGCCAAGGGTGATACGGCCTGATGTTGGCAGGTCGACTTCTAGGAGTGATAGAAGGAACCTTGATGCTATCCCCTCACTGATTTCGTTGGCATTCTCGAGGGCCTGGGCAGCTCCTCTGTCGCAAGATCAATATCGAAAGCGTAATTTCGAGAGTTGTCACAACTCACTGGAAAGGCGCAAAGCTAATGAGCTTGATCATTTTCCCAAACTTGGCGAGATCCTTTCACAATTAGTGCCCCAGCATCAAAGAACTTTTGTCTTTGATCTCGTACTTGAACAGAGGCCTGGAAATCTTTCATTCGATTCCCGACCGTGTCTGGCTGGTGGACGACCTGGAAGACTGCATATCCCACCGAGGACTCATGAAGCAGATAGTCGATAGTCATGTTGTCGAGACCAATAAGCTGATCGTAAGAAGATCAAGATCTGAGCAATGGAAGAAGCTTAGGCAGTACGGAATACCAAAAGCCGCCAAGTGCGACTGAATTTTCGGTCGCACTTCTCGGCAAGCTTCCCGCGGCACAACGACCCAAACGCGCCCCCATTCGCGTCTACAGAAAAGCTCTAGAATTAAACGCAAGAAATCTACTACTGAGGGCCCATACAGCTTCAACAGGTTACGATACCACCCTCATCCTTTACGAGAGTACTCCGACACACTAGCATGTCTGCCGCCCAGCTTTTAAACCCTAAGGCAGAATCGCGCGTGAGAAAGCTATGCCAGCCCGCAGAGTCGTGACTGATGCCTACTAGAGACGTGGAGAAGCGTTGAAGGTCAACATTTCCGCAGGAGAAGGCTTGCAAGATGTTTTGAAATCGAATCTTGGTCCTTCGGGGACCATAAAAATGCTGGTCGACGGTGCAGGGGCAATCAAGCTCACGAAGGATGGAAATGTCCTGCTACGAGAGATGCAGATACAAAGTCCTACCGCAGTATGTCATCTATCTCAGACTTTCACGCCTCGGCGAAGATCAAAGCTGAGAATCTGAGGTTATGATAGCTCGAGCAGCCACCGCCCAAGACGACATAACGGGCGACGGCACAACATCCGTCGTTCTCATGGTTGGGGAGCTCTTGAAGCAAGCAGATAGATACATAACCGAAGGCCTTCATCCACGGATGATCACGGACGGCTACGAGATAGCGAAGACCGAAACCCTCAAGGTGCGCAAGAAGAAGCCCCACCTTGACTAGTAGCTCATGCTTCCGCCTAGTTTCTCGACAGCTTCAAGCTAAAGCGTGAGGTCGACCGTGAGCTTCTACTTTCCGTTGCTCGAACTTCTCTCGCAACTAAGCTGAATAATGCGCTCGCGGAACGACTGACGCCTGCAATTGTCGATGCTGTCCTTTCAATTTATCGGCCCCCAGCAAAGCCAGATCTGTTTATGGTAGAAATCATGCAGATGCAACATCGAAGTGCTTCTGATACAACACTTATAAAGGGACTGGCGCTCGATCATGGCGCAAGGCATCCTGACATGCCAAAGCGGGTCGAGAACGCGTTTATACTCACCCTCAATGTCAGTTTGGAATACGAAAAGTCCGAAGTGAACTCTGGATTCTATTATTCGAGTGCAGACCAAAGAGAAAAGCTTGTCGAGAGCGAACGAAGATTCGTGGATGACAAGCTCCGTAAGATTGTTGACCTGAAGAAGGAGGTCTGCGGAAATGATCCCAAAAAGGGATTTGTGGTCATAAATCAGAAAGGCATTGATCCACTCAGTCTTGACGTGCTTGTAAAGAACGGTATATTTGCACTCAGGCGGGCTAAGCGGAGGAACATGGAACGACTTCAACTCATTTGTGGAGGCGCAGCCATGAACAGCGTGGAAGACCTAACACCAGATGTTTTGGGCTGGGCAGGTCAAGTTTATGAACATCAACTCGGGGAGGAAAAATATACTTTTATCGTACGTATATCTTTCAAGTCTCTCAATGACGGACTAAGGAGTACTCTAGGAAGATGTCAAAGACCCCAAATCGGTGACTCTACTCATCAAAGGACCAAATGCGCATACCATTATGCAGATCAAGGATGCTGTACGTGACGGTCTAAGGAGTGCGTACAACATGATAATCGACAAAAGCGTTGTTCCAGGAGCTGGCGCATTTCAGATAGCGTGCGCAGCACACTTACATGGTGAGGCTTTCCGACGAGAAGTCAAAGGTAAGGCGAAGTATGGTGTGTCCGCGTTCGCCGACGCGCTACTTATTATACCAAAGACTCTAGCCGCCAATTCCGGGCACGATATACAGGATAGCTGTGAGCTTGACCATGCTGAGTGCGAGGTAGTGCTGACATCCGTGAAAGTGGCCGCATTACAAGATGAGAACGCTGAAGGGAATACCGTCGGATTAAACTTGGTTACGGGCGAGCCCATGGATCCAGTTCAAGAAGGCGTCTACGACTCCTTCCGAGTCCTAAGGAATTGTATAGCTTCCAGTGCCGGCATAGCTTCAAACTTGCTGCTTTGCGATGAATTGTTAAAGGCGAGACAGATGGTGAACATCCCCTCATTATCACCATGTTCTTGCTAATGCTGCGTAGAGTAAATCACAGGGTCCAGGACCTGGCGACGGGGAGGGTTGAGATCATGGAAGACTCGAGAGAGTACCTTGGCTGCATTTAGCAAAGATACGTGAAGCATTCTAGATGATTATGGTGTAGCAATTGCTTGTAGGCCCTAGTTGTCTTAGTTAGCAGATAACGCCTAGCCCCTATATGGAAGGATTGAAGCCCGAGGAGGGCCCCTGAGTTGTGCCACCATGTGGGGCAAAGACCTAAGAGGAAGAGTCTCTAGCCAAGCTCAGGTCTGATCTATCACTGGCTTCCAAGTCCGCTGCTCACAGTCACGATGCCAACTTAATTGACCCCCATCCTTCCCACATGGTCGTCCGGTCATTGAGTCCATGCGTCACCACGAAGCTCAAAGATGTTCCGCCTACGACGATATCGCGTATTCATCGTTTTTGCTGTCATAGTCATAGGAATTGTATACCACTTCAAGGGTATAGAAGACTTTCAGAATGCTGGCGCAGCCAGCGTTGAAGGATTAAGGAGATTTGGTCATAAGGTGGACTCGCCAAAAGACAAATTGAACGACTCGGAGAAGAATGATTCAAACGAACGATTCGATAGTTCAGGGGTGGCAGTCTCTTTGGTAGAATCCGGAGCCGCTCGTCCATCGCTTACCACCGCAACGGTAAACGTGATCAACGAAGGGTTCTCGAACAACATCAAATCTTCTTCCCCAGCCAAAGGAGCCCTGCCACATGACGAGAAGATTTCAAGCTCTGGAGGGACCCAGAAGTCTTTCAATGCTGGCAAGAAGTTCGGGACGAAGCTTAATGAAACATCAGCAAGGTCAAAAGACGTCCTTTCAGACCACCCTTTCCTCAGCAAGCCTACTCCTGTGGATAAAGCTGTCGAGGATCCGGCAGACCCAGTCACGCACAACGAAGGCGGGGGGAAAGGAAGAAAGGAGATCATTGAAGACTCTACTGCTGATAAAATCTATTGGTCTCCTGTCCCGGAGAACTTTCCTGTGCCTACAGAAAGCCTTCTCCAGTTGCCGACTGGCAAGCCAAATCCAATTCCCAAAGTTCAGCACGACTTCAAGACAACAGGAACTAGCGGAGATCTCGCTCAGCAAGATAAACTTGACAGGATTAAGGAAACATTCACGTTCTCCTGGGGCGGATACAAGGAAAAGGCTTGGATGCAGGACGAACTATCCCCAGTCTCAGGAAAATACCGCAATCCATTTTGTGGATGGGCAGCAACACTCGTTGATAGCTTGGATACACTCTGGCTCATGGATCTGAAAGACGAGTTCGATAAGGCTGTTGAGGCTGTCCAGAACATTAATTTTACAACCAGTTCAAGAAACGATATTCCTGTCTTTGAGACCGTCATCAGGTATCTTGGGGGACTCATCGGCGCTTACGATATCAGCGGAGGCACCCGGAAGATACTGCTTGACAAAGCCGTTGAATTGGCGGAGGTTCTGATGGGATCATTTGACACACCCAACCGTATGCCGATGATGTACTATCTCTGGAAGCCAACATTCGCTTCACAGCCACATCGTGCGAAGACCAGAGTCGTCCTAGCTGAGATAGGGTCCCTGTCTTTAGAATTCACACGGCTGGCACAGATTACAAAGGAACCCAAGTACTACGATGCTATAGCTCGTATTACCAATGAGTTTGAAATATGGCAGAGCCAGACCAAGCTACCTGGTCTTTGGCCCCTGAAGGTTGATGCTTCGGGGTGCAAGAAGACAAGTTTAGACTCATCAACCTCCCCTCATGCTGCAGGGAGGGAGATGAGATCGAACAAAACCCTTTCATTACCGGAAAAGGCAGCTGCAAACCGCATCGCCGCTGCAAATACGGAAGTCATGGACGGCGGCTCGATTTCAAAATTAAGTGGAAAGTCATCACATGATTCTTTCGAAGAGAACGGGGATCAGAGAGTTGTGGAGGCCGACGCTGAGAAATCCATCACCCGCCGAAAAGGGCCTTCTTTGACTCCTCCTCAAGGCGGAGAGATTCATGAGCGAGAAATTCTGTCCCGCTCTTCGGCGTCGGAATCCGCGACTTCCACAAAAGCAGGAGAAGATATCAAGTCAAAAAAGCCGGAGTGTGAGGCCCAAGGCTTCAATTCCCCACCTTACAGTGCCAGCGAAGAGTTTACGCTTGGTGGAATGGCTGACTCCACATATGAGTACTTGCCGAAAGAATACATGCTATTAGGTGGCTTGGAGCCGAAATATGAATCTATGTATAAGAAGGCAGCTGACGCGGCGACAAAACATCTAATCTTCCGACCAATGATTCCGGATGACAAGCGCAAAATCCTCCAAGCTGGTCTTCTCAAAACAAGCGGAAAGGAGGGATCAGATGACAAACAAGGCTTCCGGCCAGAAGGTTCGCATTTGTCGTGCTTTATTGGGGGCATGTTTGCCGTGGGTGCAAAGATATTCGACCGAGAAGAAGATATGGACATTGCTAAGCAGCTGACCGATGGCTGTGTTTGGGCCTACGAAGCTACTAATACTGGCATCATGCCAGAAATATTTTTATCTATCCCGTGTGCAGACCTCGAGGTCTGTCCATGGAACGAAACGTTATGGAAAGAGACGCTGGACCCTCAAGGCCTCCAGAGAGAAGTCCAACTGTTCAAGCAGAAAGAGCAGCAAGTACTCAGTAGCGGTGCGCAACCGGCTAGAGCTCCAGCAAAGGGAGCTCAAGAGTCTACCATCAAGACGGACAAATCAAAATTTGCAGATCGTGAGAGTCTAGCCAACGACGTTGACAAATTAAGTGACTCAAAATTCAATCGGAATGTTACCAAGGTCGATCAAGCTGGTCACGAAGAGGATATTCCGGACAATACTCCTGGCAAGTCGCCATCTATCATCCAGGCGAACCATAGAGACAAGCTTCTTAAAGATTCTAGTAATGTCGATGAGGAGCCATTGCTTGGGAGCGGGCACACCGCTTCTGAGCAAGCGAGCGACGAGGAAACCCCACGGCCCGGATCATCGAAGGACGCGCTCAAACGTCGTCAACTTGGAGAAGTAAACGAGGAGCCCGTAACGTCCAAACCAAAGGTTCCTGAAAATAGTTTGAAAACTAGTAAAGGCTCCACGAGTGGGGAAGCAGATAAGAGTGCCAATTTGAAGCCAGAGTCAGACGACGATTCTCAAGTTGATTCTGCCAGCAATGGACCTGAAGCTGAGGACACCGCGAAAATATTGTCTGTACAAGACTCAGATTCAGGAACAACGAACCCCAACTATAGGAACGCCTCGTCATCGGGTACTGCTACGTCAGGGAAGCTTACCCCAACAGAAGTCAACTCTACCAAGGCTGCTTCGCATCCCAGTGAACCCGCGTATATGACGCATGATGAGTATGTGAAGCATCGCATGGAAAAGGAGAGATTGCCCCTTGGGATGTCAAAAGTGGTCAGTGGTCGTTACATTTTGCGGTAGGCGATCTACAATAGCACGACGGGATGTAGTACTGATTTCCATTTAGGCCTGAAGCCATCGAGTCCGTCTTCATATTATATCGTGCCACCGGAGACGATTATTGGCGCAAGGAGGGCTGGAAAATGTTCACAGCGGTTGAGAAATACACCAACGCGACCTATGGAGCTTCAGCGATTCGGGATGTGACCAACGTCGAGAAACCCAAGTATCTCGACGAGATGGAGTCCTTCTGGCTTGCAGAGACCTTGAAGTACTTTTATCTCCTGTACAGCGATCCTACAGTTTTCAGCCTAGACGATTATGTGCTGTTAGTGACCCTTACCCAACCCATACCGCGATTTCCATGCTAATATTTGATCAGCAACACGGAGGCGCATCCCTTCAAACGGCCCAAATGAGGTTGTTTCGCATGGTATGTTACAATTTTCAGCGTTCGTTGCATTGGGATCCGGATGATAGATACCCTGCATTCACGAGGCGTTTTGACATGTTGGATTGTGATATGATTAACAAAGAGTAGAGCAGCTACTATGTACGATTAGAGATACCATCCCGTATCCTGTGATGCGGTTTTGGTAACGTAATCTTGTAAAGCTTGGTCTTCTTGATCTAAGTGTAAAGCGTAGTCCTACTCTAGTTCAAGACGAAGCCAAATCCTCAGTATTGACTGAGCGCATGATCCGCACTTGCCGCTCGGACACCATTGCCAAAACATTGTTGCTCTGGAAAGAATGCGCGTGAAATTCTCGCCCTAGGTCACAGGCTCCCGGTGCCATGGGCTCTGATCGAAGAGCTCGGCAGCGAAAGAATGGAATTCGAGGTGTCTTATTCTCTTGAGAATGAGCAGCAGTTCTGGGATGGTGTGTAAGCCACACGATCCAACGGCTCGTTGTGCCCCAGTTTTCACAATTGATTTACAGAACTTGATGATATCCTGTCGGTGCAGTGCGAGGAGCATGAATTGATCGATAACGTCTTGAGATCCTACCTTACTTTCACGACAAACTTCAAAGGTGAGAGCACGCCTGATGCTTGCACCGACTTGCGCCGACTTCGCACACAGGAGAATACGTCCAGACCGAAAATGATATCGCTCGCTGCTCGTATCGGCTACTCCAGTCCGCTGTATTCAATGCCCATAAGGAGTATGTGCGCCGGCAGATTGTCAATAGCCTTGTACAGGTGAGTACCATGCCCATCGACTCCAGTGCGAACGACGATTAAAACGATGTCAGGAAGACTCGCCAGACACGTTGCACTTCATTGCCGCTTTCCTTTTGTACGACGGCCGAGGTAATGAAGCGACTTATGAGATGCTGAACGAAGAGGGCGGTTTTCCGCGTTTAATAGAGCTCATACAAGAGAGGAAAGAGGATGGGGTGGGCTTGCATAGGACTTTATTAGAGCTTCTGTACGAAATGGCGCGAATTCAGCGACTGAAGACCGAAGACTTAAGTCAGTCATCCTTCATCTCCATCCTATGCAGGATGTTGTTGACAAGGGGACTGCAGTCTTGATTGAGGACGACTTTGTTATGTATATGTTCGGGATCATCGAGGGTTTATCTGACGACGTCAATGATCCCTATCTGTACCCTGTCGTACGAGTACTGGTAGACTTGCTCCATTGATCTACTTGTGTTGGAATGCTAATGCCTGCAGCTTGTTCTCAACGAGCAATATATGGTCTGTGCTCACGATCCATCCCAACAGCTCGACAATACAGAACCACCCCTCACGAACAAAGTCATCAAGGTCTTAGCTACCTCTGGGTCGGCGTACAAAAGTTTTGGGCAAAACATCATCCTCCTGCTCAACCGTGAAAGCGAGACCTCTCTCCAGCTTCTTATCCTGAAGCTGCTTTACCTCCTCTTCACCAGTCCCTCAACTTATGAGTACTTTTATACCAACGACTTACATGTGCTGTTGGACATTATTTTAAGGAATTTGCTAGACCTCCCTCCATCGTCTTCCGCCTTGCGGCACACCTATCTTCGGGTTCTTTACCCTTTCCTCTGCCATACGCAGCTTAAACAACCACCTCATTACAAGCGAGACGACATCCTACGCCTGTTGACCATACTCAGTGGCGGGGCCTTGAACCATTTTGGAGCCGTAGATCAGACGACCCAGCGACTAGTCAATCGCTGCTCCAAGGTAAGCTGGCTCAAAGGCGAAAAGTCAGATGATTCCGAGACTGCTGAGCATGTTCTAAAGTTAGAACACAAGAGCCTACGCGTTGGGAGTATGGATAAAGCGATGGAGAGCTCCATGAGCGTCATTGAAGTAGCAGCTCAAAGAAGTAAGCCCGGAGTGCAGACACCGAGCAACGAGGACACCACGGCAGCGACGACGAAAAGTGCGGCGGTGCCAAGTTTGGTCCACAAGGGGAACGACATGACGGAGGGGAGTCCATTTGAAGCTGAGGGGGAGGTTTTGCACAAACCTTGACTCCTATCAACATTCTGACTCCAGGCACGCTGTTCTGCAAGGCACCTACCGACCATAAGACTTTTTGCCTTCGGCGAATTTGTATCTGTATGTGGCTTATACACTTCCATACGCACCTGGCCTTGAGAGTCGCTTGAACTAAGCTCAAACGGATCTTCTTTCCACCAGACACTTTGCCCCCTAATGTCTTTTCTACTGTGCTTATGAAAGAATAACAAAGCGTTTCATCACTCAGTGTCATGGTATTACGTTTGCTATTCCTCTACGCCACCTGACGCACTGCATTCCTCACATATGGCTACATTCCTGATTGTTAAGCAGCAAATGAAACCTTTCTTGAGCAGTCATTATGCCTTAAATGACAAGAATCTGTCGCCGCAAGCGTGGTGCTGATTAGAGTCCGGTGGATAAAGCCTTCATTATTCTGATTGCAACAAAGCGTCCTATACGGCGTTCCTCTCGAGATTTTGGATATTCTTACAACCTCGCTGAGAGTACCGTTCGAATACCATGATGAAGAATTGGCCGGTGGTGGCCCTTTATGCACTGCAAGTTGCGCACTTGGTTGCATCGCAACATCACCGTATTCTAGCTTTCTGTTTGCACTGCAGAGCACGCTGATCAATCCTTTAGACGAGATTCGACATAAACATCGCAAGCGAGAGGACAAAGCACAAGACGTGGCGGCGACAGCCGATGCAGCAGGTTCTTCGGATACGAGCCACATCGTGGTCTACGTTGATGACAACAACGAAGTGCTATCAAGTTCGACTGTAGATGACACCCAAGCTGACCCAACACCTGCCGATCTTATGCCAAGGGATCATAAGCAGCAAGGCGCTAAACAGGCGGCAGTATCGGTGGACTCTTCCCAACAAACGAACAGCGATGGAAATGGGCCTTCGGGAGCAGCGAACGAGCAAGTAGGAAACGGAGGAGGAGCGAAAGCCGGAGCAGCTAAGGGTGGAGGAGATATCACAGGGAACAGCCAGATTTCGTTCAATTCTGGCGTCGCCTACTCCCCGTACAAAGCCAACAAAGCATGCAAATCAGCGCAAGAAGTTGCACAAGACCTAAACAACATTGGAGAGTACGATGTAATTCGGCTCTACGGAACAGACTGTAATCAGGTCTCAAATGTGGTCCAAGCCGTCAAGGGCAGCATTAAAATCTTCGCGGGCATTTACAATATCGACAAGATTCAGGATGAAGTTAATACTATAGCCTCCGGGATCGGGGGCAATTGGGGCGCTATCAAGGCTGTCAGTGTGGGAAATGAGCTTGTCAACAGCGGTGTAGCTTCTGTCGAGAAGGTGACAGCAGCTCTGGCTACGGCTCGCCAGGCCTTGAAGTCCCAGGGTTACACCGGTCCTGTTGCCATTGTCGATACGATGGTGGCCTTGAAGGCCAACCCAAAACTTTGTCAGTTATCGGACTTCTGCGGAATTAACTGCCATGCCTTCTTCGATGGCAATGTCCAGCCGGCCGGAGCAGGGCAGTTCGTCACGGATTGGGCGAACGAGATCTCTCAAGCTGCTGGTGGAAAGACCTTTGTGATCACTGAGTCGGGTTGGCCAACTCAGGGGACTGCCAATAATTTGGCTGTACCAGGACAACAGCAGCAGCAACAGGCGATTCAGAGTCTGCAGAAGAGCTTCAGCAGCAACCTGATTCTTCTGGGGCTGTACAATGATGATTGGAAGCAGGATAACGCGAACACGCATAGTGCGGAGAAATTTTGGGGCATCAAAGGTCAAGCTCCTGCCCATTGAGGTGGAAAGGGGCGAAACCAATTAGCCCAAATAATGACACTTCTGCTCGAGTATCTCCTATATTCAAGTTCGGGCTCTTGCTTATAGCAAGCCAAAATCCTAGCATTGTGATACTTTAGCAATTAGGATGCCGTCTCATACAATCAGCCCAGTTCTGATTCTTCATACTTCATAGCGAGGCCATCAGCTTACGGACAGCGCAGGAAGGCCCACGGAAGTAATCCTACTCGTATTTTCCTGATAATCAGAGTAAATACAGCAGGATGTCTTCCATTGCAGTGGGCCTCTGGCCCTTACCTACGGGACTTCATGACCTTAGTAATGGCATGCCTGATTGTAGTACCTGCACGTTCGATTTCCTTCTTGGTGAGGCCTGATGTGACGCAGACCTTGAGCGCTGGTTCCAGTTCCCATCCAACCTTCTTGGCCGCCGTATACTGCCCTCGTGGCATGCTCTTGAGCCTGGTAATTAGGACACTGTTTGCCAGCGCCTATGGAATTCGTTAGCCAAAAACACTATTTGCGGGTCAAAGAATGTACCTCGTCTACTATATCTTGTAATATTTGCTCCTGGTCAGCAACGCTCCACTTGCGGCTGGCTACCAGCTCTGGTTTCACAGCCAAAATCATAATGGGATTGTAAGGGGAGCTCGTGCAGTTCACCCATTCACTCCGAGGATCCAATTGCGTCCACATACTCCTAATGTTTTCTCGCACGGGCGAGATCATATCCGGATTCATTCGTAGCATACTGATCACCTCGCTAGCTGTCGTTGCAAGCATGGCCGGCAAAGCAGCAGAAAAAGTGTAGGCTGCGGCGGAGATTCTCTGATGCTCTACTATTTCGTGTGAGCCAGCGCAAAAGCCTCCACCAGCGCAGAGAGGGCCTGCTAGGGAGCCAATGATCATATCTACATCATTCGCATCGACTTTTTGATGCTCTGTGATCCCACCACCCGTGCGACCAATGACACCATACGACCAAGTTTCATCAAGGATCAAGCGGAACTTATAGCGAAGCTTAAGGGCGATCTGTATCCCCGAGAGTCAGCTGTCAGATCGACAAGGTCAAGTGCGTCAAGGCAGATCGCCATTTAGAGATCTTACAATTTGCGGTAGATCCAGCAGATCACCCACGTTTTCACTCAGACCCTCCGTGACGATAAAGCGCCTGGTCAAAGGCTTCCTCGCCTGCTCCTTGACCACCTTTTCGAGCACCCTCCTTAGATCATCCAGATCATTATGTTCATACCACCACACGGAGCTCCGGGAGATCTGGATCCCCTTTCTAACGGCATAATTGACCGCTTTGTCGGCAACAATGATATCGCCTCGTTTACTGAATGCAGGGATCACGCTGCTTATGGTAGAGAACGCCTGAGCATAGACGATGCAGGCTGGAGCGCCAAGATGCGACGCAATGTCCGCTTCAGTCTTGATGTGTACGTCCTGGGTCCCGTAGAATCCAGGAGGGGAGCATGGCCCAACTCCGTACGTACGCAAAACCTGTATGGCCTTTTCTTTGAGGCTCTCGTTGCCTACTAGATTGTAGAAATTGTAAGAGGCGAGATTCGTGACCGTTCGTCCATTCGACAGCTTGGATTTAGGTCCGGTGGGTCTGTCTCGCGGTCAGGGTGGCTTGCATTCAAGGCAACAAGCTGCATTACCCTACTATAACTGGCCTTTTTTCGTTCTCTGCTTCCTCAAATGGTGTCTGTGCCGCCACAAGAGGCTCTGGTGTCCAGTCGTCAACAAGCTCGTCAATCTCCTGCAGAACGTTAGAATTAGACTTGGGCAAAGTTGATGACATTTTTTACTTCATCCGATAGCTTTACGAAGCTACCATTTTGAGGCTTGTATGAAGGTGCGAGCAAGTATCGGACGGCAAACAAGAATAGAATCAATTCAACAGCGGAGCGGACAGGGTCGTCTTGATAGCTTGATTTGACATAGCGTAGGAAGATTGCAGAACCCGGCAGCTTTTGGAAATGGACTGATATCGTGTCCAACACTTCGCTCAGCCAATTTTGCGCATCATGTAAATCCATTGAGAGCTTGACATGTTCAGGGGGAAGGCTCTCGCAGCGAGTGAACTACGGCGGCTTCCCTGCGGAAGCTTCCCCATCTAGGTCGTCTAACTCCGCTTCTTCACACAAATACAACATCAATTAAGAACGGAACACGGAGAACGAAGAGCAGAGGAATTCAGCGTTTAGGGCCAGTGTACAAGTACAAAAAAGCTACTTCCATGGAAGAATCAAATGCTCTATTTTTGCTATCATATTCCCAAATCGTCATCAGCTACAACAAGGCCTTGTGAGGCCAATCCATCTCTAGCAACGCGTAACCATGCAGGACAACGGCTCGGCCAGTATACGTCCTGGTGCGCCAACTAGCAAGGTAGCTCGGGACTCGTTGCCCAGAGACTTGGGCTTCATGGTCACCCCGTTGTTTCCCCTGATAAGAAGCAACGGCGTCTTCACTTCTGCGCCAATGTACCACAAAGCCCGGTAAAGCATAGACGTTGAGTTGCCTGATGTGCCGTCATTAAAAACCTTTAGAACGAGCCAACAAGCTCATGGATCCATCGTATGTTTATTTTGTACAATTCTATCATCCTTCTTGCAATCGTTTCCCTCTGTCAACTGCTTAGCCTGTTGTTGCGGCTGCCTTACCGCCGCCCGTAGCACCGGCTCCACCTGCAATAAGATTTGGTCCCGTAGTCTCGCTGGTGGTATCATTGTTGCTCTTGCCAGTAGGTTGCAGGAGGTTCATCGGTATACTAGGCAGGCCTTTGATGAACTTACTAGCGATAGCAGGTCCAGCGATCAACAATAGGAAGATCACAAACATGATGAAATATAGCATGGCGAAGCGGATTACCCTTCGTTTTCTCAGCTTCGACTGCTTGAGCGAATAGATTGGAGGCCGAATTTGGCGGCTATAGGAATATTAGCTGTGTCCTGAAAACTGGAGACTGGTCAAGACAGCGTACCTTGGTCTGAGCCAGAACAACATGACAGAGTGAAACTTGTCGATATAGGGTATGGCAATCACCGGAAGCATGAAGAACATGAGGAAATGTCCCAGTACAAAATCTGCGGCGAACAGTCCAAGCTCCGTAATCTTGCAGAGAAACTCTCGTCCCGGTTGGGAAATCGAGTGCCATCCCATGGCGTACCATTTACCGGTCCACCAAGCAATGTTGGCTGAGTCCGACTTGAACTCGCGAGTTAGAGCCAGAGCGATGATCAACTTATAGATGAAACGTTGGATAGCCACGACAGCGATCATGCCCAACAACGCTTTCGCGAAAACCCAGCCCTCTAGGAAGAACATGACTTCAAAGAATGCGAGAAGCATAATAACGGCGACTCCATGAGCAATTGCGGCTAGTACAGATCCGAACTTTTTGCAGCACATGCTAAGAAGGGGGCCCATACAGCAGGCCATGCCAAAGAGCCCTGCCAGAACGCCAGCATTGATACCAATGGGTGCAAAGGCAACGACCGCTAGGCGAATGAGCGCGTTGGTCGCGGTGGCTCTCTTCACACCTGTTTGAGCATTGATGAAGAGGTATGGTACCAGCGTTACAGCTACAAAGAGAAGAGGGCCGATTATTTCACTCACAAATATGTTGGTGAAATGAGCTCGAGGGATGTCGCCTGAGAGCTTGGATGATGGCTCTCCCAGAATCTTACGCTTGTAGCCAGTTATTCGAGTTCTAGAAAGCCTGCAGAAAGCGATCCAAGAGGAATTATGAGATCTCGAGTTACCACGAGAAAGCCATCTCAGGAAGTCTCGGTAGTCGATGAAAAAGTCGTTCCAGGCAAATTGATGCGGGTTGAAAAGGAAGGGTGAGACACAAAATGCCAAGAGTGAGACCCAGAAATAGACCAATTCAATTCCCCAGATTGTAAGTGTCGCAAAGAGCAGCATCATGAGCATGCGTGACCCGACGTAAATTGAGGGTCCAGCAAACCTAGAATAGAGCACTCCGAATGGTATGCGGGCAGTTGCGAAGCCGCGCCCCGTTCCAATGTAGCGAGCACCACCAAAGGACAGATTCTGGCTGAGCGAGTTGGCGTAGATTTGACAAACGAACACTTCGAAGACAGGTGAGAGTGAGGCGAAATGCTTGGCCAGACGGGTAGCTGCTCTCCAGAACCCTCTTTCGGTCAATTCTTGCACAACCAAGGGAATGAAGGAAATGAAGAACACGATGAAGATAGAGACCACGCAGCGGAAGACCCAATCGAGAATCGGAACAATGTTGGCGCATCCATTCGGGAAAATGGGGTCGGTTGGAGGCTTGTTCTTATCGTAGTGACAGATAATCGTCTCATGACGAAGGGCGCCAAGGTTGATGAGACAAATCATGAACATCTGTACCGAGAAGACGATGAAAAGATTGTTGATGTGGAAACCAGGATGGGCATAGTAGAAGGACAAGAAGCGATCGAGAGGCAATTGGGTGCCGAGATAGTAGTATTCCCGGGACAGCATTTGTTCCCCCATGCCGGTGCCAATCTTGGTTGTAAAGTTCAATATTGAGCCAAAACCAAGATCTCGGCCTTTGCCGCACTGGTAATACTCGCAATGCTTGATGCGTCCACCACGTAGGAGGGCGTTCATGCCGGCATAGATGTCCTCGTTCAGGTGCAAGCCTTTCTGTGCCTTTGATACACCGCCCCGAGTAGTCATGAAAATGCCGTTGAGGAAATCCGGATGTCCGTAATGCAATTTGCCGCCAATCTGAGCCAGCGTACGTGAGAATAAAGTGCCGAAGGTCTGTTCCTTACCAGCGGCAACGTCTCCAAGAATACCAATGTTTTCAGAAAAGATATACTCACGAGCACCGAGGATAGCAACAGGCGTTGTCTCACTCTTTGGTAACCCAGGTGTATATGGAGAAACGTTGTCCGTTGTCATCTCCTCGAACTCCGCCAGTACACTTCGGATTTTGAGGCACTCTTCAAGATAGTTGTCTTGGTTGGCATCAATAAGCTGGATATATTCGCCACGATAGAAGATGATGGCATGATTCTGGTTATCAGATTTACCATCGCCTAGGATAGGATTGCCAGACAGTTGGATTCTAAATTTTGGTCGACGCATGCCGTTGTCCATTAATTCAGAGTGCCCGTCAATAAGTGCAGAATACAGGCGAGGTTCCTCGCCTTCGTTCAGCGGCGGCTCTTCATCAAGGTATGCAATCTGCAAGTCTGGGTAAGCACGTAAGAGGAATTCCGTGTTTTCTCGCTCTTCTTTGTTGAATTTGGCATATCTTTGCATGGAGACAACGATCTTGAATTTTCGACGAGCCATTCGTTCTAGTTCTCTCTCTAACTTATCAGAATTGCCACCGAACATCTGGACGACCTCGGGATTCTCAACTCGATAGAGCAATTTGATAGCACGGCTGTAGTTCATGAAGCCTGAAATGGTCCGGTAAAGCGTTTGAGATCGCAAAGACGCCCAAATTCTAGTACGAAGAGTGTATTCCGGAGCAGCTGATTTAAATCCGATGCAGTAGAAAGGAAGATCGTCAATTTTACTTTTCGCGGTGTCTTTCTCATTCTTCTCATATTCTCCATTGAACTGTGAGGTTTCGTCGGCGAGAATTTTCGTATCCTTCACAAAGCAATCCCACTCGTGAGGGTGCAGTTGCTTGAGATACTCGAGGAGAGTGACCCTAGAATATGGTTCATCTTCGCGTATGATTTCACGTAGAGACAGGAGAATCTTCTCTCCGTAATGAGGAATCAAGACGGTAAAAGTTGGCATGTTGTCGACCGGGAGCGGCTCGGGAATAGGTGTCGAGAGCGATTGTGCGAAGAAGGAGATACGACGTTCAGCCTCGCTTTGCGCTGGGAAGAATTCTGTCTTAAAGGAGTGATCTTCCTGTGAGACAAAGAATGTTGGAGCACGCAGCGTCCGCTTACCCTCTTGTTCCGAGGGGACCTGATGATACAAAAGCTTCTGGACGTGGTCTATGGCCAAGAGGTGCTCTCGATACATGGAGATGACGATGGCGTTCCAAATTTGGGAAATGAGAACTTTCGGCTTGTATTTTATTTCCATGTCCGTTGTTGCAAGAATCTTCGAGTAAACACGTTTTGGCAGGCGGGAGAATATGTTCCTCCATGGTGTCCAGATCGACACACCAAGATAGAAGGAACGCGCCACTGAAAAGACACAGTTCCAGATGATATACCACAGATAGGAATCCAGGAAGAAGAGGCAGATATCGGTCACAAACATCAGACCAAGAAGGATTTTAGGCTGCTGCTTGCAGAGAACATTGCCAAGGATCTTATCACCCGCACACTGCTTGATCTTCATAGTCGAGAGAATCCGAATAGGATCACGGAAGGACAGCGTCAGGAAGAAATAGGATTCGGAAAGCTTAGCGGCGAAGACCAGGACCCAGAGGCCATATGACATCCACATATCATTGCCAGCAAGACGAGGCCAACTTGCAGTGAAAGTCTGGCTCGCCACGTATTGACGAGAATTCTTCTTCATGTAGCTACCAAATAAACCACCAAGCGGCATGATTGCGAAGAAGAAGAAGGTAGCCAATGCGACGAAGAATTGGACTATCCCCAGGACCTTTGCGATGATGGTAGTTTGACTGATACCAAATATGTAGACGCTCGGAGCAATGTTGATGACAAACACACCGAGTAAGAAGAAAAGTCGTCGAGTCAAATGCTGTGCACCAGCCCATTTCCGCGGCACATAAGCCCATTCAACGCAAGACGCAATGATCATCAGCAGAGAGGCAACTGTCCCTCCAAGTCCAACGGCAGACCAAGTTGCAGCTGGCTTCGGTTTGGTACCAAGCTGCTGTTGATAGTGCTTGGTGTAGAAAGTTGGAGAGTTGAACGCAGTGTAAAACCAGAAGATTGTCAAGTGAATGACCCAGATACGGTTGAAATTGACCAGCATGTGAAACCAAGACCTGGTTTCCTTGTAGGTCTTGAAAAACACCTTCTTCCAGGCGACTTGTCCCAGCTTGTTGTAACGCTCCCTGGAGGCAAATCGACTATCCTCGATTTGTCTTCCATGACGATGCGCTCAATTCCCTCTGGATACCAGAAGAGCTGATTGATATCGTCGTAACCAATCACGCTGCTATGGTCTCTCTCTCTCCGCACGTACTTCCCGTCTTCGATTTCATAGCCTTGATCGCGACAGTACTGGTAGAGCGGCGTAATGACATTGTTGAGATACGTAAATTCGTCGATCGGCTCAACACGATTCTGGCACTCAGGGGTGGCTAGATAATCAAGCGCACATTTGTAAATGAAGCACAAGCACTCGGGCATAAACCGAACTTGGTTGGCTTCACCCCAGCAAAGCAAGTACAGTGCCAGCTGGCGTACTCTGTCATGTTGAGACATGCGGTTCATGCGAGTCTTCCATCGATATTCGGCAGCCTCCAGACTGTTGTCGCCTTCAAGACTCTCAAGTGTCTCGTCCTCGCCTTTGGGTTCTTGCTCGGCTTTCTTCTTGGCGGCCCTCCGAGCTTTACGTGTCCGACGGTTGGCTTTGCCAAGCTTCATGTTGGCAAAGCCGACAGCATCATCCAAGTCGAGGTGGGCGGCAAAATACCATCGGCGGTAATTCGCGTTTTCGCCCCCAACATAGTCTGCATGAAGCGACAGAAGGGCTTGATTAGGAGTCATACGAGATGCTCTCGAGTCGAGGAGGGTCATTACATGGTCATATTGATTTCGCATGCTATCACGTTGAAAGCCGAACTTAGCTGTGAGGTCAAGAAATATATCTTCGATTTCTTCTTTCGACACGGGAATTTGAGCTTCGTTCGTCCAGGCAGGATAAGGTTCGCGAGATCTCTGCCCGGCTGGCAGCGCGTTCTGGTAATCCATACCGTATATGGGGGTCGAGGCGCCAGATGATCGGTTGCCCCCGTACGAAATCTGAGAAGAGGGAGGCCGGTATCCCCGACCTTGGCCATCGCCATAGCTATTGTGACGTTCATCGCCACGACCATAATAATCCATCTCGGCCGCTCGCGCCATGTCGGACCTCATAGTGAAATCACTAAAGGTTTCGGAATCTTCTTCAGAATCGTGACCACGGCGTCGAGGCCTTCCGCCTTGGCCGTACCCATGCTGACCGGCAGCAGGAGTACCTTGATCATAATACTGATCATTGTAATAGTCATCTTGATAACCAGGTTGCTGAGCGTCATAGTAGCCACCCTCTTGTTGGTACGGGTTGCTGGCGTCAGCATTATAGTACCCACTGCAAAATGTCAGCTCCTCGACCACAATGGACCTTCTTGGGGAACACACGCTTCGTCGTAGTACCCGCCATTTCCACCACCATGTGCATACTCTTGATTGTCATAGTATCCTTGAGTATGATCGTCTTGGTAGTATGAGTCGGTACCCCCATGGTGTTCGGTAACCCCATGGTGGGCGTAACCTTCGTCGTAATGGCCCTGTGGGTAACCCGACATGATTGTGAGTCTGAGCGCTCAGTACTACAAAGAGTGTCAGAGGCTAGGCGAGAGCTTGCGGGCGCAACAAAGAAGCGTGCTCATGCATTGACCGAATTGAGCGGTCGCGTTAAGACTCACGTTATAGATCGGCCATGAACTTGGTCACGATGATTGATTTGCAATTATCGAAGCGTGTGGCAGTATGTCGCGTATGTTGAAGAAGCTGAAACTTTGGGGTAGCGGAGGCGCGGAGTCGTCGGACGAAACGAGTCGTGCCTTCTTTTCTAAGTTTGCTCGAATATGATTAAGATTACTTTCGTTCGTCACTACAGTCGCACTCGAGCGACGGATGAATGATAGTGATGAGTGATGCTGTTGAATGAAAGTGATGTGGCAGGATTGGGGGGGGAATGATCCCCGTTGTTGATGGCGCCGGTTGCTCCTCGTTACGGTACCTTGGCCAGCGACCGACCAATTTAATGGAACGACAGTGACAACACCTTACTGCAGCCTCGAGCTGACGATGATAGTCGCTCGCGACGAAAGCAGATTGGTGAGAGCAAGATGAGGAGACGAGAAACGAAAGACGGATGTTTGCTGGTGGCGATGGGGGAGAGAAGGGGATGCTGGTGACTAGAAAAGGGAGAAGCAGAAAAAATGCTAAAATGCTGAAATGCTGTAAAGGGCGGTCCCACACCAATCCAAGCTCCTTACGGCTAGCCTGGAATCTCGTTGCTGTTCTTCCCCCGTCGGTTGATTGGCCCGTACACGACCGCTCATAGGAAAAAACCGTCTAGCCGCTTTTGCATACCTGGCTTGAAATCTATTCTCATTCTCTCAAATCTCCAACGGTGCGACTCCCGTATTCACCAATAATGGAGGATCTCTGCAGCTGCTGATCCATCATAGGAGAATCCCCGTCATTTCATACGCTCTCAGGCACTTCATACTCACTCTACCCCATAACACGGCGGCCTTCTATAGAGGGACCTGCAAGCTTTGTCGGAACATGTGGGCGTGCCTCCTGCACCAGTAAGTGCGGCTTAAACCACCCCTGAGGCAGTCGTCGGTCGACGTTATCTCCCATCACGTCCTTTCGCGAGGACGATTGCTTTATGAGAGCACATACATACATACACTCGCGTATTAGTCGGTGTCTATCACTTCTTGCGCACTGCGAGACGAGCACAACAGCTCGTATTCTCAGAACTGAAATGTGATAGAACACCACTAGAGCCAGGATAAAAATAGTCGATTGGGTGGCAAGTTGGACCTAATCAGGCGGGCAGAAGGCGGGTTCAAGCTGCCCACCTCATCTGCCAGGGTTCTTTTTTCTTTCTAGGCTAGAGGTTTTGGCTGTAGTCTAGGTGCCTAGTCCCTGCTTCTTAGAATACTCCTCAAGATCAGGGGTTGCCGGAAAAAGCAGAGACAGTCGAAAACAAGGAGAGCGATCCTCATCCCGGGCGTTCGGCTAGTCTGATACAAGTGCGCCGATAAGTTGGCTTCCGAGTAACGTCAAGGACCCATGTTGAGAGGCCGACGGGGGCGCCCCTTTTACATCGCCAAGCAGTAATTTCCCTGGGCATAAAAGCCTTTACAGAGGAAGGTGGGACACAAACGAGCGTCTCCCTTCTATATACTCCGTGGATGCTACCAGCGTTCTTTGGAGAACTCCAATGTTTCACTCTCACTCTCAGTCCTAGTCCCAAACCCCAACGAGACCGCCGCCCTCATTTCTCAATCCTATAAAGGCTTAGACCTCGAGGGCAATGAGGCGTCCTAGCTGACTGTGAGGTTGCCCACCCTCTGCTCGAGCACTCTACTGGTCGAATTGCATTGGATTCTGTCCTCAAGAGCTTTCCTGGCAATGTTTCATTCCCGCATTGTGGCAATGCCTTCCTCAACCCTAACAGCGACAAATTGGATGGATTACGCGTCCTACCTGCCGGCGGGCAGAGCCCCCAGCGGCGAAGGCTCCTTCATGCACGTCCTGTTGCTAGATCGATAGGTAGCCAACCCATAACTATACTGCCAAGCCCCGTGTTCTTTCTTTCTCTGTTTCATTCTTCTCTTCTCTTCTTGCTCGATCGTCTTCGCTTGCCCCAACCTCCGCATTCGTTCAGCTTCCTTTGTGTTAATAGCAACACCTCTCGTGCACTTTCTGCCCCACGAACGCCCTGATTGGAGCCTCAACACCACTCGTTCGCGGCTTCCCCGCTACCGGTTTACGATACCACCAGGCTTTGCTCCCACGACGAAGTTCATCTTTTGACCACTTGCGTCCTTGAAAAAAACGGCCCACTCTCATTTCAGCATCGGTAGACTTCATTCCCATTTGCGTCAAGATGAAGGCGAACAGCTGGACGGCGGCTGCTGTTGCGGTAGCAGCATGTATCTCCTCGTGTGCTGCTGACGTGGACCCTATCTTGATAAAAGTGACAGTCCTTGTGCAACATGCCGGCCACAGAGTGCTAAGTTGAAGCATATAGGGGTCCAAGTTCTTTTATAAAACGAATGGGACTCAATTGTAAGCGCCGGTTACCCCGCTCATATTCACAAAGACTTATTTTACGTGCTAGCTTCATCAGAGGCGTCGCATATCAAGGTATATCTCAAGATGTTAGAACATCGAAGGAGTGCACGTTAGTGACACAGGGACAGAGGACTTCGCGGGCAACGGTTCGACGACCACCACGAACGGCGATCTGAAGTACACAGACCCCTTAGCCAACGCCACGGCGTGTGCGCGAGACATTCCGTATCTTGTGGCCCTCCGGACCAACACCATTCGTACTTATGCGATCGACCCCACGCAAGATCACACGAAATGCATGCAGCTGCTCTCGGACGCGGGCATATACGTTATCTCAGATCTTGGTGAGCCTGCAAACTCTATCAACCGTGACACCCCCGAATGGAACGCAGAGCTATATGCCCGCTACACGGCAGTGGTGGATAATATGGCCAAGTTCAATAACTTGCTAGGCTTCTTCGCCGGCAATGAAGTCTCGAATGCTCCAAACAATACCATAGCAAGCGCATTCGTGAAGGCTGCCGTCCGGGACACGAAGGCATATATTGCACAGAAGAAATATAGGCCTATTGGAGTCGGCTATGCTACCAATGATGATGAAACCAGGACGAATTTAGCCAATTATTTCAATTGCGGGCCAGCTTCAGATAGCATTGATTTCTGGGGTTACAACATTTATTCATGGTGTGGTGAGTCTAATTATCAGGATTCCCACTACGAAGAGCGCACACAAGAATTTTCCACTTATGATGTCCCGGCCTTCTTCGCTGAGTATGGCTGTAACAAGGTAAATCCTCGCCCTTTTGACGAGGTAGGAACTCTATTCGGGCGCGACATGGCCCAAGTCTGGTCGGGCGGGATTGTCTACATGTATTTCGAGGAAGCCAATCATTTTGGTCAGTCAAGTGCTTCCTTGAAAAACAAATTAAAATGCTAAATAAGACTCAGGTCTTGTCTCCGTCAGCCCGGACGATACAGTCTCTGCTAAGGATGATTTCACATCGCTGTCCAGCCAAATGGCCAAAGTGACGCCTTCTGGGCCTAGCTTAGCCTCCTACTCGCCTACCAACTCCCCTCAGGCCTGCCCTACGATTGGGAGTAATTGGGAGGCTGTTACCAAGCTCCCTCCCTCTCCCAATACTGCCAGCTGCGACTGCATGGTTTCTAATCTTACCTGTGTTGCCAAATCTGGGATCTCCGACGAGGACATCCAGACCCAGTTCGACTTCCTCTGCGACCCACGCCAGGGCAACAATTGCGGTGGGGTCTTGGCTAATGCATCAACTGGAGTCTATGGCGCGTGGAGTATGTGCAGCGCCTCCCAACGTCTGAGTTGGGCCTTCAACCATTATTACGAGAATCAAACCGCAACAAATTCACAAAACTCTAATCCATGTGACTTCAAGGGTGCTGCACAGAAGGTCACCCCTAAGCCAGCTGGGTCTTGCAAGGCCGTAATCAGCCAAGCTGGTGCTGCCGGGACCGGAGCTGTTACCAACGCGCCTACAGCTACTGCCGGGGGAAGCAGCGGTTCGGGAAGCACGAGCTCGAGCTCTGGTGCAGCCGGTGCTGTCTCCATCCCCTCTATCGATTTCACGCTCGTAAAATTAGGTGCTTACATGACTCTTGCAATGATAGTTGGGGTGGCAATGGTGTTGCTATGAGAGTGACCTTCGCGGGTAAGGACTGGGAGGAGCGAGGCTGATCGCGCGTGGACAAGTCTCATACGTCTACATTCTCAGATGGCGTTGGTCCCCCCTTTTTGTCAGCTTGTCGTTTATCCCACGAGTTCAGCATGATTCATTTTGCTATGGTGTATGAGTATTACATGGGTCGGCGCATCATAGAAGGCAAGCAACACAACGAAATGTGCATCATCCAAGCCTTCATGTTAACGCACGATCCCAGCAAAAGATGAGTTTAGACATAATGACATTGGAAAATCAGTCAAGTCAAGGCCAATTGATCACCATCTTCGATTACTCTATGCTGCCCAGACGTCTTTGCCAACCCCTTCAATCCAATTCCCCAGTTTATTCACGCTCCCATCCCATTCTCTTAATCTCCCTCTCATACCCCCTATCTGTTCGAGGTCCAATACTTTCGGCTGGACCCAATTGATTCTGGCCACCCCTCCAACCTGGTCTATGCTTCCCTTCAGCAGTCCTAGGGACAATGCTTTCATAATAAGAATTTCGATGTCTTCCACCTTCACATTCGTCTCACGACTAATAGTCCTAAATGTCATGGCTCGGTCGTGTGGCGGTCGGCGGAAAACCGCTTCTGTGAGCGCGGCGAGACTAATCTTCTGGTAAAGAAAGGTCTGATGCTGTTCCAGCAGGGGCTCCCTTGTAAAGTTACCTTTCAGAGCGTCGTACGCAGCTAAATCTCCTTTGTTGAATGCATACAGCACGTCTCGGAGCCAGGCATGTGGTGTTGACTTCAAAGTAGAAAGAAGAGGATGAAGAAGAAGTTCGCCAAAGTTGTAAATGCTATCAGATATGAGGGCGGCAATGCTGAGATCGTAGGCTAAGTGTTGGGATTCGGAGGAAGAGAGAGCGTTGGTTTCGATGCAGGCGAGGTAGAGTAAGGTAGATCGATAGAACAGCGCGAAATCTGCTTTGGCCTATAGGGAAGCCCCCAGTCAACGTGGGTCAAAGCCGGTCACTAGATAGACATACTTGATAGTAGCTAGCACTCGTTCGGTAGAAGGCAGCATGAACTTCTACCTCGACGGAGTCGAAGGTGTCTAAGATGAGTTCTGCAGTATCGAGATCCTTTCGAGCACCTTCTAGGTCCTGCAGCCGCAGCTTTACTTCCGCACCGGCTACCAGGGCATATACATAGGCGTCTTGTGAGGATGGTTTGTTGACCTTTTTGGCCAAGTCTGTGAAAAAATCGAGACGCTCCTGATCGTCTATTATACCTTAGCGAGCCCTTCCCTTCGAATAAAGGAGGAAGTGACCTTGACATTGCGTGGCAGCAGCCAATCCCAGAGCAACGAATTTCAGCTGATTGATCTTCTCAGAAAAGCTAAGGATAAAGTGACGAAACAGCGGTAATCGTTGCGGCGAGCTTGCGCGATTGTCAAACAATTCTATAAGCAAGTCCGTCAGTTGATGCCAAAGCTTTCGATCCCAGTAGTCTTCTAAATTGAGAAAGTCCTGCTGAAGCTCTTCGGGCGCCGCGTCGCGTTGCTCGTCTAAGAACTGCTGGACCGTTTCGGGATCCATAATTTATGATCGAAGCGACAAGACCAGGGATCCAGACCGTCCAAAGCAATAGGTGTGAGAGTAGTTGATACAGAGGACGAGGACGCTGAAATCGCCGAGGGCTTAAGCCCGCACTAGCGCAGCCGCTCGCTGGCATCGGTCGTCCTCAGCAGTCTGATACCTAAAGACCTCATTCACTACATCCAGGCTCGTGCGATGGAAAAGAGCCTTGGCTACGCCGTCCTTGCTCGTGTGAAGGCAGCTCCAAAAAAGGAACATTGCTGTCTCCATCTTAGCAGGCAGGCTAAAAGAGGCTTGCAAGACGTCTCTATAACTCGCACTGGCAGACCGATCATCAGGATACAAGGCGGCAGGTAAACAATCTTCACTCAATCGGACTGACGTGCATACTCAATATCTCTTAGATCCGCTCTTGGTGGCCACACAGCAACCGTCTTTGGAGCGACTGGCTTTCTAGGCCGGTATATAGTCCACCGCTTAGGTAGGGGACCACATTCGTACCTCCGGCGAATTCAATCTGACAGAACAATTTGGTAGCGTCGCGAGGATGTACGGTTGTCGTACCATTCCGGGAGGAAATGGCAAAGAGGCATTTGAAAGTGACTGGAGACTTGGGTCGGGTGGTCTTCATGGCATGTTGAACAAACGTCCACTGCTCTAGCAATAACTGAGCAGGGGGAATCAGGAGTACGATCTTAGAAACACAGCTTCCCTTGAAGAAAGTGTACGGCATTCAGACGTTGTCTACAATCTTGTTGGCCGCGATTATCCTACGAAGTACTATCCCTGCTTATCAACGACGGTTCATACTAAGACTTAAAGGAACTTCTCTCTCGAAGATGTTCATGTCGAGGGTGCTGAGCGAATAGCTGAGGCTGTAGCCAAGTACGACATCGACCGCTTCATACACGTATCCTCATACAATGCCAACAAAAATTCACCTTCGGAGTTTTTCCGAACCAAGGCTTGTGGGGAAGAAATTGTTCGTAACATCTTTCCAGAGACCACGATTGTCAGACCGGCTCCAATGTTTGGCTTTGAAGATAGACTGTTGCATAGGCTGGCAGGCGTCACCAACTTATTCACGTCAAACCACTTGCAAGAACGTTTCTGGCCAGTCCACGTAAGCAACGTCATCTCTGTGGCAGCCGTTTGATTTAATGTCTTCTCTAAGGTCATTGATGTGGGGTCTGCGCTTTCGCAGATGCTCGAGGACGACAGCACTGCTTCCGAAACGTATGAGCTATACGGCCCATCCAACTACTCGATGGCTGAAATAGCCGAAATTATCGACAGTGAGATTTACAAACGCCGGCGTCATCTCAACGTCCCCAAGCGGATCCTACAGCCTGTTGCCAAATTCCTCAATCAAGCAATTTGGTGGCCAACCACATCTGCAGACGAAGTAGAAAGAGAGTTTTTAGATCAAGAGATTGATCCTAAAGCAAAGACGCTGGTGGACCTAAATATCACAGCCGGAGAGTTGAGGAATTACACGTTTCACTATTTGGTGGGTCCTTGGTGCAGCGGCGTGCATATGCAGCGACAGCTAACCTTTCGAGCAGCAAGCCTACCGTAGCTCTGCATTTTATGATTTACCGCCAGCAACGGAGCGGGAAAAGAGGGAAGACAAAAGGTTCTTGCACGTCATTGATGACCAGTAGCATGTATAAAAGCCCATGGATAGTTAAGCATAGTCCGCGGCCATGTTCAGCGAAGGTTGCTCCTAGATTGCGATGGTTCTTCCCTCTGCGTCCTCGAGATCAGCGATAGATTTTGCTCGCCGGTCGCGGGCTGGTGCTGGAGGCTCAAGGATTGTTCTATAGGGCTAGAAGCACGGGTACCTGACGCTAAAATGCCCTGGAAGGTTGCGGGAGCAACGTCGGATATTTACGGATTTAAAGGGTCCCAGCCACTTCGTCTCGTTACGCAGCCATGCCTCTGCCCGCCACGCCAGACCATGGACCTAGTGATTGGTGTGCTTGAGGATGATGGTCTCAAGATCTGCTGCTAAGACATCCATCCTCTCCTCCCTCTATCAGATTTACTATCTTTGCGTAGGTTTGAGCCCTTAACGAAACGGAAACCCGACACAAGCAGCACTTCAACTCTGCTCACTTCCTACGCTGAGTCCCGAAGATCCCAGACATAACCTTCAAGTCCTCAAACACTGCTTCACTCCAAAGAAAACACCCAGGGTCACACAGAATTTCGTACAGGACTGAGTCGCCAAAAAGAGCCCGTCCTTTCAAAGGACGAACGCCGACGGGTTTGCCTGGGGGGTATCATCGAGCCAGTGAAAAAAACGCAATGGCAAACATGCGATTCCGACTCGGTATGAATTATTCCACGTGAGATCAGCCTTTTCGCTCATAGACCAACAGGCTTTTTACCATTCCTCGGCTATCACCACGTGCTCATGATATTCATCGCTGTTGCAATAATCTTACTCTGTAAGTGTGTGCCTTCTCTCGCGAGAGCGATTGCTCACAGCTCTAAACTAGCACTACTTCTTGCGGGCTGCTCATCATCATCGCCCTTGATACCCGGCATATTCCTGATATCTCTATACTACAAATCCTACCCACCAGTCTTTGATCCAGCCCAGGTCGATCCTGGCGTCACGACCGCAATAGCCAACATTGTCGGCCAGGCCCAGCTAGAAGTCCGGGTAGGCTATTTCGGAATATGTGTGAATCCAGATGGAGGATCGTTCCTGTGTAGCAACAATGCCTCAAGTCTTGCCGGTCAGGTGAGCGTGGATCAAGACCCGTTAAATCTGATCTGGGTGGCGAGTACATTCAAGGACTCTATCGTATTTCCCTACTTGATGTGAGTACTTGTGACTCCTCTCTCCAGGTGATACAGCTGCTGACGACGGTATATCTTAGAATCGTAGCCATTGTGCTGGCCTTCGCTTGCTTCCTCCTCCTCCGCTACCTTTCCCGGCTGGCATGAAGAGACCGACGATCAGGGTTCTGAGCGTGACGTGAAACCATTTCCGTCACGTCCAGTCTCCCAGATAGCACTTGCGCTCATCTTCATAGCTAGCATCTTCGTCCTCGTGTCCGTATTGTGGCAGCACACCGCGTCCGTAGGTGCGAGCACAATAGCACAGGATCTCGGCAACGGAAGCGTCAAGAGCGGTGTAGGCACAGCAGCGATGATATTGGGGTGGTTTGGATTCGCATTATTGATAATCGTCACCATCGGATTGTTGGTTATGATATTGAGTATCAGAATGCTGGACAAATTGACTGATGACGACTGAGTTGTGAAAAGAGATTGAAAGGGTCGGCGAGGAAACCGATGGGATTACGTAGCCGATACAATTTCTTTTGGTGATCTTTAGCAAGCGCGCATGAGTGAACATTCACGACTAAGATACCTACAGAATTATACCCAGCACGTCATCAAGGCTGCTTACATGCTGAAGAGGGAGGAATAGATTCTGAATTCCATTTGCCGTTCGTGCACATGGGCAAGATGTTCTGCTCGTGAGGTATCCACCATCATCCTGATACAAGGGTCGAAGAAAGAGTTCTCTGATGCCTTTCTCTATCAGCTTTTTCGTTAATATATGTAAGCCTCAAGCCCATGCATTGCTTTTCCACACGCACTCGCCTTGTCGCTGGCGTAATGGAACCACTATTTACACTTGGGCCAAAGCCACTAATTTTGAAGTCATTGTCCATACGGTAGCCCGCCAGTACCGTCCAAAGCTGCTTTATTCTTCCCTGGTAGGAATGGAGCGTTGTGTCCCGCACCGGCTGGAACGTAGTCATCGTAGGTAGGTTCGCCTCGCTGCGGGCCATATCGACCTGTGTGTCCTGCCATGTCATCAAGGGATTTGTACCCACCAGTCTTTGGCCCTCTTTGCCGGTTTGCACGTGCGCTGCCTTGGCTGGGACCGTTCACTCTCCCTCCACGGCTATTGTTGCTGTTGGTCCCTGGTCGGCCTCCCGACGGCCCTGGAGCATTGCCTTTGTGCCGGTTGTTGTTGCCAGTCCGGCCATTAAGACCTGACCCATTCGTTCTTCTATTCTCATCATTTGAAGGTCCATTCCTTGCCGATACTTGATTTGGGCTATGTCGTCGTTTGAGATTTCTCCGGTCAACAACATTGTCATATCCTCCTTCGCCAGACTCCGCCTCTAGTCGTAGCTGTACCTTTTCTCCTACCTCAGTCTGCAGTATATACTGTTTGTCGGCTGGTATTGGCTGCCAATTCTGTATGCTATTAGCAGCTGCAGCTTTGGTATTCTTGTACGTCGCAAGGACTATCGTAGGGGTGTCGCCGAAAGTGTGCACTTTTGACTCCGGGGGTACAGGTGCCACTCGCACAGCCCACAGATTATACTGGTAGAAAGCGAAGCCTGTAACCTGCCAGGTCTGTTTTGAACCTAGGCCCCCAACTTTGTTCATCATACCAGCATTGGCAGGTCGAGGGTCAATGAGAATACTGTTTGCAAGATACTTGACCTCCGATTCGGCAAAGTTTGATGGTACCTTTACAAGTCCAAGCAGCTTTGACGTGTCCGTTGCGGAGATAAGGTAGCCGGTATAGAAGACGGTGCGCTTGAGTTCCAATGGACGTGAAAGCGAAGGCAGATGAGTGTTGTGATTATTGACCATCCTCTGGACCTCTGCAATTTCCACAACAGGATCAAGCGTGGTCACCTGATCGGCAACCTGGATGACTTCGGTCTTGAGATACCTTCGATTTGTGTCAGGGAAGATTATTTGGTTCATATTATGGAGAAAATCTCGAAAAGCTTTTGCTCTGTGGCTAAAATAAGCACATGACGTGAGGATTTAGGTGGGGAGTTTCACTGTTTAGGTCGGTCTTCGTAAATCTTCAATTCTTCTGCTTCGGCGTAGGTGTAAATAAGATCTTGTAGAAACGCTTGCTTATACTGCATTGTCGAGCCAAATCGCTGGTTCTTGGGACCAGCTTCCGACTTCAAGCAAATGAGATCGAAGTCGAGCCGTTTACTCGCGACTATACGCTTGATCAGCTCAGAGAAGTTGCGTTCTCCTCGTCCAGTCAGAAGAACATTCAGGGCATCGTTCTGTTGTGTACTGAGTCTTGAGAGTTCAGCCTTCAGCTGTCAGCTCCACGGCAGAAATCCATTTCATAATGACAAGGGAGATTGCCGCACAATTTGTTCGTTCCACCACGACGCCCACGCCCTTGGCTCTTCAACGTCTATACCCCCACCCGTAGCTCCTAAGACCCCTTTGTCATGCCACCAACCTCCATTGACGAAAACATCTTGGTTCTGTAATCGTGATACCGTCTGGGACTGCCACAGCTTTGGATTTGGTAGCGGACTTTTGAAAACTGCTTGTGTCAGTCCCTCTTTTCAGCTTCGAAGAGGTTGGCTTACGGGTATTATCAAAATCATAGACGTGGAGTGCTTTGATCTGCGACACAGCTAATCAAGATTAGCTTGACGTTTCTAGTTGAAGACGGCGTGATTACGGGGAAGCTCTTTGCCCTGGCAGGACCACCTTTTCAACCCAGTAAGCGTATGGGGAGCAACTTTGCCGTCACTAATGATCGCATCAGACAGATTCGCAGTCATCTTGGACAAACGCAAGAGCATGAAGGTCTATTGGGCTGCTGGAAGTGCATGACAGCGTGGTTGGTGGGGTAGCGTGGAGTTCTAATTGATGGAAGGAAACACAAAGCGAATTTCAAGGTTCAAAACGGTTTATGATGCAGCGCCCTAGATCGGACCGACGAGCACCTCTCATCGTTTGTAACGTCAGCACTAATGGAGCAGTGATTGTTGATTGCTATTCTCGATTAGGTTGTTTGAAATGATTCTACCCAAGCGTAGGTCGTAGCGAGTATTAGCAGCAGTCGCTGTTGACTTACCCACATGGACAGCGCAGGTCTCGGTACCCGTCATAGCCCTAAAGACACATGTTCCACCGAATCTGCCAACATCTTGCACTTCTGCCCATGTTGCAGACATTTGTGTGATATGTCTCGAAGCTATCTCCACGCAGGGAGTCGCCAACCCATGCGGCCATGCCGTCTTTGATTACATCTGTCTTGTGAGCTGGCTGCAGGAGCGCTCGAGCTGTCCCCTTTGTATGACTGAGAGACTCATCAAGCTTTTCTCGACTACATTCACTGACATCCGAGAGGCAACGCCGAGATACGGTTCGTCGCAGGTTACGATCGATCGATACCGCATCCCACCATCTACAGTGTTCCTGCGAAACTTCAGAATTGTGGAAGCATAGCTACAACTCAATCAGAGACATTCGCTGACGAGAGAGATCGTGGGCACCAAAGGTTCCAACACGCAAGATGCACGGCATCGCACAACCGCGATGCAGCTTTACACCGCCGAAGGTGTGTCTACAGGTATCAGCTTTACAGCCTCCATGTAGGCGCCAATCGATTTTCCGGATATCATGAGTTCAAGCCAGAGCAGCTAGCCTGTGATATTGAGCTGCAATCGCGTGCAAACCGTTTTATCAGGCGCGAACTGCAAGTCTTCGAATTTCTCGGCCCTGACAATAGCCCCACGTTAGGCACGCCACGTCGAGCCAAAAACGTTGCATTTTTGCTAGACTATATACTTGCAATCTTAAGAAAAGTCGACATTAAGGACAGCAGTGGGCATGCTCTAGACTTACTCGGGGAATTTCTTGGGCGTGAAAACGCATCTCTATTCATTCATGAACTGAAAGCCTGGCTGAAAAGTCCGTTCGTTAGACTTGAGGACTGGGATCGAAGTGTACAATATGGGGCGAACGGTGCTTCTATTCTCCAAAGACACGGTCTTAAAAATAAAGGTATCTGCCTTAAAAGATGATCGCACATAGGGTCGGCACCTACAACGGTCGAAGCGGAGCTACGATTCAAACTTTAGTCTTGTTTTCACCGCACGAGCTCTTAGTCTGAGATTGGCCACGTCGAACAAACCGATCCCTGTTGTTATACGTAGGCGAATATTTCGACTTAAGCAGCAGCTCACGAGGACAGGATTTTCAAATGCCAAAAATGTGAGCATACATGTGACAAGCAGCACAGGAGATTGAAAATTGATGAAAAGCGAAGCCAAACTAACTCTAGATACAATGGCAGCAAGGGTATCCTGTTCTAACCTGACAGTGATTCGAAAGCACAAGTTGAACTTGGTATTAAGTATTGGCTCTTGTTAGTCCCAGCAGCATCTGCTTTTGATCTTGCATCGCATGGATTCTTGTTATGTATTTCCGTCCTTGAATGAGATTCCGTTCTCGCGTCAAAGTTGTAGGGTGTATCAGTAGATCCATGTTATAGACAAGAATAGGATCTAGGTAGGGAGACAGAAATAAAGACCGTTCCTTTCCTCCATTTCAACATCCACCTCCTGCCCCTTTCAAATGCAAGTGCAACCAGGCAAATTGAATGGGAGACATGCCAACTTCTATTCGTCCACTTCGGCTTCGGTGGCCCTCGTAGCCAGATGCCAGCGGCTGCCGCCCTTGTCATCGCGCTCGTGTTCGATAGCAACTTTAGCCAGATGGCCGAGAATGTTCTCCATCTGAGTATCTGATCGGCTCCGGCTCTTGCGGCCGAGATTGTCCAGCCATTCTATCTGGTTCAAGAGGAAGTATACGATGGCAATGACAATCTATGAAGAACGAGAGAATTAGTTTCCAACTTCCAGGAGATTGCTGACTTGAAGTTACGTACCGAAACCCCAATGGAGTAACACCATATAACCACAGCAGTGACAACACTAGTGCGTCCATTCCTCTCAAGCTCAGCACGGACGCGAGGGTCTGACGCATACCCTTCGCCAGAAAGCCATCCGAAGACACAGAAGAGAGTGGCCAGAACATCGACACCAAAGATGGCTGCCACAAGCTGCCAGGATGGCCAGGTCTTCCCACCGCGAGTGACAAAGATGAGCCAATTTTCTGTGAGGGAAATTTCGAGAAAGAGAATCTCCTGCACATTGCCGAAGTTCTGGATGACACCACCGTTTGGAATGTAAATCGAGCCGCGAATGACCCAGGTTCCAAGAGCGAGCAGCAGGCCAAGAGTAACTGAGATGATCCAGATTTTGGGCAACTGCCACTCCACAGGGCGAGCTTCATAATGAGCATTATCGTAAGCAACAGCGATTGTCGCTAAATCTGCGAAAAGAGCCAAGAAGACGATGAGCTCAGAGTTCACAGTTTCGTTGATTATCACAATTGATGTGACAAGGTAAATTTCCAAGTGAAAGCAGAGAGCGATACGGTACTGAATATATGCCTTCATGCGCTGGAAGATTTGACGAGCAACCTTGATAGCAGACACAATAGTGCTAAGGCCGGGTGCGAGGAAAACAATGTCGGAAGCTGCTTGAGCGGCCTCAGTCGCACCCTCGACGGCAATACCGCAATCCGATTTCTTGAGCGAGGGAGCATCATTGACACCGTCGCCTGTCATGGCTGTCAAATGTCCACGCTGCTGAATCATTTCCACAACCTGGTACTTATGTTCGGGGAAGACTTCGGCAAACCCATCCGCACGTTCGACAAGGTCGTGTTGTGTTGTCCCGCTCAGACCACCGTGTATGAGTCGATCGGAATTGTAGACCTTTGTGCCTAGAGCCAACATTTTGCAGGTCTCCTTCGCGATAGCAATTGCGTCACCGGTCAACATTTTGACTTGCAGACCAAGGAATTGCGCTTCAGCAATAGTCTGGGCAGTATCTTCCCTGGGAGGATCAAACATAGACAGCATCCCCAAAAGTTCCCATGGCTCGTCGTTCTTTTTGACTGCTACTCCCAAAGAGCGGAAACCACGACGAGCAAACTCTGCAGCCTTATTCTTGAAAAGGTCCGCAGTTTCAGGACTGCACTCAGACAAATTGAGGATCGCTTTGGGAGCACCCTTTGCAGCGGTGTATTTCTGGCCGTTGCAAGTACACTCGCAAGTAATACGTTTCGAAACGGGATCAAATGGGGTGTATTTGAGGGTTTTCCAGCCTTGCTCCAGTATTTCACGCGCCTTCGGGAAGCGCTTACTAGCAAGCAAAAATCAGCTTAGGTAGTGAAACACGTTCGAATTGTGCGACGGACAGCGTTAAAATGATCACCTTGTCAATTGGGTCTAGCGATTTGATGTTATGAGATGAGGCGAGCGCGGCAACAGCCATCATCCAGTTGACATCGACGTCTTCAGCAACATATGGCTCACGAATGGAGAGTTGGTTAGCCGTAAGCGTGCCTGTCTTGTCAGAACAAAGCACATCCACACCCTAGAAAAATCCGATTAGAAATCTTCAAATGTACGTCTGAGCGACGAGCACTTACAGCTAAAGACTCAATGGCGGTCAACTTTTGGACGATGGCTTTATCTTTGGCCAAGTAGGCAGCCCCGACAGCCAGAGTGGTAGTGGTCACGACGGGTAGACCGACGGGGACACCAATGACGAGAAGAATCAGTACGTAATGGAGTAAGGTTCGGGAGCTGGCTTCCGGAGTAGCAATGTTCACGCCATGGAAAAAGCCACCGATCCAGGCAACCAAAATCCAGAACACGACCACCACCAAGAGGGCAGTGCCGATGGCGTTCATAATAGCCTTGAAATGACCTTGATCCTTGGCGCCCTGCACGAGTGTCGCAGTGCGACCGACGAACGAGCCTCGTGCGCTTGAAGTGACTACTCCATACGCCTTTCCACGCTTGCAACCCGTGGTGTAGTAGGCGGTGTCGCCCATGTACTTATCCACAGCCAGCGACTCGCCTGTAATTGCAGATTGGTCGGCCGCAATGAGCGAAATGCCGTGATGCTTATCATCGTCATCGTCATCTTCCTCCTCGGGCTTCTTTTCGGAAGGCTCGTTCAGCTCTTGCCTCATGAGCTCCTTGTATTCTTCAAAAGCTCCGGGATTTTCATAGGCGCAGATGAGTCGAGCGTCCGCCGGGATGACCTGACCTTCTTCAAGAATGACCTGGAATTGGTTAGCGAAGAGCATGACCTATTCATTCTATGGCCTTACAATATCGCCGGGCACAAGCTCGCGGGCTTTGATATCTTCCTCTTTACCATCACGAATGACGACGGCGCGCATAGCTATGTCACCTTTGAGTGAGGCAACCACGTCTGCAGCTTGTTTCTCTTGATACCATCCGACTGTGGCGTTCAGCATGAGAATAGCAATGATAACACCAAAGTCAATCCAATCACGAAGACCAGCAGCTAAGAGGACGGCAATTTCCATGACTACCTTCGTCAGTAATCACAATCTGACATGGCAAGGAACGGCAAACTTTACCATAGAGAATTGGGCCGGTGAAGAAGGAGAGAAACTAAATTTTTGAGTCAACAAAACGGTACGTGGATCAGGGCTTCGTCCCGCCTACCTTGAGAAACATGTTCTCTTTCTCGGTAGTCTAGGTTTTCAAGTCAGAACTCTTCACCGTGATTGTTCATTTGACGGACGTACAAGCTCATTAAAGCCTACGTGCCTCCTACGACCCTCAATGTCTGAGCTAGAGATACCTTGCTTGATGTCTGCCTCGAGCCACTATGCCATTTCGAGTATTAGCCATTGCAAAGAAACGATCCGCAAGCACGGCAGCAGTTTGTCATACGTCATCCGGGACCTCAAAACCCTCCTCGCCACCAGTGGTCTTTGCTTTGCGAGCCCAGATCTTCCACCAAGGTTTCTTCTTGGGACCTCCGCCCTCCTCCATTGAGACGATGGATTTCCTACGCGGACCTTCATAGTAAGAAGAGATGTAGGCGACCAAGTTAGCATATTCTTCGCCGTTCTCGAGATCTGGCTTCGCGTAAATGGAGGCTTTATGGTCAGCACCTGATTGCTTGCGGTCGGCACCACCTTCGCTGGAGAATTTAGGCTCGTCGAAACGCAGGTGGGCGTCGCCTCCGGTTTGCTCCGGAGCAGCCATTGCGCCCGCAGAGTCTAGAATGCAGCAATGAGAATGTTGTTAAAGCTGCGGTGGACCTGAACGGTGAAGGGGATGAAGAGAAGAGGACAATTGGAAGAGGTGGTGGAGTGGAGTGGAGAGGAGCAAAAGAAAGGCGTGGGTAAGGAAACAGCAATCGGTCGCCGGGGGAAGGAAGGGGAGCTTTTGTAGCAAGAACGCCCAGGCTCGCCAGGCTTGCCAGGCCTAAAACTAAAAAATGAAAATGAGAATGTGTCTCACAGTGGAGCTAGGCTAGCTAGCACTTTCAATAATAAAATTCACAACCCGTAAACCGTTTAAAATTGAGCGGCAGAAATTTCTGACCAGGAAAACGTCGGAGCAGCACGCGCGAACGGTCTGTACTACCCCCAGCTATGAAGGATACTATCATACTAACGATACTAATGATACTAGCACCGGCAGCTGTAGAGATCGCTAAGCTGCTTCGGGCCTGTCCCACTCTCTATCCGAGATGGCCGATTGTCGAAATGTGCAAAGAATTGCCTCAATGCCTCTCTGATTGGTTGCATTCAAGAGGTGGAGCGCATCAACTTTACGGCTAAGACGAGGCCGGGCCTATTCCTTTCCAGCAAAATTACCAACATGGGGGGAGCTCCCCAGCCCTCTTCTGAGGCAGTCTGTCGACTGGGGCCAGGTAGCTTCGTGCAATGGATAGTGCGTCTTTGCGCGTGGGAGTAAAGTCAGTGCTCGTAAGAGATCCTATCAATTCCTATTTGATGAATACGAAGCTTCAGCTCTCGACAGAAAGGTCCGTCGTCCCCCTCTCGCCAAGCTTGATAGCTAATGGCTTGTGTGTACAAGAGGCGGGGCGGCCCTATCCAGAAGCTCACATGAGCGTAATCAATTTGCTTCCGCGTATGTTATCTCGTTATCTTACAGAAAGAGGCTGCTAGCCAGAATGCTGCGGGGCAAGCTTCGGATCCTTCCCAATCGCAGACGTCATGGAGAGCAACAGTGAAAGAATGAAAGGAAGGGGGTAGAAGCAGTATTGCAGAGTCACACGGTTGTAGCATCGAATTGAGGCTCTCGATTATCGTCTGTGAGTCTCGCTGAGCCCCTGCCCGCGCCACTTGGCGATAGGTCATGAGCTCCCAGCAGATCAGTGTATTCTAATTGCCTTTTGATAAAAGCCTCCTGAGTCTTTTGCGGCATTTTATCATATATTTTTCGGCGCCCGACTCTCTTGAGCGCAGTCATCATATCAAGGTATTCCGTCCATTCACGCTTCACATGATTCCACCTCATGTGAATTATTGACTGCACGAACACAATCGTGATCAACGCAGACAAATGATCTGTCATATATGTGCCCCTCACTCTGTCCCCCGCATGAAACGGCTCTAAGCTTTGTGGACCTTTAGCGCTTCCCCAAGCCCCCATCGCCAGCGGCCACATGCCGGGTGGCCAAAGCTTGCATGGTAAGCCTCAGCGGCGAGCAAATCCTCGATCGTCTTCCACATAAAGGAAAGAAAAAAGGCCCGATGCTCCTTCAACGGTATCTAGACCCTGTTGAGACGGTTTTCTTCTCGAAAATTGATACTTAGTGACTCGTTGAAGGGATCTCGATGTGAAGGGTACGACGGCTTACATATGTAAAACAACGACCGGCGCGACACGATTTCGCTACTCGATACCTCCGTATGGAATCCTTCAAGTAGTTCGAGGCCCATTCTTCCTGCTCGTCAACAGGCCTCTTACTATTCAATATGGTATGACTTGTCGCCCCAAGCTGCCATGACTTGCAAGTGTACCTACCCGACTCTTGTCATTTCTTCGACTAGACAATTATTCTTCCCTGGGTAAGCGTTACCAGGTCATTTGGTTGATCAATGACTTCACCTGGGTTCCTGCATAATTTGAGGAGGTAGCAGTCCAATTGCGATTGGAATAACAATAATCGCCGTCTCTCACGAACCACTTTTGCGTGCTACAGCACTTGTCGGACTCTTCCGTATGCTTGACAATAATCCAAAAAAAATGAAGGGGCACCAGGAGGCCTAACTGGAGCGTGTGAGCGTGTAAGCGTTCGGCGTGATGATGTGCAGGGAAACTTGCAAGAAAGTCCAGATAATTGATAGGTCGCCCAAACGCCGTTGTTCCACCGAGCATTGTAGAATGTTTTCGTGTGCTTTGGCGTTTGAGTGTGCTGTGTTGCAATCGCGCTTACCGCCTAGAACAACCTCGTAGAAGTGCAGGTTTTTTGGTCCAAGGTGCTGATCCTCCTGCAAAGTAGACGAAGTACCATGGCTCCCACCAAACGTAGACAAAATCTCTGTTCACCCAGGCGCCACGTCTCAGTGGGACATCCCAAAGCTACCAGATCCATTTGAGGCCTAAATGTCATTTGGGTGAACTACATCACTGCGCAGCAAGAATGTCTACAACTTGTGAAATATACAAAGCCAGCCCTTAAAAAGTGCATCTTAAGCAGAATATCAGCATTACATGCCTAGTCTAGCATCAGCTAGAGGACTCTCGAATAGTACTCTCTGCCGGCAAGTGGAGACGATGCAGACTCCTACACCTCCACCAAGTCTCAAGCGAAAGAGACGGTCTCGACCTTTGCTTGATAATACTGAGCCTTCTCCTACTCGCGTGAAAACGAAAGGCCAAGGACGTACGGCATGTCGCGATAGCACTTCCGTAGCTGGGGACATGCAAAGACTTGAGCTACAAGGGACTGAAGCCAAGTCTGCAAACCAGCCTCGTGTACCTCTCGCAAAGGGCGAAGAGGTATGGACTAGTCCGCCCACCAATGTTGACAATCCAAATCCAGTTCAATGCGAAAAAGACTACAAACTCTGTCCCTTGCCTCCAATCTCTGACGACCTTTTTTCTTCTTCTTCTACTTCCTCTCTCTCAAGCGTGGGCCGCACGTTGTCTCTCAGGCCTGCTCCAAACGAAATCCCAGAGACTCCGTCGCCCTCTCCCACAACACCATTGACGCAGGGCACTGCGGACGCTCTCCAAGGGCAAAACTCTTCATCGTCGATTCCCACATTGTGGTGGTCAGAAACGGATCTGACGGGACAGACTCTTGATACACAGGATTCTGGGGACGATGGAGAAGGTATCAATGGCATCGGCTTCATGCCCACCCCTGCTATTGCATATGCTCGGTCCGAGAAACGCAGGAGGCAGCTCAAGGATTGGAAAGAACGAGAAAGTCGGGAAGCTCGAATTCGACGAGGAGAAAGAAGACGGAAGGGAGATTCGGAGGTGTCTTCGAGGGTGGAGATTGGATATAATGAGCTTGGGAACGAAAAGAAGGTAAGGTTCACACATGCCTAGTCTATTTGGGCCGGAAATTACTCTGCCACATATTCCTTGTCGATGGCAAGGGTCTGCGAGGACATGTCCATAGCATTACACGGCAGCTATCAGAGTCAGCAGACACCATACAAATGTAGGCTCATATACTGCTTGACATTTCTATGCCCTGGAGCAAATTCTGGATGTTAAGCGTCAGTAATGAATCTAGGCCTGATAAACAGTTTCTCCAATGAGCTTTATACTAATGTTACTTAGGCCCTTGAACGATCTTTAATGAGAAATCCACATGTCCAACACCCTGGTGTATGCTACTGGTGCTGATAATGTCCACATCTGCACAGATAACGTCCTTGACGTTTTCCTCTGTCAAGCCTCCACTAACTTCCAGGGCAAATGCCTTTTTACCTCTCCATCTCCTCTTCAAGCTTTTTGCAGCAATCTTCACTCCATCACCGGAAAGATTATCGAGCATTATCACATCCGCCCCAGCTCCGATCGCTTCATCCGCCTGTTCCTCGCTCTGACATTCTACCTCCACCTTTACCGCGAACCCACAGGTGGTTTTGGCGGCAAGGACTGCCTTACTTATGCTCCCAGCCGCGGCAACATGATTGTCTTTTAACATGACCATAGCGCTTAGATCCATGCGGTGCGAGTCACAACCACCCACAAGAATGCCATACTTCTCGACTAGGCGAAATCCTGGAGTGGTCTTCCGAGTACCACACAGGATGTTGTTATAGCCCGCCTGCCGCACAAGGGAAAGGAGACGGGCAGATTGAGTCGCAATACCTGAGCAACGAGCTAGGACGTTCAATGCTACGCGCTCACCAAGAAGAATCTTTCGGACCGGCCCTCGTACGGTTGCGACATGGGTCTTTGAATTGGCAGGGATTTGAGAGCCCTCTGGTTTCACCCATTCTACACTATTGGGCTTGGATCAGCTATCAAAATCACTCAGCACTCGAGGCAAGCACGCACGTGCAGCCCAACTGCCGAAAGACCTCGTTAAAGAAAGGGACCCCAGCCGTTATGCCAGCGCTCTTTCCCAAGAGCTCTGCCACAGCAGGCTCCTGCCCAACTACGAAGCCGCCATAATCAAAGGCGGGGCAATCTTCCCGCAACCAGGCAGCTATAACCTCACTCAGATCACTAGGTAGTAGATGAGAGAGATCCCCGTGGTTTGTAGCCATCATAGCACATAGGTTCCAAACATGATCGTTCGGTGGTCGTGCACCCACGTTGCCTCTTTTTTGCGCCGTTCCCCCGAGACCCGCGTTAGTAAGCTAAGAGAACTACCAGCCCTACAGGGCATCGGTAAACATTATCAGTAAATATTTCACCCCAGAGAAGGAAGAAAATAATTATCCTACTGTCAGTGTTCTATCCTGCGTTGGAAATCTCTGTCACCTACCAGCAGAGCCTAGCATTGCGGGTGGCGAGTGCTGTTATGTGAGCACCTTAGCGCGTGAGTCATCGCGCCTACTACCCCGGAGGCTACCGTAGGCCTTTAAAGTCCGCATGCAGCCTGCTCAAGCCCCAATGATTAGCTGTAGATAGTGTTCGCAGGATTACATATCACACGAACAGATCCACAGCAATGTGATCAATACGCAGGTTGCGCTGTTACTTCCTCATGCACATGCTTGCTCCATCATTCACCTATCAAGGCTACAGACTTCACTGGATTGATATCGGGGTGCTTGACCTTAGCTACTTGTGATGGAATAATCGCCTCTTCTAAGGACTCTGCATCGGAACCAAAGAGCCGTGCTGACTCGGATGAATTCACCTCAGCTCGGAGTATTATTGCACAACCCTTGGGGAGCCATCTGGGCCGCGACAATATCGCTATTGGACGCAATCATGCAGTCCTAGGCATGCCGCTCAACCTTGTAGCTCATGGTAAAGTAGGAAAGCGATTTAACGTCCCAAATTCAAGCCTCTCGAAGGCTTCAACGCTTTCCAGCCTTTGGCTGATTCTTACGAGGCTTCGGCGTTCAAAACTGTCCGGCCGAGGGAGAGACCCAGTGCGTCAAAAGTCTCAATCATCGGTGAACCAATTCCATGGGCTTTCCTCCTGCTCGCTATGTAGTATCGGCCGGTGTCAAAGATGGCACAAGACCCTACGCTCGTTGCAGGTTAGAAACCTTCTGCGTGCTTCTCGTACTACTCCTAAAGTGTCCCTCGTGAAATGGTGGACGCCCTACTTTGCGGGCTGACAAGCGTCATAAATATCCATACTCCTCTATGATCGAGACTGTGTGGTCTGTGAAACTTCTTACAAAAAACCTTAGGGGATCGTAATCTGCTTTTCAAACGACAAACGTCATGCCTCTTTCGCGGTCCGACATCGCAAACGTCACCAGTACTGAGCTTTCCATGACAAGCTCATATAAGCGCAGAACTTTGACTACGTATTAATAAAGCCTGCGCCGTGCTGACTGATTCTCAACTTTGCTTCCTCACAAGCTTATCAAAATCTCTGGCCGCACCCTAAAACCTGCATTCTAGGCTCAGCGGCCTTGTAATCCCTGACCAAGAGGTCGATCGGTAGTGTCTCACTAGCTGGAGATCTTGACCTTAAGTGACCACAAGTCCACTAAGACCTGGCCTCTCAAGGACGACTAGATTTGAGCCAATATAAATTTACTGTCTTTCCCTGCTTAGAAGGGCGCTGGACTTGTAACCATTGTCGATGGAATGTCCAAGCTCCCCAACCGATTTTGAAGACTCACGGAAGAGAGTTTGCAAAGCTTGTGACCGCTGTAGGATAAAGAAATCCAAGGTAAAAAGGTTGTCAAACCTGCATCTCAGCAATCATTGATGATTATCCAAGTGCGATGGCAAAAAGCCATGTAGCAGGTGCCGAAATGATGATGCAATCTGTGTCTTTGGGGGCCGGAAGAAGAAGACCGATAGAGTCCATCCCAAAGGGTTGGTACTTCTCTTTCTATTTTGATAGCCATTAATGAACGAGTTCATCAGGTACGTTGAGATATTAGAGAGACAACAAAAGCAGCTCGTGAAAGGCATCCACGCCTTATTTGACCTTCAAACTTCACGTAAGATTTTGCCGTCCTCTTCTCCCGTCTTCTGCGGTCGCTGAAGCACAAGTAGAAGGCAGAAGCTGGAACGGCCCCTTACCACGCAAAGGATACCCACCGACTCACGAAATCCTTGAATACCTCGGTGCATTGGAGGTAGAGGATTCTAGCGAAGATGAAGAAAACGATGATTCAAGCCATTTCGAAGAGAACATTCAGCAGCTGCGCCAAAGCGTCGTATGTAAGGCGGACGGTTATCAAAGCGAACACCCGACATCCCATCATTCTTTGCTTCAGAATCAGCGGCCAGCAAATCATGTCGGAAAGTCACGTTTGGATAGCATCAGTGAGGCTGATAGCGCTCCAAGCCTTAGTCCGGCTTTATCACCTTCGAATGCTTCGCCTTCAACATCATCAATTGATTCACAACAGTGGCTCGCCAGTCAGTGGCCGGCGAAAACCTTAGCTCAACAAATTATGTCAACAACCAACGTGTTCATTTCGACGAGTGACATGGATACATGCATCGATTGCGACTTCGACAGTAGTCCAATGCAAATTGGATTCAGTGATCCTTGCCTCGTCCCGGAGTGGGAACCGGACAAGGATCTAGATGAACATTCGTACATAGATTATGGGTCGTAGAGACGCATATAATGGCAGCCATGAATTTAAGAATGTTTCCGTCGGGCATTCACTGCGCTTCAGCTCAAAGATAGGCTTACTTGATGCATTAATCCAATCAGCTTGCACGCTCCCCAAACATACATAGCAAATAGAGGGAGTCTCGGACGGCAGGGTTGTGTTAATGCACAATGTTTCTGTAGAACGAGTATGAGGTGTTGAGAAAGGAATACGAAAAGAAAATACTTAAGAGGCCGAGGAGGCTCAGAAAGGGGTTCAGCCCTGCAGAGTGCGGGTTTCTCCCGCTGGCGTGCTTTTATGGTGGGGCCACCAGGGCTAGCAGGGAAAAAAGCAAAAAACCTACACCTCACTTCTAAAAACAACCCCAACTTAATTTCACAACAACAACACGCGTTATTCGTTATTTTAATACTTGGAACTTTATTTTTATACTTATAAAACCTATTTTAGCTATTTTTTTAATATATTTTAAATATTATTAATTTATAATAACTTAAAAAATAACTTAGCTTAGGTTAATAAATATAATATATTATAACTATAATAATAATAAATTTCTCTTTTAATATTTATAATAAATTAAAAATATTAAAAAATTTATAATAAAATACTTTAATAAGTAGCTACCTTATAAATATACTAGAAAGCTAGTTTATTTTATTATTATAATATTATAATATTTCTTTAATAACTTATTAAAGCTTTAAAAAATAAATAATATATTAGGATTACTTTATAAAATATTATTAATAAATAATAATATACTTATAAAGCTAGTAAAAAAGTAGTAACTTTTTATTACTAAATATAATACTTTTAAATATATTACTATTACTTTTTAAAAATAGATTTTTAAAGTAATTAAAATATATAAATAAATAATATACTTTAAAAATATTTTAATTCTTAGTATAAAACTATAAATAAAAAATAACCTTTATTTTAAAGTTTAAGTTTCTAAAGTACTAGTTAATTAAATTAAATATAACCTAAAAATTAAAATTATAAAAATAGTTAATACTTATCTTTATAATAAATATATTAATATAAATCTTATCTTTATATAATAACTCCTTAATAAAAATATTAAACTCTATATAAAAACTATAAATATAAAAAATTAACTATAAAGTTTTAAAAATAGCTAGCTTTTTCTATTAGGAACTAATATAAAGCTACTAGAAATAAGCTTCTTAATAATAATATATAAAGTTTTAATAAATTAAATTACTTTTAATAGTACTATAAAGTAAAATTAAAAAAAGCTTATTTTTATAAATATATTCTACTTTTAATAGCTAGTAAAAATAGTATATATAAAATAAATTAATAAAAAAAATATAATATAGAAAAAAAAATTATTATTTATAGTAGCTTTTACTAATCTTTATATTATAAATACTACTATTAATTTTAAGTTAAACTTAAATAAAATTAATTATATAATAGAAATTTATTTTCTATTATATAAATTATTTTAATATAAAAAATACTATAAATATAAATATAATATAAATTTATATAAATTAAATATTAATAAATACCCTTACTACTTTAAATCCTATTAACTTAAATTATATTTAGAGGTAATAGCCCTAATTAATAAGTTAATTTTTTTTTTTTTATAAAAACCTTTATATAGTAATAAGTGAAAAATATTATATAAAATAATTAGAACTAGATAAGAAAAATGTAGCTAAAAAAACTAAACTTATAAAGTATTTTATATTAAATAAATAAAAAGATACCTCTTTTAATATAATACTAGAATAAAGAATAAATAAAAACCTAATTAAAATTTTAGTATTTTAGCCCTAAAATAAGCTTTAAATTCTAAAAATAATAAAAACTTTATAAATTACTAAGTATATTAACTATAGCTAGGATATAAATAAAAATAAACTTAAAAATATATTAAAAAGCCTAACTAAATAACTATAAAGTAAATAATAATAGCTAACTAACTAAAATATATTATAGATTTTATTAACTAATAATACTTTAGCTAAAGGCAATTTTAAGACAACTATTCTTATTAAGCTAATTAATAAATTAATAAATATAATTAAATATATTAAAATATATTAAAATAAGGGGGAAAATAAATAAAAAGCTTCCCTTATAAATATAAATAAACTTAGCTTAGAGCTAGCTTTAAATAACTTAGACTTTTAAAATATTATTAATAAAGCTAGTAATCCTAACTTTTTTATTAATATTATTTTTATAAATAATAATAGTAATATATTTATATTAAATTTAAGCTTTAAAAAAAAAATATTTAGAAATACCCTAAAAAGTAGCTTAAAAAAAGAAATATATTTTATTTAACTTTAAAATGACTTTTAAAACAAGTAATAATAACTTTTTATTTAATAATATTAAAATATAAAGTAGATATAAAATTAAAACCACCCTAAAAGGCAAAAGCTAAACTAAAGTAAAAAAAAAAAAAAAAAAAGAAAGCTATAAATAGTATAAAATAATATAAATAAGAGTTTATT